TATTGTCAAAATGCTATGGTTCCTGTTGGTATGATTTTCTATGGCTAATAGTATCATAACAATCATAATACGCCAAGGCAGTTTCTTTGCAGAAGTGCGCATGAAATTTGTCCTCATCGCCAAATACATCCGGAGATGCTAATTTTGTCTTGAATAAGACATTCCAGTACCCGAATGGTATCTAAGTGACGTTCCATCCTAGCACTTCAGTTCTTTGTCATGCTACACCAGAACACAAAAAGGGCAACAAAGAGACTCTATGCAGTCTCCGCAGGTTGAGCCTTTTATATTGAAAGACTCCCTCATCTTGCCTCTTTGGATCATAAGGGGTACCTACTAGAGTGTACAAGGCAAAAGCAATGCAAATAGACAACACTAGGAATTAGCAATTAGTATCCCCCTAGATTCAACGTAGAGTGATTGTTTGATACATTTAAGCTCTAGCAGCTTTCTTCATGACTTCGCTTTTGTCGGCGCGACGAAATTTTACTGAATAGGCCGCATGGCCAACAACAAGCAAAATAACCCATAAGAATGTTACTACTGATTTTCTTCGATTTGACAATAGCGGATGGAGAGACTCACCAATTGTCTTAGGAGTACAGCAACTCTAGAATGAGTTGCTCCACTCTACTTGGGCGTCCGACATCGATATCACAGTGTATAGGGGGTGGTTTTTGATAATACAATATCTAGATGGGACGAGCGATAGGTGAGACTAATATAGTTCTTTTTCCATAACGCTTCAAATTTATGGGCAGCAAACGGGAAAGACGATTGAAATCTACTTCCGTTCCTCTAAGCTCCACTGTGGGTACAACGGTATTGTTCAACGGGGTTAAATTAACATGGTTTCCAGTATTTAATGTTACGGTACTGCAGTCCCGATGGAAGGCTAAGTGAGCATATGCTAGCATGACATTTGGCCATAATGTAGAGCTCGAGAACGGGAAGTTGAACAAAGAGAGAATTTCAGGATACTCTTTAGGCTATGGTAAACGAATAAAGTGATTGACTTACTGCACAAATCTAAACAGAATTGACGAAAAAAAAGCAAAAATTGAACGGTCAATGCAGCCGCATTTATGAAACACAAGTGTAGCTAATTTCATCTAAGAAACTGCTGCAAAGTTCAGAACTGAACATATATATCTTCAGATCCACTCGATACCGCAGGCCGGCTATAGTATCTCCCCAACGCATTGCCAGGACCACAGTAACACGTCGCAAATACTTTCTGCTCGGTTTCAGATATATGCATCAACCTATGAAGGTAGCACCAAAACAATTCTCTTTTTCCCCTCATCAACATCTCTCCTATCAATCGGTCCGCATCAGGATTATCCAAAACAAACCACGCTTTCGCAAGTGGATCTGAATCAGGGGCAATAACTCGAGAGATTATATCTCTGTCATCAAAGTGACGAGCCGTCTGTTCATAGTCGTGGATTGCGACTCCGCTCACCTCACATGCAGGGATAACCCCTTGCTGTGGATATCGACGGCCGTGTCGTATTTGTAACGATTTTCATCGAATATGTATGCCGGGCGGTCATTCGTAACTATTGTCGTATATACAATTCCTATTCGCTTAAGCAGCCACTGCTTTATGCGCTCCGTGATAACTGCTTCGGAAGCAATGGCCTGGTCAGCGAGGATTGTGGATCGACTTTTGAGATCATCCAAATAGTCTCTTAAGGATGAAAATCTGTTTTCCAGGGTTCGACGCCATTCTATGCCGTTCATTACAATTTTCAAACAAATTTAGATTCAAAGATAGATGTATTTGTAGGACAGAAATGATGATCAAGGACACGGAGAAAATTTGTGGCGGTAGAGCGCACAGGGATGATGCGTTTGACAATCAGAAATTTGGCTTCTCGTGCTAATTCTTTCCTCCTTCATTGCGATATTTCACACCCTCATACTACAATCAATTCAAATACATTGTAGGAGTTCGCTAGGCTCCAGAGATCTTACATATATTCTCGCTAGGCTCTACCTCAGGCCCTTTGAGCCAACTTATGCGGGGAAACAAACAAAACCCGTAGGGTCCCAGCTCATAGGGCCTCATAGGAAGGCAGAAAAAGGTAGAGTACCTGTAATGTCCGGCTTTGAATAATTTGATAATTATCCGTATCGATTTAGGTATTCTGCTGCCTCCACTCATTGCCTGTTGAACGGTAAGCGCAGCCACGTCTGTTAAACACGGGTGTAGCCAATTTCATTGAAGATCTCCAGCATTAAATACGCTCTTCTGTTCAACATTGACTGAAATATTTGTTCACATTTGACTGTACCCACGCTGTTCTAAATGCAGTTGGCATCAAAAGATCTAATCAAGTTCACCTAGTGATGGCCCGTCTTGGATACTACTCTTCTGTTCAACGCAACTCACATATATATCAAAATGCACCAGTTAGAGCCAATTACGTGCCTAGCCAAATTTACCTAGCACGACCCTACTTATCTGACAATTTTTGTTCACCGTTGATTGTGTTCACTAGGTCGCCGATGGTGATGGCTATAAAAAGAGAGGTGAGCTACTCATGTCTCTCTAGATATCTCTTAGATTAGCAATCGAGGCGTTTGTGTTCAACATGTTAGGCTTGTCGCAATCAAAGCTCACGGTCGATTTTATTTGACCAAAACAGCCTCATCCAATAAATCGACTCGCGTATTTACATATACTTGACTTGCCTTACTAGTCAAAATTCAACCAACTCACACAATAGTTGCTGTATTTCATTCTGAGCGCTAAAGATGGTTTGGCCACGCGCATGAAGAAAGACAGTCGCGTTAAACACCGGAAACACATGCAAGCAACCCTTCGGTGTAGCGAAAATGGGCCAATTCGAGGGAGTACGGTCGAAATGGCATTATCTTCTGTAGCATGAACTGGGGTTGCTGCGAAACGTATAGTAGCTATAGAAAACAGTGTTGATGAAAGCGGTCCGCCTGCACTCGTTGAACCTTAAACTAACAAACAGCATCTAATAAAGCTGCGTACAAGTGAATCTGGCTACATTGGTAGCGGCGCGTGGACAAAGAAAACGGTGAATACAGCTACCTAGAGAATACTGTCCGATGCGATTGGAACCCTGGTCAGATTGTGAAGCATGATAGCTAGAAATCTACAAATCTGTCACGAGAAACAATATTGTTAGCCGAATGAAAACCTCGCTCCATTTTGCTCTAGTACGTTACTACGTTTCTTCAACGTCTGTAAATTCGATTGATGTACTATAAGTGATTTGGCAATACAGAACAAGTAGCAGGGCTCTCGATTCCGAAGCTAAGGTACTAGTTTAAGAGATGATGCCTAGACTCCTAAGGCCATTGGGGTCTTTTGAATTCTTATTGAAATCCTCTATCGCATCTATGGCTCCTTTAATCTGTAGCTCCGCTTGTACGAGACATTGACTAATGTTATCAGCTTTTCCCGCGGATAGTAAGTGGAGCTTTCGCAGATTTGAATTTTGAATACGCAAATTAGCCTCCTGGGCCCTAGAATCTTGTAGCTCGCTTTCTAGCTTTCTGTTCATTGCTATAGCTAGTTGAATTCTTTGCTTAAGCTTTTGTATTTCCGATTTCGCATCGTTTTTGGAGCTGTGGTCTAAGAATCTTCTAGCTAGCTCCGCTCGAACTTCACCCTTTCGAATAGCTATGACAAGCTTAATATAGAGGTTGGTGGACATGTCGCTAAGATGTTTTTGAAACAAATGTGTCTTTTCTTCTTCAAAAACCTATCTATATTGATCCCTTTCTAAAGGATGAAGTCGCACCTCTGACGGGCACACATTAATGCCGAGTCTATCTTGTGCTTGTTAGCCAACCGAAAAGATTTGGAAGGGCATGCCTTACTAATATGATTTGCGAGTTCTACTCTACAATTTTTGCGTTCTAGCGCGCGCTTCCTGTTCGCTGGTGTCGACATTATCTATAGCACTTGTAGTCTTCAAACATAGACACCGAGAGACTCAACCGGAAAATCTATCACGTAACCCAATTTCATCTTTAGTAGTCCATATATCAAGGATTATGTCTATGACATAAGCTATGACCGAAACCAGAGAAGGAGAACTGGTCAACGCCCAATGGATCTTCCCTTTCGCTATATCATCTAGACTAAACCAGGGCGGGATATGTGGCAAGGAGGTTTCAACCAACGGCAAAATACCTGAGCATACGAATTTAAGAAGTAAATACTCTAGGTCGGAGCAACCCCGGAACAAATCCGGAACAAATTTGGAGCATATCTGCATTCTGTACCTTGTAAGTTCAACTTGTTTCTAAGCGTCACCATGCTTTCTACCCAAGGACCTATTAAGACTTCGATGAGAACAGTAAGTTTTCTTTTTCTTTTCTCTACGGTGTTGAGCATTTTTCGATGCTCATTGGCAAGTTGAATCAACTTCATAATTGTTTTTAGATGAAAGCAATAGGGATCAAAAGGTTGAACAGATACTAGTCATGTCCTAATTGAACGGTGGTCTGTTTATCTTTCATTATTATAATGGTCGCACCTCGTGAGAAAATTTGACGTTGTGATAGGATGTTGTGAGTTGAACGGCTGTATGTTTTGTCTATCACGCCATAATCCAAATTGACGCCTGGGCCGAAGCTATACAGTATCTAGGAGAATGTGAGATTTGATTCAGTTTTCGGGTTACTTAGATTTGAGAACCGGACGTGTTTATTTAAATCTTGTAATTAAGACGGGTGAAATTTTGCCTGGTTATCAGCAATTGAAGACAGTAAGTATAATACTTCACGTCGTGCTCTGCTTCGCTACTCTGCAGCCGATTGTTCTGCCAGTGACTACGCTGTATTTCGGTATGGACGCCCTGCTAAAGAAGTACCTGTAGCTGTATGTCTTCATTACCAAGAACGAGTCTGGAGGTATGTTCTAGCGAGTTCTGTTCAACTGTATGGTGTTTGCCACCATTCTTACGAACGTCACTATCGCCCTGGTCGCAAAGGTCATGGTCTCGTAGACAATGGTGTTCGCTATGGTTCCTCTGCCCTTCTTGATATTGGGATTCAAGTTTTACTACTTCAAGGTCTTCGATACAGACTACAAGTACTACGACCGTGCCAACCTGAGCGACGCTAAGGCGCTTAGAGGTGTGGGCAAGCTCAGTAAGAAGGCGACCGAGCGGCCTAACTCCAAGTTCGGAGGATGAATACATCCTGGTTGAGTGAGGGTCAGCAACTTGTGACTACATTTGCTTCCACGCGCCATTCATATATAGAGTAGAAATACGAATAAATGTTTAAGATTCAACCACAAGGGTACAGTAAGCCGAGGATGGAGAGAAGACTGAAAATGATATTGCATTATACAGTGTGGATCGAAATCGCCTTGACCAGTACTCACTCACTCTTTCTCTTCTTGCCCCACCGCCAAGACCTTAGCGTAGAATAATCATTCGACAAGATACAGGGGCACAGTATTATTGTACAGTTGTACAACCTGTTTCTGTAAACATGTATTCGATTAGTACGATTTCTGCCAGAGCTATGCTGTCCGCCTTCACGGGTGCCACGTCATCTATCCCCCAGATTGCTGCTGTTGCTACATATAGCCCGCGTGATCCCACCACAATCCAGAGTAATAGCTAGCCAGCAATTCGGTGATACTCGAGCGCCTCCCATCCTCCGATATTGAGCCAAGACTAAATCACCTAAATTCGTCATTTACTACGATTTATCATATACAAGCCTCGACATAGACCGTACAGAGAGGAGGAAGGCATCTCTCTGTGACCTACCGCAGGAGATGTTGGAATCGATCGCAATGAATCTTTACCTTCCTGATTACTTACATTTCCGTGCGCTTTGCCGTCGGATATGGTCTTTGTTCGACTGCTCGGCTCTTATATCTATTTTGAAAAAGATTCAGACCCCTAAAAACGATGCTTCGGAAACGTAGGACGAGGATTGTCAATTCAGAAGAAGTCATTACATATCGCGAGGCCACATTTTATCATACGCCTATCGCAAAAACGGCGCGACTCCGGGCCTACATATTCTGATCCAACGTGGGGCCTCACTGAAGTATGTTCCGTGCGGCGACCTTGTTGAGAGCGCAGCTCGTTCATACAATTACAAAGTGCTTTTAAGTTGGTTGATCGATCATAGTGCTTCTTTTCGAGAGGTTCCAGGTGGTATTGATCGGCTCTGTTGCGAAGCATACGAGGAAGGCGACTTTGAAAGATTTCGCTAGCTATTCTCAAAAGGAGCGTCTTTAGATATTTTGGCTGGAGTGGTGTTCGATTTTTCTGGTTGTCATAGGCCAAGGACGCGTGAAGCTTGCCGTGATCATCTACTTTCGCTGAAAAGGGCCCTCGGAGAAGGAGCAAAACCTAGTGGCTCCCACGAGTCCTTAACGGCAGAGCGTCGACGTAAAGGACTCAGTAACGGCTGGAGGAAGTCGATCAGCTAGATATGCAGCTTGTGGATATTTAGAGGAATGAAGCTTGGAAAGAGACATTTCCCAGGAGTGATGACCAGAAAAGGGGATATATGCCAGGTATCCTAAGAGGAAAGCCGGGGACACCTAGGGCGGCAGATCATCAAAGAACCAGACCTAGGCGGTTCTCTGTGACTGTCAAAGATCCACTCTGGGTTCCATGGAAGTCGACGGGATTTTCATGAGACCCGTGTATTATCACTTTGCTAGATACCGTATCATAACACGTGCATTTTACAGCCTTCCTCAACTAAGTGTGGCCAGGTCAATGACGGGTATGCGCTAAAGTCTCGGCGGTGGGGCCACAAGAGAAAGAGTGAGTGAGTACTGGTCAAGGCGATTTCGAGAACCCCTGTATAGAGAAGAAAAGCCAGCAGAAAATTACTCATTCAAACGCCATCAAAGCGTCAAAAGATAAAGAAATCTAATTAATTATTCTCTATTTGATTCAATCCATGATCTCTTGTGCCCACGAGGAGGTTGATAGCAGTGTGTGTCGACGAGATGAAGTACTAAATCGTGAAAATTCTCAAATTTCTTTGAGCAAGCAGGATGATCACAATGATAATAGTCATACTCCTTTACCTTAGCCAAATGGGCTTCGACATGACTATGCCACTTCGCGCGGTCGATGATGAACTGGTTCATTCGCTTTGCTGGAGGAAGGTTCGCATTGCCTAAACAGAATGGGCAAAACCCTGCCTTGATTGGAGCATTGCGAAACATCAATGGATCACATCGTAGTAGTTCCTGAGGTCTTTCAAGATGGCTTTTGCAGTGAGATTCCTACTCTGCTGGGTCGTTAAACCAGCTATCACATTCAAAACACATTTCCGCAAATTTGTACTTGCTCATATGGCAAAGCTTAGTTTTATAACAACGATAAAGGTGTAGCCATCTTCGATGAGGATAGAAACTAAGGATGTTAGCGTAGAATCATTATCAATTATCAAGGGAACTAACTTATCCATTTCTTCTCCACATGGACATTTCCCATTCTCTGGTTGGAGGCCAGAACGGTAAGCAACCGGGCGTATTTCTTTGTAGAGAGACTCTAGCGCCTCTAACGCCTGTCTTCCTTGGCAACTTCGTAAATTAGTCCTCATAGGAAGCACTGTTGCTAATAAATCTCGCTCCGGCATAACCCTTCGTCTGAAGTGGAAAAGATTCTGTTCGTATAAATCGCTTGAGCGCCTAGAGGGAATCTTTAGCGTATTAGGCTGCAACTTTTGAACCATCTTTAGCTTTTCTTTATAGAGTCGCTGCTTTTTATTGTAAACTTCATGTTGCTGGACTTGAATTCTGCGTCTCTGTTTATGGTCATTCGTAAAAGGTAATTGAGAACTTAGGGAATCCATCTCGCTGTTGAGAGCGCGAACATCTTCCCGGTCTTCGAACTCAAATTCCGCCTTTGCGGGAAGTGACTGTAATAGTTGACAGTTTTGATGAATTCCCATTCCGCGGCGGTTTTAGATATGCCCATGCCGGCTTTCAATGCTAAGATAAGTTGCTGGGCTATCTACTTCGCTAAGCGGATGAGCATAGTACTTTGCGTATGTATCTCGCATGGACTGTCCTGCGAACTTCATTCGTGCCGATTCTGAATGATTCTTATCTACGAAGATTTAGCTAGCTATTAAGGGGCTTCAAACGCTGCGGGAAAGTACCTGCTTCTATGAGTGCCCATCTTCGGCAGGCGCGGATAGTGACGTTTCGAATGAACCCACTGCGGTGACCCAGTGCGACAAATTCTTTGCTAAAAGCATCTGCTCCCCGAGCTTTTCCAGTACTTTTCTTCATATGCTGTTCACTGAATGGTCGGAATACTGGAAGCTCCAGAACATCTTCGTTGAAGACAATAACTTGTAAGACTTCATTTTTGGTGGGAGAGGTGTTTGTGTAGTCTTGTGCCGTATCCAGGATCTCACCGATAGAAGAAAAATCTCGAAATGCATCGTCGGCAGATGCCATCGGCAGAAAGAATGTAAGAATATTGAAAAAAGGGGTACTTCTTCCCTATAGATTTCGTAGAAGGCGTGGATTGGGAGTTCCCATCGATTTTTTCTCTAGTGGCCTTTAACGAATTCTCGCTAGTAGGAAAGTACTAGCACAGATTGTCTATCAACTTTCTCGATACTAAGGGTGAAATGCTAATATAGTGACTTAGTATAGGGCCTGTCTTTCTATCCGTTTGTTCAAAACCCATACTTACCTTGTAACAGGCCGCCATAACTCTGGCCTCTAGTTCCTCATCCTCTTTGTCTGTGCCCTGTTCTCTTGACACCTTTCGCCGACACGTCGACTCATGGACCTCTCCTGTTCTTGCAGATGTGAAACAGTACAAAAGAATCGCCGCACTTAGTTGCACTCTTGTTCTATCAGGGATCTCACCGCGAAACTCGTGAAAGTCCCTACACCAGAGCTGAGTCATAAGCACAGTAAGGTCATTTGGCGATAGCCTATCTTTATCTATTTCGTCCGTTGAAAGGGAAATCTTCTCTTTAAGCCCTTGAATAATCCACTAAACAGGTCGATTAGCATACCGATCAACTCAAAAACAGGTAAAGACGTCGTACCTCTCTCAGTGTTATAGACACCTCTTTCGGGAAGTTGTATTTTCTCCTAAGGGACATGCCTGCCTCAAAATCTCTGCGAAAGGCCTCAACCGTTCCAATTGTAGGCCTCTCTTTGATCCGACCTTTCATCCCGCGCGCTGCAAACTCTACAAAGGCCTTATAGGTCTTGATGTCTGGAGGGTCTTTAGCTTGGGGATGTAGCGAAATAAATCTGAAATGGACAGAAAATTGAGTAAGTCAATATAGCTCCGAAGGAAACGATGCTAGTAGTACTAACTTGTCAAAAATGTCAAGTGTACGGTCATACTGGTCTCCGGTACGAGGGAGGATAGCTCGAGCGATTTCTGAGTTATCATGCTCACCAAAATCAATAAGATGAGAAAATCTCGATAATGGGTCTTTTGATTTCATTTTTGACATTACGAGATGGAGGGAGGAGTAGGGGAATATAATATAGGATAGTGGCCACCCAGCGGCGGTTTTATCTTTGCGGGATCGCTAAGACTTTCCTGCACCATAAGGGGCAAATGCACCTGTTCAACTACGAGGTTCAGCCTTCAGGCAGTCATGGGTGAAGACTATTCAGGGTCCTGAATTGCCGCCTGAATCCGCCTGAAGAGCGGCGGGATCGCCCATGCCCGATTGGGCGACCCTGGGTGACCACCATCATACTTGTGCTGTTGTATGTTTTTCTTTTTTGTCGATTGGCTTGTTGATTATTAGTTAGACGCTTCTGTAAATTTTCTTTGTTCCTCGCGATCTTTCGTAGTTCTCCTCCCCCAGTGTCGCTCGATAAAGTTCAGCTTTTCTGCAAATAATACGCTTTACGACCAATATTAGTACATTGATTCACTTATTCTAGGTTAAGTAATATATCTTCACATACTCGTCCCGTCGGCTAGAGTTTGTCGATACTTCTTACGTCTATGGCCCTTAGCAAGCTCCTTTTTATAAATATATGAATTGATTCCGAGGCCCAGGCACATCCACAAAAAGGGAAAATAAAGAGAGAACCGAGAAACCATATTGATTAACCATAGCCCTCATCGCTTGTTAATATCGATGCAACTATCCCTACTAGAGCACAGATCACCTCCAAAGTGGGCCCTTCCCTCTACATCCGCTTGCACATCAAGCGCACCTGATCTGCATCTCTCATCCGAAGCAGCAGCTGCAGATCCACATCCCTCGTGGTGGCTAAGATCCTCTCGCGCGTCTGTTCAGGCGTTTCACCGGCGTTCTGGATAGCGCAAATCCGGTGATCATGAAACAGATTCGCCATTACTGCGACAAACTCCACCTGCGAGAACTTATTGCCCGGACAGTTCTGTGGGCCTTCTGACCAGGGGAAATACGTACAACGGGGCGGAGTGACGATTTCCTCGTATTCATCGTAGTCGCTGCGTCTACCTCTTTAGATATTGTTACCCACCGCGAGGGCTTCCAGGCTAGCGGGTCCTCCCAATGTTGAGGATGAATGTGCATGGTGAGGATGCTTGGGTTAATCCCTACGCTTGGAGGAATTATCACGGTTTTCTCACCTACCCTTAGCGCTTGAAGCTGATCACTAGTCCATTTCGGTAGAGACGGTATAGGAGGGAAATGACGGAGAGTTTTAAGCTACGAAGATCAGAATTATAGGTATGAAAAGGAGATGGGGTTTGACGTACCATAACAGCTTTGCAGCGGGTAAGTCTGGGGAAGAGCTCGGCATAGCGGCCTTTTGTGACGGTGATTGACTGTAGTTCATCAGACATCCAGTTCTGAACCTCTGGATGTGCCGCCAAAAGAAGCAAAGCAAAACTTAGGGTATTGGCAGTGGTGTCGTGACCGGCGAAGTTGATGATGAAAAATGTTCCCAAAGATCTCGTTGACGGTAAGTCCTTTTCGCGGCGATTTGTCTGTTGCTTTCATCGTGTCTTCCTTTTGTCTAAGATCCATTGCGTGCACAAAAGATGTCATGAGACCGCCAGAGCCGGTCTTTCCCTCGTTCAATGCCTTGGTCTCCTCGTTTAGCATACGGACCATGTAATGTTTGAAATCATCGGCAGCCTTTGCAAGAATATGCCAGCGCTTAGGAGCAAACGAGAGAGTCAGCATTTTCCGTGGCGCTATCATCAATAAGATACAATTGTCGAGCACAGTCTGTAGGGCATCACGGTAGTTTGCCGTCTCTTGGTTTTTCTCCTCTTGACGGCCATTGGCGCTACGAAACGGATATGACTTGCGAAATCCCGTGGCAGCAAGAACATTCAGCGAGAGTGTGCGAGTATCTTTCGCAATGCTAGGGATCTGATTGATGTCTGGGGCAGCCCAGATATCGAGCATCTGGCTACTTTGCTCGAGACTTTCATCCCACACAAAGGACATGATATTTTCGTTAAAAGGAGTGGCCAGCACTTTCCGATGACGCGGCCAGTCCGTCCAGCTAGCTGTGGAGATACAAGGCCCGTACACCTCAAGCACCTCTACGACAAAGCATACAAGTTAGCCGCATGATCGTCTGGATGAATAACGGCGTTGACGGACTTACTGTACATTTTACTAGGGCGGATGAAATCCGTCCGACGCTGAAAAATGTCATGGATAGCTTCAGAATCGGCGATGTTGATGTATACGTCAACCGGCGTTACTATAGCCCACATAGGGCCGTAACGTCGATGTGACTCGCCTCTGTCGGAGAAGTACCATCCGCGACGAGAATAACGTCCAAAGGTGCCCCAGTCAACTGGCAGATGGTCGAACACCGGCCAGAGATGAGGCTCGATGATCATCCAAGCAATATTTGGGGATCGATAGGCAGACGCACTAATGGAATCCCCATCGAGGACGCGCGACGATAATTGAGCTCCATGGCCACTAAGCTCCAGACCAGGTAGGTGAGGGCCAGGAGGCCCAGAATTTGCAGGAATATGACAATGGGAATGGACGTTTGCCGAATTGGAATCTTTAACGCGTGAAGGGACAGATGGCTGTGGGAAGGAAAGGGTCTACAGCAGCCAGGAAGCGTGCAGCTGTTCAAGAATGTGTCAAATCAGGCACGTACGACGTCCCAACATGGAAGTTCAAATCCTGAATGAACAAATCTCTTCTTCTCTGGTTCTGTAAATGACAAGAAGGAGGGACCATTTTAGTTAACTTAACTAACTAACGTAAACCACGGGCGAGTGGCCCACCTGCCCCCAAATCGCGTCTCCGACGCGTTCCTACTCTCCTCAACCATCCACCATGCCACCAAAACGCAGTATATCGGGCCCTAATTCTTCTAATCAGGAAGGAAGGGTCCTACTCGCAATACAAGCATACAAGAACAACGAAATTGTCAATATTCGTGAAGCGGCACGTCGATTTGGTATTCCCAGAACCACCCTCCGGAACAGGCTCGCGGGCCAGACCTATCGTCCTACTACACGCGCAAATAACACAAAATTGACCCAATTAGAAGAGGAATCGTTAAAGAAATGGCTTCTTTCTATGGACGACCGAGGAATTGCTGCCGATCACGCCCTAATACGAGAAATGGCAAATATTCTACTTGCGAAGCGCGGCGAGGACCCTATCCAAACAGTCGGAGTTAATTGGTCAGGGACTTTTATGAAACGCCACGACGACCTTACAATGCGCTTTAGTAGGGGCTATGACTATAAGCGCGCTCAATGTGAAGATCCAGTGGTTATTCGGGATTGGTTTACTACTGTCCGACGCACTATTGAGCAATATGGTATTCTGCCTATGGACATCTATAATTTTGACGAAACGGGCTTCGCAATGGGTATTACAAGCACCTCAAAGGTTGTTACACGCAGGGAATACTATGGTAGGCGCAAGTTAGTACGCCCTGGTAATCGCGAATGGGTCACTGCTATTGAAACAGTCAATGCAAGTGGATGGGCGCTTCCGCCTACTATCATCTTCAAAGGCAAGCGATATAATCAGCCTTGGTTCGTGGATCTTCCGTCCGATTGGCGCCTCGAAACGAGCGACAATGGATGGACTACTGATGAAATTGGTCTACGATGGTTAAAACACCATTTTATTCCATTGACTACACAGCGCACGCAGGGGGTATGGCGTCTATTAATATTAGACGGCCATGGAAGCCATATGACCGCAGCATTTGATGATTTATGTATAGAAAACAATATTGTTTCTATATGTATGCCACCGCATTCCTCACATCTATTACAACCTCTCGATGTGGGCTGCTTTGCTGTTATTAAGCGATCATATGGTCAGCTTATCCAGGACTGGATTCGCTGGGGCCGGAACCATATTGATAAGCTTGATTTCCTTACTACATATCCACGTGCCCGAGATGAAGCATATCAAGGCATTACTATACGAAATAGCTTTGCCGCTGCTGGCCTCGTTCCGCTAGATGCGCAGCGTGTGCTAGACAAGCTAAATATTTTGCTTGCCGATATATATACACCATCACCACCAGGGACTAGTGGGAGCGACAGTAGCAGTTTTGTCCCCCATACACCTCATCATACAAAGGACCTAAGTCGTCAGGCACATTCAATCAATAAGCTCCTTCGCCAGCGTATGCATTCACCGCCTAGTCCTATTGTACAGGCTTTCGCGCAATTAGTCAAAGGATACGAAAGAGAGATGCATAAGAGTGCTATATCGGCACGCGAGATTGAGAAACTACGCTCCCAGGTCAACCAAACGAAACAAAAGCAGGCAAAACCTAGCAAATGGATGGATAGTGAAGTAGGAATGACAGGCGAGGACAATGTACAGCGAATGTTGGATGATCAATTAGTCGTTGAAGTGGAAAACACTGCCGAAGCAGGTCCTTCGTCGGCAGCGGAACCAACCAAGCAGCGTGCGCCACCGCGGTGTTCAAATTGCTGGCAAATAGGGCATAGGAGGACTAAATGCCCTGATTAGTATGCGGGTATTTCATATGTAAAATAGGCGTTGGTAATTGACTTATATTGAATTAAATGCGTACGGTTGCGAGTGGGTGGGCCACTCGCCCGTGGTTTACGTTAATACACAAATCAATTAGATAAGCCAAACCGGCCCCAGTAATTAAGGGGCCGAATTTGGTATGGTAGCCTCATGTCTGACAGAATGTAAATATTCAGGCTTATGACAATGGAGATATCTCGTCTTAGCCTAAGTCCCATCCAACACCGCCCGGCGCCTTGGATCCCACATGAACCAAGAACCCCAGCCGTGGACAACAATTACAGCCACAAAGCATTGACGCGCGTCAGGATCGACCCTTCAATCTGGTAAGACATGAACATAGCTACTCGTTATTTCAGCCAATGCCATCTCATACCCACTCACGCTCCCTTCGTGATAGCTTGAAATACAGTGGTAAGACGTGATTTTTCAAACTCATGAGGGTTTTGGTACAGGCTGTGACCGGATGTCAGATCAAGAAAGAAAATCAATAAAGAATTCAATTTGAGTACGTAGTCGACGGGAGATCCAAGTTGAGAAAGGAAAGAAGAGACAGAGGAAGAGTCTCTATTTATCTACAACAGTCCATGTCCTTTCTCAACTGTCAAACGCAATCCTCAAACGTAGTCCTCAAACGCAGTCCTCAACCTTGCATCATGTCGGAGTTACCAGGGTCATGGAAGTCTGCATTGTGGATGCCAGCATGACGGGTTCCTGAGACAGATGCCAACGGGTTCCCGAGACAGCGGTCCCGTCATACGCGGTTCCGTATGCGTAGTTCCGTTACGACTGGTCACACAGGCAAGGTTCAACGGTGTGGTAGACAAGCTTGATTTTGTAAACAAAACACCTAAAATTATAGTCAATATATGATCTTGATTTTATTAGCTGAGCAGAAATGTGCCATACCGGTCACAGCACTAGTTAGAACTTCTCCCAGTTTGCGAGCTTTTGTCGGCCCGAATGTAAATCTAAAATGCGTGATCTCCGTCAGCAATGGTGATTCTCATTGGTCTAATTACTCCAAGTCTGCCGCTACTCCTCTCAGTGGGACTTGGATTGTTTCTCGCACGAAGTTGTTCCTTGGGAAGTCATGAACGGGACTTACGGTATTTGTATTAAAGTTTAGACCTATCAGTGGAACTCGTCGAACCTCTGGGTTTACGCGGAGACTAATCTGCACTGATACAACAACTAACTAGTTAGCGGGGCTTGAGCAGAGGAATGTCTGCCCAGGCACGACAAAAGTGGATTAGCTATAACAGCCACCATTCAAATGTATCCTGCAGGCTATGAGCTCCTCGAATCAGGAATTAACAAGAGACTAGGAAGATTTTAACAGCTTCGGGCCCGGGCTGATCTTTCTCGTGACTCGGGGATGGCCCGCATTTCCCGACGGCCTAGACGGCGAAATGCCGGCAATCAGCTTTCCCCACAGTCTAACTATTTATTTTGCGGAGACCTTGCAGTAATTCCCCCAGCTTCCCCAGACAAAGCAGTTCATATTTATACCGATGCAGCACCCCTCAGGAAGTCGATCATTAAATATACACTCTTGGCCCAAGATCTATTAATCAAATCAGGACCAGAATCATGTCTGGTCATCCAACTGATGAGAAATCAACCCAGGAATGGGAGGAGGGCATTGATCAAGCCATAGGGATGTCTCTGGCAGCAGCCTATGTCCCTGGCTGTGACGCTGAGAAAAAATTACTTCGAAAACTAGACTTCCGCATTATCGTACGATACCATTACGTCTCTGAGAGTATCAGGAGGGACATGTTACTAACCATCTCAAACGTTTAGCCATGCTGCTGGATACTCTTTGTGATGGGCTACCTCGATCGCGCCAACATTGGGTTCGTGATATTTTCAAATGTCATAAAATATGTTTTTGTGATACACAGCTGACCTGAACTTCTTCTACCACAGAAACGCAAAGACTGGAGGCCTTGCTGATGATTTCAACCTAACATCCAATCAATACTCAGTCATTCTGTTGTTGTTCTTCGTCTCTTATGTCATCTTCGAGATTCCATCAAATATGGTCATTGCCCGAGTGCGGCCATCCCTGTATCTTTGTGGTCTAGCTTTGGTATGGGGGGTGGTCGCTAGTTTCATGTCTCTGACAAAGAATTGGCAGCAACTCGCTGGGGTCCGCTTTGTCCTTGGGTTTGTTGAATCAGGCTTTGCCCCAGGTATTGCATTCTATCTCTCATCATGGTATGTCTTGCATTCCCAACTTCTAGACTTACTTCAGCATGAAATCTCATCTTCCTAGGTACCGTCGATATGAGCTTGCCAGTAGATTTGCGGTTTACTATACTGCCGTTCCAATTGCAGGAGCGCTTTCGGGACTACTGGCTGGCGTCATCACCGAATATCTTGATGGGGCGCGTGGAATAGCTGGATGGAGATGGCTATTTGTATGGATTAATTCCCCCCAATTGATTGGGTACCGCTAATAATCCACTGGGTATCTAGATTATTGAAGGCTGTGGTTCAACTTTTGTTGGTTGTGTACTCTGGTTCTTCATGGCTGACTACCCTTCAAGCACTCGTTGGCTTACTCCTGAAGAGCAGCTCCTCGCTGCACAACGTCTTGCCTATGATGGTCTGGGTAACGCCCAAAGTGCCCATGGAAGAATCACCGAGAAGGAAGCTCTTAAGATGGTAGTGACAGATTGGAGAACCTGGATACTCGCTCTCCTTTATGCCCTTGTGACAGGGGCGCAAACTATCCAGTATTTCATCCCAACATTGGTGGAATCTTTTGGCTGGAAGGACTGGGAAGGGCAATGTAAGTTCCTTTATGTGCTTTCCTGGTCGGTATTTAATGCTAAATATTCAGACCATACAATTCCACCTTATGCTTGCGCTGTCGTCTCCATTTTGGTCATGTCATTCACCGCTGACCATTTCAAAAACAAATCCTACTTTGTCTCTCTCTTTTCCGGCATTGGGACTGTGTTTTTCATCATCGTCTGTGCGAACACTAACAACACCGTGCGCTGTAAGTCTCCTTATATTTCTCGGGACTTCAGGTATTGGAGAGAGTACTAAGCCAATCGAATCAGACATTTTTAATACCTTTGCTTTTGGGTGCATCTATGGAACTTCTCCATTGGTGCTTATGTGGGTAGCCAATACCATCTGCTACCCTGCTGAAAAGAGAGCTGTTGCCATTGGGCTTGTGAATGCTCTCGGGAATACAGCTTCTATTTATGGTGTGTTCTTGTGGCCAGATAAGGATGCCCCTCGTTATATCCCTGGGTTCAGGTATGTAGACTTTGGGTTCTAGTCTCATTTTAGTGAAACTAACCTATTGGTAGTGCGACTACCATCTGGATGGGTGGTATCTGTATCATTGCCCTAGTTGCAGGTTATTTCTTTAAGAAGCACCCCATTGAAGCGCCGGAACCGGAGGACGTGATAGCAGCGGAAATTCGCAGACAGCGGGAACGAGGACAGATTGCTGCCAAGGCATGATTGGGAGATTTTCAAAGGCGGGAATAAGCAGGTCTCATCTACTTGCAGTCTGCACGGTGTTAATGTCTTCCGGTAGGGAAGAACTGCATATTTAATGACAGCACACCGCAATAATACTACCACTGAGATGAAGCGGCTCGACAGAGTAGAAACTAGGAGATTATCAGTATCTCGTACGCTCGGAACAATGGGCCTATGTGAAAGTAAAGTGATAGTCGTATCTATAAGAAGTTTGCAAACAGTTTCTGGACTGCCAAGACGTAATGAACTGCTGTCTGTACCATCGAGACGGATGTGACGAACGATGAAGATAGTTAAATTGCATCGTGAGCATTAGCTGGATATTCAGAGTTGACATCTTCTATACGATGACCGCACGGTTCCCTGACGGACCCCAAGTCTCAGCTATTCAGCTGATAGAAAGCTTAATTCCGTAGGTTCAGAATGTGGGGTTTGTATCATTGCCCTTGTCCAATTAATTCACACAGGAATCTTTCCGAGACACCCTTGCCGGGATGACAAATTATCGTGTCTCACAGGGTTGGTAGTTCTAACCCTTCTTTTCTCACCTTCGAACTGCCTTTCCCATCCTTTGCCACTTGTCTAAATCCATTCGATTTCATCTCTTTTCCGCCTTCTCACACATCGTACAATTCTATTCAAATGACAATTCTTATCCTAACAAATACTGCAGAACTCTGCTCGTTGAGCTACAAACTTCCTGCACAGCGACACGTGATCACTGTCCATCTGCCTGGTTCGCCGATGGTTTCAACGATGGTGTCATCCGAGTCTACACATCAAATAATGCAGGTACCTGTTGGCTCGAGATGGTCACCTGGTGCGCACTGGCATGAAACTCATGTTGAGTATATCAAGATACTGCAAGGCAGAGCAAATGTTTGGATAAATGGAAATCTCCGCTTGTTACGACCTGGCGATAAGGCCACATTCAAGCTCTTCGATGTGCATGATTTCTGCAGGGCTGATATGGATGCTGGGGACGAACTTCTCATTGAAGAATGGACAGACAACGGCATGAACCCTCTTATACTAAATCTCCTAAGAAACAACTAACCTGTTTGCTCCTCTAAAGAAGATAGCAGCAAAATAGTCTTTTTTCGCAATGCCTTTTCAATAGTTGGAGATGCAGAGATCTTTGGAGGCCTTCCGTGGGCCGTTCTGCGATTCTTTTATCTATGCGCTTACCGAGATAACTTTATCGCTTTTTGCCCACCTAGCACGCCCCGATGGATGCAAAAGACCTTGACGAGGACAGTCTTTGGAATTGTGAAGGTGATTGGGAGGTTGGCAGGCTGGGGAACTTGGTACACGGAGTACACGCCGAAGAACCTGTGGCCACAGGACAAGAAGAACGATTAATGAAGCTAGTGATCCTTCAATATCTTACTTGGTCATTTCTGGAGACTCATCTGCACTGACTCTTGATATGTATAAAGGGTGAATCTCCCCCGGTTTCTCATCCCCTATTGCGCACTCACCTTCAATACCTATTTATACAGGCTAGCTATATCTCACATATCATTATAGTTAGCTCCGAAACTGATACATACGACCACAGGGTGTGGAGAACAGGGCTTCCCGTCCGCTCAGCCGTACTTAAGCCACACGCCGGCCAGTTAGTAGTTGGGTGGGTGACCACCAGCGAATCCTGGCTGTTGTATGTTTTTCTTTTTTGTCGATTGGCTTTTTGAATTTCAAGTGCTTTATTTATAGTTAGTTTAGTTTGTCTGCTTAAACTGGCTACCATTGTTGTATCTCACACCCGGACCAATCGGCCAAACCTCATTTTCTGTTCTCCCATGTGGGGCACGCTAGAGACCTACCGACATCCTCTTTGCCGGGTAAGGACAGCCTGCCCTTAATGATCATCATCATCGCCGAAATTCCACTTGACCAAGTCCAAACAGTACCGCATGGTGCAGCGAGTGAGAGCGCCTTACGAATCGAAGATTTCAACTATTTAGCCATGAAATCGAGCAAATCCCGGCGTCGCGTCCCAGACCAGTTGAGGAAACGCGCGGCAATTAGCTGTGACCTCTGTAAGGTTCGGCGGCGGAAATGTGTCCGGAGTACAGCAGAGCAGAGCTCTTGCAAGCTGTGCCTCGAGCATAATGTCGAGTGCACTTCTACGATACCCCGCAAACCTCGCATCCATGTTCCAGGACCCGAAGACAACTCACAAACGTCACACCTCCGGGCACTAGAGGATCTAGTCAACAATTTATTCCCAGAAGTCAATACGAACAATACAGACGAGATTATTCAGCTGTCCCAAGCAATCGAACATGGCAACAGACTAATCTCTCACTGCCAGTCTGATTCGCGACGAGGAGTCCTTGAAGCTGAAAATGCCTCGAATATAAATACCGAAGTCCGCAGTAATACTGCCGAGCTGCAAAATTCCATCACTCACCAAGGAAGCCAGTCTACATCGACAGTGGAACAGACACAAACCTCATCTATTACGAGTTTCTATGAGCGCATGCTGCAGAGCCCTTCCGGAACCCTTTCATATTTCGGATCATCCAGCTCAATGGCATATGTCCGCAAAATGCGGGAATTGTTAGCAGCAGAGGCAGATGGGAGACCTGGTGTGGGTTCAAATGAAAGCCTTCGCCACACCTTCATCAGAGATCAATATGCTCGAACCATGGGGGAGGATCAAGGCGCTGTCCCGGAATTGCCTGCAATAGATTACGTCCAACTTGAAAGTCAGAGACCGTCCGAGCAGGGTGCTGTTCGGCTCCTTAAGCTACTGCAAGCCCTTCCCTCAAAGAAGGAAACTGATGACCTTGTGGAATTATTTTTTACCCAAGTGCACATTAATATTGCACTATTCCACCGACCGTCGTTTCAGGCTATTTTGGATCGAATTCGATCCCCCGAAACCCAAACAATCGATGTCGGATGGGCTGTATGTTTTAGGCTGGCCATCGCGTTTGGCTGTGAGTGGCGCCTGTCCACTTTGAGCCAAAGGGACAACTCGGAGTGGGAGAGATTGACCTCGATGAAGAGACAACTCGTGAATGATTCTTTCTTGGAGATATCCCATCTCATGCTTTCTGGCACTCTTCAGGCTGTCACCGCGTTCGCCCTTTTCTCCGTCTACATGAATTTTGCCAACGAGAGGAACGCATCTTGGGTTCTAAGTGGCTGCGCTGTGAGAATGGCTATTGGTTTAGGGCTCCATCGAGGCAATAAAGTGGTGCACCGTTCAGATATCTATTTTCTCCCTCTCGAGAAAGAGCTACGCAAACAGATATGGTGTTCTCTCTACATATTTGAGCAGTACGCCAGTGCTTTCCTCGGGCGGCCTAGTGCCTTGGAAGATGTGGAGATCATCGTCGACCTACCCAATGAGTCTATTTTGGATCAAGGATTCTATTGGCCACCAGGATACCTTCAGCATGATGTCACATTGGCACGCATAGTTGGCAAAATTCGCGAGGCCCAGATGGACCAAAGTTTGAGTCTATCGAATGATTTGCAAGGTCTGCCCAATATAAGAACATGCCATCAACTGCTCCATGACCTCGACAATTGGAAGGAAAATTTGCCCGCATTTCTTGACTTTGACGAAAGAAAGTTGGATCATGCCTATCCGAGCCATATGCGACAAATCCTCATGATACATGTGCGGTATCAATATGCAAGAATCATGCTTACCAGGCCGTTTCTTCTCAGGGCCCTGTACATTTCCCATGGTCTAAATGCTAGTATCACGGCCAATGCCGAGATCTTGAATTACAAGGACGTTTGCTTCCAAGGGGCTCTAGATTGTTGGAAACTCATCCACTGTCTCTGGAAGAGGGGCCGCTACAACGCTAACCTCTGGCTTGACGGGGTGTTTGCATATCAATGCAATTTGATTCTCTCTCTATATCTGCTGGATACTTCAAAAACATCGGATCCTTCGCAACTGCGAGAGATCCACGAGATGGTTAAGCAGATCCAGGACATATTGCACAAAGGACCTGGCAATAGGACGATGAGGCGGTTGATACAAATATCGCGAGACTTCTCAGAGATCGTTTCCCCTTCTTCAACCAGCCCTGCGCTAAGAGAAAACATAAACACATCCAAACAACTCGTGGAGTCAGGGCCACGCCATTCTCAGTTTCCAAGCAACCTAAATGCTTATCTGGATGCCTTCTCACGCATCCCGCAAATGTTAGACTTAAACCCTTCTGCGTTCAACAACTGGGAGAGCACTATGGGTTCAAATCTGTTTCATGGAGATTTCATGGGCGAAAGCTTTATGTTTGACCCATTGGCTGACCTTGACTTTGGGCCGCCGATGGAATCGGAAAATCCTTGACTTTATCTGGGCAGGAATGTCAGGACGCTCCCGGGGTCTTTTATGAGATCCAAAAAGCAACTACAAACACTACGAACAAAACAGAAAAGTGCCGGGGAGCTTATACATGTTCAGGACCTGTTACTATGATATATGCTATAGCTTAAGGAATATCATGAATTTGCATACAGTTGGAGGAAATCTAACATCTAATTTTCAGAAAAACTTATTGGGGGTATGCGCTCTCACAGGAGAGATTGCTCTTTGGATCCCAAAAATTCCAACATGATTTTGTTGAAGCCACTAGAGTCGTGATAGGGAGGGATATGGCCGACATTTTCCATCAGGATATATTTGGCGCCGGGGATTGCATTTGCAACATTGACCAGGATTTCACGGGGCCCGATTGCTGTATCATTTGCTCCAGCAAGTACTAGAACTTGCTCCTTCTCGATTCGCTTCAGTTCGGCGAAGTAGTCATAATTCATGACCGCGATAGCACAGGCTCGATAACCCTCAAATGTGCATGCTCGGGTTTGTTCCAGCATTCCGGAGCGGACTTCTTCACGGCACGGTTCAGGAAACCATCGTTCGACTGTGGCTTTTGCCAGATTTTCCACGCCTTCATTCTGAAACTGAGAAATTCGTGCCTTCCATAGAGGCTTTGCTACCTCCAAACTCGTCAACCCTGGTGCGTCACACGACATAACCTTATTCAAGGTTCCGGGGTACATTTGTGCGTAGCGAATTGCGAGTACTCCACCAACGCTGCAGCCGACGAATCCAAAGGGGGCCTGCCCTGGCGCTACTCGTTGGACAAGCTCATGAATGTGTCTGACGACATCGTCGAAATGGTATTCTCGTGTCGCGGCCTCCGAGGTAGAGAAAGTCGTCTTGTTATGTCCGATATGGTCGAATCGCAAGGTGCTAAAGCCAGCCTTGTGAAGGTCACCGACAGTTGAATCCCACATGTGGTGATTTGCCATCAGTGCATGACAAAGAATGACCAATGGTCTGTCTTTTGCGCCTTCATGGAGCACATAATAGTTGATTGAGTCCAAGGTTATGAGTTTGCTTTCCATAGTGAATTGGTCCGGCTTGTAGTTCAGTGTCTTAAGAGTCCCAAGTAATTATTATGAGGGGAAAGTCGCGTACGTATTGCTTTCCAGGGGAAAGAAATGGCCGAAAAAATAATCAAAGTTCCCCGCATCCAAAATTGCAATGATTCCTTCCCCCACAATTGCGCTCGGCTTTCCTAAAAGCGGGGCATGAGTGGTGGACCAGATGGCAAAGCGGAAAGCTGCCTGCAAATATCCGCCGCAGATTCGACAGCAAGTATCCGCTCTCCACCATCCGCCGCCGGCGGTCATCGCTTGTGACCAACGAACAAATCTACAATACAAGAGAGAAGTGATCCACTTCCGTAACGAAGTTTGAGTCCAACCAACCATTACCATAAAGAGAACCAGGACTCGGTTTTCAGCGGTAACATGAAAAGTTAACATGAGGGAGTACCAAAATTAGTATAGAGGTCAGCTTTGTTTCTCGTATCATTTTCAATTTCAACCAATTAAGTACCCAGGCATCATTCATCTCTTAATAACCTAGACATTCCTGACACTTCGAAAAAGTTGTGGATTTGTCTGACCTTCATCCCAAATATTCTACGCTGCACCACATATTGTGGTGTTTCTGCCAGTATCGATGCTATGAAGACAGTCGCGAAGGTCTCCATGAAATGGCTGAAAAGGCCGACATGCCCAGGGAATTGGGGGAAGAGCGTGTTATGAGCATATTTAGGCAAGTGTAGGAACTTGATGAAGATAAAAACACGTTGACGCGGATCAGATTGCCTGAAATCTCTCCCTTATTCTTCTTGTTTGACCATTTCTCGCGATTGAGTGGTCCGAGGAATGAAAGAGCATATCCAAACAGCAAAAGATGTCTGATAGAGGTACTTTAAAGGTGTATAATCATTGCTTCACATCCTGCCCTCAGCTCAAAACAGATCCAATTCCTATCTCTGCTGCGATCTATTCCTTCCAGCCTTTTAGATTTGTAGGATTGCTCGTCTTTATAGCTTACTGGTAGTTATACTAATACTGTTTTGTTATCGAGGGAATTCAGAGGACCAAACAGGAGTTGAGAAAAATGTGTTAGGGTTTAGAATTTAGTGATGCAATGAAAAACAGGATTGTTCCTCAAGCAGACTATCGTCATCTTCTAAGGAAGTATAAAGAATAATACATGTTGGGCTTACTGGAATAGTCCTTACTCGGTGATTCTCCATTAGTCGTTACTCGTAAATGCACGGTCCGTCGTGTAGAATTGGCGGCGATTCGCTGCGTTCGATCCACATAGCACGAACCAGAATGCGGATACAAGTCGTAATTTTTTGGTTCCTCGGTCGGAGCGACCTTTCCCAAGTTTGACCGGGTAATCAGTTAGTTTACAGAGTTGCTCTAACTTGTCATAGGCGATTCGCCCACTTCCCCTCCCCAAACCAGATTGCACCACGTAGACAATTGAGGTAGAAATTTTGCATCGCACTAAGCTTCTCCCTTGCGGTGAATCGAATCTCAAACAATATATATTCCAAAGGGACACGTGCGGAGCTCAACTGATAAAACCCAACCCTCCTCGACAACTCCAAACACCTTCTGAAGCTTACATACAACAGCGACAGACTGAGCTGTTCTAAACCCTCAACTTGAACAGCATGAAAGAACTTAATGTCATTGTGGTGGGAGGAGGCATTGGTGGACTTCAAACCGCGCTGGCTTTGGGCTCGGATGGACACAAAGTTACTGTGCTTGAATCTGTCAAGAAGTTCCTGGAGGTAAGAGCCACTTCGATATGTCGTATTTTGCTTGCTAAAAAGATGTGTAAAGGTCGGTGCTGGAATTCGTGTACCGCCCAACTCCTCGCGTTTGAGTCTTAGCTGGGGTGTTGATTTCAGCAAAGTCAAAAAAGAAATTTCTCTCGGCAATCGCTTTGTTGACTGGAAAGGAAATATCCTCGCCGACTGCCCCTTCAGCGATGTCAAGGACAAGTACGGATCGCCGTACTACTTCCTTCACCGTGCAGATCTGATCAAGGTGCTGGTCGACGCCGTTTCGGAACACAAAAACGTCACGTTGATGATGGACTCCCGGGTAGAAACCTACGACTTCGATGCACCTGCAGTGGTCTTAGCCTCTGGAAAGCGCATGGAGGCGGACCTTGTGATCTGCGCTGATGGAATCAAATCTGCAGTCAGAAATATCATAAACGGGAAGCCTTTGGAACCTCAAGACACTGGCGACGTGGCGTACCGAGTCCTTGTACCCGTGGGGCCGCTTTTGGCGGACCCTGCAACAAGGCACCTGGTGGAGCAGGCCTGGGCAGTTCATTGGATGGGCCCTGAAGCACATGCCGTTGGTTATCCGTTGCGAGGAGGAGAGCTGTACAACATTATTATCGACATAACGCATGCGACTGACGTGGGAAAGCCCGTAGGGGAAGATGAGTGGCGCTCTCAGGCTGATAATTCTGAGCTTGTTCGACGCTTTGCAGGATGGTGTGAGCCCGTACGAAAGCTGTGCAGCATGGCAAGCACATACCTCAAGTGGAAACTCGCTGATTTTGATCAACTGGAACGATGGGTTCATCCTAGTGGAAAGGTTGCGATCCTAGGTGATGCGTGCCATCCTATGATGCCTTACATGGCTCAAGGAGCTGCCCAAGCAACGGAGGATGCTGCAACACTGCAAGCAGCACTTCGGGAATGTGACGATATTCATCAAGCACTGAAAATGTACGAGCTTCAAAGACTGCCGAGAGCAGCATATGTTGCTAAGAATACGCGCATTTTGCAAGAGTGGCTCCACCTATATGATGGACCTGAGCGAGAGCGCCGTGATTCGTTGATGAAAGAGGATAAAGCAACGAATCCTGTATTCTGGGCATTTACAGCGCGGAAGGATTGGCTCTTTGGACATGATGCCCGAAAGTTGGAGGTAGGCAAAGAATCTAGCTTTCCGGAGCTAGCAGGTCTTCCCGCCAAGGTAGCAAGGATCTATGATGGCGCGATTCCGGATACAGAGCTTCGAAGAAAATTAAGAAGCATGAAGAACCACCGTAGCAATCTTAATGGGCTTCTATAAGCTTTCATGTGCTGCTTGAAAGAGCTCTGCGCATCACTTATTTTCACTTATTTCATATGTGTATGTTTGTTCTCAATGGCTCCTTTTTAACAAAAATCCCAGGTCGGCCTGATCAAACTGTCATATAGACTTTTCGGTTGCAGGAAATAGTGAATACGAACAAATGATGCGTTGTCAAAATCTTTGAGGCTGTTGTTGGCTACTTCCACTACAAAACCTCACCCTACCACTAAATATAAACCTGTGGACACTATACAAGAGCCATATGTTTGAATGGAGGATATGGAACAGATAGAAGAATCGGGTACATTGAGATGTATAGAAGGGAAACATAAGAGATGGCCTGGGCCAGCTATATAGACAAACAGGAGCTGACGGGGCTGATAAAGTTGATAAACATCGGGTAAAACATCTCATATTAAGCTCAGTTTGGTGGAAGCAGACGGTGATTTAGTTGTATTCGCAGTCAGATTGGAAATCAGACCAGATATGGTGGCCGTACCCTGGCCTGGACACACACGAATGCTCACTATTAAGCGGAGAGAGAGTATCGTTACACCGAGAAAACATATTTGTATTAGAATTCATAAAATTCTTTAAAAATCATATTCAACAAGCGAGTTTTCAAAGTGCCTTTGTTCATGCGGCTACGCGTAACCGCCCACATCTAGTACCGCTCATTAAATCCTGTAACTAGCGGAAGAACGGCAATGGTTTCTGCGCTAGCCTAATCATGATTTCCCCGCAAAGGATTTACCCCTGCGTGCCCAATAGCATGTACTAATCATTGTAGAATGCCGGAATTGATCCCACGATCAATATGCTTAGGGATGCTCCGCCTAAAGATGCACCGGCAAGAAGTTGCTTATGAGTACTTTTCCGGGATCTATATAGTTGCCCCAAGTATACCGTTGTTCTTCTACTCCCACAAATTCAAATCTGTCATCGCTGCTTCTGTTACTCATTCAAAAGCCCCGTTTTTCTAGAATCTATCGATTGTGGATCTTGTTAATTTGCGTTTGGAACTATGTCAATGATAGCTGGTGAAGCTGGAACACTCGCCGACCCCGTTGCGAAGGGTATTTGGGCGACAGCCAAACAGTCCTGGTGTGATTTGTTTAGATGGAAACAACGAGCAGTGCTTACGAATGAAGAGGGTGAAATCCATTGCGAATGGCAGAGCCCAGCCCCGCTCAGAAACCCATTTGCGCTGGCTTCAACACTAAGTGCTAAAGGCTGGCTTTACTTTATGGTCGGACTCGCAGCATGGATGGCGGATGCCGTCGACTTTAACGGCCTTTCTATTCAGACAGTGAAATTGTCTGAATACTATAACACGTCCTATACAAATGTGACCACGGCAATCACTTTGACACTTTTGCTCAGGAGCGTAGGTGCCCTTTTCTTCGGACTTGCAGGAGATCGATTTGGTCGCAAATGGCCTATGGTTATCAACTTGCTTGTCCTAGGGGTCTTACAAATTGCTACCACTTATGCGAAGACTTTCGGGGCCTTTCTGGGAGTCCGGGCCCTTTTTGGGCTCTTTATGGGTGGTATTTATGGGAATGCTACAGCTATGGCACTTGAGAACTGCCCAACAGAGGCCCGCGGTCTTATGTCCGGTATTCTCCAACAAGGATATTCAATGGGATATGTCGTGGCAGCTAGTGTCAACCTCGGCATTGGAGGCTCCAAGGACAGCTGGAAGATTATGTTCTGGGTCGGAGCAGGTTTTTCCTTCCTTGTTGCTCTTGTGAGAATACTATTCCCCGAGTCAAGGCAATTCACGGAGGCCAAGAAAGCGAGAAACAACAAGCCCATCAGTGCACGCGCTTTTTGGGCTGAAACAAAGACGATGCTATCTAAGGAGTGGCGCATGTGGATCTATTGTATCATCCTCATGGCATGGTTCAACAGTTATGTTCACACATCGCAAGACTCCTACATTACCTTTCTGCTCACTGAGAAGGAACTCCCAAACAACTCTGCTGCTCGGGCATCTATTTTGGCGCTAACGGGCGCTTGTGTTGGTGGCACAATCATGGGATACATCTCGCAATTCTTCGGCCGGCGCCGTTCGATCATTGTCTCGGTTCTTATGTCTTGCTGCATGATCCCGGCATGGATTCTACCCAATAAATGGACCTCACTCAGTGCCACTGGATTTTTCCTGCAATTCTGGGCCCAAGCAGCCTTCGGGGTCATTCCTATTCACCTAAACGAGCTCGCTCCACCGCAATTCCGATCCAGTTTTCCCGGTTTGACTTATCAACTGGGTAACATGATTTCATCCCCATCGACTCAAATTGTCAATGCTATTTCGTCGTCTATCAAGGTCAAATCCAAGACAGGTAAGCCAGTCGATGCTTACGGGCCGACCATGGCAGTTGCAACGGCTGTCATCGCCCTTTTAATCGCCCTGACAACCGCTCTGGGTCCCGAGAGACGAGGGGCACATTTTGAGACAGCCAAAGTTGCGGGTCAGGCTGTAGATGAGCCGAGCAAAGAAATAGATGATATGGAAAGCCAGAGGGACAGTATCAAGGATGATGGCATTCGTTCTCTCAAGATGATTGACAATATCAAGTCGGATAATCATGTTTAAGCTCCCCTGGGAGTGCAGACTTGATGTGAATTGCGATGTAGCTATCCAAAAAGGATATGAAAGATCAAGACACGAAGTTGATCTTCCGAGTGTGTGCGTAATTCTGTAAAATGGAAAGAGAGGAAGTCCATGGGCGACCACCTCGATGTCAACCCGCATGTCGTCCTCGCCAAGGCGAGCTACCCCAACACACGTCCAGATAGGTCAGTGAGTGGGCATGTATGTTCAAAGTTGCGAACCATGGCAGTGAATGTCTCGTTGTTGATTGGGACATGATAGGGGTTCATTCGGAAAACCTTGCTCCCGCCTTCATCTCCCCCCCTCCCCCGGGATCCTTGAGATTATGCTCAACGTTGGCAAAGGCTTGATCAATCTATAGAGCCAGGACAGTTTCATGTCTAGCTAGTGCTGTAAAGCATGCTACATCAGGCGGAAAAGCATCCAGGGTGCGCGTTCGACACAAGTGTCAATACTGGCTTTGACCACGTCACCGATCGACCACAGAGACCCGATGGACCAATATTATCTCCATATTTCATCGAGAATCTAAAGGACAGATACATTATCAACGATTTGGATCTAGATCGTGGTTAGATCCAATGCTTTATTGAAATGTGGAAGATAATCCCTCTTGTATTGAACAGCGCTCGACAACCAGGAGACCCGGATACAAAAGCATTTATGCTCGCGCTTTCAAATATATGCGAAGGGTATTACTATCTGAGTGGATGGGCCAGTCAGCCTGCCAACTCTCAGAAAGTACTTCAGTCGAGTCATCTATCTCTTCAGCAACAGTCTGACACTATTCAAATTAAGAATGAAAAGCTTATGTGTAGTTTCAAGGATGTTCTCAAGAGTCGCGTCCCCTTCGATGCCCCTTCTGCCAATCCAATCCAACAAAAGGTGGTACAGGTACAGACATGCTGTGATTATGTCTGCTGTTTCCTTGAATGGAAGATGAAGAAGAGCCTGGTTCATATATCTCCCTGCTATTATCTCCATAATCATGGATTATAGTCTTCTTGTCTTTTTTATACATTCTGAAAGCGTTCACATCTGTCCGGGATGGTGTCTCTTGACTCTTTGATGATGCAAGTAGGCTGGGCGAACGACTCGCTGAATTGGACCATGAATTGTTTGGTCTAATGACCGTAGGATTTCGTGATAAAATCGTACTTAGGCTCACAGGATCGGTCCTCGCTTGTGTCGGTATTAGAACGCGCGAATTGACCAATTCACGGTCAGTAAATTTCCGTGCCTCAGCCATAGTCTCTTCTTGAATTTGCTGAATGATAATAACTATTGAGTTCGCGTTGAACGTCCAGTTCGGCTCATATGTGCCGTCTTTTAATTGGCTCATTCTGCTTGTCGTATTTTGTAAAGACTCAGTCTGGCGTTGAACAATTTTCTTCAAACGCTTTCTGTAACTCGTAGACGTATATTAGTCGTAGACAGAGTGTGTTTATCTACTTTAGAATACTCACATCTGGCTAAAAAGCGCTTCATAATGTTGATTTGTTGTTGATGATTGTTTCGATTCCATCAGAGAGCAATCCAATGCCAACAGAGACGTAAATACGGAAAGACTGAGCTTCACACAACCCAAAGTGGCAAGTAAAGTCTGGGTCTCGTCTCTGGTGTAATGCCACCATATCTTTGCTATTAATTTATCAAATTGACTGGAAATACTCCCTTTCATCAGAGGCTTTAGCTTCGACGTGATATGACCAATCTGCTCGTGAGCCGAAGTGGCCTGAGACTCTAGCGTTTTATCCAGCTTCTTCTCGATAGCCAACTTAATAACTCGGCCTGTCAGCGGGCGACTGACATCATTGAATATCTCAGAGAGACTTTGACAAGCGGAAACCTCGTCAATAAGCTGTCCTATCTCCTGCTCGGCGAATTCAAAGGTTTTGTATAGTCGACGAAGACCTCGAATACATGCTTCCAGCTGATTGTAAATAGCAATCGCCGAGGCCGCTCCCCCAAAGGCTTCCATGATTCTTTCTATCTCTCAATTCGATAAATAGTCGTGTGGATCTTATATACAGGAACAATGTGGACAATGAGGCTCTGTGTGCGGACTAGGTCTTGGCATACTATTGAGTCCAGTTCAAGCATCCAATCAGCTCATACCACGACGCATCAGCTCCGCAGTTGCAGAACACCAAGTCCGTGCGCGTTTATGCAACTGCATCACATTGTCAACCAACCCATACCTTGGATTAGCCGCTTTGCCCGATTTAATTGTGGTTCCTCTTTATGTCGTTAATTTTCAAAGACGACGTACGTTGAAAAGGACGCTCCTTGCTAGGGGCAGATTCCAAGAATCGGCCGAAGACGCTAGGTCGGACGTCTCGTGCTCATGTATGCATATATGAGTTTTCAATCAATTTTGATTTGCTGCCTTGTTTGAGTGGGAGAATGTCTATGTTCAACTCACAATGACTTGGTATATATTCAAAGGGGAGGAGCCAACCATTGAAATATTGCACAAGTCTATAATGCTGAATACCCTAAGGAGCCAGCAATTTTTGACCGCAGCAGTAAGTAATAACATAATATGTGCAGCTCTAGAGAGCAGTTCATCCTCTGCCAGTTGACGATCGCTAGTTGGGTTTTTACCACCGTAGTCGAGGCATCGAGCTCTCAGGCGAGGGGTAAGCCGTTCTGAATATTCGCATATCTCACGGAAAGAACTTCGACCGGCTGTATGCACGTAGCATTTGTGGGATGGTTCGCATCACTTCCTTTCGGCTTTCTCCGCAGTGCGGGCAGCCGTACAATCCAGAACACGTTTCAAAGTACCCTTGTTTCTTGCATGCATAAGCCAGCTCGCCCTCGTTCATTCTAGGAACAATGAGGCTGAGAAGAAATAATTCTCTGTTTGCAAAGGTGTGACATCAAAAAATGAGATAAGCAGGACACGCACTGTGCGCCTTACCTTCGAGGGGCAGTGCTGCTTGATGTATGTAAGAGCAGGGGTCATACTGCCACAGCTGTTGACAGGATGGGGAAAGATTCCGGCAGTTCGCCTCCTTCTACTTCAGCACTCAGCCAGCTGACGTGGCCCACAAAACTAGCCTCAACTTATTGAGTCGACCGCACAGACTTTGGCTCTGTTCATGGAGTTGAAAAAAAAAAAAAAGCTTCAACTAGTCCTACGGGCTTTCTTTATTCTACACTGTTTTTGCCCGAAGGATGCCAAAACACAGAGCAAAGCAATATCACGCATCGCTCGCGGGCATATTTCAGGCGTCATAAATCCATCATGGTATTCTAAACCTGGCCTATTTAACACTGCTGAGATATACTAATTTCTATTGAGATCTATCGCTGACGCCTTGACTGACGTTTAAAGGCAAAACATAAAGGCTTCCCAAGTTTACGAGAAGGGCTGGACTATCTTGTCGAAAACGGATATAAAATATCTGAAATCCATTTCCTTGGCCCTGAGAAAAAGCTATTTCAGAATCAGTCCAAACCGATATACGCTGTGGCAAACGGCAGAGAAGGAGAAGCGATTCATCTCAAATACATATATGTTTCTATTCTGTTTGTGAATGCTCTTTCAACTGTTCACGCTATTCTGTCATCATAGCAATGGTGCGGAGCCTCAAGTGCATAAGCAGCCCCGCTTTTGTCACCAAAAGTTTTCTTCGCGCGAGGACGCTTCCGCCTTCATCCAAGAATACCTGACGACAAGAAAACAAGTAGAGAGCGACAACTGCGATGATATAGTTTCTATGATGGAGAAGCTCAACCTGCCGTCTGATCCCGCTTCGGGAAACCTTTGTACGAGGACCATTACGAAGGAGTATTGAAGTTTGTGTCAAGAATGAGACTCTCACCGCCTATTTCCTATTTTGTATTAGTTGTTTACTAGTTAATTCGCCCTTCTATTGTTGGGCATCCCTAGATTGAATTCTGTGAAAATGCGGAAAAGGCGTATTCACTAGTAATCCTACCAGGTAGTCAGATTTGACAAGGATGAAAACGATGGTATTCAGGCTATCTATCATGTCTGTATTTATAGGGAGCAGAAAGCGGAAAGAAATGCGGGATTCTGTAAAGGAGTGGAAATTGCACTTAGTTGCCACATTCCATAATGGGAGGTCAGGTGATAGGGATGCGGCAGATGGACATACTAGTGGGTATTTTACCCTGACAAATTCAGACAGACAATTATTTTTCTTCGTGATTTACACTTCCATGTGGGACCCTCGTACGCCTAGATTTCGACAGTTTGCATAAAAATCTGAATATCCCTTGCCGTTGTTCAGCTGAAGGGGCCAATGCAGTGGTCGCGAGACATGGGTGATTCTCACCCTGTCTATTGCGCACTCACTCTTCATCACATAACTCTATAGCTTGCTATATTTCAAATATCATTATAATTAACTCTTAAACTGATACATACGACCACAGGGTGTGGAGAACAGGGCTTCCCGTCCGCTCAGCCGTACTTAAGCCACACGCCGGTCAGTTAGTAGTTGGGTGGGTGACCACCAGCGAATCCTGACTGTTGTATGTACACTTTTTTGGAGTTTTTTTTAGCTACATATTCTATCTACGCAACCAAAGGAGCTAACCCTAGTTGTCTTCGATATTCTCGGGTAAGCGACGAGTCTGTCCATAGGATGAGTGCGTTTGGTGGTGATATGATACATGTGAAATTTCTTTCACATGTCTATTTCATCGGTTTTGTTTTGAGACGACAGTTTTTTGTCAATACTCGGTTCTTCTTCGGTTTGCTGGTGCCCTTTCGAAAGGACCTTAGGGTGAGGTCAGATCTACAAGGGGTACATAAAAGCAGACCAGATACTGTAATTAGATTCTACCAGCCGATACACCCTATTGCTAACCTTAATTGAGACAAGATACGGCTATATTCTCGGCACGAAGGCAATAAGCCGTTCCGAGTACATTATTGTCTTGTTGGGGTTTAATCCACTTAGCTGTGTAAATAGACTGTCGATTATGCAGGGAGAATTGAAGGCGACAGAATCCCCAGCTTTATGCTCAGGGTTTCGGAGGAATGATCTACCCCTGGTACATCACATGGAGGATCATGAGGGATTCTTCAAGATTCCCCTTACCCGCAGCGAGAGTCTATGCTACCGAACGTATCTCCCTTCCGAGGCCCCGCTTCGCCAATCAAATTACCAGAGTCGCATGGGCGCGAGCGCCCCCGTAATCAAACTTCACGAGTGGACTTCTCGGGCGCCACAATCCTACACTGGCTAGGCTTGTCTACTTCCAGGGTAGGTTGGAATGTTCAACTACATTTAGTTAGTTGTTTCGGCTAAATGTCTCCTCCCATCAAGGAGAAATAGGAAAAATCCCGGTGGCACAGCCTGCTTGGTCCTTATTATACTAATGCTACTTGCCATTATGCGGGGTACATTCGAAACGGCCAAGATAGCCCCGTCGAAACGGAGCTGTCGCTCTGTAGCATTGCATGAATAAGGCCCTGTGACACGTTTAAGGCTGCTTCTCGCAAGTATCAGAGGTGGAACAAAATCATCCATCTGATTAAATCACAATCCTCCAAAAAGTCTGAATTTCTGGTTTCCGGCAACCAGGATTTGAATATATACACATTACAGGCTTATTCGGCAAGATTTTTTTTAGCATAAATCCGTCACTATTCAGCACGATACTTAGATGAAGTATTATATTATCATGATGATTTTTTAATCTTGAAGCTCTTCTTAATTTTATCAAATGGTAAGCTTGTTATCTAGGACCAGAAGCTAATCTATATACCTTCCCCAATATGTTATTCAGGTATAAAGATAATAAACTTAACTATTCACTAGTTATATAGTCTTAGAAGTATTGTCGATTAAGCTTGATACTCACTCTGCTTTCAGTATTAACCGAGCTTCCAGAGATCATACTTTCCTGTTATTATCAAGTAAATAATGCACACTCTAGCTATAACTATTGGAGGAAAATCCGCGCCACTTTAGTGTCGCGAGCCACCCCTGATCTAGAAGATGGAAATCCTGAAAGGCTGCAAGAAGATTATAAAAGGATAGGCTAGATGCTGCGCTGACAGTTCTAGTTCAGTGGCCGTTCAAGCATCTGGTCGCCGGTTTTAGTCTGTTTCTTTAAACGTGATCAAACATGTCCTTACGACTAAGCCTCGAACGTGTCTACGTAGCTGCCCTAGGCCTTGTTGCCACGATCTCTCTTGTCGATGCTGCGCCCTGTGACATCTACTCTTCTGGCAACACTCCCTGCGTCGCCGCGCATAGTACCACTCGTGCCTTGTACGACGCCTACACTGGCTCACTCTACCAAGTGAAACGAGGCTCCGACGGTGCCACATCCAACATCGCGCCACTTTCCGCCGGCGGTGTCGCGAATGCGGCCTCCCAAGACACCTTTTGTGCTGGCACGACCTGCCTCATCACGATCATTTATGACCAGTCAGGCCGGGGTAATCATCTCACCCAGGCTCCGCCCGGCGGTTTCAGCGGCCCAGAATCCAATGGTTACGACAATCTGGCTAGCGCTGTTGGCGCACCAGTCACGCTGAATGGTCAAAAGGCGTATGGCGTCTTCATGTCCCCCGGTACCGGCTACCGCAACAATGCCGCCAGCGGCACAGCTACAGGCGACGCGGCGGAAGGTATTTACGCTGTCCTTGATGGGACTCACTACAACGATGCTTGCTGCTACGACTATGGCAACGCTGAAACCAGCAGTACAGATACAGGCAACGGCCACATGGAGGCCATCTACTATGGCGACAACACTGTATGGGGAACCGGCTCTGGCAGTGGCCCTTGGATCATGGTCGATCTCGAGAACGGCTTGTTTTCTGGCTCCAGCGCTACAAACAACGCTGGTGACCCATCCATTTCCTACCGTTTCGTCACTGCGGCTATCAAGGGAGAGCCAAACCAGTGGGCAATCCGTGGCGCTAATGCTGCGTCCGGCTCGCTATCGACCTACTACAGTGGCGCACGTCCAAGTGTGTCTGGCTACAATCCGATGAGCAAAGAGGGTGCTATAATTCTTGGCATCGGCGGCGACAACAGCAACGGCGCCCAGGGCACGTTCTACGAGGGCGTGATGACCTCCGGCTATCCGTCCGATGCCACCGAAAACTCGGTGCAAGCTAACATCGTAGCCGCCAAATACGCTATAACGTCGCTGACCAGCGGCCCGGCGCTCACCGCTGGTTCTTCGATCTCGCTGCGGGCCACCACGCCCGGCTACACGACGCGCTACATCGCACACAATGGCTCTACTGTCAATACCCAGGTCGTCTCATCGTCTAGTACCACTGTCCTCAAACAGCAAGCCAGTTGGACAGTTACAACCGGCCTCGCCAATAGTGGCTGCTTCTCGTTCGAATCCGTCGACACCCCCGGCAGCTTCATACGGCACTATAACTTCGAGCTCTTGCTCAACGCCAACGACGGCACGAAGCAGTTCTATGAAGACGCCACGTTCTGTCCGCAGACCGGTTTAAATAGCCAAGGTAATTCTATTCGATCTTGGAGCTACCCTACTCGCTATTTCCGCCACTACGACAACGTGCTCTACGCCGCGAGCAATGGTGGTGTTCAGACGTTCGACGCCACTGCTTCATTCAACGACGACGTGAGCTGGGTAATCAGCACCGGATTCGCTTGAGTCCTGGTCCGATCCTAGGCACTATGCGGAAATGAACCCTACTTCCTATTCCTCTCCTGCAAAATTCGGCTAGGGATGCAATTGATGATGGGCCAGACCCACGTTGAGTTCTAGTTGTACACCCTTTTAGTAACTTCCTCAGTCTAAATCAATGTGTATATATCTAGGTAGGTTGGTCAACATAGAAAATATGGAGAATATTAAGGAGAGATGACTTTCATATTTATAGGTAACGGTTACAGCGATATTCGAAATCAGATATGTATACTACCACACTCTCACGAATTAAATCCCGAACCCTAACCTGAAACACACTAATCCAAATATGATATGGTTTCTTTTCCTTTACACTGGACTGTTGGGCGAAAGAGGGGGTATTGAGATTTGAACGGTCATGATACAGGTTGATACCTGTGTTGCTTACCTCGGCCAGGCAGGCCTCGGTGGACGATTGTCTCGTTTGATTGTAGGCCACGTGACTCGCAATCCCTTTCTTGTTTGGGCTTCTTTTTCTCCTTCTCCTTTTCTTTCTCCTGTATCGAATCGTTTCTGTCATTTCGTGGCTCTCTGGAATTCAGCGGGCTTTGGCCCTTATCAGATCACGTGTCGTCATAGTTTTGTTCTTACGATCTGCATGATATAGTACGGTAGAGACGAGGGGTTTTTGAGATCTATGTCCGGTTGGCTTGTCCTGGCATTAAAAAGGCAATGAGTAATCAGGTGCAAGCCAATTATGCAATCCACTTTATGATCTCCTCGCCCTTCGTGATGAATACTCGTACGTTATATTAGATTTCGTTCGAGGTTCGTGTCGGAATTTCGTGTCGGAGTTTCGTCTCGGAGTTTCTCGTGTGGAGTTTCACGTATCAGGATACTAGAATGTCACATTTCATGGAATAAACTTAGAGCGTCCCAAGGCTCGACATGCCATAACCCCCCATGGCAAGTCTCTCCTGCAATGACGTCATACAGAGACCAAATTAGTCATGACGCGAGACAACATATATAGAGAGATAATACGTCCCATTTGAAAGCTTCGAGAATACATGCAATGGTTTAAGCGTGAACAGAACAAAATGCAATCAAAATCGGCGACGACCTCGTTCGCCCAGGCAACAAAAGTTATTCCGATTCTTGGAACAGACAGCCAATTCGAGGCTAACATACCGTGGGATTGGTGCGGCGGAACGTGAGACGCACATTTCTACTTTGCGAGCTAAGACCAGTATGTATGCTGACACTTTTAGTCATGCCCACGGCGGATTCATCACAAGTCTCTTGTTTTCAACAGCGAAGGCCTATTTTCTTTCCAAACATCCGTCACGGTCCCTACCGGACCCTATAAATATCCATGTGCAGTTTCTTCTGCCTGTCGAAGTCGGTGTAGCGCGTCTACGTGTAGATGAAATTATGATAGGGAAGCGCTACTCGACTGTGCAGATCACAGTACTAAACCAAAAAGACTCTTACCATCAGCCTTGCGTTACAGCCATCATTACACAGGGTAACCTGTCGACAGAAGCGGGCCAAAATATTATAACACCTCCTATCATATCCAAAAAAGAAATCCCGGACCGCAAAATTGCTTGCGAGGATTGGAATACACCTAACTGGCTCGCTAAACTCCTGCCAGTTAGTTCAAAATGGCACATACGAAAACTGAAAGGTTCAAAAAACCAGTTTTTGAGCCGTAGGGGTCTAAATGTCAAAGATATTTGGATGAAATGGGCCGACGAGAAGGAGAAATTGGACATTATTAGCCTTGGGATTGTTTGTGATAATGTAAGTGATATCAAACAATCTACGAGGACAGTACAATGTTGAGCACAAGATATGCCAAACGCACTTATTAATTTTATTCAGACCTTTGATCGCTGACTTCTTGTAGTTTTTCAGTGCCCCCACGAATTTCTATGATAATTTCCAAGATCTAAAGCAGTACGTGTATCCGACTTTGTGCGTATCCATCGAAGTGAAAAAAGACCCTGGCTATGCAACGTGGTTATTTGCAGAAGTCATTTGCAACAAAATCCAAAATGGTCGATTTGATCAGGAAGTGCATGTGTTTGATGAAGAAGGCGATCTTGTCGCGCTAAGCAAGCATGTTTGCTTGGCTGTACCACTAAAGCAAGGACAAGCAACTGCTTCTTCTCGAGTTGGTGAAGGCGGCTCTAAGCTATGAAAATGCAACGTCCAATACACTATCTACAGATCAAAATGAGTTGCCTCGAGGTGGAGATCAGTGTTACGGGCCGATGCACGATGCCGATCATATGCGACCACGTGATCGTATACTATTCGACCGAGGTGCCCCATCATCTTCTGGCTCTCTATCAGATCACGAATGGGATGAAGCTTTGAAGCCAGAAGCATTGGAGCCATAACGTTTGGGTTGAGCTTGCGTGACGTTTCTGAAGGCAGCACAATAGTGCATGATGAACGAGGACTGAATAGAAGGAGAGACACTGAGATTGCACGTGTATGGTACAGTCAACTCTCGCTTATGGCACGCCCGGATCTAGCACACATTGGGTTATGGCACACAAATCTCACGGACGGACCCACTTTTCCACCATTTACCATATTAACAGACCACTTATGGCACAATCAGTTATAGCACACCCTTTTTCCTTCCCATTTTTGCTTAGTCAATAGAGCAGACCAATCACAATGCAGAATTCAGTCAACCATTCGGCCAAGATGCCTACCGCCAGGCGTGCTAGGAAGGGCATATCTGACGCACAAAAGCAGGCTCTACGCGTCTATGCATCTGAAACACATCCTAAACCTTCCCAGAAAACCTGCGTTGAATGGTTTCGATCCCAATTTGGTCGCCTTATCGATCGCGCCACGGTCTCGAAGATCGTTTCATCTAAATACTAGCATCTTGATAGTGGTCCAGCTGGTCTAAATATGCGTTCTTCAGCATCGCATTGGCCAATTATAGACGAAAAGCTCTTTGAATGGCAGCAGCGTCACTAGGATGCTGGCTTTCCGATAACAGGGCCACTACTTCGGTTTAAAGCTATCGAATATTGGAGGAAAATACCAGAATATGCTGAGCTTCCAATGCCTCTTTTCTCCGATGGTTGGCTTACCCGGTTTAAACAACGTCACTCCCTCTGATATCGTACCTTCCATGGAGAGTCTGCATCAGTCCCAACTTCAATACACGACGAGATGAAACCTATCCAAGCGATCTGCGACTAATATCAGCCTCAAGATATCTATAATATGGACGAAACTGGGCTTTACTGGCGTCGTATGCCAAACGGTGGCCTTTCAACTGAAGGTTATGCTGGTCAGAAGAAGGATAAGGCCCGAATCACTATTGTAGTAGCGACGAATGCTACTGGTTCAGACCGACTACCTCTTTGGTTGATTGGGACTGCAAAGACACCACGTGCCCTTCGAGGGGTAAATATGCGTGCGATGGGGTGTATCTGGCGCTGGAATAAGAAGGCATGGATGCGAAGTGGGATTATGGGAGAATGGTTCCGCTTATTCTATAAGCATATCGGCAAGGAAAGACGAGTCCTACTTTTGCTTGATAATTTCTCTGCTCATCTATGCGCGCTTGAAGATGCGCCACCACCCTTTAACATTAAGGTGCTATTTTTCCCGTCAAATGCGACGTCGATTTACTAGCCACTAGACCAAGGAATCATCCAGAACCTAAAGCACCATTATCGGAGGAAATGGATGCGCTGGATGGTTAATATCCTTGATCGGAACATTGATCCTCGAGAGAAGATGAGCCTTAATTATACCCTATACTGGATTACCCAGGTATGGCGTAATAATGTGCGTGATCAGACTATACAGAACTGTTTTAAGAAGAGTACTGTCATAAGTCGTTCCGATCAGATAGAAGGGTTACCAGAAGCGCTAGAGCTAGGTGATCTATATCAAAGCTTGACTGATAGGCTTCCTAAAGATGCTCAGGAAGCCATGCCTTTGGATGATTTCCTAAATCCATCAGACGAGAACAACGCCGACGAGCCTGATTTATCTGATATAATCTTTGATTTATCGGGTGGTAGTGGTGACGGCGATGGCACTGATGACTAGGATGACGAATATATATCTGGACCACCACTAGACCTACCATCTGGTGCTACAGTTATCAATAGCATGCAGGAGGCGCTTCTATGGGCTCAGCACCAACAGGGCGCCACTGAGGAGAACATTCGCCAGATAGAGAGTCTAATAAGTCTGTTTACTAGGTTTCAGATGGATGCGAGGAAGCAGACGACGCTAGAGGGGTTCAACTTCCTAATGCGGAAGTAGAGTTAGTCATCAGATCACATCTGGCACAATTCACTTATGGCACATAGATTTCGTTGGATGGCGGGCTGTGCCATAAGCGAGAGTTGACTGTAGTTAATTAAGGGTGTCCCTAGGAAAGTTAGGAGCGTCTTTCAATATTAGGATTAGCGCTTTTCTGATTCATGCTTGGGAATTAAGTAAAAAGAGCGTAGAGGTACATACAGTTACTTGATTTCGAAAACTACTATAATATACTATACAGAAATAAAACCCGTGCCAGTGTGGGCTGTTCTCTATTAAAATATATCATATCTAGATTGAATCATCAAAATTTTTCATGGTATGTGATTTCACCGCGCTGCTTCACCGAAAGTCCAATGTCGTATACAAACCGCTGGGCGGCACCTACTTTCACCCCACGCTTCACGAAGAAATCTGGGTCCTGATTCTCATAAATCTGCGTCAGGTCGAAGCAATTTTCAAGTGTGTTCATCTCGTATTTCCTCATTGGTCACTGTCAAGCAATACGATACATTTCAGCAGGGATTTCTGAAGGAGAAACTAAAATCAGACTAGTGCGTTTCAGGGTAGGGTTGGGAAAACAAATTCGTGAGAGTATGGTGGTATATCTGATTTCGAATATCGCTGTAGGAATGCGTCAGTGTGGAGTGGTTGATTTGATATTATTGGCGATAAAAGATCTTACCTATGTAGAGGTTTCGCCCTTAGCTCTCCCTATTCGGATATCTCTACATTCACTCTCATACGACTACCACCTCAAGCCCTACTCAGATGATGATCAGACTAGTATAGGTATGCCCCTAGGCTAATTTAAACACGTCCTACCTACCATCTGGAAATAAATATTTCTACCAAGCGCTTGGGGTCAAGCAGTGAGACTTAATAATTTTACATAGTAGCTCAGCTGAGAGAGTCAGTACGACGATGGCGCGACTAGGGTGCCCCTCATCAGGATTCTTCTACTGTAACTAACTAGTTATAGACCAGAATGCCTAGTTCTACATACCATATGATCTTCAAAACAGGTTCAACAAGCACATACGACCACAGGGTGTGGAGAACAGGGCTTCCCGTCCGCTCAGCCGTACTTAAGCCACACGCCGGCCAGTTAGTAGTTGGGTGGGTGACCACCAGCGAATCCTGGCTGTTGTATGTCCGTTTTCTTTTTGTTTTCCGTCGGGTTTAGCGCCCTTGGCGTTCGGCCCTTCAGTGTGTGCAAAATCCGCGATTATATTAGGGCATTGGAGTCCCCCAAAATGAACGCCCCCTTCGCCTTCCTGTCGCTTTGTTTTAGGTGTATTGGAAAGATTTGGTCACTTAATCCACAGGCTGTGCTTTAATTTTTCAGAAGAAAATTTCTGCTTCTTGTCCTAAAAATCTTCGATGAAGCCTCCGCCGCCGCCGCCGCCGTCGCCGGCTTCAAGTGATACGAATACACCAACGAACAGCCAGCCAGGGACAGTCCGAACAGCGAATTGCAGAGCTCTGAAGCTTCTGTTACACCTTATGATAAGCGAGGAAGCCGAAAGTCTAATCGCCGTCTCTGGGAAGCAGGTCGAGCACGCTATTGAGATGACAGAGGTCGTTACTGAACTTTCTATGGAGAAATTGGGTTACATATTTGAAGGACGGGCCTCTCCATTTGCTTACCACAATAGCTGCATCAATGGTATTGAGTTATCCTCGCTATACGCAAAAAATTCCGGTGGTCAATCACCAACAAGGAACAAGTGGTAATAGATAAGGCTGAAAGAGAAGGAAAATGTCATCAAACACGCGGCCATGTGCGAAGAGACGATCTCTCCTAGAAATTCTTCTGGGCCAATAATCAATTATTCGTTATCGAAAGAATTTCAATGAAGACAGTGAAGCAAGGACATAACAAAACGGGAAAAACGGGAGGAAAGAGGCCATTTCCAAGCAGTTTAAAACTCGGTTCTCTGAGTAGCGGCTTCTAGACTAGATAGCCACGGAACACGATATTTCGTGTACAGTTCCAATCCTGGTTTGACCTGCTTAAGTATGCTGGGGTCGTCAATAGTTCCCATTTGGACAAGAGCCATTCCAGCGAAAGACTCGCGGTCGGCTGTTTTGTAAATAGCACATCCACAATTGCCACAGAAGTTGACTGTTAGTTTCATGCCACTTTCATGAATTTGAGTGCAGTGTTTGGGAGAACCGACGGTGACATGAAATCTATTTTCGGGAATCATCAGATTGATCGTGTGAGTGCCACCACTGATCTTTTTACAGGACAAGCAGTGGCACATAGCCTATATATGAAACTTAGGACATAATACTTGTGCAGGTGAATAGATGATCAATCTTCTTACCACCCCCTGAGGCTCTCCCGTAAACTCATATTCGAGTTTGTGGCAAAAACAGGATCCTGAAGGCATTATGGCGTTGTTAAGATAGATTTGAAGTAAGCCGACTGATCAGTTCATGGCTGTGTGAGGACTATGATAATATAAGTCGAGAGACGGCCTAGACATTTTATACTCCACCTGAGCTAGGTCATCGGATTATTTGAGTTTTGTGGCACATTATATGACAACCACATTATCAGTTAGAGTCAAGTCAGTATGGCATTCCTTGGTTGGCTGGCTAGTTTAGAATACCGACCTGGGTAACAAAATTGTTTAACTTCGTAATTCCCAATCACGATCCTCAGTGCCAAACCCTATCTGCGGCTGCTCCGTTCTTCGCCACCCCAAGACTTTTGATATTTCCACTTCACCCTGATGTTTTCCCATCTCTAATATGACAATCCACGTGTCAATTTCATATGCTGTACAGTTCACATCGACGAAACCTACGTTAAGGACGTGCGACAAATATTAACAATTCCCTGCTTTTCTAGTAGGCTACTCACTATAGACAAGCCGATCAATGCTTATGCTTTTGATCTAAATAAGTCACCGCACGTAAGTTACGTTAGTGTTTACAGTTCCGCATATTTGAATGATTAACCGTTGTTGCTACGGTGATATTGTCTCCAGATCTATAGATGCAAAACATGGATTTGGTATGCTGGCCAATATATACCGATATACAAAGGAAATTCAAAAACGAACGAAAAAAGCCAGTCACACCTAGACCAAATCAGAAGTAGGTAGATCGATATCATCAAAATCCAGACCTCGTCGCAGGTTAGAGATGTCCTCATCCTCCAAGAGGTCCTCTTCTGTGAGAATACCAATACCACTATCAACTCGCCTCCGATTCTTGCCTCTGCCCGCTTCGACATCAACAAACCGGGTCATGCTCACGGGTGTGATGGGCTCACTACCGTTCACCGTGGTTCCATCTGACATGAGATCATCTGATCTCAGCTCCCAGTTTGCGGCGCGGACTTTGGAGTGCCGACGCTCGGAGTTGACGGTTTCTTTCATAAATGCGAATGAGCGCGCTTGATCTGTTGCCCATTTATGTAGCATGTCGTCCCGAGCCTTGATCTCAAGGCGTAGCTGTTCCTCCAGACCAGCGTTGACCTGGCGAAGGCGCTGAGCTTCGGACCGCGTATCCTCTAGAGATGTAGATAGATCTGAGATGCGGACATTGAGGGTGCCAATATCTTCCTCCTGGCGCTCAACCTGGTCGCTGGCTTTGGCTTCGAGGTCCTCAAGCGCTTTCTGGTGCTCTTTCTCAAGCGACTCCATCTGTGCAGTCAGGTCACAAGCACGGATTCGATTCTGCTCGACGGTCTCTTCCAGTTCTCGGATGCGGCTTTCAGATTTCGAAGCAGAGATCTCAACGGCAGAGCGTAGCTTCTGCTCATCAGCCACCCGGCTTTCAAGGTCGGATATTTGTTGAGCGTAGTCTTCCCTAGCGGTCATGTTCTCTTGCTCCAGACTGCTAACAAGCGCTTCCAGGCTCTTCACGTCATCACGGTACTTGTCGAGTGCTGCATTTAATCTGTCAATCCCAACGGCCTGCTCATAGCCTTGGCGCTCGAGGTCCTGCATCCGCATTCTGGTGTGCAGCATATCGCCGGCAGATGAGGCAATCGATTCCTCGAGGTTGTTTACTTTGATTGCGGCAGTTTCGTATCGTGTAAGGAGAGCGTTGAATTGTCCCCGTAGCGCTTTTTCGCGGCCCAGAGACCCGCTGTGGTGATCCCGTTCGATTCCTAGTTCCTTTGCAAGGGACTCCACGCGCCGCACGAGAGCGTCCAGAGTTCCCTTGCCATCTTCCAGGCCCACGCCGGCTGTCTCTCCGGGAATCGCACGTTCGAGTTCAAGACGCGCGAAACGGAAATGGTTTCGCATGTCGGAGATCCCGTCGTCATCATCGGTGCCGGTGAATCCCAGGTCGGAGATTTCTTGGCTGATTCCTTCTAGCGCCTGCGCAGCATCGGAGGCGCGTGAAAGGGCCTCCGTCAAGACGTTGAGGATTTGGTAAAAAAAGTCTGGTGGAGGAGAGGATTGCCGGAACATTTCATCGATGGTTGGATCGTCTAGCCCGGAAACACGCGAGCGGCATGCGTTGAAGAGTTCTTTCTTTTCGTTCCGAGCTGCCTCCAAGTCCAGAGTTAGGGCATGCAGGTCGGATGTTTCAGTATGGTACACGCTCTGTGACGCTTGGGTGGAGGCATCCACATTCGAGGGCTGGGTCTCAAATAGCATGAGACTATCCGTCGCGGGCGGAAGACCATTGCGAATGCCACGGAAGTCAGGTGAGTTGGACACGATGGCACTGTCATTGATAATAAAGCTATCTCCATCACCGTTGACAGAGGGATCAAGGCCGGTCTCGATTTCCGATTCTAGGAGCATCGTAGACTCTGACGAAGAAAAGTGGCCATCAGGACGACTCTGCTTCAGAGCATCCATTTCCAGCCTAAGAGCATCGCGCTCCTGTATCAAGGTCCGTAGGGTCTTCTCAAAACTAGCCGTCTCCCGCTTCTCACGCTCGATATGAGTAATCTCATCACTGAGCCCGATACGGCGAATGCGGCGTTGCGTCCGCATATCCAGGATCTGGCGAAGCGGCGTAAACTGCATGCGTCGTTCGGAGGACGATTCGTCAAACGGTGCGATGGGGTCATACGACCGCTGGAAGCGCGGTGTCGGAGCCGACGAAGTGCGTCGTCCGCGTCGACTAGGCGTGCAGTCTCCTCCTCTACGCGCCGAAACAACATCTGCAAATGAGGCACGGCGCATTGCCGGGGTCAAGCTGGTTGATCCGAACTCGGTATCGTGTAGTCGAGGGCCAGGGTCGGAAAAGCGGACCTTCTTTCTTCGCTTTTGAGGTGTGCTGACCGCAAGGGCTTGGTCAGAAGACAAGGCCACGCTGTGTCTTGTGCGATGGGAAACGGGGCGGTCGTCTGGTGGATTTGAGACGCAGCTGCTTTTGCGCTTCCTGCCCGTCTGGGTGGAATCCATAGTGGTAGAAGACAACGGCAGTATAGCAAATAATCTGAATACAGGGTGAGGGTATGTTGTGTAATGAGACTCGAGATAAACATAAACAAAGATGCGGCGCTTCTTATAGATGCTTGTGGATAAACTAGATCACGATTGGATGTAAACAAACTGGAGTGGAGCCGCTGCAGCCTGGATCAAGACGCGCCGGATGATATGCTTGCCTGTTTGGGCGAAGGGTAAACATGCTGCTGCTTGGGGTTAGTGTTCACGTGATATATTCGAATGGGATGTGAGGGAAACCAGAGGGGGGTAGTTAACTAGTTAACTAATTCATGGAAATACACATTATTTTTGCAGTTGCTCTGTTGATACTATATCAACAGTCGAGACGAAATGATATGTTCTTGAGTGAACGGCTCTACTGGACGAGTGAGCCTCTGACACCCACCATCTTTCTCAGGAACTATATTTCGTCTGAATTCTCTGATAATCCTGTTTTTTGGTCTTCCATTCCAAACATTCCCTATAACCATGGCTCCTGGTTCTCTCCATAATCCTGTTTTCATGTTTTCGTCTCTATACAGGATGCGGAGCTTATCTTATCAGCCTCCGAATCCAGGTCTCTCCAGATCGACCAACAATCCAACAACCCATGCCCATCCTGGTCTGTCCATTATTATTATTGTTAGACTCTATATTACTATCTTTTTCCAGCGGAGACTTACACCTCCTCTTCCGCCCTTCCTTCCCCCCACCGCGCAGTCCAACCATGTGTCTCTCCGTCCCCCAGTGATGTCATCGGCAACACCACCGCAGGGGTCGGCATCGCAAACCCTCGACACCCAAACACACGCTCTTCTTCCTCCTCTCTATTCCCCACTAACCCTCCCCTCCTTCCCCAGCTATACTCCAGGATGGCAGATGTGGCTTCTATCCCCGAGGTAGGCCCAACGTACCATCCACCTCCTCTATATCCGCTGGCTCTCCCATGGTCTGATGGCGCTGACCCGCAGCAGCATCGGAGCGACCGTCTCCACAGCCACCAGCACTTGGTAGACAACATCCTCTACGACCACCCATCTACCCAGCAGCCATCCTCACTGCTGGACAAATTGCCCGCAGAACTCCTCCATCAGATTCTCTCCCATCTCGCTGCCCCAGATCTCGCTTGCGTTTCCTCCACCTGCCGCGTTTTGGCCGAGCACGGGTCGAGCGACCTATTGTGGGCGGAGTTGGTCAACTCACATCTATCGCACCGGATCCATGATCCAGGACCTTTTCCTTCCTTTCGCCGCCTCTTCCTCGCCCACTATCCTTACTGGTTTCTTCCTCGGAACAAGATCTGGTTCGCGGACACCGAGCACACGGGCACTCTGATCCTGGCTCGCTATGACAATCGACGGGGCGTGATTGAAGCGTACCGTCTTGTTGCTGAGCGGCGAGAGCCACTGTTTCACATTTGGGAGTCCAACCCGGACGTCATCATCCAGTCATTCAACCCCAAAGTCAGCTTGTGGCTGGACGATCCGGTCTTGCTGTTGAGAGATACCGATCCAACGAGCTCCTTGGCGGAGTGGCAGTCTAACCCGACCAAACGCCTTACGCCTATTGCCTTGGAGTCGCAGCGGGTCTTTAGTTCATTTTCATTTTGCGACAATTACTCTCCATCTCAGCATACTCTGGGCGCAGACCAGCTCTGGCCCCCTCCGATCATCCCCTCCGACTACCGCACCCAGCGAGATGTCAAAAATCAAAAGATGAAGAATCCCCAACGCTTTTCCGATATTTCGGACAAGGCATTCCGCATGAAACGATGGGCGAACTTCTCCCGGATGCAAATGAACGTCGTCCTGTCACCGGGCCATGACGAAAAACTGTTGACGTACGGGACCCTCGACCCGAAGCTTTATACTCCGACCAAGCAAAAGCCTTATCAGGGGATCTGGGTGGGGGACTATTCGGCCCACGGGTGTGAATTTCTTCTGTTTCTCCAGCGAGACCCACCGGCATCCACTCTGTCCAGAGAAACGGCCGCCGCTGTTGGCGACGAGGAACACGAAACCAGCGAAACTGATGCCTCCGGTATTGTGCATCAGGGTGCGCTGGAAGCGATCAAGCTAACCGGCGACCCCAACGTTCCTCGCGGAGAGATAACTTTTGTGGCCGAAGACATCGGACCCAGAGGTCTTGTTCGCATAGCGGAAGACGAACCCTACAAAGCGGCGCGTATTGTACGCTGTCTGGGACATGTCGCCGGCATCGGATTCCGTGACGGTCAGTAATTCCTTTCCGTCATTCACGCCCTATACGCATACTAACCTAGGTGACTAGACACTTTCATCAAATCACAGCTCATCCTTATCTCCACCAACTACATCGCCCATTACTGGGAGGAGATGGGCCACATCTCCTATTTCCGGCGTATTGATATCGATGCCCTGATGCAGACATGACTGGCGTTCTATGCCCTTTTTTCTCATGATGTTATGGTTCCTTTTGTCTACATTCCATCCATGGTTTTCCCCATGCCCATGGCCTGCCCCTGCGTTTAGTCACGATGGATATCACTCAGGACTTGCTGCAATGACCGGGAGTAATCATCTGTACCTCTACCCAAAGCATGCATGCACCGATGAGATTAAGCGAATTTCTACTAAAAGGAGGTTGTCTGCGGAAAGGAAAGGAAGACAAAACCCGCCCACTATACATACCGCCGTATTGACCGAGGCCCACTGCAGCTAAACCAGAAGCACCTACCAATCTCTACTACTAATGATTCTTTTGCACAGCGATATGGCTAATCCAGAAGTTGAGCAGTATGGATTTGGTGGAATGTATGACTGGTGGAGCATATAGAACAGTACACCAACAAGTGCCCAGGTATCGCATAGAAAAGACAAAAAAGGGGGAATCCAAGGACGCCGGGGCCCGGGAGGAGGGCCAAGAAAAGTCAGAGCAGAGAGGAAGATATTGATGTATGTTGGTCGTTCACTCGTCAAACCAGCCGAGACGGAAGCCGTTGCAGAATGTCGCTCGGTCCCCACGCTGTACTGTACAGACACACCCGTCCAAGACACACATGGCACAGCACGCACCCCGGTTGACAGTCAAGCTCAAAAAGCAGAGAGACAAAGACAGAGAAAATATCACCGCTTCCGCTCAAACCACCCAGAAGAACCCATGACGGCAACAGACTGATCCATCACCCACTCACCCACACCGAGGTAGTTATCGATCCACCGCTTGACTTCTTTGTTGTCTGAGATTTTGTCTGAGTTGACACTGGGGCTATGAAAGACCCCACACGCACGCGACCCGGGTCATCACCAGGGGGGTGCGCGTGGGTTGGTCGAGTTAGCTTGTTGCTCTGCTCTGCTCTGTCTGTATACCCCCGGGGTACGGTACATAGCCGTAAGGAACGGAGTTAGGGAGGTGGGCGGGGGATATTTACGTGAGGCCGGTTGAGCGCTTGACGCCGGCGAGGAAGGCGGATACTATTGGGTTTGTTAGTTGGGTTTGTTGTCTCTGAGAGAGAGAGAAAGGTGGAGGAGAAGGCATACGGAGGACCGCATCGAATGCGTAGTGGGTGAGACGGCCGAACTGTCAATCGGATCGAGTTAGTCTTTTGTCGGGGTTCCCGTGGATAGGATCAGCGAGTGGTGTATTTGTGTCATACCATCTTGGAGAACAGGTAGAGGAAGAGCATGCAGTGGATGTGAACGTGAGGGTAACGGTGCAAGTGATGATGCGAGTGAGTGGTCCCGGGGGATCACATGACGGGGTCGCACATGACAACGTTCGATGTGGCTGGCGTAGTGTACCAGCCACACGGCGTTTCTGTTCAGTGGCTGGGGACACTCCCGTATCGATAAGAAACATCCCACCGGGCGCCCTTTTCTGGATTGGAATAGTAATTGGGTGTGGCTATTTGTCACAATAGATTTGGCTGATAGGAGGACTCGAATGTACTGCGAGTAAGCCAGCACGGGGCACTCTTTCTGGTCCTCTTCATCTCGATGGTTGTTCTAGCTTGGTTTGGCTTGGTGCCTATTTTTTTTTTTTCTCCTGTAGATATTTTCACACCCTCTAGGCAGCGGTATACTGAAATTGAGAACATCAGGGATTCACAGAATGAATTAGAAAGTTAGGAGTAGAATCATCAGATAATCACCATAAAAAAATCCACTGACTATGTCCTACATGGCTACGTGTTGTTCCTAGCTATGGTGTTGGCCCACGGGGGGGCCGGACTGGCTCTATCCGGCGGGCAACATTTTCCTCTCCCGCCCCTCACTAGCACTTTTCCTCTTTTCTCCATCTCCCTTCACTCCCAATTATACCACCACCCACACCTCCCTTTTGTCTCTGCAGATACACTTCACACAAAATGGCGGCCTCTACTTCCCTTGACCATCTCTCCAACCCTTCCAAGATGTTGTGGCACTCCAAGCTCAACACGGAGATGGTCCCCATGAAGAACTTCCGCCGCACCTCCATCATCGGCACCATTGGTAGGTTTCCCCCCTTCCCCAGGCCCCAAAATCGTGGACTGACATTCAATCCAGGACCCAAGACCAATGCCGTCGACAAGATTAACGCCCTCCGCACAGGTAGAACCTTCCATAGAGCCCCGCCCTTTTGACCTGTCACTCACCTTATCGTAGCTGGTCTCAATGTCGTTCGTATGAACTTCTCCCACGGCTCATATGAGGTCAGTGCCACTCTCCCCAGATCATGCAGCCACAATTGACATCGAACCCAGTACCACCAATCCGTCATCGACCACTCCCGCGAAGCTGCGCGCGTCCAGACCGGTCGCCCCCTCGCCATTGCCCTTGACACCAAGGGCCCCGAGATCCGCACGGGTAACACCGTCGGCGACAAGGACATCCCGATCAAGGCTGGCACGGAGCTCAACATCACGACCGATGAGCAATACGCCACGGCGAGCGACGACAAGAACATGTACGTCCTTTTCTCCCTTCTCGTCACCGTCAGAACTAACAGGTTGTCTCCGGCATAGGTACCTCGACTACGCGAACATCACCAAGGTGATTGCCCCCGGCAAGCTCATCTATGTGGACGACGGCATTCTGTCGTTCGAGGTGGTCAGGGTGGTGGACGATAAGACCCTGCGGGTCAAGTGTCTGAACAACGGCAACATTTCCTCGCGCAAGGGTGTCAACCTGCCCGGCACTGACGTAGACCTCCCCGCTCTGTCGGAGAAGGATATTGCCGATCTGAAGTTCGGTGTCAAGAACAAGGTCGATATGATCTTTGCATCGTTCATCCGTCGCGGAAGCGATATCCACCACATCCGTGATGTGCTCGGCGAGGAGGGCAAGGAGATTCAGATCATTGCAAAGATTGAGAACCAACAGGGAGTAAACAACTTCGATGAGATCCTGGAGGCCACTGATGGTAAGTTGGTCGGTTTGCTCCTAATGATGATCATCGCTCATTTTTTTGCCCAGGTGTTATGGTCGCCCGTGGTGACCTCGGTATTGAGATCCCCGCGCCCAAGGTCTTCCTTGCGCAGAAGGTATGTCTTTCTTTTCTTGCAGGTGATAGATCCCAGACTGACCCAATGGCCAGATGATGATCTCCAAATGTAATATGGCTGGCAAGCCCGTCATCTGCGCCACGCAGATGCTCGAGTCGATGACATACAACCCGCGCCCGACTCGCGCCGAGGTGTCGGATGTTGCCAACGCCGTCCTCGATGGTGCCGACTGTGTCATGCTGTCCGGCGAGACCGCCAAGGGCAACTACCCATGCGAGGCCGTGACCATGATGCACGAGACCTGTCTGCTGGCTGAGGTTGCCATCCCGCACTTCCAGGTGTTCGACGAGCTGCGCACCCTGGCTCCCCGCCCCACCGAGACTTCCGAGTCGATCGCCATGGCTGCCGTCAGCGCCAGTCTGGAGCTGAACGCTGGCGCCATTGTCGTCCTGACCACCAGGTATGTTTCTTGAGTGATGTCGCCTTTTTTCTCTTTTGCCGGAGACTGATAGTAAAAACAGTGGTAAAACCGCCCGCCTGCTGTCGAAGTACCGCCCCGTCTGCCCCATTCTGATGGTCACTCGCAACGCACGCGCCTCTCGGTATTCGCACCTGTACCGCGGCGTCTGGCCCTTCCTCTTCCCGGAGAACAAGCCCGACTTCAACGTCAAGATCTGGCAGGAAGATGTCGACCGCCGTCTGAAGTGGTAAGTCTCTCTCGATCCGAGTTGTCATTTCGGTAAGCTGATAAATCAATCAGGGGTATCGGCCACGCTCTCAAGATGGGCCTGATCAACAAGGGCGATCCCATCGTCTGCGTTCAGGGCTGGCGCGGCGGCATGGGCCACACCAACACCGTGCGTGTCGTGCCCGCCGAGGAGAACCTGGGTCTGGATCCCGAGCTCAACTAGGAAGGCGATACCATTGAGTGGATAAGTTGGGTTGGACGTAGATGCATGGAAAACCGAAAAATTTGGGGCTTGATCTGACCTGACCCGATGCATTTTTGCTTTTTGCCTTTGTATATGACACGAATTTAATGCTTTAGTCTGTCTGGTTTTCTGTTGCTGTTGTTTTGCTGGTTAGTGGTTGGTTGGCTGGTTAGTTAGTTAGACGGTCTAGACAAGAAGTTTCTCATTGTGTTCCTGTTGGTCTCGGCTGTTGCAGTGGCAGAAGTGTAAGTGTAGGTGTCTGTTAGTATAGGATAGGATAGGATAAGTAGGAGAGAAGTCAAAAAGAGAAGAGAAAGAAAGCAAAAGAAGAAAAGTGCCGGGGCCAAAAGAAAAGCAGCACCCGAAATCAACCCGAGGCATGTGCTCGCTCTTCCGAAATTCTGCCTGCACTTTTCGTATCCGCATTGAGGGAAGTTGTCAACACCTGCGCCTGCATCAAGGCACAGAACGAAGCAGAGCAGACAAGAATAAAGAATTGAGTAAAGAAGGAAAAAAATAGAGAGAGAAAGAAAGAAAGAAAGAAAGGGGGAGAATGATTTCGTCACTCCATCCTGGCTGGGGACACGGGCTAAACACAATTCCCGAGGCCTTTTCGCAATCGGCCCCCGGTTTCTGCCGAGTGAGATCCATTTCTTCAGTATCTACACCCCACTACCGTACCAGGAGAGTGGAGATGCGACTGTCTGTGAGTCTTGTCTAGCTAGTGTTTCTTTCTGAGGAAAGGATTTTTACAAATACTCCGTGGAAAAAGCATCCCCGGTAGTCGGTTGCTCTAGAGTTCTCTGAGAGCGAATTCTGTAGTTGAAATAACAGAAAGCAGAGAGAAAACCGGTGGACGGTATGTAGTAAGCTTGCATAAATGTGTTCAGAATATATGAACAAGTAGAAATAAATAGTCATAAAAAGGAAAGGAAAGGAGGGGAAGGCATCATATCATGTTGAATAGAATAGACTATCAGAATAGACTATCAGAATAGACTATCAAGCAGGCAGAGTCACTGCTGTGTATACCCTCCCAATTCCTGCCCCAAGCCCGATAACAACAACAGAAAGGCTTTGGACAGGGCATCATCATTCAATGTTATCATCATCGTCGGGATCATCACGTCGTTAAGTCATTATTAGGTATGCATGTGCTCGGCAGAGATTATAAGAACATATCATCCCTGCGAAACGCCTTCCACATTGCCATGTTGATCGACTGCATCCATATCAGCCAGATGGGATACATGTCCACCGGACTGGTTCTCGCCCTGCGGGTAGCGATACATTGCGCTGGGTTGGAATTGGTGCCAGCAGCTAGTAATAGCAAGCACACAGTTAGCACTGAAAAGCAAATTAAAATGAACCCCAACAAACATACCTCGGGGCTTGGAGGACATATCTCGCCATCGCCTCCCTAAACCGACTCTTGTATTCCTTGGGACTAGTCACCGTCGGCCGGTTGCGACCACCGCCCGCAAATCCACGATCTTTAATCCAAGACTCGAGCTTCTTGTCCCACGTGTAGGTACGAATGCAATCGATAATACCAACAACCAGCTCGCTGCGCGACTCATCGATAGCGATCATGAGTGAGTAATCCATGACATTTTGACGGCCCAGGAACAGCGTATCGTTCCAGACGCTCTGACTGAGCAGTTTCTTGGAGTGTTCGCGGACGAAGAGCGGAGTCTCGTAGATGAAATCGACCATGTTCTCGTCGAGGAGCACTTCGTCGCGCTCGCCGGTGCTTTGGACTTTGCGATTGCGCATTGAGCCCTTCAGGTCGAAGAGGCGGGTCGGCACACGGTCGTAGAAAAGATTCTCCATTAGCAGCAGGAACCAGTTGAATTCTGTGCCTGTGACGGGGTTCTTGATGATGACTTGGTAGAAGCCGAACATCTTTGCGATGGCGGAGGGCAGTTCGTGAAAGAGCGCCTCCGACATGATTTGGAAGTAGGCAGGTGCGAATTTGAGGAAGGCCTGCGTCTCAATTGGGGATAGAGATTTGAGGATGAATCGGTCATCGAGCGTCTTCAGGAACAAGGACTTCGTTTTGCCGCCCTTGGAGTCCCATTTTGCGCAGCGAGAGAGCGACTCGACGATGCGGTCTGCCACGCCACATTTCTTGCGGAGAGCGTCGAACTGCTCTGCGTAGAAGACCTTGCAAAGCATCTTCGCCTGACCTTCCTGGAACTGGTATTTGAGGTGGGTGCCCGTGGCGCGCAGGAGAGCGTGCTCCACGCGGGTCTCGTTCGCGGACACGGTATCATCCTCCGACTCCGGCTGAGAGTCCTCCAGCTCATCATACCGCTTTTGGATGCTTGCGAGCTTTGCCTTGTAATCCGAGGAATCCAAGGCAAAAGCGACTAGAGAGCTCGGCTCATCTTCCCGCACTATTATATCGCAATCGGCGAAGACGTGATCCATCACGCTGAGCGGATACGCGAGAGGCGCCCAGCCACTGGCGGACCGCTCAGACCAAAAGTTGGTCAGCATCTTCACTAGTGTTGTGCGGTCGTCCTTGGGCAGGTCTTTGAAATCGTCTTCGGGCAGCAACTTGGCTTCTTCCTGGGAATCCACTTGGTGGAGCTCATCGACGGTCGTTCGATCTTCGTCACTGGGAACTTCATCCGGTTCACCTTCAGACAGCAGCTGGACGGCGTCCGTCAATTCGGGTACTGTTTCTTGTACCGTGGGCTTCTGCTTCAACTTGTCATCCGGCGATTGTCTCGCAGACTCATCGCTCTTTCGGCTCCCATCGTCCAAAGAGATCCCTGGAGCAGGAGGCAAGACTTCATCGCCATCCACCGGGGGCTCACGCTCTTCAACAGCCTCTCTCACATTGCGGTACACCTCCACGATAGGCTTCGAAGAGGCCAAGGGAAAGGCGCGCGAATGTGTGCCTCGGGCAGCGCGCTGTCGTCGTTCTTTTTGTCTCTCTTTTTCGAATTCGCGACTTAGCTGCTCGAAATGTCTGGCCAGATTCGACACGCGCGAGCTGCCCTTGCGATTCGGGTTAGAGCGTGGTATGAGAGAGTGCCCTGAAGTGAACCGGCCGGGTTTCAGTGCACTCAGGCCAAGGGTGAACTTTTTGTCTGGAGATTTGCTGGGTGACTCGGGCAATACGGCAGTGTCCAGATCAAAGTTGGGAGGACTCAATTTGGTGACGGACTTGTCTCGTGTAAGGTGCGAAGGCTGGGACTGGGCGCGTAACAAAGGTGGAGATCGCGCTTTCCCTGCTCGTCGGAAGGCGCCCTCGGCGAGTCTTGGAATGGCCGAGGGTCGAGGGGACGGAGTAGTCGGTAGATTCGCAGTAGCACCCTCTGCATCGCTTTCCTGGGCTTTGCTTTCTTCGATGAGCCCTGCACTTCGCGAGGATGGCGAGAGTTTGGTAATATTGTCGGGACCAGAAGGTATTTCCAGTCCATCTGATTTGGTCAGAGGTTGGTCCAAGGGCGAGCGGGGAGATTGACTCGAGGGAACGGCCAAATCCAAATGACGGACTTCTTCTTGCGCAACAGCTTCTTCCTGAGGAGACGCCCTCTTGCCATCTACAACATCAGTAGACAAAGCCGCAGCCTCAGTCGGAGGCGGAGATGGAAGCGGAGGCAAGTCAGCATAAGGTTTTTCGCGGTGTTTCCGGCCAGCATGCTCCTCGACAACTGAAACCAAAACATTCTGCGCCTTCTCCGGCGAGAGTGTCATGCGCCGCATCATCCGCGGCCTGTCCAGGGTTTGCGTGCTCTCATCCTCTAAATCAGTTGGGGTTTGCAGAGCTTCTTCGGCCGTTACGGATGTAGCGTCTTTGTCAAGGAAGATCTTCTTGAGCTGCAGCGTTGCCAGTCGCTTGATATCCTTTTCAGATGGGAAGAAGTTTTGTTCGAATTCGGCAAATATGATATCCCACTCGACAACTTTCTCTTGAACGGCACGGAGCACCTCGTTCAGAGGAATCACCTCCCAATAGCGGGAGCTGGTGTACCTGTCCTGCAGCTGGCGGATCAAAGCAGCATGGTCCTCGTGTCCTTTTTTGATCAAAGACTCAATCTCCTTCTTGCAGTCATCCGCCAGCTCGGGCACAACGCTCTCAACGTTGATTCCCTTCAGTCGCGCAAGCACCGATGCCATGAACTTGTTGAGACGCTTCTCTGTTTTGGTGTAGATTTCGTTTCTCAGCTTCAGATCATTGTCCACCTTCCATGTAACCCGAGGCCGCGGAACAATGATCTCGAGGAGATGAATTGAGTCGTACTGGATCCGTAGCGCAACATCTTTGAAGCCGAAATACCGGAGATGATCTCGCTGGAGATCGTGGGGACAAACACCAGCGCGCGCATGCAAGTTTCTGCCCCAGAAAGAGACCTCTAGGTACTTTCCAAATGAATATTTCCAGGTATTCTCCGACATAGGAACAGCCTGTGTCTCATTTCCGCAGATCTTGCAGCAGCTCCACATCAAGACAATATCCTGCAGGCCTCGAAGCTTGGAAGGATAGGGCTGAACGAGGACGCTAATCTGTGCATCTCCGTGGACGTACTGGCGATGGTGCTCAGACATGCGCTTCTCGCAGCCGTTTGCAGTGCATAGCGCGTTCGCTGAGTGGCAGAGGTCCTCGACGTACTGCCCAATTGTGCAATCAGGCTCGAAGATCGTGTCATCGCCGTGCTCATTGTAAAACTCTAGAGCAAAGATATCCGGCCCGGAGCAAGGGATTGAAGTGGTTGTGCACACGAGACTGTACAGGACAACAACATTCTGATGAGCATACGGATCAAACATATTCGCATTGCCCGACACGTAGGCTTCCCACTGGCGTTTCTGAGTCTGATAGTGATAGAGCGCCCGGTCATATTCAGCGTCATGGGCCGCGTGCAGCACTTCTTTGACCTTAGGCGGGGCATCATGGGGAGACTCGTGAACCATCTCAGGGGTGATGAGCACAAACTTCTGAGATTTGGTCTTCTCGTCTGCAGGAGGCTCGGAGCTTTGATCTTGGTCACGAAGACGTTTTAGATAGGCCAGCCGGCGCTCCATCTCTCTGGTGCGCATGAGCAAGTATGGGGGTTCGAATTTGACAAAAGGGGACGTGGAAAGGACCTTGGTCTCGATGTCTTGAACCATGTCATTGTAATACGTCGGCATGGGCACATCGTCCGGAACATCGATGGTTTCAGCGGCCACGGGTGGGTTTCCATCAGGAACATCGTTGGATTTCTCGTTGCGCTCTTGCTGAGGAGTGATGACCTCCTTCTCACCCTCATTGGCGATTGGGAGGCGGGGATTCTTCTTGTCCTCTTCGTTGTAGTCGATTTTTTTCATCTCGTCCGTGGGCGATGTTGGTATCTTCGCAAACTCATCTCGCATTAGACACGTCTCCAGGCGAAGGTTGTATACCACATAGATCATGAATTCCGTGATCCGTTTCACTTTCCCGAGGACCTCTTCGTCTCCACCTCGAAGAATGATGGTGCAACCAAGCTCCTTTGGACAACCGGAGATGTACATGTACGTCTTCTTTCGGCCATTGTGGACGTAAGTTTTCACGTCAAAACTGCTGCACTCGCTCTGCATGGGTGTGGTCAAGAGCTTGTCCATGGATGTGACAATCCTGGTCTGAGTACACCGAGACACCGCCTCCAAAACTGATGGCTTTACATTGTACGCAGTTGCAATGCCAACTTGCTCAAGGAGACCCAGAGCTAGTCCGGACACGTTCTTCTCAACCAGAAGCAGATTGGGTCTTAAAGCCGCGATTCGACTGACAAGATTCTCTAGAAACTCGCGCTCTTGTCGGATGACAGGCTCAAGGCTCATGAAGTGCTGCTGCTGGCGAGCATATTCCAGTGGGAAAGTGATGATCAAGATGTTCGGATGCGGAATACTCCGAGGCATACTTTTCAACGCAAGATTTTTGGTGAACACCAGTCCTGAGACGTAGGATGTGTCACTTGGCCGGCCACTGGGGATTTTCTTCAGCTTGATGTAGTGGCGAATATCCATATCGTCCCCTCGCTGAACATCTGGATCCACTTCATCGGCCGCCTTCAACAAAATTGGCAGAAGAGCACTCTCCCAGCCTTCACCATGTGGCACAGACGAATCTGCAAGTAATTGCCGTAAAAGCTTGCGCACATGCTCCAAACTGGTTTTGTTCAATTCAAGAGGAGGAGCTCCTGCCCCTCTCATTGACGAGCTCCGGGTCATCTTGAATCCGCTTGGGCTTCTAGCAGCAGCAGAGAACGGAGAAATTTGCAGAGAGATTTCATGGGGCAGTATGGTGTCTTTCGACGCCCGTGGTGAGTGGCGATGACTGCTAGCAACACTGAGGTTTCGACGTCGATGAGTGCGAGGCAGATTCACAGCTTTTGAACTACTAATGCTGGCGTCATCTGCATCACGCATAGAATGGCTTATGCTGGGAGTACTTCGATCTCCAAATGCGGATCGACCTTTCTTCATGGCTGAGCCAAGAATGCCACCAAGGGTTGCTCTCTCATGGTCGCCACTACCTTTAGGGAAAGAACCTTCAGAAACCGCAGAAAGAAGGCTAGGTTGCTCATCACCGCTGGATGCGTCGTCTGAAAGGTACTGGGCAAGATCAGGGTCAATGATGTTGTCTTTGTGGAATGCAGGAAGTCGAGATTCAGATGCAAAGTCATCGCCATGGCGGCGCTGGAACGGAGCTCGATCTTCATGATATGATTTGAAACTTCGGATGTATTGTTGACGAGAGTGGTGACGCTTGTGACTTATGGAGTGGGGCCGTGTGTTCAAGGACGATCTCAATGATCGCGACGAGGTAGGTCTGGTTAAAGGGCGATCAGAATTGATTTCAAGGACTGCCGAACGGCGATTATGACCCTCGCCAGCACGGCGAGTGGCTGGAATGGCCATTGTTGGCGTTTTCAGAACATGGTCAATCGATTGAGAGAATACAGATGACGTATCATCATCGTCGGCGGAGGCGCGTCCATTGTTGCTAGGAATTCGAGGATTGGTGACAATGGGGCTCTGCTCGCTATCAGAAAACTCGGAAGAGTCATCCTCGTGCGCATTGATCATGGCCTCGCAGGGCTTGCAAACACGGATGGAGCTAGGTTGCCCGAACCGAGTTCCGGGTACCAAGTGAGTACATCTTGAATCGAAAATCTGGCCACATGTGCGACAATGGTGTTTTCTGCGGAATGTCGAAAAGGGCTCCCCGCAGTGAAAACAGTCTTTCGCATTCTCATCGCGCATCCAGAAATCTCTGCTGAGCAGTTTGCTTCGGAGCTGAGAAAGGACACCATCCCCACCGGCTACTGGATGGCGGGCGTTGCGTAGACCAGCACCAAGGTTTCGATCAACTGCCGTGTTCAATGGTGACAATGAAGATACGGTTGTAACAGTCTCGGCAGTAGACGCTCGCGACATCATATAGCCAGGTAATCGGCCCGTCTTGGCCGGCATGCTCGGCTGGTCCTTGGATTTACCAAAGGCAGGGGCCTTGGAAGACTCGGTTGCCTCCTTCTTATCGCGAGGCATGGCAACCACACTGTTGTTGGCAGAGTCATCTGCCTGGTATAAGTCCTCTTCATGCAGGGGAAGTTTGTGAAGGCTGGTCGACGCCGAGACCGGTGCACTTGACTCATCTATTCCGATAGACGCTCTCGAGTTTGACCTCTCTGTCGAGCGAGGCGGGGCAAGATCTTGTATTGGCTCGGGCTTTATTGTATTTCGCGATGACATCGGCGCTAGTGCGTTTTCAGGCATCCCCTGTTGCTCTGCAGGTCCTGGTTTCCTTGACTGGTTATCTGAGGCCTGGTTTGCTGGGACGGACGATGCACCAGCATCCACTCCGCCCTGATCTTCAGGATGACTATCATGCATCTTTGCAGATAAGCCAGGAGAATGTGACATGTTCGTGTTGAAGACAGAGGATGTCGGACTCATAGTATTCTCCACGGCGCCATCTCTGCTGCCAATACTTGCGACTTCGTCTGGAATCCCGGCCGATGCAATGTTGCCCGAGTTACTTGCTGAACGGTGGCTTTGACCGATAGCATTCACATGCAGTTGAGTAACGGCAGGATCTACTGTGCCAGAGTTACCAGTAGACTTTGTCAACGGCGCAATGTTCGCTTTGCCAGTGGGAGCAGGCGAAATCGAAGTCTTGGATGATACGCTGGCACTCTGTGAGGAAGCCTTGGATGTTTTGTTGAGAGACGAATGATGCGCGGTGTCTGGGTTATGCTGGAAGTTCGACGCCACTGGTGAGTGCAGTCTCGACCCTTGCGAAGAGTTGGGATACGATGGCGGATACTCCGTTGTGCTGCCCGCCAGGTCCGAAACAGACTTGGTCATAGACCGCTCCGAAACAGGGCTCTTGAGCGCGGGTGATTCCACGGCATTCTTCTCCGCCGACTTGCCGCCTCCACCTCCGACAGAAGCTCGAAAGCGACTATAGAGCCCACTGAGTCCACCTTGAAGCCCTTCCGACAAGTTCTTCTCTTCTGACACAGAGGCTGGTGGCGGTGGACTGGTGAACTCGTTGAACAAGGTCAGCGAGTCCGACTGATACGCCGTACTGTGGATCTGATCTAGGGCGGCGTTCATGTTCTCTTGTTCGGTCTGTGTGGTGGCCATCGATCCCCGCGACCCGCGCCGTTCCAGCGGAAGAAACATGGGTGACACGGACGGTCTGGGCGAGCCATAGGACTTCTGAGACTCCATGCGCACGGTGGCATAGCCAAGGGAGGTGAGGTCTCGGGTCAGGCACGGAGGTCTTAGGCTGGACCCGCGCGGTTAGAACATGGGCGAGTGTAGCCGAATCGGGCAGATTAGAAATAATGTGGGTTCGTTGGCATCAGCGGACCAGGCCGCAGATAGACAGCGTTGGGAAGCAGAAAGAAAGAAAGAAACAAAGCTGGGGGAGCGAATGACGTGGGGGATGTGGCGGTGAAGATGTGGCGCAGAAATCAACGCGTTTCTTTATCGCGGCGCGTCGGGTTCATGAAGAGCAAGTCGCACGGTTTTCTGACTTTGGGCTCGACCATGATCCTCCCCCCATTCTCCTCCATCCTGACGATTGTGACACTGCTCCTCGGTCACGGCAATCCTGGGTCGCTACAATGATTCCAGGGGTCCCCTGGATTGCGTCGGCCGTCGAGAGCTGTCTGTCCTTCTATCTGGGCTTGGCCGAGCAGACCCTGGTCCAGGTGTCGGACGATGGCTGTAGCCTTCAGTTCACCCCCCAGGGCCTCCCACACCCCACCCTCGCGGTTATTGATCAAGTAAGCATCTTTCCTGAGTGAAGCGAGCCATACTGAACAATGCTGTTCTTTGCCAGTGGGGACCCAGCCGGGCAACATTGATGGATGCACAGAATCAGATTGATGCCACCTTCTCGCAAGCTGCCGTCGACCTCGCCCTGCCCGACGTCCCCATCCGGCAGATGCAGGACGCTACAAAACACCTCATAGAATTGTCGGACTTCACTATTGTCTTTGTGTACTCGGCAGCTATCCCCGAGGTTTACTTGCGTGTCAATCGCTTCGATGTGCACTGGTCTGAAGGGGACATCAAGTTTGTGCCTACAAAAAAGCTGCGGAACACCAGCTCCGTCAAACCTCTACTGGCAACGGCCTACCGCAAATGCCGACAGGCACTGAAGGAAGCACGTTCAGACCAGAGTCCAACAACCAAATCTATCAGCTCCCAATATGACCAAACTCCCCGTCCCGGTCTTCACCGAGATAGTTCACCCATCGGCGGGTCGCAGCAGCTCCAGTCCCAAATGCCAGCTCTTCATAACTGGCATGCTTTGCAGAACACGACCAATACTGGGAGTCCTTCTTTGAATGGATCAACCGACCTTTTGCGTCATCTGGAATCAGACCCCAGCAAATCCTCTCGGAATACTCCTCAACCACGTAGCCCTGAGCGAACCTCCGCAGCACAAGACTCACATGATGCTAACTCTGTGGCGAACATCTGCTTGAACGGGGATTCGGGCATTCAACCCTCCCAGAATATTGAACTCAGCGCATCCCAAAGGCGGCAAAGCCGAACACCTGAGGTCCTACAATCCCGCGAGGGCTCCAGCAATCCCGATCCCCAAGACCTCGCCAAGCAAGTCGAAGATTCAATTCGATCTGAAACCCAGGCAGTTAATAATCAATCTACGCAACCGCAAAACCCTCAGGATATACAGACGGATGAAAACGAGCGTCTATCAAAGAAACGTCCCCGTGAAAGCACCGATGAATCTTTTCCTTCGCCCCAGACAGATGGTTTGGGATCGAACGGACCAAATGGCGCCTCACCTTGCAGGAAGAGGCAGTGTGTTGAATCGGAGAAAGATAGCACGACACCTACAACAGAAACCGAGAATGTCCAAGAAGGGAGAACGTCGGCGCCACCTCATAAAACTCAGCCTGTTACAATAACAGATGATCTTACTCCCCCCCCGAAACTGTCCTCGATCAACCCTTGGGAAGGATTCATAAGGATATCTGACCACGACATCACAATTCCCAAGGACCAAGCAGCTTTCTTCGACGAAAACGAAAAACTGTGCTTTATTCCGCCCAAGACGGGTGAGCCGACGCCCCAAGGACATGTGCCACCAGCTCTGTTACAAGAGTGGAACGACATCGCCAGACGAAGGCATGAGGCATTGGCACAGAAAGAACGGGAGAAAACTCCTCCATTGACCACTCAAGAGTCCGCTCTTTCTGGCTCTGAGTCAGAGGCTGAATCTGACACTAGTGAAGCTTTGTCATGGCCAGAAAGCCCGCCTCTGTCTCGTCATATCAACCTCATACCGCCAGAAAGCAGCCCTATTAAGCAACCAAGTCTTTCCAGACGTCCTGCTGTTAGTGGTGATGAGCATGATAGTTGTCTATCCCAGCCAGCAGGCGACAATAGCCTGGATATGGCGAATGCTTGTCAAGACGCATCTCAGCAGGAATTGACCAATACTGCAATGTCCAATGCACCAGAAGCATCCACATACCGGGATCTAGAAGAGACAACTGCCAATCCTCAAGAGCCGGAGACTCTGGAGCAATCGGCTGGGCCGGCACGTTTGAAATCGCCTGGCGCGTACATGGAGGACGAAATCCAGGGCCAGCTGGCGCATGAAAGTCAAAAGTCGCCCAAAGAGGAAATCCCGTCACCAGTTCCCGTTCAGACGCCTGAAAATAGCTCAGATGACGAATCTGTTATGGACACGTCTTTTCCACAAGCCCTTGATTCAAGCTTGCACACGCAGCCATTTGACAGCCAGAGGGAGGAGGACCTTCCTAGCTCGGGTCCTTCCCTTTCAGGCGTCACTGCCAGGGAGCACGTTCAGGTTGCACAGACCCCCGCTGCAGAAAACACCCGTTTGTGTCGCGACAAATTGCAGATTGAACATCCGCCTTCTGACTCGCAACAACCATCCCCCCAAAACAAAACTTCCTCTCAGTCACGAATCTTCAATACTTATCGTTCCCACGGTAGCCATGGCATGAGCGACACATCTTACGAAACATCAGATCCGTCCTTGCGACAATCGGGAGATGAGCCGCTCCAGGCGGATGCAATGGGAACCCAGACTCTGAAAAGCAGCGGAGACTCACTGTCCCAAAATACTTCTCTTCCTTCGTATCCATCGCAGACAGGAGTCGTCCTCGACCCATCTGATCCAGCGCATCGGCATCAAACCCCAAGACTGGCGGGACCAGAAGTTCAACCTGCGTTGATTTCATCCTCAATTCCTGGTGCATCACAAACGTCTCGATTCTCTCAGCAAACGCAACACTCTTTGCTAATGGTCTCATCCTTGGACACGCACATGATGTCCTCGCAGGTCTCGCCGCTGAAACAAGTCACATCCATCGCTCGAGTTCAAGAACAATCTCCGTCCACCGGTAGTCGCAGCTCAACCCGTGGAAATGCAGACTTCAGTCGAGTACCGTCTGGTACTCCAAACTTGGGTGTGGTTTCTCGACGTGAATACTTCGTCAGCAATCCCAACAGATATTTTGATGAGGCACGGAATGTTTACGAGAAGTTCCGAGATGATTACCCATGTTATTCGGGAGACTTCACTCATTTTTCAGACTTATGCGCGAAGCTGCAAGCCTTTCGAAGCAACGGTCTTCACCTGCAACGGTCGTATCTCTGGGACGACTTTATCATTGGGCATCTCGAGGCCTACCCGCACTACATCGAGGAGTGCTTGTCCCAGGGCTCAACAATATTCACTTACGAAGATTTTTTCAAAGATCGTTTCTCTACGCCTCGATACAAGAAACGGAGCTTACAACCCCGTGGCATTGAAGTATGTGCCGCACAATCCGGCAGCATCACCGAAGCCGCCGACAACCTGACCCAAACAGAGCCAGCGCGTCAAAGTGAAGCCATAGCGACCTCCTTTACCGGCAGTCTCGTGAACAAACTCTTAAATTTCCATGCCCATTCCCCATTCGAGGTTGCTCTTGACAATGACCTGCCGGATAATGCCTTTTCAGCCGCTTTTCCTGCCGCGCGTTCATCTCGTACCTCGTCCATTAAAAGTTCCTCAAGTTCGGTCATCATCAAACAAGAGGGCTCCTCATCCAGTGATGACGACCAAAGCCGGATGACATCATCACCTTGCTTCCTGGATTATGAAGACATAAAGCCAGATCCTGATCCTGCCTTTCTTGACGAGTTCCTTCAAAGCAACGCTCGTGACGGGGCTGGTCTGGGTGGTGATCTCCTTGTTGACCAGGGTGTCGACGTGCCCGAAGTCGAGCAACCTGATAATGACAATGATGTCGACATGCGCGCTGCAGAAAACACCGAATTTGCCGCCGATGCTGAAGAAGAAGATTATGATGACGATGATCAACGCCACGAAACAGCCAGCATCGAACTCGGTGATGACACCGATCTTACCGTGCACCTCTCGCGCGCCGAGTCCAGGCTCCTCTACGATACGGAGGTAGCCGATGCCGACGAAGAAGACGAAGGCGAGGACAGCGAGCCTGAGAATTGGTTTCATTCTCTGCGGCACTTACGGTCCCCCGGACCCAGGTGGTCTGACGATCCATTTACACCGTTCAAAGTGTGGGCTCGAGCCGATCAAAATGTACTCGTTGAACGACGCCGTCGCGGCGGTGCGAAGATTCTTGTTGATGGGAGTGGGGTCATTCAGCGACCTACTTTATCGTTGAATCGTTGAAGCGCTGGGCTTGTATATTACATGTTGGTCTTGCTGAAATGAAGCGTTTGATTTATGTCATGAATAATAACTCTGATGATAACGAACAAGAAGGGTCACGACGTGGCTTCCCCAGATGACTGAGGGACATGATAAATACACCAAGGAAACTCCAAACTCTCCACTAGTCTAAAAGAGAACCTATCAGGCCGGCCAGCAGCGCCCGGGTGGCCAGGAAAGTAGATGGCAGATGCATTGTGAAAAGATTGCGAGGGTGTATGGGTTTAGAGAAGAATTTCATCTAACAGAATTGTGGATATCAGATCAGGAGAAAGGCTTTTATTCATATACTACTGTTGCGGCTTTTGGTCCCCTGTCACCGCAGTTTATCTAATACCTAGCGGTTTTGCTGAACTAACTATCTTACGCTCTGTTCCAGAACCGCAGGAGCATACCTAATTTCTTGGCTTAACGAGGGAACCTCTTCAACCGTTAATTATGAAGATTCAATAGTGGATCTTGTCTAGGTTGGGCCTAGCTTAAATATTGGGGCTCATTACAAGGCTAGTGATTATAGAACTAGAATTATCGGGGTTATGATAGACGGGTCACTTGGGAAGTCTATGGCTTCAATGAATCTAAATTAGCTATCTGGTATGGAGAGACTCAATCCGTGTGAAATCGAAGATAAGTATAATTATACCCAAACGCGTCTATCAAATTAGAGTCATCGTCTGATACTCGTAGTCGAAAGCAGTAATGAAGATGCTTCTCAAAGTTGAAGTGCTACTTGCTCTATTCACACCATCGAATAATTCCGTAGATAATCAATCAGCGTCCTGCTGCCAGCTGTACCTTTATGTACCTACAATGGTTTCTTTTCAACTAATAGCAAAATCCGTAAATCCTCCGACTTCAGGCATTGTTTTAGATAGCCTGGAAATCATAGCGTAGAAAGAAAGTAGCGTGTATGCAATATTACCTATTTATATTTGGGGAAATATCCACCAAAGCTGTCATTTGAGGCTGCTGATGCAAGTCGTGGCGTGTGTGGTTGCTGTTTATGCGGTAGAGCTCTGGACACACAGAATCTCCAATTGGCTAGCTCCATAGTAAGCTAACGCCATCGATAACTATTTAGGCTGCTGATTTTGACTAGCTACAAACAATAATTACAGTGGGAAGACATGTGGACCGGCCTAAGATCTGCCCTCATTCGCTCACGTAGGGCTTGGTCCCTCCAACGGGTTATTAACGGCCACCAAGCGGGGAGTAGCTAGTCGGATTTGGGATAGACAAATGGAGATCGTCAGGGGGGTCGCGCGCACGGGGCAGAGGATAGATGAGTGGGAAAAAAGCAAGGACCCGGCGCCACTGAGGTCACAAGAGGCTTGTTTACTGGGATCAAGCCAAACAAAATCAAGTTTTCAAGAGGATTATACTGGAAGACAATTGCAATGATGGAATAATGGGTATATTTGATTCACTCTGAACATGTACGGCATGCCAAATGCCTGAAAATACGTAATTTGATATGGTATCATTATCAGCCACACACAAAAATGGAAATAATTCGTGAAACAAGAATCATGAGAAAGGTAAAAACGGGAAAAAAGCCATGTCATCATTTGGACGACCACGGTAACGCCAGGAATCCCAAGAACGCTCCACGAGACGAATCGTACACGAACAATTTAAAACACATAATGTCCAGGATTTGCTTAGGTGCGATACGGCTCGTAAGAGTGGTGGCCCTGAGGGCCGACAGGCTCATAGTGGTGCGGGGCTTTCTCGGCCATGATACGGTTGCCACGGTTCTTGTGGTGGTAGGGCGAGCGACCGGAGCAGCAGCAGACGGAGAACAGCCAGAAGATGTTGGCGGCGATAGCGAAAGCCGCGGCGAGCCAGGTGGCGGCGTAAATGTTCGTGCCCAGGTTACCGGTGACGCCGTAGGCCTTGAGATTGCCCTCGACAACACCCTTGAGGATGACGAACAAGGCGGTCGAGGTGGCAGAGGCGGCGACGGTGAACAGGCAGGCGGCGGTCGAGAAAAGGAAGACCACGCAACTTCCCCAGCGGCTGCAGATGGCGAAGCCGGCGAGGATAAGCTCGAGGCAGGTCGCGATGAAGGCGATGATGTACGCGATGAACATCCACTTGGACACGGCCTTGTAGACCTTCATGCCCTTGTTGTACGCGCTGGGCAGCTCATCCCTCATCGCTTCGGTGTCGATGTCCCAGACGTCGAGTGGGTTGAAGTAGAACTCGGCCTTGGGCTTGGAGCAGAAGGTGCTGTCGAACTCATCGCCGTTCTTGATGCTGCCGTCGCAGTAGCCCCAGAGACCGATGTCGTAGAAGTCCTTCAGGTTGACATCCTTCTTGACGGCGTCGACAAAGTTCTGCACCTGCTGGACACTGATCTCATTCTCGAGGTGGGTGTCCTCCAGGATGGTTTGGATCTCCTGTGTTGTTTTGGATGAGGTAGTGATGTTCTCGGTGTTGATCTGTCGGCGGTGATATGTTAGCAAAATCTCTCGATTTGATGGTGAGTGCACATACCCTGAAGAAGTACAGGTTCGTCTTGGTGCTGGAATTGGAAGCGGTGCAGCCGATGCCGACGAAGATCAGGCAGATCAACGAGGCGACGGTGAGCACATAGGGCGTGAAGATACACGCGATACGACCGACTTTGCCCATGGTGATTAATTAATTCAACGACGGTGGTGGGGAAAGACAAGAGTCGAGAAAGAGAGTAGTTGAGCGAGGACGGGGAATGACGAGAAGGAAAGGGGAGGCCTCTCTTTTAATGTTGATCGCCTTGGTACAGCCCGTCCTCCACCAGCCTCCCACGTACCACACGCGATCAGGCCAATCACGCCGCGTTGCACTCAGCCACGCTGCTTCTATTTGTGGCTGCGCTATTCCTGAACGGGCAATGTCCCTGGTTTCTTGCTGACTAACCCCCCTGGATTTGGTCTTCCGAGTTTTTGACTCTTCTGGTAGATTAATGTTACTATTGTTCAAGACAAAACCAACGGTAAGACTCGATTCATATACAAGGGAAAGGCAATACTCGACTCCGACATTGCTGATCAACAGACGGTCCAGAGTTTCCCAGTTATTCTCGATAATCACGATCGTCATACCAATACCCGATGGAGCACACACGGGCCTCGTCACCCTTCCCAGCCCTGTGGGTCCTCTGAGTTTTCCATGGCACAGCCCGCTATGTACGGAGAAGTAGACGGGACAAGCATAGGCTACTCCGTTCTGCGGTGCGCTTGGCATGTGGCGCGTGCTTTTCACTCTTGGTGCCTGAAGTGCCGTGTGGGATCTCAGCCCTGCCCGATCCACAGCTGCGATGGAGTGTTTCTATATTTATTTCGGCTGTCCATGATCGGGTACGTACTTTTTCCTATTCCAGATAAAAACTGCCATGGCTGACGAGCGTCTTCCATCCTTGTTGGCTTGGTCGTGCGCAGCCTGCCACGAGGCATGCTCGTCATGTACAACGTGTAGTAGGGACTTGGCTGGTGCCTGAAACGACGATGGCAGTACATCTAGTACATCCTTGGATTGACGAATATCCTAACGAATGTCCCTGCTTCTCAAAATTATGTGTCCCATCTATAGACCGATTTCTCTCAGTTTGATGCTGGTCTTTTTCTTGAACAGCCCGATAATCTCACTTTAAACCCACCGACCATAGCCTTAATAGGACTTCATACAGTACATGAGATGATTACATATCAAAACCGTGATATAAAAGCCAGAATCTACCAGCTATTCCTACTTCAAGAGTAAACGTGTTACCAAATAGGTACGTAGTATTTCACGTGACGCTATGTATGACCCCGCCGACGAGATTAATCAGGATTAAGCAGCCACACCATCATAAATCCTGTTTCATTCCCACACCGATATGCACTCTATCTCTTGCCGGATCTTGGCAATCAACATGCAGGTTACGCAAAGAGGAAGTCCCCCGTTCAAATCCCATCTGCCTCTGAATTTTGAGAGAGTGCCTCGGGACACTATCAGGTCGTCGCCGGGATTTGGTGGCTCCTTACGGCCACTGAAGAAATCAGCGTCTGTAAATATTGGATAAAGGGCCCTGTTTCATAGCCTTTGAGGTGCTACCCCTCAACAGTGAGCCTTTTTTGATTATATCTTGAGGTCGATGGTTGAGGTACGAATTTATTCTTTAAGGAAAGAACGGGCCCACCCAACCAGACCTTTCATCTCCGAAAGCTTCTCTAATTACAGATACGGCTGCAGAGTAGACATCATCCCCGTATAGGCGGCTCCACTAGGCGGCTCCATGCTAAACATGTAGTCCCCCCACCAAGGTCCAGCAGCCCACCACATAGCCCCGGTCCAGACATCAGTGTTATCAGCCAGATAATCCAACATACCCGTGATGGCAGTCTCGCACACATCATTGACCCCGCCGGCGAACTCGCCTAGGACGCCGACTTTGCTGTTGTCCTTGAGCCACTGCGTTGCGTTCGTGACTCGCTCTACGCCAATTGTGGTCGAGACGCAGTCTGCGCTGGTGCCAGAGCCGTCGGAGTCGAGGTATTGATGCATCTCGTAGACGATCTTGTTCTGCGGATCCGTGAGGGCCTTCATGTTGTCGTTAACGGTCGTCCAGGTCCATGCGCCCGTGTAGGAGTTGCCCTCGACGAAGATGTATTGCGAGGTCGCTCCCGCTGCGCGGATACCGTCAATGGCGGCTTGGTTGAGGTTTAGCACGAGGGTTTGGTCCATGTCGTGGTATTCGTTGTCTGATTATATGTCAATCAACAATGGCCACATCTTATTGGGAATAGCTTACTCGTGTCAAAGATGGCCAGGTCGTTCGACTTGAACTGGCCTGCGACATTCGTCCAGAAAGTCTGGAAGTCCGAGGTGCTGGTAATGATATCTCCATTGCTATACAATCCCGTCAGTCTCCGTCCAGAGTAATGAATGGTGACTTACTATCTTCCGTAGTTATGTGGATCCAGCACAGCATGCGCGCCTGCATCAGTAATGGTATTGACAACCTGCACCCGTTAATACTTGATAAATTCCCAGCCACGAAGATAAAATTACTGTAGTGAGGTTCTGCAGATAGCCCTCGTCAAAGGACCCGGTCATAGAAGTCGGCACAAGCCGTTCCATCAGGAAGGTCACCCGGAAGATATTCATGCCATTGCTTATGAGGGTCTGAATGGTGCTCAGGTCGGGGAAGATGAAATCGATTCCCTGAACAGAAGGCCAGTCAGTAGGAAGAAGAGAAACTTAAGAGTATTAGTTAATTGAGCACATACATAAATACCGGGAATACTGGTTGAACCGAATTCCGCGCCCGACTCGCTCGCTCCGAACCCTGCGTAATCAGATTAGCTTCAATGCATATGATTCAACCAAGTCTAGGTTCTACTACATTGGAAGGGAGATGCTCTCTTCGCAAAGTTTTTTGACGGAGCCGCTGCTGCGGATCCAGCCGCGGCAGCGAGGAGAACGAGCTGGTTGAGTCTCATGTTGATTTAGAAACTGAGAATGATAGCTACTCTTCAAATCAGAAGAGGAATTAGTATGCCAAAAGGAAGTCTTGTCCTAAATAACACGGGAAAACATGTCCACTTTATATTTCTCCGTAGCTTGTAAGTCTAACCTATCTTCGAAACACTTGGCACGGAGGTTGAATATCTGCTCCATTCCAAGACAGGTCCTCAGTCCGTTCGTCTCCGTCCAGCGCCCCAGTTTAGTTAGCACCAGGATACCCGGAGTAAATCATTCAGCTATATCCTCCAGTCTTGTGGCAGGTAATTTCTTCGCGGACACAAGCAGGGACTTCTGAGTGGCAGATTTCTGTGTTCGAGGGGTGATGACTAGGGCTTTTTCCGTGGCGCTTCAGGCATCGATCGGCAGGAAGGAAATTGGAGATGTGGTTGACGGGTGGCGTGTTTTAGGTTTTGTGGGGTTCTTTGAAGAAGGATCCTTTGTTTTTTCATGTTATTAGCTTGTCTCGAGTGTATAGAAAGACTAATTTGGAAGACTACTGATCTATATAACTGTCGAAGTATGCAATATGTGAACACAAAATTCCAAAAAGATACAAATGGCAGAAAAATTGCAGAGCCCATCGGGCTTAAATGGACCAGAAACGACGGAGCTTGTTTATTCCATCTGAAACAGGGGTTTTACCGTGTAGACGCATTTTATCCCAAGTAGTGGAATTGATAGTCGCGGATAAGATTAATTGGTCAAATCTAACCGTACTTGTATCAGAGATATATTGTCCATTTCTCCTACCTATACTAAATGCTTTCTTCACTCCTACCACGCCCCAAAAGGGTGAAGATACTTCTTCATATCAGCAGCTTGCAGCTTGTGATACTTCTGACCTGGATGATAGTTATTCCACCAAACACAGCTGATACCATCGTCATTGATACAGGTTGCATTCGGGTACCCATATGCATGGGGGTGGTCGAGGACATTTGTCATAAAGGACCACGAATCGTAGAGGATTGGCGTTGCCTGCAACAATCAGTTCTAAACGCAACTCAACACAAGAATCGAGAAGATACGAACGTCTCGGTGCTTCGCTCCAAAATCTTTCACCATCGAGCTGAGTCCTTCATTAAATACCTTTAACCATGCCGCGTGCGCTGCCACCACGTCCGGCCCCTGATCAAGGATATATGGGGACCGACTCGTAGGTGGGACATTGAGAAACAAGAATTTGCGTCCACCATCAGAGTAGAGTTCCTCCGCTACAGATTGGTATTTGTTAATCAGGAGGGGGACCGTGTCGCTCGCGTTATAGCTCGAGAATGCCCGGCCGACACTACAAACAACATGATCAGTGTCTGTTTGCTCACAAGTATTTGAGAAGTGGTAATAATACTCATTGATCCCAATCCAAAATCCAAAAACGACATCGTTCGAAGACCACGGCGCGGAGGCGGGCTTGTTGTCATAATAGGTTTGGAAACTACCTACTTGTGTCACCACATCCGGGACGGTAGCGTTGACGATGTGGTTGTCGATGGTTGCGCCTCCAACGGCGAGGTCGTATCCGAGGATCAGGGAGGAGTTGTCCACTGTTACCAGGTCCTCAATCCAGTTGAGTCCAGCGCCTGTTGTTCCAGTTCCTTGAAATCAAGTATGAGTATTTCTCTCTTCAGATAGTGGTTGCAATCTTATATGCCTTACCCAATGCCGGATTACCCATTGGGTCTGAAGGTGATGGCTGCACGCCTGTAACATCGAAACCGCTTTGGGAATAAGAGTCACCGCTGTATAATGTTCTTAGCTCAGGTTTTGTAAATAGGACACAGAAATACTTCTTACAAGGTAAAAAAATAAGTAGTCTTCGTGTTCGACAACTCTTTCGGCTGCGACGGTGGTGCTGCTGCAGCCATGGCTATGACCATTAAACAAGCGAGATGCTTCATGGTGACCGAACTGACTACAATACACAAAATGGAGAGATTGCGGTTGTACGTATATCGGGGAAAATAAAAGTGAAAAAATAACCACTGCACATCATCGACTGGCGGGTCTTATATGCGTTCCTTGTTTACTCCCCTCTTTACGACTCTCATTCCCCAGGCTGTCCTCGGAATGCTAGTGACAGGCGCAAAATCCGGAGAAATTCCCGAGCCCAGGACATTCTTGCGGGGCAAGTGAGTTGCATTATGCATTTGCCAAGACTTTAGAACTAAGGCATTGAGAACGATGCAGCGATACCCCGGCCCGGCGTATACTCCGCTGTGTATGGAGACGCGGGGTAGCTGGTCCATTCCTGTTTGAACACGGCCTATACAGGCTGGCACTTCTAGAGCACACCCGTAGCTAGCTAGCGATGCTTAGGACATGTGAAGATAGTTATCACATATGCATGCTGAAACGTTCATTAATCTATATCTACACCCAGCATTGATCTATATACATCTAGCACTCACATCGTCATCATGCAAGTCAGATCCTCACCGCAAGTCCACCTCGAATAGTTCCATGCCCACGCCACAGACCAAAAGTTTTGGCTTCGCTCCATCAGACGCAGATGCATTATTGTTCATGACCGCAAGCTGATCCTTTCCCACAAGACCCAGCGACGAAACATCAGCCACAGAGCTATATCTGTCTAAGAGGTATTCGACGCGGATATCGCCCAGCGCGGGATCCGCAGTTACGGACCAGATCTTGACTCGGTGATCGTTGCCCGATGATGCAAGCATTATACTTGATGATTGATCTGACTGCTGCGACTGACCCAGAACTTTGACGGCTGTTACCGAGGCGGCGTGGGCATCGGGAACAGATACGGTACCCACGAGCGTGTTCGTACTGGGTCCAGAGGGATACGTACTTAGAAGAGACGCAGACAAAGAATTATCATCTCCTCCGGCCACGATCAGAGTTGCTGTGTCTGATAGAGACACCAGCTCCATGACTTTAATGCTGTTGGAGTGGATCTGATATCGATTCTCGCAGGTGATCTCCACTGGTGGGATAGAAGGAAATAATGGCCTAGCAGCCAGAGTAGACGACGCGATTGTGTAGAAGGGGCCAAGGGCAGTGGTGAGGTCCCAAAGAGTGAAGTATCCATCAGTCGCGGCCGTGATCAGACTCAAGGATGAGTCCTTCAGCACAAAGTGCGCTTGGGTCAGGCAGTTTGTCATGTATTTCCCTCTGGCAAGGAGAGTGAAAGTAGAACCAGAGGGGGAGAAGTGAAATATCTATAACAAGGTTAAATCCACGCATTCCCGTCAGACGAAAAGAGTGTTTTTTACCTTGAGCGTGGAGTTGGAGAGAACAAGACAGAGCAGAAACCCCTGGTTTACGCTCTCACCTTTCACATCCAACACATCGAAGCTCGTTATGCGAAGATCGGACTTCGGATCATCCTTAGGGCTGGCAGCCACCATCATGGTGGCAACCCCGAATGAAGGAATCGAGCGGACTCTCCAGACAAAAAATTCCTCGGAGGCAGCACTGGTAAAAAGATAGCGACCATCCTTCGACCAACTGACCTGTTGAATCCCAGAGTTGTGCGTATTCAGCAAGCGCAGAGACTCAAAACTCCCCCACGGGCTTGCGCGTGAAGTGGCTGACGGCCTGAATACACGCACAGTGGTGTCTTCCGCGCCAGTAGCGAATAGCAGTTGTTCTCCACTGGTGGGATTGAAGACATCCAAAGACTTGATTTCTCGCCCATGGCCTCCAGCTCGTAGGGAACGATTAATGTCGGCCTGTATCCAAACCTTGTTCAGAACTGTTCCTTCTCTCCACAGAAGCAAGGCATTCTTAATTCCTTCAGTGCCGGGCTGAAAAACCCAGCTACGGCGGAAACCACCGGATGAGATGGATATGAGGTCCATTTGCTTGGATTCGTTTCGCAGGACAAAATCTTGCGATCTGAAGCCGTACAGCATTAGATCATGTGTCTTTGCATCGAAATAACCTCCGCAGATGTTTTGGCCAAGAGAAGACGATGTGCGATGCACCAATTGCAGAGACATCTCTGCATTTTCTTTGATCTCCATTTCACGAAGACAAAAGTTTCCATCTCGGCCGCAGGTCAACAAGTATTCCAGCTCGGAGCCGTCGGTTCTGGTCTCTGATGATACCGCGCTAATTTGCGAGACACCTTCACGGCCATGACCGCGTCGGTCGTTCACCAGTGGCTGCGGAGACTTGCTAGCCCCTGAAACTCGATGGACGGTCAAGCCACCGAGTTTGGATCCCAGAATCAGATATCGACCACCAAAAACCAAGGATGCACATGATACCGTAAATGGGGGTGGCAGGTAAATCTCAAACGTCTCAATTTGTGGATGGTCACTGTTCCAGCCCGTGACTGTAAACAGCGTCGCCTTGTCATCTTTTAGAAAAGAAGCCAGGAATGAAAGCTTCTCGTTCTTAAATGAGCCGTCATCAAGAGGCCACAGGGCAAAGGGTCGTTCACCAGTTTCCAGAAGATCAGAAACTGACTTCTCGCTGTGATTATACAGTCGGATCCGGCCTTGGCTGTTGCTTATCAATGCCAGCCCTCTCTGGGGCATACCGCAGAGGACAACAAAAGAGCGAAATTCTTCAAAAAGGCACAGTGTCTCCCAGGCGACACCCACGTCCGTATCTGAACTTACAGACCCCAGTTGAATCTCGCCGCTAGTTGAACAGGCAATGAGACAGTCCGGTGCAACAAAGTCAAAACATTTCCATCCTCCGTATTTGGACTGCTTCTTCATTGTTCTGTCGACTCCATTGATTGTGAAGCTCTTCAATGCACCGTCTGCACCCCCGGTATAAACGGCTGTATCTTTGCCCTTGGCGCAAAGATCGAGCGACCAGATGTGTTTTCCAGAGTGATGGTGGACCGAGGAAATTTCTCGAAGGTGATATTTTGTCGTTTGTTGTGACGACTCCCAGCTGAGATCCCAAATAATGCATGCAGAATCCTCGCCATGAGATACCAGACCCAATCTGGCTTGGCTCTTTTCCCTGATGGGATGAAAACGAACACCCCATATGCGAGCATCGTGACCGAACACCTTTGCAACACAGGATTCAGAACCGGTGACTTGATCCTCGCCCGCACCGGCACCAAATCCAGTACACCGAAGCTCGAAGCCATCCGAGGAGTATGCAGAGGGATCCAGTGCATTTTTATGCTCACAGTCCGAGATATCCCATATCCTCACAGTTCGATCGTCACTGCAACTCGCCAAGAGCCGACCCGATTGACCATCATTCAAAGAAGAGATCTGGGGCGATATGCGCACATCAAAGATCGAGCCGTCATGACCAGTGAAGAAATGGTGGATGGAACCAATTGCTTTGCTTTGGTCCAAAAAGCAGGACCAGACGATGATCTCCCCGAAGACCGTTCCGGCCGCAACCAAGACGTGAGATGCAGAGAGGACTATCACGTCGGCGGAATACAGCATAGACTTGACGCTTGTGACTAGCTGGTGTATGTGAATAGCGGTCTCGTAATTGCCGGTCTCGGTTTCAACGAGCTTCAGACTCAACGCTGCATTGTTGGCGGTAACCAAATAAGCCGCGTCGAGTGCATTGTCGACGGCGGCGCATCCGTTCATGATCCAGTCTGGGGCAAGGAACTCGGCAGTGGCCAACGATATCCAAACATTCGAGGCATGCGAGGTTGAATTTTCAAATTTTAAGTAAAGATTCACCACGCGTACGGACTGGCCGCCCCAAACAATGACCTGAACATGGTGAGGATCATGACTGAGGGGGATGAACCCGTGGACATTGTTGCGTCTGAATGTCTGGGTTTGGGCCGCCACATCCCCGGTCCTCTCGTCAATGACACGAAAGAATGAACCCTGTCCTTGGAATATAAACCTGCTATCGCCCCAAGTAAACGCCTTCAAGGCTGTTATGGGGAGACAAGCATCGACATGCTATATTTTGAGAGTCAGACCAGGAATTTACCGTTAAACCAGACACTTACCTTAAGAGAGAGAGACATTGCTGGATGCGGTATACATCTAGACAACAGACCGCACGGCGCTTCCCATCCCACTCAGTAAAAAATGACTTGCTCTTTTTCATCCCATCCAGTCTGCTTATCTAATCTACAAGCACTATCCCTAAATGGGAATAATTGTACACGTGACCTCGCGCCTTCTCTCGTGTTGGCCCATGTCATCACCATCCAACATCGGTGACTCCTTCATGGTCTCCACGATGCCGACCACCACCACAACCTCTTCTTGTAACTCCATATCATAACCTTATCTGCCTCTGACTCGCCATGGGTGTCACCGGGCTGTGGACAGTCGTCCAGCCCTGCGCCCGGCCCGTCAAGCTTGAAACCCTCAACAAGAAACGACTCGCCGTCGACGCGTCAATCTGGATATACCAGTTCCTAAAAGCCGTGCGAGATAAAGAGGGCAATGCACTTCGCAATTCACATATCGTGGGTTTCTTCCGCCGCATATGCAAGCTGCTCTACTTTGGAATCCGACCCGTTTTTGTCTTTGATGGCGGCGCCCCCGTTCTTAAACGACAGACGATCGCAGCACGAAAGAAAAGACGCGAGGGGCGCCGGGAGGATGCGGCGAGGACGGCGGGGAAGCTGCTTGCTGTGCAGATGCAGCGATCGGCCGAGGAAGAGGCCGAAACGCGGCGGCGGAATAAGAAGCGGCCCGAAGATCAAGAAGAAGTTCCGGATGCTCCGGTATATGCCGAGGAGACTTTCATGACGGAGAAAGAGAAACAACAGAATCGGCGGTTCAAGAAGAAAGATGCCTACCATTTACCGAACCTAGATGTTTCGCTGGAAGAGATGGGAGCCCCCAACGACCCGCGGATCATGTCGCAGGAAGAACTGGAAGAATATGCGAGGCAGTTTCACCAGGGTCAAGACATTAATCTTTATGACTTCTCCAAGATCGACTTCGACAGTTCCTTTTTCCTCAGCTTGCCCGCCACCGACCGATACAATATCCTCAATGCGGCGAGGCTGCGAAGCCGACTGAGAATGGGATACTCGAAAGAGCAGCTGGACACGATGTTCCCGGATCGCATGGCCTTTTCCAAATTTCAAATTGACCGAGTCAAGGAGCGAAATGATCTTACGCAACGATTGATGAATATTAATGGTATGAACGGGGAAGAAGCGTTCTACAACTCTGGAAAGCGGATCGCTGGTGAGCGTGGGAGAGAATATGTTTTGGTTAAGGACAGCGCAATGGAAGGCGGATGGGTCCTTGGTGTGGTAGGGAATAAGGACGAAGGCCAGGAAGACAAGCCTATTGATCTTGATCGACATGACCAGCTGGAACGTTTGTCAGAAGATGCCGAGTCAGAAGAAGAATTTGAGGATGTTCCGATTGAGGGCCTCAACCGACTCCCCAAGCTCCCTTTCCTCCGTGAAGGTGTATTCGACCAGTCGCTTCAGCAGGCGAGGGAAGATTCAGACATGGAAGAAGCGCTTGGCAGGTCTCGCCATGATCTACGGAGAGCTTCGACACATGAAGACGACTCGCTCTTTGTTCAAGGCGGAGATTTTGGCAGTGAGATCAACCATGATGCCGGTATTTTCGAAAATGAGGAAGATGAAGATCTCCGAAAAGCCCTCTCATTATCATTACAGCACGATGAAGAGCAGAAAGACGAAGACTTACCCGACATCTCTATCAATCGACCAAAGGAGCCAGTACTACCTCGTGAGCCAACAAGGGACATGGCACTCGAGAGTGACGACGACATGGATTTTGCAGTTGCCATGGCACAATCTAAAGTCTCCCAAAAAGAACGATCCAAAAATGCGTTTACCGGACCTCTTCCTTTTGAATCTGTCAAGCTTAATAAAACCACAAAAGATCGGCCTGCTGAAATTGACACGGAGGCCGGTGGATTCGTGAAAGAGTCCAAAAAATCGTCGAAAAAGGAAGAAGAGCCACTGCCGCCCTGGTTCGTGGGAGAACGCGATAATGCGCAATTCATTGTTGACTCGACAGACGTTCATGAGAGAGATCAGGAGCGGCAAATAGCGCCAGATCATCTTTTTCTGTCCAATCGCCGATCACCAGACATAATTGATGTTGACAACCTGTCGGAGACGAAGGAAGTAGTCGATATCGAGCCCGACTCTAAGAAGCAGGAGTCCGGAATGGAAAAGCACGAGATGGCCATCGAGGTAGACGACGCGGTGCAAGACGTGTCTGATGCCATATCTCACAAGAGCATTGATATGGAATCAACAGCCATTGAAGTTCCTGAACAGCCAGTCGCAATTGAACAAAACCTCGATGAGCCACACCCGCAGGTTGCTTCCTTAGACGTCGAGCAATCTCACTCTCCGGATTTGAAAGAGTTGACTGCAACACCGACAGAGGTCGCAGGTGGTGCTGCTCCTGCCCAGGAAAGGCCATCACATCCCCAACGTTCCCCTTCGCCTGAATTCGAAGATGTTTTGCCGTCTACAACAGGACCTGAAATTACTGTCAGCACCGTCGGTTACTCCGTTCCAACCGTCCCGCCTCTGGAAGACACCAGCCGGCCAGAGGTCTTGGTAGAGGACGAGGACGAATACAGTGACCCAGAAGATGAAGAACTACTACAACAACTTGCAGCTGAGGGAGAAGAGCACGTCCGATTTGCAAAAACCCTCAACTCCGCTGCTCCTAACCAAGATGCCTTCGATTACGAACGAGAGCTCAAACAGCTGCGCAACCAGCAAAAGAAGGATCTTCGTGATGCAGACGATGTGACCCAAATCATGATCACCGAGTGTCAGCAGCTGTTGGGACTCTTTGGGCTACCCTACATCACTGCCCCCATGGAGGCAGAAGCGCAGTGCGCCGAGCTAGTCTCGCTCGGCCTTGTGGACGGAATCGTTACGGATGACAGCGATGTTTTTCTGTTTGGCGGTACGCGGGTCTACAAGAATATGTTCAACCAGAGCAAGTTTGTGGAATGCTACCTGACCTCCGATCTGGAGAAGGAATACTCCCTCCACAGAGAGAAGCTGATCAGCTTTGCCCACCTCCTCGGCAGCGACTACACGGAGGGTATTCCCGGCATCGGCCCCGTCACCGCACTGGAGATCGTGACCGAGTTTTCGAGTCTCGAGGAGTTCCGCGACTGGTGGACGCAGGTGCAGATGGGCATGAACCGTCCCGACGACAGCCACGCCGCATTCCGGAAGAAATTCCGCAGCAAGGCGTCAAAGATCTTCCTGCCCCCCACATTCCCGAACACGCTGGTTGACACGGCCTACCTCGAGCCTGAGGTCGACGCCGACCCGTCGCAGTTCCAATGGGGCGTGCCGGACCTGACCGGCCTGCGCAGTTTCCTGATGACCACGATCGGCTGGAGTCCGGAACGCACCGATGAGATTTTGTTGCCGGTCATCCGCGACATGAACCGGCGCCAGCAAGAGGGTACGCAGTCGAACATCACGCACTTCATGCAGGGTTCCGTGGGGGCTGGCGCATTTGCGCCCCGCGTGCACCGCAGCGGACCGAGTCGCATGGAGAAGGCATTCAGCCGACTGCAGCAACAGGCGCAGGGCACTCCTCACGATGGCGATGCTGGGTCGGGAAAACGGGGGAAGAAACGCAAGACGCACACATAGATTAATTAAAAAGCACTAGGCAGTCCTAAGTGGCAATTGAACCAGTGGTTGAACTGCACATCCCCCCCCACCGATCGCCCGAATTAAGCAGTGCTTTGGCATCCCTCCACTACTGACGATCTTGATCAAAGTCCAAACAGGAACGGCCAGTCCCTCGATGCAACCCTGGACGAACCGAATCATGACATGTTCGAGTGCAGGAACGCAGAGTCATGACATCACGACCGGTGGTTCGTCCATGACGTGGAGATAGTACAGCAACTAGCAAACTACTAACGAACTAACTACTTCAGCACCGCCTCACTGGAGGGCCAAGTGGGATCGCGACGAATCGGGTAAGGTGCGCCCCCTTCTCGACGTCACCAGCATCAGCAACATCAGTCAAGCTCTCACTACTCTTCTACCCTCAATCCCTCACTCTCTCTGTCTCCCCTGAAGACCCAACATTGCCCTCCCCCAAAACGGTTGCAGTCAAGTGTGAGCTTCCGTCGCCTCCGAAGCTCTCTCCCTGTGCTCCCCCCCAACTCTTCTTTAGCGCACGTCACTACTGCGCAACGCCCTTGTGCACGTTACCCTCCTCCTTTTCTTTCTTTCTTCCTTTTTCTATCGAAGATTCTCCCGATCCCTCCCCCTTACTTCCTGACTGTCGGTCGATACCCTATTCCCCCCACGCCCCTGTGAGATAAACCCAGCCACCATAATGCATCGCACCTATTCTATGCGCCAGTCGCGCGCCCCCGACCGCCTCGCAGGTCGAGAACCCCCCCGCCGCCAATGTCTTCCACCAAGACCAACCGCTGGCTCGGAAAAGGCGGAATCGGTGAGTGCGCATACCCTGGTGTTCGCTGCGGCATTGCTTGTCGGTCGCATTGCCTCTCCATGGTGGCCGGATCGGTTGAATTCTCCGCGTCCGTGCTCGATCGGGAGCGATGATGACATGAGAGGAATGCTGTCGAGACGAACACCACACCATTTTCGACGGGATCGCATTTATGTACTGACAATGGCTCAGGGCATGCCTTCCGTAAGAACACCGCCGGTGCCTTCGGGCCCGACCTCGCCCGGAAGCTGTCGCAGCTGGTCAAAATGGAGAAGAACGTCATGCGCAGCATGGAGCTTGTCGCGAGAGAGCGCATGGAAGTGGCGGTATGTCCATAGCCTGGTGGTGCGCACTTTTTACAGGAACTGAACATGCAACAGCAACAACTCTCCATCTGGGGCGAGGCCTGCGACGAGGACGTGTCGGATGTGACAGACAAGCTGGGCGTGCTGATCTACGAGATCGGCGAGCTGGAAGACCTGTTTGTCGACCGCTACGACCAGTACCGCGTCACAATCAAGAGCATCCGAAACATCGAAGCCTCCGTACAGCCTAGCCGGGACCGTAAGACAGACCCCACCCATCCCCGAAAGTGGAGATGAGACAGGAACGAAACCACCAGCTGACCCATCCCGCAGGCAAGCAGAAGATCACCGACGAAATCGCCAAGCTCAAATACAAGGACCCGCAGTCGCAGCGCATCGTCGTGCTGGAGCAAGAGCTCGTCCGCGCGGAGGCCGAGTCTCTCGTCGCCGAAGCCCAGCTGTCGAACATCACGCGCGAGAAGGTCAAGGCAGCCTTCCAGTACCAGTTCGATGCGCTGCGCGAGCACTGCGAGAAGGTCGCCATTGTAGCCGGGTACGGCAAGCACCTCCTGGACCTGATTGACGATGCGCCAGTGACGCCCGGCGAGACACGGAACGCGTACGATGGCTATGAGGCCAGCAAGGCAATCATCCAGGACTGCGAGGACGCGCTCAGCAACTGGGTCACGTCCAAGGCGGTGGTCAAGTCCGGGCTGTCGCAGCGCTCGCGCACCCTCTCGCAGCGCCGCCAGAATAACCTCAAGAACCGCGAGGGCGGCGTTGATCTGTCCGGCCAGGACCAGCCGCTGACGGGCGATCGGGACTCCTGGCTGCCGGCTGATCAGCACCCAAGCTATGAGGAAGGCGAGGAAGGCTCTGTGGATGGAGAGCTACGCGGTCGTGAGGAGGAGAGGGAGCCTGTCACGGTGTAATTGCCTGGATGACACCGATTTCCCCGAATACCCCCCGCCACTGTTTCTGTCTTTCCTGATGACTCTGACGGCTTAATTTTCTCTTTATTGTCCGTTTGGTGTCTGTTGTGATTCCACCACAGTCCAACCATACACCATTCATTATTGGCTACTTCTCGATTGATGCCCCTCCCCGGATGCCTCCCTGTTGTGTTTTGACTGAGATACTGATGAAGTTCCGTCGTACCGTGATACATGTTCTGTTCCGCCTGCTTGTTTTTGCCTTTCCCTTCGAAGTGTGGAAGTGTGATGTCTCGCAAGAAAAGGAACCAGATGCGTGCCGACTGACTCGTCGTTTCTTGATGTAATACCATTTGTGCTTGGTTGGGTGCTTTACTTTTACTTTTTTTTCGATGTCAATGTTCAATGTTCAATGTTTCCGTTTGTTTCTTCGAGTTACCTACTTGATCTTCTATCTTTCTATCTAGGAGTTAGTGTTAGTGGGTCACGTTAAGACAGCGGAGGAGGAGGTAATAATGGATGTATCTGCTTGTACCTTTTTTTTTTTCTCTCTCTCTCTGTAGTCGAATCCTCGCTCTTGGCGAAGAGGGACTAAATTAGACTTACTTCCCTATGTACTCGGGTACGTCAGGTACAGTCCAGCTCTGGAATGCATTCTATCAGAGAACGCCCCGTTCTGGCTAGGGCTTTGGTTGTCTGCAATCGTAGAAGAAAGTAAAAAGTGATGCTCCGCAGCCCAAGCAAGCGACGACGTCCACCTATCAGTATCCCTCGAAATCGATTTTACCATTCCGCAGGCGAGTAAGTGTTTCGTCACCGTTGTAACAATTCCGTCCAGCCTTATCCTCTACGTACCTTTAGCTAGTGCCAAGACTTAACCAACCTCAAATAGTTAACTCCAAAATACCCCTGCTCAACACGTCAATGGTATGGCGGGGCGGTCCCTCGACATGGGGGAAAATTCTAGTTGGCGCAGCCGAGCGCTTACACAGTCTGCTAATACCCCTCTTGTAAGCGTTGTGACACTCTGAGACCCCTTCTTTTTCGATATTTCTAGTATTTCCCTACATATCACGGATGTTGGAGAGAAGTACAGGCAACTAAAACATGGAGTCTCGAGTGTCCACAGGGGCCTCTTCCGAGCCTCTGAGGATTCTTTCACTTGGTAAGACCCCTCTTCACACCTGTCAAGGATCGCTAACATATTTGGAGATGGCGGGGGGATTCGTGGAATATCAAGCCTCCTTATCTTGGAGGAAATCATGCAAACGATTCACAAGGTTCTTCAACTGGACCAGGTCCCGCGACCATGCGACTATTTCGACCTGATCGGGGGTACAAGCACTGGAGGGTAACTAACGCTATCTCTCTGTCCGCCGAATCGACCTGCTAATGATCCATTATCAGGATCATTGCTATCATGCTTGGCCGGCTAGGAATGACCGTGGACGAATGCGTACGAGCGTACCGCAAGGTTGCTCAGCAGGCATTTACTCCTAAGCGGTCCTCCTCCTTACTCCCGGCGCCACCGAAGGGAGCCTTTTCCGCTCAAGCGCTCGAAAGTGCCATCAAACAAACAGTTCGAGAGTTCTGCACGGAGAAGGAGTGTGTGAACCGTCGGCTTGAAGGCCGTCCGACAACTGATTCGTGTCCACACTCTGATTTGGCCTTCCGCGATCAAAAGTGCACAAAGACGGTCGTTTTGGCAATAACCAAGGCTAATATCGACGCGAGACCAACGCTCTTCGAGACGTACGACACTTCAGCTCCTTTTGACGGATGCACTATATGGCAAGTGGCGCGTGCCACTTCGGCTGCGACTACGTTCTTCAAATCCATTCAAGTCGGTCGAGATGGGATCGAGTTTATTGATGCTGGATTCGGGTATAATAATCCATGCGATGAACTCATCAAGGCAGCCCAACAAGCATTTCCTGGACGTCGAGATCAGCTGGTTCTAAGCATTGGGACCGGTCTTGGAAATGTGGTCGATATCAAGAATACGCGGCTGTCGATTATCAAGGCCTTAAAGTCAATGGCTACATCGTCTCAGAAGGTAGCCGCCAACTTGGACCATCGATACGGAGACAGCGACCAGTACTTCCGATTCAACGTGGATCGTGGCCTCGAGGATATCACATTGTCAGACTGGGAGCAGGCAAGCACAATCGCCGCGCATACCAGAAACTATCTTTCTGCGCAGTCTAGAGCGATTGAGAAGTTCGTTCATGTTTTCACGCGGCGTGCCCTGTCGGCAGATAGGTCTGGCGTTGAGCCGTCCCCCTCTGACGGCCAGCAAGCGCAAGAAGGTGATGGAAATAAGCTACGTGGCCGTTAGTTTAAGCAGATTTTAATCTGATGTCAGACCTGCTAACCAGCACTAGACGATCAATACAAGCCTGTCTATGTCCTTCCCTCTATTGCAAACCGCCACTTTAGTGGACGTGACAATACGCTAGAATTGCTCCAACAGAAACTTTTCACCCTGAAAGAAAGCCCAAAGATTGCCCTGTACGGACTAGGGGGCATCGGCAAAACACAAGTTGCTCTACAGCTTGCGTACTGGGTGAAGAAACATCTGCCAGAGTATTCTATCTTTTGGGTACCTATATTAAGCGAGGCGAGTTTCGAGCAGGCCTACACAGAAATTGAGAGAAAGCTTGCCATTCCCAAAATCTCGGACAGTGAAACTGTTCTAGAAATGGTGCGCCGGTATCTTTCTTCAGAGGCAGCCGGAAAGTGGCTTTTTGTTGTGGATAATGCGGACGACATGGATATGCTTTTCGGCAATGACGATGTTCCTGGTGGGCTCTGCAAGTACTTTCCTGCTAGCGACAACGGCATGACGTTCCTCACTACTCGTTCCCGCGAGGTGGCGGTGGAATTTGCGGGGATGGACATAATTGAACTCGAAAAGATGAAACCGGAAGAAGCAACTGGCCTTCTCAAGAAGGTCGTGAAAGGAGAATTGCTCCGCGATCAGGCGGCAACGGCGCAATTACTTGAGGAGCTCAATTGGCTGCCTCTAGCCATAACACAGGCGGCTGCATATATCAACAAGACGGGCATCTCGACTTCGAGGTACCTTGAGCTAATGCACGGCACCGAAAAGGATAGAATGAATCTCGTGAGCAGGCACTTCCATGATAGCACTCGCTACCCTGAACTCCGGAATGCCATTGCCCCCACATGGCTCATTTCTTTCAACAAGATCAGGGACTCAAATCCTTCCGCCGCTAAAATACTGGAATTCATGTCTTTTATTGAGCCAAAGGCAATCCCACGATCTATTCTCCCTCCTCTCGAGTCGGAGGAGGATATGGAGTTCGCAATTGGTATGCTCTGTGGCTATGCATTTGTGACCAAGAGAGACGATGGCAACATGTTTGACATGCACGACTTGGTGCAGCTATCGACGCGACTGTGGTTGCAGAAGGGGGAGATACGCTGCGGAGTATCCAGAGCGCCACACGGCATATGGAATTGATATTTCCATCCGATGAATATTCGAACCGTGAGATCTGGAGAGCATACTTGCCACACACTCTTAGCATTCTCCGACACGATGAGACGCAAGACATGGATGAGAGATACGAATTATTATATTGGGTTGCACAGTGTCTCTTGGTAGATGGCCGGGCGAGAGAGGCCCTTGGCTATTTTGAAGAATATTCAAGGTGGAAGGAGAGTTATCATGATGATGAAGAACACCCTGCTCGACTAGCATCTCAGCATGAGCTCGCAGGAGCTTATCTCGATAACGGACAGATTAAGCAGGCAGTAAACCTGCTTAAACATGTGGTTGCGGTACGAGAGAAAACTCTTGACGAAGAGCACCCCGACCGACTCGCATCTCAGCATGAGCTCGCAGTAGCATATTTCAAAGACGGACGGATTCAGCAGGCAGTAGAGCTGCTTAAGCATGTGGTTGCGGTAGGAGAGAAGACTCTTGACGAAGAGCACCCCGACCGACTCGTATCTCAGCATGAACTCGCAAGAGCATATCTCAAAGACGGACAGATTAAGCAGGCAGTAGAGCTGCTTAAGCATGTCGTTGCGGTACGAGAGAAGACTCTTAATGAAGAGCACCCTGTCCGACTCGCATCTCAGCATGTACTCGCAAGAGCATATCTCGGTGACGGACGGATTCAGCAGGCAGTAGAGCTGCTTAAGCATGTGGTTGCGGTAGGAGAGAAGACTCTTGACGAAGAGCACCCCGACCGACTCGCATCTCAGCATGAACTCGCAAGAGCATATCTCGGTGACGGACAGATTAAGCAGGCAGTAGAGCTGCTTAAGCATGTCGTTGCGGTACGAGAGAAAACTCTTAATGAAGAGCACCCTGTCCGACTCGCATCTCAGCATGTACTTGCAAGAGCATATCTCAAAGACGGACAGATTAAGCAAGCAGTAATGCTGATTAAACATGTGGTCGCAGTGAAAGAGAAAACGCTTGACGAAGAGCACTCTCGACTCGCATCTCAACGTCTACTCGCAAGAGCAGTCCAAGCCTATGAAAAAACCCAAGACAAAGAATAATCAATGCCCCTCCATTTGATCTAACCATTGGCATTAATAATGCCATGCAAGCCTTCTAATCTGTACCAGACACTTGTAAACGAATTTCTGAATCCCATTTGCGCCGAGGCGTTACCAACTTTCTCATTGATCACCTTGCGTTAACAAAATTCTACATACTCAAATGTCTCAAATGAGACGATGTTTTACATTACAATCCTACTAAAGAAATAGAGCTAGCGGGTTCTCTGGGCCTAGCGATGTGCAGATAGCCAGCCTTGCCATTAAGGCTTGGCAAACAACCCGAGAGTACAATGGTAGAAGGCTATTTTGCAAGGTACACGCCATTCGCGGGCCTCGCCGTTGCAGGTTGGGATGGTGGGTACTGTAGTAAGTTAGGAGCGACCCGAGACTAGACTCCTCGACTCAACCCCGCAAGCCACACAATTCGGTGCTCCACCGGGATTATTTACTCAATTACTGGTGTGGGGGGTTGGTTCCACAGCATATAAATTACGTGAGAATTAAGGGGGTGTGAAGAGAAGGGAAAAGAAAAGGACGTATGTGTGGGAACGATATATATGCATTTCACTTCGGATCCAAACCCAGGAGGAATAAAAAAAAATGGAACGGCGTAAAAAAACGACTCAGAACCAGAGACAACACAAGGCAAACCAAACCACACAACGTCGATCCACGTTCACCTCAAGGTTCGCTCTCACAACACAACACCGCCGTACATTTATCTATTCTCCCCTGTCTCCTCCCCGAGGTTGGAGGGAAGAAGACACGCCAAGAAGACAACAGCGACGGAGGATAAAAAGGGGCCCGGGGTCAGGAGTAGAGATAAGAAGGACCAGGCGGGAGGGAGTTTTCGGGGGTAGAGAGTAGAAAAAAAGCAAAAAGCAGCCAAATAGCCAAGGAATTCCCAAAGTTCAGCAAAAAAGGGGCACAGACCGAGACCGATACCGTCCAGAGCAAAGAAAAAGCCACGGTCGGGAAAATATCCAGGGTCCGAGCAGAATTGGAAAGGTCGTGACATCGTCAGCCATCTCTTAAGGTGAGGTGAGGTAGAGAGAGCAGTCGAAACTGCAGAGGACAGAACCCGCATGCAAACCAAAAACAAAGTAATCTTTGAGAGTTGCTCGGGGCATACGCTCAGGGAATAACAGCAACAGCACAGAGATGATACAGGAATAGCAAGCAAAACACCAAAACCAAACAAAAACTTTGTCTTTGCACATCACTCATCAGTGCCGACGCCCTTCTTTTTAGGCTGGATGTGTTTTTGACCGGAACCGCTGGAGCCACTGGAACTCGAGTTCTTCTGCTTCAGGGCAGTGCCATCACTAGGAGGGGGAGGCATGGTGCGGGTGGAAGTAGCCTCATGTTTTTCGGTCAGGAGATTCTTCAGCCACCGATTCTCCATCTCGAGCTGGGCCACGCGAGCCTCCAGGGAAGCGTTCTTCTCTGTAGTCTCACGGACGGTGCGCTCGAGAACCTGCTCGCGCTGCTTCTTCTTCATGCGGAAGCGGGCGGACGCGGCGGTGTTGCGGCGACGACGATCTTCCTCAGCGGCGACGCGGCCATGCTCCTCCTGGTTGAGGGCGGCGGCGATACGGTCACCGGGGATGGACGTGGAGTACTTGGCATGGTTCATCTGGCCGTTCGGCGGCGAGATGGACGACGACACATCCGAGGGCGTCAGAGCCCCCGTGGCATGGCCCAGCTCATCCGGCGCGAACGGCACGGGCGGGTAGATCGAGTGAGCCGAGTACGGCATCATATGATCGGGGATAGAGTAGTTGATGGACTTGTCTCCCGTGGCGCCTAAGGGGAAAGTAAGCACTGATTCGAGGCTCTGTGATGCAGTGGAAGAAGTAAGGAAAGTCCCATGGAGGGAAGCGCAGAGCACGCAACCATCTCGAAGGAAGGGAAATAAGGGTTCTTCTGGGGAAGGATGAGGGGGGCATAGCATAAGAGGGCCGGTCAAGCCAGGGTCCTGCAATCATGGGTGCCTGTCCGCGGTTGTCATTTTGATGCGCGATGGCGTGCTCACTATTGAGCAGAACCGGTGATCTCATATTCGCACGAGGAGCAGAAATGAAATCTCCGTGCGAGAGGCTCGTGGCGATTTTTTTGGGGGTTACCAAAAAAAAAACCAGCCACGTTTTCGCGGACAGGGGGGAAATTGAGGCCCAGGCTTAACCGGATGATACAGGTGGAATGGGATTTGGAAAGAAAACTGGTCTCGACAGATGCAATCATGCTGCAGCTTTCTGTCTGAGCGTCTTGCGATGTGTCTCAAAACGAACCACCAAGCATGCCGATGGCGCAAGAACTGCCATCTCTGGCAACAATGACAAAATCAAAAAAGCTTCAACATACCATGATAAGGATATCCGCGGAGATCGAGCGAAGTGCGCTCGTCCTCTACACTATCGTACGAGCTGACGGAAAGCCCGCCCATGCCCTCAGTCTGGTCGTAATCCATATTGACGTTGGCGAACGGGACCAGCCCGGTGTCCGCGTCAAAGGAATAGTGCCGAGTCTTGGCCGCGGGATCGTGGCGCGAGAGCAAGAAGTTGAAATTCTCGATCTTATCGAAGGCCGGGCCAGGCAGACGAGGGACCTGAGGCTGTTGTTCCTCGGGCATGGTTGGATGAAAAAGGAAGAGAGGGAACGAGAGGGAGAAGGGAAGAAAAAAAAAGGCCCTCGGCCTCTGATGCCAGTTTAGGGTTAAGAGTGAGAGGAGGGGGGAGGCGAATCGGACTAGACCAGACCCCAGATCAGGTGAAGGAGGAGGGGAGGTACTTTCTGCCCGAGCAGATGATGGAATGATCGATTGAGCACGACAGAGGCAGAGGATTATTCCATTGCCGGTCGCATACCGCGGGAATAACGCCACGTACGCAGGGAAGAGTGCGAAAAAAGGGGAGGGCGACCGGGTGTGTAGAGACACAGATCGCCTGGGACGTGAGGCTAGTCGATGATCTGATGAAATGGAGAAATGTCGTGATCGGGGCCTCTGGTTCGCCCGTTGGTGCGGCCAGGGGTCGCTTCACCGCTCTGGGAAGAAGCCCTAATTCAGGGCGACCGGGTGGGATTTGAAGGGAAGAAAGAGAGTGCGAGCAAAATGATCAATGGAATCGTCTGGCCAGAGGATTCCCCGGATTCATGTATCGAGCAGGAAGTCACAAGAACAAAAGGGGTTGTTCTTTCTGGATTACTGGTGATTACTGGTGTCCGACTCCGCCTCGCCCACAATCACACCCTTTGGGGGCCCGTCTCCACCGCTGATGACGCGGATTTATTACTTGTAAAGTACCAAAGCTTGGCGCTGGGTTACAGCCCGAAAACACCGCCGATCAGAGCAACCTTATGACATACGTGGTTCTAGCATTCGGGCAATGATCTGGGCGGCATCTTCAACGGTCGTGCCTCGTGTGCGATGTTCCACCCGTTCCTCGCCCAGGACCGTCTCCTCCGCGATGGCCCGATATATCTCTGCAAAGGCCCCATACACCCGGGCCCCCGTTCCGCCCCAATGGCCATTCGTATCGAACGCCTCCCCGATTCCGCTCATTTCGTCCACCCAGCGATATGCTTTGGGGCTCATGCCGATCACTCCATTGCGGGCCAGCGCGGCTGTCCTCGGCGAATACTGATCGAGATGGTCGAGTAACTCCGGCAGACAATCTGCCTGCTGGGCGGTGGAGAACGAGAGGATGGACAGCGCCGTTAGGCCCTTGGTTAGGCTGGCGAAGCTGAGTTTCAGCGTCGACGCCCCGCCAATCCGCGGCGAGACGATCTTCATGTTCACCACGTCGGCCAGGCTCGCAAACGTGGGGGGCAAGGACTCCGTCGCGGCGCCCGAAAGCACGACGCTGGGTTTCGTCCACGGGCCGTCCGGTGAGTTCTTCTGCGCCGGCGGGCCCCCTATGATCCCGCCGTCCAGACAGTGGCACTGCACTGACGTGGCGGACTCGTCGCGAAACAGCGCCGCGATCTCCTCCACCAATCGTGGGGACGTCGCATTGAGTTCAAGGAAGTAGAGCGGACCACTGTCCTCGACGGCGGCTCGGAGTGCTCCCGTATCCGGCAACCTGCATGCCTCCGCTATGCGTTGTCCCGTGGCAAGTGCGTCCCGCGGCGGCACGATAGAGAAGATATAGTCCGCTTGCACGACGAGCTCTTGGTCGGACGGGAGGGTCTCGATGGCCGCTAAGCGAATACGCGCGAGTGTGTTTTCACTGCTTGCTTGTCAGCACCGTCTCGCATGCCCTGAAGAACTAAGTATCTCAGTGACCTTCGCCCCGTTCCGACGGTCACTACACGGTAGCCATGAGCTTTCAACAGTTTGGCAATCCCCAGCCCCATATCTCCTATCGAGAGGATCCCAACAGTAGTAGGACGCATGATGCCGGTGGTGTTTCACTGTAGTTAGTCAGTTCTGAATGTCTGTTCGCTCTGATATCTTTCTTGCCCTGCGGGGTGCATTTGTCAGCTCCTCCTGGTCTGGGTGTTTCTGGCTAAAACGCTTCACGCTCGATTAAGCTTATATAGTCGTCTCTCGGCAGAGTCCGTGCCTTGAATGCACTATTTACCCGAGTTCCTTGTTTCCTTTCCTGCTTAGTTGGTTGGCCCGTCATGTCATCCTAGTAGGGATGTACGTCTGGATATATAACCAGGGTTGAATTGCACAAATATGTTGCTGATCGCCAAGATGCATAACTATTTCAGTCCAGAACGAATCTTTTGGATATCCAAAAGCTAAGACCCCTGTGCTGGGTGACTCGATTTTGTACGTCCGTGAAAGGATCCGGGAGGTACATGAAGGTACATATTTTGCTAGCGGTTGTATGCCCGCAAACAAGTCATTCCAAAGTACCCTTAATAATGAACGGAGACCGACCGTGCCGACACTTCCGACCCCCGCGACCTAACCAACATCTGCCTCATTATTAATAGCCTAGAGCTTGGCGTGCAAACTCGAAATCTCATCAGACCCTGCAGAACCTTTTGAATTTTTCCGAGACTAATTAAACTAATATCCATTGTATTGGTCGGATGGCCGCGATGCGATCTTCATCCTAAGGGGAAAAAATAGAACCAAAAAGGCTTGGCATGAACATCCTGAGCGGCGGGACCTCCGCGCTATAATCGCAGTGGCTGACGATGCCAAACTCCACGCCACCACTGGCCGTGGATGCGGCTGCTCCTGAGGAAATGGATGAGGATGCGAATTGGAGTGCGAAGGATGGCACGGCGGAGAATGTGGGGACCACGAGACGCAGTCCGAAGGTGGCTGATGCCTTATCCTTTTCCAGGAACAGAAGCTGACATATTTTGATAGGCTTGTGAGATGTGCTATCGGAGGAAGACCCGGTGTGAAGTGGACGGGTCAAATCCGGTCTGTCTTCAATGCATGCGGAGAAGCACCAAGTGTTTTTTCCCCTCGAGGAAGGAGAAACGTGCTGGTCTGAAACGGTAAGTGTCACCGACCGACCCCCTGACAGTTCTCCTCTGAAGGCTGGTAGAAAACAATATGTTCGTTCTTTGAAGGAACGTCTGGGGAGACTAGAGTCTCTGTTGAAGACGGCCGGCATCTTGGATGAAAACGCCATGAGCGAGGAGCTGTCTGATGACGATGATGATGACCCAGCAGATGAAGACTCGGAGGCTGAGGCCATGCAGCCCGAAGAGCCTCCCCGAAGTACCGGTGCTACTATGGTGCTTGGTAAACCATCTCCAGGCACTGGAGTCCTAGGACATGCCTTCAAGTGTGATGTTCGAGATGACTCGCGATATTTTGGTAAGATTTTCCCCTTGTGGCATATATTATAAACGACTCATCTCCAAAACAGGACGCGCATCTTCCCTCTCAATCTTATCACCGCAAGGGATTGAGTGGATAAAACGAAAGACCGGAGACGTCAGCTTCCTGAAGGTCTTATTCTCTGATTCTGCTCGAGACACTCCGTGGAATCACTGGCGACCAGATGTATTCCATGACCTATTTGCATCGAAAGTATTCAAGCCTCTACCGTCAAGATCGGAGGTGTTTTCCCTGATGAAGGACTTCTTTCGTACGGCGAATCGGCTGTTTCCGATATACCACGAGGAAACCTTCATGCGCATGGTGGAATGGCAGTATACGCAACAGACATGCGACGATGCCGCGCGGTGGGCAAGTATCAACATCATATTATCTCTGTCTTACGAGTATCGGCTCTCGAATAGCATGAAGCCGGAAAAGGACCGTGAAAAGGCCTGGTTGTACTTCAAGAATGCCGTCTCAGTCTTTACGGAGCTGACACTTCGGCGGACTGATCTTTTAAGTGTTCAGGCCCTGTTAGGAATGGTAAGCATTATGGAGGGTCTGTTGGAAATATGCTCTGACACCAATTTTAGGCTTTCTTCCTGCGAGGCAATTCCGGAACGCAGTCTGCCCTGCCCATAGTGACTGCTGCCATGCGGTCGTGTCAGCGGATGGGGCTCCATCGTGATATTCCACGACCCGAACTGCCCGCAGCAGAGCAGGAGCAACGAAAGCGTGTTTTCTGGATCGCATTTATCCTTGACCAAAGCACATGTCTCCGCGCCGGAACCGCGCCATCGCAACACCCAGACGACTTTGACGTCGCTCTGCCCGCAGATGCAATCGGCAACGAAGACACCTTGGTGTCCAACAATATTCCATTTTTCCGGCAGCTGTGCCGTCTGACGATCATTAAGAGCCGCATTTACAGTCAACTCTACTCCACCAAAGCGCTTCAAAGACCCCCTAAAGAAGTGTATCGCACTGTCAAGGAGCTGCACACCGAACTCGAGGAATGGCGGCGCCAACATCCTCTTCTCAAGGAGCCGAAACAAAAAGTTGCTGAAAGTGATTTCCTGTATGGTTTTGCATCTGTCGGTCTGCATTTCGTGTACTACAATGCCCTGATCATGGTCCATCGCATACCTCTTCTGATGAACTACGCATACTCGAGTCGCCTCCCCAATGCGTCTGGTAAGAAGCAGGCGATGAGTGCACAGGCATCCTCATCGGCCGTTATCTGTGTCCAGGCTGCACGGGATACACTCAAGCTGGTGAACAACATGCCATGGGGGGATATCGCATGGATCTGGTCTCTACTCTACTATGTGTTTCTGGCAGTAGCGACAATCTTCTCGAACACCATCCGCGACCACGACCACCCACACGCCCGAGAAGATCTCCAGTCCTTGAACATGGCCGCCACATTCTTTGCCACTCTCATCCCCGGCGATGGACCGAGCAACTATGCCGGCTTCATGACCCGCATGAGCGCCAACCTCGAGCGCATCGCCCGTATGGTCGTCGAGAAAGACGAGAGAATTGCCCGCGATCTAGAAAGCAAGGACAAAGAGCGTCGCGCCCCGGGAAGCAGGCGACAAAACTCTCGAACATCTCTAGCGCCCTCTTCGAGGTCACGGCATCGCTCCACGACAACACGCACATCCACGACGACTCCCGGGACTGCGGCCGTCCACCAACAAGCAATGCCCAGAATGCCATCTGCATCAACTACCACAGGACCTTACATGCCAGATATAAGCATCCCCGAAACGGTCGAGGGTCTACCGCCGGTAAACTCATGCGGGTACGTCGTGCCGATGAGCCCGGGTGATACCTCCCAAGACCCGACCTGCCATACAAATTCAACCACTACTCTCGACCACGGCGACTTTTCTACAGGAACCACCATGCCAACCTGGCAACAAATGGGCCAAACCCCATCGTCACTGGAAATGGAAAACATGCAATCCCCCTTCTCGCACAACAGCAGCGCCGCAACGACATCCACTGGCCCCGCATTTCCGGAATTCTGGCAAATTCCCCTAACAGCGGACTGGGAGTTCGGTAACAATCCGTGGGCGGGTCTCTTTCCCGCAGCAAACGATTATCCAGAGGTACCGGAACCAGCAGCAGAGCTGAACCAGTCCCAGCACGACCCCCATTACCACTATTACCAACAACAACAGCATCACAACCCAGCCGCACCGTCATCATCCCTGCCCATCCTCAGTGCCGAATCATTTCTGACCGATGGATCGACGGCTGATCCCGACGCCGGCTCGGGCGGTGGCGCGAGACATCATCCTGGTGATGATGACAGGTTTGGAATGGAGTATTTACGGTATGCGTTTGGTACGACCTCACAGGAGGACCAGGATCGGAGTCACGACTTGGAGCAGGGGCAGCAGAGTCAGGAAGAGGGACAGGAGTGGACACCGGGGTTTTTGGGGTTGTTTTAGATAACTATAATGCTGGATGGTGTGCTGTTACTACTGGACATAATCTCTAGTTTTAGTCCGTGAATCTTTTGGGGGAAATTTCGGGAATAGGAAAAGTACTCACTCACTTACTAGGCGTGCTTTATGAGAGGATTTGGATATATACGACAAGATAGGAATAGCTTTAAGGTAAAATGAATAGATTGCATCTGGAAGAACAAGCTCAACTGGATTAGGCATTGGGCTATACTACACTACTAGTTCCATCTCTACGCCTCAATGAGGAACACGAATGTTTTGAGTGCAATGTCATCATGTGAATCAGTTCATAAAAAAGTAAAGCTCAAATAAACATGAAAGCAATGAACACTAAAAAAGACCTCGCTCGTCCCGTGAAAAAAGAAACTCCTTGCCCGGCCCTTTCCCATCCACTCCATATCAAACCCCATTCATTCTGCGCCGTGGATAAAGAATAACAAATAACGTTCCCCAGGGAATCAAAAATCAAAAATCAAAAATCAAAAATCAAAACGCTGAGCCTTCGAGCACCCGCACAGCTTTACACCACATCCCATTCCCAAGCTGAGTATCATCCTGGCCATCATTCTGCTTCGCCAGCCCCTTGCCGAGAATAGCCTTCATGTCTGCATTAGCGAGACCGGACTTATTTCCCGAGCCAAAGCCATAGATCTTCGTTGCGAGGACATCGACATCGAAGTCCAGAGATCCGATAGGCAAGGCATCACTATTCTGGTTTTGAATGCGCGTGCGTACACTAAAGTCGACGTCGATTCTCTTCGCGCCAGCAGTGGATTTTGCAGCGGAGCCCTTGCGAGCCGGTGTGGATGACGAGCCAGTACCTAGAAGCGTGCAACGCGCGCGGAGGGAGAGAGACTTCTCATTGGGCCCGGAGAGGGTCAGGCGCGTGACGCCGCAGAATTCGAGCATGCGGGCTTCGGTTTCGAGGCCGAGCATGCGGTTCCATCCGTCGGTGATGAAGCGGAGGAGCTGTTTCGGGGAGATGCGGGATTGCTGGATGGTTGAGAGGTGGTGTTGGAGGGATTGGAGGACTAAGGAGGCGATAGGGGAGATGCTCTTGCTCTTGGCAGAAATCAGCTCAAGAGGGAGGTTGATCTGAGTGGCGTTCTTGACAGCGAATGCTTGTGGGTGGAACTTTAGTTGCAGCTGGTCGCGGTATGACATGCACAGCAGCGGTCCCGTTGACGAGTCAGATGGGGCAGACGCTGAAACGATCGACCAGCCAGTTTGGCGCTCGATCCGTTGGACGGAGGCTATTGTGAAAGATTAGTATTAAATCTCGCCAGCTTTTGGAGACAAGCCCACCTTTCAGCGCGCTGATCTCCCGCGCACTCCACCCACGACACTCCTCCTTCACACGCTCTGCCTCCTGAATCTGAGCCAGGTACTCGGCGCGAACTTCTGCACCGGCCTCAATCTTGATATTCTTCTCCTTAACTTCTTCCTGCAATTGTTGTAGCTCCCTCTTCTTCGCCTCGATCTCAGCTTCCACACCCGAAAGCTTTTCCCGCGCACCACGCAGCTCATTCTGGTCACAACTCTCCATCTCATCAACAAGCAGCTGGAGATTGGCAGCTTCCTGCTCCAGAGAGCCATGTTTCTCAACCAACTGAGGGACAGTGCTGTTGAGATGCTTCTCGCGTTTCGTCAACAGAGCGTCGTCGGCTTTCATTTCTTCAACGTGTCGGTTGAGCCCCTCCTTCAACCCCTCGAGGAGTTTCATCCGCCATTCGTACCAAGTAGCCTTGCTGAGCAGCCGGGCATGGGTCTTGACGTTTCGGAATTGGTTGTCCATAATGACCCTGATGTCTGGTGGAGCCGTGACATACTCACGGAATAGGGGAGGGTTGTCATTGCAGGTCTCGATCTCAATGGACCTAATCACCTGGCGACCCTCTGAGATGTAGGACTTCAACTCCCGGCATGACTAAAATAGGATGTAAGTAATGAATTCAACATGACGGAAAGGAATAGAACCTACGTGCTGGTATAGCTCGAGCATGGGAACTGTACAGAATCCAGCTGCGACACAATCATCAAAGGTAACGATGCCCGGCTTGGGGACGTCCTCTCCAGAACGCCTGTTCCTGCTCAGCCTCTTGGTAGCGCTGCCGGGCGCAGTGGTATGCCTTCTCTTTGTCGTGGTGAGTTCCATGAAATGGATATTGGTCATGTTCAGGAAGTCCTGTAGCTCAATCGGCTCGTATTCGCCGTCAACTTCCTCGGTTGGGGTGTCTTCTTCCTGCTCTGGTTGCTGGGGATCAGAAGCAATATGCGAGAACTCAATTCCATTCTTCAGAGGAGTCGTCGAGGGTTTGGAGGCTCTCCGTGGCTCTTGCGCAGGAGTAGCACTGCCCTTGAGAGGCGAAGAGCTTGAAGCTCTGCGAAGAGGCGAACGCATCGACCGGCGAGCTGTTTCATCCTTGGAGGTGTGTGGTGGCAACCGAACTCCCTTGACGGGACTGACATCGTGGCCTCGCAGTCGCTTGGGGGAGTTCTCTGCTTCTTCTTCGTCCGTGTCGAGCTCGACTGGCCGCTTTCCGAGGACTCCGCGAGCGGCGCCGACGTGGAGACTCTTTCGGCTGCCAACCTTGGTCTTCTTGGGACTGAGGCTTGAGATCATATCCTTCAAGTTCGCAGTTACATCCTTTTCCCCGGACTGCGACGACCGGATATGGCCATCTTCCCGGAGCTCCTCTTCTTGACGAGCACGGTCCTCCTCCTCTTGGAGCTTCAATGGGTCTTCAAAACGCACACCACCACGCGCTCTATCATGGGGGACAAACTGTGGAGTGTTTTCTCCCAGCGACAGTCGTTTATCGAGCATGGCAGCCACGCGAGGAGACCCAAGACCTTCTTTGTCGATACCAAGACCGGAAGAGCGGCGGCCCTCACGGGGTTGCAACACGACGAGTGGTGTTGACTCACCAGTGGCTGTGTTCTGTTCAAAGATACTCTGGCGCAAAGACTTGCGCTTGTTGGAAGATTGCGAAATCTCCGGTTGAAAGAGTTTCTTTGGCGACGCACTCCTGAAAGTAACATTGGCTGACGGCGGAGTCTTGCTAGGCGTAGTTGGCCTCACCCGGGGAGTTGTCTGTTTCGAAGGAGTCGATGGCTTCCTGACTGGCGAGTGCAGACGGTTTGCCGACACAGGGGTGCTCGACGCGCCGAGGGTAGAGCTATGTCGTGAAACTCTGGATCTCACACTAGCCAAGCTGGGGCTTCCATTCTCAGAAGCAACGGCGGCCACCTGGTAATTAAGCGGTGATTTGGCCGGTGATTTGGCAGGAGATTGGCTGACATTCTCCTGGAAAGGTGAGCTGTTCAATTGCCCAGACTCGGTCTCAAGCTCCATGAGTCTTTTTGCCTGCGCTTTATCACTGGCTTGCACCCCCGACGGAAGAATGCCCCCAATCGCACCGGTCATCTCCATGTCCATGTCGTCGTCGGATGCCACATCCGTATCCATGCGGTCCGACTTTGGGGTGGTGTTCTCAGCATTTCTGCTCAAGACTCCGCCAACGACTCCGGTAAATTCCATGGTCATATCGCCATCTTCGTTGACATTGTTGGGAGCAGTCGGTGGCGCAATGCCTCCGACCACATTGGTCATCTCCATAGTTTGGTCATCATAGTCGGATTGTTCGCCAGACGACTTGCGACGGACCACGCTCTTACGACGACCAGCAGACTGGCCCAGGATGCGTCCCACCGCGTTTGTCACGTCCATACTGAGATCCTCATCATAATCGGTGTCCTCAGACTCTGGGAGGGTTTGCGGAGGAGCAGCCACCTTGGATGGGTCCACATTCTCTTGATCATGCCGAGCGCTGATGTCTTCCCAGTCAAAACTCTGCCGCTGGCCCTTTTTGATCCACGGCTGGAATGCGCCAGTGATTTCTTGATCCGCAATTTCCATGGACATCTCGCCCTCGTCTTCGTCAACGGCGCGGGTCCCAGCTTCTCGTGCTGCGTGCTGTAGGGCTTCGTTGAGTCTGGCACTGGAGCTGGAGCGCGAGGATGTGTCGGTCATATCCTCCATGCTCATTGCAGTGCTCTCGGCGTCGAATCCATCCTCAGATCCGGAGGACCGGTCATCCACCTCCTCTCCAGCCATGCTCTGTGCACCGGTATCCTCACTTCCAGAAACAGAACTGCCGCTGAAAGGGCTAGACGATAGATCATGAGAGGCTTCACGGGTGCCAGAGGCTATCTGCTGCAGATCCTGCTGGCGAACGGGAGAGAAACCGAACTCCGAATCCGCAGGCGAGGAGGGAGCTTCGGCCGCGGGGGTGGATGGCGGCGGTACGTTCGAAGAGTTGGTGAGAGAGGAGGCTCGTCTGGTTGAGTTTGAGGTAGATGAAGAGGTCGAATCGTCGAGGATTTCATTCACGTTCCATGTGTGCAAGGTTGCTTCCGGAGCAAACGACACCCGGCGATTGGCTGAATGAATCCAAGTCAGCCCTGCTCTTTCTTAAGGGCCGGTACGATACATACCAAGCGACTTGCGTCGCGCTTCTCGCTTCTCCAGCATGCCCTGTTTTTCGCGTTCCTGGCGCTCTTTTTCGTCACGCTCTTTGGTGGCGGCCATTTCGTCGCGAATGGCAGACGTTGCGTTGAAGGTGTCGAATGGGTTGGTTGTGTTTGCATTTTCTGTCCGTGAGGGCTGCGGTGTCGTTTCAAAGTCGATCAATAAACCCTCCTTCCCTCGGCCATCATCATCCGCGGTGCCATCGTGGCTTTGCGGGACATTGCGAGCTGGAGTCCGCTTGTTTCGTGTTTCCTCAAAAGACGGGATGTTTCGTACGGCCACAGGTATCGTGGGCTTTAGAATCGACTTGAGTGGAAAGGCGGCTGTGGACTAGAAGAGCGCTCGAGTCAATATAGTTTCCTTGGATTGATGTAGAGAGTATGGTTTACCTTGCGACGATTACCATTGGAATTCTGCAGCGCATCCAGCCCGCCAGGTCCCAGACTCTTACTGCGGGACTTCTTGTCCTTTACTGCTGGCTTGGAGTTGACCCCCGCGCCGAAGTCTGCTGTCGCATTCTCCTTATCAAGAGACGTCATCTTGGATCGCGGTACATGGGCGATGGAGCGGCGAGAGCGCAGGCGCGCAGCCGGGTCTGTTCGGGAGGACATGGCGACAATAGCAGGTTTAGTCCCGGGCAGGTCCCCGAAGCAGGCCGAACTGGGGAAAGGTGTGTGCACTCCGTCGTTGTTGTTGTTTGTCTACATGGTCAATCCACCGCGTCTGGGCCAATCAGTCACGTGATGTAAACAAAGCACCGGGTAGCCCTAGCCCTAGCCCCAAATGGGACTAGTGTCCGCACAGTCAACGACACACATTGAATCTTTTCTCCATCGACTCTTCAATCCCATCCCATCCCGACTTCGCCTTCCCTCCCCCCCCAAGTCGACAACCCGCAACCATGGCGACCGAGTTGACCGTCCAGTCGGAGCGCGCTTTCCAGAAGCAGCCTCACATCTTCCTGAACTCGAAGACCAAGGCCAAGAGCAAGAAGGCTGGCCAGGTTCGACGGTGGTATAAGGAAGTCGGTCTGGGCTTCCGTACCCCCAAGACCGCCATTGAGGGCCACTACATCGGTATGCACGAAATCCCACGACTTTTCAGATGGCGGAAATTTGCGCAGTCGGTCTTTTTCGAGGATGGAGGATGAGTTGAGGGACACAAGGGGTCAGGCCCACGACGCAGGATTTGAGGGCAGCAATATTCAACAACGATATTCTGTGCTGGATTCTCGCGACTGTCATTCCGTCATTGTGTCACTGCGACTTGTTCCCTCATTGAACTTCGAAAAGACCGACTGTGGTTCTCGATCTGCCGAGTTGTGAAAATTTTTGGACTTGGTCGCTAATAACCCCAACAGACAAGAAGTGCCCCTTCACCGGTCAGGTCTCCATCCGTGGCCGTATCTTGACTGGCCGTGTCGTCTCAACCAAGATGCACCGCACCATCATCATCCGCCGCGAATACCTCCACTACGTCCCCAAGTACAACCGTTACGAGAAGCGCCACAAGAACCTGGCTGCTCACGTCTCGCCCGCTTTCCGTGTCGAGGAGGGTGACTGGGTTACCGTCGGCCAGTGCCGTCCCCTGAGCAAGACTGTACGTGGAATGATATTCGGTCCGGGGTCTTGGTGGTGTCGCTAGGCTCGGCTACCCGTGTTCTACGGAGCATGGGCCGCGCCAGCGATACCACCTCGATACGCACCTCTTTTTTATGATCACTGGTCGCTAACTTGATTCCTCATAGGTCCGTTTCAACGTCCTGCGCGTCCTGCCCCGCACCGGCAAGGCCGTCAAGGCGTTCAGCAAGTTCTAAGCGTTTCCAATGGAGAAGAAGATTGGGTGCTCGGAAGGGGAACAACATGGCGAAAGAAGCGGCATGAACTGGATGTAAAGGATTTCTTGGAGCGAGGGTCGGGATATTTTCACGAGTTTCCATGTCCTTGATACCTTGCTGAAGAAAATGTGTATCCACACTTAAAACAAAACATTTCTTCGACCTTTCTGCACTTGACGCCGTACAACACAGTTTACTGGTCATCTTTTCTTTCTCGACGCGCGCAGTTTGGAGCACCCACCGCTTTCCATTCTGTCTAGACAGGCCACTCGTAGATCGTACATGAGGTTTTTGTGGCTGTCATCTGCATCCATATCAATCCATTCCAAATCCACAAGAAACCGCAGCAAATCACACGCAATTCTAAGTCCGTCGCCCTGAACATTCATCTCAAACATCGTACAAAGTCTGGTGAATCTAATCATCCGTATCAATCCCTTCTAATCAAGCTCAAAACCACACCGCAACACCGTCAACAGCTGAGAACTACTTAATTCTCTCCCATCCCGAAATCATGCAATAGCGCTCGATAAACAAGGGCCCAGTCAGAGGACGCTCCGGAGGGCACGGGTTGTCAACAATGGACTCGGGCCACTCGGACTCGGAAGGCTCCACATGCACTGAATCGTTATCACCGTCGAAGGAAGAACGGAGCACGGACCGGATTCGTGTCTGTTCGGCAACAGCTGCATTAGTTGCGAGCTTTGCCCGCATATCATCGGGCATTGGCATCTCCACCGACTCATGTTCGTACTCGTTATTTTTGTGGTAGTTGAGGAACCCATCTTCAGCTTCTCCCGTGCCAAAATAAAGCTGTTCGAGAGCTTCGTCGAGAAGCGCTGAGCCATGGTTCGAGGTATCATCATCATGAACAGAGAACGTGCATTCAGTGGCCGTGTCATCGGCTGGGGTGGCGGAGCTTTGCGCTCGCTTGCGCCGAGTCTTTCCTTCCTTGTCTGAACCGGAACTTGAATCAGCTGTATCACATTCGGCCTCAGAATCGTTGGGTACGAACTCCCTGTCGGACGTCATGGAAGACTGTTCATCCTGATCATCAATGAAATCCGCGTCGCTATCGGAACATGCATCCATACCGATGCTAGCATCACGCAGATCGGGGCTAACGCTGTCCACACCGCGAAGAAAGTGTGCCTTCGGTCCCTTCAGGCGCCATTTCCATGAATTGGCAAATGTGAGAGCTACATCGGCGCGGTAGGCATCAGGGATTTCAAGGCGCTCTAAAAGCTTTCCGACGATTTGTCCAGCCTCGAGACTCGGAAATGAATTCGCCAGTGTGGCGCGCAGAGCTGGCCGAATGTTATCCTCCTTGCGTATCTCCGGCAGCTGAAGAAGCTGGCCAATCTGACAATGGATAGAAGCAATTGTCTCCAGATCGCTCACTTTGAACGTGGTGACGATCGCCTTGGCAGGCACATATCCCCAAATCAAGAACTCGCTGTAACCCTTGTATCGTTTAAACTGAATTCCAGAGCTAATAACGATCGATTGTGCCGAGAAAGCCGCAGTAGCCAATTTCGAGGAATCAATTACGGACACCACTGCGTCGGCGCCGGCGCGTAGAGCGCGGTGAATCGGGCCGAGCAACGTTGCAAAAGTCGAGATGAAGGGCGACTTGACCTTTTGCTTGGTGATATGTTGCGTAATGCAAGCCTTGAACTGCTCTTCCGAGATATCGCCGGGTCGGTAGATCTCAGGAAACACATTCGCAAATAACCCGGAGACGAGGAGGCCCTTCGAGTTGGATCCCTGCGAGTCTATATTACTCCACCTAAACAGGAGAGGTGGAAGATCTGTGCAAGCTCCTAGAAGTTTCTCGTTGCTAGTGTCGGCAGGGTGGACATTGGTCTAAAGCAGATAGTTAGCAAGTACTCTCTTCGAGTTTCCTAAAGAAAAGTGCATACTTGCCTCGGTGTTGTCACCAGGCTCATTTTGCTCCAGGATTTCGACCTCCTTCTCGTTTCCGCCGTCTATAAAACACCAGTAACAATTACAATTCTCTTTGAGCGAAAAGGCAGCGGAACCAGTCTGTTTATCGCTTGTGAGTTCAGTCTGAGAAGGGGCAGGAATTTCCTGCTCAGGGCTCATACGACCTTCAGTCGGGGAAGAACTGGGATGCATAGAGTGAAGGCGCAGCCTCTTCGCAATCACCAGCTCAGGCGTCACCGGGGAGATACTATCATCGGAGATTTCAGGCTCTGGTTCAAGTCCCTTTCGCTTCTATTGCAAATCACATTAGAATGTGGCTCTCAAAAGAGCTGATGGACTTACTGAAGCGATGTTGATGGGAGCAGTAATAGAGTTCTTCTTCTTAGTAGAATGCATTGGCTTCTTTTGAGCATACTCCACTGGCTTCGTAGGCTGATTCTTGGGCTATCACATATCACATTAAAGTGAACTCTTCGAAGGAGCTGATAGCTTACTGGTGTGATCAGAGGAGTAAGAGGAGCAGTATTTGCGACAGAGTTCGTCTTCTTAGATGGCTGAAGCTAAATGGTTGTTGTGTATCATGTTAGAAACAAAGCTTTCAAGGGAAGCGGTCGATAAACTCACTCGATTAATTCCCCCAACAGGAGACGACACAGTGGGAGGAGAAAAGAGAATTGTCTCCGTCATCAAGTTCTTCTTCCAGTTGATTGTTTTGGCTCGCTATTGCATGTCACATTAGAACAAGACTTTCAGGGGCAGGGATGCATATATATACCAAACCCCAAGTCATGGGAGGAGGGGGAGGGGGGAGGAGAAGGGGAAGGCGATGAACTCCTCTGAGCTCTATGTCGGTTCTATTGCATATCACATTAGAGCAGTGGTTCTGAGGGAAGAGGTGTATAAACTTACCATGATGGGAGGAGGTAATGATAGAGGGTGTTAAGACAAGAAGTAGGAGATGTGAATGAGGAGGTGGGAGGTGGGAGGGTGGGAGAAGAAGAGGGAGAAGAAGAGGGAGAAGAAGAGGGAGAAGAAGAGGCGACTTGGTTAAGAAAAGTACTCGGAGGCAGTGAAAGTGAATGCTGTGGCAGTATGTCCTATTCAGGACAGGGAAGAATAAGATCAAGAGCATATCGCAGGCATCCCATAAAAACAATAATCACTGAATAGTCCTATTGATTGGAACGGTGAATAAATGAATGCTTTATTTATCCTATTATACTCTACATACTCACCTCCGATTTGATCAATCAATCATCATCAGTAGCTCTTGGACATTGTAAACCCAACAAGTAATCCCACTAGTTGCCGCCTGCACTTCCCGTAGCCCTTCCCACTGCGGTACGCCACCTCGAGAGCATATCCTCGACGGGACCAATATCCGTCCGTATTAATTGAAGTCGAAGTCTTGAAGAAATGGAGAGACAAAAGGTGGGAGAAAAAAGTCATGCGAGACTGGGAGCCGCCACTTCTTGCTGCATCGCAACGGCATCACATCCTCTTCCGTGAACTGGTCCATTCTCAATCCCAGAACTTCCATATCGACTGCCTCACCATTGAAAATTGTGCCGTAAAAATCACGACAATATGCTCATTAACATGCTGTTGTCGATTCCATGCATAAATTGTAGATAGGGTTGCGTGCAGCACGAGATGCTCGGACCGGAGCTAAACCCGATTTGGCGACGGATGACTGAGACATCTCTCACTCTCTCTCTCTCTCTCTCTCTCGATTCCCCCCAAGCACCCTGTGTGATTCGGGCTATCTTTATCCTCCATCGCTATCCTACTCACCCTGAACCCTCACAGAGTACCTCCTGGCTCTTAATTGCCGACCCGGCTTTTCCGACCGTCCTTCTCCCTTTTCCCTCGAACAGCGACGTATCCTACGCAGCCAGCATGCCTCAATGAGCCACCTCCTGCGCGACACAGGCAATGATTGCGGAAGATCCGTTATAATAACTCGACGGTTGTGATCCTTGAAGCAGTCCTTTGCGGCACTTGTATTTACTCGGCTGCACCGGCTTCTCTTTCATTCAACCGTAATTGGGCATCGATCCGCACGCTTAGGAGGCAATGTCCCACAAGTTTGAGAAGTCCGTAAAAGGGGCCACCAAGCTCAAGGTCGGTTGACGAGCATTTGAATTGGCATTATGGTTCGCTCACATTCTAGCTACACAGCTTGCGGCCCCCAAATCCAAATATATCGAGCATATCCTCCTCGCGACCAAAACAGGCGATGCAGGGGTAGCGGAAGTGTTTCGTATTCTGCAGCTGCGGCTTCGAGACCCTGCATGGACCATCGTGTTCAAAGCACTCATTGTCGTCCATCTTATGATCCGCGAAGGCGCAGAAGATGCGGCGCTAGGGTACCTATCGGAGAATCCGAAGAAGATTGCGCCTAGTAATTTCTCTGAAGGTTAGTCCAACCTACGCTCAGTCCATATAACTGATATACTGACACGTTCCAGCGCAAGCACAGGGGCATAATATCCGGCGGTATGGCGAGTATCTCATTGTGCGCGCCCGAGCATTCGAAGCGACCAAGACCGACCACGTGCGAAGCGGTCCAGGGCGACTAAAGCGATTGAGCGTGGACAAAGGTCTTCTACGGGAGACGGAAGTTGTACAGAAGCAGATTCGTGCTCTGTTGCGCTGTGATGTCAGTTTATTTTCCTGTCGGTATGCATTCGGCGACTAACCCCCCATGCAGCTGTTGTCGGATGAGCCCGAGAACGAGATCAGCCTGACTGCCTTTCGCCTCCTCACCCTCGACCTTCTCACTCTGTACTCGGTGATGAACGAGGGCACAATCAATGTCTTGGGTAGGTCCCCTGTCTCCATGTTGGTCACGCTCCGTTTCTGAAACTGAGCCCTCTAGAACACTATTTCGAAATGTCGCGGCCGGATAGTATCCGCGCCTTGGCTATCTACAAAATGTTCACCAAGCAGACTGAGGAAGTGGTGCAGTTTCTTGGGGTTGCGAGGCATTTCCAGTCGGCCACTCGGTTGGAGATCCCCAAACTCAAGCACGCCTCCACTGACTTGGCACGCCTCCTTGAAGATGATCTCAATGATCCCGACTTTGATCTTCGTCGTCGGGAATACCTCGCTGCGAAAAAGGGTGGCCGTCCACCACCACCGCCCTCCACCGGCACCACGGCCGCTAGCGCCGCTCCGGCTGATTCCAAGCCCGTGTCAAGCGCGCCCCCGCAGCAAAAGCCCACTCCTACAGACTTGATGGATTTTTTCGAATCCATCGAACAGAACCAACAACCGATCGGGCAACAAGCCCCACTGCAGCAACCCGGGATGCAGTACCAGCAAACGGGCTTCCAACAACAACCGCAGCAAGGGTTCTACCCTCAGCAGACCGGGTTCCCGCAGCAATATCAGCAACCCCAGGTGACTGGGTATCAGCAGCCTCAGCAGACTGGATATCAGCAACCCCAGCAGACTGGGTATGGGCAATCTAACCCGTTCGGAGGATCTTATGCGCCGCAGAACCCAAACAATCCCTTTGGGCAACAGCAGCCGCAACAGCCGCAACAGCCGCTTCAAGCAACCCCCACGGGTGCAGGATTCGGGGGATACACACCGCAGCCACAGTCGTATGACTACCAGTCGCAACTCGCCCCGATCCCGCAGAGCGGTGTTGCCTCGTATGCTCAGCAGCAACAACCACCGCCACCGGCCGTGCCGAGACCGCAGCAGGGAACGCCGACAAATCCATTCCGGCAATCCATGCTGCCCCAATCCTCCACAGGACCTTCGACACCCGCGACTCCACTCTCCCGTCAAAACACGAATCCATTCGCTCGGCGCCTATCCATGGCAACGCCGCAGTTCAGCCAAGGGTCGTCTGAGCCTTTCTCCCCACAGTCCGCTCAATCGCAGCCACCACTGCCAACGCAGGCCCTTCAACCCCAGCGAACAGGAACCAACCCCTTTGCACGGAGCTCTTCAGTCCCGCCCTCGCAGCAGCAGGGCCTGCAGCCGTTGCAGCCAAATCCTACGGGGAGCACGAACCCCCTCCGTCAGAGCCAGTTCATCAACCAACAAACGGGCCGAGGCTGGCAAACATCTGGACAAACCGGGACAATGGGCGGATTGGAACAGATGGACACTGTCCCAATCTTTCCTCGGCCAGGCATGACGTAGCAGCAGTCCTAGGAGATCCCTAAATTCTTATTTTGGTTTATTCTTTCCTAGCGACTCATAACATGCCTGATATACTTCATTTTGGTTTGGTTTCATTTTTTTCCATTGTACTTCTATGCATTTCGGCGACTCCTGGCGTGTAAATGGTTTTTACTGCATGTTCCCGGGCAGCTCGCAGAGCGAGTCTTAAGACTGAAATTCAGAAAGCTTTTGGTCTACTATGTCAAGAAGAACGCCTGTGTAGATAGCTTCCAACCGCCTACTCCGATCATCATCGAATTTCCCTAATCGGGTACACGTGTTCTCCATACAACCTAGGGGTGGCTCGTCGTTCGTCTTCACTCTTACGCTATCTGAGAACCGAAATGCCCAGGCGGATGTCTCGGCAATGCACCACTCGGCATCCCAACGCCTCGCCCTGCGACAGGGCGCATGAGTCGACCGGGATGATAGTCCTGTTTGAAGATATGCTTAGTTCTCGGCGGGTCCTCCACCTCAGTCGTTGGACGGTCGGGTTCTTCGCGGATTCGCGAAGGGTTCGAAATACTTATGTAGGGGCCAGAGGACAGATGGATTGTTTCATGATTCATTCCATGTGCTTTTCCTTAGCGCATGCAGATCCATAATACGGCACTACATACTCCTTTTACTGTTGAGCGCTATTTATTCTGTGGCCCTTTAGCCCTTTAGCCCTTCTCCGAGCCCTTGTGCATGTTTAGACAGGTCATTTACGCAATTGGCACGGGTCCGGAGCTTTAACGAACGCCACTTTACTTTCTCCGGGTCCACCACGCGGGTGAAGAGAAGGATCAAGCAGGGAACGTTGTCAGACTTTCCAGTACGTAGCACTGCAGCGCCCGATTAATGCAACCGTCAGCATGGATGCATAGCCTCGTCAGCGAGAGATCGGCTTTTGTCCCTGCAGAAATCATGGCAGAAACGTAGATATTCGTGGGAAAAGCACAGGGCGGCCTGGGGCAAAAAACGCGAACGGGCCTCCGGGGCTGTCGGAATCAGATCGGGCAAAGCCTAGAGCACTGCCGGCACCAATAATAAGTTGGATAACGATTGTCCTTATCCACCTGAGCCGAGAGACGAACGGAACATTCGCCGACCACTGTTGAACAGCGCCCGGCCTGGCAATTAGTTAATGAAGTGAACTAAATGTCTCAAGTGCTGATTGGCGCCACTCGTGAATTGAGGAAAAAGGTTTGTCTTCAGCCGCATTTAGTTACGACACGCGTTTCTACCCCGCCGGTCCCCCGGTTAAAAAAGAGACTCTTCCTCTCTTTTTCCCTCTCTGTTCAATGCCTCCGCTGATTCCGTCAAGCTCGCCGCCATGGATGCCAAGGACGCCTTCACCGGCCCCGAACATTCCTTACCGGTGCTGTCCCGGGCGCCTCCCGCAGAGACCGTCGCTGCCGCCGACCCTGATTTGAAGGAATCAACGGCAGCTCCAACACTGGAACCCCCCGCCCGCAGTGCGTCGTCCAAGGTGCGCAAGGCCCGCAAGAACAACAATGCGTCGGGCAAGTCGACTCTATTCTGGGTCAACTCGGATCCACAGTCCGCAGCCCAGGGGACCAAGGACGAGACCCTGAAGCGCATCCGCTCGCATGTGATGTCGGAGCACAACCGGAAGAAGAGACTCGAGAACACGAAACGATACAAGAGCAAAACCTGGAAGCACCTTGCCTTTCAACCTCCCGCGACGGCGATCACCGTCGGTCCTCAGCCTCTGCCCACATCGGGGTCGCTTGATAATGATCAGAGCTCGGCTGTGATTGAATACTCGGGTGCACATAATGAGCTCATCCCCGCGGGAACTACAACATACGCTGCTTCTACCGCATACCCTTCATCGTCGAGCTGGGATGACGATGAATATGATGAATCCTCCTCGACGTCCATATGGTCCTACCTGGGGCAAGGCGCTAGAGATCCATTCAACACTGGGCATACCCACCTCACAGATCGGATGATGCGCCACGTACAAAGCTGTATGTTTTCCCCATCGGGATTTGTCTGACATGCTAACACCCTGGAAGTCCTTTGGGATCTCACCCAAGAAGCCCATCCATTACAAACTCGCTATAAGCCAAAATTGCAGGCGCATTGGGCCGGCTTGATCCAAAAGGACCCGGCGATTCTACACGCCTCAATTTGCATGGTGACCTCGAACGCGGCCATGCAAAGAGGCGAGTTTCCTCTTACCGACCCGAGTAAACCACGCACCCTGCTCGTGCTGGATACGCTCCATCACCGCGGCGAGACGATCCGCCTGGTCAACGAAGGTCTATCTGATCCGGCCAAGGCCTCCAGCGATGAACTGATTGCCGCGGTCTCCACCTTGCTAACAATCGAGGTGAGCTTCACACTTTTGGCGTGATTGGAAATTATACTCACATATCTAGATCGCGTCCGGCAATCCCGATTACCTCAAAATCCATCTAGCCGGACTGCGGCAAATGATCGCATTACGCGAAAACTTTGCCGATGTACTATCAGATATCCGCTTTCAGATTTCATGGTCGGTTATTGTACTCACAGGAAGGCACAGTCAGCTGACTCTTTATACAGGACCGACATACGGGTCGCTTGTATGGCGCACGCCAAGCCCATCTTCCCTTTTATCCGCGGCACCCGTCCAGAAGGGCTAACTCTTACTCCACTTAACGACGATATTGCCCAACTAGCTACACGATTAACACCCCTGACGAAGGTGCCCGGCATTTTCAACGAGAAATTGATACAAACCATCTATGACCTAATTGAACTCAGCTGGTACGCTGAATGGATCAAAGGCAACACAGGACAGAAAGATATTAGTGAAGAGACCGAAGATTACTTTAACAATGAGGTGTTGCATGTGGAATATTCCCTACATGCGGACCGCTACACGACCACAGGTCAAGTGAAAGGCGACAACTCGATCGAGGGCTGCACGCGCCTCGCCTGCTTGCTCTTCCACAACTCCGCTATCTGGAACTTTTATCCTTCTCTCGCTCCTCTCCTGCCACAGCCTATCATCGCCCTGCGTCTCGCCCTCGCCGAGACCATTCCGACAGGCCTCTTTGGTCTCTGTCCCGATCTGCTGTTCTGGATGCTCTTCATGGGTGCTGCCTGCAGCTCATATCTACCGACAGAACGCACCTTTTTCCTCAGTGAGCTAGCTGCTGCTTCTCGTCTCCAGGGGATCAACACTTGGCAGGAAGCCCGACCTATCCTTCTAGGATTTTTCTACGTCGACCGTATTCACCTGCCCATGCTCCGCCAGATTTGGGAAGAGGTGCAGCGGCAGCACACGCCAATAGAGTTATAATTCCTTTTCTCTCTTGTAGATTTTCTGGGAAGTTTCTTTGGGCTTATAAAGACATATTACCGAGTTCACCTATATAGTATAGTTATAGTTAACGATTGACGACTCTATTCTAATGACCTTAACTTGAAGAACCAAGCTCTGTATACGTAGATTGTTTATACATGCCCCTTTCCTTTTTTGTTTGGGTGGGGGGTAATAGCACGAAGGAGATTTTAGTCTGAAAGACTACTTGCGAGAGAAGAAGTTGGGGAAGATGTAGGACAAGGTACGCGCTTTCTATCTTGGCGGAAAACTAAACGTATCGCTTTGCCGTCACTAAGCATTGCGGTGAAATACTTTGCTCTACACTAGTAGTCCCTATTTCCGCCCCCATTCTTGCCAAGGTGTGACCTAAGTAACTAACGAGAGATGCACCGCCCCTATTAGCTGCGGTAGCGCAGCCCCCCAAACCTTGGGTCTAAATAAAGTACACGATGCAGACAAAATAAGAGCTTCGCGCCTTCAAAATCAGAACCAAAACTATTCCTAACCACACACCCAAATGCAACCACCACCCATGACGGCCACATCGGATCATGAGGGTGCCACACCCACCGGTCAAGTTGCTGCGCTCCACCCACTGGCCGAGTCGATCTATCTCGCCGCCGCGAGGTCATTGGGACTCCTCAAGCAGGTCCAGAGTGAGCTTGGGCTTTTTCTTTCAGTATTGAGTACAACTGAGACGCATATCCCGCATGTTCCCCGGGATAGTGCTCAGGATACGGAAATCAGCATAACATTGGAGGCATGTCGTCAAGTGTTGCTGGACTTGCAACAATTCAAAGAATGCTCCGATGAGAGCCAAATGTCTGATTTGGAAGCGAGGTTGTCCGCTTGTATCATTGATCTTACATCCTTGAACACTGATCTGATGAAGTAGGTGTCTGGGTAGTTTGCTTTCTAAAAGTCAATTGCTAATTTCGGCTTAGAATCTCGCAAGAAAATCTCGATTGCAAGTTGCAAGCGTTCATAGACGAGATGCGCATTGGCATGCGAGATTCGAAAATTGTTGTTAATGCATTGAGTGGCCATTCTTCCATCAATGATTGTCCACAATGGAACCTACTGCAACAGGAGCTGGTAACTGTCACGGGAATCAGCCCTGCCCTAATCAATGAAGAACGCATGTTTATTGTGGCAAAGCTGCGAAGTGCTTTTCCGCAGCAGGAAAGCTCTCCTAGTCCGCGCGGTGCAAAGCGTGCCTCGGCCCAACGACATTCCTCCTCAATATTCTCGAGCGACGGCGGTTTCAACCAGAAAGTCATACCCACTGACAAATTCCCAAAACTAATGGTCTCACAAGCTAGTGTAGAATATTCAGACAAACAAGTGTGCCCCAAGCGCAGTTTCCCCATGCGGGTGAAAGCGCAGTCCGATCCATATGCAGTGGAAAACACGCCCCCAAAGGACAATTTCCCGGTGCGAGTCGCAACATTCACCGAGGCGCAAAAGCAAACCATGCAACAACCCCAGTACAATCCTTCAGGCAAGAAACCCAGTGAGGTTCGCAAACTATTCTACCAAATTCGGCACGGACAGCACGATTTCTTCTATCACATCTCCTGGGGCAGTTTCCCGCTAGTGAAGCAGTGTCTCGAAAAAGGCGCCGACATCGAAGCCGTGCATGAAAACGGATGCGCACCACTGGAAATGGCAGCATCATACGGCTACGAGGAGATTGTCCGCTTGCTTATAAACTGGGGCGCAGACATCAACCATTTTTCTTTCGCACAGCCAACTGCGCTTGGAAGAGCTGCTGCAATCGGGCATGGAAGACTCGTCCAGTTACTGCTGGAGAATGGAGCACATGTGAACTGCGGTGGACAAAAACCGCTCTCCAAGGCTGCAGAGGCAGGCTGTGAGGATATCGTTCAGGTGCTGCTGGCTTGCGGTGCCGGAGTTGATCTGGTAGATGTTGATGGGTACACTGCACTGGGAAAGGCCGTGAAGAATGGACGTGTGGCTGTGGCGCAACTTCTTTTGGATAACGGGGCAAATGTTAATAAGAATCTGAATGATGAAGGAAGACGGCCGCTTTATGACGCTGTTGAGATGGGCTATGTGAATATGGTAAGGCTGCTGTTAGCTTACAGGGCTGATCCTCACGTGAAGACTCGGCAGGGGGCTACTGCCTTGTCTCTGGCTGTGTCGATGAACAGGAGAGATGTTTTAGGAGTCTTTCAGCATTTTGGATATTCGGCCGAGTCTACTGGATATGCAACGCTGCAGTATGCTTAGGGTGTGAATGTGTATAGTATTAGAGGCAAGAAATGGACAAGGGAGATGTAACACCGAGACGTTAGAAGCAAATTTATAGAAAGTTACGTTATTGACTGCTCGGACTCCTCATAGAAGACGGGTCTCTACTTGGGGGTTACAAAACTTGAGGCGCATTACAAACTCGCCTGGACCCATTTGTTCAGCAGGCTATAGTCAGGATTTTTTTTTTGGGGAAAGTGGCCCCATCCTCTGTCTTTTCCATTCGCAACTAGCTAGACGAGTGGGTGGTTCTAGCTTATCAGTATGGCTTCCATTCTCACAATCTCCGAGGATTCGGCCCCGTCAGCATCAGCTTCGGCCTCGTTGCCCTTATGCTCCTTCGCGCCGTTGTACTCGACGCCGTTGTTCTCGACATTTTGGGCTTCATCCGCTGTGGCTTTTTCTTCATTTTCCTTTTCTCTCCGTTCCTTCCAGTTGTTTGCAAAATGCCCAGTCTACTCATCCGGGTCCCACTGCAGAACCCTAATTGCCGTTTCTTCCAGCTTCCGACCCGGCGGTTGCTCCATCTCACTCTTTTCTTTTCAGGCAGCAGACAAAGTCTGTCTTCTCACGCTCTCTGGGGGCTCTTAGCAGACCCAAAAAAAGACGTTTCTGTTCTTTCTTCTTTGATGAAGCATTAGTATTGATGAATTGGGCCCCAAAAAAAAATGTCCAAAGATCGTTTCAAGTATAAGGGTTCTGCCCGTTCCTGAGGTATGCCCTAACTAAGCTTTTCCTTAAATAACTAATACCGAAACTACTGAAACATTGATCTGGTCAGAAATCCGAGAAAACGCCGGATTTCACCCATCATTATCATTGCCCCCACTTTTTTTTTGACCAGACACGCCGGGAAATTGGAGGATATAACAAGCTCCGCCTGCGCCCTTATCTCTGAAGGATCGATTACATTTATTTAAGAGATCCTCCCTGCCCGATTCTTCTGTGTGGATTTCTGTTTCTTGGCGGATTCCTACCTCCTTGCAATTGTTTATATCTACATCCTTCGGCCAGACTTGTTCTCACCCGGCCATTGAACTAACTCTTTCATGCTTTCTTTGAATTCCTTTCTAGGATCTATCTTCCTACACTCACAACTTATGGTTTATTGTATTAATGGATGCTTGTCTGGCAGGACATGTGACCAGGGCCCATGATGTTTCTCTACTCAACCACAGCTCGCCTTCGTCCATCCATGCTTCTTCCGTTTCCCACCCAGACGCGAGACTGTTCTTGAGATAGCAGTCAAAAGCCTGGCCTACATTCGATGGCATTTGAACTGCACGGGCAATGAGGGACATCCACTGCATGCAAAAGACGTTCACTATGTCTCCATGATCGGCACTAGGCTCGCTGGCTAACAACTTCAGTCAGCCAATGAACTGATCCAGGTATGGACAACCCACCTACACCTACACATACTCTCTTGAAAACGGCACAGCACATTGTGACCATAAGTCATATCATTTGACCATAGTATCATAGGTGATTATTACTGACAGACTAGTAGCTAGGAAACTAAATACAAAAAAAAGGGGGGACCAAAGCAAGGAAGTACACTTGCTTCCTCCCCCGACATTTTATACTGGCGTACCCACAATCCGAAGAGGCTTTGCAGATGTGCCAATGGCTTCATTCACCGCGCCAGCGAAGCACCTTTGCAGCGACTGACGAGCCACAGACTGATCTCCATTCCTCGAGTTGCTCACCTCACACCAACACCGCAACTCAGTCCAACACACCTCGAGGAAACAAACCCCTTCGACTGCAGAAAAGATCGTACAAGAATGGGTATCAAACATTACAACCCTCACCTCTTCTCTCTTTCTTCTCTTGTCTACTCTCGGGGGAGATATATTTAAACCTGCTCGCGCACGGTCTTGTTGCGGCGGGCTTTGCCAGTGACCGACCAGGGGAAGTGGACCACCGGAACAACGAAGAAGCTGTTGCTGTCGTCGGCAATACCAGCGAAGGCGTTGTACCAAGCGGCAAACGCAGCCAGGAGACCAAAGAGACCACCGGCCTTCGTGAGATTGGGGTTGGGGGCTGCGTCGGCGGCAGTGCCCTGGTGGAAGAGGTAGCCCAGGCCGAGCAGCAGGAAGGTCATGTCCAGGAAAAAGAACAGGAGGAAGAAGGCCAGCGTTGAGCGGAGCGTGCAGAAGACCAGGATGGTGGTGAAGATGAACCAGGCCTGTGAGTGAGTCTTGATCAGCGGGTGCTTTTTGTCATTCAGGAGTGAAACCCACCATCAGGAACAAGCCCATTGCGTTATTGAAATCCTCGGACGCGTACGCCTTGGCAATCTCGAACCCGCCGGGCGTGAGGGTGATACCGAAGGCAATCCAGAATCCACCATACGAAGACAGGGCAGTGGCACCGAAGGTGTTTCCAACAGCCATTTCCCTATGAAGGAATTTTAGCTGGAGAGTCTTCAAAGGTTCAATTGACGAGTTGTGACTTACCACATGCCGGCAAGCAATTGCACCAGACCACCATATCCAAAGGCCAGACCAACGACGATGTTGGGGGCGGCCAAGCCACGGGTGCTCATGTTGATGAGACTCAGCACGAAGGTGGTCAGGGCGAAAGCAGACAGACCCAGAGGAGCTGGGTTGGCGAACTTGCGACCCTCGACGGGCTTGTACAGACCGGGCTGGAACTCACCGCCAAAGGCTGGCAGACGGGACTCGGCGGTGTTGATGTGAGCCAGAGGACCGTAGCCGAAGCGGGCAGCCTGCTGAGCAACATGGTGCTCCTCCGCAGACATGGTGGGGTTCACGGCGGAGGTGGTACCGTTGGTCGCGGCGGCGTCAGCCTCGACGTTCTTCTCCAGAGCGATGTTGTTTGTTTCGGTTGCAGACATGATTGTTGCTTCCGAAGACTGCAAATTAAGGGTTAAAAAAATTCCTATCAAAGGTAAAAGACCAGCTTCGCTGTGTCAACAACCACGACCAATATTATAACACAGTTATAATAGGGGGCGGCAAATTGCAACACAAAAAAATAGGGACAATCCAAGCAACGGGGAGCCAAACAGCACTGCTGGGCTAGTTGATGGGATGCAGGGAACACCAATAACGACAACGAAAAAGATGACGAAGAAAGAAAATACGAGAGGAGAAAGGAGCCGGGGTTATTATAGGAACGCGGAAGGAGCGTTGTCAAAAAACGCCCTGGGCCATGGTGATCCAGATGGGAAAGGGGCCAAGCAACCGCGCCAGAGACGCTAGGCGAAGCTAGAGACGAGCGTTGCAGCACGAAGTGGACAGGCGGAGTGGAGAAACAAAAAACTCAACACTTACTTTGGAATGATTTTCTGGGTTTTTCGGTGCTCAACAACAGCTCTCGGGGTTCACTAAACCGCAATAGTATGCAAACACCGTTCCACCGACGCGAAGGTTATTGAACTGAGGTGTTAGACCAAGTCGCAAAGTGGATCCGAATTTAGGCTGATCAACAATAGACCCAAAAATTATTGATGGTCAGGACAAGCCTCGAAGTGCCACAACTCGAGGGGGGGGAACCGGGCTGGTAAATATACCTCCGTGTCTGCCAGCAGTCGGGGAGGGGGTATCTAAAATGCATGCCGAAACAGCCATTCGCGGAGACGGTGTGGGACAGCAGAAGAAGGAAGGAGGGGGGGGGGATCAGAGTAGCACGGCATCCCAGACGAGCGCACTAACTTGGGCACGGAGGCATGGATGAAGGGAACTACTCAGATTGGCCAAAAGTGGAGATCGATGGACCAGACAATGGATCCGGGGATGGCAGAAGAGAACACCGGTGACTGGCCGGCCGGACGGGATGAAGGCCATGGAGGTACCGAGCACGCCGAAGAAACAGAGTTCAGCATTTGTTCATCACCGCTAGGATGATCGTTCCCTCTATACCGGATATTATTCCTGTCAGTGATGATCGACTCTGCCGATGACGGTGGGTTGGGGTTGTTTTTTTCCTCCCGTGACAAGCCCAGACCCCATCCGTCCACGCAGTAGGCCCGGGATTCGTCCACGCCCGTTTGCCACGGTAATTTCCACTACTACAGCGTGCAGAACGGGGGTTCCTGTCATCTCCGTCTTGTCACTAACTGCTACCCGTTGATGGAGTCGAGCGACTATCCAGGCTCATCAATCACCAAGGCGATCCCTCGGCTCTTTTTTTCTTCGCTAACCCTTCGGACGACCTGCTTCTTGGGGGCCAGAGATCGCTCATTTCAGACGCAGGGACTATCGGTGGGGAGGGAGGCTTGTTGATCCTCATGAACTATTAGGTATTGGGTACCTCTATCTGCCGCCACGGCACTATGGAAACCTGCGTACCGGGTACAGCAGGTGGCTTCGTCCCGACCTCGGTTCTTCCCTCTTTTCTGTCGTACAGCGTTTCTGCAACGTTATTACTGGTAACATTCAACCACCAACAGATTGACAGCCGTCTCGTACGCTTCTTACCTGGCTCATCTGGTACCTTGGCGGGGGGAAATAACGCACCAATAAACTCATCAACCACATATTTTCTTCTCCAATTATGTGGTGTTGGTCACGCATCTTCTTCGGTTCTCACAGAACCCCTTTTACGGGTCTTTACATCTCCCAACACCACTTTCGGCGGCCGCGTGGAGAATGCGTGGAGTGTAGCAACGACCGCGACCCATCTTCCGGTCAGTTTATCCTCATTAAACTCACCCGCAGACTACATGTATTTCCTTCCGTGCGGGTGCCGAGAAGGGAAGGCGAGGCTGTGTGCTGTTTCAGGCGGCCCGGCTGTGCTCCGCCAGTCCGAAATTTGATTTTTTATTTATTTTAATTTTTTATTCTCGATATGTAAGCACAATAGACTTTCTGATGGAGCAACAAGCAAAACAAGCCATCGTTGCACAGAGCTCCGGACAACAAGCTGGGGCTAACTAGAACCACTAACGCCGCCGCCTTTCCTTAAAGGGGTATCAGTCCGTGGGCAGCTTTGTGACTGGTGGAGCCAGGGAGGGTACTCGGATCGTCTCGATCGGCGTGGCATGTGTTAGTTCGCTCGTTCGTATGTATGTATGTTGAGAGGCAAGCTCTCTTTTGGGTTTCTGCTCCGGGGCCCCGAAAGGCAGGCACATGGCGAAATCGCCTAGATTTAGATTCAGCCTAGCCATTTGCACGGGCTGTGCTATGGAGGCTGATGATCCACTGTGGCAGGGGGAGTAAAATAATCTGGAAGGAGCTCGTCTCGTAACTAGACCGCGCTGCTACGACCGAGTAGTTACGGCTAGACGGGTAATTGACTGGTTGTTTTCAATATTAGTTGGCACTAGGCACCACACCATCCAAGCCATGCATTTGCCGCATCCGATATCCTCGGGGTTCTTGGCAATAATAATAGCAACACGGGAAGTCACCGCCGTCTATGTACAGGGGTGGGGAGAAGATAATAGGGCACGCTGATTGACGGGGCTTCTCTCCTTCCCTGTCCAGTCCTGCATCCGCGGTGCAGGGACTGTACGCAATGATTAGCTAGCTTCGCTTCGGCTGAGAAACATGGCCGATAATGCATTATTGCTTGCGCCCGGATCAATAATAATTCCATTAATATTATTATTGTTCCACGCTGTGGCGGTTTCATGTACCTGAATTTCTTCCGGGATGTTCGTGTGCATATTCTGAGACTTACTTGACGCCGGAAAGGGGGTTTCACAGCACGATGCCGACAGTAGCAGTTTAGGCAGCTCGGCCCGTCGTCCTTTCGACGAAGGACAACAAGTCTAGATCGGATGTTTTCATTCCTCATTCCTCATTCCTTTGCGGTTAGAAGAATCTTGACGCAGCTAGTTCCTGAGATCTACCGTCACAAAGTTAGTACAATACATACAGACGCAAAGAAGATCCTGCTGCAAAAATTACGAGCAATAGCTCCCATGCACTTGTTCGAATATGGACATTGCGCTTAAAGTAAAAAGCATCTCCAAAAATAATAATGATAGAAGTCTAGATGTACTAAATTCACCGCGAATCCTGTAGGGCGAGCAGGATTCCCCGCGCAGCTCAGCATCGATCCATTTGGAGATTACCCCACACCGCTGATCACGATGTGATTGGAACAGACAATGCGATGTATTTGGAAGTGCGCGCCAAATTTAACTGACTATCGGTTGCGAGCACATCCCTTGCCCCGACCGAGCTGGCTTGTGCACATGGCAGCTTTTGCTGGTTTGGTGCAAGACAAAAATTCCCCACGACGCAGGAAATGCGGGGAAATAATAACTCACACTTCAGCTCTGTTGCTGAAGCCGAATTTGTTGGTCCATCGAGTAATTTAGATACATACTAGCCGAGTTGGCGCTTCGCTCATAGCGTCATAACTAGAGAGCAATAGCTACAGTCGTAGGATTTGCAGATCTGCAACGAACAAGAGGTGGAACCAAAGGTTCTATAGTCTAGTCCCCGCAGTTCATGCTTTCCATCTGACCAGGATTGTCGATCGTCCGATGTGCCAGCCAAGCTTGGCCTTGTCTGTAAACAGGTTTGGTTCGACTGGTAGAGACGGTGAGGGGTGGTGCGGGCACTCGGCCATTGTCTCCAACTCTGTTGCGCCCGACGAACCAGGTGCCAGGCGCCCTTCTCCACGATTTGGTGACATGCGGAGTGAGGGGAGGGAGACGTAAGCCATGTTTCGGAGATGGACAGTAACCAGACAGTCAGACGATACAGGTACCGAAATCACCAACCCCCCAGATTATTGGACCTGAAGAAACCAAAACCATGGAAACCTCGAACGTATTCGGGGTCCCCTTTCCTTCTGCAATTACGAAGTTTGCGGTCCCTGTTTTGTGGATCGGATGTACCGGACAAACCCCAACATGATGACCGGCATGCGATGAGATCACAAATTATGTTGCGGGGTACATACATAGTGGTTGCAGTATGCAGATCGGTGGAGAAGCGGATGAGTCGGTAACACAAGCATCGTGATCGGATCGTCTCCGCACAATAGTGCGTGTTGCTCATAGGCCAGAAAGTGACGGAGGATCGGATCCTGCGCGAATCCGATGATGCAACACACGATGCGGTGAGGAGAAGTTGGAGTTGACTGGGTTGGTTGGGGTAGGTGGGGAGAACTGAGCTTTTTTTTTGTCGGCCGCTGTGAAGGCATTCAGGTCTAGGGCTATGTAGCTAGGTAGCTCGCTGCTAGGATGTAAGTTCTCTGTCTTGAGAAGACCTGAGGGAGCTTCGATGAAGCTTGTAGTATACACACATTGTCTTCAGTCAACACCACACCTTTCTAAACTTGTTTATCGGATTGTTGTCATTATTTACGCAGTATAGAAGCCGACGTGTGTCGTCCAATGTCTTCTGACGAACAGTTCGCACGTACTAACCACCATCTGTACCTGCCGAGAGCTTCCAAGCCCTCCCAGCCAAAATCACGGTTTATACTGCAGAAAAGAAGTCAGCGAGTGCCTTTCAATTTGGTCAACGGTCACCTACCCTGAATTCCGGATTCTCTCGATCAGTCATATCCAAAAACTCCGAATTCTCTTGATGCGCCTGTCCCTCATGTCTCCGATCCCTCCGGCGATTCTCCCAAGCATAGTACCACTTCAGCAAAACCGAAAAGATAATCGCCACGGCCGTGGTGACGACCAGCGCAATCTTCGCTGGGATATAATCAGGTGCGTCCTTGGTGCGGAACGTGAGCGGACCGAGAATATTGCCCAGGCAGAACGACATGAGCATCACGGCGTTCATGGTCACTTTCTTCGTGTGGCCGGCGATATTGGCGCTGGCAAGGGAGTAGATCATCGGCAGTGCGGAGCCCGTTACCTGCGTCAGGTAATTGCCTGCTAGCTGGGCGGCTCTCATGCTCTTAGGTGGGAAAGCGAGCAAGCAGCCGCCAAGTAAACCGCATAGATAGCACGCCGCGATGGAGAGACAGCGCTGATCATACCGCGCGGCGTACCATGATCCCGCTACGATGGTGATGATGCTGATTACGCCATTGGGGATGTTGAGTAGTTCGGTTTGCTTGGTAGTGAACCCGAAATTCTCAATGATCAGGGAAGTGAAGCTGCTCATTGCGGCATTGGGCACGTTCGAGGAAGCCACGATGACGGCGATGAAATAGGTCTGCGGGTCTTGGAAGACCTCGAGGCATTGCTTTAGCTTGAAATTCTTGTTTTCAATACCGGTGCGGTTTTCGCGCAGTCGTTCAATTGCCATCACCTTCTCGGCGTGTGTCAGTCGCGATGTCATCGGGTTGTCGGGCATGAAGATGACGATGCAAATTCCCACGGCAATGGTGATCAGTCCGAAGATCAGGAACATGATCTGCCATGAGTGGAACTGGTTGCTCGTGTAGAATAGGAGACCGTATGCTACCAGAGCGCCCATGATGGACGCCGTCCCAGTGCCCACGTACCATATTCCCATGCGGGTGGGTTGTTCTGGATCAAATTAGTTATCCCAAACCAAGCGAAAGAGAGGCTCGACGTACCATTCCGCTTATACCACATAGAGGTGATCAGGATCAATCTGGGTTGGATGTGAGAAGACGTTCAAGGAAGTCAAATGGCAGGCAAAACACTCACGCGGGTGCAATTACACTCTCAAAACATCCAAGTAGAACCCGAAGCGTCATCAGCCCTGCAAAGCTTTGTGCGGTGCAGTTTAATGTGATCATTAGACCCCATAGGATAACTAGATCAGTGTCAGTAATAACCCATATCTCCAAGATCAGCCAACACCACCATACCATTGCCCCCCAAATACTTCGCCGTTGGCAGCCGCTGCATCAGAAAGCCCGTCGGAAGCTCAAACACCAGATATGTGACGTAGAAACCGAGGGTCAGGTCGGAGAACTCGTTGGTTTTCATGTTTGTATCGGTGAGCAAGCCCATAACGGAGGCATAATTGACTGTTTATCTCATGTCAGAATCGATGAAGAGACACATAGTCTTGAAATCACCTACTGAGCACTTTATCGAGGTACTGCAGGTTATACGCTGCCCACATCAGCGGCATAATCATCCAGTCGATCTTGCGGACCAGTTTCTTCTCGTCGACTTCAGAGTAGAGCGCCGCATCTTCCGTCCGAAGAAACTCCAGCGCCGCGTCTGCTTTTCCGGCTGGCAGACCCCCGGTCTTGGATTCAATATCGAAGGCATTGCCGGTGGCAGCAGGTTGAGGCGAATCACCTGCCATTTTGCAAATGTTCACTCTGCCAATGGGTCTGACCAAGCGATCAAAAAAAGACGAAGCCGGGGAGCGACAGCGACAACCTTCGTTCCTGGCGCATACCCCCCGACGTCCTTATAATAAATATTCCGACATAGCAATAATAACAATCTCCCCCTCACCGAAGGAGCGGCAACGAACTCCATAGATAACAACCCCCCCCGCAAACAGAAGCCGAGCGGAGCTCTATCCGAGGGCCATCCACTCGCAACGAGCGGAGACGCGGCTTGGCCCGCTCATATCGCATGCGAAAGCTCCGTGGTTGGTTAGTGGCCAACTTAGCCGAGACCCAACCTGAACGAGAGAGGCAGCGCTTGTATGTTTGTGGGGAGATAGACGATCAACAGAGACTGACAGGATCGGCTATCTGTGCGATTAGACCACAACAGGAAGGTGAATTTGGCTTGGCGGTACTGTTGGTAGCCAAGGACCCCCACACAGCATCTTAGGGAGAGGTTGGTTTCCAATGCTGTGTAGGCATGTGATCTCGATGTCTAGGCACTAGTGGTAGAAGTGAATTGGGAAGGTGCTCGGGAAGGAATGCTGGGCAGACTAGGCGGTATCTATGAACCGTACTGAAGGCTCATTACTCTCAACTCTTGTCGAATCTATGCTATCACCCTGCCACTGCTAATTACATATATTTATTGAAAGATAAGTTATTTCTTTTACCAACCAAGGATCAAGTATGGTATGAGAGGTATCCACCCAGTACGATCAATCCGCCCTAAGCGCCAATTCTCGTTGATCGTAAACAGCCCTCATTTCTATAATGTCTATACAAAAAACGCCTCTGGTCTATAAAAACGACATCGCACCACTATGCACCCAAAACCACCCTCTCAAGCCGCCGCCGCCGCAGCAACCTTGGCAGCCTCAAACTCCTTACTAAACTCATAATCAACATATCCCTTCGGATCCTTGGGGATATAAAAGAACTCGCGCTGATACGGCACAAGGGGAACACCATTCTTAATCCGGAACGGCAAGTCCGGATTAGCGGTCCACGGCCTCCCAATGCCAATGACCACTTCGTAGTCCTTATACTTGGTATCAACAGCCTCACGCGCCGAGTCCGACTGATACCCACCCGCAATCACGACGGGACTAGCGCCGGCGTAGGCACGTAGGAAGAAATCCAGGCTCTCGGTCTCGGAGACACCTTCGGCATCCCCTGCTCCACAGATGCGCGGCTCAACGAGATGCACGAACGCAAGCTTCAGCTCTGCCATCTTCTGCGCAAGGTAGGAGAATTGACCCTCCGGGTCCGCCATGCGCATCCCCTGGAACGTGCTCCAGGGACTGAATCGGATAGCCGTGCGGTCTGCGCCGATGGCCTCGCTCACGGCGTGGGTGACCTCGAGCGCGAAGCGGGATCGGTTCTCGATGCTGCCGCCCCAGCTATCGGTGCGGGTATTGGTCATGTCCTGACTGAACTGGTCAATCAAGTACCCATTCGCGCCGTGGATCTCGACGCCGTCAAATCCCGCGGCGACGGCGTTCCGCGCCGCCTGCGCGTAGAGGTCGATGTATTCGCGGATCTCGGACTCGCTCAGCGCGTGCGCGGCGGCATGCTCCGCAGTCAACTTGGTCGCACTGGCGGAAACAACCTCAAATTCGGCATTCTCGGCCTTCAAAACTCCCGGATCGGCAGCACGGCCTAGCGCCCACAGCTGGACGTAGATATACGAGCCCTGCGCGTGCACTGCGTCTGTGATCTCCTTCCATGCTGCGATCTGCGCAGAGTTCCAGATGCCCGGGACGTTCGGTATCCCGCCTGCCTGTGGGGCGATGAAGGTTCCCTCGGTGATGAGCAGTGTTCCTGGCTCGGAGGCGCGTTGGGAGTAGTAGTCTTTCATTATTGGCAGAGGGGTGTGTGTGTCGTCGGCGCGAAGGCGGGTCATTGGTGGTAGGGCGAGGCGGTTGGTGAGTTGCATGCGGCCCACGCTGAGGGGGGTGAAAAGTTTTGTCATTGTGGTGGTGGTGTTGATGTCGTGGATTGTGATGGTTTGGCTTGAGAGAGAGACTGGGTAGCAATCAATTGACAATTGCCAAGTTGAGGATGATCAGGAAGAAGAGGAGAAAAAAGTCAATTGGCGAAACTGGCGTGTTTTAAGATTAATACGCCTACATCCAGGCACCTTTTATACTTCTTTACCAAAATTAACAAGCTTTTCTAGAAACCCTTAGAGAGCTCCACCTGAACTCCAGCTGATTGGTAACTAAGTCGGCCATCGGACGAATTAGTCAGATGCGTCGGAAACTTATTTTTTGTTCCACTGCGGATTGATTAATGAAGCAGAGTACCTGGATAATTAGAAAAAATTGCATATTCGGCATCGACGTATATCCATTCGACAAGAAAAAGTCACTACACACATCTGGGTTGGTATGGTATCATGAAAAAACTCCTAGAAATAAACACTTCCGCTCCATTATGGGCTCCATACAATCACAAGTCCTCCTCAGCTCTCCAACCGGCGAGCCGTAGCTTCTAGCTGCGCATTGAATGTCCGCAACTGAGTCAATAGTCCGCCCTGCGCCCCGGGAGCGAGACAGCTAACATCGTCTGCGACGGCGCGGAGCATGAATTCCACGTCGACGGACGAGGGGTTTGTAGATGTTGTTGTTGTAGTACGCTGCTGGGTTCGGTCAAGAGCCAGCTCGAGAGTATGCAGCGAGTTGTTGATCGCGGTGCGGGTCTTATAGCAGATAGTCAGAAGTATGCTCCAAGAAAGAGGGGATAAGATAAACATACCGACTTCGCATTCTCCTCTTCCATGTGCTTCGCACGCACGGCGTCCATCTGCAGTGCGATATCCTCGCGCTCCTTGCGGACATGATACAGATGACTGCGCAAGTCCAACATCTCGCGTTTGGACTTTTTGAGCTGAACACCGAGCACGAAGTTGCTGTCGAGCATCTCGCTCAGGTCCAGGAGCCGGCCGTCCAGCTCTGCACCGAAGGCTTCGACGGCTTTGCGTTTGCGGGTCCATTCGGCGCGGCGAGTGGCGTTTGTTTCGCTTGCGATCCCGGTCTTCAGCGTCTCGAGAGTCTTCTCCAGCGTCTCGCGACAGATCTGGCTAAGCACATCGGCAGGGTTGACGCCGCCGCGGTTGGGCAGTTTGGTCTTTTGAAGGGTGGAGAGCTCATCGGCGGATTCTTCCTCCTCGTCGACGGGCGAGTCCGTTCCTCCCCATGCAGATGCATTGGCTAGCCGGTGGACTGTAATGGGAACTGTTTCCCCGCGGGGTGACCGGGCTCGGCGGCGCGGTACCTCGGAGCGGTCTTCGTCTTCTGCTTGTTCTTCTTCCGGCTCGGGCTCGGGTGCACGGTTGGCTTTCTTGCCAGACGGTCTGCCGCGTTTGGGCGCAGATAAATCCGATTGTGTCTCGGGCGAGGGCGAGGGAACGGGCTCTTCGACAGTCTTTTTCGATGCGGATTTTCGACCCCGGCCCTTAGGTGCGGACGATTCAGCTGGAGTTGGTGTAGGCTCCGTTGGAGCTTCTGGTCGAGAAAGAGACTCGCGGGCCTTGCCAGAAGTTGATGGTCGGCCACGACCACGCTTGGGTTTGGATGTCTCCTGCTCGCGTGCCACGTCCTCTGCAGTTTGGGTGGAATCATCTCCATCGACTGTACGCGCCGGACGACCCCGCGGCCTCTTCCCTTCTGCCACGATGGCTGCACCAGCTTTAGGCTCACGAGTCGTCCTGCTCGTCTCGGCATTTGCCTCAGATCCGGCCTGGGGTCGTGTCTCTGAAGCACTGCGTCTTCGCGAGGGACCTGCCTTCGATTGCGAATTTGGGGTTTGTCGAGTGCGTTTTGGTGAAGAGATAGTATCCTGTAGGGCCTTGGCTTGGGGCCGGAGATTGGGCGATTGGCTCTTGCGCGGCCTGCCGCGTGCTTGTTTCGCCTTTGGTGGTGACTGGACAGTTGGTTGGGTTTCTTGAGAAGGGTTTGTAGCTGATTCCGCGCCAATGATTTGTGAAGAGGGTGGTTGTTGCTTCGTCGGGGCTGCTTTGGGTGGATTTATAGCTACCACTTCTGGGACGTGGCTCACACTAGCCAGTGTGTTGGATTTGCCGGCCTCTTGGGTCGCTGAGGTACCTGTTTTCGGTCGTGCAGGGCTCTGTCGCGTCGTTGTGTCTGTACCTGGAGGATCTTCCAGCGCGTCAATACACGATCACAACATTCATGCTCCGCCATGTAACATACTAATCCGTCTCCGTTTCGCACTCCGCGTCTGTTCCGGCACATCGTCCGCAGGTATATCGTAAGTCGAGGGTCTCTCTGGGAGATTATTTCGCGCGCTGCCTGGTGTGCGCCGAGTGCTTCGTTGGGACTCTGCGGGCGGCGTTGCTTGCGGTGGAGCCGCATCTAGAACTGAAGGCTCGTCGATTGTCGGGCCTCCAAATGAGAAACCAAAGTCGACTTCCTTGGCTTTGCGCGTCCTGTTCTCGCCGTCAGCTGTGTTGTGTCGCGGGGTCATGGATGCACGTACGCAGCACCGCGCTGCCGCATCTGCTGCCGTTCCTGGCGCGCTGTGTAGTGATAGTGTTAGCAAGGACAATCCTTCATTCAGGGCGAATCAAATCAAAACATACTGGAGGCCATGGTGGAGGAACGGCGAGGTGGACGCGTCGTGTGTTGACGGGGAGTTGGTTGTTCAAGAGAGCCCGGGGTTCTGCTGCGACCGGAGCCATTCATCCATTTTTGTTCTCCAACTCCCTCCCCCAAGTGCCACAACGCCATGGGCTGGTTTTGGGACTCGACCAAAAATGACCCGGTCAAGAAGCTCGATCCGGGTCTGCGCCAATATCTCGAGCAGGAATCCCCCGATAGATACGTGCCTGCTGGCGTGAAGCCGGCCCCCGAGCCATCCACTCCAGAATCATCACCATCGCCCGACCACGCCTCCCAACCCACCACTCCCTCCGCCTCTCTCTATCCTGATGGCCGCTACGCTCATCTCTGGAAGACCTACAAGCCACCCGTCGATGCCGACGAGAGTGCCGGGGTCCGCGGGGCCTCGAAGGTGATTGAAAAGTACAAGGAGCGTGGGGACACTGTGCAGCGGGCGGCGATGGAGAACTGCGCGCTGGAGCACGAGGCCCTGACCTACTGCTTCCAGACGGGCAACTGGCGCAAACAGATCGAGGCCCGACTGACCATGTGTTCGGCGGAGAATGCGACTTTTTCTCGCTGTTTCCAGACCCAGAGCGTGAGTTCTACTGCTTGGACCGACATGGGGACCAGACTAACGGCCGACAGAAATTCCTCCAGGCCCTGGGCTACGCCTCATCCTTTGCATACGATGCCGACCGGGAAGAGCAAATCCAGATGCATGCCGACAAGCTCTACCACCAGATGCTCGACTACGAGAAGCGGGTCGAGGAGTGCAAGGCTGCGGGCACGGAGCCGCCGCCGCTCACATCGCTCTTCCAGCCCGACCAACCCACTGGCGATGAGGCCCTCCCGGCTGGATTCAAGCCGTCCAAGCCGCTGGCTAAGCTGACACCGCATGAGCGTGAGCTGGAGATCCGGGCGCACCAAGCGCAGTTGGACCAGCAGAAGATCTACATGCAGGAGGCCAGTCCGTTCATGAAGTCGCAGGAGGAGGCCCGCAATAAGCGGCGCGAGAAAGCCTCGAGCTGGTTTGGGGAGACGATTGGGAAGTGGGTGTCGTAACCCGGATGTATGATATTTTATTTAGTCTGTAGGATAGATATCCAGGCGTTGGTCGTTCCCGTCGCTGCCCGCTAATTAGTGTTCTGTACTTACATCGGGGTTCACGATCGCCGGTCGCGTCGCCCAGACACGACTCGACCAACGATCGTCCCTTCTTTCTCTCTCACCCAACCACCTCAACCCTTGGGATTCCCTGCTTCCCTCTTTGGCCCGTCGTCACCTCCCACACCCCTACTCTAGCCGCTTCCATCCTCCTGGACTGGCCCCAAGCAGTCTCACGGCCCTCCAATCTTCCGACCCTTCGATCCCTCACATCCAGCTGAAACCGCCCACGCCAGTCTCCCTCGTGACCTCGCCAGGATTCCAGTCTGCCGAGATTCTCCAGAACAGCGAGAACAGCGAGAACAGCTCATTGAGCTGTGGTGGTCACCATGAAGGCCTCCCCGCTGCTCATCTCATGGCACAACGAAAATGCCCCGATCTATTCGGTCCATTTCGACCCCAATGGCAAGAACCGTCTAGCTACGGCGGGAAAGTAAGTGTTCAGATGGACTCTGACGTCTCGCAGGGCTTTGCTGACGACCTCGTGTCTAGTGACAACAATGTCCGAGTATGTCCTCCTTGACACCCCGTCGAACACCCATCCCCGTCTGACACAACACTACAGATTTGGAGAGTCGAGTCGACCGGCGAGGAACGCAAGGTCACCTATCTGAGTACTCTGATAAAGCACACACAAGCAGTTAATGTGGTCCGGTTCAGTCCGAAAGGTAGGAGGTCTTGCCCGCTCCAACAGGACCCGAGCTAAAAAAAGAGTGCAGGTGAGATGCTGGCATCGGCCGGAGACGACGGCAATGTCTTGCTCTGGGTACCGTCAGAACTACAGACACATGCGCTAGGCGAGGATCCATCAGACGATAAAGAGACATGGCGCGTGAAACATATGTGCCGCTCGTCCGGCGCGGAGATCTACGACTTGGCCTGGTCCCCGGACGGGGTGTTCATCATCACGGGGAGCATGGATAATATTGCTCGAATCTATAATGCCCAGACAGGTGGGTTGGTTTCTGTGTGTCGGGCAGCGTGGTTGCTAACGTTGACTCTCAGGGCAAATGGTACGCCAAATTGCAGAACACTCTCACTACGTACAAGGCGTGGCCTGGGATCCGCTCAATGAATTTGTTGCGACACAGTCCTCCGACCGCTCCGTGCACATCTACAGCCTGAAGACGAAGGATGGACAGTTCACCTTGACGCCGCATGGGAAGATCCTCAAGATGGATTTGCCTGCCAAACGCATCTCCTCCAGCAGCCCAGCACCCCCAGATTTGACGAGCAGACCTCCACCAAGCACAACCAGCTCCATTGCCATTGCATCTCCTGCTCCTTCAACTCCGGGAACTCCAATGGCTTCGAATTTGCCGATGGACCCTCCGCCCGTGTCGCACAGCCGGCGTTCATCGTTTGGCTCGTCTCCATCGATCCGACGCTCGGCCTCACCAGCCCCGTCATTGCCGTTACCCGCGGTGAAGCCGCTTGATATTTCTTCTCCGGGCCTTTGGGGTGGACTCGCCGTCAAGAACACCAATCTTTACGCAAATGAGACATTTACATCCTTCTTCCGGCGATTGACATTTACCCCCGACGGTAGCCTGCTGTTTACGCCGGCTGGCCAGTTCAAGACCCTCCATGCGTCAGCTACCGACCCGGCGAAGACCACAGACGAGATCATCAATACCGTCTATGTCTACACACGAGCGGGCTTCGGCAAGCCGCCCATCGCCCACCTTCCTGGTCACAAGAAGCCATCTGTGGCCGTCAAATGCTCGCCGGTGCAGTACACACTGAAGCAGAACGCTCAACCTGCCAAAAACATTACCCTGGATACGTCGTCCGGGGAGGATATGTTCCCTCCTCTGCCTGATTCCGTCGTTCCGACAGATTCAAATCAGCCCCCGAAGGAGCAGCCTTCGTTATCAACACCAGCAGCTGGCGAGGCCTCCAAATCACCGCAAAATGAAAATCAGGGCAGTGACGCCAGCCAAAGCTCGATGACTCCGGTATTTGCGCTTCCCTACCGTTTAGTATATGCCGTCGCCACGCAAGATGCTGTCCTTGTCTATGATACGCAACAACAAAGTCCGCTTTGTGTTGTGAGCAACCTGCATTTTGCTACCTTTACCGATCTTACCTGGTAAGTGTGGCATGGCATATTATCTTCTGTCCTCTGCTAACCTCCTGTAGGTCGAATGACGGCTTGACATTGATCATGAGCTCCTCCGACGGATTCTGCTCTGCTCTCTCCTTCGCGCCCGGGGAACTGGGCCAGCTGTATTCGGGGTCAACCTCGGCAGCTCAGCACCCCGTCAGCTCGGGTCATTCGTCTGCGACCGTCACCCCTCTGCCAACACCCACACACGTCCCATCCCCAGTCAAGACGAGCCACCATGCACCATCAAACAGTACCGGGTCCGCAGGGCCTGCCGCACCCAGCGCATCCCAAGCTCCACCCGCCAGTCCTACGCGGTCCAACTCCGCCAGCTCAGGGACAACCCAACTGTCTACAGTACAAAGTACCGCGATGTTCAACAACCCAACCCCAACACTCGGATCTGTTCCGCTTGTAACAGCAACGCACTCGGCCCAGCCCTCCGCACTCCCTCTCACTACACCACCACAAACCCCCATGTCCGCCGGTCCAACAGGCGGTGCTGCTAACACGACGACCAACAGCAGTAGTGTGTTAGGGAAACGCGATCTCCGAACTGCCGGCGACACGGAGAGGGAAGACGGCAAAGATGCGGAGTCGGGTGCCGCACAACAGCCGAAGAAACGCCGTGTCGCGCCGACGCTTATCTCGACGGGCACTGGGTCCGAGTCCGCGTCAAAAGATGACAGTCGGAATGCGGATGTTGGGGGGTGAATGGATGGCCTCAATCATCTGTCTGTCTTCTTCATTCCCTGCATGTCCCTGTCCGTGTTTGTTCCTCCCTAGCATCCATGCAGTAAAGCGCAAAGGTATTTTCAATGTGGACGCATATTTTACATTTTACGATTCATGCTCTCTTTTTCTTTTTTTCGGTTACTCTCTCATCCCATCATCCCTTCTTTCTCGCTGCTTCCAAGGGTCATTGCTCCACGTCCAAGTTTATGTTCTGCTCTATTCTCAAATCATGCGTGTCTGGCTCTGGTTCTAATTCTGGGTCTGTTCGGCGTTGCTGCAACTCATACTTAGTTAGGTTATCATAGTTAATTGCTTCGGGATATTGCTTTATATCATTTTATTTCATTCCCTTCAAACATTCTTTTCTTCTCTGTGTGGCGGGCGCTTGCTTACACCTAGTTGCTCCTACTATCTATCATTGCGTCTTTCTTGTCCTTGGTTTGTTTTATATTGTTCTATGGCTAGGCTAGGCTATGTCCGCATCGAGCCCCTTCCAGGGGGTGGCGCGAGGCTCGGTCGGACTGGCCTATCTCACTAGAGTCATCGGCAGTGGGGGTTCCTCCCGCTGACGCGAGATACGTGTACGGCATGACATGAATAATTTCTCGTTGTCATGGTGGCTTCGGGGGTGAGTGCCAAGCTGCCAGATCGGTAGCTGTCGTGCGCGTCCAGGGCCCGTTGGCGGGTGCATGATTGGAGGACTTGCAAGCTGGGCGTCGTGGGCCTGAACTTGACGGTGTACGTAGGGGAGGAGAGCTGCGTCGGCTGTCTGTCAGATGATGGGGGGTTGACGTCAGTCACAGTGGTACGGTCACAGAAAGATGGAGTTGTTTGCTACAATATCTGAGAGGGCTGATACCAGTTATCCATCTATGTATTTAATTTATTTCTAGGTAGGTCGTTTACTATTATGATAACAACGCCAAAAAAAATTGGGAGCTAGGGGATTCGAACCCCTGAGACTTTCGTCATTAGGGAACAAGATAGGATGCCTTATCTTAAATCTAACGTCTTAAACCACTCGACCAAACTCCCGGCAAACTCCGAAGTTATCACCGAGCGGTGAATACAATGGATGAGAATAATAAATGTGGTGGAATGAATCAAGCAGAAGATCTATACTAATCCATTATTTTATCGCTAAATCTACTGGTATAATTGACTCCCCTGTAAACAAATATTTCTTGCTTTACATACCCGATTTGAGTGCTTTTCACTGTTCATGGCCACGGGAAGCAATTGTCAGAAATCAACTCTGCGACAACAGCATATGCTTCTAGCTCTGCACGGCTGCCATTGAATGGCAAATACAGACTGACTATTGCCCACCGTTGAGAGATAACAACCACTCATTACAAAACCTCTTCAACCCTCCCACCAATTCTTCCACTTCTGATCAATCCCTAGTGGCTTCGTCATGACATCGATAGGACACAGGCTAGTAGAATATATAATCACATTATGAACGCGGTGCACTTCCATCGGAACTCTTTGTTCCAGAGGTAACACATAATAATTAGAGATCGCCGGCTTATAGTTATATATTCGGCAGGCAAAGGGGCTCTGCTTGGCTAACTACTAAGTAGCACCTCGGCTAGCTGGTCGGCGGCTGGAGGAATTTGGGGGCCATTTCTCGGTTTCCAGTGCCGATTTGGATGGACCCTTGCACGGATCAGGATTATGCTTGTACTATGATGAACTCTTAAAATAAGGCTCGCTTTATAAGAGACGTTAGCTAATCCTTTGGACGGTGTCTTGTCATGCTGCGAATGCAACAAGGTGGTTAACCGGAGATGTTAATACGGGTTGAGGGTGGACCGAGTGAAAATATATATCTGATCCAGGTCTCCTGTAAACCTTGGGTATGCCCGCTCACTCTTTCTATCCTGCCTCGTGCTTTTTCGGATTTGTAGGTGTTCAACAATGCCAGCTCCGAAGTTGGAGCACGAGTTAGTCCGTACGGGGGTCAACAACCGGTTAACTAACATACAGCGGTCGGGCGCGACGAAGCAGAATACTTCGACATTGTGGCTTTTTGATCCTCACTTTAAGTTGGCAATACTAAGCGAAGATGCATCTAATAAAAGTCAAAATAGAGTATATATTTCATCGTCTTAACGAGACTTGATATACAACTGAGTATGTCGTGCATCGTGCATGTGGTGATAGTTAACTAAGTCGATAGATCGCTCAACTGACGATGTCTCCTAGCAATTCGTAGTTAAAATACTGTGTCCATCGTTACATTATATGAGTGAGGCCCACGCCATCGGTCGCACCCGTTGCGCAATCCTTACTGTCACAGATCGACAGGCACATCCATTCCGGACCATCCGCCAAGCCCCCTGGACAGTGAGGATGTCAGCCCCGCTGGAAACGGAATAGTGCGGGTGGGTCTTCGAGGCTCTGGCCCGATCGGTGCGAGGCGCCAAGACGGACGCTTGCGCGTCTCCGCTATGTGAAGAGTCGGCAGAGGGACGCTCCAGCAGAGCAAGTCGTGAGGAAAGACAGGAAGTAGATATAGAGGACGAGAGAGAAAGGATAGTAGCGACTCCCTCCAGCACCTGGACATCACCGGGACATCTCTCGCACCGCTGGGTGGTAGGCCACGTCACGTTGGCCAGTCTGTACGCGTACGACAATACGCGGCTTGGCGCTCTTGGTGAATGGGGCAAGGCGCTGACGACGCTTGTAATACCGCGTACGCAGTTGCTTAGCACTCTTGTCTTTTCCTCCCTCCAGTCCCTCCCCTATCATTTACGACTACTTCCCAAGCATCCCTCCCCTTCCACCTGTATACACCTCCCCAGGGACTCGACCAGCCAGCATCCCCGATCCTGGACCCGATCCCGTACTGAGGACGTCTCCTCTGCGACCGACTATGGCGGACGGCAGACCCCAGCGGGCTTCGCCGCCCCCGACCTACGATGCCTCGTCCCTCACCCGCGAGTTCGAGCAACTGATGCGCACCAAGCGATTCAACCGTCTCTATGAACAGGCCCGGTCGCGATCCGTCACGCCTGCGCCCTCCAGCCCGTCGATGCCTCCTCATCCCGCCCGGACGCCACCTCCACCCCCAGCATCCGCGACGAGCACGCCAACTCGCCCAACTCAACAAACGGCTCCATCACCTGCTCTCCGGGGCCTCCCCATTATGCCCTCTCCGCCACAAGATGCGGCATCCCTGAAATTCTATAACCTGCTTAAAGGACTGTCCGTGACACCGACCAAATACGAAAACCCGGGCCTCCTGGACGAGGCCCTGTGTCTGATTCCCCTCGATCGGCTGTATTCGGAGGCAGAGGAGGAAAGTCAGATTCTCCAGGCTCAAGCTGCCAGCGTAGGAGGCAAACCAGAATGGGGATATCAGGACTGTGTGATTCGTGCTTTGTTAAAGTGCGTTTTCTTCTGGATCTTGTCCTTTTCATGTGCTAATTTCAGGACAGATGGTTCAAGCGATCGTTCTTTCAATTCGTCAATAACCCGCCATGCTCCCAATGTCACATGCCCACGATCGCACAAGGCATGACACCCCCGACACCCGATGAGACCGCCCGTGGAGCATCCCGCGTTGAGCTCTACCGCTGCTCCGAGCCGAGCTGCGGCGCATTCGAACGATTCCCACGTTACTCTGATGTTTGGCAACTTCTCCAGACCCAACGAGGCCGAGTCGGCGAGTGGGCCAATTGCTTTAGCATGCTCTGCCGCGCGGTCGGAGGCCGTGTGCGCTGGGTGTGGAATTCGGAGGATCACGTCTGGACCGAGGTGTATTCCGAGCACCAGCGACGATGGGTGCATGTCGATGCCTGCGAGGAGGCTTGGGACCAGCCCCGGCTGTACACGGAAGGCTGGGGGCGACCTATCTCGTACTGCGTTGCTTTTTCGATTGACGGAGCCACCGATGTCACCCGCCGCTACGTTCGCAGCCCCGCCCGCCATGGAAGCCCGCGCACACGAGCCCCCGAGGAGGTTGTGGTCTGGTCGATTCAAGAGATCCGCCGAAAACGCCGGGAGAATATGTCCAAGTCGGATCAGCGCCGGTTGATGAAGGAGGACGAACGCGAGGAGCGCGAACTCCGAGGCTACATGGCTGCCGCTCTGGCGGCCGAGATCAACGCACTGCTTCCGCGCAGCCTCGTGGGTGGTAGCCGGGGCGACCGCACCGACGACAAACATCCTGGTTCGCGCCAGGAGGCCGCGGCCGAGTGGCTCAACACGCGACAGAGGAACTCGGGCAACTCTGGCCCCGACCGGGGTCCCCCCGATGGACGATAATTCTCGACTGGAGTATTGGATGTTTTTCTCTCTGACCTTTCCGTCACCTATCTTGGACGCGCATACCACGCGATCTACCCTACCCTCTGGATACCGATCCCAGAGACGGCCAGCCAGCCATGTCTGACACCTGTGCACACTATTTCACTATACGTGCAGACACCCGGCGCAAGCCTCGCGCTGCTGATGCTCCCGGTGGGAGCTGATGGGAGCATCAGCCGAGCAGTGGCGGCTCCGGTCCATCGGACCAACTTCAACGCGCTGTCCTCGGCATGCGACCGCCATGAAACGAAACGAATCATGGCTTTCGAATTAAGACCTTGCAATCAACGCAGCTCACACGAGCAACAACACATTCATACCGATCACGATTCCCACATCCATTTCTTTTTTCTCTCTCTCTCTCTCTCTCTCTCTCTCTCTCTCTTTGTTTATGGGGTTCCACGGATATCGCATCATGAAAGAACGGCTTCTTGGGTATAATCATTTCGCACGGCGCCGGTGGTGATGATTCAATTCTACGTTATGCCGAAGACGACGCGGCATATGCTTGTACGAGACGAGACACGGTCTACACCTCTTTTTCCCTTGCTTATCTGGCACATACTCAATCTATGGATTGACGTTGTGTCTGCTGTCCTTTATATTCTCCTTCCCTTCTCGTCAATTTCACTTTCATCATTCTTTTTTCTTTTTATTCTTATGTATCCTTATCCTAGGGACCATAATATACTTAAATTAATTTTTTTTTGGCTCCCATCCTTCTGCCTGAACCCATACCGTGCCTGACTGCCCAAAAATACCCTGTTTGATTATGATGTGCGATCTTTCCCCGCGATGTTTCTTTAGCGCAAAATCCCTGCCGTCGGTGTGGGTCTGGGTTTACGGTAACATACGGAGCGAGTCAGGTGAATAATTTAGCTTTTACATCCCAAGATTGCTTGATGCCTACGAGTACAGCTATCTAGACCTAGACTCATTGAGTGAATGAGTTAAATGTATTCCTGAATATTCTACACTACGTGTAGTTTATACTTCTTGTACATATAAATCCTTCTGGTGACTAGTAGGACGAACGCGTACTCCCCCCCCACAAAAACCATAGCCACAGCCCCGGGCAGCGCAAAGCTTTGCAAAACCAAGAAAGCCTTGGCTAGTCAAGTGGGGAGCGTGCGTAAGGCGGACCGGGGGCACGGGCCCATTAATAATTATTCTTGGGGGCCGCCGCGGATATATGTGGTAAAAAGTGGGTCAGGGTCTGGTGAAGTCTTGATGCTAGGCTGGTAATTCTTGTTTTTCCTTGGTTGTTGTTGTTGTTGTGCATCAGCCCTGGCCAAGGCACTGATATAACTTAAGGTAATTAGGTTACCTAGTTCAGGGTCTCGCTACCTGACTAACCCAATGTATGTAGTTAGTCTAGTGCAAGTAAGGAGGGGGTTGCCAAGGATCGTGGCAATGGAGCGGAATATTATTGAGTCATTATTTCGTCCTGGAGATGTTTGAATGATTATGGATTCTTTTCCTAACAGGCATAAAGTATTGATAGAAGGCAATTGGAGTATGTGATTTGCCTTCTTCTACTTCTCCGGTATAATCTTGGTTATGTATAATGGCGCTGACGTAGCACGTACCTACTCCTTGGGAGGATGTGGTACCAACTCTGCAATAAAGTCCACGTCCAAGCACTAGCACAAGCATAAGCACAAGCACAAGCACCAAGCACAGGAGGAGCAAGGAACAGAGAGAATCCCCCACTGTAACAAATTAGGCAAGGTAACAACTGCCCATCATCGATCGGCCGATCATCCACGCACAGATGCCACCGTCTCTCTGTGACATTGCTTAGATATGCTTACCCGCATTCTTGAATTCCACGCTACATATCCGGTGTTTGCAGATCCTGTGGTATTTATGGAACATAAAGACAGACATAAAATTATGTATCGGCATTCTGAGGATCTAAGGATCTAATCATTTCTGTGGGTATCTGAATGCATTGCGTCTGTATACTGTACACTACTTGAGCGCTGCCTACTTCCAGTCCTGGAGATGAATATGTAACTGAGTTGCTCCATTTATGCTGTTGCTGTTGCATTGATTAACGTTCGGCGGGGGATTAGGCTCCGCCTAATGACCCTAGAACCTGCCAAGGGATATGGGGACGTGCTAAGCTATGGATTTATATACAAAAGTGCAACCCTTCAAAGCATTCAAGCAGACTGCGTGGTATTGTAACCAGTTGGCTATTCCCCAATAAATCTGGTTGGAAAAGATGATTCTGGGTGCCAGTACTGACGCCGGTCGCCTTGTGTCGGCCCTTTTCACTAACTAGCCAGTGTCTCGCGCTCACGGCTCAGCTGACAATTGGATGAAACGCAGCGAATTATGCTATTGCAGACCCCGAAAGAAAAACAACACCCAAAAAAGTACATTACAATGTTAGTCACACCGCGGAAATCCAGCACCCAATACCTCTCCGTCGCAAATCCTCCTCCACATGCTTGAGCTCATGGCCATAGTATGACTGGCCTTGCAGGCGGAGCTCCCATATACAAAGTGAATCATCGTTGCAGCAGCGCAGATCCTCATTTTTGCTTGGAGCATCGTCAAGCGATAACGACAAAGAGGACAAAGACGACGGCGACGATCGCCATCTATAACTCCCGCTGGAGTCCGAGTCATGCTCCACATCTGAGTCAAGTAGTAATAGTTCGTCCTCGCTACAAAACGTCGTATCATCCACCAATCCATAGATCGGGTTGTGGATGTGTTTGTGAGCCAGTATCTCTTTTAATGGGTCTAGAAACACAGCCAGTTTCTCCACAGGCTCGCAGAACCACGTACTCGCTAGTACGAGCACGAACGACTTCAGGGCTGGCAGTCTTCTCACAGTGCGACATGTTTCGAGCCATTGGGCCCGTCCGGCTGATACGTATACCGCGCGCACCGGGTCTTTACTGGGTAGCCAGTGGCCCGGGAAAGACCAGCGCAGCTCGACGTCGCGGATGGAGGTCCAGTGGGCGCGGGGGATGGCGGGGCGGAGGTAGGGGAGGGTCCAGGGGATGCTGAATTCGAAGGTGTTGAGGGAATAGAGGAGGTGGATGCTTTCGGAGTACCTTAGGGAGGGTCGGTAAGTAGGTACAAAGTATAAACTATACGCAACCCAAGAAAGAATGGCGGAAGGTACATACATTTGTCTACATGCCAATGGCAGAGCGAGGATATTATCCCGGCCGGGTCTCGAGAAGACCGGGCCGGCCTCTTTCACAGGCTGCGCAATGCCATTCCCATGGCAGATCTCGCAGCTCTCTTCGTCGGGGCAGACGACATGTCCGAGTCGCCGGCCACCGCGCTGGATAATGTGCAGCTTGTGTCCGCCCAGGACAAACTCCCAGATCATGAGCCGCAGCTCGGGCGACAGTCGGGCGAGAAGGCGACTCTGGGGTTGAGGCTGCGGCGGAGATGGTACCCGAGGCGTGCGGGGGAGCGGCGGAGGTTTGTTGCCTGGAAAGTCCATTGGAAAAGAAAGATAGAAGCGAACGAAAAGGGTGAACTCACTCTGGTACCGCTGGGCCAGCACATCCTCCCATGAAAATACGCCCTGCTTGACGCGAGCCATGATGACCGAAGACAACCAAGAGTCACGAAGAGAACGGTCCTATGTAGATATACGGTCAGGCCATGTCGTGCGGGATTTTCTTTTTCTTCCCTGCAGTCCCACGGGCTCGGCACGAAAAGCTAGCAGAGAAGCACGCGATGAGCCATTTTGGGGTCTCACAGTGATAATGAAACTACTAATAATGGCGTGTCGTGTCAATGAACACCCCCCGAGAAAAAGAGTCGGTGAGCAGATAAAGGATTCTAGTTCCCGATAAGCGCCACTCGGGAATGACTGCACTTATGAGGGCTGCCACAAGACAGGAGATATTCACTTCCCGAATGGTGATGATGGAAAAACCCAAATTTAGCCAATGCTCCCGTGTCGAACCAGATGCTTAGTATTCGATCCCACCGCCGGTGTAAGAGATGCGTGGAGGTGACTTGGGCAGTGGATCCACTTAACGCCCCCCCCACTCGTGATCTGCTGATTAGGTACTCAGGAACCTCAGGAACTGGCCTTGTGATCAGAAAACCGCTAAGGAATGTTGCCGCTTCAAGAGGCGAGGCCACGTGGCCGCCTAGTGTTGAAAATAACACCCACAATTACGTCCGCAGAGAGACTATGCCAGCAAGACAGAACGGAGTGCTTCCGGCTCACCAAAAAATCCAATGCTAATTATAATGTCACGCCAGATGGAAGAACGGAAGAGCCCACCGACGTCCAAGACACCGAGGATCAATATTGTGAGGGCGAGGGTGACGACCCTTCATACCCACACACCGCAACCCCAGTAAAGCGATCCTGAGGGGGAGTAGTTGTGATATGAGACTGGTGCAGATCAGGAACAAAGCCGCACGATCGAAAATAATTCCGCAGATATCTATACGAAGCACGAAGCCACTACTTGTAGCCTAACATACTCGTTTGTTCAGCGAATGTTGCTCTCAAGAGCCTTAATTTTGGGATTAACCATTTGCAGTAAGACTCTGGCTAGCTTCTGTTGGCCACCAAATTGTGTAATCATGGAACGATACGGGACTCGTCGTAGATAAAGTAGGGAGAATCTGGGGCTGTTATAAGATGCGCAGACAATGGCAATTATGTCACTGAGGCTTGGGAAGACAATATGGGGCACTATCTCCTAAATTCTGGTTCTTCGTTAGCAAGCTGTTTCATTACTTACTGGGGTCCAGTCTCCTTAGCAGAGCAGTCTCAATCTAAATTATCAGGTAGTGATTCCACAACAGAGTCAAAGGATATTTCCAAAGCGGAGACACTATTATATTTTCCTTTTCTGATATTAGAGTCCACCAAAAGAGCAGGCACACGCTCATCTAAGGCGTAGAGTTCTGGCATTCTGCGGCTAGCAGACATCAACTTCCCAAGGCGCTTTAGCAGTCAATGAAATGACAATACTCCATGCACCAGAGTATATTCTGTCAGTTTGTGTCTCCAAGTTTACGTCAGTTCCCGCTTCTAACAATTCTACGTCCTAGTCTATTCAACTCAAGAATTTTTTTCTTGCTGAAACAAAGGAGTTCGAAGAGTACTGGTCGTGAAAGAATCAGGTTCGAGATCGGTCCTACTGTTTCAAGTGGGGGTTCCTTGATGGAACTACTGGCAGGGTCCATTGTAGAACATCGATTCATGGAAGACACAAATGCTCTGCAGACCTATTTCTTCTGAAGATTAGAGCATATTGTGCCAAGGATATCGTGATTCGGTCTATTCAGAGATGAAGTTCGGAATCAAGAAGAATGCAATGTTGCGCATAGCATGGACGGACACTAACTTGTCTTTGCTTGGCTCAATCAGGAATGTTTCATTCATTTTGTCGACATCCACGCGGGTCTTCTGATTTGACTACTCGATACATCCAGCACCGGCGCCATCATTAGTAATCCGATTTAAGGTTAACTTAACAGGGGTAGATTTATCTGCAGAATGGACAGTCTTCTAACCCTCAATTTTCTACGCCATTAGCGAAGGGATTTACTAATGTAAACTGGATTTCCGTATCCTGCCAAGAGTTCGTCCGTTGCTCGTCCGATCCGTTGTTCGTCCGTGAATTGTAATACATTATTAATCTCAGCCGGCTCGGGTATTTCTAGGGCCGAGCAATGTGGATTGACATTTGAATTAATTAAAATGTTAAACCAGAGCTTGAACCTATAAAAGCAGAGCAAACGCCTGTAATCTATGCTCCCATAAAACACACAGTCGTGAAGAATTTATCTCATTAAAACTAGAACATGTCCGCAATCAAGCCAATCCAGCTCTACGGTGGCATCCTTGGCCCCAACCCTCTCAAGGTCGGCATCATTCTCACGCTCCTCGAACTACCTTTCGAAAGCGTCCCAGTCGAGTTCGCCAAGGTCAAGGGCCCTGAATATGAGGCCATCAACCCGAACGGGCGCTTACCTTCCATCCATGATCCCAACACCGGCCTGACAATCTGGGAGAGCGGGGCCATCGCCGAATACCTGATCGAAAGATATGACACTGAGGAGCCTCGCAAGCTGAGCTTCAAACCCGGCAGCGCGGAAGCCGAGCTCGCACGCTCGTTCCTGTATCTCCAGGCCTCCGGCCAAGGCCCATACTACGGACAGGGCTACTGGTTTAAGAAATACCACTCTGAGAGAGTCCCGAGTGCAGTGGAACGCTATGTTAATGAAGCAAAGCGTGTCACAGGCGTGCTTGATAATTGGTTGAGCAAACAGAAAGAAGCCAATAGTGAGAACCTCGGTGATGGTCCTTGGTTGGTTGGGAACAAGCTATCATATGCCGATGTGGCATTCATTCCCTGGCAAAGGACAGCTGGCATGGCATTCACAGAGGATGGATTCGATGTGGACGCTTTTCCGAATGCGAAGGATTGGCTCGAGCGCATGACTTCCAAAGAGACGATTAAGGCTGTTCTCGACTCTGCGGCCGAGCAAATGGCCAAGATAACCCATAAGTGATTTGTTGTCTAGATATGAGAAAACGGAAGTTGGTTCAAAGACTCGAAAATGTGTATATCCCAGAAAAAAATCAAAAGTAAACGAGTGAGATATACTTATACCACCCATCATATGTTTGAGAATGGACCAAAGGCACAATACTAATATCTCAGGGACTTCCAGATAAGCGATGCCGAGACCATCAGGTGGGCTCATTCTCCTTTTGCGAGCTGAACTTATAAAAACTGTAACCTATCCCTGGAGTGCTGTCATGAACGACTATTTCATGAAGCTCGCATAGCGGGTTTCAGAGTGATCGTTCTCGAATGTAGAGCACACAAACAAGACAAAGTGCGGTAGTGGGTTGATATTGTCTAAATAGTACGAGGTATAAGTAGATCTTCTATTAAGCTATTGTTGGTAATCTAGATGATTGCCTGAACCGCGTGGCGGGCAGTGTAACAGTTGCTTGTTTTACTGGTACAGAAGCCCGTCATACTTGGCCTTTCTCGAAGCCTTCCTGATTACTAGGCTCCTCGTAATCATACCTGGAAGCGCCCACCGCCAGGTTTAAGGAGATTTGGACGTACTCGCCTTGCTAGGACCATTTGAATCCTCTCAAGGATAACTATATCATCCATGCTAATAAAACCGTCAACCCAGACCGTCACGAATTGACCGAAGCTTTGGTGACTATAAGATGACAACTTCAGGGGCCGGACCATAATGATACAGGTCAACACCCATGGGATGAGCAGGATGGCAATGTAGAACACGAGGATGTACAGCGAACTCGTGCGGCAACGTAGCGGGGCGCGAATTGGACTCAAACTCTTTTCCTTTTTCTCAATTTTGCTGTCCTGGAGTGGAGATCATTACTGACCTCCATGATTTTGATGCTAGTGTGAGCATAGGCTAGGTGTGATGATGTCTGGATTCCTGATGACTGGGACAAAAGCTTCACGTGAACAAATCTAACAGCATCTATGTCTTTACCGGGAGAACTATTGTTCTGTTCTAAACAGCACGAGAGCAGCTCTTTTCATAGTGGGTACCGTGATGTTCGAATTCAGTTTTAAGTCCAATCTCTCTCACAAACACCCGCTCTATCTTTATTCCCAAGGCCCCACCGCAAAGGCGCTCGTTTTAATTAGGCCCTTGTCTCGTTATGGCTTTACCGTACGTCTCATAACTTCCATCATTTCTTCAAGCCATATCTGGTGATGTCTCTGATTTCTAACATCACCCTGAGAAGAATCGACCTGATCACCCCCTAAAAGCTTGCCTTTGCCACGTGATTTCAGATGGGAATAAACTCAAAAATGGCAAAGACGTCCAAACCGTAACATAAAGAGGTGTAGACGGCTAGGGATGAAAAGGACACCTAAGCGAGTGAATTGGATCCAATTGGTGACGGCGAGGAAGGAGAGGGAGATTATACTCAGTTCCGGTGCGCAGATCAAGCTCCTAGTGAACGAAGCCCAGGTAAGCGGCGAAGGAGTGTTATGTCTACGCTAAAAGAGGGCCACAGAGATGATGATGATGATGAAGATGTAAGAGTTCTCCCACTACGTGATATGCAACAGCGCATGTTAGGTAGGGTCCAGAAACGTTCAGGTATTCTTGATGGATATGAAACACCGTAGGTGGTTCTATATCTAAATTTGATCTGAAAGCGGAGCTCGTTTCATCTGATCTATTTGAAATCAATGAACGTCCTCTGTAGTTAGAAGATGTAAGCGAGATAATCAGATTACAGCCAAAATCCACATAAAATATGCAGGCCACGTGTTGCGTGTCCTGTTTGCTCACCCGCGCGTGAGGGCGAGGTCTACCCCTAAACTCCTCCAATTCAGGGCAGTGAGTTTATCTCTAAATATCTAAATCTTAGGTGATCTCCTGATAAATAGAGCGTCGTTATCTACGTACGCTAAGCGTCTCTAGGTCGAAGAATTTAATTCAGTTGTTATTGGTGTTATTAACTTATCATTGCTAGCTGCTAGTTTGTTTTATTTTTCTAGTTTTCTTTTAGTTCTCCAAGTCGGTCAGGACACGGGCCGCCTGGGCGGGGCGGGGAGCACCCACACTCGTCGGGGGCGGGCCAATTAAGGGGTGGAGAATAGTGCCAAGGGGCATGGTACGCGGGGAATCATACAGGGGGTAGTATCTATATCATAATAGGCTAATCTTCGGCACTTGACTACTAACCGATAATTGATCCCATCCTTCTACCCCTCTCTCCTTTATTCTATGATAGGATCCTAATATCGGCTCGCGTATCTCTTTACCCGTTGATTGGCAGTGTACTACTGCCTTCTTCCCGCGACGATAACGCATCTCAGCGTCGATTGGTCGTATTGTCTGCTTATCTAAAAAATACAGCCGCGCAAATTGAAAGTACGGGATAAAAGTAAAAGCAATGTTCCGTGATCCTTCAGTAGCTCCAAACCACATATATAAGCTGCTCAGAAGGGATTACCCAGATCAGCGGGCTCTTTGGATCTGGTTTATTTGTTGAAGATATCACTCATCTGCTCCTGATTGCCTACCATGACTGAAGTGACAGCCGCTTCCGTGACCGCCATGGACGATGATAAGAGAAGATCGTCCAATAAAGACAGCGCTGAGGTTGGTATGACTGGCGTTCCCGATTTTAAGGAGGATGCCAGCTGTTCAGATGGCGATGAGGCCCTCAAGTTGGCGGGAATTCATGCCCACCAGTTCGACGAAAAGTATTATCTTCGCCTGCGGCGGAAAATTGTAGGTTATTTCAATCAGAAATTGGGGGCCTTTAATAACAACTGACAATGCTATTTTCTCTAGGACCTTCACATCATGCCTATTCTCGTCTTTATCTACTTCACCCAATTCTTGGACAAGAACATCCTTTCATACGCATCCATAATGGGATTTCCAGTCACTGGCATTTGGTATAACGATGTCGCTCAGGCGTTCTACATGGGGTTCATCGTCTGGATGTTCCCTACTCAATACATAGGGCAAAAATTCCCAATCGCCAAATACCTTGGTTGCCATATCACCCTATGGGGTGTTCTTGTCATGCTCCACGCCGTATGCCACAATTTCTCGGCCTTCTACGCCCTGCGATTTTTTCTTGGTGTGCTCGAGGCGTGTGTGTCTCCCAGTCTTATACTTATAGTCACGATGTGGTACAAGCAGAACGAGCGTGCCTCTCGCATCGGCTGGTTCTACGTCGGTAACCTCAGCACAAATCTTGTAGGAGGTGGCGTCGCATACGGAGTCACCTTCTACAACGGCTCCATCCAGCCGTGGAAGCTTCTATACATCGTCCTGGGTGCACTCGCAATACTCAATGGAATCATCGTTATTCTTTTCCTTCCCGATTCGCCAGTCAGCGCTCGTTTCCTGTCTGACCAGGAGAAGATCGCGGCTCTTGAGCGCGTCCGTCTGGACCAAGCGGGCACTCACAATAAACACATTAAGAAATACCAGATTCTCGAGACTTTCAAAGATATTCGAACCTGGCTCATGTTTGTCATCATCCTGTGCCTCGGCATTCCGAGTGGCGGTAATTCTGCCTTTAACAACATTATCACCAAGAGTTTTGGCTGGACCTCCCGTCAGTCCCTACTGCTAGATATGCCTCGTGCCGCTATCGGTGGTGTTGCTGTCGTCGCTGTCGGCTGGCTTTCCGATCGGATCCATGACCGCATGACTCTAACCCTGCTTTTCACGCTTCCTACGCTCATTGGCATGATCATTATGACAACTATGCAATACTCCGGCCAGAAGGGTGTGCTTCAATTTGCGCAGCTATTTCAGAACCTTTCTGCTCCCGGGTTTCCGCTCTGCTACGCCTGGAACGCGAGCAATGTAGGTGGTCACACCAAAAAGGTCACTGTCAACGCTTTTACTTTGTTCACTTTTGGTGCTGGTTCCGTTGTTGGTACCTATATCTTCTTGCCTCAAGATGCTCCTGGCTACATCCCAGGCAAGGCGGCCATCGTTGTTCTGACTGTGGTGATGATGTGCTGCTGTGCCGTGATGGCCTATATCAATATACGGTGGAACAGGCAGAAGAAAGCTGAGCTAGAAAGGCTCATTGCTGAAAACGGTTGGACAGAGGAGGATGTGGATCGTGAGCGAGAAAGGGCAGCCTTTCTTGACCTTACTGACAGAGAGAACGTTTTCTTCATCTATACCCGGTGAAGTGCATCAAGAATTTTATGTCACTGATGTATGAAAAATACTACCGCCGCTAAACGGAACAGCCGCCCCGCAACCCTGTCTGCAAGTAGGAGATGGCCTGATTTAAGAAAACATGACTCTAGTATAGATAATACATCTCCATGTATGCTGCCTTACACAAATACTAGAGATAAAGGTCTATGATTATGAAGACTCTTCACGTTCATGTGTTGGTCCAGGAAGTCTAAAGGATATCGACACTGATGAGCGTCTGACTGACTAACTAGTTACCAGGTCAAATGGCTAGTAGATAGTGCCCACCGCGGCCATGACTGCAGCTAGGTTTTGATATAGGTTCATACTTGCACCATAGCCAAGCCCGTCACGCACTTCACTTTGTAGAAATGGGATAAAATAGGGTTCGTTGAGCACTCCATTGCATATTACTACCTTGTATAGTTATACTTGAAAGATAAGGGATTTACAGGCATATGGTTGCGGCAGACTGCATATCGCTCAAGTGCGAGCTCCATATTGTGTCAATTCCTGTAAACGAATAGACACGCTGCTTCCTCATACAATAGAGTTGGCGATGTACTGTTTCTCCTCACAGGACCCACACCTCGAGAGCGGTGTGCCACAACGGTTTTCAGAAAGGGCAATCAGCACGCCCTCCGACTACGAGGGGCGGGTAGAGGGCGAGCACTCCCGGCCTTCCCGATGTTTCTGCCGAGGTCTAGTCTAGCTTTGGCAATATAGTGTCTAACGGCTGACCTCTCTTCGCCCCCATACATTTAAACATATTCCCGCCCCCAAGTCGGACCCCCAACAGCTGGCGCCGCGTAGTGGTTGGGGGTCCGGCTTGGGGGCGGGTTTGCTCTGGAGCATGTTTTCCTGATTAAGGCTGAACAGAGAGGGCAGGGATTGGCTAACATCGTGCTCCACTCTTTCCTGGCGCCAATCCACTTTTGGTATTTGAGATGTCCCGGCTGTCGATCTGAAGCAGGACTATTCATGGACGTTAGTGACAGGAAGGGGGATGTTTCTTTTATTAGAGATGAAGAGGGCTCGAAAAACATAAAAGAAGAGACATTGCTCTCTTTCTAAAGAACACGCAAGTTCCTGTTTCGTTTTCACTTTAACTCTATTACTACTACAACTTCTGTTATACTACAACAGCTAGTATACTACTTACTCTATACCCCGACACCATGGGTTCTGTGACCTACCGCGATGGCATTGCTATCCTCCAGATTATCATCTTCCCTATGATTCTTGCCGGGGCTATTCGCATCTGGAGACGGATGGGTTGGAAGGCTGCTTCTCACTCCTGGCGCTTCGTTATTACTCTCTCACTTCTAAGGATTACTGGTTCGATTTTTACGCTATTGACAATTAGCCACGAGTCGCATAGTACTGTTATCGCCGAGGCTGTATGTGAGCTGATTGGTATTGCGCCTCTCTTGTTGACCTACGTTGGACTGCTAGGACAAATGTGAGTGGTGATGTGAATTCCTTAGACTTAATGGAGGTAGGCTAACAGATGTCTTCCGGTTAGCGATACGGATCACATTATACCCCCTAAGAGCCTACACGGAGTGGCTATCACCGGCTTCGTTGGCCTCATCCTCGGTATCGCAGGAATCAGCACGACTGATGACACTAAGGGCCATTTCCATGCAAACGGCGTCGTCATGGGCGCTATGGGAACCTTCCTAGCCGTATTCGTCATCTTCACCGTGCAAGCGATCTACCTAGCCATCAAAATGCAGTTTATAATGAATAGGGCGCAGAAGTTGCTGTTCCTCGCTGTTGGACTCTCTTGGCCATTCTTGTTAATTCGATTGGTTTACTCGTCAATCGGCGATTTCGGCAGTGACGCTCGCTTTGCCATCATAACAGGCAATGCCACAATCTATCTGTGCATGGATGTACTGGAAGAGATTGCCGCTATGGCCCTTTGTGTGTTCTTTGGGTTGTCGGCTGTGTCGCAGAAAGAGCCCAAATCGGTCGCAGATGATGAGATTACTAAAGTATAAATTTCTGCTTTTTAGTAGGGGCTTAGGTCTTTTATATGGCAGAGGGCTAGAAGAGAGGAGGAAACTGGAACAAGCAGGCATTGGAGACTAGCTAAGGGAAGTTGCGGTATTCCATTTATGTGTTGGCTTTTGTGCATACTTTGTTTGGGCTGCTGAAAGCATTTATTAGGATTATTTATTTACGTTTTAATTCTATCAGAATCATTATCTCCGCCCCATGTGTTTGAAAAAGAGGGTCTGCTTTATGGAAGTTCTATATTTAGAGTAACAACAGCGATATCCTGCAAGAACCTCTTATTGTCTAGAGATTAGTAAAGATCTACTTAATGGTATGTGTGCCAGAAAAGCTAGTTATAGTTTTCGGATCGCATTGAAACTTTTTTAAGTCATACATCGGATGTACATAGTCATTGCCATGCATACAAGTTAGGGGTTGCGTACGACCTACGGTCGTGAAAAGCCCGAATAATAATAATAATAATAATACACACAAACACATATACATGCTTGATTATTCGCTAGGTCATCCCCGGATCAAAATGACCATAATGGTTTGTTTGATTTCATTCTCTAGGAAGTCTAGTTAGAAGACCCTCGAGACGATATCAGGCAGACTCTGGTGGATGTCGAAGCAGGATAGTAGCAATATCTCTCTGTTGCATCGACAGCGAGTGAAGGGCCGATAGATCATCATTATAGAGGATCCTCGGCTACATCTCGTCTGGATTGATGACCGAATCTTCATTAAACCCCTTCCCTAGTACATAACGTCTTACGTGTTCTAGGATACGTTTATAAGCGACGGTGCGGTGGAGAAGCTAAGAAAGGCCATACTTGGGTATCTACGAACGTATTTCTACCTAATCTAGTATGAATCAGATCTATGAGTTGCATAAGATCTAGCTCTCTGCCTAGTTCCTAGAGAAGTGACCTAGCCTTAGTTCATCAGTTTACTACCCGTTTCAACGACACGAAGTTTCCTACTAAAAATTTGGAAATAAATTTTAATATGAATTGACTAAACTAGTCCATTTACATTATATATTACTATAACGGTCTTTATCTTCTCTTATCTCTGTCGAGAGTTAAGAAACTTCGCATTAGGGTATGTATCTTTCATATGTGGATTCTACGTATACCCAAGGGTACATTTGCGTTGAACTAGGGCCCAACAGTACCAACCAGTATCGGTGGGCCCCAACACACGATTCAGTCGGATTAGTAATCCACACAATAGTCCCAACTTCAAGTCATACCAGTGCGAGATTCCTCCTCCGGTTTATACAATTCGGATGTTCTCTTTTCTAACTTGACTCTGGAGTACGAACCAAGTATCCAAATTCTAAAATGGCTTCAAGCCAATATATACTTTACGACATCCCCTCCGGCAAGGCACCATGTGTGACATGGTCTCCCAACCCATGGAAGAGTCAGTGCAGCGACAGCCATTGGCTTCATACACCTTAGTCAGACATGCATATACCAACTGACTTACACATTAGCTCGGCTCCTTTTCAATTTCAAGGGTCTTAATTATCGAACTCAATGGGTGAGTCAGATTAAAAGAACGGAAGACAAATGCTTATGAGCCATTATAGGTCGAATACCCGGATATCAAGTCTACATTGGAAAATCAGTATGCCTCCAAGGAAGATTCTTGGCGAGTATAAAAAAAGGTCTAACGTCCCTAGTGTCGCAGCCAATACCGGAGTTCCCGCGTACTCTATCCCTACCATTGTTTGCCCCGATGGAACGTATATCATGGATTCGCGCAAGATTGCGGACTACATAGAACGCCAAACCCCGCTTCCTTCGCTTCACTTGGATTCAGTCTACCTCGAGAAAGTCGAGCGTATATGGTCTCAGTATATGAAAGCCATTAAGCCGATATTCATTCCTCTGGTCCCAAAGCGGATCCTCAATGCGGAAAGTCTTGACTACTGGTATACAAGTCGCCAGGAATCGGTTGGAATGCCACTTGATCAATTGGAGAAGGAGAAAGGTGGTGTTCGAGCATGGAACGAGGCGGAGCCGGCCCTTCGCGAAGTGACTATTTTGTTGAAAGAAAACGAAGGGCCTTTCTTCTTGGGAAAGACTGTGAGCTATGCTGATCTTGTATGGTCTAGCATTCTTCTCTTCAACCAAAAGTTAGGATCCGATATTTTCCAGGAAGCAATGGAAAGGAGCGGGGATCCTCAGGTGCACCTGAACTTAATGAAGGCTGTTCAGCCTTGGTCTGAGAGATGTGATTATTGAAGCCTACTATAGAGCGTAATCCTGTCATCTCTTTTTACTATCTCTTTTTAGTGTCTTCCTTATACTGTTTAGTTCTTCCAATATAGGAGAACCCTTGCTTGAATACATATAGTGCATCACAAAAACAATATGGAAATTGCCACTGTGGGAATATCCTGGAAGACTCGGTACTGAGCCTTCAGGCTCCGTTTTGGGATTGAGTCCACTTCCAGTGGAAGACCAGAGAAGCGTTGATAGTGCCTGACGTTGGACTTTATCGTAAGGCCAAAAAGTGAGGATGAAGCATGCAGGCTTCAGTATCCTCAACAGCCTGTACGGTAGTTTTGCTCTCCATACTACCACAACTTTGATCCTATATATGCTTAATTCAGACAGCAACATGCCTAGAGACGTCGATGACATCGCGACTCGCATCTCAAAAGCTTGCGGCACCGCAAGGTCCTAGAAAATCCAAATTTTAGGTATTTTGTTTAGTTACTCGCATGATAAATCCATGTGTCTTTTGGAAGAGTATTCAATATGAGTTCCCTATCCTTGTGAGCCTTGCCCGGGATATCCCTGCTCCTGCGACAGGTTCTGAGGTTGAACGATTATTCAACACTGCTGATATCCGTCATTACCGTCGAGGGTACCTGAAATGGACGACTATCAAGGATTTTACGACTCATTTATTTACAGCGAATTCTGACGTCAGCATCTCCTTCGTACTCGTCCGCTAGTTGAGGTCTGCGTGAATAGCAGCCGGCCTAATTTTATACCAACCGCTTTCTTGGTGCTGAGGGAACGCCCCTTTAGTGTATCTGGAGCGCACTATTCCTCAAACGGTACCATAGATGAGATTATGCAGCCACAATATGAAGAACATGGCTGTGTTATCTATGTTTCCCCCTATTCCTGTATGCCAAGCGTAACTTGGCCTGAAGCGGCAGGTGGCAGGAGTACCCCAGTTAGCCCCGGACTCGGGTAGATAAGAGTGTCTGATAAGATATCGACAATACTGTCCCTGATAAGATATCGACGATACATTCTGATAAGATATATCGACGACACCTATGTTGATGTCGCATACGGAGAATGAACACCGCGTTTGTCACCCAGGGCCAATCGCAATTCACAGTCTCTTGGCGTTCTTCAGATTTACCCGCGCTCTTGGGCCCCATGGAGTCAACAGGTCCGCTGCGCAGTGCTCTGCAGATAGCAATTGCCGATGTCGCTGCTCTTGGCATTCAACTGGCTTCTGCGAAAGCTTAGGTGCGAGAGATTGCGCACAGAAGAGGTCTCATTGTTTGGTTGGATAAAATGCTGGTATCTCCTGCGATAACTTGTCTGCATGCTTAACTGGAGCCAAATCATTGTCCAGACGAAGGGAAGAAGGAGTCTCGCCTCGGGTTAATCCGCGATCCCCAGGCTACCCTATCTCGAGATGGACCCTTTTGCCTATACGATTCGCCAATTTTCCGACACCCAGTCCGATGTACGTCAGATATGTCGGTATGAGCCGACCAGAAACATTCTGCACATTGGGTTCCCACCTGGGGTCAATTGGGACAGGAACCGGCACGACTATACGCTCGGGCTTCGGTTATATTTCTACTGATAAGCATTTGTTGACTTGTACCTGCAGACCTATCAGTGCAGGTTCCGGAATCAAACTAGAAGAGCAACTAGAAAATATAAATATCGTGGGTGAGGCTTCGTTTCCACTGCTGATCTCGTCTTCAAGGCTCTGTAAATATCATTCAATCGTCATCACAATGGCCGTCCGTCCCACGGTGGCCCTCCTTGGAGCCATTGCTCTGGCTTCATCTGCCCAAGCTATTGCCCTTCCCAGCGCAAAGATATCTCTTTCTATCCCCGCCACTGTGGAGGCAGGTGGACTAAGCAATATTTACGTGGACTACCATTTCCCCGTGGATGGCCATTTCGCCATTCATTATGGAGGCTGCGATGTGTCTTCATCTCATCCTTCTCTGGCTTACCACGAGGTCGGATCAACTTACATTGGAAACCACCATCTGGCACGTCGAAACCTGGACTGGGAGGATCAACGGCCCAGTCGATTTGTTTGGGTCACTCCCAAGGACATTCTGGGTGAGGGTTGTCTCCATGCGTACTCGGAAAATGAATGGATCGGCTCGTCTTCACCAATTAATGTTGCCACCATGAAGGCCAAGCGTGCGCACGAGATCTCTATCGATTTGGCAGACATTTCGGATGTCGAGGGGCCGTGGTTCGATGGCGTCGCTTACCTGAAAGCGAAGGAGCCCAACCGGCGATTCGTTGCGAAGGCCAAGGCGAAGGAGATCGGTATCCTGGGAGGTGGTATGTCTGGGTTGATGACATCGGTATGGAAGCGTCTTCTTTCAATGCCAAGCCTGTTTAGAAAGCATCATACTGACTGTTCATCAGCTTCTTCTTGACTCTGTTGGAATCAAGAACTGGAAGATTATCGAGTCGACCGGCCGCGTCGGCGGACGAATCCACACTAGCTATCTTAATAACACGCGCCCTGACCAGTACCAGTATCAGGAAATGGGGCCGATGCGATTCCCCGTCAATATCACTTACGCGGGTACGGATGAGGTTATCGAAATCCAAGACCACAAGATGGTCTTCCAGTTGGCGGACTACGTGAATAAACTTAACCACCATAATCCGGATCTGGAAGTCAACTTCATCCAATGGATCGAAAGCGCTGCCAATGACCCGGTCAGTACAGATAAGCGCCGACCAGATGGTACTGTTCCTGGAAATGCCGAAGTGCAAGCCAACAAGAGCCTCGAAGCCACCCCCGAGCCATCGACTGCGGCCGCTGCACCTTATGCTTCCAAGGTCGAAGAATGGTTGACTCTGAACAAGAAGAACCTCACTGAGATGGCTACTAATGTGTTTAAAGCACATAAGAAGGCTGTGGATGCGGGTTACTTGGGCTGGTCGGAGTCCAACTACCTGAGATATTACCTCGGGGCCAACGTCAACATAACGGATCAAGTGGACTCCTTGGCTGATAGCTATGATAGCTGGCTCTACGATAATGTCTACTTCTCTGCCACGCAGTGGAAGACAATCGATAAGGGTTTGAGTAGCTTGCCGCTGGCCATCACACCCCTGGTAGAGGACCGAACTCTCTTCTACAGCGTCGTCAACCGTATGGACTGGGATGAGGACAAGGAGAAGATGACGGTGTACTACCGCCCCCGCAATGATTCCTGGGCTGAAGTCAGACCATGGAATTCGATTACGTCGTTACTGCCGTTCCTTTCACTCGAGTGAGGCTCTGGCAGACTCCCCAGTACTCCATGGTTCTCAACAATGCGATTCAGCGCTATGAATATGAATCTGCGTGCAAGGTGGCCCTGATGTATAAGACACGTTTCTGGGAACATATGGAGTATCCGATTATTGGCGGCTGTGGCTCTGTCAACATCACCGGTATTGGCAGTATCTGCTACCCTTCATACAACATCAATGGCACCGGCCCCGGTGTCCTCCTAGCCTCATATGAAGAGGGTGCTGGGGCCCTTGCTACTACGGCCTTCAGTGAAAGCGACCACGTTGCTTTCGTCCAGCGTGCAATGATCGATGTCCACGGTGAGATTGCCAAGGAGCAATACACTGGCATCTATGACCGTGTCTGCTGGGCCACCATGCCTGACCAAGGTGCTTCCTGGGCTGCCCCTGATGCTGGCCAGCAGGAACTGTATATTCCTGCTTTCTTCCAAACCGAGATGAATACTGTGTTTGTTGGAGAGCACACCAGCTATACCCACGCCTGGATCTTCAGCGCCTTAGAGAGCGCGGTCCGCGGCACGACGCAGCTGTTGCTGGACATGGGATTGGTTGATGAAGCTAAGCAAATCACCAACCAGTGGATGGCGCGGTGGATCAGTATTTAATTGATTTTACCACTTTTGCTGTATTCCAAAGGTATATATTGAATCTATTGAATATAGGCAATCAATGCCACATGCAAGTAGACTAACTAGTCAGTAGCCAAATAAGGAAGAATTCACTCACGTTGACCTCAATAGCGCTCACTTAAGTCGTTGACTAACAATTAAAGTAGATAAAAAGTAGATACTCAAAGCATTTCGGAATAGCACAAAATCGCTCAACTAGTAAAACGAAATCTATGAATAGTATGCATTTTCGTTTACAATTAGGGTTACCACGCTTCAATACTTCTCTTAATGATATAACCGATTGAATACAGGCTTCAGACCTACAAATTTATTAAACATAGAAGTTATCAAACTATTTTTGGGAGTATTCTTCAGCAACATAAGCCATATCATAATCTCCGCATTAGACAAGGAAATGCCAACGAAGTCCCAGAACATCTCTAGCACGGCTGAACTAGCTGTCGATCCCAACCTCAGCTGATGAAATTTGGAGGCAATTGCGGGCTGCTGTTCCCATGAGAGAAAAGTCAAATGTATTCGCTCCTCGCCACTTAAGAGCTTATTCTACGTCTCCATCTCCAATCAAGCGATGAGACCAACTTACTGGGGGAGAGTCCAAAATCGATCGATGTCTGATGAAGTCATTTGCTGGCTTTGCTTCTTTCATTCTAACCCTAACTACTAAGCAACTACCTCGGAACTACCTAAACATTGAAGAGAAGAATGCTCATACACTCGATCATGTCTCAGTGACTAGCTGATCACGAACTCACGCCCAACGTGTTCGTAGGGCAGGGCGCCCGCAAGCCCTCTGACAGACTGGCCAGCCCAGCCGGCTGGAGTTGGTCGATCGACGCCGGCGCGGGCAGTGTCCCCACATAGGCGTTGAAGTTGTAAATCCCGCAAATGCACGAGTCCACGATCTGCTTGAGACTCGTGCCCGACAGCACCGTCTGGTTATTGCCGCCGCGTGTGACGGCAAATTTCTGCGCCCCCAGCCCCATCGGCACCGTGAAGGCACTGATCCCCGCGGGCGCGGCGAACGTTACCGGCGCCTGGCTACCGGATTGCACCACGACGTTCGCGGGAGACTGGAGCAAAGAAACCACAAACACCGCATCGGCCATCGTGTCCGCCCCGTTGGGTCGGCCGCGGAAGAAGTTCCCACTGCTGTTGTTCGGGTTGCCTTCGGTCGTGGTGTCGGTGGCGTCGCAGTTGATGTTCTTGGGCGTCGGCCGGTACCAGTACACCAGCTTCTCGTCGGTGATGTATTTCAGGGGAGACGAGTCCCCGGCCTTGTACGCTGCAATGAACGGTTTGGACATCTGCAGCCATCCATCATGGGGCATGTCCATTGCCCATTTGGATGACCCGTCATCTGTGTGCGGCGACGACAACGGCCCAATATAGTGCGACTCGCCATAATCGTTCCAAGTGATGATCTCGACGAAGCGCGGGCTTAGCTCGAGGATATCGAGCCAACGGTTGTACCAGAGCAGATCTGAGGGGAAGACCCAGTTCTTGCTGTAGGAGACTTCGGCGCCAAAATGGGTCGAGAACCATGCCGAGGCGGCTTTGGCAGACAACAATCTATTAGGCATATATCCATCAAAAAAGGGGGGAGAAGACTTACGTGCAATGTAGGATTTTCCCTGCAACGCATTGATGTACGCCTGATCCCCATCCTCGACAGAGATATTATTACCGGGCGTGGGAGCCTTATTATCCCCATTATTCGGCCAAGCCATCCAATTCAGCGCGCCCTGCACAGCACTGAAATCGCCGGTCCCCGGATGGAAATTCGGCGCAAAGAACAGATCCTGTCCCGCAGCAGATTGAATTGCATTGACATCGACGCCATCGCCCGCAAAGCTTGACACAAACACCTTGCCGTCGACTTTCAGCTGCGCGGGCAGACTTGCGTACTGCTTGACCTTGGCGCCGATTGTGCTACCCTGGCCCGTGTTGTACCAGTTGAAGTCGAAGGATATGAACACCTTCATGCCGTTTCTGGCGGCGGAGTCGTAGGCGAAGTTGAGCTGCGTGTCTGTGTAGGAGTCTACGCCGATGTTGAGCGCGAAGGCGTCAATGCCTAGGGCTTTGGCGCTTTTCATGTCGTCATCGTAGTCGTTTGCGCTGTTACGGTTGCTTGTGATGCCAATCTAGAATAGTGTGGTTGGTTAGTCTTGAGATTGGCCGCTAACAAAACGGTGGCTTTGAGGAGGGTTGCTTACCATGAAATGACAGAAGACTAGCTTGTCGGTGGCGGTTGTCGTAATGGAGGGAGTTGGAGACGAGTGTGTTGCTGTTGGGACTGCGGTAGTCCAGGGAATCAACAGCCCTGCCAGGGGGAGAGAAAGTAGTCTTCGCAGCATCTTCTCAAGGACTTTAGTGCATAGACTGAAGTGTGATGATGGCTTAGAACCTACCTTTAATAGACTACCACAAGACAAGAGCGAGTAGATGGGATGGAGAAAGCAAGAGGAAGAAGACTAGTGACATAAAATTGGAAGCCCCCAAGAAGGAATTAGTGAAACACATCCTTCAACAAGCGGATAGATCTACACTTATATGCCCTCTTCATCTCCTGATTTCTGTTCCATTTCTATAAACCACCGGAACAGAAAAGAATTTCATCATGTCATCACGGGGGATTATCGGGATTACCAGACTGCGACAGTATCACCATGTCCAACGAGGGCAAAGTCCAGAATCATGATTCCAATTCCAGAAGACTGTTGGGGGCAGCATCCGATGTTAGGTAGGATCCCGCCGATCATCGCGGGGGCCAAGACGACTAAACCAAGTTTCGAAACATTAGTGCTGACTACATGCAATGTATCGGTGACTTCGAACCTATAGTTACATACAACGCGTCCAGCTAGAACTCTACAATGTTGGACTATTCAATAACTTCCTCTCTCTAGCTTAGGCTAATCAATCAGTCGAACAAGCGGGGGAAATGAAATGAAATGATACTCTAAAGATATCCCTACTGGTTACCTAGGCTTCAATGTGTAGGACAGACAGGCCCGACCTGACCTATATTCCAGGAACTGTATGTGATATTGGCTGAGACATTCCTGGCTGACAGGGTAGATAGCTAGATAGAGCTTCTGTAGATTATTGTTGTCGTTCAGGACCCTGGCCGGATAATTATGATGTTGTTGTAACTCTGTACCTCGCAACAAAAGTATACCCCTGGGGATTTACTGTATCCCTGCCGCACCCTGCATATGTGCATATGGGGGATATTCCTATTCGAGAATTGGGCAGGTCTTTTTGCTTTTGATTATCACATGGTGTGGGCCCCGTGCCTTCTATCCGGGGTGGAAGTGTAACCATAACCAGTGGATTTTGTGGGGATGGCGCTTACATAGTTTAGAGATTATTCGAGTTCATAACTTAAGGAGAAATTTTGTTCTTGTTGGCTCTGACAGTAAAATATCCAATCATTAACGATAGACTTTTCGTAAACACAAGTTCTTTCTACCAGTGCTCTATTCTTTGCAGACCTATCGACCCAAATCCTCTTGACCAACACCAGACTCAACCTCAATTCATAATCCATGTTCCATTCCATATTCTTCCATATTATCCGAGCACCAGACCCTCCCTCAGTCTCTCCATCTGACAAAACATCCGCCCGTTCGTGCAACCTCTGACTAAAGACTCAACGGGAAGGACGTCGTGTGATAAAAATTGTGCCATTAGCAATCCCCGTGAATCCGGCTGGACCTGCCGGGTACCGGTGTCTATGACGTTGGTATGTAGGGTAAGGGCATAATAATCATGGTATAGACTGGAGGCAATATAGAATATATTCCGAGCGAATATCAGATGATACTAGGAAGGAAACAAGGCAGGAGATTTTCGGGGAAGTGGTTGCTGGGTAGCTCGATGCTGGGTCTTCCAGGGGAAGGAAGTCATTCCGCTAAGTTCAGTAACTAAGATTGCATCGCTATCACATGGATGAAAAAGAAAATAATGATAAAGTCACCGTTAATTTTTGCGGTTAGATGCGGAGGCAATACGAATACGGGGAAGCGAAGCTTGTTTTCTTGTGGGCAAAAAAAAGCCAGGGGTTTATTTATTCGCTAAATAACATTTCTTCGAAAGTAACGCCTGTCATGACCGAAATTCCGTGGGAACACAAAGCAAAGCAAACCAAAAATGGCGGGATTAGAGCACTGCAAAAGCAGAGACATAGCTCACTGAGCTATCCGACACATCCACCGCGTCAGAACTACGCTCATACCGCAAGAAATGGAAGCGGCCCTGCTTATCGTTCGGTGGCTGACTCGCCGCGACAATCTCCATGGCAGCCATGATCACGCCAATAGGATGACGACCACAAACTGTATTCTCTGTGCGGTTGATCGTATCCAAAAAGACCTTGGTCGATCCCGTCGTGATAGCCGCCATAGTCGCAATATCAAACGCCGAGATACTCTCATGGATTGCCGGTTCACGGGCCGAGACGCGGTCCCTGCGCTGCAATTCATGGCCCGCAGAGACAGCGTCAATCGTCGCGAGAACATCATCCGCATTCATCCCGGGCTGCGGCAACACATCGCTCGACAAGGGCAAAGGCAGGCTCGGTTTCGGTGCCTGTGGTACATAGTATGTGTACCTGAACCGCAGACCCCAATGGCAAAAGTCCGAGCTGATCACGAATGCATTGGATGGATCCGCTAGGTAGGGCGCTAGCAATGACCCAAACGCCTGCTCCGTCGCGGCGGAGGTGCTGCCTACCATGATTGGGACAAGGGGCGGGTACTGCGCGGTCGGGGTGTTGGGGTACTGCAGCTGCAGGAGACGGTGGATGTAGGGCAGGTGTAGCTCGATGCTGTGCTCGTCTTCGTCGATGGAGCGGGTCATCGTCGTGAAGCTTACTTTGGAGCCGGTGGCTTTGGTGGCGGGCGTGTTGAGGAGGTGGGCAATGAGCTCGGTGTCGAGGGGGAGGGGATCGGAGGAGAGAGGCGTGTAGTATGAAGTGAGCTGGGGCAGGGCTAGAGTTGAGAGCGGGTGGTGGTGCGAGGGGCCCTAGGACGAAGATGCGCTTGCTGGTGGGACGAGATGTCAGCTGCGGAGGCATTATCAGAAGGTCGGATCCGTGGGCTTCATCATACGCTTTGGAGAGATCGAGGGCTTTGTATGCGTAGGCGGCGCAGGGTCCGGAGTAGGAGTAACCCGCGTGGCTGTGGTGATCAGTCTGAATCTTGATGCCAGAGAGACCAGAACATACGGTGCGATGATTACTCGGGCTCCGGGGACGGGCAGCGAGCCGACGTTGGCCATCGTATCTGGTACTTGGGCCAGCCATTGATCGAGCTGATGGGTGAGGGTACGGGTACTGTCCGAGTACCACGACCCGGCGTGAGACGCTTCTCTGGACTGCATGGTGATGGTGGGTGGGTGGTTGACGGAGGTGAGTTGGGGTTGGAGCGGGGAAGCATAGGAAGTGTTAGATAACGACCGAGACAACGGTGTTGTGACAACCTGCATGATACAGGATTGCCAGGTACCTTGTGACCTAATGGGTCTATGGCTTACAATGGCTGGAGATGGAGTTAAAGGCACAGATTGTAGTCTCTCTATTTCTTCTGTTGAGCTTAGAGTTGTCGCGTCTGTCTGCACCCTGTCTTGGATCCCTGGATCCCTTGTACATAGTCTGAGAGGCATATCGGCAAATAATATAATCCGTCTATCTAGGTAAGACATATCACCTATGCAATTCCATTCTTCCGCGCTAACTGAAGATACTCGGTGAATTCCATCCATTGCCCGGCCAGCAATATTACCCGATGTGACCTAGCGCCAACGCGACGCGCGCAGCCAATAGTTGCCCGCCCCAGCCTCACTTAACTCGAGTACTCACGTCCTCTGCTTCTCAACTCACCACGCAATCTCCGGTAATCATGTCTCTCAAGCGCAAAGCCTCCTTCTCAGCTGCCCTCCCCTCCAGCCCATTGACTCCAGTCAATGAATGGCCTGCCGCAGTCGACACGACCAAGCATCTCCACAGCCGGACGCGCAAACGCTTCCGCAACGACCGTCCCAATGACGCCCTGGTGTACCGTAAGGACATTCCATGCTTCACTTCCGTCCCCGCATTGCCCCTAACAACCTTCAGAAAACACCCTTCGCTGGATCTTCTCTGCCCAGCAGCAACGGGCCAACCCAATGCCAACACCCGATCCCGAAGCAATGGACTCCGAGCCATCCCCCTCCACCCCTTCTGACGCGATCGACCCGCGCCAGAAAACACTCCTGCAGTTCTTCCGTCCCAACCCGCAGCCAGCATCGCCGTTCCGGCCCTCTCGTCAAGCTCTGGCGGCGCGTGCCAATGAGTGCGCGTTGGCGACGGAGGATGATCTCGTGCGTCGCCAGGCGTTTGAAAGGTTGCATTCTGTTGCTAGCTCAAGTGGGAACGAGTCGAACAGCCCGGAATTCATGGGCCAGGCTGATGCTGATGTGGAGATGGATATGGATGGTGGGAGTAGCAGCAGTGATGGATCCGGGCAGACTCCCATGACTATGACTTGCGCTGGGGGTGCCGGGTGGATGTAATGTGGAACGCGGATTGGAGTTACATGAATATGCAACGGCATTGATATGGAGAGGTCATTGCCTCTTCTTGCTTCCCTATGGAGTTATTCGTGAGTGGAGTTCGGGACTGATGCGTTACTGTGTCCTCGGTGAGGACATGGCTGTTTGTTTTCGGTGTTTGGGGCCTTCGGGGCTTGTGGGGTTATTTTTCAAATGAACATAGCAGTTATCTTATCCCTTATGCACATTGAGATAGTTCAATTCAGATCTAACATGAATACCTTTCCGCCAATGGCGGGTGCCGTTCAGTATTGCAATGGCTACACTGAGAGAGAGGCATGGCAAGCTCTAAATATTGTTCAAAATTTCTAAAAGTAGCAATATCATTATGAATAGAATTCTGCTTTAGACACTGTTCCTGGAGTACCAGTGCTTCAGTGTTCTTCATACAGCAATATGCCATGATTAGGTAACCATAGCCACTTGAAGTTACGTGCCTCAGGCACCAACGCTTTGCTCATCTTCATCGGCTTCACCACACACCACTCGCTTGCACGACTAGTTTCTACCATGCTTTGAACACACTAACACTCACTCGACCCAACCCCAGTCGCTACAACTACGAGAGTAACAAGCTCAACAGCCCTACCAACCGGCCTTAATCCGACCCCGACCCAGCTCTAGCACATCAACCGCGACAATGGACACCGACGACGACCAAGCTATTCAGTATTTGGAGGGCCTGCTTGGGCGCGCACTCCGGGTCCACACAACCGACAGCCGCATGTTTGTGGGCATCTTCAAATGCACCGATGCGGTGGGTATCCTCCCCCAATGACCTAAATCCCTGGCTGTACTGACGTCGGATTGTCCCTCAGGAACGAAACATCATCCTCGCAAGCACTTACGAATACCGCTTCCCCACCCCATCAGCCGTGCAAGCCGCCGCCAATAGCTCACAAGGAACGTGGGATGAGGAGCCTGCGACGCCCCCTAGCTCTAGCATCAAGGTGAACATGACCAGTCGGCTGATTGGACTGGTTGTGATTCCAGGGCGACATATCACGAAGATTGAGATGGAGTAACCAAACAACACCCATACCCACATCAATCGGATGGGCTATGTGTTCTGTCTACCCACGAGACTATCCCTTTCTGTCCGGCTTATCCAGTGATAACCGCCCTTCATCGCCTTACCATGGGCCCCGCTAAGCCTCGGTGGCGCCCACAAACCACCCCCGATATGCCACTGGGATACTACATACTTCCTCCCTTGCTGCCCCCTCCGCCAGCGCAACAGCTGAACGTGGGGCTGCCAAGACTGGCTCTCTTGCCATAACGTGGCACGCGGAGCACTGCAGCTGCACCATGCTCGGGGACTTGGTTGATGGCAGCTTAGGGTTCGTCTAGGGGAACTGTGAAATCTCCGTCTAGAAAAAGCGGTGTCTCTTATCGCGGAGATGCCTTGGCGTGCAGTTTTGGTCCGTCTGACCAGGAGAATATTTATTGTAGCGATCTATTTCTGCCAGTAAAGACATCCCAGCGGCGAATCATCGCATGTAGACCTGAGTCATTTATTTTTGGATGAAATGAGAGAATAATTTGGCCAAACGACATCGTATCTGGCTCTGTATCCATGGATCGTATAGTGGGGGGATCTACTGTAGCTCACTGCATGCACGAGGGCTCGGAGGATCGTGTTTGCTTCAGATGGTCGGCCCGAATTTCAATCCGGAGATCACCTGCTCGTCAGCCATCTTTACAGCAAGAAAAACCGAGCCCGTTTGCTCCTCCGATACTGATTCCTCTACTGTTGAGCTCCTCGTATATCATCTCGGGCCGAGATGATCCGGGTGACATAAGCCCCCAGCTGCCCCGATCGAGACCGTCGCCGAACATCCCAAGTACCTGTGCACTTACAGGCGGTGGCGGAGTACTTTCCCCTCTTAACTGTCTCATTCTTCTCTTCGGCCTCATCATTCATCACGGTCGGTAAGTCTGCCATCGATCCCCCGTCCTAGATCCTTCCACCATGCGGCAAGAAGTGTCACCAACCCTGTCTATCATGACGCATTCCTTTCGGGAACGGTTTCGCCCAGGCAAACTCCTTCCCATCTTCCTTCTTTCACCTCCACATGCCACATGCCCTGCTTCTCCTACCTTCAACCCTGTCGCTCTGTTGCCTCTGATCCATCCCCGGGCGAGCCACAACTGACACTGGTTCTGTAGAGCGTTTCCCAACCACCCCCGGAGCTTCTCTCTAGCTTCTTCCACCTCTCCCAAAATCCACACCCTTCCTCTTGTAAGCAGACCTTGTCTGGCTGTCCAGCTTCCATCTTTGCCCGCTTGACAGAGTACCGGAACCCCAACGCTCACGCGGGTGCAGAACTTGCACAGCATAACGGTTCATTGGGATTGATTCCACCTGGGTGGGCCAAGACATTCCAAACGAACAGGGGGCTTCTCGGCATAGCGTCTTGAACGTCCGCCGTTCGTGCGATTATCCCACTCCAAGCTTGGCAGACATCCTCGCCTTGCAGCAGTCATGGGTCAGTCGCATTCCAAGGGCAACGCCAACTCGGGCGACTCGCTCGCCTCGTACCCGTCCTTCTCCAAGTCGGACACCAAGGAGTCGCTCCGCTCCTTCCGCGGCTCCATCCGCTCGAAGATCCCCGGCGCTCGCAGCGCCGATAGCCCGCGTGGATCCACCACCTCTCTCCCCCAGACCGATAAGTCGGATGCGGGCTCGGTCAAGTCGTCGGGCAGCCGCCCCGGCTCGAATGCTGGTCTTCAGTCTCCGGAGTCGGAGACCGGCGAGCGTCCCAGCTCGCCCCGCCCCCCGCCATCTCCTTCGCTGTCGTCCAGTCTCCAGCGAGGCCACAAGGATGTCGATGCTATGCAGCGGAGTGGCGAGGTCGACCACGTGTCGGACGTGCCTCCATCGGGCGCTGCGCCCTCGGGGACCGCCCAGAAAGCGGGCGAGTCGATCTTGATCAAGCGGGAGAACCAGCTGAACCCCATTTTGGATTTCATCCTCAATACTCCCCTGGAGACTTCTGGGTCGCCCGGTATGGGGATGGGCGCTTTGAAGTCGATTGATCTGGATGACATGATCACGCGTCTGCTGGATGCGGGTTACTCGACCAAGGTCACCAAGACGGTCTGTCTCAAGAATGCCGAGATCACGGCCATCTGCACCGCGGCGCGAGAGCTGTTCCTTTCTCAGCCTGCTCTGCTGGAACTGGCGGCGCCTGTGAAGATTGTCGGTGACGTCCACGGTCAATATACGGATCTCATTCGCCTCTTCGAGATGTGCGGGTTCCCACCTGCGTCGAACTACCTGTTTCTTGGCGATTACGTCGACCGAGGGAAGCAGAGTTTGGAGACAATCCTCCTGCTTCTCTGCTACAAACTCAAGTACCCGGAGAACTTCTTCTTGCTCCGCGGCAATCACGAGTGCGCCAATGTCACACGAGTGTATGGGTTTTATGATGAGTGTAAGCGCCGCTGCAACATCAAGATCTGGAAGACTTTCATCGATACCTTCAACTGCCTGCCCATCGCCTCGATTGTCGCTGGCAAGATTTTCTGTGTCCACGGCGGTCTGTCGCCCAGCCTTTCGCACATGGATGACATCCGAGGCATTGCCCGTCCCACCGACGTGCCCGATTATGGTCTGTTGAATGATCTCCTGTGGAGTGATCCCGCAGATATGGAGGAGGACTGGGAACCAAACGAGCGTGGCGTGAGCTATTGCTTCGGAAAGAAGGTGATCATGAACTTCCTGCAACGCCATGATTTCGACCTGGTGTGTCGTGCCCACATGGTCGTGGAAGACGGGTATGAATTCTACCAGGACCGAATCCTAGTGACTGTCTTTTCCGCGCCGAATGTAAGTTGCTCCCCTGCCATTTCTGCGTCAATCGTCACCGTCGCTGATTCCGTATCTGGTCTGTAGTATTGTGGCGAGTTCGATAACTGGGGTGCCATCATGTCCGTGTCCGGAGAACTGCTTTGTAGTTTCGAACTGCTGAAACCCCTGGACTCGACTGCACTGAAGAATCATATCAAGAAGGGTCGCAACAAGCGAAACAGCATGTTGAACAGTCCGGTAAGTTTATCTGTCTGTCTGTCCCTTGCTTCTACCCAGCAATGCCGAGACTTGACATCGCCACTTTACATACATCCATTTTTGGTCCACCTGCTGATTATGATACTCAACCAACCACAGCCCGCGGCAGTATCAGCACAGAGCTTCTAAGCTCCCCATGAATTCCAGATAATCCATCGGCATCCGCTTGCAACACGCCACTGGTTGGCTAGCATGGACCATCCCGCAATCTCGATTACGTCAGCTGGCTGTATGGTGAAAAGCCATGCATTGTTTGAGCAATGGCGGAGCATGAGTATCGGGGAATGGTCTCCTGCCACCATGCAAGACAGCACCTTTTGCATCCCGCTTGGCTTCTAGGCTGAGGCTGACGCCGAGGCTCGGAATGTCCTTTCCACGCCAATGATGGGATGGATACTCAGCCGGCGAGGGTGTGATGCAGACTCGGTTCGTCCTGTGCTGTGCTGTGCAGCTGCCGGTCTAGTCTGTTCCGGTCATCTTCGCAGCCCCGACTGCCTTGCCTTTCCTTTCCAACAGAGTTGGGGACTTGGACTATGCGTTCTCTTCCTACTTGGGTTATGGCAGGAACTGGTTGTGGTCGATTGAGGATGGATTGGACCAGCACGGCAGGAAAGGAAGGAAGGGAGGGGGGGGTGGTTGTTTAGGTGCTGTGCTTGTTTACCTGGTCAGAGTCAGTCGAGTCGAGTTGCGGTTCAAATCTATTAGGGCTAGGGCCAGGTGTCTTGTCTTGTCTCCTTCCTAGAGATTCAAGCCTGGTTTTATGGCCGCATAACTACACTACAACTTTTCAGGACGTGACTGACTTGACTTGGAATGGACTGGGTTAATGAATGAGGCACAAATTGTCCTTTCTCTACCTACTCCATTATGCCTCTATCTTCTCTTATCTCACACTGTGCATTGGATCTGATCTGCGTCTTGCTCCCTCTGTCTTTCTCTCTGTCCCTGTATTTCCCTCTACATATCCTCTACTCGTACCCTCCTGTCCCTCCTCTTCTCTCTTCTCGTCGTCCTCCTCCTCATTCCCCTTACCCCCTCCTCTTCTTCGTTCTTGTGGTTGTTATTGTGACTGAATCAAAACGAATCGGCGTTCTGGCGCGGAAATTCAAATTTAATGCCAATCTTTAATCTACTCTATTCTATCTATTCTATTCGGTCAGGTCAATTCTTTTCAATTCGCCCTAGACTTTTTTGCCGTCCTCTGTTCCCCTTCCTTCTTTTCTTCATGACGCTTCTTTCTAAGTGTCCATATTCCCTATGTACTGTCAAGTTAGTAAACACATGACCCTCCCCTTGAAATTTATGTAACTTGCTTCTCGGGGCTATAGCTTGAGTACAGCCAGGCAAGTGAACTCGTAAATGGAATGCTATACAATACGATCGCAACGTGGCCTAAAGATCATTCAACGGTAGTTTAGAGGAGAGACTTGACTGTTGTTCCAACTGAATTGAGATTTATACAATGACCTCCAGAACCAGAATGCTATAATCCCCAAAAACGAGATTGATCCCAAAAACGAGATTGAGAGATCGTTAGGTCTGTTATTGAACAGGACCTTCTGTGCATTTGCTATTGAGGTATGTAGTATGTAGGAAGCAGGCCGCCAGGTGTCACCAACAAGGTTCATCCATATTCGAGCGCGGCCTACACCCCAGTTCGTGATATATACACAAAGAAGAAACAAATCACCTCTGTCCCAAAAGCTCCCGATTCCGTTCCCAGAACCACCTGCACTCCGTATGGCCCCAATGCTCAGTCCACCACTCCCCAAAACTATCCAGCACGGCCGGCTCATCCACCCTGGACACGCGCTCATCGCGCCGAAGCGCACAAAGCGCACAAGCATGCGACGCCTTAATAGCTCCATGCTCCGGCCGCGCAGTGATAACTTTCAGAGCCGCGGGATCGGGAATAGACGGCACAGGACGCTGGCCCGCCGCTTGGAGGATGGTATTGAACAGCGCGGCGCGGTCGCGCCATAGAGCCAGGACATCGCCGGAGTCTTGTTCCTCTTTGACGGATTCGCGCTTGTTCACGGCGTTCAGCTTCATGCCGCCTGCTTTGCCGCCTGCGCGGGCGGGACCGATGCGCATGCTTTGGCTGAGGTGGGTGTCGCGCTTCCAGCGGTGGGTGCGGCCGGCTATTACGCGGGCGGCGGTGGTGAGGGTGTTGCGGATTGTGAATGCCGTTTCTTGGATTTGCGGCGGGACTGGGGATGAGGTGGTGCGCTGTTGGTGGGGTTTTGCTTGGATGGCTTCTTTTTGGAGTTGAGGGAGGAGGTCAAGGAATAATTCCAGAAGGATGGACGGTGGGGGGATGTTGGTTGGGCGGACGGTTGTGGAGGGTGCTGCTGGGCTGGAGATGAAGCTGTTTGGAGCTGGGCTGGGTGTTGAGGATTGAGATGGAGCGGTGGCTTTTGGCTGGGTAGCTGATGGGTTGGGTCCGTCGGTGAAATCACCCCATTCATCGAAGGCTTCGTCGTCCCATGTTGGCTGGGGAGCGGCGGACTTGACGCTTGGGTGTCGCTTCTGCTCAGTAGCAGCCTTGGGTGGAGGCGGTTTGGAAGACTGGCTGTCGGTGAACTCGCCCCAGTCATCCCAGGCGGAGGTCGGTTGGTTCTGGTTAAGCGGTGGTTGGGGTTTCATAGTAGACGCTTTTACCACAGGTTGGGGTGTAGACGATGTCAGTAAATCACCCCAGTCGTCAAAGGAGGGAGGATTCTGCTGAGTTGATGATTGACTCTGGCTGGCCTGTGGGGATCGTACTGCAGGGGACGCTGAGAAATCGCCCCAGTCATCAATAGAGGGGATATCCCAATTTGAGGTGACCTGCTTTTGGTGGTGTTGTGGTTTGGAGGTACTGGTAACCGGCGGTGCAGTAGAAGACGAAAACTCGCCCCAATCATCAAACGAAGCTTCATTCCAAGTCGAGGCGGGTGGTTTTTGACTGGAGTGTGATTGAGCCTTTGGAGGAACATTCAACACAGGCTGCGTCGCACCTGTCGAGTCGTTTATGGACAGTGAGTCCAAAAAGTCCACACTCGCAGAGACATGGCCATGAGACTCTGCATTTTGAGTGGCTGCCTGTTGGGGAGTTGAACCAGGTTCCTCGAATTCACCCCAGTCATCATCTTCATCGCTGGCAGGTTTGTCGACCGCCGCATCAAACAGCACGTCGCTGTTGGGCTCCCGCGGTACGTCGTTGAACTGCCATTGTGGCGGAACGGCGTGTCTGCTTGAGAGCAGATGTGAATGTCGGGGTGCATGATTATTATTATTGAGCTCCTGCTGACCCTCACTCGGGGCCTCACCCTGACCGAACTCGGCGAGCAAATCTGCAGACATCGGGGTGAGTGTAATTAGTGGAAGAAGTGATGACAGACAGACAGCACAGACGAATTACATACTCACTCCGCCTCGGCCCCATCTCCTCTCTCTCCCTCTCTCCCTCTGTTCCCTCCCGCATCGCCCACCACAACGACTGGGATGAAATGCGATCCATTGAGGAGACCAGGTATTGGTGCTTGTTCACTTAGAAAATCATTGCTAACACTACTGCTTCTACAGAAAGAGATGGGATACGCTGTTCCACCATTATGACGCCCCCTCCGATCTCCGGGCAGCCCTGCGCACCGACCAAGGTGCAACCCTGTGCAACGACGGGCTGAGGTCGATCTGCTGGAAGGTGCTGCTGGCCATACATCTGCATTGCGGATCATTGCTCACTGCCATGGCAGGCATTTCTTCTCCTCGAGGACGTCGACCGCGATCAATGGCCCCAGAAGCTGACCGAGTCGCGCGAGGCCTACGATGCGCTCCGGGCCCACTTCCTGAAATACATCGAGCATCCGGATGATTTGGAGTCGACGGTTGATCCGCTGGCGGATGATGAGGAGGTATTGTCTATTCATCTTCTGCTATTTCCCCGCTTTGTCTGACGATAGATCCCCCCCAAAAGTCTCCCTGGCAAACCCTGCGCAAGGACGAACAGTTGCGCGCCGAGATCGCACAGGATGTCGATCGGTGCTTGCAGGAGAATTCCTTTTTCCAGGAACGGGACACCAAGTTGAAATTGACTGATGTCTTGTTCATCTACTCCAAGCTCAACCCGGATGTGGGGTACCGACAGGGCATGCACGAGCTGTTGGCACCGATTCTTTGGGTGGTGGATCGCGATTCGATCACGAAGGAAGATGATGATTCGATGCAGACTCTTTTAGATTCCAATTTTGTGGAACATGACTCGTTCACGTTGTTTCTATGTGTCATGCAGACGGCGCGCATATACTATGAACATGGCGAGATACGTTCCGCCAGTGGCCAGACGGATGTCATTCCGATCGTTGCCCGATGTCAGTACCTGCATAAAGAGGCGTTAACGATCATCGACCGTGAGGTCGCCGAGCACCTTCACGCGGTTGATGTGCTCCCGCAGATATTCTTGACGCGCTGGATGCGCCTGCTATTTGGACGAGAGTTTCCCTTTGACGATGTCCTGATGATGTGGGATCTGCTTTTCGCCCACGGACTACGATCTGATTTGATTGATTTTACATGCATTGCGATGCTGTTGCGGATCCGTTGGCAAATACTTGACGCGGACTACTCCGGCGCTTTATCTCTGTTGCTGCGCTATCCCTCCCCTCAGCCGCAAACACCTCAGAGCTTTGTGCACGATGCCCTCTACCTGGAACAGAACCCCACCGCCGAACGAGGCAGCGCTATCATTGCAAAGTACTCCGGCCGGTCGCCGGAGTCTCATAAGCGTCGCAGTCAGATTCCCGAGCGACCTTCGAGGAAAGCTCTGTTCTGGGACGAATTCACAAACTCCAACGAGACTACCTCTCGTGCAAGGTGGCCGGCCCGAAACAGCCCGAAGAGTCTCGAATCCCTTTTCCAGGATGTTTCCAAGGGTATCCAGCAGCGAACGGAGTCCTGGGGCGTGGCCAAAGCGGTCCGCGGTGCTGTGACTGAAGCCAGAAGGAACATGCAGACCATGCATTATGAACCCGGCCTGCGCTATCATCCGCGAAAGCCGGATGGTTCATCCGTCCTACCACGAACGCAACCGGCAACCATTGAATGGGAGATGAAACTCCGACGCTTGGAAGAACGTAACAAGACTTTAGCCACGAACCTGCAAGATGCGCTGAACGACCTCCGCACCCATTTGGACGGGATCAAAGAGCTTGATCTGGATACCAAGGATGCCGTCTCGCAAGCGCTCAAACAGGCAGAGTCGGTACAGAGCTGTCTCGATGACTCCTCGCTTCCAGTAGACTCTGTTCAGCAACCATCAGCAATAGAGGGAACGCCTCAACCAACACCGGATCCATCACCAGATACACCTTTGGCCGAAGAACCAACCAGCAAAACACAGGCCGAAAGCGATCCCCAAGACAAATCGGCTACCGCAAACACCGATACTACTGTGCCGAGCGCCGAGAGTGGGTCCGAGGAGCCTGTCAGCGCCGCTGCAACGCAGCTTACGAATGATGATAATAATCAAGAAAGGGCGCAGGCCACTCCGCCACGACCAGCTGTGCGGCCCTCGCTGGCGGACTCTGGTTTCTCGTGGATGCTGGGGGGCAGCAGTAGTGGGCGCATGCTGTCGGGGTTTGTCAGCTCGGTATCGGTGCCACCGGAACAGGTACGCCACCAAGACAGTACTAGTCCCCGAGGCAAAGCGAGCCCGTTGTTCGGACAAAGCGGAGACGAGGACCGGTCCGCGGCTGAGCAAGACGACCTACTGGCGATGAGCAGTCTCCGAGGCACCCGGGGCCCGCTGTAGATTCTGCAGTGCTCCGACCATGATCTGGTCGTCAGCTACTGCAATTTTTTATATATTTATTCTCTGCAGGAGACCACTCAAAGAGACCACTCGTGCTATGTAATAATAATATAGCAGTGGAAACCATCTATATGATCTACATGAAGTATATACGAGGATGAAGCTATACAGAAATACATGTGGCATTGCGCCTTTGTTGGTAAGCCACTGATAGATAGGTTAGGGTTCGCCTGAGTTGAATCTCGGCGAGAGAATTGGCCCCTATTTTCTATGGCATAAATCGGATTTTTGGGCAGTCTTGAGAATCCTGGAGCCTGCGTTTATGGTTGACGGGACACGAAGTTCCACAGCCGGCACTAATTCTTTAACCTTCTACCTATTAACTACAACTAGTAAACCGCAGCCGAAAAGTATTTACCTCGCGTGGGTTAGAAGAAGGGCCAGCCTTAGAGATGTGGGTATTTAGGCTTTATTTAGGCTTGTGGCGCAAGATGGGCGTTTAGATAACTAACAAAGGCTTTGGGCTACGGGCCCATATCTGTATCTCCGTCGCTTTCACGGGCAGACCACAGGTTCATTGTGTCCTGTTTCTGAAGCCGCAGGTCACGCTTGATCTGCATGGAGTGAAATCAAGGAATACTGGGCGGTTTTTAACAGCAATGGCTGGGATATCAAGGTTATAGGGGACCTTTGTGAAGATTATGAATCGTTGAAGGAAGGCCAATCTTTCTGGGTCGGAGAATTCCGAAAGAAGGGAAAGATGGTTGGATAAGGAGGGCAGGGAAGAGTTATATTCGGCACATGGCAGCCATTCTCCGAACCTACAACCGACATAAAGACCGCGACCCTCGACAGAGCCCCTAAACCTGTTGCTATAAAAGTATCGAAAGGTCCGAATGCTTATGCAATTAGTAGATGGATCCAACTCATCAACAGCCCGCATATTGTCAAAATTTAACAATATGCAAACCAATCGCTCGTCACACTTGGCAAGAATGGCAGGAAAAACGCGGTTAGATTAATCGTTGCTCTCGAAGAGCTAGCCGAAGATGCCTACGAGGTCCTCCACAGGGGTGGGGCGATCAGTACGAAAGGATTGCTCTCAACGATGTTTGAGGGATCGCTCGGTGCTGCGAGGCAGGGAGTGTATAACCTTGATATAAAGCTTTCTAATATGATGGGAAAGCAGGCGGCTAATCCGGGCGTTGCGGTGGACTGGAAGATGGTCGATTGGGATATAACGATTATCGGTGTTGGCCAAGAACCACGCGGGGGCTATAAGGGGACTCTGGCATGTATGCCTCCTGGTAAGAAAGTATTCTCGCTTGGACGATTTTCCAAGGTTAACAAACAGTGATCTAGATAGAGATGGTCAACCAACGAGACAATCCCCAAAGCGATGAGTATTGGACAGCTGAGAAAGCGGTGGTCTGGAACATTGGGATGGCCTTCCTTTTCCTTGAGGGTCGTGATTCATATCATGGAACCGTGACCGAGGAGATGCGGGGTTTTGTAGACGAAGTTTATTGAAGTGACCCTCCAACCGCTCCGGATGACCCGGACTGGTACTGGGTAGATGCGGTGATGGCAGCGTGGCAAAGTTCGTCTCTTGTGAGGGATCCTTATTCACTGCCACCCTCGTTGCGAGAAGGAGGAACATCTGCAAAATATAGACCTTCCTTGTGCGAGGAGGAAGACCGATACGGGTTGCAAGAAGCATGTGACGCATTGCGTCCACTGTTCACGACGTAGATACTTAGCGATCATCATCCGCACGTGCATTCGAGATCATTATTCTGGATCAATCGATCTGCTGGAGTCTACTAGGTAGTCCTGTCGATCCATAATACACGTGTGGACTCCAATCGTAATCACTATGTCCAGTTTTGTTGTTCTCCCCACTCTCTGAACCCAACCCACTCTTTTTCTCCCTCCCTTCTTCTCTTCCTCTCTCTTTCACTCTTCTCACTCTGTCTCTCTCTCTCACCATACATGGCCGGTGATTGTCGGCTTCCTTTTCTGGTCATCATCCGTGGAAATCCAATGTCGAATTAAGCCTATCACCCCGCTCGAGCTCTCGCCCGTTGAGCCTCGTCCTTGCTTCGCATCTGACCCTGGTCGGCCCGGGGGGTTCTGAACAAGCAAAAAATAGACTGACAAGAGGATGGGGTCCGCCTATAACCCGGATGGTAAGTCATGCGCACCCCCCCTTGTCTGGTTTCATATTGCGGCGTTGGGGTCAGTCGTCTTGTATCCGCGCGTGGCTGCGATCACGCCCCGAGGAGATCACGCTGCCCGGGGAATGGGAAATCTGCCGGCCCGCCATGACGATGTGCTGATCAGTCACAGACGATCCCAGTCCTTTATCGTCCCCCTTAGGGCCCCTCTCGGAGTCACCCGAGACACAGTCTCCCTTTCGAAGACTGTCCTTGCAGACAGACGTGCCCTTCCGGAGGTCGGTCGATAGCGCGTCCTCCGGATATGATCCTCTTTCCAGGTCAGTACTGTCGTCGGAAATTCTTTGCAGCGGCAACCGCAATCAGACACTATTGACACCTGCATCGCGTGTCAGCAGATCTCCTTTATTCGAGAACGAGCATGGCCTTGGTCCGACCGGGCTGGATCGAATCCGCCAGCAACAGCCGTCTCGTGTGCTGACACTACCAAACCTCTCCACGTCGTCGCTGGCTCCCGTGCCCGGCCAACGCGCGTCTGCGTCCACCCGTTCGCGCTCGTCGACTCGAGCCCATCCCGCTCGCATGTCGATGAGCCAGAGTTTTGGAGATCTGGAGGATCTCCATCGGTTCCCGCTGGAATCGTTGCATTCGTTTTCATTCGCTCAGCAGTCAGAGGAACTCCTCCACAGCCGGCATAATATTTTGAAGCGGTCGATAGATTTCATGCGCGATCGGATAGGATGGGCAGCCAGCAACCCCGGGATCGCTAATGCGCAGGCTCAAGTCAGTGGCGACTCGGAGATCCAGGGTATGATGGACCTATTGACGCGAGCAAATGTCCTTGAATACGACGAGACTGGCAACCGTGCCCGAGGACCTACCACCGGACCGGCCGATATCAATGGCGACAACATTTTCGAGAAGGCCTTTCACTCGGACTCGTCTTCGCCCAGCACTACGCAGCAACCGCCAAGTTCCGGGTCTCCGCTGGTCTCGGATAACTCTCAGTTGTTGAGTCCCCTCCCCAGTGATCGTATTCCGCCCCAGCGAATGGACCTCAAGAGCGCCCCTTCGTCCAGGCGCGTAAGCTTAAAACGTACATACACGGATCTCAGCACTGTGTCTCTCCAGAGCAAGCTGATGGAGACTCTAGCACAACCATACACTTCCACGGACCCGTTCGCCTCGCTCAGCTCGTCGATGAATGGACTGGGGTTCCCAACCCCGGCCTTGCATACCCACAGCAGCAAATGGACCCCGGTTTCACAGGCCGTCTTCCGGACCGAAGCCCAGGCACCATGGACTATTCTGGCCGCCAACGATCTCTCCTGTCTTGTATTTGGTGTCAAGCAGTCTGAAGTCCGCCGGCTCAGTATCTTAGAGGTCGTACAGAAAGAGCATCGGCAATGGCTCGAGGACAAGCTCCGTGACCCCAGCACCGATGCTACAGCCCGCGCACCTCTGCAGCAGCCAGATAGACCCAATGTCCGCGCAGCCAACCCCAAGTTCAGGGACCTCGGGAACGGGGTGACGGCGCAGTTGCTGAGTAAACCGTCCTCCCGGGAAAAAACACAACGCTCCAAGACGGATGACGGGTATGGATCCAGCACGAGAAATGTCCGCAACCCCAATCATCCGGCCACTAAGTCGCGCGGCGTCTTGTTGTGTGGCGATGTGGTTCCGATCCAGAAACGTAATGGTTCGAAGGGATCGGCTAGTGTCTGGGTTATGGAGAAGCGCGGTGGCTTGATCTGGGTGTTGGAAGAGATCACGGAGAACATTGCCTCCGTGCGCTGTGATGGCAGTTGGCATGTGGTGGATGTCCATGGAGATGCCGACAAGATTTGGGGTTCGTCGATCGTCAAACCGGACCAGTTGATCACCGAGCTTCTGCCCCGGTTGCCATCCGAGTGCCTCGAAGGATCGACAGAGGAAGGACTAGCTAAGATCACCGAGTTGAAGCACTTTGCAGCAAACACTTCGGCCGGCGTGTGTATCCCTGTTGCCGTGACCAAGGGAGAAGGGGATCGCACACTCCAAGTATCAAGTTTCCCTCACGTTGCCGGTATGATGGTGCTATCGTCTTCGAGTTTGAATGTGATCAGCTCCAACTCCGTGTTCTCGTCGGCACTATTCGGCCAAGAACGTCCAGAGGGCAGGCATATCACGGAACTGGTGCCCGGGTTTGATGATATTCTGGATATATTGACCGAGGAGGACAATGTGCCCTTGGTGGACGGTATCGTGATTCCTGAACACAGCTTCCGGCGCGCGCGGACATTGTCAATTCTGCGTGATGGCAAATCCAATGCGGCATCTGTCTTCACGGAGCCCAGCGGTCTGCTGGCTAAGCATCGGGATGGATCGACCATCGTTGTGGATATCCAGTTGCGGGTTGTCAAGAGCGGTAGCTTTTTCTCGAAGGAGCAGGCCGAAAAACTCAGCGATCTCAGCAGTGACTCGGACGACAGTGACGACACTATTGCTGTCACGGAGCTGGTTTATGCCTTGTGGGTCACTTATTCGCGACATATCCATGCCGCCGGAGCTGCGACGAACCTCTCCGCGGCGTCGTCGCTGCCAACCTCCAAACCTATGTCTCCAAACCCCATATCTACGGCGGATTTCCCGGCCCCGATGTCCTCTGGTACGCCGTCTCCGGATCAGGGCACGCCTTCTGTGGAAATCCAGGCCCCGACTACGACGCTCAGCCAACAGCTCACGCAGGCCGCGTCGGAGCCGCTGATCGACCGGTCTGTACAGCCAGTCCCCGAGGTGAATCTGCTCAATGCGAAGAAAGAGCCTCCCCAGAAACGGACAATCAACGACTATGTGATTCTGGAAGAAATGGGCCAAGGTGCATACGGGCAGGTCAAGCTGGCACGATTGAAGAAGCAACCCAGCAAGAAGATGGTGCTCAAGTACGTCACGAAGAAAAGGATTCTCGTGGATACCTGGACTCGAGATCGCCGCCTGGGGACCGTGCCGTTGGAGATCCACGTGTTGGACTTTTTGCGGCCAGACGGCCTGAAGCATCCGAATATTGTGGAGATGGAGGGCTTCTTCGAGGACGACATCAACTACTACATCGAGATGATCCCGCACGGGCTGCCTGGTATGGACTTGTTCGATTACATTGAACTCAAGGCCACCATGGACGAGTCCGAGTGCCGTAACATCTTCAAGCAGGTTGTCAGCGCGATCCACCACTTGCACACCAAAGCGCTGGTGGTGCATCGGGACATCAAAGACGAAAACGTGGTGCTGGACGGCGAAGGGCGGATCAAGTTGATCGACTTTGGCAGCGCGGCGTACATCAAGAACGGACCGTTTGATGTGTTCGTGGGAACGATCGGTCAGTCTTCTTCCTGCCCATGTTTCTCTACATACTAATTCTGTATCAGACTACGCCGCCCCCGAAGTCCTGCAGGGCAAATCCTACCGTGGCAAGGAGCAGGATATCTGGGCTCTGGGGATTCTGCTGTACACCATCGTCTACAAGGAGAACCCGTTCTACAACGTCGACGAAATCCTCGACCACCCACTGCGCATCCCTTTCCTGCCTTTCTCGGAAGAATGTATTGACTTGATCCGCAAGATGCTGGACCGCGACGTCGACAACCGACTAACTGTTACTGAGGTGCTCGAACATCCGTGGATGCTGCGCACATGACCCCCCTGTCTTTCTTTTTATACCATGCCTTTTCTTTTTTTATACGAACGAACTAAACAAACACACCGCAACCCACTACACCACACAACGATACCCCCACAATGTTGATTTTGCTTATGAGAAGGAAGGACTGGGCCGGATGGGACGGGAGGGTATCAATGATTGGTTCGACGCGACGGCGGATGAAGATATGCATGCGATGACCGACATGTTTCCGGAATTTTTTTTCTTTTTCTTTTCTCTTCGTTACTGGGATAGTCACCTTGCATTCCATCTAGACCACGCATATGGATAACTTGTAGTACACACATGAATATACATGATTCTCCTAAACCACTAGCTATAGCTATATGTCCATGTACGTTGCGGATTTTCTCTGCCAGGTGGGGCTTGCCTATCTGGGCGGCGGCCTCTTCACTGAGGGCTCACCCTGCCGGCTCACACAGTAGGTTTCACTCAGACTCAGTGATCATGCTCAGTCTAATCACGTAAGCGCTCCGCAGTGAGCGCTTTTTAAAGTCCACCCCAGTCTATACCAAAAAAGGAATACCATCCCCACAGGGCCGTTTATTCTGTGATGGTAGTCTGTTGGCAGCCCTAGTCCTGCCCTCGTTTTCTTGAGTATTTCATCCCATCAAGAACATACATTAGTGCCAGATGGCGCATGAAGAGTGGAGAAACTCTGCCCACTTCAGGGTAGTGAAGCTTCTCACAACCCTTTTGTTTTCTGATTTAAAGGAGCCTCGAGTTCTAAGATAAGACCATGCTACCACCCGGGCATCCTATCATCTTCACTTAATTTGAAACGCTCCTCTGATGGCTTATGTGCTTTTGTTGGCCCATATCAATATGGGCAAGCAAGGCTCTTTTGCGTAAAAACCCGAGCCAAAAGGGAACTTTTGGCTTTGACTTTGACTTTGATTTAGACTTAGACTTTGATTTGACTTTGACTTTGACTTTGATTTTGGCTTTGGCTTTCGAGGCAAGACCGAGCGAAGAAGCCTTCTCTTATATTTGCTTTGCACATCTGGGGAGGGATTAAAATAGATATAATTTGAAGCACACGGGAGGAATTATGTCTGCTAGTGTCAATCTGATCATACGTATATATTCTGCTCATGTTTGACCAACTGTTCAATTGCCAGTTACTCTCGCAACACGCGAATCCATAGAAAATGTGCTGTAAACTACTATAGGGACATCGGATTCTTTGCGCGTTTCCGGGGAATGCCGCTCCCGTGGTAAGAACCAAGACTGGCATTTCGCTGACCAAAAAGATGGAATATCGCCTCTTCGGAGACCGAAGGCCGAGCCGAGCAGCGGAACCCCAAGATTATCATGTCCATCTGGGCCCGACGGTTCGGAGATTTTCACAGGGATGTAGCCGCTAGGACAACCTCTGCAATTGATCTCAATTCCGGCGAGGCCGCCGTCAACCTCGTTGCATTCTTTCAATTTCATCCCAGGGTGACGACCGCCACTACTTACTCGCTTTTAACTCAGTGGTAGTGCACCCTCGCTGCGCGTGACCCTCGGAGGGTCACCGGCGGGCGACGGCGAGGCCGAGTCTCAGCAAAAGCTTATCATCATCTCCGCCGTTATACACCGCCTACACTCTCTAGTATTCACGTGCGTGAACACGTCAAATTCAGAATGTAAAGCACCTCTCAGGGACGATACCACATAGTGTGTAGGACATTATATAGGAGGAGCGTGACTATATGAAGTATTACACAGCGCAGGTAGGAATTCAGGAGGGTTCGTAAGATAGCAGAATCTTACATAATTCCTGGGTTTACTTGGTTTAAACTTTTGCCCTCCCACGCTGTCCCACCGTATTCATGCGGGGAAGCTCGGATTTCTGCCGAGCAAACTTCCTCGTGACAGTACGTCTCGAAATGAGTGTGTATATAAACCCCCAACTTTCCGTCTGAAGAAATTGTTTGTTATTTGTACCATTTATTGTTTCTTTTGTTCTTCCCCCAACTTTTCTGAGGTTCACCATGAGCGAATTAATCAAAGCTGATCTCGAACATGTGGAGAAGAATGAAGAAGAGTCTACCGACAAAATTGCCATTGAGATTGATGCCGGTGTTTATTACGAGATCAATGAGACCCAAATCGATGAGGATATCGTCACGCTGGAGCAAGAGTTGGTGAGAAGCGGCAAGAAGCCATATCTTTTAGGCCGATTCATCCAGAATCCAAGCGTGTTTATCTGGATTTTGGCACTGCTTGCCAGTACCTCGGGTTTCTTGTTTGGGGTTGATCAATCACTTATCTCCGGGGCGTCAATTTATCTTCCAGCAGATTTGAATCTTAGCGATTCGGAGATGTCTATGGTCGTGGGGTTTACTCCATTAGGGGCCATTTTTGGTGCGTTGCTTATTATGCCCGTCAATGAAGCAATTGGGAGGAAATACACAATCGTTTGCTCGGCACTTTTGTTCACAGCAGGTGCGATTCTCGAAGCTGCGGCAAAGTCGTTTGGTGTCTTGTTGGCCGGCCGAATTATTCTTGGGTCCGCCTTAGGGTTGGTGTCAGGTACTGTGCCCGCCTATGTTGCCGAGAATTGTGCAATCAAATGGAGAGGCGGGTTGGTTACTCTATACCAATGCATGGTAGCATTTGGAGTGATGTGTGGATATGTCACTGCTGCTATCTTCGATGGAGTCAAGGGCAACTGGAGATATATGCTGGGCAGTTCAGTGGTGTATTCGACAATTCTATTCTTTGGCATGCTACTGATGCCTGAAAGTTCCCGGTGGTTGATGCAGAAAGGCAGGAAACTGGATGCCTATCTAGTGTGGAAGACCGCCCGAGGATTTGAGACGCTTGATGAACGCAAGGAGTTCTTCATTATGGAAAGAGTCATCCTTTACGAAAAGGACATGGCAAAGGGACGATGGGTCGCTCTGGATCTGTTTACGCGTCCTCGATGCCTTCGAGCAATGGCCATTGCAGTCAGCTACCAGTTTTTGGGTCAACAGTTATCAGGAATCAACTCGATTGAATACTACCAAGCAACTTTGATGGAAGCCACTGGGCTGAGTCCTCAGGATGCGGTATATTCGAGTCTGATTGGCGGCGGTGCAATGTTTCTCTCGACAATACCCGTCATTTTCTTGATAGATCGACTGGGTCGACGAACAATGGCTCTCACATTCATCCCTGGAGTCTGTGTAGGATTGTTTATCACCGGATTTTCATTCATGGCAACTAGCTTGGGTACACGGATGGGCGTTTACCTTACCGGTATGATTTTGTTTACAGCCTTCTGGTCTCTTGCTGTCGGAGCCGGGCCTTGGGTTGTTGCCAGTGAGGTATATCCTTCTTATCTGCGAAGCTATGGAGTCAGTATAGCGGCGTTGAGTGACTGGCTTGGAACATTCATCACGACTTATCCGTTCCAACAGATGTCGGTGGCCATGACGCCGACAGGAGTATTTGCCGGATTCTACTGTGGATTAACAGTCCTGATTGGCTTGATTCTATTGCTGTTCATGCCTGAAACAAAGAACCTATCACTCGAGGCAATCAACCAGGTGTTTGAGATGCCTGCATTGGGGATCATGAGAATGAACATGAATAACCTTAAGGTGACTTGGAATGACTTGATGCACTTCAGGTTCAAGAAGGTTTGGGCATATCAGTAGCTCGGATACTGAGGTGTCGCCTAACGTTTCAACGTGAAACAATCATTGAATTTAGATTAAATTTTACCCTAGTTCTTGCCGAGATATTCCATGGCCATGCAAAATTCGTCTCCTCGCTCAATTTTCTCAATGTCAGCCCGAACCTCTGAACAATCTATTCTGTAACCGTCTACGAACCCCCCAATTGTGTATTTCATATCTCAAGGGCACAATTGTCTTTCAATCGTGACTCAGCTTAGCCCTGAGCTTTGCTCCAAAGAGATAGAAGACATAGGGAATGAAGATCATGCCCACACCAATGAAGGCAAGAAGCCATGAAGCCCACTGCAGTCCAAGGCGATTGTACATTTGTGTGGTGAACAGCGGGAAGGCAGCGCCACCTCCAGATCGCAGAAACACTTTTGAGGCCAAAGCCGAGGCAGCGTATTTTTGGTACGAATCAATGATGTAGTTGTTGACAGAGTAGTAGCAGAGAACCATTCCGAAGCCAAAAGCAATACCCGACGAAGCAGGTCCCACCCAGATGATGTGCTTGAAGGAGGTAGCGCCGAGGAGGAAGAATGCAATCGGGATGAATGGTGCTCCCCACAGAGCTGCGATCAGTCGATCCTCTGGAGTGGAAGCCCGGGAGGCGCAGATGCGTTTGAACTGCTTCTCGATTACCGGGGTAATCATAAGCGAAAATGCGGCGCCGATCAAAATTGGGATGAACATCAAGCCAATCTGGCCGTCGTTGTAGCCGTACAGTTTGCTGAAGATAACGGGGTAGGCGAAGAAGAATGCGTAAAGCATGGAGTAGATCAGCACGATGTACAGGCACATAAGGTCGAGAACGGGCTCCGTCATAATCATGGTGATTGGACGGATCAGCTTTGTACGAGCAATGTCGCCCAGGGAGAGTTTCTTGGTCTCCTGCTCGGTGATGATGTTCGGATTGCCCGTTTCTTTCCGCAGCTTAGCAGCTCGTCTTTTGAGGATGACTGGTGCGTAAGTTTCCGGGATGAGGCCGACCACAATCAGCATAACGCCCGAGAAGGCCATGTTGATCCAGAAGAACAGATCCAGTCGATGAGTGCTGACATTGACCCAACCAGTGACGATTGGTCCAAGAACAGGACCGCAGTAGGGAGCAGCGGCGAAATAAGCGATGGCCATGCCACGGTCCTCGATGTTCCAGATGTCGGCGATAGTTCCGCCAGCCAGAGAAAGGCCAGAACTAGAAAAGACACCACATAAACATCGGGAAACCAATAAGCCTCCGATATTCGGCGATAGCGCACACGGAATATTGAAGATGACATAGAGACTCAGCGAGATGATGTAAACCGGTCGGCGGCCAATGATCTCGGAAAGAGGAGACCAGAGTAACGGTCCAACCGCGAAGCCGCAAACCATAATGGAACATGTCAAAATCGCCACCTCTAATGAAACATTATATTTCTCCTCGATCAGGCCCAGACCACCAGTGACGATTGACGAGCCAAAGGCGATGCACACTACCAGGGCGGATGCAACAAGTGTAATGTACCAACGATAAGCGTGGGACCAGTTGTAGGGGTTTCCAGCGTCGTCAATAGTAAATGTAACGAATTCAGTTGGTCCTTTTGAACCCTTTTCGATGAGAATGTCTTGATAGTTGAGTATTTGCGTGGTTGAGGAAGAGGCTCGGGGTCGCATTTGTTCTAATGTCGCTTGTGGAACAAGGCCGGTGCTCGTTTCGATAACGTATTCTTCGGGAAACATAGGATTATCTTGTCGTCCAACGTCGGGATAGTTGGGATCCAATGGTGGAGGGGTTTCTGTGATGCCGACATTGCGGAGAGTTTCTACCGTCTCAACTCTGGCCAAGGGTTGCGCTGGCCTAGGGTCCAGTTGAGAATCGGATGGTAATGATTCGGACATATTGAAGAGTGTAGCCCAAATCAGTGTGAATTGAAGATGACTTAAGGATGTAGAGGTAGGTTCTCTGGTATTTAAAGCTAAGGGAAACTTGAAGACGTCATCGGGATAGTATACATACTACCTTTCATGAAGGCCGACAGATCTCCGAGACAGACAGACAGATTTCGGATTTTTTGATATAGCGGCATGAGCGGCATTAGCTGGAAGAGCTAGACAAACCAATGGGAGATTGTCGCAGTGATCAAGATCAGGGCGATATAGATTTTCTCCTTAAAGTGAGTTCGACTGTCTTTCCCAGGGGGAGGAACTCGGTAGAGACTCGCTACCGAATGATCTCCGATACCTGCCCACTGGAAGTTGAGCCTCACCGCTCTCGCCGGTGAGTGCTAGACGTCGCTTCTGCCCGAGCATTTATGGTCGAACGCCCTGAACAAGTATCTTGGACATCTGCAAGGTGGTATTGAGGACGACGACTTGCTGGCGAATAGAATAGTGTGGGCCCATCGGGACATTCACTCAGCGCCCAAACCCGAAATCCGATCCATTCCTCCCTCTATTGCCTTTCCTTCTCGAATTTGCGCTCGCATCGTATGCGAAAAGGTTTGGCGTAGCCATCCTCGACGGCTACGCGATTTTCATGGTCGTAGTATTCCTCGCTCTCGAAGTCAGGGTCTATGGTAATATACATCAAAAGATGTTATATATAACAATTGAGGGAGTCGACTGATGTCGACTACCTTAGATAGGGCGGAGAGCACAGAGCAACAGCCCACATGGACCCCGAAAGGAGCTCTTGGCTGAGGGTCACCCCCGACAACACCAGCGCATGGAATGCGAAAGCCAAGTCCACCCATCGTACTGTTGGATTCGGCTGATAGGGGTGTCGCGTGGCGTATTGAGCCTGCACGGTTGGCGAGAAGAGGAGCACGGATATGCTTAAGATCTTGGCCAAAAAGTGAGTATGTGCTAGGCTTCGTTGGCTGTGCAATCGCGGTTTGGTTGAGAATCGACAGGACTCACATAGCAAGTGACTCCGCAGACATTCAATAGTGGATAGTCAATCAATAGGCCGTATGTCGAACGACGGCGCAAGTTGAGAAGTGCTTGGGCGTAAAAAGAGGCAGACCATGTGATAAAATAGAGCCAGCCACAGAGACTTTTCACCGGGGGGTCGAGGAGGAACCATGTCAGCGATATTGACCCGTTCGTAACTTGCTTAATATACTCTATGGGTCTATAGGGAGAGGTATCGTAGATGCGGTCCAACTTTACGAGAGAACTAACCTTGACAATATGCTTGGCCGAGCTTCCATGATGCGTACCGGAGAATTCTGGTCATGTAAGATCGATGTGTTCGTGAAATGTGGGAACAAGTTGGGATCGAACTAATACATGCGCGTAGAGTTCGGGCCGATTACCTTCATACGAACTATCACTTCACGATATACTGATTGTTGAGTACGTCAGTGTTCGTGCATTTTGGAGAGAAGTACGTGCGGAACTGGTGCGGACTAGTGCGGAGTTCGGAGTTCGGATTTAAAGTCTCTAGAGACCTTGCATGACCCGTTCCATTTCCGGCAAGGATCATAACTGGATTCCAGGTTCAGGGACTTAAGTGATAGCTTCGTCATTATGGACGGCAAAAGCTTTGACAAAGCTGAATCACGCCACCGCGTTCCATCCGCACTCGCCATCCCGCTTTCAGCTACTAGCAGGTTCCCCTCCGTCGTCAACAGCATAAACTTTGACGAAATTAGACCACGCCACAGCGTTCCAGTTGTCGAGGTCGCGTTTAAGTGCGCTAAAGCCTGTGCGGGAGTTCAGACGAGCTTTATGACTTTCAATTAGGCATACCAATAGTGTGAGAAGATGAACAAAGGGAGCACTGTAATGTAGTCTTCCTTTCAATCTGACACTCAGTTTCTGGCGTGCAATGTTCACGGCAAAGCGCTGCAAACAAAGCTCCATCAGCGATGTTACAATGATATCGGCGCATAATATCACGTTTTGCGTGTATGTGACTTCCAGTCCCAACTAGCCAATATACTTGCCTGTCCACGCGGCATTATTCAGCCAACCAGAGAGATCGAAGTCGTCTAATGCATTGCTGTTGAGCAAGTCGAAATTTGTAAAACCTGTGGTGTCAAGGCCTGGCTGCAGGAATTGCGAAGGTGAGAAAGGCGTGTCGAGATCATCGCAAGACATCGACGCTGGTACAGTCATGCCAGGTGTTGTGCCAGCCATGGAGGGCGGATCGTCGAGCATATTGTCCAGGGTGCGAGAGATTGCTTGTGCGGCTTGCATACATGTAGAATGAATTGCCTCGCCCGCATCTCCGATACTCTCAAGGTACGAAGTGAATATCATTAGACTTCGGATGAGCGCCGAACGACTGAGGTTCTGTGGCAATGACTGAGTTCGATTCCTAGCACTGGTTTGCAGCGCCGCCACCAACGTGGCTGCACTAGGAAGACCGTAGTTGACTACCTGCAGATTGTCAGGACTAAATTGAACCGAACTCGCATGAGAAATACTCACAACATAGGGAAAGTCGTGTCGCAGAAGCACCGCTTTGTCGCGCGATTTACCAAGCTGTACAACGACCGCGACGATCTCTGCCGAAACGCTCAGCAATGCTGGAGCAGAATTCGGCTCACTTCTCTCAAGAAGGCGCTGTATCTGAAACTCGTTTTCTAGATGTGACAGATGCACAATTGTGAGCATGAGGCATACTGTAGCCTCAAGGCCTGATGTCCAGCATTGATGTGTATACTTGAGGTGCTCGGGTAGTGACTTCCATGTTTGCTGGCATCTTTCTGAAAGATTCCTGTTACATCGGTCAGCTTCACCTGGTCAACAAAATTTTGAGATTTCGTCTGAACACTTGCATCAGCTTGGCCTTGTTTTCGGCCGTAAATGGGCGAAATGGGAACTCTAAGATTTCTTCTCGGAAAACGCCGAGGATGTAACGAAGCCGCGCCCAAGTTGAGCTAGCGTAGCGAGCTGTAGCACTCCATCCCTCGGGGTCCAGCATGAGTGCTACTCGCTCTACTTCGTTCGCATCTGCGAGAATTTCCTCATCAGCAAGATCGAGCGGCATCTTGCAATCAGAGTAGCGCCTCAAAATCCTTGGAGGTCTATCGAAAAACGTGCAGATCAACTTGTCGACCTGATAGGCTGCCGCAAATGTTCTCCGCCGACACTCGGAAATATAATTTGGCATTTTGCCTGCGTGGGTGGACTCGCGATGAATACCAAGAGCATACACATCAGTTGCCAGGTCACCTAGTCGACGCCATACATTGGGACCTATAGAGTAGAGCGAACAGGATTAGCATGTACTGGCGAACCGGCTTACGAGCCCCAATTTTCTCATCGTGTAACTCACTTGCATCTCCTTGTATGGACATCGTCAGCAAGAGATTTTCGTACGACAACCACACCATGGGGTCGTTAACCTGCGGAGCAATTTCACGAGCAATCTGCAGGCAACATGTGCTGCATCGAAACATGGTATGAACAAACTCATCTCGCCGATCGTCTCTACTAGGACCAAGCAAACACGAGCGGCCTGCAAGAGCAAAGATCAAGCCGACGGCTTCGAGACGAAGATTTTGACCAGTGTAAGAGGCGCAGAATCTTGGCGGCGTGAAGGTCAACTCAATGTCAATATTCGTGGATGTAGACTGAACAACTCTTTCCGCGATCTTCAGAGTCGTGTCAGCGGACCCAACCCGGCCCCGTGCCGAGGGCGATGAGATGTCGACCACGTTCGTCCGAAGTGCTGAGAAAGCCGGCAACACGAGTGGTCCAGGTACCAGAGCCGCAGGACTGTGATCGTAATACTCATTGAGCAGCTTTTCTATCATGTCAAGATGTTTGAGTCGAATAAGCATCTCTGCCACAACGGCGACGTGTTCGGCATGAATTGCTTCGACGCTTGCATCTAGCCCAGGCAACCGGAACCCCGGGTGATGGGCATCAGAGGCAATCGATGGCCACGGGAGTGCGGACTGGCTTGGTGCAAACTGATGGGTGAATGGACGAACGTAATCATTCGTGCTCTCGGTAGTCAAGGGGTCAACATTTAATAATGCGGTCTGCGCTTCACCAACTGCGCACCTTGTGCGTGGCCGTGTCATCGGAGCCGGATGATAGAAACAGCTCGAGGCCAAGCCTCGACGCTGGCATCGGGAACACACAGGACGAGTGTGGTCACAGCGATTCTTCCTCCGGCGGCAGTTTTCGCATGAGGCCAGCCTGCCGTTTCTTCGGCTTGTGCTTGTCATGTCGCTGTACCTGGTGGGCTGGGCTGGTCAATTATACCGGTGGATATAATCCAGGTACAACGATATATTGGGTCAGAGTAACAACACAAGGGTCGCTAAACTTTGGGCTGCGCGCGATGTTTTGGTTCTCGCCAACACCCAACACCCCTATTTACCAGGTTCCAAGGCTTCCCCGCAACGTCATCACATTACCGTGGCCAAGATATTCGGCCAACTTCGCCGGTGTAGTAGCTTTCCCACCCACTACAAGGGAACAATTACCTATTTAAACTTTCTTTCCCCATACATCATCTGATTGCCATATAGTAGGGTCGTTAGGGTTGCTTTGAGCTCCCAATCACACCTGCTCCAGCATGCCACGGCCCGCCAGACATGATCAACTCCCTCGACTTACGCGCTTGATCAATTGGGAATCTCTGGGCTCAATGACAGACGAGACCGATGCGGATTCGGCATCAACGGCTAGAGACTACGGCTTACCGATCCTCGGCACAGATTCCTTGCCATTGCCACGCGGCATTCCCGATGCCGCTAGGGGGAACGGCCCTTTTCAAGACGCTCTTCAAACCCAAAATTGCCTAGAAGCGCTCCCGGACCACACGGATACAGCCTTAGAGTCTCGACCAATCCAGTGCGTGGAGAACTCATCCAACACGAGCCCTCCTCAAGGCCCATTCCATGACGAGAGTACGAGCGGCCGTCTGCAGCAGTGCCTATATACGTTACATTCGGTGGGTTTCTCTTCGGTCGACGCATTTGCCCTTGAATACTATACGGCACGTCTGGGCCCCTTGCCGGAAGCGTCCGTGGCGAAGCAGCCACAAGGTTTGAGCACCCTTGGCCAATTGGTCATGGTGCTACAGAATGCATCAACGCGAATGGGCACTGTCGAAGCGGCGGGCTTACTGCACGGTATCGCAAAAGCTGCCCACGACCTATATATCTCTGAACTTCGCGCCTTGGATTATACATTATACAATCCCGAAGAAGCGGAGCATCAAGTGAGTTGCCCAATATGCAAGTCTTACTTGTATGGCTGACCCGTTACCTCTTGCAGTTGCCGCAAATATACCTTTTACTGCACGATCTGCTGACTCAGGTTGGGTGTCGGCCTGACTTAGTTGACGCGACTGTCCGAACCTCAATTCAAGGGTTGTTGGAGAGTAGCTTATTGTAATTGTACGGTGCATCTCCATGCAAGACATGTCTGCCCGAGGCAGACATTATATAATATGGCAATCCTAATCATCTCCACTCATTACTGCTTGTACTTACGTGCTCATCTTTGCTTCTGATGCTTTATATCAACCGACGAGTGGTTGCATCCTCTTACACTACCATGGTTCGACGAGCGCCATCATCGTTCAGCGTTCCTACGTGAGGATGATAAGGATAGGATATGTCCCTCTAAAATCCCCTTCATTTTGAATAGCATACTTAAACAGTTGAAATAAATTGAGCTGCTTCTTCAAGTAAAATTGTCTTCATCTCTACCATAGGTATCTTCAACCTGTAATCAACACAGCATTGCGTCATGAACGCCATGCACGGTACGCGTTAAAGGCAAGGCGAATATAGCGGACTACAATAAAGATATAAGCAAGGATGGTATTTCAGGGAATGGATAAGCGCTGCTCAAGAAACAGCAGCTTTCTTCTCATTAAATTTGCTAGCATGTTGCTGATCTGACCATAGAGATATTTGCATACACAATTGGTCCAAGTCTATCCTGGCCACTATGATTATAGCACCTGGAGATCGCCTGCTCATGCAATTCTATTGCTGCTAGCAATCGGCAAACATCCACCTTGATCATCATGTCACCCAATACTCGAATTTGTGTTTACCTGGGATGTTTCTATGCCGCCTCCGTTACTGCTAAAATCCCGCTTATTCAGCTCAGCATCTTCCGCATTATACTTGTGGAAGAGTAGCCAGAATATCACCGATGCCAGGGCAATAGCGGCTGCGAGAGCGGTGTACATCCAGACAAGGTGAGGGTTGCGTGTAATTGGGTACAGGGCAAAGCCCAAGAGAGCACCGACACCTGCCATGGCAGACAACACGGCCTGAACGATCGATTTCATCTGGTAGAGGATGACAGCTGTCAGCAAACATTCCGTGCCGATCGCGCTAGAGCTTCTTACATTGTCCGGTGCCTTGTTGTACGCATATTCTTGGCTGACGACGTCAAAGAATACTTCTGCTAGACCGTCCAACACGTAGACAGGTGTTTGAAACCAAACACTGATCTGATTCGATATTCTGCCCCCGTCTGACGCGGGGCACTCCAATGCATATGCAAAACAAGGCGCTCTTGTATATATGAGCTGCTGGATACCCGCGCAGTACGCGATTGCAATGGCTTCTATGAGGAAACCGATTGCCATACGGTTTACCGGCGGAAACTTAATACCCAGCTTCCGCAAAGTCGGATAGAGCACGTTGGTGACGACGGGCAGAAGAACCAGCACTGCAATTGGGTTCAAGGTGGGGAAAATGTCGTTTGGGAGACCGTGAGTATCCATCTGGGCCGCTTGAGAGACGAGATTGTTGTTTATCTGCAGATGACAGACCCAGAGGATAGGGTAGAATGCAAAAATGCGACATGCTATGAGGCCGCGCTGCAGGTCTGTCACAAACTTGTCGTCCCAGTCGACCGTATAGACTTGGCTTTGCGGCCGTGCAGCATCCATGTTGAAATTGTTCTTCGCTGCACATAACATGATTTGAAATGCTGTCGGCAGGATATTGCCACCTGGCGGTCGTTTGACTAACACATTTTTAGTCGTCCCCTCATGCGAGCATGCCAAGTTGAAACATACTGAGCTTGTTCCGACACAATGTTAGCGTCAGCAACGATATGCAAAGAGCGCAGAAAGGAAGCAGGTATGCCGCCCAAAAGCCAACATCCTTCTCCATATAGGTGGTCGCTAGTGCGGACAGCGCTCCAATATTTACAGCCCTTACGAGACTGGGTCAGCTTGATAAGATATGCTTCGAGTTGAGCCCTTGCACCACCCACCAGTAGTATGTATGATATATCTTGTCCATGCTGAGATCACGATCAATAATGACACGCTTCCCGCTCGGCTTGACTACAATCTTTTCTTCCCAATTGGTGTACTGATCGGCTATGCGACTGTTTGTGAGTGATTTTAGAGCTTGACCGGGAGATTGTGGGAGAACGAACCCATCAATGGTGAGACACCCGACTTAACGCCCCCAAGGCCTATGCTCATGAGAATGATACCTATCAGAAATCCTGGCAGGCCTGCGCCTGCATCCAAGGATGGTGGCAGAGACGTCATGGTCAAGATGAACGCTCCGCTTACGTAGATGCTGTGTCGTTCACATTAGCAAAGTTCAATCGCACCACAAAATAGTACGTCCTACCAGAGGAAAAATAAGATTCCTCGATACCGCCCAAGGAAGCAATCGATAACGACGCTGGCGAATAGAGGCGTGGTGTATAGCAAGAACGAGAACATGTACGATAGGTTGCTTGCCTTGCTCTGGCCCAATCCGAGCGCTCCTGGTCGTAGAGAATCATCTCGCTGATTCTGAAGATAATTTTCTGCTTTCAATGTCAATGGCTGTGAAAAGGAAAACAACACCTCACTATGCACTCACGAAATGGCTCGCGAATTCCAAAGAAAGCGAAGCGTTCGAGTGTGCTGATCAATATGACAAGCCAGACCGAGACAGAAATGCTATCTGCAACGTGAGGCAGGTCTTCATCATGACTGCTTCTCTGGTTCGGTCGGGTTGTGTCCGTCGCCTTTTCATTTGTACAAGGCGATTGCTGCATAGGTCGAGTATCCATCGGCAGGCGATCCCCGATCTCGACAACTTCCGACATAGGTCGTATATCCAGATTCTATGTTCAGATCTTTGATCGTCGTGCCGGTGTACAGTGCACGCCGATTCTGACGTGTTCAACCTGTGGTATATGACAGACTCATGCGTGAAAGAGCTAGTTCTTGAGGCGGGGATTTTAGCTACTATTGAGCCTAGTTGAAGTGCAATTTGTGTCTGATGACCTTCCAATGTGGGCATCCGCGATCTTTTTATCTTTCGCATGATGAATCTTGTCATTGATAAAGGGTCCGGACTAATGGCGGAGTAAACTACTGTTACAGGATTAGTGATTCCGTTATTGATTCCGGCAAATCTAGTCCGCTATTAATGCCATTGCCAATGAGAGAGACCAAGGCTGAACGTAAGCAAAGACGGAGGATACCATGGGTCGAGTGCGACTTCATTCTACCACAAAGGGACATTCACTTCGATGTCACACAACGCTTGCCCCTGGGCGTGATCAATGCCGTCAAAATGAGATTAGAGGTGGGTACGGGTAACACGTATATTCGTATTCGCAGATATTTTGTACGATGACTGCCAATGCGAATATCCCAGAAAACTACGACTATTTACTCGAACCAACCCCTAGATGAGATTGCTACACAGTTTATAACAATATCGCTGTTGAGGCCGAAGCGTCCGATTCCATGATGGCGAGACGATCGTACATAGCTCGTCGCAGATATGGCGTCATTTTGGCACTTTTGAGGTTAACGGTGAAACGTCATTAAGGAAGAAAGCAAAGACGTTGGATCAAATCATTTGTTGGGGGCTCAAGAGAGATATCGATATGAATGGCTCCATAGCTCAGGGTGCAGCATGCCATGCTTGACCTATGACACTGTTCATGCAACAAGTCACGATATACGAACCTAGTCTACATAGCAATTGCTTGATTGACACCGGGGTTCCGCTCGCCAGCGGCATTTTCCGACAGGCACCCGTTCGGTCACAGATCTCCCTCATTGTGAGAAGGTCCACACACGATGATCTAGTTCAGTCGTGTGTGATAATCCCTCGTCAATTTGATATTAACGGCATGTTTTTGTACGTGATTGCCTAGAACCGTAATCTGGCAGATCCCTACCTTGCCCACATCGTAATCAAATTTGCCAGTCATGGAAAATTCTCCCCCGCGGTAGTCGAAGTTGATCACCGACGTATGCGGCTGCTCAATGCTGTCGCCGTCGTCGAGATACAATGTGCCAGATGCCTGATCCGTTGAGTCTGGAGCGATCACGATTTCAAAGTCTTGTTGTCGCAATTGTGTTGTTGTATAGGCTGACGCGACACGCTGGGGAATGATGCTACCGCTCTTATAGTACAATGGCACAGTGTCATACCCGATATTAGTCAGGGTGACAGTTTCGCCTTGTCCATGGACGGGAGCGCCGGTGTAGAAGTCGTAGAAGAGATCCTTAGGCATATAAACAGATACCGTGGTAGAGTTCTCCTCCGTGACAGGCGCCACCATGATGTTCGATCCCCAGAAGAACTGGTAAGGCAGATCCGCTGTGTTGCTATCTAGGGGGTATTCGAAGAACATTGGATTTAACATCGGCGAGCCTGTCTGCGTCTGCGTCCACATGGCAGTGTAGGCGTAATCAAGCAGGCGGTAGCGAATATCGATGGCCGCTCGGGCTGCAGCAGCAACCATAGGGGTCCGGTAGAGCTCATGTGGCGGTTCGCCAACGTTCTGATGATCGCGGAAAAACGGCGAGAAGGCGCCAAGGAAGACCCAGCGAGAGCAAAGAGTGTCAGTCGTCAGACCAGCATAGCCGCAAATGTCGCTGCCCACCATCGGGATCTGGTAGAGCGCGGCGAATTCTTGCAGCTCAGCAATCGTCCAGCGGTAGTGGTCCCAGTCAGCATTGTTGTCTCCCAGCCAGTGGCCAACTTTACTGCCAGCGCCTGCGAAGGTGGATCGCGTGATACTGTCACACATGAGTAACCGATTTCTTTATTTCTTATGTAGGAACACTTACACCATCGGTCGCTTGGAAGGTCTTCGATTAAGCATAGCGTCGCGACTAACGGCACTCATCATGCTACCGTAGAAATTATGCGTGTCGTACAGTTTGAGACCGTTAGAATGAGTGAGGTCCGTCCGGATTGTCAAGTTGCTTATTGAACCAGCAGTGTTGTTGATCTGATATGGAGGATCGATCAGGTTTCTTCCGGGCAGGCCGAGCATGGAGCCATCTCGCTTCTGAAGGACATCTCCAGTTACTAGAGAGCGTACACTGGACACTAAATCAGAGCGAAGAGACCTCTTCATTGACCCAGAGCTTGTAGTAATGTTGTCAGAGACCATCTGTATACCACTGTTGCAATCGCCTGTGGTAATTGTGCGATTTTTGCTCTCATAGATCCAGCTACCGTCTGACTCCCGACGGACATATTCATAGGTGAATGTTCCATTGTCGGGCATTTGCAGGGTAACCTGCCACTCTGGGTAGTTGTCTGCGCTCATTTCAACGGAATTGTGAACGTTCCCTTCTCCCAAAGTAGGGGAACTACCGAGAATATAGATATCTTCTCCATAATAGGTCTCCGCATAGACGGTGAATGAAACTGAAGCGACACATTTAGGCTGGAAATTCGACCCAAAGCCCGGGATTGGCCGTGGTGGCGATAAGCGAACAGGGGGAGGATTGGGAGGGTCATCATTTTCTTGCGCAAATTCCGCTGGGTTTGCGCAGGGCCAGTCACAGAAATTTGAGGCTTCGTTCATGTCGATCCATAGCGCGTCGATATCGACGCCACTGTCTGCGTCAAAAAATGTAGAGAATTGGCTGTTCCAGTATTCCTGTATCTGTGGGGCAAACCAGTCGGGAAAGGCAGTAATGCCGGGCCAGACGACGCCTTGATAGATGGATCCGTTTGAGTTAGTCAAGAAGACACCGTCTTGGACGCCTTTTTCGAATGGGGGATAGTCAGTGTAAGCCACGGCCGGATCGACCATAACGATGTAGTGCTGGTTATGACTGTGCAGGTAGGATACGACATCGCGAACAAGGTGTAGTGGATATCGGAGAGGGTCCAACGTGAACACCTTTCTCAGGTCCATATAATCTATATCCGTTCTTAGCCTGAGTTAGAGGGTCATGTAGTCATATAGCATACCAATGTCGGTCCATTGCGTCTCGAGTGGGATATTGGCAGCACTATAGTTTGCAATGACCTCGGCTACCTCATAGATATCCTGGTAGCCATATCTGCAGTTATGGAAGCCAAAACCCCAGTACGGCATCATGACGGCCTTGCCAACAGTCTCGGAATACTGGACCGCCACATCTTTCGGGGTCGGACCTGCCAGGAAGTAGAAGTCGAGAACCCCGCCCAAGGTGCGGTATTCGAGGTATTGACCATCGGCGTCTTTGTCAATCTTGATATCCATTCCATTGCTGTTCAACAAAAACACGCCATGTGTGCCCTGGCGGCCGCGGTGGTCAAAGTAGATAGGATGATTGCCATACAGATTGGTGAACTGGGGAGTAAGATACGCATCGCGAGACCAGAGTGTGCGCATATAGTCGTCGGTCTGCAGTCGCATGGGATCAGTACTCTCCCCCAGGCCGTAGATGTTGGGCGAGTTCGGCAGGCTAGTACGCAGCCCGAGATACTGTGACTCAAAGATCAAAGCATGGCCGGACGTGTCAAAGAGAACCTCGCCGGTGGATCTGCGGGACACTTTAAACGAGAATGGTTTCTGTTCGATGGAGACTTCCAAGTCTGACCTCTGCGGATCGACGTTTGTGCTGCTGGGACGAGGTAGAACTGAGGTGGGCACCTGGTAGACCTGTTCTGCCGCATCATAAATCTTGACATGGACTCGAGATTCTAAGTCAACAGTCAGTGACAGGAACAGAGCGATTGATCTCGTCGTCAGTCTTTGCCCTACCGGTCTGGTACTCAATTTCCAACTTCAGATTGTCTAAATCAGTGCCATACACATTGCAAGCTTTTCCGGCAAGCGTGAGGTCGGCACCGACAACAGCACCATGCTGTGTCTTCACATTGCTCGCTTTGTATCCTGGACACGTGGGTGTGCTAACATGAGCCGCCAATACAGCAACATCGGCACTCAGCACGAGACCAACAACTGTCGCCAAACAATATCTCATAATGTAAGCAAAATAAACACTGAATGCGACCGGCCATCCTTCCCCAAGGGGCATGGGGCCGATCTTATAAACAGTGGCTCCATCTTTGCCGTTTTCCCGGCAGCAAATACCGAATTGAAAGTGGCACCAGTAGGAGAACGAGAGGCGGGGTGGGGGTAGAGACCTCAAAGTCCGATATTTACCCGGAAACTTTTCCGCAAACAAGATCTACACCCCGATATTTGCCCGAGTGCCACGGTAACTTTCTACTGTAGCTTTCTCCTGTTTACTGAAGTAAATGCATATGGTGGAGAAATAAACTTTCGACAAGCTTTTTCCTCATCGATCATGGCAGAAACGAATATAGAGCCAAAGTTGTGCTGTCCTTGCAGCAGCCGTCTACTTCAGGGGTTCTTCATACTCAGACGCGCTACCAAAAACCAATCGTCTCCAAAAACAGAAACTTGCTAGCCCTAAGTCACATGTGCCGACTTAACGCCCAGTGTGTAGCTTAAGCGGGTGTTAAAATTGACGCAGGTACTACCTCTCATATTGCCAGCCCTTCTTCCGCTGTCCCCTCGGTTCCTTCTTTCACTTCCAGTTCCTCTTTATGAACGACGTTCTGCTTTTCCTTATTATCGTATCCTTCCAACTTCCCTTCCCTGACGGATTTCCATTCAATGAAAACTGCCCCAGCAACTATCAAGCAGGTCAAAGCGAGGGCAAGATAAGAAGAAAAGAGACTGACATAATAGGCTGCCACGAAAAGGGCTGCAGAATTGTAGAAGATGCACAGAGCGCCGAGAGCAACCGATCGCTGACATATCAGCTTCAAAGGAAACATGCTGTCATCACCGCTCCGGTATTCCACCGCAAGGAAGACAAGCAAGAGCATTCCATTCAACACCTACAGAGGAAGGATCTTCCAGCTGTCCCATGTGTAGTCCGATCCCGCCCATTCCAAAGCAAGTATAACGCATATCGCTAATGGGACGAAAGCTGCAAATAATGGCATATCAAAGCGCTTAAGATTTTTTTTGCTGGGTAGATCGGCGTGCTCTGGGTGTTGTAGGTTGCGGACAAAGAACTACACAGACAGAATGACTGCAACTGCAACCGCATCAGCCTGTCTTCAACAGGACTAAAATACTCCTGACGGAGGCGCAGTCGAAGAGTGATCTGATCAGATGGGTGGGTTCAGAATCTCTCGGGGCTTCTGCTCTGTTGCTAGTATTGACCGCGATCAGTACGACTTCTATTTCTTGCTGATCGTGATTGAACGTGGCGCTGATTTACACCCTCGTTATTTGCGATGATGCGATAGAACTTCTGACCATCCCAAATTTGCTCGCATTGTTTTGTACTTGACCGTGGGTGCGATCAAATTGAAACTGGTTGAACACGTAAAAAAGTGAATTTGCAAGCGCTAGCATCATATAACGGCCTCGCTTTTGGATAGCAAACAAAATAAGCTATAGGGCGTGGGTACGGTATGGAGTCGCAAATCTCCCATCAATGTGAAGTTTTCATCTGATTAGCTGATATCCCAAGGTCGGCCCACCTGTCACCCTGCACCGCATTTCCCGTAGTATGCTATATGACCGATGGTCTATAACTACGAAATATAGTAATTAACTACATGAAATTCGTCGAGATTGGTTGTGATCCACTTTCTTTGAGCCTATAAAGGAGATAGACGTACCAGGGCCCCATCAAGTTGATGCCCTCAATGTCTTAGGTCAAACTAGACATTATTCTGGCACCAAATCCTCATTTACTCGAACATTTCCTGCTGTGGGCGTCCTTCCTTTGTCCACCCATAGTTCAACCATAGTTCACCACCATTAATTTCTCTTGACAAATAATCTCTTCATCAGTCCCAAACATGAAGGAGAAAAGAGAAATAGTGACGAAACCTTAAAATATGTATCCCGACATCGCTTGAAGAGTGGTGAAATTTTAGCACCCTAATAATTGCTGAAACGGCGGGCTGAGATGTTCTAATGGATGATCTCATTTAACCACCCTGATAATGCTGCGGTGGTGAATGTGACCACACTTGATGGGATCTGAACGGGTCTGCGCTTGACGGGACCGCGTTTGGCATCACTGCGTTTGAAGACTGCGCTTGACAGGTGACGCAGGACATAGACTGTTGTAGATAAGTAGAGACTCTTCTTCGGTCTCTTCTTCCCTTTCTCAACTTGGATCTCCCGTCGACTACGTACTCAAATCGAATTCTTTATTGATTTTCTTTCTTGATCCGACATCCGGCCACAGTGAATTGGCGAATTCGAGATAACCTTTAATTAGCGATCAAATTGATACACTCTAATCATTCCTAAAGTGATGAAATTTCAATCCCTCTCGTTATTGCTATGATGGTGAAGTGGCAAGTTAGGTGTGGTCAAAAAGGGCGGTTGAGTTTCATCTCTTAGCCAAAGCTAGAAGTAGTAAAATAGCCGGTCGAGATATTTTTAAAGAGATGTCGATTGAAGCACCCTAGTCGTTCGCTGAGATTATAAAATTGGAGGAATAGCATGCCGGGATGTGGTTAATGTGAGGTCTAATTACATTACTTGACCAATCCTAGAGTCGGTGAAATGGCATATTTTGATGTGCTTTGAAGGTTCTCGAATGTAATTAATCACTTGATGCCTCCAGAATGAAAGGGTTGGTGTATTGAGATGCATTTAGCGAGAGATAAAATTTGATCACCTTGTTTCTTCCTAGAGTCATTCCTAGAAGTGCTCATAAAAAGACGGTTGTAGGGCCGTCCTTACCACTAACTATAACTTGAACGATGAAATATGACCACTTTTTAACCACATCTCAACCCGCTATTTCAGCCAGCATATTTAGTGAATGATGATGCTGCTTGAATTTCAACATAGCAATTGGTGATATGAGCACTAAAACGCAGACTAAGTTAGCCGATCACCGTTTGTGAGTGGAGACCGACACACTCTGACCCGATTGCGCTAACAACGTTAGTACTAGTCTCACCGACTGGAGTATTGAATCTCGCCTCCACCAAGTGCAGTGTGTGCTGGATATACAATTCTCCGCGTCTCAATCCACGGCTCCGCTCCTTTTTCCCCGCAAGGGAGTGGGCGGTGGCGCAACAGAGACCGAGTTCGGTAGGGACCGTCCAAGGCAAAAATGCCGACCGGCTGGAATAATCTGTATTGAATGTCAATGCCAGCATGGCAAAACACTCGGTCCAATAATAATCCCTCATCGCGGTGGTTTTCCCCCGGTTGGTTATGTAGGTGGTTAGGCCAGGAACGAAACCAGGTTGATCTCACCCTGGTTATTGTGGTGGAGTCTCTTTCTCTCTTCCCCAGTGTCGGGGTCAGTGTGTGTGGACTGAGCGTCGTCAGCCGGTCAGCGACTCATCCCAAGTGCCGTCTTAGTTCGGCCTAGTTGGCTAGGAAGGACGGATAGAGTGGTGGGGCAGATAAGACAATAATCGAGGGGAATCACTACGACTGGTCCGTGACCTGGGCCTCATTCACGGGACTGCTGGCATTCTTCTTCTTTCTTCCTTTGCTCTTTCTCTCTGTGTCTTTCTCTCTCTCCTCCCTACCCTGTATCCTCTTCCCAGCCCACACCCGGCCCGTTTGACACGGCCAAACGTCACTGGAGCCCCATCCCGCTGGTCCAGCCCGGCCTTTTCCACGGTTTGACTGCCCGCGAGGGCCCGACAATACACGCCTGGTCAAACTTCCCCCACTTTGTTCCACCCTGGTTGGTATTACTCGTTTCTCTCGCTCGACGGCAAGTGGTCTGGCATCAGTATGTGCACTTAGGCCCTGCGCTGTTATCCTGCGTGCGCCGTGTCGCTACACTTCCTCGAAACCATGTCCGCCGATATCACCACTAGCATGGCTCCGCCGGCGGCGGCTGCTGACCGGGTATTCGCACCGGCGCCGTCGTCTCGACCTTCGCCCTCGCCCTCACCCGAGATCTCTCCAGCCAGCCCGACCTCGTCGACGGGCCAGATCCCGCTCGAACAACCGCCCAAGCTGAAGGGTCGCCAGAAGTTGCTACAGAATCTCCAGCGCATGTCGTCCAGCCCGACGCTGACCCGACGGGGTCGGTCTGCCTCCACGACGGGCTACCGACGCGATAATAAGGCCTCGTTGTCGTGCGTGTCGTTGTCATCTTCTCCGTACTCGCCCTGTCTGCCGAACACCAGTTCCTCGCAGCTGTATGGCGGGTTGAACCCTCGTCCTGCGACACCGGGCTGTTCGGGCGCGGCCGGTATGGGAACGGCGGATGGTCTGAACCCGCGGATCCGGCTCGTGGGCACCGATTCGCCTACATCGGGACAGCCGCGCTCGGTGCCTATGCCGTTTGATTTGAGGCCGACATCGCGGGAGTCTCCGTGGACGGAGAATACGACTGTTGAGGGGGAGACTTCTACTTCTGCGATGCTCCCAGACTCGCAGCCGGCCAAGCTGCTTGATTTCTGGGAGGATATGCCGCGCGAGCTGAAGATGGAGATCTTTCGGTATCTCACGCCAAGGGAGATTGTGCGCTGTTCTGCGGTGTCGAAGTTGTGGAATGAGATGTGCTATGATGGTCAGCTGTGGTCCAAGGTTGACACCACGGAGTACTATCAGAAAATCCCGAGTGATGTTCTGGTCAAGCTAATTACCTCTGGTGGACCGTTTGTGCGAGATCTCAATCTGAGGGGATGTATCCAGCTGCGAGATAAGTGGTCCTCGGATGGAGAGCGGCTCTCGGATCTGTGCCGGAATGTGGTTAACTTTTCGCTGGAGGGTTGTCGTATCGATAAGACGTCTATCCACTACTTCCTGCTGCGGAATCCTCGTCTGGCGTGCATCAACGTGTCGGGTCTGTCCAGCGTGACGAACTCCGCTATGCGGATCATCGCGCAGTCATGCCCGCAGCTGGAGACCTTGAATGTCTCCTGGTGCAACAATGTTAGCACCAAAGGTCTTCGTCGGGTCATCCAGGCATGTGAGCGGTTGACGGATCTTCGGGCCAGCGAGATTCAGGGCTTCGACGATGAAGAGTTCGCCGTAGAGCTGTTTGAACGCAATTCACTCGAGCGGCTCATCATGAGCCGGACTGATCTCAGCGACCAATTCCTCAAGGCACTCATCCACGGCGTTAACCCGGCCATCGACGTACTGACTGACTGGCCCATCGTCCCGCCTCGACGATTCCGACATCTGGATATGCACCAGTGCTCTGACCTAACGGACGATGGGCTGAAGAGTCTCGCCCACAACGTTCCCGATCTCGAGGGCTTGCAAGTATCCCAGTGCTCTGAGCTGACAGACGCCTCGATCATGGAGGTGATTCGCACGACGCCCAAACTGTCTCACATTGAACTAGAAGATCTCGAGCACCTCACCAACAGCACGCTCATCGAACTCGCCAAATCCACCTGCTGCCAAACCCTCGAGCACCTCAACGTCAGCTACTGCGAAAGCCTCGGCGACACGGGCATGCTGCAAGTCATGAAGAACTGCCCGCGCATCCGCTCCGTCGAAATGGACAACACCCGCATCTCAGACCTAACCCTCATGGAAGCGAGCTTTCGCATCCGCCGTCGTGGCTACGGCGAAGACATCCCGCAAGTCGGCATGCGGCTCGTGGTCTTCGACTGCGCAAACGTCACCTGGGCCGGCGTGAAAGAAGTCCTCTCAAGCAACGCCTACATCCCCCGCGCGCGCAAACCCGTCTCTTATCCAAAAGTCGTCACCGTCACCCAAACCTCCTCCGAATCCAGATCCGCATCCCCCATGACAACAACGACAACATTCGTCACGCCATCTTCCACGCCCACACTTTCGCCATCACCCTCACCAGAACCATCACCAACATACCCGGCTGAGATCATCCAGTTAAAATGTTTCTACGGGTGGCAGATGACTGTGGATGAGCACACGAAACGTGTTCTAAGCGGCGACCTCTCATCCGCGAGGCGGCTGGATCGCAAATGGGCTGATTACATGATTGCTACTGAAGAGGCGGGCGCGGTGGGTGCGGGTGCGAGACGGAGAAGACGTCGTGCAAGAGAGGCCGAGAGGCTTTATAATGCTGATGAAGACGAGGGGGAGGATGTTTATGGCTTCGGGGGCATTTCGGCGCTAGGCGGGAGGAGGAGGGCGCAGAGTGGTGGTGGGTGCATTGTTATGTGATCAATGCCGGCCGTCGCCTCTAGTCATCAAACTCCCGCTTTTGACGGAAGATGGGTTCTTTCGAGTCTACGTCTTTCTTCCTCTCCAGCAGATGTTTCGTCTCTTTCACCCTTTCCGGTCCACCATCTCCATTCTTCGCCCATCTCTATCATTTTATCTACTAGCGCAGGCTCGCTAGTAACTCCATCATTGCAGTGCAACGCCATACCACACCAAGGCTGGCCTACTATACATCCACGACTTTTTCAAGATTACGAGAAATGCTGCACACGATTACGTCCTTCCCATCTCTTCCTCATCCTCTATCTCCTCTATCTCCTTCAGGGACTGGTCTCGTTCTCTATGAGAATCGAACTGGTCTTTGCTGCTTCTTGCATTGATGGAATCTATCCCTCCCTCACTCTCGAATTTCTGTTTTTGTTCTATTCCGTTATTTTTCCTTTGTCGTTCAGGCAAGGAAGCATCTCCTCCCTTTCCACCGTCTATTTCACTTCAGTCAACAAAGTTCACTGTAGTGCAGTTATGATTCTTTTTTTTGGTCTCTCCTCCTTTCTCTTTGTCACGGTCATGGTCATCTCAACTAGCATATGTAGAGGGTGGTTGGGGTTGTCGGCGAATATCATCAGAGTTCTTCTTTTTGAGTTGAATTAGGTCAATTTTGTATTTGGATTTTAGTCAGGTTCAGAAACGGATGTAGCTGAATGCAACACTTTATGCCTTACTGACTAGAGCGCAACTCGCAAAAAGAACTCCTTTAGCATGTCAGACCACTCAGGCTAATATGGAGAATCTACGTTGATCTTGTTTACACCCCTAGCCGTGAATGTCGTCTCTAGCACCCAGTGCCAGATCGGCAGCAATGTCATAAAGAATGAATACTCGAGAAATTCTACAGTGAAGAAGGGAAAGAATCCATCCAAATACTATTAACAGGGAAACAACATGGATACAACTCTCAAGGAACCGGTTAACACAACAGACAGTCAGACAATATTGAAAAGACATATGAACAACAGAAGAAAGCCTCTCAATCCTGAGATCAAGGTCAGGTGAACATCGGGCGAGCGTTAGGTCAGACCCGGCTGAGCATACATAGTCCGGTTAGAAGCAACGATGGACAGAAATAAATCTTCCTTAGGCAGGTCATCTAGCGAGAAGCCAGGCCGACGGATGGTGTTCGGAGGCAGCTCAAGATACAGCTCCGGGTACGCGGTCTGAAGAAAGCCGGTCTTGTCGTAGAAGTCCATGATGGCGTGCGCAACGCTCTTGGGACGAAACAGGAAGAGGTCGTGCAGAATCCGGTTGTGTGTGTTCTTGATGTCGAGGTTCAGCAGGGTCAGCGCGTGGGCACTCGATTGCTCGTTGGTGTCGCCGGCATCATGGGCACGGTGCTTCGCCCTGCCGCCGTGGTAGATCAGCATCATGTTGCGGAACATCTGGTGCATGCCTGGGTATTGGTGCATGAACATAACGCCGAAGTTGATGGTCATCGCGCGCTCGTCCATATAGAGTAGTTTGGGGGCCTGGACATGCAGCGGCTGGTAGGGGACCTGACCCGGGGCTGGAACTTGCGCGGGAGCCTGCGTGGTAGGCTGATCAGGGACCGGGGTAATGGCCTGAGTAGCGACCTGCGCGTTGGCATGGGTGGTAGCACCAGGGGGGGCCTGGGTAATCACCTGGGAATTGGCCTGGATGTTGGCAGCAGCGACGGCCGATCGAGCAGCGGCAACGAGAGCCCGAGCCTCGGGTTGGCCGATCTGCAGGTGGACTGTGGCTTGGGGAGTGGTACCAGCGCTGGCCAACTGAACAGTCGCAAGAAGGGCAGCCTGAGCGGCAGGATTGGCGAGCTGCAGGCGGCTAAGGCCGTGGGTGTTGATCACCGTGGACCTACTGTCACCGGCGCCGTCGGTGGACTCGATACTGATCTGGTTGCCCATATCGATAGTATCTTGACCAGGAGTCTTGGAAGTTGCCTCGGGAGTCGCGTTGTCAGGGGTCAAGTTGAGGTAGTCGCTGAAAGAGAAAGGCTCGTGGTTGTCGCCAGCAGACTGGACAGCGACGGGCTGAACTAGAAGATTGATGGGAGTGGCCACGGGAGTGTGGACGGCGAAGCTTGGAGCAAAAGAGGTGGAGGCGACGAGAGAAGAGGGAAGAGGAGGATAGACAGGCTGAGAAGGAAGAGAAGAAAGAAGTGGGTTAGAGCTGGCAATCGATGAAGGCATCGAGTGTTGACGCTTGATAATCGAGGCATGAGACTCGAGGGTGCTGGCGATGTCGTTGGCGATGTAGCCGCCGTTGCTGTTCGCCATGTGCTGCTCTGGCTCTGGCTCAGGATCCGTAGCAGCCCAAATCATGTCGCTATGCTCCTTCTTAATCAGGGTGTTGACGGCATCCTCCTCCTGTGAAAGCTTGTTACCATCTTCCTTGTCTTCGTTCTTAATATTTGTGTTTGCAATAGTTCCTCCTAGCACCATAATTGGACCATGCGGATCATCCTCCTGCTCCGGTTCCATCTGATATCCAAGAGGCCAGGGTGTATTTTCATTGACATAGGGCTTGTCGACCATAGTCGGATAGTCAAAGCCCTCAACCCACTTTCTGAAGTAACTCTTCTTCATCTGGACCGTACCAAGCCCATCTCCCGGAAGCGGACCACAGTTCACATGGTAGCCCTGGAACTTGCACAGCGGAAAGATAAAAGCATGGCCGGCGCCTCGGGGCAGGACAGCACACAGGTGGTGCCGAGAAGACATGAAATCGGGGTGCAGGTCCTTCTCCCAGGGCGAAGACAACTCTGCCATGTTAGGCGTGTGGAGTCGCAGCTGGCGATCGAGGTTGCGAGGCAGTGCCACTGCAGAGCCGGGAGCAAGGACCGCACCGATGGACCAGATGGGGGCAAGCTTGCACACGCCCCAATCCTTGACCCGCATCTTCCAGCCAATGTATCGAGCATGCTCGCGGCCGGTGAGGATGTAATAACCACGGTAAACAGGGAAGAACGGCAAGCCGTGAGCCCAAACAATAACCGGCGGGCCAGACGGCACCCGAGAAGTTCGGATGTCGCCCTGAACCGTGAAGTCGTAGGGCCAGTATGAACCACGCGCCTTGGCAGAAACGTACTTGACCGCCAGGTAGGTTAGTTCATCAGATAGTCGGGTGTTGACGGGCGGGAAGATCGGTTTGTTGTCACGCCAGGTCACTTCGATCGCGAGCTTTAGCTGAATCCGATCGACTTCGTTCGCAGGATTCCCGCCGGGGCCATCAGATGGCTGCCAAATCACATTGGGGAAGTGCCTGAGCTCCAAGAGGCTGCTTATGCATGACTGCCGGAGAGTCTTCAGTCGTGCGGTGAAGTTTGCGGCTTCTTCGATTTGGCAGGCCATCATCGCGTTTTTGATATCGTTTTTGATATCGCTCATTTTGAATGAACGGAATTCACGAAAGCAATACGAAAGAAAGATAGCGGCAAAATGAAAGAAAGCACAAGTGAGCGGGTGGGTGTGAAAGAGGTATGGGAGGTGTTAGGGATTGTACGAAAGAGAAAGGAGGGGAGTATCAGAGACGGCCGGATCAACAAAGCAGCAGCCTGTGCCATAATCGATCACCCTATCGATATTATATAGAGAAAAAACAGCCTGGATGAATATAACCTTGGGACTAGTATGTTTAGCACGGGATATCAATATCAGACAGTGAAGATGATAGGACAGGACAGGACAATATCACTCCTCGAAGAATCCTCCATCACTATCCTCCTCTACAGGTGGCTGAGGCACCTTGCGCATCTTCCGGCCCTGTTCTTCCTTCTGTATTTTGTGACCCCTGCCCCCTTCTTGCTCACCCCGACCAGAGGCCTGTTTTGCTTTGGGTGGTGGAAGAGTCTCTTTGGGCTTTTCTTTCTTCGTCTCAATCGGTTCGCCATTGGCATTGATGTTCAACTTGCCATCGCGGAGCTGATCGAGAATACCCTCGTCCATGCACTTGGCCACCACTGACCAAAGTGCAGGCTTTGCACTTTTGCTTGCGGGCTCATTCTCGGGATCAGACTCTGCCGGCGTTTCACTAGATTTCTGGTCTTTGGATTTCGGGTAGAGAGAAATGTACTTCTCCGTGAGAGGATAGTAGATGGTATAGTTGAGGTTGACCCGAGCAGTCTGAATCTTTTTCGCAAGGCGTTCCTTCTGACTAGGATTTAGGTCTGGCTCCTTCTCTCGGCGTTGCAACCGGTTGAGCTCCTTGGTGGCGGTTTTGCGATCTGGCAATCCCATTAGCACTGGACAGTAGTCATGGCAGAACACCGACACATACCGAGGAATCGCACAAAGTGGTATTTTTTGATCATCTGCGACCGCTGTCGCCGCGCCGTCTCCTCCGCCAGATCCTGCTCGTATCCTGCCAGCGCGCGTTGTTGCAAGACTCGCGCATCGGCGGGCAAGTCCGGCTTGTTGAGGAGACGTTTCACATCGCGGATTCGCTTTTTCAGCTCATTGACGGAGGGATAGTTGTTTTCTTGTGGCGCGGGTTGGCTCTTGGACTTGGCCGCTGGTTCTGGGCTCTCCGAGTCTTCGTCCTCGCTAGGTGCCTTGCGGTGCAGCTTCTTGCGCGCAGGCAGCACATCCTCACCCCCCTCGAGCTGTCGGCTTTTTCGCTTTTGCGGATCGCGTGGTTTGGTCCCGAACATTGTTGCTGCGTGGAGGAGGAACGTTGAATCAAAGAAGAAAAAAAAAGGTCTCGGGTCATCCATCGGGCCGACACATCCCCAGATCGCAGGCCCGACGATAACGACGATAACATCATCGACAACCCTCGAGAGCTCATGGAGTCCGCCATTCGTTGGTCGCCGTCCTCGTCGGCCGCCGAGCAGCGCTTTCTGTCAGTCGATGTCACGGGCAAGTCGTTCCGGCTATGCAAGGTCACCGGCTTCAATGGGAGAGCACTGCAGCACGAGTTGCTGTCGACACTAACCGACGTCCCGCTCTTCCGCGCATTCGACTGGTCGACCTCCAATGAAGACCTGATCGCCGTCGGCCAGTCTTCCGGAGAAGCAACTATTCTGCGCCTGGATGGCAATTCCAAGGAGTCTCTCTCGTTCCCCGTCCGCAATCAGCGCTACTGCAATGCCGTCGCGTTCAGCACGCACGGTCTGGTCGCGTCGGGACTCGATCGCGTCCGCAACGACTTTTGTCTGAACATCTGGGATGTGAACCAGCGACTCAGCCTGACTGGTGGGAGTAAAGGGTTTGCCGAGCCGCTGAGGAAATTGGCCAGCTCAGAGCCGATTACCAGCATCAAGTTCTTCAGGGATCAGCCGGATACCTTGGTAACCGGTGTCAAAGGCCAATTTGTTCGAATTTATGACTTGAGAGGTTTGTTACTCGTGAGGTTGTTCTACGGGCGCAGCTAATCAAAGGTTTTAGAGGGGCCGGGGAACCCATCTCTCCAATTTCCGACGCGCTGCGTACACAACCTGGCCATTGACTGGCTCGATGAGAACTACATCGCGTCCTGCGCCACGTCCAACGAAAGCACCATCTGCGTCTGGGATCGACGCGTGGGAACCCGACTGGCATCGCCGTCCATTAGTGCTTCCTCCAGTAGCCCGGAGACGGGCCAAGCCACGGCGGCGTTGCAATTCAAGAACGTGTTCAACGCCAAATCATCAATATGGAGCTTGCGCTTCTCAAAGTCTAACCGGGGCTGTCTTGGTGCTCTCGCGAGCGATGGGCATTTCAAGGTCTACGATATCGCCAAAGATTACTTGTCTGAGGAGTACCGTTCTTCGATTGATGAGACATTAGGCCAGGGTTCCTTCAGGAACTACCCGGAGCCGGTGTACACCAAATACGTGCGAGATGTGTGCTCTCCATTCGACCACCCCTCCCGTGGATGCGAAGAAAAAGAAAGAGTCGTGACGTTTGATTTCCTGAACCTTAACATCTCCCCGCAGCCGAGTGCCGTTGCATTGAACGGTCTCGGACAAGTACAGATCCTAACACCTCGGCCACCATGCGCGCCTGTCGACCTATCATCACAAGGCGCTTTGGCCTGTGGCGTTTCATCTGATGAGTCCGACGTTCGAACCATCCATCCTCTATCAGAACACATTTCACCCGTCTCCCAGCTGGTTGAAAATATCAAATCACGAGTTCTTTCCAGCCCAAAGATGTATAAGACGGATCAATCATCTACGTCGAGAAATATCGCGTCAGATCCTATTCCCAGTCGTGAAAATAGAGAGCGCGCAATATCATTAGGGACCCTTGGAACTCTTTTAACCGCGAAGGAGGCTCTCACTCTGTCTACGCTTGCACGCTTTCGATGCAAAGAGGGATATCTTTTTGACGAGGAGCAAAACCAAAAAATTGTGGCGGATGATCCGGCGCTACAAGACTTTTGGGATTGGGTCGAGCGTGAGTTTTTGACAAACCATCCATGTGCAGGGGTCTAATATTCCTTTCAGGTGCGCGGACAGACTCGTCCGGAATGTCCATGGTTGTCAATGGCCTGGACCTGAATTATCTTGGTGTGAGCAATGTATGGAATAACGACCTGGGTATGTTTTGCTTTGCTGCAGATTATGAAGACATTGAGCTGATAACAACAGGTCGAGGCTTTGAGAAACGGCGCATCAGCACCAAGGCCGACGATCCGAAGAGTGTAACCGAGGCAGTAGTGTCACTGGTTGGACAGTTGAATCTTTCCGAACAAAAGGGCTGCGAGACTGCATACCCAGAACACCGTCGGCTCTGTCTCCGTCTGTGTGGCGCGACCCAGTCACACCGTGAACTGGAAGAACTGGTGAAGAACCTCTCTGCCGACAACCAGCATACCAAAGCAGCGGCATTGGCTGTCTTCCAGAACGAGCCCAAGCTCGCATACCAAGGCCTTCGCAGCCACGAGCCCACCCAAGCTCATAAGTTGCTCGCGATGGCGATCGCAGGTGCTGCGAAGGGAGAAAATGATACGGACTGGGAAGAAACCTGCGCGGAGATTGCCAAGGAGCTCACAGATCCGTATTCAAGAGCGATTCTGGCTCTGGTGAGCAAAGGCGACTGGAACGCAGTCATCAAGGAGACCACACTGCCCCTGAAATACCGCGTGGAAGTGGCACTCCGCTGGCTCCCTGATGACGAGCTCACCACGTATCTCAAAGACGCCACGACCGAAGCAATCCGCCACGGCGACATCGAGGGCACGGTGCTCACTGGCCTGGGCCATCTCGCCATGGGTTTGTTCCAGTCATACATCGAGAAATTCAACGACGTCCAAACCCCCGTGCTAGCCATGAGCCACACCGTGCCGCGACTAGTCAGCAACCGCGCCAGCATCGCGCAATTCGAAGCCTGGCGCGAGACATACCGCCGACAGATGAACTCCTGGAAACTACAGCTCGAGCGCGCCCGGTTCGACGTCGGCTCTCGCCACTTCGCCATCACCGTCGACGGCCGCGAGCTGATCTCAGCCCCGCCGCAGCAGGTCAGCCTCACCTGCAACTACTGCACGCGCCCGCTAGCCCAGCACGACGCCACTTCGGAGCTCTCTCCCTCCGCCGCCGCGGGCGAAATCGTTCATCAGACGGCGAGCAATCCGCTCGGCGGGTCTTCGGCCATGTCGGGCACGGTCTGTCCGCGCTGCGGGAGACATATGCCGCGGTGTGGCGTGTGCACACTTTGGCTGGGCGCACCAGACCCGATGTCTCGCGCGGGTATTGCGGCGGATGCGGAGCCTAAGTCCCATCACTCGCGCAAGCCCAGCGAGGCTGAGATTATGCGAAGGTTTGTGGTGTTTTGTATCCATTGCAACCATGGGTTCCATGCGCACCATGCTCGCGACTGGTTTCTGCGGCATAAGGTGTGTCCGGTGGCGGAGTGCAGCTGTATTTGCGATCGCTGATTATCGGTATTTTCCGGCGGATTTGTCGTGTCATGTCGTGTCTTGTCTTGTTGATTTGGCGTGCGTTGGATGTATTTTATACCCCCCGTTTCTCTCTCGGTTGTAGATCGGAGCCAATGATGTCAATCTCCGTCTTGGCGCCCGCAGCCCACCTTGAACCTTTTTTCAACTGTAATTACTCTTCGTCAGGCACCTACCTAATATCTTCGCTCCGGTGATAAATTCTGCTCACCGGAGAGAGCGCGCACCACCGACTCACTCCACACCTGGACACCCACCTACAGCCCGCAACGCAAAAATGCCTAATCCGAAAGACAAACGGCCCCGCCAGCCCGCCAGTCGCGACGTACAAGTCTCCAAAGCACTGAGCCATCTCCTCCGCCACGCGGCTGAGAAAGAGGGTGTGAAGATGACGGCGCAGGGGTATGCCAATGTTTCCGACGTGGTGTGTCCCTTATTTTCCTTTGCTTCGAGAGTAGAGCTACCTACTAATCCTGTGATGGATCCAGCTCAACTGGCGCAAGCTCAAATCCCTCAAAGCCACATTCCCTGAGATCCTCCACGCCGTTTCCTCTTCCGATAAGCAGCGTTTCGCACTGTTGCACATTCCCTCCGCTGAGAGCAGCAACCACACGATCCCAGGAGCAGACGCCGGAGCAGATGACAGGGACAATACCACAAAAGAAGAAGAAATAGACGGCCCAACACCTTCAGTCCTCGATTCCGCCTCCTCAACCACCGAAGCGCAACAAAGTATCACATCTGCCGCGCTCTCCGTGACAGACACCAACCCCTCGCACTTCCTGATCCGCGCCACGCAAGGCCACAGCATTAAAAGCGTGGAGGCGGCTTCATTTCTCGAGCCACTTTCTCTAGATGATGAATCTAAACTACCGCTTACCGTTGTGCATGGAACTTTCCACGCTGCGTGGCCCTTGATTCTTAAGTCTGGCGGGTTGCGCTGTATGAAGAGGAATCATGTGCATTTCGCTACAGGGCCACCACTTGATGGTGTGCTTTTGGATCAACCGAATGGGACGGTCCATCCTCGGACTGACCAAGAAGATCAAAAAGAGGACAGCCAGAAAGAAAAACCAAAAGCAAAACATGAAGAAAAAGATCAAGGACAAGTAATCTCCGGAATGAGGCGCGACGCACAGGTCCTTATCTACATCAACATCCGCAAAGCGCTAGCAGCGGGTGTTCCATTCTGGAGGAGCGAGAACGGGGTTATTCTGAGCGAGGGTGTGCCGGTGAATGGGGAGCAGATTGTGGCCCTGGAGTTTGTGGATGTGGTGGTGGAGCGGAAGATGGGACTGGGCAAGATTTGGGAAGGGGGGAGGGTGGTTAAGGAGTTACCTGCGAATTCGAAGAGGCGATGATAACCAGAGTTACTTGCTCGATACCATAAGAATAGGAATAAACCACCATACCAATATAAGTACTATAGATCGAATGGTTAATTGGTTAGTCACATCCGACCCCCGCGTCGGATGCGGACCACATCCGAACTTCGCCGCCCGATCCGAAGTTCTCATGCGGGGAATTCTGGCAGGGCCCAAAGAAGCAGAAGAATAAGTGTGTTTCCGTGCGAGCCGGGCTGCTACAAAACATAGGACGGGGTTCCGACGGATCATATTATCATAAATATAAAGCTGCCACCTACATTTTGCACTGACAGACTCGTTCCTAACTAACTACGGCCACCCCGACCACCACCCGAACTAAATACTCAACATGGCGACGCACCGCTTCGACCCCAACTTCACAGACAATGTCATCAACGCGATGGGCCCGAAGACCACGCCGCGCCTGCGCCAGCTGATGACAGGGTTAATTAGACACGTGCACGACTTTGCGCGCGAGAACGAGCTCACGGTGGACGAGTGGATGGCCGGCGTGAAGATGCTCAACTGGGCCGGGCAGATGAGCGATGATAAGCGGAATGAGGGACAACTGGTGTGTGATGTTATTGGGTTGGAGAGGTAGGCTCCCCATCCCTAGAAAAGAAAAGATTTGTGTACATGGTATGTTGTATAGGCGCTTAGCTGACAAGGGACAAAAGTCTCGTCGACGAAATTACATTTACCCTCGCCGACGAAGCCAAAGATGCGCCCACGGCAACCGCCATCCTCGGCCCGTTCTTCCGCGCCGACACACCCTGGCGGGAGAACGGCGAGGATATCGTGAAGACGAAGCCAGCTAATGGCGAGATGGCGTACATGCATGGACAGGTCTTCGATTTCACGAGCAAGAAGCCGCTCGTTGGAGCGACGGTAGAGGTGTGGCAGGCTTCGACGAATGGATTGTATGAGCAGCAAGACCCCAAGCAGGAGGAGTTTAATCTGCGTGGCAAGTTTCGCACGGATGAGCAGGGGAGATATGGGTTTTATTGTTTGAGGCCGACACCGTATCCTGTTCCTGATGATGGTATGCCTATTCATATATGTATACTGGGTTAGGTGTATACTGACAGATTCGATAGGACCCGCGGGCAAGCTTCTCGAGCTAATGGACCGCCATCCCTTCCGACCAGCTCACATTCACATTCTTGTATGCTTCTTCCTTCCCTCTCTCCCTCCACCCTTTGTCCTCTTTCTCGTATCGTGGACTGCATGCTCACACGGAAATGCCCAGGCTACCCACCCCGGCTACCGCCCTCTCACAACTCAAATCTTCGACCGCAAGGACAAATACCTTGACAACGACTCTGTCTTCGCGGTCAAGGATTCCCTGGTCGTGGACTTTGTGCCGCGTACGGGTGACCCACAAGCTACACTGGAGCTGGAGTATGATGTTAAGCTTGTGGCGAGTGATAGTTCATAATTCAAGGTTTATTCTGGGTTATTCAGTGTTGTCTTGACAATAGCGTTCCGTGACATAGTCTTTCTTCCTTGTGTGATATTGAATGGAATCTAGCGAATGGGGTTCTTCCTCTATGCTGTCGTTTATGCCGTAACTAGTCCAGTAGGTAAATAAACCCATTACTCACAGATCGAACCAGATAAGCTCTCTAAACATCCCCCTGATCTTCACCTCTCCAAACCGCCACCTCCCCAACAAACCTCGCAATCAAACCCCCCACATCCTCAGGCGCCTCAATACAATGCCAATGACCCACCCCTTTAAGAACCTCCATCTGCTTCAGCTTGCTAGACACATGCTCATAGATATGTCTGCACCCCTCCATGGAGGCACTCTTATCCTCCTCGCCGGCAATCAACAGGAACGGCGCCCGCACGGCAGCGTAGTCTGGTGTCGGCGCGGAAGCAATGGCGCGGCAAAGAGCAGCGTATCCGGCTGGTTGTTGGCCGAGAATTAATTCGCGGATGAAGGCGCGTTGCAACGGGGTGCTCTGTGAGCCGACGGCGGCGGTGGGGATGGTGTTTGCCATTGCTTCCATTCCTCCTGTCCCCTTATTAGCATATGTATATCATAGAAGATGGGTAATGATGAAGGGAAAAACTCACCCTCCAAAACAACCTCCGCCCGCTTGCCCATAACACCAACCAACGTCTCATTCGGATGCGTCGGCCCAATAGCCACAACACCGAGCACACGATCCGGGTACCTCGCACCTAGCTCGGTAACAACCAGTCCACCCATCGAATGGCCGACCACGACAGCGGCAGGAATCTTCAGCGCATCCATTGCGCCAATGACATCCTCCGCGATACCAACAATGGAGACATTGTCATTGGGGACGACGGGCGAACGCGCGGAGCCCGTCGTGTCGAGTGTTATGCACCGGTAAGCGGATAGAGAGGGCAGCAGTGGGAAATAGTAGTTCTGGCTTGAGCCGAGGCCGTGGATGAAGATTAGGGCTGGTAGGGATGTTGGCGAGGCAGGTGGGTTGGTGGGGTGGGTGTCGGAGTAGTGGAGTGTATGGGATTTGGTTTGGAGGGTTGGCATGTTGGGGATGGTGGTTATTTAGTTCCTGTATGATGGATGGGGGGTAGGTCAAGTGTGAAAGATCGGAGAGGATGGAAGAGAGGGGGAAGTAAAGTACAAGTATAAGTCATGTCATGTCATGCCGACGATCCATTGAAGTCGTAATTATTATAGTATCGGAATCCCATCTCCAGTGGTCAACCGATCAATTCCAATGCAGCATCCGACCTGATCCGCTCCCGTCGGACCGCACCCGAGTCGAATGGGCTCCACCATGATTCGGTTGTATGCAACCAGTTCAGCTGTCCAAGCAGCCTTCTCTTTCTATGCCATGCCATGCCATGCCAATTGTAATTGTGATGGTAATTGTAAAAAAAAAAAAAAAATCATGATCTCGTATCCAACTGGATCAATTCGTGAAATGGGTCTGCGCCGCCGTGCGAGAAGACTTCTTCTAGGAAATCCGCCGTCTCGTCTCGAAACGAGGAACCGAGGGATGCGATTGGCGCCGCTACTGCTGGCGGGTGGTGTAGTGTTGTAGGTGGACTATTTGTAGAATGGGTTGCAGGTCGGTCGTCTGCGCTCGGTCCGGTGGCAGTGGCAGCGGCATCAGCTTCTTTAAGGATCTCCTCATCGTAGAAGGCTGAGCACTCAGAGAACTCGTCATCTTCCTTGGCGGGGGCATTCTCTTCTTCCTCTTTCTCCAAATCTGCATCTGCATTCTCCAAGACGCCCGCATCTTGGATGGCACATAGCGCCGGCCCAATCTCCTCATCCCAATCCCCAAATGCATCCGAATCAACCTCCGTATCCCCATCACTGTCGCTATCCTTCTCCTTCTTCTCCGTAGTACCTGTAGCACTCGCCACGTCACTCCTCTCAACGTCCCGCCTGGTCTGCTGTTGTGGCGGCGGCTTCATCCCCAAAAACCTCGCCAACGAAGGCTGGCTAGACGACACATTTGCGACCTCTGGATCCGGCAACCCATGCTTCTTGCGCTCCTCCCTTGCGCGGGCTTCCTGCTCGCTCTTTTTCTTCTTGTTCGCAATCCGCTTCTTCTCTCGCTCACGCAACTGCTTCGCGCGCCGCTCGCGCTCCTGCTCCCGTTCTATGCGCTGTAGCTGCTCCGGCGTGAATTGGAATACCTTGTTGCTGCGTTGGTAGCGGCGTCGCACGGTGCGTGATTTCTCGGCGATGACGCGCCGTGGGGTTGCGTCGGGCATGCTGTTGGTTGCGTTGGCTGTGGTGCGTCCGGCGGAGACGGACTGGCTGGGGCGGGGTCATGGGGGAGGAGATGGGTTGGCTGGGGTTGGAGCGGCCATGGGTTTAGTTTGTTTAGGTGTGGACGTTAAGATGAGGGAGATGGTGTTGTTTGCTGGGTGGGGAGAAAAGAAAAGTGTCCAGGCGGTGTGTCGGGATCAACAAATTGCCTGATTGAGATGTAGTATCCAGACACACTAACTATGACTATCGATCTAGATCTTGCAGTCGCGCACAGGATCCCAGCACACAGGCGCATACTCATCCAGCTTCAGACTATCCATATCCTCAGACGACAGCTCGAAATCAAAGACCTGCGCATTCTCCACGATGCGCGAGTCAGTCACCGACTTGGGCAGCGGCACATAGCCCTACATCAATCATCAGCCACTTTCTTGTTCTCTCTCAATCCCCAAAAGAGACAAAAACAAAAGAGGGCTTACCTTCTGCAAGCTCCACTTAATCAAAACCTGCGCCGGCGTCTTCGCGTGCTTCTCTGCCAACTTCTTTAGCACAGGCTCCTCCATCCTGGTCGCCTGCACAAGCGGCGAATACGCCTCCACAACAACGCCCCGACTGCGCAGCCACTCGGCCACATCCTCGCGCGGGCACCAGGGATGGATCTCATACTGGCCGACAGAGATCTCCCCACCACCGCCGCTCTTAATATACTCCTCCAATTCCTCGAGATGCGGGATAGCGAAGTTGGACACGCCGAGCGAGCGGATCTTACCCGCTTTCTGGGCTTCGACCAGAGCGCGCCATGTGCCTAGGCGGGCGTCTTTGCCGCCGTAGGGAGCGTGGATGAGCATGCTATTTGGTGGTGGTGAGGTTAGTTTTCTCTATTTTTGGCACCTAAGAGGGGGGAGGAGGGTAGAAAAGGGGAGGGGCCGTACAGATCGATATACCCCAAATTCGCAGCCGCAATGCTCTCCTCGATCGCCTGCTTGGCCTTCTCATAGCCCATCAGCGACTTGGGCACCTTGCTCGTGTAGAAGATCTGCGAGCGGGGCAGGCCAGACTGCCGGATTGCAGAGGCAGATTCTTTCTCGTTGCCGTAGACCTTCGCGCTGTCGACCTATTATTCATGTGTGAGGGACAAGTGCCAGTGGAATGGTTTGCAGCAGGGAATAGCCTAGAGCTTACATGGCGGTATCCGAGCTCGAGGGCTTTGAGGGTGACGCGCTCGGTGACATCGGCAGGGCTGGTGTACGTTAGAATGAACTCCGGTAGCTCGGATAGCTAGCAATTGCATACGTTTGGTAGACCTAGTAGATAGACCATCATGTTAGACTCACCCAAGACACATTGCATAAATATTGAGCGAAGAAAAGAGCGACGTACCCCGAACCCCACCACCGGGATCTCAAACCCCGAGACCAGTTTGTACGTGGATTGCAGTGTCGTGGCCATGGTGGATATGGAAACAATGGATGGATGGATGTGCGCAAAGAGAAAGATGTGTGCAAAGATAAAGAAGAAAGAAAAGAGCAGCAAGCTTGATTTATAATTCAAGTTCCGTAACATCCGCCACGTTTTATCTGACGCCATGACAAAGTGGGGGAGGCGGATAAGTGGCGGATTAAGCTGAAAGAGGAAATCTGGCAGAAACAATCTAGAATCTGGTTTTCATTCGTGGCATTGATTAATGTACAGGATTCTATTCTCTGATGTCTATTCCGCTTGCAATTGGAATCAATGGCATGGGTCATGATGCCCGGTCGTGCGCTGTGCTTATCCTGCTCTCTGATTTCCCCCCGTCCTCCTCCTCTACCGCGACCACCCCCACGGCCACTTCCACCGCCACGTTTCTTCTCAACTCCACCGCCCCGGTCTCCGTGACCAGCTCCGGGAGCAAGCACATCACGAGGCCTGCCCTTCGGAGGACCGCGGAATCGATGGCTATCTCCATTCAAGTCCTCTCCATTCCCATAGTTGAATCCAGGAACACCCTTCAGTCCCATCTTGCCAATGACCTTTTTGTCCATTGGCGGAGGTTCAGGACATGCCATGCCTTTCATGGCCATTTCGTTGGCGAGCTGGACAAGGCCGGCCTTGTCGAGACGGAGCTGCTTCAGAAGACCCGATCCAGCGAAGAATCCAATGAAAGACGAGTAGGCACGTTGCTTGGTCGATTCATCGAGGCTGTACATGGCCTGAGTGACGGCATCGGCGCATGCGGGAGCGCCTGCTGTGATCGCATTGGTCTGCGGGTGGGGTTGGATGGGCAAGTGGCGGTTGTTCCTCAGGAAAAAGGACTCGCCTTGTGTGAGGAGGATGATCGCGCGACCATCATTGCCGGCACGGGCGGTACGGCCAACCCGGTGGACGTACTGTTCGCCGTTTGATGGAAGGCCGACCTGAACGACTAGGTCGACATTCGGGAAATCCATGCCACGGCCAATAACATCTGAAGCAAACATAATCCCAGAAGAGGCCTCCTTGAACTGAGCCGTAGTCTTCGTGCGAGCGCTCTGGCTGAGTCTAGAATGGATCTCAAACACCTTCAAAGGAGTCAAGCCGTGAGAAAACACGGTTGCAAGGAGAGCGACCATGTTCGCAGTAACGCCAAAAACGATGATTTTCGAGCTGTTCTTGCTTTCAAAGTTGAGGAGGGAGGCAAGGGTGGTAAAAGTGTCTGCCACAGACGGTATCAAGACGTGGTATTGGGGCACCCTCTCATGCGTTGGTACTTCATTCTTCTCAATGGTGGAAATGCTCGTGTAGCCTGGCTTCAACACAACACTGACCACATCCTTGACCTTGGGCGGAACCGTTGCTGAGAAGCACATGCCTTGCCAGCCCGTGCTCTTCGGTGGAATAAGCCGAAGAATTTGCTTCACATCGGCTAGGAAACCAGTCTCGAGCATCGTGTCGGCCTCGTCCAAAACCAGAGTTTGAATATTCGACAGCTTCTCCGCCGTGTAGGAGTCAGAGAGGTAATCCTTCAGCCGACCTGGGGTCGCCACAAGAATGGAAGGCGCCCCCTTCATGAAACGCGAATGGGCCGAAGCCCGCGCCGTTCCACCAACAGCAATATGGCACTCCAAAGGCTTCGCAATTTGCGACGTTAATTGATCGCACGCCTTTGCAATCTGCTGGGCCAGCTCTCGCGTGGGAGTGATGATCAAGATAGCGACCTGGCCCCTTGGGGGCGCTGATTGGAGCAGGCAGTGCAACGCCGGCAGCAAGAACGCCAGGGTCTTTCCTGTTCCGGTCTTGGCCTGGACGAGGCAGTCACTGCGCCAGTTCGGGAGCTCGGTCAACACGCGCTGCTGGACAGCCGTCATGGTTGCAAACCCCATCACGTCGACGGCTTTAAGGAGTCGGGGGTCGAGCTTCCCAGCCATGGTTGCGTACGGCTGGGCGTCATCGTTTATCGGGGGGCCTTGCATGAGGGAGGATGCTCTGTATCTTCAAGAAAATGGCAAATGATGAAAAAATTTCAAATCAAACAGCGCAGGGTGAAAATAATGGATTGAGTGGCGGACGGTGAGATACGGCAGAAAAAAAGTTATCGGACGATCAACGATGCGATAAGGCTAACCGCATAGGGTAATTCCATGTTTGGGGAGGTGCATTCTGGCCGATAGGTCATGGGTGCTTAATTCAATATGAATGGGATGATACTCTCAAGTTTTGGATCGCAGTGGTCTGAAGAATATCTACAATAACAATGTATTGCAGCCGGGCTAATGCCCCTTGATATCACGTGACCGGGGCGTGTATATAAGCCGTGCTTGCGTGTTCTACAACTCCCTAGTGGTTTCCCTTCTGGTAGATCTCACTACCGTCATGGGCTCGATCTTCAGCTATCCTGCCCCACTATATTAGTGGATAGCCTCTGGCATGCGGTTGACCGCCCAAATAAATAGCTAGCCTTCCACGCGACATTCTCCTGTACATGCAGAACAGCCATGGGCCCATCGAGATATGCTACTTCTCGACAAAAGTCCTGCCAGCAGTGCTCGACCGCCAAAGCGAGATGTGACCGTCAAAGCGGACGCTGTACTCGGTGTACACAGCGAGGTCTTCAATGCGTTTACCCTCAGCTTGCTCAGGGTGCAGACGAATCAATCACCAACCATGATACAGGACTCTACAGCCAGACCGCACTACCGAATATACCATTACCAAGCCCTGGTCATCTGTCAATCAACACGCTGAGCTCCAGCCCTACATTGACTGGAGGAGCGATGGTCAATTCGGTGAATGCCTCGCCAGACCAGCTAGACTTTGCAGGCCTTGATCTGATCTGTCCCATCAACGTTGACGACATCAGTAATCGCTGGTTGAATCCTTACATTCCAGTGCCCGAGCAAATGATCAAGGAGTATCCTCCCAACGTCACCCGCTTCATCTGCCAGATCCTCAAATCATACGCCGCTACCGCTGCCCGGGGTCGTGGAATTTTGCCCTTTATTCACCCTGCACAGATGGCAATAATGGAACACCCAGCAAACTTCCCACTCGCGACTTGCTTGAGCTTGATCCGAATATGCGAAACCCCATTACCCGGAAGTGAGGATGCTGCTGCGACCATTCTCCAACGGGAAATGGAAAGCATCACGGAACTACGACAAAGCTACGACGACTTGTCCCTGCTGGCTGCGTTCCAAGCCTACCTCATCTACTCCATGGTCTTATTTTTCCGGCTCAACCAAAGACCAAACCCTTTTTTCCGTCAGGCAATGATGAACCTCCAAGGCATTGCCTGCTCTTCGTCCCAACGAGGACTCGTTTGCAGAGCGGACCAGCACCATGCCCGTCCTAGATGGGAGGAGTGGATTGTCACCGAGGCAAAGCGGCGCACGCTATACGTGATGTACCTCTTCGATAGCATCCTCTCTGCGCAGGAAAGTCTTCCGACATTCCTTGGAACTGAGCTGCAAGGTCTTCCTGCCCCAGCGAGTAAATCACTTTGGCAAGCACAAGGTCGCAGCGACTGGGAGAAGGCATACAATGTTTATCTGGCTGAGTGGACGGAGAATAGTCTTACGATTGATGAGCTCTGGCCTACGCCGGTAGACCTAGACGAGGCTAATATTGCACAACGACGCCTTCGGGTTGATCGGTGGGTCGAAGATATCGATGAATTTGGAACGATGCTCTACGCGGTGGTGAGCTGTACACATGGTGCTTGATTCAAGCGTGATACTACTAAAAGGCTGAAGACCAATCAATACATTCTCAACTACTAACACCTCAGATTGCCTGAAGGGCCTCGTCGAGAGATATGACTTGAAGACCCATCTTGGGCAGGAGGGTATCCAGCATAACCTTGGAGAAATCCGCATTCTGGTCCACCGGCAATTCCAGTACGTTGCCCGCGATGACATAAATGTTAAGGTCCAAATCGAACAAACGATAGATGGTGCTCATCACCACTCCGGAGAGACTCAGCCCCGACTAGATCACCTGAATTTCAGCTCGATATACCTCCACTGGGCTAGCAGGATTCACATACAATAACAACGGTATCAATACTCTGCGCTCTCAAGATCTGCTCCAAGCTGTTCCCAGATGTGGCAGACCACCTCGTCTTTTGAAGTACGATATCCTTCTCATCGATCGTAAACTGGGGATAGATCTGAACCTCTGGAGAGCCTTGTTCGAAGGTACCGAATGGTGCAATCATTTTGGCGAATGGCTTGTCGCTCTCCACTTCTGGCTGTCCAGGGCTGAAGGAGAGGGTGGTGAAAATCGTTAGGGGGCGAGGAGTTTTTTGGTGAATTGCGTCGTTCCATCGAGAGCAATTTGTGATCAATGCTTGGCCTTCAACTGTGTCCTTGGCGGCGTCTATAAGGATAGACATCCAGTCTAGGTTGAGGATAGCGTAGTGTTGTCCGAAGTTCAAAGCCATTTTGTCTGTAAATAGAAGACAAGTCTAAGTCGATCTATTTTTTCCCGTCTTTATTTATAGTTGCCACTTTGATCTAAAATATGCTTCCTTGCATAGGATTTCGGAGTTGAGATCCTCAACTCCGGCCAGATTACGGAGGACCTGGAGCGGCGAATTGACAGAATGATCTGGTCGCCCTACATTATCTGAGAACAAAACCGTGCTGGAGGCGGAGGAAAAGATCTTCCCAACCCAGTTGCAGGCCGGAAACCCATTTTCAAAATATCGAAGCTGGTGCGCGAAAGTCCTGTGCAAGGATGAAGACCGATTCAATTTGGAGGAGGCATGGGATGCTCTAGTTGCTTTAGGTGTGGGGTTGTAGTTAGCTAATTCTTGAATTTGCTATCATGAGCTATATGTATGTTACAGTATCGAGCCAACTTTTTTGTCAATATCTATGATGTCGTCCACAGAACCTATCATCTGAATGCTAGAAGTGACTGGCGAAATGTACAGGCTTCGGGCTAATCGAGAGATTCAACAACGATTCTGTCGTTCTCCCCACACTCGCATTGCCTTGTTCATGCATTGGGCTCGTTCAGCATATCCAAAGCACAGAGCAAGAATCTATCCTTAGTCATAGCGTACGACGTAAGCGACGAGTTAAGTATAGAAAAATAAATAACGTCACAGACAAGACTTAGGCATCGGGCGCAAAGCGCAACGTACAGGAGAACTTTGCATTCTAGAGAAACATGTCATAGGGCTAATGTTTGCACAATCAGCCTCTATAATTAGAGAAGGTAGCTAGCCGCGCAACAACTGGATCAAATTCCTGATATGTCTGCCATGTATCGAATGGTGTGATTAAGGCGAAGATGAAATTTTCTACCTAATATTTGTGGTCACGTATACCGGTATAGAGCCCTGACGCCTTCCGGGGACCTTTTCCTCGAACTGCTTGGTCACCTCGGACCAAGAGGCTCAACTCCGTCAGCTCCGGAAGGCTCCGCCGTTCTTACGTCGAATCACGAGCTTATAAAACGGATCCTATTCCTTGCCCAAGTGCAGATTAAACAAATTTATTACTCTACCATTAAAAAAAATCTACCATGTCTTTAAGTGAAAACAACGAGAACACACAACGACCTAGTCCTCCATCGCCTCTTCAATCCCCGCCTTCCCCCGATCTAGAGCCGCCGTACAGCATTTTCGACAAAAGACAAAAAGCTTTCATAGTACTCATTATCTCTATTGCTGCGACTTGTAAGTCTTTCAATCAACAAATTATGATAACACTCACATCTCTTTAGTCTCCGGGTTCGCATCCAACATCTACTTCCCCGCTCTACCAACAATCGCCAAAGACCTCAACATCTCATACGAGCTCGTCACCCTAACAGTGACATCCTACCTAGTCTTCCAAGGGATAGCACCGAGCTTTTGGGGTCCTATTTCCGACGTAAAGGGACGGCGGATAGCATACATCTGCACATTCATCGTGTTCCTCGGCGCATGTATCGGTCTAGCGGAAACAAAGAACTACACGACCCTCATCGTGCTCCGATGTCTTCAAAGTACCGGCAGCGCGAGTACCATTGCCATCGGATCTGGTGTTATTGGCGATATTACCACCCGTGCTGAGCGCGGTGGGTTTATGGGCATTTTCCAGGCTGGATTGCTGGTCCCTGTTGCTATTGGGCCTGTTATTGGGGGTGCTATTGCTGGGTCGGCGGGGTGGAAGGCTATTTTCTGGTTTTTGGCTATCTACAGTGGTGTATTTCTCATTTCTCTGGTCATTTTGCTTCCTGAGACGCTTCGGTCAGTGGTCGCCAACGGAAGCCGGACACCTTCCAATGCGTTGACACGGTATCCTTTGGAAGTTTACCAGAGACTCACCAAAATTGAATTGGATCCCGAGGCAGCACCTTCCCAGCTCCCGGCGAAAAAAAGAATCGATATATTCGGACCATTCCGCATTCTCACCAGCAAGTTTGCAGCGCCGATCATCATCTTCCTTGCGGTCTATTATGCAGTCTGGCAAATGAGCATCACAGCCATGTCCTCGCTCTTCAAAGACCGCTACGGCCTGAGCGAGATCCAAATCGGGTTAACATTCATAGCCAACGGTGCAGGCTCCATGATCGGCACTTTAGTAACGGGCAAGATCCTCGACCTGGACTACCGGCGCGTCAAAGCCAAGTACGAATCTCCTTCTGCTGCAAATGCCGATTCAGAAAATTGTGTCCCAGACAGCAGCAGCCGGGATGACAGCGACTTCCCCATCGAAAAAGCGCGGCTCCGACTCGTTCCCCTATTTTCCCTCTTACAATGCCTCTCCATCATCCTCTTTGGCTGGACGATCCAATTTCCACACCACGTGCACATTGCCGTGCCGATCGTGTCCACCTTCATCACAGGATGGACCGCTGTCTCTACTCAATCCGTCATCATGACTTATCTCGTCGATATCTTTCCTGATCAAAGTGCTGCAGCCAGTGCGAGTCTTAATCTGGCACGGTGTCTGTTTGCCGCTGGGGGGACTAGTTTTATTATGCCGATGGCGAATGGAGTGGGTGTTGGCGTAGCCTTTACGATATGTGTTGCGGTGCAGCTTGTTGCGCTGGTTGGGCCATTTGTGCAGTGGAAATTTGCAGGAAAGTGGAGACGAGAGGCAGAAATACACAAGGCACAAAAGGCGGCTAGGCTTCCGGAGGATAAAGCATGAAGATTGGGGTGTTGGATCTGCCATCGGTTGGGATTCTTGATCTTATCGATGTGTTGACTTTGTCTGTGCCATCAGTATTAGGATATTCTGTATCTCCATGTTTCATTTGATAGACTAATCATACTTATTAATACATTCTCAATATCTTTTTACGTCAATATGCTACAGTCCCAGCGTTCTAAAATCAAGAAGTATATATTTCTGCCGGATGGCCGGTGGGCCCGAGCGGTCAAACCGGACATGGTGGGGTTGTGCACTTCCAAGCTCCCGCAATAAATAGTATCGAAGCTCAACACAATGCGCCTGATCAAGAACAGGATCGAGCACGATGGCTCGGGCACAGTAACACTATGCCCGGAAGAGCCCGAAGACATGGTATTCTCTCTCTCTCACCACCCACATCCACCCAATCACAGCCACTAACAAGACCAGTGGCATGCCTACAACCTAATCCGACCCAGCGACGTCCTTCGCGCAAGCGCCATCCGGCGCGTAACCACCGTCCAAGACACTGGCTCCACCTCCTCAGCACGCGTCCACCTAAACCTCGAGATCCGGGTGAAGAGCCTTGACTTCGACCCGCAAAGCTCACAGCTGCACGTATCGGGCCAGATCATCAACGAGACACCACACACGAAGATCGGACAATTCCACACGCTGGACCTAGAGCTGAACCGCAATTTCACGCTCGAGAAACAAGTCGGGGCCGATGGTGAGGGGGTCGGGTGGGATAGTATTGCGGTCGAGGCGCTGAAGGATGCTGTCGATGAGGGCGGGAAGCGGCGCGCGGAGGCTGTTGCAGTCGTTATGCAGGAAGGGCTCGCCCATATCTGCTTTATTGGACAGTTTCAGACGATTCTTAAGCAGAAGGTTGAGATGTCTGTGCCGAGGAAACGACAGGGCGGCGGGGATCATGACAAGGTGAGATGAGGAGTTGGCACAAGATGCTAGGAGTGGGCGAGATATGGCTAACATGGAAAAAATCAGGGAATGAACAAGTTCTTCAAAGTCACGCTGGAAACCCTTCTCCGGCAGATGGAATTCAACACCAGTCTCACATCCGGCAGTGCCAACGAGCCCGTGCGACCGGTCTTGCTCGCTTCACCGGGTTTCGTGGCGGCTGGGTTCCAGAAATACATCCAGAGCGAGGCATCGACGACAACACCAGCATTGAAAAGACTCCTCCCCAGTGTCGTGGTCGTGCACTCCGCATCGGGGTATACGAACTCCCTCTCAGAAGTACTGCAATCACCCGCCGTGAAGAACCTCCTAGCCGACACGAAATACGCACGCGAAACCAAACTAATGGACGAATTTCTTGAGCAACTACGCAAAGAAACTAACAAAGCGACCTACGGACCGCGCGAGGTCGAGTCGGCCGTCGATCAGGGCGCTGTGGGTCGTGGCGGCGGCGTGCTCATTATCTCGAACCGTCTGTTTCGGTCACAGAATGTGGGGGAAAGGAAACGATGGGTTACGCTTGTTGATCGCGTGCGTGATGTTGAGGGGGGCGAGGTGCGTGTTCTTAGCTCGGATCACGAGAGCGGAAAACGGCTTGAGGGGCTCGGGGGGTTGCTGCGCTGTTGACGTTTCCGGTTATTGAGGAGGATCTCAGCTCGGATGGAGATGAGTGATTGATTGACCGGCTACGAATGACCTGATAACATTACGCTTTAGACGATATACCATACAGGCAACTTTTGATGACATCTCATTCATGATAGGACATTATAAGGCATTACTCTATAATCCAAGATTTTCCTTCAAGAGGCAATTGACAAGTCCTCGTCAACCCAGACGTTCTTTTTTCGTCTGACCCGCATACTCCGCGGCATGGGGCGCGCCATCAACATCAACAATAGCCCGTTTAACACCAGCGGCAGTCGTCGCATCAGCACCAACTCCATTTTGAGCCAGTTGGGGCGCCCCATTAACATACCCATTCTGGAAAAAGGGACATGAACCATCCGCAGCCATCATATTTTGATCCACTCCATTTCCATGGCCATGTCCATCTCCATTAACACCATTCTCCCCACACAGCGCCTCAACATGATCCAAATACTCGCCCAACTTCGCAATGAAAACCGTATAGCCCGGGTTTTCTCGGAGGTAGAGCATGATCTGCAGAAGCGCATTCTTAGTAGATTCCGTGGGTGGATGTATTTGCGCGACGTTGTTTGGATTCGGCGCGCGCTCGTCGAGGTAGGCGTTCAGGCATTGGATGAGCTGCGCGTAGCTCGCGTCGCTGTGCGCGTGCCACCAGGTGTCGAGTAGGCTCGCGCCCAGCTCAGGGGGAGGCGCTGGATGGCGGTTGTTGTGGAGGGGGAGACTTGTGGATTCGCCATTGGACTGGCGGTGGGCCTGGTGTCCTCTGAGGAAGGATTGTGGGAGAGGTGCAGAAAGATGTATCCCTAGGATGTGCAATTCGTTGGTTGACGTTTGTGGTCCGATGGCGCTAGGGCGGATACGGTTAGCGCGATCTGGTTTTGGAGTATGATTGTTTCCGCATTTGGATGACTTATGTTAATTATGAGTTATAGTTAGACGTAGAGAAAAAGAGAACCAAAATGATGCAGAATGTTCGTATGCTTGATGACGAACTGCAGACTTGTGTTGAATCCTTCCAGTGCTCAAGTAACTACGCACTTCTCCCGCTTAGGACTAGCCCCCTGCCCAGGAACCGCGGCATTGAATCCAGCAATTAGTTCAGCTTCCAGCACTTGTTCTGTCCCACTATACAGATAATATGAAAATGTACCTCTCATATCACCCTTCATAGATATGTATCGCTCATCCCCACAGCGGCCCGTAGAGCCTCAGGTCAAGGATCCGCATCAGGGCTGTGCTGGCAGCGGCTGAACCCTATCTGGCGATCGACGCATTACCCCGGTCGAGAGCGTCCAGGCAGCAAGAACAGAGCAACAAGAAGCACGGACGCCGAAACAATGAACAATCCTCCTTTTCTCCCCGGCGGATTGCGCAGTAGTCTGAATAGGAAAGAGGGTGGGTGATTGACCTTCGTCTATCTTTACAAAGAATGTCGTGGTGTATACGTACGTACGTGAATGTACTTCCTTCTCTTCCTCCGTCCTATTGCCCCGCTCCTTGTATGATCATGGTCCCCCGCGTGCGTCGGGGATCGGGGAATACATATCTAGAGCACGGTCAAGATATTGAAGTACTACTTTCGACGATGATATGGCATCATTACTTCCAATGCCTCGGTTTAATTGTTGCAATTTGCCGTCGGGGCCAAAAATTACGGAGGGGCTGTCGATGAGCATTATTGGGTATGGCCCTGACAGCGATCTTGTAGTCATGAAACAATTATCATAATAATAGCGCAACCATTGCAAATCCTCGTTTCTTTACCCATGCCTGTATACCACACAGGTCGAAATCAAATCAGGAAAAAAAGGACAAAGAGAAGCCAACGGCTTGTTTCAGGTTTTGTTGTGTACCTGCCACGAACAGGTCTTGGCAATGCCCTTAGCCCCAAATGGACTAGATCTGCTATAGCGTGCATATCAAGGGCCCCGGCCCCTCCTTGCCGGTGCTTTCCCCATCTATCCACGTACTATCTTTAGAAAGGGGAATATAAGCGGAGGCACTAGCACAAGAGAGGTAAAACCAGGTATTTACCTCAAAATCTACCTAGTACATACACACCCGACCCCTTGGACCAATCACCCCCACGGATTGATTCGCCGTCGATTCTCCGTCCGCCCCGACGGTCGGTCTTCCAGTTTCTCTCTTGCGCGTGCCTGTTATAGCGATCGACCAGCACGAACCATTCCCCGGGCGCTCGCTGGAAGAAGCTGTTGGATTATTTACTATTTTTAGTCGCGAGATCGGTAATTTTACATCGGGGAGTGAAATTCACGATTATCATTCGAGTCATGACACTTGCTCCTCCTCTCCCTATAATCAGTCATATGGCGATAAACAATTGTCAATGGAGAACCAGAATACTCCGTAAATATCAAGAAGTTAACGAACGACAGCCGGGCTATGCAAATGCAAATAATAATGCAGTCCGATGCAAGAATTCCCAAAATCCCCCCAATCCCAATTTCCAACCCGACCCCACGAACGGAAAGCAAAAATAAAACAAACGCTGGATAGTGAGAGTCCAGGGTAATCATTTCCTCATCGTGAAATTCGTAAAAATAGAAGCGAGGGTATCAAGAATCCCCAGCGGTCTGGGTGAGGAGCAAGAAAAGAGGAGAGAGGAAAGGGGGGGCCGGGTCAAGAGGCGGAAACCCGCACGAAACAGAAAAAAACGGCCCACTCTCATAGAAGAAGTCAGATAGCGCCTCATTTTAAACCGTACCAAACGAGATAAACAAAACAATAGTGTTGTTTCCAAAAAAAGGACGGTCAACAGTTGCATGTAATTGATGACATACTAGCCGACCTGGTATGCTAGCCCATGCTCGTCCTCGCCGATCCCAGCCACGCAGGCGGTCCGTTTACGAGATAGCGTAGGAGAACCAGCCGGGTCGGACGTAGCCGAAGGGGAGGCGCTGCCGAGATCACGGAGGTGTTGTTTGGCTTCGAGGAGACCGAGTTGGGCTTTGCATTGTTCGGGCGTGTATTCTTTATTGGAGCCAAGCTCTTTCATCTGGAGGGGTCCTGTCTTAGTATAGGAAGAAATGGAGTTTGTTTGTAGAGCGGGTAACACATACCTTGTCAGCAACGAATTGATACTTTTTACTCTCCCACAGCTCATGGGCGCAAATGAGAAGTTTTATCTTTAGACAACAAACATCAGCAATGGTATCCCGGCAACCCTGGAACAAGTACATACTCACATCGTTGTCGTCCCAGCGCGCCAGACGCTCCTTGCGCCGGCGCAGCAGACGCATCTGCAGGCGCGCCTCGGTGGCATCCTTGTTAAACCGCTGCTGGAACATTTCACGGATAACCTTCCAGGCGAGGTTCTGTTCGCGCAGGGCCTCGACAAAGGCATCCTCTTCCTCAGCCTGCGGGTCACGGCGCCCCCGGCCAGGAGCTCGGGGACGAGGCTGCGGCGGCTGGGGCTCCGACGGTGGGTGGTGTCGCTCGTGCTCCATGCGCTGGACGCCTTCTGGGTGTGGAAGGATCTGGATGGGTGTTTCGCGGGAAGGTGTCTGAGAGGGCGTGCGTCTCACTCGCTTGGAGGGCGGTGGTTGCGGTGACATGGACGGCGTATTGACCACATTGTACTTCAGATCTTCTGGCGTGGTGTAAACGTAGCTGGCATTGGGGGCTGATGTCCGCGGGAAGTCGCTAGGGAATGGCCCCGAGATGCCCAGTCCTTGCGGTGGTGGGATGTGTTCGTTGATTCCGTATTGATACTCCGTCGAGGAGTATTCTTGTTGCTGTGAGTGATGGCTGAGCACTGGACTGGGTCGATATGAGTTATCTGGCAGGCTGATCGGTGTCAAGACAGAGCTTGGAACCACAGGTCCTGTGCAGTAGGGCTGCTGTTGCTGGTGGTGATGTTGGTTGGGATTGGGATTAATACCCATGAATGAAGACTGGCGAGGACATGATTAGTGTCTTGATCAAACTGTTAATTCAAGAAGAATATCTTACAGCTTCCACTCCAGCCCATTCGGCCGGCATCCCCCCGTAGAATTCAGGTATCTCCTCTCCCGAGCCGGGACCGGGGATGCCGTGACGGTACGACATGGCAGCCGTGATTTCCGAAGGCGCTGCAAGAAACATAAAATGCACTGCGTCAAGGACTGTGCCCACAAACGCGCCTGATTGGAAGTGATACCCGAATGTGGCAGAAGGTGAAACACGGTTGTAGAGAGTGCGGCGGTTGCAAGAATAAGTACGTATAAATTGGCAGATGCCTCGCTATCTTTCTTCTTCTTTTGACAGATCTCTTGTCCGATATATAGTCAAGAGAGGAGTGAGAAGAGAAGAAGAGTGGGATCACAGCAGTCGGAAGTCCGGCTCATATAGATGGGCGAAATGGCGGGACGATATCACAGCCAGCACTGCGCCGAAGGAGGGGTGGTGTGAGTGGGAGTGCCTTGCGAGGCAGGGCAGGGTAGATACAAGCAAGAGAAAGGACATCCACAGGCTCACAGAGCAGGATGAAGAAGCAGTAACGCCGAGTTTGTTAGGTCCGTGCCGCATTGAAGCGCTACGGGGATCGAAAAGTTGCAGCCTCGACGAGGGCCTATATTTAAGCGCCAGCTTATATCCGGAAGCTGGGGGATCACTAAGCCCAGCCCCCATTTGTAACCCCCCGGGAAGGGGGTCGGACTCTGCATCCCAAATTGACAACGGGGGGAGCGAGAATCATAGTTCCGCCGGTGTAATCAGGTCCACAAGGGCAAGCGTGGGCGTTAGGGTTCCAGAGGATCGGGTCGCGACTCAGCGAGAACACTGTGGGTGCGGAGCACAGCAAAGTCCGACTTTAGTAATTATCACCATTGGGTTTAGCGCTTTTCGTTGGTTGTTTTTTTTTCCTTTTCTTAAATATATTTCATTTCTCGTCGGTAAGTATACAATTCCCCGATGGCTGGTCTGCCGTCATGTCTATTATTATTATGCTGCCCCCAGCTGAACGCGATCATCCGAGGACCCATTCTAGACTCGAGCTAGGGGCTAGTAGGCAAGAGGGGTGGACCCCATGTGGCTTTCCCGAAGATTCCCACTTCAGGGCAGGTAATAAATATTAAATTATTTGCGAGGCAACAATTGCCACTAGCCATTGCTCTGCATAGTCATGATCGTTATGCCCCGGAGGCTATCCTGATCCAATAGGTCACCTTTCTAGGATCAATGGATCCGGTAACGATAATGGTGTGATCTTCGATGGCAAACGCCCACTATTTGCCCTTAGAGAGAGGGAGTACGGGAAAATAGCTCAACGGACCCTTTTTGGCAATCCAAGAAGAAGGTGGGTGGGAGGGATCGTAATCCTGCCACGACTGCAGACTATCCTCTTCTCTTCTGAGTTTTTTGGTGGCGGTCTCTTTACCATCCCGGCGGCTCTTGACTGGATATCAATGCACCTTTGCATGCTTGAGGCTGAGTGCCTACAGCTACATGTACATACCCGCGCGCGTTGGTAGCCGGAGAATATGGACCGGTGGTTAAGCGCTGGGGAGGTTGTGGATTCCGATCTATTACCATTCTTGAAAGAATGGCGGGCGCTAACTCGAAGAGAACTAGTTCGTCCGGATTTCCTGGACGGGCCAGCCGAGCCACATGTTCGGGCGCATGCAGCAACCAGTATACCTCTCTGGGTGTCATCGATCCGGTTTCGTGCCTATCGCAATCACTGCCTAAATCAATTAACTCTTTGCCATGCCATACCCACTATAGACACTAATAACATCATAATATCGGTCCATGCATGACAAATTGTCACCTGACCCATGGCACCGGGTTGGGGGCTAAACACGAACGCGGATCATCGGCCACCTGAAACACCGGGGCGTGCATCATCGATAAAGATAGCACAATATATCATTGCGGGCCCAGAGGGCCAGATTATTGTTCATGCGAAAACGAACTAGTTACGATGTCGCTACATGCTGCTGCTGCTGCGCGACATGTTCCTCATCTTCATCATCCAAATCGTGCTCCAGTGCGTCATCTGCCGCGATCGAGATACCTCTCGCACCCCATCGGTTAGTGTTCTGCGAGCCCTCGTCTTCCTCGTCCTCCCGCAGGTTCTGCTCCTCATCCGCCGCGGCCCGTGGTCGCCGGAAGTTCACCACGCGGTTCACCAGCCAGCTTTTCCGGAAATCCTCCGAGTCAACCACCCCGCCGTTGCGCAGCTTCACCCGCTGGCGTGTATAGTACACCCAAGCGAAATCGAGGTAGAATGCCGTCTGGACGATGCCGAAGATAAATGCAATGGGATCCCATTGCCCGCTCCCGAATCCGCGCACCAGCCAGTTCAGGAAATAGAATGCCCGGTACGAGCCCAGGGTCAGCAGGTAGTAGGAGTCGATCACTGTCGGGACGGTGGTTTGGCGCAGCAAGATCAGTTGCGGCAGGACACACACCGACTCGAGGATAATGGAGAAGGCCCAGGTGAGCTATGAATCTCGGTCAGCTCGTCCATCACAGCCTTTATTTTCGTTTTCAACTTACCTCCAAGAACCAGTGCGGAGGAAACCCGCGCTCAAAGATCAAGATCGAGACAGGTGAGAGCACAACAGCACCACCGACCGACCAAATCCCGAATTTCCACGCACGCTCCCTCTCCCGCGTGCGCGGGAAGATCTTCATCATCAGGTACACAATGTAGAATGAGGTGAGTAGGTAGAAGATCTTAAAGCTGAGGTTCCATATCGTATGCCATGACCTACCACCCCACACTTCCGGCACGAACAGGTCGAGGTAGCGCGTGACGAAGACGAGGGCATAGAGGATTTGTGTGAGGAGGGAGATGCCTGTGCACTCGAGTTAGTTATTGCCAACTGAGGGGAGTGAGTGGAAGACATGCCCTCGGCACTCCTGTTGCGGTGGATGGCCCAGATCAGGATGCATATTGATGACAGGTGGGAGAAATCGCCTATGATGCGAAAGACGTTCCACGTGGACATGATGGAGGAGATACTCCGTCAGAGTTGAACCATCTAAGTAGGGAACAACCTGGACTGGATGGAGGGATGAAGGAGGTTGCGTTATCGCCCTTGCGATCTCCACATGAGCTTGGGCCGCGTGTCCTCACGTGAGAGCTGACGTCAGGTACATGAGTGCAGTGCGAACTACCGAACTAACAAATTAACCGTTATTAAAGCAGTGATTTAATAAATGACTTGAATGAACCATAAGAATCAAGTCAGATGCCGTAGTTAAAAGTGAATATGGTGTGGTCTTAGACTTAGAGATATATTTGGGCGATGTAGTAATATTGTTGCTGAGGTGTATAGCTGATGACCTTTTGATTAACAGTAGCATAATAAACCGAATGTCATCAAAAGCTAAGCGATAGGAAATTAGGCACCGAAAATGAATACCACGAAAGCTGTTTTCAGTATTTCCATTTCACTAGTATCAGTATCTGTCAGTCATGTGCATGATCATTCTATATCTTAATGGCATTTCTATCCATACATCTACTGGCGATCTCTAGATGAATGCAAGACGTAGATGTAAAGAGCGTGAGCTAAAAATGACTAGATTGATATATTTTTAGGAAGAAAGCATGCCTAGATAGGGTATTCTCGTACTCTCGTACTCTGCCATTATCCGGTTTACACTCTGACTTATCTTAGATAGGCATTCCCAAGCGTCAAAAGAATAGACCCCGAGTACCAAGACTGGCCTCGGAGAGACAGCGGCTTCTCTTCATGCATAGACCTAGAGAATCTTCAGGATACATGCTTTGACTGTTAAGAAGTCTTCTCGTAATATATTCCTTTGATGAGTTTCTACTGTTTCTATCTTATCTTTTGCACAGAAATGAATGGATCTCTTTGCCCTCTCCTTGCAAATACGATCGGGATTAACGAGATCCACATTGCATATGATCTAAACTCTTGCCATCAGCCCCATGGGGGCCGTGTAACATCAACCCCAAGCAGCAGGTTTGCCGGTCAACCGAAAAGATATACACTGGCTATTCATTCTGATTCGGAATAGAGAGGATCAGTCAAAATACTTTCTACGCATTATTCAAGCATTTATAAAACCGAACACGCATATTCCAATCGATTCAAGCCTCCAACAATCCCACAACTCTACAACCAACCAAACATGAATCCCAGAACTCTCCTCAGCCTCACCATCAGCCTTAGCCTGATTCTATCCACAACAGCCATGCCCCATATCAAGCGCAGTGCGACATGCACTGTCGGCATCGAATACGACAGTACCGATATCCCCTGCGGCGACCCTATGTCCGGCGCGGGAGCCAGCACACCCATCAACAGCCTCTCAGGCTTCTTCGGCGACGAAGACGGCAATGATAGATATTGGCTCGTTTACCAGGACGGGGATTGGTATCATTCCAATGGCACATACAATACTTTACTGGATCCACTACTAGTTGGTATATCCGCACTGAGGATTCTATGGCTAGCGATTGCATCGCTACGTACGGGGCTACGACCTTTGATAGCAAGAAGGTCAATGACTCGATCTGTCATACGTATAGTGGTGGTGCGGCTTTTACGGCAGACTATGGGTGTGAGTGTTATTTTGCTTGTTAGGTTTGATTATAGAGTATTCTGTCATTGCTGGCGATGGCTTTGTACGGTCCCTCTGTTGTGTACTAAATTCAGCTGTATTCTAAATGGAAGCATGTGCTTTTTCTTCAAATTTTCACTCGATCCAAGATCAACGCCGCATACCGGTTATGAAGGCACAATATTGTGACTGTTACAATCCCGCTTCGAGGAGTTTCAATTGGGTCTATGATCACGGGGTGAGCGGCTCACTGAGCGGGCCTGAACTGGCCCTGATCTGATGCTCACTGCCCTGCTGCCTCCTAGAGCCCTAGAAATCCAAGAAACACAAAGGAAATACTCCGATGTTTTTAATGGCTCCCTCTGAAGTCATAGTGAAAAGCACGAATCTCATCAACCTGCCCCAGAATTAAATTTTGAACACCCCCTCATCTTTACGATCTACCTTTTGCATTGGCGGAGCGGACATCGAATGCCAGCGGTTCATTCTTTAAATAATAATAATAATAAACACGTCGCAGATACTAATTTACTTTCATCGTATGCAGCCCCGTTGACTGCCAGTTCCTTTCCTCACCTCATTATCACCGATCCCACCGCAACCTCCTTGCCCGGTCACCTCGTCTGCAGATGATCGGGCCTCCACCAATAACGGGCCGCGTATCCTTGCACCAAGTGAGATCCTGGGGCCACCGGATTCTGGAACGGGCCACTGGCGAGTCTTCGGCCCAAATGTCTCATGGAGGCAGCCGGACTGTGCTGTGACAGGGTTGCGCGGGAGCGGGGGATGCAATATGTAGTGAGGAATGGGAATGCGCGGGAGATCGCATGGCCAGGAATAATCATAGGTACTTGGAAAGGTGTTTTATCGTCGTTCACAAAGTCATTGTTGTCGCTAAGTACTATACGTGCTTATTAGGGTCTCCCCACTTCTCCCGCTCTTTCACCTCTTCCACTCTTTCCCTCTTCCTCTTTCCACTCATCTTCATCTCCACCTCCCCCATCCTCAGTCAGCCTCATGTTCTCCCCGTATTCGGAGGAATTCGAGGTCCCTGATTCAAATCTGCGACCATGCGATTTTGACCTGTGAGCTCCATCTCCATCTCTCCTGCTCATCTCATCTCATCACATCTTCCGTCATCCCCACACAAGCTTGCTCCGGTCGGGGAGCCTGGACTTGTCTGTGTTGCCTCGGATTCGAACCACCCCCTCCCCTTCCCCCTATCCCCATCCATCTCGTTGTCTATGTCTTCTCTGCTTAGTGGGGTGCGCTCGTGTCATCGCCGTTCCTAGTGTAACGAAGCCTGCTTTCCTAGAGTTGACCAGAGGTGCCCAGTAGCAGGCCTGCTAACCCCCTGCGCGGCCTGGTTATATGTACAGATGAATCGACAAGTGATTGAAGCGTGTGTCTTTCACCATGTCGTAAGTTGCCTTGTCTGTGATCTCTGTCTGGGCCGCGGGAGGGGAGCGAGGGGACGATCGGGCCGGAATTCTCGCGTGCTTTGATTCCGTCGCGCGTTCTGTCATCACGAGCCCATTGTCGCGTCTTGTCCTGCACTGCGCCCTCACTGACATCTGCCCTCCCCGATCTAGATCCCCTCCAAATTCCAAGCGCATCAAGACCTCCGCCGCCACCAGCGCTCCTCCACATCTCCTCGCCCAACAACAACAGATCCATCCCTTCCAGCGCATGCCCACCTTTGAAGGCATCCCCATCCCGAACGCTCCTCTTCCCCCTCAGACAAATCCACCTCAGTCGCGCAAACGTCAATCCTCCCCTGGCACCGGTCCTTCCACGATGATGGCCACTCCCATGACTCCCGCGGGCGGCGCGATGGAGGGCGACCCTAACGCCATTCCCGTCGCGGTGGAGTCCACGCCCAAGAAGAAGGGACGAACCAACACCCCATGGACCGCAGAGGAAGAACAGAGACTAAAGACCATGCGCGATGCGGGCCGGAGCTGGAATGAGATCGCAAAGGTGCGCGCGTGGATCCCCTCCCCCCAAAACACTGAGCGCTGACCATGCCTCGGTGCGTTGCAGACCTTTCCTACTCGAACTGAAGGGAGCGTGAAGAAACACTGGTACAAGGACATGCATTACGCCGAGTTTGCGGAAGATGAGGTACGCAGCCCTTCCCTTTATTCCCGACGCTGCTGACACGGGTACGCAGTCCATAAAGCTCCGCGAAGCCATCAAGGAATACGAGGCCAACAAGTGGAAGGTCATTGGTCAGAAAGTTGGCAAGCCAGCGAAGGTAAGCATGAATGACCGTCCGTCCTTGCAAGTCAAGCCTAACTCTCACGCAGGCCTGCGAACAATATGCCAAGGAGCATTTCAAGAACCTCTGAGGACTCGTTGACCACTACTGATGAAGTGATGATATCCATGCATCTTTTATGATTTTGGCATTCCTGCGGATTCTGCAATCCCATAGCAATGCACGTCTCATCCAATGGCCATTTCATGGATGGTCCCAGGCTGCTGCTGCTGCTGGAGTTGGTGATCTGGTTCTCTTTTCATTCCTCGTCTTTTTATTATTATTACTTTTTTATTGCCCTTTTGTACCGGGCCTGCGTTTTGAGAGTGAGGCGTTTTTGCCTGTGATTTGGACTGGAAGCACCCGGATTTATTTTTTTACTTTCAATTTCATCTGATCAATATTACTCGATTCCCAGCTTCGATGCTGTAGATGGGTCCTGATAGGCGGGGCGGCGGGTTTCTCCGCGGGCAATCAATCTCTCTTCTCTTTTTTTTCCTTCCGAGTCATAACCATAGCCACCTCCTCCCGGTCTGGATTGTTGCTTTCTAGGTGAATTCCTTTCTTTGTCGCATGAACCGAATATTCAGTCCACTAACATTCAATTCTCTATCTACTCCACAGGCCGTCTCCTAGCAAGTGTGACACATAACTTGCGGAACGCACTCCCCGCGACTTGATGCCCCAGTACTGAACCCCGCCTCCACCTCTAATAAGAGACGACTATAATGAAGACGAGTAGTCTGGCATTGTCTATTGATCAAGGTATCACGATATCCACATGAAGACCGGTGTCCGACAGCTGGATTGCGCTCGCAATGCGTGCCTGTGCGCGGTGGTGGCAAACAGCTGTCGTTCTGAGATCATACGGTTGAACTTGATCTGGATAATTCCAGCGAAAGGACTCATGCGCTCTCCCCCTCTGTGTTGGACCAGGCATAAAATACTGACTGCCTTTGTCGCAGCATGTCGGAAAATGAAGTCGCCACCTTAGCGGTGCGCTCCAGCAAAGATGAATCTCATTCTCCAATCCCTCCGGTCCCAGATTACTCGGAGATGAATGATCATAAACGTGGAAGTAACAGTGTCACCGAAGTTCCAGACACACAGCCGCAAGCCCGTCGCCATGCAGTCGGCTCACGGCTGGGCTCGCTCTTGTGGAGATTCGAGCAGCAGCTCGTCGAGTATAACCTCGAAGCCCGCGGCATCGAGCGGGTCGGCGAAGATGAGCGCATGAAGCGGCTGTCATGGGTATCTTACCTGCAGGCATTTCTCCTCTGGGTCTCGATCAACCTCGCCGCTAACAACATCACGCTGGGAATGCTGGGTCCCGCGGTGTATGGGCTGAGTTTCCGGGACTCGGCTCTGTGCGGTGTATTCGGTGCCTTAGTTGGTTCGATCGTTGCTTCGTGGATGGCTACTTGGGGTCCTGTATCGGGGATCAGAACTATGGTGGGCACGACTTGCTTTTGGTCAGATTGAGCTTTATGACTGACTTCGGAGTGATAGGCGTTCGGCCGGTACTCGATGGGCTGGTGGCCCAGCAAGATCATTGTTCTGCTCAATCTCATCCAGATGATTGGGTACTGTTTGATCGATTGCGTTGTCGGCGGCCAGATCTTGTCTGCCGTTTCGCCAAATGGCATGTCTGTCGCCGTCGGCATCGTGATCATTGCGATTATCAGTTGGGTGGTGGCCACATTCGGGATCCAGGTGTTCCACTACTACGAACGGTGCGTCTTCCCGTAACTAGGAAGTAACCATCTGTTGACTGACATGCATCCATAGATTCGCATTTCTCCCACAGCTGATTGTATTCTGCATTCTGTTCGGCGTATCCTCCGTCAAATTCGACCTATCCACCGCATCCCAGGGCACCTCTCGCACAATATCCGGCAACAGACTATCCTTCTTCTCGATCTGCCTCAGCGCCGCAATCACCTACGCGCCCCTCGCCGCGGACTTCTTCGTCTACTACCCCTCGCACACTTCCCGCAGAACAATCTTCAGCCTGACCCTAGCTGGCCTCGTCCTCTCCTTCACAATGGCCTTCCTCGCCGGCATCGGCCTCGCCTCAGGAATTCCCACAAATCCCTCCTACGCCGCCGCTTGGGACCGCGGTCAAGGCGCCTTAATAGTTGAAGGCTTCGGGCCCTTACACGGCTTCGGCAAATTCTGCTCGGTCATCGTAGCACTAGGCCTCATCGCCAACACCGTCGCGCCAACCTACTCCGCCGGCGTCGACTTCCAGATCCTAGGCCGGTACGCCGAAAAGATCCCCCGCGTGATCTGGAACACCGTCGGCGTAGTCATATACACTGTCTGCGCGCTCGCCGGCCGCGGGTATCTTTCTGAGATCTTCACCAATTTCCTGGCGCTGATGGGCTACTGGGTCGCCATCTGGGTCGCCATCATCCTCGAGGAACGCTTCATCTTCCGTCTGCGCAGTGGCTATAACTGGGCTGCTTGGCGCGAGCCCTCGAAACTGCCTGTTGGCGTCGCGGCGTTTTTGGCTTTCGTTGTTGGCTGGGTCGGTGCTGTGCTTTGTATGGCGCAGGTGTGGTATGTTGGGCCGTTGGCAAAGCTGGTTAGTGCGACTGGTGCCGATATGGGGAATTACGTGGGCTTCTCTTGGGCGGCGCTTGTTTATCCGCCTATGCGGTGGGTGGAGCTGAGGTTTTTGGGTCGTTGATGGTGGTTTCTGGTGGCCTGTATTTTTTTATGCATCTCTATCTAGTCTACTATCTCCTGTTTTTTGAGATCAGGATCCTGATCCTGGGAAACATGAAGAAAAGAATGACATGTTGAAATCAGATATTTTTCTGGTAACTAGAGATATCCAAAGTTGACCTACATAATATCAATTGGACCCGGAGAGATACTGTTACCTAGTCATCCTGTATGCAAACCAGACAAGGGCTTTTTCTACTCCATCTACCCAGCGACAAGACTGAACGAAAGAAAAAGCTAGATCACCCCAAACTCTCATTTTCATCCACTATAGAGAACTATTCTACAAAAGAGACGGTAGATAAGGACAAGACACGCGAGATACAGACACAGACTCTCATGTTTTTGTTCTGGCACAGAACAAAACAGCCCGTTTAAATGATGGTATGGTACTCGTGGGAGAGACGAGCTGATTTACCGGTACCAGTAGTCGGGCTTAACGTAGTCGGCGAAAGTCTTGGGTTCCTCGTGGGCTGGGTGGCCGTGACCGTGGTCGTCTATTAAGAGGTGGCATGTTAGTTTTCTTGCTTGTTTTGTAACACGTTCAAAAGTCTTTGGATGATAGCACTGCTACACAGGAAAAACGTACGGGCGTGGGGATCCTCCTCGGGACCGACGTATTTCAGCTTGACAACGTTGCCGCACTCGTTGCAGCGCTCGATGGGACGCTCGCGGGACACCTATTTATTCAGGTCGATTAGTACGACATACCAAATCACAATAACGAAGTAAATCTTACAGTCAGCCAGTTAACCTGGTGCGAGTCTGCCGGGTAGCCGGTGCAACCAGCGTACTGCTCATCACCGGCGCCGGTGACGATGATGGGGTTGTCGAGAGTTCCTGTTTATAATAATCAGCCAACCGGCCATCATCGATGACATCGTCGATGACACGAGAAAGAAAAACGTACCTTTCCGGGAGGCATCCAGGGGCCGCATGTCGAAAATGTCAATGCCCTGCATCTTTCCGATGAGCTCCAGACGCTCGAGACCGGTGGCCTGGCTGAGGTCGGTCGGGACGGTGCCGGGCTTGGCGCCGGGGGCGATCAGGTCGTCCTCGTTCTTGATCTCTGTGCGAAGGGGCGATAGTTAGTGTCTGAGCTCGGTGGTAATTGTGGGTATTTTCAATGGGTGCAGGTCCTGTCTTTCCTCTCGGTCGGTCGGTCGGGGGATGATGGAAAACCGGAACCGAGGTCCAATGCAGCTCAATTGCATTCAAGCTTCGAATCAATCCCCCTGATATTCCGCCAAAGGCAAGAACAATCGCAGATTGGGTGTGTTATGTCGGATTGGGTGGTGTACTAACCGTCAAAGGGAAGAACCTTGCCCTCCTGCTTGGGAGCCCACTTCTTGTCGTTACCTGTGTGCGAATTCGGATTAGCCAAAGCCCACATATCAGCGACACAGCTATCGCCATCTGCACAGAGCCAATTGAGTCGCGCCGAGGGGCGTGGTCGTGGTCGTGGGGTCCTGGGTGTGCAGAAGGCGGTTCAAGAACACTGGGGGTTTTGTCACGTACGGCGAGCCACGGACGAGGAGAACGGGCGGGCAATAGCGAGAGCGCGGGCGGGAGAGCGCCGCACAAGGGCGGAGGCCGTGCGTTGGAGGAACATTGTCCTTTGTTGTGGAGGGGAGAAGGGACAATGACGGTGGTTTGGGTGTGAGTGGAAGGAGAGGTTGCGGTTGAGGACGAGGATTGACGATGGATGCCGCTTCCGCCCGGTCGGACTATGATTGGCTGTGCAGCAGTGGCCAATGGGAGTGTGGGAGCGTATACGGTAGGGGGTAGTTGCCAGGAGTGCAGAAAAGGATGCTTTGGGATAACAGTTAGGGCTTAGGTCTATGAGACTGGACTGTACGAAACAATATTGGTTATCAAGGACCTAGATATATACAAACAGGGCAGTTCAACTCAATTGCGAAGCCTTCTCGCGACACGCTGCAGGGGTATACCCGTTCCCAACTTTGCCAGCAATGATGCGCCACTGGTCATTCTCATACTCGTCGACAGCACGCTGAAGCCGGTGCACCTGTGCCGAGTTAGCATAATAGCCCAATGTAAGCTCGAGTGCCAAAAAAGACACACCATATCCTCTGTCCAGATGACATCTTTCGTCTTCAGCTTGGTACAGTACCGGACCTGTAGCGTGCCGCTCGTGCGGCCAGGAAAGAAATCCGCGATCTGTTTCCAGGTCAAGTTTTTGATCTCCTTGAGCTCCACAAGGAGAATGTCTTCCTCTCTTGTGAACTTCAGCTTCGGTCCGCGCGGTCGAGATGCTGGGATTGGCATTCCCGGTTGCCCTACGACGTTGGGTGCGGGGCCCGGCAAGGACGGCGAAGGCGATCCAACTCTCGGGTCGACGCCATAGCGGATGGACGCTTGTTGTGGGAGGCAGTGGTGGTGGTGAGGTTGTGGGAGCGAGAGAGAATAGTCAGGTGGATGGGTAGGTGAATGGTCGCTGGGCACGGGGTATAGCATCTCCGAAGAACTGATCGGAGGAGAAGACCCGTAATTCAACAGTGTCTGCTGTGATGATGGTTGATGTCCGACGCGGTGACCCATATGGTGACTGCTGTTATCTGCATTGGCAGACCATGATCGTTCCTGCGTGTCTCTCAGAGGAGAGAGCTCGAAAGTTGACGAATGGTGATATTGACCTGAGATTTCGCGCGAGCGCATCTGTTGTGATTCCATCAGGACCGGCTGTGGTTCGTCGTCAGGATGCGACAGCGCCGCGGGCCTGGTCGGCGGGTATGGAGCAATGGATGACAGGTGTGGGCCTTCAGGAGCGAACCCTTCCGGTGATCTATTAGCGCATGGTTGAGAATGGTTGTAAACAAGCATGTCTTCGTGGTTGTTGACTTTGTCGAGATCATGGTGAGAGTAGGTGATTGCAAAGCCTCGATACGGATACGCCAGCGTCGCAGACATACATGACACTGCTAGGGCATAGAGCCCCAGCCAGGCAGCTCAATTCGCTGTTTAAGAACGCAGAGCAAAATGTCGTCGTCACATATGGCCGTCGCGGGGCAGCCTATAGAACCGGGCCAGTCACACTGCGTTGGTGACCGGATATAGGGCTACAAATTTCAAAGTGGTGCCAAGCCAGTGGGTTAAGGAAGCATACAGGTCATGGTTCATACGAGCGGCAAAGACAAACCAAGGGCAGCAGTAGTCGTCTATAAGTTCACTCCACACCAAAGACATCCCGCCTCTCGGAGGGGGGCGGGTTCGTCGCGCTAGCCTCTGATGCAGGTTTACCATTGCTGGCCGGACGGCGCGTGCGTCGCCAGGGCTGATTTCACCAGCGTCAAGTGGAACACGATGCAAGAGGATTGTCACAGATGGGTCAATAAAACATTCAGGGAGTCCGCTGCAATAAACAGAATCGGCTTCGTTCATTCCATTCTGTCTTCCTTCCATCCTCTCCCTCTCACAAATATTGAACTCGGTGTTGACCAGTTAAGCATGTCGATCCCTGATGTATACATACACCAAACCCATCAATACAATCATGCCAGGACAAGCAAGCAGTTCGGAAGAATAGACAGGCCGCACGTCCTTCAAGTCCATCAGATTTCGATTGGAGGTATGTGCAGACTCGAGACAGAACATCATTCGCGGGATTGATCTTCTTTGCACAGTCTTTCCGTGCTTGAACCAGAGGAAGGGACAAAGAAAAAGCGGACTATCGTGTCGGCTGATAGACACCATTTAGGTTTAGTCAAGAAAGCAGCGCGAGGCTATTTGTCCCTTTGCCGGATTGCTCCGGGGCGGCAAGAGCTTCGCACGAATCAATTGCACAAACTGACGAGGAAGGCGCGCAGCGCATGAGCAAAGAGACGGGGGGGTGATGGTGTTGAAACAGTATTTTTGGGATTTTTCTTCACACTCGCTCAGGCTTCGAAGTGAACGCTTGATAGCATCGTTCAAGCGAAGTGGGGAAGAAGGGAATGCCGGTCACAAGATCCCCAAGTTCCGGCACAGTCAAGGGGAGAGGTCGTTGAAGACAAGGCTTACCACAAGCCAAGAACGAGAAAACATCCCTCCATTATCGCCATAGACGAAACAGTAATCCTCCTAGGTACCCCTACCACCTCCCCCCACTAAGCACCTGTCATATGGCAAACACAACCCGATAGGAAGATAGCATCAGATGGAAGATGATGGGGTGATCCGGATCATCTTAGTTGCAGAAAGTTGACGTGGCCAGCATCTGTCTATATGTTATTGATTTGATTATTTACCATTTCGTCTCAACTGTCGAGCAAACCTCGGGCATATTCGATAGCGCGAATCGACCCCTGCTGATGCATTTTTGATTTCTTTGTTCTTCTCTTCCCCTGACCAATACCACGCTTTAGCACACGGCTACACGAATAAGCCGTGCGCGCGAGCCCGTGGTTGGCCCGATGCTATGTTATGTATGAGGCTCGCTGCCCGTTAAGAGGGGCTGCGCCGTCAAATGTCCAAGATTTGACTCGCCCCGGCCCTCACCGTACCCGTTGCGTAGCGTGAAGCTAGGGTTCGGGGGCTCCGTGCTCCGCGAAGGTGTGAGTTTGGTGGCGGATGACCGGCGGCCCTGCATTGAGGCCCGTCAGCAGCAGCGTGGTGGAGGCTATCACACATCGCGGCAGGTTATTAGAGGCAGGCGCGTGCCGTGAAATTGTAAAGTCGACTGGACTCCTTGCTGTCCGTCTGTCCGATGTACGTACGCGATGCAGCCGGTGAAGAAGATGATCATGGATAATAATGAATGAAATAAAAACCATTCTTTTTTGAGTTTGACATGCTGTTTCGTCAATGGCAGAATGGCTATAATACAATGAATGATTTGACGCCGATAAGCAACAGACCTCGTCTTCTCTTCTTCTTTCGTCTTGGTGCTCAAGCCTCCAAAAGTACATAAATTAGATGGCCCAGATACAAAGAAACCAACCCCTTGCAAAAGAAAAGTCAAAAAGAATACACGCCAGAAAAGAGTAAAATCACTCAAAGTTGTCAGACCGGTCAACCCAGATATCCTCGAGCTCAGCGAAGTTCTGGAAATGCAGGGGCCGATGCTGGTCATCATAGAAGCGCAGCGGGGTGTCAATCTTGACGTAAACGGGCCTCTTTTCCACACTGCCAAAGGAGCTACCCATAAAGCTATAGTTCCAGACATTATCCTCGGGTACCAGGAAATAGCCGCGGATCTTGTCACTAAGGAGCAGCTGGCACTTCTCACCCATGTTGGTGGAGAAGCCCTGCGGCTGATCCGAACTCATGTCCTTGTTCTCGGCGCCCCACTTGTAGCCCGTAGGGGTGAGCCCCCAGGCGGCAAGTGAGACGGACCCTGGTGTGAACGAAACGGTCATGGTCACGGTCTTCTTGTCCCACGAGGGGTGTGCGTTCATGAGACGCGCGTGCTGTGTGACATCCATCGCCGACATGTAGGGCGGCTCATTGCCCGAAACCGTGTGGATGACACCGAGCGGCTCCAGACCGTTCAGGTAGTCGTGCTGGGGCAACTGATGCGGCAGTTGCACGTCCCGGGTGTTTCCGACCTGGGGAATCATCACGATGGTACGAACCTCCTTGACCTGGTCGTTGTCAGGCGGCGAGCTGCCATAGATGTATCCAGAAACCTGCACACGGAGATCGGCGATCGTGATGAATCGCTTGAGAATGTTCTTGGGCATGATGTAGGTATAGCCATCCTCGCGGATATCGTCAGAGGAGACGTAGATGTTGTTCGACCGCGTCCGGAGGTTCGAGGTTGCGATGGCGCGGGTCCGCCACTCCGTCTTCGAGGCAAACGATTGCTGTTCATACTGGGACGTGGTGGTGACAATGATATCCTCTCCACGCACGTTCTGCGTCTTGGTCGTGACGGCAGTGAGTTGCTTCGCCTCCTCCTGCTGCTTCTCAATCTCCGCAGCCTGCTGTCGCTGCAGAGATGGGGCGCTGATCTCCATACCCAAGATGATATCTCGGACTTCGCTGCTGGTCAAACTCTGCACGTTGACATTGTTCTTCTTTCCGTAATCGTTCAAGATCAGGTCACGCAGCTGCACTTCCACCTTGATCCAGTCCTCGTCCGAGAGAGATGGCCAGATGTGATGCTCTTGAGTGATCACGGTCTTATCGGGCCGCAGGAGGATCTTAGCTTTGTCGATGTTGACATGCAGCGCACGAAGAATGAGGATCAGTCGGGAGAACGCGGTGTACGGGGAGATGGACTTCAGCCATTCATCGTACAGGTTGAAGAGAACCATCTGAGGCTCGGTCGCCCGGAGAATCATGTCCGCAAGCTTCTCAACCTTCATGGCAGCCTGGAAAGGAAGCTGGAGCTCGGACGCACGAATGGAGATGTTGGGGAAATCAAGAAGGTGAACCTCGAGAGGATCAAGCAGACCCTTCCGGGTGACGATGAGCTGCTTCGGTTGCTCTTCCACAGGCAGAGACCGAATCAGAGCCGCCACTTCTTCGGCTGTCTTCCATTTGGCCAACTGACCAAGACGCTTCTGGCCAGCCCACACGCTGGTGTGAATAATCTTCAAGAACAGCTGTCCAGTTCGGGGATTGAAGATGAAGATTGCACCGTTGATGGGCTTTGTGGTCAAGTTACCTTCGAACGTCTTGTGGATCGTGACACGGTAGACATTGGTGTCATCGATGAACAGCTGAATCTGGGGACTGAATAGCTCCGAGTAGTTCTGCGAGTTGAGGAACTCCTGGTTGGACTCCGAAGCGTACAGCTGCAGACCCTTACGGATACGCTCACGCAGCACATACAAAGCTGGATTCGCTTTCATAACCTTGGCCATGGCCTGCTGGATCAAAGTCTTCAGGCCCGGGAAGTACTGGCCATAAGCCGAGTACAGGTTGTAGGCAAGGTCGATGCCGATCATCAGACCAGTGGCGGAAGGATAGATGCTCATGCTGTCGGTGGTGTAGTCGAGATACTTGGCACGGACGTAGCGTTCAATATCATGTGAATCGTAATCGCCGTACCTCAGCTGCACATCAAGCCAGAACTTGTTCGTCGTGTTGGGTTCGTAGACGTCCTTCGTATCGAACAACAGAGAAGGTCGGGTGACGTTCCACTTGTTGGTCGCGAAGAGAAGGATATCCGCGCAAGAGCTGTTCATCTTGTAAGATTTACGCGGGTGGATTGTCTCCTTTTGAACCGCCTCGACGCCAAGCTGTTCCAGTTCTTGGTCAAACACCTGACACAAGTCCATGACCACGGACTCGTGGATTTTCTGCCACAAGTGGGCACGGAAGATCTGGATCAAAGAGATCTTCAGGGTTGGAATCTTGCCGTGCAAGAAGATACCGGTGAGATCCAGCTGCACCTGGAAACCAACATAGACGTTGGCTCGATTGATCGTGGGGGACCACCAGAGGGTGAAACGACGGTTGGGAATCTGGTTCAAACCAGATCGCTGAGCGTTGGTAAGCTTCTTGAACTTCATCGACTCCTCAAAGCCTAGAGAAATAATTAGTAAGGGTTTCGTCGTATTTTTTCGGGCCAGATCTTACCTGATGCTCTCTCCCAGAACAGACCCTCCCAAGACGGGAAAGCCGTCGCTTTGAATAGGGTGTGCTCAAGAATGGTTTCCACACCACCTAGGGCCTGAATGACATCCGTCCGGTAAGCGTTCAAATTCCAAAGCTTGCCATCGTGCCTTTGGCTTGTCCACCAGAACGGATTGCTCTTCATCAGCTGGTACTGCTTGAACTCCGCGCGAAGTCGGAAACCCTTGTCGAAGCTGAGCGTGCTTCGGTCCTTTTGGAAAAGCGTGTTGATACGTGGCAGACCACGGTCCCAGCTGTCTTCCAGATCCTCCAGCGTCAAGCGTCGATTCTGCTGTTGGGCCTCCATTCGCTTCTGGGAGTACTCCATCCACACGCGCTGCGAGTCGATGAACTCGGCTTCCCAGGGAATGATGTATCGGAAGATGTTGGGGATCAGAGTCTCTTCGTCGTGAGACATACCCGCTCGGAAGTGGGTGATGCCCGTGTCCGTTTGCTTTGACCAACGCTTGTCGCTAGTGGGGATGAGAATGTGAGATCCGGAGATCATACCCAGACCACCCAGTTCCTTCGGGGTATAAAACACAGCCGGAGGGAAACGCGAAGGCATCTTAGAGTTCAACCCGATCTTGACACGGGTTTGGATCTTTGTCTCGCACTTGACAATGGTGTCGAGAAGGTTGACGGTCGACACAGCAGCCTCACGGTAATAGGTGAAGAGAGCAATCAGCGCCGTGTTCCACTTGTTAGCGATCTTGGTGAAGGTCGTCGATCCAGAGGACATGAGGATTTGCCGAATACGGTTGTTGAATTTCTGGATGTCCTCTTCGGTGACCTGAAGGAAGGCATGGGCCGTCCGTTCCTTGGTCGTGTTATCGACCAGAGACCACACGCTATCCTTGACCGAGAACTCCTCATTCTGATTCCGGATCTTGGGAAGGATACGAACTTCGAATCCACCCATAGAGAACAGCAAGTTAGGGTTATCCTTGCTGTAGACGCTGGCGAACGTGTCATCCCAGTCGATCGTCGTGATAGATCTGGGGAGACGATTCTTCATATCCCAGAACACGGCACGTCCCAGGTTAACATCGTGGCGCATCAGACGCATTCGACAATCACGAGGCCAGCACTTCTTATTTTTGTAACCGATGACGTTCTCGAAGTTGGGATCTGGATTCTCGGTTAAGAAACGCTGGATCAAGTCTCGGGACTCATCCGCGGAGAATCGGAAGAAGACCCAGATCTTGTCGACGTAGCGGGTGTAGAGACGGATGGGATGTCTGGTCTCGGTGGTACGGTCTCTGAACTGCAGAAAGTCGTTGGGACTCGCGGGCGGCCCGGCCATCTCGCTGGCTCGCTGGAGGCCGAGGAGCAACAAGTCAATCATCATGCCGTAGTACTGGAACACGAATCCCGAAAATTGAAGACCACGGATCAATCCATAACTGTTTGTGTGGTTCATGTCCTTGTAGCTCAGCTGGACATTGTTCTTGGAGGTGATATAGTCGGCCAAGTTGTGGTCCATGATCAGACGAAGCATTCGGTTCAACAGAGTCAGATCGATCTTCTCGTACACCTTGGACAGCTCGGTCTCAATCATGACGTTGGTCTCGCCCTCCTCGCTCTCCCAGACATTGGACAAGTTGTTGATACCTTGGGTCCACTTGTATGCCAAAAGGGGTGGCACCTCCGAATCCGAGGGCTTGATCCAGGCGGGGAAGAGGTGGCGCTGCTCCGCTTGGTACCAGAGGTATTGATCAAGGTACGCATCAGTAATCTTTTCGATGGGTTCGATGTCATAGACAGGGTTGATGTTATTGTAGTTGTCATTCATATCAATGCCAACCTCTTTAAAAGCTCGCTGGGTCAAGAGGAACCGCTTGATTCTCGCCAGGGTGGTTCCAGGAGAATCATAAGCTTGTTCGATGAGCGCGAGTTCCTCACGCTGGCTCTGGTTTAATCGGCCTTTCACGGAGTATGATTCACGCAGCCGTTCCAGGGCCAGAATAAGGATTTTCGTGTCGTGCTTGTACGAGACACTGGGGAACGGAATTGGAGAGAATTTGCGAGACTCCAGCCAATGGACCATGGTCGTGTAAATGGCCACTGCCTCTTCGGATGAAACGTATGGACCGTCCTTCAAGTAGTTGTGCTGCCTTTCTTGCTCGGACTTCAGCCAAAGACGTGTAAGACGACCCAGGTTCTTCTTGGCGACTGTCTTGTCGACAGTGGCACCACGGCGAATTCTCTCGCGATTATAGTGAGCGACCGAAATCCACCAGTCAGCCTTGCTCTTCACATATCGAAGAATGATGTTCTCAATCGGAGCAGGCAGACCCGGAACCTTCCAAGGGATGTTACTCTTCCAGCATCTCCATGCCTCAGACAGATGTTGCAGGACAACATTGACCTTGTTCTGCTTAATGCCCTCGGGCATCATGTCCATAAGATCCGCCATCACAGATGCGCGAAGTTCCAAATCGAAGTGAGACTCCACACGCTGCTTGGTCACGGTCTTGGCGACACCCTTGCTGTGGCGACCCTCGAACTGACGAGAAAGCAGATTTCCGAGCCATCGCTCCAGCAGAGGGATGATGCCGCGCATGAAGAACAACCAGACTCGCCAGGCTGGGGCCCAGAAACCGCAGCCGGGGCCCTTGCCGACGGGACCGGAGTTGAAACGGTAGTAGATGAGATGCTTCAAATCCTTGCACGACCGGATCTGGTGCATCAACTTGTACTTGTACCGGTACATTCCCGTGAGCTGGCCAACGTGGTTGAAGGCATAGAGGATGCCATCCGCCAGCTGGAAAGCGTCGATGTTGCCCAGGCGGTATTGGACCTGGGCATCGACAATCAGTTTGGTAAGGCGCAGAATTTCTCGCATCAAGTGGAACGCGTTTCCGAAGCGGGACTTCTTTCGCTCCTTGGTCGTCAGGGTCTTGACGGGCTTCAAGTTGAAGTTGTAGTCGAGATGCAAGTAAGTCAAGTTCTTGCGGTGGATGAGTAGGTTCAGCATGTTGAAACCCTGGCGGCAGACCTGTAGACCGGCCTCAACCCAGTCGATGGTCGTCTGCTGGAAGAACTTGGTCGACTTGAGAGTCTTCAACAGGTTCTGCTTGCTCTGAGCCTTCGGCTTCTTCTTGTGAAGCTCGTTGAGCACGTAAGTCTTGAGAAGCTTCTGGTAAGATACCCGAACCTTGACAGGTTGACCCTGCGGGCAGTGTTCCAGATACCACTGCTTCACCAGCGGCACGTCCTGGGCACGAACCATCTTACCGGACCGCTTGTCAAACGGATGAGGGGCCCACCACAGAGCGATAGCGGACGCGGTCTCCGTGGTGTAAAGTTCCTCATCCTCGAAGAACGGCTCAACTTCTCCCGGAAGCTCAAAGTCGTCTTCCTCGTTGCCATATCCGAAAATTTCGTCTTCGTGACTGATTGTGATGTTCTTGGGCTTGACGGAACGAGAGGAGATGGGGTTGATGACGGGATCAAAGTAGAATGCAGGCAGGTTGGGGTCTTCGGTCCGAACATAGACTACCTGGGGGTGAGAGTACCAGGAGACCTTGACGCTCCGTGGAAGGGTATTGTACAAAAACGGGAACGCCACTCGGTATTCGGTCCGGATGGGGGCGCGGAAGATGATGCGATCGATGGCGTTGAACTCGCTGAAATCCTCATCGTTCGGGTCGATGTCCTTATAGAGGGGTTCGAAACGAGGACCACCAGGGATCGCAACATTCAGGGCCTTAGCAGTGAAGAAGCTGTTCAGGTCGAACATGTGGTGATAGTTTTCATCGACGACATCGCTGAGCAGCTGATGACTCAGTCGGTACAGGGTTGCCATCTGAGGAAGAGACAAATTCCACTTCTTGTAGCTTGGGCCACCGACGTGGGGGGTATCAAGGAGCGGACGGTGGTCGTAGAACCATTCGTACACGGGGGCATCTTCAGATTCATCGAGCTCCATCTGGATGGGTTCGAGGGGCTCAACATCCTCGATATTCTCTGACCAGGAGAGCGGCGGTTCTTCATCGTCGAAGGGGGGAAGCGCATGCGTTTAAAGTGTCGGCGATCGCTCTTCTCTCGACGCATGCACATCCACATCGTCGCCCACTGCGCGTGGAAGACGGGTTCGATGACGCGTGGGGTCTCGTTCACCAAGGTGAGGCACCCGTTGACGTGATACAACACCTTGACTTCCCTTGCAGACTCCCAGGGCATGGGCATGTTCTCCAGAAGCTTGAGCACCGCGTGGGGCATGAACTTAAGCGCGCCGAGATAGCTGCGCTTCTCGTTGGCGAATTTCTTCTGCGAAACATCACCGATATCCCTCACGATTTTGCGCAGATGCTCTGGCGGCATGTCCGCCTTTTGCGTCTCGACGAAACCTCCCTTTCTCTTCTCGCCGAAGCGATTGCGTTGCGTGCGCAGCCACTCGTTCTTCTTCTGTGCAAATTTTGCGACGGTGGGATCGGCCGGCGGTTGGTACCCTGGCGGCGGCGGTGCCATGGGCATCGAAGGAGGCGCTGCGCCCCATCCTGGAGGAGGAGGGGGAGGCGGCAAAGACGCCATGATGATGGGGGGGATGAGGGTGTTGATGTGCGAGGTTTGGAATCAGGGTGAACGCCCACCCTCAAGGGAGGTTGAGTTTGGGGCTCAAAGTCGCGTCAGGCCCAGTCGGAGATCAGGCATGGACACGCGACTTGACGGGACGGACAGGATAGACAAGGGCAGAACTAATCGATGGCGATGACAAGACCCAGCCGATCGAACCCCCAGCGTGACAAGAGGATGGATGAAATAATCAATCTCGTGACTTGAGCAACTTTTGCGTCCCGGGAGGAAGAGCGTGGCGGCTCTCCCAAGGCGCTAGGCCCAATCGGGACTAGTGCATACTCGCCAAACGAAACCCACACAAAAACTTCCCGCTGCAATTCATCCTCGACCACCAACTCTTGACGACCACCCGCAGAGGTTCACGCAGACAAAATGCCGAACAACAGACTGCAATACGTGAGTATTCTACTCTGACACTCAACACTCCATGCAATGAAACTGACTCGCTTGCCTCCCAGCGCCGCCGGAACCCGTACGTTCAAAATCCCAACTGCCTACCCCCGGTCCTGCGCATTTCTCGACATCCCAGCGGATGCAAATGGCACCGTCCTTCGTCTTGTCGTGTGTGATATTGATTGTGTGATTCGATTAGGTACAACACGCGGTCCAACAAGGTTCGCATCATCAAGACCCCCGGTGGTGAGCTCCGGTACCTGCACCTGAAGAAGAAGGGTACCGCTCCCAAGTGCGGTGACTGCGGCATCAAGCTCCCTGGCGTGAGTGTCTCCTAACCGGTGGTGTGTGTTGTGTCGTGTGCGGGACCCGAGCGAAATTGCAAAATTCTGTGTGGATGTGCGATCGAGGACCGACACATGACATACTCAACTCCGACCGTGTTCTCTCTCGCAAAAACACACAAAACTAAGCACGCATCAACAGATTCCCGCCCTCCGCCCCCGCGAATACTCCCAGATCTCCCGCCCCAAGAAGAACGTCAGCCGCGCCTACGGTGGCTCGCGCTGCGCCGGCTGCGTCAAGGACCGCATTGTGCGCGCTTTCCTGATCGAGGAGCAGAAGATCGTCAAGAAGGTGCTCAAGGAGTCCCAGGAGAAGCCTAGCAAGCGCTAAGCGAGGAGCATTCTGTGTCGGACGGTGTTTATCTTTTACTTACGGAAAGGAAAGAAAAAATCAGCTGGGATTGGTTCTGTTAGCATCGGAAAGATGAACAGCAACAGCTGGCATGCCAGTCCACGCTGTGGATTGCAGCTACGCAAATGAAACCCATTTTTATTCATGATCGATCAGGTCGGCCGTGGTTGTTGGATTGTTGTCCAACCGGCAGCAACGTAGTATTGATCCTGGACTTTCGTTTCTAGTAAGCATGCTACGTAGTATTCCCATCGTCGCTCGCGAATGTGCCTCGCTCTCGACGCTTCGACTATGACGACTTACCCAATTGATCTCCATTTTGCTCCGCTGGATGGATAGAGTATAGCAGGATGCTATGAACAGTAGTATCATCAGCATCTCTAGTATAAGCATATGTAAACGGCAGTTCCAGAGGAATGCATCGCCACCAACATACTCAGACTTCATGATTTAATGCAAAGCCTTGACTCAGCCGTGCCGTTGTTATGATTTTGTCTTGTCGCACTGAACCACCCTGATTTCTGCAAATTGCCTTTTCTCAACAGAATGGTGTATCTGCATTGGCTCCTTGCTTTCATGTCACCTCAGTGGTACTCACGGTGGTTATTGACCTCAGTATAGTGGAGCTGGTTGACGAATTTATATATATCTCAAGTTTTCCTCTCTTTATTCTTAGCTACAATTCTCGATAAACCTGTTTCAGTGACACATATTCCCATTCCTCCACCAAAGACTCAACTAATTACCAACCTAATATCAATTCACTACATTTCCTCCATTAAGCTCCGGCACAGTCCATTCATGCCAGGCTCGACTACCGAGAATCAAACCAACCACCACCACCCCAAAACCAAGCATGCAACACAACGAAAACTAGCGGCATCTCTTCTCTTCGGTCATATTATAGACCAGGAGGCACGTAATATACCCTCCCTGGACAGGGGAACACGAGAGGGGAGAGAGGGGCTGGGTAGCCACAGACCAGTCAGGACAAGGATCATGATCCTGACTGGTGTCACAGATTGACAGAGAGTGAACGGGAGAGAATGAGAGAATGAGAGAGGGGCTAAAGGCCAACTAACCAGTGACGAAGCCATGGTAAATGACGCCTTGACGCCTCTCTGCTGCCCCCCGGTTACGGGCTTAGCCTTAGGCTTACGCTTCGGCCTACATAATTAGCTTGCTTGGGCAGTAAAAATAAATCCAGGAGAACGGTTCGATGGATCTTGACATCTCATCTGACATCCACCTCATCTCCGCTGGAGCCACCGCTTTAGGTCGTAGAGAGGCCATTTCTGGCGAGCTTGCGCGGTGCGGCGATGGTAACAGCGGCAGCGGTCGAAGAGATAAATACCGATGGCGGCCTCTCAACTACTTTGCATACTAAAGAGAGAACACGAGACCAATGCACATCTGAGACTGACATGTCCTCAAGCTTCCGTGTGCCTCCCGACCTATGTACGCTATGCCAAATCCCGTGCCATCCTGCGCTTAGCACACAAGGTATAGCAAGTACATGCATGGTCTGTCAGTTGTTCGGCCGAAGGACGGAGAAAAGCCGGCCCCTTCGCAGGACCATCTCTGGAACTGCCACTTTGAGTAGGAGTATCATCTTGGGATTTATCTGCCGGTGCTGCGGGTGACAGGCAGTGTGGGATGGGATGATGAGCTGGCTCAGCAGATGTCAAGAGTGGCGTTGTACGAGGCTCGTCGGGCATACTCAAGGCGTTTTTTTCCCTTATAATATATTTCATTTTACCTTTAACTGTTGTGAATATAGTGTAAGACAAGCCCGAATCGATCGTTCCGATCCATGCCGCTAGCTTGATCGCTGGATCTACCCGTCGGCCGCCCAATGGCATGCAATCCCTGCGCTTCCCGAGTTCTGCTAATATACTCACCATGTATTGTACCTCCCCCAGCTACGTGGCAGCCGAAGAACTGGTCCTAGTGAGTTTGTTCTCGGTACCTCAGCTACTGACGGCACTGATTTGGATGGACAAAGGATCTGTCTGTAAGAATCCATGTCCCCCGCGAACCACAATAATGGATTGGGCTCGGTTCTTTCAGTTAGTTCTCCACACCGAGCCATAACAGGCAATGCTGACGATGGGAAGAGCGGTCAAGTTGAGGCTTAGTATTGTTTGCACTCTCTATCTCTCGGATCCAATGGCCAATGACCTCTCCTCCCAAAGGCAAGCGGGGGGCTGAAGCTTGACAGCTGCCAATTGGGCCGATCCACCCACTACGCCCAACTGAAAGAATGAGAGCCCCTATCCATGTCGACCGGGGACTAATCAGTGTACTGCACAACCGAATGTGCAGTAGTTACGTACAGCCGACGAAAACCCCTGCATTCGACAGACCGGACTGTGGGTCTGCACGTCCGCCGTCGGCAGTAGTGCGGAAGAGAGATCGCTGCTGAGACGAAATCTCGGAACACCAGCCTCGCGCGTTTCCAACTACCGGGGAACTGACTAAACTCGATAGATTGGAACAAAACAAACCACCACGCATGCAGATCTGGGATATCCCCGGCTGCACATGACATGACAACTGCGGCTTGAATAATCGGTCTTTTGTGTGCCCGTTTCAATCTGAAGCTATTGATGCCGGCTGCCTCTGCCCTACATAGTCCGGAAAAGAGTGGAGAAACAACAAAACCGCAAAGCAGACTCATAATGAAAAAAAGAAGAAGAAGAAAGAATGAAAACGAAAAAGCAAAGAGAGAACAACAGGGTCATGCGAGCAAGAACGCACAGCGGATCGTATCCGACTCCCATACCTTGTCCCTGTCGGATCTGCCTGCCTGCACTTCACTGGGATCGTGGCGGGATTGGGGGCATTGCCGATCGGTGGATGAACCCAGCGATGAATCGACTCTTCTATGTATCTATCTGTTCGGTTTAGTCTCTGACTATCCCAGAAGCTCGTCACGGCAGGGTAAGTGCCGGTAAATGCTAGTGGATAGTAGTATTTACCAGCATTTACCGGTGGCTGTTCTCGTCTGACCCCAATGTAGTAATTATTTTGGCCCTAGTGAAGAAGAAAAAGGTGTCCAGCCCCTGTGGTGTGTACAGTACCAACATTATTGTACATAGCATTTACAGACCTTCCCTATATGATATTCATTGAGTAGGGATTGAATCAAGGTTGGCACATTATTCAGGAACAAAAGATACTTCTCGGCACGGACCGCGGGTACGAATGGAGTACTAAGAAAAAGCAAAATTACATCAATAGAGTTTTTGACACCGAACGGCTGCACTGCAGCTGTCAGTTCGGGAAAAGTAGAGTGGTAGTCAGTAGAGCGGTGTAAGTACCACCATCACCATATGTATCTCGGGGGTTGCAGTAGCACCTTCCCAGCTAGGAATATTGAGGTACCGACAGAGACAGCCGATGGGGGCAGTAGCACTATGGTACTACAGTGTTTTGCGTCTGCTGATCGCCCACGAGCACGTATTCAACAGTATTTATGCTACATAGCCGATCATGCGAGCCCTGGAGCTTGAGCTGCTTCCTGCAAGTGTATGGATAGGAAGTACTGGAAGATAGATTCTATCTTATCGTGTTGTGCGATGTACCTAGCTCCACAATCTCGATCTCGATCCTGATACCGAGCTATCTCAAGCTAGCAGGTCCGTGTTAGTGGGTGTAGGGTTGACGAGGGTGGGGAAGGAAGAAAATGAACAGCAAATCTGCCTAGCTAGGCCGCGTCACCGATGGACGGCTGCAGGGCGGTTGATTGGACTAGTAATGAGTCTAGTGAAGAAGGAGAAAGGGAAACGAGCCGCTCGGGCTAACTAACGGTGGAACAGAATGGTGTGGACGAACGAAGCCACCTAGTTAATTTTCTTTGTTGAAGAAGTCAGCATCTTGTGTCCCATGCATGATTATCCTACTTCCTCCGCCTGTGATTGGACCGCATGTTGGAGTCGGTCACACTTTACACAGACACAATGGAGGAGGGGAGGGAGAGCACGCTCATCTAGTGTAGTGGCAAGTAACTAGTGGTATTAACCTGTCGACTGCCAAAGATCCGTCTAACGGGCGTTCCCTGCACTAACTCTCCCGAGAGCGCCAAAAATTGAGACGTGCCGCGGCACTACTAAAGACAAAGAAATAGGCTTAACTAGCGTGCTATTATGTTTTTTACCCGCTTATCTGCCGATCAATAATGACACTTGATAGCTAGCACAGACAGGGTATCGTGAAGGGATGAACGAACGATCGGGTGGGTCGAGTTATTAGCCATTAAACGGTGGACATGACTCGTATCAGCACAAAAGAAGTAAAAGAAGTAAAAGAAAATAAAAGAGGATCATATGGTACAGACACACGCCTACTCCATTCCCATCATTGCAAATCATAACATCATGAAATCCCAGTCCCTTTTTTGTAATGCACTTGATGAACTAAAAAGCCAAAGCAGACTAACCGACTAGAAAAGTGCATCATCTAGTTTATTGACCAGGCCAAGAAAGACCCGCCCAAAAACAGAACCAGAACCCGCAACAAAAACGACACTGTAAAAAAAAAGAGAAGCATATGCACGTCAGCCTTGGTCCGGCCTTCCGACCGCCGAGTCCCCGAACGGTTTAATTAGCTCCTCACCTCCTCACCCGCCTTACCAGCCGCTGGACCAACCATATTCCAAGCATCCACTAGTGCAGCACAGTGTATATGCCGGGCGGGAGACCGTGCGAGACGTCAGGCACTCTAGCGAGCCCGTTACTGGAATAGTACTGCAGCCCAATCCAGCTTGGATAGGCCGGATCATCAAAGGCCAGGCAGCCCGTCCCAACATCTATGGCGTCTACGAAGACGGGAGCGGTGTCGTCCATCGGCAGGCTGGCGCAGCCGATCACCATGCTCGGATCGAATGATCGCACGGGTGAACTGTTGGTCTCTGCGGGGTTCATGGTGTGGTGGGCTTGCATCATTGCGACGGGCGAGGGACCAATTGGTGCATAGTGACTGTGACGGGGAGGCGAAGGGTGATCATGGTGAGGGGTCTGTTGCTGAAGCTGGCGGCGCAGATGGCGAACCGGTGGCCGAGCTCGATATTGGTCCTTTCGCAGTAGCTCGTCCTGACTCGTGCTGGTGGTGGTCGAATGGCGGATCTTCGCTGCGCTGCTTCTGCTGGCCTTAGCTCCTGCCTTCGACCCTGAATGATGATGCCGCTGAGGAAGGGCAGGAGGACTAGAGCTCTTGTGTCGCTTGTGGTTCGCCTTTCTGTAGCGAGTGGTCGAATGGACGCCGCCTTGCTCCAGTGCTTCCTGCGTCAGCCGCCAGAAGTTGACTGCTTTCTTACCCGGTGCTGCTTCTTCCTTGATGGCTTCAAATCCCTGTAAAGACAACTGATTAGAAACATGGATTGCAACAAAGTGACAAGAGGGAAAATGCATGCATACTGCATTCATGGAAAGATTGTGGCGGATACTGTTCTGCCAGCCCTTTGAGGACGGGTCTTTACTCTTCGCGGTGTGCTTTTCGAACCAATTGTAAATACCCTGAAGAGGCAGCTTCTTGTTTTCTGCAGATACCAGTGCCTCATAGATGAGTTTGGAGTACGGCTGATCATCGCTGGACTCGCTAGCGGCAGAGTTCTCCCGTGAAGGAGCAGGCTCGGGTGAGGAGATCGTCATGGGGCCGTGAATGCTGGGCCCGGATGCCGCCTGCGAAAGATACGAGGCAATTTCAAACAGAGGAGGAGGCGAAGCACGCATTTCTGGCAGATCTAGGCTCTCCATTTGGGTCGGGTTAGGATTGTAGTGGTTGGGGCGAGGGTGATGATGCTGATGGTATTCTTGTAGAGAAGAGGGGGAAGCAAGAGCCTCTTCCATCCAGCTCAGGTGGTGGTCACCATTTTCCATGTGCTGCCGGTGGAGGCCCGGGCTCAATGGAGCCACAGTGGATGGGGAAGCCATCAGGGTAGGGTTTGAAGAAGTGGCGTCGTAAGAGTCCAAATAGGGTGAGTGAGAGCTGAGCGCGTACGGCTCTGATAAGGCTATGGCGGCGCTCCAGAGCTCCGGGTGAAGGTGATGAAGGGGCATCGGGGATTCTTGGGTGGATCTGAATCTCGGCCAGGCATCGACGGAGGGACAGGGGCTGTAAGGCTGGGGGGCTTTCATCTGGAGAAGCGTGTCGAAGGGCTCTCGCTGGTCAGTTGGCATCTGAGCCAGGAAAGAAGGGTGAGATGGAAATGAGTCCATGGCGTCCAGAAGAGAGCCGCGCTTAGTGAGGGAGACTTGTGACTAGGGACGTTCAGGGTCGTGCATTGGGCGGGACTCTAAGGATAGAGAAGAGTGAAGTGAAGCAGAAGGAGAGGCGAAGAAGAGATGAAGTACAAGAAGTAAGAATGGGGGGAGGCAGAATAACTGCCAGACGTGGCCATCCACCGATTGGAGCTGTACACTCAGGGAGTATGTATGTATGCTAGAGAATTTTTTTTTCCTTTCCTAGGATGTCGGACCCTGCCAGCACATAGGGCAACAAGGGCAGTTCGCGCTCTCTTTCTCTCTTTCACGCTGCAATTAGCCACACAAACACCACTCTGCTTTACCCTAGGTGAAGTCTCGAAGTCAACAAGAGACTAAAAACGACCAACCGCTACGACGGCGTCTCTAGATGGTCCCGTGGAACGGCGCGGAGCCCAAGTGACCAAAGATCTGACTGGGCATCGACGGATCTGGTGCAACGACAGAGGTGGCCAAGTGTGGCGGACGCCCGCAGACAAGTCCATAGAGGACATTCTCGAAAAGGGAAAAAGCAAAACAAAAAAGGGAAAAATACAGAGTTTCAGCCTAGACTGCACTCTTTCTTGCCCGCCGGAAGTTGTGAAGGAGCCCTGCAAGACACGGTGTGACCTTTCTTTTCTTTTCTTCTGGTTCTTAAACGTCTGTTCTGGGAATTCACCATCCCGGGTGGACGCACATGAACTGACTGGTGGTGTTAGTCAGATTAAGCATTTGACACCTGCCGCACACCTTATAAGGGGGTAATGTTTCCAGGCCAATCGTCCAGGCATCCCCACCGGCCGTTCAAGGCGCTGGAAAATATATCCCGCGCCTGGCCCCTCCAACCTCCAACCACCACCACCATGTGGGAATGACGGTCGTGCATGTGTTACTTCCGGTAATAGATCTGAGACAGTGTCAGTAGCCATCGGAGTATTTGATATGGAGGAGTCGTGACTGACCCGCTTGAACTGGAAATGGAGCTGGAGAATGCCCTTGTCAAAGGTACTCTTGAACCCCCGTTCTCGCTTCGCGCTATAATCCCATTCCTTATCCACAATACGGAAGGCAATGTCCTCATACGGTGGGCCAGCCATGAACCGGATGAGACAGGTGTCTTCTTCGCCCGCGGCCGCAAAGGACTCTCCGCGCTTGCGACCGTGTTCGCGCTCGATACGGTACGTGGGCGCCTTGGCCTTGTCGATGAGATCTGGGTAGAAGATGTTGAACTTGTAGCCCTGCACAACCTTCGGCGGCGGGTTGTCATGGTCGTAGTGCGTTTGGTTGTACTTGTTCCACTCGTAGCCCATCTGCACGCGGTTGAAATACCGGGGCTTGCGCGGCCGGTGTTTACTGGCCCACTGGGACTTGGAGCTCGTGATAACGGCCTCTTCGCTTGTGAAAATCTCCTCATTCTCGCTCACACCTTTAGCCAGCTCCCGCTCGTACAGAGCCTTAGTGGCCTGGGAGAAATCGTCATTGGGAATGGCTGAGAATCGCGACGACCCGGCAGCGGCTGGGGTGCTGGTAGAAACTGGGTACGCAACTGCCGAAGACTTGTCTGCTGCTCGCTGCCGTAGAGGGACGTATCCCATGCGCAGGATCTTGTGACGCTCGCGGGCCTATAGGATTAGTAGAGTATCATTTTCCCGGGGGGGATGTGACTTACCACCTGATTGAGAAACGCTGATTCGTCCATAATCTCCAGTCCTTTATCCTCCGGGCGGATCTGGAGCAATGGGTCCGGATCTAATCCGTCGAACTCTTTAGGGTCTGGTTGGCGAGCATCGTCCACGAGCGGCGCAAGAGGTGCCAGCTTTGCCCGAATCGATTCCGCCTCCTCTCTCTGCTGATTCCGTAGATCGCGCACGCGCTCATCGATGACGGCTTGGCAGACCTTCTTCAACTTTGCCCGCGCCTTCCATACCGTCAGACTGCGTAGCAATTCTTCCCAATAGTCCGTGTCGATAGGCTCATTGGAGTTCAGTTTTCTTTTCACTTGCACCTCAAGTGTCTGGAGTTGTTCGTAAGACTTGGGGCTCAAAAGTCGATTGATATCAGCAGCCACGGAGTTGAGCGCCCGTCCCTCGGGAGCAGTGATCTTTTGACGGTCTCGGCAGATGATCCGCATAGTCTATCGGCACAGAAACAGTCAGCGAGTGATAGGCCAAAACGAAAATGATGATAGCTTACCTGCCAGAAATCACGGTTCTGCGCGTTGGTCTCCAGGCCGACGAATGTATCGATGTCCTTCTCCAGATCCAGTAGCTCAGGCTGCGACAGGCCTTCGAACACTCCATCCGGATCAATGATATCCAGCTCAGAGTCGGCAATCTCATCGTCTAGGGGATTGCGCGTGGGATCGATCACGCGCAGTGTGACCGCCAACCAGTCGATCGGTTTCGCGCGGCCTTCCTTGACTCTGATCTCCGCCTTCTTCTTGGCTTGTTTCAGGACAAAGACATCCTCCTGCGAAACCCACTCGCGCGCCTGCTCATCCTCCTGCAGCTGGTTGAGCCGTACTTGGTCTTTCATGTTTCGTCGGGGTTGCTGCGACGGATCCTGTCGATCGCGCCATTCACGGTCATGGTGTTTCTGCGGTTGGCGCCAAGGTGGAGAGCGCGAACGGCTGCGCCTGGAGCCTGGGCGATCTGAGTGTCGCGCAGACATTGTGGAGGTTATTGGAGGAGAAAGTCGGGGGGAGAGAGATGGCGATGGAAAATGAATGATGTTCTGGAACGGCAGATCGACGGAGCCTCAAGGCGGTCATCTCACTCGGGCACAACTTCACCCCAACAGCTAACTACATACTTTGGCGCAACGGCGCCATGTCTAAATGGCACCGGCTGCGTCTGCCAGAAGACACTCCGGCGCTTCTCGTTCAATACTCAAACACGCGTCAGGGCTATGAAATCTACATGACGGATTTCATCTCCGTCTGGTCGGAACGGCTATCGCGCAAGGATATCCTCCAGAGAGCCGAACAAGATGCGACGACGATCGATCCCAGCGAGGATGTAGAGCAGCTTTCTGTGCTGCTGGGCAAGATTGGAGAAGCCCTCCGTGGTACCGGGGGCACCACCACCCTTAGCAGTGGGTCCCGGGACACGCTTGAGCTCATCACGATAACGGAACTGCCTGCTCCGTTGAAGCCGTTGAAATGGTCGTTTCATGTGTCGAAAGAGCCTCCCGAGGCCTCAACGCAGCACTTGCTGCTCCCTCTGCTGAAAGAGGAGGCAGATTGGGAGTCTCGCCAGCGGTCTCTCCTCGACCAGCTCAAGCAGAAAGATTGGGTGCTCGGCAAGCTATTTGACAAGATCGAAAGTCTCGGCGTCGACCTTGGGACTGTGTTTCCCAGTGCAGCTGGTTTGCACACAGCTCGGAAGGACGATACACGGTCTGCGACGGCGAAGGCTATCAAGGGTGTTGCCCCGTTTGACGAGCATGTATGGTTGGCCGAGAGCCACAGCACGAGGCTAGCTGCCAACTTTGTGCAAGAGATTCGTGCGTCTGAGAAAGCTGGCAATCTCGACAACCTCAAGTTGCCTCAGGGTAAATGGTGGGAGAAACTTCCGCCACACCCCACAACTACAGCTTCAACAGGCCCTACAGAAATGGAAAAAGATCATGGCAAGCTTTCGAAGCTTCAATCAGCCGAGTCTCAAGATGTCGAGACCGACGTGGGAAGTGAAGATGAGGACTTCCAGGTAGGTGAATGGGTACGAGAGTTTTAGATCATACTAATGGAATTTCCAGCGACAAGAAACGCCCCCTCAATTAAGGAGACAAGAAGTCAAGCCGAAATTAAAAAGGCCGGTACCATCTCCCCGTGCATCCGCCACAGATGCAGACGAAGCTACAGCTACAGAATCCGAACATGAAGCTGAACCGGCACCACGACGCAGACGCACTCCCATAACATCTCCTCCACTGAAGCCATCAGCACCTCCGCCCCAACCTCGAGAAATGCATAAAAAGCCTCGGGGCGGCTTGGGTGTTATAGGGGGCAAGAAGAAAAACGAAACACCAGCACCGGCACATCCCAAGCCCGCGGAAAGTAAGATTCGTGACGCGACAACTTCATCCACCGTCACAAAAATCGCAAAACAATCCAAGAAACTGGGTATGATCGGCGGCAAAGCCAAAGCCAATGCTCCCAGCAAGACAGAATCGGCACCGGAACCTGGTGCTGGGCCATCTCCGCTAAAGAAAGCAGCAAAGCAAGAGACCCCCATCCCACGGAAAGCGGCACAACCCAAATCTAAAGAAGCTCCATCTATTCCTCCTCTTCCTTCACCTTCAGCACCGCCAACTCCTGAACCTGAGACAGAGGAAGAGAAGGCCAATCGCAAGCGAGAGGAACTGAGGCGACAGCTACAGGAGAAGAGCGAAGCCCCTGCAAAGAAGAAGCGGAGATTCTAAATCTTTTGTTCCTTTGGGCATTGGATATAGTATCTATGAAAGAGCTGCAAAATCCATAACCTCAAGCATCCGCTACCTCTAGCTGTAGTTTGCCATTTCCAGCCCCTTCGATCATTTCTTCAAGTCGGTCACTAGGCAAAGTTGTTTTCTTCCAGGGTTTGACACCCGATGCGAATAGCTCGTCAATATCTAGAATATTGAAATGAGTAAATGGCTCTAATTGGTTAGTTTGTGGTCGAGGCTTACCTTCTAGGCTCTTCTTCTTGGTCTCGGGAAAGAAGAAAAACGCATGAATGCAGGCCACAACGTTGAACGTTCCGAAGATAATGAAGGTCCTCCACTGAATATTCTGGAACGCTGGTGGAGTAAAATAGCTGTTAGAAAATCCCAAAGCCCAATTAGCCGACGTTGCGATGGATACTGCTTTGCCTCGTAGTCGAATAGGGTAGATCTCTGAAGGATAACACCAGGAGATTGGTGCCCAGGTGAAGCTGTAAGTGGCAACTAATAGGTATGTAAAAGCAATCACAGCGGCTTTTGCCTTGGTATTAGTCGAATCCATCGTCCAAGTGACAGCGCTCGATCCATCAAAGCCGCCGGGCACGTAGTGTCCATATTGAGCCATAACACCGGCAGTAGCATATAGCCATATCATCATGAAGAATGCACCGCCAATGAGAGCGGGACGCCGACCCAGGCGATCGAGAAATAGAATGGCAGGGAGTGTGAACACAACGTTGATAATATACTGGACAGAAGAGGCAATGAGCTTGGTGTTGCCTGTCAGACCGGCCATCTCGAAGATATACACAATATAATAGAGCACTGCAAATAATTAGCTTTCAGATTCGTGAAGTTCGTACAGGTAATACGTACCAGCGTTGTTGCCGCTCAGCTGAGTCCAGATGTGCACAAAGATACCGGCTGAGATTCGGTGGATGTTGTCACGGTGAATGAGCTCTGCCCAGCGGACCTTTCCTTGCGACTCTGAAATCGACATAGCCTCCCGAATTTCAGCATACTGGGCTTGGACAATTGGTGCTTGCGGATCCCCACCACCATGGAGATGTGTGAGCACTTCAAGGGTTTCTTCCCAGCGATCTTGAGAGGCGAGCCAACGAGGCGAGCGAGGAATGAAAAATAGAGCAACGAACAGAACAGCGGCCGGTACAATTTGGACCGCCCAAGGTACCCGAAAAGCCGCTTCGCTGTTTGTATATGATGTCCCAAAAGTGATATAGTACATGATGAGACCCTAAAAACCATTATGAGTCCGGTGGCTCGGGTGATTGAGCGTGTTACTTACACCCCAAGTAATGCTCCACTGCTGAAAGCTCAGGATTCGCCCTCTCACAGCAGGAAGACAGAGTTCGGCTAGGTAAAGGGGACCGGTTGATGTGAACATTCCTGTGTCTCCATGTTAGATCATTCTACTTCAGGGTTATCACATAGCGCAATGACACACCGACAGCTCCGCCACAGAACATTCTGCCGACGATAAGCATCGCGATATCAACGCTGGCGGTGCATATGATTGCCCCAATAATGAAGACAATACATCCTACCATCATTGTGGATCTGCGCCCAATTCTGTCCACGACGAACATATTGATAAGGCAGCCTAAGAAAGAACCACCCGAGATACTGGCAGTAATTCCTCCTTGTTGAACTGCATTTGGGCTGTCGAACTTTTCTGTGAAGACCTTTTCACTCAAAATGGCAGATAATGACGAGATATCGAAGCCTTGAAGCAAGCCTCCGATGACAAGAAATGCCGTAATCACATAGATATTGTATATTTTGTATGCCATGTTGAGGGTGCGAGTCTTTCTTTCACTAATTTGAGGACGGCGCACCTGGGAGTCGGCTAAAGTGATGATTCAAAGCCCATCACCAGCTGATCAATCAAGGTCCGGGTGTCTTACGGCATTATTGTACCTGTTCAAAGGATGTATACGCTAGGGCTTTGTTAAAGCGGCGATGCGGGGCTGATGGATCGGGCCAATCATAGTTTTTCCGTAGTTGCGTCCTTAGGGCCATGGCGACAAACAGCCAGGCTAGCACGACACAGGCCCCCACTACCGGTATAGTAGCTAGCGAGATACGCGATGCCGGAAGACGGCAAGTTATGTGGCTTGATGATAAATTTAGCAGTAAAATTGCGAGAAAGAGTAATCTACAACGAATGGGCGACTAACAAAACCATGTAGTTTATTTCTGATACAGCCTGCGTTTTGCTGCTCTCTAAAAGTCTGATAGGCTCTCATTCAAGCGAAATAACCTTCTCTACGAAGGGGATCAGAGTCACAGGACTAGTCAAGCCGTAGGGCTGAGGCCCATAGGTGCTTGAGTATTGGGCCTGCTCCCAGGATTGTGTTACATTCACCTGGAGCAGTCGATTGCGAAGAGTAGACGAAACCTCAATTTTCACGTCATTCGATCCATCTTTCAAGAATGGTGTTATATCAACAATGGCGTCTGTTACGTCAATAGGACCCGTCCATTGAGAATTGATCCATAATCTGATGGTGTGGAAGACTGGGCCCAGGTCTAGCAAGGCACCGCTGGTTGCAGAGTTGGGATTCCATGTGAATTTGGTTGTGTATGTCCCAATCCCTGAGGTGCTTTGGAGGCCGGTGATATTATACCAAGGAATCAAGTTATCCAGTGTGAGCGTGTGGTACTTGAAGGTTGACGTGTAGTTGGTCCATGGAGAGGGGTTTGGCAGCCAGTCTTGAACAGTCAAATTCCATGGACCGAGCCTCGAGGGCTTCATCAAATTGTCAGAGCTTTCCAAAGTGAACTTTTTGCCGTTGCTAAGGACAATTTCCTGATCAGCCGTGGAAGATGAGCGAGCAATTAGGGCGTTGCTACTAGCGGAGTAGTTCAGGTACTCCACATCGGTTTTCACAACATGAATGTCGGGAACTTTGACGTCAGAGAAGAATCCCCTGGGAGCAAATGCCACAATCGTCGATTGGTTTGATCGAAGCTCGACCCAGATGTTGAATCGGTCACCAGAAGTGGTGTAGTTCACAATGGGTGTAATCACACCCGTCCATGCATCGAGCTCGTACGGTATTCCCTTCCCTTTGATAGAGGCTTCCGTCGCATGATCGGCATAAATGTCCGAGTTATACACCCAATAATAGTCGACCTTATTAGGAGCGTCAATGCGGTGGACATAGAGAATTGGACAGGGTGAGAGGTTCTTCGCAGTTGGCTGTATGTTCAGCTCCTGGAGTGCACCAACAACTTCGGCCTCGGTGTCAAGATTTTTGACAGAGGGATACTGAAGTAATTTTTGCATGCTTGTTTTGACATGTTCATCGCACGAGTCACAGTAATATGGTGTTGTCTCTGGCACTCCGCCAACGAACAAAATTGGGAAATCTTGTTCAGCCCACTCGAGGAATCTGGTGGCTGCTTCAACGGTGACGTTTGTAGAGTTGTCGACAATAAAAGCAGAAAATCCAGGACCATTTTCAGCCAGCAAGCCATTGGTAATAACAGCGTTGTCCTTGGGGAATAATTAAACCGCATTCAAGTTGGGGCTGCAAGAATAACTCACGAATTTAAGCAGTGACGGACTAACGGAGACGTAGGAGTACCCATTATTCTCAAGCGAATGATCCCAGAAGATGTTCTCGCCCATACCATAGTGCTTGATATCAACCGACAGATATTTGTGTCGATAAATGCCGACGTCCACACGAGGCACGCCTGTCTGTAGAATCAACTGCGTCCTCCCGATCCAATCACCCATCTCCTTCACATATGCCCAGCTCGGTTGTCTCGCTCCATGCATTGCCGAATACGTCCATTCAAATGTCGTCAAGCCCGGCCATTCAATCTCTGGTCGAATCCCAGAATAAGGGTACCCATGGGCGACAATGCGATTCACTCCACCCACATAATTGATCTTACAGTCATTGAGGATGACAGGCCATGTAATAGCATATGCCTCGTACCGATGAGCACCAAGTTCACTAGAAAAGATTTGCTTGTTCCCGAGCATAGCGCCACCTCCCATTGCGCGAAAAGCATCGATAACTCCATCGAAGTAGTTAGACTCGGTCTCCGGAGCGTCGATATAAGCAGCTGCAGAGACCATGTCCCACGGAGGAGCTAGATTTGGAGCTGTCGCGTATGGCTGAAGACTGCCTTGCATATCCCATTTGCTAGTCCATTCGGAAAGCCCGGTTAGATGATACTTCTCGTACATCTCTTGTAAGCATTGATAGAAGTCATTCCGGAGCTTCCAGCTGATGTCGGTGCCATTTTCATGATCATTGAAAGCAAAGTAGAAAAAAGAATTGGCAAGTGTGCTGGGTGGCAATCCCGTAGTACCAAAAAGTGCTGGCAGTGCCTTGGTTATGTCGTAACCTCGTGATTGACGAAAGAAAGATCTCAGCTCATCTGTCCAAAAGAGAGTCGCTCGAAATTCCGCTGAGTCTTCCCATGCGTAGTGGCCGAGCTGGCGTATTAGGTCGCCATTCTCACCGTCCATCACATATTTCTCCGTAAAGTCGGTCCACAGGTCAGTTCCTTCTTGGCTGTAGTGGTCCACAACATAGGCAAACCAGGAGGCTGGGTTATCTGGATTTGTGGCATTGTCAAAAGCCCCCTGAGCTGCAAGATAGCCAGTGCGACGTTGATAGAAGGTGAAAAGCACATAATCATTTCCATCGGCTGGAGCCTTGTAGCGCAGCTGACTGTCCTTGACCAAATGTGTGACATCTACGACACTATCATAGTCGAGTTGAATCACTCGAGGGTCTGTAGATGGAACTATATCTAATGTTAGGTATGAGTACGACATTTTCCTCGGATAAAACTTACTCTTGCTCTTTCTCGCCACAACAGCAGCCACAAACTTATTCGTAAAATTCGTGAACGGCGCGTGAAAATCTGGAGCGTTTGCGTAGCCTGGATTAGTCTGACCTGGTGGTGGTATCTCTCCGTTGAAAACTTGGCCCGAAGTCAAATTGGCGCTGCCGTAAGCCAGCTCTGTGTTCATTCCAGGAGAATCGGGATCCAAGATAGGTATGGAGGCTCCCTGAGTTGGGCCTAGAGCCAAGTCAATGAGCAAGTCAAGTTCGTCTGCAGCACGAAGCATGGTGTTGAATCTGTCCCTCCATCTATCTCCTCCATAGCCGTAGAGGGCTGGATCAACCACAGCGTCTTCGATGCCATAATTTTCGAGGCAGATGATTTCAGCGCCGCCGAAGCCAGCTTGTTTGATCTGTTGCAAGTCATTAAATAAAGTGCTGTCCTCAACATCCGCATCTGGAACCCAGTATCGAAAGTAAGGTCTGGCTAGACCTTTGGGATCTGCAAAGTCCCCCGGCACATCATACACAATCCAGGGGGCTGGTCGTTTTCCAAAGCCAGAACCTTTCTCTCCAGCAATGGCCTTGCTCATAAGAGCAAGACCAAACACTATGCTCGGCCTCATGGCAGATTTATGTCTGCGTCTTAATGGAACCCTTGTTACTTTGTGGATGATTGAATTATCGGTAGCATGGAAACTGCCGGTGGACAAGGTCAAACCAAAGGCGACGGAAGCAAGCTCCCTGCCGTCAACCTCAAAGTATAGCCGTCAAGCAAATGGTATCGCATCATTTGGCATTTTGTGAGCCCATGAAAGTTAATTATCTATCGGGTTCGATTGCACCGAAACGCATAGGCTTGCCGGTTTAGGACTTCATGGTCTGGTATTGCGATGAGCCAGATTTCCGAAACCGATGCTGATCTTTCCGCTAGGAGAACCCGAGAGTATCCGATTGCTGGAAAAACATCGCTTTCAGGAGCAAATTAGCCTTTCTTAGGTCAAAGGATTGCGGGGATGAGGGGCTATAGCTACAGGTGTTCCTGGTGACGTGCTCGGCTTATCGCATTCCGAATACAGGATGCTCTAGGCTCGAGTCATAATTGTGAACATCCAATAGCAGTTATCGGAGGATGAACGGGAGAAATCTTTTGTGTCATATAGGATGCCTACGGAAATTAGATGAAGTATGAATTTCCAAGCACGGCAAGCACGGCGACTCAATCATCTAATCTCCAACTCCTCCATCGACATTTGCATAGCGGCAGTTGGGACCTTCTTATATTAACCATTCCTCTTTGCTGGTCTGGCAATAACCTCTCACAGGTATCTTTTGAGTAACAATGATTCAAAAGTTTTTGACCACTCTACTGCTAGCTTTGCCGGTCCTTGGGCACTCGGTTACTCCGCAAAGGAAAACTTGTGTCATTCCTGTTGCAGGAGATGGACGCGATGATTCTCCTGCCATTCGCGAAGCTTTCCAAAAGTGCGGTACGAATGGAAAAGTAGTATTTGAAAAGGACTCGACATACAGTGTCCAAACCGTTCTTCAACTCCACGATCTGAAAAATGTCGAGGTTGATTTGCTAGGGACGATTGAGGTATTTGAAATCACTGTTATAGGACACTGCAGCAGAATAACATGTTCCATAACTAGTACTCCACGGACGTGAGATACTGGATTCAGCATGGTTCGTACTATTACTTCCAAAACATCTCTATCGCCATGGAGTTCTCTGGCGAGGACATCACAATTGACGGACACGATACCGGCACAATCAATGGCCAGGGCCAGGTTTGGTATGATCTGGCTCTGGGTATTGGAGGCTTATTCGGACGCCCGATTCCGTTCTGCCTGCGGAATGTGAAGAATGCCGTTGCCAAAAATTTCAAAATCCTGCAATCGGGGAAATGGTACGTGCAGTCTATGTTTCTTGCATTCAAATCGTTCCGTTAACTCTCTAAAAATAGGAATTTTGTGATGGTTGAATCTCAGAATATTCTGGTGGACAACATTTATCTGTCCAGCACTTCCAACGACTATCAAGCCAACCCTGGCAATCTTGGAAATACAGACGGCTTCGATACCATCAATAGCGACAACATCACTATTCAAGTATGTACTCAAACATAGTATAACATCCCCAAAATTAGTACTGATAGGTTTGCAGAATAGTTGGGCAAACGTGGGGGACGACTGTGTTAGCTTTAAACCAGGTTCGACCAATATGCATGTCAAAAATTTAACCTGTCACAACAGTGCAGGCATTGCTATCGGGAGTCTTGGCCAATATGATGGAGTGCGCGACGTGGTTGAGAACATCACAGCAGAGGACGTTACTCTCATTGGTAGTCGCAATGGTGCCTATATTAAGACCTACGTGGGCAAGCCCACCTACTATCCGCCTCAGGGTGGGGGCGGAGGAAATGGTTATGTTCGCAATGTCGGTTCGTATTGCCTGCATCCATCTCACGGGTTTGAAACCATATTAACCATCGTACAGTCTTCCGTAACTTTCATATTGAAAACATCACTGCATCTCCAGTCTTGCTGCAACAGTGCAGTCGGTGGGCAGGTTACGACGTTCCATCATGCGCTGATACCCCAGCAACAGGTCTATTCTCCAATATATCGTGGTCTAACTTCACTGGTCTGTTCTCCGTACGATAAAATCAGTATAAAGTCAGCTAATGAATTTCACAGGATACATGAATGAGGCTGTTGGTACAAACTCCATCAGCTTGGTATGCTCGCCGCTTGCCACGTGTGAAGACTTCTCGTACGATAATATCGATATCAAGCCGGCTAATGAAACAAAGGCGACGTACGAGTGCAGCAATGTTGAGGGGTACAGCTCGTCTTGTCAGAAGAATTAGAGACTAGAGGTTTAAAATGGCGGTTCCTGTCAATGATAAAACATTTAGTTTATTCAGAAGGGTTTCAATCTATCTTTTCCAATCTAGTCGTATATAAAAAGCCTCCGAGTTCTTTGATCTAAGGCCCCTTTGGAAGCACGTAGCCCTCTTCTAAGTCTTCTCGCCTGTTGAATTATTAGCGACCAGAAGCTGCGTCAAAATAGCATCCTTTCAACTTACAAGAATACCCCAGACTCGGCAACATAGACCATCCAGTATTTGATCAAGTCATTGAGTACTTCTGGTTCCTTATCAGCCAAGTCATGGACCTCGCCGGGGTCTTTCTCCATATTGTAGAGCTGCCACTTCTCGGGCCCTCTTGGCTTAGGAATGAACACTGCTTTCCAATCCCCACGCCGTATGGCCTGATGAAAGAACAATTCCCAGCCCGTGATGTAATCCTGGTCATGGACGCGCAGACTGTGGCCGGACAGATGAGAGATCCAGGACCTGCCTTTCACTGGCACCACTTCACGTCCTCTGAACGTGGCCCCTGGATGGGAAATACCTGCCAAATCGAGGATTGTTGGAAGAATATCCATCACGGTAGTAAATGAGTCTGTTATACCCTTTGCCTTGGAGGTCTGCAGGAAAGGTGGGTACTGGACGATGGCTGGGCAGCGGATTCCACCTTCAGTCACAAACCCCTTATGCATTCTCGATGGAGCTGTCGCCGCTTGAGCCCAGCGCGGACCATACCAGCAAAATGAGTCGTAGTTGCCCAGGTTCTGGACGTCGTTGTTGTAGGATTTATCGATGCTCTTTTTGATCACTTCTCCGGTCATTGGAATGGCCTCCACGACTGCACCCTCGGCGCCGTTGTCGGACATGAACAGAATGAATGTGTTATCCCACTCACCGGTGGCTTTGATTTTGTCTAGTACTCGGCCAATATTCTCGTCCATCCTATCGACCATTCCAGCAAATACCTCCATCGTCTTAGCTGAATACTTCTTCTCCTCTGCTGACATGTCGTCCCATTCCTTTGTTTCGGCTTCGACAGGATGTGCTTCAACGTTTTCTGGCATAATACCGATTTCAACCTGTCGTTTGAGTCTGGACTGGCGAAGGACGTCCGGGCCTTCATCATACACTCCCTTGTACTTCTTGACGTTTGCCTCTGGGGCTTGCAGAGGCCAATGGGGTGCCGTGAATGGAAGAAAAGCAAAGAACGGTTTCTCTTTTAGCTCCTTGCTCACTTCTCGCTCCTCCAGAAAGTCGATTAGTCTTGTGGAGAAGTGATCTGAGGAGTAAAAGTCTACTGGGAAGTCCTTGGTATCGACCTTCTTGTCGTCCTCGTAGTATAAACTTGCCCAATGGGCAAACACAGGTGTGCCATCGGGCTTCTTAGGCTCATAAGCATAGTGACTGGAGCCGCCTGGTAGCAAGGCAAACGAACGATCGAATCCTCTAGCATGGGGAGAGCGTTCAGGAGTCAGGCCTAGATGCCACTTGCCCGACATCGTAGTGTAATACCCCGCATCTTGGAGTATCTCAGGAAGAGCGGCAACTCGGAAGTTCAAGTAGCCTTCGTAGCCTGGCAGCTTAGACCTGGCATGAAAGCCCGTTAGAAGGAAAGAAAGATGCGGTGCAACTGAAAACTGACCAAGGAACTGGTGGATCGCGACCCCGACCCCAAAACTCCATCTGCCCAAGCCCCGCGATATGGTTATCTGTACCTGACAGCAGCATAGAGCGAGTGGGTGAGCACATGGATGCGGTATGAAAATCGGTCATTCGCACCCCCCTGTCAGCCAGAGAATCGAGGTTAGGCGTTTGAATCTCTCCTCCAAATGCGCCGACGTCTGAGAAGCCCAGGTCGTCGGCGACGATAAGCAGAAAATTGGGGCGTTTACTAGCAACCATGATTGGCACTTGAGACTGATTATCTCGAGACGAGTGGGTGTTAGGGTGATGGACGGAAGAGAATAAGAATGCGGTGGGTAAAGAGGCCCCCATAATTAATACTAGTGGGAGCGTCAATGCAGCGGATCTATACTGTTTACTGCTATGGATAAACGTTTAAGAGGAGCAAGCATTCCATAAAATTGGTCTCTACAATCCGATCAATTCCAAGTCGTTTACACTGAGCTAAAGAATTTTTCCCGAATTGGTAATGGGTTTCGAGAGATATAATGGCGAGAGAATGCTGTAGCATGCTGTCTACGCCTGTCTAAATCCGCCTCGGCGAGAAACTGGTCCAGGATCAGAACGCGTTTGGCGCGCAAATGCTCGGCTACATTTTTCCCGAGCGCACCATACGTCGAGCTACGCTCAACATTTTGGCGGTGATTTCGATTTCGCTTTTGTTTTCTCTTTTGGTATTATGAACGAAGAAGTGATTAGGTGCTGCCTCCTCGAATATGATCTGGTCGATAACGGGGACAAAATCAAAGTTGTAGTATCTTTTCCCTTGATTCGTACAACAGCTGAGATTTGCAAGTATCTAGGATGAATCCCGGCAATTGGGAGATTGAGGAGAGGCGGATTGCCCTGGGGTAGCGACTCTCTTCTGCAATGTTAGTTGAGCATTCGGTCAAGTGACCGGCAATAAGGCTGTGTGCTAGTTTATCATATGATGTGAATTGAATGTCCAGTTGTGCCAATAAGCAGCATATCCTATTATAATTGGTGACACATTTGTGACGGGAGACCCTTTCTATGCATACTACAGCTTCAAATTTCACTAGAATTCCTCATTCCAGGTGGTTCTGTTTGAAAGAGAATTGGACAGGATCATTTTATCTGCGCCGTGCATAATAGGATCAACCCCAAATAATTTATCAGATCCTCGTATATGCATCCCATTCCGTCAATCCAGTCTGCCCCACTACATCACAATACACATTTTCGTTCGCCGGTTCAACCGGTTCCTTTCCTTTATGGTATGTTCATTCCAATCTTCAATGCGTCGTCGCCATTCCTCGCTCTGCGGTGGCGCCGAACGGCCTGGTTCGGTGAGTACTCGCCTGCGCGTCGACATTGGTTGTCGAGAAGCTTGGAAGTTCGACCCATAAGGAGTAGTTTGTACGCGACCAGCGTTTTGGGGACTGTGTACAAGATTTGGCGAAGAGGAAGCGTAAGGGTGGCGGTAAGTTTCGCCCAAAGTGTTCACTGGAAATTGGAATTCCGGCGGCTGTGCGTTGGCCGTAGGTGGTCGAACTGCGTTGATGCCAACCGGTTGGTTTGATGACGAAAACAGCTGCTGGTCGGGTGACTGCGTGACACCGTTCAGAGCGACCATGGGCTGCTGAGGACGATGGCCTACTTGAGAGGCTGACTCTGAGGGCTCCATTGACGGTGCCTGAACAGGCTCCGGGTATTGATCGACGGCAATGACCGTGGAATTCCTTTTGCTTCGCCCACCTAGTCTTGAGCCGGTGATTGTGCCTAGTCTCTGCAAGATGGCGATTGACTGAGGGCGTTGGCGTTGACGAGTGCTCCGTGTTCTTGTAACTGGTTGGGGGGTATCGTTGCTGGCAGGCTCATCATTACTGGCAGGCTCCTCGTTGTTGGCGAGCCGATTGCCGCTGGAAGCCTCACCCGCGATTGGAGCAGCTGCTGGGTTACTCGGAAGAAGAGTTTGACGCAGACCCTCTGGCAGAGGGGTGTCGGCCTTGCGTGAATAAGGAGGGGGTGGAGGGATCCAGTTGTCGGCATCACTTTCATGAGGTAGATATCGACGGCGCGAAGTGGTTCGATATTGTGGATTATATCGGCCGCGTGTTGATGCTGCCGCGGTAGCAGCACGATGAAGTGTGTCTTGAGAGCGAGGTTGAGTATTGTCATATGGAATATCGGGAATGTCAACATTGTTCACCACGTGCTGCGACGTTGGGACCGCCATGCTGTTTGGACGAATCTGAGCTAGTGCTGATTGACTTGCAGTGCGGCGGGTTTCGCGGGGGATAGGAGGACGTGACGGACGCTGTCCAAGAGTTGCTAGCGCTGGATGGGTATCCGGACGGTATATGCGAGTTCGCCTTCTTTCCAGTTCAACCTCAGCATCCATAGAAGAGCTCGGCTCCACGAGTATCTTCGGCGCAGTCTCTCCGACTTCAATGTCCAACTCAACCGTTTCGCCGTTGCGTGTAGATCTCTCAAAATCCAGGAGGAGGACTCTTCCTCCGTCGACAGGGATATCTTCCTCTCCAAAGTTCTGCGGGAGCACGCCGCCGGGCGCCACAGCTACAAGTCGTCGACTGCTTTTGCTTGAATTGGGAGTTGAGGAGTTGCTTCGCACCCAGCACGCCGAGGTGATCCCGTGCATGTCGGTCACCTGGCGACCACGGACGAGAACCTTTGGTTGCCTGATGATTTTTTGAAGCTGCGCCACATTATCACGAGGCACAGAGGCATGGGGTCCAAGATGGTGGTCACCACATAACTGAGAGCCTCTGATCCCATTGTAAGACCCTGATGTCGGAGCAACATTCAATCGCCCTGGAATCCCGTAAAGCCACAAACCAGAGTCCTGGAATCCCAGAACAACAAGTTCGCCGTCAATATCCGTAGTTGGCAGCATACTGGGTTGCTGTTCCCGGGTTTCGTCGTCCCAAAATGGACTCGCAAAATATACGGTGCCTGCATCGATATCGCTCATCCGGATTGCTCTGAATGTTGCCAACTGGTTGTCGTATCCTAAAATCCAACTATCGTCTCCTTCGTCGTGAGCAGAAATAAGACAGGCATGAGAAAACCCATCGGTCGTTTCGGGGAAGAGGATCTGAGTCGTCCACATCCGCATGTGGACTTCCTCTGGAGACGCCTCCACTCCAGGTTCCGTATAGAATGGCGCGGTAATTGCGATAATGCCCTCTCGCTCGCCATCACTAGGTGATCCAAGAAGCATCGAGCCATCCGAAGAGAAAGTGATCGAATCAACGCGAAGGCAGCGCGCAGCTCGACGTTCTGTAGAAAGAACTTCTGATCCCACTGCATACACTTCGATATTGTCTTCAAAGGCCAAGGCAAGCACACTGCCTGTTGGAGAGAACGTCAGGTCCCGTGGAGCATCATTCAGCGTAATAGATTGTATGTGTTTGGCTTCATCATTGCTGAGTTGGTAAATGTTGACTTGGTGCATGGACGACAACACGGCAACCATTAAGCCGTCGTCACGGATAGTGGCACCCAGGGCCCGCCTTCGAGTCTTGAGCTCATGCTTCACCACTACTGGGTCACTCCCGACATCAAGGACAACGATTCGGGAAGAGCTGATACAAAGAACCAGCTGACCGTTTCCCGAGAATGAGAATCGAAAGACTTCGCCCTGCGGGAACGCCGTGGCCGAACTCATGGAACTGGATATCAATTTCACCAGCGTCTTGTGGGGACGCAAAAAGACATCAAATGCATTGCGGCGAACCTCTGTCAGGAACTGGCGTTTGACGTCTATGAGGTTGTCGGCATCAATGGGTTCCGTGACAGGTGCTGTGGTCGAAGAGAATGCTGGACAGCGCAACAAATGATACGCATACAACGAAGCTGAATCCGATATCCGCCTCCATTGTTGGTTCAGTAACGCCAAGGAAGCAAAAGTGTTGGCGTCAACCGCGAAGAGGATACTGGGGGCCGCGATTAGCGGGCACAGCTTCGAAGAAGCCAGGGAGGACTGGATATTCTCGAGGATGGAGGCTTAGTCCTCCAGGGCATCACAGGAACCTGAACTCACCGCTCAATCACATCGGAGGGGAGACGATCGAAGGAGGAGCCAACACGAACACTTTGGGGGCCATCAGAGCGCGGGGGGCTTTCTCAGCGCCGTCGGGCACAAAAACATCCTCCTCCATGATTCAATCAAAATAAACTATTCCGCCAACAGGCTGGCATCTTCCGCAGTAGCTAAAGAGCTACAGAGCCATCCAGGGGCGTAGGGTGATTCACAGTGGCGGTGCCTGCTGTGTAGATGATGGATTCGCCAAGTAACATCCACACAACGATATAAATAGATCCAAACTAGTTTCCCCTCGGGGTGCTAACGTAATCCGCCACATGGCCATCTCTCACTTTTGAGATCTTGATCTCGACAAATACTAATACTATCTCAGTACTGGCTATAGGGGGGAATGATCTTGAAAATTGTTTATTGTGGAAAGTCTCTCTGCTTTTGCTTTAAGGATTTAGAAATATTTCCTGCCTGATAATGGGGAAAAAAAAAAGCATCTGTCAGTCATATACCCTGGAGAACAGCTCATGAATTGCCCGATCTGCCTGGCATATTACAAAATAGCACTACCTTACTCGATCCTTTCGAATATATACCGGCGCATTATTATCATTGGGATCCAGAAATCAAGCTTAAATGGTTCCATGTCCCTTCAAGATCACGTTACTCTGCACCCCGCATCATGTGATCTCTGCACCGGCCGATTGTCTTCATCGGCAGAAACATTATTTGACTACAAACCACGAGGTCTTCATGAATTGCCCGTGCTGATCCAACCCTGGGTGTCCAGCCTATCGGGGTCCCTGCTGGTCCAGTCGACCCCCAGGACAAGTACTCCACACGCACTCTCGCTCCCTCTTGTCGCATTCGGCCGTGAACTCAACCCCTCCCGCCAAATTTTCGGCCGCCTCCGAAACCACCCCGGACCCCGAGAACTTCTTCCCCAACTTCCTTCCCCCCGCTCCCCTGCTTCCGGCACATCTTTGATCGGGTACGCGCACGACATGTCGCCTGCAACGGTCCAGGTCAATCCCTCATCCAAGCTGCCCTCGCCCGGCTTCAATGCCGGAGCGCGCCCATACCGTTCTCATAAGGTTCGCGCCTGCGACTTGTGCCGTAAGCGCAAATCCCGATGCACGGTCGACATCCCCGGCCAGTCCTGTCTTCTGTGTCGCGTGCAGGGGGCCGATTGCCACTACCAAGAGGAGCCGAACCCGGATGCATCGGTCTTGAGCGCACCCGACCCCAAGACATGGCCGGGAAGTCGAATGGAGGCGCCGTCCTCGGGACAGAAGCGCAAGCGCAGTCCGGATGGACTTTCCAACTCCCCTTCGAATATCCCGACCCGCCAGTCGACCAATGGGCCAAGCCCGCAGAACACGACTTCGTCCGGAGGACGCCGCGGAAGCGACTCCCGACGAAACTATGACGACCCGCAAAATGAGTCGGTCCTCATTGTCGGTCCGATGGTCGCGGAGGACGCGCAAGTTATTGAGAAACATATGCCTCCTGAGCGTTTTAGCCAGTCGGAAGAACCCAAGAACCACCCATACAACGTCTACTCGAGTGATCCAAGAAAGCCCATTCTGTACCAAACGATCTCGCGACGACGGAAGGGCATGCGCGTCGGTACGCCGCCAGGAGAGAACCAGAAGGAAATACTGGAGCAAATCTTGGGACCATTCAAACATGATCTCGTGAGACTGTACGTTTTGTGAATCTGTGGTCAGCTTCATTGTGCTAATTGATCTTATTCTAGTTTCATCGACCGGTTCAACGTCGCATTTCCCATCTTCGATGGCGAATCGTTCTGGGAGGCTTATGTCTCGGAAACTCCACAAGATCCCCCGGCCTCGCTGCTATGTCAGGTATATTCAATGTCTCTGGTATACTGGAAGCATGTCCCCAAGCTTGCATGCCATCCCAAGCCAGATGTCCGGTACGCAGTCAACATGACCGTTGCGGCCCTCCATGAGGAGTTCTCTGCACCAGGACTATCGACCATAAGTGCGGGCCTGATCGATCTGACAGGACGTCCAATCTTTTCCATGACTGGCAATGCCATCAGCTGCGGCCGACTTGTGTCCTTGTCGAATTGTCTTGGATTAAACCGTGACCCCAGCCAATGGAAGCTTCCCCCGCAAGAAAAGCATCATCGGATTCGTCTCTGGTGGGGAGTGGTGATTCACGATCGTTGGGGAAGCTTTGGACATGGAGTACCCCCACAGATTTCCAAAGATCAGTACGATGTGCCTATCCCCACCGTCGATGTCTTGGTTCCACCCAATCTCCGCACTGCGGAACGTGTTAGAGCTGCCCATTGCCACATATCTTTGTGTCGATTGACCGAGATCCTGGGAGAGCTGTTACCATTGGTCTACGGCCTTCAACACAAAATCTCACGCGAGATCTCCAAGAAATTAAGGCAGATCCGGACCGATCTGGATATGTGGGAGGACTCTCTCCCCGACTGGCTACGAGGACCCATGAGTCCTCCCAGTGAGCGGGTCTACGGGTCGAGCAGCTTACAACTAGCCTTTTTGGCGCTGAAAATGCTTGTCAGCCGAGTGGAACTGAATGTAAGTGCATTGTGACTGTGAAAGCTGGGTTTGTTTCTCATGGATCGTGCAGGAGGTCAACAACGCAGAAACCGACAACCCCGAAGCACGTCGCTATTTCCAAACAGAGTGCCGACGATCAGCGGAAGAGATTGTCGTGTTCATCACATCTCTGCGAAAAGACAACTACAAGGAGTTCTGGCTGCCATGTATGTTTTCTGAAAGTCATCCACAGCCGACAAGCATCCTAACATCCTCTATAGACAGCGCCTTCCATCTAACATCAGCAGCCACGCTCCTCGTCCGCTGCGCCCTTGAAACAAACGACAACGACGTCGCCCGATCCTGTCTCGCCAGCGTGGAGACCCTCCGCACTGTTCTGCGCCGCGTCCGCGAAGAAGAAGACTGGGACGTTGCGGACATGTGCCTGGACCACTGTGAACGAGTCATGCATCGACTGCCCGGCACTGGCGCCTCGATGGACCAGCACCTGAGCGCGGGCAGCCTGGCAGATAGCGGGCTCGTCAACCCGGCGGCGATCTCGCTGCCCGAAACACAAACCAACAATGACATCGTCGACGACATGATGTCCATCTCTGGCACGTTTGGAACGATGGACGGCTTCCCCTTCGATATGACGGGGATCTGGGATGTCTCTGTCTTCCAAGATGTGAATCTCACCTGAATATTCTTTTTGGACTTGGTTGTCTATAACTTTTTGTGCTTGTTAACGGATTGTCTGTACTTTTACTCTTTCTGTATATATATACCCGGGGTTCGGAGCATGTGCGGGCAAGGATATATGGTCACTATTATTGCAAGGCGCCGGCCGACTTACGAGGCAATTAATGAATATGTGTGTACTGGATAGAACGAACGTCTGTTTCTGATGATACAATTGTTTTATGATACATCATCTGCACCGCTAGAGATATTGTCTTCTGCAACAGAGATATAAAGCGTTGTGGAAAGTGCGAAAAATGTAAATTTTATACAAGAAACACGACCAAAAGTACGGACACCAAGCGCTATTTTACAGTCGTTCCTGAAATGCTCGCAGCCAACCCAAGAACCATTCTAATGACCAGCCCCTGCCCGTAAGTGCTCAATGTAAAAGAGTATACCGAAGAAAAGATGAGTAGGAGAGAGAAATGAGAGAGCGAGCGAGAGAGATGGAAAGATCAGAGGGCAAAATCCCATCTACTCCTTCTTCTCACCAGCACCGAACATGCCAGTGAAGGAGCCCTTCATGCTCTTCATCTGCTCCTGACGAGCCTTCTCCTCCTCAGCAGCCATCTCAGCAAGCCATTTCTCGCCGTTCTCGCGAATCTCCTTCTCGATCAGCTCGTAGTTCTTCTGGCCACGCTCGCGGATCTGGTCCCAGAGCATCTTGCCCTGTGCCAGACCCTCCGAGGGCGAGGCCTCACCATCCAGGGTGCGGGTCGACTTCAGGCCCAGGGCAGAGGCGAAGCTGCCAATGCTCATCGAGGGCTTCTTCTTCTTTTCCTCGGCGAGCTCCTTCTCGAAGCGCTCGCGCATGGCCTTCTCGCGCTTGGCGAACTCGACGGGGAGGTCTGTGCCTTCAAAGGACTTCAGCACCGGACGCACGTCTTCAACGCCCATCCCGGCGAGGTATTCCAGGAACGGGATCAATGCCACCAGGGTCTTGTCCTTGGGGTCGCCGGTCCACTTGTTCATCACGATAGCGTTCTCCGGCTGCAGACGCGCGTGTTCTTCCTTGGTGTCGATAAGGATCACCTTGGACAGGTCTCGGTTCAGGTATGCCAGATCCTAAGCAGGACAAGTTAGCATTTGAAATTGTCAAAGAGTCGTGTGGGACATACCTTGATGTACTCGCCATCCTTGTACCGAGTAGCTTCACGGAACAAAGGCCAGCGGATGATGCGGTAGGGGTCCAATTTCCGCAGAACCTGGTCCGCCATCATACTGGGCACACTGGTGAAAAGTACCAACTCATAGTACTGGTTCAGATAACGCAGGAAATAGTCGACACCAGGTCGCTTCGCAACACGCCATCCATGCTCACGGCTCCACTCGCTGTGAACAAGGAGATCCTCCAGACTGAGCACGAGGGTGTAGGGCTGACGCATATTGGGATCCTCGTCGGGCAGCAGCTTCGGGAACGCGGGGTCTTTGTAGTAGCTGGTAATATCACCGAAGCGGGCACGGATACGAGCATACCACAGGCCGAACCCCCAGCCTGAGGGTTGTTCCGGGTGCAATCGCTCTTCTTCCTCAGTGTCCCAGTTCCGGCCCAAGTAGCCCACACCCGAGACAGCACCCAGCAACATCACTGCGTACACGATGTTCGCCATGCGGGCCTTGCGGCGGTCGCCTGAGGTCTCGTAGCCTCCCTTGGGGATGTCCCCGCCGCCTCGACCATCCTCGGCATAGTCTTCAGTCTGGGAGGGGTCCTCGGTCAGGTTCAGCTGAGTAGCTCCGCCTCTCTTCGTTCGGCCTTCCAGTTCCGCAGCAAGTGTCGAGGGGATACCCTGTGTGAGATCGGGGAGCGGCTTCTGGGGTGCTTGTTGCTGCTGGTGCAATTCGGGGTCCCTTTCCGGCTCGGCCTGGGTGTCGAACTCGGCCTGTTCAGCGGCATATTCCTTGCCTGGTGTCGAAGCAGGATTTGCCGTCTGGTTTTCCGTCTGGCTGGCCTTCGGGCCACCGACTTGGCTGGGCAGCTTGTAGGGGGTGTTACCCTTGCCCTTGGCGTAGAACCGGGGATGCTGGACCGACAGGGCCGACACGCGGACGGCAGAGGCGAGGACGTTGGGCCTCGTCAGAGGCAAGACGGCACGGCTCAGCATGGCGGGTGTTGTGGGAATCGACCAGAACAGCACTGACCTTGGCAAGTACATACGTCGTGCAGCTCCGTCGTTCCGATAAAAAGTCGCGCCTCGGACTCGGGCGAGGCACGCGAACCACTTGCGCAGTCCCCATTTTTTTTACCTATTTCTTCGGGGTTTGTTTTTCCCTTCTCTTTTTCTTCTTCACAATTGAAAGTTGTCACCCAGACATTAATTTGACCCTGCATGCACTGCTTTATGCGTGTTGGGTTGTATTAGCTGGGAAGACCAAGACTCCCACATCCAAGAGCCGCAGCGAAGGCTTCCAGTGATGCTACAGCTCCAATCGTGGGATACACTTCTTTACTCAGTTACCTACAATGCGATGACCAACATGCGTTTCTGGCCGTTTAGTCCTGTGCCATATCCCTCCTAGACTTCACCCTTCCTTCCACCATGACTGCCAGCAACGTACGGAGTACAGTTCGTTTCCTCGAAGAGCCCGACGTCCTCGAGCTGGACGAGGACGCGCAAGACTCGGCACACGTCGAGTCCTTCCGGTTACTCGATCTGCCTTCCGAGATCCGTGTGCTCATCTACCATTTCGTACTCTTCACACCAACACGAAAGAGCGCCCTCCGATCCAATGGCTCGGTCGGAGCCTCTGCAAAGAAAAGCAAACCGCTCGCGCCCACCTCTCAACGGATTGCCCTGTTCCTCGTGTCGCATCTCGTCCACGATGAAGCAACCCACTACTTCTACTCCAGCCAGACCTTCCGCCTCTTCCCCGTGCAGGACTTTGCTCGCATGCCCAGTGTGCGGGCCTTACCGCGTCGCCACCGCCCCTCAATCACAACCATTGAGCTGATCCTGGGGTCCAGCTGGACCGCACCGCCGCGGTCCTGGGCTGTGAATGCCGGGCTGGGACTGCAGGAGATGGAGAGGGTGCGCACGCTCAAGGTGTTTATTCAGTGTGATCCATCGCACCCTGTTTTCGAGGGATTCCGCATTTCCAAGGACTTCTATACCGAGTTTGCAGGGGCGTTGTTTCAGCAGATTGTTGAGCGCCTGCCGGGTCTTGTGCAAGTGGAATTCGATGCGTATCCTTCGGTTCAGAAAAGTGGCTCATTGATGAGCCGTTTGTTACATGATACTGAGACGGCGCAAAAAAAGATTCTGTGGGGTCCGGAGCGAGGTTGGACAGACTATGATGACAATAATCATGACGACAAAGAAGAGGATGATGGTACTGACGCTGCTTTTGACGGACTTCGGGCTGCTGAGCCAGACCCGAGTGACGCGGTTGTTCGTGAGACAGACGCCGTGGACGCACTTGGAACCTCGCTCCGGGCAGTCACTCTGGGATCGTGATGCTCGGAGCGTCTTTTCCAGTTACTGAGTTTCTCATACTTGAAAATCTTCTCGTTTTAAACATTGCGCGGCGTTGATTGATTCCGGCTGGCGGACATCATGTACATATGATCAGTTTACAGGCATTGATGAACTGCACAGTACTTTCCTACTTATCCTAGGGCATACCAGAAGGGATCGAATAGAATATCATTTGTGTAGAGTTCATGCAATTTCTTCTAGTCCTCTAGAGATCCTCATCCACCTCCATGTCGGCCCCAGCAGGCGCTTCTTTGCCCCCCGCTGCCCGTGCCACCGATGCCTCCTTATCGATCATCTGCCGCGACACGGCAACGATGTTGTCCTCGATCAACTGCTGGCTCACGTCCTCGATGTCTGCAGATTCGGTCAGTGCTGTTTTTCACGGATAGCCAGAAACAAAACTTACGCTTCTTGGGATCCACCTTGCCAACGTATCTCGTCTTCAGCTGGTCCTTGGTCAATTCCGTCTCCTCCTTGACCCGCTTCTCATAGCCTTCCGCCAAGCTGACCAGCTGCTTCATCCGGTCGACGTTGTGCTGGCCCTCCTCGTGGAAGTCGCTCATCTGTAGCGCCTCGGTCCATACATGCTTGTGAAGGTTCATGAGCATGTTCTCCTCCAGCCCTGTCTTGCGGTAGTTGATCGCGATGCTGTAGTAGTGGCGGTTGAGACCGTGGATGAGAGCCTGGATCGAAGGCTTGTTCAGATGGCCCAAGTTGGACGTTGTCTGTCGGGGCTCTTGGCCCATAACCACCGTTTGAGGCTGGATGAGACGGAATGCATCAATGACAACCTTGCCCTTGACGGACTGGATCGGATCCACGACCACGGCAACGGCACGGGGCGTAAGCTGTTCGAAGGACTGCTGGGTGTTGATATCGACCGAGGAGAGCCAGCATCCAAATCCAGGGTGAGAGTGGTACCAGCCAACGACAGTTTCTGGCCTGCAGGATCATAAGTACATCGTTGCGGAAGATGTTCGAGGAAGGGTGCGCTTACCGTCCAGTCTGCCGAAGCATCTCCATCATCTTGGTCTGGAAAACAGGATCCACAGCCTCAACACTGACACCCGTACCACTCTGAGGCATAGCAAACACATCCACCACCCGCACTGTGTATTCGTCCACAAACTCGCCCAGCATCAGGCCCATGACCTCCATGGGCACACCAGCACGGCCATGTCGTAGCATCTTCAGCAGAGCCAAGGAGGAAATGTGAACCGTCTCGGAGTTATCAATCAGGTTTGGCGTGTCCTGGGCAGCATCCTGTTAGTATGTCATAGACAAGGCAGGCTGGATGGTCTGCACTGTGCAGCCACCGCACAGTGAAGGGAGTTCACTTACACCACCGGGTGCACCACCTCCCATGCCCGCGCCCTGGGCAGCTTGCAGCATGCGACTGATGCGATCCATGGCTGCTGAGATGTGCGGTCAAGAAAGGAGAATGGAAGGTTGAAGGGAAACGCGGCTGCTTCCTCGCAGGAAGCTCCAGGTAACTGACTCTCACGGATCACCACAGTGGCTAAGCGTGTCAAGCACAGATTTGAGATCAGAGAAAATCAATCCAAGCTCCCACAACACTAGATTGATATGTACCCAGATGAACAAGTGTGTTTTTGTGCTTTCCCAACTGATGATGGACACGGAAGGCGTGTAAAGACGAGCTCCAGCCTGCCATCCCTCACCGCCTTCAAGGTAAGGCGGTCAGTCCGGCGGCATTATCGCTTCGGCTGCGGCGATCAGTTGTTTCTCTCCACGCCTCTTCGTCTGTCCTGTTCCGCCATCAATCTGGAGTGGAGCATGCCAGGATTGGCTTGTCAGAGTACTTGATATTGCATTATCCTCAATTTCGCTTCCCGCGTCACCCCCCGCGTTATCTTTCCCGCTCCGCCCTGCCGTGTCCTGACCTCCCCCGACATCCTGCTCCCCAATTTGCTTGGCCTTGACCTACACCATCTTGAAACGCGTTGATCTCTCAGCATGGCCGCTGAGCCGCTTTTGACCCCCTCCGGGGTCAACAACAAGAAGGTGGCCTACTTTTACGACTCCGATGTGGGCAATTATGCCTACGTCTCGGGCCACCCAATGAAGCCTCACCGTATAAGGATGGCACACAGCCTGGTCATGAACTATGGCTTATACAAGAAGATGGAGATATACGTGAGTCTTCCCATTCCCGGTTCTCTTTTCTAGAGGATATCTTAATATATGGAGAGAGTGGCTGATAACGAACCGGCGAGCAGCGTGCCAAACCTGCTTCCAAATACGAGATGACCCAATTCCACACGGACGAGTACATTGATTTTCTGTCGAAAGTCACTCCCGATAACATGGATAACTTCTCGAAGGAGCAGAGCAAATACAACGTGGGTGATGACTGCCCCGTTTTTGACGGTCTGTTCGAATTCTGCGGGATCAGCGCCGGCGGCAGTATGGAGGGTGCTGCGCGGCTCAACCGCAATAAATGTGATATCGCCGTTAACTGGGCTGGTGGCCTGCACCACGCGAAAAAGAGCGAGGCAAGTGGCTTCTGCTACGTAAATGGTACGGTATCTGTCTTTTTGTCTTTTCTGCTGATTATCTTCCATCTGACACCTTCGCAGACATTGTCCTCGGAATTCTCGAGCTTTTGCGCTTCAAGCAGCGCGTTCTTTACGTTGACATCGATGTTCACCATGGCGATGGTGTCGAGGAGGCCTTCTATACCACGGACCGCGTCATGACCGTTTCTTTCCACAAGTACGGCGAGTATTTCCCCGGCACCGGCGAGCTACGCGATATCGGTGTTGGACCGGGCAAATACTACGCTGTGAACTTCCCTCTTCGGGATGGCATCAATGATGAATCTTACCAGAGCATCTTCGAGCCCGTGATCAAAAGCGTCATGGAGTGGTACCGCCCTGAGGCAGTTGTTCTGCAGTGCGGTGGCGACAGTCTGTCGGGTGATCGGCTAGGCTGCTTCAACTTGAGCATGCGTGGGCATGCCAACTGCGTCAACTACGTCAAGAGCTTTAACCTGCCCACCCTGATCCTTGGTGGCGGTGGCTACACCATGCGCAACGTGGCGCGTACCTGGGCTTATGAGACGGGTATTCTTGTCGGAGAGGGTCTGGGATCCCACCTGCCATTCAACGATTACTACGAGGTACGCATGTTCTTTTTGACATTCAAGACTCTACTGACTCCCGTCTAGTATTTCGCTCCCGACTATGAGCTGGACGTCCGTCCCTCCAATATGGACAATGCGAACACAAGAGAGTATCTGGACAAGATTCGCAACCAGGTGGTCGAGAATCTCAAGCGCACTGCTTTTGCTCCTTCAGTCCAGATGACGGATGTGCCCCGTAATCCGATGGTGGAGGGGATGGATGACGATGCAGACGATATCCTTGATGATCTGGACGAAGATGAGAACAAGGACAAGCGTTTCACCGAACGACGATTTGACCAGTTCGTCGAGAAGGTTGGTGAACTCAGCGACAGCGAGGATGAGGAAACAAGCGCTGCCAACGGCGTTCGTCGCCAGCCGGGTGCTGTTCGCCGCCGCAACCTGGCCAACTACCGCAACCTAGATCCCCTTGAGTCTGGTATGGACAGCGGTATTGCGACCCCTCAGGAAGCCTCGTCTGTTGCCGATGGGGATGTTGGCACCGGTCTTGACACCAGTATGACTGACGCTCCACGAACTGAACCCGAAATCGGTGCTGCTCCAGACTCAGCAGAGTTAACCTCGCTGGCGGAAGGAACCCCGGCCGATGCTGACCGTATGGTCGTCGAGAGTGAGGGTGCGACTGCGGCTTCCCAGCAGCCCTCCCCTCCTCAGAACGATGAAGATATCAATATGGAGGATGCCGGCCCCGCGACTGCGGAAGGAGCTGCTGATACTGCCGCCGAACCCAAGGAGGAGAAGCCGACTGGCGAGGCCTCGCCCACGCAACCCACCTCTCCTCCGCGCGCCCAATCTCCTGCAAAGGACATCTCCAAAGCTGCGGGAGAAAAGACCGAGCCCGCTCCCGGTGCAGAAACCGAAGCTTCCAAGGAGACCGCTGTCGAGGAGGTGGCCACCAAGCAGGAGGAATAAGCTGGTTCAACAGGACGAAAATATCCGGATTCGGCGCAATGGACAAAGGCAGGAAGGTGTTTTACGGGAATTTTTCAGCGATCCTCGCATTCTTTTTTTCTTTCTTTCTCTGGGGAGTGGCAGGAATCGAATTTCAGATCGAAATAGCTCTGATCATATTCCGACTTCTTCCCACTCTCCTTTGTTTCTGTCCTCGATGGCCAGAGACTTTTGCTTCTTTTTCTTTAAGTCCTTGCAAACCGAGCATATCTGATCCATGTTACCTTCTTCTCATTATGCGCTCTTGCCCCTCTGTTCCCCTGTTGGTCAGATAAAAACAGATATAACGAATCAAGCCGTCTTCTAATACTTTATTAGAGCTGACACAAATGCCTGAGGCACCAAAATGTTACCCTAGTTAGGGTACATCTAAATCACGTGTACTTCACACGTGACCCATTCACGGGACCCACACACAAGCGAGAAATCACAGCGGCGGGAACAAGACCTGGTGCCGTGATTTCGACTCTCGACCTTTTGTCGCCCAACACCCTTTCCTCCCAGTATCTCGACCCCCCCGATACACAGCCATCATGTCTAAGAGAGGGTGAGTCTACCGTCTACCCTTCCGCTTCCCGTCCAATTGCAGATGAAACTCCGTGGTCCAAAGAAAGAGGCGATTTCAAATTTCGAGGTTGCGTTGAAAAGCCTCGATGCTCCAGCCCAACACGCACAAGCTGTACCAGAGGACGGGAATTGGAATACAACAGGCAGAAATTGAAGGATGGATTTACTGACGTTTCTTTCTAACAGTCGTGGCGGTGCCGCCGGCAACAAGCTGAAGATGACTCTCGGTCTGCCTTGGTACGTTTTGCAATGAAATATTCCTCGTCCAGTCCAGTGCCAGTGCAACCCTCGAAAAAAGCACCCATGCTCTACCACTCTTGTCGTCCGATGCCTCCTTCTCGCCTGTCAACTTCTCACGAACAGCACACGAGATATACCAAATCGGACGGACGGTCGAGAAAAAATGTGGAACATGGGAAAAACGCCATGAAGAGAGAGCAGAGCGCACTGGACCGGATGCAGCAAATCAGAAGGGAACCATCAAAACTAACAAAGTGAACAGTGGCGCCGTGATGAACTGCTGCGACAACTCCGGTGCGCGCAACCTGTACATCGTCTCGGTGAAGGGTATCGGTGCCCGCCTGAACCGCCTCCCCGCTGCCGGTGTCGGAGACATGGTCATGGCGACCGTCAAGAAGGGAAAGCCCGAGCTCCGCAAGAAGGTCATGCCCGCTGTCGTCGTCCGCCAGAGCAAGCCCTGGCGCCGCCCCGACGGCATCTACCTCTACTTCGAGGACAATGCCGGTGTGATCGTCAATGCGAAGGGTGAGATGAAGGGATCGGCCATCACTGGTCCGGTCGGTAAGGAGGCTGCTGAGCTTTGGCCCGTGAGTGTTCCTTCCCTCTTATTCATGAAAGTGTTGTGTGTGTCAGGAGACTAATGACTGTTTGTTTAGCGTATCGCCTCCAACTCCGGTGTCGTCATGTAAAGAGCTCAAAATCAAACCCCACGAATGAAAGAACTATTTTTTTTATTTCAATGCAAAAAAAGTCGATACCATACCTTCCTTGAACTTCCTTTTAGGACTTGGGGGATCGCCGATGGGGGAGTTGTTGCATCGAGACTTTGGGAGTCAGTCTACTATTTGATGATGAAATCCAAACCGTGTTCTTCCTTTTTCTTTCAGCCTGGCTGTCTACTTCCAAAGACTCGTTTTCTTTTTTCTCTCCCTCTCACCCCCCTCCCCTCTGGCGAGTTCGAGGAAGTATTTCCGGCTACAAAAGAAAAATCACACCATTCTACACGACTTTCTTGGCTGCAACCATTTCCCATTGCTAGTGATTCGCAATGTGTTGTTCCATGTCCTTTGGAGTACAGGTCAATGGGCGGGGTTGGACGATCGTAAACGCCTACTCATCCGGGCTGCCTTTCGAAAAGTAATTGTACTCGTAGTTTTACTCTGAAGAGCCAGTCACTGCTCTGCATTTCCCAGCTGGTTGATTCATGTCTATTGAATTGCTTCTTACCAGGACCCGATGAATGATCCCAGATATATATCTACACATCCACAGTCCTCACTGTATATAAAAATACAAGTAGCCGCCATCACCTTATATACATATACCCCCCATCTCAAACCCAATCATTCCAACACTTCCAACCCCCAAATCATTTCTTCTGATCTCGAACCTCTTTTGGAGGCCGAGTGTTCTTCGAGGAAAGCCGCTGGGCCTTAGGTCTCCGCCCATGCGCCTCCACATTCGGCTCATGAGTCCTCGGAGCAAGCCGCCAAGCCGCTATTGGGCCCGGCGGCGTGAAACGATCAACAATAACATCTAGCAAAACCACCACCACCGTCACGAGCAAGAGTATATGGACCGCCCACCAGATGTGCTGCACGCCAGCGGGACACATTGTGATTGCGTACTTCCATTCGCGGACGTCGGGAGAGGAATCAAACCAGACTGATAGCAGACCTGCGTTGCCGCCGAATTCGCCCATCATTGACCGCAGGGTCACCTCACGGATGGAGGGCGTTTCTTCGGATATTTGAGAAGACGATGGGGACTGGGCGGAGTAGCGTTTTGCAGACCATCTCCAACTTGCGTCTGCCTCTTCTTTTTTCTCTTCGGAGGTACCTGCTTCATCTTCACCCTCCTCCTTGGGTGACCGGTCCACATAGTGAACGACATCACAGCCCGTATGGTCGTGCCCAGTCAGGATGAGCCCTTTCCGGCCTCGTCCACCATGGACCGCACCGTCGTCGCCGCTCATACCGAAAATTCCCTGCAGGATACCCACTGCGCTGGCATGATCACTGAGGTGATTTTGTTCTTTCAGACCACTCTCCTTCCACCGCGGAGCATCATCTGGCCCATCATCATCATCGGCAGAATGAAAATCGAACCACGGTTCGTCAGTGCAAATCCCAGCCTTCTTATGCAGCGGCACATGCGTCAGGAGCAGTGTAAATGTAGGATCATCGACAGGGTAGCTGCGATGACTGAGAACATCGTTGAGGTAGGCGTATGTCTGTGTCTGGAGATCCTGCGATAAAGCCGGGGTGTCGAGGATGAGCGAGTTCAGGTTAACCAGATGCAGCGTCGGATTGAGAATTTCCGCATAAGAAGAATTGACTTGCACTTGCACAGGTGGATGCTGAAACCGGATATCCCAGTTCGCACGCCCGAACACGCGCTCGAACCGCTCCATCCGCGCCTCGCTGATATCCCCCCGCGTACCCGATATCGTGATTTCCAGCGATGTTGATAATGCGTCTCGCCCATGCCGGGTCTGCATCTGGACCGGCTAGAGGCTCCAGAACCTCCGCGTCGTTGCTATAACCAGCAGCGCCCGTCTTGGTGATCTCATCGTCCACGCGCTCTCCGCCCCGAAACACGCGTTTCCAATACCGCTGGCCGCGCTCTGCATACTCCTCATCCGTCACCCACTGGCTCCCAACCAGATCACCCAGCACGGTGGTGTGCGTCGGCCGGGTCCACCAGAAGAGGGTGCGGTAGATGTGCGCGAGGTAGTAGTCGTTTCCGACGAGGTCGATTCTTTTCAGGAGGGAGCGTAGTGCGCGTGGAACGTCCTTCGTGACGAGTTCCGTGAGGGCGGTTGTGATATTGGAGCGGACATCGTGGGTCAGGAGTGAAAGTGGAAGCGGCGTTGTGGTGGACGCATTGCCAATGGCACCGTGGATGCTGTGCCAGTGCGAGCGTATGCAAGGCACGAGCTCGTATTCCGGGAGAGGGAGAGAGGTGTCTCCTTCCAACTGGGGATCTGCGAGGACGAGGAGTCTGAAGATGGCGGGCTGCGTGTTGGGGTCTGCTGTTGCGTCTGGGCCGCGGAAATCGTAGAGCAGCGTGCGAACCACTGGATGCTGCTGGAGTCTTTGGAGGAGACTGTTTGGTTGTGAGGTGTGTGCTTGCGGTAGAGGGAATGCGCAGCCCTTGAACAGTGGGTAGAGGTAGAGGTAGACCGTGGCTGTCAGGGAGAGTGGGAGCAGCAGCGACACGGCTCGCGAAAGCAGCGCGCGCAGAAACATGACGAGCGAGACAAAGGAAAGGAAAGAATAGAACAATTAAGAATTTACAGCATAGTGGATGTGTCCAGGGAAGAAAAGGGGGACATGGCGGAAGAGGTTGAGGTGTTGATCTGCGATAGCGATAAGTTAACTATTAATAGTGATTGTGTACAGATTACTCTAAACAGTCCTCGTCTCAGCAAAAGCCACTGGAATTGTGATTAAAAAATATCTACAGTCTCGCCTAAGCTTCGTATATAGAAGGAAAGAAAAAAGACGTATTATGGAGACTTCGAGGCACATTCTCCAATCAGCAGCCATACACACAAAAGACGCTGACCTTCAGGGACAAAGAACAGATTCAAGCCACAGTAAAGGGTGCAGCACATCAGAAAGAAATCTTAGCGAGGGGTATATCACATCAAACGCCGAGAGATCGGGGGCGGCATCAAACATAAATAGCAAAACAGATAGCAGAGGTCAGAAAATAAATTAGCGTAGAAAGCATCAAAACAGTCAGTGAGATCCAGTCTTCATCAAGCGCTCAGGGAGCAAGCTCGAAGGGCCCGTGTCTCCCAGACTCCCCAGAGGATTCGACATGGGCCTATGAGCGTCTTTGAGAACGCTTTCTTGCTCGTTCTCGACCTCGTCCTTGTCCTCGTCGTCCTCTTTCGGGTCGACACCAGGGAGAGGCTTGTCCACATCAGGCTTGTCCACATCAGGCTTGTCCACATCAGGCTTGTCCACATCAGGCTTGTCGACCTCGTGCCAGGTTTCATCATCCTCGTTAATTGACGGGGTTTCGTCGTCCAATTTGGCCGGCCCGTCGAGCAACGCCGGCGGGCGTTGGTTCATCAGCTGCGCCTGTTTCAAGCTGATGGTCTTCTGCTTGTTGGTCGTCTCGACGATCTGGTCCAGATCACGCTCGATCGTGGCCTTCATCAAAGCGGCCATCCATTTACGGCCCTCCTTGACATTGTCGACCTGGAAGTAGTGGACTGCAGGCTTGGTGAACTGCACGGTGCGCGAGTTGCCCGTTTTCGGTGGAACCAGCTTGAAGAAGAACGGTTTCTGTCCTTCTTTAAGGAAAAAGTTTGCCGGGGAGATCATCATGCCACTCGGAAGAATCTTGCTGGTATTATCGGTTGGAGACGTCGGGCTCGGGGCCATGGACATGGCAGTAGAGCCAGTGAAGGTCGCATGGAGAGTGATGATTGGATCGTTGTCCGCCCGGAGTACCCGGTGAGCAGTGATGTCGATTAGGCCTCTCTCCTCGGTATCGGTGTCGGAGTAATAGTACGACAGCCGACGACCGCGCAAGATGAACAGGCGGGGCTTCCAAGTAGTCATCAGATTTGATGACCTCTTCTTCATCCACCCGGAGTAGTCACATCCATCCATCTGCTCCAGCGGCCCTTTCTTTTCTAGGCCACTCCTGTAGGCGCTTGTGTCCTTCTTGGTCTTGACCGTCCGCGGGCGGATCATGAAGCCGGCGCCCTCCGCGGCCTTGCCAGACCCGTCGGTGCTATGGCGTTCTGAGCTCTTCGACGTCGCAGATGGAGTCGTGGAGCCGGTCCGAGTTGTTGTTGAGGTGGGATCGTAGTCCCGTGGAGAGGCTGGAGCAGAGGTGTCGGGGCTCTTACCAACAATGTCCGAGATGGCACGAAGTCCCACGGCGCGTCGGAACTTGGGGCCTGCATTTTTGAAAGATTGCTGTAAGTGCGAAGTCGAGGAGCGAGGGGAGCTATCTGAATCTCCCCGTCCAACCAGAGGCGCAAAACTGGAGAAGAACCCATGGTTTGATTTGCCATCAGCATTCCGCTCGGAAACGCGGTGGCTGAGACTGCGGAACCGGCTCTTCGATGGGACGGCGTTATAGGCCTGCGAGGCTGAAGTGACGTCTCTGGTTGCGTCCCGTAACGAGTCAAGGCTATTGATCCGGGAATGCCGTTTACTCGCGCCCTTCACCCGGTAAGGATCATCGGCATAACTCGACTTCCGCGAGTGGCTAGCACTCCCCGCGAGAGAAGTACGTTTCTGCAGAACGCGGCGGTTTCGGCGCGGGTCCGCATCAGTCCCTGAAAAGTAGCCTCGATCAAAGTCGTCATATGGCTCGGGTGCAGAGACGGGTGAATCAGACTCGGTGGTCAATGGACCCCGGAATCGTTGTATGCCTTCAGTGGTTGTGCCCATTGAGGTGCCCGGACGAGTTGGCAGTCCCTGGGCGCTGGTATTAAGGGTCCAGGACCTGTCAAGAGATGCTTTGTTCTGGTGGTAGCCGTTGTGGGACATGTCACCTCGGTTGGTGGAATCAATAGAGGAATGACGACGAGCGTGGTTGAGCTCCCGGATTGATGCTGCGGAAACCCTCCTGGAAGAGTCCTGGCCAAACGTAGGGGTGTGCGTTCCTATAGGAGAGCTGTTGTTGCTGGCCAGCCTCGGGTGCTGAGCTGGCAACGCGCGAGGGGACGGGTACGTGTTTGACTTCTCTGCTAGACTCGGGATCCGAGGAAGAAGAGGCCCTGTATGACCGGCACGAGACAAAGTTCGCTCGTCTTGTGGACCGGAAAAGCTGGAACCTCTGGAGATCCTTGTCGGTTGTATCTTGGGGCGCTTGATCTCTTCCTGGAACGCTTTGACTTTGTGCCAGGTCTTTAGCCGTTTGCCCATCACACCAAAGTCGAACTCCTTCATGAAAATGAAATCTTGATCCATATCAAGAAGAACGTCGCCGGTAATCTCCTGTTCGTCGAAAATCTCGCAATGCTTCGGGTCGACACCGAGGCCACGCATGTACCTGGCGGTTTCCTTCTGGCTCCATTTGCGGACTTCCGCCTCCGTCGGCTGACTGCTCTCCTCCTCATCGGTCTCGTGTCCATTGATGTAAGAAATTCGATGACTGAGATGACTACTATATTCACTGCCAGAATCATTCCCTGGCTTGGTTTCTTGCGCCATCGACAGGCTGTGGCGAGGTGTATTCATATCGGTTATGTGTTCATCGATGACACTCAACGTCTCATTCATGACCGGACTTTCCTCTCCGTTGATGTGGTTATCCATAGAAGTGCGAAAGGCTTGCATGTCGGCCGCCAAATTGGGGCGGGACGGTAATGGGGATGAGGTTGCTCGCTGTGTTGGTTGCCTTGGAGAAGGCTGCGGGGTTTCTGAGTCGAGCTGGGGTCCCTGGATATCCGAAGTACTCGTGTGTCGCGAGGCTTGAGGGGTTGTCTCGCCACTAGCTGGTGCAAAGGAGGTTGGTAGCGCAGGTGTGTCCATTTGTATCGGCGATTCGGTCGTCTCAGATGCGATCGCTGAGGCGGTGGCGCCCATGAGGTAGACTGTCGCTCCTGTTAGCTCTGAATCCCTAGTGCGCATCCTCGCGGACAATAACAGCGCGTACCTGCTGGGAAGAGGCCAATTTTGCTCGTCCTCAGTTGCCTGCCGAGGTACCAGCCGTCGCCATACTCATCGTCCAGCTCCAGCAGTTCGATTTGATCGCCTTTTCTCAATGTGAGCTCATCACCTCCGCGCCCTTCGAGAGGATCTAGATTGACAGTGTGTTAGCGATGCGCAGGCACAGGCACGGGTTCATAAAGGAAGAGGGAACGTTTGCAGGCGCAGATTGTCGCACACAACATCACTTACGGGCAACCTCGACATAATCACCGCGCTTGACGCCCTGGGGCGGGATTAGGGCAGTCATTTGTTGATTCTCGGATCTTGCGATCGCAGACATTGGGAGTTGATGTTGGAGAGGGTGACGAAGCTAGGAGTTGTGCAGGTCGCAGAGCATGGGGCCCACCAGCCACCAGCCCTTTCGGGGGGTCGGGAGGGATGTGAGCTCACACGCTGGGGGGTGTGGACTCGGTCGTAGACACCTCAGGAACCTCCAGGGGATAGCGACGCTGAAGGAGAGAAGATAATAATAATGCGACAGGGGAGTTGGCAGGACGAAGGGGGAGGGGGGAATGCGAGTGTCGCGCGGGTGGAGGGAGGGTCCGAGAATCTAATAGTGGACTTTAGTTAAGCCAAGGTTATTTAAGCCAAGGTTATTGGCCGCGGGGTCAAGCACAACTCACGAACACCCCAGGTGCGCAGACTTGAAGAAGAAAAAGACGATGCGCAAATACTGGCGCGACCGGGTGGCTGACGGAATGATCGTGGACAGGTCAAGCCCCAGCGTGGCAGGGCCGATCTGGCATGCACTCGAAGCCCCAGTGTTGGATTTCCAGGAATTCGATAGGGCGAAATGGGGCTCGCGGGAGGATTGGGGCTGCAGGGCGGGAAGCAGAGTCAACGGTCGGATAGAATACGAATCTGTCAGAGCGGACTTCCGATAATGGGTGGGACGGTGATGATGATGGGAATGGTGATGAGAGAGAAGATAATAGAGACGGGAGAAAAAAGGGTGAAAAAGACGACGACGGGTGACGTGTGGCGGCCGTCAAAGTCCGGGTACTTTCCACGGTTCTTGACGGTCTGGCTGGATTGCAAAGTTGAGAAGTTGCACGACTGGATGAATGCGGCGGGATCAACTAGGAGGAGTCGATGGAGTACGGACCTCGGGGGATGATTCGCTAGTGAATAGTATATCGGTGCGAACTAACTCACTCCTCACTAGTGACGATGTATCTAAACGGAGTTGTAGACTAGCAGATGTATATGGCCATATCGGGCCCGCTCGTTTCTTTGTTTGTTTCGCCCACCAACCGCCGCAGCTCTTTCTATCCTACCGAACCGTCCCTCCTTCGCGCCGCCGAAAATGCCCCAACATGGCCTCTCCCACTCGGTCGCGCGCTGATCCCCGCCTGGAGTCATCCAACTCCACCGCAAGCATTTTTCTTGGCGGCGTGCGGAGGACTTGGATGCCGAACTCGTCGCATCCGAACCCGGCCGCCACCCTCTCCTCCAAGCGCCCCGAGCATTGTTCCATTCCAACCCCCACGAGCGAACACCAATCGAAGGCCGCCTCCGCGCAGATTGATCGCGACCGTCCGGCCGTCCCGTCAGGTACCACAACCTCGCAGACTTTGATGTCGCCCGTGACACCCGGCGCGAATTTACAGCTTCAACAGAACCAGCCATGCCATCCGACGATTATCTCGACTCCCTCAACCAGTCACTCTCCAACAACTGCTCTTCCCTCTCCCGTACCGAGCACCAACTCCCACGCCAGCCCCGCTAAGAACAGCCATGGTCCTACAAATCGTGCCACGCCCGCCCCTCAGGCTTCTACAAGGCCAGCGCCCACGACACCACGTACGAATGGGGAAATCTGGCCCCCGCAACCGTCAAGTCAGAATGCCTCGCAGCCTCAGTTCCAGGCCTCAGGGAACATTACGACGCGTCCAGGACAGCAGGAGGACAACACCACCTCTGTACCACAGCCGGCCAACGGCAGTGCTCAACTAGCCCTATCGAAGCAGCTATCCAAACATCAGACATTGTCGCCACTGAGCGAACACGTCTGGCAGCTGTGGATAAAGAATCTGCAGATCATGAGGGAAGGATTGGAGGTCAGGGGCGAACTGTCTCCGGAGTACGGAGTGCCTCGAATGTCGGTCCTGCACCAGGCATGTCAGAAACAGGATCTTTTCTTCATAGTACTTCATCAGATGTACTGTGTACGGACCGTGGACCCTTATCTGTATGACCGGATTCCCGAGCTCCGGGGGACTCATTGTCAAGAGGGCATGCTCTTGCTCCAGGACCTCTTGGTGGACAATCTCACCCTTCCACTGAGATCGGTCGAGGCGTGGGCTCAGTTCCCATGCCCTGCACAAGATTTAATGCCACTGGACGGGTATAATTTGATGATACAGAAGATCCCCTGCGTTTTGACCCGACTCGTGACAGATTGGCGACCCCTTTATCGCGCTTGCTATGAGCGACGGTACCCGCCGCTGGTGGAAGAACTCGTGCTAATATTCGAGACGACATCGCATGCCTTCCTCTCCACTATCTTTGTGTCCTTGTGCCGCGAACTCTATGAACCCAGCTATCAACAGCAACTGGGACATATCTTCTGCCGCGATTATTTGGCGCTGGAACGCCGTATTGCCAATGGCGAGGCCTTGAACTCGCAAGAAAGGAATGCCCCCTTCATCAAGTCCTACCTCAAGCTCCCTATATCTTCCAGAGCATTACATCCAATTAACTGGACGCCTGGTTTTTCGCGCGGCCAAGTTCCGATTGTGTATCAAACTGTTCAGGTCGCGAGCATGCTGTCTCCGAGTATTATGTCTCCAACTTCTGGCAATGGTCAATCATCTGTTGCGAGTCCCCAGCTGCCTGCACCAAATTCGCCTTACGGTCTGTCTCACCAAAGACCGGGCATCGCACAGCCGGTGTCACACGGCCAGCCGTATCACTCGCCATACCACCAAGTGCTTCCAAGTCATCCGGCATCATCCCAGCCGGTTCCAACTTATGCCGTCCCCCCGTCCATCCCGCAGTATGATGGGGCGGGTGGTTCCAGACCTCTGTTGCAGACGCAGGCGTCTCAGCCACCCAGGGCTACTCAATGGGACCCTGTTGTCCAGCAACGCCGCCCACCGGCTGCAGTGGGAAGAGTACCTGGGTCGGGATTACCCCATCCTTTGCCTTCACGGCCGACTGTGCCCTCTCCACACCATGCGCCCTCCCAACAATCCCCTCCATCTCAGTACCATGCACCTCCTCAACGCCCTACGCCTTCTCAGCAACCTGCCACTCGACAAGCTGCGGTGCCACAGCAGCATCCTCCTCGGACCGACCGTAGAACCTCGGGGCAGCAATCTCAGCCGCGACGTGGTACATCTCTATTGCCACCGGCCGGCTACAAACCGTCTCAGACAGCTCATCCAAATCCGTTGCGGTTTGGCCTTCATCAGGCTCACCTTCGCGATCCGGTCAAAAAACTGGTGGAGCGTAACGCAAGCGAGGAGCTGGTCGACACGAAGTTATTCCAGTATCTTGGAGGATTTGTTCTCAACCCGACGTTTCTAGAGACTCCAAAAACGTGTCACAAGTGGACTTTTCAACTGTCAAATGCTCAATGCAGGAGATTCCCGCCCACAGTTAGTCAAGGAGAAGGAAAGCGGCCATTGCGAACCTTTCAAAGTGGGTGTTGGACGTTCCGCCTGCGGTCTATCAAGATGCCCCCCTCCCGAAAGCCGGAAGTCGAGCAAGTGTGGGCCAGTGCGAAAACAACGTGGCCGAGCGTCTTTTATATCTTTGTCAACGATCAGGAGCTTTTCGCGCGCAGAAAGCTTCACAATGGCAAGGACCTCCCTCTGGACATCACGGACTATCTCACGGAAGGAGTCAATAAAATCACCTTGAACTTGCTTCTCGACAAGTACGAGTGCAAGACCCAGCAGTACGCGTTCGCGGTGGAAGTCATGGAAGTGACCGGATATATGCAGTTGCGGAGTCGCGTACCGTCCCTCCCTGCGGCTGAGTCGCGTGCCCTTATCCAAAAACGTCTGTCTCCCATCACAGACGACGAGGAAATCACGGTCATCACCGACAGTTTGACCGTCAGCCTGATCGACCCTTTCTCAGCCCGCATCGTCGATGTCCCCGCTCGTTCTCGGCAATGTGACCACCTGGACTGCTTTGATCTAGAAACCTTCCTCAGCACGCGGAAATCGGCCTCAGACTCACTTCCCATGAACGACAACTGGTTCTGCCCGATCTGCAAAGCAGACGCGCGTCCCCAGGTTCTGTTCATCGATGGCTTCTTTGCCGAGGTACTGCAGGAAATTACTCGCCAGAAGCGACGAGAGGACGCACAGGCAATCGAGATCAAGATTGACGGGTCGTGGAACTTGAAGGTTGTCAGCGACGAGAATAGTCGTGATAGCTCAGGAGATCCCGTCCAACGTCCAACGTTAAAACGCAAGGCCGACAGCTCGCCAGGTGCGGGTGATGCTCGCTCAGGCTCCCGCGGGGTTTTGAAGCATGAAGGAAGTCCCACCCCGTCTCCCTTCGTCGTCCACAAGGAGCCGGATGTCATTGAGATCGACTAGGACTGGCAGTCTGTTCTACTCCATTTTTGTTTTAGAGATACCCCCTTATTCACTTGTCTTTTGTTCATTCGTTTAATTCCAATTTTTCCATGTTGGAAGTTTCTTTTTTCCTTGCATTGATTGACTGAAGTGTCTTCATACAGATAACTATAAACCCCCGATATAGACTGCCTTATCCCGTATCCTCCACGCATCCATCTGTCCCTTCCTTTGAAGTTCTTCTCTATTCCACCTCAAAGCAAACTCTCTCTCAACCTCTCCACCCCCACTCTCACCACATCCGCCTCCAACGCAGTGGTAATCACAATCAATCCCTGATTTTCCCCCAGAAGCCGCGCAAACGTAGTGTGACTGAAAATAACCACACGGTGATCTTTCGCTCTAGCAACAACATCCTGCGTCGTCTCCCCTTCTCTCAGATTAACAATGACATTCACCCAGAGTCCCGCCGTCGCCGGCACGATCTCGACTCTGCCGTCTAGCTCGGGAGAAGATAGTGTCGCGACGCAGATTTCATATGATTGGGCTAGTTGCTTCCGCGTAGAGGAAATGAGATTTGGCAGTGAGGGAGAATTGAGGAGATGTGAAGTGAAGTGTGCTGTTAGCGAGGAGACTTGCCAGAGTGTTGCGTAGGAGACGCCTGATATGACGAGTGGGTTGTATGACACTGCACAGCCCTATGTGGTTCGTTTTCTCTGCGTTAGTGTGCATGCATGCATTGCGTTCCTTCCTCCAGGGAAAGAGAGGTTTTGCGGTATATAACTTACCGAGCGAATACCACAAGCCCCGAAATCCTTGGTCGTGCTCCATACCACATGGACAAGATTCGGGTCAATAATGCTCCCACTCCCATGATCACCATCCGTACCTTTTACCAACTCCAGCGCAGAAACGAATTTCTCCGTCGCATCAAAAACAGTGTTCGCAAACACTTCATCAGAGATATAATGCAGGCCATACTTCTGGCAAAACTCCATCATCCCGCGCAGCACGTCGCTCGGCCAGCATCTCATAAACGGGTTGTTCGGATTCGAGGTGAGCAGCGCCTTAATGCGGCTGGGGTCTGGCGCGGAGGTGTATGCTGCTTCGAGCGCGGGGATTATGGCTTTCGATAGGCTGGCTGTGGGCCATGTTGATAATGGGGAGAGGGGGTCTATGTAGGCGGGTATCATGGTTACGTTGGCGTGGATGCGGGCCCAGGTTTGATAGCCCCCTGCTTGGTGGTTAGAGATATATGTTTGGATTGGGTTGGAAATATATAGGTATAATCGTAGGTACGATTGCTCTGATGGTTCTGTTATGGGAGAGGGAGGGAGACGTACACCAAGCTGGAGCAGGACAGAGGACACTATCTCCCGCATCACAGATCGTGAAGAGAAGGGCATCCAGCGCATGCCCCGATCCAGCAGTAGGAACAATGTTCTCCAGAGTCACTGGGATCGCAGGATGGAAGTACGTAGTGAAATACTTCGCGAGCGTCTCTCGCAGTGCGGAATCAGTGTTGAACCCATCGGGATTCGCGAAGCTCTGGTGTTCAGCATCATATGAGCAATGTGACTGGATTGGAGAGGAACGAATATTTACCTCTGCTGTGAGACTCGTCTGCATCGCCTCTTGACAGATCCCCACCATCTGGGTCTTCATTAGTGTGTTCTCGCCATCGCCGAGATTGATGTCTCCTTCTGTGGGCTGGTTTTTGTCTTTTCTGGATTGCATCGCAGAGGCGATGGGAGCAAATTCTTGCACTGTTGTGCTCATTCGGGTGGAGATTGTGCCAGGGTTTGCCATGATGCTATATTTTCAATGGTCGATGTGGAATCATAGTTGTTCACAGCGAGGTGAGATGAGATTTTAGAGGAGAAACTGGGAAGATGGGTGGCCTTATATAGTATCTCCTTTCGGCCCCCAAGGTCGGCGGAGGGAGGGGGTGGTGGTGCCGGAGGATATATATCTGCTTGGAGATTGAACGATAAGGAGTATAGGTATTATATTCGTAGGTATCTAGATCATGCGTACAACTACTTCCGCACGCGCCGAACGTGACTGACAAGGTTCTCAATGACGCCCTCAAAGGCCTCCTTTTCACCAAGCAGGCCATCCCTGCGCTTCAGCCAGAACTCAAGCACAGCGCTCGCCCGCTGCGTGAGCTGCTCCAGCTCACCGATATGCAGCTTCAGCTCGTGGTCAGTTAGACCGCCCAGCGCAGCATCGGTAGTCGCGCACAAGCGGCCCACAGCCGACAGATCCAAATCTGGCGGGGGAGTAGGTGCACGGCGGCGGGATGATTTCTGCCGAGCACCGGCACCGGCTTGCCCCATTGACGTCCTCGGGCTGTCGGTGTCGGTTGCGGAAGCCTCTCCTTCTTTGCGGACATGGCTGTGGGATCGCCCGTCCAGATCGATGGATGGAAGAACGAGCTTTTTCTGTTTGGAAGCGGGGAGGATCTCGTCGAGATCGACGGGGACGCCTAATGAGACGAGGAAGAGTCGGCGGATGCGGGATTTGACCCAGTTCTGCGGCTGTAGAGGCGGAGGCGCTACGAGTTGCGACCATAGTGAAAGTGACCGTTCGGTGCTGAAGATGGCGGCGGAGTCGGGGATTGGTTTAACTGGTGGCAAAGAGCTGAGGTCTTGGGAGGCGGGGAAGAGGCTGTCGAGCGTGCTGGTCAGAGAATTGAGGATTTCGGAGGTGGACTTGAAGTTGGTGAGTTCTGTGAGGGGAGGCTGATATGGTCAAAAAAAAGCAGTGTTAGCAACTGTGCCAGGGTTGACTTTGGAGTATGGCTGCCACTTACAACTGAAGGGGGCGTGCGAGGGACTTGGGGGGTTATGTTGCCCTCCGCCACGCTGGGCTCTTGGAAACCGTCGTCGAAGTCCCCAAAATCATCATCTTCCATTTCATCCTGCTCCTCTACGAAGTCATCAAAATCGTCTGCGGCTCCATCGTCTCCAACCGCGTTGCTCCTCGCTGAAGACTTTCGTCGTCCGCGACTCGGCAGTGTGGTATCGGTTGATAAGGTTTGTGAATCTGATTTGGTTGATTGAGTCAACCGCCGCTCTGCGGTTTGGCGTGGTCGTAACCGTTGGCTGTGGGCTTACCTGGGACGTCTGGGACTGTTTCTATCGTATCCGGCCGTGCATCGCTGGGGGATCGTTGGTGGTGAGCCCGCGGTCGTGATGGAGGCTCTTCCTCGGTGGGTATAGTGTCCACTCGTGACAAATGTGTTTCGGGAATCGGTGCGCTTGCGATATCATCACGACTCGGCGATGTTGGGGATTGGCGGCTGCCAGGTTCGGGGGTCGTGGTCACAACATCTGGCACAGCATCTGCGCGACGCTTCGCGTATCCCTCTGTGCCGGGTACTTCACCGTAGCTTGGCTCGTCTGGGTCAACCTTTTCGACCACAGTTTGCGGAATAGATGAACCTCCCGGGGTCAAGGGCCGGTCGTGCGACCCCGCCGGTGACCGATTTCTGCTGGATACGCCTTCAGGGACGACTTCAACCTCGTCCGGAACTGCATCCTGTTCCCGTATCTCGTATGCCTCCGTTCCCGGAACCTCGCCGTGGTGGGCACTGTCGTCGACCCGTTCTACTCGAGTTCGCGGGACAGGGGAAGCGAGGCTGGATTGTGGGCGTGATTTATTGAAGTTGCCTTCGCTGGCATCTGAGAAGTGGTCCTCATCGCTGCTCGAGTCTTGTCCTAGACGAGTGAGTTCTTTGTTTCTGCCATTTCAAGCCAACCATGGGGGGCGCAATACCGTAGTTGTCCTCCGCCCCGGGGTCCTCCATCCCAGTGCCTTTGCGAGGGGTTTCGAGATGCGCGGGCGAAGGGGATGGCCCATCCGACATGGTGGCGAGTTCAGGCTGGGATCATGAAGCCGGCGAGGGTATAGATGTAGTACGCAAAAAAAAAACAACCGGATGATAGGGAGTGTGTAGCGTGAAGTAAGTCAGGTCAGTGAGCAAGGTCGACGAGAGCCCAGAACCGGGGTGTTTAGGTTTGTGGATGCCTAATGGGTCAGGCCGAAATCAACTGCGTTAACAATTTATCCATGTTTATTATGTTAGCCCATAGTTGGTATGCTAGAACTTCCCTATTTGATTCAATAGTCTATAACGATCGCAAAAATGAAATAAGATGTCTCGTATCTCATGTAGATCTAGTAAATCGTGGCTAAACAATGGAAATGTTCTATAATCATCGACCCATAGAAGCATCTAGCAAGTCATCCATGGCGGACGATGCCTTTTGTTTGTCTTCATCGTCGTTCTCGTCTTCCGGCTCTCCAAATCCGCTGGCCGTCATATTCTTGTGTCGGGCAGCCTCGGGATCGGAGGCAAGGCCAAGTTCTTCATTTTGCACTTGGGTACGGGTGTAATCGCTTCTTTTGTATTTATTCCCTCGGTCGGTGGTGTTGGGAGCGATCCAAGAGTTGCCAGTAGGATCATCGAGAGAGATGGTGAAGGGGAATCCACTACCATCTAGGATGCTCTTTAACCTCTGAATAAGAGGCTCAAGGGCGTCATGAAGTTCGGGGGCTTCGGTTTTGCGGAGTGGCTGTTCACTCGATAGTGACTCGTGGATCCGCTGGACCACGCCTACCACGTTTGTGAGTTGGCTCTCGCCCTTGGGCATCTCAATGCCTAGAGAATCGAGCTTGAAGATGGAGACATCACTGCGGATGACCTGGCGCTGGAGGTCGTCCTCATTCTCAACCTCTAGGGTGTATTTGTTTCCAAGCTCCTGGATCTGGCCTGCAGATTTGACGGAATTATCCTTGAAGAAACAGTGCGGACACTCAAAGGACTCGAGGATTATATCACGGAAGAAGGGTACACGGAGGAGAAGCAGGCGAGTAGTTCCCTACATTGCGTGGGGTTAGCATATACTATCATTAAGATTATGGTGTTAGAGGGAACGTACATTCTCGGGACAGTTCATACAGAGGCTCTCGACCTGCATAACGCCGGTGTCATCATCACGTTCCACTAGGTCTCCAACCTTCTGGACTTGCGATCCAGGCGCATTGGTGTCGGTCGACATGGTAGAGAAGCGCCAGTTGGGCGCAAGCCATTTCGTGCAGCCAAAAATTCCCGCTGACCGCCCGCGTTCTGCCCGTTCTACCAGGGCGGGGCAGCTCTGATAGGTTCCCGAGCTGTAAGCCTTAGGCATCAACGGACTCTCCTCGCGCTTGATTATTGTTGCTTCCTCTCCTTCTTCGACTCTTGCTTCACCTTCCAATCCCTTCGCTGTCTCAATCCCCTTTCTTCGCGCCTGAGCACTTCATCTCGGGTCTTGTGATCCTCTCCGCAGGATCCTCGCCCCTGCTTCGGTCGCTGTCTGTTTCTTCGCCTGGTGTTCCTTTTTTCCTGCGCGACCTACCAGGATCAAGCTTGCCGCAACTTGACCGCGCCCACCCACCACCATGGCGTTCTCCTTCGGCACACCCTCCAGCGGAGCCCCCAGCGGTAACATGTTCGGCACGGCGGGCAATACTTTCGGGTCCAATCAGAATAACTCGAACGCTGGCTCCACGGGCGGTAGTCTGTTTGGAAATGTAGGAGCGTCATCCACCAGCGGCACGACATCACCTTCGCTGTTTGGAACCAGCTCCGCGGGCGGCCAGATGTTTGGCAACGCTGGTACTGCTGCTACTACCACCGGTGGAAGCACGGGCGGAAACACTGGCTTTAGCTTCGGCAGCCAGGCCCAAAGTGGCACTCAGTCTGGCTCTCTGTTTGGTAGCTCGCAGACCCCCGGCAAGACAACTGGATCAACTACACCTGGTCAGACTGCTACCAGCGGCTCACTATTCGGTGGCGCTGGGAAATCGGGACAGAGTTTGTTCGGCAACACGGCAGCCACGCCGGGTCCGGCTGCAGGTTCTTTGTTTGGCAACACCTCGACCACCCCAGCTGGCCCTCCGCCGGGGAATAAGCCACCGAGCATGTTTGGTGCCGCCTCCACTTCGACTCCTTCCACCGCTACGCCTTCTTCTACAACCCCTGCCACTGCGCAGCCGCAGCAATCTGGCGGGATGTTCGGATCAGGCGCTACAGCCAACACATCGAAGCCATTGTTTGGATCAGCTCAACCGTCTGCGCCGAGCGGAGGTTTGTTTGGCGCAGCAGGCCAAGCTAAGCCGGCCGAGTCGACCACTCCAACATCCACTGCAGAGGGCGCTTCGAAGCCGCTCTTTGGCCAGGCCCCAAGTCCGGCCACAGGCGGTACCCCAGCTTCGCAGACTCCGTCTCTCTTCAAGATGCCTTCCGCTGGCGGTGATTCCGCACCCAAGCCCACCTTCCCTTCCCTTGGCGGCACGCCTGCTGCTACCACTACCACCACCGCCGCCACCCAGCCGTCTACAGGAACTCCCGCATCGACGGCTACTCCTCAGAAGTCTCTATTCCCGTCTATTGGGGGTGCCGCATCTACAGCTGCACCGTCATCTACACCAACAGCCGCACCTTCTGGTGGTCTTTTCCCAAGTCTGGGTGGTGCCAACTCCACCCCTGCAACTACCCCGGGAACCGCAGCCTCTGCTCCCACTACCACATCTGCAGCACCGGCTGCCGCTAAACCTAGCATGTTCGGACAACCTCCCAGTTCTGCGGCGTCTACACAGCCTGCAACCGCTGCCAGCACTGCTGCAACAACATCGGCTGCCCCGGCCATGCCCACTGCCACCGCTGGAGCCGCTGGCGCAAGCTCCAACCTGGGCGCATCTACGGCGGGTCCTGCTCCGCCTGCCCAGTCTCGTCTGAAGAACAAGACCATGGACGAGATTGTTACCCGATGGGCGACCGACCTGACCAAGTACCAGAAAGATTTCCGGGAGCAGGCGGAGAAAGTCGCTGAATGGGACCGCATGCTTGTGGAGAATGGCACCAAGGTACAGAAGCTGTATGGCAGCACCGTGGATGCGGAGCGAGCTACACAGGAAGTCGAGCGTCAGCTGGCGTCGGTGGAGGGCCAACAAGAGGAGCTGAGCTCGTGGCTGGACCGGTACGAGCGAGACGTCGACGAGATGGTGTCCAAGCAGGTCGGACCTGGCGAGTCTCTCCAAGGACCGGATCAGGAGCGTGAGAGAACGTAAGTAGTTCTTCATGGATGTCAAACTGTTGTTATTGTACTGACACTCTCATCAGCTACAAACTGGCCGAGAAACTGTCGGAGCGCCTGGATGAGATGGGCAAGGATCTCACCAGCATGATCGAAGAGGTGAATGGCGCCTCGGCCACGCTGAGCAAAACCAACCGGGCAGATGAACCGGTATGTATTATTTTGGATTCTCTGTTTAAACCTTGGCACGCGATGTACTAACTCGTCTTCGCCCATAGATCTCACAGATTGTCCGCATTCTAAACTCGCACCTGTCCCAGCTCCAGGTCATTGACCAGGGCACCTCAGAGTTGCAATCCAAGGTCGCTGTCGCCCAGAAAGCTGGACAGTCAATCTCGTCCCGGCTTGGTTACGGGTATGGTGGTAGCCCAGGGATGGGCAACGGCAACGCCGCCGATGATTTCTATCGTTCGTACATGGGCCGCCGGTAGAGGGAATGAGGTGCTCGACGGACGTCCAACGAAACTATCCCCGAACTTGATTGACCTGGAAGGAGAAACTGGTTTATGTATGGCTGCTACTTTCTTGCCTGGTTTGTAATATGCCTTGGGTGCTCGTGGTTCTTTGATTATTCGGATGCAAAGGGTGTAACCTGTAAACCCCAGGAACGTTGCTGTAAATCTTTGGTTTAGGGTTATGGCTGGGCTTGTGGTTAGACAGGGTAGTTAATACGCAAAGGTGACGGCTAGGGAAACTGGTTGTCAATGATTCTCAATCTTCTGATTTTGCCCTCTACCATTTCATATCAGTGGCGCATAATATCTGGACGCCCCTGTTCTTCAAGTCCTTTCTACTACACGCGTTGTCGCTATTCATATTGACCGGCCTCTACAATAGGAGGATATAAAGTAAAACTGATGGCAACCAAGGTGGACATAGTACTTGCGATTTTCACTATTCCAAAGCACGTGCATGGAAGAGACTAGCAATACCGCAAAATAAAAGAACAAGCTACTTACGGAATAAACCTATTTCTGTTTCTGCTCCTCCTCCGCCATATCGCGCAAGACTTTCTCTGCTATCCGAAAGCCTTCCAAACCCGCCGGCATACCAACATAAACAGCAACTTGGAGCAAAGTCTCTTGAATCTCAATCTCAGTAGCACCATTATTGACAGCCCCGCGAACATGAACAGCAAGCTCGGGTCCCCGATTCAAGGCACACAACATGCCGATGTTGAGCAGCGATCGCTGCTTACGCTCGAGACCAGGGCGGGACCAAACCATGCCCCAACCAGCTTCGGTGACGAGATCCTGTATGGGCTGGGAGAATGATGAGGCGTTTGCGAGGGACTTGTCGACGTAGGCTTTGCCGGCAACCTCGTATCGGATCTTGAGACCTTCTTCGAAGAGGCGTTTGTGAGCCTCTTCGGCGGAGATAGTGGATGGTGATTGCTGGTTGGACATCGTTGTTATCTGAGAGACTTGTGCAAACGGACCGAGAAAGTAGCGACAATTCAATGAAGTGCCAAGGTCATGAATTATTTTGGGGCTGTTCCTTATACTATGTAGTCAGGATTTGACAATATCGGTGATAATAGGGTTTCACTGTGTAGGGTGAAGTTGCTGGGGTAATTCTACTAGACATTTTAATTGGGCTTTTACCAATGTTACATAATGAGGGGTGTCCCTAGCAATTCCCCGCATGGTCTCACAGATTATTATCCAAAGTGAGGTGAAAATATGAGCGGAAATATAATTGTCAATCAATGCAAAGTCGCAATGTGGATTGAAGGCAGGTTGACACAGCTTCTAAAGCTCTTCATCCAACTCAAAGCCACGAGGCTCGAGATAATAAATGCAACTTTCAGTACGATGGCCGTTGGCGGGTTTTAATAATATAATGCACGAAGAAACTGTGCGGAGAGGCGGAATTGGCCTGAACGAGAAGTGGCGGAAGAACTTTACACGTCTTTATGAATGGGTAGTTCATAATGAATGCTACGGTGGGGATAGAAATAGATCGTACCCTATCATATAGTTATTAAAGAACGAAGGGACAATTGTTTAGATGAAAGAGGGAAGCGAGGTTGAGAAAAGCGAGTATAGATAGCATTATATCATTATCTGTCCCCGACTACTCTATTTCAACTGTCGAAACGGAAACTTTGGTCGCTAGGGATGCTAGAGTATCGGCAAAGAAAAGAAGTTTATTATCATGATAGGAATAGTATATGAAATCCGGCAAATCGGCCGATCGGGAACAACCCTAAACCATGGGCCGTTTGACCCTCTATCTCTCGGAGAATAACATCCCGCATGCCCACCTGGTGACCCCCCACCAGTAATAATCCCTGCGGAGAATCATGCCGCCATTTTTCCCTGACACCCGAGGTAAGACTATCCGAATTTTCTCATCTCTGGAAAATGTCTACATACAGTCTTGGGTTCATAGGGTTGGGGGTCATGGGATATCCCATGGTCCTCAACCTGGTAAAGAAGGTGAACCTGACTGATAAGCTCCATGTCTACGATATTTCGAGCCACATTTTGGCCAAATTGGAAGCAGAAGCTCCGGAAAAAGTGGATGTGTGCTCCAGCGCGCGTGAGGTGACAGAGAAAAGTGTACGATATCAAACATCTCACATCATTGAGTTGATTGCAAGCTTCTAACTTTCACTTATAGGATATCATACTCACGATGGTTCCAGAAGGATCTCATGTTCGAGCAGTGTATCTAAACCAGGAACATGGCATCCTGGCCGCTGATAGCATTGATGGCAAATTGCTGATCGATTGCTCCACCATCGACACTTCCACCTCGCTTGCTGTTGCAGATGCTGTCAGTGAAAAATCCAAAAGTGCTGCTATGTACGACGCCCCCGTATCCGGCGGGTCACTTGGCGCCGCAGCCGGGACCTTGACCTTCATGGTGGGATGCACAGAGAGTGACCCCAACTTCTCCACTATCAAGGAATTGCTCGGGACAATGGGCAAGTCCATTTTTCCTTGTGGGGGGTTCTCTCTCGGCCTCACAGCCAAACTATGCAACAACTACTGCTCTGGCTTAGTTGCGATTGCCACCGCAGAGGCCATGGACATTGGAATCAAATCGGGTATGGATCCGAGAGTCCTGGCCTCGATTTTCTCCACCAGCACTGCTCAGAGCACAATCAATGATAAATGGAATCCGGTGCCGGGTATTTGTCCCGATGCTCCATCGAGCAAGGACTATCAGGGAGGCTTCAAAGTGCAGCTTATGAAGAAGGATTTCCAGCTGGCTGTGGATACAGCTTCAAGGGTTGGGTCGAATGTGCGTTTAGCAACCTCTGGGCTGGAAGTTTATCAGGGGGCTAGTGAGGATGAGAATTGTCGCGATAGGGACTCTCGTGTTGTTTTCCGTTACCTCGGGGGAGACGAAGATTGGCTGAATAAATTTAGCCCGAGCAAGCCTTAAGTCTCGTCCCAAGTGCGGTATATACCGCGAATTGATAATAGATCGATGAAGTGTTACACTCATATTAGAAGCAAAAGAAAACACACATAAAACAAATAATTTCCGCGGAGTAGATCAAGTTACGGGATAATAATCCGGCGAGTTAGTAAGGGCATAGCTGATGGCACTCGATTTAATGTCGCCATTAGACCCTTTGGCACATGTGTGCGGGGAATGAAGGATGGACAAGGTGGGAGGAAATATTCCGAGTGGAGCTATATCATAACGCTAGGAGCTATTTTCACAACTGTGCCAACTACGCTCTTCTAAGTCTCTCGATCCTTCTTGATCAATATGGCCAGTCTACCACATCCCTCCGCTGAGCAAGTGTACGTGACAATCTCCCCTATTGATGGGGGACAAATCACCATCCCAGAACGCTCGTTCGTCTTCCCCAATGACCCCAAAGCAACAACAACCGTGCCATCAATGAGCTTCCTCGTCACCCATCCCAACTCCTCATCAAGGCAACCGACACGACTGTTATTCGACCTAGGGCTACGTTCCCACATGGAAGCATACATCTCCAAACAACAACTGCATATCCGAAATAATCGGGTGCCCTACCGACTCGGTCCAGGCGTAGCCCAATCTCTCAGAGATGGTGGTCTCGATCCGTCCAACATTGACAAGGTGATTCTCAGCCACGTGCACTATGACCACCACGGCGATCCGAGCGACTTTCCTCGCGCAGAATTCCTCGTTGGACCTGGGTCCTTGAAACTGTTACAGCAGGGCCTCGACAAGACGGAGTCGCATCAAGTCTTTGATCCGCATCTATTCCCAGACCTGAAGCGGGTGCAGGAATTACCTGCTATAGAAGAGCAAGGGAAGTGGCAGCCCCTAGGACCATTCGAAGCTGCCATTGACCTGTTTCACGATGGCTCGATATTTGTGGTCCATGCACCGGGTCACCTTCCCGGCCATGTCAATCTGCTTTGTCGGGTTGGTGAGAAGAGATGGGTGTATCTCGGAGGAGATAGCTGCCATGACACCCGGCTACTTAGTGGAGAGAGAGCTATTGCGACTTGGACGGATCCTCATGGTCATATGCAGTGCATTCATCTTGATAAAACACGGGCTGAAGATACGCTTCGACGCATTCGACAACTAATGCGGACGGATGGGGAGCATGTGGAGGTTGTGTTGGCGCATGATGGGGATTGGTGGCTGAGGAATCGGAATAAAGCGTTTCCAGCCTGTTTGGATTGATTTCAATTATAGTTCTGAGTCGCAACAATCCAATTAAACCCCATGAAGGTCAGTAGTATGAAACAATTCGTCCTTTGTTGGCTGAACCCTAATTCGCCGGCTCGGAAGCCCCCACGGATGTCACACCAGGCACTGATATCATAATCGCGGGCATAGTATGGCAGCTTGTCAAAACGTGTGTGTTTTGATTGTAGAGGAGATTGTCATGTTCCGTACTACATATCTCAAATGGTGCAGTCAATACTGTTGTTCGCGGCGACGATGTTAGCTACTACTTGTATGATTGTGCGTGGTTTTTACAGCTGTATGGAGATGATTGGGAGCTGGAGATGGTACTTGATTACGACTGAGAGGGGACGATGTGTCTTGCACTTGTTTTTATTGTTTAGAATCTGGGGTACTTAGTTGAGCAAGCCTAGGTGTATGCGGAGGAGGCCGATGGTGGTTTGTGTGGATTGTCTGGGGCAGAAAGTGATAAGTAAATCTCTTTTCCGGATATTTAGGTGGACTACGGCTACGGGGAGGATAGTTGAGCTCCTTTTGTATCTCTTATGTGATTGTCTCGACTGTGATTGGAGTATCTTGCACGACGGACAGCAAATCAAACGACTGTCTATGCTATGGAAGAAAAAAGTCTTATCTAGTCATGACCAGGAGACTGCCGGACGGAGTGGAGATATGGTATACAGGATAGGAATTCCGATGCTGGAGCAGTCTAGGACTTGCCTTGCTCCTTGGTGAGTTTGTCACTGGGGAAACGGGAGTCAGCATTGATTCAACTTGAGCACGCCATAAGGATAATGCAACATACATGTGGCCCTCCAAATCATCGAGGTGTTTGCGCTGTTCCGTGATGGTCTTCTTCAGGGTTCGCAGCCTAGCAAATCGCCATTAGTTAGTTTGAGGGAGAGGCGGGAAAGTCTCCGAGGACAACTTACTTCTCCAGCTCCTTCTCACGAATGTACACAGCCTCCTGGGCAGCCTCACGCTTGGTGAACTGGTCACTGGAAGAACACACAGAAGTCAGCAACGTCGTCTGGACATATGATGTCATCTGGCTGCCTCTGGGCAGGCAGGCAGCGATAGTGCGCCATTATCGCAGGGTTGATGCAATTGGAGGATGGGATGTAAGGGATGTCACGTACCCAGAAGCTGCGCCTCCAGCCCGGGGAGCACCGGTGTCGCCCTCGCCCATCCGGGGGACGGCAACGGAGAAGGTACGGCGGGTCACTGTGCGGTTGGCAGTGACCAGGGGTCGGGCAATAGCTTGACGGAACATGTTGGAGTCGAGAGAGAAGGGGAATGGGTGTAGGTGGCTGGTTGGGGGAAGAAGACAAGCTGGAAGCTGACAGGTGCGAGTCACTGCTGGGGATGACGACACAGCGCCAAGAACTGGTCATGTGATTTTTGGATGGTTATGTCAGCAGATGTCGTCAGGTGAGCCGAAATTTCTGTTTCGGGCTCAAGCGATAAGTGAACGTGCTCTCATTCGACTTGCTAGTTAAGTAGGGGTGCTGCTAAGTCATAGGGCTTCCCCTTGAAGTCGCTCAGTTTTGGGCCAAGGAGATAGGATTCGGCAGGACAATCCAGTCCGGTAGTGGGGTCGGGTGTGTTTCGCAGAGATTGGGGACCAAACTTGGTGATCATAGGCTAGTAGTAGCATTATTATTAGTGAACGAGTTATTCGCATAGTTAGTAGAGGATGGAGGGTGAGCATGATGACGCGGGCCCACCGAACCACACAGAAGACAGGGAGATGTCGATGGGCCGACTCAGGACGACAGAGACCTGAAGAATACAATCACCAGAGGAAATCATGATCATAGGATGTGAATACGGAAACTCTGATGAAATCGTTAGTTCTAGTTCATCGTAACTTATAGTTAGTGAGTAGTAGTGAACACTGACTTGTAGTTGGCAAAATCCCAACACTGTCTCTCTCCGCCTTGTGTGTTTTCCCCCTCCTTCTCCTCTCCCTCACACTTCTCCCTTCATCCCCCATCGCTTCCATCGCTCCATTCTCATCTCGATCTTCTCTCTCGCCTTATCTCCAACAAACGTGAGTCTTCTCCTCAATTTCCACCTTGTTCCCTCGCTCTGCCACACAACCCCTCCCCCCCCCCTCCTATCCCCCAAACGGCCAATCCCACAACATCCACCGGCCATGCAAGATGGGGCTGTCGATAATTCTTCGTCACCACCTCGCATCCCCATCTCATCTCTTCCATGCAATGGCGCTCCGTACCCTCATGGTGGATGGGACCAGGTCCTCATTGTCTGCGTGTTTACCCGCTGGGTCGTTGCCGCGACCGCCCCCCAGCCGGACACCACACCCCGTTGACCCAGGAAGCGAGCAATGACCCCCTGGCCGTCAGGTCTCCCTTCCATGTGGTGCCATCGAAGATACGTCCTGCGTGATATGATAGTTGGACATACCTGGCTCCCTTTTCTTCCCTATCCACCCGGGTTCTTGATTGCCTACCCCTCCCGGTCGCCTCTTGCACTGCCCCTGCATCGCATTCTGGGTGGCATGACTCCCTGACATCACCACCCGCCGAACTATCTTTCGAGACAGACTTACTGACAGTATTCATTTATTCAGAAACCACCTTTCACAATGGGTCAAGAAGATGCTGTTTACCTCGCCAAGCTGGCCGAGCAGGCCGAGCGCTACGAAGGTTCGCATTTTGTCTCCTCGATGTTTGGGCCATTGCTGATGCAGGAAAACAGAGATGGTCGAGAACATGAAGGTTGTTGCCTCCGCTGACGTTGAGCTCACCGTCGAGGAGCGGAATCTCCTGTCCGTCGCCTACAAGAACGTCATCGGTGCCCGCCGTGCGTCGTGGAGAATCGTCACCTCGATTGAGCAGAAGGAGGAGTCCAAAGGCAACGAGTCCCAGGTTACTCTGATCAAGGAGTACCGCCAAAAGATCGAGGCCGAGCTGGCCAAGATCTGCGACGACATCCTCGAGGTTCTGGACGACCACCTGATCAAGTCGGCCCAGAGCGGCGAGTCCAAGGTCTTCTACCACAAGATGAAGGGTGACTACCACCGCTACCTGGCCGAGTTCGCCATTGGCGACCGCCGCAAGGGCGCTGCCGATGCCTCCCTGGAGGCCTACAAGGCTGCCACCGAGATCGCCCAGACCGATCTTGCCCCGACTCACCCCATCCGCCTTGGTCTGGCCCTGAACTTCTCGGTCTTCTACTACGAAATCCTCAACTCGCCCGACCAGGCCTGCCATCTGGCCAAGCTTGCGTTTGACGACGCTATTGCTGGTAAGTACTTTTTCGCTGTGAGTGTGAGGGAAAAGAATCTCACATCCGACGCAGAGCTCGACACCCTGAGCGAGGAGAGCTACAAGGACTCGACCCTCATCATGCAGCTCCTCCGGGACAACCTTGTAAGTCAATCTATTTTGCTTCCGAATGAACCACTGTCTAACTCTTATATCTAGACCCTCTGGACTTCGTCCGAGGCCGAGCCCGCCCCCGAGAGCGCCGGCGCTTCCGAGAAGAAGGAGGAGGCCCCGGCCGCGGAGGGTGACAAGCCCGCCGAGTAAAGAGAACCCCCCAAAATACTAGGTGTTGATGGACTCGCGTCCTTGGGACGGATAGGATAATCGAAAAAGAACGAGCGAGAGAGCGCGCACACATTGTGTCAGGTCTTCCCAGTGCAAGGGACGAGAGGGGAGACGAAGGGGGACAAGGATGACCGATGGGAAACATTAATCTGAATCTTCGTTTTTTCCTTGCCAAAGACGTGGGAGATCTTAAATTCCACGGCCGAAAGCTAGAGGGAACCGTCCATTTGTTTTGATGTCTTCTTTATCGTGGCACTTCTTTTTTCCTTTCTTTTTTTTCTACCTTTACCTCCTTTGGGATCCCGGTTTTTCTCATCATGTGTGTGTTTTTTCTTCCCTTCTTGATGGACCGTCTTATCCCATCCCTTGTTATTCGCTATTTTCTTTCTCTTTTCATTTCTCTTTCTTGTTATTTTGCCTACTTGCCTCTACTACTACCCAAAGAGTTCCCCTTGCGCGCACTCTCCAAACCAAGCCCACTACTACACACATACACACACGACAACAGAAGTTTCTTGATCAACCCATTAAATCAGTGCCTTTCCTTATCAGGTCTACTACTTGCAAGGAGGAAGGAGGAGGGTACCTATTCTCGGTCTTCTCCCCCAACCTTGGCTTTCTATCTTCTGTCTCCTCTCCTTTTTCTGGTTTCTTCGCGTCTTCCGTATTCCCTGTGCCTTGTGGCGTTGGAGTCTCGCTAGATGCTAGATGTTAGTGGTTTTTTGGGATAAGATCATCTGCTCTGTAGCTATACTTGGGATATCCTGTTTTTCCTCATAGTAGCTGGGCCGTTGCCGTCACTATGGCAGGCGTCGAATATCAGACACAAGTATGGCTTGCTACTGCAGTAGGTAACCTCGAAGCCCATTTTTGAGCTGAGCGGCGGCTCAGGCATTGGTATAAAATACGCACCCGAAAGATCCAAGCCATCGATATCTTCTTCCAAAGGTCCTGGCTCGTTTCATCGCAGCACTCACACATATGGCATATGTGGCGTGTAAACTTTGCTTTGCTATGTTGTTACTGGTTCCTTAGGCTCTCTCCGATGTAGGTAGACATCTAGTTATCAACCCAGACATCTCTCTAGTGGTCATGTTGTTATAACTTAGTTACGCAACCTGTCTATTCTGACTAACTTAGCAAAGCAGCCAATCCTCGGAACAATCGAAAAAAGGCGCCTGAGGCTAAACATTTCAATTCTATGCTGTAGACAATAGGTATTCTCGAAACAAGGGTTCAGAGGCATCATTTGCTTCGTATATTCTAGTCAACTGAGATGGATGTGACAAATATGGAAAATATATATAGAAGCCAGCTCTACACTAGTCATCTATCCCTGTCGGACAAAGCAAGGAAGAATACTCTCGGAAGATAGATTGGCTCCACATATCGGTTTGCTTTGCGACCAGCGAGTGTCTGCCCAGAGGATCTGTTTGGATATATCTCTGGTCAAGAATAAGATTTCCTCACCAATTCACCTGTGACACCGTCATAAAAGCTGCAGGGGGCGCTTCATACCATACAGCTCTATACCAAACAAACATCCTGTATATACACTTGGCTACGCAGCTCTACTATACACTCCTTTACCTACACCACATCTACACCCACACAAGAAAACCATGTGAAACATCCATTGCCGCTACAATTTAAACCACAAATTTACCCTACCACCCATGCAGGCGTGATAGGTAGGGACATTGAGGCCAAAAAAGTAAGGGAAGAAGTAGAAAAGACAAATACAAACAGTAGGGGACTTGAGACATGCACGCTTTCCTGGGTATGGCAAATGGCAAGGCGAGAGGGAAGTAGAGCCACAGAAAAACAAAAACAAAAACAAAAACAGAACTGAACTGAACTGTCAAAAACCAGAGAGACGATAAAAAGGAACCAGGGGGTGGAGTGGAGGGCAGAAGTGCAGCACATGATGGAAGGGGTTGATTCGGTCAGAAGGCCAAGTCAATTTTTTTTGGGACTGGCGCAGCAGCAGCGTCGAGTCCACGAGAAGGAGAAAAGGGGGACAAAGGGAAGGAGGAAGATGCAACAGAGGATGTACACTGTAAGCAACAGAATAGGAGAGAAGAATAAAAATGGACTTGGCTGCTGGCTGCGAAACACAGAAAGAAAGGACCCCTCAACAAAAACATTATGCGTTTGCCCCCTTTCCCAGCACGCCGTTCTCCTGCGGTGACCATAACCAGGAACCAGAATGCCCATGCAATGTGCCCATGATGACGAAAACATTTCCAGTGCGCGGCTCCAGACGGCAAGTCATTTCACAATTCAAATCGAGTCTAGTCCCAGTCCCCAAAACGCCCGAGGTGCTATGCTTTCAACAACAAACGAAGGTAAGAGAAATGGTCAGAAGCAAAAGTACAAGGTGGAACGGATCCACGCGAAAGTCACCCCAAAAGAGGGCCCAAAAATAGAGATAACGCCAAATGACGAGACAACACAACACAAAGTATCGACGGTAAAAACGGTGGAACCGCGTGATCACCCGAAGTGACAAACCCGCTTGTTTCGTGTTGATCGAAGCAAGGTTGCCAAGACTCGGGTGGCGGCCCACCGGTGAACCACCCGGCATGCAGACGATGATGTCACGGATACCCCTTGTTCCCCTGGCTGTGGTCGCCCGGTGTGTTGAAAGAACAGTGGAGACCGTGACGGGGTGACGTGGAAGGTGAAGTAAGAAACAATGCTCGATGCCACTCGAGCCAGTCGGGTGGAAGAATGATGGACGTGAAGGAAGTGGCGACAATCGTAACGCCCTGAGACAAAATTTTTGCCCGGCGGCTGCTGACCCGCGCCCCCCGCCACGCAGAGTATGGATTGTAGGCAACTTTTTGGTGACGAGGATTCAGGACGGCAATGGACTGAGACAATGGTGGCGACAAAACACCAGAAAAAAAGATGGCGGATGTTCATCATCGTAAACGAGAAAAAGAGATCAAGGGTCATCACGGAGGGCAACACAAGCGACCGCATCCTCAGCGAGTGGAGGAGGGTGCTACTTCTGCGCCTTACGAGCCTTGGTGCTTCGGGTCATTTCATTCTTAGTCATGTTGCGAGTCAGTCCACCGATGTAGTCCTGTAAGACTTTGTTTTCGACTTCCAACTTGTCGTGATCGGATTTGACGGCATCGATACGCTCAGCGAGTGCCTGCAGCGAAGATTGAAGGGCCTTGGCTTGTCTTTCGGGGTTAAAATTAGCAAACCATTCGCATATTGGAGACCGCAAATCCAAAAACAAAGATACTCACTCCTGAAGAGTCTGGCGAGCCTCCTTACCCAGGCGCTCCAGATCAGCCGAATTGCGACGCGGACTCATGGCGCGGGCGTCGTCCGGGGGAAACTCTTCTTCCTCTATTTCAATTTCCGGGTGGTCGCGGGGGACCAGGATGGACGCGGAGGGTTTGCGGCTAGCCATACGCGGTCGTTCTGATCGGCCTCGGCGCTCGTTTTCGGCGTCAGATATGGATGATGATGATGAGAGGGATGACATGTGCATGCGGCCACCGTCGTTGGGTTGCGGTAGTGTGTCGACGGGAGAAGCCTCGTTCATCTCTGTATCAGATGCCATAAGGTTGGTTCGCGACAATAACGGGAAGTAGAGGAATGTCAAAGAGACGTGATTCGCACGCTTAGGTCCAGAGTGGCGGATGATCGTGATTCTTCCACGATCAACAAAACGACGGCAAGGTTGAACCGAGATGGATGCTCGAACGACCACGGATCTACCCCTAGCGATGGACCCCAGACGATCAAATCTGTGTTACGCTTGAGGTAGCGACCGGGGTCGGTTGGGAGAGGACGGTGGGAGGAAGACGGGCGGTGGACGTTTGGTGTGAAAAGCGACCGCAATGCAGGTTCGGGAGGGGGGTTTTCGAGGCGATGGACCGGAGGACGGACGGAGGAGGGGAGGGCCTCAGGGACGGAAGAAACAAACGTCAAAGCGAGTGAGGAAGAGAGTAGACACAGAGCGAGAGGTCGAGGCGATCAGCCACGATGGGGGGGAGGAGGGGGGAAGAATTAGCTCGAAATACACAGAGAGTGGTTGAGTAGTAAAGAAGGGAGAAGAAAGACGGTGGATGGGAAGGAGGAGAAAAAGGAAATGGGTTTAGGTTACGGTACCCGTATTGAGCGAACGGTACCTGGGAGTGACTTGGGTGGCCAGTACTGGCGAAGTGGCCCACGCTGGTACCTCCGGTGTTCCCTGTGCATCCCTTCCCGAAAGGAACACCCTTTCTCCTCCAGCGCGTGGCAGCCACCGAACAACTGTTAGTGATGGACTACTACTGACCAGGTTGAAACAACACAGATCAAGCCCCCCCATAATTGGTCTTTATGACTATTAATTTTATCCTACGATGTCCATCCCGACTGATACTATTCATTATTATTAGGCGGCCAAGTCCCTTCTCCCGCTCCTGGATGTGGGAGGGGAAGAACCCTCCCTAACAAACTAGTAGGGCACAACTCTCGGTTCCGCTTCCACGAGCCCACCCGCCCCCAGCCAACGAGCGTGTGGCCTGCCGCTGACGATCCTCCACCGCTAGAGTGGCAGAGCTCGTTACCAAACCCTCCCACCCTCACTATGCCCGAGCGGGCTCTGGTCCGGATCATAATCATAGTCATCACCGGCCATGCTCGGTAGCATTCCATGCCACCCACCAGGCGTCATAGGCGGCGAGTGCGTGTACTAGTTAGGTAACTCACTAACTGAGTAACATAACTATGGGGCAACTTCGTCCGCCTTCAGGGGGGAGGGAGGGGCCCGCTATGCAATGTCGATCGAGCCGCAACGAGCGAAAAATGACGCCATTTGACGGGTCCTGATTCGATTATTCTCACGTGGACGGGTAGTTACGAGAAGTAGTGATGGTCAGTAACGAACTGCGCGACTAGACTCCAGCCAATGCGGCCACCCCCTCGGACATAATTATTCATGCGGTGAGAAAAAACACATTTTCACAGAATGATTTTATTCTCCGCAGTAGTCACTCACGGTCCCGTGGGTGGTGCAGGGTAGCGCCAATGGTGGGAACTCGGTGGCAGACGATCCATTCTCGTGGGTTCAACATGGGCCCCTATCATTGATGATCGAGGGGCACGCTAGGACTCAGGTGAAACCCAGCAGGGACATCATGTTGCCGATCCCCGTGGGAGGGCAAACCTTCTTGGCAGAAGAGCAGTAGTACCCGTACAACATGAATGAACCGTCAGAGGTGGCGAGAGAATCGGAGAAAATGTGATGAATCGTAAGCGGTGCGAAGGACCGAGTTGGACAACAAATGGCTGTCGTTCCTGGATCCCCGACGGTCAGATGACCACGCTCAGGCCTAGCATCCCTGGAGTATAGAAGGCACCCTCGGTAATACTACGCTCTGCTATTATTTCCCATTTACAGTGTACGTGGTAGTTGGTTAACCTGGACCTAATAACTGATGGACTACGTACTAAGAATAACATGTAATTGCCACCTGCTGGTGAGGCTCCGCTAAATACAAAGAAAGATGAGACATTACGCGTGTTTCTTTCGATCAAGCAAAAAGGCAAAAGCGCCCAGCGTGAGATCTGCAGGGTGCTGCTGATTGGGAGCGGCGGTGCTCCCCACCGGAACAAGTTTTCGCCTTTGGCTCGACGAGCGGCCCAACCAGAGCGCACAGAGATCCGAACAGCGCACGAGCGCGGCAGTACTTGTGTACTTTTGCTAAAACGTATGTACAGTAGTATGAAGAAAGTATAAGATTGAGAGACATCATAACGCCGTCGGAGAACAATCCTAATTTGTTCAGTAAATAATAATCTGTCTAGATGCTAGATAATACAATCCTACATACGCAATAGCCTTGCTAGCCTCTATGTAACCAACCCATGGTAACTGACTTATGCAAGCGGATTGACATTGCCTTTGTCTGTAGAACAAGGGTTTGGGTTGGTGTCATCGCCGGATCGGGAAAGTTGCTTTCCAGAATGCATCATACATACCCTTTTGAACCACGGTCTGTATCGTAAGCATTTAATTTTGGCTTTGTGCTTCTGGAGTCTAGTAAATATATCTCAAGTGCCGTGTACAATACCGAGTTAGAGAAGTCCACCACAAAATCGAGGTCGTACTCCGTACAAACCATACTATACTATACGATCATAATAACAATGGCGCGATCCCCCACAAAACCGAGCCGATCGAGCGCTAGGTAAAATCAAGAATCCCGATCCGAAAACAGGATTTGTATTATTCGCGGAGCTGATCTGCAGGTCGGCGCTTTGTGCGACATACGATACCCCCGAACCACTACGCTCTAATCGGAAGAATGGTGCTCGAGAGCTTGGATCCATGGTGGATCGCTATTCTACAAAGTGTGGAACCGATGGAAAGACAATTGAGTTGAGTTGAATGTTTTGACTGCCACTACTAACACCTAAGCAGGGAAAACCAACGCCAAGAACAGCGCTAGCTAGCTCTTGAATCCTGCATTCTGACAGCCGATGACATGTCAGCAAATTGCCATTCAAATGTAAATGCAAGAGCCCAAGCGAAGGCGTCCGATGAATAGTAACAATAAGAAGAATAGTTATTTCAATTCCAATGACCCCAACAATAATGTGCCTGCATTATCCAATAACCGATGCATGAAAGAATGTACCGTACGACACGCTTAACAAAAACAAAAAACAACTGTGCCGGTCATCAGTCATGAGAGAGACTTGCAGGTCTGCCATTGGTACAGCGCCCTTAACACCGCCACACCGCCAGACTGCGTCTCGACAGTCCGGCCGCGGCCGCGGTCGTTATAATCCTTCTTGTTCTTGGCACTAGTACTGGGGGGAACAGCCTCGACCCCAGAGAACGGCGAGAGACCGTACAGGGTCGAACTGCGGTAGTCCACCGCGCCGTCGGGGAGGACGCTAGTGTTGACAAGCTCATCAGAATCACCAAGAGCGCCGTATGCCCTGCCCCACCAGGCTCCGAACTTGCCGTCATCGTCGCGAGTCATGAGCGCTGCCTTGGCATTGTGTTCGATCCAATCGCCATAGGAATGGCAGCGTTTCAGGTGTTTCTCGTAGACTTCATCCCAGGGACTACTCTCGGTGTGTGCGGGACTGCGGCGGGTAGCATCGCCAACCAGGAATCGTTCTTCCTGGGGTCGGAGTGGTCGGCAGAATTCTGCTAGGTGGTGGAAGAATATCCCCTTGAAGGTCTGTCCGTCTTGATTACACACGCCGCGCGAGTCGCATACGTCTTCCAGGACACCGCCGCGGCCTAATCCTGCCCATTGCTGGCTGTCGGTCTGCGGCCAGCCCGTGGCGCGCAGCACGTTGGAGATCAGCTCGTGGCCGTCGCGGAGGTAGTCCTGGTCTCCCGTGGCTAGCCATAACCCTCTCAAACTACTCAGCACGACACCCTGGTTATAGGTGTATGCCATGGTGTTGAGCAAGTCGCACTTCTTCGTGCCTGGCTTTGCGGGGCTCTTCCAGCCACTGATGTGGAAGCCGTCGCCATACAACCCGAGGGGCCCGGTCATATTCGAATGCTTGAGCCACGCATACCCATCGACAGCGGCTTTCAGGTGCGCAGGATTATGTGGGAGGCCATCTCCGCCAGAATGCTGACTGGCTATAAACGGGGACTCGATTGGGTCGCCAGGGAAATAGAGATACATCCCGATACTGGCGGAGATATACAGCTCGTTGGTGATGGCGTTCTTATAAGGACCCAGGTAGGGGCTCCAGACCATCCCGCCGTCACACAGGGTCTTGTCCCATCCGACCGAGGCAAGCTCCCAGAAAAGACGTGCGCGGTGAGCAGCCGAGTCGCGGAACTGGGTCCCGTACCACGATTTTATTGATGTTGCCGAGGATGTTTCGGAGGTGTAGTGCAGATTTGAGTGCTGGTCCTGGAACTTGATGTTCTCTAGCCACTCCAATACAACCCACAACATATCATCGTAGGCCTGCTGGCGCAACCCGAATGAATTCTCCCCAAAATAGAACGTAGAGGTGTGGCTGAAGAAGTGGTTGATGGTGTTTTCAATCGCACGGAAAGATGGAGTAATATCGTGGGCCGTGTCAGACAGGGACGCCAGTGTCGCGGCCACATGGGTGTTCATCACGGCGGCCGTCCAGTCGATGGCGGTTGGCCACGTGCCTAGCCATAGCTGGAAGTAGTTGTCCTGCATGGCGTGCAGTGCCCCGATGAGGTTTTTCAAGGTCTTGCTGGCGGGTTCCTCGTCCTTTTCTCTCTCCTTTGGGACGTGCTGTCCGAGTGAGATCTGATTGGGGAAGGCCAACGCATTGGCGAAAGAAAGAAAGAATAGCGCAATAATGACAAAGAAAGATAGTGGTAGCCCAGCAGGGCCCTGGCGTGCGAGGCCCATTGTTACAATGATGCCTGGTTTCCGAGGCCCTCCTGGGATGTCATATAGGGCAGAGCGCAAGAGAGTGGGAAAAGATGGGGGATTTTATGGTATGCGGGGAACCTGGTCTGGATTAAGGGCTGACTAAGGATCCTCTGCCTGGGGCAATAACTATATGTCATGGACAGACAGTCTGGACAGAAAAGGAAAAAATAAAAGGACGAAAAGAAAAGGAACTAAACGCTATGGCTTCAATTGCAGACGGCCAGAGCACGAGTCGCATGATGCATCTACACTACGCGAGGTGGCACGGACAGTGCGGAGAACGAAAGGTCCAGGAAGCTGACTGGGTGTGCATTCATGAGGCGCATTCTAGGGCTAGGATTTCTCTTAGGTCATTTCCATTCTAAAATAACGTCAGCATGAATTTCTATATAGCTGCCACATCATCTTACCATTCTGTCAAGGTCTCACGGCGCCGGCATATGCCTCATCGGGGCCGTGCTGCGATACAAGCTTATATTAAGCTCGCACGGATCTAACCCATAGAAATATGCCGGCGGTGTAGTATGCTTCATCGAGAAGTCAAGATTCATGAGAAGCGCAAAGAGGAGTGGGTGACAGCGCAGCGCTAGCAAAAAGAAGAGCAGGTATCACAAAGAAGGCGGCAAGCGATCATGCATCTCTGTCCAACAGATCCCGAGTCCAAAGGCTTTGCCAAGAACAAAGAAGAACACTCTTATTGCCGCTCGCCGCCAGCGCCAGCACCAGGACTGCGACTCCGATCCCGGCTGCGGCTGCGACCCCGACCGCCATTCCCAGCACCGCCCTTGGGTCCTCCGCCCTTACCCTTGCCTGTGGGAGGCGGGCGGACAAAAGCATAGTCGACGGTAATTGTCTGATCCAGCAGCTTGACACCGTTCAGGTTCTTGATAGCCTCGCTGGCTTCGGGGAGGGTCGAGTACTCGATCAATGCGTATCCCTGCAGAGCGCAAATGTCATGTCAGCCTTGCACCCAATAACTGCACAATGGCACCCCAATACAAAGAACATGGTCACTGAATTAATGCCACGCTCCCAGAAAGAAACGCACCTTAACGTAACCCGTTCGCCGATCAAGGTTCAAACTGAAGTTTTTGATCTCCCCGTATTCCGAGAACAGATCCGTGACGTCCTCTTCTGATGCCTCCTCGTGGATATTCGACACGATCACGATCCATCCCTCGATACTGCGCACGGCGACTGCGCCCGTTTGGGTGCTGGGCTCGAAGCCCCGGCCGGATTGCGGTGTGTCGTCCTGTGCGACGGGAGGGTCGACTTCCATTTCGTTTGACATGGTGAGAATGGTGGGTTGTGTGGGAATGGGATAATCTGACGCTGGTCGCGCTGGCGGAATTGGCTAGTAAGGGGTTCTTCAATTGGGTCTGACTTGGATTGCAGGTCTGAGTTGAGGTGGGAGTCGAATTGCACGGCGTTCAAGGTAAGCCCGTGTGCTTATATAAGCGGGTGGACTGTCGATGGACTGAGACGGTGTATATAGAGCCATACCTTCTGCAACATTTCAGTGGCATTTTCCCAAGATTGACATTGCGTTCTCAACATCAGGATGCTATAGTAGTTTGCAAAAAGGTTCGAGCCTACCTTTCACGAACACTGACTAGTACCCTCAGCATAAATCGACTGCCTAGATAGGGAAGCCACAGGTGAAAGGGATTATTCAGTTTTTGTATGGGACATATAAAGCCCCTATTCTTATTAAAGTTCACTGAACTAAGCAAAAGATGTGAGTCACTGTGAATGGCAGGGTAATAACTGGTGGAATTGGACATTTATATGGTTGTCCGAGGCCATGCTGGTACAAAAGATCCCGTCAATCAACAATATGGATACGCAAATCAGTCAATTCAGAAGAGATGAGCAACTCAAAATACAATGTGCTTTCAACACTGCTCCATTATTTAGTCTCTGTGGTATGCAGCGCAATCTTATTGTCCTATAGGGCTCAATACTCCAGTCTTTCAAAGAGGAAACAATATCAACAAGAAAAGAGACAAAACGAGACTCAAGTAAACCAGTTCCCTCTCTTCAATATCCAACTACCTCCCTCGATCTCACTTATCCCAAGCAAACCAGAAACTTTCCACCTCATCTTTCCCGTTCCCTTTCCACCACCCATGCTCCTCGACTGAACTGTTGAACAAAGGACTCGAATATCTCTAAGAAAATGTGGGGGCACTGGCAAGCAGTCCTTTTGGCCAATATTCTCAAACAAGCAGCCAAACTAAGGGTAAACAGCGACGACCCGTTGTGCAGCTGCCACCCAGCCTCAAAGAAACCAACCACCGAGTCCCTCTGGCTCACTCTGTACGACGCCAAACAAAAGTACACTCTCCAGCTCCATGGCGAAGACACCGAACTCGACGTGACCTTCGACATCATAACAGGCACCATGATCCTCAAACAGAAGATCCGTCTGTCCGGGATCTGGCCGCGAGTGCAACAGAAGACAGTCATGTACGCCAACCGGGCGAACAGCATCTTCGTTAACCTTCAGGGATCGTCCGACAATTCGATTTTGCTTACTTTCAAGATGCTATCCCCGCTGCCACCACCATCATCTTCTTCAGACGACGGAGACGATGGATCTGAAAACGAGAGAACCAAGCAGAAACCAGAAAAGAAGTTTGCGGAGCACACCCCCCGGATCTGGCGACAAGTGAGCGGATTCTTTCCAGATCTGATAGACGAAGGACCGCTCTTCGAGGAGCTCCTTGAGAACTGCTCCCGCGAGAAGCTACTCCGATTGCACATCCCTGATGCCCGGCATAACGACTGGAAAACAATTGCATTGATCTTGCTCACATACCGCAAGATTGATCTACCGACCTGGCATAGGCTCGTGACCAGCGAGAAACTCACAGAGATTGCGGGGTTGAATTGGAGGCTTGTTGAAAAGAAGACCGATTCAGAAGCACAGAATCTGCGCAGACAGAAGGCTATGGATATGAAGACTGCGGCTCAGGAGGCGAAGATGACCAGGGCCTCTTTCGTCCAGAGCCATATTGCGAATATTGGCGGAGGCGCACGTTGGGATGGTGATAAAGGGGCAGAGAGCTTAAATGAATTTACTACGCTCTCGCATACATTGAGTCCGCATAATGGGTTTGGGGGTGGGGATGGGAATCTTGCGGGTCTTGACATTGGTGGTGAGACATGAGGATGTGAGGATGTACCCTCCGGAATGAAGACTGGAGATACGAAGACGATCTGTATGATATCAAAATGTACTCAAGAAGTACTGGTTGGATGTTCCAAATATTGATTGATATTCCAAAAAGGGGTCTGTAGCCTTTTTTTGTCTATGGAGTGGAGATGCATTTGCGACCCCTTTGCATATCTGTAGGAGGAAAGAAAAATAGTAGAACATAAGAAAGTACATTTAGACAAGAAAAAAACAGCCAGATACCAGTTTAGCGCCTAGGAACAACCATAGCCCGTGCAGTTCCTTGCCAGGAAGCAATCTACTTCCGGTTGTTGCTCCGCATGCCGAGAATCTGGACCATACGGATGAAGATGTTGATAAAGTCCAGCTCGAGGCTAACACTCTCATTGACGACATCGCGCTGGATCAGACCGCGCTCGGCCAGACGAGCGTGGTGCAGAATCTTCTGCACGTCGTAGAGGGTGAAGCCACCGAAGACAGCGAGACCGCCGTACAGCCAGATGCGCTCAGACCACATCAGGGTGCGGGCAGCGGTGGCGGGCAGAACCAGGGGAGCGAATCCAGATAGGGCGACGATGGTCACACCGGCAAGCAGCGGGGCGCCGAGGTAGAGGTACTTCTCCTGCTTGGCAGTGGCGCCGACGAAGGCAATCGAACCCATCATGCCAACGGTGTAGAGACCAGCACGGGCGAGCAGGGCGGGGTGCATGAACATCAGAGGGGAGAGGAGCGCGGCCTGGGTGAGGTTGAAGGCGGTCCAGAGGCCGTACTTCATGACGTAACTAATTTCGGAGCTGTTAGCAGTGGTCTTGAGATCTAAGGAAGAAGGGAGACATACTTATCCGGAGACGTGTAGAAAGTGCCGTACATCGTGCCAATGCTACCAACCAGACCGAGACCCACGACAACCCACGGGTTGAAGGCCATCAGGCGGTACGACCAACCGTTCATATGCAGAGCGCGCGCCGCAATACCGATAATACCGATACCGAGACCGGTGTGCATGAAGGTTTCATTCAGAAAGCTGCGCTCGAATGCGGGCATGCCACCGTCCTCGCGGGTCTCGCGGTTGAAGATGAAATTGGTGGCCATAATGGTGCCGCCAACGATGGCAGCGCCGTACACCAGCTTCGAGGTGGCGTTGCCACCTTGCGCAGTGGTGGTGGACTGCTGCATGTATGTCCGGCGGAATGCATTCTGGAAGGTTTGACGGGACTTGTTCAGGATGGACGAGGCTCCCAGCGGCTTGGTGGCCTGTGGCTTGAACGGGGAGTTGTGGATGAAACGGGAGGTGTTGGAGGAAAGCTTGGGGGCTTGACGGAGAGCCGAGGATACGGCGAAGGGACGCCGGAGGAAGAACGCCATGACTGCGATGGATGCAGAGTGGGAGAGAGAGGGTAAGAAGGCGGCGGGTTTATTATAAGTGCACGGGATTAGTTATTACTCATTAACTCCGTCATCTTCCGCCTTCCGCTTCAAGAAAGTTCGAGAAAGGTCACGGGATATCAGTCATCGCAACCTTCACTTCTTCACCTCGGAATGGCGCAACTGGAGACTCTGGCTTTGCCGCATCTGCCGTCATCGCTGCCCGTGCATGTGGCCCTCTATCGCGATGTTCAGAATTCCGCTTTCCTAAAGCAGCAGCTCCTGGGGGGCAACGCAGAATTCGAGTATGCCTTGGTCGATGCGAGCATGGTAAGCTGCACCGTTTTAGATATGCGGCTCAATCGCTGACGGAGAAACAGGTTCTGACACGGGCACATGCGATCGCAGCCATATTTCGAGCCGTCAATGACTACATGAATGGGCGACTCATGTCCCGCAATGTGCATTCGGAGATTGTCTTCTCCTTGAGCCCGGCAAATAATGTATATATCTCTCTCTCTTTTCACTCCTACATAACATTACCGACTAACTCATTTATTGCACAGATTGCCGACTCGTTCCGCAAATTTGGAATCGCAGATACAACCAAAGATCTGCTCGTGGTCAAAGTCTCCGTGTCGCCCGAGATCACGCATGAGTCCGTTGCCGCTCATTTGGCTACGGCTATTCAAGGAACCTCTGTGCCATTTGACGATGAGACTCTGTCCGAGGTGTCCGATATCACCAAGATCAAGAAGGCATATAAATTGGGAGCGCTACCATCCCCGTCTTCTAAGACAGAGTGCAACGGCACGCCCGATCATGACGCGAAGCGGCGACTGGAGCTCTCGCTCTTAGGGGCAATTGCATTGCGGGGCTCGTGAAGCCGATATAATACCATGTTATTTGAAGAACTGCTCTCAAAGGAGCTCGACTCGAATTTGATACCCCACCCCAGCGCCGTGCCTGCCAGAGTGTGTACCTGTCTAAGCAGGTCTCACGTAGTAACTGCTACTTGTTTGACTAGAGAGCACTGCGTAGCTGAGAGGCCGTCGTGTTCGATTGAACCAGTGACAGAGCAGACTAGCTCCGGAATTGTCGCGGGTAACCACAGAAATGTCCAAAGACAAAGCCATCAGTTTGCTAAGTACGTGAATAGGAATTGTGAAACAAGGACCTATGAATTTTTAGATCGCGTTGGTTTTACCGATTCTGGTTTGACGCCACGATACCCTGTTTCACGTAACCTTCTCGTCGCAATCACGTCACAACTATCTAATGCGCAGAAGTATGCAAATAGACCAAGGAGGCAAGTAGACGTAGGACGCCTTCTTCCTAACCACAAGATTACTAAATTAAAAATGCAAGTGTCGAGAGCGTTTTAAGGCGTACGACTCAAGATTTTACTTAATCTGAGTCAACTCAGGTAGTCCTTCTGGGTTCGAAACCTAGCGCTTGTAATATTTTCATATGTATGTTTTCTTTTCCCCCCAACTATTCAAAGCAGCCAACCCGGACATCAATTTGTGTGCCACAACTCTCATAGATGGAGAGAGTGAGAGATGGTTGAATGTTGATTGCATAATTATATTCAATTTAGATCGACTGACCAATAGTGTAAATGCCAGTCGTTGCCCCCACCAACCTAAACAAATAACTTTCACCAAGACATACACATTCCTCCGACAACATTTTGACGATTTCTCTGGATCCCTCAGCTGCAGATATGAGAGATCCATGAGAGATGCCTTGCGCGACAAGCTGCACATCCGCACGCGATCAACCCTCTCTCCTCCACCACCACCGCCACCACCGCCCTTCCGACGCGTAACTAGTTACAATGACCAGCGCAGCGGACGTGATCGTCTTGTCATCCTCTCCAAATTGCGCCCCTCGATCTCCAGTACGAGATACGAACTTCCTCGAAAGAGCAGTGAGAATCTCGCCACAATGCTCCTCGCCACCGCCGCTACCCTCCCCTTCACAGCTGTTCGAGCTCCCCACGCGTTCTGCATACTTTGCCACAGAAAGCAGCACAACGAAGAGCTCGAGCACCTCACAGAAAAGGGAACGGCGAACCTCCAAAACAGCGCCTTCTAAGTCTACGAATCCGGATGAAAAGGCGCGCGCCAGGAAGTCGCGATCGAAGGCGAAGAAGACGGCTGAGTCTGAACCAACTGCCTTGGATCACCTCGGAGCAGATTCAGTGGATTACAGAGATGGCGCGACGATAAATAAGTCTGGGACGAAGCAAAGTCGGTCTGCAAAGACTACTTCGAAGCGCAAGGACTCGGGCAATATGAAATTAGCTGGAAAAATCACCAAGTCGGGTGCTGATGCGCCGGCGAAGAAGACCAGCAAGGCTGGCAAGAAAGCTGTTGATTCATTGGTTCCGACGATCGACCTGTCAAAGGAATCAAACGCGCTGGGAGAGGACGAGGAGCTACATCTTGATGTCGCGACAAGGCGAAGGATAGACTGGACACCACCACCAGATACCAATTCGGGAAACAGTGCCGTCGAAGAAATGAATACGAAGGACGACAGTGAAGCAGCCGAATCTGGCAGATTCGGCACGCTGTTGTCCAGCTACAACTTTGCTACTTCAGCACCAACTTCTCGCGAGATGCGCCAAAACGCAGACGGTGGACCAACCAAGCGAAGGCGCATCGAGGTACAGTTCATGTCCATTACTATAACCGTGACCAGTGACTTATTTTGATCTAGCTCATGAATTCGCATCTTCCAGCAACCAACGACGAAAAGACAACTGACACGAAGAGTGAAACATCTGACTCGGCCTCTTCTGCTGCGCAAACAAAAAGAAAAAAGGCACAAACCAAACGGTTCACAACATTGACCGCTCGGATGACCGCGAAGTACAGTATCTTGGAAGAGGATATCGACGGCGTATTAGACAGCGAAAAAGAGAAGCCTAAACGCCGCGGCAAAGTCAAGTCTACCAACACAGACCCCGAGTTCACAATCCTTTCTCCCGAAGCTGCTGCCAAGGCCTTTGATGAGCAGGATCTCATGTTCGGCACCTGCAGCCAGTTGGAGAGGGAAGATTCGCCGCAAACGCTGGAAGAGATGCAGGAAGCGATTCGTGCTTCCGAGAAACTTTTCGAGAAGCAGAAAGCTTCTTCTGACGATCGACGTGTCACCTCTGCTCGTCCCTTTTCCAGACTGGTTGGCAGCCGAAATTTATGGGGAGTTGCCGCCAGGAATACGGACGGGTCCTTGATTCAGGCTGAGGCCTTGGACAAGGTCGATTTGACAGATCCAAAAGAGACCAGCAAAACAATACACAAGCAAAAGGAATTCGACTGGCTTGAGATCGATTGTGGAGAGTCTAATTCGGATCCAAGGATGAAGATCCAGGTGCCTGCCAAGTCTGTGCCCCAGTATCAGGCTGTAATCACTGCATCTCAGCCCTCGAAAGATACAGAAGACAGCGATCTGCCCGTGAACTCTCAGCGGCCTTCTATGCCGCAGTATAGTGGGTTCACGGACTCAGAGCTATCCAAACAGGTAGCTGCATACGGATTCAAGTCTGTGAGGGGCCGAAAGAAGATGATCGATCTTCTCCAAAAGTGCTGGGAATCGAAACATGGCAGTGGCAACAAGTCTGCGGGTCCTTCGCAGCAGCCCGAGAAACCGAAAGCTTCCACCTCTGCCAAACCTCAGACCTCAGCTCCAAGCAAGGCCAAGAGAACAAAAACGAATCCCCAGTCATCCTCCAAAAATCCGCAGAAGAGCCCCAAAGACAAGCAGACGAATCGCTCTTTTATCGACGTCGACGAGATCCAAGACTCCGAGGAGGAAATACTTCCTTCTCCAAGTCAAGTCCAGAAACGATACACGGACACATACACCAGCAAATCCAGCGGTGCTCAAGAGCATTCTCTGGATATGTCACTCAAGCCACCGCCACCCCCAAGTCCCACAAAACGCAAAACCGCCGCCGCTCGCAAGCCATCGAGCACTCGGTCCCCATCTTCCACCTCCATCACAAAGCCAGTAACCAGACCAGACGCCTCCAAACGAAGCAGTCTCCCAGACCTAGGCACACAGATCACCAAAGCCGTTCGCGCTCAAAAGCAGTCCCCCCTCTCATCCATGTCCAACAGCCGCAGTAATCCGACATGGCACGAGAAGATCCTGATGTATGACCCGATCGTCCTGGAGGATTTTACTACATGGCTGAATGTCGAGGGACTTGGTCTTGTCGGCGAAGATCGTGAGATCAGTGCTGGGTCCGTGAGAGAGTGGTGCGAGGGGAAAGGTGTTTGTTGTTGCTGGAAGAAGAATGCTAGTTGGTAGGTGTGTGTATCTGTGTCTGTGTCTGCATGGCATTCAATGTACATAGGAGCTATCATCTGGCACAGATGGTCTTTAATCAACACACCACACTCTAAATCACCATTAGAGGACCTCATTATCACCATTGTGCTGCATGATGTCTATCTTTTGTATGAAAGCCCTTGATTGATAGAAGACGACCCTCCGCCGAAAGCATGTCAAGGCCCATGCGTAAAGATCATCACATCAGAACACATCAAAGTGTCATCGAATGCCGCAGGCGTGTGTACCAACGCCCTACTAGCTTGCGACTACCGTAAAAGGACAGTCATTCATACTCGTGAAGGAAGCTGGCTATGGCTATCTATCATCCAACCCTGCTCTCAGCCGCGCCGCCTGCTCACACAATATCTTAACCCGATCCTCCAAGAGCTCATTGCGGCGCTCGAGGGCCAGATTTCGCTCTCTCAGCTGCTGGATTTGTGCCTGCAAATTGCTGATGTGCTCTTTCATTCGGCTCGCTGCGCCACGGACATATGTCTCGCCAGTCACTCGGTCGGTTACCTGGCAGGGCAGCCCCCCTGCGATGCAGGGGGTGCAGCCAGTGGGTCGTGGGTCGCAGCGCATTTTGCGGAGCTGGAAGAGAGAACTCGTGTTAGTGAGGAAGGACTTGTAGATACCAAGCTATATACTATGTGGATGTGAGTTTTTATGGCTCTGGGGGAACGAGGAGGAGAGGATAGTGTATGTACCTTGCACCGATCGCATGCTTGGCCCGTTCGGCGTGAGTTGCGGACTTGTTCGCGCACTTGCTCTGACCAGTCTGGTTCGGGCTCGTGGCGACTGCGTCGGCTGCGAGGTTGCGTGGTGGTATAGCTGACTTCGTCAGGGTTGGAGATGGGGGTTGAGTTAGTGGTAGCGGTAGTAGCGGTAGAGGTGGCAGCCACCATGAGCTTGGTGAGGTCTTCATCATTTGAGAACGAAGCTGGCATCTGGGTGGAAGCTTGGTCCAAGGCCGAAGGATGGTCTGGTAGCTTATTAGATATCTCTGCATGGTATCTGGTGAGTGGTTGTCTTACCGGAGGGAAGTATGCGTTCCATGGTGAATATTTAGTAGTGCCTAGTGAGAAAACTTGCGTATCGGGAATAGGAGAGCGGTTCACCGGGATGAATGATGAGAGAACATCGGAGAAGAGACGTAGTGGGAGGTGTCGGGTGGGCAGACAGGAGAGCAGTGAGCGGGTGAATAGAGCAGGAATTGGCCGGGAAAACAGTATATAAATGGAGGCGCCAACGTCATCAAACAAGCTGGGTAGCTGGCAGAAATTGCATGGATCTAAAGACATTGAAACGTACCCTGAGATTACTTCGCTTAAGCAGCAAACTACTATTCCCTTTGGTAGACAAAGGACGTTGCGAAGAGACAGTAAGACACATTTGCAAACATTAGCAAAAAGAAAGCTTTGTAGGAGGCTGTCGTTGTCCTGCCTTTTGTTAGGATGGTGCAGAATAATGCCATTATCATTCATGTCTTAGGTATAGAACATAGGCGTTCTTAGCCAGGTAAATCATAGCTGGCCAGTCTATTGCGTCTTTCAGGAAGTTCAAAATGTCTCATTATTAAGACTTCATGTTTTATCGAAATATTCTAAACGAAGAAAAGAGACTAGCTTGCTGGTCTTCATCTTGGGGATATGTCCGTGATGGGAAGGAAGTACTGAACGGTTTCTTGCGCTCAACCTCTTGGACAACCCGATTATCTACTGTCTCAAAGCATGTAAGAATTTAAGAACATATCAATATCCAATTGGCTGCGCGGTGATGGTTGCATAGAGTACATTAAAAAAAGCTCCAGAAATCTCTCACTCTTCCTCCCAATAAAAAAAATCATATCAAACACGGATAGATAGATGGCAAATGTATTTCTCATGAAAAATGGCAATGAGTGGAAAAACTCCAAGAAAGACAACATTGTTGTCAACTCAAGATAAAAAAGGCGAGAGACGAGACAAATAATCAAAAGCGAAAACGGCGCAATTTCAGTCTTTGAAAACGCCTGCCTGACTGCCTGCCATGCTTGACCTGTCCAAGGAAGAGCAAGAATGAGAATTTTGCAACGAAGATAGAAAGAAAGAAAGTGGTGGGTAGAATCAAGATTCAAATCAAGTCCAGAGAGTACAAAAAACGCAAAAACAAACAAAAAGAAAAGCTCCTGCTCCTGTTCCTGTTCCTACACCCGGAACCCAATCTAACCGGGTCAAAAGTTCAAGACTGTAAACATAGAATAATGGGATTCTCTCTTTCCAAGAAGACAAAAGAAAAAAAGAAATAGCCGCAACACCGAGGGAATAAGAGTGTCATTTTAAGGTCATGTGGCAGGAGAGACTGGACGGAGTTAGTTAGTTTAGATATCAGGTGAAAAATGGGGAACAGACATACGATGTGATGTGTTCAAAATTGTGTCATGTCAGAGCCGAAAGTAGGTAAGCACCCAAACCCCGAACACCAAGCGCCGTCCATCCCAACTGGATGAGGGTAATGATTAGGTCTTGCTCCGCAAGAAAGATCAGGACAGGACAGACATGCTGTCTGTCCAATTATCATCGGAAGTTTTTCCCATTCGTAGCAACAACCTCAAAATCGATTCTTGATCGATACCGCATTGGACCACCTTCCTCAAGCCAGGACGTGAGATTCTTGCATTGGCTCACATCGAACGACTGAAGCTGGTGACATCCTTCTGCGACGGCCTCGACGCCGACGCCCGTGACGCGAACGCAGCCGCGCACGGACAGATGCTGTAGCGACAACAGGTGGAGTCCGATGCTTCGTAGGGAAGGGTCGGAGATGGCGGAGCCGCAGAAGGACATGTTGAGGGATTTGAGCTGAGAGCATTGGAGGGCGAGGACTTCGGTTGCTGTGTCAGATAATGCGCAGCAGAAGGACTGGATAGACGACAAATTAGTGGGTTTGGATGAGAAGAAGGAGGAAAGTTTGCGTACCAGGTCCAATTCCTGTAATGATTTGGCGGCGTTGGTTAGATGCACGATGGCGTTATCGGTTAAGTATGTGCAATCAGCTAGGCAGAGTCTCTTCAGATTGGTAAATCGGGCATTGCCCCAGTACTGGAACCCTTGATCGGTGATGGTCGTGCAACGCGTCAAGTCCATCTCTTCGATTCGACCCGCAGCATGCGACGCAATATGGTGCATCGAGCGATCCGTGACGTGCTTGCAGTATGAGAGTGTGAGCTTCTTCAACTGCGGACACCCATACACGATGCCATCGGCTGTTTGCAGGGTAGGTTTAATGGACGACTTGCCATCGCCTGGCGGCTTGGCATTGGCTGACGCAACCCATCCAATGATACGGGCAAGGAGTGTGTCTCCCACTTTGCGACAATTGCTCAGATCCACCTCTTGCAGTTTAGTGGCCTTGCTGGACATCTCGAGAATGGCGGATGCGGTGACTTCCCAAACGCTTTTCATCTTCCATGTGGTAGCGTGAGGGGCGCAAGTATTGGCCAGCGCATTGAAGCCTTCGTCGGTGATGTGGAAGCAGTTGTTGATGTTGATCGAACGGGCCCGGGTGCCAACAAATGGGCAGATTATCTTGACCAACACCTCGTCGGTGACTTTGCGATTGTAGACACTCAGATCTAAATCACGAAGTACACCGCCGGATTTGTTCAGGATTTCGGACCAGTGCGACGATACTGCGCGAAAGCGAAGAAGGTGATGAAGATCCAGGTACTGAAAGATGTTGAGTAGGACGCTGTCGGGAAACACGCCGCGATATCCGTCACCGAGGGGACGCGCAGTGTGATGCGGTTTGGAGAGACCAACCACCTCAGGGAGGACAAGAGAGGAAGAGCTGGCAGATTTGGGTTCCGAAGACGACGATGGACGAGTTTGATCCCCCGAGACTTCTTCGGGGGTTAAGGGTGCCACTGAGCCTCGTCGGCTTCGCAGTCGCACCTTGTCCAAGCCGAGACTGAGGTAAGGATCAGGGTCGGTGGGTCGCAAGACGGCCTGCTCCTGATCTTCAACGGGGGAAGACTGATGAGGACCATCCAATTCGGTTTCGGTTAGTGTCAACAAGGGCATGGAGCGTCTGCGCGAGGAAGTGACCTTGACTCTGTCGTCGATGGCCAAGTCGCTTATGGAAGGTTGTGTGTTTGCGGCGTCGGTCATCACCACATCGCCATCCGCAGCAGCCTGGAGTCTTTCCTGTGCAGTGCGCTCTACCTGTTCTCGAATGCTCGGGGGGCACTTGTCCCAGAAGTCGGACAGAACATCACCACTGAGCATAAGACACTCGACCTGGGTGACTGATCGAACAGTGGCAGTTCTCCGTGGGGCAAGAGACAAGCTGACCACTTCTCCAAAGTACTGGCCTTGTCGTAGGCGAGCTTTGATTTCGACCCCAGAGCGTTTGACACCGTTGGGTGCGTGTGTATGATGCTTCTCAGCCTTCTCAGTGAGGACTTCAACCTCGCCGCGGACGATAAAGTACAGTTCGCGGCCTTGAGAGTCTTGTTTAATGATATCGGCAAAAGGTGGGAAGGACCTGGGTTGGGCATTGAGACCGAGGAAGTGTAGGATGTCGGCTGGAAGTCCAGAAAAGAGAGGCAACTCCTTGAGCAGCAGGCGGACATTAACCAACCCGTTTGCCAGCGCGCTGGATCCATCTCGCCTTCCAGGGCTCGGCGACTTGCGCTTCTTGTTCACAGACTTGACGCTCAACTCCTCATCACCTGAGACCACCAGATCCCGAGCAAAGCTCTCCCGCAGTCTCTTGGAGCCCCTCCGGATCGGGCCTGGGGGAAGATCTGGTGGTGGCACAGAGGTCTCCTTCTTTTTCTTCTCGAGGATCATCAAGCGCTCCTGTGCCTCCTCCCTGATCGCTCGCTCCACATCAGGGAAGCGCGGCAGAATGCTCCGGAAGTCTTCTTTGGTCAACACCACCAGCATACAGCGGGTCCGGGCGATGATGGTTGCCGTGCGCGGGCGGTCCATGAGCACGCCGATCTCGCCAAAGAATGCGCCCGGCTGGAGTTCAGCATAGATACTCTCGCCATCCCGCGATGTGACAGAGACCGCCCCCCGGACCAGCCAGTATATTGCCTTGGCCTCATCGCCCTCTGTAAGAATGTAGTCGTTGGCCGCATGGAGCTGCGGGCGCAAGTGCTGGCCCACCTCATTAAGGAAGGATTCAGGTGTCGCCTGAAATAGAGGGAATGACCGCAGCCGATCAACCAGTTCGAGTGGCAGTGCTTTGATGTTGGAGGAGGCCAAGGGCGATGGACGCGCGGGGCGGTTGGGGTTTAGGACTGAATCGAACGAGTGGATTAGGGACACCGTGTCGGACATGGGCGTGACGGCCTTGGTCGGGCCACCACTGGACCTGCCATGGCGACGCATTGTCGAGGAGTCGATCCGATATGAGCAGATCAGATGGAGGGTGGGATCACAGGCGATGACGTCGACGAAAGCGGTGCGTGTCGAACGGTCCCATCGGCATGGTCAGCACCCAATGGCGGGGAGAAAGTGCAGCCCTAGCAGGCCGACATGAGGGTTGGGATTCGAGGCTAGAGGGGAGACAGAGGGAGTGAAGCAGGTGGAACGAAGAATTTCGGTGTCGTTAGAGAAGTTGGAGAGCGGGGGTGGACAGAGTGTGGACGGACTGACAGAAAGACTGCTGAGCTCCACCGATCGGCTGGGAACCTGCGGAAACTCCCTAACTCTATCACACCCCACAATAATCATGATGAAGTCGGTCGGAAGAATTTAGCCCCAATTATTGAATGTGTTCTATAATTAAATCTTCCTCGGATCCGCGCCGCCGGGAATTACGATAAGGATGATGATGATTGTTATTATGATTATTCACATGGCTTGATTGCACGTTGCAGAGTGACTGCGTAGGAAGTACATGCTCCATCTCTCAGAGAAGAAATGAACGATCAAAGAATCCCGTCGAGCGCACAGGTAACCCGAGTGTCCCGTAGTGTGCCTGTCACAGCAAACGAACTGGAGGGACGGGCGCAAGATCACGTGGTGGAGTTAGGGTATCATGAGAATGGAGTACCGGGTTGGTAGTATCGTGAGCAGACCGAGCAGCAGGTTGATATATGTTCTGCAATGGCTGGTCAACAGGATCAGACATGGATGGATGTACCCTTATTGATGGGACTGGCATTGTATCCGTCATCAGCATCGATGCTTCCGATGTCGCTGGAGATTGCCCGACGTACAGGCGGACATGGTGGAAGGGAAAGGGGGTGGTGGACTCAACCGAACCACCTACGGTCACACAGCAGTCTTCTGGGACCGACGATTCCCCAAGATGAAATCCACATATGTGGGCCGATTGCCCTTCAAGCTTTCCAAAGCATCCTGCAACAGTCCATATGCGAAGCTCAATTTCAGCCCGAGTTTTGCAGTGCGCGCAGCCGTATAGACATCATGGCGAGCTAGAAACCCAGATGGATTAGCACTAGCGGCTCCAAAAATGACCAGGCCATAGATCACATACCCAATAAACTGTATATCCCCGAGAAAGACAGTCCCGCCGTCACCGTCGACAAGAAATCCCTCTCATCATGCCTCGCATAATCGACCGTCTCCTCAAATAGACAAAAGGCCATAGCGCCGACACCCAGCTTACAGCCCATCTTCATTCCATCCTTGACACCGCCGACGACTGACAGATAATTCTTCGTTTTGTGGTACTGGAACCAGCCGGAAGAGGTCGTGGGGAACCGATGCGCATTCTCAGCCCGGAAGCGCAGGCCCGCTTTGTTGCTGCCGTGATAGTAACCCAGTGCGAGACCCGTGGAGAAGGCCGACATGGTGGCGTAGGGAATGCGCTTTTGGACGTCAATGCCTAGGCGCGGTGGACTGTCGGAGTCGAAGAGCTTGTGCCAGTGGATGATTTTGAGGAAGAGGGAGCTTTCGCGAGAGGCCTCTATCGAGGAGGATGGGGAGGATGGTTCCGCCTCCATCTTACTGGGCGATGTGACTGGACAATCGAAGTTTGGAGGGAGCGTGTTGAGTATTATCGTGGTTGCAGGAAGATCAGATGCTGGGCCGATGATTCTCCGGGCTCCGCGTCACGACACCCGCGCGGACACGACGACCACCACCTGAACACTCGCACACACCGCCAAGATGGTCTGTCCGGTCCCTGCCCTTTAGTTACCGGTTATCACGAGCTAATCTCTCAACAGCCACCCAAACAAGCAAACCCTAACTCCCGAGCTTCCACCCTCCTCTTCAAAAAACACAAAACCACCGTCCTCCTCGTGCTTCAGCCCCACGAACCACTGACAGCAGCCAAGGAGAAGCTACTGCAAGCTCTGAAGGCGCGCGATGTCAAAGAGATCAACGGCGATCTAGTCCCCGACCACCCCGACGCGATCGAATTCGGCGTGGCCGTGGACAGGAATGACCTGGACAAAGGCTGGACTCGGCTTGACGCCGAGACTATCGAGCTTGGCGGCACAAAGGCGAAGACGGATGCATCGGGATCTTTGCAGGCTGCTGGGCTGCAGGATGGGCATCCCGTGGCTTTTCGATTCCGGAAAGCTCAGCAGGCAGCGCCAGAGACGGAGGATGTGGAAGTCGAGCTAGAGGATCCTGGATGGGATGTTGTTACGCCGCATTTTGATGATGAGGAGGAGCAGTGAGACTACTGTTTTACGACGAGTACACGGAATATGGTTCATGGATTATGGCGCGGGAGGACAAGCTGGGCGGGCTCATACAATTGCATGGCGTTCTTGGGTACTCTTCAGATTTGCAATAACATCAAAAAGATGGATTCGCTGTATATCACTAGTTGCCAGCCAAGCAAGGCCACGAGCTGTCAGTGTCCAAATAGCGATCTCTTACCCTGTCGAGCGTAGAAAGCCGCAGGCGCCGGGGAAATAGTGCGTGTCGATAGTCAAATAGCCGTTCATGTAGCGGAAACATAGAGTCAATCGACGGGCAAGGTGCAGACACTCCATCATTCCACGCACACTTCCACTATCACCACTCTGAGACGGTTGCTCGGAGCAACGAAGCACAGACTACGCGCAAAGCATCAACAAATCGCGGAGACACAGCCTGCTTGCTGGAGCTCCACAGATTATTCCTGCTCCTCGCATCTTACTCTCGACATCACCATCACCACAACTACTAACTCTACAGCATTACGTTCCTCTCACCCCTGGCATTGTCGCAGGGCCGCCCCTCCTTCGCTCTCCCTGTTTACAATATTGCACCCTATTTCGCAACTTGGGAGCTGCCCATCCGCAACCATGGCTTCCGCCGGTGGCGCTTCTTCGATCACCGTGACCGTCCGAGTGCGCCCATTTACGATCAGAGAAGCGGCACAGATCACACGGACTGATGATGGTCCGCTCTTCCTCGGGGATGGCTCGCTGGCCGGGGTACCTGCGCCGAAGCTCAACCAGAAGGGAATCAGATCTATTGTCAAAGTAATAGACGACCGATGCCTGTGAGTATCTCCACGGTAGGTTGCATAGCTCATCACTGACCGTAGCTATCAGAGTGTTCGACCCTCCCGAAGACAACCCCGTCCAGAAGTTCTCCAGAAGCGTCGTGCCCAACGGCAAGCGCGTCAAGGACCAGACCTTTGCGTTCGATCGCATCTTCGACCAGAATGCCTCCCAGGGCGAAGTATATGAATCAACAACACGCAGTCTGCTCGACAGCGTTCTCGATGGCTACAATGCGACCGTCTTCGCCTACGGAGCAACGGGATGCGGAAAGACACACACCATCACGGGGACAGCACAGCAGCCGGGGATCATTTTCTTGACGATGCAGGAGCTGTTTGAGCGGATTGAGGAACGAAAGGAGGAGAAGACCACCGAGATCTCGCTCTCGTACCTGGAGATCTACAACGAGACCATTCGCGACTTGCTCGTTCCCGGAGGGGTCAAGGGTGGTTTGATGCTGCGTGAGGACGTCAACCAGTCGGTTTCGGTTGCTGGTCTGTCAAGCCATCACCCTCAGAATGTGGAGCAGGTCATGGATATGATCATGCGAGGCAACGAGTGTCGAACCATGTCTCCCACCGAAGCAAATGCCACCTCCTCTCGATCACACGCAGTGCTTCAGATCAATATCGCCCAGAAAGATCGCAATGCAGACGTCAATGAGCCACACACGATGGCAACATTCAGTATCATCGACCTTGCGGGCAGTGAACGCGCGAGCGCGACGAAGAACCGAGGTGACCGGCTGATGGAAGGTGCCAATATCAACAAATCTCTTCTGGCTTTGGGCAGTTGCATCAATGCGCTCTGCGACCCGCGGAAACGCAACCACATCCCTTACCGCAACTCCAAACTGACCCGACTGCTCAAGTTTGCCCTGGGCGGGAACTGCAAGACTGTCATGATTGTCTGCGTCAGTCCCTCTAGCCAGCACTTTGACGAGACCCAGAACACTTTACGATACGCCAACCGAGCCAAGAACATCCAGACCAAGGTCACCAGAAACGTGTTTAACGTCAACCGACACGTCAAAGACTTCCTGGTCAAGATTGACGAGCAGATCAACCTGATCAACGAACTCAAAGCGCAGCAGAAGGATTATGAGAATATCGCGTTCGGAAAGTTCCGCAAACAAACCGAGAAGAAGGACGCCGTGGTTCGCGAAGGTGTCGCGCGCATCAGGAATGCCTACGAACACACCTTGCCCGAAAGACAGGAGAAGACGAATAATATGCTCAAGCTGAGACAGATCAGCCGCCGGATCGGTATTCTGTCTGCATGGATTGCTGCTTTTGATAATGTTTGTGCTTCCCGCGAGACTGAGGGGGGCTTGGATAATCTCTGGGCAATTCGAAAAACTGCGCAGGGGATCCTGCTGGAGCTGGAAGGGAGCAGGCATCATTACAACCGGCGACTAGCGCAGAGCACCTGGGACAGGCCAATCATCTCCGCAGTTGAAAACGCAATCAAGCAGCTCGAGGAATTTGATATCCGCGACAACAGCGACTACGATAACCTGAACCGAGAGGCGGAGCTGCTCCGCTCGGTTGCGGAGCGTGAGGCGCTGTCCGCCGTTGTAGAACAGGACAAGGCCGGGGAATCCGCTGCAGTGCAGGTTCTGCTACAAGCACAGTTTGAGGTGATGGCCTCAATTGAGGACATAATGCAGCTGAATGCCTCCGAGGCCATTCAAAAGGGACGGGTGATTCTGGGGAAGATGCTGGATGCTTGCACGACCTCGGCTTCCACCCTCGTCAAGCCAGATGGCAGCATGCCTACTGCTCCACAGATGGGCGCTCCCAAATCAGCGAGTCTTCCTAAACCAAAGAAGAGGTTCAGCCTGGTCAACCTGCCTTCTGAAACCGTCGCCCCTCCCGTGGCTCTCATGCCAACTATCACCGCCTCGCCGATCAAGGGCTCGCCTCGACGCCGCAAGACCACCACTGGCCGGAAGAGCGTTAGCTTCACCCCGAAAAAGGTCCAGGTGAAGGCCAACAAACGATCAGTCCGGTGGAAAGACGACGAGCAAGACGGATCTCTAGCTGAATGGCAAAAGAGTCCCCAGAAATCCGCCGAGTCTGCGGATGAAGCCAGCTCAGAGGCGGAGCCGTTGCTGCCTCGAGGTGCATCCCCAATCCCACGAAACATCCCCGTCCGTGCTGGCAGTCCCGCTGCGAGTGCTTCTCCCGCGCCTGTGGGTGCCGAGCCGACATTGAGCATCCCCAAGAATAACAGCCGCTTCAAAGCCGGGTTCCTCTCGAAGAAGACCAGCAGCTCACCCCTGGCGCCACCTCCTTCGACCGCTCTTCCCATGTCCGACAGCGAGAGCTCTCCATTACGTGACATTGAAGGCAGCAGCTTCTTGAACCGCCCATCGCGAATCGCCGTCCGCACCCCGAGCGGGAACAACTACTTCAGCAGCCCCGTGTCAGACAGCAAGGAGCAATGGAAGTCCGACAAAGAGGACGCAATCAAGATCAACTCAGCCATGCGCCGTATCTCCAGCGGGCAACATCCCTCCTCTTCAGCCAACAACAACTCCCTACGAGTCCACCGCCGTCGCAGCCCCAGCTCCAACAGTACCAGTCCCGCCGGCAGCTCACCGAGCGAGAACAACATGTTCACAGCATCCCAAGCCCGTCGCATGGTCAAGAGCGAGAAGGAGTTCGAGGCCAAGCCCCGCGTCCTCAGTCCGCGCACTCTCCCCATTATGAAGAACACGGGCGGTGGTCAGCGGCGCACTACGCTAGGCGGCGAGATCCGCTCGCGCGATGCGAGTCTGACGAGTCGCGATGCTATCCGGCTTAGCATGATGCCTACGCAGGGTGTGGATCGGTCACCGGAAGTGGGTGGTGGTGGTGGGGTTGCGCTGAGGCGGGCCCTTGTTTGATTTCGATTCTGGAATATGATATGTACTGTTTGGTGCTACGGTGTTGAGGCCCACGGGCTTGGAATTGGCGTTTGGGGAAGTGTGTAAACTGGATACCACTCTCGCACTGGGTTATAAGTATCCAGTGCTTGTCTTTCTGTTGTTTGGTGTTGATTTGTGTGTGTGTTGGACGACACGGGCCTTGCAGTCCCGAGTCTCTTACTTTCTTGACATATTCTTCTTTCGGCGTGTACAATAACGACTATTCCCATGTTTCTTTTCTCTTCTATTTGTCCAGATACAAAGGATATCCTGTGTAATAGGTAGAAAACCCCCGCGCTGCGTCTTTGTCAGATCGGATAATATGACGCCACCAACCCGATTAAGCTCCGAGCTCTCCATTCCTCACTTTTTCCCGCCAACCCAGAACCTACCACAACCCCAACACCCACCCCAGTAACCAATCTATAAAGTACGTCCTCCCCTTCCGTGCTTCCTCGTTCTATCGTTCAATGTCCTTCACCGGGACATCCTCCCTCCTTCTCCGCCGCTTCATCCGCCCCTTCACCACTACCACCTCGCCCATCCTCCTCTCTCTGACTGGAAATTCCAGCTCGGCAGCAGCAGCAGCGCAATCCTCGTCAAAAATGTCCAGCACACCACAGACCGCCACCCTCGCCGCGGGCTGCTTCTGGGGTGTGGAGCATCTCTTCCGCAAGCATTTCGGGAATGGGAAGGGTTTGCTCGATGCTAAGGTTGGATATTGTGGTGGGAAGTCCACGGCGCCTTCGTATAGGGCTGTTTGTTCGGGGGATACGGGTCGTGCGTCTCCCTCTTTTCCTTCTCCATCGTCTCCTCATGATCACTCTAACCTCCTCCACCCCAACTAAGTCGGACTGAACTAACCATTCTTCTATCTTCTATTTGGTCATCCAGACGCCGAAGCCCTCCAAGTAACCTACGACCCCTCCCTAGTCAGCTACCGCCAACTCCTCGAATTCTTCTTCCGCATGCACGACCCGACTACCATGAACCGCCAGGGACCCGACGTGGGCACGCAGTACCGGTCCGCGATCTTCACGCACGGCGACGAGCAGCAGAAGACCGCCGAGGGCGTCGCGGAGAAGGTCGCTGCGCAGTGGTTCAAGCAGCCACTTTCGACGCAGATCGTCCCCGCGGGACCTTGGTGGGATGCGGAGGAGTATCATCAGTTGTATTTGAATAAGAATCCTGCGGGGTATGAGTGTCCGGCGCAGTATGTGGTCCTTCCTTTCCCCCTTGGTGAGAAGCTCCTTGTTAATGAGTTGATAGCTTTGTGAGGAACTTTCCGCCTCTGGCGGATTGACTAGCTACTAAGCTGTAGGTCGGTCGAAGGATGTTAGGTACTGTTTTACTGTGACTTTTGACAGGCGGTTGCTTGGGCAGGCGGACAGGATAGGCTGTGTCAGGACAGATTGAGAATGACTGTTTATGTATATCATGACGAAATTATATCTTTCACTGGGATTGATTTCTACGACTATTTGTTTTTGGTAACTCCACCATGTAGATATAGTCAAACCGAGGACGGCTGACCACTTCCCAGGAGATAACATCCAGGCGGTGTCGTACTATCTATGGCAGCCCCGTGAGGATGTGAGTTGGACTCCTCCGTATGATGGACATCTTCTACTCCAAGTCCATGTTAGGAAAGTCACCACAGTTTGTAGGGGGCTGTTTCTGCAGCTCCATCAGTTGCGTTTACTCCTCGGTATCATAGTATGGAAAGAGCCTTATCCTTTGGGTTCTATTTATAAGTGCACACTTTGTATGGGAGCGTTGCAGTAGCCCCATTAACTGGGTGTATTCCCCGGCATTGTACTATGGGGGTCACCTTCTTCTTTGGGCCTGATAGCACATAGACCAGCAAAAACCAACACAAGCACGTGCGCCCTAGCAATTTGGTTGCAGGACTTTGCTCTACTACTATTATTTTTCATTTACACTTTTTTTTAGTTCGTTCAAGATCTGCGATAGGAGATTAGTACCCAGTGCTCATGGCATCCATCATCTCATCCAGAATCTACTACTTCGTGCATCGATGGCACTCCTCTTCTTCCTCAGATTGACATGTCCCAACAAATTCCCAAAAGATAATATATCGGACTGTTTCTGCGCAGGGAGACGCCAATAGAAAAGTTAGCACGTCAGGGAGACGGGAGGAGATCTCCAATAAAGACGAGCTGCACGCTGCAGGTGCCGATCGCAACGAGGCGGTGCGGCAATAGACGCAAGGCAGGGTGCGGGATTGTCGCACTAGCGGAACACTGCGACTTGGTGTGGCGATCCAGTTTACTAGAACTGCGAGGGAGGCTAGAAAGGTTGGACTGGCTGTTTGTGCGGACCTTGAAGGTGGCATGGGAGAGACTTGCGATCCACCGGGGGGTAGGGTGGTTGTCGATGTGGAGCAGGTTAGATAGGGGACGATTGATCGCTAGGCACCCTTTCATCGAAGTGACAACCGGGCGCTCACTCAGCCTCCCAGTACACAGCACACAACCAGCAAGGCTCGCTATCAGTTGGTGCGCTAGGGGAACGGCGGATAAATAAATAGGTGGGTGGGTTGGAGAAGTTATTTATGGCGACGAACCCAACCTTGGAAGATACACACACTATTGAGTGGGTAAATCCTTCGGGAGTCCGGCTCGAGTCAGACATGTCTTACCTTTGTTTGCTGCCTATCTTCGGACGTCTCGTGACATTGGCAGTCGTGACAGTCTGTCCCGGATGTGACCTCACCCCCTGATGCATCCCGCTGGGTTTATTCAGTCGATCCTGGGGCGGCAGTGCCCCGTGAATGGCCTTTGATTATGACGGACGGGTGTGGGTCAGAGTTCGTTCATCATGTTTCAGTGCCTTGCGGGTGATCATGATTCTGTATGGTGACGGCTATCGCTGCCTCTTCTTTTTCCGCGCACTAGCTCGTCGGCTTGCGCTGCCGGTTTCGCGGTTTAGCGAAATGACCGTTGCTGGTGGCGGTCCTCGATCGGGCCCAGGTCATCCCCATATTGTGATTCCATGCGGTGCGACAGTATTATTGCTTGTACCCCCGCCAATCATCAGGAACGCCCGCACGGGGCTGTGGGGCCTTAGTCACCGTAATACCGCACAGACACAGGGTTCTCAGGGCTGCGAGTGGGCCGGGGGGTATCCCGCGGTAATATCATTATTAAAACATGAAAATCTGCCCCTTCTTCTCTCGCTCCTCCGTCCGCTTCTTCCCCAGCTCGACTTCTTCCTCTTCCCCTTCTCCAACGCAGTGTTCCTTCTGCAGCCTTTCGTTTACCCAACTCCCGCTTGACCCGTCCACTCACTCGTTCGGACGCGTTTCGTGTATATTGTCCCCCTTGTACATATCCAGCGACCGATCGATCCATCACAATGGTCCGCCTCGCGACTTCCCTGGTCCTAGCGGCCTCCCTGTCCGCCTCGGCCCTCGCCGCCGACACCATTACCTGCTCCGCCAGCAGCCAGTGCCCAGAGGACATGCCGTGCTGCTCTCGTGAGTTAACTACTCCCCGGTGATGAAAACAACAAGTTGTTGACCCCTTCGTCTAGAATATGGTGAGTGCGGTACTGGCGCCTACTGCCTCGGTGGCTGCGACGTTCGTTACTCCTTCGCGCTCGACTCGTGCGCCCCAATGCCGATCTGCGAGTCCAAGTCCTACACCTGGGACAACCTCGACAACCTCGCCCTCAACACCAAGTACCTCGGTGATGCCTCCAAAGCCGACTGGGTCTACTCTGGTTTCCCCAAGATCCAGGACGGCACCATGCTGATGACCATGCCCAAGAACACTGTCGGCACGCTGATTTCCAGCAGCCACTACATCTTTTACGGCAAGGTCTCGGGCAAGTTCAAGAGCTCGCGTGGTGATGGTGTTGTTTCCTCCTTCATCCTGATGTCGGACGTCCAGGACGAGATTGATCTGGAGTGGGTTGGCGCCGACTTGGCCCACGTGCAGAGCAACTACTACTGGCAGGGTGTTCTGGACTGTAAGCGCTCTCCCCTCGTCCACACCGTCTTTTTGTGAATGCTAACTCGATGTAGGGCACAACAGCGCGAACCTGACCATCCCCGGCGGTGACACTTTCGACGACTGGCACACCTACGAGCTCGACTGGAGCCCCGAACAGCTGACCTGGAGCGTCGACGGCACCGTGCAGCGTACACTGACCAAGTCGTCCACTTACAACTCGACCTCGAACGTGTACCAGTACCCTCAGACCCCCGCGCGTCTGCAGTTCTCCATCTGGCCCGCCGGTGCGTCCACCAGCGCCCCCGGCACTATCGCTTGGGCCGGTGGTGCCATCGACTGGGACAGTGCGGATATCCAGCAATACGGTTATGACTTTGCGACCATTGGCGATGTCAGCGTCGAGTGCTACAGCGTCCCCTCCGGCACGGACCAGTCTGGCAACAACGCCTACATCTACACCAGCACTGACGCCCTGCAAAGCGACATCGCCATCGTCAACAACTCGACTATTCTGGGCTCCATGGGTGCTACTGGCTCTGACCCCTCTTTGGGTGCTAGCGCCAGCGGTTCTTCGGCTACTGCTTCTGCTTCCGCTAGTGACAGCGTTCCCTCCTCATCGAGCGGCGGCGCTGGCGAGCACTCCGGCAGTGGCAGCGGCAGCGGCAGCGGCAATAGCAGCAGCGGCGGCAGCGGTGGCTCGAGCACTACCTCTGGTTCGGGCTCTTCGAGCAGCGGTGGCTTCAGCCAAAACGGCGGCAGTGGCAGCGGCAGCGGCTCTGGCTCCGGCTCCGGCACCGGCAACGGTGCTCCCAGCCAGAACGAGCGCGTCCTGCGTGGCTCGCTCTTTGCTGTCCTGGTTGCCGTCGTGGTCCTGGTGACGCTGTAAATGTATCAATTGTTATTGGCTCTCTTTTATGTTGGATATTATTGGAACGTGGGGGATTATGCTCCTCATATCGAGTATATTTTTGTTCTATTCTGCCTTTTTATCTATTTGACTTCGTCGTGACTTGCTTGTCTGTGGTGACAACACCCAGATCGTAATAAACTACTTCCACACTCGTTCCTTGTTTGTCTGTCTACTGTTGGACTTTCCTTACTTGGATTGAACTGGACATTGAAAATGAACAAGTCGCTTCTAATGAATTTTGCTTCCCTCTTTCCTGTCTTGTACGCTGGTGGATGGAAAACCCCATATTACACTGCTATCTCTGTCTGACTAGCGTTTGCTTTCTTTGGTCTATCTCTCTCTTTGTCCATCTGTTTGTTGGTAGGACGGTTTTGCTGCACACGATTCCTGGAAAATATGTACTACCTACAGCTCAATGGTTACGAATATGCCAGTTGGATTTCTTTCCGTTCGTCCATTAATTTGCTCTATAATGAATAACATGTCGTTCAGTTATACTATGCCGAGTTTCCATGCAACTAAGACAATCAATCCTTGGTTGGTTCTGCAACGCCCCGACCGGCCCTTTGCAGCATGCCACACCCGCATGCAAGGTACAGTAATACACGTGGGGTCTGCCAAGATGTGGCTGAAAAGGATCGGAATGGAATGTATGAATATTTAAAACTAGATACATCTGATTGTTCTTTCGAATGTGTGGATATATGCCATTGTGGAGGAGTGGTGGAGTTAGGGCTGTCTATACTCTTGCCGTGAACTATCCGATCTATCATGCAAGATCTCTACCCGTTTGCTACTCTCCCCCCCCCCCCCCCCCCCCTCCTTTCTTCTTCAAAGGCATCTTTAATGCCTTTCTTCTTGGGGGTGTTTGCTATCTGCTATCTGCTCTCTTCCTGTGAGAATGCAGCTCTTGTAATGCAATGCAACACTTTTTATAAATATGAGAGCTCTCCTGCCCTGCTGCTTGGTTCTGTAGTTCATATTGATACCTATTCATTGTGTTCTCTATCATATGGTAAAGGAATGACCTGCAGACATGTGATGCTTATTGATATTGTCTTTCCAAGGTTAGTATCTTCAACTGTGACTCTTCTGCTGGTGTCACTAATGTGGTTGGCGCCTGGCTTCCTTAAGGAGATCTATCAACACAATGCCATAAATCAAGCTCATTTCTTCCATGAGAAATGGAGACAGGCCAGCTCACATATTATCTACATTGTATCTACGTCCATCCTTGGATTGGATAAATTCTCTCTTTAATCTCTGCCATGTGTCTTTATGTCGGCAACTTTTACGACTGCAACCACGTCCGCTTCGAGGTCCACCTCTTCTGCCGAGCCCTACTCTGGGAGCTGACTCGCATCAACGACCCAGTTGAGCGCACATGCTTCGACCTGCCGTTCAACCCAGATATCCCTGGCTGTGAGCCACATGCAGCCACTGCTGCCAATTCCGCTGAGCTTGCTTGGGATGGTTGTGGCACCGCGAACCGGAGCAATGTGGTGCAGTGGGTGATCTGTGTGGACGCATGCGAAGCTTGTTCGAATTGCTCTAATAGGCTGTGACCACAAGTCCGTTGAAATATCAAATTGTCATGCTTTGCAAAATTTACCATTCTACTATATGAATCTACTGGGCAAGATAGTCCACAATTCCGAGAAATTGTAATCATAGGACTTCTGAATTCGGTGAAGCATTTGCCTATTCTAGAACAACACGCGGTAAAAAGAAAGTAGCTTTTTATCAGCCAGCCTGGATATCTTGCCTACATGGCTTCTTATTGCCTGGCCACTCCGAGTTCCCGTAGAGAATCAGTCAGCCCCAACCGTATCAAGTTATCGATCTCTTTCTGGGTGGCAACAACTATATACCCCAGCATGCCGATTGCATTGACCCCAGCCTCTTTATTGATAGCAGCGCGTTGCCTAGGGAGGACCACCATCCAACGTTTTGAGAGAATAAAATTGTGCGGACACGCAGCGTTAGGTGGAGCCACGCCAAAATTCTCAGAGAGACCTTTCCCTTTCTTGGTTGACTGCTGGAGGAGATCATTATAGATCTCTAGCAAACGTTCTGGCGTCAAGTCATGGGGATCCAAGCGACGGTAGAACCATTCAAACGGAACTCGAGCTGGCTCACCATCCTTTGAGTCAAGAAAGGACGAAAAGAGGTTTGGAGGTGTTGGAATCAGCTGCAGGTGCTTGTGCAATCGACTGCATCCTCCATCCTGCCCGCAGTTGTAAAAGGCAACGTAGTCCCTGTCTAAGGTTGACAAAAGAGACCACACCGATATGATATCGTTGATATCGAGACTCTCATATTGTCTCCGATAGCCGTCGGAGGTTACGAGCATGAGATGTGGCCTTGCCCAGCAGAACCTGTTGGCGACCAGAAAGTGGGACGTACTAATTTCGCCAATCTCAAAGCCATGAGTACTGATATCGCTTCCCTCTCTCTTCTGATCCAGCTCATCGATCCCGTTTGCCGCCGATGGATTCAATTGAATTGTTGGCTTTTTGGCAAGAGCAGAGGTAAGCAAGAATTGGAACTAGAACGATATGATCAGGCTCCCTGTGGGTATGTATCCATATTCAAACATGGCATGCGGCATACCTTGAGGCCTCCATCAATATGCTCAATTATTACTTCCTTATCATTGTATATGACTGTGCCAGAATTGACAAGCTTGTCGAACTCGCACAGTATGTATGATTCATCCATGATTGTCTTTGAAAGAAAGAAGCTGCAAGGGCTTTGCCTGTATTGAAGTATGTGGTGTGACGATTTGATGGTGATGGCTTAACCGCTCTCCTTTAAAAAAGCATTGAGTGTGTACTGTCATCATTACGCCCCTTATTTGCGTGCTACTGTCAATCATAGAAAGTAGAAACATCCCACACGACTACCTACCAGTTTGGCTCAGTAGTCAATGCGATGGCACCCGCACTGCCACGTCATCAAAGTAGACCCCTTTGGTAGCTGCTATTATACCATTCTACACCGCTAAGACGAAGGCACATCTATTCTATGGGCCATGGCTTCAAATGCTATCTACCGACTTTGTCGCCCGGTATTGGTATATTGGTCGAGTCAGGGTTCGACGGACGATCAGTTCCAGGAATTTATTCAGAAAAACATCATTGTTTAATTTGGCCTTCAATCATTCAATCTTACTCGCTAGAATCTCCTCCCCGAGTTTTTCATCTAGATGAAGGCCTCTAAGTCGATGGCATCGGTCGGGGTGAACACAAAGCCGGCCGTTTACGAAAGACGCGATGCTACTGAAGATGAAATAAACGAATTGTCACATGTCGCCGACTCAATATCATCCATTGTCTAGATCGCTCTTGCGGTCAGCGGTGCAGAGCGATTCCTATTTTATGCCGCGACAACTCCTTGGCGTTCTGGGCAGCTTACCTTATGCCGCTCTCTGCATCCGCTGTTGTGGTGCAGTACGTCCCGAAACTGGCGCGACCACCTACACTCCTCGATTGATTCTCTAACCCACCGCCAAGACACACTAGTCTATATTGGGAGTTTTTCCGGGAGTATTGATATTCCCGTATTAGCTGCAATACAGTGACTTACTCTTGTCATAAGACGTCGCTCTGTCTTAGCACTGAATTGGCGATCCAATGCAACTAGGATAAGAGGGGTACCCGGCGCTTCCACCATATCCTGTTCTTTTCGCCAATCCAGCCCCCTTTCGCTCTTCTTCTATCTTCAAATTCAAGATAGAGAGATAAAATATCTATCTCCACTATGTCGTCTGTCCACGGAGCCTGGATGAATCCCAAGGGTGAGTCCTCCAATATCCAGCCAAGCCGACTATCCCTCTTTCTGATCGATCTGTTCACTATCGCTATATCCATATGTTTGACCCTGCTCATGTACGCCGTATGTAAGTCCACTTCTCCTTTGTGACGCGACACTAATCTTTTCAATAGTCTATATATGCTTTAGAAGTAGTCGTCGCCACCCTGGCTGCAGTCGAAGATACCAATCCGGATATATATAAGCGTTTCAACACTGATGATGATTCCATTAAGCCCATCACCTATCCTCAATCCGGAAGCCCCATTCCCGCGAGATATCAACCCATTACCAGGAAACTACGAACGAGTATCAGGCACTTGCGTATCCAGGCTGGGTCTTGGTCGCCATTCCGAGGTCTCGGTATATTCTGCATCTACTCGTCCACCCGGGGGTTTCTCGGTTGGTTGATACGTGCATCTAGTGGCTCTTCTCTAGTTGAAATCATTGCCCAACCTCTTATTGGCATACTCCTAGCCCCCTGGGAGATATCGCTAGTTCATATAATCATATCAAAGCCGTCCTCTAAGCGCTTCTACCAACGGATCCCTAGCTACCGGACGTGGATAAAGATTGTGCCTCCGGTGGCCTTGCGAGAGATTTCCGATTCGGCAAACGATTTGTTTGAGAAAGCTCTTGAGTCAGCTGACTGGCTCGATTTTGATAACCCCCTTAACACTACGAGGGAAACCGGTTGCAGCTTGGCTATTCTTGTCTTCGTATTCAAAGCTGTGGGTTACTTCCTGATTTATAACTTAGCGAACGCAATTTTCATCCGCGTCGCTGCTTCGATGCTTCCAGAAGAGGACGAGCCTATTGTACCGTTTGACCGTTCCTTTGGTGGCAAAGCGAACCGGTCCTTGGCCGATAGCAATGGCTATCTTACTCTTAGCGATGCTTGGGCCTCCTTTCACTGGCCGGCTCAAATTCGCTTTGCTAAAATCGTCTTTAAATCAAAGGCGGTTTCAGTGACGTTAGAGATGGTGGCAATGCTTGTTTGTTCGTCTAGTGATATCTGCATGGCATTGCTATGATTGTAGTCAGGGCACAATGCACTGCCAATGTCAAGGAGTTCCACAACAAGCGCCAGCCTCCGTCATGTCTGTGGTCAAGTGAGGCGGAGCGTCAGCTTAGACTCTCGGGATTCTGATGACGGACGCGTTAGTGGAGCTTCGGAACACTCGAAACAAAACAAAAACGTTATCTTGGGCATATGCAGGCAATATCTGATATCGTCGATCACAGTGAAATTTAGACACTTGGACTAGTGCTATGTCTGGTGGGGACTAACCCATTCGCCTGAAGCCTACCCTTTTATCACATCCAGATTTATCCATATAGACAAGGTGGCAAGATAGAAGTCTGAGATAGAGTAAAGGTATTCGTTACGGAGATCTAGGTTGCGCTCTCGGGCCTTGACCTGGGTAGTCTTTTTTGTCTCACCTTTAGACGTAAGGGCGCGGCTAATCCTCGATTTCGTTGCTTGAAGAGCGAATTCGTCCCACAGAAAAATCGCTATCTCGTCGAGGTATAAGGTGGATTTTTCGAGCAGGTGATCGCATAACGCTTCGAGCATGACTAGAGTGATGCTAGGGGGTCATCCACGTTTATTGGGCGGTGCTTTGACGCTGCCCTAGATCCGTATACTGGAAGAGATTCTTAGGATGGTACTCTTGTGCAGCTAGCAGCCTGTGCCATCTGCGATATAGAGAGTTCCCCTCTGTGGATGGATAAGCCCATGTTTTGAAGGAGCTAGATTTAGTCGACAACTCGTCATCGATTGTAAAGATACTCCCTTGGGAGGCTGTTTTGGAGGTGGGGTAGAGTGGTGTTGGATGTATTAAAATTACAAGCGAATACATTCTTGAAGGCGCTATGTAATCTCCGTAAGAGGCAATACACGTCCAATGGCCAGGGTACTCCGGAAAATTCCCAATATAGACTGGTGTGTCTTGGCGTTGGGCCTGGGGAATGAATCGAAGAGTGTGTACCTTTGTTAGTTCTGTAGTATAAGCCATTAGGTAGTCAAAGATTCTTCATCTGGCTACTCATGAAAAGCACTACTTTTGATGAATAGTGAAGCTGCCACCAAAGGGAGTGTCATTCCACAATTCGCAAAGTCATATGGTTCTCAGCTTGCGACTGATTCGAACTGGATGCGGCCAAACCAAGCTACGAAGCCGAGAAATACCAACGAGAAGTCGAGTGGGATGATTTTGTGTTCGAGATTGAACAGGGTCTTCGCGCTTGTACAGTCATGTTCGTCTTTCCTGTCCCCCCATTCATATAGTCCTTTGCTCACTCTATAATCAATGGCATGTTCTATCCCATACCACTTATGCAACAATTAGAGTGTGAATAACCTGATTACAAAAACTGGCGAGATGCGTCTGGACGGGGTCTCAAATGATGCAATCAAGGCTATCAATCCTGTGTATATGCAACCATATATATCTACTTCCATTCAAGCAAGTTACTTCATTTCTAGAATCAGTGGCACACCAAAAACCATTTCCCAAACCCTTTCTTCCTATACACACAACGACTTTCAGACCCATACTCATCTCACAAGGTAACATATTTCCTCCAATCGTGCTGATCCTTAAACCCCAACACCTCCCTAATCTTCCGATTACTCAAGGGCGCCTCCCACTTCCCCATCTTCCTCGTAATCGGAGTCCCAGGACAGATGCTCTTCAAAAACTCCTCTGTCGGCACCTCCGTCGTGATAGTATCATTCGTAGCATTGAAAACCTGAAATCCCAACCCATCCTTCATAACACCTAGGTGACAAATCTGGCCCAGATCGCGAGCATCGACATAACTCCATGCATTCCTTTTACGTGTCTCGGGCTTCTTCACAAACCCCGCAAACTCGGTCTCGTATTGGATAGGGTCGATGACATTCCCGATGCGCAGGGCGTAGATGTCAGCGCTGAATCGGCGCGCAAAGGCCCGCGCCGTTTGTTCACCGCAGAGCTTGCTGAGAGCGTACGAGTCCATCGGATTGACGTCATAGTCTTCCTCCAGCGGGAAGGAGTGATACTCCGAGTCTCCCTGCGTGAAGCAGACGCCGTAGGTGGTCTCCGAGCTGCCGATGATCACTTTCTTGATGCCGAGTTTGCAGGCTGCTTCGATGACGTTGTATGTGCTGACTACGTTGGCTTTGAAGGTTTCGTTGTCTGGGACGAGCATATTGCGCGCGTGTGCTGCGAAGTGGATCACTGCATCTGGTGGGGTGGTTGGTGATTCTTTTTCCAGATTGCGCTCAATCTCGTACTCGCCCATGTTGAAGTGCGAGGAGAGCGCGTTGAAGACTTGGCCGCTGTCTGTTAGGTCGCATTTTAGAGTGTACACGTCTGGGTTGAGGCCCACGCCGTCAGGGTTGGGGAGTGGGTTCAGATCCAAATTTAGGACTTGGTGGCCTTGTGCTAGGAGGTATGGGATGCAATGGCGGCCGGCCTTGCCAGAGCCTCCGGTGAAGACGATACGTTTTCCCATAGTGATAGATAGACAGATGGGTGAATGAACCACGGCGTAAACGGGGTCAGCATGACACTTTAAATAAGATGTAGTCGGCTAATACTTGCTCCATTTACCCGTCCCACCCCTCCCTGCATTGATTTGACTTTCTACAGCGGGTCAGTGGCGACTCTTAGCCAGAGAAGGGTGGAGCTTGATTGGAAATCAACATTGCCTTATCGTATGTAGATTAATGTTATAGATGTAGAAATCGATAGATATCAATGCTAATCTCAACCCAGGACCCAAGTAACGCCCGAAGAAAACAGCAACCGAGATGCGAGATAGTATAAGATAGATGAGATCAATGCACTCCACCGCAGCCACACTCCCCAAGTTCCCGCTTCCTAAAGTCTCCATGGTACGTGTCCAGGCCATCCGTCCGAACCTCAGCGCCGAGAGGATTGCCCATCCAGCTAAACGCCTCTGTTGAGACATCCTGTGTGGATGCATCCGGAGACCAGTATGCGGAGGACTGGAGGCGCTTCGTGACGCTACTGATATCGAGATCCAGGTAGCTGGCAAGGAATGAGCCGACGTCGGTGTTTTCATGATTGCCTACGAGCTGCCAGGCGTCTTTGGAAGAGGAAGCGTAGATGTTGACGTCGACGGCTGGAGGAAATGTTAGCAAAATGATAATGGTATCATTAGGACCATGTACTTACCAGAGTGGCCGTGGGTAGACCAGCCGATCTGGGCTCGGCGGCTAATCATATCTGCAAAGACATACTGCGGCGGAGCTAGTGCGTCTGCGTGGAGCAAGGCGTCCACCTCTGTATCAGTGGCATCGGTGATACCAAGTCCTTTCTCCAGCAGGGTTTGCCGAATATAGGTCTGCTGCTTTGCCTCGTCGTCACCCTTGCCCGGGCCAGACAGGTATTCATTCAGCTGGGCGTGGAGATACTCGCTCGAGTGACTCGCGTTAGCTAGCACGCCGGGAAGCCACAGGTACTCTGGGTAGCTCTTGTGCAGCTGTTTCGCAGCGGACAAACCACCAGTCTCGTGGTCGGATGTGCTGACCAGCACGCCCGGTGTTGAACTTTCGTCCAAGAAGTCCAGGACGGCAGTAAAGGCCTTATCGTACGCTAGGACCTCGTGCACTTGCGCAGCAGGGTCATTGCCGTGTCCGGCGTGATCAATCCGCGAGCCTTCGATCATGAGGAAGAATCCCTGCTCACTGTCTTCAGTGGCCTTGCTAAGCATGGTGAGCGCCGTACGAGCCATCTCCTCAAGAGACGGATACACCTCGCTCTGAGAGCGACGATCAATCTCGTATGGAATATCCTTCTCAGCAAAGAGACCCAGCAGGGGCAGTTTAGCCTCGGTCCCACCATTGAGCGCATCGAACCCAGCACGGTCCTGCATATAGTGGAACCCATTTTCCGCCGCAGCGGAAACCAGATCGCGATCGTCGCCCCGACAGCTTCCGTCCGTGGAATTGGGCAGGAAATGGCATCTCCCGCCACCGAGCATGAGGTCCACCACGCGTCCAAGTGGGTGTTCGCCAATTTCTTGTTCGGCGATGCTATCTTCGTAGCTTCGCATGTTGGCATGCGAGGCAAAGCACGCTGGCGTTGCGTCTGTGATGCGCGTCGTCACCACCAACCCGGTCTTGTATCCCGCCAGCGCAGCAGCCTCCAGCACGGTCCCGCAGGGAGAGTGGTCTGGGAGTACTGAGATGGCACCATTGTAGCTCTTGTGTCCGCAGGAGAAAGCCGTCGCTCCAGCCGCGGAGTCAGTCACCAAGCTGGAGCTTGAGCGGGTCCGCGACGTCCCGATGTGGTGCTGGTCTAGGACCAAAATCTCATCAATGGGTAGGCCGTCTGTCAGTTGTCTGAAACTCCTCGTCATCGAGAGACTGGTCGGTCCCATGCCGTCCGAGACCATGAAGATCAAGTTACGTTTCCCGGACGGCTTGCCGCCAGGACCCCACAATTTAGACTGACTGTGGCTTTTGGTCGTTTCGTGCTGGTATACCACTGCGAGAACGACTACTGCGATCGTGGCAATGAGCGCCCAGGCGACGAGTCCAATCTCTCGCCAGACGGCCCAGCCCCGTCGTCGTTCATCAGGGCGAGTGATCCGTTCGCCGGTGAGGAGGGCATCCTCCTCTTCCGCATTACGGATGGAGGAGCGGTCGGAGGATGGGCGCGGAGCCAGCAGAGGCTCTTCCCGCGCCATGGTGTGTGTGTGATAAGAAGTGATGAATCAGAACGATCTGAGGAGTAGTGGAAGAGAAGCTTGGGGAGTTGGATGGCGCGATAAGATAGGAGCTCACATGATCGGTCACGTTTTACATCATTGGGAAGCGGTAGTCATTTGCGCATTTCAACTATGTTTCTACGGATAACATCCTATGACCTCCCCTTCCACCCTATCGGAATCAACGCCGCCGCAATCTCGTTGACTCCGCGCTCCGTAGCCAGCAGATTAAACTGCGCCGCCGCATTCCGGGTGTCCTGGATATCCACCCGAATACCCAGCGAGTTGATATGGCGCTTCGTCTCCGGCGAGAGAGGGAACATGGACGCCCCGAGTCCGAGAATGAGCATATCTAGACAGAAACAATACCTTCGTTAGCAACCAGTAGACAATTCAATCCAATCCAGTCAATCCCCAGGGGGGGTGACCCGGAAAAACCTACCCGGACGCGGCCACACCATACTCAAAAGCCCCCAAACCTGCTCCTCAACCTCAAACTGGCCCTTGGAATTAATCATAGCCGCCTTCGCTGCATTCGCATCGTTTGTCTTTGTCTCCGTCTCCTCAAACGCCTTCCACGGCCGCCAGGCGAATGCCTCGCCGCCGACGAGCAACAACGCGTCGCCGCCGGTGATCTTGACGCCACTGTTGAGATGGAATCCACTGTCCAGGCAGGCGTCGATGGCTGTTGTCGGGGCAGGGATGTTGCCCAGCACGTTCAGCGCGGCGAAGTCTGTTTGGGTGTCTTCTTTGGACTCGGGGCCGCGGTCGTGGCTGGTTGGTTTGGCGGCGTGCGCTCGGGAGACCATGCGTGCTGGACGGACTGAGGTGGAGTTGTGGCGGCTTGTTGATGGGATGCCATAGACTGAGGGTTGGGTGTTGTTGAGCGAGGCCAGGACGCGTAGGTGTTGAGATGGGTTCGGGCGCACAAGAGGAGCGCTGATTAGAGAGGTGCGCAGGGCGCGTAGGAGTTGGGGAGATGGGGAATGCATTGCGATGTGGTTTCCAAGGTCTGTGTCCGGTCTGGCACTGGTGAAAGTGGTGAGTGAGTGATTGTGAGGCGAGAGGGCCAAGGGAAAAAAGGACTAAGCTCCCCCGGCCCGAAGTACATGTCTTGGCGATCGACCAATAAAGTAGAAGGCATTTGCAAAGGCCTTGAATGAACATCTGTATTAATATATCCGTTCTGGCGAACCTAGCGATTACTCTAGTTTTATTTCCAGTTTCCCCGACTGTAACCACTGTTCCCCCTGCCCTGCGGTGCGTATGAAACAGAGATAGACATAGAACGGCGGACATGCATACGAGTCGTACACGTCGTGAAGGTGTCCCGAACGCCAAATTGGGAGAAGGAGAGAAAAAAAAGAAATGGACCCGAAAAAAAGACACAACTCGCCCTCCATTGCATGCAACGTCCGAATCATTCACTATTACCTCCCACAGGAACCTTGAAATTGTTGCTTTTTCCGTCGAAGAGAGAGAGAGAGAGAGAGTATCAAACATGCGCACACATGAATACACAAAATCAAAATCAGTGGCGCGGATGTCCAGTCCCATGGTTCCGATCTTCGTCGGATTGACTGGAGCTGTCATCGCTCGGCCCGTTTAGGACACCGTTAGCCCGATCTTGAAGAACTTGGGCTTCTTGCGCTGCCTTTTGGGCGCGGATCTGCTTCCGCCACATGCCGGAGTAGGAACCCTTCAGGGCCAAGAGCTCTTCGTGTGTGCCGCTCTCGACCACCCGGCCGCCATGCAAGACTAATATGCGATCTGCTGTGGTGATGGTGCTGAGCCGGTGCGCGATCACCAGCATGGTCCGGCCGTGTGCAAGGCTCGCCAAGGCTTTTTGGATCTGCTCTTCCGTCTCTGTGTCAAGGGCGGCGGTGGCTTCGTCCAGGAGAATGATGCGCGGGTTCTTGAGAATGGTGCGTGCGATGGCCACACGCTGTTTCTCGCCGCCGCTGAGCCGCAGGCCGCGCTCTCCGACCTTGGTGCTGTAGCCATCGGGGAATGTCAAGATCTTGTCGTGGATACTCGCGGCTCGGCAAGCCTCATAGACATCTTCATCTGTCGCGTCCGGGTTGGCGTACTTCAAATTGTACATCAGGGTCTCGTTGAACAATACTGTATCCTGGGGCACCACGCCGATATGTTTGCGGACCGAATCGATGGTGAGATCCTGTACATCGTGCCCGTCAATACGGATACATCCCTTTTCGGGATTGTAGAAGCGAAACAACAGACGGAACACGGTCGACTTGCCGCCGCCTGATTCCCCAACCAAAGCTGTGGTGGTCCCCGGTTTACATTGGAAACCGAGTCCATTCAGTGCCGTTTTGCGAGCATCATACGAAAACTGCACATCATCGAAATCGATTTCACCCTTGCACACGGCCAACGGGACCGCGTGGGGGTTATCAACCACTGAGGGTTGCTCTCGGAAGAGCTCCAGCATGCGCTCTGCGTTGATCAGCGCAGATTGGATGGAGCGATAGAAGGTGCCGAAGAAGTTCAATGGCCCTTGCAGCTGAGCCATATAGGTCAGCAGAGCAACGAACCGGCCGACAGGTTGCTGGCCCATGGAGACCTGGTAGGCCGCGATAAAGCACGTAATCAGCAGACCGAACATGAAGACAGTGTTCTGGCAGGTGTTGAGTAGCGTCAAAGAGAAGAGTACGTGGTATTCGGCTTTCTGGTAGTCGCTCACTGCACCGCGGTATCGGTCAAACTCGTACTGCTCGGCGTTGAAATATTTGACGGTTTCGTATGAGACCATAGAATCGTTTCTAAGCCCACCATTAGCCACTGTCCAGAAAATACAGGCAAGGACAACTCACTTCACAGCATCTTCCTGTCTCGAAGCGTTCACCATTTGCCGCCTAATCGTCGCTCTCCACTGAGCCATGCGAATGGTGACGTACAAATACCCAAAGGTGGAAATCGCGACCACCAGAGCGTAGTACGCATCAAAGAAAATGAGAAAGTATCCAACGGCAACCCCAAGATCGATCAACATCGGCACCACCTGGAAGGTGACCTGCTCGAGGAACGTGTTGATCGAGCTTCCCTTGCTCAGGGCAGACAGGACTTCTCCTGTCTTCTTGCCCAGATGAAAGTCCAAGCTGAGACCGTGGACATGCTCAAAGGCGGCGGTAGAAAGCTCCATATAGGAATACTGGCCCACCGGAATCCAGAGGCTGGAGCGAACCGAGCTGAGCAAGCCCTGGCCGCCCTGTAGCCACCGATAGACCACATACATGCAGATTTCAAACCATGGGACCCGAAATTCTTGCCCATTCTCCATGGCCAGGATATTGGTGATCTTTTCCACCTGATACGGCACCATCACATTGACGACCCGCTGGGCAACAAGAAGCCCGAAACATATCACCACGACTATCTGCAGGCGGCGCGACTTGGATGGCCACAGGTATGGGAAAAAGAGAGAGTATCCGCTCAGATACTCCCACCAGGTGGTTGACGGTGCAGTCGTTGGACGCACCCACGGATCTGGCCCTTTAGGCGGCTGATCGCGCGGACCACCGTTGGTCGAGCCGTAGCCATTGCCGTTGCCGTTGGCAGCGCCAGACTCGGCAGGAGAAGGGTCCAACAAGCCCGTAGTCTCCGTCGTCCCATTAGCCCGTCGCTGGGCCTTCTTCTCAGAGTGTTTCATGCTCAGAGAATTGCACGCATAGAGCAGTACCAGCACAAACAGAATGAGGACGCGCACGCTGCCGGCGACCACTTCCAGGTATTCCCATACGGTCGTTCTCTTCCGTAACCTGCCACCTTCAGGATCTCCCACAATGGGCTCATGGTGGGGCGCCGTGTAAATCGACAGGGATGCGCTGAGAATGACTAGTTCAATCGGGATGGCGACCGACCACGAGACGAAATGAGCGAGTGTTGGGGAAGGAGAGGTGTCAAGTAAGGATATCAGGATGACCGAATACACGAAGAACGAGGCGATGATGCAGATCTATGGTCCGAGTTAGTTTTTGGCAATTTTTGCTTCTTTTTGGTCCAGCCTTGCACATACAACAACCGATTGTCCCTGCCACCAATGCTCGGACCGCGCTACCAACGCATGGGCGATAAAAATAATGGCATTAGCGAGCCATGTTACTAGAATGCCCACGGAGAGCCAGTTGAAAAATCGTTTTACGGTCTTGGAGAACTGCTGTGTTTGGCGATAGCTGTTCGAGCTTCTCGACCGCATCGGCAGTGGGCGCCCACCGGGTCCCATGCGTTGCGAAGCGTCTTTGTGAACATTTCGCGCCACGATCATGGTATTGGCCAGGAAGGCCACGACGAAGAGGACGAAAAGGAAGAGTGGGTAACAGGTGCGCAGGTACTGCAGCAGCTCACTGGCTGCGTGGGGATCCATGGTGGCCAGTCCTCCCAAAATCCAGCACAACCAAAAGATGGTTCACACGATTTCCATGACACAGTGACCGAGAGAATCCCCGTGAGAGATGGGGAAGGGTGTCGGTCGGAAGGGGGCGAGTAGGAAGGGGAAGAAGAGAAACAGAGAGAATGGACGGATTCGGGGTTCGGATGTTCGGATGTTCAAGGATCGACGGGGAGCGAAAAATGGCCGATCACGGACGGTCGTGGCGGGGACGAGCACAGAACACCCACGTGGAAGCTTGACGTGATCGAGGTCTCTGTTGCTTTTGATTAGTTTTGCTTGTTGGGGCGAGGTCTCGTGCATCGGGCGGAGCACGGGACATGGGGGAGAGATGCAGAGAGGGCGATGGGCAATGGCGACTGACTGTAGAGATGGACTCTCTCCGATACGGTGTATGTGGGACACACACAAGAGAGAGAGAGAGAGAGAAGAAGAGGAAGAGGGAAAGAGGAGACGATGCTTGGGAAGGAAGCGAAGGGAGAAAGAGGAAGAGAGAGAACAGGATGGTGAGGGGAATAATGACGGGGTGGATCAGGTCTGGCCTGAGTAGAAGAATAATAATAGTGATCTCCGAGACACCATCGAAATGTTTGCCTCCGAGTCGGACTCGAAGGTCCAGTATACCACAGGCATCTGGTTAGAATCACATTTTTAAACCCACGACCCAAAAAGACCTCGATCTAGATCATTTAGGCCCGTCCGAGCCCCCAGAGATGTACCTATGATTAGCTGCAGGGGCCGCCTTAGCTTGACCGGGGGGATGCGAGTGGGTAACTAAACTGGGTAAACTATTCATGGCTAGCCCACAGGCTAGTTCGGTTTAGTCCTAATCCATCCCTCCGCCGGCATATCCTCAGCATCATCAAAGGGTGGTCGCCGTCGCCAGCGCTCACCGCTCTCACCACAGACCGACCTTCATTCCTCTCTCACCCATCCACACACCCGCCCTGTTCTCTTCCACCCCAGCATGGCCGCCAGTCATGTCCGATCCAGCTCGCTCCCCGGCACCTCCGCCCCCGCCACCGCCACCCAAATACTCACATCGGGCTGCCAACGCGCTCGCCAGGTTCGCCCAACCCTTCTTCTCCGGGTCGCGTCCTCCGAGCCCGCAGAGCGGCCCGGAGGGTCCCCGGTCGATCAGGTCCAAATCGCTGTAAGTGCTGCAGTCCTTCTTCACACGGGACACACCGCTCTTAGACCAGTCGTTCTAACACCTCTGGCAGACCCGGCGAGCCCCAGACTGTCACCCATAAAACCGGAATCCCCATCGTCGCGCTTGATATCTCGCCCCAGCGCACGCACGCGGTCATCGCCGGTAAAGAAATCCTCAAAACTATCCGCGTCTCGCCCGACCACTCCTCCGAAGAATTCAACGTCCGAAATGCTGTCATCAGCTACGCTTCCGCCCACCATGACGCGGGCGTGTCCATGCCACACAAGGACCAGCTGAATGTACGCGACGTGAAGTGGTCCCATAGCAATTATGACCGGACAATTGCCACGGCCGTCGCGAACGGCCGCATTGTCGTTTACGACCTGCAGCGGCCCGGCCTCCAATTATGTCGCTTCCAGGGCCACAGCCGCCAGGTGCACCGGCTGGCCTTCAACCCCCATTTCGCCGCGTGGCTATTGTCGGGCAGCCAAGATGGCACCATCCGCATGTGGGATCTGCGAGCAGCTCCCACGAATCGCGGCACCTCCACGTGTGGGAGTAAGCATGTGTACCATGGCAACAGTGATGCCATCCGGGACGTCCGGTGGTCGCCCAGCGATGGCGTCGTGTTTGCGACCGCCGCGGACAGCGGCGCCATCCAAATGTGGGACCAGCGGAAGGGCAATGCGCCATTGATGCGCATTGCGGCTCATGATCGCCCTTGTTTTTCGGTCGACTGGCATCCCGACGGGAAACACATCGTCAGTGGTGGCACAGACCGCCAAGTCAAGGTCTGGGATTTTTCCTCGTCTGCAGAACGAAGACAAAAACCCGCCTTTCAGTTCCGAACCCCCCAGGCCGTCGTGAATGTGCGATGGCGGCCGCCATCGTGGGTGGGTGAATCACCCAGGTTGGGAGAATGGCAGTCATCCCAGATCGTTACTTCTTACGACAAGGAAGACCCGCGAATACATCTTTGGGACCTTCGTCGCCCGCATGTCCCGTTTCGTGAATTCGATCGGTATGATTCCCCCGCAACCGATCTGCTCTGGCGCTCCAAGGACCTGCTTTGGACAGTCGGGGAGACCGGGGCGTTCACCCAGACCGACGTCCGTTATGCGCCCAATGTGGTTAACCGCCGACCGATGTGTTCGGTGGCCTGGAGTCCCAATGGCGAGTTTGTCGCATTTGCGCAGAAGCGGCCCACGCGGCGTGTTCGGGTAGCTGAGTTCCTAGGCCACGAAGAGGATGAGGCGAGTCCCGGCGACAGATCGCTGAACGACAGTCCCGGGGAGGACATGCTGGACGAAGCTGCCATGGTCTCTACATTGCGGCACCGACATACCAAGTCCACTCCCCATCGACCATCCAAGTCGTTGGGCAATACTCCACCCGGAACAGTGGATAATGTACTTCCTGTGCTTCCTTTAAATCAAGTCTTGGAAAAGATTGCGACCCCAGGGCCCAATCAATTGGGCACTACCGGAAGCATCCCAGGTGCTACAAATGATGCCTTCGTTTTTCGATTCTTGGCAGGTCGCTATGCGCCGCTGATGGATGAGCGTCGGGGCCAGCGCACATCCGTGGAGATCCTGAACTCCTTGATGGAGGCACTGGACCACAACGCCGAGTGCGCGGATGAGGTCGCCCTGACCAAGGTGGCTCAAACCTGGAGGATTGTGAAATTCGCCATCCTTCAAGAGCTTCAGCGGAGAGCGAGGCAACAACCAGCGGGTAAAGCCGGTCCCAAAGAGAAGTCATCCAAGGAGGGATTATTGATGGACCGATCCCGACCAAGCGAGGAGAAGGTGAGGAGTCGGCTGTTCAAGGGTGTCATGGAAACCGAAGGCCATCGAAGTCTGATATCAGAAACCGAAAGTACCTCAAACATGACAACACCTCTCGCCAAACCCTTGCCCGACTCTCCTCCAATGGACTCTTACGACAGCGGTGATTCTCAGATCCCTTCATTGAGTGACGCTGCGATCGATGTTGATCCCCTACCGCCGTCAGTTCTCAGCTCTCACAATGGCTGGAGTATGTCAGGCGCGAGCGCCCATCGCGTATCCCCATTCCAACAGGGACAATCGGTCTCGAGTGTAGACACGCACCCTTCCGATCAGCTCCGTGATCCATTCGACCACGGTTCGGAAATTGATCAACGCTCCGCTCCTCGCGCGATTGCCGGCAAGGTGGACTGGCGTATTCGCAACCACCCAGACTACCCTCGTGAAGGTTCTGAGGATGATTATGATCAGAAACTGGAGGATAAACGGGCCGCCATCCGCGACTACAAACAGGCCCCAAAGAAGGTCTTGACGCTAGAATCTCCCATGCAGTCCAATCGGCCTCCTGCACTCGACCCTTACCAGCAGCACGGATCCTCTGATAGCTTCCCAATGTTTTCGGCATCTACGGACAGTTCAAATCCTCCGAAATCCGCGGGGGCCTCGTACTCGCCCAATGGACGGCAGCACGGAGAGTCGGATGCCAGTGCCGGCGGAGGCAGACCCAGAAAAGAGTCTAACTTGGTTTCTCCTCGGGAAGTGGTGCCAGAGGAGGCCATGTCATTTGACGAGTCTCTTCTGGAGTACGACCAAGTCCATCTCGAACGTCCATCTAGCCCGCCTCCGTTTCTGGCCGAGTCAACTCCATTAAAACAACCCCTTCCCGGAGACACCCAGTCTTCCACAGATACCCCTCCTCTTTTCTCGGCTTATCCAACGATGCTGGACATCACGGAAGAAGTCTCCCGAGTTGAACTCCCTTTCACCCCAGATACAACAGACTTGAAGCCGTGGAGTATCGAGGCTATTCTGAAAGAGGCGGTCCGTTATTATCACAGCAGCAGTAGTTCAGTCGACATACAAACCGCAGCCCATCTCCTCCAGAAGCTTCACATCCTTTTCAAGGACTGCGAAAAGATCCTTCCCTATGCAGAGTGCGAGCTCGTCTTCCAAACCTACAACGACCATCTGATCCGCCATTCAATGAACCTGGAGGCCGCAGAGCTGCGTCTCTCCTGTGTGCCTCATTACCCCAATGTGTACGACTATGCCCAAATAGACACCTCCATCAACGTCTTCTGCTATACCTGCCAACGACCGTACGAGAACCCGCGCCGCGACAACACCCGCTGCCACCGCTGCAACACCCCACAGCCTCCCTGCTCCATCTGCATGAGCATCGATCCGCCCCCGGAATGGGTGGAACAGCAGCAGCAGCAACAGCGCACCAACTTTCCTCCCCTCACAAGCCCGGGTTCCGAAACCGAAACCATCTCCCACCTCTCCTCACAATCCTCCATCCGAACAGAACCCCTCCCAGCCTCTGAACTCGACCATCCCAGCCTCTTTGCCCCACCCCGTCCCAAGGGCTCTGCCCTCTGGTCCTGGTGCCAGGGCTGTGGCCATGGCGGCCACCTCGCCTGCATCACAACCTGGCTCAGTGACCTCACCATCAGCGCTGGCGGCTGCGCCACACCCGGCTGCACGCACGACTGTGGACCAGGCCCCCGCCGTGGACTGAACCGTCAGGCTTTACAAGCTGAGACCAAGCGTCGCGACTCGGCAACTCGTTCCGCGGGCGTCGGTCTCGTCAAGAAGGACCCCTGGACAAAAGGCGAGAGTAAGGCCGTCGAGAAGGTTAGGGGTATGCTCGGAGTCGCCGGCGTCGCTAATGCCCCTGCTGCTGGGAGTACGGCTGGATCCAGTGCTTCGACGAATGCGACCTCTGCTTCTGGGGCCGCTGCTGTCACTTCAGGGACGATGTCACCGAAGAAAGTGAGACTGGTTACTCCTAGTGAGCAGGGGAAACGGTCTCGTCGGTCGACGGCTGCTTCGAGATAGTAGATGTAGGTGGTTGGTACGTCATTGCTGGTCAAGACGATGTCTTAATGAGAAAAGTACGGTATACTCATTACAGACTTAGTTCTAGTGTACTATAAATACTAAACCAATCTTGAAACCATCTTCGACGAGATAGGATTAGTAGACAGAAGTATGGCACAGCCCAGAACCTCAGGCTCTGGGGGCTCTGGGATTTATATAGATATTTCCTGACCCACACCACATCCCAAGCAAGCATCTACCTTCCTCTCTCAACACCAAAAATGTACCCCATCAAATACACCAACCCAAGCCAACTCCTCCATGCACTAACCCCCCTCTACATGCTCCTTGAAACCCACCAAACAGGCCACCAACACCTCATCTTCTCCTCCGTCACGCGCATGCAATTCGAAGAAGACCTCATCTCCCCGGAAGTCCATGCCTCATTTTCCGGATTCCTCAAATACTGCTATCACCACCCCACCCAGTCTCTAGCCGTCAAAGTCCCGCTACCACTGCACTTCACTGTAGTCGCTAGTATATTCAAGAAAATGATTGACAGGCAGCTTTTCAAGATGGATCTTCTAGACACTGAGGGCTGGAATAATACTTTGCGGAATATCGTGTATATTGGGGACTGGGCTTTAGAACCAGATTTCTACTGGGTTCTGTCCACGAAAACGAGATATACCAGTCCCTCTGTGGTACTCGAAGTTGGAACAGCCGAAGATTTTCCACAACTTGCCGATAAAGCGTCCATTTGGTTGGAAACTCTTGAGTCTAATGTGCAGGCTTTTATAACGATTCAACTTGACTATAACAACGAATGCGACCTTGCTAGTGATACCGCCATCAGGATTACGGTGTGGAGACTGACTCCAACTAACAAGGCATATCAGAGTGTGTGCGTTGGTATCGTTCGTTTGCGGTCTTTGCTCGGACGGCTGAGTACGTCTGTCTTGTGGTATTCGACGGATCCTGTAACCGAGACTGTAACTTCGGACAAGGGGATTCGGTTGGAGCTCGAGCTTTTCGCTCGAAAGAAAGCTTCAAGGAACCCATTTTCTGCAAGCGATGTTTTTCTTTCTAGGAGGTTGCCGGCTGGGTTTGCGGAGGAGTTTTGGAGAATTAACCAGTGTGGTAACGTGGGTTAGTTAATTGGTGATGGGATAATGGGGTCTGGGAGGGACTGATATGTGTGTTGACTTCAATGCTAGCAAATGATACGATGCATGACAAGCCCAGCATATCGCGAAGTTACTTAGTCGAGGGCTGCAGATCAAAAGTCGGAGGATAACGACGGTGACCACTCGGACTTTGAGGACAGAGAAGGCAGACTAGATCATTCGTTAGTTGTCGATCGATAGCTAATAGCGAGTGCTTCGGAGACTCAAACCCCGCACCTTCTCCCTTCCCCGCATTAGTCTAACTGAATCCATTCGTGGATGACTTCGGAACCATGTCCGGGTTGTCCTCGAGGATCGCAGAACATTAGTAAAGGGCAATAATGTCCCGACGCAGGAGTAGAAAGAGGGTATCGCTATGCAAGGATGGCTATAAAGTAATGCGGAGAATGCACCGATCCGAATTGCACATGATAATCTTCTCATCTTGATATATCTCAATTCTTACATCCTTCCATAATGACACAACAGCGGAGCGCCTTCATTACAGGTGGCGCGTCCGGCCTGGGTAAAGCTATTGCCACCTGGCTAGCTGCCAAGGGGATCAAGGTCTTCATTGCCGATCGCGACGAAGCTGGAGCGAAAGCAGTGGCAGCTGAGATTCAGGGTGCATATAGTGCTGTGGATGTCACGAGCTGGGAATCACAACTGGCAGCATTTCAAAAGGCTGTTGACCTATTCGGCCGGATTGACTACGTGTATCCTATAGCCGGCATTGGAGAGAACAGCTTTCTTCCTACAACAACAACGGAGGAATTCCAGAAACCCAACTTGAGCATTTTGGACGTCAATGTTTCTGGTCTCCTGTATACTGTCTCCCTCGCTGTACAACTGTTCCGGCGACAACAGCCCACTGCGTCTGGGATTCGTGGAAAAATCGTGGTCGCAGGATCCGTATGCGGCATCTATTGCTGCCCTTCCCTTCCCATGTACACGACATCAAAGCATGCAGTCACGGGATTGGTTCGTTCCTTGGGTAAAGCTCTGATATCTGAGGGAGTGACTCTGAACTCGGTCAACCCAAATGTCATGCGGACCAATTTCTCCACGGATAAATTCTATGATTCTTTGGATAGTGAGGGTTTGCTGACCCCCATGCAAGGCTGCCTTGATGCTTGTCAACGATTTTTGGACGATGATCAACTCTCAGGTCAAAATTTCGAGATCGGGCCTAATTACGACAAAGGCCAAGGGCTTATGGACCCGCAATTTGCGCCACTGGTTGATGAAGCACAAAAGCGTGTGTTCGATAAGCTGTTGGCTCGAGGCAACGCTCGGTGAATGACATGAGTCGGTACCAATTGACTATGAGACCTGAGTTTTGTATCAACCATAGCAAAAATGAAACTATTATTGTGTTCCTGGTTACTGTGTGTGATCTAGTCTCCAAGTGAAGCACTTCAAAAATGGTTGACAGATCTGGAATGCGCTGGCATTGATTTACAGAAATTCGGGGAAATGAAGGACAGCATCTGGAAACGGAAACTTTATGGCCAGTCAATGGCCCAGCGAATGAATATCCCCAGCACGATTTTGATCAAATGCCTTCTGATAAAATCTATAGTATAATAGCATATGGGTATGTCGACATTTCAATCTCAAAAAACCCCTACATAAAAGTGGGCGTCGCCGTGTTCGCGCGATATGAAAGCTATGCTGTAATCAACTTGTCAATCTTATACATTGCAAAATAAATTCCGTCAATTGCATTCGCTATATGGCTATAAATTGCACCCTCATTTCCGCAGATTTTTGAAGTCACAAGTTGATGCTGGGCGCGTGGAGTAATTCCTTGGACGCCGAGAGCAGGCCAAAAACAATGCGGACATAGTCGGAAAGCCGACTCCCAACCACAGCACCAACTCTTCCGGATAGAGAGAGCGGGGATAAAATGGCCGCATCTATCCCAAGCTCTGAGGCAAAGGAAGATGCGGGGCATGAGAAGCCATGGAACTCACAAAGCGAAAGCTCGGAGACTCTGGCCCCGCCGCGTGCTACCGCGCTTTGCGGTGATCTACCCGATAAAAGAGCTCTTCTGGGGAATGTGTTTAGCGTTGGACTATATCTTTATCCTCGAATTTCGCAACGTCAACATTACTCAACCACTATCACAATGGGAGAATATCGACCACCTGACATGTTTCAAATCGGCAGCAATAGACCGGGCCCTCATCCATCATCTACAGGCCGCCCCGTGGACCATCCGGAATGGCATCAAACAACGGCCCGCGGATACCAAGTGGGATCAAATCTGCTGGGTGAGCCCTGGAGTAACGATCAGCCCTTCAAGGTCATTGTGATGGGCGCTGGAGCTGCAGGGATTGATTTCCTCCACCATGCACCTAAAGCTCTCGCCGGACTCAACGTCCAGATCAAGTGCTTCGAGAAAAATGCCGACGTCGGTGGAACGTGGTATGAGAATAGATATCCCGGCTGTGCTTGCGATGGACCCTCTCCGAGCTACCAGTTTGCCTGGAGACCGAACCCCGACTGGTCGAAGTACTACTGTGGCTCGCCAGAGATTTGGCAATATCTAAAAGGAATTGTCCTTGACGAAGGGCTTGATCGATATATCCAGCTGCAGACAAAAATTGTGAAGGCTTGCTGGGATGACACGAAATCGAAATGGGTCCTGGTTGTCGCCAATGCCACGAAACAGTGGGAGGAGGAGTGTGATGTGTTTCTGAACGGCACTGGGTTCCTCAAGTGAGTGCGCTTTTGGGAAAGGGTCTGGATCGAGTTCCTGACGTTCTCAGTCACTGGAAATGGCCCAATATTGCTGGCATAGACACATTCAAGGGCCGTTTGTTCCACACGGCAGCATACGAGGAAGGATACGATCTAAAAGGAAAGCGGGTTGCGGTTATCGGGAGTGGATCCTCAGGAGTCCAGGTCGTCGCATCGATATATCCTGAAGTATCAAAGCTTTACACTTGGGTGCGCAGCCCGACATGGATCACCGCGGGCTTTGCACAAAAGTTCGCTGGCCCAGACGGAGCCAATTTAGAGTGTTCGTTTGCCCTGGAGATCTCATAAGCCAGCACATATTTTTCTAACCGAGAAACAGATTCTGAAGAACAGAAGGCAGAGTGGCGTCGGCATCCTGAAAAATATCGCGAGTATCGCAAAGTCATCGAGGATGAGATCAACCTGCGCTATAAGGGTGTTTTGAGGAATACAGCTGAGTCCCAGAGTGGGAATGAGGTGAGATTGCATGGACCTCAATTTGATTTACGTGCTGACAAGAACACAGTACTCTTATAAGGAAATGCACCGCAAGCTGAAAGGAGACCCGCGCCTGGTGGACAAGATCATTCCCAAAGACTTCAACGTGGGCTGTCGACGACCAACGCCGGGCAATGGCTATCTAGAGGCGCTGGTCGGTGAGAAGACAACTACCTTTACGGAAACTATTTCTTGCATCACCCCGAAGGGTTTCAAGGACCATGCCGGTCAAGAATACGAGTGCGATGTAATTATTTGTGCTACGGGTTTCGACACTTCTTTCCGACCTCGATTCCCTGTTGTCGGTCTGGATGGTGTGAGCCTTGCCAAACGTTGGGAGAAGGTACCGGAGAGTTACATGGGCATTGCAGCGCCCAGCATGCCCAACTACTTCATGTTCACAGGGCCCTTCACTCCCGTGGCGCAGGGAGCTATCCTGCCAATCCTCACCTCGATGAGCAATTACTTCTTGAAGGTTCGATGCCACTCTGATGATCTGTCAACTAGGGACATACAGGACTCACTATTTATTATTATTCTTAGGTCATCGAGAAAATGTACACACAACATATTCGCCGGATGACGCCGAAGGAATCCGTTATTGAGGATTTCATGGACCATAGCCGCGCCTATCTCCAAAGGACGTGCTGGGCGGACCCATGCAAGAGCTGGTTCAAGCAGGGCAAGGCTGATGGTCCAATTGTGATGTGGCCAGGATCTCGACTGTTGTTTTTCGAAGCCGTCAAGAACCCCCAATGGGAAGACTACGAGATTGAATATCGGTCAGGTAATCGTTTCGGGTTTTTTGGCAGTGGATTTGTGCCGTATGAATTTGGAGCCGCGGGAGAGAGCTCTCCGTATCTCAATGGTGACTTCGTGCATACTCTTCCCAGGAAAGAGGTCGAAGAAAGAATTGCGGAGCGCAGGGCCCGTCAAAATGGACATACAGAGGTGAAATGTCCTCTTTGATGGGGTTGATGTCTCTCTTGCATATTTTATTCAGGAAAAATATATGGCAAATACATTTGAATAAACAAAGATTTCGAAGTATCAAGCTCTTTAGGGTTCCTGAAGGCACGTGTGTTGATGCCTGTGAATTTCATGCCTTGGTGCCTGAAAGGGCTCCTTACTTTGTAGACTATAAAACCCTCCAACTCTTTCCTCTTCTTCATTTCTCTTCCATCATCCCCCATCATCTCCACTCTACCCCAAACTTCTCGTTTGCACAAAATTTCGACAAGGTCGGCGTCGAACGTGGTGTTCAGGGTTGGTTCTATCCATGTATACGTGGACCAAACGATGATGGTGGGATATGTGCAACTGTCGCGTGAGTACCATGCCCCATGTTAAAGTTGATCAATATCACGATGCACGATGCTGAGCTGCATATCCCAGGCAACTACACCGACTTGAGGGTCAACAAATCCAGAAGCTCCTGAGCCCTTCTTGTGCTCGTCAAGGCCATGTCTCACGCGTACCATGGGAACCTTTTCAAGTCGACCCTTCGGAGCGATGATCTTTCGAAAATTCCTAGTTCTGTAATAGGGTACTCGCCCGGTTACATTATATCTCAGAGCCGGGTCAGCGCCTGTGGCAAAGCGGATGCACCTCGAACTCGTGGAGGATATTTCCACCATTTGGCTAAGCAGCCCAGAGGAACACTGGGTAGGCTCTAAGCTCACGCGGGGCATCCTCAAGGAGGTTGACCTTGATGAGAACGAAGCCGGTCAAACAATCTAACTTACCCACCGCGCTCTACCTGATTTCCCCTGCTCCTATCTGACCCCCGCGCAAAGGACATGAACATCACAATTCTCTCGTCGGTCAGCGTTTTCTTCGGCGATGTTGTCCCGGCTGGCTGGTTCTCGATTTGGAATAAGAACGCGCCAGTACCATGGCCTGAAGCATCTGCAGCCAGGTAATATTGGATAGAAGGATCGCCACCAGTTAGTTTAATCCGGGAGAGGTAATGCTTGACCGTAGTGAACACTTGCTCTTGTACCGATCCCCAGTCCCTTCCCAGTCGTGCGGGTAGCCTCCTTCATGGTGCGGGAGGGCTCGGGCGACCATGTACCGACTGAAATAGTCGCCTCTCACAAGAATGTAGTGGTTCCCCTGAGGGGTTATCGGCGTGATGGGGCCTGGCGTAAGACTTCCATTGGCAGTACTAGATACAATACAGCCAGCTCTATGAATATCAGAATATCCTCCCTACCCTCCATCTCCAACTTTTACAGACATCTACATATTCATATAAACGAGAGCTACAGTGGAAAAGAAAGGCCATGCATGTATATCTGCGGGAAAGCTCTGCGACGAAAACAAAAGGAACTAACTCAAGACGCCTCACCAATAAGCGCTTCTGAACACCAAATGACAGAGAAAGACAGATCATAGGGCACGGAATCCGAATCAACCACGCAAAGCCAGGTCTTGATGGTGGTGGATCAATGCAGAGAACAAATGTGTAAGACGAGGAAACAAACCAAAAAAGGTTAGGCACCCTCGCTGCCGAACTCCTCGGTCCATTCGGCGTTCCGGGTGAGATCCTCGTGGCTGACGGTGGGTCTGGAATTCCGGACTGCCTTGATGAAATCCTTCAGGACGAGCGGTGGCTCGAGGAGCTGTTCTGCTTCGATGCTGAGCCAGGTCATTTCGATTGCACCAGCGTCTCCTGGGGAGCATGGGGTGAATTTTTCTGCGCCCTCGTGGGTTACCTGGTTTTTTTCTTTTCTTAGTGAAATGCATCTTTTTGAAAGAGGAGCTACAATACAAACCTTCTTATAGTGTGTCGCAGTCTGAATCTTGCGAATGGGCTGCATCAGAGCATCCTGCACGGCAATGCTGATATCGCTACCGGAGTATCCATCGCTCATCTCCGCCAATGACCGATAATCCGCCTGGGTCAACTCGCACGGCGTGGATCCCACGGCCAGCATGAACATCTTCATCCGTGCGTTGATATCCGGCAGACTAATGTGCACTCGGCGTTGGAAACGCCGCCGAATAGCGGCGTCGAGTTGCCAGGGAATATTGGTTGCGCCCAGGATCAACACACCTTTGGAGTCTTTGCCGACACCGTCCATCTGTACAAGCAGTTCGGTTTTGATCCGTCGGGACGCCTCGGATTCTCCTTCGCCACGCGGGCCGCACAGAGCGTCGACCTCGTCAATGAAGATGATGGCCGGCTTATTTTCACGCGCCATATTGAAAAGTTGCTTAACCAGTCTTTGGTAGCGTTAGTAACTTGATTTCCAGAAAGCAGAATCGTCCGTACCTCTCACTCTCTCCCATCCACTTCGATACCAGGTCACTGGAGCTGACGCTAAAGAATGTGCTGTTGGCCTCCGTCGCAACGGCCTTGGCGAGGTACGATTTGCCCGTCCCGGGAGGGCCGTAGAGCAAGATACCCTTCCAGGGCTGGCGCTTGCCCGTAAACAGATGCGGAAACTTTATTGGAAGAATTACCGCCTCTTTCAAAGCCTCCTTCGCGCCCTCTAAGCCCGCAACATCCTCCCACTTGATATTCGGCTTGTCAGACAAGATCGCGCCCTGGAGCGCAGACCGGAGCTTTTTCGCATCCGCATCTTCACTGTCATCTTCCTTGCTGCAAGATTGCCATTAGCATTGATATTTCCTTCCAAGATGGCTGGGTGTACGTACTCTCCCTTCCCACTCCCTTGTGCAACACTGCCATTCGAACCTAACGCGCTAGGTTTCTTACGACTATCCGCAGAGGCGAGGTGGTTCTTCAGCTTCTCAGCGCGGTCCATGTACTCGCCGGTCTTTGCGCGGATCATCTCCTTGGACCGCGGGTTCTTCTCCCATTTCAGAGCCAGCATGAACAACTCCAGTGCGGAGTAGTACTGCTGATAGGCCTTCTCGTATTCGCCCTCATTGTCATTCTCGATCGCCTTTTTGACAGTGTCGATTGCCCGCCCTAGGAAATCTGTATTGTTGCTCATGGCTGGATGATGGTGGTGTTGTGGTGGCGACGCGAGACAGAGAGCGGGGGAGGCAATCGAGCGGTTGGAGGGGGTCTGTCGCGTGTTGTGGTGGTGGGGGAGGAGGAGGGCGAGAGGCACGGACGTCGGCGGCAATAGAGAAAGAGAGGGAGGTGTAGTATGAGTAAGGAAGGAAGAGAGTGAGGAAGTATGGATGGATGGGCGTGGGGAAGAAACAGAAGGAAACCAGGCAGTGATTTGGTGCGGGCGGCCAACCCAGCAAGCCAGTGTCGTCAACGGGACCGCCGCTTTTCCCTCCCACCACCACCATTCCCCCGCCAGGCACCATGGACGCCCAGAAACAGCTGCAGGCCCTGTCGGACGAATTCCAGCAGCTGCAGACGGGTATTTATTCTTCTATGGAATTACGGTCCTGATCATCACACTGACACGCACTCCCCAGAACTCGAGGGCTTGGTCGACGCCCGCCAGAAGCTCGAATCGCAGCAGCAGGAGAACCAGGGCGTGCAGAGCGAATTCGCCCAACTGGACGATGAGTCCAGCGTCTACAAGCTGGTCGGTCCCGTGTTGTTGAAACAAGATAAGAACGAGGCGGTCATGGCCGTCAATGGTCGGTTGGAGTTTATCGAGAAGGAAATGTTGGTGCTAGCTAAGATTCTCACGCTGGATTCTCGCGCTAACTGGTTGCTCCCTATACAGCAAGCGCATTGAGGGACAGATCGAAGAGGTTGAGGAGAAGTGTGAGAAGAAGCGCTCCGAGGTAAATTTGCGTTCGCCATCCACTGCTACAGGCACCACGCTGACGAACGGCTTCTTCAGGTCATCCAATTGCAAAGTCAGGTCCAGCAGCAGGCTGCAAGTGCTCCTGCGTAGGCTTGTTCCGCTTGTCATGATGAATAATGGGTGGAGGAACTACCAAAAAAGAAATATACCCTGGAGGGATGTGACACAGAACATTTCATTACTAGTCCATCCCACTATCAACCGTCCAATTTTCATTGATTCATAAGCAAAAAAACATATATGTACCTCTATCTATCTATGACTTGACCAGCAGGCTGCGGCCGGACATCTCCGCGGGCTGCTCAATGCCCATGGCAGCCAGGACAGTGGGTGCGACATCACCCAACACGGCGTCCTCGTCCCGCTTGAGGCTCCAGCCAGCCGGGGCATTGGCCATGATGAAGGGAACCTTGTTGACGGTGTGGGAGGTCTTGGGGGTGCCCTTCTCGTTGAGCATCTCCTCGGCGTTGCTACATGCCAGTTAGCGATTTGCCTAAAACTCTTGCGGACATACATACCCATGGTCAGCGGTGATCATCAGAACATAGCCGTTCTTCTTGCAGGCCTCGTAGATCTCGCCAATGGCCTTATCGGTGGCAGCAACACCTTGAATGGCGGCCTCGTACACGCCAGTGTGGCCCACCATGTCGGGAGGGGCGAAGTTGTTCATGATAAACTCGAACTTGCCCTCGCCAATGCGGGCAGCCATCTTCTGGCCCACTTCGGCGGCGCTCATCTTCGGGTCCAGGTCATACGTAGCCACCTTCGGCGAGGGGATCATGTCGCGAACCTCGCCGGGGAACTGCTTCTCGATACCGCCGTTGAAGAAGAAAGTGACGTGCGCGTACTTTTCCGTCTCGGCGACGTGGCACTGCTGCACTTTCTGCTTGCTGAGCCACTCGCCTAGCACGTTACCCATATGCTGCGGTGGGAAGGCAACAGGGAAGGTGTAGTCGGTCTTGTACTGGGTCATGGTGGTGATAGAGATGTCCTTGGGGTAAGGAAAGTCGGGGCGAGGAGAGCGGTCGTAGTCACCTAGCAGCTGAGTGATCTCACGGACTCGGTCAGAGCGGTAGTTGAAGAAGAAGAGGGTGTCGCCATCTAGGATATCATTAGTAAAAGTCTCATAAGAAGAAACGAGGGCATCATACCCTGCACGCGGCGTTCCTTGCCACCAACGATGATAGGCTTCAAGAACTCGTCGTTCTCGCTCTTCTCATAACGCTCCTTCATAGTCTGCACGACATCCGAGCTGTCCTCACCCTCGCCAGTGACCAGGGACTTCAAGCCAATCTCAACACGCTCCCAGCGCTTGTCACGATCCATAATGTAGTAGCGGCCGACCACGGTAGCGATCTCGCCAACACCGATCTCTTTGGTCTTCTCCCAGCAGCTGCTGCATAAACCCAACCGCACTCTTGGGGTCTGTGTCACGGCCATCGCTGAAGAAGTGGATGAAGACCTGGGGAATCTGCATCTCCTTGGCAACCTGGAGCAAGCCGACCAGGTGAGTGATATTGGAGTGGACACCACCGTCCGAGACCAATCCCAGCAGGTGCAGACGGCCATTGCCCTCCTTCGCGCGAGTGAAAGACTTGACGATGCTGTCCACCTTGCCCATCTCGCCCTTCTTAAGGGTCTGGTCGATGCGCACGCTGTCCTGCCAGACCACGCGACCGGCGCCAATGTTCAGATGACCGACCTCACTGTTTCCCATCAGGCCCTCGGGCAGACCGACGGCGAGCGACGAGGCTTCCAGCTCGGTGTAGCCCTGGGCGGTCTTGGAGTTGGGCTCGGCGAAGCCGGACATGTAGGGCGTCTCGGCGGCGGCAATGGCGTCGCCGTTGGCCGGGGAGTTGGGGCCGGCGACACCCCAGCCATCGATGACAACTGCAAGTTTTGCGTTAGCGGGTTGACATGAGGACCTGGGGAGCAAAGCAGATCATACTCAAAGCGACTTTCTGGTCGACCTGGGCCATAGTGGGGATGTGTATCTGTGTCTGGAGGTAATCAATGGGTGTGAAATGGAATTAATCGAGTGCAATTCACTTACCTATTGACGACGATAAAAAGGGGAGAGAGGGAAGGACAGAAAGAAAAAAGAAACCCCGGTGAAGGAATCCGTAGACTAGTTGGAGGGGCAGAAGAGAGTCGCCCGGTGAACTTTCGGGTTGGGCGACCGACGTCACTGCCGCTTCCGGTTCTTTCCTTCCACATCACCTCCCTTCCTCGGCTGTCCCAACACTCAATGGCCTCCAGAACACCTCTAACGGGCACACCACGCCTCAAGTCCTCGGTCGGCCCCGAGACTCCCGTCAAGGACGCGACTGGGACCACCGCGCCGCAAACAGAGCCGTTCCCACCACCGCAGACCTTTGAGATCATTCCACCACTACACGGGATCCTGCTTCGCCTGCTGGCCCAGAAGAACACAGCAGGTGGTCCAGAAAATACAACAGTACCTGCAGGGAATGAGTCCACGCAGCCACAATCGCAGCAGCCGTTAGACCCCAAGAACGGGACTGGGCCATCTTCCCAGGCCGGACTCGACCTCACGACTCTCGAACCAAACGCTCATCCACCCCTCGACGTCAAGGACCTTCCTACAGAAACCAGTTCTGTCAAAATTCGGTTACAAAAGGCGCGCACAGTGGTGGAGGGACTGCCAGACGTGCATCGGTCTGTTGCGGACCAGCAGCAAGAGATTGAAGAGCTAGAGGACCGTGTGGCCCGGCTGCGCTCTGTCATATCCGATTTTGGGAGCCGGGCAGGGATGAAGGAAGCGGTCAAGATGGAATCCTAAGATATCATGTTGTTCTTTTTCTCTTTTTCTTTTCTTTTTTTTTTTGGCAGTTTAATACCCCTTGTCATAGCGAGCATTGCAGCTGGGAATCACGGCGCCAATCATAATTATGGAGGTCATCACTAAATTCCAGGCATATAATCTACGCAATAAAGCCGTTCATCTATCGTGAAACCGAAGTAAAAGCGAGCATATATTGGTAGATACCCACTCCAATCCTTCCGATGTCGCAATCCACCGGGCAATGCTGCCTCAGGCAATCTTCCCCCACCATCTTTTTCCGTCTGGCTTTTTTTTCATTCTTCCCACCTCACCTCTTCCTCCCATCTTCTGCTTTCTTTCATCTTTTCAGAAATCAGATCCTTTCGCTATCATGGCCACTTACGCCCTGTCCGATGCCCACCGGCATGTGAGTATTCTCTCCATTCAATGCCTCGATCTACGCCATTGACTCATTGACTATAGCAAATGCACGATGGCCTCAAGGAGTCCGACCCCGAGATTGCCGCCATCATGGTATGTCCTAACAATTGGTTGTTGTTAATCACTGCTAATCAGTCGCTCTGCAGGAACTTGAGATCAAGCGCCAGCGTGAATCCGTCGTCCTGATCGCCTCGGAGAACTTCACCTCCCACGCCGTCTTCGAGGCTCTGGGCACTCCCATGTCCAACAAGTACTCCGAGGGCTACCCCGGTGCTCGCTACTACGGTGGTAACCAGCACATCGATGCCCTCGAGATCACCTGCCAGCAGCGTGCCCTCAAGGCCTTCAACCTTGACCCCGCCAAGTGGGGGGTTAACGTCCAGTGCCTCAGCGGCAGCCCGGCCAACCTGCAGGTCTACCAGGCCCTCATGCGCCCTCACGACCGTCTGATGGGCTTGGATCTCCCCCACGGTGGCCATCTGAGCCACGGCTACCAGACACCCTCCCGCAAGATCTCCGCCGTCTCGACCTACTTCGAGACCTTCCCTTACCGTGTCAACCTAGAGACCGGTATCATCGACTACGACCAGCTGGAGACCAACGCTGAGATGTACCGCCCCAAGTGCCTGGTTGCCGGTACCTCTGCCTACTGCCGTCTGATTGACTACAAGCGCATGCGCCAGATCGCGGACAAGGTCGGCGCCTACCTCATCGTCGACATGGCCCACATCTCCGGCCTGATCTCCGCTGGCGTCATCCCCTCGCCTTTCGAGTACGCCGACGTGGTGACCACCACCACCCACAAGTCTCTCCGTGGCCCCCGTGGTGCCATGATCTTCTTCCGCAAGGGTGTCCGCAGCACCGACAAGACCGGCAAAGAGATCATGTACGACCTGGAGGGCCCCATCAATTTCTCCGTCTTCCCCGGCCACCAGGGTGGTCCTCACAACCACACCATCACCGCTTTGGCCGTGGCTCTCAAGCAGGCCGACACGCCCGAGTTCCGTCAATACCAGGAGCAGGTGATCAAGAACGCCAAGGCTCTGGAGATTGAGTTCAAGGCGCTCGGCCACAAGCTTGTGTCGGACGGCACGGACAGCCACATGGTCCTGCTGGACCTGCGCCCCAAGGCCCTGGACGGGGCCCGTGTTGAGGCTGTCCTGGAGCAGATCAATATCGCCTGCAACAAGAACTCCATCCCCGGTGACAAGTCCGCTCTGACCCCCTGCGGTATCCGCATCGGCGCCCCCGCCATGACCACCCGTGGTATGGGCGAGGAGGACTTCAAGCGCATTGCCCGCTACATCGACCAGTCGATCAACATCTGCAAGGCCGTTCAGGCCGAGCTGCCCAAGGAGGCCAACCGTCTCAAGGACTTCAAGGCCAAGGTCGCCTCCGAGTCCGTGCCGGAGATCCTGGCCCTCCGCCAGGAGATCATCCAGTGGGCCAGCACTTTCCCTCTGCCCGTTTAAGGGATAAGATGGGATGAGAGAAAAACAAGTTTCAACATAATTGCGTACACATTACAAAAGTGCGTTATACGGGGTTTTATACAGGTCTGCTTCTTCAACCTTATGCGGGACATCTGGGATATGGGATAATTTGATTGATGGTTTTTATGATGAAAATAACTCAGCCGCGCTTCTTCAACAGCGACGGCGTCACGACTCCTATGGGGAAAAGTTTCAACATCTGGCGCGGGTTGCTGTGCTTTTGTTTTGTGTTCTTTTATTGCATACAACTCTAGCACAATCCACAACATCTGGAATTCCACACTTTCTACATATCGTAATCGATCTAGATTCGATAATCACGTGATGTGTCTTATCAATAGCGATGAGGGGACGACATTCTTTTCTCTTCTTCCTCACTCTCTTATATCCTCACTCTCACTCACTTTCTCGCTCCCCTCGTTCCAGCGCTGGTGTTCGTCGGATCACCTCGGACCTGCCTCCGAGTCCGTTTCGGCAGTGTCGCTCTTGATCATCGCTCCAGTCTCTCCCGATAAGAGCAGGACGACGTTCTTGCTATCTTATCATCACTGCGGACGCTCGTGGAGAGAGATCATCTGCTGGTACTACTGTATCACTGGATTCGCGGCCGTTCCAGGGATCCCAACCGCTGCTGCAAGAAATAGAAAAAAGTGAAATGGCAAATACAGCTCAGTGCTACTATTGCTTTGAGGTTCTCTCCGCCTCCTTCGAGGGCCGCAAGCCCGGCAGCCTGCACGCTATAGAAGCCCTCTGGGAACAGCACGAGCAAGCTAAGAAACTCGCTGTTCTCAAGGCCGAAGAGCAGAAGCAGACGCCCGTAGTTGAAGAGGATGACGAGGATGACGAGGAGGAAGAGGATGGTGCTGATGATGGTGGCCCGAAGAGTCGGCCCAAGGCGCTCAAACTCCCCAGCGTCAGTCGTCTGCGCAACCAGATCCCATCCGACTCATCGTCCAGCGCTGCGACAACACCGTCTATCACCTCCAACACGTCATCCAACAACTCCTTGCTATCAAACTCTACGAATGTGACAACCCCCCTATCCGTGGAGCGCCGATATCCGCTGTTCGTAACGTGGAACACGCTCTCGACCCGGTTTCCAGGACAGCGGTCTCTGCGCGGCTGCATCGGGACATTCGAGGCGCAGGATCTAGCGGCGGGCCTCAAATCTTACTCCCTGACCTCGTCGGTATTCCTGTACAATATCTCTTTATAATCACACAGCTAATGGATACAGTGCATTTGACGACACCCGCTTCTCACCAATCACACAATCCCTCCTCCCCTCGCTATCATGCCACCTCACCCTCCTAGGCTCGTTTGAGCCCTGCGCGCACGCAATGGACTGGACACTCGGCACGCACGGGCTGCGCATCTCCTTCGTCCACCGCGGCCGGCGCTACGGCGCGACTTATCTCCCCGACGTGCCCGTTGAGCAAGGGTGGACGAAAGAAGAGACAGTTGAGAGCCTGATGCGTAAAGCGGGCTGGGACGGCCCCGGCGCCGGTGGGGGTGGTGTTGCGAGGAGACTTCTTCGTGGGACCACCGGCGCCAGCTCTACTGCTACGAACAAACCCTGGGATCAGGTCTCGGAGTTTCGGACGGTTAGGTACCAGGGTCTTGGGGCTACTGCTGACTATGCGGAGTGGCAGGAGTGGAGGAAGTGGGTTTCATCGCTTGAGGGTGGGTTGGATAGGTTGGAGATGGCTAGATGATGATGATGATTTGATGAATACTATACATGCGTCTAAGTACTATTGCTTGTAGATCTTTGGGATGATCTTTTATCGGGGTTATGGTTGAATGCGATTAATGGCGCAAATACAAGGCACAGTTCCCAAGCCGAACATGTTCATCAGATCTTGCGATGTCCCGTTTCGAAACCGACCGCCGAAGATCTCATCGATTGAGTGCCTAGGTATATATCGACGAGAAAACGTATAAGTAGTGAAAAACTCCAAGTACTCCAGATCATCTCGCGTTTGCACTTCGGCTCCACAACCCAGCAACCATTTCCTTAACCCTCCGCTCCTGTTGGCGGATCTGCTCCTCCGTCTGCCCGCGCGCGTTCCCCCGACTATCAATCTGCATGGGACTCCCATCACCACCACCACCGTGCTGCGGCCTCTGGAAATCATGATACTGCTCCTCATGCACCTGATCCCCACTAACACGCTCAGGCCTCGGATCAACACTCATAACACCATCCATCATGAACCCGCCACCCTCGCGCAGTTTATTGATAGCGCGCACGGTGTCGATGGCGCGGTGCAGCGTGCGCCGCGCGTTGAAATTCTTCTTCACAGTCGGCAGCAGGTCCTCGCCTGTGCCGAGTTTCGTTGTGGCGTCGTGCGGAGGGTTCACCCATGCGTGCTGGAGCGCTTCGTGCGCTGTCATCCGTGCGGTGGGGTCGATCGTTAGACACCGCTTTATGAATGTACGCGCTTCTTGTGACACTCCGCGCCAGTACTCCAGTGGTGTGAAGGAGTAGTCTGCTGCTAGGATGGCTTGCATCTCTTCGAGGTTAGAGTCTCGGTCGAAGGGCGTGTAGCCGCATAGGAGGAAGTATGTGATTACGCCGATGGCCCAGATGTCACTAGTACACACATTGGTAAGTAGTGCAAACCTCAATGGAGGATTGGTCTCAAGCTGTACTTACACCGGCTTCCCGTGCCCGCTCTTCTTAAAGATCTCCGGCGCCATGTACCCCGGCGTGCCGCAAGTAGTCGTGAGTACATGGAACTGCTCCTCGTCCATGATCCGCGACAGCCCGAAGTCGGCAATCAGAAGGTCCGCGTTGTCTTCGGGCGTGCGGAAGAGCAGGTTCTCGGGCTTCAGGTCGCGGTGCACGATGCCGTGGTCGTGCAGGTATGCCACGGCCGAGAGCACAGCTCGGATCAGGTCCGCGGCGTCGGACTCGTAGTAGCTGCCCTTGCGGCAGATGCGGTCGAAGAGCTCGCCGCCTAGGGCGAGGTCGGTGACCAAATACACTACATAGAGAATCACGATCGTCAGCTCTGTTCTGTTCCGGATGACCCCCAGTAAAATAAAAACACGCACGGTTATTCATGGTCTCGAAATAATCCACCAGCGTCAGGATATTTTGGTGGCCCATAGATACTTTCTTCAGCACGGCGATCTCATTCCGGACCTAGTAGGTGGCCGGTCATAATTAGCACCCTCCCTCGCCGGTGTGGTCGTGTGCGATGGGATATATCCCCGCTCGTTCTCGTACCATGTGCTCCCGCCCGGCCATCAGCCGCTTGTTAATCACCTTGGCGGCATAGTAGCGCCCGGTATCGATATGCACACACTCCTTGACGACAGAGTAGGAGCCTGCCCCCAGTGTTTTCCCCGTCTTGTACCGGCACGGCTGGACCTTCGGCTTCTGGCCGCTCGGCGGTTGGGCTGCCATCGGGACGGGGGCCGGAAGCGGGGGGGAGGATCGAGAGATTCGCTGATCGGAGGGAATGAATAGGTGCGAGAAGCCGAATGCTTCGGTGAATATTTACAGCGCAGTCGATAGTTAGGTACCTGGTTGGTTGGAAGAGAAGGGAGTCGGGCCAGATCAGATTCAGGTCAGGTCCGGTCGGTCGGTCAGGCCGCAGAGTTGTTCGCCGCCGGAGGAGAGCCCACACAGTGTTTCAGCCCTGTTCCAGCCGCGCCCGGGGCAGCCAGTGTAGTACTTATGGATGAGTGAGTTGCGACAGGAAGAAAATTCGCTTTAAGGGATTGTTGATCGTTCCAACGTTATTTATGGATCGCCCTCGGTTGTGGCGGAGTAGGAAATTGGTAGATGATACATTTCTCGTACTTATCCAAGACAAGAAGAAAGAGGAAAAAACCAAACGCCGTCAATGCAAATCAAAGAGAAAAACTACATCGCCGCCTGCACGTCCTCCACAATATTCTCCAGCAGCTGCAAGTGATGAAATTTGGCCACGCTCTCCAGAACCCGCAGCTTCTTCTGGACCTCCTTGAGATCAACAGTCGCCGCCCACGCCCCGCTACATGAGCAATGCTCCATAAACTCACTGACGTTAAGTCCACCGCACTTGGAACATTTCAAGTCTTGTGTCTGCCATTCCACCACAAGACCATGCACCTGCCCGATGAGGATCTCCTCCTGCGCCAGGCGGTCGTACTCCGTCTGGCAGAAGGGGCACCGCCAGGGTTTGGGGGGCGCCTTGCTGGCATCCGCGCCGGAATCAGGTAGGATGTCTTCGTCGCGGCAGAGGTCGAGGTCGCGGATAAGGCAGCATGCGTTGCAGGTAAGTTCGGGCAGCTTCAAGCTGGCGCTGGGGTTTTCGAAGCGGCCGGCCTTGCTGAACTCGCGGACCTCGAAAAGAGCTAGTAGTTCGCGCCGCAGGACTCGTGATTCCAGAGTCGTGGTCTTCGAGAGACTCAACACCTGCATTAACAACTTCACCAGCTCCAGGGCCGGGTTTCGTTTGTCCCCATTGGCTAAAACTCCGGGTAAAATGGGGAAGGCGTAGTCGGACGCCAACTCCGGGTGCAGCATCTCGTCACGTTGTCGGCGGATCAGACCCGAAATTTGCTTCTTCAGGGGCTTGGAGAATTTGTCTGTAAGCACGGCAGTGATCTCGTCGCTGTCTACGTCGTTGGGCCGTCCAATGGGAATCTGTGTCAGGCGAGGCGTAGATGAAACTTCTGCATCTGGATTCTTCATCGAGTGCATCAGGTCGATATACTCGACCACCCAGTCGTGGAAGATGGTCTGCATGGGGATGGGCAGGAACCGATTCAGCTGCCAGTGCATGACGGTTTCGAGATCTTGATGCTCGGCCTCGACCACTTCCCGACATCCTTTGCCGCCGTAATTGTACTCGTCATACCACACCAGATAATCCCAGTACTCTTTGATCTCGAGGTCGATGAAATGGAACGAAGGGTTGGCCCGGATCGACTTGAGCACGTACTGGCTGTAGGCGTAGGCGTTGCCGACCTCGGTCTTGGTCGTCTGCAGCAAAAGTCGCGTCGGGCTCGCAAAGATAACATGTGAACCAACACGGCGGAATTCAGCCATAAGTCTCTGAAACGACTTGCGCGATAGCATTCGCACGTAGTTGTGCAGAGAGCGGTCGTACAGACAACTCACAGGATTCTCAACCCAGCGGATCAAGTGCTGCACCATGATATCCGCCATGCTGTTTCCTGCACATGCTTCCGTCCACCAGTTCTTGACCATCTCACGCAGAACAATTGCACCGGCGGAGGCAAAAGCCTTCTCCGAGTACAGAACGCCGGCGTCATCCCCGGCACCCCCTGCCAGAAGAGCGTCGCTGCCTTCCATATCGTTGACGATAGACGAAGTGAGAATCGTGTTGATGGAGAGGTTGCGGACTTCCAGCTCAATGCAGACCGTTGAATAGGCGCTTGGCACGTTCACCGAGGGCATATTGACTGTATCCAAACGACTCAGAATATCATCTTTTTCATAACCTGCATGGTCTGGTCGCGGGCCGGGAGACCACCACAGAACGACATTGCTCTGTTGGAGACGCCTGGCGTACGCGATATCAATCAAAAATCGAGGATCATCACTCTCCAGGTTGCAGAGGGGAACATCGCCGTATCGAGCGAGCAGAGTCAAGTGCTGGATCCAAGCTGATAGATACAAATAGTGGGTGACGAGGCGCTTGGCGATGAACGACTGCCACCCAAGCGGAGGAAGTTCCATATCCGACACCTCGGGTTTGACAGAGAGAGTCGGATACTCTTTCAAAATTGGGATATCGTGACACAAACGATCCTTCTGTTGAGATTGAATGACCAGGACTGCAGGCTGACTTTCGTCATTCCGTAGTTTCCTGACCAAATCCCCGACCTCTAGGTGAGCTTTTCTCCGTGTCATCACCTGAGTGGTCTTGAAATGGATTTTATCCTGATACTCAAACGAATTCTGCGACTCATCTGTCTGGCTTTGCATCTTGCGTGCAAGAAGCTCCGAGTAGATCTTGTCTACATTCGGAAGACCTTGCACGTCTCTGGTGCGGTTGAGCATGATGATATGGGCCTCATTCTTGGTGGTCGAAAAAGGGGCAAAGACCTGCCTGTCTCCGGAGACGACATGATACAGATAATGGTATGCCAGCCCGGAGTCCATCAGGTAGGGCACTTTCTGGGTGGTATGAAGCAGCGAAGAAAGATCAAAGCCTCGATCCAGTCCTTCACCAAGAACACCGCGCTGCTCTTCGTCAAAGGTACAAACACTGCCCAATTTGAGCACGGCTCGGACACTTAATGGAATATGGCGCTCGTAAACACCCTCAACGCTAGGATGTTGAAAGAGAGCATCGACCTTGTCTCCTTCTTGGAGGAAAGTATCCTCCGACAGCGAGAGCTTGAAGAGATGAACGGAAGGATGTCCATTGGGCAAAGTGTGATTGACTTTCTCGACCTCACAGTCCGGTACTTCCACATCGGGTAGCGACTCTCGCTTCAAGTTGACAAAAAACTGCCGCGGAACCTTGACATTCAAGGCGTGAATCTTCTGGTCGATCAGGATGAAAGCTCGCACGATTCCGGGTCGGCCTGTCTCACAAAGCTGCAAGACTTGCCACGTGCTGATGTACAGCATTTGGGCCTGGTTGCGGAAGAAGCTGCTCAGCGAGTTGGACGCAACATTGACGCGTTCACCAAACAGTTGGCGACGACGAACTCGGGCCTGCTTCTGGATCTTCCATTTCTGCTTTTGATATTTCAGGAAACCCTCGTAATCCTCCGTGATCGAAGGCATGGTCGGAGGAAGACTGGAAAAGGGGTCGAGTGATGTCTTCTGGATGCCCTCGGGGTGTTTTCTCTTCTGAGCAACCTTGCCATCAGGGCTTTCCTGGGTCAACTTTGCAAGCGCCTCGTCCATGTTGTCAGGGTGTTGGACACGATGATCTAGAATGTTCGTGGATATCGATGAGAGGGGTTTCTTTTCAAACAATTCAGTCATTTTCTTCTGCTTGAACTTGTCGTCTTTTATGTTGATTCGCCGCTGCAGCCAATCCGGATGAGCAACACGAGGAACTGGGTTTCGAAGTTTCTGGAGCGCAGCTGGGATAGTGATGAGCTTCTGAACGACCGATCCCAAGCGCTCGAGGTAGTAGCCCCAGTCGATAACACTTCGAGGATCCATGTCGCCAGGGTCTTCTTTCAGCCATTTTCGCAGGAAGAACCGTTTGACATTCTCCTCTGCCGAAAAGATAGTCACGGGAATGGCGCGCTCCGTGACAGGTGTGTTTCGTGGCCTTGAAGAAATGATGTATTTGCAGTTGAGGCCCTTGTCTTTGACCATCTGCTCACCTAAGAACTCTGCCAGACGCTTGGCAGTTGTGATGGACGTTGATTTTTGGTTTCCATATTCTTCGAGGGTCTTGGACATGCTGCGGTTTTCTGAAATCAGGTCGATCAGTTCCTCGTCGGCCAAAGTCGACCCATGTTCATAGAGGACGTCCAGCCACCGGTCCGCGACTCGAGCCACTGCAGCATACGTCTCCGCAAGGTTGGAACCTTCCAAAAAGAATTTAAAGATCTGGGTTTGAAAGATCTTGATCAATTTCAGTTCTCCTCTTCGCTTGACCTCGAACCCCTTCAGTTCAGCCAGGGAACCGTCATGATTGAAGACTGCATATCGCTTCTTCAAATTCTTATCTTCTTCCTTGGAAGTTGGCAGGATCATTGCCCGGTATGGGCCGTCAACTTCGAAAAAGATGGAGTTCTCGCTGTAGGTCTCGTACTTGTACTTGGCCGGGTCGACAAGTGCCTGGTACTGGTGGTTCGTGTACCTTGCATGGACGAGATGATTGAGCATGACACAAGGGTAGGAGATGCCCAGCTTCTTTCCATTTTTCAAAGTGAACGAAAAGTTCTCCGGGAATGTGCCGGGAAGCATGCACCAAATACCATCGGTATCCAGCTCCAAGGGTCGACCGAGACGCTCAACAAGCTCTCGGGCCATCTGGATGATGTGAGCGCCTGTCAAACAAGTAACACCCGCCATTTCCATTGAATACCATCGAGAGCCCTTGCGCATGACATAACCATAGAAACTGTTGAGAATGACCTTGTGTGCAAGTTGCAGTGAATCAAACAGGATGATCATCTTCTTTGCTTCGTCGATCTCAGCAGGTGAAGCCCCCGAGGACTGCAAAGAATCGGCTTTGTTCTTCCAGACCTTCTGCTTGCCCTTGAAATCGTAACGTCGATCACGAAAACTGCGAACAGTGTCGACATAGAACGGATTCTCTCTCTGGCAAATGACAGCTTCTCGGACCATCGTCTTGCTATCGTGGATCTTGTGGTAGATCTTCTTGCTGTAATCCTGCAACCGCTTCTTGACCACGCCGGCCTGTTCTTCGACGCTCAAGTCCTCGAATGATCGCATCGGACTACTGGGGTATCTGCCGGGGAATCGCTCGTTCCCAAGGGCACGTCGGATCATGTTGTATTCATCACGCTTTGCTGGCAGAAATTCACCTCGCCAGGCCCACGGCATTCTCCGGTCACAAGTCTTCCCTGGTCGGTTGAAATCGCAAGAGGCACAGTCCGATTCCTCGATCATAGAGTCAGGCTGCAGACGATTGGTGATCATGATGTTGGGGTACATGGAAGCAACGTCCAAGTGGTAAATGAAGGGAACCTCATCTCGGCTCGGGTTGTCTTTCAAGTCCTGCAAGAGTGCGGCGATCTGCCCTCGGACCTCGTCGTAGTTCACAACATCCTCCAGAGACTTCTTCTCTTCGACCTCGATGCTGAATTTCAGAGCGTGATCCAGATCCTTGAGAAGTTCGTCAACCGCTGCAGGGTCGATGTTGAACGTAACGGGAATATCGCTCCGGAAGACACCAGCTTCAATACTCTCCACGTGGCCACCAACGTAAGTCTCCGACTCGAGAAGATGGCCGTCATAGAAAGCTTCGGGAGGATCCTTGTGCTTGTTGGGCAGTACGATCCCGGTTTGGTATGCTTGTACCATGAGCAGCATCTCGCAAAGTGTTCCCGTTCCTTTGCGCAGAGTGTCATCGGGGTTGAGAGGGATGATCGTGCAAAGCGAAAAGATGAAAGGGTGGACATATTTCATGTAAAGGTAGTAAGTGGCCACGGCGTCGGAAACGGAGTATTCGGCCAGGGTCTGGGGACGCTCGCTTGCATACGGCGTCATCAACTCCGGGTCAAGTTCATCGGGATCGTAGCCCAGCTTGGCGACAGTCACGGCTTTCAAACCACGACTTCCCTGGGGCAGGTAACTATCGCGGTTGACCCACGCAAAGCAATCCATATGAACGCAATGGTTACTCTGGTAGATGTCCTCGCTGTTCTTTCGGAAGCCGATTTCGGTGTACATGTCGATTCCTTGAACACTTGCTCTTGCCTCCACGAACGGCCAATCGAAGAAATCTCCGTTGTATGTGGCAATTACGGTAGGTTTGGCGATCTTGATGTGCTCGAAAAACCGCTCCAGAACAGCTCTCTCGTTAGGCTCATTGAAGATCACAAAGGGTCCGCTGTATTCAGGCTTCGGTGTATACTCGAAATCGTTGATATCCTCCGACACAATCTCGCGGTTGGTGATCAAGAACCCTTGTCCGTCGATCATATACGAAATCATCATGATCTGGTCAATCACGGCGTCGGGAAATTTGAGTGGGAGTTTGGTGGTTTCGATATCATAGGCAAGGACCACGGGATCGGCACGCTGAAGTCGATCCTCCAAGCAGGTCAAGGAGATGGTGCCATGCTTTGCTTCCACATTATACCACTTTCCGATGCGAATATCTGCGGTACGTGTAAGTCACAATTTTCCAGGAGCGTCAAGGGGCACATACCCTTGTCGATCGACACTCGAACGTGGTACGGAACATCATATTCTCGGATATCAACAATAAAATCACTCGCTTGCAGGTTGCCATTAGGTCGTTGCTCATTAATTATTTCGTCATCAAAAAGGTCGAAGCCAGCAGTCGTGCTGTCCAATGATCAGCTCAGCCCATTGATGTAATGACACAAAAGACACAAACCTGGTAACCTCGACATATGTGTCCATGACACTCGCGTTTTTCTTGTTCTTCTCTGCCAAGGGAAGTAGCGTCCGGCGGACGTCAAGCAAGTCGGGAACATTCGCAAAGTTCAACTTGATGAACGTCCTTCGGTGTCCGAGGAGATGGTTCGGCAATTTCAGGTCTTCCTTCTCGAGTCGTTTGAAGTTCTTGATCAAACCCTCAAACGAGCGTCGACACCACTCCTCCACCTCCGTCTCGTGGCCCTTCTTGACGGCGATGAGGAAGTAGGGATCGTATTCCACCGTCGCCTTGAAACTTCCCCCGTCGTCCTGCAGAAAGTAGTAATCCACGCCGGCGCGGCCTCCTGGCACATTGGAATCCTCTATCGTGGTGCTATGCATGTTGATAAGCCATCCGGCCCTCGTCTCGCCGGACTCGAAACGGGGAAAGCCGAGGGCCTCATCGATGCTGTTGCCCAAGCGAAGGGCCTCGAGCTTCTCATCTTGCGAGGTTGCTTCCGTAGACCGCAGGGAGGAGAATTCGACGGTTTTCGTTCGGCGCGGCTTCGAGGATGAGGCATTGGACCGGAACTTGCTGTTGTTGCCATACTTGCTTGGTTTTCGGGAAGGCATTGTGGCGCTGTCGCCCAGCCGGGGCTTTCACTGTATCCAAGGATTAGGCAGTGAGCAGAGCATGAACAGCAGACGCAAGTCAAAGAGTTGGTGAGATAATAGTTATGCCGGTGGAGTCTGCCTATCACCCTTCTTCGCTTTCCAACGCGACCGCGTCACACGCGACAATGACTAAGTCTTTCCGGAATAACTTCCCGTTTATGTCCAGCGCGGATTTATTTTCTCCGAGGGTCGCGGGTGTTGATCTCGAATTTATGACAGTGACGGATTATTGCCCAGTCCACCACACAATTCACAGCATGGCCGAGGATTCACAAGACCCTGGCAACCGCCAGTCCAATACCTCGCCCGATCACCAAAAACCAACCCACGACCTCTCCCAATCGCAAGTCGGCAAGCTGTGGGACGCATTCGGCAACCCCGAAGAACCCGTGAACGTGCTCGCAAACGCAAAGTACAAGCCCCCGGGCAAGAGTGCCAAAGATGCGCCTTACTCCGAACTCGTCGGGAACATCTCTCTGAATGAGCTCTCCAATATCCACAAAACCCCATGTGCGCGGGACTCTTTAATGACGGGGATCGGGGCCGGGTTTGGAATTGGTGGGATGCGAGCTATCTTCGGAGGTAAGGCATGAATGCTATGGACATACAAATGGAGATGAAGAAAAAATTAATGGGTGCAATCTAGGACTCCCCTCATTATGGTCGGCCGGGAACTGGGCCGTCGGCGTGTTCGCCATCACCTCCCTAGCAGCATACGAGTTCTGTCGCAAGCGCCAACGCGACGAGCTGACCGGCATGAAACAAGCGGTTGAGATGATGCAGGAATTGAAAATCAAGCAGCAGAAGGACAAGGAGAAGGCGGCAGCGGCCGTTGCTGCGCGTGCGGAGGAAGAAAAAAGGCAGAAGAGCTGGACGAACATGTCCAACTACAAATTCTGGTAACGATGCCTCATTCCTTATTGGGAGTCCCGGAGTTCTTTGTTTCGTTTGTTTTATATCCTGAAGTTGTATATTTCGAACCCTGTACTAGGAGATCATCAAGTCATCTCATGTATCATCTCATGTATCATAGCTGTTCCCCCGAATATTCACGGTCATTCAAATCCCATATCCTGCACCGAAACACCTGTCGAGAAAGAAAAGAAAAACGCCGAAATGACTAGATCCCGTTTGCGGCATTTGGAGCCGGCTTAAACATCGAATTTGACCCGCTTCTGGATTGCGCGTTCATGTATGCTGCGCATACTATCCCGCTCGCCGTCTTCATGTCGTCTTTGCCGTCGCTTCTCACGGGCCTCCCGTGCTTCGCGACTCTTCCACTGAGCGACCTGCTGCTGTCGCTTCTGCGACCTTGCCCAGGCGATCGCCGCGGTCGGTTTGAAACCAATACCGTTGATCCCATAGCCGTCATCGGTGGGATCAGAAGGGCTGTGACCTGTAATCTCCGAGTCATGCCAGACCAGCGGGTCCTCCGATATATGATCTGGAAGAGGTGGTGATAGTCGTTGTTTGCGGGCTTTGGAGGGTGAGGAAGCGGGACTCTGCTGCTTGCGAGACGACGGCACGGCCTGTTTTCTTGGAGGAGAAATGGCTGCCGACTCGTTGTCCCATTCCGTCTGAGCGGAGACGGCGGGTAAAATGTCAGGCTTGGGTTTCGGGTTCTGCTGGCCGTCCGACAAGCATGATCCCGAAGCTGGAGGCGTAGCCGGGCCTGTGGGGGGATCCGAGAGGCGTTCGCCGTGAATAGCTAATTCTCCAAATCGCCCGGCCACCGCGGCGCGCGGACTGTTCCGGCCCAGATCCTCCTCCTCGCGGAGCCGGGCCTCCTGGTAACTAGTGACGGACACCGTCGAGGTTGGTGAGGCGGCGGGGCTGCTATAGTAGTCTGACTCGGAGGGCTCGCGTTTGCGCTTGGGCGACAGAACCGCCTTGTGCATCATCGCGGGGGCTGACGGCGATCAAAGAATGTGGGCGTCACGACGGATCAGCCCAGCGTCGGGGAGTAGTCAGGCCATCAACCGTCAGTTCATGCCTCCATAACTATGGATCTTGGAGGCTCGAGCGGCGATCAATGAGAGGTCGGAGGAGGGGGAGGGGGAGGAGATGATCGGCGGTGTGTGGGCACCAGCCAGCCAGCCAGCCCTAACCGCCGGCGTGTATGCTACGGGGACCCATGACGTCCGCAACACCAGATGTGAAGAAGTGTGAATGATAGCAACGATGAAATTAAAAAAGAAATGGCCTGAAATCAATAATTTACACCCAAGCCAACAAACCCAACGCCGTACGAAGACTCCCGATACCAAGCATTTACGCCTTCTTCTTCTTCTTCGAGGGCTCTGCGTCGGCGTCGTGCTTGCGCTTCTTCTTCTCAGACTCCCCAACGTCGGACTTGCGCTTCTTCTTCTTTTCGCTCTTCTCCTCCTTCTCCTCCTTCTCCTCCTTCTTCTCCTTCTTGTCCTTCTTGTCCTTCTTCTCCTTCTTGGGCGCAGCCACGTCCTCCATCTCGGCGTCGCTGCCGTCCACATCAACGTTGATGTCGGCGAGCACGGCGTCCATGGCGGATTTCTGGCATTTAATTAGCGGTGACTTCGGCAAGGGACTTCATGTGACATACCATAGCGGTTTCGTTCTTAGTAGGGGCAGCGCCAGAAACGTAGAACTCCAGACGCTCCTCAACCTGCTTCTTCAGGGCCTCACCAAACTTGGTTGATGGCGCCTCGGAGAAGTTGTCAATACGGGAGGCAATGGAGCACTTGTTGGCGAGGAAACGCGAGATTCTGCCCTTGTTCTTGGGACCAGCGCGACCAATGAAGGACGAGTGATACAGCAGACCATACTTGGGAGTGTTGCCCTTGGTCTTCAAGGCGCGGAAGAGCGCCTTCTCGGCACCAAGGATCTGAACCGTCGAGGCCGGGTACTTGGACAGGTTGGTCAAGCTGCCGGCGTGAGAGATCAGGCGAGCACCGACGACTTCGCCGATCAGGGCAGCCAGGTTGGGAGCGACGACGCTCATCTTGGCCACCAGGTAGTCATAAAGCGACTTGCGGTACTTGGCGAGCTTGACGACTCGGCCGGCGAAGGAAGTGACATTCTCCATGTCAGATTCGGAGATCTCCTGACCCATGCTATGCTTGGCGGCATCAACGATGTTCTGGGCAACGTCCTTATCATCCTCGACAAGGGCCGCCAGATCATGCAGGCTCTCGTCCGTCAGAGAGTTCTTGTCCTTGACGAAAAGGGCCACTTGAGCATAACGCTGGTTGTCAGAGACAATCTTGACCAGCTCGGGGAAGTGCCACGAGTACCACTCGCGCACACGCATAGAGAAAGTGTTGATGGCCTTGTCGAGCTGGTCCAGAATGGCAATGGCCTGGATGATGTGGTTGTCGTCACGTTGCACGGAGAACTTGACCTTGGCACGAGAGTAAGCGTGACCAAGACCCAGTTGGGCAGTGTCCATATCACCCTCACGGAGCTGCTTCAGTAGCTTGTCGGCATGGAGACGGATCCCACGGAGGAGATCCTGAACGACTTCACTGGTGTCGCCGGTCTCACACTCCACAAAGTCAAAGGCGGACTTGATACTGCCGGCCAAGGCCTTGTCTGCAAGACCCAGGACTACCTTCTTCTTCTTATTCGGCTTGGGGAGGTTCAGTTCCAGGAAAGACACCAAGGTCTCGGATGCGACACCTTCGGAGATGTCGTTGATTTCGCCCAGCGCTTGCTTGTTGTTTCTGGTCCGGTCAGTCAAGAAGCCAAATAGAATTCAAGTGACACCTACTCAAAGGGCAGGAAACTGGAGAGTTCGACCATCTTGCCAAACTTGGCGAGGTCATTCACACCCTCTTGGACCTCCTTCAGGCTGTTGCCCACCGAGTCTCCCTTGTGTGCGACCTTGAAAAGCGAGTAACCCATTGGGCCCTCGAAGAGCAGAAAATCGGCCATGGCGAAAGTCAGGCCGGGTAGGGGGGGAATTAGCGGGAGGGTGAGGATTGGGGGTTGGGGAAAGAGAACCAAGCAGTAGTGAAGTTTTTTTTTCGTGCGCTTTCTGCCACCCGCCCGTCTCACCGCCCCAGCGCCAGCTCCCACACCCCTCTGTGTGCGAGACTCGCTGTGTTGTTCTTCCTTTCGAGCATTTCCATTTCTTAATTCTATCGTTCACCTTGCGGCCATGTCTGCAACCCAGTTGCTCAACCCGAAAGCCGAGTCGAGGGTATGCTGCCACTCCCTACCGGTGGGCGTGCCGCACACTAACATTTCATGCAGCGGAGGGGTGAGGCCTTGAAGGTGAACATCAGCGCCGGAGAGGGTCTGCAGGATGTTCTCAAGTCGAACTTGGGTCCGTCGGGAACTTTGAAGATGTGAGTCTTTTTGGGCCATTTCTAGGCAATATGCTGACTTGATGCAGGTTGGTGGACGGTGCCGGCGGAGTATGCAGCTTGCCCCTGATCGATCCGCCTGCAACGGTGTGCTAAGCTATAACAGATCAAGTTGACCAAGGATGGAAACGTATTGTTGCGGGAAATGGTAAGGGTCTCGGCTGCAACTTGAAGAGAATCAATGGCTAACTGGTTGGCAGCAAATTCAAAACCCCACGGCTGTAAGGCGCCATTACCGCAAACCCCGTCTCGCTCTTTACTGATAATATGGAAAGGTCATGATTGCCCGCGCTGCGACGGCACAAGATGATATCACTGGTGATGGGACAACGTCGGTCGTGCTGTTGGTGGGAGAGCTTCTGAAGCAGGCAAACCGCTTCATTTCGGAGGGGCTGCACCCTCGAGTGATTACCGATGGCTACGAGATTGCAAAGACCGAGACTATCAAGGTATTTGCTTCTGAAAATTATGCCTGTTTTCCTTGCTGACCTGATGGCCTAGTTCCTCGATCAATTCAAGCTCGAGCGCACAATTGACCGAGAGCTGCTGATCTCGGTCGCCCGCACCTCCCTCTCCACGAAATTGAACCACGCCCTGGCCGAGAAACTCACTCCCGACATTGTGGACGCCGTGCTCGCCATCCATCGCGCCCCTGAGAAGCCGGATCTGCACATGGTTGAGATCATGACGATGCAGCACCGGACATCGTCGGACACCCAGCTGATTCGCGGTCTCGCTTTGGACCACGGCGCCAGGCACCCCGACATGCCGAAGCGGGTGGAGAATGCTTTCATTTTGACACTGAATGTCAGCCTGGAATACGAGAAGTCGGAGATCAACTCTGGTTTCTACTATTCGAGCGCGGAGCAGCGCGACAAACTCGTGGAGAGCGAGCGCAAGTTCGTCGATGCCAAACTGCAGAAGATTGTGGAGCTCAAGAAGGCGGTTTGTGGCAACGACCCGAAGAAGGGATTCGTCGTCATCAACCAGAAGGGTATTGATCCGCTCAGCTTGGATGTTCTGGTCAAGAACGGTATCATGGCTCTTCGGAGAGCCAAGCGGCGGAACATGGAGCGTCTGCAGCTGGTTTGCGGTGGTGTTGCCCAGAACAGCGTGGAGGACATGACGCCTGATGTTCTCGGGTGGGCCGGTCTGGTCTACGAACACCAGCTGGGCGAGGAGAAGTACACCTTTGTCGAGGAGGTCAAGGATCCCAAGTCTGTGACCATCCTTATCAAGGGCCCCAACGGGCACACCATTGCCCAGGTCAAGGATGCCGTCCGCGATGGTCTGCGCTCCGTCTACAACACGATCGTGGACGGCTGCGTCATTCCGGGCGCGGGCTCGTTCCAAGTCGCAGTCTCCGAGCACCTGACGTCTCAGGAATTCCGCAAGAGCCTTCGGGGCAAGACGCAGCGGGGTGTGGATGCGTTCGCCGAAGCTATGCTGGTGATTCCCAAGACGCTCGCTGCCAACTCGGGCCACGACATTCAGGACGCGGTGACGGAGTTGCAGGATGAGACCCGACAGGGCAATCTGGTCGGTCTGGATCTGACGACGGGCGAACCCATGGACCCGGTGCAGGCTGGTATCTTTGACTCGTACCGTGTGCTGCGGAACTGCATTGCTTCCAGCACGGGCATTGCCTCCAACCTTCTTCTGTGCGACGAGCTGCTCAAAGCCCGGCAGATGAGCAAGTCGGGTGGGCCAGGTGGTATGGAGGAGTAATGCGCTTCTCATGTAAACCATTAGAGATTGATGTTTACGCTCCAAAAAAAAAGAAAGTATTATATTGACCACTTGTTTCTTCCTCGTTCAGCTCAAGTAGTCTCGGAAAGTTCATTGTCATGATCATCATAAAAGTAGCTATGTCAGGTATCATCTCTATCGTACACAAGTTGGCTGATCAGTCAGTCGTCGGGCTCGGAGGAAATAGGCAGGCACTCTTCTTCCGATTCAGTCTTCGGCGCCCATTCGCCCAGAAACCCATCCTCTCTGACAGGATCATCCAACGCAAGATTGTGAGTCTGTGCCCACTCCCACACATCCGACTTGTGGATAATCACGGCGTTGTCGTCCGCGACCAGACGGCCCATCTTGCGTTTCTTTGGCGACAAGCCCGTCTTGACAACGCCCATGGTCTTGAGAGCGGTGATGACATCTTCGTTCAACATCCCAGTGGCCTGTCCAATCTCCTCAACGGTCATGGTCTCGCGAAGTGGTCTCTTGCGGGCGGATTTGGGGGTGCTCGGTTTCTTCTGGACCGATTCGCCGGGTTTGCTCTTACCGTCCTTCTTCTCCTTAAGCAAATACCGCGCAACGCGCTCCGCCCAGAACCGATCATAGCTCTTCTGGCCCAGGTCGCTTAGTGGCTTTTCCGGTCCACCAATGCATCCACCACCGTCCATATCCCACCCGCTGAGCTTGTAGCTGACGCCCATTAGCAGCTTCCCGAGCTGTTTGTGCTGGTACGGCGGAAAGATGAGAATGCAGGCGAGGTTGTTCGCATCCCAGGACAGTTTCTCTTTCGAAAAGAAGCCGAGCACATGGTAGGTATCCGATTTGTCGGGGTTGGGGTCGGTGAAGGTGAGAATATAGAAGAGGAAGGTGGCGACGTCGAAGAACACGGTTTTGTTGTCGAGGAAGAGTTTGGCGAAGAGAGACAGGTTCTGTCCGAAGAGTTTGTGGTCCTGTCCATCGACCTTCCACACCGCGTAGCCGCCGTGATCGTAGACCTTCTCGCCAGGCGGTGTTGTGCGGTTCTCGCAGACGCGTGTGTGTTGCGCGAATGCGCTGGCGTCGCAGGAGTAGCGGAAGCACCATCGGCATACATACAGCCGGTCGGTGTCCTTTGTCACCAGATCGGCCGGGTAGATAGCCTGGTTCCAGGGCTTGAGGACCAGGTCGCCCAGCACGACATGGTTGACGTTGCGCGCCGGCGTCTCGACGCGGGACGATGGCTTGGTGGACGCCATCGGATGGATCAAGGAAGGTGTGGACTTCGAGGCGTCGACATGGGCGGAAAGTGGCTTCTTTATGTGGGAGGCATGGAGGGTAGTCATTCACGGTCGTCGATTAATCTATTGATCCTTGTCTCGATTAATTATCAAGAAGAACAATAGAACCCCGGCGTCATGTGACGGAGGGTCTTATCTTATCCCGGATAAGCTGTTGCCTATTTGACGACTTGCAAGCACGGGGGTGGATGCGAGCAGGACCGTGATCATTCTAGCTTGTTGACCGAAACAGGATCAAGATCTGAGCAGGCAGCAGTTTCTCCTTGCTACGCCTGTGCACACCCATCTGTGATCGTTTATATGCCTCCGCACGCCATCCCTCCGATCGTGTAACCACACACCCACCCGACCCACTGACGTCCGCGATCATGTTGAAGCCTTTCCAGATCAGGGACCTGGTGTTTCAACCCGACCAGAGTTCATCCGTGGAACCCTCTTCTCCAGCCCTTTCCGTCGCGGACCAGACGGATGATGATCGCCACCACCAACCCGATAACGAACCTCGTTCGTCCCCCAGAGTCGTGCAAATCTCGGCGGGCGACTACAATGCTCTCTCGCGCAATAACCCGCGGGCCAGATTGACTTACGTCGACCTTGATGATGGCGATACCATCACAGTGAGTAGATGTCTTTTTCTTTCTTTCAAGCGGGGTCAAACATCATCGGCAGCAGCATCAGTAGCTAACGACGATCTATCTAGGTTGGCTCTGCCCTCGAGCTGTCCCAGCATCTGGACGAGCCTATTTCTTCTTCCATCCAAACCGAGTCCCTACAAGCTTTATCCTCCCAGATTGATCCGGTTCCCATGCACATATTTGATATTCGCCGATCGAACTCAATCACTGAGCTGTGGAAGAAGTTTGAAATCAATACAGATACGCAGGGTTGCGAAGACAAGCCCCTGCCTGAATGCACGACCGATGATAACGAGCCATGCAATACTTCTACCGCCGAAGACGCCCAGCCGCCCCTTCTAGCTGCGTTTGAAGCTGAGCTGGCGAGCATTCTCCATTCTGCCGAGCCCGCTGAAACTCAGCCGTCTCGCTCAGCATCTCCTCCTCCCGCGGCGGAACCCTCCGCGGCTCGAGGTTCAGAGCAAACTCCTCGCCCTCTTGAAGACCTTGCGGCACGAATTTTGCACCATCTGGTTAATGGAGCTGGCATGGTCCAATCTGAATTACGGACCAGGCTGCCCGAGATGCAACGCCAGTTTCACAATGCCCAGAGCACCCTGCCTGAGAACGTAAGAACGTCTCTGCAGCAACTCCTCGCATCTCTGGAGAACCACATGAGAAACCTAGGTGCTCATCTCAATCACCTCCCTGACGATGGACGGCACTTCGCAGGAGAAGCCCTTAACGCGGGGCGCCCCATCGCTGAGAACGCGGTGGATACTTTGCGGCAGGTCGCTTCGGAGTTCAATGAAGTTAGCCGGTCCTTGTTTGCAGCATTTGAGCATGAGGTTCGTCGAGCTGGCATGTACCGTCCGGATTCATCTGCAGATGGTCTGTACACTGCACCGGCGCCGCAGTCCACAAACAATGAACCCTCGTCGAGCGGCCAGAATGGCGAGCAGCTACCAACAGGCTCGACCGGGAAGGAACAACAAGCATCAGAGTCTACAAACAAAGATGAATCGAATCCAACCAGTGCGCCTTCTGGCCCTGCCTCCCAACCTTCATCTTATCGACCGCCCGGTGCCTATGCTCCTCCGATGTGGCCACCTCCTAGTCATCGGCCTTTCTTTTACCCTCCGTCTCCTTCACCACCACCACATCCCCCACACTGGCCATTCCAGTGGCCGCCAGGTCCTCCCCATCACTGGTTTAGACCAGGCAGACAGGTTCCGCTGAATTCCAACCCAGCACCTCCATTCAACCCTAACTTGAGGAACGCACACACTCAAACGGGCCCTCATACAAGCAAGTCGCTGTTTATTGGGAATGTCGGCTTCAACGTTACTGAACGAATGATTCAGGATGTCTTTGCTTCCAAGGGGTTTATTGTCGATGTGGATCTTCCAGTAGATGCTACAAATGGCAAGCATTGCGGGTTTGGCTATTTGCATTTCCCATCGATCCATCCCGCTATGGCTGCTATGCAAGCACTCCAGGGAACCCATATCGATGGACATGCCATCAACCTTGAGTTCAGTGATCATTCGCCTATTGAGAATTTCAGTGCTCCGCCTAGTCCAGCAGGCATTCTCACTCCTCAGTCACCGAATGTCTCTCGTCGCGAGAGTGTAAGCAAGGACAGGAACACTGAATCGGCTGAGCGCCGATCTTCCAGATCAGAGGTGCCGTCCGCTCGACGAGCGCGCACCGGCCTACCTGTGCGTCGGAAATCTGTCACCTTCCAGGAGCCTAGCTCATCTACAACCAAGACCGTCCAGACAGCTGCCCTGCTTGATTCGCCAACCGACGATCCTGCATTCGCCGCGCGCTTCCCATCTCTTCTTCCACAGGGAAATCCGCACCGTCAATCTTCGACGCAACCAGACAATCTATCAAGTAGTCTGAATCCGGAAATGGAGATGGCTCGGTTCCCACCCGTGTCCCAGTTGGAAGCTCATCTTCTAGCGAACCAACACCATGATAAGGAGGCTGGAAAAGACAAGTCACAGACTGGTGATAAGGGAAAGCAGGCGGTGCAGCCTACTATCCACAAAGTCTCGTCCCATGAGGCTCCCGAAGCCCTTCGAGGATCTCAAAGTCACCATGACACGAGCATTCGCAATAGTCATGGACTTCGCCGTGCCAACACCACGATTGCTGCCCATTCGATCCACACTCCCGGTGGTTCCCCCATTGCTCCATTGAGGCGCCGCGCGACCGACCGCCAGTCTCTGCGTTCCATCGCCCGTCCTGCTTCGGAGATGGACACATGGGCTCGTCTCGACAGACGGGAGCGTATAAGACCAACCCATATCGAGAGAATCCCTGGCAGTTTCCCCGAAGAAGAAACAACCCGTGATCCAGTTTTCGATCCTCCTGTCGCCAGTGACACTGAGGCCAAGGGACAAACTCACGATCCCATCGAGAGTTGCATCACCACCCTTGTCGACTTGGGCTATGGCACCGAACAGGATGGCGGACGGTCCAGGATGGCTGTGTACGCCGCCGCAGCGGATGGAAATCTTCTAGATGCGATTGAGATGATTGAAGAGGAGCGAAAGGCGTATGCGCGACGTGGTTCGCAGTAAGAATGCGCGGAGGTGTTTTGCTGGTTTCCTTTTCGCTTCTAGCACCGTTGTTATCACAGTCGCTCCTTTGTGCCTGGAGACTTCATTTTACGCTTCATGACAATCACTTATTCCCCCGAGTATGAGTCTCCACTCGAAATACGCAATGCAATTTGGCTTTATTTCAAAACTCCCTATTCTGTTCTTGAAATATATATCTGTAGCTCGGGGCTCTCAAGCTCCTTCCGTAGCCACGATACCTCCGCATCAATACAAAAGAACCCTCTCGAAACAAATACTCTATAAAACACCCAAGAAAAGCATTCATAATTATTCTAATTTAATAGTGCCTGCTATTTCCCTAGCACAGTGCTCTAAATAGATCATGACCATAATGGTGTTCACCGCCCGCCCATCCAGCCCGCAACCTCCGACCAAAATAAGAAACCATTCCACACCGTAGCTCCAACGACCTCTCCCAAGCAATGCGGACATGGCGTACCTTCGCCACGTCCGTCACCAGACTGGGCCATAATCCCGCATCTCCCGGCACCCGTCCCAACGTTCTCCGATGCGTGCAGATCCTCCAAGCCAGCAAAGCGGACGGTCCCAACCAGTTTGAAGACCAAAAGGTCAAAGTCAATGGCTTAGTTCGGTCTGTTCGCAAACAGAAGCGCTTTGCTTTTGCGGAGATCACGGATGGCTCGACGGTGGAGCCCTTGCAGGCGATTCTGAAGCCTGCGCAGGCCGCTGAGTATGCTTTTTCCCGGCGCGAATCGGACTCATCAAAGCAGAGCTAACCCGATCGCGTCCTTCTTTTAGTCTGACTACGGGAGCTGCTGTCGAGGTGTCTGGGGTGTGGAAGGCTTGTCCACCAGGCAAGGAGCAGAGCCATGAGCTTCATACAACGGCTGTGAATGTTGTTGGTGCGGCTGATCCAGAGGTTTGCAACTCGGTCACCACCCCGAATAGCACAGCGACTGACTGATTGGTTGTTACTTGCCAGACATTTCCAATTCAGAAGAAATACCATAGTCCCGATTTCCTGCGCCAGATACCCCATCTTCGAATCCGCACGCCGTTCAATTCACTCATGTCGCGGTTCCGATCCGAGTGCTTATTCCAACTAGGAAACGTTTTCCATTCCCACCCACATGGCACCTTCACACAAGTGCAGCCGCCGATTATCACATCTTCCGATTGCGAAGGAGCCGGGGAGACATTCACATTGGTGCCGCGGGGTGCGGCAGCCTCGGAGACGGACCAATTCTTCCGAACACCTAAATACCTGACCGTGTCGTCGCAACTACATCTGGAAGCATTTGCGGCCGAGTTGGGCAATGTCTGGACCCTGACGCCCGTTTTCCGGGCCGAGAAGAGCGATACACCGCGCCATCTCAGCGAGTTCTACATGCTTGAGGCCGAAGTCAATTTCATGGATGACATGGAGTCTCTGACGGGGGTGGTAGAATCAATGCTCCGCGACCTGACACGTCGGTTGTACAATACTACCGTCGGACAGGAAATTTTGTCGGCGAAGCGAACGGGCGAGTCTGGGAATGAAAACATGACCGAGGAATCGCCCCTTCGGCAGCGATGGACCGAGTTGATGGACGGGCCTACATGGGACCGCATCACGTACACGGAAGCAATTGCGATGCTTCAGCGAGCGGTGACAGAGAATGGTGCTCAATTCGAGCATCCGCCGGCATGGGCGGATGGTCTACAACTCGAACACGAGAAGTACATTGTCGAGCATCTATTCAAGGGTCGACCGGTTTTCGTCACAGACTACCCCAAAGCAATCAAGCCGTTCTACATGGCTCCGACAACGGTCGCTAGCGAGGCCGGCAACTCCCTAGAGACGGTCGCCTGTTTCGATCTACTTCTACCGGAAGTCAGCGAAGTGGCCGGTGGATCTCTGCGCGAGCACCGTCTCCCAAATCTCATCCAAAACATGCGCGACTACGGCCTGATCAAGCCTCGCGTGCTCCCCGAGTCGGGTGACAGTAACGGTGATAGAATATCTCTAGAACCATTGTACCCTCACCTCACACCAACGGAGGATCTCAGCCACCTCCAGTGGTACGCGGATCTCCGGCGCTGGGGATCCGCTCCGCACGGCGGCTTTGGGCTGGGCTTCGACCGGTTCTTGGGCTACTTGGCTGGCGTCTCCAGCGTGCGGGATGTTGTCTCGTTTCCGAGATATTTCGGGCGGGCAGACTGCTGATCTTGGCTCGATTGTACGATAGCGATGTGTAGGATCATATGCGATGTTCTATGGCTTATCTCCAAGGCTGTCTATAGGAACACTGGTTCAGTGTTACAGCCTTTTTACACTAGGTCCCTAAAATAGAAGCACCCTGTATCAGAACCATGGAGACAGAGAGGAGAAAGGCATCGCCGCCAACCGTATCTTTCGCCTTCAACTTGATACCTCTTTCCAGTTCATTACTCGCCCCAAAACAGCAACCAGGTAGATCCCCTGTCCAGAGTAACATCGTCTCGCATAGCATGACGAAACGAAAGCGATTTCGATAGTCATGTAGAAAGCAGATCGTTCCATCGCAGACAAGAGGGCAAACTAAGCCGTGTTAACAAACTCCCAAGCATCGGCCCCCATGTTGATCCCAACTCAAGGTGTGTAATAATAGAATCTCGGGGTCTCCGAGACTGGAAGGCAAAAGCTTGCGCTAAGTTAGTTATGATTAATTAGTTCACCTTTCATCATCCACGAAGGAATAGGACCAGGACCATTTGAAGTGGAGGCTGGACATGAGCTCTTGGCCTGAGCTTGGTGTTTTGGAATTGTTCTTGTTGATGGTTACTGTTCTGGGGAAAAAGATTCAAGATCCAAGATGGTCCAGGATTGTTCAAGAGCCAAGCAGGAGCCCAGCAATAGCCTATCAAGAGCCCAGGAGGAGCCTAGTAGGAGCGCTTTTTTTGTGTGGTAGGCTTTGCTTCTGTTTACCCCAGAACGGATGCACAGGCCATGGAAAATAAATAGAAACACGAACTGCAGGATGACCTCACGGGCAACGGCTAGTAAATTGTAGTGGAGGAGCAGGATCTACACGGTCGAGGAGGAATTTTGGAAAGAAAGGGGGCCGAAGGATTTGAGTCCTGGCGGCGGCCTTAAGTGTTAGTTAACCGTAGCGTAACTGTGGGACGCCTTGCGAGGCTAAATTGTGTGAGAATCAGTGACTAGCGGCGCTGAGAATGGAAATATGTAATGGGTTTTTAGCTGCTAGTCTACTACCATTGAGATGATAGTTCGTTCGGGGCTGCTACTAATGAAATTATACATAGTTAAAAATATGTACAACTGGACATGCGTGTTACCTCATATGTACAAAGACGTCCATGCTCTGCTCTAAGGATTACTTGATTGATTCCCTCCCTTATAGTCCGATGTACTGTTCCACTGTCCTATTGATGTTATCAATGCTCTGTCAGCATTCTTACCGGAATAGAAGGCCAAGCATTTCATCCAACTGGAGACCCTCTCCCTAGCGGGCAAATCAGACCGACCGGCAACTCCGGCCGAAGAAATACATTAATGCTCCTGGAAAAAAAAAGCCAGGGACCCACTCGCACCGATATCAACTTTTAGAGAATGGACGAATAGCGGGGCTCGCGTAACACTGCCGAGTGAGTGGGCTTATGAATCCACCGTGGCTTGATGTAAAGTGAGCACTAACAGGCCAAGGTATTTTCAAAGTCGCGCCAAGGGGGCCCAACCTTACCGGGGTTAAGCATAAGCCATTAGTCGGGCAGTGTCTTCCGGTTATGTACGAGTCAGTCATGTATTATTTGATCCATCCAGCTGACAGAAATTTTTTTTTGAACTATCGTGTTCGTATTTGCGGAGGATGGCAGGCCACATGGTCAACAATGTACGGTGAGACAACAGAATCCACTGGGCTGGGTTTTACTGATAATAATAAATGAAACCCATCGCCTCTCCGTATTCTCCCTTGGTCCTAACAGGATCTGTCTCAGTGGCTTTGACCGGTGCGATCGTATAACTAGGGCTAGGCAGCCTTCCCAGGTGCGACGGCGCGCCTTGGCTTTCCTAGGATTAGTTAGAAACTTAGGGTTTTGTGTACGCACTAAACAATGGACTATAGATGCATAGCCATCCCAAGTCTCGGGTAGGGGGAGAGGGGAAAAAAAGAGCACATTCCCCTTTCATCATAGTAAGCGGCTAGCAATGATTTTGCCGACAATCATTTCACAGCTTAATTATGCTAGTGGAGATAAGCTCGTGCGACGTTTCACAATCTTATTTATTTCCAGGGTTACAATGAATGTATGACAATACAGAACGCGTCGCAACCATATCTCAAGTAGAGTTAATCGGAGGAGAGCAATGCCAGTTTAGGGCCCGCCATCATGCAAGGGCACGTCATCGCCCCTCCTCCCCAGGCCGAAGATCGCCGGCAACGGGCGAGTGATTGGCACGCCTAATACAAATACGACGGCCGATGAAATTAGTTAAGGGACACTATGCGACGCTGGGGGGATGGCTATGCTAGGCTGCCGAATACGCGGTGGAGAACACGCAGGTATTCACTTATTACATACAAAACGTATAATCTGATGTAATTGGATGAATAATGGATGTAAGAGCGTGGAGACGGAACCAACTCAAATTCTGATGCAAAATCGTGGCTCAAACCCACGGTCGGCAATGAAAAAATAAAAGTGTGGCGGCTTGGCCCGCAAGGATAGAGCAAAATTGCGATATGGTTAGCGAGCGGGTGGAGTCTGATTTTCAGGGAGACCCACCGGCCGGATGGAAAATATCTGATCTGATGCCCTGATTATGTGAAACGCGATCAGCCTCGCCAATAAGGCCAATTAATAATAGAATAAAAGTAAAGCCACGGTAAGACACACTATCCGAATGTAGTAGTAGACAGCGTCGAAGCACATACATACCATACATACGCCGCGACCAACCTTAGTGCAGGCCAAAAACAAGGAACAAAAGACACCTGAGTCATGGTGCTTATTATTATTTGTTGTGCTTAACTAGGAGCCAAGCCCTAGCCCTTGTCCGTGTTGGCCAATAATCGATGTCCCCTGGCCTATCATAATGTCCGGAGTACATTTTCCAGGCCACTAGTGCCTGCCTGCTCTTATGTATCACGTCGCACTCACTCCATATACCGGGTAGGCGGAAGTCGGAGAGCGTAATTGTTGCACGGTGTGGAACTGCTGCTGCAAGCCTCGCCGGAGACTAGCTGAAGCCAAAGCCTATCATGATCATTATTGTTAGAAGGTTATAACTAACACATCCCCCATGGTAATACCCCCCGCCCCCCTTGTGCATATGCACTAGACCGTCTTGTTGGCGATACGCCTGCTCTGCGCGGCTCTAGATCTAGTCCGGGCACAAGAGGAGTGAAATAGCCTTCACATTTAGCGCCAACGCGCAATACTATCCCAGAAGCCTCATCACGAAGCAACAGATTGGCTGCTCACATTCATTGTATTGCCTCTATTCGACGAGGCTGGCCCGCGGGGAAAGGATTTAAGGCTCCTTCACAAGGCGCATAGTTAAAGGTTGTATTACTCCGGAGAAGTGACCTGTAATCCATATAGGTAGGCCGTGCGAGGCCCACGTCTCGTGTGCTATTATTAATGCTCTTCAACGGGATGCAGAGGGCGAAAGGAATAGAGCCAAGTCTCGCCGGCGTAATCCTTTGTATAGCGGTAACCCAATCATTATGAATACGTGTTAACTACACGAGGATGTCACATCGTGTTTGGCACTGTAAATAATATTCGAATCCAGGATATTCCAGGGCTGACCTAGCCAAACTATTGAATTCCTGTGTATACAGTACAACCACAACGCTTTGGTCAGCTCAGTTCGAATCGCAAGGCCGCAGATACCCAAAAAGTAAAAATAAAAAGGAAAACAGAATACGAGTACGGGCGCGCCCCATACGATCGCTGCTCTAGCTCATTTATTTCCTGTTTAGGGCTAGCCGGGTATTCTATCATCCTGTTGGATGATCAAAGCAAAGTGTTGGGTCTAATTCAACACAGCGACGAAAATAATAATACATAACATCTCGGCGATCGACGTTTAATGGTAGGAGGGCTTTCCAGAATCAATAATCATGGTCTGGGCTGGTAATCGTCATAACCCATGTGTGACCGGCTAGGCCGGCCGCCAAGCACTGAGACAAGAAATGAACTGAAAATTCTCTAAGCGAGCATAAAGTTCAGCGCCGCCTCGTGTCGGATTAAGCTTAAGCTTCAGCGCAGTCGACGCACCAACCACTTTTTACACTGCGATCTGTGCGTCGTACCGCGTATGTATGGTATTATTATCGGCCAGGAATGGGGCCGCCTTGCGAAGGGGGGCCTGCCCCCCCCCCTCTTTTGTGTTTGGGATGAAGGCTCGATGCCAATAATCCCCTGGACGGAATTTGATGTCATATCCTATTTATTCCTTCTGGTCCGATTCAGACACATATTATGATTATTATGGTTCTTCTTATTATTTCTCTTGCCACACTCCCCCCCGGCCCATGGTTCGGCAGTCAGTCGTTGCTCCGGATTTCGAATAATAACAGCTAGCTTTCAAGCTTAGTTGCCCTGTCTCCACTCTGCGCAACTCTGTTCTCATTCCTTTTTCCACAACTCGGCGTTTAGCAACCTCCGTCCGTCCCCGATCTATCTGTGGCTCCCTTATTTAACCTTCTTTTGGTTTTTAATAATACCTGCATCTGCCTGGTTTGGGTCCCGTGGAGAAACCAGAAAAACTCGTTTTCTCTCATTCTTTCCTTTCTCTCTCTTCCTCCTTCCTCTTCCCTCCCTCCTTCGCCGAAACACGGCTAAGCAAACCAATATTCAACCTTGTGGGGTCCAAAGCGTGAGTACCTTTTTCTTTTACTTGTTTTAGTCTGCACGTCTTTGTGTGCCTTTCATCCCAGCCCCACCCACCCTCTTCTTTCTTCCTTAAAGGAAAATTACGTCCACTCTAAATGCTTGGCTTAATCCACTCCTGGCGCTCTTATACTTTTGGCTATTTGGCCTTACCCCAAACTCCCTCTATCTATCCATTTTAACTCCCTCTCTCTCCCTCTCTCCCACTTCTTTCTCTGTCACTCTACCTCTCCCACATAATATACCCAACCCACCAAATCAAATATCCACGACAATACTTGCTATCACACAACCCAAAAGTGATTTTCTGACTCTTGCAGCCTACAGCAAAAGGCCAGTCGTCATCACAACCTCAGCCTCGCAGCCCGTAAACCTGGCCGTCAAACCCACTCCCCCGCTGGGGTCGTCCGTTGATTTACGAGGGTGGATGGAGACGTATTACGGTCACGTCCGCACGCCGGCGGACGCTATTATCTTGTTTGAGGCATGCCGCATCGGTCTGCTGCCTCGTGTGCAACGACGACTGTCAGAAAAAGAGCGCCAGTCGATTCGGTCAGGCTCCGTGTTCGTCTGGGATGAGCGCGAAGCGGGCATGCGCCGGTGGACGGACGGAAAGTCCTGGAGCGCCAGTCGTGTGTCTGGCAGCTTCCTCACCTATAGAGAGATGGAGGGCAAGCGTGGTGGTGGCAGCGTTTCTCAGAACTCGGGATCCAGAGGCGGCAAGACTCCCGAAAGTCGGGGCAGCGATGAGGACCGAGGAGATGGCACCGATGAGGGCCCCGATGGCTATCGGTATAAGCCCGACGGGTTAATGAAGCAGTCCTTCAGCATCACCACTTCCACCGGCCAGCATCTTCACCTGATCAGCTACTACTCTCGCTCTCACCCATCCGCCTCCAACCTGCAACAACCCACCACAGATCCCGCGCTGCGCCATGTTCGACCCCAGAAGGGCCTGTACCCGGAATCCACGGTCAACGACCAACAAAACCTCCCCGTCGTCACTCGCGGTCCCATGCCCGGCGCAGCATACGCCATCACTCCGCATCCTATCGGCGGATTCACACGAGGCACACCGGCTCCACCGTACACGCCATCGTACGCTTGGCCACCTACTCCTCTCGGCACCCCGCCGACTGTCGCCGTGCCCTACGGCGGGGCCTATCTCCCGCCGGTGTCCAATGGATCTGCTTACGCTCAACCACAGCAAGCCCACGCTCATGCCTTGCCACCTCCACCTCCGCCGAACCTGCCTGCATTTGACCGACCGTCACATCCCGAAACAACGCTTGTTCCCGCCGGTGCAGCATCCAGTATGTCTGTCTTCCCCGGCCGGTCACCCCGCCCAATGCACGAGCAGCCACCACAGAGAAGCCCCCGGCCTACGCACATCAACATCAATCCCATTTAGGCGCATCACCACGAACGCCGGGCGCTGGTATTGCTCACATCAATGGTCCTGCGCGCAGCCCTCGCCTGTTGAAGCAGGGATCTCCCGCTTCATTACAGCCTCTGAACCCCATCGGCACGCCTCCTAAGCTCCCAGAATCATCAAATTCCGGCACAGTCCCCAGCATCGGCGCTTTGATGAACGGTGCTTCACTGGCTCCGTTGTCTTCAGGGACTGCCGCTCCCGGTGGTCCTGGCTCTAGTCCAAATGCCAACGGCGGCAGCAGTGCCGAAGGACCTCGGGATATCCCCAACGAGAAGCTTGGATTCGGCGGCGAGGACATGAGAGCCCTCCGCCAGCTCGACCGGGTCTTTATCTAAGAAGAAAAAAGAGCAAAAATGAATGGCTTCTACGCCTCGACCCACCCTCTCTGATTTTTGATCAGTCTTTATCTATTTTCTCGGCCCTTTCAACCGTGTTCTTTCTTATGATTGAGATTGTGTTTTCCGTGATATCCTTCTCCGTTTGCTTTTCTTCTTGTCCCCTTTGGATCTTCCCAGCTGTCATGAGAATCTGTTGCATGGGTCGGGGCAAATATGCGTCTTCTTTCTTCTTCTTCTGTCTTTTGCGTTTACGTTATGGCCCGGGGGGTTTCATAGGGAATCTATAGGGGGCCATTTCATACATACTTCATTATCTTGCATTGGGATCGGTCTACACGGATGGGATACGGTTCTGCTTCTTCGGGTATCTACTTAGTCAAAGGACTTGCTTTTGTGTTTATTGCTACTCCATGTGCACACCTCTTGCTATAGTATTGGTGACAGTAAACCTGCCGACGGGTGAGCCGCTCAACGGGTGCTCAGAGCTAGCCCTAAGCGAGACCTGACTTGCTCACCAAGCAACCTAAGCGTTCACCCTGTTGCTCATCTCCTTGAGTTCCCATCGTGTACCGCGATGCTAACCGCTCTACTGCCTATTAGTATTCCTAGGAGTCATGGCTAAGATGATGTCTTCCGATATCGCTAGTAACATTCACCCTCCACTTCGAACTTCGTAGTGATACTCTTCGTTTTCTTAGATCTACCTCAGAAACTAAACAATCCCTCATCTTTACATTCTATCCTTTGCACTGCCGATACAGGCATCGATGGCCAACTCTCCTTTAGCAATACTACGTAAAACAAATGGCCTGAGCGAAGAAAAAGGAGTGAGGCAATAGTATTCGAGCTTCAGCCTTTTGATCAGAAAGGGACAAGCCCGCGGGTGTTGGTTTTCATGACTGCAGGCAACTTATATTACGCGATATTATCTAAGCGAAAGTACACAGAGGAATCAGAACAAGAGCAGAGTACGATCAATCGCTAGATATCTGAACCTGACTTTCTTTTAGCGAAAAGAGGTAGACTGAAAGTAGCTGTCCATGGCTTTATCAAGGTGGCGTTTCCTCTTTTGTTCTTCGTAGCGGATGTGCGGCCGCGATGGCAATGAAACTTCGTCCTGTTTTGACGGCTTGTGCGGAGGTATTTCATTCGCCTCGCCCATTTGACGGGGCTTGTCTCGTTCGGATTGACGGCGCCGAGCTTCTGAACATTGGTTAGCTAGCTATTTCCTATGCCACAAAAGTGATATTCGAGAGCAAGCTCACCTCGGATCTGCTCCGTTTTGACAGCATAAGCATGGATCTCCTCCTTGGTCAACACTCGCAGGACAATAATACAGTCCGTCCGCTCCTGGAAACGCTCTTTGCCTTCTGTCAGCGCAGCTGGATCCACGAGTCTCCGATCGAGCTTCGTCCATCGTGCAGTAGGTGGAATCCCCTTCTTCTGGGCATCCTTGAGCGGTGCGGCATCCTCTCGCATGGGATGGGGCTTCTCGGTGAAACTGGGTGCGTGGATAGAATCAACGGACTCGCCCAGTCCAGAATTAGCATCTTTGAGCGGTGTGGCATCTCCTCCTAGCATGGAACGGAGCTTCTCGTCTAGCAGGTGATGGTGCTCCTCAGGGAAGGTGGGTGCGCGGGAGCCAGCAGAGTATCTCAGTTCCGAGCTAGCGCCAGTATAGTCCTCCTGGTGGTCCAGAAGCAGTTGGACAATTTCATGATTCTTTTTCTCAATGGCGATTCCCAGAGCAGTCTTTCCTTCCAGATTTTGAATTGTCCTAGATGCCCGTCCGATTTCAAGTAGCAATTTAACAACCGATATATGCCCCGACATTACTGCCAAGATCAATGGCGTATTGCCATTCCCATCCACGCAATCGACGACCACTTCTCTGGTGTGAAGGAACGACTCGACAATACCCGCATTGCCTCCTTGTGCTGCCAGAGCTAGTGGGGTCTTGCCGTCGACGTTGGTGGTGTTGACTTGGATATCCCGTATCTTAAGCAGCCTGTCGACAATCAACCCTTCACCAGCCATGGCTGCCAGGGTCAATGCAGTGTCTCCGTTGACATTTTGATGATTGATATTTACTCCAGACGCATCGACCAGTATTCTAGCAATAGTCCCATGGTAGTTCCTGATTGCTAGCTGCAGTGCAGTATCTCCATTCTCATTCGAGTGGTTAATATCAACATCCGGCATTTCAAGCAACATTTCGACAATCACTCTTATGCCAACCATGGCTGCCAGGGTTAATGCGGTGTCTCCGTGGAGGTTTGCATGGTTGGGGTCCACTCCCAGCTTGACGATCAGCGATCCAGAAATCATATAATCGTCGTTCATGATTGCTAGCTGCAGTGCGGTGTCTCCATTCCCATTCAGATGATTAATATCAACATCCGGCCTTTCAAGCAACATTTCGACAATAGTATACTGGCCGTTCATGATTGCTAGCTGTAATGCAGTGTTTCCATCCTTATCCGGGAGATTGACATCCACTCCTGGAGCAGTGAGCAACATTTTGACAATACTAATTTTTCCAAGCTTGGCAGCCAGTGACAATGGCGTCGTCCCGTCTGCGCTGCAACAGTTGGTGTCCAGGTTTTCTGTGCGAAGAAGTATCCGGACAGCATCAAAATGCCTTCCTTCACAAGCCAACCATAAGGCAGTCTGACCCGATGAGCTTTTGGTGTTCAGCTGATTCGGATCGATGCTGGCAAGGACTCGTTCAAGAAGTTGCGTTTTCCCGAGCCTAGCAGCAGCCAAGAGAGTCTCGGGATCTCGCAAAGACGGGAATCGCATGTCTGGAAAACGGCTCTTGATTTCATCACAAACCTTCGATGCAGGCAAGGCATATGAAATATCTGGTGCCATACCCGCTACGATCACTCCAAAGATTGAATCGTCCTGGGCGTTTATAACCCATGATCCGCAGTTTCCAGGCACTGAGTCGAGTCAGTGTAGTTTTTTTGTCGTTGATCAGTCAACACACTCACCTGGCACCATCCTCAAGGCCCAGACATCTTGAAACCCAAATGGTGGCACATACAACCCGCATTTTGTGTCAAAGGCAGTCGTTTCAACTAGTGGTCCAGTGCCAACAGCTGCCCATAGAGGCTTGGCCGAAGGATCAGATGAAACTTTACTAGGGAAAGCAACAGTATCCTTCAAAATAACGGAGTTGGGGAGAAGCTTGTTTTTGTCGAGGTTGGTCAGGCGAACAAGAGCCCAGTCAGACTCCAGGGAATAGAAGGACCGCTCTTGGGGAATGGATCCCAGCTCGTTAAAACCCCGGGGCCCGGAGTGAAAATAAGCCGTGTCTGTTTCGATCGTCATCTCAGGATTTCCTGCATCTGAATAATTGCTTGCAGAATCGCTTCCCACACTGTCATCGTCCCCGTAGTCGGACTCCTCATCCTGTGAAGAATCCCCATCGCCGGAGGATTTGAGGAATGGGTGGACCACTGTGAGACCGTACATTTCCCCTTGAACGATAACTGTGCCTCCCATGGTGGCCGTTCTCGAGAAATATTTACCCTCGGCACTTCCAACTTGGAACAATTGCCCACAAATATTCATTGTATCTTTCAATTCCTCCTCCAAAGAAGCATTAGGGGCACCCATGTTCAAGGCAATCTTGCTCTCAAAGCCATAAACCCGAAACCCCCAGTTGAACAGCTCACCATGCTTCTCAACAAGCTTAACAGCCTGTTTCGTGACTTTCGCATTCGCACAGATGATAATCGCAGCGGGATGACTCGAGTGCCATTCTCGGCCAATCATCCAACAGGTGACGGAGTAGGGACTCTGTTTTTTGATCTTGTGGTAGATCACTTTGCCGTTGTCTTTCAGAAGTGGCTTGATGATGTTGGGATAGATGAGCGTGTTCCACATCTCGCACACTTTGCTCGCGGGACTCCAGGCATATTGGCTGTTGAATGCCCAGGAGCGTTGCTGGTCGACCGATGCCTTCTTCTCGTCCGCGCTTAGCTCGTCCCAGAATGTTGGTACTTTCGTTGTTCTTGGTGCGTCAGTCTGCACGCCCCAGTCGGAGATTCGACCGAATCGCGGTTGCGTTTGTGTGCGGACGGCCATGGCAAGAGGGAGCCCTGGTTGGCGTCCACATATGCTCTAATTGTCACCTAGTCTCCTGGGTGTGCTGCATCCTCTAAACCCAAACATCTTGTCTCTCTCAGGTGGGCTGCTTATTTTACCCAGGTTCTTGAACGCTTTCCCAAATATGGGCATTGGAAACGGTGATCCTTCAGCCACCGCCATGTCCTCAGGAGGCTGTGTTGGGTTTAACAGAACCCGAAGGAGCGAACATTGAGAGATGCGACTGTTATTACCTCTCTGACAGGAGAGAAGATGGACAACAATCCAGAATCAACTCTAATAGATCTCTCGCAATTGACCCTCGGGCAATCCGCGACTGACCACAAAACCTCAGCCCTGAAAGCCAGCTTACTCCCACAGCTATGGAATCTCCCCGCCGACAAAAGCCTAGAAGCCTCCGATGCGTTCATGGAGTACTACATGAGCCAACGGGTTCTGATCGAGGCTCACGGACTCAATCTCCACACGCACCAGGACCTGATCGACCTGATCAATTTCGTCCGCGCTCGGACAGGCATCCCGCAGAGTCAGCTGGTTGCCGATTTTCGCAAGGAATATGACTGCGTTGGTCCGGCGCTGCCGGCTATTGAAGTGGTGGTTCGCATTTGGTTACTGGTCTCGATTGATGACTGGGAGCCGCGCCAGTCACTGCAGGAGTACATCTGTGTGCTATTTCCGCGGGTCGATGAGGCGCCTCCTCCTTTGCTGCCTGACGACTTTGCTTTTCCTCTGTCGTTTAATATCACCAATCTTAGGCTGATCGGCGGGTTTGAGATTGTCTGGACCGAGTGCCTGCATGATCATCTTTCGTTCAGTGTCGATGAGGAGCAGAAGAAGGAACTGAAGATCTTTCATTTGTCTTCGTTCCTGCAGGGGTACCGTTATAGTTCGTGGTACGTATATCCCCCCCCCCCATCCTCACAAAAAAGGTAGCAACTACATGTAATATTATGGTCTTAATAGATGGATCTGGTTTATAGTTCAATATTCCCTCCGGGCCTCCTCGACGAAACCGCCCAGACCCTCTCCCTCCTCTTCCCATCCTCCAACCTGAAATGCCAACAATGGATGCGCAAGGCCCGTCGGCGCGAGGATATCGACCTCGAAGCCGGGACGCTGCCCGCCACCTCACGTACTATTACCCAGTACCCCTACTGGGGGCGGCAACTGCTTGAGCTCCGGGATGAGTACGACCGAACGGAGCCGACGACGGTTAAACAGTGGATCGCGGATAAGCGGAAACCGAACCAACGGTATACGTTTTGGATTGCGGTGGTGGCGTTGGCCCTTGCGCTCGTGTTTGGGTTCATTCAGTCTGTCACCGGGATCCTACAAGTTGTCCAGCAGCAGCGGCGTTGATCACGCATTACTAGATTGGGAACTGGCTTAGAGTAGAGTTCAGGGCGCTGCGAATACGGAAACCAAAGTTATGATCTGGTTCTAGGAAAGCTTGCTAGATTGCTCGGTTGTACTTATGATGGCAATTGAGAGGGCTGTAATTTAGTTCGGCTTTCACTCCTCTACCGACTAGCTTCGTTACTTTTGGCCCGCGAGCTGCTAGTTACGTAGCAGGGGTCATTCAGCTCTTCCGAAGTGACCCCGTTCCAAACTCGGCACACTTTCCTGTTGCTCTCGCCGGGTCAGGCGGACAGGCCGCACTGGCTCCCCTTCATTCTGTGCTCACTTTTTTCCCCTGTCTTACTTGCCCCCTGCTGCCTCCGCATTCCGCCCATAGATTTGTCCTCCTTTTGTCTTGTCTGTCTGTGTTGCAATATTCATGCTGGTCCGGCTCCACTGCGGGAGACGGACACGGGAGGAACCTTGCCCTAACGAACGAGACCGGGGGCGGGCCCCGCCAAATCATACTGTCGTAGTCTTGTAGGATCCCGGCCAGGACGCGAGTAATGAGTGTAAACCACCTCTTGGGAGACCATGATTGGTGCGAAAGCGATCACCGAGGGCTTCGCTTCTCCTGCCCGACTGATCGCTGCAGATGAAAAGGTGGCTGGGCCAGACTCCGACATGGATCTGGTCGTACTTTCTTGCCCCCTCCCTGGTCGGCTAACGAACTAGGAGCAGGCAACTAGCAGGGATGGTTCCGACATCCCCAAACTCTCGCGGGTTTCCGCTCTGGGCGATCCGGCCTCAGCTGGATCCGATGACGGGTAAAAGACAGCCAAAGGTTAAACCGATACGAGGGCGTTTCCCTGTTGGTCTCCCGGCAGATCCCTCGAGCCTTGCAGCTCGCCCAAACCCCGCCAACTCGAATCGCCACATTCCGACGGTCGAGTGACAGGCCGCTGATCTGGACGTCGCCATAGGCCCTAACCCTGTCCATTCCCTGCAGCGGATGTCCGTGCTGGAGTCGCACCGAGACGATCTGGCCCACTTACCCCAGATTGAGTCGGAGAGTAGAAAATTTCAGTGCCGGCAAGAGGGATCTGGAGGGCCCTGGAGGACGGAGAGTGTCCCTAGCGAAGAGGGGAAGAGTAAGCCGCTCGAGGTACCCCGGTGACAGAGCCAGGTGAGAGAGATACATCAGCCGTTTAGTGTGGGTTAGTGGCTGCGAGTGCTTTTGAGGCACAAACAGGACCCGATCTGCGAGGAAGTTTAACCGCGAGGATGATCCATTTGAGGAAGTAGACGAGTGAAGAGGACCCCCACGTTCTAAGTTCGTAACTAACTACTTAACGACACTCTCGTCAGCGGTGGATCGAGAGACCTCCCCCCCCCTCTGCTCCCTCCCATGTCCATCAGTCCATGTTGTCCATGCAGGGTTCTCCCATGCCTGCCAGCCGGAGTGACCGCGATACCTCTTCTTCTCTCACTCTCACCCCCTACCGAGCGAGCACCTCCGTCTCCACCAGCAGTCCCGATGCCGGTTCGAGCGAGTCGCCCGACAGCGGCGATGGCTCGTCGCAATTCCTCTCGCCGGTGAGCGACTTCTCTCGATCGCAGCACATGGAACTCATGTCCCCCAAGATCGAGGAGCTGGATGCCGATGACCTCCAAAACATCAAGTCGGCCACGGTGGAGACCGTGCCGGGCGCATCCGTCGCGGTTCCACGGAAACGGGGGCGCCCACGCAAGCACCCGCTGCCCACGCCCGGGGGCCAGGTCAAGGTGACCAAGGGCCGCTCCAAGACCGGGTGTATCACCTGTCGGAGGAGGAAGAAGAAGTGTGATGAGACGAAGCCGGCTTGTCTCAACTGTCAGAAGAATGCCGTCGTCTGTGAGGGGTATCCGCCCAAGGAGATCTGGAAGAGCGGTCGACAGAAGCAAGCCGATGGTCAGTCTGCATGGTGATTAATGTGTGTCAATATCATATTTCTAACCTTTCTCCCCCAGCTCGAACTTCCTCCCTCGCTGCCGTGCCACGCCACCTGCCCCTCCTTATCGACGGCATCGAGACTGACATCGACCGCCGCTTTCTCGACCACTTCGTCTACGGCTTCAGTCGCGTGCTGACCCTGATCAACGATGACTCGAACCCGTTCAAAGAGATCCTGCTGCCCATGGCCACCCAACACCGCGGCCTGATGCACTCCCTCATGTGCCTGTCGGGGTCGCACTTATCCGGGCTAGATCCCGAGCCAAAGCTGAAGGACCGCAAGTACTTTCACTTCCATCGCGCCATCCAAGACCTCCAGGACAACATCCTTGCAACGTCCTCCTCGTCATCATCACTACCTCAAGCCTCGAATGAGGACCAGGAGTTGCTCGTGGAAGACCCGATCATCGCATCCACCATTGCGCTCAGTCTCAACACCATCTGCGAAGGCGAGACCAACGGCGAATACCGTCCACACATGGATGCGGCCCGGTACCTGCTCCTGTCGCAGCAACCACGCAATGAAAAGTTCCGCCAGTTCATCGTCGAGTTCTTCCAGTACCACGATGTCTCGAATTCTCTCACCTCGCTCGATCGCAGACCTGCTCTTCTGCACAGCAACCTGTCTCTTCCCGAGTTCGTCCCAGGCGCGCAGGAAGGCATGTTCCTGGGTGTCTTTGACGGGCTCTTTAACTATATATCGGAGGTGACCCAGCTCCGCGACCGAATTCGTGAACGCTTCGACCAAGGCTACGAGCCGGCAGTGGACTACCAAACCCTCAGCGAAGCTGTCTCCATCGACACTGCCATCCGCACCTGGGAGACGTCACACGAGCCCGACACGCCCAACTGGTTCCTAGCCCAGCTATACCGCCAGTCGACCTGGGTATACCTGTACCGAACCATCCGGCCCTCCCGCCCAAGCGACAAGATCAGCCAAGTCGTCGACGACGGCCTATCGTACCTAGACCAGCTACCGCAGGATGCAGGTGCATTCAGCATTGTTCTCATGCCGCTGTTTCTGCTTGGCTGCTCGGCTTTTATCCCCGAGCAGCGCGAGCGTGTCCAAAAGGGCTTCGAAGCCCTCAAGGCGTACTCGAATCTGCGCAATATCGACCCTGCGTTCAAGGTTGTTGCGCGCGTGTGGGAAGTTATGGATACTAAGATGGAGGATAGCTGGGATTGGGAGAAGATTATCCGTGATATGAACATGGACTTCCTCATCACCTGAATGCCTTTTGCACGTTGTTTTTGATTTTGATACCCGTTTTCTATCTTCCCCCTATTATTTCCCCGACTTGACAAAGTGGACTTTGGAATCGGGCTGTACCACCTGGCGTTTTATGTTGATTGTCGATTTTGCATTATCGGTTGGTTGGGCTGGTTCGAGGCGATATCGTGGGCGACAAGGAGGAGTGACCAAAACCCGGGGTGGGGGCAATCTGCTTTCTTGTTCTTCTTCCAATTCCGCCTGAGTGATCTGAGCCGCAAAAGCCAGGTGGAGTTGGTGTATGGATGGATGGATGGATGGATGAAGGAGGAACCCTAGTTGTAATCTCGCTGCGCAGTTGTATATCATCCCATCCGTGGTCTGTTCCAACCTCCACTTCGCCCCTTTAGTCTCATCTAGGCTCCGCAGAAACAAGCAAGAAGTACGGCCGATGCCTCTCCTTTGCCCACTCCGGCCTCAACGCCACGTCCTCCTTCGCCGGCGCCCACTCCTTCAGTCCCGTAACCACAAACCCACTCTCCAGCAGCAGCGTCACATACGTTTCAATCGTGCGATGATACTTTCTCACTCCCTCAGAACCCAGCCAGCTCGTCTCGCGCAGTCCTTCCTCGCAGTAGGAATTTAGTGGCCACACTGGATATGCAGTGCCTTTCTCTTTCTCTTGCTGTTCCCCCTCCTCCTCTCCTTTCTCCTTCACAGCGGCAACAGCAGGAATGTCTCTCCACTCCGGCAGAGGACATACAGGCGCCGTGCAGACAGGGTGCTCAACCGAGAAAACCAACTTCCCTCTTTTAGAATTGTTTTGATATGAAGAACCCGAACCCGACCCCCCTTCGCCAAACACGCGTGAATCTGTCGAAACAACCTCCCCAGATCTGATATGTAGTGGAATGTCAGTGAGCTATACACGAGATGGTATGTATCGGTATCGCTTTGGTCGAGGGTGAGAGTCTCCAGATCATGGCGCTGATAGGATATCACGTCCTTGGATTTCGGAGCACTGTCATAACCACCATCGTCGTCGAATTTCTTCGCCCGCTCAATCATCCGCTCTGATACATCGATCCCAGTCACGAATTCGGCGCTCGCGCTATCCCGCGCCCAGCGGCTAAACCAGCCGTATCCGCAACCCAGATCGAGGACTTTGCAGTTTTGTAGTCCGTTCGTTGTGTCACGGTTGTTGGTGTTGCTGTTCAGAACCATATCACGCAGAACGGGCCATTCCGGAGCCCCGCTGAGCCCGTGTTGTGAGCGGGGGAGCGTGCTGTACGCAGTGAAGAAGTTGGGGTTGTCATAGATGTTCTGTGATTGGGTGGACATGGTGGTACTGATGGGTATACCGTGGCTGTTTGCTTGCTGTACACGGTAGTTGGTATCTAGTAAAGTGGTAAAGTAGAGGAGTAGAATTTGAAGTGGATAAATAGACTGCTGGCGGCTTCACCCGAGTTAAGATCTTGCCTTATTGGGTGCCCGACATAGTCTTCACCTTTACGAATTAATTTTAAGGAATTTCCTATAGAGTATAGTGTAGCGCAAAGAATTCACTGAAATAACAGGCCATCTCAAGCACTCTCAGTCTCCATTTGCTATCACGGGGCACCCGACGCCCTCTAGGCGGCATTTACGACAGAGCCTCTAAATCGCAACCTAAAAGACTCCGACACATCCTCTTCACAAAATCTTTAGCATCATTCTCCCCAAAATCTTCCCGCTGAATCCACTGAATCTGAGAAATCTTGGTCTGCTGCACCGTCAGGGCCATCTGCTCATCTCCCGTCCAGCTCCTATATATGCGTAGTATGGAGTTGCCCTGCGCGTCCGGGGCGTCGGCTTGTAGCCCCCACCTGGCGTCCATGTCCTGTGGCGAGAAGCCCTTGAGGAGCTTGCTGTGGTCAGGGCTGGAGATGGGGACGTCCCATGCTGCTGTGGCGGGGTTGGCCATAGGGGTGAGATCACGACGGAAGGTCTCAGCCATGACGTGTCTGGTGGTGTGCTTGAGGTGGAGGAAAGAGTGGTTAGGTGATAGTTATTGTAGGCGAGAGCGAACAGTCAGAGTAAACAATTCTAGAGGTGCAGCGGTTTGGTTAGACACGCGGGTAACAAGGACTAAATGTGACGGAAAGCTTGTATCAGTTAATGAATCCGGGCAGTAGGCCTTGCTCTTGAGAAAGCGGAAATCTCGCAAACTCAGTAGAGGCACGGACCCAGTGTGCTAGTAAATGATCACTGGCGAGAGAGGGGCAGGGCAATAAGACGGGGCGCCTGAGGAAGTCAAGCACCCAAAGTGGTTGCCTAAAAGGGATGAATACAGTGTCCCAGTCATTGAGTGAAGAGAACGGAAACACGTGATCAATTCCGATGAACGAACTACTTGATTGACGGCCGTGGCAGCTAAATTGGTGTCAACAGTCCGCGGGGCGATGGGGGGATATCAGTCGACCTGAAGCGGACGGCTCAGTGGCGATCCCATGTACCAATTAAATCCGGGAGCACGGCCCCGGCTCACCTGCCATCCCACTTGCTCTGCACCCCAAGACACGTCCTAGTTGTATATCGCGCGGGCCTTCAATGAATACTGTCCATGCCCCGCAATACTTCATTCGCGTCTCCAGGCCGTCTGCCGCCCTTTGCTGGACATGTCGGCGTCCGCCTCGACCATGAGACAGTCCGGGGTCCGCTCTCCTTTTTTAACCCAACGCGCGCGCGCTTCCACGTGGAAGATCAGGCGCAGATTCATCCCGGGTTGATCGACGACAAGCTTCCGCATCGACACGCAACACAAGTCGCGTTGCCCGCGTACATCCATTGGCGGTCTCGAGACAATCGCAAAGGAAGACACCCTCTGGGAGTGGACCCTTCCCACCCAGACTCCACAAGCAGCTTCCGCGCCGTCGGCCGGGGCCTGTTGCGCATGTGCACCGAATGCCCGTACTGGGACATTTCGTACCTGATCGCTGTGTTTTTCTCCGTCGGATGCCTGCTCTTCGTCATCAGTGGCCTGTTCTACTGGCTGCCGCTAGTAGCTCCCAGCTCCGAGTTTTCCTCCGAGGCCACGGCCGGCGATATACTCGCATTTGTCGGAGCCACACTGTTCCAGATCGGAGCTGTGCTTCTCGTCTTCGAAGCGTGCAACGAGAATCAAACGGGATGTTTTGGATGGGCCCTCCAACGGGCCCTCACTGGAGAAGATGACGATGACTCCGGAAGAGTGGTGGCCAAGACCGACGTATATAGCTGCCAGCACCACCATCAGCGTAGGCGCCAGACGGACTCAGCCAAACAGAAAATGAAGCAGCAGCAGCAACAGCAGCCCAAGGCGAACCGCAAATGGACCTGGTGTCCATCCTGGCACGAGCTGAGGACGCATTATTTCCACGAGATCGGTTTTGTGGCCTCCATTGCAATGTTTGTCGGTGCCACCATCTTTTACATTTGCGGTATCTGCACGCTCCCGCCGATATTCAACAACTTGAGCCGGGGTGCTCTTGAGGGCTTGTACTATCTGACCTATCTTGTTGGCGGGGTCTTCTTTGTTATATCCTCGCTCTTGTATGTGCTGGAGACCCAGCCGACTTGGTACACGCCGGCGCCGCATCTGCTGGGATGGCATATCGGGGTATGGAACCTGATCGGCTCCGTGGGCTGGACCCTAGCGGCCTCGTTTGGTTACTGCACTCCCAGCTGGTGTGCCTATCAGGGCGATTTGACCCTGATCTGGGCGTCGGCCGCGTTTTTGATTGGCAGCATGCTGCTATGGTACGAGGCGCTCCAGAAGTATCCTGTCGAGAAGACGGGATAGCATCTGTTTTTTTGGGGTTTGAAGAATGTATAATCGCGACATGGTAGATAACAGAACAAGAAACACAAATATTACAAATCGAAACGCCCCAACCAACCCCTGGCTACTGTGGCAGCCAGCCAACGAACAACATCCTGCCAATCCATTCCTGATCACAGCATGAAAAGACCGATAGCGACTGCGGCACCGCCTAGCACCATTTCATGAGCTGTGGCAATCGGCATGGCCGCATTAGTGGTGGTAGCTGCAGACCCTGAGCTCGTGGTCGAACTTGCGCTCGTGGAAATCGCCTCGTTGGTCGCAATAGTTGTGGCGGCAGCTGCAACCTTCGATGATGCTGAAGAGACCTGATCCGAATAGTCGCTCGCAGTGAAGGGAACCTTTGCGAAGCAATCGGGAGTAGTAATAAACGAGGGTTCGAAAGTACTCGAAGTCGAAACAATAGTGGTTATCACTTTGGGAGTCATGTCGTAAACGCAGCAATAGGCATTGCGGCCGTCAATAATCATGTTGCCATAGCAGCATTTGGAACCGCCGTTAACTGCGGTGTCCTGTAACCAGTTCTGCGGACAAGTGGCTGCCGTTGTAGCGGCCGCGAGCGAGAGGGCGATGGGCAGAAGACGCCTGAATGATGGCATTGTTGGTTCTTAAGTGGACCAGGTGGGGGATAATTATGAATGATTTAGCGTGTTGAGGGACTCCGAATATGGAATGTGCGTAACCTTTATACTGTGGAAGATATAATTAGATGCCAAGGAGCTAGCTAAGGATCAGGATGCGCTACGCGCGGAGTTACAGTCACTTCTTTGATTGGTGTAGAGACGCGTAATACGTTCCCTTAGCGAGGAGCTAATTAGTTAAGGACGAGGCGGAATCTTACGTTAGAAACATAAGCAATTACTAACTATCCGACCTGGTCGGGACTAGGTACTCATTGATCCCCCTAATTCGCTCAGATTTTTAATCGTGTGCTTCAACAGGCAAATTATTTCCAGCTCCCCGCTAACAGTCATCAACATCAGGCACCCCAACTGTAAAGGAACAACTCACCACCTTTTTGTGCGTTCGCGCTTTCCTAGGGTATAACAGCATCTCCATTGCTGTGTATTTCATCGCTAACACTGTGGGCAATCCCTATTACACTTTGATTTCTCCATCTGGCAAGGGCTGCACGCTTGTGGCACTTGTTTTCTTTTTAAAATATGGAGTATTGTAACTAAGCTTGAGAATTGGCTTCTTGTTTGTTATCTGGATTCAATATCGAGGAGATAAACCTGATTACTTTATGCACCGATAATTTCGAAAAGGAACAATTCAAGCCGTCGCTAACAGCGGTGCTACAAGACAAAACGAATGCCGCAGAGGGAGCACCGATTTTGGACCAGCGACCCGAGGGTTTGATACTTCTACACGAGCTCATGCATAGTGTCCCAGTTATAGGCTGGATAGACGAGTTCGACGATGAACACCCTCGGTTTAGTAAGTCTCGATGTCTTTCTTTGCTTCAATCATACGTGACTTGCTGATTGTTTCTAAAGTTGACGACATGACATTTAGTGTCCTCGGCGAGCTTGACGAAGACAATATTCCTTCTATAAACCACTTCAAGGCGCGAAGTTGGCCTGAGTGTGTAGAACTAGTTGTCGAGAAAACCAGAAGAAAGGGTATAGAAAACGCATACAGTTTCCAATGGTTTGCGTTGGCGGCCTCTCTTGCACCAACGGCCAATTATGAGCTGGGCAAGAAAGAAACCCCGAAATTCATTGACTGAATACTCACATCTATGGGCCGAAAGTTGGGAATGTATGCATTAGAATATTCACGTGTCATCCACGCGACGGCCTGTCACCTACAAATGGAGTTTAGCGCAGATAGACATGGTCTTCCCATCCGGATCACAAGAGATCCGAACCAATCACACGAGTCGTGTTAGTGACTATTTTCATTCCCTACGCCTCGCTGTTTTTTGCGGGTCGCAACCGGGTGTGTTCATGTCTTCTAGTCAGTACTAAGTGAGCAGTCGTTGGAAAGAATCTGCCTTTCCACCGCTCTCAGCTACCAAGGGTGTTGTCGAGGATCGCGGCCAGGCCTGGACCCTGAACATCACTTTGCCATCATCAATTCTAGGATCTTCTATCTCGGAATCCCAAATAACCCCCAATTCAGGAGATGACGGGACACCCCCACTCTCAGACATCGACCCACTGGTATGGATAACGACGATACTATTACCGAGCTCAGTGTCCAGAAGGAGGCCGAGATCAACGCGATTGCTGCACTGCAGGACACCGTGTACAATCTCGCCTTGCGCGATGTCGACCCGGTCAACATCAGCGTGACCAATCTGTCACTCGATGTCAACACCGCACCTCCACTATGGGAGACGTCGCCCTCGCAGTTCTGGCGCCGACTTCGAGGCCAGCAGCGCTCCGAGGACATGAGAAAGACAGTCCTCAATGGCGTGTATGCCGCCATGCCTAGCGGCAGCTTGACGGCCATCATCGGCAGCAGTGGATCGGGCAAAACGTCGCTGCTCAACCTCATGGCTGGTCGGATGGCTGTATCTCGGGCCAAAGGCTCGGGGACAACGACTTTCAACGGCAGCACCAACATTGAACGTGTCCGCAGCGCCTATGTCATGCAGGAGGATGTTCTCATTCCGACGCTGACGGTCCGCGAGACTTTGCGTTACTCTGCTGATCTCCGGCTGCCACCACCGACGACCCAGAAGGAGCGACACTCCATCGTTGAACAGGTGATTCTCGAGCTGGGCCTGAAGGAGTGCGCGAATACGCGCATCGGTACCACCTCCCATAAGGGCTGCAGTGGCGGCGAGAAACGCCGCACCAGCATCGGCGTGCAACTGCTAGCAAACCCCTCGGTGCTATTTTGCGACGAGCCAACAACAGGACTAGACGCCACCAGCGCTTTCCAGATTATCAGAACTTTGAAACGGCTGGCTCAGGATGGCCGGACGGTTGTTGTCTCAATTCATGCGCCGCGCTCCGAGATTTGGAACCTCTTTGATAATGTGATCCTCCTAGCTCGGGGCTGTACGTTGTATAGCGGACCAGTCAACGGATCACTGCCTCATTTTGAGGAATGCGGACACATCCTACCCCCGTTTGTGAATCCAGCGGAATTCCTGATTGATTTGGCCGCTATCGATAATCGAACGGAGGCATTGGAGGCTGCGTCTCACGTTCGGGTCGACAATCTTCTGGAGGCCTGGAAATCCAAACAAACTGCCACAACTGACGACAAGAATGAAAAGAAGGCATCTACAAACCCCGAACTAAACCCAATTGAGGTCACATCAACAAAGAAAGTCTCGTTTCGTCGCCAGTTCCGCGTGCTAACCTCTCGCACATTCAAAGTCACTATCCGGGACCCGATGGGCGTGGCTGGAAGTCTTTTTGAAGCTGTCGGCATGGGCGTGATCTGCGGATGGATCTTCCTGCAACTCGACGAAAGTCTTGCGGGCATCCGCTCGCGCCAAGGCAGCCTGTACACGGCCAGCAGCCTGAACGGCTATCTCATTATGCTGTACGAGACATATCGGCTGACGATCGACATTCGACTCTTTGACCGGGAACGCAATGAAGGTGTGGTCAGCGTGCCGGGATTCCTACTCAGTCGACGAGCTGCGCGCCTCCTGCTGGAGGACCTGCCCGTGCCGCTACTGTTTTCCCTCATCTACTACTTCATGGTCGGATATCGTATCGACACTGCGCAGTTCTTCATCTTTTTCATCCTGACGGTGCTTACACACTACATCGCCATGACCTTTGCAGCTGTTGCGATCGGAATTGCGCGAAACTTCCCCGGCGCAAGTCTGGCCGCCAATCTTTGTTTTACGGTTCAATCTTTTGCATGCGGCTACTTTGTGCAGTCCAACCAGATCCCAGTCTACGTGAGGTGGATCAAGTGGTGTGCCTATACCTTCTATATCTTCGGAGCGCTTTGCGCAAACGAGTTCATCGGTGTCGACACTCCCCCGTACGGCCATTTTTACGACTGTCCATACTCCAAGGACCCGCTCGACCCAGCATGCAAAGAGTACACTGGTCGCTATATCATGGACAGCCTGGGGCTGCCGTCTAATTGGATCTGGCGGCCGATTGTCGTGATGGTTGCATTTGCCATCGGCCACTCCTTGTTGGCGGGCTTGTTATTACAATACAACCGCTTCGCGATGGACATTGCTCAGGCTCGACGGTCCGAGGGTGATCCCTCGGGCGGGAAAGCTAAGATTGCAGTTCGGGCAGCCGAAGAAAGCCGACGTGTGGCCATTTCTCTCGACCAGTATGCATTGGAGATCCGCAAGCGAAGGTTTCCATGGAAGAAGGCGCGGAAATTACAGATTTTGCGGCCCATTACTGCGGAATTCCATTCAGGACAATTGAATATCATCATGGGCCCGTCCGGGAGTGGCAAGACGTCGCTGCTCAATTCAATTGCTCGGAGGCTGCACGGGTCCATGGGGACACAGTACCGAGTCAATGGCATTATGCGGTACAACGGGGCTGTGCCATCAGAGAGCGTGATCCGGTCTGTGACATCTTTCGTAACGCAGGACGACGATGCCCTGATGCCATCTTTGACAGTCCGGGAGAGCTTGCGATTCGCGGCAGGACTACGACTGCCGACATGGATGTCGCGCGAAGAGAAGAATCGCCGCGCAGAGGAGATTCTGTTTAAGATGGGCCTCAAGGAATGCGCAGACAATCTCATCGGCAGCGAATTGATCAAGGGAATCAGCGGCGGCGAGAAGCGCCGAGTGACCATCGCCATCCAGATCCTGACAGATCCCAAAGTGCTGCTGCTGGATGAGCCCACGTCAGGGCTAGACGCTTTCACGGCTATGTCCATCATCGAGGTGTTGCAGGGCCTCGCTGCCGAAGGCCGCACTTTGATTATGACCATCCACCAGTCTCGTTCCGATCTGTTCGGCCATTTCTCGCAGATCCTGCTCCTGGCCCGCGGCGGGTACCCTGTATACGCTGGGAAGGGAGAGCAAATGCTCCCGCACTTTGCGGCATTGGGACACGAATGTCCCAAAGCAACGAACCCGGCCGACTTTGTTTTAGATCTGATTACCGTCGACCTGCAGCAGGAAGACCGTGAAGCCATTACGCGCGAGCGTGTCCAGCATCTAATCAGCTGCTGGACGGATGCTGTCCCAGATCTTGGGCGAGTGAACTCCCGGATCGCAACGCCGGCGGAACTGGGCAGTCTAAAACGCCAGATGCTGCCCTTCCGAGTCACGTTTCCACTGGTGCTGCACCGTTCGACCATCAACTTCTGGCGCCAGCCACCGCTGGTGATGGCGCGGTCGATGCAGGTTGTGGGAATTGCGATTATCATGGCACTGTTCTTTGCGCCGCTCAAGAATGATTATCCGGCTGTGCAGTCGCGAATGGGCTTCGTCCAGGAGATTGCGGCGTTGTACTTTGTGGGTATGTGATTTTCTGTCCTAATGTTACTCTCGACCTATTTATTAACAATCAGCCCAGGCATGCTCCAAAATATCGCCATATACCCTGGTGAGCGCGATGTGTTTTACCGCGAAGAGGCAGACAACTGCTACTCCGCTGAGACATTCATCCTATCTTATACAACGCTCGAAGTGCCCTTCGAGGTTGCGTCGGCGCTAATCTTCGGCGTCCTCGCCGTCTACGCCGATAATATGAAGCGCAGCGTGAAAATGCTCCTCATCGCGGCCTTCAACTGCTTCTGCATCATCAGCTGCGGCGAGTCAGTGGGGATAATGTTCTGCACGCTCTTCTCGCACGTCGGCTTCGCCGTCAACGTGACCTCGATCCTGCTTTCCATCTCCACAATTTTAGGCGGGGTCATGAGTCTCAACGTCAACGATGTGCTGCAGGGCCTCAACCATCTCTCTCCAATCAAGTATTCCATCGCCAACCTGGCGCCATACTCCATGCACGGCCAGCATTTCGACTGCACGTCCGCTGAGCGGCTTGTCAGCGGTCAGTGTCCGATTACTTCGGGCGACCAGGTGCTGAAGCTTTATAATCTCGACAAGAACGGGCCTATGAATATCATGGCTCTGGGCGTGTGCACTATCGCCTACCGGGTCGTTGCCTACGCTCTGCTTAAGGTGATGACATCGCACCGGGTCATGGAGCGCTGGCGCGAGTGGCGACGGGCGCGACAGAATCCGTAAATAGTTCTTCTTTATTGCTATGATACCCGAACCAGAATAACAGCATCTGTTGTCTCACTTGACTTTTCTTTTTTTTTTTCCTTGGAGTAACTATATCGTGATACAATATGGTAACTCGGCCGGAACTAGTTCTGGGGTGACATACACACAACCCTCTCAATGATAATTACCTTTCTCTCTCGGACCGGAGTATGTTTCATGCTCCCCGGACGAGAGCATATGGCCTGATGCTGTCATTGTTGCGTCGTTTCGGCTGGCCTTTTTGCCACTGTCATATACATCACGTGATATGTTCCTCGGTCGCCGCCCAAAAGGGTTTGAGAATAGTTCAGGATGTAAATCTCTCGACCGGAAGGTGGCTAGTATGTGTGCATGAGTCGCAATATTATCGCATCACCTATACTTCATTAGGTGCATAGGAATCTGGTTAATGTAGTAAGTGCAGAACGAGAATGCCGACATTGTCAGTCAGTACAGTGCGTCTCGAAATTGGCGTACAGTAAAGAAATGGTGAGGTTAGTTGGTTGGTTGCCTAAAGGCCACTAAACCTAAATACCCCGATCATACGCCAAATAGTGAAATAGGGTAAGATTTCCAACGGTATTTCCAGGTGTTCAGCTCGCATGCGGATTACGTCGGTTTACTAACTTTTGTGTTCTTATAAATATCCTTCCCCTGGTCACCATTGGTTTTCTCTCCTGGTTTCTCGTCATCTTCGCTCGTTTCCTCCGTCTAAAAAAGGCCCAACTGCTCCCTGACCACCTTATTTAGCCGGAGTATGTTATCCAGTACCTATGTTAATGGCATGCTGATGTTTAAGGTGTGCTGCTTCTAGGACTCAGACAGTGTTTCCTCGTGGCTGCATAAATAGTATGTCGACGGAAACTGTAGAAACCATTCCAGAGGGGGGTTTTCTTGAGGTCCGAAACCACCAGCAATTGACTCTATTGTACATTTCTGCAAGGGACTGAACTGACAAAACACTTTTACCAGCCAAGAGAAAACGAGACCCTTATCGTAGCGCCCATGACTTCGGAGGCCTTCAATGCTTTTAGACCTCTTCTTCGGCTATTACTTCAAAATTATGTCGTCCGGAGTTATTGGTTTGACGCTACTGTTGGCCAAATCAGTTTGGTCTGCGCCACTCAACACGACTGACGTTGAAGGAGCTTATAATGGGCCAGGGCCGCTGTCTGATCACGTGTAAGCACGTGGCCAACGTCCATGGTCTACCAACTTCGCGCACCTAGATAACTATGGCATACAATGATTAATGAGTAGGAATGCAAGATGGGTGCAGTGAGCTTAGAAAAAAACACTGAGTCTAGGTGTAGCGACCGCTGGCCCTAGGTGTAGTGACTTGTAATCTGACTGTAACGTCATGCTACGACTATATGCCTGACCCTCAAGGCTTGTTGCTACCTCACAGCCACGCACTGATCGCATGCATGGACGCGTGGATGAGCGGGGTAAAGAGTCTGTGTATAAATGTCTCAACGGCCAGCGATCGGTCTTGAAATCATGCAAATCATAGGCAAGACAAAGCCAGCCACCATGGTAAACGTGCGTCATACGCAGCTGATTGTGATCAACGAGCTGCTCACCGAGGCAGTTGTGGAATTCCCAGTGTACCTGGAATACAACGAGTTCAGAGTTGCTGTGTTGAGACGCCCGGAAGAACTTGAACTCAACACTGTTTTCATTCGTTGGCTTAAGGACGGGAAGCATCTAGGGGAGTCTGATTGTGGTCTTATTGATGTCACTATTCGCGCAGGCATGGGGAGTTGAATTTTATGCAGCAGCCGATGACGACTACGAGGACATCGTGCTCGATGTGATGACAGGGACAGGATCGGCTTGTCACCAGTTTGACTTGCCACAGAAATTAATAGCTAAACCATACTTCAACTAAGCACCACGCTGGGGGCATATCAATATAAGCCAGCTAGATATCAGAACATAGGCACTTTCAACATACATTTAAAAACATGAGAAAAAAGTTAAGAATTAAAAGGTCATAGTCGAAAGCGCGATAGATAGATGCTGAAGCTAAGATTTATCTGCCTATAGACAAGAATATCTAATAAGACTCCTTATCTGATATTTGTTTCAAACATCATCTTCAATTCCATAATCCTTCAAATCCCCCATTCCAGGCAACGAATAGACGGCACTATGCGCCCCTCCAAAAACCTTCAAATGTCGTTTCCCCCGATACTCCATACCGATCTTCTCCATCACTCTTTGACTGCGCTTATCCTTTTGATCACAGAACCCAAAGACGCCCTCCACACCAAATTCTCTCTTTGCATAAGCGATCAGCCCGATCGCCGCTTCGGTGGCATATCCCTTCCCATTCTCCTGTGGCAGAATAGTATACCCTACGTCAGGCGCTGTGTACGCGTTCTCTCCATCGCCCTTCATCAGGGACACAATTCCAATAGATTTGCTTTCGGCCAACGAGGCTCCAGAATAAGGTTTCAAAGACACAAGCATTTGTCCATATCCACGTTTTTTATAGTCGCCTTGGACCTTGTTCGTGATGAACTCGCCGGCCTTCTCTACTGTATCAAGGCCTACGTTCCCTTCTGCCTCGATAAATTCATCCGTATTCCAGAGATGGCGAAGAAAGGCGCTGTGTGAAAGGTTTCCTGGCTCAAGATAGGAAATATGTAGCCGTTCAGTCGGGATACTGAAATGAGCTAGTGGGGCGAAGCTACTTGTCATAGTGGGTACGTAGGTCCTCGTGTAAGAAAGATAGTCAAGTGGTGAATATAACAGATGACACTGCTGAGCTGTACATTGGCGGGTAAGGTCACAAATAAGGGCGATGGTTGTTGGGGAAAGATACAGTGGCATCGCAAAGATCTGTGAACCCCCCCCTCCCCCGGGGACCTTTTTCACCGCCTCCTAATAAGGGACATACCGCCCATTACTAGTAGTGCAGACACTAATTGCCGGCAGAATATAAGCGTAATACTTTGAGGGGCCATAGACTTTTCGTATGTATCATGTTATTACTGTACCAACAAGGTACATATTTAAAGCAGTGAGTGTTTGGCATTAAGGTTCGAGAAACAATGAAAGAGTGTAGGTGGTGGCACAGGTTCGAGACGCACTGTAGTCCGAACCTTCCTGATTGAGTGGTCGGCCCGCCGGGCACGGCCGAGAAAAAACCATTTAGCCGACGCGCGAACCCATTGGATGAACCATTGAGCGGACCACCGCGGTTGAGACCCTCGGTTAGTAAAGAATGGAATGGAATGGAAAATAGGAACAAGTAGGCGGGCTTGGTATGGAAAACATGGCAAAATCGCGTCTTACGGTTCGAGCCGCTACCTATGCCTCGCTTCGCCACCCTTTCTATCCATCTGTATTAACTACTAGATAATGTAAACATTGTCCCATCTTCTCAGTGTTCTCCTTTAAATCTCTATATTAACTGCGGGCTACTAGTCAGGCTGCACTACTAGTACACATGAAACAGATCGTCAGAATAGAAAAGATAGACATGTCTAGCAGAACTAAGAAGTGGGCCCAGCACAGGGCCCAGTTTCAGGTGATTCGCCAGTCGGTCGACCAGTCGGAATGCTTGTCGTCGGGGAGGTACGCAAGGCCCCACAGAGAAGAGACCCCTGCCCATCAAATAGCACTACTGTGTTCTAGAATCGAAGCCACTGGCCCACTTTTATTTTCTTGTTCCTCGATCCACGAAGAACGGCCGACATTTTGCGGCGGTCGATTCGGGTAGTCGGAAGAGACGGTGGTGGGTTGGAGACGAGTGTCTTTCTCGTCGGTCTCGGTCATCGGATTCTCGCCCCCACCTGGCCCTGCTGTGAGTCCCTGTTCTCGGGCTTACCGGTGGTTCGAGTGCTAGAGGATTTTGGGGGGGGGGGGGGGGGGGGTTATTGGGGCCCTCCTCTCTCTATGTCAGATTTCTTTCCCCAAGTTGCCTTTCTTAGAGCTGGTTCTTTCAATCATTTTAATCAAACGAGTCAAAGAGAATGGGAGGGGTTACAACACTTTTATTACAAGGAGCAGAAAGTATTTGTAGACGTGTAAGAAAATTCATTCATGAAATTCTATAATCATCCCCCTAAACTCCCTTGTTGCATCCCTGCAACTTCTATATTCATATCATCCTGGGGGTATTTCATAACACAAGACATAAAGATCAGAAACTCATAATTGCTCATGACACCCCGGCGAAAAGCCGCACGAATGGGGGAGATATGTCGAATCAACCAACATATCTAGAACGGGAGAGATTCTTCTTGAGTAAACGCGAGAAGACAAAAAGAGTCATCGAGTCGTGTGAGTCAGGTGAAACGAATTGGACATGCTCGGATCAACCGGCAAGGAACAACTCTTAGGCAACTCATCAACCACAACCACTTTACTGGCCGATGGTCAGACCCAGGCCAGTGTTGATGGGGCAGCCGTGGGTAGCAGCGTTGTCATCGGGCTGGAGGTAGGCAGCAGCGCAAGCGGAGTCGCCAGCCTGGCAGACAGCGGAGGGGCAGCTGCCAGTGGTGATGGAGGGCTGGACAGCGAAGCCGTACTGAGTGAACTCAGAGTCAGTGCCCATGTTGATGCAGGACAGATCCCAGTAGATGGTGTCGCCGCCCTCGGTGTACTCGAACTGGAGGACATCGGACTGGTCGGGGGTGGTGGCCAGCTTGATGGAGATGCCGCCGCCGTTGGGGTTGATGCGCCAGTTCTCGGAGTAAGAGCCACCGTTGGCAGACAGGGTCTGCATGGGGCCGACGTCGTCAGAGACGGACCAGGCGTAGATGTCCTGGCTCAGGTTGTTGGTGATCTGGACGCCGCCGCCCGAGGGAGCAGTGCCGTTGCGGCGCATCATCATGCCGGAGGGAAGGGCAGAGGCGGCAGTAGCGAAGATGGCAGCGAGGCCCATAGTCTTGGTGAACATCATTTTGATGGTTGGTTGGAATGTAGTGAGAGTGGTTTGAAAACGTTTGTTCAAAGAAAGTATCGTCTGATCAACAGACAAAAAAGGAGTGTGTTTGATAAAGAAGGAATGTCTTTTAAAGAAAGAGAGAGACTTGAAGAACGAAAGGAACACCTGCCAGGGCATCGAGGGGGTTTATATAACTTTTTGGGACCCTACTATACAACCCCCGGATGGCTCGCCGGACAAAAAAACGTGTAATCGGGTCCACCACGCGCCCACCGACCCACTGGACGAGTGCCAGGAACAGTGGGGCCCATGGCAAAAAGAAACAAGTGGATCCTACCGAAGGCGAATCATGGTGGGGGTGGGCACAACTGAACCAACCTATCGTCCGAGCAGGGCCTCGTTTCATGGAACGTCAGCCCACGGTCTGGACTCCAGGAACAAAACTCTCTCGGTCGGCAGCCTCCGCGGGATGTATCGCGTGAAAGAAAGAAAGAAAGAGATGTGTGGTATTCAAACTCCTCTCTGTGTGAGCTGTACATCCCCGACTTCCAGGGTTTCCGAAAGAGTCATCAGAAAGCAGCCTGCATACAAAATAGCCCCCGAGCCTATCGGATCTGGCTGCACCTCTGCAGACTAGCATCATCTTGTATGTATCGGGCGATTAAATGTAGAACTAGTGCAGGTGCGTGAGCCGAGTGAATGTAGTGCGTGCCTGGAATCTCGGGCGAGTGTTAATGGCGGCGACTCGGCCTAGAGGACGTGGCAATACACGCATCACGGCTAGATTCCGGGCACGACCCGGAGCCCTATCCTTGGTTCTCGAGGCAAAAAAAGGGTCCGGCAACATGGCTGCACATGTCAACTTGTCAGCCACTCGGGGACCTGGCTGTAACCATGGAGCCTGGGAGCACGATATCAGGCTATTTGCAGACCATGATGGTGATGCTGGTGCTACCGTGCGGGATGATGTTGGGTCTGGCAAAATGGCCTGCCACCAGGGGAGAGAGTTTTGGTTCCTGAGAAAAACGCGCAAGTGGGCTTTCAGCCACCACCCGGACCAACAGTCTCCACTCCTCAGCGCAGTTTAAGCCTCTGACGTTGTTGCGGTCCCTGTTGATCGTTAACTGAAAGGGGTGGCGCTGTCCTGTGTGCTGGCCCAATCATTGCAGCTTGTTAGTTTCTCGTCCTAGCAAGGTCGGCACCGTGCTGCGGCACCACGGTGCTGTGGCATCTCTCTGCATGTGCCGACTGCTGCCCCATGTCCGATCGCCCAGATCAAGGGCCACTTAGGCTAGCCCGGCGATCACTAGGCTGGTCCGGGGGATGCGTCGAGCGAACTAAAACTACCTTAAATGGACATAGTGGGGCATCGTAAAGTTCTGTTCGTTCAGACCGGACGACGATCTCGCCTTCTAGACCGCCGGCTGTAGGTGTCCACCGCGGTTTGTTTGGCTGCTATGTATGTGAAGGCCTGGATAGACTAGGCAGAAGAGTCCCACCACCACCCACTCTGGACGTGACGTTTCGCTGCAGAGTGGTCCCTGCCCAAGACATCGCCTTGTGGACCGGTGGCGTCCATTGTGGGTGGGACACAGAGGGCAAAGACTCAATAAACGAACTATTCTGGTATACGACTGTACTATACGGCACAGAAAGAATTTTCGGTAGTCCCACTTCCTACCCTTTTGGCTCCATCGCCCTCCGTCCCTATCCGATGGATGGTAGCTCGCTCGCTCCACCTGCCAACTCCATCGTACCACAGCCACTGAAATCATAACCATCCGCCAGTCTAGACAAGCTGGGCAGCCGTCATAGCCTGCGTTAGGCGATGATGGGCCAGGGCCCGGACCGCAGACCGACCAAAGAGGCAGGAGCGGCGTTTGGCCGGAAGTCCGCATCACAAAGCACCCGCACAGGCTTACCAATATGACGACCCCATCGCGGACAGGCTGGCAAGGGTGCTCTCGCCCGTTTCTTCCTTCTTGCGCTGGCCGGCTAGCTCCAGGTTGATCTGTCGGTGGATGTGCACCAGCCAGTCCACGTAGCTCTGCGCCTCGTTGTTCCGGTCCTCCAGCAAGAGTCGGGCAAACTCGTACTCCGCCCCGTCTAGACCCTGCCGAGCCATCTGGATCGTCACAGCCTTGGACCCGCGTACGGTCGAGAGATATTGAAGCAGGTTCCGCACCTGGGCGTTCAGATGCGTCTCGAGCACTGGGAATGATGAGAGGTTGGGATTGAGCTCCTGGAGAGTGTTCTGGCCAGGCCCGAGCAAATCTTCCAGCAGGTTTGGCGATACCTGCGCATGTAGCCACAGCAAGATGATCTGACCGTTGTCCACCAAGTACGCGCCTCCATCCTCGATCTTGGAGAAGCTAGCCCTCAACGCAGGCGGCACCTGAAGTTGACCGTGCTCATTCGGAAATCCGTCTTCCGGCTGCATGTTGTGGATGGGAATGATACGAGGGTAAAGGTAGAGGGATAACTCCGTAGCGCCAAATGACCGAAGCATGCGCATGTCATGAACCCGCCGGTCTGACGACTCATTGCCACCTGTGAAAAGGTTAGATGAGAGAAGTCGCGTCACACACAGAGATAGATCATCTCACCTTTGAACGCTCTGGACTTGACCAAGCTGAGCATGTACATCGAGAATTCCTTAAGATTCTCAGGGAGAACTAATTGTCCAGGAGGGTGGGACCCAGAGAAGATCTTGCGGTATCCGCTGAAGATGTCGACGGTCTTCTCTGAAATATGCCCCCGGATGTCCTTCAGCGTCTTGTCGAGTGTTTTGGAGGCGGCTGCGGCTATTGGTGAGCATACATGTTTTCATAAAGAGATGGGCGTTAAACTCACCTTCCTTTGCGATGATAGACACCACGGCATCCTGGTCAACATACTTCATGGTCTCCATGCCGCCTTCGTTGACCGCCGCCACGACGTTGATACACCGGACACGTCGCTGTCCATCCGCAGAAGTATACAGCAATGCGGCCTGGAAGTGCGCATCCAACTTGCGGTCAAGCTTGCCATCGTAGCTGAATAGCACGCCAATTGCCTTGTCCGCATCCACGCCGCCAAACTCTAGATCGGCACCTAGTGTATGTTGCACAAAGTTCCCGTGATAGGCAGAAACCTGGAGGCCATTCGAGCATCGGACCTTCATCAAACACTGGTATCCCGTCTCTCGGCTTACGACGTGAGCCAACTCTCCCCGCAGCTTTGAGATATCACGTGGCGCATGGAAGTTCGGGTAGAAGAATGTCTCGCCGCCAGTAAGCGCCGATACATAGCCTTATAATAATCGAGTTAGAAGATTTCCTATCTTGGTTGTGTCTCAACATACCGATTGTGGCAACATCCAGATAGACGCCACCGGGGGCGGCGATGAAGAAATCGACGCCCACGCCAGCCTCAGCCATTTTGCTTGCTGTCTTCTTCCAGTCCGGATTTTCTGTCGTGAACAGTTTTCGCTCTGCTTCCGTTCCGTGAATCTTGGGGTCCTCCCGATTCTCCAGTTTCCCAGGGCCCCAGGTGGGCAAGCTGCAGAGAGCGCAGACGACCTTGCCACCCGTCGCCTGCAGTGCTGAGAGGGCAGCATTTAGTGTAGGCAGCACCACCGGTTCGGGGTTCTTGACGTGAGAGAAGATACTAGGTATCCGTTTCAAGAGCGATGTGATCACGGACTTGGATTCGTATGGGTCGACAAAAAGACCCTCGCTCAATGGCACAAACGGCTCTTCCAAGTCCGTCATCACCATCATCTGTGCTTGGTCCAGTGAAGCCTATCAACTTGTCAGCAAAAGAAAGCGATCTGTCTGGGCAGGATGGCACACGTACCGTGAGGTTGTAGAAATGCACTTCTGTGTCAAAAGTCACAATGCCAACCTTCGCCCCTGCTGCGAGTCTCCGTGACGTCGAATCTTCACCCTCGGTGCCGTCCGCCGATCCATCTTCTCCATACAATGCTTCCGCAATTCCTTCACAAACACCCTTGAGGAATCCACGATGGACGGATTCCCGGCTGACGTCAATCAGGAACAGAGTCTGGAGGCCTACAGGCTCCTTGTTCCAGTATTCCTTGGGAACCAAATATTCCACCGTTCCCATCATCAGCTCCGGTCGTTGCATGCGGTCAACGCGCGCCCCCGTCGGGTCCAGAGGCGCAAAGTACTCGCCTGGCGTGTCATTCGGGAACGTGCACATATTGCAGACAAACTTGTTACCGCCTGACTGGAAGGACATAAAGGGGTTGACGTATGTTCGACAGCGTCGGCATCGCGGAGGGCCCACATCTCCAAAGTCCAGCACGGGTATCGGTTGCTCGCCGGGGTCCAGCGGTGCGAGTGGCTGCAGAATCATGCCCAAGGGCAAGCCTGTCGAGGAGAGAAAGTCCGAGGTGGAAGGAATATTATTGAGCGTGAGGCGAGCGAATTTCGGGGACGAATTGCCTTGATCATGAGCTACGAACGGGATCGCTGCAGGAGGTGGCAGATGGCGGTCCATCGTGGGATAGACATGGTTGAAATAGTACTGGGCTGGCAGATCGCGCGAGCGCGGCACGCTGGGGATCTGTTCGGGGTCAATTCGGCCCTGTGTAGGAACAGAGCTGACACCGCCGCTCGTTTCTGACGATTGATGTCCTCCCAGCCCTGGTATCTGGCCTCCGGCCTGGGGAGCCATTGCGGGAGAGGTTGGCTGTGGAGCTTGATTCAAGCCCGTATTGAGGAACTGTGACGCCGGTTGCATGTTCCCTTGAGGCATCCCACCCTGGAATCCTTGTGCCGGGGGCGCTGTAGCAGCGCCGAGATCGTGGTGGGCATGGCGATGCTTCTTCCGGTGTGTCCTTGTCCCCGCGTCTCCGGCTATCCCCATGCCGCCCATCTGAGATGTCAGGCCAGCCATACCCGGATCTCCCGGAGCGCCCATTGGTGCCTGAGGTGTTGCATTGTATATGGCATCGGCACCCGGGGCCATGGGTTGTTGCTGTGAGCCGTAGGCGGGCCATTGGTTCGGAGACGGGTTGGGGTAGGCAGCTCCCGGTTGCGGAGGAGCTGCACCGGGAGGGTAGCCGGCAGCGGGGTAGCCTTGAGGATGAGCTTGTTGTGCCATATGCTGGTTTGGATCTTCAGAACCCATTGCTTGATACATGTTCGGGTCGGCCATGGTCGATCATACCGCGGGGGGATGTATGGATGGTGGAAGGAGGGTGGGAGTAGGGGAGGGAGTCGCGCGCGAGGGAGACGGTAATGAGGGGTGCACAATCAGCAGCAGCAGCTCATCACGGGTGGTTGATTATCCAGGGCCAAGACAAGAGGCCGCCGTGTCTCTTCTGGATGTTGACGCTTGACGAAGAGACCACCGTAGTGGGAAGCCCGGACTTAGGTTTGTCCGGGACCACACGTGGTGGGACAACAAACATTGCCGTACTCATACATCATCGAGTAAACACGATGTCGAATTATCAGGTTCCAAGAGGAGGAAATAATCATTAGAGAATTGAATAATGGACAGATATTAATTGATCGATTTCATACACTCCGTTCTTTGCCCTCTTTTGTCTACTCCCGCGAGAATCTCTCGGCTGGCGGCCACCGCCATTTCTCCCACCCCTGCTATCGCCACCCAATCTGCAACGGTGCCAGGATGAACCTCCGTCCTTAGAGCAGGCTTGAAGGAGCGAGTCGGCGGGAAATTGCCAGCGAATGCCCCCCGGGGAAGTAAGCCTTGTTCCGATAAGCTGCCTATTACATACGTTCGCCTGTTACATATGTCCAACCCAACCCAACTCCCCCCCCCTTGGACCGTGCAGCTTCTCGAATAATACCCGGCCCACCTTCCATGAACCCCCGTTCGATTAAATCAACGGCACTCACCAAGCCTGCGTGGCCGACCCTGGGGCTTACTTGATTCGCGCGAGTCTCTCGTTCCATCGCGCGAGTCTCCGAGTGGCCTGAAAACTTCCCGCTTAGGGCTTTGTTCTACTCACCGTCTCTTTCTCCGTCCGACGCCGAGGGGTCGGATTGACACGTTAGCTCCTCTTGTGTCATCACTGGGGTAAATCCTTTAAATCAAGTAGTCGGGTAGGTTCCGTAAGTAGTGCGGCTGCTCGCAGCATTTTTGCTTTTTCCCACCTTTCTTTGCTTTTTCCTACAGTTGCTTGTTCCCATCGCCCTGTAAGATGGATCTGACTGGCAAACCCTCAGACCCAGACCACAAGGTCAAGAGAACAACAAACAGCGCGGAAGAATCTCCCGATGTACCTCCAATGGCTACTATTCGTGACGATGATGAACTTTTGCTAGCTCGAATCGGTTATAAGCAGGTACTTCCAACCCCCGTAGCAATACAAAAATCCCTGCGGTCTGTGCGTCAGACCGAAGCTGACCTTCCTGAGCTAGGAATTGCGACGAGAGTTCTCGAAATGGTCCACTGTCTCCTATGCCATCTCTATTCTCGGAGTCCTGGGCTCTGTCCCAGCGACGTTCGGCTCGCCGCTGTCTGCTGGCGGCCCAGCTACAGCTGTCTGGTGCTGGTTGATCGGTTCCTGCATGGCGATGTGCATCGGTAGTTCGGTGGCGGAGTTAGTGTCTGCGTACCCCACGGCGGGAGGCATGTACTTTGTCACCAAGCATGTCGTACCTCCTGATCAGGTCCCGATCTTCTCCTGGGTCCAGGGCTGGTGCAATCTCCTCGGCCAGACAGCTGGTGTCTCTAGCGTGGCCTACACGATCAGTCAGATGCTGCTTGCGTGTGTGAGCATGAATTCGGATCTTGTTGATGGCAAATACTCGTATACACCGTATGGTTGCCAGCCCTCACTAAGTTGCATTGGACCCGGACTAATGCGCTTCCAGAACAGCACTAGAAACCGTCTTGGTGTCGATTGGGTTGTTGTGCATCATCGGTATTATCTGCTCATTGACCACGAAGACTTTGCATAGAATCATTCTCTGGTTCGCTCCAATTAACAGTGTGTATATAAAAATGTTGATTTTGTTGATATTGTGCTGACACCGACCAGTGACGGCCACAGTCTGCATCTGCGTTGCACTTCTATATCTCACTCCCAATAAACAACCGGCCTCCTGGGTCTTCACCCACTTTACGGATGGCTCTGGCTGGGGCTCAAAAATATTTTCCTTCTTTCTCGGGTTTTTGTCGGTGGCCTGGACGATGACCGATTATGATGGGACGACACAGTAAGCGAACTACAATCTCTCCAGGCTCTTAAAATCTCCTGACGTTTTTCTAGTATGTCTGAAGAAACACACGACGCCGCAATACGGGGCCCAGTCGCTATACAAACAGCCGTTCTTGTCTCTGGCGTGTTCGGATGGCTCTTAACCGTCTCGATGTGTTTCTGTCTAACTGATTTCGAAACCATCCTGAAAAGTCCAACAGGTCTCCCCGCCGCACAGATTTTTTTAAACGCTGGCGGGAAACGAGGCGGCACAGCCATGTGGGCATTCGCTATTCTCGTGCAATTTTTCACAGGCTGTTCTGCAATGCTGGCAGATACAAGAATGGCATATGCCTTTGCCAGAGACGAAGCACTCCCATTCTCCAAGTAGGGCTATCTTTTACCTTCCGACCGGGTTCATGTCACGCTGATGCTTGCCATTCGTCTAGATTTATTTCTAAGGTTAATTCTAAGACCCACACCCCAGTCAATGCGGTCTGGTTCGTGGTATTCTTCAGTGTCGTCTTGAACTGTATTGCCATTGGATCAACGCAGACGGCTACGGCCATTTTCAGTGTTACAGCACCGGCACTCGACATTTCTTATGTGTCTGTGATACTCGCACACCAAATCTACAAGTCCAAGGTGAAGTTCATAGAGGGACCGTTTACACTGAAGAAATGGGGCACTCCCATCAACTATGTTGCTATCGTATGGGTTATGTTCATCAGCACCATTCTTTTCTTCCCATCACAGATCCCCGTCACAGCCGCCAATATGTAAGATGTCCCGATGATGTGTTTGTCAAACCTTTAGTATGGTACAATATATTGACAAAGGCCTACAGGAACTACGCAGTCTGTGTGGCTGCTTTCATTGCTGCCTTTGCCTTGATCTGGTGGTGGTTGACCGCTCGAGGGTAAGACTCATCCACATATTAGTTCTTCAAGCAGATGCTAATTCTTTATCCCTCGGTTAGAAAGTACACTGGTCCACGAACGAATGATGTGATCCAAGAGCTTCCCACAGAAGATGATGGTGCCGACTTCGACGACGAACAGGGGGAGATCACTGTGTAGTTGCTGGCGGAGAACTCGACGAGATATATTTAGCGGGTATATATGGTTCACAATAGGGCGTATAGATAGACTAGAATACTTGTTTTCGGAATTAGTGCTATTACTTTCGGGTCAGCTCATGCCTCCCTGGTATATATTGCTCTAAGCTGTTTTGGACTTTCGGTAGTTTCACTCAAAACCCCGTAGATATTTGAGTCATAACTTTCTTGAATGACTATGCAACCGTTCATCGCCAAATTTTCGGCCGATATCGCCTTTTGTGCATCGTTGTAATTTTCCGGTGAAGATATACGGGCTCACTTTAGCAGCTTCCGATAATCGGCAGTTTCGACCGCACCACTCTTTAGTCTCGGCTCTTCTCCGATTTGAATTTCTAATAGAAGCTAGAGCGTCTGCTTTCCGATACACGCATTAGATTCCATTCCGATCATGCAAATTGAAGAGAAATGTCATCTGCCGGTGTAGGAATCAAGTAAATATTAATGCTCGACTTCCTCTGGTTAACGTCGATTGCCAACGCTTGGACCCACTCTTCGCCCAATCCTGCGCTTATATAAAGTTGTCTGGAACACCACTTCTACGCGTCACGTTGGTCTTTCCCCTTCGACATGCTTCACTCTTCCTCTAAACGACTATTTTCCATTTCTCAGAGAGGCTTTCCTGGACTATCAGCCTGCCGCAGAACAATGGTCACTTCAACAGGTGCCAATCCCGCGCACGACTGGAGTGCAGCGCAATATCTCAAGTTCGAAGATGAACGCACCATGCCAGCACGCGACCTTCTCTCTCGGGTTCCGCTGCAATCTCCCAAGAATATCGTCGACTTGGGCTGCGGACCAGGAAATTCGACCGCCGTTCTGGAGTCCCGTTACCCCAATGCTCACCTGGTGGGCATGGATTCGTCTCCGGATATGATCCGCAAGGCCAAAACTGCTCTTCCGCATCGGGAGTTCTCCGTGGGGGACATAACCTCTTACTCGCCAAAAGAACCAGTGGACCTTTACTACTCCAATGCCGTCTTCCAATGGCTTAAGAGGGAAGAACGATTCAGCATTGTCCGGAAGCTGATGGAAACTCAGCCATCCGGCGGCGTGTTCGCCCTGCAAGTCCCCGACAATCTGATGGAACCATCCCACGTCCTAATGCGCGAGACGGCCCGTAACGGACCATGGTCTGGTACCCTCGCAAATATTGATCGGGACACATTCCAGTCGCCGCAGGAGATCTACGATGAGCTCAAACCCTTTTGCTCGGCGGTGAATGTCTTTCACACGAGCTACTATCATGCCCTCGAAAGCCATGAAGCTGTCATCGAATGGGTAAAAGGCACGGGCCTGCGACCTTACCTGGATCCCCTGCAGCCGGAGGAGAAGGAGGAGTTTCTGCGAGATTATTTGAAGCGTTTGAAAGCAGGTTATCCTGTGTCTGTTGATGGAAAAGTTCTACTGCGCTACCCACGGCTCTTTGTTGTTGCCATCAAGAAATGAGCACTAAACTCTTCCTGGACAATTATCATGTATGGCTTTAGCAATTTGACCATTTCTCTGAAATCAATCACATCCATGTGTGGAATTTTATCGAGGATGATAGCTGTACGGCGCGTAACTCCCCAGAAGCCAAAGCAATTTGGAGGAGAAAAAGCCTGTCTTTTCTAAAACCTCATCATTCAGATTTACTGGTTGGTTGTGTCATCACACCTCCGTGTCCCGATTGAGCGGCGGCACCCCAACCTAATAGGGATAGATAAGTTGGGTTTGGAGCTGACACCCCAAGTCCCTTTTCATCTTCATCTACTTCTTTGGAAAAATCATTTGAACCGGTGCGCCAACCCTCCTTATAAAAGAATCTCCAAAACACACCCGCCACACTCAGCATGCCCGGGGCGACTTACTTTGTCAACCCCAGAATTTCCGACTGGCCAGAATGGTGCAACTCATTCGCCAACCCTATGACCTTTCTGTGCCGGTTAATTCAAATTCCATCCAACCCCCGAGACGCACGCAACCCAGCTCAGCCTGGCTGCCCAGCCGGCCAGGAAAACAACTATGGTCTTTTCGACCTCTCCTATAAGGATGTCTGGATTCAACACAGAAAACTCATGATTATCGCCCTGCTCAATGGCGTCGGAACCGAGGGAGATGAGCGCATGATGATGATGGCTCTCGCCCGAGATCTCCAGACCGATGAGGTCTTTGTTCTGAAGATTGGATATGAGTAAGTCGAGTGGTTTCAGATGGACCAAGAAAAAGACATACAATATACTGATCGAAATCTCCAGAAAGCATAGATACCACAAAGCCAAACACCACGCCGATCACGAGTGGATTCTCGGCCAGCTGCTTGGACAGGCTGGCTATGGGCCTGTATACACCAGCGAAGACGTCCACGAACAAGACCTCAGTTATCCATTTATGGGCCTGCCGGTATACTATCAGTTGCTGTCCCCTATGCCCGGCCAGTGGCTCGGCCACGTTTACCAGTCTCTGTCCCACTTCCAGCTGGCTAGTATTAGGGCTCAACTAACAAACATACTTGAGTAAAAAAAACTCCTTCTGAAACTGGAACAAGATGTCTAATGTCAGTATTTTGATAGATTTCTTCGTCACTGGGGGTATGAAATGCATCATCCAGATCCCAATTTCTTCGTTTACAATGAGCTGGCTGACAAGCTGCAAGTATACTTCCACCTTACCTGTTAACCTTGCTCTTACCTCTGAATTTCCTAGATATTTGGTCGATCTGTCCTCGGTTTTTTTCAAAGGACATGGAGGGTCAGCTCCCGTCCTGGAGGATAGTCCCTGCATTCAAGCTCTTCGCATCTGGCGTGGAGCTCCCCAAACGCCCGCTCCGCCAGTGTCCTTACCCGTCGTCTGGTCTCAGAAAGACAATCAAGTTCGTCTGGTAAAGGACTGCAAAACACCTCGTTGGCTGGTTGGAAACATAAAGAGCAATGGCTTCTTCCTGAAGATGGGAAAAGGTGCGAAAGTCAAGCTGGGTGCTATCAGCACCAAGAAAGGACGAGATGAGGTCAATCAACATTGAGATGTTTTGCTTTATTTTGCTAGTGTTGGATTTTGTTTCGACACAAAGTATATTCATTAATTGAACCTTTCTAATACGAGATACGATGATCAATGATTAGCTCAACCATTGCATTATCAGGTGCGTTTACCTCAAGAAATCCTGGAATATCGTAGCATAATAAGGCATAGACCCCATTCAGTACTTGATCAATCATAAATGCCATAGTGATTATAGACTAAAGGTACAAGTACATAGGCGATTTAATCAACCACCAGAAACCACAGCCAGACCCTCATAGATCTTCCGTTTGACAGCAAGGAAGCTCCCCGCACCACGCCCCAAGGCGGCTTGATTCGTGGCCGACTGCGCCGCCGCTTCAACCTCAATCTTGCCGGTACCAGACTTGCGCACCGCCACTGACTTATCAATCAGTAGTGTACCCTCACCACGGAACTCCGCCGTGTGCCCGGCAGCCTGCATGAGCTTACGGAGATCAGCCAGTCGCAAATCGCCCACATGGAGAGGTCGAGTCACAGAGCGCGTCCCCGCGGCCATATTCGCGGGCAGAGTATCGAGCAAAGGATATACGTCCGCTTTCTCGGCGGTCAGCTTGACGCCATCCAAGGTCGGAGCAACGGCCGAGGAAGCGGCCTCGTCTTTGAGCTGCTTCATCTTCTTGGCTGTCTCTGCGATCTCATCTTCTGCATCGGAAAGAGAAATCTCAGGACCGCGTAGCTGAGCTGTCAGAGCCACAACACCCAAGCTACGGACGTGTTGCCAGTTCAGACGCCGGACGAGACTATTGCTCAGCTTGACCATCCATGCGTTCGTGTCAACACTTGCGTCAATGACTTCGCCGTTGGCCGGTGTGAAAATCATGGCAAGTGAGTCGGCGGCAGGAGCAGAGACATCGATACCAGCTTTGGCTGCCAAGAGCTTCTTGCACTCAGCTGCTAACGCTGAGGTTTCTTCCTTCATCCCGCCGACAAGGATCAGCTTTTGCGGTTGGATGAGCGGGATTAGCATTTCCAAGCTGCGCTTGTCGTGCAGACCCATGAAGTCAATGAAGGCGAGTCGAGCGTTGATCGTGATTGTCTCCTTGGTATACACAACCTTCGCAGGACCTTCAAACACCTGAGCGTCGGCGTCATCCTCTGAAGATGCAGCGATATCCGCAGCTTCACCGTCGGAGGCAAGGCTGAGGTCATCGGCGGCGCTGGAGCCTCCCTTCCGGCCGTCTCGAGACAGCTGTTGGCGTTTTCGACCAGCATCGCGAGATAGCCTGCGTCCATTGGCCCCTGGGGTTTCATCCCATCGCCGCTTCTGTCCTAGTTTGGTCTCAGCTTCTGTGCGGCGTTGCTGCATATCAATTTCTTCCCGTTCCTCCGCTCGAAGATACTCCTCAGGTCTGATGAACTCTCCGTATTCATCGCCCTTCTTTCTGGGCGCCACATAGGGGAACATTCGCTCGCGGCCCTTCTTGCCACGCACATCATAATCATACACATTTTTGCGTCGAAGAAGAATATTAATACCAAGATCCTGGTCGCTGAGAGCGAGCTTATTTCGATTCGAGTGGGCGAGCGAGGTCGAGAAATTCAGCGCCCTGCCTTGCTGCTCCGAATCCGAGTCTTCCGATGATGTTGAGCTGGAACGATCATCAAGCGCATCCGCTGCATTCGCAAGGTTTTCCTGGCCCCGCGCTTGAGATGTATCTTGAAGTTGTTTGGTAGCGAGGTACTGTTGATAGAGCAACTGGTCACCGGGATCAAGCGGAGACCGTTGTATATCTGTCCAGGTCAGATCTCGTCCGCCGCTGTGGACCTGCTCAAGCATTTCGCCATCCGATGCTTTCTCCAGGGCTACACCGTCTCTCCGTTCTTCATACCACTGCCAGATAATGCTTCCGAGTGACATAATATCTTGGCTCTCCTCCACTGATTCTTCAATCTTTTCTTTGTGAAATGATTCGGTCAACAGCAGCAGATTGTTAGGGCCTTCAGCAATCCGCCTAAGAGAATGTTTGGAAAAGCCCCAAGCCAATGATGTATCAGAAGCAAGAATGACTTTGGGACCGGGGTCTCCAAGCAGCTTCTCGAGGCGTTTTTGGCGCTCGATGGTCTTGAGGTGCTTGAAATTGAAAGGGCCAGTCCCCTTGCTGCTGGCTTTATCCTGATTCTGTCCGCCTGTTCTGGTATCGGCACCTTCGGCCGCTTCGAATTCACGAACGATGTTTTCGTCCATCCACTCCAGCATGCTCCGGGCCAATCTCATTGTCGTGTTGACCTTCCTGCCGGCCAAGTACAGTCCAGCACCGTTAAGCACATCGTCTTTTTCACTTGCCGCAGCATCGCGCCATGAATGTTCCAACGCATATGCCAGCTCCAGGACCCGTGAACTCGTGTCCGTTGGGATAAGCACAGTGCCGCCCTTTGCGAGACTGCTCCGAATCATGTCAAGAAGGTGGTCATCTCTTTTCTTCCGACCCCCGGACAGCCCAAACTTATCGCCTCCCTTGGCACTGCAGACCAAAGCCGTCGGTTTCCGCAACTGTTCAATGACTTCTGTTCCGCTAGCGCCAGCGCCACCAAACCATGCAGCACCCGCCACGACGCTTTCACGCGCCTGGTTCCAGTCCGTCGCGTAGACAATTGATTCCAGTCCATGTTGAATGTGCCATATTGTTCCACCAACCGTATGTCCAGCATTGTAAGCGGTAAGGGTAAGGCCGTTCAGTGGTGGCGAAAATGGGGATGCAAGCGGCTGATGCGGTTGCGAATACTTGAGTGGCTGAATGAGAGAGAAATACCGTGCGATTTCCTCGGCAGTCGGGGGCTGAAGAAGGATCTGGCCTGTACTGCCAGCAGCTGCCGCGGACGCAGCCGAAGTGGACGCGCCGGGCTCTGAAATTGAAGCATTCGGAAGAAAGGTAGAAGCGAGCGGCGCTGAAGCATATAGATCCTGTAACAGTGTACGGCCAAAGGCGATAATGGGGTTTGTCGCGTAGATGGGGATCTGGGTAAAGAGAGGGAACGTTCGACAGCAGTGGACAAAAGCACCGATGTGCGCCGGGGTCGCGTGTGTCAGAAGGATCAGCGAGAGGGTTGGGATGTGCCTGATGAGAAATAATATTAGACAGAATATCGCGAAGATAGACAGCAATTGCGGGCTCACTTCTCCAATTCTGCCAGATCCAGAGGGTCAAACGTATCGTCCCAACCAACATCCACAAGAATCTTGATGCCCCCGTCCAACTCCAGAATCGATTGCGACGCCCTTGATTTTGAGGACTGCGCCCCAAGGAGCGGAGTGAATGTAAACATCGTGACTGGCTGGCCTGTGTCACAGCCAACGAGATGAGCTGCTGCGACCCCAGATCAGGTCTGTAGGGAGCGTGCACGCGCGACGCAGGAAGAGTGCGTCCAATCCAGTGGCGGACCCAAGTTGTTGTTTAGGAAAGAGTTCAGATCACTCGGTCATACTGACAGGCGGGGGCGATATTCAGGGGCGTTGTGATAATACAATTCGCGAGAAGACGAAGCAACTCGATCAAGTTGGTTCCCGACGGGATCAAGTTACGTAGTCATGTGACTCCCATCAACCAGTCAGATCTATACGATCTAGTTCAGGAAGTAAGGACATGAATTCGGAAATAAAGATAGAAACAAAGAACAAGGAAATACATAGTAAAATCAAAAAATGCCTTTTATATCAAGTCCTTTCTTTCCTGGGCTTCTCTGCTATCCTGTTCGACCTTCTGGGCCCTGTCTGCGTAGACTCTCCTGGTTGAGCAGTCTTTCTTGGTCGAGTATTCGGTGCTGGTTGTGGTGTAGGAAATACATTAAAGGGCCGATAAGAAGTAGGCCATTGAGACACTCTAGCCTTCAACTGGTCAGCAACGGCCGGTGAGATCGTGCTACCTGCCCATGTCCTGATCCGACGCAGAATTTCCGATCCTGGTGGAGAATCTTGGTTGGTATTTGGCGGCGGCGGTGGAGCATCATTCAATTCTTGAATGCCTTTCTGTAAGGTTACTTCCGAGGCTCGCTGGAGGTCTTCACCGTTATAATTGCGCTGGGTTTCTTCCTGGCCTTGGTTTTCTCCCTGATTTTTACGATTTGTAGCGTCTGTGGCCTTTGATACTGGAGCAGGTTGATGATCTTTTTTTGGTCAGTGTACACATAAGTAATCCAGCCGAATGAAGAGTTTCGCTGGATCGAGGAAAACTCACCGGTTGTATTTCGTACCAGTTTGGAGATAGAGTTCCCTCTTGCGTCTTGAAAATGTAACAGTCAGCCTAAAACATGGAAATTATCCATATATCACGTACAATGCCCTCTGTCTGGGTAATCATTTGCTATCTGGTTTCGACTGAACAGCCCAAAGTGGTAGTCCTGAATCGCCAACTCCGACCTGGCCGGAGCCTCGACATCGGTGACGGGACTGCGGAATAGTAAATTATCGTCCTCGGTGGAATAGTGCTGGCCGTACAAGTGTTCATCTGTATATGTGGTCAACAAGCGAGCCCTAAGCTTACTTCCTTAATAGGCATATCTCATGTAAGGGCCAAGAAGGTGTCTCTAATCTCATAACTAGTTATGAGACTCGCAATCGGGTGTTTCTTTTTTGCTTCCCTTCAGGTGTGAAGGTACAAGATTGAAGGGACGCATTCCCACTCACCAGGAGGCAGAGAAGAAAGACTCTCCGTTGTGGGGATATCTTGCAATGTTGCCGGGTCGTTCTGCTCTCTGAACGGAGAGCACGGTGATGATTGATCGGTGGACTGGCTACCCATACTATTGTAATCGGCCAGATTGGACGTTTCATCTGGCTCACCACCTGTTCTCAGTGGCCCCAAGGTTCCCTTCATGTTGTAGAATATTTTGGTTGCCATGGTTTGCAGATGCGATTCACTGGCATGGAGACCTGGGCGGGTTAGGCTGACTGCCATCACTGGACGGGAGTATTTTGCAAAGTAGTAGGTTGCCTGGTCAAGATTGGTCGGGGCCTCTATAATCGCATGCAGTCCGGGCTGCGTTCCCAGGTAGCATGTCTTAGGCGCCGTTGGCATCAACGGCAAAGAATCCGACACGTTTGTGATAGACGTCGGGAACAGATTGGTCACTGCGAAGCGGAAGTGTTCACGAGAACTAGGGTGGCTCAGTGCGTCTTCAAGACACTTGTATGCGTACTCATAGAGCTGGTCTTCATCCAGCTTATTCCATCCTGAAGACGGGCCGGCATCGAAGACCCATACAAGGCTGCAGAGACCACCGCCTATCTTTGTCTCGGACGTGCTAGAAGAGGCAACTGGAGAAAGCTTCTGTGGCGGTGAACGTGTTTCGAAGAAGCCACTTGAGCCGCCATTCTCTGGATTCTTAGCAACTAGCCAGCGAGGATATGGTGCCTCTTCTCCAAACCCAACCTTTGGCCATAAAAGACACCCCAGATGGCGGGTTTGCGAAAGAAGTCCATCCGGCTGCGTCTCAGATGTATCGCCAGCAGACTGTAGCTCGTGTCGGCTCATCTTTGCTGCTGGTTGAGGGTGCTGGACAGACGTATGCACCTCGGATCGTGGATCGCGCGTCGGAGTATTGAAATTTGGGACGAGCGCGTTCCGTGACCTCGTCTCCCGGATATTGGCCTCCAGATCAGGTCGATGAAGTTTATCCTGAAGTACATCAGGGCCCCGGCCGGCTTCGAAATCGCTGAGAGGACGTTTGGCTCCTTTTCTTGTGCCAGAGGATACAAGCTCCTGATGTATGCTTTCGGTTATGTCCGTAGGGGAGACATACCGCTTCCTCTGTGACCGCGATCGCCTAGAACGTTTTGCGGGCGGCTGTGTCATCTTTTGGGAGCATCCATGATTAGTGAATATGAAAAATTAGGAAGTACCGTGGGCAATGGCAGACTCACATTGATTGTTGATGTTTGCAAAACAAGCCTGACGTTCAATCCGGGACCTGCAAATGGAGATGACTCTGTTTCATGATTCCAAAAGTTGGACTCGGGCAAATTTAAATGTTTGCTAAAGGCAGGCTCGTACTGAAATGCTACTCGGGAGTTGCAAAAATAGATCCTTTGTTAAGCCACGCGCCGTTCAAAATGTCTTTCCGGCCGATGGGCACAAAGAATCGCGCACTCGAGACTCGAGACCGAGCGGGAAGTATTTTCTTCCCCTCAGAATACCTGGCAAGCTGAAACACTCAAGTGGACACTGGTAGAAATGCAACTTAACAAAAGCGAATATTCGTTTGTTGGGCAGGGTTCGCGTAAGTGGAAATATATGTGCATGATATCTTCCAGAGGGATCGGGAACAGATAATAAGACCCACGAGATTCCTTTTAAAAAATATCGAATTAGCAGTCCGAAAGACCTAATTCAATTAACTAACATGAAAGAAATCACATCCAACCGCATACGAGCCCAACAAAATAGTTGGTTGGGTTGCATAGTGAAATAAAAATCTACTTCTTTGTCTTGTGTTTACCCGTAGTTATTCTTAGAATGCGGTTCAAAGAGCACCAAACTAATTTATGTCTTTATAAAGGAGCCTTGAAATAAAAGGAAGAAATTATGAGGCGCACCATTACGGCTCAATCTCTAGTCTCGTAAGCATCCAACAATGAACATGATGATGGCCGAGGAAGTCGAAGACGGTCGACCTGTGCGAACTGCGCTTTGTCCTGTGGACCACGTCAATCGCCACTCGCCATTCCCACATTCCTGATCCTCTTTCCAGGTCACTTCAGGTCAGGTTTGGAGATCTTGGTTGACGGAGTTGGAGGAGCCGATATGGACAGGTGGGTAGGGGGGTGGTGGATGCATACATCCTACTATGTAAATATCGAGTAACGACATGGTTAGGTATACGAATACAAGCCTAGTTACATGGCTAGTCCAAGAAACGAAATGGAGCCAAAAATCTTGTTTTAATTCATCATTCGAAAGCAAATAATCTTCTTCAGCTGGCGGTATCCAACCAGGCACGGGACAAGCTCGCTGTTAGATTGCCCACCCTCCTCTCTTCGTATCGAATTAAATCACGATGCAACGAACAAACCCAATAGACTAAGAAACACCCCTTTCCGAGTAGAAAGAATTTACAGCCAGTACCTGGGCTCATCAAAAACATGGTACCGGTGTCCGCGCACACCCTCGCCGTAGAACATAGCCGGGAATCGGCGGCCGACGGGGACATCGGATTCGAGGATACGCACATCGTTTTCTGGCTCGGGGTCGCCGATGACGAATTTGCCGACCTGTTACGTTATCATACGTTAGCAATCAATATGTTATAGTCCACGGCAATAGAACCCACCTGGATTTCCGTATCCGTGATAGAGTCACGGCTGATACGCGCATAGCCCGTGCGCTTGAGTTTCTTGTAGAGAACGTATTCGCACCACCTATCCCAGTCGGAGGAGTCGATGTCCTTCATACCGCTCCGCTCGCTCACGTATGTATTGTAGTTGCCTTCCAAGGGCCGGGTGACCAAGTAACTCAACAGAACCAATGGGCGCGGCGACGAGCCCATCAGGTTGGAGAGGTACTCAGACTGGAGACGACGGTCCTCGGGATCCTCTTCCTGGCCGGAGTGGAAGACAACCACGTCGATCATCTCGCCGTACATGTCGAGCGTAGCGTGGATGGCGGGAGCCAGCTCGCCCACGGGCGAGGGGAGGAGGTGGTGGGTTGAGTTGACGATCGGGAACTTCGAGAGCAGGGCAGCACCCCAGGTGTGCTTGTTTGGCCCCGGGCCGAAATCAGCGTACATGCCAAGATCTTCGGCCAGGGACTGCGTGACGTCCTTGTTGCCCATGATGATGCGCTGGTTGTCTGACTCTAAGAGACCGATGACATCAATCTCGAGCTCTTCGATGACCTGGCGCATGCGGCCCTCAGAGGACCACATGTCGTTATCCAGGCCGAAGTGGACGGTCCAGATACCCATGGTCGCCACCTTGTCCTCGGCGTGATACGGCTTGTAGTCGTTGGTCGGGAAGCGCAGGTAGGCCACCGAGACGGAAAGCAGTTGCAGAGCGGCAAGAACATAGATGTAGTACGACCGCACGCGCTTGCTGTTAGGGCTGATGGGTTTTTTAGTGCGGGTGCGCGACGAGTTCGAGATCGCGGCTGAGAAGACACCTGCGCCAATGCAGAGCATGGTCGTGATCATAACCCAGTCGGTGTGTTCTCGGACCAGAGGACCGCCCGGCACGAACGCATAGGCGACAACCCAGACGTGGAAGAGAAGCATGAAGACATAGACACAGAAGCCAATTCCGAAGGTGGTCGCAGGAGAGTGCTTGACGGCGGAAGAGACCATAACCGGGGCAACAGCCATGATATAGAAGGCCAACGTCAGGGCACCGTAAAATCCGCTCCAGTGGTGGAAGCAAGTGAGGAAGGTAGCGCCAAGGGAGCCAATTCCAAAGGCAGTCCAACTTCCAGCCGCGGCAGGATGGAAGGTACCATAGATAAGGCCGGCACCCATGGCGAATATGGTCAACGCACCGTGCGGTACCGCAATAGGACCACGAACGGGGTAGCCATCCCAGACCCAGGAGATCATGGTGCTAGAGTCAGTCAAAAGAGAGACCATGGCAAAGAAAAGACCACCAAAACCAATACCGGCCAGGATCGCGGAGCCCTTCTTGCCGCTCGATGGCAGGAAGTCGTTGCCACTGGTAAGCGAACGTCGCTGAGACCGGAGGACAGCAAACACGGCGAGCGCGAGACCGATCTTGTTCCAGCCGCCATTCTCAGCATGGACAATGGGCCAGAGAGGGTTGTTGGTCCGGCAGGCAAACTTGGCAATGGAGGACATGATCAAGCCAATGCCCCAGGCCAAGATGCGAGTCTCCAGGCGCGGGGTGTTTCCACGCTCGGAGAACCAGCTGGTGGTCCACGCGGCACAGGTGGTGGAAAGGGCGAAGCTAGTCACAAACAGACGGTTGGCGGGATCTTTGAATCTATAGGCAAGGAGTCCCAGCAGCGAAAGAAGGTGAAGCAGTCGAAGGTTTTTGGTCGCAGCATATCTGACGCCTGGGATGGCAAAGAGGATGGGCGACACAACAGCAATAATCGCAACTTCGTAACCCGAAATGCCCATGTGCCACAGAGGGAAATCTAACCCGAATGAGCAACGCACATTTATGAAAGAAAAAACACTCACACCACACGAGAACGGGAAGAGCAGTCACGATAGTCCAGAAGACGAACTGGAGCATGTTAGTGAAGAACAAAGGAATTGAAGACGGTCATAGTTACCCCGTTGTAGACATCCGACGCAGCATCAACGATTTCAGTCCAGAAGAAACCCTCGCCGAAGGTGTTGCCCACGGGCTTGCCCTTCCTATACTACGTCGTCAATATGATTGAAAACGGCACAGCTTTATGGGATTGAACGCACTCTTTCTCAAGAACAGAATCCGCAGTCGTCTTCAACTGCCTGATTGCAAGAAAACTTTAGACAGAGACTCTCATAACCAACGTAACCCTTTTGTGGCACTATACATTTGTTGCAGGCGGTCATTTCGGAAGCCACTGTACATACCCTCTGCTAATTCCCTTGATGTCCCTCACCACAAGCTCAAAGCCCTCGAAGTCGAGTGCCGTGACGGCGTCAAAGCCCACGTCGAACAGAATGAGGGACCATTCGAAGAAAGCATATTTGGTGTAGGCTGGAGGAACGATCAGTTATCGAAAGCAGGACTGAGTCTTCCAGACTTACCACCAGCAACTTTGTGAACCTTGTGCTGTATAAAGTAGTAGATCAAAGGTACTAGTGTCCCGAAGAACAAGCCGGCCATGATCTTGCGATACTTGACCGCGCGGCGGTTGTTCGGACTGAGCGCGAGACAGCCCAGCGTCCAGGGCAAGGTCGCCACCAGATACGAGATCATGAAGATATCGTGCCAATCGTGATCATCCGTTGATGTGACATATGTCCAACCACCGCAAGTTAAGGTCCGGAAGATCCCCACGCCGGCCACGATCTTGGGGAGTGTCGAGTTTGGGCGCGCAGTGAGGACGTACCACAGGAAGACGAGGGCGAATCGGGGACCGGAGGTCATTGCAATGAAGACCTGGAAGAAAGACCGCTCGGGGTAGCGGTCGCCAATTGTCGCGGAGACGGAGGGAAACCATTCATCGGGGTAGCCGTAGTGTTCATTTTGGACAATCTTGTGGTAGTGCAGGGCGACGCCGACGAATAGGGCGCTAAGGAAAGCGGCATACGCGACGACCGTGTGAGTATAGGAGACCCATTTGCCGTTGATCTAGATTTGGACCGAGTCAGTGATGTGTCCTGTTAGCCTCGGGCGTGGGAAACGCACGGCAACCACGGCGTCGCCGTCCTTGTACCTGGGTGCCATGGCGAAAATGGCAAACCAGATATATAGGAAGATCCCAAGGAAAGGCGTACAAAAGAGTGTGGGGAAGAACGAACGAAAGGGAAGGAAGAGAGAGGAACAATCATTCGGCCAGGGGAAAAGGGAAGGGAAAAACAACAACCGTGGAGCTCCGGGCGACACGGCACTAAACTCCTTCGGGAAGGCGGGTCTGGGCGTCTTTTTGCGATGCTACTTTTTTTTCTCTCTGCAACAACACCATTTGACCACTCCGCCATGTCCTCCGCCACAGACAAGGCGCGCTTCTACCTGGAGAAGTCAGTGCCCGAACTCAAAGAATACGAGCGCAAGAAGATTTTCAACAAGGTACATCCGACCGGATCGCCAACAAGAAAAAAAAAGTTAGCTAACCAGACCACCTCCAGGATGAAATCAGCTCGATCATCAAGAAACGCTCCGACTTTGAGCACAAGCTCAATGCCCGCGGGGTTCAACCGATAGATTTCGTGCGCTATGCCGAGTACGAGATGAACCTCGAGATTCTGCGCAAGAAGCGAGTCAAACGGCTGGGGATCCGCTCTGCGGGATTCAGCGGACATCGGCGCATATTTTTCATTCTCGATCGGGCCACGCGCCGGTTCCAGGGGGATATCAACCTGTGGGTGCAATATATCGAGTATGCCCGGAAACAAAAGGCGCACAAGAAGTTGTCGATGATCTTCACGGATGCGCTGCGCCTACACCCGACCAACCCGGAGCTGTGGATCTACGCCGCCAAGTACGTGCTGGACGACCATGCCGATATGACACAGGCGCGGAGTTACATGCAGCGCGGTCTACGGTTTTGCAAGAGTGCGCGGGTACTGTGGGTGAATTATGCGAAGGTGGAATTGATTTATATTGCCAAGCTGGTCGCTCGGCAGAAGATCTTGGGTCTGGATGAAGAGCGTCCACAGCCTACGGAGACGGGCGGATTGGATGACGATATGATCGCGCTGCCTCAGATCACGGGCGAGGATATTGCTCCGAGCGAGGGCCAGGATGGTGACGAAGTTGACCAGGTGGCGCTCCAAAACCTCAACGCGACGCCTGCGCTGAGTGGCGCCATCCCACTGGCCATCTTCGATGCCGCCATGAAACACTTCAACAACGACGACAGGTTCGGGTTCGACTTCTACGAGATGGTGTCGGAGTTCCAGGACGTGCCGTGCCTGCAGAAGATCCTGGGGCATGTGGTCGAGGTCATGCAAGCGAGCAAGCCCGCCAGCCCGCGGACGCAGATCTGCTACATCAAATTCCCTACCGCTGGAATCCCAGTGACATCGCCCGAGTTTCCGCGCGCGCTGGGTGGCTCGCTGGCGCGGCTGAAGGAGTTTCCGCTGGACGGCCCGCTGGCGAGCGAAGTGGTGAACTGGCTGCAGCCAGTTGGGCAAACGGAGGACGTGGATCCGTCACTGCAGAAGGTGATCGCAGCCACGATCCGCAATGCGGAGCGGGCATGGCAGGAGTAGTGTCATCATCGGGTGGTCGAGCATAAATATTTGTTGCACATCATAAGGCGTTGATCGGAATTGTATATGAACCGGCGAATTCAATTCAAAATTAATCATCGTGTTTCCCCCGTCGACTACTTTTCTTGCTGCTGTGTAGTTTCTTGTTCTTGATTCGGGCTTCGTTCTGTGCCCGCTGTCTGTAAGGGAGTCAGAGACCAAGATGAATGGGCGGTCCAAACAGATCGACATTCACGCACAATTTCTGAACCCGATGTCTTTGCTCTGGAGAGGTCTCCCCGGGGATCACCTCGTGGGCCATGGACTGGAGGAGCTCATAGAGCTTGTCGTAACAAGAATCCACATTGGCAGCCTGTTTGCGCGACTCGTCCGACTGAATCACAAGGCTCTGGGAGCGGTCTGTGGCATAGCGCGAGGCTCGCAACACGGGGTGCAAGAGGCGGGGCACCAGGGGCAGCAAGTCCTGCAAGGGCACTTTCAGGGTAGCCTTGGAATTGACTCTGGGGCCTTGTCGTTAGTTGGTTCGCCCTAAGCGTGTGGGGGTTCAAAAAGTCACTTGTTCACGTTCTGGCCACCGGGCCCGCTAGCCCGGCTGAACGACACCTGGCCTAGGCGGGGGATAGATTCGGGGGATAGTGCCGACAGCCACTGGCGCGCATCGTGAATCTCCTGATCGGGTCGAGCCGGCTGTGAGGAGGCACGGCGGGAGAAGACTAACGAGAGCAGTCGTCGCGACATGGAGTCTCTCCTACCCACCACCGTAGGGACTTTGTCGAGGTCAGGATTAGGTGGAGCTCTAGTTAATTGTTAGTTCGCGATCAGCCCATGACTAATGCATAGGATCCGGTTCTGGGCCTGCTGGAACAAGTTGGCCGACGTAAGTGAAGGATGGGGGTCGGTGTTCCAAGTTATTGGCAAGTGCGCTGTGCTACCCAGGCATTTATTTATTTCTTCCCAGGGATTCTCTGCTGTCACGACCGCACGACCTCCTAGCACCACCGGTCCCCATTGATTCCCTGGCCTTCGACGGGGGCAACTATAACCACCGCATGCACTTTCCTGCAGGTGGCACTCCCTCGACCCTTCGACCTCCTCGTCTGTTTCTACCCTCTTAACCTCCCGTCCCAAGAATCCCTCCTGGCGGTGTTCGGCCCTCCCCCGAACTCACCGAGTCTTGGGCGAGATCCGCCCCACCTTAGCTTCTCATTGCGAAAATTCATCTGACGGCGTGACCACACTTCCTTCCACCTTTCCATTTTCTTTCTTTATCCCCATCCCCTACCTATCCCCGATTCCCCGAACACACAGCCCGACATACATACACCCAATACGCCTCATCCACATCCTCCGGCCGGCCTGCCGTTGTAGATGACTCGACTTGGTCTGCTCTGTCTACATGACGCCCAGTCCTGATGAAGCGCTTCACTTCCGCGGCAAGACTCTGACTCCGGAAAGCCCCCGTCCACTGCACATCCCGGAGCCAGCCAACATCCCCGTCCTCGAGAATCAAATGGACCCCGTCTTCAACGATACCGCGACCTACGATTACGGCCAGGAGACTACCGCCCCGCAGAGACAAGATGGATGGGCGGGTTACTCGCAGGATGGACATCACCGCCCGGGCCACACCCAAAACCCAGGTAGCTTGTCGGGCTCGCGGGAGCAGGCGAGGCACAATGATATGACTGTTTCTGCTGCGGCAGAGTATTCCCCTTCCTCCGCGCCCGCGATGGCCAGCTCGGGGGCCCCCAGGGACTCCCTCGCGCCTCCGGTCGTTCCGGTCCCTCAGGGCTTCGGGCCCCCCAGCGAGATAGACACTTCTGCCGGCTCGCAGCAGCACCGCTTAGATGTGAAGCAGGAGGATCCGGGCCTGGGCGGCGTTGATTTCCAGAACCTGCTGGACAATCTCTCTGGCGCCCCCCCGGCCGGACCAGCTGCGGCCCCTCTAATGGCAGACTCGTCGCTCCATCAAGCACCACCGACTGACGAGCCCCCCCATCCCCAACTGCCAGTCCGCCCCCATCCCATTCCCTCCGGTGATGAGAGCCATGCATACCATCCCTTCCCTGCCCACAACAGCGCTGCTGTGTCCCACCCAACCCAGCCCAGTAACCAACCCCCCTGCCCAATGTGGGAGCGCCGGGCACTGTTCCGGGTATCGGTGCGTTGCCTCCACCGCCGCAGGCCACCTTTCAGCAATCCCCTTCCACGGGCGCAAACTCTGCTGCCTCGTCCCAGGAGCCGCCGGCCAAGAAGGCCCGCGGCGATAAGCAGGCCGGTCGGCCGCCTGGCGGCAAAGTTTGGAGCCTAGACGATGATGCTCCCTGGGGTCCCGAGGTCCAAAAGAAATACGACGAGTTTCTACATGATGAGCGGGTCTATGTGACAGAAGGCCTCTGGGACCGGTTCCCGATCGGGTCGCGATTGTTTGTTGGTCAGTACATCGAAATTCTTGTTATCCGCCCATTCATGCTAACTCGGATGTCCACAATGACAGGCAATCTCCCCACGGAACGAGTCACGAAGAGAGACATGTTCCATATCTTCCACAAGTACGGCAAATTGGCCCAGATCTCGATCAAACAGGCCTACGGATTCATACAATTCTTGGAAGCGGGTTCCTGCCATTCGGCACTCCAGGCGGAGCAGGGAGCTCTAGTGCGAGGCCGCAAGATACGTAAGTCGCCGCGATTGGGCATTGATAAGCAACCCTGCTCACACTCTTCGATAGACCTGGAGATCTCCAAACCACAACGGTCTACCAGACCTGCCCCCGCCCCGGAAGCATCATCCCGTGCACCTCCGCCGCGTCGGTCGAGGTCGCCCGAGTTTGTTCGAGGTGGCCCTGCCCGAACGACCCGGCCCTACGAGCCAACTCGACTGCCGTTCAGCGATTTCCGCGATGAGCCGCCCCGCCGACGGGATGATTATCGGCCTCCCCGCTCGCCTTCGCCGGCGCCCCGGCCCTTTCGAAGCAGGGAGGGCTATCGGTCGCGAGACCGGACCCCCGAACGAAGTGACCGTCGAGACCGCAGACGCTCTCGCTCTCCTCGATCTCCCCGGTCGCCTCGATCGCCTCGGTCTCCCTACACAAGGGATCGTCGGTATCGGAGCCCAAGTCCGAGGCGGAGCGCTTATGATGGTGAGGCGAGTCTGCCGGTGCCTCGACGCGCTGCGCGGGATGTGCCAGAAGTCCAAATCCTCGTGCTGGAGGAACTGGATAGGTGTGTTTGACTTGAATTTCCGATCTATGAAATATCACTAACGACAGCTAGAAATTTCATTCTCCACGTCGAGAACGCCTTCCGCAACCGTGGCCTCCGGGTGGATGTGCTGGTCCTTGGTCCTCGAATCCCTCTAGCTGCGGCGGTTCATCGCCAGATCGTGGAAGGGGTTCTGGCCGTTGTAAGGTTGGCGCGCTCCAATCAATATTCACGTAAGATCTCCCTGCAGATCTTCGATCGAAGCGCGGGGTTGGACAACGTTCGCTTCAATGGTAAGTCCTGGATACATGGATACCTGTTTTTTTTCATACTGATTCCTGTTTCATAGATTATCCGGAGCTCGACCCCAACATTGCTGCCGAAGTGATGTTCCACCAGTCTCAAGCCATGCAGCGCGGCGGTCCCCCGGTGTCATTTGCCCCCAATCCTGCCTTTGGCGTTCCACCCATGGCGCCCATGGCAATGGCCCAACCCGGCCTACCGACGCTCACCAATCCCCCCAACATCGCCAATCTCATCAGTTCCCTCGACGGCCCTAGCCTGCAGTCCCTGCTCTCTGCACTTCAGCAGCAGCAACGTGCCCCAGTGTCGCAGCCTGTCTCGGCCAACCAGTCACCGTTTGCTTCCCCTAACCCTCCGCCTCCAGCCGATCTCGCTACTCTCTTAACCAACGCAACTCGGCCACCGCCTCCTCCTATGCCGGCAAACCCACAACAACTTCCGCTTCCCCCTCCGCCCTTTAATCTCCAACCCCCACCAACCACCGGCGTTTCCGATCCAAACCTGCTCTCGCTCCTCGCTAAGGGTCTGGGACGCCCGCCACAGGGCCAGCCCGCCGTTGGTTCCCAGGTACAAAACATCATGGATCAACTGGCCAAATGGAAGCAATGACTTATGACTCCCTCCCGTACAGCTTTTTAACTCACACCTTGACCTCGTCTCTCCCCCGAATCTTCTGCAGTTTGGCGTTTGAGCAATTCTTCAAAGATGATTCGGATTCGGTATTACTCGAGCCCACCCATTCCCTTCATGGCATGATGGCTCGACTTTTCGTTTTTTTTTTTTTCTTTCGTGCTGGCATCCAATCATTACTAGCAACAGCAAAACAGGCGCTTTGGATGTTTTCTTTTCTCTTTTTTCTTTTATTAATTTGAGCATGGTTTCAGCAAGATGACTAGATCCTCGGCAACGGTGTGGTGTCTAGGTAGGACGGAGTTGTGGATTTTTTACTGTTTGTTTCTTTTTTTCTTGTCCCTACTACTACTTGCTATGTCCATGACGGTCATGTTGCTCACCGCGGGGAAGGAAGTTAGCTATCTAGCCGGTTTTCCTCTTTTTCGCTTTGGGAATGAATGAATGGTAATAATCTGGGACTCGTCTCGGTGTTGAGACTTGCTGTCTTTGCAAAAGTTGCGAACTTTCCACAGATGTTATTGCTTTCGTAGTTGTATCCTGTATCCTGTGACATACCGTGATGTCCCAAGATAGATATCCCAGATCGCACTGTGTAGGATTATAAACCGCATCGATTGAGTGAATGAGTTCATCGTCAGGTATACGTGATAAAACTTGGATATGATATGCTACATATTATACAAAAAGCCCCGTCTGCCCTTCTCTTCTATTTCGACGCTCCCCAACCCTTCGACTTCAGTTCTTGCACCTTATCCGCATCCTCCTTCTGAATGCGCTCAATCGTCTTGTCCCGATTATACTCCATCACGCGCTTCTCCTTGAAATATTTCACCTACACCGCAGTATACAGCATCAGCACATGCGTCAACCAGTCCGGCCGGTACTATCAGGTAGGTAGATTGGGGGGTAGATGGGGGGATAGGATAGAGAAAGTGTCTGTGAGAGAAGGAAAAGAACATACCCAAGCCTGCGAACAAGCCGCCTCGAACTGCTCCACCTCCTTCGCGCATTTTCTCCGCGCCTCTTTATCATCCTTGATGCCGTCGAGGATATCGTTCCGGTCCAGGCAGCTGAAGAAGAGATCCCGGCCTTCGTAGCACTTGGCGCGGCTGCTTCGGTCTGGCGCGATGCGGCCGCCGTCGGAGGCCTTTTTGTCGGCGGCCGAGGAGGAGGAGGACCACGGGAGCCAGCCCATTTTTGGTTTGGTGGGTGGTTAATTGGGAGTGGGAGGTGTTATTATGGGGAGGGAAAGTGATGAGGTGCGGCAGAAAGTCACGGCGGGAATGACTTGCGCCAAGACCAAGTGTTGATCCCCGGCAAAAAGACACTCGCTCGCTTTATTTCTTCCATCAACAACAAACTATTCACATACGTCTTGGAATCTGGGATATCGGCCGTGGTACTGCCTCTCGCTCTGTCAGTCCGGCTGTCGCCTCAACTCAACTCACCACTTACCAACAACGACAACCACCCCTAGCCCGAGCACTGAGATCAGCCACCACGATCACAGACCACACCTCGCCCTCCCCATCTCTCCGCAAGAGCGCTCTGCTCGCTCTCAGCCTCTCTCTTCCTCCCACCAGGGGAATCCCCCCAAACTCGCCTAGTTTATGCCCCCGCGCCGGCGTCACCCAGCGGGGGCGCGAACCGACCTCCCGCCACTGTTAATCATCCGCAAGATCCTCTTGCTCCAGCTCGCCTGGTATGTCTGCGCGACGGTACTGATACTGTTCACGACAGTGGTGTATGGTGCGCCCTTCTCGCTGGATCTGGTCTTTGGATGGGACTATCTGCGCGGAGATACCACAGTCGGGTGGATATTGGGGTTGGTGTGGATGTTGAACTGTTTCATCAGGTATGAAGCCAACGCCCCTTTGAGTCGATCATAGCTGACATACTTCTTTTTCTGGATAGTGTGATTTTCCTCCTCCTTTTCGTATCCCGCTCCAAACTTGTCCTTGACTTCGCTCTCACAATCCACTTCCTCCACCTCGTCGCCACAACGTTCTACACGCGCTCTCTGCCCGCGAATCTCCTCTGGTGGGCTCTGCAGTTTGCCAGCGCGTCTGTGATGACGTTCATGGGAATGTGGGCGTGTCAGTGGCGCGAGCTGAAGCCCATCAGCTTCGGCGGTATTGGAGGTAGCAGTAGCAACAACGACGGCCACGCAGCGGGGTCATCCTCCCATGCACCTGCCGATGGGCAACAGGAGTCGAGTTTTGGTCGCGGACGGGGCCGTGAGCGCAGCATTAATGTTGGGATGGGGGAGTATGAGTTGGATGAATTCAAGGGTGACCACGCTGCATGAACATTTTGGGAGTACCGATGTTGGTTGGACGGTTCGGTTGATCGATCTTTCTGTTTCTCTTTTGTTTTGTTGTATACCCTGCCACGGTTGCATCTGTCTAGGTGGCGTTCTCTTGTGTTTGGGGAGGAATGGAAAGCAAAGGCTTTCTCTTGTGTCGAATATATACCAACCCCCTAATACAGTCTAGGGGTTTGTAACCCTTCTGGATAACCATTCAAAGAAATGAACATGTTGCATACTGCAAAACCATTAATTATTGCTATCTACTTTCCTGTCCAGCCCGAAACACGGTTGTTCTCATTGCAAAACGCGTCCATTCGTCTCCTCAACAATCAGCTCAAACTCCGGTTGAAACTCCGTATAGAGATTATGCTATCAAGCACAATCATATTATTAGCCCACCATTTTCTGAGTCAAATACTACTCGAGTTACTCACCGGATTCTGCGCCGTCTCAGCGGTGTATTTCGCCACTTCATCCTTGATGATCTTCTTCGGCACTCCATTCGCAGCCGCAGCTTCAGCCAGCAGTTGTGCGTGGCAAGCATTTTCCAGACTGGAGAAGAGGAATGCTGCTTCGTCGACAGTTTGACCGACGGTTAGAAGACTTGTAAGTAACGGACAAGTGTCAGTATCATAGCATACATGGCATCTCAAGATGATGCTCCTGGGAGCGGTATATTTACCCGTGATTCTGCAGAATGCAAGCGATATTCTCCTTCCCCAGCGCCTGCGCAATCTGCCGACCTTCTTCCTGAGAGAGCGCAATGCCAGCGTGGTCGTCATATATGCCGAGTCGGCCGTGGAAGTTGCATGCGTCTAATCAAACCAGCCAGATTGTCAATACCGTACGCATGATATATGCCCAACGAAAAGAAGAAGAGGAAGAGAGAAAGAAAAATGCCTACCCTGAGAAAGCATCTCAATCGGCTTCCCAAACGCACTCCACGTCTTGCCGTAGATACTGTGCGTATGCGCCGCAGAGATAACATCGGGCCGGGCCTTGTGAATCTCCGAATGGATCATGAACCCAGCCTCGTTGATGGGCAATTGCGCCCCGCCTTCGGTGACATATCCCTCGCTGTCGACAAGGACCAGGTCCGAGGCTTTGATGGTGGAGAAGTGTTTGGCGAAGGGGTTCATCCAGAAATGGTCTTTCAGGACGGGGTCTGAAGAATACCGTCAATCAATCAATCAATATCTTCTTGCTTTTGCACGGGGCTAGCTCACCTCGGACGGAGATATGTCCACTCACGCCCTCGCCGTAGCCCTGTTTCCCGAAAAACCGAAACGCAGCAGCCATGTGCTCCCTCACCCACTGGCGCTTGGCGTGGACATCTGAGAAGGTCGGGATACCGCGTAGTTTCAGCGTGCCGGCGCGGTCTCCGCGGGCGAGAGATTGGAATTTGGTATCTGTGGCGGCGGAGGGGACGTGGGGGTCTTCTGCGGCGGCGAGACGGACGGAGTGGTCCGTTTGGGTTGTGGTTGAGGTCGACATGTTGTGATTGGAAAAAGTAAAAATAGGACTCAAGTCAACGGGTATAGAAGAGATATATAGGTAGTGAAAAGAAAGAAAGAAGATGTTATTCCATCTCTTATCTCCACTCTCCCCCGAACCCCGCTTAGATGTCGACGGAAGGCGTGGCAGCGGAATCTTATCCGCTCGGGAGTCCACTAGTTTGTAAAAGGGTGATGCTGATTGACTAGGATAATGTACTGTTACTCTTATCGTATACCTAGAATAGAACATTTTATCTGTTTTGACAAAATATTTTTCTTTTTCTGTCGTTATACTTCACTTCTGCCTGAGGCATACAAATGACTAATATAGCACGTGATCTTATATCTGCTATCAACAATTGTCATTCTCTCCAAGCAACACTCGACAGCAATGGCCGATATTCCACTGTCATGAAGATGGCCGGTCCAATCGCATAAAAATCAACTCATCTCCATTGTCTCGGAACGGCCACATGTCTCATCCAGCCTACAACAGTGTCCTCTAGTTCCTCGATACCCGCGCCCCCACAGAGATGGCCTCGGGCGAGCCATCTTACATAGACTATGAGGCCTTCCTAGACCCCGAGTTCTCACCGGCCTCATTCGCCAACTCGCTAGTTCAAAGCACGAACAATGCCACCGACACGCCACTGGATCTGTCCACTCCGCTGTCGCGGGTCCTATTTGACCTCCAGGAGATCGACACCCACATTCATGGATTGACGACCAAATCCGCGCTCCCGCTTCTGGCGCACACAGAAAGCCAGACCGCCGCCGCCGAGAATGTGCTCAAAGAGGCAGGCAGCCAGATCGCCTCCGTCAGCCAGGGGTACGAACGGCTAGAGACCGAGGTGCTACGGAAATGGGAGGCCGCCGAAGAAGCCCGCATCGCAGCAGAGAAATCGCTTCAGACTGTCCGGCTGGGCCGCGCCGTGGCTCGGTGTCTGACCCTAGGCCGACAGCTGGAAAGTCAGGTTGCTGAAATCACTGGTCGAGGCGGTGGTGCTGCCGGTGGCGTGGATAAAACGGTGACCAGTGGGAAGGACAGCTTCCGGGCGCTAGAGCGTGCCGCGTACACCATCCTAAGCTTGCGGCAGATGCTCACGGCGTCAAAGGAAGGAGAGGAAGGCTACGGCCTCGACCGAGTTAAGGTCATTCGCACGCTGCGCGGCGAGTTTGTGATTCCCGCCGAGAACATGATCAAGGCACGAGCGCAGCAGACCATCAATCGATTCTCATTGACAACCACCAGCAGCAATGCCTCCAACGGTCAGTCCGTGCAATCGGGCTACAAACAAGCTCGAGACGCACGTGCCCGACTGGCCACGGCCGCGGCAACTCTATATCTACTGTCGCCCATGCCCAGGGGCACGGCCTCGGTCTCGGTCTCCGAGTACAAGCCAGAGCTCCTCCTGTCCACGCTGCAGGGCTACATGCACACGGCGATCATGACGTCCGCAAACACTCTCGCCAAGGCCCTCTCGCAGCTCCCCACGCTCGATCGGACGCTAGGCGACATCTCCTCGCGATGCCAAGATATCGTCGCGCTGGAGACCATCCTCCGCGGTCTTCGACCCCCATCCCATCCTCTACTGGCGGCTACTCACGAAGACCAACCTCCTATAAGCAAGTCCGAGTCTGAACCTACTGCCACGCCCAACAAAGCGAATCTCCTCCAGCCGCTCCTCCAAGCTCTCGACACTGCATCGCTCCCCTCCTATTTCTGGCGCTCCCTCGCCTCCTCCCTCACCTCGCGCGTGCAGGAAATCGTCAGCCGTGGCGGCGTCTCTGCACGCACGTTGCGGTCGAATCGCGACCGCCTCAAGAGCGAAATCAAGGAGTGCGTGCTCCGTGCCTCCGAGGTCTCTGCCAGTAGTCATCTGGCCGACAAGGGGCGGGCAACTACCACGGCCCCGGTGGGGGGAGGCACCTGGGAGCGCGAAGCGGCGGTGATGGTGAGTTCGGTGCTTGGGCCGCTGGGACGATAGTTTTATTCCTGTGTATATTCCTACTGGAATCATGTCATACAGACAGTGGGACTTGCTCCAGGTACCTGTCCCAGGGCCAGGGGTCCACCCGGATGGGTAACACGATGTTTCACAGATATCCTCCGGGGTCGGAGAATAACTGGCGGTGGCATGTCAGATGATTACTAGAAATGGACACAGATACTCTTCACACCGCTTCCCACTCGTATGGTACATGCTCCTAGCTGGCATCCATGGATTCGCCCAGTCAACGACGTCACGACCGATCCCCGAGTTGGGGCTAGTGCACTTATCGATAAGCCCCAGTCTGCACGGTACCTGGCTCTACTTCACCGTGCGCCATCTGCGCCGCATCGTCGGCCCTGCATTTGTACCTACAGGTACCCGGCCCTGCCCTTACAGCCCGTGTGCTGAGGAAGAATAGGCCTCAGCGTATCACCCCAGCGCACCGCCGCCAATGAGCGCCGAGCCTCCTTGCTCGGCAGACTTGCACCACCAACCCCTTGAATGTGGATCAAGGGATCCCAGGACACCGACCATTGGATCGTCGATCGTACTCGCGCCCTCGACGGTCCCGAGAACTCCGCTGAGGGGGGGTGGGGGAACCATGTCTCAGCGTGGTGTATCTCAAACGTCGGGCACGGCCAATCGTGTTTCTTAGCACAGCCTTCCACCCCAGACAGGGTGCATTAGCAGTAACAAGTAAAGCACATCATCTGCTCAGAGCGTGGCGTCACATCGTATAATATCCATGGGTATCGAGGGAACTTGACCGTCATGCGCAACCGCCGTACCAGCGTCCCGCCGTTTGCAGACAATGACGACTCCAGTGGGCTCCAGTCCGCCTAGGGCCATCTCCGTGCCTCCCGTTGTGGGGAAGGAGCAAGAGTCTAGGCAGTCGATTAATGCAGGCACCATGGGAAGGTTTGCCTTGTGTGGGCTGCTCTGGTTTCTTTGACGCGGACTGGACTCGATGCACCGTCCGTGCTCCGGTATACATATCAGATGCGCCGAGTCTTGGGCGTAGTGATCGGACGCGTTGCGACCTCTGGAGGGGTCGGATCCCCATTCTCTGCCTCGCTCGTCTATAGATCGTAGACCCGATCGTGAGGAGCGATCCCTCGTACTCTCCCGAGATCACGTCAAGACTGTGCCTGGTGCCTCCGGCCCAGCGTTCCTGGTCGTCAGGCCTGGATCTGGTGAAACCCGCGGTCGGTTCAGCCGGAGGGTCAAGTAAGCTGATAGTTATAGTCGTCACCATTCAATGCCCCCACCTTATCATCTTCCCTTCCTCTTCCTACTTACTTCTACTTGACCTCGAGGCGATCACCACCTTTTCCTCTCCCTTGCGTCGCCACCCAGCCTTGACATACATACGGCGGCATTCCACTTTTGGCCCCTCCTTCGTCTACCGCTTCTCTCCCTGCCTTTCCCTTTTCCTTCTCTCTCTCGCCCCCCCCCCTTCCCAGGCACTACTCGGTCCTCCCCCGCCCCCTTCCTTCCTTTTTTTAAACTGCAAATCGTGGAAATCCGTACGTCGACCTGTATTTATCTTCTTTCTGGGTTCCTATAGTGGGCGCGGTTACTAAATCCTGTGCAAATGTTGACAGTCAGCCTGGCCATCCGTCTTCGCCTCATCTTCCCCTCCGACCTCTCTGGCGTAGCGCTGCGGTTCCTACCACCTCTCGACAACAATAGATCTCCGACCGAGTCCGAGGTGAACGGCCCTGATCGACCTGCGGACTTTGCGACCGGTGGATAAGGGGGGTTCCTGAGAATATCTCAGCCTTGACATCACCGCCCGCCCGCACTCCACCCCTCTGACGTCGCCAACATGGCCTCCTTCCTCTCCGTGAACAACGCGACCTCAGAAGATCACCCTATGGACGGCGCGTCAACTCCTCGTGCAAATCCCAACGGCGCGCCGGCCTCCCCGACCGGGTCGGGCTCGGAGCAGCACCCGGACGCCAACTCCCAGACCAGCGATCGAGGGGCAGAGGGTCCAGCCGCGTCCTCACACACCAGAAACTCGTCGACAGCGACCGACGAGCCGATGCATGACGACTCTGAAGATGGGACCGACCAGGAAGGCGAGCCCGAAGGCACTGCCCCGCCATCCAAGAAGAAAAAGGGCCAGCGCTTTTTCTGTACCGACTTCCCACCTTGCAACCTAAGCTTCACGCGCAGCGAACATCTCGCCCGGCATATCCGCAAGCACACGGGCGAGCGGCCCTTTCAGTGTCACTGTTCCCGACGGTTCTCTCGACTGGATAATCTGCGGCAACATGCTCAGACCGTACATGTCAACGAGGAGATCCCCGGGGATTCGCTGGCGGCCACTGGCACCCGGTTCCAGCGTCAGGTCCGGACAGACCGAGTACGGCCGCCCGCTCGCGTACGAGCAGGGACGGTGGGCAGCCAAGGCGGCCACAGCCGTGGTCATAGTCGGAACCTATCAACCTCCAGCATCGCATCAACCGCCTCGGCATACAGCCAGCCCCAGGAGCTTCGACGACGCCCTCCTCCGCTGATCATGGCCAACGATCCCACATCTCGGGCCCGGTTAGCGCTGGATACGGTGGGAGAGCCACCCACCACGCCTCCGGGCCAAGTTCGCGGTGGTGTCGCTGTCGGGTCTCCCTACACTCCATCGCATGTCTTTCCACCGGGCGCTGGCAGCCCTCATCAGTTTCAATCGCCCATGTCGGCCACCCGTCGTGGTTTCTGGGACGGCAAGACCGCAGCCCGTCGCCTCTCTGTGCCCACCGGCAGCAACCCTTTTATGACACAGCATGGCACTGCATATCCTCCCTCATACACCACCTCACCGGCCAGCACGGCCTTTCCAACTTCTGCGGGCGTGTTCCCTAGCCCGACCAGTACCAATTACTCGGTGTCCCGAGATGAGAGCTCCATCAGCGCAGCCGAGGCGGAGATGCGCAGGCGAACGTGGCATCCCTCGTCTTACTCGGGATTCCCACGCCCATCCACCAGTGGTCTGAATAACTATCCTGCGCCGGACACCATCCCGGCTCCATTGAGCGGGAATGCATCGGCCGAGCAGACAACCCGGTTGCCCGGCATCGAGAGTTTCGACAAGGTCGTCTCCCAGCATCGACCTCTGACTCCTCCCACCCGAAAAGCAAGTCCAATGCAGCTTGATAGCCATCATCGCCCAGCGCCTCCACCGGGTCACGGCTTCGGATCGGGCTACAGCTACAACCAGCCAGCGGTGCGTCCACCGCCGCCCATGTCTGGACCAGGCCATCGCCGGGGCCATGTCTCGTGGGACATGTCCCTACACACCGGGATCACGGGGCTGGATATTCGAGATCGCAATTCCTCCCGAGACTGGAGCCAGCAGACTATAGCCGAAATCCAGAATGTCTCATCCCGGCCAACCTCTTCCTACCAACCCTCCCTTGGCCCAACGGCCGAAAAGAGCCCCGAAGAACATCACAGCCACAACCACAGCCATAGTTTCTCATCGGCGAACCGGCCCACCCGCACATCCCCCGAGGACTCCAGCAGCAGCGAAGGCGTACACACTCCCTCCACCGCCTCGATCGACTACCACCCGGCGATAGTGCACAGCAGCGGGTACGTCGAGCCGCACGAGTCCTCGCTGCCCTCCGACCACGGCGCTCCCCCGGTGAGAAACCTTCTGCGAACGCACGGCAGTCGCCCTTACTAATGCCGTCATTCATACATAGATCTGTGGTCGTCGCTCGTCTAATGCCGATGGCTACAGCGCTCCACCGTCGCGCGAGCCCCGCTCCGAAATGTTCCCGGACCCGTCTGCCCGGAATTCGGGCATGGGCCGCCTGGAAGCTCTTGTGGCTGTCGCTACGAGCGAGAATAAAGGGGCAGCCAAGTTGTTCCTGTAAATTGTTTCTTGTCATTCTCGACGCGCACACGAACACACCCTCATATATTCATCCTCCTTTGAATATATCTGATCTAACTATCATGCCCGATACGACGCTCTTTGATCCTCTCCCCCTCCACACGGGCCTTTATATATTCGCCCCTTCCTGATCTATCTTGGGGGATTCACTACCAGCCCATTTTATTATCTCCTGGGCGGCTGTCTGAAGACCCTTGATGATGTGATGACTTGATGACCTGATATACACCACGCCTGAAATGCCACCACGTCCCTTCTCTTTTTGTTTGTGTTTTTGGAGGGGTTTTTATTTTTGTTGTTCTGCATGTCCTGGCGTTTCGGTTCGTGCGGGAAAGCGTATGGATTGAATCGTGTGCATGACGATACCCCGGCCTCGATATGGGTTTTTCCTTTTTTTCTTTCGCTCTGGTCAGTGGTATTGGCTTTCGATCGTTTCGAATACTCTCGGAGACCCTTGTTCTCTTTACTCTCTCTCTATCTCTTCTCTATCTCTCTGATTTCCTCATTTTGTTTCATGATTTTTGTCTAAGTATCTTGGGATTGATTGTCTGTTCACGATTGATGGTATGCTACAGCAAGATGTTTATGTCATTATGCCTGAATGATTGGATATACTCATTTTATGTCTGTCTCTTTTCCTCATGTTAGGGATTTCATCTAGTTCATACATAGAATGGGTGGATTAGTTAGGGCTAGCCTATTAGTATGACGTCTACCTCGCATCGCCCCAACCTCTCCTCCGCTCATCTTCATTACCTTCTACAAGGATAGGTATGATCTATGATTCTATGTTCTGCTATGGAATAGAAAATAAGACATTCTGCCAGTCTCTTTTACATATCAATTATTTGAATTGTGTGAATCTACCTCATGAGTAATGGTAATCTATTAGATGGAGTCGTCTCGGTCGACGATGACCCCTGGTGACGTCGACGGGGCGAGCTATAAGAACTTAACCTAGTAGGTGCTCAGGAATAGTTAGACTTTTGGGTCGAGGAGCTAGGCTAGGTCTTCGTTGCTCGGCTCGGCTTTTGAAATGGGGAGTGGGTTCGGTACTTGGATAGAGAACCGAGCGAGTTTCTCTGGAGAACTCCATCTATACTTAGGGTTAGTGTGATTATGGAAGGCATGCGAAGCAAATGAAATATAGCAACAGACTAGTACTAAAGCTCTTTCAGCCTCTCTCTCTAAGCAGATCTATCTTCTGGAGAAATTGGTCCAAGTCTTTAGAAGCCGAGTGGGAACGGCGAAATGCCGCAGTAGCTGCTGTTTCACAGTACTGCTCCGCCCAAGAAGGCGCGCCCGTTGCGTGGACGACGAAAACGATCACCGCCGAATGATGGGATCAATTAAAAACCAATATCCATTGCAATTCGCCCACCCAAAACCAAGTGCGTAACTCGCGGCCTATCACAGAGGGATCTTCTTTTGCAGCAGACCGAAGAACACATCAAGGCCTCTGACAAACCCCCACGATGTTTTCAATGTTACGGCAACACCATCCTGCCAGATCATCGCCGGGCGCAGGAATGGAGCGAGTACAATTCAATTCTTGAGGCATTTTCGAAAGAAGCACTTAGATGATCGAAGGTGTCACGTGTGCAGCGTTGACCTTTTGCATGAGATGCATCTTCGGAGACACGCCGAAGAGGTTCATCGCCTTTGCACGTAGCGAAGAAGCAGCACTTCGGAGTCTGCGGAGTTGAGCTTAAAAGTTGTGTAGTTATTCTATTGTTGAGTTTGTCGGAAATCATTTTCAAACTCGCGCCCATGTTTGGTAATCAAATCACTCAGGATGGTAGGCCTAGTTAGTTGTATGAGGGCTCGTAAAATCATGGACTTGTGTAGGCGTAAATTGCGCTCTTCATATTCCATGTAGGGTGGGTACGGGGAAGAAGAGACAGAATACTCAACACCTTGGTACAGTGGCGTGAAGAGGAATCTCTGGCGAACATGTTTTTTAAAGTGAAGATTTCGGTGGAATCAAGAGAACAGTCTTCTAACAAGCTTAAGGTGTCTATTTATGAGATAGTATAGGGTACCACCTCGTCTGCTAGGCATCTCCCTCCCTAACTACTTCTGAACTTCCCACTAGGTCTAGTAATTAATATGGGGTGGCCCACACTGGAACGTTGATAGTGTCTATCACATCGATAGCAAAGTACTCGGTTACAGAAAGTTTTATCAACGAAAGATGAGTCCCTATCTTCTGGGCAATGAATTACAAGACGTCACAGTTGTACCTGGTTTGCATACTCAAGGCCTCAGCGCAAGTCTTGTCTTTGACGACCATACTCTAGCTCAACGTTCAAAATGAAGAATGTTAATGATATTGTTGTATATCCACATAGCATTCAGCACGGTACACTCCGCCGGATTCCCATTCTTATCTCTCTGACTGAGCAATATGGGTGCATTCAAATTTCGGGAAAACTCCACCTGCATACCGAGGGCAAGGCCACTAGAGCCCACCTAGGAGTGCACACGGTTCTTCTGTCGATGAAATTTGCCACCTGCTAGGTGATTGCTAGGTGAATAGAGATCGTAAATCTTATAAATTTTTGTCAACCAAATGCATGAGACCCATTTCTCAGGGCCCTGTCGAGGCACTGAATATGGATTTCCCAAAATTGCCACGAAAACTGTCGCAAGACGTCATGCTACAATACCACTTTGGATATGAAAGGTTGCTTTCGGGACCTGGAATCTGTCTTCGGGTTGGTAACGTTAATGAAGATATAATGAGTCAGCACCGCAGCAGGCTCGGTCTTCTCTTCGAAAAGCTTACCAGGGCAAGTGGCAAATGAACGATTTTCGGAGCCCCACATCAAACGGAATGTCTTTGCAATCCCGCCTATCAACGACCAAAAAGAAAAAAGGAAAGAAGTCTTGGAAGATGGAGACCTAGTTGCGACACAGTGACGCTGAGCTGAGGTTCGATAAGGTTCCAGCTCGTTTCCACTGTGCCTTGGCACGGGAGGCAGGCCCCGTATTCCGCCAATCCCAGGATAGCCCCACCCAGCGTAGTACATGATTCGAACCAAAATCTTGGATCTAAGGCATCATTCTTGGATGGCAAACGTCAATTGCAGATAGGATGGAAATTTGTTTACTCCGAATTTGCCTCCAAGTCTGTGCTAGGGGTTGGCCATGCAGTGCCATTCAACGATTTCCATGACTATAAAACGATGCCCGCCGCGTACAGAGGTTCCGCGCATTTCGACGAACTGTTGAACTTCCACTCGCCGCACGGCCGTTACTATGGAGGACAGACCTCCCAAGGACGCTCACCAGTCCCTTCCTGAGCAACCGCTGCAGCCAATTGACGAACAAGACAGCATCTCAAGTTCTTCGTCGTGCACGGAAAGCGAAGAAAAAGTGCCCACAAGAGAGACACAAGATGACAGCCAAACGCCCCAGTCGTCCAAACAGAAACAGCCTGAATTAAAATTGCAGAATGAACAATGCCCCCGAATTCTTCGCATGGCCATCCTTCAACACCTCTTCAGGAGCATCCTCAAACACCACTCTCTGTCAGGGCCGCCGTGACACGACATCCGACCGAATCGGACAGTGTTTACTATGGAGCCCAAACTCAGCATGAGCCAACCATCAGAAACAAAACCTTAAGTCAACAACAAGTTAATCGTTGGCCATCCCACTCTTTAGCGGGAAACAACATGGTGTACGGCCCACAGCGGCAAGAAAATGTCTACATCGACCCTGAATATCGCCAATACAATCCCAGATATGGCGGGAACAATGATTCGCCAATCTGGGGTCTCGCGAAGCCCCTTCCGCGTGTGGTCAGACCTGGTATGCGTCGCGACGAAAACAAATCACAAAAGGCGTACGAGACAGAGCCTCCAGGTCAATCACAACCAGCCCCGGAGCTGGGCATAACCCCAGGCCTCTCTAATACACAGTCTAGCGTCGCTGAACCTCACGGTCCCCCAAGCTATTCCGCTGCGGCACAACAGGGCGTGGCTAGGCAGCATGCAGTATATGCGCCACAGCCTGACGGTCTACTCCGACCGATCGAGTCCGAGGTCAACGGAGATGTTTCGGCACAGAAACCTGGGCCTGGACAAGATGAAATTGAACAGCCGCCCACGGAGGAGTTTCTTAATACATGGGCCAAGATTCGACATCACATGAAAGAGCCTTTCGCGGAATGGCTTGCGGTAAGTTCGCATCTCTAGAACCAGTCGAACTCTGTTAATGAAATTCAACTATTTAGACTACTGTTGCGGTCCTCATAGGCCTGACTGGTAACCTTGCAGTTTCGACCGGAGGTCCCCAGGCAGGAACTCGTCTATCGGAGAATTGGTCATGGGGACTCGGGTTCATGATCGGAATCTACCTGGCTGGTGGTGTTTCCGGTGCTCACCTGAATCCAGGGATCTCCATTGCATTATGGATATACCGTGGCTTCCCGGGCCGACGATGCTGCTACTACGTGATAGCCCAGATTCTTGGTGGTATCACAGCAGCCGGATTGTCGTACTGTCTATACAGAGATGCCATTATGGGTCTCGCGCCTCATGCACCTGCCGGGACTACCGGGCTCGGGTTCTACACAGAGCCGCTAGGGCATGTCAGCTCCGCCACAGCATTTTTCAACGAATTCATCGGCGATGCTATTCTACTCTGTGTGATCTTTGCGATGGGTGATGATAGCAACACGCCTCCTGGTGCCGGTATGCATTCGTTTGTGATTGGATTGGTTATCTATGTTTTGTGCATTTGCTTGGGGTTCAACACCGGCGGGTATGTTTCCTATATCCTCACAATATTCACGATACAATTTATTGACAGTTACCGTCCATAGGTGTTTCAACCCAGCAAGAGATTTTGGTCCTCGCCTTGTAGCTCTTATGGCTGGATATGGTGGTAACACCTTCACAGACCATAAAGGCTGGTGGTTTTGGGGATGCTGGGTAGCCACTATTGGTGGTTGCTTGGCCGGAGCTCTACTGTATGATGTTTTCATCTTTATCGGAGGCGAATCTCCCATCAACTATGCGCCAAGACGGCGCAAGAGAGCGAAGCTCAAGAAGGAAAGCAAGTGGAGGAAGAGACTTGGCATCGGGAAAGATAAACTTCCCTCGTTGGAGGACGGAATCAAAAACCTAGAAGAATAGAAACCTTATGAACGAATACAGTTTAGGAATACGAGATACAAGGTACAAGTTGTCATAACCCGCATGAGCCATTTGGAGACCGATTATGAAAATCAGTGTGGGTGTTTTTCACTATCTAGAAGTGAAATATTAGCTGGTATAGCTTTAAAAATTAAGTTTATATGATAGATTAATATTACATGCGCTCAGGGGATGCTCCAGCGGCCAACACTCTGTGAGACCAACGTTTATTTTTGACCTTACGCTACGACATGCTCTCATGCTTCGGCGGCAAAGTTCTTGCACAGTTCTAGATCTATAATATTCTAACTTGGGAGAAGTGGTTGGTTCCCCGTTGGCTTATTATTAACGGTAAAATGCCGTTCTCAAAAGACTCGCAGTTATGTGAAGTCCCACACCACAATGCCAAGTTACGGTAAATTGGCCGCCGAATAGCTAATCTAATGCTACGAGTTCGGCCACATGAAGGTTCAGCTGTTCATGATCTTCAAGTGTTCACATCTCAGGGTCTAGTAGCAGCCAATTTGCCAGTCCCAAGAATATCACCATCCTCCTCCTTTCCAGCCTGTGCGCGATCAATGCGGAATTGACTTGTCTGGAATAGACGAGGCATGCTGGTGTCTTCAAAGGGAACACCCTTGGCAATCATCTTGGCCAGTTCCTTTGCTGCTAGCCAGATGACTGGCATACCATGCCCGTTGAAGCCAGCTAGGATAAACCGACCTTTTTTCCCTGGAACGTGTCCGATATGCGGATTTGAGTCATATGAATAGCCCATGACACCCGTCCATATCTTGTCCACCTTGGCACCGGTATCTTCCCATCCACGATATGTTCGCTGCATATACCCGTCGTAGTACTCCTTAGCGGAGTCGATCAGGACACTGTCGTCCACATTATCGTACCACTGGTGTTTGAATGGCCGGAATACGGCAGCGGCACCACCTACGATAATGCTGCCATCGGCACGGGGGACAAGATAAGAAAGCGTATTGTCGTCGGCTCGGTTTATGTATGAATTGTTGAGAAGTGGCGGTGTGACCCCCTCCGGAACAGTGATTCTACAGCAGATACCCTTGCAGGGGATGATGTTCTTGCTGTACTCTGGGAGAAGCCCGGAGACATAGGCATTATTGGCGTAAATGATCTTTCCTGCACGCATCTTGCCTCGAGGTGTCTCCACAATGAAATCGCCTTCTGGGTTTGGTGTAATGGAGGTGACCGGTGTATGTGTTTGTAGATTTACCCCGGCTGTAAGGAGTAGTCGAATAAGATGGCTGATAAATTTGAAAGGAAACATGGTACCGGCAGTGAAGCTGGCACATGCTTTTGCGCCCTTGACACCGCAGATCTGGTGGATGTCAGTGGTTGATTTCGTTGTGCCACAGGAATGAGATATGATACAATCACTTACCCCTTCGACTTGGTCGCCTGTATAAAAAACAGCATCCTCCATATACTCAAAGCCGGCGGCAACCACTCGGTCGTAGACCGCTTTGGCTTTCTTCGCGGACTCCTCGTTACACCAGACATCGACCGATCGCGAAAGAGTGAAATCGCAGTCGATCTTCTCCTGCTCGATCACCTTCTTCAGTGCACGAAGATTGGCTATTTCGAATTCGGCAATTTCCGCACCCGCTCGATCCCCTGCGCGATCCATGTATGTCGGAATATGGCCATAGAAATCGGGTCTGCAATGGCCGCCGTTTCTACCGGTTGCTCCCGAACATGCGCCTCGTGCTTCTAATATAGCAATTGACGTTGTCGCAATGCCAACCTTCATGAGATGATATGCTGTACTGACACCCGCATACCCCGCACCAATGATCACTATATCACGGTGCTCGGGCAATTGATCCGTCGATCGGTGGTCGCTGAGCTCATCACGAGCTGTTTGCCAAAAGCATTTGCCAGGGGTTACGGTAGGGAGACACTTGGATGTGCCGGCAGTGGGAGGGGTGGTGCCGTTGGAGAGAGTCATGATTGTAAGTGAATGAATTTGCAAGTGGAAAGAATCTCGTCAAGCAATCTTCAAAGATCCTGCCATTTTTTATAGCAGATAAGAGTTCACGTCGCTCCGGTCACCAACAAATCTGCTTCTCCTCATCAGTGCCGGGCCGAGATTACTCGAAAAGGAAACCACCGGCAGGGGGCCATTGATGTACCCCCGCACTAAAATAGGGACCATGGGGGCTAGTGGCAAGGGTTTAGGGTTGGGCTTTTCCTAACGGAGGGCTAGTAGCCTCATAAACCGCGCCGGTCATAGTCCGGTCCAGTCCACCAACAACATCCCCGCGGTTTCCAATTAGCTCCTGATAGGAGCCGGCAGTCTGTGACGGTCCGTGCCAGATGCAAAATAAACATGAAAAAAAGTACAAAATTTGAGGGGTGGATCCTCATTCTGGGCAATCGCTTTCCCTCTGAATTGATTTCATGCTACAGTATCTTCAATCATGCCACCTTCTCTGACGAACCATAATTTGACAGACAATAATGGCATCGAGGCCACAACCCCCTCTGAAGAGAAGACCCCCGCCTACGATGCCGAGATGGCAAAACCTACTGATGCGGAGAATGCTGCTAGTCAACTCGAGGAGATCAAGAACTTCAGACAAGGCCTTCACCAGCGACACATCCAGATGATTGCCCTTGCTGGCACAGTTGGAACCGGCCTCTTCCTCAGCTCAGGGCGAGCTATTGTGACTGCTGGCCCATTTGGTGCATTTCTTGCATACTCTGTGATTGGCCTCACTGTGGCAAGTGTTGTCTTCGGTGTTGGAGAGATGGGAGCCCTGGCTCCTCTTAATGGTGGTCTGATCCGATATGCAGAGATCTTCTGTGATCCTGCTCTTGCATTTGCCAATGGATGGAACCAGGTTTACTCCTACATCGTCTCTATCCCAGCCGAAATCGTTGCTGCCGCCGTTGTCATCGAGTTCTGGACCACTGTCAACAACGCGATTTGGATCACTGTGTTTGGAGTCTTGATGCTGGCTACCGCCCTGATGTTCGTTCGAATCTACGGGGAACTCGAATTCGGTTTCTCGATCCTGAAAATCATGCTAGTGATTGGTATCAACCTAATGGCTCTGGTGATTACATGCGGCGGAGGCCCTAATCACAAGTCAATTGGCTTCGCCTACTGGAAAGCCCCATATGGACCTATGGTTCAGTATCTGGGAATTCCTGGCTCACTGGGTCGCTTCTTGGGATTCTGGAAAACATTCGACAACGCGCTCTACGCTTATTCGGGCATTGAGAACATCACCGTGGCAGCTGCGGAGACCCGATCTCCCCGTCATGCCATTCCTATGGCAGCACGCCGTATATTCGTCCGTATCTTGCTCTTCTACGTCGTCTCAATCTTTATGGTCAGCCTAGTAGTGGCATCTACGAATGATTCTCTCCTAGGATCATCAGGAACAGCTGCTCAATCACCATTTGTCATAGCTGCTCGTGTCGCTGGCATTAAAATCGTCCCCTCGATCATCAATGCGGTTGTTCTCACTTCAGCCTGGTCAGCGGGTAACTCCAATATGCTTGGTGGGTCTCGAATCCTCTACGGAATGGCAGTTCATGGACATGCTCCCGCTATCTTTAAGCGTATCAACCGCTTCGGCATCCCTTATGCGGCAGTGTCTCTCTATGGGTTGTTCATGGCCCTCGGGTATATGACTCTGTCCAGCTCGGCAAGCACAGTGTTCACCTGGTTACAAGATCTCGTCTCTATCTCTACCCTGGTAAATTGGATTTGTATCTGCGTGGTCTATTTGCGATTCCTCTACGGTTGCAAGAAGCAAGGGATAGATCGCCACAGGGAACTTCCGTGGGCGGCGCCTTTTCAGCCATTTTCGACCTGGGTCTCATTGACCGTGTTTATCCTTCTTTTCTTCACCGGAGGATTCACAACCTTTATACACGGGCAATGGAGCACCGAGACCTTTATCTCGAGCTATTTCAACTTGCCATTTATTGTGGTTATCTATTTTGGCTACAAGTTTTGGATGAAGACCAGAATCATTCCGCTGGCGGAAATTCCTATTCGACCTTTCATTGAAAGCTACCAGAACAAACCCGAGCCAGAGCCCAAGCCGAAGCGTGGTCTCAGGAGGCTTAATATCTTATGGTCTTGAATTTGTAAAGTCCTAGCAATCAATTTTATAGCGAATCTATGGAATTATGAATCTTCGCCTAAAGCCAAATACGTGTCTCTATTTTATCTCTCATCGTTTTCTTGGATGAGCAATGGAAGAACGCAAACCCGTTTCTCAAGGTTGACACACTTGAGCACAACAGTGTGTTGACGTATTCCGACTATCTCGGTCTTGTCTCACAACAATATCACAGCTGCACATGTGTGTGACAGGAAATTGCTTTTCGCTATCTGGACGTAGAAGACGGTATTATGATTCTTGCAAATCTCCACTTTCATGATAACTAGCAGCTGTCCAATAAGCGTGGACCGGCCCGGGTTTACCTGATCTGGAATTCCACGAACATCAAGTTGAATTTACTAGTGGGAGATGGTTGTCGGTGCGGGGGACAACTGCTTCTTCATGTTATTGCATTAGTCTTTCCAGTCTTCGATAGGTAATTCACACATAAGGGGCTCTCGATCGCCTCCAATTGGAACAACCAAGCTGATTTTACCAGTGTCTTCTAGCCCAGGTTCCTTTCCAAACCCCTCACCGTGAAAGGCACAGAACCACCTCTCTATACGCGCCGAATTAAGATCTAGCTTCAGAGAAAATTCTCAAACCCCAAAAGCCTTCTTCCACTCTTTACCCTCACCATGGGTAACCAAAAGCATGTGGTATTCGATGTTGTCGGGACATGCGTCTCCTTCGATGCATTTTACAACTGTATCGACCGCGTCATTGGCGATAAACTCCTCGCCAAAAACATCACCGCTCGCTCCTTCGGATTTACCTGGATGACAGCCGCCGAGCTGGAATTTACTTTCCTGTCAATCTCAGAACGCTACCGACCTTATAAGGACGTTCTCACCGCTCTATTCTTCCGGACACTGTATATGGCTGGAGTTGGGTCCCCAAGAACATTCGCCACAGAAGCAGAGCGCGATCAGTGTGTCCAGGGATATTCGGAGTTGGAACTCAGGCCGGGAATAAGCGATTGCTTTGAAATATTGAGAAACGCTGGATTTACCGTTTGGTGCTTAACTACCGGGGATACCAAGCGGGTTCGTGGGTACTTCGAACGTGCAGGCGTGCATATGCCGCTTGATAACTTCATCAGCTGTGACACGCAGGGATTGGCCAAGCCCGCTTTGGCAGCGTACAGGCCGGCTCTCGCCAAATTTTCTCCTGGAGATGTCAAGTGGTTCGCAGCGGCACATATGTGGGATGTGTCGGCTGCGGTCAAGGTTGGCTTCCGCGGTGCCTATTGCACGATATATGAGCAGGAGTCCTGTGAGGAGATTTTCGACACTAAGATGGAAGTTTTGGAGAATACACTGCCACAGATGGCGGAGAGAATTGTGGCGGCTTCTATTTGATTGTAACATGTGGTTACAATATTCATGCATAATATACTCGTCAAGTGATGGACCTGCAAGTTCCACCTAGTTTGTCAAAGCCATGTAGACCGTCAGAATATAAGCCAAATATTGTTCATACACAGTCATGTTCCTTCATCGGCCACGAAGTTAGGATCCGTGAGAAATTGCCCCAGCACCTGTGCCTCGTTATATGTAGGCCACTCGGTGGAGGGAGAGAAGGTTTCGGCGCCAAGTATGAACATTTCAATCGAAGGATCAATGCCATTGAAGATGTCACCATCAATGGTGAACGAAGGATTGAGGTATGTGTCAAAGGCTGTAGGCCGACTAGATGGTAACCCATTTTCTCCAACCTGGCAAGCCAGAGGATCTGGGTCCGATCCAGACGAGCGAGACTCGCTTCTTTCGGTCAAATTGGTTCCCCATTTCTTGAAAGCCTCGTAATCCGACACCGACTTTTCCTGAATATTTCCCAACTCCCTGTGTTTTGTTGCAGTGTGTAAGCGAGCAAGCGCCCGCTCGAGTGATTCAATCAATGACACTTCAGATCTCGCCGATTCCCCTGCCGCTGACATTTCGCGGATCATGGTCAATCCGTTGTATAAGGGCTTGCGGAATTGCTCAGAGAAACTTTGGATTGAGTAGGCAATCAGCACGAGTAAAGACGCCCGACATGAGCTATATTCGATGTACGAGGCTCGTGCAAGACCTATTCCGCTATCTCGTAGTCGCTGGCAAATATCCAGTGCCTCGTTCGCTGCCTGAATACAGTCATTGATCAAGTCCTTTCGACCTATCATGGATCTATGTGACCCTCCCTCGGTTATCCTGGGGTGACTTTCGGTGGTATTGTTCATCTGAGCAGGTGAACTTGTGCTGGAGTCCGATGTTTCTTGTTTGAGAAGGAAGGGTCTTCCGACAAACATACGAATTAAGCAGTATTCGAGTCTTAAATGCATTGCCGAGCGTATATGTGCGGATTCCAGTGTTTCGTTGTTTAGAGCATCACTCGGGAGGGAGGCCCACCATTTTGTGAAAGCACTCTTCATCGCCAACAAACGCAAGACAATTTTGCATGCCCCTTGCATTTGGCAATGCCGCAGCAAGTTGCTATAAGATTGTTAGCTTCACGACAGCTTGTTGCGTTTGGGAAAATGGAAGAGGGCTAGAAAGTACATTTCGTGAAAGAGATCTTCGAGAAAATTAACCAACTGTATCGAGATCTTAGCGCGCACAACAGTCCCTGGGCAGACTTCTGGATGCAAATTTCCTTGGTACGAAGGAATATTTGCATCAACATCCGTTCGAAGTACTGAAAGAGGCCGACCGTGAAAGATCGATATTTTCCTTTATGGCATTCAGCAAATGTTCTGCGTACTTTGCGAATGAAAATAAATCTTACCTCTCTAGTGCATATGCTGTCCACCAGACGCGGTTTCGTGTTTCAATCATGGCCGGACTAAAGGCCTCATTCTTGCATTTTCGATGCATCCCGTTCTGCATTCCAAGCCGCATAGCAAGATTGATGTAAATAAAGCCTAAACCCGAGGCATCAACAGGGAGTGCATAGTAACCAAATAGTAAGCACGCCTGCACACTCTCAAGAGAGGATATCTCGATGATCTCGGGTAGTAGACGGATTGCATGTTGATAAAATGTGGCGCCTACATCATCCTCTGAGAATGTTGATCCCGGGGCGCTGATAGAACCTTGTCTTGAAGACTCAAGATGGGAATATTGTGTTCCAATGGCAAAGACAGTGAGAAGTATACTAATTGTCACTTCGCTGCCATTCTTGTAGAAGCTTTCAGGATTGGTGTACAACGAATTCACTGTTTCAAGGACCCAGGATTCCTCAGCGAAAAAGTAATGTGTCTCTGCGAACTTGAAAAATGTGTTCACTAGAAAAGTGGCAACATGTCGAGGAGGACAGGATGAGACCGCTTCTGATAGATGGTTGTTTGCAGGGCGTAATTGATGGGCGCGGGGAAAGCCATGGTCATGATCCTGCAAATGCTTTCTTCATTAGCCAACGAAGGTCAACAACGGTGGCCAGCATAAAACATACTCGGCTCTCTGTCTCTTTTATGTGGCTTTCTATGCGACTTTTAATTCGCATAGAAAAGTTCCAGTATGAAAATTCCCCGGAAAAGTCTGCAGCTAATCAACATATATCTCAAAAGCGAGGATGTGAGTTTTGCAAACGAACGAGTTGTGCTATCACCGACTGGTTCCATTGTACAAGCCTCGTCATCTAACCGCAGTCCCTCCGAGTGTTGAGGGTCAGAGACAACCGCGGGTGTAGTCTCCTCATCGGCATCAAGGGCATCTGCTAACTTTCCCAAGCTTTCTGTATCCAGCTTGATACCTTTCATCGTGTGTTTCAGAATTCGCTCCATATATCTTGCGCGCTCCACCAGTCGTCGGAACTCGGACCTTTCGGCTTTTTCCCTGATCATCCTTAGACAGGCTCTGCCAGTAATTGCTCATGGTTGGTCACCTTGGTATGTAAGGACGAAACTCGCGAGACCTCGGCGGGAGACCCCGGAACTCACATATTCGCTGGAAATGAGCACATCTCCTGCAGGGGGCTCCCCCTTCACACTTCTCCTTTAGCCGTCGGCACTCATCGCACCTGCAGGTATAGTGTTAGTAAACTCAATCATGCATCGAGGTTGATGCGAAACTTTACGCCCGGGCTGCGCGCTTCTTTTGTTCCATGATCACGCTTTCGACACTCTTCAGCAGGAGCAATTTCAATTCCGAAGCGCGGAATTGAGCAAGGGTAAATGTGGGTGGGGTAGGCCCCGTGACGCGGAGATGGAATAGTTCTGTCCTGCAGCATAGATAACGCTGATAGCGCAGGTTCGCCAGGGCCTGCTGGTGGCCAATGATTAATCCCGTAACATTCTAGGCGTATCACTCGGTTGACACAACACACAAACTCTAGAGCTAAAATGAGGAACCCCCATCTACATTCATAAGCAACCGTATCTTTGGGGGACCGCATGAGATGCCATAAGTCACTGCTTTTGAAAACAGTTATCAATAAGTCTATTTAAGTCTCACTGAATGAGTAATTTCCTGATGCAAAAAGCTCTTTTGACATACAACAAAGCCGCTGTCGAACCACGTGATGAGATGATAGATCAGTTAGGAGATCGTTCGACCGAATAACTTTAATAATTGTCGAGAGCCATTAGTCATTCATGTAAAAAAAATTTTTTGTTTAATTTGGTCTTTTGTTTATTAGGTCAAACATCTGTAGATGCGGAAAAAACGGAGGGATGGGTGAAATGTAAGACAAATTCATGACAAATATTTGGGAGAAAAAAAAGACCACAAGACTAGGACGCACCTCTAGTGATCTCACGATTGTTGAAACTGAAGTAAGGTTCAGTCGTACACACTCTCTGGAGGTGAAGATTTGGTGTTATCTGTTATCGACAAGGTCGTCTTACTAGTAATTTTTTTTTTTCACTTCATCTTATCGATCCTCGTTTAGTACCATCAAATCAACCTTTCGTTATAAGGTTGGGCATGTCTAGCTAAGACAGGCAGTGATAGTGATCTATTAGAGGGGAAGCTCTTGGTGGGGAGTATCAAGCAGAGAAATGCCTACTACTTGTGACCGGATGTCAGATCAAGAAAGAAAATCAATAAAGAATTCAATTTGAGTACGTAGTCGACGGGAGATCCAAGTTGAGAAAGGGAAGAAGAGACCGAAGAAGAGTCTCTACTTATCTACAACAGTCTATGTCCTGTGTCACCTGTCAAACGCAGTCTTCAAACGCAGTCTTCAATCGCAGTCTTCAATCGCAGTGATGCCAAACGCGGTCCCGTCAAGCGCAGACCCGTCAAGATCCCATCAAGTGTGATCACACTACTTACTACTCATGAGTACGTTCTATATACACGCCGTAAGTCACATAATAGTAAAGCGGTTGCATTCACCTAGCTATCTTATATAGATATAAATTTATTCAGGAGATTTTGACAAAAAAAAGTTTTGGGACGAACCGGGATTGAACCGGTGACCTTTAGATATGATCTTTAACTGAAGTAGGCTTCAGTCTAACGCTCTCCCAACTGAGCTATCGTCCCATTTGATGATTCATCCATAGACTGGAAGATGAAAATTTGGAGACTTTAATCTGATAGCCCATACTCATCTGGGCCAACTGAGGATTCGTCCAGTGTGTTAGCTTAGCAAACTTGAAAAAACTAATACAAGTGAAGCATGACACTGCGGCTAAGGCCATCTTATCTGTGCCCAAGTAACATCTTTTTTTCCTTTCTCAGGTTGCCACCCTTCCTTCCTCTGACTTTTAGATACAGTCTCGACCAGGTCTACTCTTTCCTTCCAAGGATTTTTGATCATCACCAGTCAAATCCATCCAATTATAGACCAACGAAAGGATGGGAGCCGCCTCAAAGCCGTGTAGGGGCTCGTGTCCTAGTTCAACCCCGATAAGAACCCGACTGACGACCAGATAATAGAAAGTGCCTCAGTGCCTCTTCTGCGGTCTTTGCGGTATTCGCAAAGCAGCGCGCATTAGCTTCTTGATCGCATTGACCGAAACACTGGCGCGGATCTTCTCGTCGACCAGAGACACCGCGCAATTTGGGCTGTCGGATGTGGTGAAGATCTAGGAGGAGCAGTCAATCCTTAGCGAATCCTCATTGTGTCTGAGACTACCAGGTATTGTCGAAGTCAAGGTGAAGATGAAAAATTCGAAGAAGCTAGCGATGGTATCAAATATAGCTCTCTTAAGTTTCAGAGCGTGATTCCGAGCGTCTTTATTTGAGCCACGAGCAAGGATCCAAGCAATACAAGCCAACAAGAGGTTGATGTTCACTCGAAAATATCCAGAATTGACTCTAAATCGTTTGGTCTTCCAGAATATCAATTTTCTGAGATGGACTCAGCTAAGTCGGCCATTTGTTTTGCCTCTCGCTGCATTTCCGCTTGCGTACGCTACGTGATTATACGTAATTTAGCAACGTGCCCTACCTTGGCTGTCAGGGCTCACAGCGCGGCGGCCTGAGTGTATGCGATGTGACCAGGTAGTCAGATCAGGAAGAAAACGAGAATGTAGTCAAATTGATGTACTGTAGTCGACGGGTCTTCCAGGTTGGAAGAAGAAAGATGAAAGAAAGAGGAAACAGTCCAACTATCTACGCAATCCATATCACATGGTCACGTCAGGCACAGTTCAGGCCGGTCACATGCGATACTATATATTAAAGAGCTTTTATTTTTCGCAATTGTCACGATATATATGGATTTTCGCGCAAAGGTCCTTGGGGGTGTGGGTCTGTGGGAGGCGAACGTTCCCTCAGTTCCAAGTCACCGAGTGGGTGAAGCGAGCGTCATGACTTGTCTAGCTAGATACAACTAAACTATTATAATGATGCAGGAGATTTGACAAAAAAAAGTTTTGGGACGAACCGGGATTGAACCGGTGACCTTTAGATATGATCTTTAACTGAAGTAGGCTTCAGTCTAACGCTCTCCCAACTGAGCTATCGTCCCATATTATGATGCCTAGTATTAAGATAAGTAAGGAGATTTTAGTATCGTCATTATAATAGTATGATAGTTCTATTTACTGGACCAGGGCGTGAAAAATTAACGTACCATCCCATCCTACATATATTCAATACTGTAAACAACTATCATATGACAATAAAAAAAAATCGCATTCACCTAGCTATTTTTCTAAGATGTAAATTGATGCAGGAGATTTGATAAAAAAAGTTTTGGGACGAACCGGGATTGAACCGGTGACCTTTAGATATGATCTTAACTGAAGTAGGCTTCAGTCTAACGCTCTCCCAACTGAGCTATCGTCCCATTTGATGATTTAACGAATCATGGCTGGTTACATGAATGGTATGCAAGATAAAGTCCGATAGCCGTGCTCATTATGTGTGCCCTTAGTAGCATCTCTTTTCCACTCTTTTATTAGATTGCCTCTCTTCCTTCCTCTGACTTCAGTATAGTCTCTGTATTACCCAATTATGGCACACGACAGCCGTGCTGATCCTTCCTGCACCACGGCTACATATGGCCCACTGTCAGGGCTGCCGTGAGAGGCTGCCGCCCCCAGTTATCAGCTCGCTAGTTAGGGTTTCTCGCAAAAATAGTATACTGTACGTGGAACTAGGTGATCTATTGTCTCTCTTTTTTTATCCTCACAAAGACGTTTCGTTCGAAAAGGGCAACATCCCGAACCCAACATCGCTGGACCATAACCCCCAAAAGCCAGAGCGACCGCATTAAGGATGTCGAGCTCACAGACACTTTCACGGCCCAGGGCCATTGGTACCGCTGGGTGCTTGCTTTATCGACACTCTTGCTGCATAGAAACGTAAATGAGACCTTGCGATATTGAACGCAATGATCTGCTCGCCTTGGGCCACAGGCTGCCGTCACCAGTCTTTGGCGCGCCCACCAGAGCCGGCCGGATCACCACATGCCACAACAGTTAATGCCGCTGATACGCTTGAAATTGGCATCGCCAGCTTTACATCTAACCCCTTTGCCCTTGCGACTGCTCGGCAGTAGGAACGTCTAGTACAGTGCGGTTGCCGACCACAATATATATATCCGCTCCTTCATCTATGCTCAACCCACTTCTGGACATCTTCTGACCTCATGTCACCATAAAGCCACTGTTCATCATTGTCTAAGTAATAGGTCTTCACCTGCTTGGCTGTGATATGAACCGAGAATTTTGTACGACTTAGTGCGGAAGAGGAGAGGAGAACAGTTAGCTCGGAAGCAAAATTGCGATAGACCCCAATGGTGTCGGTGCCATCATAATAGGTTTCAACTATCTCAATAATGCTAAAGCTGTTACCTAGGCTCGGATAATCGGCGAGTTTCATCAAGATTACTGGCGAAACGTCTTAGCTTAATTGCGGATTATTGTAGAAAGAACTTCAGGAGGAGAATGCTAACATGCATTTTGGAAGCATACCAGATCTTTACAGGGGTGTGAATAGGATAGGGCAAGTTGCGTTGGCAGAAAAACAGAATAATATGCTTGTGAGAGGAGCGCAGCTGGTGACATGGCAGAGAGACTGTAAAAACACATTTCACTTCTATCTCTTTTCCTCATGTTAGGGATTACAGTGGGTTGGTTAGGGCCCATAATAGTATGACGTCTACCCCGCATCACCCCATCCTCTCCTTTGCTCATCTTCGTTTCCTTTTACAAGGACAGGTATGATCCCATATGTTTTGTTACAAACTAGAAATTGCATATTCCACAAGTCTCTTGTATAGATCGATTATTTGAATTGCGGGGATCTACTTCGTGAGTAACTGTAAGTCATTGGAGCGGAGTCAAGCTCGACGATGACACCTAGTGACGTCGACGGAGCGAGCTGCAAGAACTTAACCTAGTGGGCGCTGGGGGATGGTTAGACTTTGGGTCGAGCTAGGGCTAGGCTTTCGTTGCTCGACTTAGCTTTTGAAATGAGGAGTGGCTTAGGGACTTGGGTAGAGAACCGTGCGATTTTCTCTGGAGAGCTCCATCTATACATACTGTTGGTGTGATGTTATGGAAAGCATGCGGAGCAAATGAAATATAGCTACAGACTAGCACTAAAGCTCTTCCATTCTCATTAAACCAATACTTTCTCGAACATGAAAGCAAGAAACCGAAAAAATGAAGAAAAGCCCGACCGAGCCACATGCAACCCCAACGAATACGTCATCGCCCGCACGCGGGAATAAAAGCAGGGATCCTACCTACTACCTCGCCCCAGCTCTGCTATTCACACATAATATCCTCTGACTCTGCCAGACAGACAGCCCTGAATCAACAATCCATTGATCGCTTGATCCTTCTCACTCACACATACACACCATGTCCAAGAACCGAACGGGCCTCTACCTGGGTCTTGCCGTGGCGGGCGCAGGCGGGTACTATCTGTACCGCTCGGGGGGAGATGTCGAGGGTGCGAAGAAGGAGATGAAGTGTGGGTTTTCCTCTCTCTCTCTCTTGTTTTATCCATTTCCACCGACTCCCAAGGAGATTGATTGCCATATACATACTACTGTGTAGAGTGGAGCATACCTGTACTAACACTATACAGACGACGTGAACAAGGCGCGCGATAAGGTCCCCAGCGGCGAGAGCGCCGAGAAAACGGGCAAGAATATCGGCAAGGAGACCGGTGCTGCTTTGGATAACGCTGTAGGTTCCCCACCCCATTCTCTCGTTCTTCCATGTGACACTATATGGGAGCATAACTACCAAAGCAAGATACTAACCGATTCAGATCAACAAAACCCGCACCACGCTGGACGAACGCATCCCAGAGAAGACGCAGGAGGGCATCAACAAGGCCGAAGAGCTCCGCAAGGAGGCGCGCCAGAAGTTCCACGAGGGCGTGGACAAGATGGATCGCACGGTTGAGCAGAAGGCGGCGGAAACGAAGGGAACGGTGTCCGGGTGGTTTAGTTCGGGAAACAAATAGATCATTGTCATTATGTCTTTGGTGTACTTAGTTAGGTCTCGACTCGATCGAATCCATTTGTCTGGTATGGAGTTGGTGGTGTTTGATTGGTGTGGTTGAGGTCGAGTAGGACATTCCAATGTTCGGGGAGGTCACCGTAGTGACCAGAATGTTGAGGAGTATTCGGTATATACGGTGGAGATTATCTTTTTTTATTCCTCCTCGACTCAGTGCACCTTTTATTCTGTTCTCTTGTCTTGATGGAAAATCATCACTTAATCACTAATAATTGTTGAAACCGCTTTAACCCATTCGGGCTGACGCGACACGACACGACTTGGACGCGCCCCTTCTCCCTCTCGCGTCTCGCTCTTCTCATCCTTCTTTCCCCATCTTACTTTTCACCCACATCATATTCCCGGTATCTCTTACCCTGTGTGATTTATCTTCCCCCATTCCTCCTTCCTCATATTTTCTGTTCAATAAAAAAAAAGTGCAGTCGCGATGCCGCGCACCGCCCGACAGAGCTGCCTCGCCCAGCAGCAGCCAGCCATCCAGGCTTTTACCAGAGCCACCAAAGCCGGCGCGTCGCAGCTGCCAACCACCAAAAAGCCTGCCTCCTACGCCTCCCTGTCCGTCTCGCCTTCCAAAAAACGCAAACTCCAGGAATTGGAGAATGTGGAAAGCGCCAGCCCTCAACAGACTGTCGAGGAAAATCTGACGCCCTCCAAAACCCTCAAGCTCAGTCAATTGTCCGTCTCCTCGCCGCGCAGTGGGCATTATGCGTCACCAAAACGAACCCCGAGTCGACGCGCTCGCGCATCCAATGCCAATGTTCAGGAAACCACCCCGTCCAAACAGCGGATCTTGAATTTCGAGAAAATCAAGGAGGAGCCCGCCATTACTCCGCGACCGGCGTGTTTCACCGAGATCCTCGATCTACACTCGTGCTTTGTCCAGGCTCTGTCGCTCCACGCAGCCCACAATGGCTCCAAGAACCCAGCGGATCTCAGACAGTTTCTTCCCAGCGTCACCCGCATCTGGAGGAAGCGCAAGGTGCAGCAGAAGGATCTGCAGCGGCTGGTCTGGATCTGGGATCGCAGCACCAAATCGAGTCACGTCTCGTACCGTCTGGCAAATTACGGCCTGGGCAAGATCTGTCTCGAGCGGGCGGTGCAGACAGAGGAACAGCCCTCCGCGTTGCAGGAGTCGTTCGAGCAGGCCCTTGATCTACTCTGGGAGAAGGCCCAGGATGCATTCGATGGTGCCAGTGACGAAGACCGGGCGTCGCTGTTCCTTGAGACGCTGGGTCTGTCCCCCGTGCACGAGTCGCTCATCCCATTCGCCTCCTTCCACAAGGGCCAGCAGCGCCTGCAGGACTTGAAGGGTGGCATCATTCGCATGAAGACCGAGAAACTGCGCGCCGAATCCGAGCAGTGTCCACCCAAGACGCTGGCCGCCACGACAAACCGCCGACAGGGCCTCCTGGACCGCATCAAGAACAAACAGCTGCACCAGTCGACGCTACCTCCGCCCCCCACCAAACGCGAGGTCATCCGCCGTGCCGCAGCCGACCGCGTCGAGGAGGTCGCCGGCATCTTGGCGCTGCTGCGCCCGGCGGGTTACGTGGGCACGGGGATCAAAGCCATGCTAGCTGCGCAGCGCAAGCCGTTCACGCTTGAGATGATCGTGCAGCATGTGCGGGACTCGATCCGCAGCCCGATTGCCTCGGAGGAGGTAGTGATGTGTATTGAGATCCTGGCCGAGGCTGGTGTGGCGGGTCAGTGGATTAGCATCGTGCCCATCAACGAGATGCGCTCGGTGGTGTTGAAGTCATGCAGTGATGTCTCTGCTAAAGATATCGGGGCCAAGGTGGCCAAGCTGAAGGCCGAGTGGGATGCGCCGTGTGGGCAGAGTGTTCTGCTCGCACCTGTTTAATATGTTGTTTCTTTTTTTCTTGCATTGTCCGTCTTGCATCAGCGTTGTTGTGATACCCTCCTGTACACCATCACCAGGACCATCATGTCCGTAGTTATCCTAGCCTCCAATCAATTAATTAATGAATGATCGATCAGTCCATCCTCCAATTAAAAATAAAACTAAGAAACCACTTAAACACGCGACGCGTCTCACGTGACGGCGTTGCCACCAAGCGCGTCTTTTGCACAGGCTACACTCCCTGTTCTGCAACTGCTCTGTGTTGCACACTCAACCAACATAATGTCTTCTCGGCCAGATCTAAGGGTACGTATGCTTGCTTTATGCTACCACAAGTCACTAATTTATTTGTAGGTCGACGACGAAGTCGGATTCATTCGATTCTTCCATTCTCTCCCAACACCCGACAACAATGAGACAATCCGCGTATTCGACCGAGGCGAATGGTACTCATCCCACGGCGGCGATGCAGAGTTCATAGCTCGCACCGTGTACAAGACGACCTCAGTGCTGCGCAACCTCGGCCGCAGCGAGACAGGAGGCCTGCCGTCCGTGACCATGAGCGTGACGGTCTTCCGCAACTTCCTGCGCGAGGCGCTGTTCCGACTCAACAAACGTATTGAGATATGGGGGTCCGGGGGCACGGGCAAGGGGAACTGGAAGCTCGTTAAGCAGGCCAGTCCCGGCAACTTGCAGGATGTGGAGGACGAGCTGGGCAGCGTGGGTGCCTTGTCAATGGAGTCTGCGCCGATTATATTGTCCGTCAAGATCTCGGCACGCGCCGCAGAGGCTCGACATGTGGGTGTTTGCTTTGCGGACGCGAGCGTGCGCGAGCTCGGTGTTAGCGAGTTTCTCGATAACGATGTCTACTCCAATTTCGAGTCGTTGGTCATTCAGCTCGGTGTGAAGGAGTGTTTGATCACGATGGATACAACGCGCAAGGATGTCGAGCTGGGCAAGATCCGCGCTATTGCGGATACCTGTGGGATTGCCATTTCGGAACGCCCAGCCGCCGATTTCGGGGTCCGTGATATTGAGCAGGATCTGACGCGGTTGCTGCGGGATGAGCGCTCGGCGGGGACGTTACCGCAAACAGAGCTGAAGCTGGCGATGGGCTCTGCGTCGGCCTTGATCAAGTATTTGGGCGTCATGTCCGACCCCACCAATTTCGGGCAGTACCAGCTGTACCAGCATGATCTGTCGCAGTTCATGAAACTGGATGCTTCAGCGCTCAGGGCGCTGAATCTTATGCCCGGCCCACGGGACGGGCATAAGAGCATGAGCTTGTTTGGTTTGTTGAATCACTGCAAGACGCCTGTGGGCAGTCGTCTGCTGGCGCAGTGGTTAAAGCAGCCACTGATGGACCTGGCTGAGATTGAACAGCGGCAGCAGCTGGTCGAGGCGTTTGTCGTCAACACGGAGCTGCGACAGACAATGCAGGAAGAACATCTACGTGCCATTCCGGACCTTTACCGGCTTGCGAAGCGGTTCCAACGAAAACAGGCCAACTTGGAAGATGTTGTCCGCGTATACCAAGTTGCCATTCGGCTGCCTGGATTTGTCAGTGCGCTGGATGACGTGATGGATGAGCAATACCAGTCACCGTTACAAAAGGAATACGCCTCCAAGCTTCGGGGTCATTCTGATAGCTTGGCCAAGCTGGAGGAGATGGTGGAAACGACGGTCGACCTCGATGCGCTCGAGAACCACGAATTCATCATTAAGCCCGAGTTTGATGAGAGTCTTCGCATTATTCGAAAGAAGTTGGACAAGTTGCGGTACGACATGGACATGGAACATCGCCGTGTTTCCAAAGACCTCAACCAGGACATGGAGAAGAAACTGTTTCTGGAGAACCACCGCGTGCATGGTTGGTGCTTCCGTCTCACCCGCACAGAGGCGGGGTGCATTCGCAACAAGAAAGAATACCAGGAATGCTCGACGCAGAAGAACGGCGTGTACTTCACCACATCGACTATGCAGTCCCTCCGTCGCGAGCATGACCAGCTCTCCTCCAACTACAACCGCACTCAGTCCGGACTGGTCAACGAGGTTGTAAGCGTCGCGACATCGTACTGCCCCGTTCTGGAGCAGCTCGCCGGTGTCCTCGCTCACCTGGATGTCATTATCAGCTTTGCTCATGCCTCGGTCCATGCCCCCTCGGGCTATGTCCGCCCAAAGATGCACCCGCGCGGGACAGGGAACACCGTGCTCAAGGAAGCTCGCCACCCGTGCATGGAGATGCAGGACGACATCTCATTCATAACCAATGATGTCTCCTTGATCCGCGATGAGTCCTCGTTTCTCATCATCACCGGTCCCAACATGGGTGGCAAGTCCACATATATCCGCCAGATCGGCGTGATCGCGCTCATGGCGCAGACGGGCTGCTTCGTGCCCTGCACCGAGGCCGAACTCACCATTTTCGACTGCATTCTGGCTCGGGTGGGCGCCAGCGACTCGCAACTCAAGGGCGTCTCGACCTTTATGGCGGAAATGCTCGAGACTTCCAACATCCTCAAGTCCGCGACCTCGGACTCCCTGATCATCATCGACGAACTCGGTCGGGGCACCAGCACCTACGACGGATTCGGTCTTGCCTGGGCGATCTCTGAGCACATCGTCACCGAGATCCGTTGCTTCGGCCTCTTCGCTACCCACTTCCACGAGCTGACCGCGCTGGCGGACCGGTACCCCAAAGCTGTCCAGAACTTGCACGTTGTCGCGTTCATCGGTGACGGTACTGAGGCTGCCACTGAGACGGAAACAAAGAAGAAGCGTCAAGTGACTCTTCTCTACCGGGTGGAGCCCGGGATCTGCGACCAGTCATTCGGTATTCATGTTGCGGAACTGGTGCGCTTCCCGGATAAAGTAGTGAACATGGCGCGCCAGAAAGCCGAGGAGCTGGAAGACTTCTCGACCACTGAGAACAATGGGGACAAGGCACAGGAACCTGTTCCCTCGCTCGACAAGTACTCTCAGGAGGAGGTGGAGGAGGGCAGCTCCCTCCTCAAAGAGATGCTGATGAAATGGAAGACGGAGATCGGGGGCAAGGATTTGACCGCCGAACAGAAGCGCCAGGCTATGCGGGATCTGGTCAACGGGGACGCAAAGCTACAGGCCAACAAGGTCTTCCAGGGTATTACGGCTTTGTAGATGGAAGTGTGTCCTGCTTCCTAGGCTCGGCGTTTTTGGAGGAGGGTTTTCGGTGCTCTGACCATGTCTCGGATATGTTTTATTAGTTTCTAAATCCAAAATTCCTCTTATGATACCTCTGTTTATAGGTACTTGTCCTTAATCCTTAGGGCTGCGAACCAGTCACGTGGATCCACCTCGGTCCAGGAGCGGAATCCAATCGCTGAACAGGCATCAATCATCACCGCCGATACGCCCACCAGCAGTGACACTGCTGATCCTGCCGTTCCTCCAGTACTTCTAATTCTCAGTTCGCTCGTTTACCTACTACCTACCTACCTCATCGCACCGGATTGACAAGCCCCTCCGAAATAGTCCCCCCCGAAACAATCTCAATTCCCAGCTATGCCCAGCTAGAAAGTGGACCGCTGAGCGACCTTGAATTCATGCACCCCTTTTCCATCCTCACCCTTGGGATCTTCGTCGCGGGCTACACCACTGCCAGGTGGGATCTTGTTACCCGGCTCTACGAATTAGCTATCTTTGCGTGGGATCACGGCGTCGTGGTAGGTGTTCTTTTATTTTTCTTGTTCGGGTCGGTGTTCGCGTCTTGCTGGTCGTGTCTCCCGCCCACCTCTCTGCCAGCTTGACTACACCCATCTTAGTGCCATTGCCAGTTGTGTTTTGTGTTGGCATGACTGATATATGTTTTGATAGACACGCACCGCGAAGGGATTCCTCTTCCTCTCCGTCTTCTTCTTCCTGCTCGTTCTGCCTATCAACCACCTTGCGGCGAAGGAGGGCAAGTTGGTGAGCTTCCAACACCACCATTACCATCTTCGAGTGACCATGCGTTTCGCTGACGGTTTCTGTGATATGCTAGCACCCGCGACACGTAAATTTCGGCGTCTCGGCTCGGGAACAATTGCGCCGGCGTGGTTCGTTCTAATACTGCGCGGGAGGATGACAACATGCTCATGAGCGATGGACTGCTGCGGGTGTTCTGGCCGTATGATCTCCCGCGATCTTCGTCGCCAGGGGTGATTATCGGATGGCGGAATTCGGAGCTTGATCTTTTTGTGCTCACGGTGCTCGAAGATGTTGAGCCGCGCAATGTCGACAATGCGCTTCGTGCCGGCATTCTCTTTCGAAATAGTCCGCACCCTATTGTGCGTATCTTCAATCTCTGTGGTCGGTCTCAGATGCACGTCCTCGGGTCGACAAATTCGCCTGATGCGCCAACTGCGTTTAGCCCCTCCCATCTCTATGTGACCACTCATCTGCCATCCAAGGCTCCGCGGATCTTCTGTCCCCCAGAGGCGAATTTGTCTGTTCAGGTTATCATGTTCCATCGTCCCCATCCCAAGCGAATGGAGTACATGTCTCTCGAGCCCATTTCCCTCGCTTTGGGTGATAAGGCAGCTACGGCGAAAAGATGGGGTCCGGTTGTCAGCAAGATTGAATCCGAGGAAGAGAGCGAGAAGAGCCGGTCCGAGGTGCTAGTCGAGAAGTTGAAACTCCATACAGTGGTCAAGCATATTCCGTCACAGAAGGAACAGGCCCTCCCGCTCATTGTCAACCAAGTCAACTGCGCCTATGAGATGGGACAGCTCATGCACAAGAATAGCCACCTCATTGGTATCCGGGCCAAGAGGAGTATGAGTGTCGGCGAACGCGTGGTGGAATCCGCAACTACCCTGTGGGGTTTTTTTGTCCTCTTCGTGGCCCACATTTGCTGGCAATGGATCTGGCCCGTCATCACAAGATTCTTTGTCATTGGTCTCGTAGGGCACCGATCTGTCGCAGAGATTGTCCTGCAGGTCCTCGAATGGCGGGCGCGGCCTGATGCTGCTGCTCTGAAGGACATCTCGGCGACAGCGCAGCAGGTCGATATACGACTGCAACAGTTCTGTTACTGGCCGATCCAATACACCAAGCTTCGCCAGAGAAAGGATAACTGGGAGAGTGTCACTACAAGCCACCCGGATTATATTCGATTCTACAATAGCTTGTGGCTCGTTGCCAATGATGTGATTATTGGGATCGCTCTTGGGTCTTATATCATTGACAACGCGAACTGGGTGGCTTCTCAAATCAATACCGTTCTTACCGGCTGGACTGTTGAAGGGCTTCAGCGCACGATCTCGTGGTTGATGGACTGGCCAGCCGGTCTGAAATTGAACAACGAACTTGCAGCTTTCCTGGGTGACTTGTTCCTGTGGGTCATCGAGAACTGGGCGGGTGAGTACATCTTAATCTTCCTTTTGCTCTCAGTGCTAAATATTCGTGGATCTAGCTTGCATTGCCAACCTACAACCTTATCTACCTCACCTGATCTACGTTGTCGGGTGCTCCAGCTTCGCCGGAGCCAGCATGCCCATTGCAGTATTTTCCGACTTGCTTTCCATCCTAACCATCCACATTTACTCCTTCTATATTGCCTCCGCCCGCATCTTCAATTGGCAGCTCACGATCATCATCTCTCTGTTCCATCTTTTCCGCGGCAAAAAGCGTAATGTCTTGCGCAACCGAATTGACTCATGCGATTACGACCTCGACCAGCTACTGCTCGGCACCATCCTATTCACCGTCCTGTTCTTCCTTCTACCTACCGTCGTCGTTTTCTACCTGACTTTTGCATCGGCTCGGATGTTGATCATCTCCATGAAAGCGGCGTTTGACACCTGTCTTGCGTTCCTGAACCATTTCCCACTCTTCGCACTGATGCTGCGAGTGAAGGATTCACGGCGCCTGCCAGGTGGTATCCGATTTGAGCTTCGAGACGAGCCTGAAAAGCATGCCCCAGCCTCTGAATCATCCGTCCGGGCTTCCTACATCCATCTCGAGGTATACACCTCTATAATCCGATGTCCCACCGCACGCACTGACTAACATCTATCTAGTCCGTCCCCCTGCCGCTACGGGCCATGTTCGACCAATACTTCCAGCTAGGTCATCGACTCCGAAAGCACTACCTCGCACCACAGGTCATCTTCTGCCTCGTCACCGGCCGTTTCGTTCCGCCGATTCACCGCCGCAATCTGTACAGCATGCAGTATAGCATGCTTCCCGCGCGCCGCGCAGGTATGGCCGAGGTATGGGCGCTTCTGACCCAGCCCAAGAAAGGCAGCAGCGGTGGCGGCGCAGCCGGCTCGATGGGAGGAGGTATCGGATCCTTGGGCAGTCCTGTGCCCAAACTGCCCGCGAATTTCGTTCAGAGCGATCTGAGGAGACGAGGTCATCGCTGATGCCGCTTTGTCTCCTGGTATATAGTGCTCGTATAGAATGCTTAACCGAGATGGTTAATTGAGCATTTCCCAATCAATATATTAATTTTTTTATATCTCAACCAATCTTCTTTGTCCATATCCTGGCCGTGCTATAACGTGTTTAAATCGGAAGTTTGTACAACCATCCAGACCCAGGTATAGTCCTTTATTTTTGCCCCCAAATAACAACTCAAGTGGTAGAAGATGTCCAAGCAGAAAGGAGAGATCGGTCTATGCAGACAGAGATGAGATGTAGTATATACACAGTAAATGAAGCCAAATCCAAACGCCCACCCATGGAGTCAGTCAACCCATGGGAAATGCTCGTCATCGCTGAAACCAACTAGACGAATTCAAAGCGCGGTCATGTACTCGCTCATTGTAACATGCCTCGCAGGAGACGAAAAAAGGAGCAGACTAGACTAGGACTTCTTGAGAAACTCCGAGTCCGTCTCGCTACTACTCTTCCGGGCATCATCTAGCATCGATTCGATGCCTCTCTCCTTTAGAGATTTCTATTCTCGCCACAATCATTCCTAAGTTAGCCGCAGATTCTTTTCTAGATTTTTCTTTCTTTTGCTTCTTGGCAAAGCGCAAGACAAGAGCTTACATTTAGACAAGACTTGTACTTGGTGAAGAGTTCTTCGCAGTCGTTGGATGATGTGTTGCCACGAAGGTACTCTAGCACATAGTTAGCTATACTGCTTCATGAATTGTTGAGATATATACCTACTCTCGCTGTACCATTTTAGGAAGCAGGTGTCATATTTCCTGTATCGGATGTCGTGGTTAGCCTTTGCGTTCAGCTGCCAGCTATCTTTGGAGCTGCTCGTTTGTCCAAGTCGTGTAGTCGAAGCCAGGGAATCTGATCTGACTCACTCTTTGATATCGTTGCATTCTGGAGCAATGGAAGCAGCCATTCTGCCGACAGCTAAAGAGACAGGGAGTGTGAGGTAGTTGAAGAGAGCAGTGGAGTCATGTGAATAGTCTTGAGGTGCCCGGGTCATCAGTTTATCCGGGTGACTTTTTTTGCCGTTCAGTTTCATTCAAGCTCAACTACAAACTACAAACTACCCAAGTTACAGCATGGATTCAGCTGGAGGGTTCACTTCCTTCCAGGACAGACTGTCATCGTCTCTGGTCCAGGTAACCCGCACCGTCGGACAGCTCTCGTCCGAAGACCTGAACTTCTACCGCACCTCCAGCGCTGAGCTTTCCGAGTCGCTCGACGAACAGAGCGAACGCATCCTTTCCTTGACCTCCTCGGTCCTCAAAGCTGCAATTGCCGGAACCGACCTTTCCGCTCCGTCCCTCCACAATGAAGAATCGGTCGAGGACAATTGGCGCGGCGTGGTGGATGTGATCGACGCGCTGCTGGAGAAAGCGGACGCCTGCTTGGATGAATTCACCGGAGTGATCAAGAAGTTGAGCCCCTCGCAAGAAGAACAGGCCCCCGTGAAGAAACCGCCGCAGAAATTCCCCACCATCTACGACTATGGCCCGTCCAAGATCCCCAAACCCCAACTGCTATTCGACCACAAGCCCGATAACTCCGATCTCGGTCCCTTCCGGCCTCTGCTCAAAACAAAGCCGCATGCAATTGTCCCGCTGGATGAATCGCTACAAACTCGCGAGCTTGATGGCAAGACGGGGTATCCCTCCCCGTATGAGGCTGAGATCCGCGCTGCGAAGTACCCGAAATCGGTCTACGAGGTCTCTCCTCCGATTAACTACCTTCCCTTTGAAAGTACGACGGCTACGTTTGTCAATACGCTGGAGGGAGCCAAGGAGATGCTTGGCGAGCTCAAGAAGGCGAAGGAAATTGCGATTGATCTGGAACATCACGACGTGCACTCCTACCATGGACTTACCTCGCTGATGCAGATCAGCACTCGCGACAAGGACTGGGTGGTGGATACCTTGCAGCCGTGGCGGGAAGAGCTCCAGATGCTCAACGAGGTCTTTGCGGACCCGAACATCCTCAAGGTCCTGCACGGATCAACCATGGATATCATCTGGCTGCAGCGCGATCTGGGCCTGTATATTGTCGGGCTCTTCGATACTTTCCACGCGGTATCTGCGCTGGGTTGGCCGAAGCGAAGTCTAAAGGTCCTTTTGCAGAAGCTGGTCAACTTTGAGGCCGATAAGCGCTACCAGATGGCCGATTGGCGGGTTCGCCCGCTTCCAGATGCTATGTTCGACTATGCCCGCTCGGATACACACTATCTCCTCTACATTTACGATATTCTACGCAACGAACTTGTCGAGTCCTCGACCAAGGCCGCTAACCACATCGATTACGTGCTGGAGCGCTCCAAAATTGAGGCGCTACAACGGTACGAGCGGCCGGTGTATGATGCGGCAAATGGACTGGGTCCAGGCGGTTGGTACGATCAACTGTCACGCAACCCCGGAGTCCTGCCCAAGGAACAGTTTGCCGTTTTCAAGGCTGTTCACCAGTGGCGTGATGAGGTGGCGCGAGCTGAGGATGAAGGCTGGCAGTGCGTGTTTCCCAAACATATGCTCTTCAAACTGGCCCAAACCATGCCGCTCGACATGGGCGTCTTACTCCGGACTCTGTCACCTGTGACGCCCATCACGAAGGAGCGAGCTCATGACCTCCTCGAAGTGATCAAGAAAGCGAAAAGCGAAGGTGCTAATGGTCCGGAATGGCGCGACGTGGCGCCACCGCCGAAACCTCTAGCGAAAGCTGTAGCAGCAGTTCTTCAGCCAGAGAGCACCGATTTTCCTGCTGCCGAGCGCTACGAGACGTCCCAGTTTTGGGGCAATGTCCTTGAAGCATACGAATCACCTGCTCCGCCGACATACTCGCTTGTTGCAGCGGCCGAAGCTCTCCGACTTTCTCTTCCCCTACCGCCCATGCCTTCGACCGTGTCACAAGCGCGTGAGAAACTGAGCACGACTGCCAAACCCCCTCCACCGACTATACCTGCTCCCGCCCCTGAAGAACCGAAAATCTTCACTGTTAAGGAACTCGGCGGCCCACGCAAGCGAAAGGCTGCACCCGCTGAACCGACCGAGCAAGCTGCCTCGACACCAGACGAGCTACTGGTGGAGTCGGGCAACGAGCCCGAATCCACGGAGAAGCGGCGCAAGAAATCGCACAAGGACAAGAAGTCCAAGAAGTCTGCGCAGACGGATTCCCAGCCCGAGAACGAAGAGATCCCTTTCGACTATGGCGCAGCGGAGTCAGTCTTTAACGCTGCACCTGCTCAGTTGCCCAGCAGGCGACAGAAGAAGCATTTCAACCCATACGCCAAGGCGATGGATGCTCCTTCGGGCGCGCGGAAGCAGAATCGGGAGATTCAAGGCAAATCGCACACGTTCCGCGAATAGATTCAAATCTCCGAGCGTCCTGGCGCTAGTTGTTCCATCTCTGGGTCTTTAAAGCATCTCCGGTGTTTTGGGTTTTGGTCTTTTCCGAGCATAGCGATACCTCCCATTCAAGTGTAGGAGGATTAGGGTTTCACTCTTGATGCCTGTATGATATAAAGAAATGATAAGAGAGCTACTACTATCATCAAGATGAAAAGTTATTCAAATAGACCATATCATGTATTAGTTTATCACTGTATCAAAGGAATGTATCTATCCTCATCACCATGCATAACAAAAAAGGAGCGTGTAATCCATATCTATACCCAACTTCACAGTGTGTTCCAGTATGAACGAATGCCAGAAAGAAAAGAAAAATTGAAAAGGACCCCATTTAGGTCAAAAGAAATTACGAGGCACTCGGAGGAATAACGGGGAGATCCAAAGCCCCAACCCAGTCACACTTCTCTGAGAAAGCACCATGAGCAAAGTCCTTGCACTCCCAGTCCTCGCCCTTCGAGTTAACCGAATACTGTCCGCTCCAGGTTCCGTCCGAGCGAGCCACCTTGAGAGAGAAGTTATCGATCGAGGTAATGGGGCCAAGGAAACCGAATTCGTAGGTGTCGTCATTGCACTTGACCATCGTGCTCTTGGAGGGATCCAGGCCATATTCCCTAGATCAGGCATGCATGTTAGTCTGGTGTTTATTCGTTCGTACATGTGGATATATGTAGATACGAAGATGAAAAGAAAGACAGTACTTACCAGGTAACAGCACAATCGGTGCTGGTGTTCGCGTTGGGGTCGTTCACGGTGAAGACCATCGTGCCCCGGTTGAAGTTCGAGTAGTTCTCGGCGGACCAGTTCTGGATGATTATCGGCTTGAAGGCGGTTGTGCGCTTCATGCTGCTGGGAGCGGCAAGGGTAGAGCCAGTGGCGAGGAAGAGGGCGGAGATCGTGGTGAACTTCATTTTGAATGATGATGATGTTGTTCAGTTGGACTTGAGCGAGTGATGGCTTTGCTTTGTTTTGTTTGAGACGATGGTTCTGAGAAGATTGATTGAAGAGGACGTTGATGTTGATGATATTTAACCTGAAGGGCATTGCATACATTCCCCTTTATATCTTTTTCACTGCACTAGGCGTTCTGCAAATTTCTATACAATCTCTAAAAACAGGCACAGAGACATACGGATGAGGCTATGTCCACCGCATTGCCGAGCCGAGTAACACCGGCAATGCAACGAGAGGGTGCTACACATGTACATCCAACAAGACTGAAACAGCTACAACCAACAAAAAGCACTGGATGTAATTCAATCTCATCGAAAGTCGGGCGCCTCTTCGTGGGGCTGCGGCCAGAGAGAGTGCGCTTATTGGCTCGGACTCAGGCAGCGATTAAGATCGTCGATTGGAGAGGCGTCCAGCCTCTAAAGGTATTTTTAGATGCGGCTTGATAGTGAGATGTGGGGTTACTGGATGCGGTGAATAGCTTGTTAGACGGGGAAGCCAGCACACGGCTCGCTTTAATAGAGATCAGGTACGGAGTACGTCGGTAGCCCTACAACTGGAATTTCACGATATACATACAGGATGAGCGGTCCGCAGGGCTTAGAGTGACTTGGGTCTGTTTCAGTTCATATTTTAGAAATTATGTCGAAGGTGAGCGAGTCTGCTAGACCGTACACATAATGGGATCTAGACACTCTATCTGCGTTAGGCGGGAGCTCTTTGCCTTCTGTATCCGTATCCGAGCCCGAGCCCGAGTCCGAGTCCAACTCCGAGTCCGAGTCCGTCGGCTTGTTGGAAGGGTGCTTTGGTCAGTTTTTGATGAATATTATCAGTGGTTACGAGTGATTCCTAAAGTCACTCATCAGTGGTGTTTAGTATGGTTTTCTGAGAGAGATGCTGGTGGATATATATATAGCTCCTCAGTCTAGTTTATTCTTGAATCAAAACATCCTTATGGCAGTTAGTCCGTTTTATTCCAGAATCCGACCAAGACATCTGTATGCACAACGCGTAGCGGTCTACAGTAGTTCCTATGGCAGCGGCGGCTCAACAGTGCTCTCTCGTATAGGTGGTGGTGGTTTGATTTTACGCTATGACTGTTGAGTCTCCAAACGAAAGACCCGTCATCTGTGGCAGTACAGCCACATGGCAGGTATTTATATTGAGAGTGGCACAAATCATAAACTGGCGGGTCTTGAAGGCAGTTTGTGAACCTAGGTTCTTATTAGCTTGCAATCAGTCTCTGCGAGGAAGTCTTCTACTTCTTTCTTCATGCTAACATTATTGCAGCTATAGTTACCCATGACTGTGATCATAGATCCATTGACCCTTGTCTATACCCTGGCGCTATGACGAACCCCCGGAGACCTATAGTCGTTATGTAGGATTTCATAACTATTGCGCCAACACGCACTAGGATTGCTACATGCACAATAAAACCAAGAGTCAATGACACGAGTTAAACTATCTTCAACACATATGCATTGCATTATGCATTGTAACCCCTCTGCGCCTCTGAAGAATCCTGCATGATCAATTGCATCCGAACCAACACTTCTAGCTCGTTTAACCTTGTCTTGGTCTGTGCATACCAGCCAGATCCTCGTCAGAGCTACCTACGTAAGTAACTAACTAAACTCCCCCCGCTAAAAATCGCCCGGAAGAGTCTAGGATCTCTGCCCCGTTGCATCGACATCGACTCGGCCGTCGCCTGCGCTTGCATGCATCATCCCGCCGTCGTTCGCGCGTCGCTAGTGCCCTCGTAGCGCAGCGCGGAATGGGGAAACTAGACCAGGATTAGTTACTACATATTAGGGACGCGATCACCCGACATGATGATGATGATGATTACAATCGCCGCATGGGCCATGACTCCCCCGCCAAAAGCGAGAATGTAAGGTTCGACGGCGGCCGAATACACTTCCTTGGGATCTTCGACAAAACGGGCAAAGGTCATTCGCCCGCTGGTGATGACAATGTGGTAATCGCTGTCGATCGGCCGAGCCCAATTTCGCTGATAAATTGATTGAGGTCCGATCTGCAATTCCTCCTGGCGCGTTTCATGGGCATCGCCAGGAATAATCGTGAGGTACTACTCAGTAGTCAATGCCAGGATGGATGGTCAGTAGGCTCGACATGCACCCGTTCAGGGGCAGCATGCATGGGTTCGTTCGTTCTCTCCACAGAAAAAACAACATTCCGAGTCCCACCGGATCCACTCTGCTGCGCATTTACCCCTGAGCGGGAGAGCCAGATGGAATGGAGACAACAAAAGCAAAAAAAAAAAAAGAAAAAGAAAACATGCCCAGCGCGTCTATCCCCGCATGGCAGGCGAGTGCCCAACTCACGACGGAGGGAGCAAGAAACTCTGGGTCCGAAGGAAACCAAAATGAAAGCTCGGACCGCCGCCAGGTCCCAACCGGTTGCGCATGCCAGTCGGGCGGAAATGGCGGGTACGAGAATTCGGGATCTGCTGCATAGCAAGCGTGGGCATTAGTGAACTAACTACTGAGACATCCGGGTTGGTTCACGGGAAGAGGGAGCACCACATCGGGAACTCAACCTGAAACCACCACCTGAGCAGTCTCGTGGATGTCTTAGCCCCGAAACAAGTAACTGACCATCTCGGCCCACTTGGGGAGGAGTCAGTGCGATGGCCGTTGACGCAGGTACCGCGAGGTGGTCTATCGTGAATCATTCATCCGTGACAGACGGTCCGTAGGTCAATCAATGGTGAGGGCCGTGTCATTGCAGAGTGCGGTGAGTCGTACCTGTCGTAGCCGGTATACATCAACCCGTATCAGTCGCTCCGGAGGATATCCGAGTGGCAAAAAGCGCACTGGGCCAGGGGTAAACCAGTCCCCTTGCATTATTCGCCCAGCGAAAAGAAGCATAGTGAGCATCGTCGTGAGTACATAGTTAACTAATTCAGGCAAATCAATCATGATTGACCTGCTCCACCGCTGCATCCACTTAGCCCATCCCTCTCTCTCCCCCTCCCCCTCTTCTATTCGGCTTCCGCTTCTCTCTTTCCTCCCTTTTCTCCCTTCCCTCACCACCACCACCACTCTCTCTCCCTCTGTCGCTCAGGCTTGAACTCCTGACCACAACACGGTCGGCTTCCCCCTGCGGTCGCCTAATTCTGCCTCGTGTCTCGGCTCCGTTCGCCCGTCTGGTTTTCCGCTGCCCTTTCCGTGGTCGACCAAGAACTTTCTTTTCAACCCCTGGGTGCCTGATCTACTCGGCTCCTCAACTCGAATTTCACCGCCGTTCTGCCTCTGCGCATTCCGATCCACGATACCGACGCATCAGGAGCCTGCTAGGATTTCCCAACCCTCCTCCCCCCTCACACTCTCCCACGTCTCGCGCGCCCGCCACCATTGACATCGGGTCTCTCTCTCGGTCGTCGACGGTGCGCGCAATATAACCCACAGGCGATCACCGGTCGCCCGTTCCCACAATGTCCGTTGCGACGATGCTACAGCCTGCATCGAGAGCATCCCGAGCCTCGTCCTCGTCCTCGTCCTCGTTTCAGCCCGTCGCCCGACAGAACACCATGTCGACCCACGATACTCGGTCGCTCCGCCAATCCAAGCGGATGTCGGTCACCGCGTTGTACCTGTCCATGTCCGCCAAGGACAGGGACTTGGAGATTTCTGATGATTTGGCACGAGGTGCGTCGCTCGCTTTTTCTGATTTGTGAGTACTGACTGACATGCACGAACAGCACAAAAGCACCTGCGCGATTTGAAGAGCAAGATTTCTTCGCAATCCAAGAAGAACTTCGTCCTGGAGAAAGATGTGCGATACCTGGATTCTCGGATAGCGCTGCTGATTCAAAATCGGATGGCTCAGGAGGAGGTAAGATCCGAATTCACACAAAGTTGTGGAGATTTATTACTGACTCACATTCCCCCATAGCAAAATGAAGTCGCCAGTCACCTCGACGATGCGATCGATCCTCAAGAAGGGTTTTTCCCGAACGACGATCGCACTCAGAAGTACGGCAACCTCCTTTTCCTCCTTCAGTCGGAGCCCCGCCACATTGCTCACCTCTGCCGCCTGGTTACAATGGCCGAAATCGATTCGCTCCTGCAGACCGTCATGTTCACCATCTACGGAAACCAGTACGAGAGTCGCGAGGAACACCTGCTGCTCACCATGTTCCAATCCGTCCTCACATATCAGTTTGACAATACCCCGGAATACTCGTCCCTGCTGCGCCAGAACACCCCGGTCTCGCGGATGATGACCACCTACACACGTCGTGGTCCCGGCCAGAGTTACTTGAAGCAGGTTTTGGCGGACCAGATCAACTCGTTGATCGAGCTGCGCGATGTGGACTTGGAGATTAACCCTCTGAAGGTCTATGAGAGCATGGTCAAGCAGATTGAGGAGGAGACTGGTTCTTTGCCGGACTACCTGGCCCGGTCGGTGACCGCCGAGGATGCAGCCGCAAATGAACAGGTGCAGGCCATCATTGCGCCGCGTCTGAAGATGTTGACGGACATTGCAAATGGCTTTCTCACCACCATTATCGATTCCGTCCATGAGACTCCCTACGGGCTCCGCTGGATCTGCAAGCAGATTCGCAGTCTTTCCCGCCGCAAGTATCCCGACGCCCAGGACCAAACAATCTGTACCCTGATCGGTGGATTCTTCTTCCTGCGATTCATCAACCCCGCCATTGTCACCCCGCGCTCATACATGCTGATCGACGCTACACCCACGGACAAACCCCGTCGGACCCTGACCCTGATCGCCAAGATGCTCCAGAATCTGGCGAACAAGCCATCCTACGCCAAAGAGCCCTACATGGCGAGCCTACAGCCGTTCATCGAGTCGAACAAAGACCGGGTAAACAAGTTCCTGCTCGACCTTTGTGAAGTGCAGGACTTCTATGAGAGTCTGGAGATGGACAACTACGTGGCCCTGTCGAAGCGAGACCTTGAACTGCAAATCACTCTCAATGAGATGTACGCCATGCATAGCCTTTTGGAGAAGCACAGTTCGGTGCTCGCCCAGGACCAGTACTCGCACCTGTCCATGCTCCTGCAGGAGCTAGGCACCGCACCAGCACAGTTGCCTCGCAAGGAGAACCGAACCATCACAGTACCGCTGTTCAGCCGATGGGAGACTGCTCTAGATGACTTGACGGCGGCCCTCGACATCACGCAGGAAGAAGTGTTTTTCATGGAGGCCAAGTCTACTTTTGTCCAGATCCTCCGGTCTCTACCTCACAACTCCTCAGTAGCCCGCCGGCCCCTTCGCCTGGATCGCATCGCCGAGGCTGCCGCCACACTGAAGAACGACGCCGTGATGGTCCGGAAGGGCATCCGCTCCATGGAACTGCTGAGTCAGCTGCAGGATATGGGCGTGATTGACCGCTCCGATGAATTCAGCCTGCTCCGGGATGAGGTGGAGCAGGAGTTGGTACACCTTGGTTCGCTGAAGGAAAAGGTTGTAGAGGAAACCGGACAGCTGGAGTCCGTGTTCGCCACCATTCGCGATCACAACACCTATTTGGTCGGCCAGCTGGAGACCTACAAGTCCTATCTTCATAACGTGCGCAGCCAATCAGAGGGCAAGTCGCGCAGTACTGCCAAAGAGCAGAAGAAACAGGAGTTGGGACCGTACAAATTCACTCACCAGCAACTGGAGAAGGAGGGCGTCATTCGTCGCAGCAACGTTCCAGAGAACCGGCGGGCCAATATCTACTTCATGTTCAAGAGCCCATTGCCGGGGACATTTGTTATCAGTCTACACTACAAAGGTGAGTCCTGATCAGACAATCAAGTGTGAGAGGAAGAAGAGACTAACAAGGTTCAATAGGACGGGCTCGTGGACTGCTGGAACTCGATCTTAAGCTTGATGATCTCCTTGAGATGCAGAAGGACAACCTCGAGGACCTTGATCTGGAGTATGTCCAGTTCAACGTCTCGAAGGTGCTGACACTTCTGAACAAACGCTTTGCACGAAAGAAGGGCTGGTAAGGGATCTCGTCCCTGAGTCCCATGCGTGCTGCGTTCTTCCCCTACGAATTGAAACGAGACCGAGCCGAATAATTCTCTGCCTGTGGTTCAATCCCCACGGTTGACTCCGGCTTAGCGGCCTGATTATTTGCGATGACCCGATGGACATTCATATATGTCCCATATACTACTTTTCATGTCATCATCATCATTGATGGACCAGGGATTTGCCTTGTGCAACTACTTCCGTTCCCTCGTCCATGGCTGCGGGCGGTTTATGCGCCCGGTGTGAATGTTGTCTATATACACGAACATACCCCTGATGGAGGAAGATGCGGGACTTTCCCCCGCTGGTTCGGGCGAGAGCCGAGCATCCATCTTCCATCCCGGTTTTTTTTGGGGGATTTACTCTTCTCCTTTATTTGTGGCTTTTTTATGGTCTATACCCAACGCATATTTGATTTTTTTGAACTGCTGGGCATCATGTTTCTTTTCCCAATTTGGCAATGCGTTCTGTAATCCTACCCTTTGTGCTCTCGTTCCTCATCATCACCGCCCGGAGCCTTGGGACTCCAGATGCGTTGTGTATAATACTAACTACTCCTGCGGTTGTCTGCCTGCGTTCCTTCCAATACCCGTTGTGTCCTTTCAGTTCTTAAATCAAGTACCATTTCGGTTTTTCACTGATTAACTAGTAGTTAGCCTTTCTATGTACATACCCACCTTGCCGATCCTGGCCAGACCACAACACACTATAACTAAATCAATGCTGGTGGACCGGCGCGACACCGCCACCTGCCCCTCCCCTCTGCTGGCCGTTTAACGTTCGACTTGGATGAACTAGTTGAGGATTCAATCAGGATCTGCGCGAGGGGTTAAAGTAGGGCTAACGTAGGGCTCCGTTTGCGGATAATGACCAACAACAATACCCTCTGCAATCAGAAGAAATAATGAGGTTAGTAATGGTCAATTGTCTCGTTGGCCAGCGGGAGCAGCACTAGTCCCGAGCAAAAATAGTCACCGGAATCTGGCGTGCCCCTAACGAAGGCAGAGAGGAAAAAAAAACAAACAGGATTTGCCGGGCTGAGGCGGCCAGAACGAAGGAGAGGAGGGGAGGGGGGGAACCAAAAAAAAAAAAAAAAATTAGAATCATACACGTAGCCAAATGCAAGATTGAAAATTGCCCTTTCTAATTATTGAATCTATTTCTCGACCTGTTGTTGCTGGGTCCTTAGGTTATCTTGACTTCAAGTGGCCAACTTTCCCCCTTCCGCCTTCCCGCTTTCTTCAATCCACCTCTCCCTCTTCCTCCCCCATTATTACTTTTCCCACCCACATTTCTCTTCCCCCCACGATCCCCCCCCCAATTCTCCCCATTTCATCATCACAATGGCGGCCCCTGCAGTGAAGCCCCTTATTCTCGACCCCAAGTATGACGATTACGATTTCCCCACCACCGCGCCGGAGCCGCAGCCTGGCCACCCGGGCCACACCACGCCGGAGCAGGATGAGAAGGTCAAGCAGCTCCGCTCGGAGCTGGAGCAGCTGGGCTATACCCAGCGATTGGACACGCTGACCTTGCTGCGGTTCCTGCGTGCTCGCAAGTTCGACGTTGAGGCGTCCAAGTCCATGTACGTTGCCCATTGTTACACTTTCGGAGACTAGCCTCGCTGTCGGAGGAAGCGGCCTCTTTGCCTCCTTTTAAGTTTTGTGAATGCGACGATAGACTAATCCCACTCCCAGGTTCGTGACCTCTGAGAAGTGGCGGAAGGAGTTCGGCACCGATGACTTGGCGGGCACTTTCAACTACGAGGAGAAGGCAAAGGTGTTTGAGTACTATCCGCAGTACTACCACAAGACGGACAAGGTGGGTTCTTTCTGTAATGGCATACATCCGGACAAGAAGGCTGACATGAAATTCGACATAAATAGGACGGACGGCCCGTCTACATTGAGAAGCTCGGCAAGATCGACCTCAACGCCATGTACAAGATCACGACCGGCGAGCGCATGCTACAGAACCTGGTCACCGAGTACGAGAAGCTGTCAGACCCGCGGTTGCCCGCCTGCTCGCGCAAGGCCGGCCAGCTGGAGGAGACTTGCTGCACGATCATGGACCTGAAGGGTGTCGGCATTACCAGCGTCCCCTCCGTGTACGGCTACGTGCGCCAGGCCTCTGACATCTCGCAGAACTACTACCCAGAGCGTCTGGGTAAGCTGTACCTCATCAACGCCCCCTGGGGATTCAGCAGCGTCTTCAGCGTCGTCAAGGGCTTCCTGGACCCCGTCACCGTCAACAAGATCCACGTCCTGGGTAGTGGTTACCAGAAGGAGCTGCTGCAGCAGGTCCCCGCTGAGAACTTGCCCGTTGAGTTCGGCGGTACCTGTGTGTGTGAGGGTGGCTGTGAACTCTCGGACATGGGTCCCTGGCAAGATCCCGAGTGGGCTCGCACCCCCAAGTGGGCTCTTCCCAAGGAAGGTGGTGAGGCTGTTGTTCACAACGAGGACCCGGGCATTGAGAAGCCCGAGGCCAGCGCATAAATGCGACAATGGGAATTTCCTCGTCACCAATGTCTCACACCGCATCATCACATAAAAACCAAACAATACCCCCCCAACTCATGGAGCACGAGAAAACTCGGATAAGGAGACATCAGGGGGACTCTTTATCATCAGAGCGCGACCCAGATCTGCTGTCTTTACACTATTTCCCACGTCTTTCAAGACCACACACAGAAACATCCAAACCCTCTCACATCTCGTACATCCCTCTCTTTCCTACCTCCCTCTCTCTTTTCCACCTGGCAGAACGGACTTTCCCTTCTGGTAGTTTCAACACATCCTCGCCGACCCTCTCCCCCTCTGCCCCTGCGTCACATATTGACTTATGTATGTGGCTCATTTCACTTTCTTTTTTTGTCGGAATTTAGATGTCCCATGGAGAGATTGGCTTTTTACTGTACGTTTGCTTTTTGTTCCCACTGTTCAAAACAAGCGGCCATGCACCCGCGCTATAGACAGGGCAGGGTAGGGCTGGATTCAAATTAAAACGGTGAAGAAGATGGTCATTTCACATCTTCAAGGCGGGTGACTGTATACACAGGAGAAAGAGCACAGTATTAGTGACAAATGGAAGAAGTTCTGGCTAGATAACTAGATCGATGTATGTATTGAGATTTTGCGATGTGAACTTCCTTCGTTCGGCTTCCAGTATGATAGACCTGAAAGGGAATGAACCCATTCATTCATTGATTGACTGTAATAATAGAAAAACATGGATATCATGATAATCAACCTCCCATGAACCAAGTCAAACTCTGGGATGAAGAAACGCCGCAACCTTTTCTTTTCAAAAGAAAGTAAGACAAATTAAAACCGGTTCCAAATCACAGATTCTCCACCACCTCTGCTGCCCGTCCGGCCCTTTCGGCCTTGCCCACCGTCGTAGCCAGCGCATTGCCCTCGACTGCTCCAGCCTTGGAAGAAGAGTCAAGGCCTCCCTCCTCGCCCTGTAGCCGCAATAACATGCGCAGCGCGTTATCGTACGCAGCGGCCATATCCTCGCTCTGCCAGCGCTCTGTCTCTTCCTCTGTTCCCAGCGGTACCTGGAGCGTCCATGCCGGATCATGTCGCTTTCGCCGTTGGCGATGCGCGCGTGTCTGGGTAGAGGTAGGTTGTTGTGCGCCCTCCTTGTCCTTATCATGACTCGTCACATCCTCCGATTCATCCATCGCTTCTTCCTCATCTCCTCGTTCTTGTTCCTCCCTCTTTTCCTCCTCCTCCTCCTCCTCAAGCGTCCGCCTCAACAGCGCCGCATACTCCCTCGCCGCCTTCCGCGGCGCCTCCCGCCGTAACTGCGCAACACTCGTAGTCAGGGACTCCAGCTGCGCGTAGAGAGCCGTCACGCGCGACGCCAGGTCCGCGTCGTAGGCTTCATACTCGACTGTCTCGTCGGGGGCTGTGAAGGAGGCCGGGAATGGGAATTGGGGGGATGAGGAGTCGATCCCGTTTATGCTGATCGAGGATGAGGCTGTTGTGAATGTTTCGTTTATGTACTTGAATGGATCAGTCGTTAGAATGGTATTCTCTTTCTTTTCTGTTTTCTGGGGGAGTTGGGCGTACCTCGTCGACTAGCTCTCGGACGCGTTCGCGCATTGGATCGGGTTCATTGTTGGCGGCCGAAGGGGGAAGGTGTAGGTCTAGTTTACGTCGGGAGAGCGCGACTGTGTTGGCGTAGAGGTAGGTAAAGTCTGCTGCGGATTGCAGCTCGACTTTGCGGTAGTGGGCGGCCATGTTGGGTGGGAGGTGGTGGAAGAAGTGCAGGAGGAACTAACTAATCGCGTGGGAAAACAAAAAGGCGGTGCTGCTGATCCCCGCAAAGCCGATGTTGCATCATCACTGCCTTCCTCTCTCTCTCCAACACTTACTCACCCACTTTTTTCTTTTCATTTGTGTTACTCTCAAGTCCCTCCATTCAACAATGCACCCTCCATAGGGACCATGCTCTTATCCTTTGTCCAGTTCTATTGACCGTTCTGGCCGGGGATACGGACTGCCGACAGCGCAGCTCAGTACTGTAACCAGCCCACTTGTCCCTTGCATGCTACTCCCCCCAAATGGAAAACCGAAGCAGCATTGTCCTCGTGGACAACACTGCCCCCACCCAACAGCCCGACGACCTCTCGCGGCGCCCAACCGCAAACGATTCCTCAGGTAGCCTTTCGCGGCATCTGAGTCGCGTATCAGTGACGAATCAGCTTGCCAAAAGGAAATACGCCAAATGGCAACCAGAGAGACTCGGAATTCCGAGCAATACCGACACTCCCGTCAGCAGGGAGTCATCGCGAGTCCGAGGATCATCCGTCTCAGCGAGCAGCGTGGCCGAACAGCGAAGCGGACAATCACCGCCGCACGACGACGCAGGCAGGGATGTCGACTCGACGGACCATGAGCCCCCTCGAGTCCACAGCAGACATAATAATACGAATAGTGTTCGATCAGCTGGGTCTGCGCGGCAGCAGCAGCAACAACAACAGCTCAATGAAACTTCCGACGAAAACAGAACGCCTGTCTCTGAGCTGGACGTTCTCTACGAGAACCAACGAGGCTGGTTCCTATTCGGGATTCCGCTCTACTCCCACGGCTCACTACTAAACCTCGATCCCGGCGCCTGGATGACTCCAGACCGGAAGGAAAGCCCCGTGGATATCACCAATGCGCAAGTGCCTGATCCCAGCTGGGAATGGGCCTGGCGGACGTGGTACGTCGATATGTCCGGGGACGTGGATGAGCAGGGCTGGCAGTACTCCCTCTCGTTTGGGTCGTCGGCATGGCATGGCACGCACCCGTGGTTCCATTCGTTTGTCCGTCGCAGGCGATGGGTTAGACTTCGGACTAAGATCGCGGAGAAACGTCGCGTTCGGTCCGATTTTGAGAATGCTCATATGCTGACCGAGGACTACTTTACTATCCATTCTTCCAAAGGCCATAGCCGTGAGCAGAGCTCTGCAAGTCTATCCAAGCTGGCCTCGGGTTATTTGAGTCGCGCCACTACGAAGATGGCTGAAGATGCCTTCCCCGAGGAGATTGGGGACATTCCTACCTTGATCTACGCATTGAAGCGGACTTCGATCGACCGAGAGAAGATCGATGTCCTGAAGAAATTTGTTCAGGAAGGAGGTGAGGAGCTGTACTATTTGAACGACAAGGTGAGTTGCAACCATATCTTTTCACTAACACGATTCCTAACTCAGAACCTAGATCCCGGAGATCATGTCTATGTTTTTCTTCCAAGCATCTCGATGGCAGTTCATCTCGCATCTTGTCAGCGTCATCAATGAGCTATCCAAGACAGCCGCGGATCCGGACGGAGACGGCAAGGATGCTGATCAGATCAAACGCAAACAGGACAATCTTGCCCGCGCGGCGGAGACGTGCCGGCTGCACGTCACAGGGCCGGGTGTCTTCGCCGATGACCAGGGCGAGTCGGTGACGGGAATGCTGGATTTGACACCCGTGTCTCGACATGATACGCTGCTGTCAAAACGACCCAGGTCGCCCTCTGCTCAGCTGTCGCGCAAGGAGAAGGGGAAGAATATCAAGGGGATCCCCAAGGCAGCGGAGGTTGGCCGTGAGGGTCACCTTCAATAATTCCAGTCATCACTCATTGGCACATCTGTCTATCTTTCTTTTATACTGCATAACATACAGCCCTGGCTACTGTACCATACACGAATACAATTCCTTTCTTTTTCGATGTTGTATTCTTTTAATCGGCCATCTAGCAAAATCCTTTGTCGGCCTCACCGCCTTCCGTTCCTTCCCGTTCCTTCATCATCTTGGCCGAGAAAAATATCTCCCGTTCTCTCTGATCCTCAACAGCTCCGCTTTCCCTCCCTTCCCCCGCGCCTCAGATGCTCCAGCATCGATCTCCATGTTCTCGTGTGGCCGCCCGTGTCTAAGAAGGCGAGGTCTGTCTGCCCTCTTGGACACCGTCGCGGCTGGCCCCGATGAACCTCTCCTCTTCCTCTACCCGCGCTGGGCTACGACCGCCGTGCGGCACCGAAGACCAATCACTTCTTTGAACCCGGTCGCAGCTCCGACAAGGAACCGTCAAGCTCCCGGCTCCCTTTGCCGGCCAACTATCGGGTCATATCCTGTACCGTCGCTCCGCCGGCAGAACAGCCAGCCGGTCTCGCCCAGCACCGGTGACAATTTTCAAGATGTCTCGGATCCGGATGGGCCTCCTATTGCAGAAGGGATTGATCTCAGACATCCGCGAAGAAGAGCGGCGGCGAGGACGTCAACCAAGGACTCGTTCACTCGGCACAAATCCTCGTTCAATGTCTTCGCCGGTATGGAAGATGTTGAGAACCGTGCGGTCAGGCCACCTATATCATCAGGACGGAGGAAGGCTTTGAAGGTCTCGCGATTCAAATCCGTCATACAAAGGTCTGCCGAGGACAAGAGTACAATGTGGAAGCTGTCCCCCGTGGACCGAAGGAAATTACGGAACGCAAGATTCCTCAGAATGCAGAATTTCCAACGAAATCAGAGAGACATTACCTGGAACAGGGTGAAAATGCTTCTGCAGTGGATACAACAAAACTCCCGCCCATGGAGCAGGAAAGGCGACAGGCACTTGGAGATGCAAATACCTGAAGAGACCGTCGCTCTGCTCTCTGGAATGACAGACACGGCGATGAAGGAGAATATTTGGTATTGGGCGGTGCACCATGGATGTCGCGTGCATATATTGTCCCCGAAGATAGGTAGTGGGACACATCGCAAGGTTATTTTGTCAGGCTCTGAGCACGTCTTGGAGCTCGTGAGCGAGCGGATCGATCGCGTCCAAAGCCTCCAGGCCAGTCGAGACCCTCGAGTCGATATTGTCACCCCGGGAATCCCTTTGGTTGCCTCCACGGAGGCTTTGCGGCGCAGAAATCTGCCGGTGCCGGTACCACGTGGGGTGTGGGATATCAAGCGAGCGGCAAAGAAGCCGAAGTCACTGGATAAAGTCCTGGCGGCTCGTCCAAGTCTTAGTACAGTGAGAGAGTTTACCGAGTATATCGAGGACCTTACGCATGCTACGGAACCTAGTCAGAACGCCAATCGGGACCCGAGCATCCCATATCAGGAACAAATCGCGCAGGAGATTGTGGTACTCTTTCGGGAAGATTCAATTCGCAAATGCCTCTCGACTGCCGCATTAAACCGTGCACTGATCTTCCTGTGTGATCATCAACGCCTCCGCCGCGCCCGTCTCGTGTTCTCGATAGCAGAACATGTTGCGACTGCAGACACGTATAACATTCTGTTGCGGTCAGCTGCGCAACACCAGCATCTGCATGTGTTCAAGTGGCTTCTTCTGTCCATGTGGCGAGTGCACATCCGCCCAAATCCAGATACATGGCTGGCATTACTGGAGGCCTTGGTGAATCCTCACGAGAAGGCCGCTTTGATGGCCCAAATGGCCCAGTTGGGATACTTGAAAGATACCAGTACGATTCGGCGTGCGCTCCAACTCACCGTCCAAAACTCACTCCTCGTGCATTTGGAGAGCGATCAAAGCATTGACGTCTTCATCAATTCCATGGTCACTACCCACGGCACCAACTGGTTTTCTCCATCTCTACTGAGAGATATGTTCAGTGTGATCGCCCGACTGCGAGATTTCGACTCTGCAGAACGGTTGCTGCAGATTTGCACTCAGCATAATCTCCTCGTCGACAGCTCTTCCCTCGCTGAAATCGTGTACATGTGCCGTCGGGACATCTTTTCTGCCCTCTACTTCACAAAGCTATTCTTGGAACGCCCTTCCTTCCGCATATCGAGCAGAACCTGGGAGCGACTGTTCCTGGTCGCCTTCAAGGGCCGCCACTACAATATCTGCCGAGTCCTGTGGCGATATGCCTGCATGGACAAAGCCGTGTCCCACAACATGAAACGCGCCGTCCTCAGCTCCCTCTCCCGCAATGTGTCCATGAAAAAGAAAGACCTGCTCACCAACTGCTTTCTCCGAAGAGCCGGCAAAGTCATCATCGGCGTCCCTGGAAACAACAAAAGAGCTACATTCAAAGAATCAACCCTTAACGACCTACCCAGCGAGTTCCATGCCAACCCCATCTCCTATTTCAGGAGAGGGTTCCTGGCAGGATGGGAAGAGCGGTCCCGCCAGCTCCGCCTCGCCAAGGCCCTCATCGCACGCGACATCGATCTCGGTGCCAACCTGTACCGGCCAAAGCAGCCTCTGAATCTCATGCTGGATGCTGCGGCGACTATGGATCGTGAATGGCGCGATAAACTGCACGGACTGCGTGGATTGACATTCCTTCTGGATCATGTCATCGAGGTGCCTGTGTGGCGGTATGGACTCACCAAGAGCAAGAGGGCCAAGAAAACTCGCCGTGAAGGAGCTCAGGCAGAGTATCCTGTTTTGATTACTTGAATAATCCACCCGCTTGATGGATGCCGAGTCTCGCTTGTTTCCTTGGGTGTCCACTCTATCTCACGTATTATCCGTGTATGTCTCTGCATTTTCCCCGCCGCGCAAGATACCCCCTTTCAGCTGGCTTTTGTCGTTTCGGCCCACCATGAGAGGAGAGACGGCCTCGTGGTGGTGATGGTGGTTGTGTCCACTCATACTTTCTTCCCTCTTACATATCCTACATTGTACATATATTTCTTGTATACTATTGCAACCTCAGATGATGAATGGTCCTCCTCCACTTGTCAGAAGAGTCAAATAATATTGCATCACCCTTCCATCTTTATACCCCGGTTAGGAATTTGCATTCAGCCACTCCATGTAGGACGATCTGGACATTCTGATTATGAACCTGGATTTACATCGTACCCGCACTTATTATCTCTGATACAGGTGCCTATACCCGGGTTATTGGGCACCTACAAGGGTTTCACTTAGTGTCTGTTTTGGACAAATTGGACATCATACTAACGCGGAGCGCTAAAGCTGCAACCCATATCCTCCAACCACATCATGCATGAACCCATTGTTCAAATCGAACTAGAGGCTCACGCTCCAAGGCTGACCTGCAGATGGGGTATGCCAACGAATAGACGTTCATAGTCTTGACCGATTCATCCGATAACCCCTGCGATGCTTCACACCACCAACAACGAAACAGAGTTTTCTATGGCCCGATCATTGCTATACCGACTTTTTGTTTGTTGTTGACGTAGTTGACGGGCATCAATATGGATATCACTCTGGCTATTGGGTATTACTTTCTGGTACAAACAGTAATAAATACCTTGGTTGGTCTCATGGAATCTGGTGTTATGTTGTCTGCCTCTCAGCCTATTATTACTCTTCAATAGAAGATTCCTATCTCTTTTGCTTCAGGGGACTCAAATCAACATAAATTCTGCTTAATATCTTTCTCTTTGTTATCCCTGATTCGAAAAAGGTTGAGCCTGACCATGACAATGGATACCCCAACAACCGAGTCATTCATCCAGGTCTTTATGGATGAATATCCGAAGAAAGAACACTTCTACTTGAGGGCTGCCACTGTCGTTGAGAGCATATGTCTCCAATACCTCAAAAGGAAAGGCATGTCGTCCCGCATTAAGAGCCGGGCGAAGGAACCTGAGAGTCTCCGAAAAAAACTAGAGTTAAGAAAACATTGGAAGAATCGGGTTTACAATTCAAAACAAGACATTCAAGAGGATATTGTTGATCTTTCTGGAGTTCGCATTATTGAGGATGACGAAGCACGGAGGGAGGAGATCAGGGATTTCCTGCATGACAGGTTCTTGAATACGATAGCGAAGATTCATCCAGAAGACGACGAAGAAAACGGAGATTACCGGCAAAAGTCTTCAAATTACCATGCTGTGCATTATCGAGTCTATTTGAAAAATGAGGACATTGTCCAACATGACTTGGGTGACGCGAAAGGAGGGATGATTGAAATCCAAGTCATGACCACAACGTGGAGTGTGCTCGCAGACCTCCAGCATTCAAATTACAAATCGGGACCGATGGCAGACCTGAAGCTGGGGGAGCTTATCGATGATCTTGGCGAAACCAATACTAAACAAGATGCACAAGTGGCGAAAATTAAGGAATACCAGGATCACCGCGAGAGGAAGAACAACAAGCCCTTCGAGGACGTGAATAGCGTCGGGCACTATCTTATAAAGTGGATTCAAAAATATGCCGCCAAATGGGTTCAAGGAAAAGAGAGAGGTTCTGAAGAAGCCCTGATGTCTTTTCTGCAGGTTCATCAGATGAACAGCCATGGAGCATTCAGTCAGTTATTGCAAGGAGTTTTTCATACTAGTTCCGAGTCTGAATATTCAGAGATCGCAGAGGGTTATGGTCCCATCAGATTGAATCTTATCCTCTATCTCATCGACCGTATGCTCTTGAAAGAAACATCAGGAACTCCTGCTCTAAGGGTCGCTGTCGACAATGATCGCGTTGGACATGTCCACAAAATCCAGGCACTCATGAGCACGATGATATGGATCGATAAGCTTTTCGCCCCCAAAGGAGATTGCCAAATTCAAATACTTCAATCAGGATGTCGAGATACCCTGCGGAATGGACTCTTTTTTCTTACCACAGTTACAAGTGCTGATTTCATTGAAGGAAAATCGGGTTTGGAAAAACACGAGACCAAAGCCCTAAACAAACTTTGGACGTGGTTCGCGCAATGCAAAGATCGGCCGATCAAGCTGGCTTTTGCAATGTCCAATAATGGGATGATGAGGCCCATCTCGGAGGAAAAGCAGCGAGAGCATAATAATTTCGATGCAGCTGTTCAGCCGCTGATGGATGCGCTGATTTGGAAGTAGGACAGCTTGTTGGCCCGGTGGTTGAGAATCGTTGAGGAAAAAGGGCAGGCACAAAAGTTTTCTGATTTGACTTCAAGCTCGATTTATGCTTTAAAAATAGAACGTTGAGATGCAATTTTAGCTTAAGATTTTTTTTGGGAATACTTCCTTGTCACTTTAGAATCGACCTGTCCTGTGCGTCCCTATACGAAAAATCATCACGGGCTATTGTTTCGGTGGACGCCATTTTCGTCACTTTCCCTGTAATAACAGATGGTCATCATAAGGATCTGCATTCGAGAATCGAGACCCCGGCCTAGCGCTCGGGAAAGCTGAGGAGGTTCCCGGTCTGCGTCGTACATCCCATCACACATCATTCTTAGCGCGGTGACTCGTCAAAAAACCTCTTTCCAAACAGAGTCACCGGTACTAGCTTAGTTAGCTAATGAGTCCCTTGGGCAAGAGTCAATTGCAGTGGATTAAGCAAAAAGGAACGAAAGGCTCCGTAGGCATGAGAGGAATAAAACTTGCAGTCGAGCAAAGTCAGTGGGCTTCTGCCCATCTAGGATAGCAGTCGACAGTAGCAGAGAGCTAAATGTCCTTAGAATCCGGAAGGGGCCCAATAAATCCTAATCAGCCAGCAAATAATGTAGTCTGTGAACTGGGTCGTATAAGCTCGAATCCTCGATTGCTGGTGGAGCTGCTCGATGGGGCTTGCCCTCGATGTAGAGACGCGCACGATCCACTAGAAAGGTTAGGCAGCATTAAGGTTGACTGTTGGGGTGCTCGCTCCCTCAACAGAACTGGAGAAGCTGACACTTTTCATTTTCTTTTCCGCTGGCACTGGCAATTCAAGGGCTCGAAGAAGCAAGAAACTGCTGACCAGGTGGGAAGCACTGATTGATCGATAAAGTCGTACCAGGTCGCCAGCAAACGCAAAGGACTAATCATAGCCCTTGTCTTTGAGACATTTTGAAAAGTTCTGAACGAATTGAAAATGAGCGACCATGCCTGGACGCGACATGGTACCAAGACATCATTTCATTTCCTTTGTGAACATCTGCTAACAATCAATTATCGACAGGTTTCGATTATTGGAAAGAATACGTACGAGTCCGAGGTATTCTCAAACATGGGGACCAGACTTCTCCGGCTGAGAAGGCATATCTTGTCAAGATCTGTAAACTAGCGGAAAAGGATTTATGGATGGGTGACAAGAAGGTGAACCGCGTATGCGAATTCTGGCGATACTGCGGAGAGCAGCCGAGTCGATGGGGGAAAGCCCAGATCCTCGCATCTGGCAAGAGTTCAAGTCGGATTCAGAGCTCTTTAAATACATGGGTGAGTTAACTTTCGACCTTGGTCCAAGCCCTGGGAATTATGCAGTCAGTTATTGGCCTGCTTCTTCCACCCCTGTGTATACCCATCGAGTTACCCTCGTTACCTCCCGTGTTGCATGTGATGATCTTGCACTAACCGTAACAAATAGATTTGGCCGAACGCGACAGGCCGGAGTTAGTGTCTCACTTCACGCCCCCATTCTTTTGGAACGGAAGAGACTCTGGTTCGCCATCCTCTGATGCAGGCTCGTCCTAGTTTTCCGAGAAAATCAGCCGCACTTGACAAGCATCTAGAATCGGCTATGAGAGGCATGCTAAGCAAGGGATGAGATGTGCTCCTTCTTGTGCGCGTATGGCCTTCTCCGGGCTGGCCAGCATAGACGGAGGCTTTGGAATATCGTCTTTTCAAGATTACCTTCAGTGCAGGATGTTTAAATGACCAAAATTGGGTGGTATGTTCGTCAGTGGTTGTGATTTGGTGGAATTGAAGTGGTTTAGGGAGAAAGCGGAAAAGCAGAGGCAGGCAGGAAGGAAAGCAAATAGATGGTGGTGGGGGAATGTATATGACTGGTTAACGGTTCCTTTCCTTGTTCGTTGCGTGCAGCCATATATTTGCCCAACCATGCAGCCTATATGCATGGCTTGAGTTTAGCCTAGAAACGGAGAACAAGTGAGGCGTCATGGTGTCTGTTCAAAATTACATGTTCATAAGCAATACCTGCAAAATCCCTGTATATTTCTCTAAAGACAAAGAGCCCCCTGGAAGCTGCTTACCCCCAAACGTGCTATTGTCAAAGTTTTTGTTCCCTCCCTTACATATAATCTAAGCCGGAGGATTTCTGGCGAGGGATTTGAACAATCATCTCTAGCTGGACCAGTGGGCCTAGTTTATATACGGGGGCCAGGTCGGCAAAAGCAATAATGGATCGACTACGCCATAATTGGCAAGGATAAATGAGTGTGTTTTTCTACTTGTGAATTACAATATGACATATCTTTTCTCCTCCGCAAACTCTAGGTGGAGGCTTTATGAGATGTACCGTTGGCATTACTGGTCATACTCAATTGATACTCCACACCCGCCATTCATAGATGCCTGCCATCTATGGAGATTAGTGTAATACAAGAGGAAGATGATTCTTCTCTTTTCTTTTCTTCCCCTTTCATATCTACTCATCAGATGAAAATAAGGCTCTACTGATAGTTCTGAATTGGAGCGACTCGTTGATTACTAGGTAGACACAACTGGCCAGCTACTTTGACAAAAGCAACTTCTAGACGCAATTTGAAAGGCAGCAAAATGATGGATACAGTACAACCATAACCATTGGCAAGCTACCATCGCAACCGACCCTCCTGCTGCTAACGTACCATAGCAGCTCTCCATACTATCGTCCACATTATCGAAAAATTTTACATCAGAAGACCAGTCAAAACAAATGAGTGCGTCGGGACCATCATGGCTTCGGAGTTTGAACATCCGCTCATGCCATCGATATCAAATTCAAACTTATCACAGGAGGTATGCAATATCGTGCACGGAGCGGGCACTTGGACGAGAAATTGGTGTAGCAGTCAAGGATGCACTACTATTCGAATAATGAGGATCCTTCATCCACTCGACACGGCCCAAGTCCGAAAATACAAGTATAATGTTTACAGTGTCACGCTGGCTCATAATGCGGTATTTCAAATCATATTTATCCCAGTAATAGTCTCCGGTAGACTTCCAGTTGGAATTTGTGTTGAAGTAGTTGACAAACAACAACTAAGCAAAGCTGTCCGCTAAGAATTTTTATTAGCTTATGCAGTGTTGTGCTTCTAGGCATGGACCACCTGCCACTGACTTTGTGATCAGATCATTCTGGAATATATTCTGCCAGGAATTCATGACCTAAAGAAGATTGTCCGATGCAGTCATACATTGCCATTGGAAAAGCTCATTGGGTGTTTTAGTAGGGTTTTAGCATACTGATATTACCCAGTAAACATCTTTGGGCTGACCAGCCTTATATGAGGGGGTCATTAGCTTCGGATAACATAGACAGCCTCTATTGTATTCAGGTGATGGGAAAAAGGTATCTCCGTTATTTATGTCTTGAGGTTGACTTTTATTATTATTTTGATACATGCTTGTTTTCGGCATTTGAGTCCCGACGCCATCTTCAAAGACCAGAACATGGCATCTTCAATAACATTTTAGTAGTATATGCTGCTCCCTATATAATGGATTTTTCTGTCAGAAACCAAGGGCAAATTGTCAATATCTTCCGATTCCAGCTAATGCAATATATCCACCCAATAAGCGACGTATCAGCTTAGAGGAACCCCTCCAGCTGCCATCAAGCGGTAATTTTAGCACTCATCAGGTCATACGTACCAAGAATTAGATTTGCCAACACGACGACTAAATTGTTTCTCATCTCAGATGAGGTTATTGCAGTTCCTGAGCATAAACAAGAGATAACTCACTTGTCCACATCGGGCCTACTAAATTAGTCTTTCACAACCCACCGACAGGTATTGTGAGCACAAAGTAGAAATAACCAATCAAAAGTACGCAAGGCCATGGAAACCATCAGTCTGTGGTGAACTTGGATTAGTATACCTTCATGGTGCGCAATCGAATCATTCCCTACATTTGCTAGTTAGGAAGGCTTCGAATAGAGTGACAGTGATGATCACAATTTCCAGCCCAAATTTAGATAAGGTTTGATCTAATTTTAATCATAATCGTTCGGTGGAAGCTCATATTTAGTGAATTTGATTATTTGCGCCAGTGAGCTCTTTTTCTCAGAAGCTAATAATAAAAATCATCCGCAATTTAACGCGAGGCTGTTCAGACAGTGGGGGCCTTGGCGGCTTTGGCCCCATTAAAATCACGGCGCAGCGAATGAGCGCATCGCTAGACTCGAATAAGGCCGGCCACTAGTCCTTGCTCTCCCGATCGACGCTCTAAGCCATGAAAGTAGCTCAGCACTAGTCCATACTAGGCCATCTCGTACAGAATAAGTAGAATCGTCACTTGGATAGCTGAACGAGCCTGAGTACACTAACTACACTGGTCATCTATGCGTGTTGCTTCGCCCCAACTACGGGGGCGAAAATCTATAGAATATACTACACCGGTACAGCCTCGCCCTCCCAATTATGACCTTAATTGCCAACAGATAGTATAGTAGCAAGGCTGTGACAATCTCCCTAAAGCCTCATAAGTGCACATATCCATATAAAAGCCGCACAATATCTCTTACCATTTACATTCTTCGTACATATTCGCAATCTCATTAAGAATCATATGAAACTATGATCCCGAAACTTTCTTTACTTCTTGCCCTGGCTGGCGGGTTATCTGCAGTCGCACTTCCGAGCAGGAACAGCACTCAACAGAATGCTTGCCTGCACGTCTCTAAACTCGCCGCACAGGCTAGAAAAGCAAACGGTACGAATGAAACGGGCCAGCAATGTTGATGTACACAACTGACAAGCCCCCCACAGTAACGGATCTCGTCACAGTTCCCGGGGAGTTGGCCTACAACTGCCTTCGATCTATGCCCTTTGACCCTATCAATGGTACTGTTTTCGCCGCCGAAATGACGAAGTTTGTTCAATGGCAAAGCACGCTCGAGGTACTCCAAAGTAAGTACAGCACCATGACAACCACATCTTTTTTCTAACATGCTACCTCCCCACGCTAGACCCGCCACTTGGATACTTGTCTCCTCCTACCAATCTTCTAGGTGGCCTTGAATTCATTGAAGCCATGGCCTTGATAGGAGAGTTCAGCAACCAGTACGAGTTTGACCAAGCCATCAACCTGTTATTAGCAACTTCCAATGACGGACACCTTGCTATTGAGACCTGCTCTTCATCGATCTTCCGCTTTATGCTAGATCTCCCTGTGGTATCAATCTCTACGGATGGAGTCGAGATTCCACAGATCTATGCTGCAGCGGATGCAAAGTTGCTCAATTCAGGTTCCTCAACTGTCTCCCCTATTATCGCTATCAATGGTGAGCCAGCAGCAGAGGCAATAGAAACCCTATCTACCCTGATGTTATTGCAGGACCCAGATGCTCGGTAAGCGTAATATCTAGCATAAAAACTGGCCATCTAACAGGAAATCAGATATAATATGATGTTCATGTCGCCCTTGCGGTCAGTGGCCGATTCGTTCCCTCCTCAAGGAGCCTTCGCTATGCAACAGCTAGGTTGGCCTGGGCGAGCGCAGTATGAGGTAGAATTTGCCAACGGGACGACCATTCGCAAGCCAATTGTTGCCCAGACGGATGTCGGCTTTGCGTATACCAGTGGTCAATCCTTACTTAACGGCGCTTGTCTCAAGACTAAATCATCTTCTGGGTCCCTGTCCCCAACATCCAGTGGGGGATCTTTAAACACCACAAACCCTTTGCCATCCGTTTATCCTAAGCCTCTCGTGCGGGATAATTACAATATGCTTTCCGGTTACTATCTCAGCGAGCCTGATCTGCAGGATGTGGCTGTTCTTGCCATTCCTAGCTTCGAACCCTCCGAATACGCCATGGAGCCCACCGAGTATGCTATTCGCGCGACCAAATTCGTCATGCAAGCCGCCAGAGACGGCAAGAAAAAGATGGTTATCGATCTGTCTGCCAACCCGGGAGGTGATGTCAACAGTGGTTTGGACATGTTTAGGCTGTTCTTCCCCGACCAAGATATCTATCAAGCTTCTCGCATGCGCGACCACGAGGCTTTCAATCTTGCCGGACAGGCACTTGCCCATCTTGATGTCACCAAGAAAGCTGATTATCTTGCTTGCGCCAATGCCAGTGGGCTTTGCATCGAAGCTTTTGTCAAACCCGACCAAACTCCGACTCAGGTTTCGCATTTTGAATCATGGGAGGAAATCTACGGGCCCCATGAACAGCTTGGAGGGAACATGTCAGCCTTGATGGGTCTTGAATGGCTGGCAAAATATTCCGTGCTTGAGGCTCCGATTCGAGGCTACGGCGGGATTCCTCAGATTCCCAGCCAGCGTCTATTCGAGCCGGAGAATATTCTCTTGGTAAGTAACCGGTCATAAGCATTCGATGAGATCTTGATTGAGATGAAAATGCTAACCATCCAACCAACAAAATAGTTGACCGACGGACTCTGCACATCAACCTGCACAATCTTCGCAGAGCTCATGAAGAACCAAGGCGCCGTCAAGAGCCTAGTCTTTGGCGGACGTCCACGAACCGGCCCAATGCAGGCCATCGGCGGTTCTAAGGGTAACACTGCTGCCATGTTAACGACCATTTTAGCAATTGGAGAGACGGCGTACAAAGTCGCTCCCACTGCCGAGCTAAAGAACAAGCTCTATGAAGCCTTCCCAAACCCCCAGAAAATCCCCTTCCAGCTTGGTGGGGAAGGAGGGGAGGTCAACTTCAAGAGCTCCTACCGCAAAGGGGAGGATGAGGTGCCTTTGCAGTTCATCTATGAGGCCGCCGACTACCGCCGCTTCTATACTTATGAGAACATCGTAAAGCCCGAAACCATGTGGGCTGATGCTGCTCGTACCTTCTGGGGCGAGGGGGGATTCGTTGCGGGTTCGAGGGAGATGGGCTTTGTCTCTGGATCACCCACGAGTGATTAACTGCCGTCTAGATGTTTCTCTTTTTGTTTCATCATATAATATGTTTGCTTTAGCGTTTGCATGGCTATTAGATGGAGCATATTTATATTTAAACATGATTTTCTCTGTGAAAAGGGTTGATGAACACGCAAGGTTCTCGACAAATATGAGCTTGAGGCCTCTAGCCTTCCTTCTTAGGGCGCGAATCAGACTGCAGAGTAGGGCCAGCAGACTACCTCTCAAGCCTTCCGGAAGACCACCCAAACTCAGACTTTGATAAGGATAAATAAAGGTAATTGAAGAGATAGATCGGCGAATTATCCATCCTTTTAGAAAGATTGTGTAGTCATGGGCTCTCGTGGGCGTGCTGTGCTGAGATCTACCACCAACCCTCACGGTTTGTCTCTCATTCCAGGCCGCCATCGCCAAAATAATGGCAAACCGACAAGGCCTGTCATACGATCAACGGAGCGAGTATCATTTTGCTGGCTTGTTCAGCCCACCTACCTCGCTTAAGAGTGTGAAAAAAAACATTCAAAAGACGGTATCGGCGGGTAGAGATCCACTGGCTCATAGGATGCGCTAAACCGGAAAGGGAAAGTAAAGCCTACAGTGACTGCCACTGCACATTATTCGCACCCCAGATTTTCAAATTTCCAATCCAACCCCGGATGCCAGTCGGAAGTGCTCTGATGGAGCCGTGTTAGTCAATAAGTACTCCGTAGTTGGTAATGTAGAATTCCGGTTCCCACCCGCGCCCAGTAGATAACTTCTCCCAGCCATCCGCCATCATCGTCAACACCAGCCAGTTCATCTATTGCAGTCCCTATTACGCTTCATGGAATAGCATATTGTGAACACCTCAAAACTGATACAGTGCCAACATCAGCCTCAACCATCCGATTCTAGAGCAACCACGACGGCATGGACGAAAAGAACGAGTCCTCAGAGACCGCTTCCTTGGGTGCGACTTGGGACGAGAAGACTTCAACCGCCCCCCAGATCGCCGCAGAACATTTGGAAAAGCGCTATAGTCTCCTTTCCGTGATTGCCTTCGCATTCACCACAACAAACTCATGGGTAGCGTTTGCTTCCGGTCTAGCCGTGCCTTTGGCATGTGGCGGAGGCCCTGGCATTATCTATGGCCTCATAGCAGGCGGTATCGTGATGGCCGTCATTGGTGTTGGCTTTGCGGAATTGGCCTCTGCGTTTCCGTCTGCGGGTGGTCAGTATCATATTGTCTTCATGGTATTTCCCTCTTCGACACGTCGGATGGCCGCTTTTTTCACAGGCTGGGTCACGATCATCTACATCATGGCGGCATTGGCCTCCTGCAATTTTTTCGTGGCAAGCTCAATCCTCGACCTGGTTGCACTCTGGATTGAGACGTATACGATTCAATCCTGGCACACCTATCTGGTTCATGTCGCGTTATGCATAGTTGCATTCTTGGCGACATCCAGATTTCCTGCTGCCATCGGCCGGCTAGGCGTTGCCATCTTCTTTCTTTCCCTGGCGGGGTTTGTAGCCTCAATTGTCACTCTGCTGGCTGTAAGCGATGACAAGCAGCCCGGGGATGTGGTCTTTCGGCAGTATGAGAATGTCAGCGGATGGTCTGACGGATGGGCGATGATCATCGGCATCACGGCGTGTCTCTGGGCATACAGTGGCGCCGATGGACCAACTCACCTGGCGGAGGAAGTGCCCAATCCCAGTCGCAATGTCCCAATCGCCATCTGTCTGACAATCGGAATGGGCATTATCACGGTTCTGGCTTGGATTATCACCCTTATGTTCGTCGTCAAAGATGTCGACGCCATCATTAACTCTTCAGTTCCAATCCTGGAAGTGTACAACCAAGCACTGGGGTCCAAGGTGGCTACCACCATCTGGAGTGTGTATTATATGGTGATGTTCTACGAAATTGTTTTGAATCTCTTCATCTTCGGAGGTCGGACGTTGTGGTCCCTGTCGCGCGACGGTGGTGTCCCGTTCCCCAAATTCTTCTCTCATCTCCAGTGGGCTAGTCCGGTGCGAGCGATAGCACTCATGCTGGCCCTGGAGGTTATCGTCGGTATCCTCTACATCGTCTCGTCCGCCGCTTACAGCAGCTTCATCAACCTCACTCTGTTTGCCCTCAATATTACGGTTGCCCTTCCTCAGGCAGCCCTTTTCTTCCGAGGCAGGGGCTGTATGCCTGAGCGAGCCTTTTCCTTGGAAAATATGGACCATTTGTCAACATGGTGGCGACCATATTTGTCATTTTCTTCTCCATTACGTTCTGTTTCCCAGCGTTCATGCCCGTCACCGCAGCTTCAATGAACTACTTGATCGTGGTGATGGCCATTGCCTTGATTGTCCCGGCTGGGCTATGGTGGGGTGGACTGAATAAGAGCTTCACGGGGCCACAGGAGATTACCGTGGGCGAATATGGTTTTGCATAAGTGACTTTGTTCGCATCGGCTGTGAGACGACTGCAAACCTCTGTACTATACTGAGTCCTGTGCTACGAAATTTGAGAATCCTATACTTGCAACCTATTTTCATAAGATTATTCTACGCCTTTCTTATAACATGGCTATAAAACTCCTTCTTTCAGCCTCTTTCCATCCCCACCCTCGAATTTGGTTGGTAATTCCCAACCTCATTTCAGAGCGGTATCACATACTTGCCCTCGAGCTGCACACAAGTCGTTTATTAGTTAGGAACCACAAACGATCATACGGATTACAAAGTTGCGGGAAGTACTCACTTGACCTTTGGACATTTTCCACATCAATCCCTCGATCTCCTCCAATGAAGCCGACTTCACCTTGGGGATAACTACCCGCCGCTTCACAAACTCCAACGCCTCGAGAATATCGGCCCGAGTGCCTACCGACGAGCCTTTCACTGTCCATCCATGATCGATCATCCATAATGGGTGAAACATCACCTTGGCGTCCTCTGGAAGAATGGAAACACACATTAAAGTTCCGAAGGGCCCTAGCATATCAAATGCCTTCTGGTAAGCTGCAGCAGCTGTGGCCGTGACAACAACAGCCTTGGCGCCTTGTCCATCAGTCAACTCGTGGACTTTCTTTCCCGCGTCTCCGCCTGAGGTAACGTCGACGTAGTACTCTGCGCCCTGAGACTTGCAGTATGCCTCCTTGGCAGATCCTGCATCAACAGCAATAACGCGATACCCCATCGCATTACCAAAAGCAACCGCTAGCGCCCCTACACCGCCACCTGCTCCAGAAACGACCATCCATTGTCCCGGTGTCAGATGGCAGCCTTTGATAGCCTTATACGCCGTTACACCACCGCACAGAATCGGCGCTACCTCTTCATCCGGGACATCATCAAAGGCTGCGGGGATACGCGCGAGATATCGCAACGGCACGATTGTATACTCTGCAAAAGTACCCGGGTACGCCTTCCCCGAATGCAGGGCTTCAGCACAGCGCGTCTCCCCCTCGTTGCTGAGATCCACGCAATACTTGCAAACGCCGCAGATATCCCGGGTCCAGGCGACTCCGACCCGCTGCCCGATCTCCACTGTCGGGTCCAGCGATTGCACGTTGGATCCCACGGCGGCGATTCGGCCGACCCCTTCATGGCCGAGGATGTTCCCGACGGGTCCCATATGGCCAAGGGCCATGCCCAAATCCGAACCACAGAGGGAGGTGACAGAGAGACGGATAAGGAGCTCGTTCGGGCCTGGAACCGGAATAGGCAAATTTTGGATGGAGAAGGTTGGTTTGGCACCGGATTCTTGGGGCGACTGCAAATGTTAGGTGATTATTTGGCTCTCTGAGACTATAATTTGATGCCGTCGTAGATGCAGACAGAGGGAAAAGCATGCTTTGCTCAACATACAGTAAGGACTGCCACTTTGTGGACTCCGGTGGATGTTATCTTGTCCATTGTAGGTTTCTGGGTCAAGCTTGATGGCGATAAGGTTGAGCGTATTCTGTTTGCGACGTGGAATTATCGATGTTCTAACCTCTCCCATAAACTGGGGTAGGGTATTATAAGTCGCAGGGAACGGTGGATTCCTCGGTAGTCAAGAGGTTTCTGGTTGCTGCCATCATGATAGCCCACAACTACAGTGGAGATAGCCTCAATCTGTATTTCATTCACCAAATGGGGAAGGTGGATCAGACCCCACTCTATCATCTTAGACCGTGTCCGAAACTGAAAAGCTCTTTTAGACTCGCGCCCGTCGTTCTGTTTAAAAGTCCACCTGCGACATCGGCCATCGTCTCCGGGTAAGTTACATCCACTTCACGGGGACCTGGTATTCCATGACTCCCCACGATAGCTCTTGGATCAGCGAGCCCGGCCCGAATACCCTCAACCACCCAGGATGCTTATGAAGAAGCTCAGCCCCTGCTGTACTATTTGCCAACATCACGACATCCCCCGATGGTAGTTTCGAGGTGCGACGAAGGTCCAGCTAAGGCTCCAATAGGTCATACAAGGCCATCTATATCATCCAGTCGCTGCATGTCTTACCCGATCTAAATAAATAGAGTAATTTCCAATGCTCCACAATGCAATGCGATAACTGCCATTGATCTAAAAAAAAATTCCGCTCTGCTCTACTCTTTTTATCCGAGAATGCACCACATATTAACCCGCATCACAGCTCCGCATAGTAAGAATAATCCTGATTCAGCTTATAAAACACACTAGGCTCTGGCTGTCCAGGACCACCCTGCCAAGTCGGGGTGGTCAGCGTAGTAGGCGTATCATCACGGCGCTCGCTGAGGAACACATCCTCGAAAGTCTTGGCCCACTGCACGCGGTTGTTGAGGCCCTCGAGCTCCCACAGCTCCTGCAGGAAATGCAGCATGGAGGTGTGCGTGTAAGCGGAGTTCTTGGCGTACATGGTGCCCTCGTCGTGAATGAGGTGGTTCGCCGGGACAAAGGGGGAGATAAGGAATGCCGGGACGCTGGATTAGAAGTTAGTTAATTTGTTAACTGTACATAATTTGATTTTCATGAGGTTCTCGTACCGGATGCCGAGGCGGGTGAAGTCGTAGGTCACGTTGTGGCCTTCGGATTCGCCGTTGAACGTGATGCCGTCTTCGGGTGCGGGCACGTTCATCGGCGGGGGGACGTGGTCTATGTGAACATCGTCAGTTAATCAATCTCAATCAATTGATCTTTAATTTATTAGCCTTACCCGCAAAACCACCATGCTCATCAAAGTTCACCTGGCCCGCGGAGTGTTGTTAGTTATATATTGCATGGTTGGGTTTCATGGATAGCCTCACGATCAATAAGACATTGTCCCAATACTGGGACTTGCGCAACGCATCGTACAAATGCTTGACCATCTGCTCACCGGCCGCCGTGGGGCTAGTCGGGTGCATTGAATCAATGCTGCAACATTCCGGGTTGATATAGGAGAACGTCGGCAGGGTGCCTTCCTCGAGGTCCTTGTAGAATTGGTCTGCGTGGGCAAGGTTGCCCATTGCATTGTCTTGCACCCACTATAGCAGTGATTAGACCTGTCTAGCATCGTCCAAGAGGTTGTAACTGACCTTGTATATCCAAGCATCTATGATATCGGTCTCATAGTACTAGACATGGAATATAAGTAAAAATAAAGTAAAAGATTGCAAGACATGATGGGCTCACATTCTTCCAGCTAATTCCCTTCTTGCTAAGCGACTCAAAGATTGAAGTAGCGCAGGTCGTGCCGGTCACATTGGCAAAGAAGCCCGCAGCCTGGTCGGTGTTATCAACCATACCACAGGTCGAGCCGGAGGTAGCAAACTGGCGATTTGTATTCGTGGGACCGGGGTGCTCGGCATAGTACGAGTCAAAGAAGACAAAGTTCTGCGCAATCTCTGCGAGCAGGGCGGTCTTCTCCTGGTTGTAGGCCTTGATAACGAAGGAGGCATCACCGGGCGTGGCGCTGTACTTCTCGGACTGGCGCTCGACAAAGCCGCCCATGTTGGGCACATCGTTGTTGTCTGCGTCCCACTTGCGGAAGATCTCGTAGGTGACGCCGGCAAAGTTGTGGTCCGGGTCTAGCAGCGGCACTTCGGACTCAAAGGGCGTGGAACAGATCTGAAGCGGCTCGCCCCACACCGTCCAGTTGGCATTGGTGTACTCGTTGCAGTGCGGCTTGTTGATCAGGTTGTCAATGTCATCGCGGAAGTTCCAGTAGCCGGCGATGTTGTCGAAGGAGTGGTTCTCCAGCGTGAGGTAGACGACGTGTTTGATCTATAAGGGGATAGATAGTCAATGGATTGTATGTGGATAGCGGTCTGGCAAGGGGGGCTCACGTTCTTGCGCAGCTCGCTCCATGACTGCGTATTGCCGATAGAGCGGGCAGAAGTGACTGCAGCCAGGGCCACGAGAGAGATCAAATTGATCTTCATGGTTGGGGGTGCTCAATGGTATCCAAGGGATCACTTGAAGCGGAAAAAAGAAGGTGGTTGGTGGAAGGGGTGAGAGGAATTCTCAATGGATCTCTCCGGAATTTCTACAGATCCTCTAGGCCGTATATATACACATGGGCACGCGACACACGGTCTTGTCTAACCTTGAAGACGGAACTTGGCACACCCGCCCATCCTCCGAGATTGGCTTGCCGAAGGGGTTTAGATGAGTATAAGGATGGGGATAGGAGAGATCTCAGCGAATCGGCGGCGGATACCGCCGATTGCAGGATCATCGACTTCATCGCCATTGTTCCTGAGTGAAGGGAACGGAGACTCTGACTACCAGATTAGGCAATGCAGTCGGGAGGAAATGCGATAGAGAGTTAGTGAGGGTCGCAGTGCTAACGGGCTTGCGTCAGCCAATCAGAACACTGGTTATGACCAAGTCTGTTATCTGACTGGTGCCCCCGCCGCTTTAAACTATCCACCAAATCCACTTCAGCGTCGAATCACAACCGCGGACGGTCAACCGTGCGGCCAGGTACGATCAGCACGCCCGTCCATCTCGTTCCCTCATAGGCTGTGATCTGCTTCGCTCACTGACACTGCAACGCTACAGGCGAGCCCTGCCTTTTCTTTCCTTTTAAGGCTGGGTGTCAGCCAAGCTTTTTGTTTTTCTTCCTTCCATCCCTCGACAGCCCATTCTGACCGACCTACCTATATACAAACAAACAAACAACCATGTCCAACTCCACCCGAGGCCTGATGACGAGCTACTCGCCCATTTCGGAGCGAAACTCGTCCGACCTCGAAAAGGACGCCCACCTCTCTCTCCAGGATGTCGAGACTGGCAGCAGAGACAGCCCTGAGCGCAAGGGCTTCCGCTTCATTGATGGCCGCACCGTCTCCGACGCCATCATTGGTCTGTCCGACGGCATGACGGTGCCGTTCGCACTGACGGCGGGCCTGTCCGCCTTGGGGGACACGAAGGTCGTGGTATTTGGCGGGATGGCCGAGCTTATTGCGGGTGCCATCTCCATGGGATTGGGCGGGTATCTTGGCGCCAAAAGCGAGGAGTGAGTTGGAGCTGTGCCACCTTCTAACTATTGAACAATTGCTAACAATTCCGGCAGAGAGTCATACAAGGCCACGCTCCAGGAAACACAGAAGCAAACGGTCAGCGATCCTGAGTCTGTGGCCTCGACCCTAACCGAAATCTTCGAGCCGTACGAGCTGCCATCCGAGCTAGTTGCCCAGCTCACGAACCACCTATCCGCTTCCCCGATGCTGCCTTCATTCCTGATGAACTTCCACCACACGCTCCCCGAACCCTCCGGCTCGCGCGCCGTCATGTGTGCCCTGACTATCGCCCTGGGCTATTTCATTGGCGGCTTCGTGCCCTTGCTCCCGTATTTCTTTGTTGGCCCCACCGAGGCGTTCATCGCCCTGCGCTGGTCCATCGCCACGATGGTCGTTGCGCTATTTATTTTCGGGTACGGCAAGACCTGCTTTGTGACCGGTTGGTCCGGGCGGAGGAATCTCCGCAAGGGTCTCGTGGGCGGACTCCAGATGGTGCTGGTGGGTGGTGTCGCGGCGGGCTCGGCCATGGGGCTGGTGAAGGGGTTCCAGATGCTGGCGAGTAATGGGGATCATCCCAAGCATGATTGAAGAAACCCTTGCATTATGATTCTTTTGGCGTTATGATTTTACTTTGGTGATGATACACTTCAGCAGGCGTTCTTTTCTAGGCGGTTTTTTTTTTCTTTAAGACATACGAAGTTTCTCTAAAATCATTCCATCTCAACACATGTGTGTTCAAGAGCTGTGCCATACCTATCCATGTGAAATCGATTCTGGACCACTGACGGAACATCCCGTTGACGAGCCATGACAAGTAGCAATAACCATTGCGATCGGTCAATTAGTTATCAATATGGCACACGCTCCTGTAAGATTCTTACCTGTCAATGCGGAGTTGCATAACTTGCGTCATGGATGCGGGATGGAGCATTAATCCACCACGCTATCAGCCTTGCAATCGCCAGCTGCTGCCTAACTGAAAGTATCAAGAACAATCAGGCATCCACTTCTCTCCCCTTTTCGATCGACTGGCTGTGCAAGGCAGGGGCACGGCTAAGCCACAACGAGATGGGGCTGACTGACCCAGGCAGACATGACAAGAATTGCAAACCCACCAAATCCAACCCGTCTATGGCAGACCAGCGGACTGCCAAATGGAAGGCTGTTGATGTCATGCATCTATGTGGCAGTATTATGGCTTCTCCACGGGCGGCTTCGCGTTGATGGATAACTAGATTAGTCGATAGCTAACGAAGCTGTCACTAACTTGCTAATTACTCCCGGTAAATACGACTGAGCCACTGCTAGAACCCCTGTAAAGCGAGGCAGCAGCCTTGTACCAACCATTCTTTAAGGGGCAAAGGCAACGAATACGAGGGGCTGGTAGACGCGTATTCCATACGAGTACATGGAGCATCTTAGTTGCCTATTCAAGTCAAGTTGGTTTTTGGAGAGTTAGCCCGAGTGAGTTGTTAGCTGGATAGTGATTAATTTATCCGGTTCCCTGACAATTCCAATTATTATTGGCCACAGTGGTTTAAATGCCCGACTCTGAAACTGGGGGCGCCGAGCTGACCCAGTTCCGGGCCTGAACTATCCCTTAACTTACATAGTGTAACAAATTAGTTAAGGGGGAGCGGTAATCTATTATCCGGCTGGTTGGGAACGCGGCGCGTATTTAGTGTGGTTGCCAGGACGGGCTCTAATTCACTAGCCGGCATAGTCTGCACATCCTCATCTGCCCGGCGCTAACTAATTATAACCTCTGCTGGTTCTTAGAGGGGGAGCTTGTCTGTTAAACTTTTGCCTAGGCCGGGTTTAACAGGGGGTCGAGTGAGCACTCCAATATAGCTGTAGTAAGAACACAATGTGGCAACCCGACCGAGGCAACTCAGGCATAAACACAGCCGCGGGCAGTGGTTCAGCGCACCCAGGCAGAGTCGCCGTGTCGAGGCTGAACTGAACTCACTTACTCACAGGCCGCCTCGCACAGATCAGGCGTTAGTGACTGTGATTTGTCCATCGTCGTCGCAGAGTGTATTATGGTAAGTTATAAGCGAAATTGGACTTGAGGCAGACTATTCTTGTTGGATACCGCAACTGGATGATGGGCCATGACTGGGGCGCATGGACCAATCGGGGCGCGCCTGCCATCTGATAATTGAAAATTTGCACCCCAGCCACGGTAATATTACAGTCACGTGCAATCAGGGATTCAGGAAGAGGTGTCGGGGGGGATATAATAGGGGCGGTTCTATCGGTAGAGAAAGTGTTTTGGACCGTGTAGTCAAGGCAAAAAACAATCATCTTAGCCCTGTAGGAACAGAAGTAATGTGTAATGCAAATGATTATGCAGACTTGTGCTTCGTCGGCCTCCGACCTCTCCGTTCCGCCGCATCCGCCGGCATCGTGATCGCCTTAGTCGTGGGCCGGATGACCCGACCGTCAGATTGAATTGACGGGACCGTGAGTATTCGGACCAAGATCAATAGCAGTGTCGCCTGGAATATCTACTGCGACGAGTGATTATTGTCTACTCGACTGCTCTAGTAGTTGGCCCTGCGAGGGTGCAGTCCCCGCCAAGACCATCCCCAAACTGACTAGTGACGCCATGGACTCAGGAAAGCGCGACCCGGACCCGTATTACCAACCCGTAATACGCTGACCAGCCTCGATACCAGCCCCCGAAATCCTCTCTCGATCGAATCTGCTTTTCTTCCCCTTCTTTCCTCACCTTGTCAGAGTAATCTTTCTTCTCTTCTCTCTCGTCCTCCTCCACTCCCTTTCTCACCCGCTCTCCTCCCTTCTCGCCAGGGCTTGGACGATTCTCGCCCTTGCTGCTCCCGCCTTGCGTGTCTCTCCTGTCTACCCTCCAAACGTGACCTCCTTGAATTCCTCGGCTGCAAGAGAGAGGGCCTGGCGCTTCCCGGTCTTTGGCACCTTTCACCTTGGATTGGATTCTTATTCCAGCTTGATGAGACCATCGCCCCTTCGGCCTCGCTAAGCCCCCCTCCTCCTCCTCTCCCTCCCTCCCGACCGGTGCGGATTCCCTCCCGCGGCATCCCACCCCCCCTTCGCCCTCCATCCCCATCCGAGTGAGTGGAACGCTCACTCAGAGGGGATCTTGCCGCGATGATGAACGCCTCCCTTCCGTCATGGAAGGATCGCACCCAGAACCAGTTCGGGAAGCTCCAGATCCAGATGCCCTGGCGTTCCTTTCAACTCCTGGTGCCCCATCGCATGCGTCGCAAGATTCGATCGAAGTTGCGGAGCAGGATAGCGCCCACCTCGTCGATCTCCACGCTGCAAACTTCCTTCTCGCCCGCAGACACGCTCCGGTCACTACAAGGCCACCGGTGGACGCTGTATGACTTTCAGTATCTGCTACTCCTCATTGTCGGGATCTTTTCTTTGACCGTTATCGAATCGGCCGGCCCCCTGGCGAAGACCGGCATCTTCACTCTTCTCATCTGCTCTCTGCTTCTGCCCATCACCCGCCAGTTCTTTCTCCCCTTTCTGCCCATTGCTGGGTGGCTGATCTTCTTCTATGCATGCCAGTAAGTCTTTTGGTTCTTATCCCATCTCTGCCTTCAACTCCCTGACACTTATTTCTCAAGATTCGTTCCGAGTGATTGGCGGCCCGGCATCTGGGTGCGGGTTTTGCCCGCCATGGAAAACATTCTCTACGGCGCCAACATCAGCAACATCCTGTCCGCCCACAAGAGCGTTGTCTTAGATGTTCTGGCATGGATCACCTACGGACTCTGTCATTACGGCGCGCCCTTCGTTGTCTCGTTGCTCCTGTTTATTTTCGGGCCACCGGGCACCACTCCGCTCTTCGCACGGACACTGGGCTACATCAGCATGACAGCCGTCACCATTCAGCTGATGTTCCCCTGCTCGCCTCCGTGGTACGAGAACCTGTACGGGCTTGCCCCGGCAGACTACTCGATGCAGGGTAACCCAGCCGGACTTGCTCGCATCGATGCGTTACTTGGCATTGATCTGTACACCTCTGGGTTCAAGCAGTCCCCCGTGGTGTTTGGTGCCTTTCCCTCTCTCCATGCGGCCGACTCGACTTTGGCAGCTTTGTTCATGAGCCACGTTTTCCCGCGGTTGAAGCCCCTTTTCGTCACCTACACTCTGTGGATGTGGTGGGCTACGATGTATCTATCGCATCACTATGCCGTTGACCTGGTCTGCGGTGGCCTGCTCGCCACGGTGGCATTCTACTTTGCCAAGACCCGATTTTTGCCGCGAGTCCAGAGTGACAAGATGTTCCGCTGGGACTATGACTACGTGGAGGTCGGTGAAAACTCGCGCGATTTCGGCTACGATCTCGCCAGCCTGGATGGCGAATTCAACCTGGACAGCGATGAGTGGACCGTGGGCTCTTCGTCATCGGTCTCCTCGGGCTCTTTGAGTCCGGTGGACGACCACTACACTTGGGAGAGCGAGACTCTAACCTCGAATCACGACCTCGAGTCCGGACGCTAGCCGTCAACCTCGACATACATATACTACCATTGGACCTTGTGTCCATTGTTGCATCTACCTCTTTGACACGGCGTTTTTATACTTGACGACATAACTGGGCAACACTGATCTGCATCGAGCTATCTTCGACACCTTAAGGTTTTTAATCCACCTTTTGGACAGCTTCGGTCTCACACGGCTTTGTTTTTCGAGCCGAAGTCCTTTTTTTACAATTCTGGCTGTACATGCCTCTTTATTTTTTCGCCAGCCTGCCGTGAGCTGGCGACTCCGTCCATAATCATAATTCCGGTGGCAACCTGGAATTGGGGGCCAACTTTATTCGCGACCTCCCATCCTCCGCACCGTCACCGACGGGAAACCCTCGCTTGTACACATTATTTAACACTTCTTCGATTCTGACCCATGTCTTTCGCTACGACTTTACTGACTGGACGAGCCCCTTTTTTTTTCTGCTCGTCCAGATGCACAAACTTACTATTATCATTCATGTCGATCGCTCAACATTGGCGCCTGGGAACTGGGAATTCAAAAACAAAAGTTTCGGCGCCACTGGCTTTTTTTGCACTACACTCGCTGTGCATCCATTACAAGGAAAAATTCTTGGAAATTCCGCTATTACAACATTTTTGCATCGGCACATAGAGAAGGGAAAAGATCGTCGATCCGGTCTGATTTTGGGGCGCCGCTGGCAGGTGATAATCGGCGCGGGTTGCAGATCATCCTTCGTGTGGGGGCTGCATCCTGAACTTGAGAGAGGGAAACAAAGACTGGTGGACAACAGGAAAAGACACGCTGCTGGCTGGGGCATTCAATGCTTTCTTTGTGAACAGCATACCCGCGCAGCACAAGCGGCCATGTTCGAGGTTCCTGGGGGCAGCACCGGTGCTTGACGGAGGCATTGGGGTTTCCCGGATCCTGGAGGACTGGCTCGCTCGCTGATCTCTCTTCGTTTCTGGCTTTTGGGAATCAAAGCCCGACGACGACAGCTTTTCTGAATAATTAATGCGTGCACACGCCTCTTCTTTCCTCTTCGCACACTATATTCTCTTGACCCTCCTCCCCATATTTATCCTTCTCTCCGACGAGGGGCTGTGCACGTAGGGCGAACCTGGAACTGAAATTATCATTTCGTTGCGGTGAGCCCGGAATTGGCTGTATTGTTAGCATTTGTTTCTTCCACTCCTCTGTCGGGGCTACGACTTCTGATGATGAAGACCCATCATTATTGTACATTAATGTCTGGTTCTTCCGCCAATATCATATTATTACAAGACCTATTACTCACTTCCTCGGTGTAGTTCTTCGTTTCATTATTCAGTAAGATAGTAAGACTGTAAGACGAGATATGCGCTTCACCCCGCTCGAGCTGATCAGTCGATCAGCATTCCTAGCGCGCCCGCTGGCCGCAGCAGCTTCGTCGATCCTCCCTCGCTATGTATGCACGCTAGCTTAGGCAGCTATGAACCAGCCAGTCATGCATAATGCTGTAATGATGCACTGTCCGTCGCCAGCCGAGTCCGAGAGGCTGTGCATGTGTGTGTGCATGTGACAACTTGCCCCCCAGGTTATCATTATTCTGCTTATGCTGGTGTGCTGGCCTTGCTGACAGCTTTGCCCAGATCGGGTGTTTCCTGCTGCTTGTGTTCACTCTTTTGGTTTAGCTCGTACTGTATCTGCTTTATAAGTCTCGCTTATGATGACTAGTTAGTTAGTCTGTATGTATGTATTCATGCACATGAGCATGGATATCCTGTATACGTCTCTACCTAAGCTATCGTTTTTTTGGGTTTTTTTTTTTTTTTTTGAATCATGTGGTATTACAGTTTGCGGTGGAAGATACCTAGCCCCTTTTTTGTACTTGCAGAGACTCCGTTTTGTAGTTGAAAATAACATCCATGGATTATGACTGGCCGCAGGTCTGTCCGATCATGTGAGTTTAAATCATAGTTCTGTAACAGCCTAATTCTAGGGGTGAAGGTTGGATATACTGCACTGATAAATGCTTCGGGGTGGTTGGTTCCTTCAAACATCGAGCTCTTCCCGAATATCCGTCGAGCATCGGCAACTACTATAGTTATCTGGGATTGATTTTCTTTAGACAATTTTGGTAGATGATAGAAGAAGGCCAGTCGATAACAATCATGAGTCATAATCGCTCGAAAGTATGTATCCATTATCCGGTTACTTCTACATCACGCCCAGACCAAGAGAATATACAAGACCGAAACCAAAAACGGGCTCTAGCACGCTGATTGATGATGGAAACCGACAAGGGAACACTCATACAACGAGTGAATAAACAAACAAAAAAAACTCCAATCCAGTTCGTTAAGCAGAAAAAGACGAAAAAAAAAAGATTCTATTCTTCGTCAAAGATCTGTACACGCTCCGCGTACTCACGGATATTCGAGAAAAAGGTCTCCTCGATCTGGTCGCCTTTGCCGCCTGCAACGCGGAGGATGAGCTCGTTGAGGGACGCCCGGCCGAGGATATCGACATGATCCCCCGTATTGGGCCCGCCGCGTGGCGAGAAACGGTCTGGCTCGTGCGGCATCTCAAAGACCTTGACCTTAGACCCGGCGGGATTGTACCGCTTGATATGCCAGCCTTTGGCACACATATACCCCGTGCTCAGGAGGTTGACGGTGCCGTCGCCCTCGCCCATGTGGACGCCGCGGTCAACGCCGTCGTTGTTGGAGACGGTGGTGTCGATGCTGACGTTGAGGCTGACGAGCGGGTCGCGTTCTTCTTGGTAGAAGTAGCTGCGTTCGGTGGGCTTGCCCACGCCGTAGAAACAGTAGATCTTCATGTCGGGCGCGTGCGGCAGACGCGCCTCGAGTGGGTTGAGCCATTTGCGCGGGTCTTTCTCGTTGGCCTCGACTTCGCGGGCTGTGTGTGCTACGCCGTGCGAGTAGCTCGTCAGCACTTGGTTGCGGTACCAGTCCTCGCTCTGGTCGAGCATGTACTGCAGGCTCTCGGAGGTGGTGAGGTTGCGCTGCGTCCATGAGGAGTTGGTTTCACGGAAGTTCAGCAGGTTGCCGTACGACATTGTCTGGCCCGGTTGGTCGTCTGGTGCCCAGGTGGCATTGCCCCAGACGGCATCGCCGCCCTTGGGCAGCATGCTAGAGATGCCCGGCATCGCGCGAAAGATCTCCGCGCGCTCCCCCTTGGACAAGAACTTCTCCAGCCCGTATACGGCGAACGCGTTTAGCTGTGCGGTGTCGCGCATCTCCCCGGATAGTACGGCTGTCAGTCCCTTCACGGCGCCGAGCATGCAGCCGCTGATGTTGACCCACGAATCAATGTGCTTATTGACCCAATTTTTGCCGCCGTTTCCATGCTCTTTGCTTTCCACCCACTTGAAGAAATAGAGCACCACCTGGGAGCCCATACTATGCGAGGCCAGCGTGATCTTCTGGCCCTGCACCTGTACCGCCGTCTCAATATAGGACTTGAGCCGGCTGAAATACTGGTCCCGGACCTCCAGATTCCCATACGATAGGCGCCAGTCGTACGCAGCCGTAAACGCATTCGTCGGGTCATAGCCAATAGTCGCCAAGTTCTCCAATATTTTATTCCAAATCCAATATCCCGTGATGAAGAAGTCGGTGGCGTCGAACCCTTGCGCCGCGCGCAGCTTGATGCCCGGCGGGTCCAACCCAGTCTCGCGGTCGAGCATAACATGGTTCTTCCACTCTGCCTTGTCCATCACCAACGCACGCATCATGCTCCAGCTGCCCCATAGTCGCCGGCGGAAGTACTGGCGCGAATTAGATCCCGTGCCCCAGCTTTCTAGCCCCGTGGAGATAACGCCGGGGATCATGACGACGGGATGTTTGGCATGGACGCCTTGGGATTGGAGCTGGAGGCCGACGGCAAAGGAGTCGTAGCTAACGGCGTCGCGTTCATGTTGCTGTGCGAGTTGTTGGCGTTAGCATAGCACCTGTGTATACCTAACTACCCATCAAACGTACTGAGAATTCTTTTGCATCACGCACAATCCCCTGTGGTATCGCATCGATCAAGGACTCAATGTTCAAATCCATCAACGACTCCAGACTGATGACCTCCTGCTGGTTGGCGAAGAACAATGCGATAAAGATGCCGAACAAGCCGCCCAGCGCGAAGATCAGGCCATTGCGACGTTTGCTCCGGGGCTTGCTCTGGGGCTTGATGACCAGCTGCTTGACCTTGGCGCCGCCAAATTCTTCGCGTAGGAGATCCTCATTGGTCTTGGCGCGCCAAATCGACGGTCTGGATGACGAGTCGTTGGGGGCATCCTTAGTGCGACGGCGCAGCATCGCAACGGAAGCGGCCGGCGGACGAGGGGAGAGGAGGAGGGGGGGGGAGAGGAAGGTATCAGGCGAAAAAGGAGTCGAGGAGAGAACAATGATATAATTGAGAAAAAGGAGAAGAAAGAAAACAAGGCAGTCATGCAAGGCCGTTGAACGGGATCGGCATCACATGAACATGAACCGATACACCCCTCCAACCTCCGACTTTCCTCCATCTTTTTCCCACTACTCTCCTTGTCTCTCTCTCCCCCCCCCTTCCCCACCCCCTAATTCATTCCTCGATTCCTCCCACATGAGCCGGCAATGAACAAAGATGCCTCCGACGCCCTCCGCTACGTGCGGTACGACAGCGCGCGCGAGAACGAGTACGTCGCCGCCATGCGCCAGCTGATCTCCAAGGACCTGTCCGAGCCATACAGCATCTACGTTTACCGCTACTTCCTTTACCAATGGGGCGACCTATGCTTCCTGGCCATGGACAAGGACGACACCATGGTCGGCGTCGTCGTGTCCAAGCTCGAGACACACCGTGGCGGTCCGATGAGAGGGTACATCGCCATGCTGGCCGTGCGCGAGGAGTACCGCGGCCGGGGAATCGCCACGGAGCTGGTGCGAATGGCTATCGATGCCATGATTGCGCGCAATGCGGATGAGGTGGGTATCCTCGCGTCCTTTTCCTCGACTGGGAATGAATGCTCGGTGTTTGAATGCGTGTGCTGATATCTGTTTCAGATCGTCCTCGAAACCGAAATCACAAACACCGCCGCCATGAAACTGTACGAGCGCCTCGGGTTCCTCCGCAGCAAGCGCCTGCACCGATACTATCTGAACGGCAACTCCGCCTACCGGCTGGTGCTCTATCTCAAGGAAGGAGTGGGCTCGATTCGCACTCAATATGATCTCTACGGCACGCCTCATGGAGGGTCTGCCAACCCGTCGTCTGGAACTGCAACCCCGCTGTTCCAGGAGAATGGAGGCGCTTTGATTTGATACCCTTTGTTGGCGATACTTCGTCGGAAAAGAACATGCTCCCGCACACGAAATGTTATGACAAGCTTATGAAATGACTAGATAGATATGATAATAACTGCTTGGAATTGGGGTTCTGAGGTTATGATAGAACAGAATGATCTTGGCATACTTTCCTAGAATCTGTCAACTATCTTTCGTCCAAACAGAGGCTAACGGCTGGTGCTTTCAAATTGGAAGAAGGATGAGATTAGTAGGACCAACCTCGCTAGTATCGTTTGAGGTTACTTTATACGTTTGGCGGTTTTTCTTTTGCAAGCGACATATCACTCAAGATGATCATTCTAATATCAAGTATTCATACACATACACACCCAAATATATACAGTTAAAGATATACCCTCTTGTCGAAATCTTTCACAACCCATCTGAACGAGACTCCCTAAGACTTTGGCCTTAGTACATATCGATACGTCGTCCCGAGATGATACCGCTTTTCTTCAACGACCTCTAACCCACTCTGACGAATGATCTCTCCAATATCACGATTCCACCAACAACCATGGCGATCCGCATGCGCCGCTGCAAGATTATCCAAGATGCGATTCACCCAGTCATAGTGCGAGCGACCATGCTCCAGCAGCAGGATCTGACCACGGCGCGGCTCAGTGATAGATCCCAAATGGCGCAGCGTGGCCACGGGATCAGGCATCGAGCACAAGCCCATCGTCTGGACGATGGTATCATAGTAAGGCGTCATAGAGGTAGACGAAGTAGACGGCGGTGGCACGGCGCCAGCATCCTGAGCGCGGAAGGTCGCGAAGCGGAAATCCGGATACAGGGATTCGAATTTCCTGCGGGTGATTTCCACCATCTGCGGGCTGAGATCGACAAATGTAACACTCCGGCACCCACTGACCTGGGCATGGCCCTTGCCATCGACGCGGCGTCGCTCGCCCAGCTCGTAGAACTCGAGGTTCCGGCCCGTGCCGCAGCTTACTTCGAGGGTGTTGCCGCGCGCTAGTTGAAGGAGCGCTTTGCGTTTTGCGCCTATGCGCATGACTTTTTCGGACGTTTCGACGTCGGCGTCGAAGCTTGATGCCGTGTCGTTGTATCTGTTTGAGACATCCTCCGGGATGTCGAGGGACTGTGACTTGGCCACTTCTTTTTTATAGGACGTGTATATCAAGCCACAGTACAGGCCTATGCCTAGGATTCCGGCGGCGAATGCAGTCAGGACTCGAGGGGAGATGCCATGGCGCTGGCCATTTGGTTGTTGTTGCTCGGCCTTCAGGTGCGGGTTAGTCCGCCTTTGTACTGGGGGGCTATAGCTAGCAGAAGGTTAGGATTATGGAATGTGATTCGATGTGAGGCAATTGGTACATACCTCTGCGGTGGACGGGCTTTGGTCTTCGCTCCGCGCCAGGGAGTAGCGGACCACCGGGGCGCGCTCACGGCAACTCTGGCGACTCGAATCGTGTTCATGTCGTCTGCGATGGGCAGGTCGGCTGCCCGCGCTCGATGGGAGCTGCAATGCTGTAGATGGGTGGTGCCGTTGCGCGAAGTTTGAAGGACCGCGTCGTGTCGGGGGGAATAATTTTTCGTGACGTGATCAATTGATCTTTCGACACGATCCAGAAAAGCGCCGAGATTCCAAAAACACCCAGACTCTGACACTTCCCTCGCAGGCTCAACCCGAGCTCCAAAGCTCGCGCGTCGTCCGAGGAGAAGTCGGAAGGGCGCTCTCCCCCCCCGAGCCAAGTCCGTTATCGGCTTATCCAACGTCCAGTACCCGAGGGCCTCTCTTTTCTTTCTTGTACCGTTTGCACCGTCACCTCTCGCAATGGCGCTTCCACCAAAGATCCTGATTGTGGGTGGAGGAGTGTTTGGATGTGAGTGGTGCAAGAGTGTGAAAAATCTCTGATCTACTACATATAAACTAATATATATTCAGTATCAACCGCTCTGTCCCTAACCCAACGACACCCAGAATCGCAAATCACACTGGTGGAAGCGTCACCCACGATCCCTAACCCGTACGGCTCCTCCGTCGACACCTCGCGTATCGTGCGAGCAGACTACGCCAGCGCAGCCTACTCCAGACTAGCCGCGGCCGCCATCGAGCGCTGGCGCAACACAGCCTGGGGCCAGGAGGGCCGGTACACGCAGAATGGACTTCTGCTCGTGTATCCAGACGACAGCACTAGCGCCAGTGCGCGCGAGTATGCACGGAAGAGCTACAACAATGTCAAGCGGATTGAGGGGAAGAATGTCGAGTTCCTGCCCTCCAAAGCGGACGTGCTCAGAGTCGTCCCTGCGTATGGCAACGAGCTAGATGTTGCCGGTGGGTATGTGAATTGGGGGTCTGGGTGGTCTGACGCTGCGGCTGGCGTGCGGTTTGCGCGGAAGCAGCTCGAGGGAACGAAAGTGGTGTTCAAAACGGGCGATGTGCAACGCGTGCTATACGACTCTACCTCCAATGCGACGACCGGGGTAGCTTTGTCCGACGGCTCGATCATCTCCGCCGACTTGGTGATTCTCGCAACAGGCGCCTGGACACCCAAGCTAGTCGACTTGCGCGGCCGGGCCGTGGCGACCGGCCAGGCGATTGCGTACATGCGCATCTCGGACCAGGAGCAGCGCGCGCTCGAGAATCTGCCTACGATCCTCAACTTCGCAACGGGGATCTTCATCATCCCGCCCCGAGACAATCTGCTCAAGATCGCGCGCCACGCCTATGGATACCGGAATCCGACGACGGTGTCGCTGGGCAATGAGACTGTGCAAGTCAGTCTGCCGGAGAAGGATGTGCCCGTCCCGGCTGAAGGACAGGAAGCGTTCCGGGATGCGCTGAAGCAGCTTCTGCCGCGGTTTGCGGATCGGCCGTTTAGCGATACGCGGATCTGTTGGTATACCGATACGTAAGTTGTGTCCGTCTACATCTTAAGTGGCGATGCTCAGGCTGACAACCGGCATTAATTACAGACCGAAGGGCGACTTCATCATCTCGTATCATCCTGCGCACAAGGGTCTCTTCCTCGCGACTGGCGGCAGCGGGCACGGATATAAGTTCCTTCCTGTGCTGGGAGATAAGATTGTTGATGCGCTGGAGGGTAGGCTGGAGCCTGAATTGCAGGCATTGTGGGATTGGAATGCGACGACGCCGGGAGCGCACGACATCTTCGATGGAGATGGGAGCCGGTCTGGTGAGAGGAACTCGAATCTCAAGGAAGAATTGGCCAAGACGAAGAAAGCTGGTAGGGGGAGTGCTCTGTAGATATATCGTGGTTGGTGTATATAGTTAAGGCCCCAGCCGAGGGCAGATGCTAGGCTGTATATGTATACATGCGGTAGACAATATGAACAAGACCTACTTGGTTTACAAGTTTACTGAGATAAGACAAAGATATATTTTGCAATATTCCATTTCCTGCCTTAACGGATAAACCGTATAAGAGCGAGGCATAATAATCAAGTTAAAAAGAGCCGCCACCGGCAACAGAGCATGGACGGAATCTAAAGATGTCAAAAAAGATTTTTTTGGGTCCACGAGGTTTCCTCCGTGGATGAAAAACAAGGCAGCAAAAGAGCACTCAAGAATTAGGAGGCAGCCATTCGACCAGCGCAGGAAACCACCCCACTGCCGTTGTGCAGCAATCTAATTTGTAGAAGGGGGAAAGGAAGAGAGAAAACAAACCGGGGATCATCCGAATCGCTAGAACGCCAAACAATGCTTGCATGAAAGGATCATGAGGGGGAAAGAGTGGAGGACCAATGTGTCGACCAGAAGACAAGTGTTAATACATGGATGGTGGAAGAAGAGCAAACCCTGGCATTTTCTTCAAACCTTGCGGAAGTCTGGAAGAGTTAGTGTCCAGGCCACTTTCTCGAGTCAGTTTGCGAAACATACCGGAAAGCACAGGGTAGATCAGCTCAAAGGCTTGATAGATCTCCTCGCGCACTTTGGCGCCAGTGAGGACAATCTTGCCACTGACGAAGATCAAGAGCACAATCTTAGGCTTCATCATGCGGTAGATCAGACCAGGGAACAGCTCCGGCTCGTACGAGCTGAAGTTGTGATGGCGACTCGCCAGACCCTCCAACCGGATGGGGAACTTGATGTCGCAGGAGCCAACGATGTTCTGGATCTTGAAATCCGTGAACTTGGCATTGAAGCCAAGCTTCTGGATGATGCGCGCGTACTTGCGCGATGCCAGCTTCGAGTCATCCTCGGACTTGGCGCCGGTGACGACCATCTTGCCCGAGGCGAAGATCAACGCGGTGGTCTTGGGTTCACGGATACGCATGATGACGGCCGCGAAACGCTATTTACATAGACAGACAGTAAGCCACACGAATCCCTGATGATGCAATGCAGCTCTCGAAGGAGGTGGTGTGGGTCTATACCTTTGGATTGTACTCGGCGTTGCGAGCGTGCAGCGCGATCGTCTTCAGATCCAAACGACAGTCAAGATTGACGGTGGCAACGATGTTTCTTGAAGGATTCAGCATTCTGCTGGGAGTCACAACATCAGAGAGTTGTGGTATACTCACTGCAAGGTCGGCACGATGCCACTCCCCGGGTTCGTGGCCCCGGGCGTCGCAGCGGGAGTTGTGGGTGTCACCCCATTGCCGTTGACGGCATTCCCTCCGAGCTGCTGCTGGCCGTGATGCTGAAGCACTCCCTCTTTCTCAGAGGACGGCGGCGTCAAATCTCCCGCCCCGCCGGGGAAGGAGAGCGACGAAGGCGACGTGAAGGCACGAGCCTGGACTGCGTTGGATGGGTGGGTTGTGAGCGAATCCATGTTGCGGAAAAGCCGACGACCGATGTATGGATGATGAGAGATCCAGAGACCGACAACTGTGGAGTAGGGATGGTTAGTGATTGCGATCCCCACCAGGATGAGGTGAGAAGCCCAGTGAGCCCGAGGGTGACAGGGGAGGGACACCGGCTCGGTCACGGGATCTGTGCTGACTCACCACTGGGAGATGGACAAATCAATGCCTCCCCTACAGTTCAGCCGGGGGTTGTCGAGGTGAGACGATAATGAGATCAGAATCGCATAAACGACGAGCGGGAGAAAAGCACACTGAAGTGTTTTCTGAGCAACTTTTTTTTGGGGGGCTGGGGAAGAGAGTTGGGAGAGGTGCTCGGGAAATGGGATTTTGGTCTATCTGTGCGAGTCTGAAGGAGAGTGGCGAAGCCAAGGCACGCTTCGATTTTTTAGAGCCTCTGGGGAGGGAAGAAGAAGCCGATCTTCTTTTGATATTAGGCAGAGGTGCGGGGGGGAGAGAGAGCGTGAGGGGGAAGAAAGGTTGTTCCGGGGATTGCCAAGACCGCGACAGGAATCTCAGGCGGACGAGGGTGTGGGAGGTTGCGCCCTTTTATAGTGCTGACTCACTGCCCGCAGTCAGGGGAGGCTGGCCCAGGGTGGCGCCAAATCTTGTCCTGCTAGCGGCTCCGGGTGGGTGGTCGGTGGCCAATCAGCGCGGGCCCCGTCGCTGATTGGGCTGAGACGCCCCACCCCAATCCCCCTATTGGAGCACGCACTGCCCGTTCCCTGGTTGCAGCCAGTCCGCATCGCGCAGACTCGTCGTTCCTTCGCCCGATCCCCGACCAATCATCGTCATCGACTACTCGCGCTTCCCGGCCCGGAGGCGAACGAAAATTTGTGGTCGGAGGACCAGGCGATAGGAAGGAATGGGGACCACCGAAAGAGGGCGCGGAGGGAGATGGTTGTTGTGACAGACCCAAATATGCATGCGATGCACCGTTGGAATTCCCATCAGGCCAGCGTGGCCGAACTGACCGGTCGGCTGGTGGCGTCAGAGGTGCGGTTCACCGCCCGCCCAAACGGGATGGGTATCGGGAAGCCAGGTCGATCTGTCAGGCGGTATGCTGAATACCATACCCGGCATGGGACCAGCATTCTTACCGTAAATACCGTTTTCCCATATCGGCGTGAACCACCACGGACATAGGATGGCGATGGCCGAACGACGGACCGAGGGGTGTCATTCAAGACAGATCTCCAGGACGGGAGATGGCAGGAACCACCGAGGGAAGCAGAATGGATGCCGATGACAACGCTCTCGGACCGGGTGAACGGACGAGCAAGAGCTGATTCGCATCGCCGACCCGCTCATTGGCTGATCCGTCAACCGAGGATAGGCGGTTCTCGGCGATTTGCTCGTCAACGTCAACTGCTTGCTTCCCACAGAACATAGTCCTTCCCCTAACCACTGCACCCCACGATGGCGTCGAAACGCGCTGTCCTCCCTCTGCTGAGGCGCCAACTGCGACCCTCCTCCGCATCTTCCCCCCGATTCTCCCTCTCCACCGCCATCAATCCCTTCCCTCTCAAAAGGCACATGACCCGACCCGCCAACGTCATTCAAACCCGCGCCTTTTCACAGTCAGTAACCCGATGCTTCACCGACGAAAATGGGGACTTCGACCCGCGCTCGTTGGAGCGGGAATCTGACGAGGTGGACGTCTGCATTGTCGGAGGTGGCCCCGCTGGTCTGGCGGCCGCCATTCGACTCAAGCAGCTGGCCAACGAGGCTGGCGACGAGGAGTTCCGCGTGATCTTGCTGGAGAAGGCCGGCGAGCTGGGCGCGCACATCGTGTCGGGCAATGTGCTACAACCGACCGCGCTCAACGAGCTTCTGCCGGACTGGCTGGCGGAAGACAATCCGTCGCGCTTTGAGGGTGCCACTCCGGCCAAGAACGACCGCATGCGCTTCCTGACACAAAACGGTTCCTACCCGCTCCCTGCGCCGCCGCAGATGAACAACCACGGCAACTACATCGTCAGCTTGAACGAGCTGACCAAGTGGCTGGGCGAGCGCGCCGAGGAAGTCGGCGTCGAGGTGTACCCCGGTTTCGCAGCCAGTGAGGTTGTCTACCACTCCGACGGCTCGGTGAAGGGCGTTGCGACCAATGATCTGGGTCTGGGCCGAGACGGAAGGCCCAAGGATACCTTTGAGCGAGGCATGGAGTTCCACGCGCGCGTCACCCTCCTCGGCGAGGGGTGCCATGGCAGTCTCACCAAACAAGTGATGAAGAAGTTCGACCTGCGACGGGATAGTCAGCCCCAGACGTACGGACTGGGCATCAAGGAAATCTGGGAGATCCAACCCGAGAAGTTTAAGTCCGGTGAGATCACCCACTCGATGGGATACCCTCTCCCCAAGGATACCTACGGCGGTGCGTGGATGTACCATTTCGGCGACAACATGGTCAGCATTGGCCTGGTGGTAGGCTTGGACTACCCGAACCCGTGGTTGTCACCATACCAGGAATTCCAGAAACTCAAGCACCACCCTCTCTTCAAGGAGGTGCTGGAAGGTGGCAAATGCATCTCGTACGGTGCCCGCGCGTTGAATGAGGGCGGGTTCCAGTCGATTCCCAAAGTTGCATTCCCCGGCGGTGCTTTGATTGGCGATACGGCGGGGTTCCTGAATGTGCCCAAGATCAAGGGCACACACACCGCGATGAAGTCGGGCATGCTGGCGGCCGAAGCTACTTTTTCGGCTCTGCGGTCCCATAGTGAGGGCACTGTGTTTTTGTTCGACTACGAAAAGGCGCTGCGTGAGTCGAGCATCTGGAAGGAATTGTACGAGGTGCGCAATATGCGGCCCTCGTTCAACGGCCCCCTCGGTTTCTTTGGGGGGCTCCTCTACTCTGGCCTGGAAGCCTACATCTTCCGCGGCAAGGTCCCATGGACGTTAAACCACCACGGCACAGACGCAGAGGCAACCCGACCTGCATCCGAGTTTGCCAAGATCGAATACCCCAAGCCGGACGGGGAGATCAGCTTCGACATCCTGACCAGCGTGAGCCGCACGGGGACCAACCACGAAGAGGACCAGCCGGTGCATCTGCAAGTGGAAGACTGGGACAAGCACAAGGACCTCGCGTGGCCGGCGTACCAGGGCATTGAGAACCGCTTCTGTCCCGCTGGGGTGTACGAGTATGTCGAGGATGCCAGCAAGCCGCACGGAGTGCGGTTCCAGATTAACGCCCAGAAGTGAGTTGTTTCTTCGGCAATTCTTGACCTGTCATGCTAATTTTTTTCTTTCTAGCTGTATCCACTGCAAGACCTGCGATATCAAGGTGCCGACACAGGATATTAACTGGCAGACTCCCCAGGGAGGCGAGGGGCCCAAGTATATTATGACCTAGGGTCTGTACATGTATCTATAAGTGAGATCGGATTGTAGAACAAAATGATCCCCATGGGGCTCGGGACGAACCGTGGAATGGCAGTGGACCCGAAGTATACGCGCGGAGATTCATCGCCACCAGTAGATAGGGAGAGCCATCGCAGCTCATCAGGTGATCGATTCCTCGTCTTCCTCACCGTCCTTGGAAAGTGTTCCTCCATCGGATTCACCATGATTGACGACCCTTGTCCTCTGACTGACACGGACCACGTGGATCTCCAAAGTGAGGCGACCAGTCACCTTCCACTCGCGCCGACCGCCAGAAACCTATCTTCTTGCTTCCCCTCCTCTTTTCTCTTTCTGCTTCTTTCTTTCTTCCGCTCCCTGCCTCCACTGCTAATCCCAATCGGACACACTCCCCCCCTCCCGTTCTGGTGTGCTGCAGGACTCCGTCTCAGCCATCCTTCTCCCCCGATCGGCCCGCGCTCCACCGTACGGCGCCAGGCAGGATCTGTTGTGGCCATTTTTTGCTTTACTTCCCACCCTCTCCCCAGGACTTGCTTTGAGGACCAGCCATGACGGAGGTATCGTCGACCCGCCTGTATCTCGGGAACCTTCCCCGCAACGGTATGCTGGCATCCACATCCACCCCCGTGTATCGTTTCCCTCCAGAGAGCCAGGAGCTGCTTGTGACAAACTCGGCAAATGCACCGCAAAGCCCCCGAAGGATTGCCTCCGTCTGGACGTCTGGACGGCCCACCATCCTTGGATTGTATTACAAGCTAACGTGACTGGTGTTTAACTTGACTACAGTGACCAAGCCGGACATCGAAGAGCACTTCAGCAGCCATGGCAGCGGCAAAATCACCGAGATCAAGCTGATGAACGGCTTCGGCTTCATCGAATATGAAGATGCAATGGATGCCCGGGATGTAGTTCCTGGTAGGTTTCTGTTCTGCTCTCGCTGGTGTAGTTATTCTCTGTCTGCTCACTTTCTCTCCTCTAGCGTTCCGTATGTCCCAAGCAAAGCAAACCCCCGATACAGACGCTCGGCCAACTAAACCATACATACAGATGGCAGTGACTTCAAAGGCGAGCGGCTTACGGTTCAGTTTGCTCGTGGCCCTCGACGCAAGGAGGTCTTTCCCAGCCCTATGGATCGCCCCAGTGCTCCTCGACCCCGTCGCACAACGTTCCGGATGCAAATTTCCGGTCTCCCGGAGACAAGTTGGCAGGTTAGCAGCCCACACTCATTCTGTCCTGGATCCCTTGGCCATCTCTCTCTCCTTGAAGCACCCTGTCCTTGAGCCTGGAAGCCGAAGCCACGCATGTCAAAGATGATGCCCCGGATGCTCATCGCAACTCCCTCAGCTTTCCTTGCTCAAGGTCTTTCTGTACTTTGCGGGCCTGGTGGGCTTTGACATCCCCAAACATCCACCAACCATCTTTTGGAGACGGCCCCCCTCTTGTTGCCGGACTTGCTCTTGCCTCTGCCTGGACATGGACTCACTGCCGTCATGTAGGATCTTAAAGATTTCGCTCGCCAGTCTGGATTGGATGTGGTCTACTCCGAGACCGGCCGTGAACAAGGTAAAGGGTAGGTGGTCTCTCCTTCCAGCTCCAAGCAACCGCCCTCCCTCACACCAGTGGCAGGTTTGTTGAATTCGAGACGGCCAACGACCTGAAGACCGCCGTGGAGAAACTCGACCAGCAAGACTTCAAAGGCTCGCGCGTGACTTGCGTTGCGGATGTAAGGCCAATGTCCTCCAAAATTCTGATGCCCAGCATCTTATCTCACCTTATTCTCGTTCCAGATCCAGCCTTATGAAGAACGTGGTGGCTACCGCGACCCATACCGCTCTCGCTCTCCTCGCCGTGCCTATGCCCCCATGGATGAATACGACCGAAGGATCCCCCCTCGTGGCTACAGTCCCCGTGCCCACTACCGTGAACGTTCCCCAATGGCCATGCGCCGAGAGTACTATGACCGGGATGGCTATGGCCGCCGCACTCCCCCCCCGCCCCCGGATGGAGGACTACCCGCCGCCGCCACCACCACCGCGCCGTCCGTACGACGACCCGTATGATGCGCGCCGCCCGCCTCCTCCGCCTCACTATGAAGACCCCTACCTGGCTGCACGACCCTATCCCCCCGTCCGCGCTCTCCCCCGCGAAGCGAATACGTGGCTTACGACCGCCGCGGCTACTGGTAAACAGACGATGACGCTATGCTAACGGCTGGACTCTTTTTCCCGTCCTGTGTTTTTTTTCATGTCCCCCAAAATACCCGATGCGCCTTGTGTTTTTGAGTGCTCTTTTCCCTTTCCTTGTCGTCCATCTGCCAAGGATTAAATCCGTACATTTATTTTACGGATGGTGCGAGCTTTGCAACCTTTGCTTGTGTTGTTTCTAACGGGATCCTCTCTTTCTCTTCTCTCAGCCCGGATCGGATCGTAGGGGCTGTATGTATGGATGTTATGAGTTAATTATGTATCCGACAGTATGTGCATCGACAGTTGTCAACTTCCACTTTAAGGATGCATTCCGTGGGATGTTCTCCAGTCGGAATGTAGAAACGTTCAAGTAGCCGTCATGATTCAGCTCCACCCGGCCGGCCCCGCCAAACCCAGCTCTTTTTTCCCGACGTCAAGCTCTGGAATACGTACTGTTCACCTACACAGTTCTGACCACAATTCCTCTCGGAGAGGACTCTTAGCAATTGCACACTTCGTCTACATCAGCGGCATCGCTTGCCTCCGATTGGATTCATTCCATTCAATTCCTCCACCACCACAAAGCTCCCTCCTACCGTCTCAAATACAATCATGTCCGTCCACATCCCCCCCCGCCCACCAGTCCTAGACAGCGTTCGCCTCCACGGAATCTCCCTCCCTCTCCCCTCAGCCCCAGATCCCTGGCACCGTGACGGCAAGCCACAGCCCTGCACCGCAACCCTAAAGCTTTCCTACTCCTCCGCCGTCGCCGCCGCCTCTTCAGACGACGTCTCCCTATCCCTAGACTACGGGAAGCTGTTCCGACGACTGGACACCGATGTGCGCAGCATAGGCAGCGGCCACGGCGTTGCCTCGACTGACCTGGTCAGTGTTGAGGGCACGCAGCGTCCCGAGATGCGTTCCACCGCCGTCGGGCAGGATCCCCGGGTTACGGCGGGGATTGTAGCGAATTGTGGACTTGGGTTGTTGGATGAGACTGCGGCTGCGGTGAGACGAATGGCGCATGTTCATACTAGTCCCCGGGGGAGTTTCTCGGGTCCTGCGCAAGTACCACCACCCACGGCTGCTCCGCGGTCATACCCCATTTCTGGAGACTACGGCCAATGCGAGGTGTCGCTGCATCTCCCGAAAGCCCTCCTCCGCGCCGAGGAGGGACTCAAGTACCGCAGCCTGACGGTGTGGGGGTACAAGCAAGGTCTCGCGAGTGAAGAAGGTCGCTGCCCCGTCGTGCTGGAGGAGGAGTTCCGCATTGAAGGCATCCGGTGCCATTGTATCCTGGGAGTCAACTCGCACGAGCGCGTCGAGAAGCAGACTGTCATTGTAGCGCTGGAGTTCTCGGGCCCCGGACAGCTGGCTTGGGGGTCCGCGGTCGTTGACTCGTATCAGGCGATGACGAGGGCTGTTGCTGAGGTTTGTTTGGTTTCTTTTTCTTTTCGTTGTGTTGGCGACCTGGGTTGGTTCTGGATAATGGCTGACTGACTTGTTCATCTGTAGAACGTCGAGGAGACCTCGTTTCAGACCGTCGAGGCGCTGGCGACGTTCGTGGCGCGCATTGCGACGGTGGAGTTTGGTAATGAGAGAGTTACGGTGAGGGTAGAGAAGCCTAGTGCGTTGGCGTTTGTTCAGCGGTCTGGCGTGGAGATTACGAGGACGATGGATTTTTTCCGATCTTGAGCTTGTTTTCTCCTCTTCAAAATATTTAATGAGTGTCTTGACCAAATCTCAAAAAAAAAGCCTCGATCAGTCCACTGCTATGATGTCATGATAACTTGTATACTGCAGCAAACCGTTGTCCAGTACTTATTCTCTAGCGACCCTGATCTTAGTAGTTTGGTGGCCTGGTTAGCTCCAGAGATACTAATACTATAAAGCTGAAGTTCCTTTCGAACATGACATTGTCAGTGCTGATGCTGCTAAACAGGAAAAGCCTGAGCTGAGCCTGCCCCATCGCTTCCTCCCTCTCTCTTCACTTTGTCCGCTTAATGCTGTGTTCTCTATATTCTACATCTAATAATGCCTCTCTATAACTAGCCGCTAGTTAAGGCGTGTGTATTTAAAAATCATTCCACTGCTACAGTCGTATAGATCATCGGCACGTGAATGCCGTAAACGGTTTAGCGCCGTCGCCCCAGATCTTCTTCAGCTGTTCGGTTCCTGCGTCGTTTTTCCTCCTCCGTTGCTCCCATTATTCATTCGCCGTGCTCTACTCAAAACCTACCTATCTCGAACGATTACCTCCTTCCCTCGCTTCTTCATGTGCCTGTCTGTGCTGCCCACATCGCTCGCCTTTTCCTTTGCTGGCTCTCTGGCCTCCAACGTTACCACCACTGCGACCACTCTCTCTCCCCGTACTGCATCCGAGATCCCGAACGTGTCTACCATCGCTCCTCTCTTCTCTCCTCCGCCAGTGCTCGGCTCCACGGTCGGCGAGGTGAATTGTGTAGGGGTTCCACGTCCGTCCTGAAGAAGGGCGGACGGTAAAACTACCTGGGGGATTCGCGCGAGTTTGTTGGGAAGAAACCGTGCTGCGAATTTCTCATTTTGAAGTAAGTCCTGGGAATTTTGGGGGGTTGGGCTACTATTGGTGGGGGAGATGAGCCCAAAGGCTCGGGTGCCCCTCTGTCAGCTCCAGTCTACAGAATTATGCTAACAGATTGGTTTCTGTGTGAATAGCTACTGTCAGAGAATTATCTTGTCTTCGAACAAGATTTGTGGGATTAAATAGCTCATCATTACCCAGCGGTGCTTGGCGGCTGTGTTTGGCCTAAGCCACTTCCGGCACCCATACTCCAAAAAACCTCGATCTGCGTGCGATATCCCGAGTATCATGCCTTCTTCGGATACTCACGAGGATCTGTCCGTCGCGGACGTGTTCAGCCCGCAAGCCGATAGCATCCAGCCCTCCATCGATATTCCAGCCAATCACCATGTCCCTGATGTGCACGGGATGAGCGATCGCGGTGTCTCGCCTCGAAAGATGACCAACGATCTGCTGGCCAAGCCGCAGCGCCGCAAGAAAAAGAAGAAGCAGGCCGACCTAGCTCGCTCGACCGTGCGGGGGTTTACTCCCCTTGCTTCTGGGGACGAGGATTCGGATTTTTCAGCCACCAGCTCCCGCGCCGATTCGCGGCCCACCACCGCTCTTGGCCAGGCGCCTGCGGGCCATGGGGTGAGCGCATTGAAGCTTCAACTCGATTCTTTGAGTCTTTCTGGCAACCACCGTCCCAACGGAGTCGGCTCTAAAACTCCCAGCAACGCGAGTGTCTACTCTGCCGACAGTGACCAGACCGAGGTTCTGACCAGCTACGAAGTTCCTCTGGACCATGACTTTGTCAGTGTCGATGCTGTCGACCAGGAAAAGTCCGAACCTACCGGTGCTGTCGATATGCGCAGCCAGCTGTGTCGGAAGATGACGGCCCATGACTTTGAGCCGCTCCTGTGTCTGGGCAAAGGCTCGTTCGGAACAGTTCTGCTGGTTCGCCATGTCGTCACGGGGAAACTGTACGCCCAGAAGCAGTTCCGCAAGGCATCAATCACCGTGCATAAGAAACTCGTGGAGCAGACCAAGACGGAGCGCACGATTCTGGAGAGTGTCAACCGCCACCCTTTCGTGGTCAAACTGTTCTATGCCTTCCAGGACCACGAGAAACTCTATCTGATCCTGGAATACGCGCAGGGTGGGGAGCTTTTTACCCATCTTGCCATGGAGCGCATGTTCGATGAAGATGCGGCGGCCTTCTACATGGCGGAGATGGTTCTCGCCCTCGAACACCTGCACCAGAACGTCGGCGTGCTGTACCGCGACCTCAAGCCCGAAAACTGCCTCTTGGATCGCCAGGGCCACCTGCTTCTCACGGACTTTGGCCTCAGCAAGATCGCCCTCAGCGACGACGACCGCTGCAACTCTTCTCTTGGAACAATCGAGTACATGGCTCCCGAGGTGATCCAGGCAAAGCCCTATGGCAAAGCCTGCGACTGGTGGTCTCTCGGCGCACTGGGCTATGACCTCTTAACCGGCTCGCCCCCTTTCCGTGCGAACAACCACACAAAGCTGCAAGAGAAAATCGTCAAGCAGAAACTCGTCCTGCCCTACTTCCTCGGGCCGGACGCCAAGGATCTCCTGACCCGTCTCATGCGCAAGGACCCCACCAAACGCTTGGGCTACCACATGCCCAAGGACCTGGTGACAATCAAGAAACACCGCTTCTTCCGCAAGATTGACTGGGCCGCCCTCGAGCGCCGCGAGCTCGACCCGCCAATCCAACCCGTCGTCACGGACCCTGCTCTCGCGGAGAACTTTTCTGCGGATTTCATCAACCTCCCGCTCAGCCCGACTGTTACCTCGGCCGGGTTCGACGAACTGTATGCCTCTGCGAACGGCCGTGTTTCTTCATCTTGCGGTGGACCGGATCATCCCCCTTCGGGCGAGGGCGATCCCTTTGGCGGATTCAGTTTCGTCGCCTCGAGCAGTCTGCTGGATCATGGAGTCGGCGTGATGACTGGGGGTTATTGACTTGTGCTGTGTCTGTTTCGTTTTTCTTTCTCGTTTGCATCTCGAAGCTCGATATATCAGGCCTGGCGCCAACAGCATACGCATGTTGGCTTTTCTTGCGGCTTTTTTGGGCGTTTGTGTCCGTACATGGTTTTTGAACATAGCGTATTCTTTCTCATTCATTGTCAACATTACACATTTCGAGATAGGTTGTCTCTTCTAGATCCATCCAGTAGTACGAGTCATCCCTACTCTAACACCTAAATCTCACCCTCTTCGCTACCCCCTCCACCCTCATCATCGACGTCCCCTTTTTGCGGATCTGATCTAACCGAGTCTGCAGGCTGTGCCGCTGCAGGCCGAGAGGGAGTCCTTTCATCAGACGCAATCTCGCCTTCTTCGGTGGTTGTGTCATCTTTCTCGGGCGCGGATGTTGCTTTTGAAGGATTTTTCGAATGTGACGTTGCGGATGCCAGTGCTTTCAATGGAATACGCGGTAGAGGAGGTTTAGCGGTGCTGGTTTTGGATTCTTGCCCCGTACCGGGAGAGACTGTTCGCTGGCGTTTCGGCGAGGGCTCCCCGCCATTCCGGGGAGGTTGTTCGGGGATCCGAGATGGTAAAGACCCCGAGAAAGACTCCGGCTCGCGCGACCGCTTGCGGCCATTCACAGCCTCTGCACTCGTAGCAGAAGGAGGAGGGTCTTGCGAAAGACGGGTCGGATCCTGGGGGATTGGGGGGTCGGAGATGGCAAACTCCGGATACCCCTTACTCAGGTTTTGGTGGACGCGCTCGTAGATCTGGATGATCAGCTTGCAGGCGCGGATGAGGTCGTCGACGCGGACATCGATGCGGACCCACCAGGGGCGGCCCTCGTCGTCGTCCGGGAAGGCGACGTTGCAGTGTCGCGCGGCCGCGTAAAGCGCCGCTGCGGCGATGACACGCGGCGAGAACTGGAGACACAGCACTGTGTAAGTTGAGTCGTTGAGGAAGGCGTACGCCGCGTGGCGGAGGGGCCGGTTGTCCTGGACGTTGAAGAAAAGCGAGTAGTCCCACAGGATGCGGTAGGGGGACTCGAGCTGCAGATCGAAGCAGAGGATTTCCAGCATGGTGCTCTCGTTCTGCAGGAGGAGGTCGCGCCATTTCCAGTAGTCCTTGGACTGCTCGTCAACGATCATGTCGGCCTTCTTAAGTGCGACGCGGCAGCAGGCGATCACGAAGTCCTTCATGCGCCGCATCGTCTCGTCCACTTTGAACGCGACGAATAGCGCCACCCCTGCAATCACCTTGGGATGCATCAGGTTCGAGGATATCTCCGGGTAATGGCCCTGGAGCGAGTAGCGCATGAGGAAGCGGTGCATGAACACCGTGGCGGTCATGGAGGTCTGCGGCGGCATCTTGAGCATCATGCTCACCTGCCAGATAAACTCCACCGCGCGGTGCCGGATGTGGTCCTCCTCCCCGCGGCTGATGTTATCGATGCGCGAGGGCGTGCGTTCCAACTCTTCGTCTGTGAATAGCCATTTTTGCTGCGCGGCTGCTACCACCGGGTTGGGCAGGCCGGGGATGCGTCGTTTGTGCGGTGCGGGGGATGCGGATGACTCCATTGGTGTGGCAGGGAGGAATTGCTTCGAGGAGGGCAAGAGTATCGGTCAAACGCAGTGGAAGAAGGCAATAATTATTGCGCGCCGGCGCGCTCAAGGGGTCGATGCGGGACCTTCTGCTCGCGGCGTTGATTAAGCATAGCGTGCGCGGGTGTTCATTGCATCTCAACCCCAGGCATTTTCGGAAATTAGACAGGAAGAAGAAGGAGAAGAAGAGCGATGACAAACAGCACAGAACAAAGGTTGGAGGTACTACGTGATAGGTGTCGGACCGGAACAATTTATTTCCGTATAATCTACAGTACAATGGGAGGACGAGCATATTCGGGAAAGAAGCAGATGAGGGATGAAATAGATGCAAGTAGATTATTCCGTGGACGCCGCGCTATTATTTAAGACATGGTATCATTCCTCCTCGCTGACCTCACTTTCGTCATCGCTGGCAACATACTGCCGAGACGCTGACTGGCCATACTGCTGGCTGCGGGCTTCTTCTTCCCTGGCACTTTCTTCAAAGGCCGCCTCCATCTCCGCCGCCAGGGCGTCGTCATCCACTGTTCCATCCCCTCCTCCAGAATCCGAAGGTTTCACAGTATCTCTGGCTGGAGAGGGGAGCTGTAGATCCTCCATGGACTCGTCTCCGTCATGGGAATCGGCATTGGGGGTATTGTTGGACGAGAAGTAGGCGGGATTGACCTTGAATGCTGGTCGTGACGGTGGCGGCGATCCCATGTCAATAATTAAATCTCCGTCGATGATGATGTTCGAATTAGGCGATTGGTCGGCCTGCTGGGATGTCCCTGCGTCAGAGGGCGGCGAGCGGGACTCTTCCAGTTCCGGTTCAGCACGGCGAGTTTTTTCAGCAGCTGGTCTTGCGTCTGGCTTCTCTGCGCGTTTCTTCTGTTGTCGGAGAGGGTTGGCCTGGGTCTTGGGTCGGGTCATAGGCTTCGGGGCCGGTTTGGTAGCCGCCGGCACCTGGGGTGTATCGGCCCTGCTTGCAGATAGTTCGGGAGTGGTGAGGTAAGAAGCAGGCTTGTCATCCTGGGCACGGTCCTTGGGGAGGAAGTGCCGATAGTCGTACGGGTTGCTATCGTCGGCCGGGCCCTCGTCCTCGCTGGTGCTACCCGTGAGCCGGTCGTCTCCCGATGCATGATCCTCCTCTTGGAATATGCGCAGTTGTTCGTACTGTTCGAGGACCTGTTTTTCTGTCTTGCCCGGTGCCGACCGCAGGTTAAAGTTCAGTTTGGTGGAGACGGGCTCCAAGACAAACACCTTGCGGTCCGGGTCGAACACCAGCACCAAGTTCCGGTCTGTCGAGGGGTCCTCACTGCCTTTGTAGGAGTATGACAACGTGTTATCGGCATTTGGTGCTTTGTCTTTCACGACCAGGTCGTAGAGGTCGCGGGAGCGTGAGGCGCGGGTGATGATGGATCGCTGCTGGGGCGTGGCCGACTTGGTCTTGTAGTTGTAGTTGATGTTGACCAGACGGCTTTGAGCGCCGGCGCTCTCGGCCAGGCGCTCTCCCAGCACAATGGGGTACTCGGCCTGTTTCGTGGGATCGATCATGGTGGTTGGCGCGGCCATTTCACCGCCTGGCCCAGGGTGAGCAATGCCGAGCCAGTGTCGGGAAGGAAGGTGAGGGAGGGAGGCAATGCGGGATGGGGCTGAGAAGGTGGGTGGGGCCTTGGGGGGGCCAGGCGAGCCAGGCGAGCAATGCCCAGGGCGTGATCGATTGAGCGACCGTCTCGACTGGGAAGGGAACACGGAGAGAGGGATGACAGTGGACGTAGCAGTAACTTGGGTAACCCAAGGAAACCAGGTGAACAAAGGCGGAGAGCGGAGAGTCAATCACCCGCGGGCGCTGATCCCGATTGGTCTGGGCCTGGCTGGACGACCACTGAGTAGTTCTGGAATGGTGACCGTATTCGTATGATCAAGTACTGCACGGAAAAGGTGTATAGGATGATGGACTAATCAACTATTGCACCGGAACGTGGTTTGCTGGAACTCTGGGATTAGTTAGCTCCGGCTTAACTCCAGCGCATCCTCAAGGCCGTTCGGACCACTTCTTCTGAACTCATCCACTACGAACATGCCCTTCGAGTTCATCGACAACAATACCACCATCAGCCGGGCTGAGCGCAAACGCATCCGCAGCCATGCAGCCAAAGGCCGCAACGTGGGGAAGACCATCGTCCGCCCATCCCGAAAGAAGCTCTTACTTACCCGGACAGTTCAACCCGAGAATAGAGAGAATCAACCTCGAGAGCCCAGAAGAGACATTGAACGGCAGATTGGCGACGGGCTGTCTGTTCTCGGGCTGCCAGCACCACCGACTCCGGCATCTAAACGCCTCGTCCAGAAAGGTTAGTAAACATAGAAGCCAGTTAACCAGTGAATATACTAACACCAAACTCAGCCCTAACATTCTTCGCCGGTCCCCGACACGCACCCGAGCTAGAGAAGGCCCTAGATCCCTATGCTCGCAATCCCGCCGCTATCTGGACGCAATTCATTTTCATGGATGAGGCCTGTATGTCTTGACCCCTACCCTAAATATCGAGCACGACCAACGCTCAAGCACAAACAGACTTCCATTGTGCCATGGCAATGGCCATAACAGCCTTAAACAGCCTAGTAATGCAACCCGAGGACCCAGCCGACGCAATGCGTCACATAGCGCGCTCGCTGCGCATTGTGAATCAACGACTCGTATCTCCCCACGATGCCCTCTCAGACACGACCCTGGCCGTGGTTATGATGCTATCTCACTACGAGCGGCATCAGGGCCATCTGCGTCAAGGACAAGTACATTTTGATGGGCTGCTACGTATGGTGGAGCTGAGGGGTGGCATTGCGTATCTGGCGAAGACCAAACCTAATATTGCTCTGAAACTGTACATGTAAGGACCAGGCTTTGTGTGTTTCCGCGGCAATTTCCTAACTTTTGGCCATAGGGCCGATCTGGACTATGCTCTCCAGCTAGGTATATCGACGCGTTACAGCGTTGATGACATTTCACATGGCATGACCACGCTCTTGGGCAGCCAAGATGACCGAGAGCAACAACGGGCCCGATCACCTCCATCTGTACTTCCACCACCCCTCTCCCATAGCTTGGGAGCAAACCTCCAAGACCTCCTGACAAACATGACATCTTTCGCCCGCATAGTCAACGACACTGTCTCGGGGCTCCGACCACCATTTAGCAGCTATGCCTTGCTTTGCACACTCCTCATCCTGGGATATCGTCTCGTGGGTATCAGTCCACTAGCCGGTCCCCGACCCCACGATCATCTCATAGATATTATCCATCTCGGCTTGGCGGCATTCATGGTGACGTTTCTACGAAGACTTGATCGGAAGATTGCGGACATGCCGCTTTTATCGAGTGTCGCTCGAGCGGCAGTGGATAATAGCTATTATGATGAGAAAAGGGCACAGGAATATCAGGAGGTCCTATTGTGGGTCCTTTTCCTTGGTGCAACGTCGGTTTTTAGGGGCGTGGATCATTCTTCGTGGTTGGTTCTGAGAGCGAGGCAGACGATGAACGTTTTGGATCTGAGCTCTTGGGGGGATGTACAGAAGGTATTGGTTCAATTTCCTTGGGTTCACACGCTTCACGATAAAGCGGGCTGGGAGCTGTGGAGCACATGTACATTAGAAACAGTATGACCTTGGTATACGATCGATGCATTCACGGACTATTGACTAGTCTCCTCAAGCAGCTACACCCTACGCCCAAATCTAGAAGAGGTTTACTCCAAGATCCTAGCCACACATCCAGGCTCAACAGCCTCCAGCTCATGAGCAACAGCCTCCCAAGCCCACTTCTGCATCTTCCTCCCTTCCTCGTCGTCCACCCAGTCAGGCACCTTGAGGCTTGAAGGACAAACAGCAATATCAGCACAAACAAATCAGGTAACCCAAAAAAGAGTGAGGTGAGGACATACTCGTTAATCTCACAGGCATCGAGATAGCATCCATGACTCGCTTCACCGGCGATGGCACCGTGCAGCAGCGTACGGCTTCCTTGCTCAGCAGTGCGCCCATACTGGGCGTGCATCTGCGAGAGCCTGTCGCGGAATTCCGGTGTTGCATTCCGGGCCAGTTCTGTCTTGCACAAGCCTGGATTAATCAGGTTGATGACGACGCCGGTCTTGGAGACGGGGATCAAAGGTGCGAGATGTCGGACTGCAAGGATTTCAAACAGTTTGGATGTGCCGTATCTGAGGAAGTAGTTAATCAATCAGCATAAATTCCCACTGGAGGTCATTAAACGGAAAAAAAGAACTTACAAGAACTCCGATTGAATCTCAAGCTTGTCCAGTTTGGCAATCGGATCATCCGCAACCTTCAACCACTGCTCCTTAGCCTCGAACCCAACGCCGCTGGTGACGATGGCAATGTGCGGCTGAATTTCGAGTCGCGCCGCGTCCACCTTCAGCTTCGGGAGCAGCAGCACGGCGAGGAGGAAGGTGCCTGTCACATTCACAGTCACGGGGAGTGGATGTCCCTCAGCCCGCATATCTGAAGTCGACGCCACGGCAGCGTTCTCGATCACTGCGTCAATACGTGACAGTGAAGAGACGGCCCGGCTTGAAAAGGCCTTGACAGAGGCGTAGGAAGACAGGTCCAGCTCCCACACCTCGGCGATGCCAGCTTTGCCGGTCTCGGCTTCGATGGTCGCCAGAGCGGACTGACCAGCGGTCACATTGCGACAGGCCATGATGACCCTGGCTGAGCCGAGAGAGACAAGGTGCTTAGCGGCTTCGTAGCCTAGGCCGACGTTGGCGCCCACCACAATGTAGACTCGTCCCGAGCATAGCTCAGAAGTAAGCACAAGAGGAATATCACGGATCTGCATGTTGGAGGTTATTGTATTGAAAATGAAGAGAGATCTGAATCTCCGGCGAGGAAAGCTGCAGATATTTATATTTGGAAGCAGGGAATCCTTGAACAGGACTTAGGCATTAAATCCGCATGGCTCCGTCCGAGTTGGTTCGCAACGAAGGCTGTGATGGAGTAGACAATAGTTATCCACTGAGAGACTGGTTTCCTAATCCGGAACAACCAACCAGAGAGTGATGTCCTAATGCGGAATAGCGCCATATAGGTGCTGCTGTTGAGCCTTTCTCGTCTCATCATGCTTAACTCGGAGAGGCTTAAGTTTCGATCTATTATTGTTGTTTATAAATTCGTTCTAATGAGACGCCCGCGTCAGTTGCTCCAACCGTCCGGCCAGCGCCCGGTGCTTGCGCATCACCTCCTCCCACTCGTAACCAATTTCCTCCTCGCCGCTCAGCTCGGTCAGGATCATACCAAAATCCCCTCCGAGACGGCCTAAGCTGGCGGCACAGTACAGCAGCTGTGTGAGAAGGCTCTCTCGCGAGCTCTTGTCCCGTACATTGGGGAGATAGGTGCGCATCGTCTCGGTGAGCATCTGCACTAGGTGCATGGGGAACGTTGCCAGCGCGGGGGGCAAGCGCTGTAAAGGATCATCGGAACGGGCCGGCCGTGACGAGGAAAGCGATTTCACTTTGGTATCTACACCCCGCAAGCCCGACCCAGCCAGATCAGACTCGGACTGTTCGGAGCCAAAGATATTCTTGTACAAGGATACGATGGCGAAGCTCTGCTCGCGGAAGATTTCGATGTAGCGTTTCAAGTAGCGGTCTGTCTGCTGTCCGTCTGACCAGGAAGTTGGCTCCGTATCCTTGCCATTGGCTCGTCGCTGGGTTTCTTGGTCTGCGAGCTCACGCAGCGGATCTAGTGCTTCGAGGGTCGACACCAAGTTGGCCAGTCTGCAGATCAAGAAGACAGCCCCCAGCGCACCTTCGCTTGTGCCAGCAGCTCCATCGGCTTGGAGAGTCTCTAAATCAGGGGCAACACGCCGCAACCAGCCCACGGTTCGCATGCCAGCTGCGAGACGCAGGTTCTGGGCTCGGAGCCCCGCGATGAGGTTGGTCGTCATCTCTTTCATTGCATCTTCTGCCTGGGCCGCAACGTCTTTGATCAACGGTGAGTCCGGGTAGAGGGTCTGGAGACGTTTTATATGTGCGTAAAGGTCGAGGGCGGATGAGTAGGTTGTGGAGGAGGAAGCACCGCTGGTGCCGGAGGTTGCGGACGCGGCGGACACGGCCGTTGATAGCAAGGTCGGCAGCTCTAGAATGTCTGATAGTCGGTCGACATTGCGTGCCAGCTGCATGGCTTTCTTCCGTCGGTCCAGAGCGGCATTGTCTGCAATCTTGCTGTACTTTGTGGAGAAGCCCACCGCCTCCTGGTCGAGCTTGGGCAGCGCATCGCGCAGTTCTTGAGCTTCACGAGTTAATTGAGGGATGGATGAGCGTAAGGTGGAAAGATTATCGGCAGAGGTGATAAAGGCCTTGTGCGAGCGGTTGGACAGAGCCTGGAGGGAGAGGAGAGTCGAGTGTGAGGCTTGGGAGAGCGACTGTGGCTCTGTTGTCTGCAGGGTCTGGAGGGACAGGGTAGACAAGCGATTGAGATACTGGGCCGTGGTAGCATCGGGCGAACTGGAGCCTTCGAGCTGGGGCACCAGCAGCTCAAAGAGAGAGTCGGCCATGAGAGATGAAGGGAATGTGTTCTTGGTAAACGCGGCGCTGTGAATGGAGGACGCCGTGGCCCGTGCACTGCCTCGTCACGTTGTTCTTCAGCCCAGAACAGAACTTGTTCATTCCTTCTTCCACTTCCTGTCTTGGCTTGTCTCTATGTCTGTCATTACCGAGTACTTCCGCTTGGGTCCTCTATAATTGCTCCTCGCTCTGTACATCTCTTGTTCAGCCAGATGCCACTGTCATCATGGGAAAGCCGCGGGTGAGTGTTGGTTCCCCGCTGCAGATCTGAACAATCGCTAACCCACGAACTGTAGATGATTATTCTCGTCCGCCATGGGCAATCAGAAGGAAACAAAAACCGCGAGATCCATCAGACGATCCCCGACCATCGTGTGAAGCTCACGCCTGAGGGTCACAGGCAAGCCCAGGAGGCCGGCCGCCGGCTACGTGATCTCCTCCGTCCCGACGATACGCTCCACTTCTTCACTTCTCCCTATCGCCGGACGAGGGAAACTACCGAGGGCATTCTGGAGTCTCTGACATCGGATTCGCCGAGCCCCTCGCCTTTTCCGAGACATACCATCAACGTTTATGAAGAGCCGCGTTTACGGGAACAAGATTTCGGGAACTTCCAGCCATGTTCAGCGGAAATGGAACGAATGTGGATGGAAAGAGCAGACTATGGACACTTCTTTTACCGCATTGCCAACGGCGAGTCCGCGGCGGATGCCTATGACCGAGTGAGCGGATTCAATGAATCGCTGTGGCGCCTCTTTGGGGAGCAGGACTTTGCCAGTGTCTGTGTTCTCGTCACGCACGGCCTCATGGCTCGAGTGTTTATGATGAAGTGGTATCATTGGAGTGTAGAGTACTTCGAGGATCTGCGCAACATCAACCACTGCGAGTTCGTGATCATGACCCACGACCCGGAGAGTGGCAAGTATGCGCTTCAGAATAAACTGCGCACATGGTCCGATCTGCGCCAGGAGAGAGACCGCGAGCGTGCGGCTAAAGGGATTGTTTCTTCTCCCATTACGTTGTCGGATCCTACTCCTATCCGAAGAAAATGGGGCGGGTGTCCCGATGGATGCAGTCATATGTCGACCGATGTCCAACGATCGCTCCGCGCGAAACTCGTAGCTTCTGTTCGCCATGAAAATGGCCACCCTCGACACAAACATGTGGACGGCCATGTGCAAAGCACCGGTCACACCAAGAGTCATAACTCCGACGAAACAGCCTCAGCAAATATAACATCAGCGGCACCTTCCTCTTCAGAGTCCGCTTCTCAGCCATCTAACCCCGTCGGCGAGGTTCCTCCCAACTGGAACGATCTTACGTCCCGAAATCCTCCTCATGCAGATCGACACGCCAATAGCAAACCTCGGCTAACTGTGGAGGCTGGAGATGCCCAAAACGATACGCGGCTCCGAGACTCCAGCTCCGACAGCCGGCCAACCGCTGCCGCATCGCATCCCAAACGGCCCACCATGCAGGGATTGCATCGAGATAGCGAAGATCATCTTCTCCATCCGCCAACATCATCCTCATCCACAACTTGTCTTAAACTTGCCCTACTCCACCTTGGCGGCCGCGATGGAGGTGGCTCACTTAGTGGTGCAAATAGTCTTGCCCCATCCGATGACGAAGGCGACGACCATGATCACGACCACCACGCACCTGCGTCGAGAGTCTCTAGTCACGAAATCACGGGTACTACGACAGCACCGAGGAGCCTGCCTCTCCAATCTCAATCTCAATCCCAAGAGTTTGAGAACGACGGCGACGACGAGATGAGCGGCAATCTCCCCGACAGATATCATAAAATCCGAACACATCACCACCATCATCACCACCACCATAATCAGACTCACGATCATCATCACCACCACCAGCGCTATCCGTCTTCAAATCTCTCCCAGGGCGAGCACCGGATGGCCAACATCTTAGGTGACGGAGACAGCGCCTCAACCCAATCAGAGACCCATGGCCAAACTGGACAGCAACAGGAGGAGAGTAGTGCACAGATGCAGCATGGCTCTAGCGACTGGCACGACGTCGAGAAGGAACCATCTCTGGATCAGCAGCAGCAAGAGGACCAGAGTATTCAGGGAAGCGTCTATTGATGGATACCCTTGTCCCCATTCCCTCTATATCTATCTCCTACTTCGTTATACTGTCTCTCTCTCCCCCTGACGACTCGCAACGACAACTCCAACGACCACGACACCCCATGAGTGATGTGTTCTGCCTACATACAGGTTATGTTCTACATCTATATACCCTAATCTTCACTATATTTGTCATTTTTCCGAGGTTGGTTGTGTACTTCGATAGCATGTTTGGTCTGCCTCTATCCTGAGTTATGCCATAATTACATGTCCATGTCAATCGCAATTGAAACTATCCACGTACTTGTTCACCCCTAGCAAGCAGATCTAATTGCGAAGGTGCTAAGGCCTTCCTAACAATCAGTCGTATTCCAGGCTCAAAATGATACCCCATCCTTCAAACATGGCATCAACCGAGTCCCTTCCTTCTGCAGAAATCTCTACCGATCTACACTGGAGAAAAGTTCAAGAAGAGACAAAAGACGAGCTCGTCAATATGATTTTGCTTGTTCATGCTCTTCAAAAATAAGGTCTTCCCAGAAAAACCATCCCCACACACAGATGAACCAAGTTGACCGATTCCAAGGAGACTCGAGGAATCCAAGCACGGTGTGTGTGAGGCTGGAGACTGGAAAACGGTTGAGAGAAGATGGATATAGACTACATACAGACCGCGACGCCCGAGGAGCAGACGGATCAGGATGCAATTGCTGCGAACACAGGGCAAGCATAACAAGAAAGCACCATCGAAGGATGAAAACACTCCAATCCAGTTCCAACCATGGAAGAAAGAAGAATGGAGATGAAACACGAATGCTTAGGAAACCATTGGAATGGAATGGTAGGTAGATGGAGTCATCAAAGGGATTTTGATGAATTCAGGATGAAAAAAAAAGTTTGAATGGTATGAAGAGAGAAAGTGTTGGAAAAAAAAGTCGAAGAAGAATAATCAGAAGCGAAGAGAAGAGAAGAGAAGCAAAGTATTAACGCCAGAGCACACGTTGGGTTGTTGTAGCGTGAAGGGTAATCGAAATAATATACCGACATGAGAAGAATCAAAAGACGTGCAGGAAAGCAATCTATGGGGTAGTCACCGCCAAACACAAAATGCCAAGCAAAAAGGAAAAAGAAGAGAAGAAAAAATAAACCGAAGATATGAACCGAAGTCATGGGTAATCAACAAGAGGTCAGAATTTGTGGGCTTTGAATCGTTATCGTCGTGACTGCGGCTCCGGTATTTCGTGGGAACAAAATCCACTCAGCCACACAGGTAGCATGGGCGAGCTTGTGTGCGCATCGTGGATTGACCGGAGCATGCCAATGTCGCCGCGGGAGCGTTGTTTTCCTCTTTTTTTGGTGATTTTTTGGAGAATTTTCGCTTTGTCGACAACAACCAGCAGGCGCAGAACAAGGTACTTTTTTTCGCGGGTGACGCGACATGCCGGTTGCTCGAAAGCGAGTATTGGCGGCGAGAAGGTCAAAAAACAAGAGTGGGCATCGAATCAGATGAGCAAGAAGAAACGGTATCATCGAAGAAGAGGAAGAATCATGCAAATCGCCAAACGTCGCAAAGAAATCTAAAAACACTCGAGACTTGGTGACTAAAGTCTCAGCAAAACAAAAAGGATTTGACGTGCTGTCTCATCCAGAATCATAAGTAGAAACGAGTTAACCAGCGAGAATCGGCTGCAGGGAGGGGAAGGCATTGTTGCACATGTAGTTCTCAACATGCTTGGCACAATACATGCAACCACACGAGGAACCGTGACCTGTCCACACGCTCTGCGCAAAGGGTAGACCATATGCTGGAGTATGATGGTAGGACGGAGGTTGCGACCGGGGAGCCGATGGCGGTATGTACTGCGGCGGAGGCGCAATCCAGGCCCGCGAGTACGGCGGCGGCGGGTTCGAATACGCCCAGGGCCCGACTGAATAGTAGTCGGGGGTGTTGGGTCCACTGTGGGGGGCGGACGGGGGGAGTACTCAGACGCGGTCGGGTTGAGCCAAGAATTCTCCAAGTGCAAACTGCGCTGGTACTGCAGCGGGATGGGTCCCTCGGGAGACATCAAAGGCTTGGTGGCACCCTGGTTGCTGCGGACGATGTTGGTATCCAGAGGCGCCAGGGTCTGACGAGACTCCTGGGCCCGGGCATTCGCCTTTGCGCGCCAAGTATCCCAGTGAGCGCGCCACGAGGCAAAGCCATCCTGCTGCTCGTAAATGCGGTCGTGGATCTTCCAATCGAACGCGAAAAGCCATTCCAACTCCATGCTGTTCAGCTCCGCAACGGGAATGTTGCTAACTTCCGCCCACGACTTGTTCTGGAAGGTGTTGTCGTCAAGGAACTTGCTGCCCAGCAGCAGGGCCACGGTCAACATACGGTAGACCTGGCCATTGCTGGAGAGGAAGACGCGCTGGGCGGAGAGCATGCGCATCCGGCTGGACAGGTAGAAGAGACCCAGCAAGATAGTCGAGCTTGGCAGGCGGGTCGAAGACAAGATCTGATAGACGTATTTCCGAAACTGAGGGGGCACCGAAGATCCTGGGTAGATGCTTCGCGCGAAGTCAATATCTGCAAGGTTGATCTTGGTCTTGTACAAATCATACATTCCCTGGGCCATTTCCGCCACAAAGTCGGACATGCGATCCATCTCGTAATCCAGGTGGGCGGCGACACCTCCGGTAGCTTTCTCCTCCTTGCGGAGTTGTTCAGCGGCGGGTTGCTGTTGCTGCATCGCGGCAATTTCCGAGCGGCGGTACTGGGGCGGAATCGCGCTGTCCATGGGGGGAAGCTGGGTGTTGGTTCGGATTGGGGGGAGCGTGGTCGCCATGGGGCCGAACATCGGCTGCTGGCCCATGGTGCGCAGATCCTGGCTGGCTCGCATCGGGTGCAGGTTCATCGAAGCCGGCTTCGCATAGCACAATGCCTGCGAGTACTGCTCGATGAATTCGGAACCGCTCTGGTGGTAGCGCTGCGGAAAGCCCGCGTGGCCGACCTGATAGAACGGAGCGTTGTCCATGCGACCGCTGTTGACGTGGGGAGGTGTGGGAGGCAGGCCGTGGCCTGGAGCGAAGAAGGATGGCATCTCAAAGGGTGAGGTAAGAGACACCAGATCAGGACGGGGAAGGGCAGACAAGTCTGGCCAAGGGACACACAAAGAGTCAGCAAAAGACAACCCTCTCTGGAGAGGACGCGAGGTGTGATGAAACCGAAGAACGAACCGTCTACCGTTCCGCAGAGCCCTGAGCCTGGAGGGAGGTGAGGGCGCAGCTCAGCGAGCGCGTCGCTCTGTTGTGGTCGTAGGGAACGTCTCTAGTTGAATGACATTGAGGAAAATTCAACCACCTGAATGGATAGAAGACAAGAAAAAGAAAGCGAGAGCGAAGGAGTGTAGGGCGTGGTGACAATAGATTATTGACACCAGGTCGGTACTCGGGTTGGGCCGAATTTGCGGTCGCTTTTCCAGGTCCAAGAAGATGGATTTCAAGAGCAAGCCAGAATGCAGAATCGAAGCGACTCAAACCACCGGGAGTGAGAAATCCCCGATGCGCCCCAAAAAGGTTTTTTTCTTTCTTGGTGGGTGACGCGCGGGAGGCGACGGACCGGTCTGTTTTGGAGGGAAGGGGGGATTTTTTCAGTTCCTCGCGTGGAGGCTGGCAACGACACTTAGTGAAAAGCTCGTTGATGTGGAAGGAGTCGAGGTTATTGGAGAGGATTAGAGCAGCGAAGAAAGATGGGAGAGAGAGGTGGAAAAGAGAAGGGAAAAAAGGGAGGAAGAGGAGGGTGAAGAACAGGGAAAGGGAAGGAAGGGAAGGCGAGGGCCGTTCGTTCGGGGCTGAGTGTGGTGTGTGGTGTGGGCGACAGGCGAGAGTCGGTGGTAAAATTACCGTCAGCAATACCAGGAGGGCCTCGATCATCCGCTGTCCACCCCCTTTGGTTTGGGTGCCGGGAGGCAAAAATACACCACACAAAACCTGTGTTTCGCAATGATTACGATTGACAGTCGCCCCCGTCCGTTTCGAAGATCCTTGTCTGCTAATATTAATGATCACTTGGAAATTACGGTTGATGATGGTATTATTCTCGTCTCCCTGTGACTCCTCTGACCGTCTGACGCCGTGGCGAGAGTGATGATGTATGCACAGTACGGAAAACCGAATACTACGACAACGTGGACTCCAGGCAAATCCGGTGATGCAACGCCCGTGTCACTGGTTCTGACGCTGGAACGGCACTACGCTTCAAATAGGAAAGGGTGGGAGAAAAAAACGAAAAGAAAAAAAAAGAACCGACTCGTGCGGCCCCACTGTGAACTGGCCGTTTTCCATTAGACTCCCGTGCTTCACCGGGAAACACGACTCGCATAATAAGACATCCTGTAAAAATGCCCTAAAAAATGGAGACGAAGAACGGAGCAGTCGGAAGACAGTTAGTTCAGCAGGTCAGCAGGTTAGTCTTACATACTGTTGTGTACAAGCGCCATACTTGCACATTCCGACCGTTGCTCGGCCTACCGCCCGCCCAACTTCTGCAGAAGTCCTCGAACACCGTCCAAATAGAACAATACATGCCAGACAGGTCGCACCTCCTAGCATATAGAGACAGACCGAAATAATAATTAATAAATACTGCAACTGCACCATCTCAGTCACTAAAACCGCGGCAGCAGGCACACCCGCTCAGATCACACGCCCCCCGTCCGTCCAACCTCGCAAGGGCCCCCTTCTGCCGGATGAACCCAACTCACCGACTTTGACTCGTCCAGCCCAATAATAACAGTGTGACTGGACCACACACACACACACATAGCCCTCTGACTCATTCTCTGACCGGATAGGTATAGGCAGACAAGAAAACGTGGACCTGGAGCGGATCCCTGCGGTGAGCCTAATAGCGTCATGCCGCATGGCAGGAGAGGAGGGGGAACATAGGTAATTAATAATTCGATCTTATGCTCGGTTAATGACGGTTCTTCTTCTAGAAGACTGGTGCTTGTCCTGCAAATTAGTACTGCAGTTCCCCCCGAAATGGCCTCGTTAGAGTATGGTTCTCTGGCCCGGAAATATATATTCACCTGCCAAAGTAGCATGCTTGCATGAACTAATTAATAGGCCACCACTGCTATGGAAGCCCAGTAAACCAAGTAAGACCCAGCTATAGTCGGGCGTTTACAGCTTCTACGACGTCCCAGGGAACCTGCAGATGACGGCGCCCACGCTAAATCAGTTCTCCTCTTCCTGCCGAGCCCCTCCCCCCCCTAACCCTGGAGTCGACCCCGCCAGACATAGGGAAAATCCGGGACACCGAATGGGCACGTACCCAACGGTGGGAGAGACGAAAACATCGAGGTTAAGGCGGATCGGGTCGGATGTCTTTGCCGCCATATATTGGATATTAGTGTAGGTTTGGGCCTTGCCACCCGCACCCGACTGGTGTATAGAATGTAGCCTACTTCCTCCCAAAATGCCCGGCTGGTTAGAGTATTGTTCTCCCGCCGGACGACCGGAAATATGAAGCGGTCCCTTATTTCTCCGCAGGCCTGTTGTTTGTAGTCCTTTCACGAAGCCACTACTCTCAGGCTCGTAAGTTCTAGACGAACCGGACCGAAAGGTATACTAAAGTGTTGTAGATGCTTTTATACGGCAGGCAACATCGATTGTCTTTCAAACAATAATGCCGAGGACCAGGACGCACTATTTCAATAAGGTTCTCTATACAGCATTATGGTGAAAAAAAAAAGCTTTACCACACTATGTGCAGTATAGCCTCGGCCAGATCGTTGGCAAGGATGCAAGGACGCACGCTCCCCCCTTTATGGTAAAAGTGTAATTTCACGATTAGTCAAGTCGCAGGACTTGCTCATGAGGATTGAATAGGGCGCGGAAATATAACATCAGATAATAATGCCCAATCGAGAAATGTGGGCATTAGCGTCACCATCAAATAGCATCAACACTCACCCTCTGGTGGTCTCCGCAAGATGAGACCTAACATGTGCTGCCGTAGTTCCATCTATCCATCTACCCTTGGGGTTTGCTTTTTGGCGCCGCGATTGAGCAACATCTGCACCACCTTTTCATGACCACTGTAAGATGCGGCCTGGAGTGCACTGCCTAATCTTAGGCCCTCCGCGTTGACGTCGGTACCACGATCGAGCAGCACTTGCACCACCTTTTCATGACCACCAGAAGATGCGGCCCAGAGTGCGCTGCCGAATATGGTGCCGCCCTTAGCGTTAACGTCAGATTCACGATCGAGTAGCATCTGCACCACTTTCTCATGGCCTCTAGAAGATGCGGCCGAGAGAGCACTGCCGAAGCTGCCGTCCTCCGCGTTGACGTCAAGCAGCATCTGCACCACCTTTTCATGACCACTATAAGCTGCGGCCTGGAGTGCACTGCCGAATATGGCGTCGCCCTTAGCATTAACGTCGGCATCACGATTGAGTAGCATCTGCACCACCTTCTCATGGCCACCGTAAGATGCGGCCTGGAGTGCGTTACCGAATCTTCCGCCCTCAGCGTTGACATCGGCGCCACGATCGAGGAGTATCTGCACCACCTTCCCATGGCCTCTGGAAGATGCTGCCTGGAGTGCGCTCCCTAATCGCCCACCTTTTTTATTCACTATATCGGTTATACTTCCATCACCCACAGCAACTGCTGTTATGTTGTTTACGATGGACTCCAATCCTAGCAGGGATGCGTAGTACAAAGGCGAGGCCACGTTCTTTATAGGACGCTGAAACTCAGGAGTTGTATCCCATGGAAAATCCACATCAAATAGGCGTATCCATGTAACGAAGGAGTTCGTCTCGTCTTGGAATAACCGTATCACCAATTCTTCCACATGGGGCTTTTCCTCACATGAATGAGCATAGTGGTGATGCCACTGCATGGCAGAAAAACGAGCCAGTGGCATATCCCTGATTTTGGCTTCATCCAACTTTTCAGCAAGCGTCAGTTCTAAGAGATAGACCAGGCAAATCTGGGCAACCTCTGTATTCGCGGGTCCACTTCGAATCGCAAATCTTGCCGCTTTTTGTTGAAGGATGCGGTTTGATTGAAGGTACTCCTGCACAGAAAAATGCGGTATGCGAGCAATAGAGGTCGTCTCTCCTTCTTCATCTTCAGCCGCTACAATCTCCACGAGCCCAAGACAAACATCGAGTAGCTCATCCGGCACATACGAGCGACCCTCGCGGTCAAGGCGTGACGGCTCATTGAGCTCAACAGCATGTGCGTCAATCAGTTCATTCAAAGTGAGCGGCCTAGTAGAAACGCAAAGTAAAGTCAAAACACGGCGCACATCTTTGACGTAGGTTTCGTCAATATTGCAGAGAAGTCGCTCATATGTTTCATCCAGATCCCGGGGTAAGGAGCGCAGACATTCATCAAGCTGGTTCCGGTTTCGTGCCCGTTTGATGGCCTGAAATTGGCATTCAACGTATCTAAATCTGTGATTGTTCGTGGTAAGACAACGTCACTCGTTTAGGCATCTTAAACTTACACTCCCTGTGCATTTGTGCTTAATCTAGCTTCAATCTCGCTATGGCGGGATTTCCATCTCTGAAGCGTTGGCGACTTAGCAAGTTGATAAGAGACGAAATTGAGAATATCTTTGTCAATCTCTGAGTTTTTCATCAAAATGTTCTGATCGGAAGAAGTATTAAGGGATCGGCGGATATCAAGCTCGTCACGACTAGTGATTAACAGATGAAGGCCAGGTAAACACCAGCCCCGTAATGTTTCTATCGCCCTCAAAACGCGCTCTCTTTCGCGGCCTCGGGGGCTTTCATCTATAGCGTCGATCAGAATATAGCAGTCATCGAATCTGCAAAGGACACATCGGAAATAGGCGAGGAGGGCTTCCACTGGAGGAGTGCCAGACTTATAGGACGTATGCAGCTGCTCTAACTCTTTTTCACCGTCTTGTAGCTGTGCTGACAGCTGCAACAAAAGTGCGCGTAGCATACCGGAATCATTCTGCTTTGATTCGTCGTTGAAGGAGAAATAGAAAAATGCAATCCCTGCATTGTGCCTATGCTGCGTCTCGCGGAATGTGTGTTGGATCGCGGCCGAGCATAGAACAGACTTGCCACATCCGGCGAAGCCATTGATCCAGAGGAAAGAGTTCCGCTGCACTAACCAATTCGCAAAGCTATGGCCCTTCACAAACCACATCCCTGTACTTATATGACGTTTGGCGCACGTAGCATTGTGGTTTTCTGTCGCATCTGGAGCCATCAGCCAGCCACGAATGGTCGAGGAGATTTGAGTGGCATTTATTCGTTCAAGAAGTGATTTCAGTTGTGTATTCCCATCTTCAATCTGTGTATTGCTCCTAAGATGCAACACCCCCAGCGCTAAAGATAAATTTTCGCGTATTTCGCTTATATCTTCTTCCAGCTTTTGTAAGGTGCTTTTTCGAAACGGATATGCCACGCGACGCCCGGCAACTTGAATCTGACCCCTGAAACCGGTGGCTGAGTCCTTCTGAAATCTTTGGCACTCGAGCTGCAGTTCCTTGATAATTTCATCGCATCTCTGTGTTGCCTTATCGATATCTTGCAATAGTTCCAGGGCGTTGGTCCAAGGTTGGCGACCCTGTAGTGCATCATGCAGGGATCGGAAGACTGCAAGAAGATCTTCGAGGTTGTGCGTAATCTTGGCTAGATCACTGGCTCGGTTCTTGTATGAGGAGTAAAAGTCTACAAGGGATTGGGTGACTTGGATTCCCAGGGAGAGCAACCCCGCAACTCCCGATGCAATTGAGAGTGCATCAGCCATGGTGATAGTCGGGAGTAATTTCAAGATTGAAAAGAGTTGGATTCAACTATCCTTCAGAAGGTTGAATATTCATGGCCTAAAAGAGGGGTTCCGCGCCAATGAGTGGGGTACAGCTGGCTCGTTGCGTAAGGTACAATTGTAGGGCATATAGTACGCACATCCGATGAATCAAACAGGAAGGATCCCGCCAACTTGGTTGGGATTGGCATTTCTATCATGCTAAGCGCTTTTGCTTTTAATTTTTGCGACAGGCCAAGGGGAATGCAATAATAATAAATGCAGCCTCCGGTCCTAATCGCATCGGCGAGGCAACAAGAGAATCAACAAGAAACACAACAGCCTGCCAGCCAGATAACAGAGGGATATCATTAAGACTCAAATTCCCGCAGAGGGGGGGGAAACACAGACACGGGAAAGAGATTTTAACAAACACATGTACTCGTATACTCGATAAGTCGTCAGGGAAGAAAGGAAGGAAGGAAGGGGAGGTAAAAGCAGCCAAGCCTCCTTCCATCACCACCAAGAGCTCCAGCTCCAACTCCAACCCAACCCCACCACGCAGCCCGAGAGAGAGAAAAATCGTAAATCGTGAGAGAGGCTGAACCACCACATCACTCGTCTTTCAAGCTGCCCACCAAATTGCGAAGCACGTCCATGATAACAGCCTCGTCTTTGGGCTCGCCGCCGGGGAACGAACTCTCCGTGGCATCGCCCAAAACGCGTGCACGCGCACTCCGGAGGACCTCTCGGATGTAGTTCTTATCTTCGTAGTCCTCCATAAGTACGTTTTCGAAGTCGTCGATTGCCTTGTTTGCTCGCTCGGTGAACGAGGATGACTCTGAGGGCCCGGCCGGCGCTGGGCTGGGCTGCACAGAACGCGGCTGCGGCGGCTGCGGCGGCTGGTGCTGCTGTGGTCGAGGCTGGGCAGAAGGTAAACTGGATGGGATGTGCTGTCGCGGTTGCTGCGGCTGCTGTTGTGATGGAGGTGGCGGCACATGTTGGTGGGGTGGATGAGAGGGTTGTCGCTGGGCTGGTTGTTGATGCTGAGGTGGGAATGGAGGACCGGCGCGTGGAGGGTAGGTTTGAGGCGTCGGGTTGGCCTGCGGCGGCGGCTGCGAAGAAGGAGGCTTTTGTTGTGAGGGATAAGGGGACTGCTGCTGCGACGGGCTCTGCGCCGGCCGTGGCGTCTGTGACTGCCGGGGTGGAGCTGCCTGCGGAGGAGGATCGGCGGCGTAGGGAGAGGTGTAGGTTGAAGGGATGGTCTTCGCAAAGGCAGCCGGCAGGCTGCTGCGGATAGGATTCGGAATGGGAAAAGATGCAGGAGTCGGGGCAGGAGCTGTAGCTGGAGCTGGAACTGGAACCGGAGACGGGGATGGACCCGCAGCTGAAACAGCAGGCGGCTTCGCCGGCGGATGGTACGGACTGGAGTGTTGAGGAGGGGCCGCCGCCGCTGCAGGAGGTGGGAACGGATTAGAAGGCATGGAAGGAAATTGGAACTGTTGATGCTGATGCTGGTTGGGCCCCGAGGCTGGCGCGTTCGGATACGGATGACCCATAGGGGGCATGTACTGCTGGGGAGGAGGAGGGCCAGCCGGGGGTTGAGACGACTGCGGCGGCGGCGCAGGCGGCGGCGATGGACGTCGCTTTTTCTCCTTCTCAACCGAGGCACCAGGCCGGAGTTGCCACGACCATCCCTTGCCATCTCGCTCTGCATGCATGAACAAATGACCGTTGCCGTTGAGATTGTGCCGCACACTGGACGTCCAGCCCTCCGTCTCGCACTTGAAGCGGAAGTACGGATACTTCAGCTTCAGCGCGCGGTAGATCTGTTTCAACGTCATTGGTGTTCCGGCTTCCGTCAGAGCATCGAAAATAAGAACGGCGTAGTTGTAAGGAGGCTTGGCCAAATCTTCTGGAGTGTAGGCAGACTCGGGAGGGTAGTTGGGTGATGGTGACCGGGAAGGCTTGCGCTTCTTGACAGGCGGAGGCTTGACCGGCGGTTCAGGCTGCTGCTCTGCTTGTCCACCCTCGGTCGAGGGGAGAGGGTAATCCATGGGCGTGCCATCGCCCTTCTTCCGCTTGTTATACTTCCGTTTCTCAGCAGGTTTGGATGCAGGTGGCGACTCGGCGCCAACAGACTCCTTGGTGGTTGTCTTTCCAGCCTTGGTGGGCCGAACTGTCGCCGCCGCCGCCGCCGCCGGGGGTGTAACGCCGCCATTGGCCTCGCGTTTAGCGGCTATCTTCTGTTCTCTTGCCAGTTCTGCACGCTCGCGCTTGGACATGATCCCATCCTTAGGAGGTCGACCAGGACCGCGCCGGCGGGCGGGTTGTTGGTCATTATCGCCTTCGATGGATTTCACGGCTTTTGTGGAATCAGAATCCTTGTTCTTGAGAACAATTTTCGTGGTCTTTGAATCCTTGGGTTCCGCGCTGTCGCTGACAGCAATCTCCAGGTCATCGAGCTCGTGTTCGGCATCGACCGAACCACTATCCGCTTCCTCTTCATCAACTGCTTGTTCTTCCATCCGAGCGGCTCCTGTTTCACCGATGGGGACGTCCGGTAACAAGAATCGGATCCGCACACCTCCGATCTGAACATAATCACCGCTGTGTAACGGGCGCACTTGGCCCGGGGAGAGCCAGTCAGCTCCAATAAACGCTCCATTTCGTCCCATGACTTCCATTTCAAAAAGGTTGCGATCAAAGTTGTAAGCAATGCGTACATGTCTCCGGGAAATACCTCGGTGGCCTGCGGCGCTGCCGTCAATCGTGGTCGGAGGATGGATGGGGATGGTGGGACAGGAGTCCGGCGACGGAAGCAAAGCCAGCGTATCGACTGGCTTTGCGTCACCATTGCCCTCCTGTAAAGACTGCATCGCAAGCGCATTGTAGTCGGTGACTGTGGTGGTAGTTGTCTGTTGTAATTGAGCCGGGTTCGCGTGGGTGGGCACAGCAGACCCATCATATGACGATTTTGATGATCGTCGGCTGAGATTCAAGTTGGCTGGGAGGTGCGGAGGAACATCGGGATCAAAACCCATAATGCCTCCACGGTCACTCACTACACTGCCCATCATGGCAGCGTTTTCTTCCTGCTTGACACGGTTTGGGGTGTGGGAGGTGTTCCCACCACTAGAACTCTTTGCCCGAGAACTCCTCACGGCCTGCCGATACTGGATCTCTCGCTGGTGCGCAGCACGCGCGGCTCGTACATCTCGACCGAGGATAAATGAGTAGGTATTGACATAAAAATGCCCATCATCAAACTCCAACTTGGCAAACGCTTGGATCCGAGGTTCCGATCCGGCCGTAGATGCTGTCCCATCTTGGTATCCCAGAGCTGACAGATCAGCACTTTGAGAAAGATAAGCGGCCGTAAGCATCTCGTTCTGCTGGAGGGCCTCAAAGGCGTTTTTTGGGGCTGCCGTGAAGTCCAAGGGCGGTAGGAGCGAGGGTTGTTCGGCGTTCGACTTGGGAATTAGTGGATCGGAGATGCTATTCGTTGCATCCGATGCATGGCGCCCGTTTTCTTGTCCCATGCCCGACCCGGAGAAGATATCGCCAACAGTTGGCCCGTTCGACGGATCCTGCAGCCCCATTGACCCCGAGGCTAGATCCGTTGGCGCAGCGGTCGAGTCGCCATCCAAATCTTCCATCTTCACATGTGAGGTACTACCGTGGCGCTGGTGTTGCGCTGCAGCATTCTGGCTGGGCGCAGCATTCGATTGGTTTCCGAGGAGTTGAGCGAGCAGGGCGCTGGCGGCAGATTGCGTATTGGTGTCCCTTTCGGTGGAAAATATGTGCTCGGATGGTTCTGACTTTATTCCAGTCATATCCATTGTGGGACGGCCGTGGGGGACGGAGGCCGAGGAGACAGGAGAGTTCTGCATGTCGCGGATTGCGGAGTCGCCGGTGGTAGTAGGAGGCGGCGATGAAGTCGTTCGTGTGGCGTCATTGGGCTGCGAGCCATAATCGTATATGGGCGCTTCCGGACCTGGCTCAGGCGGTCGATGGCCCACGGCTGGCGCAGTCATGGTCTGCGACGACATGGCTGGGGGAAGCGAGGGAGAAGAAGAACAGAAGCTGAAGTTCTCGTTGGGGCGGGCGGTGAGAGGTAGATGCCTGGTCTGTCAGGCTATACCAATTGTTTCTGTATCTTCATCCTCGGTTTTTTTTGTTGCTGATGAAACTGTCAACTGAAATTTTAATTCATGTGTAGTCACTGCTATTCTCTGTAGGCGACGATGGTGTTTTCGCAAGACTTCCTACCCCTTTTGATCCCCTCGGCCCATCCGCTGGTCTCCTGGTCAAATTTTCTCTCCCGCCCCGCCCAATAATCCTCTCCGGCTGCCTCCTCCGATCCACTTGAAGTGCCTGGTTCCTACTGGGCTTTGCTCCTCGATCTGCACCAGCTATCCACCCAGTGTCTGCACGAACCTTCGATTAATGATTGATCTTTCAGTCTAACTGGTGATCACTGCACCAATCTATGTCTTCAATAGATTGAACTTCATATAACGGGGAGATTTTGTTCACCCAGGGAATCAGGCGCTAATCAGTTAGAACTCGCTGAACGCTTGTCCATACGGGGTCTTGCGAGTGGAGTCTACCCCTCTTAGAGTACCTATTCAGCTTCAAGGCTCGAAATCGTAATCGGAGATCAACAAAATATCTCTACACCACAACGCTGGGTGATGTTAACTCGGGCGCCCAAAAAGGCTACCTTGGACGCCATGTTCGGCGCCCGATTTACCGTAGATAGCTTCATAATCAGGCATTTCGTGACCTCCGATGGCTGTATTTGGTACTAATGTATACCCAATTCTCGCCTCCGTCAGTATTTTGTACATAAGATTCACTGGGATAATAGTTTCATGTAAAATACGCCTATCAGGGTTCCTTCGCGTTATGTACAATACAGGTTCTATTTTAGGAAGTGGGGGATCTACATCTCATTGTGAAACTCGCAGCGGCAAAGGTAAGCAGGTACTTATCTTTCAACTTGGTAGCAACTCCCACTCCATTAACTGCGAACAACATTCTGAGTTGATAAATATCATATCCCGAATCAGTTGCTAGCAATCGCCACTACAAGCGTCATGACTGTCAACTTGACCCAGCCAGCAGAATGTTTCTCGCAGCGCGATTCCGTACCGGGCATACTCGATAGCTTCCTTGACCACTACGCCGCGGTGCCGCTATACCAACAAGGAAACAACGACACTGATTTTCGGGAGCTGCTACGGTCCTGCTGCCCAACGAGTGTGTGGATATACTCGAATCCTAAGCCCTGCACTGCAGTCTGCAACCTGACTTCCACGGCGCAAGCAAATACAGCCGAGTCCTGCTTGCAAGGCGAGCACACCGACTCCGTGGTCCATGGTAATGCTGGGGCCGTGACGCGCGCACCAGGGATTATGAATACCTTGCCACTGCTGATGGTTGGTGGATTACTTTTATCTCGGATTTTTCTTTGAGAGAGGTGACGGGCTCGATGCTAAGATCTATACCGGCCAAGAGGGTGGTCGGCGATGGGTGTAAAGATGTATTTATGGCTACCATTTTTAGTTCCTATTGTTCGAGCGCTACTGGAAATGAATTTACTACAAAGTCCCCCTTTACTGCCAGAAATTGCATTCACTGTTCCTTTTGCTACTATTGTGCTGGCTATTTTTGAGAGTGCCCGCAACACCGGTCCGAATTTGGAGAGAATAAAGGCGGCATATACAAGGAAAGTCGCGAGGCGAATAGTGGTGAAACGGCAGCAAAGCGTGTAGCGCATAAAACATTGGCCAGCAGTGGCCGTCACCATTAACGACCTGACACTCCCTGTTATACTTCTGCTTCTTTTATTCCCTTCTTCATCCTTCCTGCCTTCATCCCCTCTGTTTTGCACTCATCGCTGTACCCCTGCAATGTCGCCCGCCCAACTAGACTCCCCATGTGCCCCAGCCACCCACCCCCCTTTTATTTCACTTGCTGATAGCAACTGAGCCCCTGTGACCTCCATTTCGAACTTTATGATCGAGAGTATTTGGCTTGTCTTTGCAAGTGGGGGCTGCGAGAAGCTGCGCCCTGCCACGATTAGCCAATGGCAAAAACACTTCATCGTGATCATCCCAGGCTCGTACTTAAATCTGGTGACCTAGAAGAAGCAGTCAATATGTCGAGCTCTCGACAGTGAGGAACCCGTTCGGTCTCCAAAACTGTCAGACAAGTTGACATTGAATCGCTAAGATTCTCGACTCCGCACGGCTCACTTTCGTCCGGCCCCATCTAAAGTTGCATTGCAGTGTTGCAACTCTGCTTACAGGAAGGCTCCCGAGAAGAAAGTAGGAGTAAACCAGACAATGCCTCGCGGATCAGGACGGTGGAAACCAAGTTGAACTTCGCGGAGTCGTCTCAAGCGTTTCCAAGTTGAGCGAAGGATCAGGGTAAATAACATCAAACAACGACCCAACCGACTGTAAACGCATCGAGAGTTTCGATGGCTTGGAGCTTCAGAATTTCTTGCCTCTTAGGACGACACTAGACTCGCCGAACGTTTCACCGTCCTGTTCTTGATAACGGCATTCAAGTTTGTAATACCTCACGCCTTCGCATGTTATCGCTTCGCCCGTATCGAATGTGGCACAATGGACTTGAAAATGGAACAAGCTTCACTTACGAACCCGCATCGATGGCCCCGGTTTTCGCCTTGAAACTCTTCTCATAGTCATGGATTGATAGAGGTGCTGGCCCCTGAGACATGGCACATATCCTTCGATCATATCCGACAGCTCACCGCGGATCTCTCCTCCTTCATGACCTTCAATTAACAAGGAATCAGAGAAGATTAATCCAAAATTCTATCTACGGCTGAACGAAATTACACGAACTTTGAAGGGTCAGGAAGGACAATAGTGGCAATGAAAAAGAAGACAACTCCTCTGAATTGATAAAATGTATCATGACATTGAGTACTTGAAGACACGATTCACCAACAATCTCTATGACGAATTTCCGGAAGGTAGAGCCTGATAAATCACTGCTAACAATAAAGAGCTCTTAACCAGTTTATTGCGGGCCCCCAGCAGGGCCGCTGTAGTCCCAATATTGCGAGCCCTGCGAGCGGCAGGTGCCAACAACACAATAGTACCCACCACCAACGTTGTCGGAATTGGGCGAGAACAGAACGAAGGGAGGACCGGGAGGCTCAGGGCCACCGCAGTAATATTCAACATTCTCGACTGTGTACGCGGTATGAGCCGTGTTGTACCAGACGCACACGGTGTCGCCGGAGGCGCCAGTGCAGGAATACGTGTTTCCTGTTGTCCAGCTCACAGACACGTCAAAGCCACCAGTGAGCCATTCATCTACAGTGGCTGTAGCACTGAAGCCGATAGTGTAGGAGACACTCTCCGTCTCACCTACGGTACAGCTTGGTGCGGCGCCGCAACCCATATTTTCCTAAGTAGGTGACTTGTTAGCTAATAGCCTTTCTAGAACCAGGATCTAGTCAGATACTCACACTGAGCTGGGTGTCGAGGTAGTTCTGATGCGGGTTTCCATCCCCAACCATCCAAGTGGTGTCATAATTATCACACATCCCGTAGGGGTCCCGCTTGTGTGGTGAAGGCGACTCGTTCTTCCGGGTGACATTCGTCATTGCATGTCCCTCTTGTTGAGCAAGGATGGATTTATAAGCTCTCTTCAAGCTGGGAATTTCTCCACTATCAAAGCACTTTTCCATGTCTCCGTCACTAATTGGAGTAAACGGAAGAGAAGCAGGCACCTGCATAGAGCAGACCGTGAAGCTCTCGGCCTCGTTGTAGATTCGAGCGCAAGTGATACCACCAGAGATTTTAGGATCTTCGTGAACCATATACGTCTTATCGCCAACGGCAAGGCTGCCAGCACCATTCCTGTCGAGAGTGGCGGTGATAGGCAGGTCAGAGAATGCACCTGAGTTGAGGGTATTCGAGCAAGCGTAACCCAAAACTTGAGACGTTTTCTTGCTCACGACCGCAATGTCTAGCTCAGAAGTAGCATCGATCTGCTGGATAATGATATCGACATTCTGAACATTGCCTGATGGGGCGGCGATGGCAATAGGCAGAAGCCATGCCACGGCGAGGGTGGTCATCGAGAACATCATCGTAACTGACAATTTGTAGGTTGGTTTCTGAACAAAAGTAGTATGATTGAATTCTGATTCCGTCTCAGAGCTCCCTTTTATATTCCCAATATTTGTTATTACTTTTGGGACCCCAACTCTACATTCATATTAATAGAAATGAAGGCGCGTTAAGTCTCACGACTATATTCTCTCATATCTTGCCATATCCAGCCTTGTCAGGAATATACTGATTGTTGGAATGTTGGTAGGCCTGAAACTATACTCTCACGCGAGGTTACTCTGGCCGCCAGCCTTGCCGATCTCATGGCTTGTCGGAGATAGACTCATTGGTGTATCCAGTGATCCTGCGACTATAATCTCACTCGTGGTGGCTCTGTTCGCCAGCCTTGCGGGGGATAAACTGTCTGGTGTGAGTGCTACCAACCATTAGACTTCGATAAACTCCGAAAATAGGTTGGTGAGCCAGATGCATAACCCGAACTCGCAGATCTAATTGGTTGGGCTAAGAGACCCCCAACATAATCCTAACCTACTCCGGGTTACAGCATGCATGGATGCATGGACGATCCCACCCATTTACCCTGCTCCTCTACAATAAGCGGTATGCAGGCTATCACTACTGTGAATACATGACTGTGCATTCCACTGTGATTGTATAGACTCTCTTCTCGGTAATATTAGAGCCTCACCTAATAAGACGTGTCATTGTCTCCACGTTAACCTGTGAAAAGGCTCGAGGTTTTCTCTCTCCACGGGGACGTTGAAGTCGTTATTGTTGTGCCGGCGTTAGAACTGGACCCCAAATGCTTGCATGATAAGAGGCTATCAGGTTCTCACCTGCAGGTTGCCCCAGAGCGCTAACCAATACGTACGCTCGACATTTGGGGGCTGGTATACTCTGACGAGTTATTTCCTACATCGTGGCTTGAAACACGCTAGTCTAGATATAGTCTAGCAAAGATCCCCCACTTTCAGGAATAGATCTTAAGACTTGTGCGCGGCGCGCGCATCGGCCCTGAAACGATGAAAAGCAAAGGGTGGTAAGAAGTAAACTGTATAGAGAGGCTTGAATTTGCGAGTCGTAAGTCAACATGCTTGTGAAACAAGATAGACCAATGAGGGAAGCATCTCACTCCTGGAGTTGATTAAATAGCGGATTGAGATGTGGTTGAAAGATGGTCAAGCTGAATGATTCTACTTAGGGTGATGTGGACGGGCCTCTGGGCAGTAGGAATCACAACCCGCACATTCCGCCGCCACCTCAGCAATGATGAAAGCCACTTAAATCTCACCACTTAAATCTCAACCACTCGCTAAGCAAACCCGCCACGTGATAAAGTCCCCGCTTACGGGCAATATCTTAACGGTTGCGTAGGATATGCTCCTAAATAATCATGGATGTGCAAGGAAGCAAGTCCGAATTCGAATAACATAGCTACAAAATAACGATCTTGGATCAGCTCTACCCGCGATCCAGCCCTCGTTCGAGCCAAGGCACGAAACCTACATTGTCAATTCTAGGCGGCAACTTTGTATCTTGAGAATACTTTGATCCGATTTAGGAACCATGTCCGATATATCACAACCCAAAAAGGAGGTTTCAGATCGCAGGAGACAGCAAAATGTACGAGCTCAACAGCGATACAGTTAGTACCCCATCTAGGAGCCTCCGGCAATTTGTTTCTTACTTTCAACTAGGAGAAAGGCAAAAACGGCATCTGCAAACTCTTGAGGCTCTCTTAGCTCCTCAAACCCCACAGAATGAAGACCACATCCTCTTGCCAAATAGCCAAGAAGGGAATGATCTAGCCGATCGCTTGTTCCAACGTACAGCAGGATACAGCAGCACAAGTTTCACTACACCACCGAGCAGGCTTTCTGGACTTAGTCTGAGAACGGCTCAAGATGATCCCATGAAAGCCTTGGCATTCATTGTCGACCACTTGGGTGAGATTGACGAAAGTACAAGTGCGCGAATCGGATCTGGTCAAGTCACCATTCGAGATATCCTCCAAGCCGGATTGAGTTCATTATATTTGCCATCCGGGGAATCATCAACAGAAAACTGCGCTAAAGACAATGACCAACCATCTCCTGCCTTGTGCACCGACAGAATCCTCATCACTAAAAATAGAAAGCTGGTTCATTCACACTCGCTGCCTTCTGTTTACACCAATAACTTACGACTCAAACAATTCTCTACCTTTGCCGCCATTCGAGCAAATGCTGAGTTGTTTTTTGGCCTCACATTTGAAGAACTCACAAACCCTGCAACTGGGTCACCCTTCTACAATGCGGCACTTGGGAAAGATGGCACAAAATCGGTTTCTCCTAAGTTGCTGGAGTCAATGCCACATCTCAAACCTATAGATATCCAGTTCACACATCCCCATCACGCCTACATCGACCTAATTCCGTGTCCCAAATTTCGTCAACGATTCATCCAACTCGCCACTATGGATCCTCCAATGATCAGCATGCACGAATTCTGCGTTGATCTTGAGAACGAGGGACTCATTTGCTGGGCGTCGCATATAGGAGATAGTAATGAAGTGAGTGGGTCAGGTGCACCGTGGGATATACGAAGCTGGGAAGCTCAGCCGTGGTTTTTAAAAAAATGGTGGTTTGTCTTGGGAGGGGAAGAGGGTGGATTTTTTCAGCAGAGTAGGTGGTGGCATGAAGTTAGAGGGGATCATTTGCCGAGTTTTTGGCGACGCAAGTAGCAGGAGCCTTGAAGTCGGTCATGAGCCAGAATACAACTTCTATTTTCCCAGGGTGGCTATGGTAAAAAGAAAGATGGGAGTAAAGCATTGAGGAGCGTGGCTCACTGGTTGGCTTAGATAGCCCACCGGACCCACAGTGCTTCAATGCACGCTGAGTTGAGCACATCAGCCACCTGACCAATCGCATGGGAGCAGCCCGATCTTGACCAGCATGCTCAGCTCAGCAATACACTTCACCTCCTTGCTATGGGGGCATGGCCCAAGTATGAAAATGCCGCGACGGATACTTAACGGCCAAGGTTCACTCTTTCAAAGCAGAATCAAATTTCTCGAATAGCAAAGATGGACCGGTTCACTCTTCGACCCGAGGCCCAAAAGGACGCCATGGAATACACTCAGTAAGACATCCTTCTATAGAAATGAAGTATACTTCTAACGCCTTTTGGTATCTAGGCTTGGACGATCCGGCCTCAAAATCTCCAAGGTGGTTCTAGGTGCCATGTCCTTTGGCAGTGATGACTGGATGATTCCTGAGGAAGAAGCACTGCCAATTATCAAGTATGCTTTCGACAAGGGACTGAACACATGGGACACCGTAAGAAGACCCATTTACCTGGCATAAATGATGAACTGATCATTTTAGGCTGACATCTACTCCTCCGGCGAGTCCGAGCGCATCATAGCCAAGGCTTTGAAAACATACAACATCCCCCGCGAACGAGTCGTGATCCTGTCGAAATGCTACGGTGGGATTCCCAACCCAGGTGATTTGGATGGACTGTCAGATCAAGAGAAGTTGGCCCTGATGGCTGTCAATGACGGTGTCATGGTGAATCGCATTGGGCTGTCGCGCAAGCATATCTTCGATGCGGTAAATGCTAGCATTGAGAGACTCGGCACGTATATGGATGTTCTCCAGATCCATCGCCTTGATCGCGAGACTCCTCGTGAAGAGATCATGAGGACACTTAATGATCTTGTTGACTCTGGGAAGGTGCGCTATCTCGGCGCAAGCTCGGTGAGTTGACCCATTGTGCATAGATGACTATTTCGACTGAACTTGTTGGTAGATGTTCGCTTGGGAGTTCCAAGCTTTGAACAATATTGCCGAGAAAAAGGGGTGGCATAAGTTCATCAGCATGCAGGACTATTATTCTCTCCTACACCGCGAGGAGGAGCGCGAAATGCACCCATATTGCCGCGATGCCGGTATCGGCCTTATTCCCTGGTCACCTTTGGCGCGTGGTCTACTCACGCGCCCATTCAAAGTGGACAAGACGCCACAGTCTGTACGTGAAGCATCTGATGTCTACTCACCAATGTTGATCGGTGCGACTACGGAGGTTGATATTTCCATCATCAACCGCGTGGAAGCATTGGCCAAGAAGAAGGGTTGCAGCATGGCGCAGGTCGGAGTGATATGGTGTCTGAAAAAGGGAGTCAACCCTATTATCGGATTATCTAGCAACGCTAGAGTGGATGAGGCTGTGCAGTCCGTGGCACTGTTAAAGGATGGATTGCTCTCTGACGAAGATGTCCAGTATCTGGATGAGTTGTACGTCCCGAAGGCTGCTTTGACGGGTGCATGGTAATATGTGGAAGCACAGCTATTTTGATGTCAACTTACATACATACAAATGAGGCTTATTTCATGGAATGATCCCGATCAATCAGCCATCTCAATACCTCCAAGAATCGTCATTGGACGATTCGTACTAGCGCTTACTAAATACTTACTCTGTTTTAACTAACGTTAACATGACTCGCTAGTGTACATAACTATGTAACAACACACAGAGAATAGTCCCTTGGACCCCAAACAGCCGAAGCGATAGACTTCTTATAACTCTTTTGGCTTATGAGACAAGGTTGGGCTCTGATCTTAGTACCCGGATGTTTTAAGAGTAAGGCAGTGAAACATACTGAAAGTGCGGAGTTTGGAGTTAACGTGGTGATCAGATTGATACAGAAATAATCGCTGGACTCCAGAGATCCAGCTGAGGGTGGGGGCGGAGGACTTGGAGTCAAATCAAGTGGCTTAGGGCCTGTTGTCAAGGATAATGTTCCTATACAGCATTCTGGCCCCCAAAGTACACGCATTCATTTTACTTGGTAATTTGTCACGCTCGCCCCCCTAAATTGCCTCACGAGCAATAGATAGTCGGAAAGACTGAGGGTTTAATGCACTTACCCTTCTCTCGGAGGGTTTACACACAAGAGACCCAGTGGAGGAAATGCATTTCCAACCACAATGTTGATATAAAGCTGAATCGATGCTAAGCGGCCCAACGTAATTATTGGAAGCCTACATCCCTGCATTTTCACCGGTCATTTTTCCAAAGCGAAGATCGTGGTCTAAAACCAGCTTCCAGATAATGAATGTGGGTTTGAACGTTTGGTGAGAATGAAAATAGTGAAATAAAAGCTGACAAGGACCTTCCAAACCTGCGATTACTGTTTCGGCTTAATTCAGCACCCAACTCTGCCTTCTAATAAGGGCTCGTGCCTCCACTTCCTTTCCAACGTAGTCAATTCGCCCCGCTACCTTGGTAAGAGATCCGGGGTCAGCTTCCTTCGACGGTAACCCAAGATACAAGGATAAGTACCCAATTGTACTGCACCACATAATTTACAGAGCTTATGCTGTGACCACCGGTAAAGATATTAGATGTAGGATTTGTACGTTCGAACCACGCCCCTGTTGAGCCTCCCGTAGGTGATGGCTGACTCGGCCGCCGATTATATGATGCAGGTGCCCTAACAGACCACTGACAGCACATTTCACAGCCGGGGCAACATCTACTTAACCCTAAAAGAGATTGAATTGCGTAGTTTATCCTTTGGCCCCCGGGCACTCGCCGAAGCGGCCTTATTGGCCCCCATCATCCTGGTATTGAGCAATGATTGGTTTGATCATGCGGGGGTTACATCGCAGGATCAGCGGTCTAGAGATTGGAAGACAGGCAGTATGTTTAGAACGAGAACGGGATTTAATGACCATGTCCAAGCGTCTATATCGGAATGTATATAAATCCCTCCTGGCCCCCTTCTACTTCTCGTTCTCTATCCTCCATCTCTCGATATTTCTAAATACCAACCCTCAAATTCTACAATATGAAGCTTACTTTCGCCACCGTACTGCTCTTCCTTGGCGTCGCCATGGCCGCTGCGGTACCTGAAGCAGCTGCGAACGATCCTGTAAGTGCCTACCCAAGCGTGAAGCATAATTGCATCGTACGATTGCTGATATGACCACAAAGCTTGAGAAGAGATGCACTGCCTCTGGTGGCTACTGTGCGGCCAACTCGGTCTGCTGCTCAGACTCGTGCATTGGCGCGCTTAACAAATTCGGCGGCTACTGCTCTTAATGGGGATGAGAAGATCAGAGGATGTATATATCGAGCCACCGTGAATTTGATAGCTTGTCTATAGCAAATATCTACTATTTCGGATTATGAACGTTTCTAGGCAACATGTAGAGGCTATTCCTCCCAGCTCGGCCAACATGTGGTCTCTGAATCGTATCTGAATTGTACCCTTCTGAGTTCCAACCCCTCTGTTTTTTCGACTTCAGATAATATGTGGCTCACCGGAGCTCACATGCATACAGCACAGCTAATATGATTCTCCACCGAATCATCGACTCTCGCCACCACCGCTTTCTCCCCCGCGGTGTATTCAACTCCCTCCGGTGCGGTATCTTGGAGTGTCCACCCCGCGCATGGAGGCCAGGACAACCAACAAAATCCTGGTAAACTTAGGACCACGCGGTGAAACGCGGGGTTGTTTGGGTCCTTGGGATGCGAGCCCTGGACCTGGTCGAACCCCCAAAATGACCCCAGCCAGCCATGTACAAGCAGAAGGGGAATGGCGCAGGGCGCTTCAGCACGAGCATGTACGAAGTGGACCTTGACATTTTCACTTCAGTGATGTAGTGGGGAAACGTGTTGGGCTCGTCCTAAAACCTCATAATCATCAAAGGTAGAATCTGCTTGTTCGTTTTTCATCTGGCTATCTTGGAACCAATAAAAACGTTAATTGGCTCCTGAATATAAGGACACCATCTTGCGTCCAGCACATCTGCAATGGACGCAAGCAGCTTCACAGGTCTCCCTTCGAAGTACCAACAGTCCTCCATGTCCTTCAGTATCACGCAGTAATATGCAAGTAGTATAAGCGCCCCGGGATGTCGCTCAGATAGCAAAGATATAAACGCCACCTCAACACGCATCGGCCACACAGCAAGGACATTCCACATATTGACATTAGCCTTGCTCTTTGCACGCTCAATGTACGCAAATGACGTAGCTAATGCATGTGCAGCAGACTTATAAATCTTAGTGCTTTCGTCGGACCAAGACCCGTCACTCGGCACGAGAGACACAAAGTAGTCCAGATACGGCAGATTGTCATTTCCGACATCGAACTGTTCTTCCCAAGCAGAAGCTAGTGCACTTGCCGGGCCACTTTGTATTCGGTCCCAGACATCGCAGAGCATTGAACAGCCGGCACGGATAAAATGCAGCCATTGGGGGAGAATTAGTTCTGGTTTATCCGCATTCTCGTGGGTTTCGTCCACAATGAGAAATGAGTTGGTAGTGTTTTCAGAATCCGTCGCGAAGGAATAAATGATCAGTAGGTATGCAAATGACATGATTGCGTCGCAGTTTTTTTCATCTGGGTGGTTGATTGCATAGCGAAATTCGGGAAGCGCCGCGTCTTGGTGAGCACATGCTCGAAGGGTGTATGTCTGGCGCTGTGGACGATTTAAGTACGCCATGTGTAGTGCTGTACAGGCCAAGATGCCTCGCAACAGGAACGGGTTATTGTATGCCAGGTCTGGCACAACGTCGAGCCAGATTGTCTCTGTCGTTTCGTTTGTCACAAAGCTCTTGTAAGACGAGGAAAAGTAGTGGTCCAGAATTTTGACATCGATTGGGTCCAAGTTGTACCTTTCTCGGATACGTCGGTTATGTTTCCCAGATATCTTAGCCTCATTACCGCCAAGCTTGGTTGATGAATAGGTGTTGGTGAAGTATCGTAGCATATTCCCTCGAAAGAAAGATTGTAAGGGAGTAGCACTCCAGTCAACATTTGAGTAGCCCTTGCGGCCATGCTGAGCAGACCAGTGGGTTTCCATTCGCTTAGTAGACGCGCAAAGGTAGCCGCATCCTTGTGCCTCACAGCACCATCCCTGCTCAAGTGGCAAGTAGGGCAGAGGGAACTCCTTGGGCTGAATGGACCTCACTTCTTCAGGGCTTTTCAATTTGAGTGTTTTAGCGTATGTGATGAATGGACGTCGCTGGTTGCTACGGATATGGTGGATATCCTTCAAGTGCCGAGGAATGGCTGCTGGCTGGACTGCGTAGTGGCAGGTGGTACAGATTAAGACTTGATGAGCGGGGCAGTAATGGAGCAGTTTCTCCGGTAGCAGAGAACCCTTTCTCTCAGCATCCATTCTCGCTTCATTGTGCTGCTAATGAGGGCGAGATGATGCTCTGAGGTCCCTTCAGCCTGGCGCTAACCGGAACGGGACCGTCCGGCCTGGGTTCGCCGCTTCACTCAGCGCTAGCCCGAACGGGACCGTCGTTCTCAACTCGCGGTTTACGTGCTTCAACTTTATCGAATTCTTAATTCCGATGTCCGTCGGGCAGATATTTGGCCGTAGAGTATTCAACATCAATCCCGAGATCATGGGTATAAAGCCTGCCGTCCCCTCTATCCGGAAACCCTCGAACTACAAACTACATTCCGCAGAATCAATCTTCTAGGCTTCGATTCATTCCACACCCCTATATTGGTCACTTCTCTATCATTGTTTTCCACAATGCCTTCTAAATATCAACGCAGTGTCCTCATCACCGGTGGCACTTCAGGACTAGGCTATCACTGCGCCTTAGCCATCGCTCGCAAGCGTCCAGATTACCAAGTCATAATCGCATCCCGCTCAGACCTCGATGCCTCTGCCAAATCCATTAACAAGCTCCTCAACCAAGAAAATGTCAGTTTCCTACGACTCGATCTTTCCTCCCTCGCACAGGTCCGCGCCTTTGCCGAGGAATGGAAGGCCAACCAATTCCCGCCAATCCAGTCACTCGTCTTCAACGCTGCCTTACAGTTCCCTGCGGCAATTGAGTACACAGAAGACGGATTCGAGAAAACTTTTGCCATCAGCCACATCGGGCACGCACTCCTTTTCTCCCTCTTACATCCCCATCTTGACGAAACCGCGCGCGTCGTGATTGTATCCAGCGGAACACACGATCCCGCTCAGAAAACCGGCATGCCTGATGCGAAGTATACTTCCGCTGAGGAATCCGCGCACCCACCTCCCCTCTCAGCCAAAGAGAGCGGACGCAAGCGATACTCCAGCACCAAGCTGTCTAATGTCCTCTACGCATACGCCATGCACAGACGCTTTGCTGCTATCAACGAGAAGAACGGGAAACATTGGACGGTTACGTCGATGGATCCTGGTCTTATGCCAGGGACGGGCTTGACAAGAGAAGGCAGCCGAGTTGAGAAATTCCTCTGGCTGCGTGTCTTGCCGCACATCCTCCCGCTTTTGCGGTTGCTTGTCTCGCCGAATATTCATACTCCTCAGGAGTCTGGTGAAGCGCTGGCTAGGTTGGCTGTTGGGGCTGATGTTGAGGGGGTTAGCGGTGTGTACTATGAGGGCTTGAGGGAGATTAGGTCTAGTGATGCGAGCTACGATGTGGCGAAGCAAGAAGATCTGTGGAAGTGGACTGTTGAGACTGTGGCTTGTGATCATCAGGAGAAGATGGCATTTTTGTTGGAATAGGTGTTTTGGGGGTTGTATGTCATGTTTCTGCAATTCTCCATGTACATCCAGTCAGTCCATATACCTAGTATTACTTTATTGCTGTACACGAGCGGAAGAGACGCATATGGAAGTAAGCTTCCTGCAAGCCGAGATCTTATCGATAACTGCTGTGCACCACCACACCCACTCAACCCCCAACCCACCAAAGCAAGCAAGCAAGCAAGCAAACATGCCCCCCAAATCCAAATCCAAAAAAGCAGCAACAACACCTCACCACCAAAAACAACCCGCTAATGCCAATACTACCCCTCCAAAGTGGCCCCCGCTTCGCCCCCTCCTCCCCCCCCACAGACCTCACCCTCACGCCCCTCGTCCCAGACCAGATCTACCTAATCCGCAACTTCCTCCCGGGAACACTCTGCAAGAACTACGTGTCATTCCTCGCGTCCCTCCCGCTCACCACTACCCCGGGCAAGCCCAAGAAAGACGAGGCCGTGCGCGTCAATGACCGGTTCCAGATTGAGGATGCGAGGTTTGCGGAGATGTTGTGGGGGGAGACGGCGTTGAGGGAGCTTGTGGTGGAGAGGTTTGATGAGGATGATTATGACGACTCTGATGAAGAGGACGACAGGGCTCTGGAACGGGCGCACAAAGCACACAACCTTTGGGGCGGGACGCCGCTGGGGTTGAACTCGAATATTAGGGTGTATCGCTATTCGCCGGGTCAATTTTTTGCGCAGCATTGTAAGTCACTTGAAGGAAGAAGCAACACAGCACAACACCTATACCTAAAAAATATGCCAACGATCTATCCGCCTTTATATGCCCACACTTATATGCCCACACTTATATGCCCACACATATATATGTATACTAACATATATACCCCAGATGACGAATCCAAGGCCCTAACATTCACCTCCCCCTCAACATCCAACCCAACACCCGCGCGTACAACCTGGACGCTCCTCATCTACCTAACTTCCTGCACAGGCGGCTCAACAACCTTCTACCCGGACGCGACGCGGGCAAATCCACATCCAGAACCGATCTCCGTGGCCCCTGAGACGGGGCTGGCGCTGCTTCATCGCCATGGGGAGAGGTGTATGCTTCACGAGGGGAGTGAGGTGGTTAGTGGGGAGAAGTGGGTTTTGAGGAGTGATTTGGTTGTGGCGAGGTAGTATTATCCAATCATTCAAATAATGAACTATATGAATAGGTGAATAGTAAGGTAAATAATCTACATTTGGGAAATACGAAAGATTGGATTCGGTGGAGTAGAGTTGCAAAAAAGGAAGTTCAGATTGAACACGTTCTTCAGTAAGTGGGTTCTCGGTCCTGCTCAATTGAAAATCGAGTCAGGCAAGGTAGCAAGCAAGGAATCACAATCCAGCAGAGGATCGCGAGACAAGGACAACAACAGCAGAAACAGTTATGTAGATACAGTTCAGGATCATAGGGAGTGTGTCAAGTTGCGAGGTGAAGGGGGTAGGGCAAGAAATATCAAAAGAGAAAACCGTCAGATTCATCAGTTTGAGGAGACAGCAACAACAACTGCAAGAGGCAGACACATTCTAAAGGGGAGGTCGGGCCCAAAATTTTTATCTCTCCCGCCCGTTCAATTGCATCAAATATCGTATCACATTCATGAAGCAGAAACAGGAGACTTGGACGCATCCACTTTGTACTCAGCCCGCCGCATGATATCCTGCACGGGACCAAGCAGCCTCTTGAACCCATCCCGGCCGAGCCGCGCCACCTTGACTTCGGTCTTGGTGACGATGCTCGCCGCTCGAGGCTTGTCGTCCAACAGTGCCAGCTCCCCAAAGTAATCCCCACGGCGGTACGACTTGACCGAACCTTCGACGCCGTTCTTGTGCGCCTCGGCCTCGCCGGACTCCAAGAGATAGAATGCGTCGCCGGGATCGCCTTCTTGGATGATAGTTGAGTTGGCCGGGTACTTGATCGTGTCCAGTGCGTCGGCGATCTTGGCGCGCTCGTAGGGCTTCAGTGACGAGAGCAGAGGCACTTCCTCCAGGAACGCTTCGTACATGCGGCGCCGCTGGAATGCCGAGTCCATCAGGATGCGCCGGAAGGTGATGCGGTCCAGCGCCCATAGGGTGCTCTTTGCGTCTGTTGACACCACCGTCGCGGCGCGCGGGGCGTTGTACATCAGCGCCAGTTCGCCAAAGGAGCCTCCCGGACCGGTCGAGCTGACTTTGTTGCCTAGGCCATCGGCACCGGGTTGCACAGAGCCAGACGGATGAATGTAAATGTCAAAGTTGCCCTTTTCCACCACGTAGAAGTAGTCTCCGGCATCGCCTTGCGCGATCACTTTGATATCCTTGGCTGGAATGGGCTTCTCGACCAGCGCATCCAGCACCGTCTTGAATTGATCATCGTCGAGGTGTGCGAACAGGAAATTCCCACTGACGGCGGTCTTCAGCCGCGCCAGCTGCTCGTCCGTCTTGGGGTGGTGCGGAGGTGTCCAGCTGTCCGCCCCGGCAGAGGTGGGATTTAACGACTCTGCAGACACAGAGGTCCGCCGACCCAGCGCGTAATTGTTGGGGAACCCGTGCTGCTGCGCGGAAGCTATCGGGAAACCGGGTTGGTCGCCGTCTCCGCCGTGACTGCCCGTACCCTCCCCAGACCCGGACTCGAAGGGGCTCCGACCAAATAACGAACCACCACTAGCGCCTCCTCCTTGTGACCCTTGCTCTGCCGCATCGCGTCCGCGGTAGACAGGTTCCGTCGGGGCGCCGGCGTTGGTATTGCGAAAAGTGACATCGGTTGGTGACGTCACTTCGAATTCTTCCTCCTCGGAGATCTTTTGGATGCCCGGCGACTTGTCCGTCTTGCCCGTGCTGAGGAACGGGTTGGTACCCGGGAATGAGTTGTGTGCCATGACTGTGGCGACGCTGGGGCCGCTGGGGCCGCGACTCCGGCCACACTGGGGCTAAGCGGAAGCGGGATTGGACAGGTGGCCGTGTGGGATGAAGGCCTGACGGAGGTTCTGGTGAGAGGGGTCAGAATTGTCACAAGAGTGATTGATGCAAGGGGGGTTATATAGTCAAGAAGGAAGGAAGGTGGGCAGAGGGAATAATTTGGGGCAAGACACAGATCAGGAGGGGTTCTCCAGATCCGAGTGGGGATTGGCAGGGTGTCGTGTCAGTGCGGGATGGGAGGCTGCATGCAAGACCTGCGCTGCTCCCATGACGGGGAAGCGAGACACCTACCTTGGGGGGATCCTGGGGTGATGAGTGGTGGGAGGCAAGATGGAGGGTGGAGAGAGGTGGAAGAAGAAGAAGAAGCGCCCCAGACAAGCGAGGTAACTCCAATGGGGCCCGAGAAGGAAAGAAGGAAGGGAGGGGTCGTGGTCTGAGCTTGGGCGATCATATCGCCTGTTCCAGTGACTAGTTGGGACTATTAGGTGATCGACGTCACTATCCGACGGAGACACCGGATGTGTCGAGGGTTCCAGGTGCCTTCTAGAAACCCACTATCGCCACCCGCGGGTGGTGTCTTGAAGTCATCCACTGCTCCTTTCGGCTTGCGGAGCTCCTGGTCGACAACAATTCCATCCTCAGGGCCCGCCAGCCACCGCGTCGATCCCCGTTCCGTGGTCCTTTGATTCGACAGCTCCAATTCCTGGCAAACCCAGTCAACAGAATCCAAGCTATCTAGATAGGAGTCGTCGGCGAAGGAATGGGTGTGTAGTGTCCGTCAAGTAAAGACTTGGTCTGTGTTCCCCCCACCGAATGACTAGGCCCGCCGCTCGAACTCTGCCCAGCCTCACTCATTATTCACACCCTTTTTTTTTGGCTTCCCTCTCATCCCTTCCTTCACCCCCTTCTCACCCCCTGCCAGCAATGGGAACCTTCACCTTCCAATGGTGAGTGTGTGCGACCGGCAGACTCTCCTGCCGGTGCCACCGCAGATTGGCGTGCTGACCACAGGCTGCAGGCCCTACAATGCGACCGAGGTGTATGTCACCGGCACCTTCGATGACTGGGGGAAAACCGTCCAGCTCGACCGGGTAGGCGACGTTTTCCGGAAAGAAGTGTCGCTGCCTGCCACCACCGACAAGATCCAATACAAGGTGCGTACTATTTAGGTTTAGGCTTCAACTGCTGTCTCCATGACGCATCGCCCTGACGTCACTGTCCGCCTTTTTTGATATGAATAAAGAGAGGGGTGGCTGACTGGTTCCCGTTTTCCCCCAGTTTGTTGTCGACGGCACCTGGACTACAGACAGCCGTGTACGTGAAGAGACCGACGGCCATAACAACGTCAACAACGTGCTTCTACCCAACGAGATCACTCCCGAACCCACCATCATGTCCGGTGTCACCCCGGATTCCACCACCGCCGCCCTGGCGGCCGCCGTTCCCAAGGAGGAGCCGAATGGCAGCTTGCCGGGCACCTTCCCCGACACCCCGGGGCAGGAGTCGGAGCAAATGCTGTCCGTGAATCCCATTCCGGCCTCCGCCGGCATCGGCAATCCCGTCAAGCTGAACCCTGGCGAAAAGGTTCCCGACCCTGCCTTGACCCATGGCAACACCGTCCAGTCGACCGTCAAGCTCGACAAGGAGTCCTATGAAAAGGGCGACAGCGTGCCCCTGGCCAGCGCGGGCTCCCAGAACCACGCCACCGATACGGCTGGGTCGAGCGCCTTCGCCGTGCCCCCCGTGTCGAAGAACACCATCCCCGAGTCCAGTCTGCCGATGGGTGGAGGGCCCGCTCAGCGCGCCGCAACCACCGATGCGGCCGATCCTGGTTACACCATCCAGTCGGCTGCGCCAACCTCCACCACGGCGGCGTTGGCGGCCAACGTCCCTCTGGAGAAGACGACCAACGGCGATCCTGCTCCCGCCAGCGAAGTCCCGCAGATAGTGAAGGACTCGCTCGCCGAAGCCCACAAGGACCCCGAGGCGGCTGCCAACAAGCACGCCGTAGAAGAGAAAAAGGACGTGGAGCGGGAGCTACATAAGAAAGTGAGCGTGGAGGAATCAGCCGGCACTCCGGCGCCCACCGTCTCCGCAACCACCCAGCCCACTGCGCCAGGCCTCGCAGCGGTGGCAGCCATGGGAGTAGACTCCACCGATGTGTCTCCGAACACGACTCCACCCCCCGGCCGGGCGGCTGCGGCACCGACCTCCGCCCCCGGCGTTGATACCAAGGCCCCTGTGTCGGGCGTGGGCCAGGAGCAGATCCAGGCTCCGTCTGGTCCCACCGTGACCACGGGCGTTGCCTCCGCGCCGACGACAGAGACCACCACGCCCAAGAAGACCCAGGCTCCGGCGCAGCAATCGGCTACCACTGAAGACACGGCTGCCGTCTCCACCGATGCCAAGGAAGAGAAGAAGAAGAAGCGCCTGAGCGGGTTCTTCAGCAAGATCAAGGAAAAGCTGAAATAGTCATCTTACTAGATGGTGTTGTTGTGCTTTCGTTGTTTCGTCTCGCTTCGTTTTTTGACTTCATTATCTCCCTTCGTTTCTTCGCTTCGGTTTGTGAACGCTTCTGTTAATTGAACATGGATACCTCACTCTGCACACACTACACGCGCCACTGCATCCTTGTGTTGTTTTTCGTTTCCAGCCTATCTTGTTGTCGTTGTTGTTGTTGTGTGTTTTGTCTATCACCAGGAGACTAGGTTAGTAATGGGTTTACGATCTGACTGAAAAAGAGCCCGTGTCCCGTTTTATAGCTTGGTATAATTCACGTCCATTCTTTTCGTTCTTTGAAACTCGTACATATAATGCTCACCATCCACCCGACAAGCCGTATTTTATTGAGTTGCTTGAAGAGCTCCAGCCTAACTAAGCGTCTGCCAAAAGAAAATTGGACTGAACAAGAGACTCGTTTGTAAATTAATCGTACCACTTCTAAAAGTCTGAGAGTATGATATGGGATGTATATGCTCGTGCTCAGTAAGAGCGGCGGCCATAGCTGCCACCCCATCCCTTGTGTAAAAGATTAGACTAAATTCGTTCGAAGAGAAAATCGTTCAACACTTTAACAGCATTGCGAACATTAATACATTTCAAGCCGTAAACGGTGAAGATGTCCGCCGCTGTGACACAATTTGTGTCGACGCGGTGGAAGTCCAAAACACCCGTCGAGTGAGTAGAGTTGTGTTTTTACTGCGCAGCTGCACCAGGTCTCTCACCACCGGAACCAAGAGCTTCATATAGTCGAACATCGGAACCACCGCCATGAGGACCGTCCCCATGACCACCAGAGGCCAGCCAGCGCCAGTGGGCATAGAAGGCGGCTAGTTGCCTGGGACATTGTTTGAAAACTGGTCACTAGGCACAGGAGCTTAGGATCCAGGCATTGCTACAGACCACTGAGCGTGGTAGGATCTCACTAAATTAGTGACCATCTTACGGTGAATCTCGGTAGTCTTCAATCAGTTTTCCTCAACTCCACTTTAAATACAAGCCCCAACTCCTCACCTCAGCCCGTTAGATTGGTATTGCATTACTGACTTGCCCATTTAAGTGCACGGGGTACCCCAGCATACTGATAACCATAACCACGTCAGCTCTCCGTCCCACATAAACGAACTAGGTGCACTTAGATAGACATACTCTTTTCCCGTCTTGGTGAAGCCGCAGCCACAGAAGATGGAAGCGGGCCAGCAGATCACCTGGTCATCAGTTAGCTAGACAGCAGCCAAAGTAATATCTGCCTCGCTCACCGCAGCCACAACGGTGGAGAGGAATCCTACGGAGTAGGAGGTGGTTAGATGGATAGTAATTAATATTGTGGCAAGGATCGACGCACCTAGTGTCGGCCCAACCACCTTACAGTGGCATGGATTCTGATCCGTGCCGCATTGGAAGCAAATAGGGAAGATTGGGAAGAAGGGCACGTCACACATCTTGCAAGTGGTTTTCAGTAGTAGACAGGAAGATGATAAATGATAGTAGACAGGAAGATGATACTGATTAAAATGCGGTCTTCCCCAGGTGTGCCGTGGTTAGTTATGGATTCTATCATGATGACGCAGGAGACCCGATCGGGTCGCGGATCGCCGGATGCAGAGATCTGTTGATACAACACTGGCTCATAGGTCCAGAAACCGTTCTTTTCCACTCAACTTCGATCGATTCTTCGATTCACAGTCCATTAGTTTGATAAATAATGTAGTTCAAGCCGCTCAGAGTATAGATCGACTTACATAACCCCCTTAGTCACCGCGCCGCTCGCGTGATTCGCCCGGTGGGTCACAGAACCGCTGGATGAGCTGAAACCCCTGAACAATTTCTGGGGTGGATGATTGTTTCGGATCATTGCCACAACTGATTCTTCCTCAATACTCGCACCACAGACACAGACAGACCCAAAATGGCCAAACACAACATCGTCCCCCTCATCATCCTCTTCCTCGTGGTCGGCATTCTCGCCGCAGTGGGGTATGTTGCCTACTCGATCGCCCAGGGCGTGAGCAAGACGGCCCGCGAAAAGATGGAGCGCAAGCATATTGCCATCACGAAGGATGGAATGAAGGTGCAGGTCAAGGAGATCAATGATGAGGAGTACAAGGATAATACGCAGAGGTGAGACATACAAAGCAGAAGGGAGAGAGTGGTGACTGACTGGATGGTGATTGCAGTGTCCTCGTCAACATTTGGAATCACACTTCCTTCCCTGCGTACAAGTCTCGGCTGTGGGATATGTCGGGCAAGGATGAGAAGACGAAGAAGGGTGCTGAGAAGCGGAAGGCGTGAGTTCTGTGTTCTTCCTGAAAGGTGGATTGGTATATGACTGACTCGCTTTCGATAGGTATGCCAAATGAGCGATTCCTTTACGGGTGTAATCATGGACAGGTTGACCTACCACTGTTCCGTACTGTCTGTACATATGCACGTACTATTTCTGCCTCTGCGTTGTGCGCAGAAACACAAACCAACCCTCGATGCCCGTCTCCGAAGTATGATAATGGCTTTATGTCTTGATACAATCTATCATCCCCCACACTGAGAAATCCCTTGGATATGGCACCCCCGATCCAGTTGGGTGCCGGGAATCTTCCTAAGTGCGGCTCTTGATTCCTTCTCGTCTTTTACTACAACGGTGTTTTGCACATCCGTCATACGGCTGCGTTGCTGTACATATTTTTGCACATTTTGATCTGATTCTGGAGAAACAAATGGCTCCAATGCAATACAATGCGATTGATGTCTCTTTTTTTAAGAGAAAATGTAAAAGAAAATAAGCAAGCCTTAATCAATGTCTCCAACTTTTTAAAGCAGCACCGAGCGCTGACTGTCAAGGAGGTGTTTTCTGCTGCTGAAGCAGCCTCTTGACTCGGTATTCGAGCGGCCAGGTAGAAGCTCCGCAAATAGAACTGGGTTGATGGGAATCTGAAGATCTGGGCTTCCAGACGACGTCCCAGGAGTCTCGTTAGCAGGTGGTGAGGGCCTAACTCATGCCTGCAAACTAAAATACGCCTCGTGGAGCGTCATTAAGACTCACTCGAGTCGTCAAATCCAGTGAATTAACGGGAACAAGCATTTGAGCTTCAATTTCTGGCTATAGGTGCATGTAGCTCGCAAAGTCGCTCGTCTGAATTATCTGAGCCATCGTCTTTTTAAGCCCTTTTCGAGTTTGGAGGCACGAGTATCATGGGTTTTCAAGGCCGTGATGATTTCTGTTTCTGCCAGTACTCACTGCCATTGGGCCACCAATCGACCGAGTTGAACCATACGCCTTCTGCAAAAAGTCTATAATTATCCGCGTTCTTGACTGCCTTTTCAGGAAACAGTTGAGCAAGGTCAACACAGGCATTCCACTGTTTAGCATACCACATCCTTTTACCTTTCTTAAATTCCTGGTCGGTGACTTGCCTACTGAGTTAGCAAGGGTTTCAAGATCATAGAGCCGTTGTGCTCACTGCGACTTCGTGCCCGAGGCCGATCATGCGTTGATATATGCATGAGTTCATGTAGTAATATCCCTGCTCTCGTTTCTATGTCGTCAAGAGTAAGACCACAGCCCGCCTCCTGTGATACCTTTTCTGCAGCCTGTTCAAGAGACTTGGCTGCAAAGAAGGAGCTGCAAAGAACGAGAAATCGATCCGCAAGCATAGTGCTATATTCACCATCATATAGTGTTATAGCCACGGGGTTACCCTTCGAAGCACAAAATCCGGATTCAGGTGAGCCCGTAGTGCCAGGTAGCAAGTAGTACGCATTCCGGTAACTGTAGTGTCTGCTATTTTTGCGAGACCAGTATCTGGAGAAGAAAAGCCCTTGAAAATCTCGAAGGTCCAGAGAATCTTCTTTATCGGCATATCTCGATAGTTCTTTGACGAGAGACGTTGGATCTGGAGTTTTAGACTCAAATTCTGGGTACCCTAGACGCCCGAGGGTTGTAGCCCATTTCAAGTCACTGTCGCCACATTCTACTCTCCACCTAAGATCCCGATCGCGGGATTCTGTCAGAGTGCGCCGGGCATCTTTGAGGAAAGCTAGTATATGAGTTAGCAGTCGATTCAGAGTCACGTATACTAGCAATATTGGAAAGAGCTTAACATACAATTAGCCTCTGCTAATTTACTTCTTCCTCGGATCACATGGAACTGATTTGGGTGCTTCTTGCCGTATTTGATTCCAAACATTGCGACAGCCACATTCAGTCTCTGTATCCACATATCTTCACGCGGGACTGGTTCAGCTAGGGCATCGAGGACCATGATAGCGTTATCAAGTAGTTGCGTAGTTTGGGCAACGGTTGATTCAAAATCCTGGTCTATGCAACTACCTGGGTGTCCGGAAGAAATACTGCGGAAAAGGCCTCCAGCAAGGACGTCTCCCTGAACAGAAGCAATGATGAGACATATGAAAAGAAGGAGCGGTGGAGTGTAAAAAAGCATGATGCACGGCAAATCGTCTGCACTGATTTTTGCGTCCAGTGGAGAGCTTTCGGTGTTTTAAGGAAATCCCCGTCAGTTATAGCTGCCATCAAGTTGGCGATTATTCAGAAAAGGCCCCATTTTCGCAGGGCACCTAGCAAAATAGGATTTCCTTCCGGGGCGCAGAACAGTATCTCGTCTTGGTTCGGAGGACCCACTTATCTGGAGAGCCGGACGTTGACAGGCCGAACGGGCTTTAGACCAGGAGGACTTACAATCCTGCACCTTTCATGGTGCAAAGCTCCAAAAAAAACAAAAACGGAGTGAACGTCCGCGTGAGGCGTTCGGAAAGTGCCTCGTGAGGCTCTCGTCTGCGCTCTATCCAAGCCAAACATGCCTCAGAGAGCAATTGTTCGATTATGTAGTGCTCGCGAAGCAATTTAGGGGCGAGCATGACAAATTGAATAATAAATGAGTGTACTATGGGGCCAGAATTCTGTATTGGAAACTATCCTTAGAAAATAAACTAGGAAGGGCCAAGAATTAGTATAGCCCTTTCGAGAGCCCTGCAATTCTTTTGATGAATGAGGCGATGACTGTCACTTTTTATTCTTCTTTCCTTTGGTCAACCCTTGATTGTGCTGTGTCTGGGATCCTTTGTTGACCCGAGATTATGACCCGCTTAGAAGTTGAACATGGAATCTGCTTAACGATCAAGCTAATATTTATCCCCATGATGAGATTAACTTTAGCAAATGACGAGAGATTGCTGACTTAGTTAAAATTAATGCTAGAATCCCGTTATTCAATGCCATTCATATGACAAGGCGAAACTATATCATGCAAGCGAGATAAGCGAGAAAAGCGATGCACCCGATAAGAATCTATCTTCCACCCTCAACACGATCCGTCTCAGTTCCACCCCCCCACAACCACCCCTCATCCCGGCAGATGACGAGCTCAAAGTGGACATCGAAAGTCAAGTCTCGAACTATTATCAATCCACAGAGTCGATCATTTGTCACGTAATGCTTCCGCTGCCATGGGATTGCCGCAAACGTGTGCTAGGAATGAAACTGTGGACGGCGACGTTCAGGCCGAATGCCGAGGAAGGCGCGATGAGTCGTGATTGGTATAAAATATTAGGTCGCACCATACAAGATATTAAAGTAATACTCGTGTCTTGTCTCACGGCTTATACAACCTGACCTGACATCTTGTAACAAGCTAGGCTTTGAATCATGGGCAAAGTGCGAGAATCAACCCCGACGAAGATCCCCGACAAGGGAGTTGACGAGGCTCCGAACGGAGGACTCACTGCGTGGCTACAAGTTCTTGGAGGTTTCTTCATATTCTTCAATTCCTGGCATGTCTTGCGTATATTCATGAGGTAGCCCGACTAATAAAGGCAGGGGAATTGTCAACACATTCGGAGCTTTCCAAGCATTCTACGAACACTCGCTTCTGCAAAACCGCAATGAATCAGATATTTCATGGATCGGCACCTTCCAAGCATTTCTCCTCGTCTCATTTAGCATATTCAGCGGCCCAATATTCGATCGAGGCTACTTTCGCATCCTTCTCGTCGTCGGCTCTTTCCTCATCGTATTCGGCATGATGATGAGCAGCCTAGCGACTGAGTATTACCAACTCTTCCTATCCCAGGGTCTATGTGTAGGAATCGGTGGCGGATGCCTCTTCGCGCCCAGTGTGGCTGTCATTTCGACCTATTTCACCACAAGGAGAGCATTCGCAATTGGAATAGTGGCTGCTGGCGGAAGTGTTGGAAGTACCATCTACCCGATTGTGTTCCGCAAGCTCCAGCCAGAAATCGGCTATGCCTGGGCGATCAGAGTGATTGCGTTTATTGCACTGGGCCTTCTCGCAGTGAGTAACGCTGTGATGAAGAGCCGACTTGCGCCTCCCAAAACGGCACGAAAGATGGTGGATCTTGCAGCCTTTAAAAACATCCCCTACACACTGTTCACGATCGGGCTGTTCTTAGTCTTCATTGGCCTTTACATCCCCATTTTCGACGTCGTCGTGAAGGCTCAGGTGAGCTCACATGTCGGTGAGGATCTGTCCTTCTACATACTCTCAATCCTCAATGCCGCGTCTGCTTTTGGTCGAGTGATCCCAGGCCAACTCGCAGATATTTATGGAGCTTTGGAAATCATCATTATCTGCACGTTTTGCTCTGCTGTCTTTGCGTACGGTTGGGTCGGGATCCATGGGTTGGGCGGGTCGATTGGATTTGCAATTGTTTATGGATTCACATCGGGTGCCGTCGTGTCTATCCAGGCCACCGTGGTTGCGTCGCTGGTTCCCGATGTTTCCGTCATCGGGACATGGTTGGGCATGACGCTTTTCGTGGCCGGGCTGGGTATTCTTATTGGAAGTCCTATTGCTGGTGTGCTTGTTGATTCGGTGACTGGGTCTTTCTCAGATGCGTTTATCTTCGCGGGCAGTTTTACCTGTGCGGGTGGGGTCTTGTTTCTTGTCACTTGGATTCTGAGAAGAAAAGGTGGTAGAGAAGCTTAGTCTGGGACTCATTCGATCGTTAATCTTGAAGGGCGCCCTACCAGATTACGCATATCTAAATATCTACAAACTTTTCTTAAGGACATGGATTTTTACCACTGGCCACATTGAAACCAAAAGAGCAAGCCCACTCATACCAACACCGGTGAAAAAGGCTGCACGATAACCTCTTAAAACGCTCCCATTCGAAATCTGGGACTTCACCGTGCTCGCAATTCCAAGTCCAATCGATTGCGAATAATAGACCACGGTAGCAATGAGCGATGCTGCAATTCCCTGCTGTTCTGGGGGAACGAGTCGACTCATCAACAGAGTCGAAGCGGGAAAACTGAGGTCAATGCCAAAGGGTGCCAAAACGTTGACCCAGAACACCTGGTACCAAAAGCTCTGATGCACCGGCATAGTCGCCAAGAGTAGATTGCCGACCATAAACCAGATACAGGAGAAGGCCAAGACGTCCGCTGGAGGCACCCGGCGACCAAGGAGGAAGGTGTTCAAATACGAGGCCGCAAACCCTGCAATTGGAACAGGAATAAATTGCACGGCCGTGATCAATATACTCTCACCCCGTAGCCGAGTAAGGAAGTTGACGAGATAGAACACCAGTACTCCAAAGCTCGACCAGGCCAGACCCATGGTAGCAAGGACAAAGGCACTGTCTTTGGACAAACGGTCGACCGGAATAAGAGGCCTGCTAGCTCGCTTTTCAACGAATGGAAAAGCCAAAAGCAGAAGGAATCCGATGATGAGCGTTGCTAGACTGGACGGTGCAGCCCAGCCAACGGTGGGTGCTTGATTCCATGCCACATTAAACAGCACCAACCCTGAAATACCAGTCGCAGTTCCAGCCCAATCAAAATCATGGCGCGGGCTCTTATCGACAGGAATCTCTTGCTGTTGAGAGATTGTTGCCCGATAAATTTCACCCGGAAGTTGAGGGATAGTCAGAAAGCCGACACAGGCAAGGGAGCCGCAGGCAATGGCAGTGACCCAAAAGATCCAAGGCCACCAGGACGATTCTGCTATTGCACCTGAGATTATTCCCCAGACGGTGAAACCTGTTGGCGCTCCGGCCGCAAATAACGAGAAGGCGAGGTTCTTCCGAGGTCCGTCTTTGTAGACGGACCCGAGGATAGCGAGAGCGCTTGGGAGTAACATTGAGGTTCCCATACCTTGTAGGCCTCGGCAGACTGAGTAGAAAATGAAGGAGTTCGAAAATACACTGACGCCTGCAAGAAGTGAAGCGACAGCCAGCCACGTCCATGCTGCAATATAGCAGCGGCGATGGCCATACATGTCACCAAATCGTCCAGCAGGTAGCATGAAGGTGCCTGATGTGAGACCATATGCAGCTGACCCCCATGTTCTCTCGCTCGATGAGCTGATTGTGAAAGTCTGGCCAATGACACTATCTGGGAATATTCCTTGGGACAGACATCCGAGAACAAATAACTGGGTGCATGCGAGTGTCATGAGCATTGGAATCTCTCGAGATAGCTTAAAATCGCGGATCAGAAATGGATAACTATCCGGGTCCTCCTCTTCTCGAATAATATCCGTCTGCCGCGATTGTGTGTCGACGGTGTGTTCCATTTCAAAGAGACCGGAGAGAGACGACTAGTCTAATTAAGGATAGAAGACGTCGACAGCGTTTCGGAGATATAGATATGAACGAATAAAAGAATTTGTGGAAATCAACTATTATTTCAAAAGTCTTCCTTTGTAGATTTATACTTGATTTTTGGTAAGGACGAGAACCTATCCCTTCTATGGCTTAGCACAAGTGCAAACAGAAATTAGCTCCAAGTTAAAGAGCCCACCACTCAGACTACAAGCGCAATCAGATGCAAACAGCTTCGTCTCCATATATTTACCCATTTCTGCGAGTACCTGCGTCAAAGTGGATTGCCCAAGCAGCTGACAAATATCCAAGGGGAGGGATATTTAACGAGTTAAGCGATCTTGTCGAGAGTAACGAATTTCAAGAATACCGGATTACTGTAGATCCTTTAATTGAGACGCCTTTTAACAATACTATAAATGGGCAAGAACTTTTCAAATACTTTTTCCGCTTTGGTGCTGCCTTTCGAACACCATGTATTTTGAGTCTGATCAGAGACAATTAAGAAGTCTTTGCTACTACTAGAGTTTCACGATTTGACCTTTTAAAGACATTTCGAGCAATAAATTGGCAGATTTCTTTGAGTAGAACTATCTGATTTTCTCGCAATTGGTCGCTTCCACAATACCTCAGAGCTTCTCCTGGCGTGTTTTCCAAATGTACTCCTTAATATTGGGTCGCTTCTCAATAGCTTCCCGAAGCTTGAGAAGTGATTTCGGGAGGGATGGCTGGAAAGTGATTAATGACAGATCCCAGGTAATATATGGCTGTAAGAACCTACCGGAAGAGTCCCAGTTCGCTCATCATTATCTATGGATTGGTAAACCGCGAAATCGACATAGGTGACCTTGTCTCCCAGGAGGTAGGGGCCGTCGATATCGCTGTAATACTGCCCCAGGATGTTGTAGTACTGGGGCACATATTCGTCCTTGTACTTGTCCGTTTTGTTGCTCAGATTGGCTACCCATTGGGACTGCATGTTAATCAGCAACTGGAAATTAAGAACCTAATTGAAATTCACTTGCCCTCCAATCTATGTAGATATCGGCGACAGAGTCAACCGCATATTTCTCTCTGTTCGTCTCGCCATCGTAAGAGCCAAGGTCTCGGGCAAGATAGCGTAGGATGGGGATGTGCTAATAGTCCAGCCAGAACTCAGTTATTTGCAACAGAAAATGAAATGGGTCGAAGCAGACCTGTGTGAGGATCAATCCTTGGTATTCGAGCGCGGGCACTTTCCCCGTTCTCGTGATACCCTGTTCCTGGAGTGTCTTGCTCTTCTGAGGCCAGGTCTCGTCCCATGGATAGCGAACCTCTTCGTAGTCGATGCCAGCATCTTTCATGAAAAGACTAATTTGAATGAGACAGACTGTTGCAAGCTCATAGTGAAAAGGGCTGTGAGGGAAGAGTGTCGAGGAGAGGTGCGGATGGGTATGACACTTACTTGACTACCTCCCCCCGACCCAGTCTGCCAATGTCAAGGTAATGGAAAACCGCAAACTTCTTTGTAGCCATGGTGAGATCAGTTTCAAGCTGCCTATTAATCCACTTCAAGTTCGAGGTTGAGAGATTGAGAGATCTTTGTGGACCAAGTCTGTTGCAACTTTGAGTAAAGAGCAAATCACGACGTCTTTAAAGCTTTTCCGGGGCACACCGAGGGGACCTTTGGAAAATGACGCTTACAAATTGACATGTCAACCTTGGCAACATGGGATTCTAGGTTCAACCTTGCACCTTGCATGAAGACACCACTTGCCCGGGTCCTGAATATTTAGGCGAGATAAGCGAGGGTGGCGGTCTACACGAGAGTGGCGAGCTACGCGGAAAGGAGGCCCGTCACTCAACCCACTTCCTAGCTGGCGAGGAAAGTAAGACAAGCCTATTATCCGACCCTTTGCTGCAAACGTAGAAGTCATATAAGACAGCTTCATGTGTCGCGTTAATTGGTGGCTCATCTTCGAATACCTCAGAGTGTATGGTAACAGTGATCGGTAATATTTTTCCAAATCCAATCTAGAGATTCAAAGACACGATTCACAGAGTAATTCAATGAAATAGGAACAATGTGCCTGAAAAAGGAAGACCGGACGTGAACCTTTTATACTTCCCGGGTGCATAATCATTCGCTCCACATGTGGCACTTTCCGAGACGGTTGTTAAGGCAGACCTCATACTGGCCATTGATGACGAAATTGTAACCGAGATGGCGGCGATACTCACGGCAGTTTCGTCGCTTACGCCAGAATTGAAGCTACTCGGGAGGCACTACGATTGAGACCATCCGAGTGTACGAGTGGCTGAATTATTTTTCGACTACCGCTCATGCTCAAGCTATTTCATCGATCTGGCGGACGGAGCGATTCACCAACGATTCATCAATCTACCCGGCCATTCGGCAAAAGGGACGAAAAACGCTTCAAGAGGTTTATGCATTGATAGAAGAAAGGCTGAAAGCCTCTGGAAGTCAATTCGCTGTCGGATCCTCTTTTACGGTTGCTAATCCCTGTCTCATCGTGCTATACTGTTGGGCGGCAAGATTGAACATCGAAATGGACTCTACGTATCCCGTTTACACAGGTTATGTGAAATGGCATTTTGAGCGAGAATTAGTAAAGGAAGCCAGAAAGGTTCATATGCTGTGATCGTCCTGCATGTCTCCAAGGCCGATCTGGTAAAAGCACGATAGCAATTCACGGTCAGATTACGTTTCTCTAAGATAATCCACAAGCCAGTCGGCCATACAAGCGAGCCGACCACCACCACCCCAAAACACCACAGTAAATGCAAAATTTTACAGCTTGATGTCTCAGTCTCAATAGCTTAATATAAGATCTAAATATAGATTCAATGGTTAGATCATTTCAGTAGAAGAGCTGCAGTCACACCAAGCTTTGCCAATCCAGTCTGTAACTATGCGGCGATTCCATGAATCTGCACGGCTGGGAAATTAGGCTGCGTTGAATTTCCCAAAGAGTTCGGGCTGCAGGCATTTGTCAGCTTACGCATGGGGGTCTAGATCGCCGAAAAAGGTAAATGGTTCCAAAAGCGGACAAGCGGGGACCGTCGAATCCGCGATTTAAGTCGCGAGACACTATGATCTAACCACATGATAAGAGGCGGGCTATGATGTCCTCTTCGAACACCTTCACTGACTCTCATCCGTAACCCGATACACCCCTCCCACCATGGCCACAACGGCGCTTCACGGGTGGCACCCAGGCGAGCTCTCAATCCAACGCAAGCTCGGGTTTGCCGATGCCGTCACTAATAGCTGGTCGCGTATCAGCAACTTCATGCCTGAGCAGCACCGCCTCTTTCATACGTCCAACCTCCCCTTTTTCCCCATCGCCACCCTTGATGAGGACGGTCGTCCTTGGGCATCAATTGTTGCTGGACCAACGGGTGAAATCGGTTTCGTGAAAAGCCCGGATTCACGAGTTCTTTCCATTCACGCCCGACTCTGGGAAGGTGATCCATTCTTGGATACAGCGAAAGCATGGGCCGATCAAAGACGTCGAAAGGCGACACCCGAGAGATTTCTGATTGCCGGCTTGGGGATTGAGTTCTCAACACGAAGACGAAATAAGTTTGCAGGGTCTGTACGAAGTGTGCGACGCTGGTCAGACTCGGATTACCAGATTGACGTGGATGTTTTAGAGGCGATAGGGTGAGCAGAGCAGCAGAGTCATTTGTTTCTCTCGTGGATAAACCGCTGATATATTCATAGGAATTGTCCAAAATACATCAACGTCCGCAACCTCTTGGCTTACCCACATACGCGTCCTGAAGTCGTGCATCAGCGTCGACATCTGTCACCGCAGGACCGACTTCCAGAGGAGGTAACTCGGTTCATTCTCGATGCCGACACCGTCTTTATCGGGTCTATCTACAAGTCAACAGCCTCGGAATTTCCTTCACATGCAGGCATGAATGCCCGAAGTGGCTTGCCAGGGTTCATACGTGTTAGCCCATCTGATGGTCGCACAGTGGTCATTCCAGATTATTCTGGAAATCGGTTTGTCTCCAGTCTAGGGAATATTGAGTCTAGTGGGGTGGTGGGCTTGACTATCGTGTCCTTCACAACGGGCGATATCCTTTATTTGACGGGCACAGCCGAGAACTTCGTTGGCCCATCTGCGCTCAAGATTATGGCTAGACATGCCAGTCTCACATCGGTGAATGTAACTGGATTCACCTTTGTTCGAGATGCTCTTCCGGTGCGACAGCAAATGGGTACCTCCCCTGAACGTAGCCCCTACAGTCCAAAGGTCAAATACTTGGTGGAAGAGGCAGGATCACAGGGAGGTGGCGACCAACAACACAAAGCACAGCTTCAAGAGGCAGTACAACTGTCTTCCGACCTTGCCGTCTTCAAATTCAAAGTCAATTCAGCCTCGGGCGCCAATGAACTGAGAATTCGCCCCGGACAAGCTATCGTGCTTGACTTTATGGACTGGATAGGGCCCCCTCGATACCAGCACATGGCAAATTCGGCTCCTGCATCGATCAATGATGATCGAGTTCGCACTTGGACTGTGTCGAGTGCACACGAAGAACAAAATGCGACTTGGTTCCAATTAACTATGCGCGAGATGAAAGGGGGCGCTGTAACAGGGGCTTTATTCGACCTCCTGAGAAGAGACTCTTCAAATAAGCTAGGTCGCCTTATTCATTTTGATATCCCTGTGTCTGCAGATATTGTTGGCATCACGGGTGACTTTATCATGCATCAGGGCAAGGTCAATATGCTTCTGGTCGCCGGTGGAATTGGCCTAACACCATTCCTGGCCATGCTTAGTGCACTGGCGGAGCGTGGGCCTAAGGCCGAGGGACACGTCGCGCTTGTTCTGGCAACAAGAGAACCAGAGAGTATGGTCAGCTTGATGAAGCCATCCCTTGAAAAGATGCCATCGACAGTCAAGATCGAAATCGCTTTATTCACTAATGACTCGAAGCTTGACATCGAATATCTCAACACGCCGAATCGGAAGATATCCAAGCACACGGGTCGTGTTATCCCGGAGTACTGGAAAGGACTATCTCGTGATAAAGAGGTCTTCATCTGTGGTCCCAATGGATTCGGAGACTCCGTTACTGACGGGCTACGAGCAGCTGGTTTCCCACTGACTCAAATCCACAGGGAAGGTTTCTATTGAAGGAAAATTAATGAACCATTCTGCATGTCAAACAAAGCTTTCAAAAAATAGAACACCCTTTTTCTTAGATACCAACATGTGTCTCCCATGCTCTAATTACAGAATTTTTGATAGAAATCCTAGCCGCCCAGGTAGCGAAGTGCGGATACTCAGATCGCATTTCGATTTCAACCCGATATCCCCAGCGATAAAGAACAAATAGAAAAGGATCCACAATAGTGAACGACCCTCCCACTGCATAATAGCATTGACTTGAGGCTATCTTATCCTCTATAAAGCCATAGCACTGTCGAATTGTCCACACCGCGTGCTCTTGCAGTTTCGGAAACAAACTCTCATCATCAAGGAACCTCTCTGGTCTCCACAATGCACCAAAGCCCTGGCCGTGTAGCGTTCCAGAGAGGTAATTCAACCATTCGTACACTCGAGCAGTTTCCAATGTGGTTTCTCCCAGAAGGTGCTTCTCGGGAACTAAGCATGAAATCGCGGTGAGGATTGCGGGTATCTCGGTAATGACTTCGCCGTCAAGGGACAGGACGGGCACGCGTCCCTTAGGATTAAGTTTTATGAATTCATCTGTAAATTGGCCGACTTGAGAAAGCTCTAGGTCGAAATTTAGGCCTGTCTCGAGGAGGAGAACGTGGGCTGCGAGTGAGCACGCTCCGGGGGAGTACCATAGTTTCAAAGATGGTTGACTGGATTCGTTCATGCTGGCGTTGATACTGGCGTCGAGAATTCGTTGGACGAAATTGTTGAAGAAATTGAAAAAATATATCCAACTCTACCAAACGTGATCGCCCGGTCGCAAAAGATTACGCGTAGCTCGTTCGTCTCGCTTAACTCGGTTAAAGTTATAAAATGGCAAGAACACTCAGCACATCTCATTTAAATCCATCGACTTCATCACCAATTCATTTCATCACGATTAGGCAATAATCGGCTCCCATTCATATGATCACGAAGAGTCTGATTGAGATCGAATTCCGAAAAAGTCAACCACTGCAACCACTCTTTAACCAAACTCTGATCCAACACCCATTCACTGAACACGGTGCCCCGATCCCCATCAAACGTATTCACAACGGGCTTGCCTCCATTGACAAAATCCGACCAGCGGGCAATGCACAAGGGAGAATATAAGCTACCACCATCCGCATCTCGATCTCGAGCTTGGCCGTAGTAGGTCACGTAGCCCCGGCCATCCATGTCGGGGAAAAGAATAGAAAGCACGCGCGAGCTCGGCGATGAGAAGCGCTCGACGCAAGGTAGTCCTACATCTCGACTGACATGCTTCTCGAGGGTTGACAGCACGTCAAGGCTTGAAGCAAAGGCTTTGTTATTGAAAACGCCTTCTTGGCCGACTCGGTCTAATTCGAAAGATATCCAACGGAGCCAGGTTGGGTTTGGACAGGATTGTCCCGCGAGGAACAGCATCGGTGAAAAGCCTATTTTCAACGCTTCGCATCCAAATGGACTGTCATGAGAGGTTGGAGGTGGCCTGTCCGTGGCTGTCTTGACGAATCGTAGTAGCTGATAGATGAAGTGATAGGCGTCGAGTTCGAGATTGCTGTCTCCGTTATTGGAAATACTAAGCGCCCAAAAGAGTCGCGCTCGGTAAAATGCGTATATTGCCAGTGCAAGGCAGTAATTTTCTGGTAGACTCGGATGAGGGAGCGGGGGGATAGGCAGTTTGTCCAAAGCCGCGAAATTGAAGTTCACGGCATCCGATAGTGCTTCATCGTCCATGAACCTATGGAACAGGATGGCATAGGCAGCTTTCCATGAACTAAGGCGCTCGACTATAGCCAGAATTTTATTCTCTGGTATTGGTCTCAAATTAACACCAACTGGGCACCACATCAATTGCTTGATTTCAGAGTCCATAGAGCCAATATCGAGTAGTTGCTGCAGCATATCTCTCGGCAACGAGTCTAGAGCAGTCTGAGATGAGGATATTGATAGGCTAAGCCTTTGACTTTGCCTATACAGCGGATGTATCATTTTGATCTCTTTTGGGTCCGGTAAGGTAACACGACGAATAAGGTCCAAGTCTTGGAGACATAACTCGATCGCTGTCTTGTAATGTTCCGATTCTCGGCTGTCTCTGGAGCACATTACCTTGAAATAATGTTGGGCCATACGGATGTGTCGCATTGTAGCTGGAACATTCCCGTCGAAGCACTACGTGTGACTTTTAGTATCAACAATAGACTTCTCTAAAGAGAGGTTTACCTCCACATATGCAAAGAGAATGAGCACACCCAGAAGAAGGGCCATTGGAATTTGGTTGCTAGCCAAATTATCGGAAACACCCTGTAAAGCGTTTGCATATGCCCGGATAGCAATCACTTTGGTGTCTAGACCTCGATGGCGGTCGTTCTCGGTTTTCTGTGATAGCAACAATGTGGCACGATGCATGGACCCGAGAGCGACAAGAGCATCATAGATATACTCGACTTCCCAAGCTTCTTGACAAATATAGTCTTTCCAGTAAGAAAGAGTCTTTGCTGGAAAAATGGTCGGTATGGTCCTGAAGAGGAATTGGTGATAGCCCAAGACATCGCGGGCTCGAGTGTGCGGCCGCTGTAATGAAGTCGGGTTATTTGGAATTCCTATCAAAGGCAATCCATCGGTGGGAAATTGTGGATGTGGTGTGGCATCGCCTTGGTGTTCGAGCTCTGTGGAAGGAGAGGTGCTCATAACCGTTGTTGACCTATGCTTTGGTGGCCTTGTGATGACACGGCGCTTCTCCGCATATCCAGCGCACTCGACATTGGCGGTTTCGCAGCGCTCGCAAGTTGGTTTCCCTTCATCACATTTGATCCGTCTTGCTCGGCATGTGAGGCAGCCTGTCCTGGTTCGACGCCTTTTGTCATCCATGACTACTGCCCCGGACCTCAGAACCAAGATCAGACATAAGTCTTGAATGACAGAAAACACGCGCTCTCAACACACGCACACCCTACAGCGGTCTTGAGAGCCGGCAGTCCCAAGATACCCAGAGCGAAAGAATGAATTACGTCAAACCCGTGATGATGTTGATGATGTTGGTTAATCCAGCCACGGCGGAGTGGAACTGCCTGGCGGGCTCGCTTACTCAGCATTTTGGAATGAATGCCAGTCAACTTAGCGACTTCGGCTTTAGTGACCGCGATAAGATGATACTTGGGTATTAAGGAGTAGGAATCTAGACTAATCCTCAATATTGTAGGAATGGACTTACTAGCGAAAGCTTCCCTCGACTATCCTTAGCGTGATATCTTCAATCTACTTTTCATAATTTGGTAGATTCAGAGTCGACGAAAATCTAAAATAAGTATAAGCCACTGAGAATTCAGCGTGAGGGCAATATACTTTTGAAAGTCTTGTTTTATGAGAGGTTTTTGTTGATTTCGGACGTCACAAGGCAGGAGAAGTATTCGATCATACGCTCCTGGAGAAAAGAAGATGACGCTTTTTATGAAAAATTTATATGTACATGACACTGATTATTTTCCACAGATCGCCTCAATGGCCGTTTCGAGATCTGTGTGCCCATAAAGAACAGTGGCGTGCGAGCGGAGCATGTAGTCTGTACCCAGTTTGCCATCAGGCAGGATACTTGTCGCCATTTCGACCCAATAATCCAAAATCTGCGGAGGGAAAATCTGCGCGTAGAACTGCCGGAGATTGTCCTTTTCCACGGGTCGCACCTCGACTTCCTTTCCGAGTACTCGAGTAAATGCCGCTTGTACGTCAAGCGGACTATACTTTTTCGGACCGTGGAGTTCAATTATATATGGTTTTCTCGACAAGGATTCTTTGATGGTTAGCTGCTCCGCAAGGGTAGCGCCTATGTCTGAGATGGCGACCATAGGAATCTTGTAGTCTACGGGCGTAATTGTCGACAAGAAGAATGGATTTGGCCCCCTTAAAGTGTCGAGGCTTATAGTCCAGTTCTCCATGAAATAAGCGCAACGGACAAAGACGATATTTTGCACCTTCGTGTCGCGTAGCACTTCCTCGGCTTTGTTATTTGTCTTGATCTCGCCCTATGTTCGGGATTAGTAGAGAAGTATGAGGTCTAGGATTCGGATGTACTTACAACACCCTCGCTAAACTCAGCCCCGCCGCTGCTGAGCAGAACAAGTCTCTTGACATTACCGGCCGTCTCACTGGCGCTTTTGATGTTCAATGAGACTTTTTGGGCATGTTCAATTAGATCTCGACCGTCTAAGGCGGGTGGTATAATGGCTAGAACAGTATCAGACCCTGTCAAGTCGAGGGAACTCTCAGTTGAGACATCGCCTTCGATAGCAGAGAAATTGGTATGTGTAGAGAATCTAGTTGGGACTTTGGAAAGATCCCTATAAATTCCACGAACCTGCACAGGTTTACCGAGTAGCGAACTGATAGCTGCTGCACCTGTCTTTGTGCTTGCGGGTACAACGGTGATCTGCATTGTGAGTTTGGTTTACTCAATATAGAGCCACTGTCAGATTCAGTGGGTTTATGTGTGAGAAAATGCGGCAAAAATGTGTTCGCATTTGAGTCACCTCGTATTATGCTGACGTCACATGCATCCGGAACAGGAAGGCATACAGGGCGTATTAGCGAAGATACTTATCTAAGGACAACAACAAGAGAACCAAGGATAAAACAGGTGATTGTCAGTATTCATAACCGACTTGCTCTTGGCCCATCGACTGATAGTGGTTATATATAGTGAAGCCGTCCGCGGCCTGTTTGGAAGCCGAGAAGTAGATAGATTTGCCATTGCCGGAATCGACTGCCTGATGGGTGAAATGATTGCGGACCTGAGTGTGACGAGAGCGGGCACGGTATTGACGGTTGGATGCCAATGCGATCGTTCCCTGATTGTCAGGAAAGATTGGGGTCGGAGTGCTGTACATCTTGGCCAGGCCAATCTCTGAAACAAGGAGCCGAAGCCATATCAATTCCTGGATCGTGCGAGACTGAGTAATATGCTCAGATTCAGTGGACGAGAGGGCAGTGGATGTCTACTTCTTGGATGAACAAGAAATGGGGCTGCCGACGAGGGTAAAGATATAGAGCGTATCATTTATAGGTCGTGAAAGCGGTTGCAGTCTGCCTGGGACTTGTAAACAACGAACCGCGTATCTAGACGAAGCACAGAAAGATGGAACAGCTAGGTGAGTCCACTCAGGGTTGGGGACCAGAAGGCTGAAGACCTGGGATCACGCGAAGAATGGCTGGACTCGCAGTTGAAAAGCAGATCAACATGAACAGGCCGTCCCGCATATCTTGGGCACTCAGGGTTTGATGCGAATATATAAATGAACGCAAATGAGAGACCTGGTATTGCGAGTGGAAGAGCAAGGAAGAGGAGAGGTGGAGAGGCTTATATAGCCGTGGTGGTCCGCAAAAGGAAGGCATGCAGGCATGAAAGCAAACACTGCACTCTTTACAGTTCGGATCTACTAGACAAACAAGCAACAAACAAACGAAAAGAGAAAATGATCATTGAATTCCAAGTTCCCAATGCAATACACACATAGTTCAAAACGCCCAACAACCTGCATACCAGACACGACAAGTAGGGGGATCTCATGGCAGAAGGAAAGACGCTGAGAAAAGACAAAGAAAAGAAACAGAATCCATCATGCAAGCAACTGGCCACCACCCGAGCTCTCGCGTCGTTTTAGCAGCTCGCTCTTCGCCCGTTTCAACCCCTCGCCCAGCTTCTTCGTCCGTCTCCATTCCTGGCCCATCCGCTTCATGCGTACAGCGGCGACAACTAGAGAAACGGCAGTCCTCAGTTTCCGACGCGGCGTGCGGACTTGCTTGCGGTCTCGAGCTTGGACGCCCATATCGGTGATCATGCGGAGATCGGCCTCGTTGCTGTATCATTGTGTCAGTCTAGTTTGGAAATACGGCGAGCAGAAAAAAGCATACCATGCAACTCGCACACGCTCGCCCAGCTCCATCAGACCCTTACTCCAGGCCAGGTCGCGACGGAACTTCTCTTCGCGTTGCAGCCGCGCACGGAGCCAGATGATCTCTTTGCCCAGACCGCGCATCTCCTTCTCGTATCGGGACTTGCTGGGAGTGGGGGGTTTGGCTACAGCCTCATCATAGCGTAGTTGAAGAGCTTCCAGCTCCTTGGCTGCGGTTTCGGCCTTGCGGACACAGAAAGCTCGTTCCTCACGAATCCGGCGGACTTGAGTCTTCAACTCGTTCAGGCGTGCATCCCGCTCAGACACCTGGAGTGCCATGGCTTCAGCCTCGAGGGTTGACGATTTCAGTAGTTCATGTAGATCTTTCTGGTCTTCCTCTTTCATGGCGGCGCGTTCCAGGTCCCGATTCTTGGACTTGATGTCCTTGAAGGCCCGGTGTGCCTCTGAAAGCTTCTTCCTAAGACTGCGCAGTTCCTCGTGCAGCTTGTCAGACGGCGAGTTCTGCGGGGAGTGCAACTCGTATTTGTTCATCAATGCACTATGGAGGTCCTTCTCCAGCTCTGCGACACGCAACTTGAAGTTACGTGCTGAGGTCTTTTGGTCCGCTTCACGCTGGAGAAGAATCTTTTCGCGTTGTCGAGCGTCCTCTAGACTGTGGCGAAGGAGAGAAAGGTCTGCATGTGACTGTTCATTGTCCGCGAGTGGTGGCTGCTGCTCCAGAAGTGCTTCCAGTTCACGGACGCGACGCTCGAGGCGTTGTTTGGAGAGGGTGAGTGCCCGATCCCCACCTTCAGTGCGCAATTTATCCTGAAGACGATCGATTTCAGTTGACAGTCGACCCTCTTCCGCAGTAGCACGTTCGATCTCCGAGCTAAGCTGCTTCTCAAGTGTCTCCTTTGCTTGCACGAGCGCCGATTTGTCATCTCTCAATCTCTTCAGCTCGCTTTCAAGTCGTGCTGTCGACTTCCGGAGGTCAAGCTTCTCACGATCAAACCGGATGGAATCATCTGGATGCCGGGCCCGGTCGAGTTGTGCGTGGAGCTCGTCCCGTTCAGTCTCGAGTTCGTTCACCGATGTTCGGAGGTCATGCAGTTCGATGTGAGCATTGGCAAGCTGATCACGGAGGGTTTGTCTGTCCGCAATTGCCTTGTGCAGTTGATTTTCCACATCAGAAGATCCTTTCTGTAGCCGGCCTTTGGCATATTCTTGCTCATCTGCCAGGCTTGTCTGCAGGACCACAATCTCATCCTCCAAAGCTTGCACTTTGTCTTTGAGCGATTGCTCCTCACGGTGAGATATCCGCAGCTCCTCCTTCGCATTCAAGAGATCGGTTCGTTGCTCATCAATAATGCGTCTCTTCGATGCGAGGTCATCGTCAAGATCCTTGATTTGACGGCCCAAGACGGCTTCTTCTCGCGTGTGGCGCTGCTTCTCGCTGTCGATAGCTTCTTGAAGGTGGATCTCTTTCCCTGAAAGCGTGTGCTCTGCTTCCTGGAGCCTCTCGATGGTTCGCTTGTAGCCGTTTGCCTGCTCTTCTGCTCGATCTTTCTGTGACTGAAGGGTTCGCTTGGTGCTTTCCCAGCGATCGTGCTCAAGCGCAAAGTGGCCTTCTTTGTCCTCGATCTCGTGCTGAAGGGATTCAATCTCATCCTGCAGTCGGTCAACCTCCTCTTTGTGATTCCAGCGGTTCTGTCCCTCGTGATCCTCTACAGCCTGCTGGAGTTCGCGAATTTTCCCCTGCGCGCGGACGAGTTCATGTTGCAACCCGTCCAATTCATCCGTCGATGTTTGGTGGCGAGTCTGTAGGAGCTCCTTATCTTGTTTTGCTTGTTGTATTTCGTTAAGGGCCTCATGGAGCCGTGCAGTCAACTTCTCGCGCTCTTCCTGTGCAAAATCCCGGTCGCGTTTGATGGAGTCAAGGTCGTCCAGCAATTTGCGGGTATCGCCCTTCAACTCCTGTTGGATATTTTGGTGGCGCTCTTCCAGGCTAGTCACAGACCGTGTCTTGCTTTCAACGTCGGCCTTCAGGGAATCGTTTTCTTGTCGGAGGTTGCGCACTTCCTCTTCAAGATTGTCGGCTCTCTCTTCCAGCTGACGACTAAGCCCCTTGGTCGTGAAAGACTTGTTGGACATCTCGTCTTGCAACTCTCTCAGGTCATCTTCGGCGCGTTCCTTCTCCCTTTCTGCCAGTTGTGCCTCCTCAGCTGCCTCCTTGGCTTCTGTTTTGGCTTGGTCGAGGCTGTCCTGAAGTTCTTGCACTTGGTTCTTTGCGCGTTCTAGTTCGGCCTGAAGTTCCGAGACCGCACCGTCCTCATTGTCGGCGTCGCGCAAGTCGTCAAGCTTTTCATCACGCTCTTCGATGGCCCGGTCCTTCTCCCTAAGCATGGCTTCCAGGTCTTCAATTTCGTCTCGAAGCTTGTCGATCTCCTGAGACTGTTGGTCCTTGGCTTGTCGAAGTTCCTCTCGCAGCTCCTTCACATGGTTGTCCCTCGATTCGACCTCTTCTCGTAGCATATCCATCTCGCGCTGAAATGTCTCGTCTGTTTGTTTCCGCCGGGCCTTCTCCCTCATTTCCATGAGCTGCAGACGATAATCCTCGAGGTCGCGCTCTGCTTGCACGAGACTCTTCTTATATCGAGAGATATCTCGTTGCATCGTCAACCGTAGGACTTTGAGCTCGGTGTTTTCTTTTAGTGCCGCGCTGTTGTATTCTGGACCGGCCTTTTCCAGCTGCTCTTCCAAGTAGTGGATCTTCAATTTCAGGTTCCAATTGTCCTTGTCGAGCCTATCAATGATCTGTTACGGTTAGTGCCGGCCGAGAGCGAGGAAAGAGGTTGTAACCCACCCGCTCCTGCTCTTTAAGAGTCATCATATTCTGCCCATCACCCAGTAATCCTATCCCGTCGCGTCCTGGAAGTGCCGGGAGTGGTGTACTTTGCGCGCTGCTACTTACAGCCTGAGGAACTGGCGTGGCATCATCAATTGTCGCGTCTTCCTCGTATATATCAGACATGTCCATGGCAGGTAGGCCCGGCGTGTGGCCGTTGCTCCGGTATCCCTCTCGCATGTAGGCCGGAGTTCTGGGTCCGTCCGTCCCCCGGGCTGTAGATATGTTCTTGAGATAATTGTTCTTGGTCGCGCTCTTCATCAACGGCGTGAACTCGCCCTTGGCTGGCGCTGCAGCGGGTAGATGCCTTAACGCGCTTCTCGTCGACTTGGGGCCTGCGGCGCGTGGAGTGTTGAGTTTGGTGGCCCCGGAGGCGCGTCGCCGGCCATGATCAAATCCCTTTAGAGCGTCATTGTCCTTGGAAGGCGTGTGGAAGGAGTTTTCGACCGAGTCGAGCGCGGACAGATGCGTGCGCCCCGCGCTGCGAAAGCCGTTGGTCAGGTAAGTCGCGTTCCCGTCGATTTCGGTGCGTGGCGTGTCGATGTAGGGGAAGGCCATGGTTCCGAGTAGCAAAGCAGGCAGGATCAACACGCAAGCATCACCGCGAAAGTCGGGGGAGTTGGAGGAAAGAGCGAAATGGCATGGGCGTGTTTGGAGTGTTGATGTCTAGCCTGAATGGGCCTAGCGCGGGAAAGTCACGAGTGGGTCCTGCTCTGCTCTTTTTCTCTGCCGAACAATGAAGTCATGACTTACAATCATCAAACATAAATCATGACCAGCGAGGAGGATCTCGAGTGGTTCAAGTCGACGTTCCGTCCTATCCCCAAGCCAGAGCTGCCGGACGACTCGGTCGAATACTCCATCTATCATCTCCCATCCCCCGCCCCCGCCGTTGTCGATGAAGCTGCCGAGACTCGATCGCGGTTGCTGGAGGTGCAACGCACGGCGGCCGAATTGACCAAGGAGCTGCTCAAGGACTACATATGGCAGCGTGAAGGGTTTCGTCTCGAGATTACCAAGGATGATGGTATGATAGACTTTATTCGTCGGTATTGTTCCCCGCATACTGATAGCTCCGAACATCTAGGCATCACCTCCTTACAAGGACGCACGAATTTTGGCGACTCGATTGAGGATGAATGGGTGGTGGTATACTTTCTCCGCGAACTGAGCAAGCGCCACAAAGATATCTGGGTGAAAGTGGTGGACACCGATGGCCAGTTCCTGCTCATCGAAGCCGCAGGCATGCTCCCGGAATGGCTGGAGCCCGAGGTGGCGGATAACCGGGTGAGTATTTTTTGTCTTTCTGCCATGGACATCTAACTGACAGTTCCATCAGGTCTGGATCCATCAGGGAGAACTCCGGATCATCAAGCCCAAACAGGAATCGAAGAGAAAGACCACCGAAAAACTGTCCCTCACAGAAGCGCGAACAATCATTCAGACTGAACCGGGTCGTTTTCTACGGTCGAATATGATCCAGGAGGAGGCGTTTTACCGACTGCGCAATTACCCCCAGCAAATCGCTGAAAACCTTCACTCCGCCATCGTGACGATCCCGCGCAGGGTGGCATTCCTTCTGCATCAAAAACCAGCATATATATCACCCGCTGTAGAAGCGTTCTATCTCCGCGACCCAATAGCTCTGCGGCCTCTAAGGGCCAAGGCTTCTGATCTCACGTTCGAGCCTAATGACTTGATCACTGCTAGTGTACGCTTCACTCGGGTGGGATACGCACAGCTGAAGAGTCAAGACTTTCCCGTCCCCAGCACATGGCAGGGTAAACTGCCTCCGGCAGAGGACGGAAAGGTATACGAGCGCGCAGAAACGGGAATGAAGCTTGCGTGTGGGTTTGAAATGCTTCTCTACGACCCTAAGAACCAAGACAATGCCGCTGTTCGAGAAATGAAGCTCCTGCTGGAGGATTTGGAGACTGGCGATGAGAAAATGCCTACAGATGAAGATATTGCGAAATGGGATCAGCGAGAAGATGACGAGAAATGGATGGACATCAACTTTGAAGATCTGGACCGAGAACTGAAAGGACGAGGCAAGGACCAAGCGGATAATTCTACTGGCGGCAATTTTGGCGACGCCACCGCCCAAGAAAATCTGCAACGGATTGTGGCCCGCTTTGAAGAATTCTTGAATGACAACTCCGCTGGGTTTGAGGGAGCAGATTTCATCGACGATTTTGCATCAGACTCGGATGCCGAAGTCGAAGATGATGAAGAGCTCAGTGATGATGAGGAGGATAAAGATGCGTCCTTCAATGAAGAAGAGTTTGCACGAATGATGAAAGAAATGATGGGAATGCCCTCCGCGCCAGACTCGATTCGCAAGCGAGTGGAAGAGCTTGACTCGGACAAGGAAGAAGACGACACAGAACAGATCAAGGAGCTATCTCGGCAGATGGAAACCGAGTTGCGAGGCACGGGTGTTCTGAATTTGAACAGACCTCAACAGAAGCTGTCGGAGAGCTCGTCCAAAGGCAAAGCAGCCAAGCCGTCCAACCAGGAAGAAGGGGATGAAGATGAAGACGAAGACGTCAACATTAATCTTGCCCGGAACTTGTTGGAGGCTCTCCAGGGCGAAGGTGGTGCGGCTGGTCCGGCAGCGAATATGCTGTCGATGATGGGCTTGCCCATTCCCAAAGACGATCGCCCTTCTAAAAAGTGATCGACTTCAAACCTAGCTGTTTGTTTACCTCTAGGAAACGGCAGCCGCAGTGCTGCCACTCCATTACAATATCGCTGGTCATGGTTTTGATTCAAAAGGCAAGATGTCTTTACGGATCAGTAGTCACTGAGGAACTTTGCAGGTCATCCAGCCTGCGCCCTTCGCTGCTCTTTGCAGCTAAAAGCGAGGCACTGGGACTATCCTCAGGATAGCTACCTTGCTCAGCTCTTCAGACAGTCCGCTACAAGGTGAAGCCGTCAATAAAAAGCAGCTCGTGGCTGCACATCATTTCCGAGTCCATGGCCACCATATGCCCCATATGCACTAGTGCACTCGGAATTTGTAAGTTAAGAGAGGATTCTTGGCACTGTTCCCTAACCCATAGCTCTGGATTTTCAGTTCGTCTACTGAACATTCATTTCCCTTTCTAGACAAATATCAAAATGACTATTATTGCTAGGGTATTACGTGCACCATTACTCAATAGAGATAGCGAATGATAGTATAGATGGGCGCTGAAGCGAGACGTTCAAAATGCGTCAGAGCGAGTCCTATCTGGCCTCCAACTCACCGTCTCGTCGTTATTGATCGCACAACTTAATTGAATTTACCTTTATCCATTTGGGGTACAAAATCTACTCTATACGCTTTCGCGGCATCCCTCGGGGAGGGAGTTTGGGGTACGATGGTCGGGGATATGCCTTCAATTATTTTTAATACATATATTAATTAATATAAGGTAGACTATAGCTCAGTAGATGGCTGTGACAAAACCCTAAATGATCCTTGATCAGCCACTGACCCTCAGTAAGCCGGACTCCGGCCGCTCGCATGAGCGCGGCGGCGGCTTAAATCGGGAAGCCCTACCCGCCAGAGGAAATCCGCTAGCAAGCAGTATTCATGTCATGTACGATCTGTACAGCTTGACTAAAAAAAATCACGGTTTTGCTACACGGTGAGGCTACACACCATTTCCGAGTCCACCTGTGGCCATTTTCCGGACTGTCTCCGAACCGTGTGCCGTGTTGATGTCGGCAATACCCCCTCGCCGCTCAGTTCGCCGAGGTAGTTGTCGGCAAATATATTCCATTCCTTGTACCATAATCAAAGCCGTTTGTACACCAATCCCAACAATCATGACCATGATCATCAATATAGACTTTCTTACTGGCCCACCGTCATGTTGAGCGCAATTAGAATGGATCTCCACTTCCGAAAAGGCAGGTGCTAGCCTGCCATGAACGACCCGAACCCACCGAGGCTTAGCCCAAGACCCCCAAGCTTCGAGAAAAGTGCTCCGGTGGGCCGGTTTCACGCGTGGCACTTAGCCGCGTCCCCTCCGACTCGGTGGTGCTTCCCTTTCGGTGTGCAACGCCGTTGAATAATGAACCATACTCCAGACGGATTAGTTAGTGAACTACAGTGTAATCTTCTGCAGGGCTAGTAATGTATGTGAAAATAATGCAGACAGACCCTAAATGTGTTTGTAGGTCCACTTATTGTGCCGAGCGACCGAACCGCGATGCGCGATTTTCGTGGAAAAAATAGAAACTGCAGGACAAGCGGAGGCCGTTACCCACGGAACCCAACCGTTGAGCTCTCGTGTGCCACAAATAATCATAGCGGATAGTTACAGTATGTACCGGATGACCACCAGGCAGGGATCAGGGTAGAATCCTCAGCCTCAACGGGCGGGATTCAACCTCCGCCCGCCCGGAAGGAAGAGGAGGCAAGGGCTGGTATGAATCATCAATCATTCATTTCTCCCCCAAACGGGCGCGGAGAGCCGGGATGGTCGGCGTCTCCCCGGCAAATGGCAGCGCCGGGGAGGGATCGCATCGATGTAGATAGGGCAATGATCAGCCGGAGTCCAAAAAGGGGGCGGGCGCAGGATCGAAAGGACGGGCCCAGCAGTCCGGATGGCGGGCAGAGCAAATCGGAGGCCAAGGATTTGCTTCCTGTCTGAAGACGATAGATCCAATGTGATGGCGGTTGTTGTTTGCAGCTCAAGTTACATCTGGACGGGAACGTCTAGGCCTCTCGCGAATTGGTCTGCGTCGGGCCGAGCGAACACGAGAATCAAGAGTTCAGAATGCCGTGTAGGTAGGGAGAGAATGTATATTGTTATTATTATTCTCGTTCAAAAAAATAAAATAATACGTTCTAGAACAGAAACGACTACGTCCTAGGCTCACATACCTAAGTTAGTCCTTCGGCCGGACTCCGGGTGGCAAATCAGCGTTCGCTGACCATCGACAGTTCTTATTACTTAGTTCCGACGGGCTCCACTGCTCGCTGTCTCTCTCTCTCCCTCTCTCTTCCTCTTCTTTTTCCTGCCTTCATTCCTCTATCTTCTCCCCACCACAGGATGTATCGCAGCCTGCCATGGTTGCCGCATCCTAGAGTCTGATCCACCATGGATTTCATTGTAAGCGCCTCTCTTCTCTCTCTCTCCACATGCCCGCATCTAACACCACCACCAGCTCTCCCTCACGCACTTCTGCGAGGTGCATGGGCCCACCTCGATCATTTGCTCGCAGGTCCTCCCCTTCTCCTGTTCACAGTGCCACCGTGACGCGGATCTCTCTCCCGACACCTCCCCGGCCCCCCTCCCACGCCTCCCTTCGCCGCCACGATGAGACCTCCCGTTCTCCCAAGATCGAAGACTACTCTTGCTTCCTGAAAGGCCAGTCGGCCTCGCCCGAAGACCGGGCCACTCGTGCCGGCCGCGCCGATGGCGACGCTTGCGCCAGTTGCAGCCTGTCTCTTCCCGAGGGCGTGAGCAAGCAGCTGCCGCCGGGCGCTCCCGGCACCAAGAACAACACCGGCAGCCCCGTGCTGCGTTCGCGCGAGGTGGTCTACTCCTGCGGCAATAGCCACTCGGACATGGGCGACGATGTGCCCGATCCCCACACCCACTCCTCACCCCCGGATTCGCTTCGTTCTTCCTCGGTTGCATCTGATTCCTCCTGCCACACTCACCTCCTCACCTACCTTTCTCTTCGCGGTCCTCCGAATCCGGCAGACTATGCGCTTCTGCGACGCTCCTCGATTCGCACCCTGAGCTGTGAGCTCCTGCCCCGGGGCCTGTCCTCAGGCCCTCTTTGCTTTGGAGACTCCGTCGCCGGTTACACGATCGCCTACATTTTCCGCCTACCCGACCCCATGGCGCGCGGCAAGCGACGCAGCTATGCCTTGGTCGCGCTCGCTGGCAAGGATGCCGGAAGAGCATTCCGGGCTTGCCCCGTGATCTGGCGCGCCTTTGGCCGTATTGCGTCGGGAATTGTCGGCGCCGCAGAGCGCTTCCAGGAAGACGAGAAGCGTCGCGAAGAACAAAACAGCCCCGGCGACAGCCCGGTTGCTCGGCAGTACACCCCAGTTTCTTCTTTTCTGACGGGTCGTGCTATGGACCTGGCTGGTCAGCCGCGGCGACTAGGCCAGATCCGTGCGCGCAACTTGGCCGAGATAGTCGGCAACGAATACATCTTTGCTGAGATCCACGCGCAATTCGTTGCACTCTTGCAACAGCTGGGCATAATGTTCGGCGGCGTCCCTATTTCCGAGGAACGCTTTGTCTACAGTACCGTGGGCGATGAGAATACTACCACCAACACCCAAGACTCATCGGTAGTTCTGCCCCCGGACCAGTCGAAGCAACCGACTTCGGAATACAACCATGAGAATCTCGACCTTTCGAAACTCGACATTACATCCGGCCCTCAGCCGATCCCCATTGCACCACGTCGATCTGTCGTGGCCTAATTTCTTCGCCTTCCTCGTCTTCTTCCTCTTCCAGATACCCCCTCCCGCCTTTTCTTTTTCTTTGTTTTTTTTTTTGTTCCTTGTGGCTTTTCCATCGCGCGTGGCATAGCGTGAACCATCCACATCATCACATCCGAGTTCCAGGTTTTATTTTTGGTTTCGTGGCATAGACTATGGCGTCTTTTCTCAGACTCGGCATCGGAGTTCAATTAGGGTTCAGCAAGTCTTCTTCGGGTGGGATGGGATGATGGGATGGGCACTCAGGGATCTGTATTTCTATCTATGTATTATTTGGACACGTCACGCAGTATTGATTCCACAGTTTAATGGTCTATTCGTCAAGTCTTATCAGTAAATGATCTATTTGGTGTACTATAGCACGGAGAATTCTGCCGGTTCGGGTTAATCCGCCCCCCGGGCCACAATGGAAAAATCCCACCAAAACCAAGATACGAACAAAGAAGAACATCACCACCACCGACTTCCCCTTCACCTTCCTCCTCCCATCACGCAGTCAAAATGGGTGTCGCCTCCGACAAGTGTGAGACCCGCCCGGCTCACATCGATGCCATCCTCAACGGCCTTGACCGCTACAATCCCGAGACCACCACCGTGTTCCAGGACTACGTCGCGCAGCAGTGCGAGGACCGGACATTCGACTGCTACGCCAACCTGGCCCTGTTGAAGCTGTATGCCCCCTCCCCCTGTTTTTTGCATTTGGTTTTCATTTTCAATGATGAATGTTCATCTTCTTTACACGTTTCCTATTACCTGATATCCATTCTATTAAATGGGGATGTTGAGAAAACACACGAACAACCTCCTGAAACCCACCCTCGCCCAAATATTGCACATTCACCCTAAATAGAATCAAATGGCTGACATTCACTGCCCTCACAACACAAAAGCTACCAATTCAATCCCCACCTGCTCCAACCCGACACAGTGACCAACATCCTCTCCAAAGCCCTAACCGTGTTCCCCTCCCCGGCCTTCTCGCTCTGCCTCGCCCTCCTCCCACCAAGCACGCAGCCCTTCCCCTCAACCACCGAAGCCCAAGCCGCCTCGCAGACGTCCGACTTCGTGGAATCCGTTCAGAAGCTCGCCCGCCTGTCCACCCTCCTCGAGTCCGCCCAGTACGCCCAGTTCTGGGCCACCCTCAACTCGGATGACCTGTACGCGGACCTGACGGCCGACGTGGCCGGTTTCGAGGAGCTGGTCCGTATTCGCATTGCCGTCGAGGTTGGCAAGACCTTCCGGGAGATCAATGTCGAAATCCTGGAGCAGTGGCTTGATGTTCGCTCCCGAGAGGCGCTGCAGAAGTTCGTGGCGGATGTTTGTGGGTGGAAGGTTGATGGTGCTGTTGTCCATGTGCCGACTAATAAGGAAAATGAGGCTCGCAGTGAGGTTAAGAGTGAGCGTGTTGGAGTTGAAATGTTTGGGCGTGTTATTCGCCGGGGGTTTGAGCAGCCGGCTTGATTTGCTGGCTCTATGATATGAGTTTGATGAACCCACGAACGATGATGGATTGATGTCTCACACATCGAGGAGGCTCGCGGTGATTGAGTCGGGTTCTGGCGCATCGGGCGTTTTCTTTCTCTTTTGTCTGTATGCCCTGTTATACTGCAGGTGCTGCTTCTTCTATGTTCTCTTGCAGCTAGACATCTAAAAAGAAGAACTGAAGCCGTGTTCATACATTATTCCTCCGTCCAAATAAATAAATCAAATCAAGTCTCACTATTGATCGTCCGCTAAACACTCATGGTATAAATCTACTTCATCTCCTCCCATTGCACACCTGCCCACTCCTCCCTCCACCCAGTCTGCCCCGGACTCGACGGCGCGCAGTCCTGAGCACACACCCCCAGGATAATAGCTCCCCACTCCATGCCCGCATCCTCCTTCCCCAGCCCAACGCCCTCACGACCCTCCTCCAGCATACTGATAGCATGCGGCACAAGCTGCAACTCAAACACCCGCTCGCTACCACAGTACTCGCAGCGCGGCATATGCGCACCACCACCGACCGTTGTGATGCGCTCATTGCCATTGCCATCAGAGTGAGCATGCAGACAACGACCCACGGCGTCGGTATGCGAGTACAGTAGCGGCGAGCCGCGGAACTCATACCTCAGCACTTGCTCCGGGTTGTGCGCGAGGCGGGTAGAAAATTTCATGAATGCCTTGTCGAGCTCGGACTCGAATGTGTCTTTTAGTTCGGCGCCGCCGCTGCCTTCTTCGTCCATGGGTTCCATGGTCACGTTCTCGGGGATGGCGGGTGTGGATGGCCGCGAGAGGGTCTCGTATTCGGCGTCCAGGTAATAGTGTTTGTATGGTGCTGGGAAGTCGGACTGGGCCGGCCAGGGAGGGGCGGGTCCGTTGGACTCGGGAGTTGGTTTTGGGTTGTTCTGTGGTGCCGGTGGTGCAGGGGATGAAATGCGCACTTTGTCGGCGAATGTCTCAGCCAATGTACTTGCGGCGTTTGTTTTGGTCTTCTCCGTTGCGGGGGCGAGGCCAGGCGTGGGCGTCGCAAATGGATTAGCCGGAGCGTCCACGGTGCTCGATGAGAAAGGGTTCGGGTTGGAGGAGACAGTATTTGTCAAAGAAGTCGCACCAAAAAGGCTAGCTCCGAGATCTGGCTTCGGTTTCGCTTCAGCTTCTGGCGCTGGTGCTGGTGGTTCGTTTTCCTCCGCAGGTTTCTGCTGCGCCCGTTCCAAAGTCACCTTCCGCGTCGCACGAAACGCCCGAATGCTGCCAGGCTTCCGATTGCATGGTTTGCGCGGACATCCAAATATGTACAAGCGGCGTTCGTCATTCGGGAAATGGTCCGGCAAATCGCCGTGCAGCTCGAGGAGGAGCAGCATAGGCTGATTGCAGACGTTGCAGTTGGCGAAGTCGCCTGGTGGCGGGGTTGTGTTGTCGAGCCATGTCTAATTCCAGTTCAATACATATCTTGCTGGACAGGCAATACTTTTGTACAACGTACCGGATGACCGCCCAGATGGCTGATTGTGTCCTCAATCACGTCCTCCGCGGCATACCCGAGCAGCACGCCGGTCTCGGAGAAGTCACCGTCCTCCTCAATGCTGGAGTCGCTGTCGTAGGGATCCATGGTGAGTTGTTTGAAGCAGAAGAAAAAATTGGCGGTGATGAATCCGTTATCGCTTATCGGGGACACTATTCTAGATCGGGGATAGCGCGACTGCCAATGGCATCACTGGTCTTCCGCCCTGGACTTGACGTGCTTGAATTGCAACCAAGTAGTTTCCAGCATGTCTCAATACAGGCACCTCGGTGTGCTATATCTCTGGGCCGTAATTGCAGCTCTTTTCACTCTCAGCAATGCAACTGACCAGCCACCATCAAAACGTGTCGCAGTAATCGGTATGAACCTCACCCATTCATTACTGCCTGTATAGACCAACCACTAATTCACCACCCTAGGCGCGGGTGCCGGCGGTTCGTTCACAGCATACGAGCTGCGCAAGCAAGCAGACGCCGCTGGCATCTCGGTGAACATAACTGTCTTCGAGCGCAATCCCTACATCGGCGGACGCTCGACAACCGTCAATGCATTCAACGATCCAGCTCACCCCATCGAACTAGGCGCCTCGATCTTCGTACAAGTAAATGCTAACCTAGTCAACGCGTCGCGCGACCTGGGCCTGAACATGCGCAGCGCAGATTACGCACGGCCGCGCGAATCCTCCGACAGTATCGGGATCTGGGACGGCGAGTCGTTTGTCTTTGCGTTGAAGGATGCATCGAGTTGGTGGAATATCGCGAAGCTGGTCTGGCGGTATGGGCTTGCGCCGCTGAAGACGCAGAGACTGGTCAAGAAGGTTGTGGGCGCGTTTCTGCGTCTTTATGAAGAGCCGCTGTTTCCATTCGATTCACTTTCGGAGGTTGCGGAGATGGTGGGATTGCTGGATGCTACGTCTACGACGGGAGAGCACTTTCTCGGGGTGAATGGCATTTCGGAGTTGTTTGCGCGGGAAATTATCCAGGCCAGTACGCGCGTTAACTATGGGCAGAACTTGGTCTTGATTCATGGGCTGGAGTCGATGGTTTGCATGGCCACTGATGGAGCTGTTGCGGTTGAGGGGGGAAACTGGCGGATTTTTGATGGCGCGCTGAAGGCTGCCGGGGCTGCGGTGAGGGTCAACACGAGTGTGACTGCGATTCAGCGGGACGACGACAAGGGCATTGTGCAGGTCACCTCCTCCTCGTCAACCAGTGGGATGTCGCACACAGAGCAATTCGACGAAGTGGTCATCGCTGCCCCGTTCCAATATTCTGACATTTCCGTCTCGCCGTCTCTTCCACATCCTCCGGACGAGATCCCGTTCGTGAATTTATATGTGACGCTCTTCGCTTCTCCGCACCGGATATCACCACAGTTCTTTGGCCTTGACGATCCCAACGCTCAAGTCCCAGAAACTATTCTAACGACTCTGCCCAAGGGCAACAGCACTTCCGGCTTTGGCTCTGAAGGGGCCGGACCAGCCGGGTTCTGGAGTATCAGCACTCTGCGCAAAGTGACTCGATCTATCCGCCTCGAAAACGGAGGCGAAGAGCAGCAGGACCATTACGTGTATAAGATTTTCTCACCGGAACGACCAACGGCCGAATTCATAGCCCAGATACTAGGGCTGGAGCGGACTGATTTACAGGACACAATTGCCGATCTTCCCAAGACGGATATCAGCTGGTTCCATGAGAAATTCTGGAACCCCTATCCTCTCCTGTATCCCCGAGTGACTTACGAAGAGCCTCGCTTGGCTCCGCGCGTGTGGTATACCGGTGGGATTGAGAGCTTCATCTCGACTATGGAGACTAGCGCGTTGATGGGGAGGAATGTGGCGACGCTGATGTTTCAGTTGTGGCAGGTGAAGCAGACCAAGACAAATGATGCTGGCGCTAAGCAGACCTGGCAAAAGCCTGAACTTTGAAGATGTCGTGCATGTATCCTCCTGACAGTGTGGACACAGATATATCCTGAAATGAATTCAATTCTTTATATGCACATAAATCATGAACAAGCCCCCCCCCTTTTTTGTTCTATATTATAACCCCCATAAACCAAAAACCCCAAAGTCTACTCCATCTCAATCGTGCCTGGCGGCTTGCTAGTAAAATCATACGCAACACGGCAAACACCCTCCACCTCATTAACGATGCGCGTCGAGACCTTGGTCAGGAACTCGTAGCTGAAGGGGTAAGGCGTAGCAGTCATGAAATCCTTGGTGGAGATAGCGCGGAGGAGGATGATGTTGGCGTAGACGCGCTTGTCACCCATGACACCGACGGCACGCGAGGGATCCAGCGCGGCGTAGGCCTGGCCAATGTCGTCGTACAGGCCGGCTTCGCGGATCATCGAGATGAAAATGTGGTCAGCTTTGCGGGCCATGTCGACTTTTTCTTTGGTAACTTCGCCGAGGACACGGATAGCGAGGCCGGGGCCAGGGAAGGGGTGTCGGCCAACTAGCTCTGGGGAGATGCCGAGCTGGCGACCCAGCTCACGCACCTCATCCTTGAAGAGCTCGCGAAGCGGCTCGATCAGCTTCAGACCGTGGCCAGCCATCAGGCGCTCGGCGATGCCGCCCACGTTGTGGTGGGTTTTGATGGTCTGCGACGGGCCCTTGAACGAGATGCTCTCAATAACATCTGAAATTATATGTCAGTCATGTCCATCGTTAAATCAGATATTAAACTGACCCGGGTACAGCGTTCCCTGCAAGAACCACTCGACTTTGCCAGCATTCTGTGCCTCGACCTTCTTGGCCTCATCTTCAAAGACATCAATGAACTTGCCGCCAATGAACTTGCGCTTCTTCTCAGGGTCGTCAACGCCCTTCAGGCCAGCCAAAAACTCCTCTCCGGCATCAACAACAGTAAGGTTAATGCCCAGCTGCTCTTGCAAAACCTCCTTGACTTTCTCGCACTCGTTCAGACGCATGCAGCCGTTGTCGACAAGGACGGCATGGAAGCGATCACCGATGGCCTCGGTCATGAGCTTGGCAGCCACGGTAGAGTCGACACCACCGCTGACAGCGCCGAGGACCTGGCCCTCGGGACCGACGAGGTTGCGAATCCGCGTGATCTCCTGACCGATGAACTCGGCCATCGACCAGCTCTGCTTGGCACCGCAGATTCCAACGGCGAAGTTCTGGAGAAGACGGCCACCATTCGGGGTGTCTAAAAGAGTGTCAGTAAAAGTATCCTCTATTGGATCACAGGAAAACTCACGAGTAACCTCGGGGTGAAACTGGATGCCATACACAGGCTCCGTCTTGTGCGCAATGGCGGCATACTCCGAGTTCTTAGTGGTACCAATGGTGTGGAATCCCTCAGGCAGATTGCACAGCTTATCACCATGCGACATCCACACGTCCATCGCGTCCTCCAGACCTTCAAACAGCTTATCCACGTGTCCGCCGAAGCGAGTAGCCTTCAGGTCGGCATGGCCGTACTCACGAGCGGTGCCAGCAACGACGTTGTCCGCATGCAGACGGTGAGCAATCTCCTGGAGACCATAGCAGATGCCCAGAATGGGAACACCGAGATCGAAAAAGGCGGGATCGATGTGCGGGGCGTCTTTCTCGTACACGGAGTAGGGACCACCGGAGAGAATGATTCCCTTGGGGCTCCACCCCAAATCGGACAGCTTCTGCGTGCACGGAAGCATCTCGGAGTAGACATTGATCTCGCGCAGACGGCGCGTAATTAGATGAGTGCTATACACGTATTTCGAGTCAGATCTGATCAAAGAAAGAGTCATGGCGGGGCGGATGGTTGGACATACTATTGCGACCCATTGTCCAGCACCAGGATGGTGTCGAAAGTGTTGTGGGGAATAACCTCAGTGGTGGAAGCCATGGTGACTAGCTCTGCTCGAGGACAATGGCCCAGCACGACTGTTCTCAGATGGTCCAGGAAAGAAAGTTGGTTTTCTTATCGCAGGAAAAAAAATGTACGGGCGTCCACGTGACTCGGCGGGGCGTTGCTTATCGCGGATCTATAGCAGAAGATAATCAAGAATGGAAGACTTCGGAGGAGAGCTCAACGATGCTACCATCAGGACCATACATGCATACAAGGGGAGTGGTCGACTGCTGATGGCCCCTATAGTCGACTCACTAGGCCAGGGAGTACGATATATGAAAGAACTCATTGTCAAATATGGGTCTTCTCGAGCTACGACAACCATGTGGCCTTTAGCTTAGGATACACTCGGAAACAACTGACCACTGGGATCACTGCCAATCCGTCTCGCTCTCACTCCCCGGATAGGCCTTCTTCCTCAGCTTCCACAGCGATTTCTCGCGCCGCGCGGTAACTTCGCGCTGCCGGCGACTATTGCCCTCCACCACAGTCATCCAAGGCACGTTGCTAGCGCGCCGAATTCTCCCCCTCAGGAGCGCCAGTGTCTGGTTGTGCTCCTTTTGTGGGTCAATTGTTTCTGTCAGACTATTCTCATTACTTGACCGGGATACGGATTGTTGGTAGCGCCTCTCTGCGGCCCGGGCGGCATGGTATTCTTCGCTGATGGCCCAGTTGGGATTATCCAGCTGTCCGCGGACAAGCACGATATTCTTGCCTTGTTCCATTGACTCGCAAAGCTGCGAAGGTGGGATAGGGGTGGAGAGTTCGATCTTGTGCGATTCGGTATCGATCGAACGGATCAGGGCGAGGCCGAGGCAGTGGCTTGTTTTGGGATCTAGTGGTGTGCAGCTCCCTGATCCGGTGAGTAGGTGTGGGAGATCCTCCCGCGGTGTCCGCACAATGCTGTCGGCTAGAGATGAATCCCCGTGGGTTTGGTCCAGGTCCATTTCTTCGCCCGTCACGGCGTGAGGTGATTCTACTGCCACCACGCCCACAATAGATCCTTCGAGGACTTCTCGCAGCAGATCGGGATGGATCTGAGATCCGAGAACCATAATACCCAATACACCTTGCCGGTCTCCGGCGTAGTCCACGACAATTGGTCTTGTCCGGGAGATAGGCGTGTTCGACCACACCGGGTTGCTTAGACCAGTCGGACAGGACATGTGGAAATAGGACTGGATCTGCATTGACCGTAACTGAGCGCTGGATCGGCTCACAAAGTCGGTCGGCTGAGATGGCAAGATCGTCATGGGCACTCGGGCTTCACGGGCGGCCAGGCCGAGAGGATCCACGACTTCGGATGGGCCTTTCTCGCTCATATAGACCACATCAGACAGACCCAAACACCGGACCAGCCAGGTCGCCACCTCCAGTCCCTGTCCGAAGATCCACCCGGGGTAGTTGATGATCAATGGACATTGGGGGTATCTCGCCAGTAATGAGCGATAATGGTCCATGAGATCCATCGCAGCCAGGGCATAGTGATCAGGATCTTCCTTGGGGGACGTTGCACCAATCAGATGTGCGCGTACCATTTGACCATCCTCGGAGTCATCTAGTGATGGATGTGTGAATGGTGGCCCAAAGAATGGAGAGCGTAGGTGGGCAAGATAGACCTGGCCCATGGGAGCGAACTCTGGCTGTCCCGGGTCAAGGTCCAGAAAAGCGACGCCATCGGTATTTGTGTACCCATTTTCTGTCTCGGGGGCCGGGCTGAGAAGATGATTCAACAAATAGCGGCTAAATGTCGATTTGCCTGACGCTTTGGGGCCGCAGATTAGAACTCGGAGACGCCCCTGACGTTGTGAAAGAGCTTTCATCGAGGTACTCCATTTCTTCTCGAGATGCAGAGGCCGTAGATGTCTTTTCACTGAGTCATCGGCTGACGTGTATAGCTTTCCAGCAGTCAGTCTCGGCATCCAAAGCAATATTGACAAAAGCACTTACCACTGAAAAAGTTCGGCGCGAGTCTTTGAAGGCCGCTTTTAGGGAAAGCTTGTCAGCGGCGGTATTGTTGCCATTCCAGACCTTTTGGTACAGAGGAGAGAGATCCCGAAGGCGAGCAATGCCGCTATGGCAAGACTTGATCTCAACCTCTGCCTCTCCATCAACACCCGAAACGCATTTGATCACCGGTAGAGAATGAGTTGACGGCGCATAAACCCTATGTAAACGCGAAGAAGGGTGTAATTTGGCGCCCATCAAGCTGACAACACCCCGTTTGACCCAGAGGTCATACTGTCCCAGCAAGGCAAGATTCATCTTCTCTTTAATGCGGACGCAAAGGGTGTGGTCGTCGCTGTAGACGATATTGCCCTTGTTCAAACGGCCTCTCGACAATGGAAAGTTCTGCAGCTCGGCGGGGGTATCTGCAGGCGATTCGTAGCCATCAGGCTCACCAGCAGTAGACGGGACATCGTCCTCAGCAATTGCCGTAGTGCCGTCCTCCTCCGGCTCTTCATCCTCGTTTTCGTCGACAACGTGCGCAGGAGGCTGTACTGCTGGTTTCTGAGACCGCGTGCCTCGTGACGGTCCGTCCGAGATCTTCACTGGCGCTTCGGGTTTGCTTGCCGACCTTGTCTGCGTAGTTCGATCTGCTGCGGTCGTCTCTTGTACTTCAAGAGAGCGGCGTGGCTTTTTCGACGGCGGCTCCCCGCCGACCTGGGGTTCTGGTGTCTTCGACGCTGTCACATTCTGCGCCTGTTGTTGCCGAGCTCTGCGCGCCGCGATGGCGCTGAGGGGGGCTGCCGAAAGCATTGGTGTGAGCTGCGGCTGCTGGATTGAATATTAAACAAGAAACGTACCAGCTTGTTGCTTCTCAGCCTTGCGTTTCATGGCGACATGGCAAGTGCAAGTGTAAGTACGTGCAAGTGCGCAGATAAACGATAAGCAGAAAAAAAGCGGAGTGGCCCGTGCGCCCAAAAAAAGGCGGACCGAGTTCACGTCCAACTTCACCACCACTGCTGTATTCCCTGTCGTGTCTCTGAAAAACAAGACTTGACCGGCGACAATTGTCTTATATCATGAGCGCCTCATCCTCGTCTGAGAGCGACAGCAGCTCCAGCCGCTCCAGCTCTCCGGAGCCAGCCAACCAGCAGAAGCAAGCTGTGAAGGCCACCAAGACGGAGTCCACAAACGAAGATGAATCCAGTTCATCGGGATCAGATAGCTCCAGCGACGAGGAGTCAGACAATGGCGGAGCCGTAACCAAATCAAGCGCCCAGCCAGAGACAGAGCCAGCCAACAGGTAAGGATCTTCTGTTCTTTATCTCTGCAGCAATCACTAATTCCTCTCTCTCTCTCTCTCCTCAAGAGTCACAATCTCCGTAGCCCAGCCCTACAAACCACCCACAGGCTTCAAACTAGCGAAGAAACAGCCCCCTCCATCCTCAAAAACATCCTCCCTCCTCTCCAACCTAACCGGCAAACAAGTCTTCCACATCACGGCTCCGTCCTCGCTGCCGCTATCGAAAATAAAAGAAGTCTCCATGGCCATGATCATGAAGGGCGAACCCCTTCTCACACACGAGGGCGTGAACTACGGCATCCCCGCCGAGTCTCTGCTGTCCGAGACCAACGACCCGGAAGGAAAAGCGCTACTTATCTACGACCAAAGCACACAGTCCTACCGCAGTGCTGCGGCACATGTGCCAACATATCACATCCAGGAACTGGTCGGGTCCCTGGGGACGGACAAGGCGACTGATAGGGCAGTTGAGGCCTTGCGCGATGAGAAGAAGCCGCGGAAACGGCAGCCGAAGGGTCTCAAGATGCGGTTTCGACCTATTGGCAGTTTGAGTGGGCCGCCGGAGACGATTGGGGACAGCTCAGAGTCTGAGGCGGAGGAGGAGCCGACATTCAAGGTGCCGTTGGGTGGAGAGCGCGAGGAGCAGCGGAAGAGGAAACATGCTCACGAGGGGGATGCGGCGCCGCGGAAGAAGTCGAAGAAGCATGAGAGGGATGACGAGGGAGGAAAGACGTCGAAGAAGTCACATAAGGATAAAGAGGAGAAGAAGCGGAAAAAGGCTGCCAAGGCATGATGAATTGGCGTTTTTGGTCATTTCTGTATGGTTTCTGTTGTGTCTACAGCTCTAGATCAAATGCAATGTATATCTTCTCGTGAAAAGTACTTGAATTCGCCAGTCCTAGCTCGATTGCGCCTGCTGAGATATAGAAAGACAGACATAGACGACGTGGGCAAGGGCATATAAGCTCCCAAACCATTACAACCCGATCATTAGGAAAGGACATTGAGAGCAGACATTCCCTCTGTAGCCCCTTCACCTTCTCTTTTATCCACGCTAAGACTTATGCCTGAGATTGGCATGGAAGTTCTCATGCACGCTGACGAGCTGTACCCGCTTGCCGTCAGGACCAAGCACGCCACCCTTCTCGCCATCATCGGACGAGCTGCGTTCGGCAACCTCCCACTCCGTACCAGCGGCAACCTCGAGGTTCTTGCCACGGGTCTCCCTGACGAAGAACCAGCAGAAGACTGTGGCTACGATGTCGAAGCCCATGAAGATCAGGAAGGTGTTAGCGCCGACGTTGGTGATCATGTAGGGGCTTGCGAATGAGAAGCAGAATGATGAGGCCCAGTGGGCGAGCATGCTGAGTGCCAGGCCCAGCGCGCGGATCCGGGTCGGGAAGATCTCGGGCACGTAGGCCCAGGGCATTGGACCCCAGGAGCAGTTGTAGATCTGTAGGATAGAAACGTTAGGAAGACGGGTTATGCATGGAAAAAACAGAAACGACTCACCATAATGTCGAGGTAGATCATCGCGACAGTCGCCCGCCCGGCGTTGGTGACTTGTCCATTCACATTAGTTGAGGTATTGTCGACAATCAGCGCCGTGATCAGCATGCAAGCAGACATGAGAGCAGCACCACTGACGAGCGTGACTCGGCGACCGAAGCGCTCCGACAGGACCCAGATAAAGAAGGAGCAGGCAATGACCTTGACGGCACCAAACAGACCGGTCAGTAGCAGGCTCTGCTGGCTTGAGCCGCCGGCCACCAACTTGAAGTATTGCGGGGCAAACACCGCCAGAGCGCTGCTTCCTGTGGCATTCTGGAAGATGAACAGCAGAGGCCCGACCATGAAACGCAGGCGGTTAGCCGGCTCCAGCAATTCCTTGATCGAGAAGCCTTCGCGCTCAGCGCGCTCGGCCTGCAGACCCAGCTGGGTCTCGGTGAACTCCTCGCGTGTCTTCGGGCCATCATCGCCACGGATCCAGGTGATGGACTTCCAGGCATCGTCGGTCCGATTTTGCGTCAGGAGCCACCGGATCGATTCGGGCAGGGTGAAGGAGCCGATCAGCAGGGCGCCGGCAGACACCAGTTGCAACCCGACGGGGATCTGCCACTCGCGCGAGGTGGCAGCGATTGAGAGGTTCGCGGCAACACCCTGTTTTAGCTGGTCAGTATTTTCATGCCAAAAAGAAAGAAGTATCCCACTCACGTAGTTAATCCAGTACGCCAGGAAAACACCCCAGGCGTAGAGCCACTGGTAGAATGAACCACAGCGACCCCGGATTTCCTTGGGGGTCATCTCCGCCGAGTACATGGGGATCACGACACTCTGGGCGCCCATGCCGAGACCGGCGACGACACGGCCGACATACCAGGCGGGCAACGAGCGGGTGTTGATGACCTGGATAATCACGCCGACACAGAAGATGGCTGTGGCGCCAATGATGGTCCATTTGCGGCCAAACTTGTTGGTAATCGGGTAGACACACAGCGCGGCCACGAACGACCCCAGCTGCTCCAACCCCACCGTCAGGGAGGAGACCTTGGACACATGGGCGGCGGAGTAGCGGAAGTCGGCCTGAAAGGACTTGTACGTCAGGATCCCACCAGCAATACCCGAGTCATAGCCCGACAGAAATGACGAGATGAAGACAATGGCGGCCAGATGATAGGCGCGCAGGGTGCCTTTCCGGGTGTTGAGCTCGGGGATTTGAAACAGCCCCATGATGAAGACCGCAAGAGGAGAAAAAGTCGGTTGCAGTCGCTGGATGCAAAGCCAAGGCGGCTGCGGGCATATATGTATCGAGATCGCCTCGCACCATGACAGGGGTCGTCTCGCGTGCTGTTGGACGTAAGGCGCGAGCGTTCAAAGGTCCGAGCACGCCTTCACGCGGCTGGATGGTGCCAGCTAGTTAATGAGGGTGCCGACCATGGTATTGGACAGGTTCCCACGGCTAGCGAGCTGGTCTGACAGGATCGAGAACGCGCGGTCCTTTGATTCGTGCATTTCGAGAGGGGATGGTGCTGCGCTCAGACGGGGGAGCACACGGGGCCAGACCGTGGACGTGGTGAGGCCGGCAATACGACACAGACAAAGAAAGCATGTCGGCTATCGGCTCCAGGAGGGAGATCCCAGAGCACGCAATTTAAATCTATCATTAGAAGGCATTCGGATTATTATCGCGAATGAATAATGAATATGAAGTGGTCAGTCAATTCACTCACTCACTCACTCACTCCCTCCCTCTGGGCCCACAAGGTGAACGGGTGTCAGGAGCACACGCTCTCCCAGATGCTGACCTCAGCAGGTCACATGACCCGCCAACGGCCTCGCATCACATGCGCGGGACCAGCTGATCCTCTGTCTTTTGCGACTAAATATTCATGGGTGGTACTTTTTGTCCTAGTTTGACTCGGCATCAGTGACACGAACTACACCCAGCAATCCTCATGGCGCCAGGGTGGCACTTCTGGCGTTTCGGGGTGTGACATCTCGCTATCGATCGATTGCGTCCGAGCTTCAATGCTTATCGGCGCCCCCCAACCCACCCGCAGCACCCAGCCATCATCATCCGGTGGAATCACTCGTGGAATGACTGACATGCTCGTCATCTGAAGCTCGTGGTGGTTCTAGGGGTTGACGGCGACACCTGACTGACCTGAGCCCATCCTGGTTCGTCATCGCCCTATCAGTCCCGGCCTGTCACCTGCTCGGGGCTTCTCCACAAGCAACCTTGATCGGCATCCCCGTCCCTATCCTATCCTCCTCGCCACCATCCGTGAAGATGAGACCGCTGCTGGACGATGCCAAACGCCGGGTAGACCGACGACTCAGTGCGAGCATGAAGTCCGCCTCCGCTAACCGCGGGGTCGCCGATCGACTTCCGGAACGCTTCAAGGATGGCGACGATGCCCAGGTCGATTTCACCGCTCCGCCACGGAGCATGAGCTCGCGAGATGGGAATGTCCATTATATGCAGCAGTCGCTCTTCTCCATGATTGCGGCAGTCGGATCCCGGGCGGATTTTCATGCGCGGTTCGACGAGTCGAGCGATAGTGATGGAGAAGCTGAGGAACATCCACCGAAAGAGTCGCCGGCCGACCCAGTCTCACCGGAGCGGATACCAGAAGACTCAAAACTGCCGACCGACATCGAAGGGAGAGGACGCCGCCACCGGAGGACCATATCGGATAACAGGCTTCTGCGGAAACAGCCCAAGCTGGGCTCGGAGAACAGAGCAAATGAATCTTCAACACAAAGCGGGTCGTCCGTCGTGATTTCTCCAAGGCGCGCCCGCAGTATGACACCTCGAGCAGCTCCGGTTCTCAGCCGCATGGTCGAAGCCCAGACTCGATTTGACACGACTTCTTCCACGACGACAAGTCCAACTCGTTCCAGCAAGCCTCCCCAAGACCGTCCACCATCCTCCTCGTCAGCACTGTCCACAAGACTAATGCAGATGTTCGGGTTTGACACCCCCGAGAAAGTGCTGGTCGAATACCCTTGCTCGCTATTGCAAAGCATGCTCCTCCAGGGCTACATGTACGTTACCGAGGGACATATCTGTTTCTACGCCTACCTTCCGAAGAAGTCCAACGTCGCTATCAAGTCGGGCTACCTCTCGAAGCGCGGCCGCAAGAACCCGAAATATAATCGCTACTGGTTTGCCCTCAAGGGCGATGTGCTTTCTTATTACGCCGATCCTTCCAACCTTTATTTTCCCAGTGGCCATGTCGATCTCCGATACGGCATCTCCGCCTCCCTCGCAGACCCAAAGGGTAAAAGTGGCGACGTGAAGGACTTTCAGGTCACTACCGATCAACGGACCTATCTTTTTCGAGCGGACAGTCCCATGAGTGCAAAGGAATGGGTGAAAGCTCTGCAGAAAGTTATCTTCCGAACGCATAACGAAGGGGATAGTGTCAAGATCTCATTTCCCATCGCCAACGTGATAGATTTGGAGGAGAGTCCGATGGCCGACTTTGCCGAAACCTTCAAGATTCGGGTTGTCGATAGTGGCGAGACATATGCAATCGACGAGGTATCTCTTTTGCGGTGTCTTTTTGGCACCATATGCTAATCATTTTTCAGTACTTTTTCTCATTCTTCAACTACGGGCAAGATGCTTTCAACTATATTAAGAACTTGGTCAATGATTCTACGAAGAGCGTGCGGGAAGAATCATCGGAGCATCCAGATGCAAGTGCGCGAAAGAGGCTGTCTATAAGTAGTGGGCGATTGGCTGGTCAAAAGCAACATGACTTGCCACGGAGACGTAGCGCAAGTACCGGACAAGAGGAACTTGGGTCTCCGAAGCAGCAGGATTCGTCAGATTCTTTCGTTGCAGCGTGTGCTGAGCCGTCACCAATTTTTCAGTCGATGACGGATACCAATGAGTCTGCGAGCCAAATCTTGAACCGCAGCGATGTTTTTCAATCGCCTACCATGCGCAGCTTGCGGAGGCGTTCTTCTGATGCAGGCGATGCTCTTGTACGACGCTCGGATGAGACAGCTCGTTCCGCGTCCGCACTCGCCAGGTCGACTCCACTGGAGAGAACCGTGGAGAACATCTATCCTGCACCCGCCGATGCTGCTCAACCCGTATCACGTACAGGGCCTCCTTTGAACGACATTGTCAAAGCTGGAGCATATCCACTTCAGCGAGCTGCTGGATTCGCCGAATATCTGAAAAGTCGATCAAAACAGATGAGCAGTCTGTTGGCAACCGAGTCCATGGGCTATTTCGAAAAGGTTTCTGGCATGTGGACCGGCGGTCAGCAGCACTATGGGGAGACCGAAGGAGTGCTAGCCGAAGATCTCAATGTTGATCCCGAGGACAAAGACGGTGGCTTCAACTACGGTGACCGGTTTCGAGCACATTTTGCGCTTCCATCAACCGAACGGCTGCAGGCCACTTATTTTGCGTACCTGCACCGGGTGCTCCCGCTGTATGGCAAGATCTACATTAGTCAGAGGAAGTTATGTTTCCGCAGTCTGATCCCCGGCACTCGGACCAAGATGATCCTCCCATTCAAGGATATCGAGAATGTCGAAAAGGAAAAAGGCTTCCGGTTTGGCTACCACGGTCTTGTTGTCATCATCCGTGGCCACGAGGAGCTCTTCTTCGAGTTCAATGCGGCAGATGCTCGGGACGACTGTGCGGTCACATTGCACCAGAACCTCGAGTCCATTAAGTTCATGGTGGAATCTGGCATGCTGGCGGAAGCGGAGCGAGAAGAAGCCGAGGCAGCCCAAGCTGAGCATCGTATGCTGCAAGAGGCGAGGCTTGATGGTCCTGAGGAGCCTGACAACCGTCCCACGCCCGCAGAGGACTCCTCGGAGATTCATCCCTTCTTTGACGATCCGCGTGCTTCGATTATCAACTTCAAACCCGCAGAGTCGCTGAGGATTACATGTCTGACCATCGGCTCCCGAGGCGACGTGCAGCCGTATATTGCCCTGTGCAAGGGCCTTCTCGCCGAAGGCCATCGGCCCAAGATTGCAACGCACGCCGAGTTTGAGCCCTGGGTCCGGCGACATGGCATCGAATTTGCCCCTGTGGAGGGTGATCCTGCCGAACTCATGCGTATTTGCGTGGAAAACGGCATGTTCACCTACTCCTTCCTGAAGGAAGCATCGCTGAAGTTTAGAGGGTGGATCGATGACCTCTTGTCGTCTGCCTGGACAAGTTGTCAAGACAGCGATCTTCTCATCGAGTCGCCGAGCGCAATGGCAGGGATCCATATCGCGGAGGCACTTCGAATACCTTATTTTCGCGGCTTTACCATGCCCTGGACCAGAACCCGAGCGTATCCTCATGCGTTCGCGGTGCCCGAGCACCGAATGGGCGGCGCATACAACTATATCACGTATGTCATGTTTGACAACATTTTCTGGAAGGCTATTGCAGGTCAAGTCAACCGGTGGCGCAATACCGAGCTGGGGTTGAAGGCTACCAGTCTAGATAAAATGCAGCAGAACAAGATTCCTTTCTTGTATAATTACTCGCCTTCTGTTGTGCCGCCGCCCCTCGACTACCCAGACTGGATCCGGATTACGGGGTATTGGTTCCTGAACGAGGGCTCCACCTGGACGCCACCAACGGAGCTATCAGACTTCATCACGCGTGCTCGGGCCGACGGCAAGAAGATTGTGTATATTGGGTTTGGGTCGATCGTGGTATCAGATCCCTCCGCATTGACACGCACAGTCATCGAGTCAGTCCAGAAGGCAGACGTCCGCTGCATCCTCTCCAAAGGATGGTCAGACCGTCTTGGCGACCCATCCAGCGCAAAGCCCGAGATCTCCTTGCCGCCAGAGATATACCAGATCCAAGCTGCGCCTCACGACTGGCTCTTCTCTCAGATCGACGCGGCCGCCCACCACGGCGGTGCCGGAACGACGGGTGCAAGTCTGCGCGCGGGACTTCCGACTATCATCAAGCCGTTCTTTGGCGACCAGTTCTTTTGCGGATCCCGGGTCGAGGACCTGGGCGTGGGCATCTGCATGAAGAAGCTAAACGTCAGCATCTTCTCCAGGGCGCTCTGGGAGGCTACGCATAGCGAGCGGATGATTGTCAAGGCCCGGAATTTGGGGATCCAGATTCGCAATGTAAGTCCCGCTTTTTTTGATTGAGATATAATTTACTAACTCCTGATATAGGAAGACGGGGTTTCCGTCGCAATCCAAGCTCTCTACCGCGACCTCGAATACGCAAGGACTCTCGCCCGCCAACGCTCCATCGCCTCGTCTACTCCCTTCTCCCCGACCCCGTCAGCCAAGGTCTCCCCAGATGAGGCAGACGACGACCTGGACGATATCGAGGAGTGGACGTTCGTCGGCGACGAGACAGACATCGACATCTCCAAACGCATGCGCGAGCGCGCAGCCTCCGACGCGGAGAAGTTGGGGTCCTCTTAATTATTCTCGTACTGGTTCTTTTCATGCGTGTGCTATTATGATCGCTGCTTACTTATTTATCATGTCTGACGACCTACCTACTTACCTACGACTCTCACGCATCTCATTTTTTGTCTGTTCTCTCGTCATGAGTACCTAATGTTGATGATTGATTGATTGCGCTTGACTACTGCTGGCGCCACGGAGGAAGAAGGGCCGATTGATTTGGTTTATTTGCCAACTGCATTCATTTCCTTTTATAGACCAGCTACAATGAATTCGATTTTTATTTTTTGGTCACAAAATATCAACCTATCCGGCCTGCGGCTTCTCCTCTTTCCCATCCCCCTTATCCTTGCGCCGCTGCACCACATCCCAGTTATACACGCGCGCCGTCGCAACTTCAAGCGTCTAGCCATAAGCATCAGGGTCAGCACCAGCACCAGCACCAATTCAAAAGGGGTTATGGAGAAAACCACCCCCCTCCTGATAGAGAAGATGGTAGAAGAGAAGAAAGGACTCACGGTAATCTGCTCCCTCAAAAACTCCAGATCCTCATCACAATTCGCCAGGCTCTGTTCTGCAGCAGTCAATTTCTCCTGCAGCATGCTCTCCGCCTCGGACAGCGGGTATGCGAGCATGACGTTTGCACCGAGCCAGAGGTAGACTTCATTTGTGTCGGCGGGGGAGATGGTCGCGCGAGCGTAGAGCGTGTCGTTGAGTTCGAAGTTTGTGTCGAGGGGGCCGGGAGCGGATGTCTATACACGCCATTGTCAGTCAATGGTCGACGGATAAAGAGGGAGAAGAGAATGTGTATGGGCAGAGGGAGGGGAAGGGCAAACAAACCTCCTTCCGCAACTTCAAAAACCGCACCATCTCCAACGTCTTCTTGATATCCGGCAATTTCTCTCGTAGCCCCTGGGCCCGCCGCTGCGTGTTCACTTCCATAAACTGGTACTTGGAGATCATCTCCTGGAACGAGCGCAGCGTGGGCTCGACCTCTGCGCGCGAAGCGACGTAGTCGCTCACATTGTCCACGAAGGGGGCGACGGGGATCCCGCGCGGGTTGGTTTGTGTTGTTACCGTGCTGGACAGGGGGTGTCAGTTACCTTTACAACAGCGATACGGGGCGTAGGTACCTTGCGTCGGCCATGGTGGTGGAGGAGGGTTTTTGGGTCGGCGGGAGCGAAAAGATGAGGAATGACGACGTGGGGCAAAAGAAGTCGGAGAAGTCGGAGGATAGATAGCTCGACACTATTATTACTCCACTGCTTTCTTTCCTTCTTTCTTTCTTCCCTCACCACCTAATCACCATCACCACGCCAATGGTCTACCTCGTAACAACGGACCGCATCCTCGCTGCCCTGGAGGCTGTCCCGGCCTCCCAGCGCGCCGAACTAGATCTGCCTGCTTCCCTTACTCGCCACGGTCCCATGGCGCACGAGCAGCTCCTACGCCTGGCGAAACACCTCCAATCCGAAGCTGCAGACACGACTACGCACACCCTACCGGGCCCAACAGCGTTGAGCTCCCTCTTGCGCGGGACAAAGGTCTATGTTCCTCCGCCGCCCAAGAAACCCGAACCAGTTCGTCCCGACATATTTCCCTTCCCACTCTCCCGTCTTCTGCGCGGAACAGCTCCAGCCAAACAGACAGCTGCTGACTACCTACCTACCTAACTTTTACTAACTCACCCCGTTTCCAAATAGAGCCCCGAATACCTCGCCTCCAAAAAACGCCTCCTCGCCCTGCAAGACGAAGCAGCCTACCAGCGCCTCCTGCACCCAACCGGCAACCAAACCCCCGAAGACCCCTACACCTACACGCACCCCTCCGCCATTTCCCAAAACGAAGCCGCACCTCTCTTGGAAGAAGACACCCTGACCCCCTCGCTGGTCGTCAATATCTTTCTCTCCGTGCTGATAACGGGGTTCAGTGTGTACTGGGCTCTATCGAAGTTCGCGAGCGCGGACGTTCTTGCTACGGTGTTCGCGTCATGGATGGGGTTGCAGAGTGAACAGCATCAACAACAATCCTCAGAGTTAAAGTTGCAACGATACGGTGCGTCAGAGCCAGTGCGCGTGCTGGTATCGATATTCGCGGCGTTGGCGGTTGCGGTTGCGGAGGCGTTCTTGTATGCTGCTTATTTGGGGAAGATCCAGAGGGCTAGAGCCCGGGAGAGGGGGATGAAGGAGAGAAAGGTGTTTGTTGGGGCTGTGGGTGCTGATGCTGATACGGACAACAATGATGTCAATCGCGGTGGTGGTGGTGGTGGTGGTGGTGAGGTGAGTCCGAGCTGTAAGAAGGAAGAGGTGGAGATTTGGGGACGAGGCGAGAATGGGGGTGTGAGGCGGAGGGTGAGGGAGAAGTGGCAGAGAGATAAGGAGAAAGAGATAGAAAAAGAGGAGAAGGGGGATCTATGATCATAATCCACGGTATAATTTAGAAAAATACCTTACTTGTTGTATACAAAGAGAGGATAGTAGGTAGAAAGTGCTGTATTCTATACTAAGCTACAGCGCGCTGTCATTAATCTAACGGGTATGCTATGCAAGCTGTCGGTCATTAGTTTTTGGGTCGCTCGTCGAGAAAACAGGATGTCCAGAGCGTGTTGTGCTGATGGTGTGCGTGGTGAGGGTGAGAAATGAGATGCGATGGGCATGTAGGAGCCACTGCCGGAGGTGGTCAATTGTCCCACAGGAGAAGGAGGAAGGGAAAAAAGTGGAAGGGAAAAAAGGCTTTCAAACCCGTTTCTCGAGAAGCAGCTTGCCAGCCGGAGTCTTGCTTGCAAAGCCCTGATCGTGACTAAAGATGCGCTCCCCACGCAGCCATGTCTCGCGAACCATGCCGCGTAGCGTGCGGCCCTGGTAGGGCGAGCATTTATTGCGGAAGAGCATTGTGCTAGGCTCAACGACCCACTCGGCGGCGTCGTCGAAGACGCAGATATCGGCGTCGAAGCCGACTCTCAGATCGCCCTTGTGGTTCTGCAAGCCGACCTGGGCGGCAGTGTTGGCGCAGCAGAGCTTGACGATGTCCTGCAGGGCGTTCCTGGTGTTCTCGTCATCGGGAGCAGAGCTCAGATTCTTGCGCCGGCTGACCTCGCTCCAGAGAATGGGCAGGCCCAGGCCCACGGAGGAGATGCCACCCCAGGCCGAGAAGAAGTTGCCGTTTTCTTCGGTGGAGACGGAGGTTGATGCGCCATTGCAGTGTAGGCCACCCGGGACGTGGGAGGGGAGGAGCTTGAGGTCCGGGGTGCAGGGCGAGTGATCGGATACGACGGTTTGAATGACCCCGTCGCCGGCGTGCTTCTCCAACTCGGTCCAAAGACCGTCTTGGTTTAGCTTGGACCGGATGGGCGGGCAGCACTTGTGCCGAGTGTCGCCGTCGCGGACTTCCTCGGCGGCTAGCGAGAGGTAGTGAAAGCAGGTCTCGGCGGTGACTTTGACGCCGCGGGCTCGCGCTTCCCGAAGGATGGGGATGGCTTCCATGGCCGAGAGATGCACGATGTGCAGCTGCAGGTCTGGGGCGATATGGGCCAGTGTGAGGATCTGTTCGATAGCGCACGTCTCAAAGGAGGATGGCCGCGAGGCCAGGAAAGTGGAGTAGGCTTCCAGGGGGCCGGTGGGTGCCGCTGGCGGCTCAGACTTGTGGTCCACGACGCTGACGCCGGCTGTTGTAGGAGGGACCATCTCGGCGTGGAACATGAGCGTCGTGGGCTCGTCTGCCAGTTCCACCATGGCCTTTTCGATATCCGCTGCGGTCACAGCGGGGAATTCATCCACCTGGTATTAGAGTTAGTATCTGAGGCTTAAGACAATATGTGAGAATACCTACACCACTATCAATCAGAAAACCCTTGAAACCGCGCACGCCCTCTTGGACGAGGGCCTTGAGGTCACCGGAATTGCCCGGGATGATGCCGCCATAGAAGCCGACATCAACCCAGCACTTGCTCTGGGCAGCCTGGATCTTTTCTTTCAGCGCAGCCACCGTGGTGGTGGGTGGGATGGCATTGAGGGGCATGTCAATCACAGTGGTGACGCCGCCAAAGGCAGCGGCCTGAGTGCCGGTGTAGAAACCCTCCCATTCCGTGCGGCCGGGCTCGTTCAGGTGGACATGGGCGTCCACCAGACCCGGCAGCAGGACATGGGGTGAATAGTCGGTGTACGGAGTGCCCGAGGGGAACTCCGTTGCTGGGATGATGGAGTCGAAGACGGCGGTGATCTTGCCGGTAGCGCGGGAGATCACGATGGTCGCGGATGTCAAACGGCCGGAGATGACAGCTCGTGACGAAGCCACCACGGCAATCGAGGGCATGTTAGCAGTCGCCATGGTAGCTTGGGGAGAGTGGCTTGCGGGAGGTGCAGGCCTGTTCCAATATCTCTTTTTCAAAGCGTAGTAGATAGGGAGAGAGGGGAGAGATAAGACAAAGATAACCAGTTATCTGGAAGAAGAAAAAAGAGCAGATAAGGACTGGGCCTGGGGGGATATAAATAAAAAGCCACAGCCGAGTGGGCCTGGGGAATTTTCTTCTTCTCGGTTGTTCACAAGGCAAATCATGATCCACTCGCCGAGAGGGCCAGCTCCGATGTTGCTGCGATTACTCGATCGGTGGCCAGGTCCAGAGCCAGTCAGAGTCTGCCGGGCGGTGCAAGACGATCCTTCGGGTCACGAGCGAATACCCTCACCTGTGCCCGAATCAGACTGCATCCCGTCGTCGTATTAGTAGTAGTTGTAGGTTTGTATTGTTGTGTTGCTCAAACCATACCCCCGTCAGGATAGACATCATGATTGTCACCCGCGGCCGATGGGCAGAATATCTGTGTGAACCGTGGTTGACACACACAAAAAAAAAAGAAAGACACTCTGATCGAGTAATAATTCAGAGCCGTCGGCCACCTCCGGCGGTGCAGCGGACAAGTCCTAATCGCTTATCAGTGGCCGACACTTCCGAACTCTTTTTTTGATTAGGGGTCCTTACTCGATCGAAATTGCCACTTTTTTTTCTTTTCATTTCCCTTACTCGATCGAAACTCGTGTTCGCTAGGTCTGGAAATCTCTTCCGGGCTGTGTAGCCACTATAGTTAGCTAGCCCAAAGGAAGGAAAAGCCCCCTCTTCTCGTCGCCCGCAGTCGGCGGCCTCCGAAAGAGGGGGCTTTGCTGGTATCGAGTAAGCGCGGATTGTGCGAGATGGACACTGGGAAGAAGGATGAAGGAAAAAGTGTGGGGAGGTTGGCAGAAACACAGGGATCGGGTCCGGGTTGACTTGACTTGCCTACGCAAGGCTTGTCTGATTTCTTGTTTCTTGATTGCGCCATGCGCATGGGACCTGATCAGCACCGGCCGCAGATTGCTTATATGCCGCTTAATGCGACTTCAACGGAGCAGCGGAAGACTGTAAATATGGGCGATGCGAGACAAAATAGAAGAACAAGTCAGCGATCAAATCCGTTCTTTTTAGTTAGGGCTTGGAAAACTGCATCTAAATGTCAACACAACCACTTGGGAGAAAAGACCGACCGTCCCGGTGAGATACCTCCAGAAGCCTACGCATCCAGATCCAGCGCCGCCATCTCATCCAGACCTAGCATCGGGGCTCCCAGCTCAACATTCTTCTCCTCCATAATACCCCCCGCCTCGAGGACATGGTCAGCCTCTTCTTCCAGCGCATCCAGCTCCTCCAGCTTCTCGCGCGTAGCATTCTCAATATCACTCGCCAGGATCATCACCTGCTCGGCATAGTTTCGATCTGCATGGGTCAGATCGAGCCAGTTCAGCATATGGCGCCAGGCCATGGGCATGATGCACTCGGCGTTCAGAGCTTCGCCGGACGAATAGCAGTTGCACCCCAGGTCGCGATAGCCAGCAACCCGGTCTCCGACAGGCTTGTCGGACAACACGTAGCCGCGGCAGCGCGAGGATATAAACGCCGCAAACGCGGCCGGGTTGGTCAGGTCGTCTTCTTCCAGGTCGTAGGAGCTGTGCAGCGGTTCGGCGAGACTCATGGCGGAGATGTGTGTACGCCATTTCACCCCTGTTCGCAATCGTCAGCTTTGCTTCCTGAGATCAGGTGCACGCAACGTACAGTTCGCTTTCATGTACTGGAACGCAGCCAGTCCGCCCTCCGACACGCCAATCACGTCAATCCGCGGCTCCGTCCCCTTGCACCAGACACGCGGAGCCAGCACGTGGTCAAAGACGTAGTTAACATGTTCGTGCCAGTCGATGTTGCCGGGGATCTTGTTGCGGTAGCTCATAGTCGGCTGACCCGCACAAGCCGAAGACCGGGGAAGTGACAGCCAGGTCTGCTGCGCGACGGCTCGACCGGAGCTGCAGTGCCAGATCAACTGGCCCGTGTTGGCCAGGACAAAAGCGGTATTTTTGTTAAGTGCAGCACGCGCAAGCCCAACGACGGATCCGGCATCGATCGAGTCAGCCCCGACGGTACGATATGCCCAGATGCCCAAGTCCTGGCTCGGCTCGCCGAAGATGACGATGATGCGAGATGCAGTGGGCAGGTTGTTCGATACCAGGATGGGGACGTGCGCTTCGTGAGGACTCGCTGAGAGAGGCAGGCGCCATGTCTCCAGGCCGAGTTTGTGCAGACGGTCTAGGACAATGCGGCGGATGCATTCTGGTGTACAGAGTGAGTTGAATTCTTCCTGTGCATGCATGGTAAGGTGTTTTGACATACCGTTCATCGCTTCCCTCTGGAGCTCATTCCAGCGCTCATTGCGGTTGATCTTGTACAGGAAGGTTTCCTCTGGGTTGGAGATCATCCGGATCTGATCGTTCTCAGTCACGAAGTATCTGGATGGGGGGATAAGTGGGAAACTTCACAACCTTCATTCAGCAAGCTTACCCCAGTTTCTCCAGATCAGCAGGGAAGACAGGGTCTGCCGGAAGATCACAAAGCCGATAGACGAACATGACTGGTCTGCTGTTGATCAGAAATGGGTGAAGTGGAGGAGGAAGTGGCAGAAGGAAAGAGAGAACGAGGGAAAGAGAAGCAGCGCAAGAGAGAAAGATAAACAGAGAGAAAGAACAAAGGTAGACCAGGCAAACATACTGACAGGCAGCAAAGACAAAGGATCAATATGATATCAAGAAATAAGAAATGGTTTCGATAGATTTTGGATAATATACACGCCTCACTCATGGGCCCGAAAAAATGCTGATGCAGAAACGCCGCGCGCAGACCCAATACTCTCACAATATTCCTTGCCTAAAAACTACCAGCTCGCCTTCTTGACACCAGGCAGCTCGCCCGCCAGTGCTTGCATGCGGAATTGGAACTGTTGAAATCGAAGAATCAGGACACAATTGCACCTTGTCCAGAACAACAGTACTCACTCGGTTAATCCTGAAAGTCCGGAAGACACTCCTTGCTGTTCCCGAGTCGACACACCGGTTCTTCACTTGCGTCGGACGGGTGTAGGGGTGCATCTGCGACAGCTGGAGCTGGGCCTGGGCGCGCGCACGGGCGGGGAGGGAGGTATTGCGGATGATGTAGCGGAGGGCTTGCCTGTTCCGAGTGCAACATGGTCAGAATCATTTCTCTTGATCCCCGGGGCGAGGTAGGCAGGCTGTTGGGTCAATTTAATTCATACCGTTCGGGTTCGGTCTGCTCGATGGCGATGCGCTTGTTGTGGTCTCGAATAACGCGGATGTTCTTGAACCCGCCTAGGTCGAGTTTTGCCGGCCGGAAGAGGGATGCCATTTTTGACATGGTGGTGATGGTGGGGTGGAGGAGGAGTGTGAAGGTGAAGATGAAGATGAGAGATGATGGGCTGGGCGGAGAAATCGGGTTGCCCTGTTGGGTTTAGCGCACAATGCGAATTGCACACTTTGACGGAGCACAACATTTCTGTATAGACAGTCCTGGGACACGAGGCTATGTAGATGTGGCTCGGAAAATGGGAATCGCTCTCTGATCCCTACAAAATACTTGGTGTCCTTGGTGGCATGCCATGTGGTGCGGGATCAAGACAACCAGTGCCAGGAAAGGCATCAAATCAAGATGAATAACCCATCAACTACATCCGAGACAGCTCAATGGGCAGACATCCGGCATCCTGCAGTTCGTATCAGAGATGAACCTACAGCAGCCAAACACAACGCACTACGAACACCCCCAGCAACACCAGCAAGAAACGGTCGAGTAGTGGTACAGCTTGTGTTATTGATCCAAGTCACCCTCCACGGTATACTCTATATGCTTGGACAGAGGGCAAACTGCCCAACAAGATAGACACACAAAGACAAAGGAAAAAAAAGGCGAACCAGCCATCAAGGCCCGAGGCCCCGCACACATCGTCATGGGCTCGATTCGATTCGTACCCACGCTCCCGCCATTCTACACGACACCCACGAGGAGAAATCTAGTGAGAAGAAGGCTTGCTCGCCTTGGCGTTGGGGTTGCGAGGGTCGTTCTTGAACTCGCCGGCTGTTGGGGGAGGAAAGGTCATTAGCCAGATGCTCTCATCTCAATTGCAGTCATGCCATCGGTTTCGCGACAATATCAATCCAACTGGAATGGATTCCACGCAATTGACCGTTGAAATGCAGACGGGGGCACAAGATGCACTCACAGTTCGCCATGGCACCCGCGGCGGAGTTGATGCCGTACAGAACGACGAGGCCTGAATGGGAGAATTCGTCAGAACAGTTATTCCACGAGCACGATCTTGCCTCCAACAAGACAAATTCACTTGGATTTCTCGGGGAAACCCAAGTCATCGGGGAAAATGGGAGTGTGGAGCGTGCGTACCGGCAACGAAGAAGGGAGTCATCGGCTTGGCTGTTCGCGAGTCAGTGTCGTGCCCAGGATCGCGGGAATTGTCGCGGGAGGTGCTTACCGAGAGCGCCAGGGAACTTCTTTCCGAGGAGAGACATGGTGGCAGGTGATGTGGAGGGAATGCGAGATGGGGGGTGAGGAGGAGCAGGAGAAGTGAAGCGTTGGGTTTGCCCGGGTCCGACCGGCGCAACGAATAGTCCGGATCACGTGATACTCCGAGGTATACACCATTGGGTGGTGATGATGATTGATGGATTGATGCCAACTTGCCAGCTAACTTCAATTCTATTGTCCGAGTGTCTACTCAACATAACTCACATTGTTATCGATTTTTGGCCACTTCATGGTAGAAGCTATAGCTCAGATCCAGACCGTGAGACCCCATCAAAGCCTCGTCTGCATCATTAGAGTTGTAGGGCGTCAGCTAGTGGTGGCACCTTTAAGAGACTCTGATCGAAGTCGAAGAGGGTAAAGCTTGAAAATGGGAATAGATGGAGTTGCAAAGTCGATGATCGCACACAGAAGCCATTTGAGACGAGACGAGATTATTATGTTTCATTCAGTAGAGATGCTTCTAATTATTATACAAGTTTCGTGTAGGTTGACAAGTTCACCAAGCAGGACGCCCAGTCAAGTCCCAGTCCATTGCTGCCCAGTCAAACTGATTAAACTGTCCGGGGTCGCCGAAGCCTGTTCCTGCAGAGCTATCTTGCCCTCCTGCACCATACAGTAATCCATGATTACCCAACCCCACCGGCATGGACATCGGCATTGGCATGGGTATGTGCAAATCGTCAATACCAATATCAATATGTTCAATTCCTCCAGCCTGTCTACCCTGCTCCTTTTGCGCCACGACCTCTTGGACATACGATACAATTCGTGGCGGTATCGGCGTTGTCTTGAATGTTGCCGCGCGAGCCTCCCATGCCGGAAGGACCAGTTTGACGAATATATCGTAGATCGGGCTCTCGGCCTTTTCGTGAGTATTAACGCGAGCGTCATAGTTATCACTCATGACTTCCCAGGCCTTGTCTGCAAACTTGGATGAGGGTCGTCGTCTGAGATCTTGGAGAATGTGGATGTATGCTGGCAATGGGAAGTAGAAATGAGCCATCCACAGGAAGCCCTTGGTAAGAGGCGATGCCACTATCTTAGTATCACTTTCGAGCATGGTGAGTGCATAACCAATAGCCTTGTCGCGCTGCGCCGCGGTTTGATCCCCATACGAGTCGGAGTGCTTCCAATAGTGTTCGACAAGAAAGTATTTAGCAATAAAAAGCCGTGTTGACCAGATGGTCATGAAGTGCAGTGGGTTCTCCGGATTGCACAGCTTGAGATATTTGTCTTCGATCATCTTCTGTAGAGTGGCCATCTCACCGTCTTCGGGGGCAGATTCCGATAAGAATGATTTGAAAGACGGGTTGGTAAAGCCAAGGTAGGCCTTGGAATGGCGGACGAACTCGCCAAGCTCACCGCGCACGACGACAAAAAGTGCCTCGCTCGAAATGCCTTGAACTGGCGGCGGCTCTTTTATCCCCGCCCGAAGATCAGAGTCATTCACGTTGCGAGGAATTCTGCAGTCCCAGAGAGGATCCAGAACAATAGTCTTGTGGTCGGCTAGTTCGCCGATTCGACTATCGAAAATCTTGAGCGACCACCAGAGTCTACGCCGCATTTCTGCCTCGAGGACGGTGCATTTGGCAGAGACTGCCTCGCTATGGATTCCTATACGCTGCGCAATACGCATTGCGACGCCCAGCAGAGACGATAAAGATCGAGGATCTGTGCCGGGTCCGATTGAGACCTTTTATACGTGTTAGCAAATACACGCTAAAATCATTTGTTATACGTACCAAGAAGAGATGGAATGCGGTGAGACATTCGCGATCGCCAGTTCGCAAATATCCACAGTTCATGAGCGCTTGCTGACAACCAAACTGGTACCTTGTCAAAAGGTCTTCCTTTGCTGAACCAAAGGTGCCCTGGCATTCGTCCGTAGTGAGGCTCATAACGGCCATGGAATATATGCCGAACATGAGCGACTCCAGGGTCGGGCTTATGTTTGCCATGTTACTCGCAGCTTCGATGAGCCGCGGCTGTAGGCTTGGAGTGTGTGTGACCTTGAGCAATGGGTCGACATTGTTGAGATAGATCTGCCAGAGCCGAAATATTTGTACAGGATCTGGGTGCAGAGTTGACAGCTCGGCAGGCGTCTTACGCGAGCCAAGAAGAAGGTTATCATCTGTAAAGAGCTGATCCCATACCTTCTTGACTCCAACCTCATTCACGTCGCTGGGTAAGCAATCGTCCTCATCTTCTGCATCTGGATGCTGTTTCAATTATTAGCGTTGTATATATAAATAGCCGGTTGAGACACCATCATACAGCTTGTTTGGTCATTGCTTGCCAAAAGTCCCTAATATAAATGTTAACTATGTATTTTGGTATGAAAGGTCGAAGAGCCTCGTACTTGATCTCGTTTACTTCTTCGTGCTTTCCGGATGTTGATGGAGACGACTGGTCCGTCCTTGCGGATCCTGCTTGCTCATCATTTGAACCGAAGTCGACCCCCGCGCCGGGAGCCTCCTTCGACTCGTTCGGGTGAAGAGGCTCAAACTGGACATTATTCTGTCGTAGCAAAAATTCATACTTGCGGATACGCTTCAGTAATTCTCGTTCAGGGAATCTGCGTTTTCGCTGGCGCGGAGCCAACGTTGCAGGCACACATTGCACCCGGAATCTGATGCAATTTGCACATGGGAACTTTCGATCACATTTCACCTTGCGCTGCTGGCAGAGCACACATGCAAGCACTCTTTGCGACTGTGATAATGGACTCGAGGGCGTGGTAGGTGTGCCCTGCTCGGGGCCTGGTGATGCATTTGACATTGCTGCCGTTGAAGAACGAGATGTGCTTCGGGGGCTGGCAGTCCCCGAGCGAGACGAGTCATGTGACCATCTCGGACATTCCTACTGCCCGACCGGCGCAATCTTCGAACTATATTTCAGGCAGAGTCATTTCTGCATGCTATATAACTGTGCCAGCGGGTTTCCTGTGTCGAGTTAAAAAAAAATTCAATCTAGTCATTGAAGTCAGAATTGACACACTTTCTATCTGTCACTCGATTGCTTCCAATCAACTTCAACCATGTCCACTTCTCGGCCAGATATTGCCATTGTTGGAGGTGGTCCTGCTGGATTGACAATTGGCCTTCTGCTCCACAAGAGAGGCATTCCATACACGATATTTGAGCGCCGCCAGAAGCCCACCGACGAAGAACTAGCCAAGCCTTCCGGCATGCTCGATCTCCATGAAGAATCCGGTCTAGCTGCTATCCGTGAGTGCGGGCTATACGACCAATTTCTCACGTTTACTGGTGAGTGCTCCGAGGCAGACAGAGTCTCGGACAGAGATGGCAACATCCTGTATGAGGACAAAGGGGAGATGAGCCATCGCCCCGAGATCTCCCGCCACAACCTCACAAAGCTCCTGGCTTCGCATTTGCCGGTAGATTCGATTCAATGGGGACACAAGCTCCTCTCAGCTTCTCCACAAAGCGACACCAAGCAGACCGTGCTTGACTTTGGTATCCACGGCAAGCATGCTTTCAACCTGGTCATTGGTGCGGACGGTGCCTGGTCCAATGTTCGCAAGATGTTGACAGATGTGAAGCCGCAATACGCAAGCATACAGAGCATTGGCGTGACAGTCCGGAATATCACAACCGAATACCCGCACCTGGCAGAGTTTGTCGGCGATGGCAGTTTCGCTGCGCTCGGTAATCGGCATGGCGTCATGTCTCAACGCGGATCGCAAGACTCGGCCCGCATCTATGTCTTCCTCACGCATGAAGATGAGCAATTCCATATCTCATCAGGAATGGCGGGCCAACCGGCTACATTTGCTAAGGACCGACTCTTGAAGGACGACGCACTGCTTGGCCAATGGGGTCCCATCCTCAAGGAGCTAGTGACTGTCGCATGCGACGAGGAGGCTGCTGACAATCCAGGCACCCCGGTGGAGATTAGGCCGATCTATATGCTTCCCCTTGGTACTTCATGGGAGCACAATCCCAGCGCGACGGTCATTGGTGATGCAGCGCATTTGATGTGTCCATGGGCTGGCGAGGGAGTTAATGTGGCCATGTGGGACTCGCTGTTGCTCTCTCATGCAATTATCAAAGCATATGAGGTTTCCGGACAAGGAAATACTTCCTTCCAAAGCGCACTGGCTCCAGCGATGAAGGATTTCGAGGTGGAGATGGTGGCTCGCGCAAAGGGGTTCTCAGAGGAAGCCGTTCAGAACGGGAAGATGTTATTTGGGGAGGATGGTGCGAAGGCTTTCGCCGGATTCTTTCTCAGCATGCAGCAACGTATTAAGAATGCACAGCGATAGACGATCGCCTGAGCCCGAGGATGGAAATTTATATGATTCTGTTTTAATGTATAAAGCTAGTTTAGATAGATATCCCACTCCGAACTTCACATCAATTGCATTCTGCTCTATTGTAACTACTGCCTGAATACTAGCATTTAGCTATATTCATGTAATACAACACCAGACCAGCCATTTATTCTTGCCCGTTGGCCAGAAGTGTACGTCCACCATCGACACAGAGAGACACGCCATCCACATATGCCTGCTGCTTGTTAGTTTCAGAATTAGATGTTTGTCCTTGAAGTTACCTTACCCCTGCTCTGCTAGCGAGATATAGAATTGTTCCAGCTATGTCCTCGGAGTTTCCTGCACGTTTTGCTGGCACTTTATCAAAGAGTGCGCCGAAGATATTGCCTTCTGCGCCGACTGGATTCATGTTGCTCGGTACAACTTCAATTACAGGCATGTACGTATTAGTAAATCATAAGCTGGATAAAACAGGTAGGGGTCAAACTCACATCCGGGATTGATGCCCACGACTCGTACATAAAACCGGTGATACTTGGCAGCCAACAACTTCACAAGATGATCGGTTGCAGCCTTGCTGGTCGCGTAGCTGGTCAAATCCACATTCGTCGCATTATGCATACTTGCACAAGAGCTGGTAATGATAACCACCCCTCTACCTTCGTCACGACCACGGTTTCCATTCTCCAAGGTCTGCTCTGCGGCTGCTGTCAGAAGAGGAAGAAACGCGACACTGAGATAGTAGTGGGCAGTCGTGTTGACTCGAAATGTATCCTCCCAGTCTGACTGATAGATTGACCACATGGAGTTTTGTAGTTCGGTAAGTGGTGCAGTTAGAACGTTGCACTGCACAGGTGGATCTCGGCGTATGCCAGCATTGGAGATGAGTATATCCAACTTTTGTACCCGGAGGGATATTGTCTGGGCGAGTTCATCGATTGCATCTTTGGAGGCCAAATCACAGGCAATCCTGGAGTATTTAAAATGTTAGTTTATAGGATAATAGAGGATTTACAATTGCGTACCCTTCCGCGCTTCCTCCAGTCTCTTGTCCCAAAACGTTCAGTTGCTTCACAATTTCGTCGATTGGGTCAGTTTGCAATGCCACAAGGTAGACCTTTGCCCCATTAGTCACAAGCCCCTAGAATAAAGATAATTTTTAATAATGCTCGCAACTGCATTGATTTACGCCGACTAACGTTGCAAATCATCAGCCCTAATCCACTGCTCCCGCCAGTCACTAGTGCGACACGGCCCTTGACGTTGAACAAATTCAATGCACTCAGGGACGACATGTTATGATTGTGTTTCGAAAATGTATTATTAGTAGCATTTAAATACTTCCGCGAATCGAACTCGCAGTATTTATGATGTTGAAAAGGTTAACGTGGGGTCGTGCAGGTGATTCTTGCTCCTATCGGCGGCCGTGTCGGCCGCTCCGACAGTATCGCTTGATGCGATTCGCATTCTCTATTGGGTCTCTAAAAAGGAACGGGGGTGGATAGATGGCTTGATTACTGATTGAAGAAAGAGAAAGAGATCAGCTATCCAAGGCAGCTAAACTATAAAGTTGACATGGCTAGGAAGCATGCTAAACAGTCTCAAGTGCTCAAGATATATTACTATACAAATATCCGTCTAGCGACACATGGATTTGGATATTTTAATGAGTCAATAACGATAACTAGATCAATTCATAGAGAATGGACGGTTTTTTTGAACCAGACTGAATGACACGAAATACATCGGATATATATATTTAAAGTATGCGAGCAAGTATGTTGACTTTCTACTCCTTATAGTGCTCTTTGGTCCGGATCTCAGCAGTATCCAAGCACTCGCGGGTCATCGCGCTATCCCTCGGAATAAGCTTCACCTCAAAGTCTCTCGGAATGGCGACCAAAGCCGTTTTGAACTTGTTGTAATCCACGTAATCCGTATTTGGTGGCTGTTCCTTACTAGCCACAATTTTATAGGAGCAGATTAGACGGACAATGGCAGCATATAGGAGCCTCGAGGCAATGAACTGGCCCGAGCAGGCACGCGATCCAGCGCCGAAACTTAGATGTGGAAGACCCTTTGCTTCTGCTTCAACTGGAGGGTTGATGGACTCAAGCCACCGTTCAGGATTGAATTTTCCTCCATCGGGTCCAAAGTGATCAATATCTATTCCCAACACTGGTATTAGTATGAGTTTTCTGAAAAGAAATAACGGATTATACAAGCAGTGTCTGGAAGACGAAATACATACCGTGATTGCCTGCCTGCGCGTTGATGAGAATCATCGTCTTCGGGGGAATGATGGTACCATTCCAGTTTACTTCCGTCACGGTTTTCCGGGGCAGACTCATGGCGCTGACAGTATAGTATCGACCGGCCTCTTTGATGATTGCGTTCACGTATGGCACCTTTTCTTCATGGATACAGCCCAGCCACGCTTCACGAGCATCTGAGTAGTATCTCATAATGTCCTTATAAGCACGGTCCTGCCATATCTGACCTTCAGGCGTTGAAAGAGACCCAATGGCCGAGGTCAAGGTGCCAGGAATAGTCTCAAAACCACCAGAAACCAGCGAAAGGCAAATAGAAGACACCTCCACCCCAGAAAGCTTTGTCTCCTCATCTTTGAGAATGGCGGCGGAGATACACGGCTTATCCGTACCTTTCTTGATCATTTCTCGCACTTTGTCAAGTAGGAGGTTCAAGTATGCATCCCGGCGTTCTCGTAACTCTTTTGACCGAGCATTCTTCTCATTGTTTGGCATATAACGAAGAAGAGGAACATAATCTTGCAGATTCTCGGACGCACTGCGCAGCAGAGATATGGCCGATCCGACATGCAGAATCTCGCGGAGAAGGTCGTCGTAGACTTCATCCATGCGAATACCGTAGCAGAGCGTCAGTGTTGTGTTGAGCGCAAACCGTTGAATGTAAGGTCGGACGTTGAGCATGACTTTTCCATCCTTGCTGTCTCGGAAGATGTCACGGACAATACAATAACTCTCCAAGTCGAACATGGGATGGTAATTTCGAAGGGCAGGGCGTCCCAAAGCTGTACCTGCTGCTTTGCGCTTTTTTTTGCACGAATCATCCCATGGTGATGAACCAATTGTAAACCCCTGAGTGCTGCTGATGACTCCGTGGAAGGTGTACAGCTTCGGCCTATCGATGATCGCATTTTGATGGCCGAGCAGTACTTTGCGACAATCTTCAAAGGAGTTGAATACCACAGCTCGAGTATTGCCGAGTTTTATCTGAAAGACTGAGTGTCCATACTTCCGCCACCAGCCCTCACACACGCTGGCGTGATCGTCGCCAAGTTTGAGAAGATGGCCGAAGACGGGCACGGCACCCGGGATTTCGGGCAATCCCTTGATGTGGGGTATATCGGTCGCCAATGTAAACTTGATTTGGCATGTTAGATCCGTATTCAGTTGATAACTTTTATTTTTGCACTCACAGCATAGATCAGATACCCAACCAGTGCTACTATCGCGAGGGAGTAGTAGCTTTTCGGCACGACACCCAACAACGCTGTCCATGTTTCGTCGAATTTTATTTGATCCAACATTTTTGCTAGTTGCTGGGAGTTGGGACTTTCCTTGACCTGGCTGTGAATGGAATATGTATACCTGTCAGGAATGGTTGGGCATGGGGCTTAAGTAGTGGTCCAAGGCGGATGCGTCGCACAGAACGGCCACGTCGGACACTATCAGGGATCCGAATAAGACTTCCCGACGTTTATTGAAGCTAAGGACTCCATATAACACATATGGTGAGCTTTACCTGCCCGTCTGGGAACAAGAGCACTGACTGCCGAGCTGAGCGACTGAGGGGCTTTGTCGGACAGTCCGACAGGCGATAAACCAGACGTCATCGACCTATCACGCGATAGGACCCTCACTATATTTCTGACAAATGAGAGAGGTAAATTCTATCAACAATTCTAATAGGAATTTCATTCGGCCAGTCACTTTGATGCTCGACGGACAGCTGAGATCTTGTAAGCGAATGCTCTGGTCTACATGCCGCAAGACTCCGTATATCAGAAGGGTAAAAATAGTTTTTCTAAATCAACTACAAGGTGGAAAAAGTCATACATGAGATATCAAAATACCACTGTTAAGCTCCATCCAGAAAGCTCGTGATCTTGTCGTCCATCCACTTATTGTCCTCCGGGTTAATACCGCCTCCTGCCATGTGACCCCAAATTGATGGAATCACGGCCAGCTCGGCGTTCGGCAAAAATGAAACCTCCTTTTCGTTTGCCTCCCATCTAAAATATTGGTCCGTTCGACTTGGAATTAGCAAGATGCGTGTTGTCAAACGCTCGAGGGCTTCGCGAATAGTAGTAATTTCGCCGTGGATACTACTAATATCGCCTCGCTGCCACATTCCTAGCATGACAAGCAGATCGTCTGCATGCCAGTCCTCGTAGCCTTTTGCACCATTGTCCGCCCACTCATCCAATGACTTAGAGCCTAATTTCTCGAACATGCGCTCTTCAAACCATTCGGCACTCGCCAACCACGCGGAGTATGCTCGTCCGAATGCATGCAGCCCGCGAATGGGTGTCTTGTTTTGTTGTTTAAATTTGCCGTCATCATAATCGATAGAATTGAGTAGCGCAGCTTTGGGACCCTCGAGGAACTGATAGTTGTGCAAGCTGGTCTTGGCCGAAGAGCAAATTATTACCGCATTGCGAACGATCTCCGGGTACATTGCCGACCAGTGATATGCACATTGCCCACCCATTGAAAATCCCACTACCACATCCAAAGCAGAGATATTCAAGTGCTCTGTAACGAGTCTCTGTTGAGCTCGCACACAATCTTGGTAGTCAAGGAGCGAAGGGAAATCGGGCGTGTTTGATGGACTGGATGATTCACCGTTCCCGAATAATGCCACCACGATAACTCTATAGTCTTTCAAAGCTCCCTCGTTGAAGGACCAAGTGCTGTCGATTCTCCCGCGAAAGCAAGTTGAAACCAAAGCTGTCTTCTTGCCATTGGGGTTGAACTCGCGATAGGCAAGAACGACGTCCGGTAGGACGGTCCCATCTTGAAACGAGAAAGGTCCCAGTTGATAGGACTGCATTTTCGTACCACTGATGGCGAGGCTAAGTGGAAATCTTGGTGTTATGGGCAGGGAATAAAAGAGGACGAATTGTCAAGAATAATGTTCTCATACAGCATTCTGGCCCCCACGTACCCCCACAGACACTCATTTTTTTTTCACGTTGATAGTGATTTATATTTAGTTACTTTGCATTAGTAATGCTCGCCCCGTAAAATGTATTTGACAGTGTAGATAACGTTTTTCACTAGCCAATCGTGTACCCAGGCGAACCGCGCAGCACAAAACACATAGTAAACATGCTAAAACGAATGCAGAAAGTTGCGCGGGGAGTCTGACATCGTAGACATCCCCACTCCCTGCAATCCATTGTTCCCCGAACAATATTACCTCCAGTGTCTAGTAGGACTATTCTCACATCTCAACAAGAAATTACACTTCAAAAATGGCTGTTGCCTTGATCTCCACCAAAAACCGCGGATCCGGCAGCTCTCGAACCCCAACCGTCGCGCGTGTCGGAGCACTGGCACGGTCTGACCAGATTTTGTTCCATTCCTCATTCATACCGGCATAGTGCTCCTTCATGTCCAGGACATAAACCGTCGCGTCCACAATATTGTACAGATCCGCCTTTCCATTAGAGGCTCCCTTGATGATGCTCTCGATTCGACGTAGGACAGCGGCTGTTTGTTCTCGAACATCCGCCTTAAAGGTGCCGTCTGCATTTTGAGTGACACCTTCATATGTTCCGTCGGGTTTCACCGCAGCAATTCCAGAAACATATATAGTATGGTTTGCGGATGGTGGCACCACGCGTGCATGGGCGTATCGAGTAGCACCGGATGGCCGCTCAGGGTCCAAGAGGAATGACTGTGAGTTGGAAGGCATGGCAAAGCTTTCAAGCTAATCACAGTAGATTGACCACAATGAAGAAAATTTGTCGCGAACAATGTAACATTGGTGGTGGGCTCTTCTTTTTATGACCTATTCACACCTATCACATACTGGAAGATGTGCTGCGGTAGGCCCGATGTTGAATTCACCGGTGGCGGCATACCCGAACGTACCCCAATTTTTATGGTGATCTGTATGTAATTCAAAGGGAGAGAGGGCCGTGCTTGGCTTCCCCGCGTACTTTGCCCTAATTTCTCCGACGTCAGAATGTACATTGTGAACCAAATGGGCACCGGGCAAAATCAATGGAGTCAGCATCATGTTCTCTCCAAAGACGTACGTAATACTATCAAAGAGAGAACTATCTCGGCAAGGAGAACAATCTACTAGGCTTATCTGGAATATTTCCCGTGATAAGCCCGGCGATAACGGCTGCTTCAGGAGCCAAAGATGTCTACTGACAACCCCGCATTATTGGATCGACTCCGCTTCTAATCTGAAAAGGGCGAGCCTGCCTTTCGACACACTACCTAACCATGAAGATGGCATCTGCAAGAGCAGAGAATTCCTGCAAACGATGTCATCGCAGGAAAAAGCGGTGCGACAAAACCCTACCCCAGTGTGAGGCATGTCAACGCGCCAAGGTGTCGTGTAGCTTCCTGGACGATGAAGCTCAAGTGGCGGCCTATCCGATCGCGTATGAAATCTATCAGCTACTTTCGTTGTTGATCAAACGCCCTCTGACACGCTAATAGATACGTACGGGGGCTAGAGCTCCGTGTTAAAGAACTAGAGCAACAGCTTTCATCGCTACTCACACCGTCAAATGAGCCAGCAAATTCTTCATGTCTCTGGAACGATGTCGATATTACACTGCAAGGCTGTTCCTGGGATTCAGAGAACCAATCTATTTACACCACCCAACAGCCGCATGTTTCAGATCCCGTGGAAGTCCTGAACGCTATTCCAGGTTCTTCACCGAATGGCGGTACATCTGGCCCAAGAAGAGACAGTCTAGTCGAGGAACTTCGAATTTTGTCTTTGGAGGCAGCTGCGGAGCGATATTTAGGCCCTTCCTCGGGTATCAATCTGGCCAAACTTACACAGGCCGTTCTCCTTCAACTGTCGCCAGACCAAGAGGTTTTCGTCTTTGAAGATGGGATCAACAACAACCAGCAACAGAGTTCGGTGCCCGACTCTGGTCGTTCCCTAGAACTAGACCCTGTGTTTGGTGATATGGGATTCTCATTGACTTCACCTCTCCCGCTGAATGCGTTGATCGGCAACCAGACTATTGAATCCTACGACGATTCCATAAATCTTGCAATGCTGGACGCGTCGCATATCAATGATATTCTGGAGTTTTACTTTGCTCATTCCCATACTCTCTACCCAATCATAAAGCAAAAGGAATTCACATCTGTGCTATGGAGAGTGTATGCTGATCCATTGGATCCGCAAGCCCAGTCACCCCTGTGGCAGTTCCGGATATGGATAGTCCTAGCAATAGGATCAACCAGCTATTACTCAGTGTCATTGATGGATGAATCCGAATCTGTGCAATTTTTCAACAAAGCCATGACCTATTTCGAAGAAGCGATGGGATGTGGAGATTTGGTGAGTTCTGCTTCTCACTTGGATTCCAAGGCTCTAATAGATATACTCTTCGACAGGCTGGGCTTGAGGTTTTGACATTACAGGTTTCGTACTCATTCTTTAACAAGATTGGTCCTAGTGAGTCATCATTTATCTATCTCTTGAAGATTCAGCCTGATCATAGCTAGATACCTGGTTCTTGGTGGGAGTTGCGGCTCGCATGGCAACAGGCATGGGGTTGCACAGCGCTGAGGTGTATCAGTCCCTACCAGTAGCTGTAGCTGAGCATCAGAAACGTCTTTTTTTCTCACTTTATATGATGGATAGGTGAGTGAAAAATGAATAATTATTTCCAGGCAATTCTGACTATCAATATGCGTGCAGAGTAGTTTCTTTGGCTTTGGGTCGCCCATTCGCCATACAGGACGATGATATCAGTGTCCAGGTAAGGTCTAAATGCTCCTATATAGGTCTAAGGTAGCTCATATACCACAGCCTTTCGCGGACGTCGATGATGAAAACATCAATCCGAACGACATGATGCCTTCAGGCTCACTGGAACCCTCCGCCATGGCCGTTCCCCTTCACATTCTTGCTCTTCGACAAATAGCAAGCGACATTGGAAGCCAAGTTCACTCTTCAAGATACAACCACCATAAAACACCGCAGCAAAAGGAAGAGATCATTCAATCACTTCACAAACGCCTGGTTGAGTGGAGACGCAGCATGCCTTTCCCACTGCCGGACTTACGGTCTACAGTGCCTCATTTATGTTCCAGCTGGTTCGACTTTAATTACTACATTCATGTTCTCTCGCTTTACCGTCCCTCGCCTATTTTACCAACGTTGGACTCTGCCAAATTAAAAATTCTCGCCGAGGCTTCCGGAATGGCTATTCAGCAAGCGATTAATCTTCATCGACAACGCCGATTTGCTTACAATTGGCTCAACCTTGTTTCGGTCTTTAATTCCGTTCTTTCACTTATGTATACCACCACTACTCAGCTGGATAGTTTATCGCCTATTCCAGATTGTCCCAAGGTTCTAGCCAATTTTGAGCTGGCCATTGAGCTGTTGGAAACATTTGAGAAGAAGTTCCCCTCGGCTACAAAAATTCAAGGCATGGTGCAAACTGTCTCGAAGAAGTTGAGATTGTACACTATTCCTTCGGATAGCTTTTGATTTTCTCCTAAAAAGGAAGGTGGATCAGTACCCAGTGGCCAAAGTGAAGTACCTTGAGAATGCAAATCTATCTAAACCAAACATGCTAGATAAGTCCTGAATGGGTTATTTACTGAAAGGTTGGAGCTTTTTCCAAAGTCAACTTACTACGAAGAAGCAAGTATCGGTTAGCCAATTAAAACGCGTGCTGCCGAATCATGTCGGACAGTCCGATATACCATGCTCCCATTTTACGCTCACAGTAGCAAGATGACTTAAGATCCAGAAAAATTCGCTTCGGCGAGCTGCAGAAATTTTCCTATCATGTCTCTCACCCCAAAATTCAGGGTTATTGCACTACCAAATCATGACGGCAAAGGAGTCCAATTCCACCAAAGTCCATGCCTCAGATAGTAACATATACTATCCGGAAGGAGGTTTGAGGGCATGGAGTGTTGTACTCGGAAGCTGGATGGCCTGCTTTGGATCCATGGGCCTCATGAACAGCCTGGGTATATTCCAGGCCTATCTTGAAGAGCATCAACTACAGTCCCATTCCTCAGGAGCCGTTGGGTGGATATTCGGGCTTTATTCGTTCTTCACATTTTTCTGCGGCATCCAAGTCGGACCAATATTTGATGCCAGAGGCCCGCGAGCCCTGATAATCTGTGGGGGTACTGGCACGGTCCTCTTTTTGGTATTACTGGGATTTTGTACTGTCTACTGGCATTTCATGGTTGTTTTCGGCATTCTTGGTGGGATTAGTCTATCTCTCATCTTCAGCCCCTCGATTTCAATCGTTGCCCATTATTTTCACAGATGGAGAGGCTTGGCGACTGGAGTCGCCTCCTCGGGATCCTCATTCGGAGGCGTTGTGTTCCCACTTCTCTTTGAATCCCTAGTCTCTCGTGTCGGATTTGCATGGACAACCCGTGCTATTGCTCTAGTTGACCTTGTCGTCTTTGCTCTTGCCTGGATTCTGATTCGGCCACGGTTCCATCCAAAGAAGAATATCGGAGCCATCCTGCCTGACCTTTCAATGTTCCTCAAAGCAGATCTCATGCTCGCTAGTATGGGCATTTTTTTCATGGAATGGGGGTTGTTCGCACCGGTTACCTATTTAACTTCTTATGCCCTCTCTCACGGAATGTCTTACCAGTTCGCATTTATGCTTCTCTCGTTGGTCAACGCCGGTGCAATCCTTGGTAGATGGATCCCAGGGTATTGCGCCGATCGCATAGGGAGATTTAATACGTTTATCATTACCATCTTCATGTGTCTTCTCTGCAATGCGTGTCTGTGGCTGCTGGCGGGCTCTAGCAAAGCTGTCCTTACTCTATTTGCTCTCTTATTTGGATTCTCTAGTGGGAGCAATGTGAGCTTGGCTCCTGTCTGTGTTGGCCAACTTTGCAAGTTGGAGTCATATGGTCGATACTATGCCACAGCCTATGTGATTGTTAGCTTGAGGTGCGTCATGACAACACCCTGATGGTGAAAAATCATTAACACAGGATAGTACTTTGACAGGAATTCCTATAGCTGGAGAAATTCTCATGCGCTGCAATGGAGAATATTGGGGTCTAATTGTGTTCACAATAGCCAGCTACGCAGCAAGTCTGATTTGTCTCGCAGCAACAAAAGGATTTTGCTGTGGCTGGATGCAGGTCACGAAAGTTTTCTAGAAAAGACTCCATCAAAAACCCCGTTTGTATATGGGGGGAAATAGAGGACGTACAGAATGTCACAGTCTTTGTGCGACCAGTAGATGACTACCTCCATTTTGAAAAGCGATCGATGACAACCACGTCGAACTTGGGAAGTGCCGGTGAATCTGTGACGCCGGGGCTATGTCGGAAAGCCTATACGTGGACGCGAAAACATAAAATGCTCTGCACTTGCGGCAGTTGATCAGGCTTACTGAGGCGACTTCATCCACAAAGGGAGATTGATAACAACTTCTTTGAACTCGGCAATTGCCAGCGAACAATGCGGTGCTAGACTTTCTAGGAATAAAGATCGGGTCGGATAGGCCGAAAGACGATTCGTTGATTAGGGTTGACTGGTCTAAATGTTTGCGGGGCCTCCGACGAACAATCGTTTGTTGCTTATCTGTGTTGCGTCAACCGGAGTGATAACAGTTTGTATGACACGGGCGGCCTATATATCCCTCGACTTAGTAGCACACACGCTCGCTATGCAAAATCACCTTGCATCTCAGTGATATACAACCGCTAGCCATGGCCCAGACGAAAGAAGATGATGTATTCGGTGTCTCAACGGACGAGGATCTTACCCTTGAGCATCTGGGGTACCAACAAGGTAGGACCGCAGTGATCGTGATTTTGATAAGAGTGTATTCATTCGTCTACAGAATTTCGACGCTCGTATAGTTTGTTTGATATGGTAGGGTTCAGCTTCAGCATCGTTACCTGGTAAGAAACACTCTTGAGCGGAAACTGAAGGAGCAAATCATTCCTAATGGACATTAGTTGGACTGCACTGAGTGGCGTTTTTATCGTCGGCGTGGAAGCCGGCGGCCCACCCGTTATGATCTTTGGCTGGGTCGGAGTCTGTGTATTTACGTTACTTATTGGATTGGCCATGGCCGAAATGTGTTCACGCTGGCCGGTGGCAGGAGGTCAGTACTCCTGGGTGGCCATGCTGGCTCCCCCACGAGTGTCTCGGCAGCTTTCCTATATAACAGGATGGTACATGCTCACAGGTGTGTATTCCGGAATACGTTCGAAGCGGATGAAATTATGCTAAGCTCCCTGTTAGGAATACTTGCAATGGGCGCAGTGAACAACTCCTTCGCATCCAACTACATCTTGGGCCAGGCCAATCTGGTTTTCCCATCTTTCATCATTGAGCGATGGCACACTGTCTTAGTTGCTTGGGCTGTCGGGATTCTCGCTCTAAGTGTTAATGTGTTTGCACCACAGGCGCTGCATCGAGTTGCACGACTTATCCTCCTGTGGAATATTTTCTCCTTCATCGTTGTGATTATCACTCTCTTGGCAACCAACGACCATAAACAAGATGCCAGCTTCGTCTTTCAGGACTTCCAAAACATGACCGGATTTGGCTCCGCCATGGCTACCGTAGTAGGAATTCTACAAAGCCTCTTCGGCATGTGCTGCTATGATGCAGCCAGCCATATGACGGAAGAGATGACCCACGCAAGCCGAGACGCTCCAAAAGCAATTGTGCTGTCAGTCTTACTGGGAGCTATCACTGGCTTTATCTTTCTTCTTACTTTGTGTTTCTGTATTGGTGATATTGCAGCAACGGCGAAATCAACTACAGGAGTGCCGGTAATCCAGATCTTCTACAACTCGACCCAGAGCAAAGTGGGGACTTGCATTTTGGCGAGTATGATGACTGTCATTCTCGTTGTGGCATCCATTAGCTTGGTGGCAGAAGGATCTCGATCAGTTTATGCCTTTGCACGAGACCATGGTCTGCCGTTTTCTGGCGTGTTGTCGAAGGTTGAACCGAGGAAAAAAATCCCATTATACGCCATCTTTTTGACCTTGACGGTCCAGGTGGGTCTAAACGCGATTTACTTTGGTACAGAGACGGGCTTCAATACTGTAGTGTCAATAGCAGCCACTGGATTTTGTGAGTTAAAAAACCCGAAACTATTTGACCTTGAAGTCTCGGAGTATGACGACTGATATATTGTTCTGAACAGATGTCTCCTATGGTCTTGTCCTATTTTCCCGACTACTTGGCTATTTCTTCAGCCACCAGACCTCATCATTCACAGGGCCATATTCATTGCCACTTCCACTTTCTCTGAGCTTCAATGGGATAGGGTTGCTCTTCCTGCTTTTTGCTGTCATCAACTTCAACTTCCCTTCTGAGGCCCCTATTACCGCGGTTTCGATGAACTATACCTGTGCAGCGATTGGACTGGTGAGCTTGCTTAGCATTGTGACATGGTTTACCACTGCATCAAATCGCTTCACAGGCCCATCGGATGTTAGAAATCTGGTGGTCAACGGCGTGGAAGGCGTATCGACATTGCAGCCTATCCTTGACATGAAGCCAAGCAAGGAAAGATAATGTCTCAGAGTACTTAGGCTGCTTTTATAATAATTATCATTTTCTATTGCTCTACTGATGGAGATAGTCAGAGAACGCAGCAATTTTTTTTCTTTTGGAAAACCAACGCAATCTATAAGCTTTCAGACATAGGAGATTCTAAGGAATTTCATCTGGAAAGGGAAATATCAGGAGGAAAACTCACCAAGGAGAATGAAAGAAAACAGTAAAAGCAATGGAGAAAGCAATACGAAGTCCTGAACCAAACTCCAAAGCATAAATTCAACGATAGAGACTCTGCATAATAATCTCAGATCCATCTGTCACTCTGTCAATGAGAACATCGATTTCGGTGCGCTTCCCTGTGGAGATAAGACTGGTTAGAAATTCGTATTAGGAGAGCGAAAAACCCATTGACGAGGGAACCAAGCGTTACCTCGCTCAAACTCCATATCTAATTGCATCCGGCTGAAAATGGCGTAGGCCTCATTGAGGACATGAGCCTCGGTGGGAAAGCGGCCCTCTACCTTGATGGACCACACAAGACGTCGCACATTCATGACGGGGTTTTCGGTGACTGTAGCACTGCCGTTCTGGATGGCGTCTTTGGCGATCTCGAAGAGTTCCCACTCAGAGAGATCGGCGTCGCTAGGGTGGTAGGTAGCGTTCACGTACTTCAGCTCCTCGGACTGTCCAAAGTCAGCATCGTGGAGGTTTTCGTGGTGTCCGTGGTGGCCATGTTGGTCCTGATGGGCACGGTTGCCATTGTGGTCGAAGAAGTCGAACTGGTCGCCGTTGTCAAACTGGTTGTGGTGCTCGAATTGATCGAATCGACCGAACCCGTCGTGGTGAGCGCGGTGGGCGCGGTGACCACGGTGTCCGTGGTGACCGTGTCCGTGGTGGTGGCCGTGGTGTTGTTCGCCGGAGCCACTGGAAACACTTTGGGAATGGCGACAGCCACTACAACGATGTCGACAATGGCCAGAGCCGCCGGAATTATGCCGAGAACGGCTGCTACCGCGCGGTAAGCCGCCGGGTGAGTACATGAAAGACATTCTTTGGGTTTACCTTGTAAAGGCGACGTCAAATTCAGGGACTTGTGGCCTTCCTGTGTGAATGGAGAGGCCAATTGCCTCGATCGGCCTGTAGATGCTAGTCTGGTGGTTTGGCGATCAACTTTGAATGTGAATTATGAAAAGAGAAACTTGGAATGCTGTCGTTTTTTCTGTTTTCCTATGGTGTGATCTATCGTCTTGCTGGTTGATGATTCCATGAAGACGGAAATTCAAGTCATATAAATATTCGTCAGCGAGACACGATCCACGGAGAATATTGACAGTCTTCTTTGGAGTGTTCCAAAAATTAGAAGCATGTCTCCGTCGAGAATGCATTGTCCGAACTCATTGTTGAATGTTTCGATATCTATGGCTTTGTTCCATTATGGATTTTCTTTCATCTCGAGACGGGTTATTGATATACTTTCAAACACCGAGAGCCTTTTTTAGGAGACAATGAGCATAGAAACCGGGTTTGTCCACAAGATTCAGTACCTTGAAAGGATAGACTTCAGAAAAGGCCCTGAACAAAAAATCATATGAAACCGTAGACTTGAAGTTAAGACAAAGCTTTGTCGTGAGGAATTGGAAAGAAATGATACGACATTGTATCGTCATTTCTATTCTCCTAAGAACACTGATCTTGTTCTTTTCTTCGCAAGGCGGGACCCAAAGACTCCTGAATTAGTCGTAATTTGGTCGGCGACCGTTACTATTGGGTCTTAAGCAGCCCTATGCAACAATTTTTGGAAACATCCATTCAATATGTGTATAAAGACTTGGAGACAAATACGTTTCCCATCAGAAACTGGGATACTGCTGTCCAATTAAATCAAAGAGAGAATCGAAATTCGCTCCATCGAGCAAATCCACCATATTCAAGTCGAAGTTTGATTCTCCAGTGACATTATCATTGGCCAAGCTCGGGAAACGCATTTCTAGGGACAGTGGTGTCTCGGCTGAAAGGCTTGCTGTAGCAGAATTCATATCTCTGGACTGAGCAGACTCCGCAGAAAGTGATTGCGATTTCGACGGCCTGTCGCGAGAAAAGTCGGTCTGGCGACTCGCCGCCAACGCTGGGTGCAAGCGTTCCGTTTCTCGCCCAGAAGAACCTGGAACTTGAGTCGATGGGTTCGTATTCGACTGCGTATCGTCACTATTCTTCCTTTTTCTCTGCCCACGCTCATCGGACCTGTCAAAAGAGGTTGGAGGCCTTTCCAAATACCGAATAGCATATGGATGAGGATATTCTCTCTCGTCCGCATCGCTTTCTCTCTCTTTTATTTTGGTCAATAGTAAAGATAACGCCATAAAGCAGTGCTTGGCTGTCTCCCACTGAACAGACATGACTTTCAGATATTCCAAACATTCGGAAATTTCCCTAAAGTACATTAGCAGATGTATATAATGGTCACTCCGATATTATAGCTTACTGTAGAGCCTTTTCAAGGGCATATTGCTTTAGTTGGCAAGCAAATGCTAGCACCAATCCAGACATCCATGCGGCTGACAGGAACCCCGGCCAGAATAATGCTTGTCGACTGTCTGTTTGTGCCTTCAATGCAGCAAGAATTGACCTAGCGGCGCCAATGCATGTTTGCAATCCAGAACAAAATTCTGCAGTGGTCGGTTCGAGTGATAAGGACGGTCGATTAATGAGAAGAATCAAATGCTGATACAAGACCGTGAAGAATGGGCCGAAGTCAAAAGGGCTGTCAGCCGGCGACAAAGTGTGTTGCCCTGTAGATTTCCCCAGAAGATCGAGAGGAAGGCTGTTCCACCACTTGTGAACGTCGGTCACGAGAAACAGGACGGATTTTCGCGGGACAGATCTGACCAAGAGTGACTTGTGGAATATCTCCAAGGCTCGGCCTGTGAGTGTGCCGGAATCAACATAACTGGCAAGGATGTTCTCCTTTACACTTTGATTCTTGTGCTCATTCCTCATGGTGCCAATGGGTGCATTATATGGGTCTATTTGGCCGTAAGCCTGGCAGTCATCCGGTATAAGGTACTGCTGTGCATTGTAAGGTATGCCCCTCTGATGTCGAGAAGAGTGTATCTCCCGCGCAGCAGGCAGGCACACATCAATGTCCGAATCTTGGATACCAAGGGGTAGACCCAATGCCTGGCTGAGATATCGATCGATAGCATATGCACACCAAAATATGCGTTTTCGCAGGTGCCGATCATGCGAAGAAAGCTCACGGTATCGGAATGGACAACGATGCAGGCCGGCGTGAAGCATAGACCGAAGAATACAGCCACCGACAGTCGAAGCTGGCCGAAGTGACATGGTTGCAACTAGATAGACCTGAGTTGCTAAAAGTGCCTGAAAAGACGGTATGTCGTGTCGAGAGGAAAGAGACCCCAACAATGGGTTGATGCTGCTGGGCGACGGAATTGTACACTGGGTTGGAAGATCCAGATCCGATCGCAGAAGACTAGCGAGGTTGAAAACACATTGAAATATTGTCGTCCAGCAAGCACTCCGGTGGTCAGAGGTAGATTTGGCTGTTGTAAGTCCAGAGTTAGGACCTGCATAGAGTCTCTCCATTGCCTGTAGAAAAGTAGGCCCGTGCAGAAACGGGAATAGAGGATGCCAAACTTTGAAGTACATCATCATCAACTCCTTTGCCAGATCTAGTGGAGGTGCACTGCCTAAGACAGCAACAACAGTTGGGTCGTAAGTCCATTGTAAAGGAGACTCGCCCAATCCATCGGGGGATGTAGAGTCAACTTTAGAAGATGAGTGGTGAGTATGCGGCGAGTCATCGGCACCCAACAATGTGTCTTCAGCTGTTGGAAATCCAGTTCCTGATTGACCGGATGCATCCAAGCTGCCCGAAAATGCCTGTTTGACCGTGTTGATGAAATAAACTCCGCTGGAACTGCCGACAAAGTGGCTATCATCATTGGAGTGCGCCGTCAATGAGCCCCGTTCAGACGTCTCGGGCATGTATTCTGAGGAGGACTCCATCACGGATGGAGCAATGGCTCCACCAAGGGCCAGTCGGCATCCGACTCGCTGTATTCAATTCAAACCACAGAACAGACATGGACAAAGGAGGAGAGGACAGTACGGGAAGAGCAGTTCAATCCAGAGCGATGACTAATCATAATGGATTCGCGGTGCTCAGAAGCCGAAGAGCGAGATCGGACATCGACCATATGAACTTAGGGCAAGAGACAGCGGGGATAGAAAACCATGCGCATTGACAAGTCAATCCATCTCGGCGACAAGGAGAGGAGCTCGACACCTGAGGCCTGAATCAAAGAACAAAGAGAGCCAATCAGATCAAAGTTACTGCGCGAGTCACGTGAGTATTTCACCGCCTTGATCTGCGCGCCCAAAAGCTCCGCGACGCCGCAACTTTACGGCGGATTCGAAAGTCTGAGGAGCAGATGCGACGCAAGCAGTGCCCGAATTGACGTGTTTTGATCTTCTCGTCTTCTTTTCTCTCTGCCACCTCACGCCCTCACACCCCCCTCAGCCGAAAATTGGTGGACCAGTTTCGTCGACAACCTCTGAGCGCAGGGATCGCGCAAATCGCGTGCGAATCGACGAGCCTGCCGCGACGCTCACTCTTGCAACAAGGTGCATTGGTTGACGGTTTACTTGCGTGGACAGTCCGACGATCCCGTGCGAAAGCATTAACATTTGATCCAACCTACTGCCTATGCGATTCTCATGATGCCTCCGATACCCCCATTTGGGCCTGCGTTGATCTAGCTCTCAGCTCGCCCTTCGCTGCGACAACAACATTTGCACACTACTCCCCCTTATAGTGCCACATCTCTCTCTCTCTCTCTCTCTTTTCATTAGAGCTCGTTTTCCGCATTGCATACTCATCAATTTAATCAACATTCATGACCATGGCGGGAATGGAGGCGGCCGTGACAAACCATGTCAACGGGACTGCCGAGCACGCAGAAACCGACACACAACACCTTTCACAGCACGAGACCAAGAACGATCCATACGAGGAAGTCTACGACCCCAGCAAGCGGGACACCGCGCTACCCTCGGTGAAGACGGAGCCCATTAGTTCGACTTTGGAGGAATTTCCAGCGAGCGATGAGATTGAGACTAAATCTGTGGGGCTAGATGGGGTGGATGACCATCCGACCTCAAGGACAGTTACGAATCTCAAGCACGGGCTAACATCTCGCGCGTCCTCGTCTGAAAGATCATCACCCGCCACGTCGGTCAAACCTGCGTCAAATAAAAAGGCAGGGACGGGAGCTACAAAGAAAGGAACGGCCAAGAAGCCCGCTGCTAAGAAGCGCAAAGTGAATGACACCGACGCGGACAGCGTTGATGGTCGGCGGTCCAATACGCCCGTTTCTCGCACTAGCAAAACAAAAAAGCAGGGCTCGGTTTCAGTTGCAGGGTCTCCAGCACCGGAAGACAGAAAGCCTAAAAAGCGCGGAAAAAGGCCTGCGACCGGAGATGGGGACGACGAGGATGAAAATGAGATATTCTGCATCTGCCGCCGGCCAGATAATCACACGTGGATGATCGGGTGTGATGGGGACTGCGAAGATTGGTTCCATGGGAAATGCGTTGATATCGATCCGCGAGATGCAGATCTGATCGATAAATACGTCTGTAAGTCATGATATGACTATGGTTTCAACAACGCCACTAACCTAAGGCAATATCATAGGCCCTAACTGCAGCCAACGAGGCAAAGGCTGCACAACATGGAAACCGATGTGTCGCCTAATCGAATGCCGCCAGCCCGCGCGCGCGAAGGTCAAGCCCCCCAGCAAGTATTGTTCCGACGAACACGGCCGAGAATTCATGCGTCGACAGACTCGACACCTCAGGCTGGGCTCCTCGCGTCCACACAAGCCACACAAGTTACACGACGAAGATTTAGGCAGCATGGGCGGTATTCTAACAGCAGGTGACCTGAGCGCTGTCGTCATGGGCGTGGGCTCCGCAGAGGAATTCCGCAAACTCGGTAACCGCATCGTCTCCCCACCGCCCGAAGCTGATGAAAACGAGGCAAGTCCCGTGGACGAGAAGCAGATGACCAAGTCTGCACCACAGAGCAGCAACAAACTGGGACTTGACGTGGACGCCAAGGACGTGGTATACACGGCCGACGAGTCAGCGAGGCTTGAAAAGCTGCGCAAACTGCGTGAAGAGCTCCTCCACCGCAAAGAGATGCTCGCCGTGCGGACGAGTTTCATCGCCTTGGTACGACAGCGGTCCAAAAGTGTGGTTGAGGGGTTGAAGCTGAATGATCCCAAAGGCGGATGGAAAGATATCTGTGGATTCGACTCGCGGTTATCCTGGTCAGATGAAGAGTTTGACGAATGGCGACTTTCGGATGCCGGGAAAAACGCGCTCACACAAGGCACCGCCGAGTCCCTGGCGTCGAGTTATCCGATCATTCCCACCTCCACGGATGCCGATGGCGATACTGCGATGGGCGTTGAGAATGGCGAAGACGAGATGGCATTTTTGACTCGCGGTATCTGCACCAAGAAACGTTGCGAAAGACACAAGCAGTGGGTTAAGGTGCAGCAGCAGGACATTGTGTTCGAGGAAAATACCGCCGACGAGGACCTTGCCCAGTGCGAAGATGAAGCACAGGCGGTGGTGGAGAGGGCAGCGTTGAGGATGTGGGCTGAGACGGATGCCGAATAGAGTCGGGCGGAAGGAAAACACAAAAGCTTGATACCCTCTTTTACCTTTACACTTGCCATCAGCTCATGGATCGGAGTTGGTTGGTACTTTGCCAGAGACGGGAATGCACACGGTCTGTCAGAGTAATTTGCATGGCGAATGGCGCTTGGAGATATTGGGACCAGTGTTCGTATGGCTCGCAGTGATGTACAGCCCGGAATAGACGAATCCAAAGTTTCACTTAATCGTGAATCATCCATGTAGAGACCCACCCTAGCAGCCCTGAATCCAGACACTCCATTTCCCTACACCACTCCCGGCCCTATCCTTGATCACCTCTACCACTTGCGCCCCCTTGACATCCGACAGCAGGAGATGGGTATCAATTCCTTGGTCCAGGGTCTTCGCGAGCAGATTAGACAGCAGAGACGGGCCAGTTGGGTGAAAAATTGAATGGAGCTGATCATCTCGTGTATCTGCTTGGAGGTGCGTGCTTGATGCTGCTTTCCCATCTGCCCCCGAATACATCGATCCCAGACCGTGGGTATTAACAAGTAGGACAGAAAGAGAAGATTCACACGCACGAGACAAGCGAGTAAGCGTGCGCAACGCACCAGCCAGCAGAGCAGCGCCCTTGATCGGATTCGAAGCGCGAATAACTCCCTCGGCGAGAGTGTCGAGGCCGACGACGATGAGAAGTACCGCCCGGGGATCCGGGGCTATTCGGTTCGTCTGGTCATCCGCTAGTCGTCGCGAGTGCATCTCCTGCAACTCGTTCGAGACTTTACTGATGGCCTGTGCCGCGCCAGCAAAATCGTGCACCGGGAGTAAGTGGACCGAGTCGAGGCGCTGGATTGCTTCATCTTTGGATAAACCATTTGCTGAGTGAGAGGGATGTGGTGATAGGAGATCATTAAGTAGAGTACGTGCAGCAAAGGCGCTGGACGTGTTTGGGTGGATAATGAATGCGCTTGGGTCTGGTGAGGCTTGTCTGGAGCGCAGGTGTGTTGTGAGCAAGTGTCGCGGGATCTGGCCAATATATTCATCATTCTCGGGGCTTTTCGCTCTTATTCTGGAGAAGCCGATGATGACGCCGGGGCGCAATATGCTGGAATTGGGGTGGATGCCATTTTCCAGGTCGTGCTGGAGACTCCAAGAGTTCTTGGATTGTGGTGGTTTGGGTGTTGGCGAGGGAGAGAGCAGCGTATCGGCCAGAACGGGGAGCGCAGGCTCGGCGGAGTAGAAATTGGAAGTGGCCATACTAGTGCGACCTTCCTGGTATACAGTAGTGCATAGGTAGGCAGTATAGGAAGTTGTTGGCGGAGGGAGAAATGTTGGAAGAAGTGCTTAGGGAGATAGCCCCACCTACATATTCACTCTAAGCAGTACTACAATCTATCTCCCTCTGATATAGTCGACAAAGCAGCTAGACATTTTCTGGTAATGCGAATTCACCACAACGCTAGGTGACGGTAAATTGGGCGCCAAAAATGGCGTTCAAGGTAGCTCTGAGAAAAAGAATCAGTTCCATCTCCGAAATAAGCACTTATCTATATCATTTCCAATTCCCCATCCCAATTTCACCTCCAACAGAGCTTCACCATTTAACAATGTACCTTTTATGATCATACGGCTTCATTCTAACTTGCACGTACGAGCACCAGTGAGGAGCTCATGACAGACCATGAATATCTCTGTTGAATCGTCAATCGCCTTCACCAGTAATAATTCTAGGTCATGATCTTCGCCGCCATCTGCAGGCAGTCTTCTTGAGATTCTTGTGCCTGCTTCTTCTCTGGTCAGGCTCCAGTACTGAACTGAACCTACATACAAGAATTCGCTATACCATTCTCGCAAATGGTAGTAGAACGACGATTTCGATTATGATTCCATCACCCCAGTCGAAGTCCGGAAGAGTACCTGGATCTTGATCACCCATCCAATCAAAACGCTCATAACACTTGGTTGCAAGTTTTGATATTTATAGCACGACATCGCGGCGCTTACCGGAAATAAATCCGGCAACACGTCTTTGATTTGCCGTCACTGTGCTCAAGAATCGTTCGTTTTCCCAGGAAAGCTGATGACCTCCTCAGGCGAACTGAGTAGAGTTTCAACACTCTCCCATGACCGGTCGCAAAGGATAGAAAGAGACAAGTGGTCCGTCACTATGAGGATACCCGATGAAAGAGACGGGCAGTTCAATGCAGAGCATAATGCGTCTGGTCAGAAACCAAGCTGCTCAAGACGCGTCTCTTCACCCCCGACTTTGAAGTATAGTTAACATATACCTTCAATAATCGCCGGTTAGCTTGAGTCCGAATCCAGAAGGAAAAAAAAGAAGCCAAGCAAGACCTACCAGCTCATACCAACAAGCGCCATGAATACGCCCGCAATGCTTTGGCTCATAGTCGAGTGCCCGCTTACCATCCAGCCTAGACCTATAATCATGCAAGTCTTAAAATGCCCAACAACCGTGCTGCTAACAGGACCCGAGGCCTCGATCACGTAGAATTGAGAGAGGTTGACAAGAAAGGCGCAGAGACCGCTCTAGTAAAAGTAACAATAAATCTTAGCCATCGGAACAGAGACTATGCTAGGAGAAAATATTAAGACAGCCTTACCAATAGAAGAGAGGTATATAACCTCCCTGAAAGAGCATTCATCGACGGCAACGTATCAAAGAAAGGCACCGAACACAGCAGTAGGCCGGTGCCGAGGGATGATTGGTTCAACAAGAGTTGCATGCTGGTCACGTCGAACTTTTTGTGATACCTCCCAACCAGGGTTGTATATAGGGCACTAGAGCACACACCGACGATCGCAGCAAAGGCCCCCGTGGGAGATGTTGTTTCACCACCGGCGGCTGTTGTGACTGTGTCGTAATAAAAGACAATGCCGACCCCGCTGCACATGATTACCAGAGGCATAATAGATGCCTTCGGGATTGTAGCTTGGTAGAGCAAAAAGTTCGATAAAGCAGTGATTGGCGTCAGTAGTAGCCTGACTAGCTGGTGAAAAATAACGGATGAATATGCCAGAGATATGTTTTGCAGCACGATCTGAGCGCACATCAGTCCAGCTAGGTGAAGAATTCGATGAGGCGGTATTGATTTGGCCACGAAACCACCTAAACATGGACGCGACATAATCCAAAGAGTAATGGAAGTGATCAAGAAGTGGAAAGAGGTAAAAGCCATCTGGCATTTCCGAAGCGATTCGTGGGAGAAAATCGATTTATTGGTAAAGACCTTGGCCATTGTATACTAGTGAGTATTGAGTCTTTCCGGTAGGTTCATCAACTTACAATCAAAACGGTGGACACAATATTTACTATGATCCACCCCGCCGCTCGGACATTTGAAGCGCTTGAGCGTGCAGCAGCACGTGGTGTTGGTTCGAGAGACTCGAGTTCGATGAGGTCGAGATCTCCGAGAAGCTCGTATTTGGTATCGCTTGATTGTACATGAGCTGGCGAGTTGAATGGCCAGAAGTTTGGCCACTCGATTGCTTCGATCTTTGACTTGAAATCTTGGATCGAAGAAATCATGATTCTTGAGGCAAGGTGATCACCTGCAAAAATGACGCCTCTTGTTTAATATTATGGGAATTGTTTTTCTTAAAGGATTCAAACATTTCCTTTTCACAATTAAATTGCGCGCTATTAGCGAAGCCATGCTAACGGAAATGGTAGCCAAAATCTTGGACGCATGTGGTAATCTGGTGTTGTTCTTGAATGTGGGTCCGAACGCTAATTGACCGCGCTAGACCACCCGCCGCTCGCGATGGCCGAAAACAGTTGCACATACCGTTTCCGACCGGGACCATCATTGTACCCTTCGAATAGTGCAATGATGCTTATGTGCGGTATGCAGGCAGCGCACGATAATTCTCTATTTAGGGGTCGTCTTCTCTGTGGCCCCTACCCCTCACAGACAGAGAGGGCATTGGACTCTCTCAGCCGAGATGTCTCGATTCAAGTTTTACGCCAAGCTCGCAATTCTGGCGATCGTCTTAATGACTACGCTCCATTTAGCCTATCCTTCTGCGCCCTCCATCTGGCATCTGAGTCGCGTTGCTGCCGGATACCAACATACGGCCACCTCTAATGCCCATACCCATCTTAAAGAAGATAAGGCTGAGCCAACTTACGATAAAGGAGATCAGCAGGGCCCAACTTATCAGCCCCAAGAGAACGTCGCTATTGAAGAAGAATCGAGTGCGACGTATGCCACTCAAGAGAGCGTTGCGCATCAGATCCAGTCTTCCTCTGCAGAACAAAGTAGCCCACAAGCTCCCCAAGAGCCTGAGAAGCCGAAGGATGAATTCGACGACCTGCCCGAAGAAACTGCGGAAGAGCGACACTGCTTCAGGAGTGAAACACAATCCCCTGACCCGATCCCTAAGGTCCTGAACTTCATATGGCTCAATCGGGCTGAACTGTCCTTCATCAGCTACCTGAGTATGCGAGCCGCGCTAGTGTCTCTCCAGCCAGACCGGATCAATCTACACCATACCGGCCTCAACGATGACAACAAATGGTTACGGAAGCTGCGCGCTAATCTCACCCTCATTCACCACGACCTACACCAGGAATATCCGAAACAAGTCGAGGAGAACTGGCATCTAGCTCACATCTCGGACGTGATGCGGCTAGACATGATAAAGCGCGACGGTGGGATCTACTTCGATATGGATATTATCGCTCTTCAACCCTTTGACAACCTGCTACATAGCACGAAAGACGTTGTTCTCGGCCACGAGGGTCGCAACCGCGGTGGGCTTTGCAACGGCATCCTTCTAGGGCGAAAGGGCGCTGCATTCTTGGACCGCTGGACGGCTAGCTACAACACCTTCGATGTACGTGAGTGGAACACCCACTCGGTCATGCTCCCCGCAGAGTGGTCCATCGCGTTCCCCGAAGAAATCTGCACCCTTTCGCCACAAGTCTTCTTCTGGCCTAGCTGGGGAGACGGTATAGAGTATATGCACAGGCTACTTACCGACGCCCAGGCCAGAGACTTTGAGAAGACTCTTGCCAGCCACAATGGCAGTATGTACCCGCATCAACTCGCTTATCATGCCTGGCACCAGGTGACGCCACAGCTGGACAGCTTAACGCCCGAGATTATAAAGACGCAGAACACTCGGTTCAATATGCTGGTTCGGCGATTTATAGAGTAGACGAGAGAAAACCTATCTTACATAAATTTGTCGGAAATAGAAACTAAATCTTATAGCGGCTTTATTCGGGCGCGCCTTACCCCCTCATTCGGCTCGCTTTCTGATTACACGTTACGCCAATGTCCACAGGGAACTTGGATAAATCCGTCGGAGCGGAGCAAGAAGAAGATATTTCATTTTGGTGGAATGCCAATCTCCAGCCGGAAACGGACAATTTGCAGATCGTGTATTGTTTAATAACTTAAGTAAGGGACCACCAGATATTCTTCTACTTTCCTCTGTAAGGCCCACGACAACACCAAGATTTGTGTATGGTGCCACCCTAACGACTTGAATCATGATTGCTGTCAATGGCTGCAGGATTTTGCAGATTGTTACCGCATCATTTTTTGCATGGGTTTTTCTTACCACGTTCCTTGGTTATTTGAGCGACAATGCGACATGGCCAAAGAACCTGTCAAGTATTTCGAGCAAACTTGCGAGCGACAAAGCGTTTGCTCATATCCAGAATGAGACTCTTGGGGTAATAATTCCACATTCCGCTTCAGGATCCCTAATGCTAATTCTCACTTAGTTCGGACATGTCTATGCTATCGGATTGAAGGAACGTGCCGACAAACGCGATTTCCTCACCTTAGCAGCCTCGGAAACCGGTTTCAAAGTGGAATGGCTCGATGGAGTTCTACCATCTTCGTTACAACAGAAGGCTATGCCTAGCGTACGCTTTCCTATCACTGGTCAAATAACTTTATACTTACCACTGATATAGGGATACAACATTTCAGCCACGGTTCCAGCTATTATCGCATGCTGGCGTGCCCATATGAACTTTTTGTTAGAGTATGATATTGCCTTGGATCTACAATCTAATTGAATATTACTAACAAAATGCGTTAGCGTTATTGAAAACGAATATTCTTCTGCTCTTGTTCTCGAGGACGATGCCGACTGGGATGTGAACATCAAATCCCAACTACACGAGTTTGCCCGGGGGTTGCATGCTTTGCAGGGCGAAAGTAAAGTCTCCAAGCAGCATCCCTATGGAACAGATTGGGATCTTCTTTGGATTGGAGGATGTGGATCCGCCCCATTCCCGAACGAAACCAAATTCTATGCCATCCCTGACGATCCAACATGCCCGAATATCGAGAATCGAATCACGCTTGGTGGAGTTCCTGACAACTGGAAGACACGATTCCCAGATGATTCTACGCGATTTTTGTTCAAGGCGGAAGCTGGTTGTTGCACATATGGTTATGCCGTTTCAAACAAAGGAGCAAAGAAAATCCTTGCTCAGCTTGAGCTCGACCATATAGACACACCAGTCGACCTCGCCCTGAGTGACTTGTGTGGAGGCAAGGGCCGTCGACAGATTGATTGCTACGCGCCTTTCCCCCAGATTATTGGCACCTACCGACAGGCTGGCCCATCCTCCCGTCTTTCAGACATTTCCAGCAGTGAAGCGAGCGAGATCCGGGAAGAATCATCTGTCAATGTGGGGTATAGCACGAGACTCAATATCCAGAGACTTGCTGCTGGCGATGCAACTGTTTTCTCACAGTGGGACAATCAACCATGGACAGAGAAAGAAATCAGCGTACAGGAATTTGTCTATCCTAGGGGGTATCTGGTCAACTAATGACCCGTATATTCAATAAGCATGATATAAATGTTAGTTTTCTTACACTAACTCCATTTTAAGGCGCAAGGTTATTCCGAATTATACCACTTTTATAGAATATAAGCTATACTTCTGGAATTAAAGTTGAGATGTTGAGGTGCCTTGAATGGAAGAGATCGAATTTGATCCCCCGTTTCTTCCTGGGGTACGCCGGTTTTATGTCAAAGCTGAGCACTCATCTCACGGTGTCGGCTATACGCTGATGTCCTTCGATTTGTGCATTGCATTGCATGATCTCGTTACTGGCTCTCAAGGTCTTGTGTAGTGCAGAAGGTTTTTTAAAACCGGCATGGAAAGATTCATGGCTGGTTCTCCCACTTCCTGTCTTTTTTGAAATCGAGTGCACTTTGGTACCCCCTTCTACCCCGTCCCCAAAATTCTCTTCTATATTTTGTCCCTCGTTCGCCCTTCTTGTCTGACACTGAGAAGATACCGTTGTGGGTGTATATGACGAAGGAGAACCATTTATATTCACACTGATTAGCATGGTTTGATAGGTGGTTTATTTACGAGGGCAGCGCATATGTTGTGTTCCATGTATGGAGTTCAGAGGTTAAAGGTTTCAATTTCTCATGTCTGATATCGATCTACCAGGCAAAGAGGGTGGTTAATGTAGACTCTTTCCTTCCACATTTACCAACCTCACATTCTTCGCAAGCCCAGTAGTACTGACTGTATCAACAACTCCATTTTCATCCCACGAGAAATCCACACTCCCACCACCCCGCAACCTCAACCCTCTCACCTTCCCACCCTTCCACGCCGCCGGAATAGCAGGCCCCAACACCACAACCCTTTCTTTTCCATCCCCTGAACCTGAACTCTTATATTCCCCTGGCAAATCCACAGTAAGCATACTCAGGACCGCTCCCAGATATCCAAAATTAGCATCAATCTGGAACGGTTCCGTGGGCGGATTCCCACCCGCATAGAGATCCAGCCCGCTCTGCCCAATATTCAAATCAATCGCCAGCCGCAGCTCGTAGTACGCATTATTCGTATCATTCAGCCGCGCCCAGCACGCCGACCGCCAGACCTTCTCCCAACCAGCATTGGAGTCCGAGATGCCCGGTCCCCGGTCCGTGAGCGAGATGTTCACCGCGCGCTGGATCGTCTCGTTCGTGTACCCGTTCTGGTACGATGAAATGCTCCAGCCGGGGTACCAGCCTACTAGATGTGACAGATGCCGATGCTGATCACCTTGCACGTCGTATCCGTAGCTGTCGGGGAGTTTCCATTCTTTGATCTCGCCCCAGGACCCGATGTGCAAGCCTTTGTCTAGCTTTGCCAGGCTTCGCTGGACTTGGGCAGTGAAGCTAGTGTTGGGCTCGGAGACGATGGCGGCGCCTTGGAGAGTTATATCGAAGAGTTGATAAAGGAGCTGTTGCCAGTTCGTGCAGCCGAAGGTGACGGGCCCGTGTTCGGGTGAGGTACAGGGGTTCACGACGAGAGTGCCGTCGTTGGTAAATTGGTCTTCTTGGAGCTGGGAAAGCCAGAAAGATGTTACACCTTTGAGCAATGGCCATCCTTGGGTCTTGAACCAGGTGCTGTTGCGGGTGTAGTCGTAGTGGTCCCAGACGTGTTGCATCATCCAGGCTGGGGCCGCGGGGTAGTCGGCGGATGTTTCATAGTTTTTCATTCTGTTGATGGGTTGTTAATTGGGTTTGATTTCTCACCATAAGACATAAAAAGAGAAGTTCCGTGCAAAATAAAATAGAAAAGCGTACCCTGTGTGGCCAAAGATATTCATCTCGTCGTGCGTTACCCAGCCCTCGTCCGCTCCGTAAAGAAGGCGAGATGTTTCTGCGCCGCGAGGCATCCAATTGCTTTCCATGTAGTTAAACAGAGCTTTCGCTAAGTTTCCTAGTCCTGTTGCCTCTGCCCCCCAGTGGTTCATCTGTAGGTTGATGTTGGCGTGGTAGTCTGCGCCCCAGGAAGCGGTCACCGTAGGACTCCATATGCCCTGCAGATTTGGTGGAAGACTGTTCTCTCTTGAGGACGAAATAAATAGATGTCGGCCGTAGTCAAAGAGGAGCTTCTCCAAGAATGGATCTCCCTGAGTCGAGTTCGCGTTATATGCAGTGATAAGCGCCGAGAACTCTGTTCCAGCCGAATTCTGCGTGTCTGGCAGCTCTAAGGTAAATGCATTGGACAAGGTACTGTAGTCCGCCACGTGGGTCGCTCGGAGCTCCGACTCAGGTTTTTCAATAGCAGCTGACACGAGGCTTTGGACATGCTCTTCAGGATCTGCTCCTTGGAAAGAAAAGTTGTTGGTGGGATTGCCTTTGCCAGCATCGAAGTTCGTTCCTGCAGCGATGACAAGAGTGAGGCTCTTGGTGCTACTAGAATTAATGTGCAACGCCCCAGTAGAGTTATCACAGTGCCCCGAAAGCGAGCTACGGGCCATAGTGTCATATTTCATGCCCAGAGGCGATCCAACCTGCGTCAAGCCGGTCAAACGAGCGAAGGTCGCCCCGCAGGTGGCATTCCAGAGAGAAGTTGACTCAACGAGCTGGTCAAACCAAATCGAGACGTTTGATAGAGGCCTTGGAGAGGAAATATGGTAGACACAGACTTGATCAGGGTAGCTGCAGTAAACGGAGCTTGTGTAGGTTCCATCCAATGTTGAATAGGTCGTGGTGTGGATGCCATTGGAAAGATCCAGGGAGCGGTTAAAAGAGAGCACATTGTTCATGCCATTGTCAATCTGAATCGTCAGATTGGCTAGTGAGTGATAAGAACCGTATCCATTTATATCGCCGTGCAGTGCACTGTCGTCCCCTGTTCCATTCTTCCAGATAAAAGCACGGATGTCGTTTAAGGTGTCTACCATGCTAGAATTGGGATTTCCTCCACGATATTCCTAGTGCAGTTCATGTTATTATAATCTGACTAGATGCATATTTAGCAAGTCTTACTTCAACTTGGAAGGGGCCTCCTTCCCACAGCTCATCGTAGTTGAGATTTAACTTTTCGACACCTGGTTCTCCGAATGGCATAACTGATGATTATTGCAGTTAGGCCATTTGTTACATTCAGCACAGTTTTGTTTGTATACCTCCAAGCTTCCCATTTCCGAGAGCGAACGCTTCATTGGTTGTGTCCCACGAAGATGGGCTAGAAGACCACATTGACAGGGCAGCCGTTAGCATGCCGTGCCAAAGAAGCAGAAAAAGACATTCGAGATGCATGGCGGATGAACCACTGTCTCGTCTCTTTTTTTTTAGGAATTAATCTACATCTAGGCCAGCGGAAGGTTTATATGATTGACTGGCTTTCCATCATCCTCAAAGTCCCGATCTAATTTTCCGAAACCTTACTAGGGTTACACGTATATATCGGATATTTAGACCTACTAATGAGAAATGCTAATTGATGAGGTGGTGCGAGGCTTCTCTATAGGCTGAAATATGCGCGGCTAAAGGCCATCCAGTCAAACAGATTTTGCAATGTACGCTCGGGTCTTTGGACCGCAAAGTGGAAATAACCGAGGGCCAGGGAGTAATTCTGCATCCAAAATAGTTGGGCTGAATGGTAACGGCCCCCTCATCCTAGATGTGTCGATCCTTGCAAGTGTTGCAGTGACATAGTGTGGGGATGAGAGGGGTAAAACTCTCGGCTGAATAAAACAAGCCAGTGTCGACCACTACAATAATTAATTTATAATTAATTTACGGAAGTACTTAGGGCTATATGCAACTTAAGAAACGCGTTGAATAGTTGAAATAACGTATTTTATGGTCACTAGTAGGTTGATTGGCCTGTGCTAAAGTGAATTTAGGAGGTCGCGAGTCCGCCCTCCTTAATTTGTAGACTGTATTGTTTCCTAGATGGCATGTATAGTAATTAGTAGGAAATTAACCAGTTTAGGGTAATTAAATCGATGGTCTCTTATAGGTTAGCTAGCGGTGGCTACAGCAAGAAGGCAGTTTGAAATATTGAAATACCGCTACTTCATCGTCGATGGTCTCTAATTGTCCTATCTAGTACTTTCGATAAAGGAGTAATGCCTCGCTCGTACGCTCCGTCCCGATTGGAAGCCCATTTGGCAAGATGCCATACACCGTGAGGGCCCTCCTCGATAGTTTATTGTACCTGTCGCCGGTGACTGTAGCAGAATCACATTCATTTGCGAAGTATTCCAGAAATTCAGTCAAGTGCCCTATATTTACCCATCTATTCCGTCCATCCTTGATACCTCTTCGCCCCATCATCAGGCAGTTGGAACCAAGAAGCCTTCTCCTTCAGGAAAATATGAGATGCGGGCGGTGGGACCTGGACACTTCCGTCATCGTCTAGTGTCCCCACGGCGATTCCCAGGCTGGACGGCTCGCTGTCTAGAGACATCATCAAGGTCGAGCCGCAGCGAGGACAAAAGAACCGTGAAGCAGTTTCACTAGAACGCCATTCAGTGGGCTTATTGTCCCATTTGACTGCATCTTTTGGGAAGTGGATGAAGCCCTGGTAGGGTGCACCGGATTGCTTGCGGCATTCGACGCAGTGGCAGTTGACTAGCCCGCTTGGCTGAACAGGGACCGTATAGCGGATGTGGCGACAGGCGCAGCTTCCGGATGGCATTTTGAACAGTGTAAGCTTTTTGTGTTGGATAATAAGGGCCGGCTTGCTGCTGGTATCTTTCACTCGGATAATGTAGATAGACGGACCCTGCTGGGAATATCGTGGAACACAGATCCTCACCCCACCGGGTCACATGACTACCTTGCGAATGTACCTACGATGAATCATGATAAAATACAGTATTTACAATCGTCCATTGACAATCTACTATATAATATTCACGGGGCGAATCGAAATCAAACAAATCAATTTCACCATCGTGCTCTCCATGCTTGGCTCCCAATTTCTATTTGAGGTTCGCTGTGGCTTTCATGGCTAGGACTATTTGACCTCCGCTCGCCGCCAAAAGAGATGGCATTGAGATAGCTTTTGTATAGCCACAGTATGCATGATCTTCGGCTGTATAGAGCAATTTATGGCCGGTGAGACCCCGGCAATCATCATTGGAAGGTGCGTCCAAGGGAATTTCACTCTGTTTGGTTTGCCTCCAAAAACTCCAGCAGTCTGTGCGCGACAGCGGATGGTTGCTCTTCGGGAAGAAAGTGCCCACAATCATCAATAGCGCCTCCAGAAACTTTGGTCGCGAAGTTCTGGACCAGGTGAATCATACCCGAACCGACGGAGCTGGCACCACCTAAAGCTAAGACAGGAATATCGAGTGGTGTTTTCGCATATTCCAGATTCTGTTTCGCACTTGTTTCAAATGCTCGATAATACTCGAACCCCCGACTCATCGCTCCTGGTCTTGAATAGGCTTGGATGTAGTGTTCAAATTGATCTTTGGGTAAACCATCCGCATGAACGGTCTTCAAATTAAAGAACCAGGTCAGTAGCTCCCGCTCCCGACCGCGAGTCAGAATTTCAGGCAATTCAGGAAGCGCGTTGAACGAGAATTGCCAAAGACGCATGTTGGTCTGGTGAGACAACGGAAACTGGAGCTGGGGCAGGAAGCCCGGCACTGACGCGTCTAGTATACTGAGCGATTTGATTCTCGATTGATATTGAGCGGCCCAAGGAAAAGCAATCCATCCACCCACATCGTGGCCAACCAGATGGTACGGTCTTTCTTTCAAGATATCGTGAATAGCTTCAGCCATGACTTTGCTCACGTTCGCAGTATCATAGCCATTGTGGGGAGGAAGCGAATCACCCAAGCCCGGGGGGTCGAGAGCGAAGAACTGATAATGATTTGAAAGGGGCTCGAAGATCTCGCTAAACGCCTCTGCTGTTTGTGGCCAGCCTGGAATGAGAACCAAAGGGGGACCTCGACCGCCAACGATGGCTCGGACTCCGTGGAGGAGACGCATGGTTTGCCATTTTGGTGTCATGGTGTTGATGTCCGCTGGGTCGAGTGTGCGGATGAAGACTTCGAAGGGCGGGCAACTGTAGGCACAGTAGTTTCATGCGTATTAGGGTATTTCGGCGAATTTATATCATTTAGTAATGAGTCATACAGGAAATGGGGATTCAGGGCAAAGGGGGCTATTTGGGGCCAAACAAATACCCAGACGATAAGAGTGTGCTGAGGGTGGGTCGCAGATAAACGTGAGAGAGCATCGAGGTAAATCTGATTTGAATATTACTGTACGGGCACCAATTTCATGTACTTCAATAAACCTTGGTCGAAATATAAGCAATCGTATACAACGTTTTTGTCCGTTAGATGTGAAAATGAGGTTGCCGGGGTTGCCCTATAAAAAACGATGGATTTGTATGTGCAATAATAGTAGCTAACTGTTTATGCGTGGTCTCCTCCCCGCATCCACATCCCTCGACCATCGTGCACCCACCCTGAGTCATTGCCCAGATGTTCATTCACGATGGCCAGCAGTTCCGGCCGGATGGCTTGGAGCTGGAAATCACGCGTGCTGAATACCTCCAAGACGTGGAGATCGTGCTTCACAGCGTGGCCGATTAGGGAATACGACGTCTCAAGCTCCATCCACGGATCACTGGGGTCCATTGAACCCCGCTGCTCGGTCTCGGTGATTGTATTGCCCTCCTCCGGACCCAGCTGCATACTCAAAGAGCGTAGGTTCGGCATCAGGGCTAATGCATCCAGCACGAGGCGAACATGGTTATAGAACGGGAACACTGCCGTATACGAGAATGCGGTTAGGCCACGCAGCGACTGCGGGACAAACAGGTCTTGTCCAGATGTCAGCGGGACATGCCGGGTGCCTCCCCATTCCCCCAGCACAGAAGGTGTTTGGAACTGGAAGTACTCGTAGTGGTTGTATGCTCTGAGCGAGGAGGACTCGTTGAAGGATAACGAGTTCCACGGCCGCAGCGGCAACAGGCTAGATTGTGAACCCGAGTCTGGGACGTCGGTCGATCGGTCACATTCCAATTGCAGGACCTGCAGTGGGATATCAAATGCCCAGCTGTCGCCATCCATGATCGGAGTGCCGAGCGTCTTGCCCATAAACGCGGGCGGCGCCAGCACGGTGAACCGAACGGGGTCGATGTATTGAATCACGCTTCGCCACCAGCGTGGATCGGCTCGGTGATCCGGCGAGTCGATCCCGATCACTACAATGGAGGTCACATATCGATTCAATCCGGAGTTAGTCACGAACGAGCGAAACGCCGGTTCTTCGCACAAATCCAGCCGTGCATGGCGAAAGAGCCAGGGACGCACGAAGTCCAGCAAGGCCGACGAGCTCTGGGCCAGATGTTTCAGGTCCTTGGTGCGAGACTGGGTGAGCTCGAGGCTCGGCGGATGATGTAGCTTCCGCGCGGAGGGCGGCTCGGTAGACAGTTCAGAGAGAATCAGGTCCAGCAGCTCGTTGGGAAGGAGGCCAAGGGACGATGCTGATGCTGAGGCGGACATGGCCACCGCCTAACCCGTCTTACATGGGCACGGCGCTTGCCGGATTCAGCATGAAGCAGGGCGCGCTGAGGCGTGTGTCACTTTCGGGAAGACGTTCAGCGGCGAACTGCCGGTTCCCCACTTGGATCGCCTTGGTCAGCTTTGACTCAGCTGAGAAAAGGGCATTCTGGTGTGTTTGAGAAGACAGTGAGGCCGACAGGGACGACGATCTGCGGGGAAGGGTAGAGAGGAGAGTCGATAGAGAACAAGCGACAAGAGCAGGTCATGGTCTCTCTTGTAGTGGCAGTTATTCATATCCGATCGCAGGAGCTCGACCGGAAATCCCCCCAACGCGGCGGATCTACTCGCGGTCCCCACCCATTATTCTTCATTACTCAGGATGAAGAAATTGGTTTCAAATTGCAAATATCACTGAGCAGTCGACAAGATTCTAACATTGTAGATAAATATAGGTAATCTAGTTAGGGTTCGGTGTCGAGTTCGCCGAAAATACCCCGGTGCATACATACTACGTACTATTCCTGGCCGCCAAACCTCAGCCTCAGCTGTGCTATTGTTTGGCCAAGGATGTGTGCCTGGGTGAATTTGACTGCACACGGCATCGAGTCCACAGATGTCTGAACAATTGCCGACGTCTCATAGGCGAGATCAGGTCTCGATGTGGAGGTGCTTCGTGCCGCTGGTGGGGCCGGTGTCGAATGGATGCCATGGACTGTACCAAAGCCAACGGACAAGGCACTGCTCGTGTCAGAGCCCCTCATCTGGGCTACTCCCCAGACTTTTTCTTCATTCTTCTTCTTCTTCCTGACCTGATTTGCCTGTCTTTGGTAAGTCCTCTTCCACCGGCTGCGGCGTCGACGTCGGTGACGTTGCAACTGCGGGACAAGCAGTTGCTAACATTCTGTGCAGACATAAAAAAAAATACCATGGCTCCTCAACTTCACCACCAGCCGCCATTCCGCGCGGAGCATTTGGGATCGCTCCTGCGCCCGGAAGTGCTGCTGTCGACCAAAACGGCCTTTGAGGAGGGCAAGGTGTCCGAGGCGCAACTCAAGGAGGTCGAGGACAAGGAGATCAAGGACATTGCCGAGACGCAACTCAAGCTGGGTTATGCGGCCATTTCGGACGGCGAGTACCGACGCCACAGTAAGAAGCTTCCAAGTCATGCCAACGATGATCAAATGCTGATCAAGTCTAGTGTTCTGGGGTACTTTCTTCCCCGGCCTTGACGGGTTCGAGGAAGTTACCGATTTCGACGCGGGCATTTTCCGCACCTACGCCCCCGACATTGCGGCCTTCCTCGAGGAGGGCCACAAGCCCGGCGAGACCGTGCTCTGCACGGGCAAGATCAAGCACGTCGGCAGCACCTACGTCGACCAGTTCAAGTACCTCGCCAGCCTGGTGCCTGCCGAGAAGGTCAAGAACCTGAAGATTACCCTCGCCGCGCCCAATTGGTACCACCTGCGCTACCTTGAGGGCAAGGCGTATCCGGCCGACGTGTACAGCTCGGACGAGGAGTACTTCGGCGACATCGCCAAGGCGTACCAGGATGAGCTGCAGATCCTGTACGATGCCGGGTGCCGCAACGTGCAATACGATGACCCCAACCTTGCCTGTAAGCAAGAGTCTTCCTTCTCAATAATATGTTTCAGCGCTCTGACTGTAGATGCAATACAGACTTCTGCTCCGAGAAGTTCCTGGAGGGATTCAAGAAGGACCCACTGAACAAGCACAGCGCGGACGTGCTGTTCGAGAAGTATATCAAGCTGTACAACGACTGCTTCGCCAAGCTGCCGGCGGACATGCACGTCGGTGTCCACCTGTGCCGCGGCAACTTCGTCAACAGCCGCCACTTCTCCGAGGGCGGCTACGACCGCATCGCGATCAAGCTGTTCCAGGAGCTGAACGTGCACACCTACTACCTGGAGTACGACACGGAGCGGGCCGGCGGTTTCGAGCCCCTGAAACACCTGCCGCCGCACAAGAATGTCATCCTCGGCGTGGTGACGAGCAAGTTCCCCAAGCTTGAGGATAAGGAGGAGATGAAGAAGCGCGTTATCGATGCGGCCAAGTTTATTGCCGAGGGTAACAATATCTCGCTGGAGGCGGCGCTGAACCAGGTTGGTGTTAGCCCGCAGTGCGGCTTTGCGTCGCACCGTGAGGGAAATGCCATTGATCATGATGGCATGATCAATAAGCTGAAGCTGGTTCGTGATATTGCCAATGATATCTGGCCTAACCAGCCTTGAGAGGCAGTGGGCATTGCTCAATTGCATGCGAGACATGATGAGCTCGGAGAGATGCATGATGCATTCTGTTTTTGGAATGCTTTGACGTAAAGTACATGATATAGCCACCGAATATATTTGCGACGCCTGAATGAACCGTGTTTTCTTACCAGAGGTGATAGTTGAGACGTTACAAAACTAATGTTCCACCCTGTCTTATATCCTACGGTGGTCCCACAAGGTCCTCGCTACAAACAGGCATTTGGAAAAGCAAGTAGTAATCTATTCCATTGCAGCTTCTATACGAGAGACCCACCAACCCCGACTCTACTCAGCCGGGCCAAGGATGTTAGCCTCCTTGATAGCGGATCTCTTGTGAGTTCTCTCGTTTTCAATCTGCCAGGAGACAAGATCAGTCTGTCAAGTATTCCTGGTTTCAAGGGTGTAGTTCCTGCTCACCTCGTAGCGCGGCTCATCCGCCGAGGCAGCCACATTACGGCCTGTCAAGCTGGTGTCGTGCGTGCTGACGTCGCGGATGACGCCGACGGTCTCAGAGGTGTGCGATTCACGGCCTGGGATAAAGGCAAGAAAGTTAGAAGATAAAATAGTTTTGGTGAAAGGACCAGAACCATACCGCCGACGGGCTTGTAGCGGACGCTTTCTCCCTTGCGATAGGCGGGCATGTCGATGAAATTGGGTATGTAGGTATTGTTGCGGTTTGTACCAGATGGAACGCTGTCTGGCGAGACTGATCTGAGGGTAAGACAGGAAAGCAACAAGGGGAAAGACAAAATCCTCAAGATCGGTCGAGTTGCAGCTCTATTTATGTCTAATTGGCGGCGCCACTGTCGTCAGGCTGACATGGAGCAGGATGGCATGCGAGGGAATTGCACGATGAAATCGCGAAATCGCAGCCTCGGAGGGCGTTTGCTGCAATCATATACCTTGAATCTCGAGGGACCCCAGCGAGCAGGAACAGGAGTTGGAGTCCGGCACGACGTGGCGATGACGAGGGACACGGAAATTCGGAGACGGAGGCCGTGACACGGCAGTTCCGTTTGAAGAGATGGGAAGGTTGGGTCACAGCGATGTCATGTCAAGAGTTTCGTTTTCTACCTACCTAAACTAGATATTTTCTGTATCACCCCACTTCTATACACAAGGACGAGCACCATCCCATCCACAAGCAAAAGTGACAGTAGAAGAGAGAAAAGAAACAACAAGGGAGGGGGAGGGAGACATTATGAAAATATTAAATAATTAAAATCGGTGCTCGGGGTAGAGCCCGGGTAAGAACGGAGGGGATATCATAGAAGGGAAATATGAGCCAAAACAAGACAAAACAAAACCGGAAGAGACAAAGAGAGAGAAACAGCCGAAAGGAAAGTGGCGTCGTCTGGTCATCAAACTCGGACATGGTAGCGAAGGAGGATATCTTTTGTCGGACAATGCGAAGGGGTGTTAGTTGTACACGGGGTGGCATCCACAGTAGTCGCGCCTCTCGAGATCGCCGCCGAAGATTGCGTGTTTATTTCTGCGGTTGGGTCTTGACATTGTTCGAAAGCCAGGCCTAGAAATCACGGGTCGGTTAGTTTTGGGGAGTGTGTGTGTAGCTAGCGCGTGACTGACCAGTCCCTCGAAGATACCCGTTCCGTCCGTCGCAACACTCGGCGCGACGTACCACAGCTTGTCCTTAAGCTTTGTCAACTGCAACTGGTTGGTGATATCCTCCGGGCTCAAGTCTAGAATTAGTCAGTGAGATATCCAAAGGAGGAGTAAGGACGGGGCACACGCACGGCCTGGAACATCCTGCTTATTAGCGAACACCAGCAGGAGGGCGTCCTTCATTTCCCGATCGTTGATAATCTTGTGCAGCTCAGAGCGGGCCTCCTCCAGCCGCGCGGTGTCGCTGGAGTCCACCACGAAGATCAGACCTTGGGTGCCGGAGTAGTAGTGTCGCCAGAGGGGCCGGATCTTGTCCTGGCCGCCGACGTCCCACACGTTGAACTTGACATTCTTATAGGTGACGCTCTCGACGTTGAAGCCGACGGTCGGGATGGTGGTGACGTCCTGGTTGCTGAGTTTCAATTTGTAGAGAATTGCTATATGTCCAGTCAGTCAGGAGATTCGCGTGTGGTGGGAAGTTGCACACGCACTGGTCTTGCCGGCCGCATCCAAACCCAGCATCAGGATGCGCATCTCCTTGGTGCCAAAGATCTTGCCCATCATCTTAGACACGGAGCCACCCATTTTGGCGGAGCACGTACACACGTGTAGACGAAAAACGAGACAAAAAAGAATGAAGAAAGAGCCAAGCAAGGGTCAAGGAAGAAGGACACGAACGAATAATGAAAGCTAAACATCAAATCAAAAGGGGCTGGGCTGACTCAGCTCCCCCTCGCGCGGCGTTTCACCTAAGGTAGGTCACGTGTCAGTATCACGTGTGGTGCTATCCTGCCACAATGTGTGACGGTAACTAGCGCGCAGCTTGTACCGTCCTCAGCAAGGATCTGACCTCGATAGTGTGGGAATCGAAATTGCCATTGCCCCACCATCAACCAAGGCAGTTTGGCCGAGCGGTCTAAGGCGATTGACTGTATGTTACACACATTCGTTCTCTCCCACACACACTAACATATCTTTACAGAGAAATCAATTCTCTTCGGAGGCGGCGGTTCAAATCCGCCAGCTGTCGGTTCTTGACTATTTTTTTCTATCTCGAAATTTTTTAGGACTCATTTTCACGTTTACAACGTTAATCAGAGGTTTATTGGTAGCTATATGTTGATGATGATGGTCCTCTCCAAGTGGACTTGGGTACCGTGGTTGTGGTACATCATGAAGTCATTACCGTCGCACTAGACGAGAATGCCTACTTTCCATCTCTTTCTTCCCTTGTATATCGACTATCACTTCGTAAACCATGCTCTATGAAGATCGTGGATTTGGGCGCCGTCCGTCGGTAGCCCAGCAGCGACGGCTATCACAGCAGTTTCGAGGCAACACCTGGATAGGACAGCCGTCGGATGTACGTGATGTTCTTGCCGGGGGGCTGTCCTCGTGCGGACACGAGAGCAGACTAACACAACCTAGACCATCTATGCTGGTGTCTCGGGCTGCTTCTCAGACCATGACAAGTCGACCGTGGCCATTGCTGTGCGCGACACCACTTACTTACTCGACTTCATCGAGAAAGACTTTATCCCGGAGGAAAGCCAAACATGCTCGCAGGCTGTTACGAACTTCATCATCGCCGAGCTAACCGCCTACTCGGAGAAACACCTAGAGAAGTTCATGGGCCTCGCGATCCCCAAGCACGTTGCGGACCACTGCCCGGATCTATGCTCCCGCCTATGGGCCGAGTTAGATGTAATCCCACTCGTGCTATCCGGGGCTAGTCTGATGGACCGATTTACGAGCCGTGAGACGTCAGATATAGACTCGTGGGAAGGACGGACCACCGATGAACAGGCGGAGTCTATGGCCCGGAAGTGCGTGCGGTTGTTCGGCCCGGACAACATTCCCTTGCTTCAGGTCGGACTCATGGGCCATGTAGAGGTCGACACAGACTTCCACGTACAGCTGACGAATATTGAGGGCTTTGAGAAGACGGTCTCTGCCGAGACGTGGAAGGTTGTGCAGCACTACGCGGCCGATCTCAAGAACCGCGATATCAAGATTGCCATGTTCAATGCGACGCCCCAGGGTGGTGGAGTGGCCCTGATGAGACATGCTCTTGTTCGCTTCTCGCACTCCCTGGGCACAAATATTAGATGGTATCTCCTGTTATTGTTAACTCAAGGTCTCACAGATTAATGGATATCAGGTACGTCCCGAAGCCACGGCCGGAAGTTTTTCGGATTACCAAGACAAATCACAATATTCTGCAAGGCGTGGCACACCAGGATGAGCGTTTGACAGATCGGAATAAGAAATTGCTCGAGGAGTGGATCGAAGAGAATGCGAGACGATATTGGACGTGTCGCGGCGGACCGCTACTCCCGCCTTCTGAGGGCGGTGCGGACATAGTGGTCATTGATGATGCGCAGATGCCAGGGCTGATTCCAATGGCCAAGCGAGCAGCTCCAGACCGGCCGGTCATCTTCCGCAGTCACATCCAGATCCGAAGTGACTTGATTGAAATACCTGGCTCTCCACAGGCTGAAGCGTGGGAGTATTTGTGGGATCAGATTAAGCTCGCCGACTGTTTTATTAGCCATCCCGTGAGCGCCTTCGTTCCAAAAAATGTGCCTCACGAGATGGTGGGCTACATGCCTGCCTCAACCGACTGGTAAATTTGGTTGGATCGTTCCAAGACGAATGAGTACTGACGCAACGTAGGCTGGACGGGCTGAACAAGAACATGCGAGATTGGGATATTGCCTTCTACGGCCGCATCTTCAATGCAGCTTGCCGGTATTCGGATATGCCGACAATCCATTATCCCGAAGGTAAACTATCCCGTTTCTTTTCTTCGGTCATAAATCTCACCCTTCTAGACGAATATATCATACAAATTGCACGGTTCGATCCATCCAAGGGTATACTCGATGTGCTTGACGCCTACGGGAAATTCCACAGCCGCCTCGCATCCGAACGGCCTGACCTGACGCCACCGAAGCTCTTGATCTGTGGCCATGGCTCAGTAGACGACCCAGACGGGGCCCTGATCTACGACGAAGCAATTGACCATCTAGAAACCAAGATTCCACACTTGCGCGACCGGATCTGCATAAGACGAATCCGGCCCTCAGACCAAGCGCTGAACGCACTACTCTCCAAGGCCCGGATTGCACTGCAGCTGTCCACCCGAGAAGGATTCGAAGTGAAAGTCTCCGAGGCGATCCACAAAGGCAAGCCAGTGATTGCCACGCGGGCAGGCGGAATCCCGTTGCAGATTGAGAACAACAAGAGTGGGTTTCTGGTTGATGTGGGTGATACGGATGCAGTGGCTCGGCACTTGTTTGAGCTGTGGACGGACGATGAGCTGTACCGCCGAATGTCGGAATATGCGCTCACGCATGTTTTTGACGAGGTTAGCACGGTGGGGAATGCTTTGAATTGGCTGTATCTGGCCTCCTCATTGTCCAAAGGTCAGGGCGTCAAGCCCCGGGGTCGGTGGATCAATGATCTCGCATTTGAGGAACTGGGTATCGTGGCGCGAGACCAGCCGCGGCTGACGCGGGCTGTTGAGGTCGCGGAGATGGGATAAAATGATGATGATAATATGCTCCCATCAAGTTAGGGCATAGAATGATTGATATAAGGACATGATTCCAATTATTTCAAAACAGCAGGGGGTATCCAATGTAAACGCAACACATAAAAAACAGCCTTTCCCATCTACCTCCCTACAACCCGATACCTCTCCCTCGCAAGCCCACCCTCAGCCCCCTCAACCCCGAAACCCTCACCCACCTCCCCAACAATCCTAGCGGGCCGTCCACCAACAACACACCAGCTAGGCACAACCATCCCCGGCGGCACCGCCGCGTCATCTAGCACACAGGCGAAATCTTTGATAATGGCCATACTGCCCACGGAAGCGCCCGCCCCAATCTGCACATGATTCCCCAGCGAAGCAGCTTCTACAACCGCGCGCTCGCCGACAAAGACATGGTCGCCTATTTTGAGCGGGTAGAATGAGTGCACGCCGCGGTGCAATCTGCTCGGGGGGCGGAGAATGGCACCCTTGGAGATGTAGCTGTATCGGCCGACTGTGACTGCGACGGAGGGGGTGTTGGAGCTTGGGGTTGGGGTTGATGGGTCGCCGGATGAAGAGGATGGGAGACGGTACAGGTCACCCCTGATGACAGCTTCTGCTTGAATTACTGTTTTCCCGCCCAGGATGATGTGCTGTGTTCCGTGGATCTGGGAGCGGCGCGAGATTTTGTTGCCCGTGTCCTGTTTTGTTTGGGGTGAAGTTAGCGAGATGCGAGGTCGTTTAATGGTGATCGATTGAGTGGGAATTGGGGGTAGTGGTAGTGGGAGCGTACGGTTTCAATGTACTCGCCCTTGACAGCCTTGGGAGGCATCTTGTTGACATCTAAAAGCAGTTGTGCTTGAGCTGAGGTGGATTGTTGATGTTGTAGAAGGTTAGGATGGAGCAGCCGGAGGGCGGTGAGACGAAGGACCCTCAAGTTAGCCCTAACTACGCATCTAGATCACTACAAGTAAGATTTACTATCAAGTTGGATACGTGAAGATTTATGAATTGAACAGTTCATACAATACACAAACACGAGTGGACAATTTCTGGATATCATGGGAGACAAAACAGCAAGTCCCCGGAACAAAACAAAGCACTCAATCATAACCGCACTCACATTACCCCAGCACAAATATACCTTCAAAATAGATCGACTTCGCATTTTGCAAAGGTTTCTTACGAGTTGGTAACAGAATGCTTCGCAGCGGTGATATCACCGTCCCAGTGCAATTTGAGAGCTGTATAGAGCAGTTAGCGTTGTTGAATAATCCGCCCCAGAAGAGGAAAACTTACACATCGGGAAGGCAAAGTAGGCAGTCTCGTCCTGGCGTAGGTAGGCATAGTAGCCGCCCTCTTGGAGAATCTTCTTGATCTGGCCCTGTGGACCGGGTGCACGCCGGAGGTTCTCCAGACGGCCGACAACGCGCAGCATGGAGACCATGGCGAGCTTACTGGCTTCATGGCCCAGCGCAGTGTTGGGGCCTTGGCCGTGGTTCAGATACGAGTCCAGTGGGCGGTCGAGGAGCACCTCGCTGGGCTCGGGGAAGATGCTAGGGTCGTGGTTGGCCTGGACGAAGGAAGCAAAAATCTTATCGCCAGCCTTGATCTCGACTTGCTTGCCGCTGTCCTCCACAATCACGTTGGACTGGGCCTGGCGGTATGAGCCAAAAGTGCCGTTGATGCGGATGGCTTCCAGGCAGTAGCGGAACAGTTTCTCGTCCGAATCCTTGGAGTCTGTCTTGGCTAGACGATTGATCTCGGGCAGGTGCTTCTTGCCCTCGGGCGAGGTGTAGTACTCGACGATCTGGGTGAAGATCTGGCCCTGGTTTGGTACCATCGAGACGACGGTCGGGAGGATCTGCGACCAGGTGATCTCGGATGTGCTGAGGCCGTTCTCCTGCAGACGCTTGATTGCAGCAGTGCCATGCTCGCGGATGGCATTGTCGTGCGACCGGAAGCTGCCCATGATGCCAGACAGAAGACCGTTGCCAGTGTCCGACTTGACAGTCGCCTCGACGACTGAGCCGAGCTGCTGGGCAACGGCATGAGCGGCGCGGTTGTTCTGGAACGACTTGGTGTGGTCCATGTCGAAGAAGAGCGCCGAGTAGATGATGGTCAGGATCATGTATAGCTCGTGCTCAGTGAACAGACCACGCGGGTTTTCCTCGGTCTTTAGCGGCAGGCCGAAGAGGTTGGAGGCGAAGTGGACGTGAGCCAAGTTGCCGACACTGTTAAAAGGTGAGCAAGATAGCCTAGAAAAACTGGGCGGAAAAACTTACTCGCGAGTGATGTCCACTTGGTTAATGCCAGCCAGCTTGGCGCTCTTTTCCTGGAGCAGACGGAGGGTAGTGTCCTCGTAGAACTTCTTGATGAGGTTGGAAAACTCCTCAGTGCCCAGAGCCTTGCCCATAGCCTCACGGTGCTTAGCGTCGTACTCGCCCTTGCCAAATAGCTTCTCCATAGCGTTGCTCCAGGAGTAGCTAAAGTCCTTGGGGTTATCCAGGACCTGCTTGACGTTCTGGTGGGACTGCAGATTGATACGCGGCGGGGTGTACTGAGGTCGATCATACGAGTAGTCTTGCTCACGGCCAAGGTCCTTCATGATCTTGCGGTTCTCGCTGGGGATGGTCATGGGGTAGTGAGCGTAGATCGAGTCGGGCTTGTAGTGGTTAGGGAATGCGCGCATTGCCAACTTGTAGAAGACACAGCCCTGGTTGACGCTGAGGTCGTAGCGGGCCTCATTGTAGCCGAAGTTGGTCAGGTTGCGAGGGTTGTAGTCAATCTGGACGTGTTAGTGCAACCCGTTTGGGGGTAGGTTGAAAATCTCACAGTGTAGAAGCGGTCACCACGGACGAGAGCCACGGCGTCAGACAGCACAGCACGAGAAACAGTATAGGTTGGGGCGATACCAACACCCGGAACCATCGGCTCCTTGGCCTCCTCGGAAACGATACCGGGGTACAACTCGACGTAGTCAGGGTGCTCGTACAGGTGGCGCAGCGTATTGGCAATATCGGGATCGGAGTTGATCTCCTCGAAGGTGTCATAGGTCTTGAGACCGAAGAACTTACGGAACTCGTTCAGAGATCCGACCTGCCAGCGACGAGCGGCTTCCATACCCAGAATCTCAATGGAACGGAGAGCCTTGGGCACATTGCGGGGACCGAAGGAGCTGGCCACGTCCTCGGAGGCGTGAGTCAGAATCTCAACCAGCTCATCATCCTTGAAGGTACCGTCCTCTTGGCGCTTCAAGTGGGCGAAGGTACGCTTGGATGGGTCGGCGTCCAGCATACCCTCAACCTTCTTCATACCCATGAGGAGCTCGGGCATGGTAACCTGCTCGGCGGGCTTGCCCATCAGGTCAAAGTACACCTGCTCAATCCATTTCTCGTCGCCCTGGCTGATGGCCGAGTGCCAGCGGTAGGCCAGGTTAAATTCGACCGAGCACTGGTTACCCAGACCAGACGGGGTCGACCCGGTCTTCGTCATTTGAGCACGAGGGTCCTAAATTTGGTTAGTATTATGCTCGGATAGCAAAGGCGAGGGATATTTGACATACCAAGCACCAGGTGGAGTTGGTGCGATTCAGGTTGACAATAGTGCGCAAGTAATCGTACAGGGTGATGTTAATGTACAGACCGCAAGTGATCCTGGCAATTTGTGAGTGATTCTCCTATGCGTGCAAGCTTAATAATAGCAAAAACTTACAGGCGACCGGTTTGGAAAAGGTCCTCGTCGTACTTGGCCCAGGCGGCCTTGGCTTGGTCCTCGGGGAGACCGTCTCGGGGCTTGGTGAAGCGGCCATTTTCGTTGATCAAAGCCAACTGCTCGACCACATAGTTGTGGAAACGGTTAAGCATAACCAGGAGCACACCACAAGCAGCAGGGAGAGCCTGCAGACGACCCTCCTGGAAGCAATCGGGCTTCAACTTTCCGTCCTTGTGGGTACGGATCAAATCCTGCTGCGCCTGGACATCACCATAAAGAATGGACAAATCCAAATAGGCGGAGGTCTTGTTCAGATGCTGTTGGCGATAGTCGGTCTGGAAGATGTCTGTTTGGGGCGAGTTAGTCCCAAAGCTTCCAAAGCTTCCACGGTGGGTACGTACCGTGAATAACCAACGAGGCCCAGTCGAAGAAAACACTGGAGACCTTGTTCGGATGCGGGGTGAATTCCTGACGGGCGTAGAGGCTGTCAAACACCAGGCCCGGGTCCGGCAGACCACCAGGTTGAATGGTCAATGGGGGAATTGAGCGCGAATACGGGGTGTTGGCCGCTCCCAGCCATGGCAGCGTCGGGTTGTTATTTGAGCCATCGGCCGAACGATACTTGTACTCGTCGCCCATGTATGACAGCGGCGGGTGCGGCAATGAGCTCCACAGCTCATCCAGGAATGAGTTGGTGAGGTCAACCCGGTTCTTCGAGTGACCAGGCAGATCGCTGACCAGCTGTAATGGGGCATATATAAGTCAATTGCTACAATGACTGATTAAATCGCAGATTGAACGAACCTGAATGATGCGCTCCATGAGCATGGTCTTGTCATCAACTAGCTCACCAGAAGCTTTGCTCTTGATCAGATCCTTGACGGTGTTCACATCACGGAATCCGAGAGACTTGATGTCGTTGATCAGGCCCGAGGACTGGTCGTGCTTCAGATAGGTGCCATCGCCGGTCTGGTTCGGCAAAGGGTCGCGCGACGCATGGATGGCCTGCGCATACCTCTCAAAGACTGCGACCACCTCGGCGCGCTTCACCGTGTGGGATTCCTCACTGGTGGATGTGGATTTGCGTGCCGGTGAGATCCTGGAGAACCGCTTGTTGTCCTTGCCATTTTTGGTGGGCTCGGCGTCACCATTGGAGTCCTTGGACCTCTTGAAGTTGCTCGAGATTCTCCGGAACATGATGGCTGATTTGAGACTCTCACACAAACAGAAGGCAACTCAAGGACAAACAGTACAGAGAATTAATTGCAAGTTGCAATGGCTAGACTAGGAGGGAGGGAAAGAGAGAGAGAGAGAGAGAGAGAGAGAAGGAGAGAAGAGCTCGCGCCGCCCGGTTGCTCGGAGCAGCAGCATTTAAAAACGAGCCCAAGCCAGCTTGCTGCAGGACTGTGGAGCGCTTGGAGTGGCGGATTGGTTATCACCAATAGATGATTGACTCGATCTGATTGGAAAGTACTGTACTAGGAGTGGGCTAGCTCGATCTCATCCGCACCTGAACTTGACGGCTCAGGGCTGCCGATCATGACACCAGCCCCGCGTGGTACAGAGCTCCATGCTCTTTCTTGCTTCAGCGAGTGGACCCGTCAGTGTGGCCCTCGGTAAGCCAGGAGAAATGGATCATCGTGGTTTCGTTCGGGAAGGCTCCATTGCGTACAAGGGGGTGGGCCAGACACGGCACATCGCTCGAGTTCCATGCTCTGTATACACAAAAGACTATGGTGGTATGGAGCAGAATGTGAGTATAGATCTGCGCAGCGAATAACAGGATGTGCCCTGGAAATGGGATCGATTTGCCACATTGGGGATGAGCGTGTGTCACCACCGTGTGTAGAGCGGTGTATATCCCGAGGCGATCCAGGTCCACACAGATTTGAACTAACTCCAGGCCATCGAGATCCAGCTACGCCAGTTCTGCGCCAAGTGGAGGCGTTTGCTTGTCGTCGTCATAGCGACACCCTTTCGATTGGTTTAGTGGCTGGCTGGGACAATGCAAAAGTGCCATTTTCTATTATTTTTATTTTTTTTTTGGTTCCTTTGGATGCCACAAAGCGAGAGGTTGCCACACCCTCCTTTTTGCGAAACCGCGCGGGATTAGCTTTGATCTGAGCAGCTCGCACCACTCAATGGCATCGAATTAGGGCTCCACCACCACTCTGGGGCGGCGACGACGATGATCTTGGACGCAAGGAGGACGTGAGGTGCAACACCTCCTACGTACTTTTTGTGCCTGTACTGACTCGGTAATCACACGCCCTTTGTTTTTCGTCTGTGATCGTCACGGCCCACCTGTTCGTACCGCACCCACTCGCTATGGGCTCTAGCGCCACGCCCAGCGGCGAACGGGCCGCCTCGCAGCACAAACCGCATGTCATTGGCAGCTTCCCACTACCACTCATTGTGCCGAATTATTCGGAATCTGATCCATCGACACCTCGCTGCCCCACCTCCAGAGTCTCACACACATCCTCTAACAATCGTCATGCAGATGGAGTTTTACTTATGTCCCTCGTGGCGTTTCGCTCGGGCTGCGGAGCCCAGATCCACGAGGAATAGAACAATTCGAGGGAAAACCAGGAAAAGGGCAGCTCGATCGCATATGAGCTCATCTGGTGCTTGTGCAGAGTGATGAGTATAATTTGTAGTCGTTAGCACAGAATCCCGGCCCTGCACAAGTCGTCGGGAACGAAGAGCTTGAGGTTCGGGAAGATTGGGAACCACGACGTGCACATTCGTTGACCTGGGGGCGGCCACTCCCGAGGTTCCTTAGCCGAGAGGGATGGACATGAATCTTTCGGGCGTGCTTATGGGCTCCGTGTCCACCCTTGTCGAGCCGAGCCAGGAGCTTCAACTGGAACCCCGAAGTAGTACACACTATACCATACAAGAATAATGAACCTGGTCCCACCGTTCCCACGGACAGACTTTTGTTTTTCTCGCCCCCACGGAATTGCCTATCACACCATGTTGCAGGTGAGCAGTGCATGCTAGATTCCAATAATTGTCAGTGTAAGCTTCGGTCCGGATCCCTTAAACCTGGCAGATTCTCTTCCCTAGCTTGCAAAACCCGTCAGACTTGGAAATGACAGCAGCGGCCCGGCGAGTGGGGCGCGGGTCCAGAGGGTGGACGTAGCGTGGGCGCTGGAGTCGGCTAGTGAGTAGTGGGTTAGACTGGATCTGGTAGCTTCCGATGAAGTGCGACGAACACCCCCTCCGTGTCCAGATCCAGTCGAGATGAACGAATGGTGGAGACTCGATCGTCAGTAATATCCCGAAGCCAGGATCGATCGGCTCCTGGCTTTGCGGCGTTCATAGGCCCATCCCCGATACTTTCTGGGTCCCATCACTCGTACTAGAAGAGTGGTCCGCGTATGTACACACCTAGCACTGTCGCAACAAAAGTCAGACTCTGCAGCCTTCAGCGCGGACCATTCCCGAACAGGGGTTGAAATCCACACGGCTGCGGAGATCAGAGCCGGTCACAAACCCTCGTGCAGGGCGACATGCCCCTATGTCAGCCCAAATCAAATGGGTTGGCAAACGTACCCCCGGTTCCTGTATCCTAGCTATTGGATGGGCTGTGACCCCGTTGGGGCTTTGGGGTTTTGTGTCACATTGAGCCAGCCCGGTCGTCGGTGCTGCTCGGCGATCTTGCCCTCTTTAACGTGCTGTCCGTGATAACAGAAGATGCCCGTCATCTTGTCATTGGAATGTGCCAGGCCGCGAGGCCCACCAGCCGTCAGCCCACTCAAGCTTGACGTATCCAGCCAAGGGCTGCAGCGATCGACCTCCTCGGGTCTCCCATCCTGGAGTCCGAGCATTTTTTTTAATTCCCCACTGCCAACCCCTTCTCTTGGAAGTGCCCTGGTGCTGGAATTGCAAACCCTGATTCGTGTGGTTGGCAAGTGACGGTCCAGAATATATCCTCTGGGTTTCTTGTCGCCTTCTCTTTGCTGTATATAGTTTCCCTCTCCTCATTTGGGCCATCCAATATTTGGTATTGACACCATGGCGCACACCGCGGGACCTGTTAATGTCCCCAAGCAGTTCGTGCTCTGCTTCGACGGCACGGGGAACAAGTTTGCGGGTGACGAGTCGGACAGCAATGTGCTGAAGATCTTCCGCGTGAGTAACACCCTGGCGTCTGTTGTCCAAGATCTCACTGACCGAGTATAGATGCTGGACCGAAGTCAGAGCCATCAATACCATTACTATCAGCCCGGTATTGGCACTTACGTGACCTCCAAGTCGCTTTCTAGTACCAGTCGCTTTCAGCGCATCAAGTCCGCCTACCAGAAGGCCAAGGACTCCGCGGTTGGATCGTCCTTTGACGAACATGTGATGGGTGGATACAAGTTCCTGATGCGCTACTACTCCCCCGGCGACGAGATCTACTTTATCGGATTCAGTCGTGGCGCTTACATTGCGCGATTCCTGGCGGAGATGCTGGACTACATCGGCCTGCTGGAAGCCGGGAACGAGGAACTCATCCGGTTCGCATGGAAAACATTCGCCAAGTGGCAGCAGCGAATGGGAGAAACAGAAGAGGAGAAGGAAGAAAAGAAGAAGCTGTTCCACTATATGAAGGCATTCCGTGAGACATTCAGTCGTCCCATCTCGCGTATCCGGTTCATGGGTCTCTTCGACACCGTAAACAGCGTACCGCGCTTCGAGTCCGCGTGGATGCAGCGCACCAAGTTCCCCTATACTGCACGCAGTTCCGCCAAGGTGATCCGTCACGCGGTTGGGATTGACGAGCGTCGTGCCAAATTCCGCCAGGACCTGATCTCCGGACGTCGACCAGAGCATGACAAGAGCCACCTCCATCGTCCGCACTTTGACCGGCATCATCTGCAAGAGCATCTGCATCATCACATGGATGCCAACCATCACCTACGTCTCCATCACGAGGAGAACCCGGAGGCCGTCCCTACCATCCAGGTGAACGATAACGGCCAGCAAGATACTGAAAAGGAATCCGAGCATCCCGCATTTCAAAGCCCGGGATGGGGTCCTGGTCCAGGCGAGACGTACTACCGCACTCCGCACGGCTCAGCTCCTCACAGCTCGCATCAAGGCAGTGAGAGTAACTTCGAGGGCGAGCAAGGTCACCCTCGCTATCGCGCGCCCTCCCCTCGGCGCACCAGTCTCGCTGTGCCCCATCAGGGTCCCTCGGCGGACGATGCCTCGTCTGTGCACAGTGGACAAAGTGGACGTTCTATACCCTTGTCGACCCAGTTACCGAGCCACGGCGACTATGACGACGAAGATGATCAGGATATCCATGAGATTTGGTTCCCAGGCTGTCACGCAGACATTGGCGGTGGCTGGAAACTGCAAGGAGGGGAGCTGTGGGCGCTCAGTCATGCGCCGCTGGTGTGGATGGTGCAGGAGGCCAGGAAGGCCGGGCTTCAGCTAGATGAGCGTAAGATGAAGCAATTCCAGTGCTTGGAGGAGTTTGACGGGGACTACACTGCAATCCGCGAAGAGATCGGTGCTCGGCGCCTTAGCACGGTCAATCAGTGTCGCGAGGACCACAACGAGACGGACGAAGCCTACCGCTCGGCGCCCAACGAGAAGGAACGGTCAGCTGCCAGCCGCGATTTCTGGCATGCACTGCACACCGCGAGCACAAAGGGTCTGCTGCACGACTGCCTGGAATTTAACCAGGGTCTGCCAACGCTCTCGGTCATCTCTTGGCGGATCATGGAGTGGCTTCCCTTTCGGCGAATGGATCTTCAGGCCGACGGGACCTGGAAACCGATCAGCTGGCCGCTACCACGCGGAGAGGTACGAGATGTGCCATTGGATGCTGAGATACACATCTCAGCCATTCGCCGGATGCAAGCCGATCCCAGCTATCGGCCCGGTAATGTCATTGTCGGAGGGGGTGGCCGAGGTGTGCGCAAGGCACCGACCGAGCGTGGTATGGGCGACTGGGTTGTTTACAAGAACGAGGGCGACGGGATTCGCGAGACCTACGTCCGCAAGAGCGAAGCCACCAAGTGCGAGGAGGGACATGGGGTCACCGCATAGTGTTTTTGTTGGATAGTCATTGCTGTTGCAGATGCTGCCATGCGAGACTTCATCTCAGACTGTACTCTATCAGGATATAATGTATGCCGATGAACGAGAAAAGAGGCTAGAGTCATCTGGAGCTGTGTGGACCCCGTGGACCCGCAGGCTGCCAGGACTGTAATCATCGTGGCCACCATTTCGTGGCTGCTGAGTAGGACGTCTGGTCAGGAGTAGATATTATTGCAGAGCCTCATCCATTCGAGTATATGTGATCAAGAATTGAGGCATGTTCAGTCATATTCATTCCTAGATAGTCATATTCATTCGTATTCATTCAATTCATTTTGTCCGTGTTAAGGGGCCGTGGTGGGATGTTGCAAGAGGTAAAGATAAGCGTTCATGAGATCCATCGTCCCAGTTCTTCCTCTCTCTCTCTGACCTCACCATTTCACTCCCTATCCTCACCCACTCACCTCTCCCCGGAAATCGACTTGGCCGGCCCAAGTTTCTCCTTTCCACCTATCCTCGACTCTCACAATGCGACCGGGCTAATTCCATTTTCCCGCTCCCTCGTTCACCACCATGGAAGCGTCGCAGCCTCCTGAGCCCCTGCGGCCTTCATCCTCGCCGCCCTCGCCCGAACCCGCCCGACTGCCATCCGCGCCGGGCTTTAGCCCGGAGAAGGCGAGCAAAGAGGACGTCATGATAACCCTGTCTCTCTCCCCCGAGCCACCGGCTCCTGGTCGGACTCTTTCTCCTACGTCTCGATCGCATCTCCGCTCTCGCTCACTGGCTGGCATTCCCGGCATGCCATCAATGACGCGAGCCTACTCGTCCCCAGGGCTGGACTCCCGGGGCCGTTATATCTTTATCAATGGTCGCGGGGTACCGGTATCTCCAGTCGATGCTGCCAAACGTTCACCCCTGCAAAAGCGCTCCGCAGAGGATCACGTCGAGACCCGGCTGGGATCACTCACCATTTCCGAGCCCATCTCAGAGAACGCCGAGCTCGAGATTGCCCCCAGATCGCCCATTTCGCATCCAGGCTCCTCATCACCAGTCCTGCCGCCCCTGACAACTCCTCGCTTGAATCGTCTACGGTCCACGTCGCCCCTCCACTTCAACAACCAGGTCGTCAGCCCTCCATCCCTGTATTCGTCGTCGCCCATGCTCGGTTCTAAATACAATGAAGCCTACCCGGGGCCTTCAGCTTCCTCTACTTCTTCGGTCCCTTCCACACCAACCAGCCTCCGGTCTCGAAGCCCGAGCATTTCGTCCCTGGAGACGATCCCGGACACTCCTGACGCTGAAGCCGAAGCTCTGGAAGCTGATCGCATTGCGGATTTGAAAGCCGCCGCCGACGCGGCTGACACCGCGAGCACCACCCGACGCCGCGGCACCTCGGATACCTTTGGCCCATCGGGCTCTTTTGGCACGATGCGCGGGGGTTCAGGCCCTTACACGCCCCGTAGTGACAAGCGAAAGCGATGGAGCGTCTGCGGAGCTGAGCGTCGACAGGATCTTGATCTGGAAACGATTTGGGAGGATTGACACCTGCACCTTCTCTTTCCCTCTTCCCGATGACTTCGGTCAGCGCTTTTTTTCGCTTGGGAGTTGATTTCCGCCTCCACCTCCCGGTTTCTTCGTTCTCTGGTGATCTGTCTCGCCTGCCATTGACTTTCTATTTCTCGATACCCATTCATTTTATCTCCCGACCGAATGTACATATTAGGTTTTTTTTTCATTTCGAAGAAGCGATTTTCTATCTCTTTAGGATGCGGAGTTTTGTTGCAGGCGGTGCTTTGTGTTTTGTTCGGGGAACGGAAACTGAGAAGGCGCATGGTTATTTTGATCCGTTCATTATTATGCTGGGCATAAGCTGTTAGTGGAAATATGATGGGAATTTTTTTCACTTGACATTGTCATTCAACACCTGTATCTATTCATAGTTTCCCCAGTCCAAGGTAGCACCGCCCAATCATCGGGTAGCCCCGCGCCATTTCCTCACATCATCTACAATTGGTTCCGGTTAATGGTGCTGTTTCTCTCCCATCCCATCGCCTCATTTTCTTCTTAATATAGTTCAAGAAAGAGCCCGGATCATCCGCCGTCGCTCTCACACCATGAACACTCGCCAACTACACGTCGGCATCGTCGGTGCCGGCCTGTCCGGGCTGCGCTGCGCCGACATTCTCATCCAGAACGGAGCTCGAGTGACCATCCTAGAAGCAAGGGACCGGATAGGAGGAAGGGTATGTTTCCTCTTTGTCTGGATTTCAGACAAACATATTAAACTCCAACCTAGGTTCATCAAGAAGACGTCGGCAGACACCTGGTCGACCTGTAAGATCCTTATCTACCGCCACTCCTCATACTTACCCTTCAACCAGCGGGCCAAACTGGATACATGGTACTGGTAACAACCCGATCATGTCCATAGCCGAGGCGACCAAAACAACCACGCATGATCCAGAGGGCGAGAATATCCTGCTCTCGCGGGATGGCGCCGTGGTCGACGCGGATCTCGCAACCAAGGCCTCGGAATTTATGTGGACGACTATCGAGCAAGCTTTCGAGTACAGCAACAAGCACGGCGAGTCTATCCCGGCAGGCCGAAGCCTGTTCAACTTCTTTCAGGAGAAAGTCCAGCAGACAGGGTTTTCGCCCGCTGAACAAGAACTCTGTCTGGATGCTTGTAAGCTCTGGGGTGCCTATGTGGGGGATCCTATTGAGAGGCAGAGCTTGAAGTTTTTCTGTTTAGAGGAATGTACTGATGGGAGTATGTACTGACTGTCTGCTCCAATGGCTTCCCTTGTGCTAATTTCTTGCCCTCCAGGTAACTATTTCGTTGCGTCCACTTATAAGCGAATTCTAGAGCATGTCTCGAGGACTGCTCGTGAACAGGCTGATATTCGGTTGAACCAGCCTGTCAGCAGAATTGACACTGTGCCTCGTAAGGATGGAGAGCAGCATCAAGTAACCCTCACCACGACCACAGGGGACCGCTATGCTTTCGACGAGGTAGTGGTGACTTGTCCACTCGGCTGGCTCAAGCGAAACCAGCATGCGTTCCACCCCCAGCTCCCCAATCGACTGCGGCAAGCCATTGATGGCATCTCCTATGGCCGGCTCGAGAAAGTCTACGTTACCTTCCCACGAGCCTTCTGGCAGTCGGGACCTAATGGCAAAGGAGTAGGCCCTGACTGGGCCCAGTTTCTGGAACCAAACTACACAGACCACCCAGCGCACATCCAGTGGAGCCAAGAATGTCTCTCGCTCGCCTCACTCCCTCCCTCCTGCGCACAACCCACACTACTCTTCTATGTCTATGGCCCCTGTGCCACACACCTAGTTGAAGGAATAGCAGATCTCGAACCGTCATCAGCGGACTACAAAGATTTCCTGGTTCAGTTCCTACAGCCTTTCTTCTCGCGTCTCCCAGGATACTCTGTCTCTTCACCAGACTGCAAACCAAGCGCTTGTCTCGCTACACGCTGGCAGGCAGATCCTTATGCTGGCAATGGCTCATACTGTAACTTCCAGGTTGGCCTCACACAAGCAGACAAGGATATTGAGGCGTTACGATCCGGGGGTGGTCTAGGATGTAGTCAAGGATTGTGGTTTGCTGGCGAACATACTGCACCCTTTGTGGCACTTGGTACAACGACTGGTGCATATTGGAGTGGTGAGCGTGCCGGTAGGCAGCTATGTCAGGCTCGTGGGCTTGGGAGTGTGGGAATTGGTGCTGGAAGAGATGATTCTCTGCCTTCTGCTCATAAGCAGTGAGGTCCATTTAGATTCATTCTTTGATGTAGATCTAGGTTAGGCATAAAGATGCCATAGAATGACTTGTCTATCTCAAATGCAATAAGATCAAAGAGGGCTACTTCTTCCTATCCGATAGGTAGCCTTGATGATGTTCCTGCCCGCACGTGGGTGAATATCAATCAGTTTTGCAAGACTATAAACAAGCCCATTCACCTTCTGTCTCTTCTCTTCACCCCCTTCCATTCATTCACTTCTCCCGTCCGCTCACTTGCACTCTATTTCTTGGCCCCAACCCTCCATCCGGCCTCATCTTCGACATACCCTCTTACTACCAAGCTTACTTGTCTCTTGCCCACTATGGGGGAATCGATGCCGAACTTCTATGTTGGAGAAGGTCCGAACCTGAATCCGGACCCAGGCCTCTTTGAGCCCATTGTGGATCAACTCACTGGATTCGTGTATCCTTCGGTGGAGAGTCTGATATACCCGTCCACCAGGGATGACGAGGTCGACATTCAGATCTCGATCGCCAAAATCCGGGTGGACGGATACGAGGTGGCCAGGGAGCGTGTGGATAACTTGGAGAAGCAGATACTCAGCGCTTTCCTCGACCATTTACTCAGCCAGGGCAAGCTCGTGCTTTGTAAAGAGATAATGTGCTGCGCCGCCGATGACCAGCTCCATACAGTGTACTCCCGCCTGAGAGACTGTATACTCCTGCCAAGTAAGTCGCGCCTTCTCTCTTAAGTCATAGCCAGCTGATTGCTCTGTGAGCACGATAGTGCTGAGTCGGACCCCTGGCGATGAGGAAAAGCTGCATGACAAGAAGCAGCGCCAGCTCCATGAACAATGCCTGGACCGAGACGGTGATGCTTGCGTGGTCACTCGCATCATGGATACGGTCAGATATCATGACCATTCACAGCCCGATGAGCGCGTGGAGGGCCTGACCGATGCCATCTACATCCTCCCCCGTCCTTACGAGGAGTACCATGGATCTACCGACGACGACTCTGGAGCTGTCTCTGGCAGTGGTGCCTGGCAGGCACTGCGACGTTACTTCCCTAGCACAGCTAATGCTCTTGAGCCGCGTACGGTCAGATCTGCAGGGAATATGGTCACGTTCTGGGACGAGCTGGCCATGGAATGGGACCGGTTTGGAGTTTCCCTTGAGCCTACCGTACGTAACCCCATCGCTCACTTCGCTGCCCCCCAATAAGAGCTAATTCGCTTGGTATTCAGGCTGTTTCAAATCAATACATCTTCAAAGTCCGCCCTCGTTGTGAGAGGGACTTCTGCGAACTGGCCGAGACGACTGTGCGGCTGCAGCAGAGTGATTTAGGGCAGGGCATCCCGCTCCCACACATAGAGTTGATTCGCGTGCATCACACCATCGCCGCCATCCTAGCGCAGTCAGGAATCACTGAGTATCTGCAGTCTATTCTATTCAAGCGGAAGAACATGGGCGCTGGAGGAGCTGGATGAGATGAAGCACAAGCATGAGCAAGGGGAAGAACACGAAGAAGACGATGCAGGCGATGATCACGACAAGGACAACGATGTGGAATAAAGAGACAAAGCCAACTGTAGAGTATACGAAAGGACTACCAGAACATACGAGAATCAAGGTTATATGATTTATTCCAAGAATTAGAGGTAGTATCTGCACTCTGAACAAATACAGACAGGAAAAGAGAAAGACACTCATAGGATCATGAAGAATCGCTTGCTTGCTACACATCTCAAGAGCCATGGACACAGACAAACACACATCCGAACAAAGGAAATAAAACAAACGAAAAAAAAAGTTTACTTTGAATCATCTCCATGCCCCTTGGCTTAGCGACAACAGGCCCTGCACACAGTCCAGATCATCTTCCTGACTGGCACCGCCTGCACCACTCATAAACGCTGAAACGTCTGCACTGAGTTCGGGGGGAGCCTTGTTCTGTAGTCCATTCGGGAATGGCCTGTTGCGCTTGCCATTGGTCATAATACCCAACCCTCGGTTTCGGTTGGTTTCCTTGAGGACAGGGCGGGAGGGGTGTGAGGTTGTCTTGCGACGCATGTTCGAGGTCCGAGTGCCTGGAATCCAGTTCTCTTTGTCTGAATCACCATCATCGTCGTCATCATCCAGCTGAAGATCTGGCTTGCTGCTCAACTTGGACGACATGGGCTTGAATGGCGTCTTCGGGGCAAAACCCATACCCCGGTTGCGGCTGTTCTCTAGCCGTCCGAGGGAAGAGACGGTCCGTGAGAGTTTTCGCCGCTTCTCGCCTATCGATTGAGAGATGGGTGTGGTGGTCGCCTCGGCACGGGCCAAGAGACTGTGTCTGCCTGAGAGACTTCTGCTCAGAGAACGCTGGGAACGTGAATGAAACAGGCCCGGAGACGCGGCATTCGGGCCAGGTTGGGAGCTCGTCGGGGTCGACAAAGCGCTGCGGGCGTCCGTGTCAAAGAACGACTCCCAGTTCCGCGGGTCGCGGGACCGGCCAAACACGCGGTCTTTTTCGGTTGAGGTAGGGAAGATGGCACTGCTGCTGCGCCGGAGACCGGAGAATTTTGTGCGGCGGACGGAGAACATAGCAACGCGGTTTTTGGAGGGGAGGGTTCGTCCTCTGCGCGGATGACGGCCTTGCCATCACACGACATGGCAATGCGCAACGCGTTGCGACTTTTCGGCGGCGAGGGGGTCAGCTCGCCCTCCTTGCGCACCATGGCCTCGCCATCGAATGACATAGACAGCCGCAGCGACGGCGGGGATTTTTCTGTGCTGGACTGCTCGTTTCCGCCCTCGCCACGGATATCAGACGCAGAGCGTTTCCGCTTAGGCGGGTGTGGCGAAGACCCGTCCCCCATGTCCTGGTCGGGTTGCTCCAGGTCCTCGTGAATCGTTGTTTGTGTGTCCTCCAGAGCGTCTGTTGCGACGGTGGACTGGCTACTTTGTGAAGGCAATCCGGGTTCCCCTTCTTTATCCTCGCTCACCGGGTCAGATCGATCAGAGAACTGCAAAATCTCGCCATCCCATGGTTTCGAGGTCCGCGGCCCGTGAAGATCCTGCGTGTCTGATGATGGCTCGGCCCCACTCGAGGACGGCTCCGCCGACGCGCTATCATCACTGGCCGGTTGTGCAGACGAGTCGGTCATGCTCGAGCGAAGAGCGAGCAGTTCGTGCGGCTGGAGTGGCTTGGATTTGCGGCGGTCGTTCTGGCGGCGGTTTTGGAACCAGATCTGAAGCACCGGAAAGTCAGGGTCAGGGAATCGGAGGTTTCAAATTCCTGTAAACATACCTGAACCTCTTTCTCGCCGAGCGAGACGCGGCTGACAATACTCGCTCGGGCAACCTTGTCCGGTTTCGGATTCTTCTGGTATTCAGCTTCGAGAACCGCGTGATCCTCGGGGCTATACAGACGGACACGATCATGCCGGTTAGCCAAGGCGCGTCTGGGGGCGCGGCGAGAACGCCAAAAAATGGGAAACATACCTAGTCCGACGCCGCTTCTGGCGTGCTAGAAGCTTGTTATCGACACGGGGAGGGAGGTTTTGGGTGAGGGTTTTCTGGGAATGCACCAGGAAGGCGTAGTTGAGGACATTGGAGTCGGTGGCCGAAAGAGAGGGTGAGGACGAGGCCGCCACCGAAGACTCCGGGTCTGACATTGTGCTATGACAAGGGCATGTGGTTGGATATAGGTGGGTTGTGTGTTTTGTGGTGTGCGTGTGTGAAGGGGAAGAGGAAGGGGAGAAGAAGTGGGAAGGGAAGAGCAGACCCGTGAGGCTCGAGTGCCCAGAATCGCGTCGCGATGTGGACGCGGGAAAGTAGCAGGAACGTGGGCCGCGCTAGTCAGGCAGTGCGTCGCCGAGGTACCGGGTACTTGGACGTGTCGGTGCTACTCGACTGCGATTCCATCTATTACTCGGTCCGGGTTCATTTGGTTTGAATTCTCCTTCGTTTTCCTCTGTTCGACTGTCTAGCTAATTCGGAGAATTCCCCACCATGCCTCCGTTCGCTGTATGCACAATCTACCCAGATCGGGTCTGTTCGCGTCTTCATGTTATGATGTACTTCCATCCTTATTTTTCTTTGATCTTAATTTTGGTTTCCTTCGTTTCATTGTCATCGTGGCCTGTCTGAACTATGCTTGGTCGTCATATAAACGCGTGAAGACACGAAGTCAGGTGATCTGTCAAGGCTGCATGACTCAGCCTCAGCCATGTGTCACGTGGAACGGTACATTCCTCGACAGGGCGAGACATTCCGTGTATCTCGCGTTGATCGCATGACGAACGGCCTGGAATCTCCGGCGCGTCATGAACGGGCCCCCCAGCATTCCTTCGTGCAGGTCATCTCGCCCGATTAATCCACTCTACCCTTGACAGTGCGGGGAATGGGCATTAATCGGCACACCGGGACACCCTAAGGCTATCGGCCCACGGGCCTCGCCCATGGGTACTACCCGGCCGTGATAGGTTGAATGTCCGTAGAAGCTCCGGTACCTGGGGTTTGCAAAACCCACCCCGGTCCTCTGGGCTCTTGTTCACTTTCCACCCCCTGTCGTTTCTCTTCCGCCATTGCAACGCTCTTGCTTGCGTCTATATGAGACCGGCCATGTCCGGTAGGGTGTGTAGATTGGACAAACTTATGTCGACGTCTTATATTGGGGGCGTTTGCTATCTCGCATAGTCACTATCGAATTGAATTGCCGAAAATATGGGCCGCTTCTTCGCCGTCTCCGTGGCCGTGTTGGCGGCGACGGGTTCATTTCTGTTCGGTTATGATTCCGGCGTGATGACAGATGTAATTCAGTCACCCAATTTCTTGAAGTATTTCAATACTACGCAAGCATCGGCCATCATCGGGGCGATCAACAGCACCTATTCTGGTGGAGGTATAGTATCCCAATGGAAAATACACAAAATCAAGAGACAATAGGCTGATCTTACTCCAAATTAGCGGCAATCGGGTCGTTTCAAGGCAGCCTGACCATGGATCGTTTCGGCCGCAAATTCACCATCCAAATGGGTGCTTTCATCTGCCTGATCGGCGCAACTTTGCAAGCCGCAGCGCAGAGCCTCGCCATGATCCTCACCGGTCGTATTCTGGCCGGCTGGGCTGTTGGCCTGCTGTCCATGTCAGTACCGGTCTATCAAGCCGAGTGTGCACACCCGCGGTCCCGGGGCATGATGGTCGGGATGGCGCAGCAGATGATAGGCGTTGGGTTCATTGTGAGCACGTATGTTCCCTCCTCAATTTCTGCATATTGTCCTAATCAAGGCCAGATGGGTGGGATACGGGTCTCTCCATGCGCCGGACACTAGCCAACTTCAATGGCGCTTCCCGCTCGCCTTCCAAGTCGTCCCAGCGCTGGTCCTGGGTATTGGCATGATGTTTGTGCCAGAGTCGCCGCGGCACCTCATTGAAAAGCAGCAGTATGACGAGGCGTGGCGCGTTCTACAGAAACTGCACTTCGATGGTAGCAATGACGCCTGGATCTACCGCGAGTATACGGAGATCCGGACGACAATCGAGGCCGAAAAGGCTCTCCGAACGCCGGGCTGGGGGCCTATGTTTACTGTTCCGCAATGGCGGACCCGCCTGCTGTACGTGCTGTGCTGTTCCTTTGTTATCATGATAATCCCTAACGATCTGCTAGTCACGGCGTCGCCGTCCAAGCATTCACCCAGATGACGGGGATCAACGTGATAGGCTACTACCAAACGATCATGTACAAGGCTCTCGGCATCACAGGCCACCGCAACACGCTGGTAGCGGGTCTGTACAATTGCGTTGGCCCGATCACCAACCTAATCTTCATCGTGTTTCTGCTCGACCGGGTGGGTCGCCGCAAACCCATGCTATTTGGCTCGATCACCATCTCGCTCGCCCTAGTCTGTGAGGCAGCCCTAAATTCACAGAACCCGGATGGCCAGCGGCTCGGGTATAGTATAGGCGGGGTGTTTTTCTTGTTCCTCGTGTCAGTGTTGTTTTCGCTGTCATTTGGGCCTTGCAGCTGGGTGTACATGGCTGAAGTGATGCCGATGCAGATTCGGGGGAAAGGGAATGCCTTCGCCGTGGGGATTGGCAATTGGGCAGTCAGTACTCTGTGGAATCAGGTGTCGCCCATTGCGCTGGGCAAGCTTCAATGGAAGTTTTACTTTGTGTTTGTCGCATGGAGTGGGTTTTCTTCCTTTCTTATCTACTGTGTACATCTGCTGATTTTCTCTACCAGATCTCTGCGTCTCCCTTCCAGTTATTTATTTCTTCTTTCAGGAAACCAAGCAAAAGTCACTCGAGGAAATTGATCTATTGTTCGGTGGGAGAGCCCTGGGCACATTACCAGAGGAGGTGGGCGTCGTGGCATTGCGAGACGAAAAGGAACAGACCCCAGTCCTGCAGGTGGAGGATGCGAGCTCTTCCGCGTAAACTACTCGGCCTTGGGCGAGATTCTGATCTAAATCGATATCATAATAAGAGGATATGTCTGTTCGGCTGTCGTACTTTAGTGTCGTAATCCCATACGGAGCCAAGACGGAGATAAAGTGGGCTAAAGACCGGGCTCCCCTCGCGAAGCACAAAAGGCAGTCGGAAGAACACCATCTTCTCTAATCCACCCAAACATCTGTCTTTCTTTCCAAAATGTCGACAGTGATTGTATTTGGCCCGACTGGCCGCGTCGGTTCTGTCGCGGCACGCACTGCCCATGAGCATGGAGCCAAAGTCTTCCTAGCCATGCGCGACACGCAGAAGCCCATCCCAGGGCTGAGTGCAAAGGAAGAACAGGCTGGCGGCTTTGAAAGAGTCCAAGCTGACCTGACCGACCCCGACTCCGTCGCCGCAGCAGTTGAAAAATCAGGTGCCCGACGTGCATTCATCTATTGCGCATTCGGGAAGCCTGACCACATGCGGTCCACACTGCGAGCTCTCAAGTCCTCCGGTATTGAATTTGTCGTCTTCCTGAGCAGTTTCACCATTTCAAGTGAGCCGGCCGACGTCCCACCCAGTGAACTCATTGCCTACGTCCATGCCCAAGTCGAGATCAGTCTCGACGAAGTATTCGGGCAGGAGAACTACGTGGCCGTGCGGCCGGGAGCTTTCGCCACGAACACTCTTCGTTTCAAGGATGCTATAAATGCCGGTGAAGTAAAGCTCTTCGCTCCAGACTTCACGTTTGACCTCATCACGCCCATCGACATGGGTCGCGTCAGCGGCACGATTCTAGTGCAGGGTCCGCGCAATAACCAGCGCAAGGTGTATCTATATGGACCCAAGATTTTCACACATCAAGAGGGTATTGGAGCCATTGCGAAGGTCTTGGGTAAAGAAGTCAAGTTCTCGAAGATCAATGCGCAGGAGGAGCTGGATGGGCATCTCCAGGCCGGCGCACCCCGGCCGTTCGCGGAGTATATAGTGCGGATAACGGGGGGTCCTGACAAGGGGCGTCGTGCGAATTATGAAGAGGGCGTTGAGAATGTAAAATTGTACACGGGCAAACCTGCGACCGGATTTGAGGAGTGGGTGGAAGCCAACAAGGAGCTCTACAGCGTCTGATACCGGCAACTACCACATTGCTCTTCTGGCGGCGTCAAACTGTGGCTATCAATGAAAATTTTATTGAAAAATATTTGTTCAAACTACTTGAAAGCACTCTCGCATAGCAGCGCATAGGTAAAGCGAGCTACAAGTGACAAATGAAGTCTTTGAGTCGTTTGCAGAAACATACACAGCGGGCTGAGTGATTTTTACATCTCTAATTCATAATGTTCACGCCAACTGTTTATATACACAATAGTATAAAATTAGGCTGAATACGGTATGGATATAACAGATTCTTGTCCTAGTTACTACGTCTAGATGTGTAGCAGAACAAGTGGAGTATTCCGCCACCCTAAGCCTGTTCAGGCGACGAACCACTTCTACTCCGATTTTACTCCGACACCTACAACGAACTCCTCACCTCGCCATGGCGGACCCCGAACGGCGATCACAATCGCCAGCCACTCGTCGAAATGGCACACTGCAGTCGTGCGAGCCCTGTCGCAGATCCAAGCAGCGGTGCGACCACGAGCGACCGGTGTGCCGACGCTGCACGACTAAGCGCATTCCGGATCAGTGCTTCTACCATCCGGCGCCGATGACCAGACGAAGACCATCGGATCCGGTCCATGCAGCGATAGTCGCGTCGAAGCGGCTAGTCAGCCAACCAACTTCCAAGTAAGCGCGAACTCTTGCTTGGTCTGCCAAGGCGCCGTAACTGATTTTTTCTCTCCCAAAAAAGCGCCTCCAGCCCTGGATCATTGGGTAATGGCCGCATATATACACCGTTAGAGCAGCACTCTTCTACGCTGCCGGGATATTTGGGGTCTACCAGTTACACTGCGGTGCTGGCTGAGCACCGCAATGAAATCCCCTTTGAACCGGATGAGAGCTCCGACTCGGTATCCTCAGACACGTTGGTCGAGCCAAATCGACTGCAGTCCGGGCTGGAAATTCTTCATTTCCTGTATAATCTCACTGTGTGTCAGACATTAGTCCAGAGATATTATGCCAGAGGAGGGAATGCAGCCATGCCGAAAATTATGATAGACACCATCTTGAGCTCCATCCGCCAGATCTTTGACGGGTTCGACGCCAACAATGTCACCCCTCAGCTGCAGGATCTTGCCACCCAGATGATTCATAACTCCTCCCGGCCGTTGATTACGCACCGATCTATGACTGTCAAGGAGTACTGCTCGTCGTTTACGGGCCGTAATTTCCGATGGGAGGCCCTCGGAAGCATTTTTGCGCTGTGTGGTCAGCAACTAGTTTGCACCCCGGACAATGATCCGCTTATTGCCCAGACGGCCGACGACCACCGAACCAGAGACCGCCTTCTGGAGCAAGTGACCGTAGCCAGCGCGAAATGTCTCGACTTTTGTGAGCAGGCCTCTTCGGCCAATGAATTGCTAGCATTTCTGCAATACAACGATGCGATGTTGCGCACACAGCAGTATGGCGATTCAAGTGAGTTCTTTTCTCCATCCCTTGCGCTCTGACTGACAAATCATATAGGTTATGATGCATGGCGTCGTCTTGGTGACCTGGTAGCCACTATCTATGCCGCCGGTCTGCACCAGGACACCGATGATTCCGATGATAGCCCGTTCTTCCTGCGTCAATGGCGACGAGGCTGCTTTGCGAGTGCATTCCATATGGACAAATTGATCGCGACTTTTGTTGGGCGGCCGCCTCTCATGAACTATCGCTACTGCACATTGACGGCCCCGCTGGACCTGGCGGATGGCGTCCTAATAGCCGGCGGTGACACACTCAGTAAAGCCATTTCCGAGCTTGACAGCGCCGGCTGGAGCACGAACGGAATCAGGAATCGCATGAGCCCTGCCCGTCTGCGATATCAATTGGCCATCTTTCGGGAGCAAACTCTTGAGATTGCGTTGGGTACTCACCCGCAGCGTGACTTGATTCGCAAATCAAAGTGAGTCTCTAGGCCTACATCATATGATCCAAAATCTAAATTAGGTTTAGTGAGATAACGAAGAACGCCCGCGCCGTGTGGGAAGCTTGCCCAGAGCACCTTCGGTTTGACCGACAGATGCCAGGCGATGAGCGCGACGGCTCGCTCCTTGTGCGATACATGTACCTGGATTATCTATACACATTCTTCTTGCTTCAACGCTCCTTGATCAAACACACCAACACCGGGCAGGAAGCCCTACTCGACATCTCACGGCAGCTGCTGTCCATGGTGATCCAGATTAGTTCCGTTCGGAATCCCTTGGTAGACATGGACCGTCATTTCTCATGGATCGTAAGTACACTCTCTTGTTTTTCAAATCGCGCGCTAACTGCAATCCAGGTCCTCAGCTATGGTCTACCCAGCGCCAGTGTGCTGCTGATTGAACTTCTGCGCCAGTCGCATGAACCGGGCCCACATGCCACTCCACTGCCACGCGCCGAGCTCATCCGCAATCTCAGTGTGTTCGTGTCTTTCTTGTCGTGGGTGTCGCGCCCGGGCCATGGCAACTACCACACCTGCAAAGAAGCCGAGAAGAAGTTGTCTTATATTCTCGACCAACTGCTCGACCCGCAGCCGGTGCATGCCGGCGTGGTGGACGATGCCACTTCTGGCTTGTATAATTTCTTAAATTTGTCGAACTACAACACCTGGGACTTTAATTCGGAATACATGCCTCCAGCTGATGGTTTTGCTCTTTGAATGGTCTACAGCACTACGCACGATCACCGTCGATTCGGTCGTGGTCATAAGCGTCATCATTAACGGCGAGGGTACATACAGACACCCTCATGAATCTCGACTCTATCCATATCCAACAACAATTACTTCACCCAGAGTCATACCATCCATACAAAGTCGTTACGCGGCGGTGCATCCGACACGAAGTACACTCGATGACACAACGGGCAATTGAAGTGGTCGCCTAGAAACCATTTCTCCAGACACTCGCGATGGAACACATGCATACATTGCAACTCCCGGATCTCCTGCGAGCGGTTCACCTGCTCGAGACATACCGCACTGTTCGATTCAAATGTCAGTGAGGCAGTTGCAGACGCACACAGGACGTCAAATAATCTCACCAGACAAACTGCCCGTCCACCGCTTCAGACAGACCGAGCTTTCCTTTTGTGGCAGACCACCACTGCTCAAGTGTGCTAGTTGGGGACACAGCATCCAGACTGCGCAATCGCGCACTGGGGTCTTTGCGATGACGCAGGAAGGCCTGTCGGTCGCGGCGGTTGACGAAGATGGTTAATCTATTGATGGTGCGTGAGTGGTGGGAGTAAGATATAGTCAGGACGAGCGTGAACACCCACACTAGACAGATTATAATCAGCAGTACCACACCAAGCCCGATGCCCAGCACTATGGCCATGTGGTTCTTGCCGAAGTCCTCCTGCTCCGACTCCGCCATGGTTTTGGTCTTGTGCTCTAGTAGTAAACTCTGTCAGAGCTACCTACTTCTCTAGGTGGTTGGCTGTCAAGGACTGGCAAAGAGGGCAGACGCAGTCGCAGATAAAAGACCACAAAGAGGGCAGGGGCTCGCCCTTGACCCGTCTCTCTATTGATATTCAAGTCTCCCTTGCCACTTAGTTGGGTGTTTGACAACAAGGAGAGAATGTTTCGGAGCTCTGGTTCAAAGCGGGGGAGCGTGATCGACGGCCACCAGCCAATCATCGGAGGTTGCACAACAAGCAGATCCGTCGATCATCACGTCGGTCGTCACGTACTACAGTTAGATAGTTAGTGACATAGTAGAAGCATTAGTGGATTAGCGGTATTCTCTCATAGCACATGGCTGCTCCGGCTCCAACGAACTAAAGCTACAATGCCCTATCTCCCGCCCTTCCCACTACACCACCACCACCCCCCAGCTCACCGGTCCTATCGCAGCCGTGTCTAGCGCCTCGCCCTTGGGGGGGGGGATGACAGGCTGCACTAATAGCGACGCTATTACTACCCGCCAAGGTCATCTGAGACGGAAACCGCCTGCAACCTATCCCCACCAAAACACACAGCATAATAGCCGCAATAAGCAGCGCCAGAAAATAGGCAGAGGCGCGTACCCTAGCGAGCTGATCTCAAGGCCTCTATCGGATCGATCGGACAGATCGTATGGAACCGTCTGCTCATAGTAGAGGCTCTGCGAGACCATCTAGTGCAGAAGCATATCTGCCAGCACCACGGGGATGTTTTATGTGCGCGGGATGCTAAGCCAATAAGTGGATCGCTGTCCACTGTTACGGGCAGGGAATGTTACTCGGAGTGGGCGTCGGTGAACAGCGTAGCTACTCCGTTGCACGTAGTAGCTTAACCAACGCCTTATATCCATTCTGTGCCGCCAAAGGTAGGGGCCTTTCATCGAATTCAGATAGAGATTAGGCATAAGCTCCTTGATATAGCGTTTTTTAAGCTATCGCTTCTTGCCCACTTTTTGCAGCCTACAACAATGCCGAACCCCCAAGTTGTTATACATCGTAACGATTAAGGTAGGGATTTACGATATTGTAAAGATAGGTATTTGTTCGAGCAAAAGCATTTAAATGCTCTACGAATTCTAGATCCTTTGCGATGCGCTACAGTAGTTCATTTGGTAAACGAAGCAGCATCTCAAAAGGTTTGCGCTTCACGATAAATAAGTTAAGGTAGGTAGGAGACTAGGAGAAGCATGAACGGTAGCATATGTATAGCAGTTTCGCGTCAAATACAGCACACAAGAGTCTCGCCAACATCATATAGAATACAAGGTTTATTCTAGGAAGCGGAGGGTCTACGACTATAACATAGTGGGATTATCGTGTTTCAGGTTAGGGTTCGGGGATTCATTCGTGAGAAGATATTGGTATATCTGATTTCGAATATCGCTGTACAACAAATGTAGACGTCCCAATTCTCGCTGTCATATCAGCAGCTTGTAGAAGCTTTGCACCTTATAGCATGGAATTTTGAGTTCCTCACGCAACCCGAAAAGCGTCAATGGAGAATGGCTTGCTTTCTATTTCATTACCTGTAGACGGCCTCTTGAATGTTCCTTTCGCGCAAATTACTCGTTCAAAGGAAATTCGGGGTGACTCCATTTTAGGCTGTCTACATACCTTATTAGAATTTACTTGGATTTGGTAAAACTCTTGGGATTAGCATCGCTTAATTCCGGCACGAAAGACATCGGAGGATATGTTTGCTGACCCCCGATAGGAATGGTGACGAGGGAAAATGTTATATAGGGTAATCTTCAAGGACGGAACAACCGAGGATTAGACTTTTGGACTATTTGGTCCCGGTCCCGCTCGTGGAAATCATGGGGAAAGACTTGGAGCCATCCGTTCTTCCCAAGGTTTTCACCACGGATTTCAAGTAATTAGATAATTGTATGAAGGCAAAGGAGCTGAAAACAAACATCGACAATGCAAAAACTAACATCTTTTCCTGAACAAGTATTCTTCCAAGGAGATTAACTTGGTTATTCTTTATGCTATTAGTCTGGTCTACTGCCTCGGGCAACTTACTATATTGGGCCTGGATTTTTCAAGGCTTCGATCTACGCCGAAAGGAATGTATGTTACATGATTGACGAATATTCCTGCTATTTCACAAGTTTTTTGCCACGACAACATTACAATCTTCACAGAATCTCCTTCCAATCTAGCTTTCGAAACGCGGCCTCCGTTTTGATCACGCACTTCCGATCATCCGCAGACAGAACCTCATCGATGTTAATTACATGATCACCATCGAGACCAGCCCAGCTACGTTCTCGCAGGGCACTCCACATATCCATCATCAAGCCCATCTCCTCGCCCCAGCCAGGCCACAGTTGGCTATACTCATTCAGAGGAACCTGAACAACCATAGTCGAGCCCGCCGACGGGGATAGACCACTCGCGCGACCCCACACAGCAAGGTAATCATTGAGAGAGGAGTGATACTCTGCAAAGCATCGGACAAAAGTTCCGCCAACTTTGTGTGGATTTTTCACAATGGCACGGGCGAAGATTCCGGTGTTGGTTCGGTGATCACCCACGGACCAGATTGGAGTCGAAGGGTCTGCCGGAGACAGTTGGATAAATTTCTGTGCGCTTTTCTGTAAAAGAGGTTAATTAAACGAACCAATCTAGAAGCAAAGTGACGGGGTGTACGTACCACATAGATCGGAGTGAAGATCGGATAGAAGAGATTCTCGGTATAGAAACCAAACCAAAGGAACGTTGTTTTCGCAAGAAGAGCCTTGTCGTTTTGAATGAACCGATTGATTCGGTTCTTGGCTTCGAAATGTGGGACAACAAATTTGCCTTTTGTCAGAGTGTTGCCATCCGGGAGAGTACTCCAGAGGAAGTGCTGAAGTCCAGCTGTCTTCGAGGCTGCCCGTGCAATATTTTCTCCCTGTTTCTGCTCAATTTCAATAGCCTTGTGGGGACCGTGTTTGGCGAATGGCTCAAAGAAATCAGTCATCGCGAAAATAGCCGAAGCTCCCTCAAAAGCTTTCACGAGGCTCTCTTCATTGTCGATATCCGCCTTCACCACTTCTACGCCTTTTTTCGACAAAGCCTGGGATTTCTCGCTTTGAGGCTGACGGGTTACACCCCGAATAGTGTAGTCCTTTTCCGTGAGGAAGGCCTCTACCACGGAGCTCCCCTGGCCTCCAGTAGCACCCAGCACCACAATCAACTTAGAAGGCGCCATTTTGGTATAAGACTGTGCGAGACTGAAGTCAAAATTAAAGATATGAAATGACGTATTCCTCAGTTTTGAAACGGTTGTCAATTGGTCTTATACATTTTTGGTTTTCAAACAGTAATATAATGTTCGTTACTAATTTTGCCTCCCGTGGCGCCCCTTGCGTCAACACTCGAGCAGTTGCCTTCACGAATTTCGGGCTTGGCAAACGCCGGGATCCCGTTAGTTCGACCAAAGTAGTTTTGCGATATAGCATAGCAACGAAAATAGGCTGCTCACGAGGTTTGATTCGAAATGCAGATCTGGATTCGTAGGGTACCCAGGTATGTGGAAATAAAACTTTGGTAGTGGCTACTTTAGTCGGAGTACTCCGTGCGCCGTTTCTCCATGCTTTTGCAGAAACTGGAATCCTTTGTCGTTCCTGAGTGATCGCATTTCTAATCTTGGTTGAATAAAAATGCCGGAGACATTCCAAGATTCAAATTGTGCCGAAGCTGAATAATCCGCGTTCGCGTGCGATCCAGACTTTGTCAGTCGTAATAAACTACTTCGTCGGATTCATGAGAAAAGCTCAATCCCTGGGCTGCTCTAACAGACCAATCCACCGACAATAGAGAGAATGCTCAACACCAGACCCCGGCACTTTTTGAGAGTCAAATTACGTGTGCGTTGCACCCTACGCTGTCCGGAAATGACGGGCTCTCCTGGACTTTGAATCGATTACGAATGAAGTGAGTTTATTTATATCTGCAGAAGCTCAATCAAGGTATTCTATTTGGTTTGACTCCAAATTCGTTAGGCATATTAACAGGGTGGGTATTGTTTCCGCCGGAAGGCAATTTTGCTTAAGTTGGGCTATTATCCTCTGCGATCTTCCACACCTTTATCCAAGTGCCAGCTGCAGCAAAACCTCTCCAAACCTCGACGAATCATGGGGTGCTTACGATGCAAGCGTTTTCGGTATTGCAAGAATATCATACTTGTGCTCTGGGCCAATCCAAACCTAAGCTCATCTAGACACGAAGCAGAGCAAGAGCCCGATGCGATGATGGCTTGGCTTGAGAAAGTACTTCGCCGAGCGGATGAGCTTTATCGCACCCTTGCTCTGCAGGAGTTAATTTTTCGATTTTTACTTCTCCGGCAGCATTTGAATTGTGTCTGGACCAAGCAAAGGAAACTGGTGGGATTTTTGAAGAGGGTGACTGGGATACAAACCGGGCTGCTGAATCCCGGGTCTGGCGTAGCATCAAACCAACCGCATTAAAGAATGAATTATCCAACGACACAAGCACAGACAGGAAACTGGGCTATTGGGTTCGAACAAGCTTCTTTGATTGGCTTGAAAGGGAGGATATGCAATTTGTTTAACATAAGAATAAAGGCACGTGAGGGTAAGTGCTAAGCGTGTTCTCTAGCAAAACAAGCCAGTGGTGATAATGTCAACGATAGAAACTTGGATAGATTCTGCGTATTAATATTATTCTTTTATTGAAGACCCCTCTAGCCTCTACTAACAAAAAAGCGATATTATTTCCGTACCGATCTGCATCTACAGACCGCGAAAAGGTCCGAACTGTCACGGTGTTTACGGGTTAGTTTACGTTTCTCCACCCCACAATTACCTCCGATTATCGGTTGATTTTCAACATCTCCCGTGATCTTATCTGATGCTCCTCGAATATTCGAACTGCCCGTCTTCCTCTCATTTGCTTGATTTCTACTTCTCTTTTCTTTTACCTCTACCTTCGCTGGTTACGTTGGTAACAAGCATCAGACAGACGACGCAGTCATCGACCAGTGTCCCAAGGGCGTGATGGCGAACGAGAGCGTTCCCAAGGCTCAGGATCGCTCCGAGGTCGAAAGACAATGTTTATTGGAAGGCAATGCCCGCTTTCGCCGACTCGGCTGGAAACGCCTCACTGTCATTTCAATCGTAGAGGCGATTGCTCTCGGAAGCCTAAGCCTGCCGTCTGCCTTCGCCACTCTTGGCATGGTCGCAGGTGTCATCCTAACCGTCAGTCTTGGTTTAATGGCAACGTATGCAGGCTATATTATTGGACAGGTGAAACTCAACTACACCAAAGTCGGCCACTATGCGGATATTGGTCGGCTTCTGCTAGGAAGATTTGGATCAAAAATCTTCATAGGCAGCTTTGTTGCCCTGCTTATATTCGCCGTTGGATCGCACTGCTTGACCGGCGCCATTGCGTTCCAGACCATCATCCAAAGCAATTCTTGTTCGGTTATCTTCAGCATTGTATCTGCGGCAATCCTGATGATTCTCGCCATTCCTCCGGCATTTGCAGAAATTGCAATCCTGGGCTACATCGATTTTGCCTCTATTATCTTGGCCATAGGGATCACCATGATTGCAACCGGTATTCAAGACTCGAGCGATTCTAGTGCCTTCACTGCGAGTCATCCCCCATGGTCCGCCTGGCCTAAGCCTGGCACTACTTTCACAGCGGCAATTGTGGCCGCCAATAATATCGTCTTTGCGTATTCCTTTGCCGGTTGTCTGCCATCATTTATGGAAGACATGCATACTCCTGAGGATTACGTCAAAACTCTTTGGTGGCTAGGAGGCATCCAGATTGTTATCTACACTCTGACAGGGTCCATCATCTATGCCTTTGTGGGACAGGGGGTGCAATCACCTGCTTTGCTATCGGCGGGCCCTCTCGTCTCAAGAGTCGTTTTTGGAATCGCGCTCCCTGTTATCTTCATATCGGGATCTATCAATACGACGGTGGTCTGCCGATATATTCACGGCAAGTTATACCAGGACTCATTCGTCCGCTTCGTCAATACCACGAAAGGTTGGATCACATGGCTTGGGCTTGTGTTCTTTGTTACAATGCTAGCCTGGATTATTGCGGAGGCTATCCCCATTTTCTCAGAGTTGCTATCCATCATTTCGTCCCTATTTGTCTCTGGTCTGTCTTTCTATTTCCCACCAGCCATGTGGTATGTGCTTTTGAGGGAGGGTGCATGGTATGAGCGGCATAATTTGAAAACTGCTATATGCAACGCCGTGGTATTTCTGGTTGGAATAATTATACTTGGATGCGGTACCTACTCAAGTATCGCTGAGCTGGTGAGTTCTTCTCTCATCCGCTACTTCGCTATTGCTAATTCCATTTTATCTAGGTCGATAAATTTCAGTCTGGGTCAATAGGCAAGCCCTTTACGTGCTCTAGTTAGTAGCTGGGATTTTGCTCGCCATAAGAATGCCATACCTGTTTTGTGGAGCACAGTCGTCTCACCAAGTCGTTGCGATAGGCTTTACTAGGATTCCACAATGCCAATATGGCCCCATACGGGGCTGTTTCATTAGCATCAACCCAAAAATTTTCATGAAGATCCGCTGGCAAGAACCGGGTTCCTTACGACGGATTGAGATTGAGATACTGATTAGGGGAGCTAGTAAAGCAGTTGAAATCAGCGTGAGGTCGAGCTCTCTTTCTCTGAGGCTAAGTCCAAGTTACATAAGGCGATCAAGCTCCGTACAGAGAAGGGTAAACGGAATGGGAAAGAAATTATTGCTCGAAAGGCGAAGCCTACGTCGATGAGAATCAATATTTGGAATTAGTCATGCTGGCCCCATTGCGACCAGCGGGAACCAACCAGCCGTCAGGCCTCCCGTCAACCGGAAACAAGGTTTCAGCTGACTGTGCCAGGGGCTAAGAACAGACTATCGCGACAATATCTCGCGTCTCATCGACAGAATGGAATCCTTCCGGGTTGTGGAACATGTCCTGCCCGGCCAGCACATCCGGGAATATCATCACAGTATTAAGGGCCGCCAGGAGACCAAGCTCCAGCTAGCCGTCAAGCAATACATCCCGCTTGACCAGCCGCAGCCCATTCCCGACAATGCAGTCACCATTATCGGAATGCATGGAAATGGCTCTCTCAAGGTGTGTCTGTGTCTGCGGACGGATATAGAAATGGTTGGCAGAAGCTAGGTCAGACTTACCCTTCTATCACTAGGAAATGCTAGAGCCCCTGTGGGAAGACCTATACTCGCATCTCAAAAGACAGTCTGTGCCCTTGCGCGGGATATGGATTGCCGATGTATCGAACCAAGGTGCCAGCGGCGTTTTCAATGAAGATGTTCAGGGCGATACCAGTAATTTTTCTTTTACTAGTTGGTCCAGTGTCTACCGTGATAACTAACGAACGACAACAGATAGCTGGTATGACCACTCACGCGACGTCCTGCACATGGTCAATCACTTTCGCGACGAGATGCCTCGGCCCCTCATCGGGGTAGCGCACAGCATAGGATGCGCCGCGATGTCAGTCATAAAAGTATCCCCTATCCAACGAATCGTCTACTGACGCGCGAGCAGGGTGAATCTCTCCATCATTCATCCGCGTCTATTGTCGACACTGGTTCTTTACGACCCCGTGATCATGGACCTCGTCTTTAAGGGTCCCAACCCTGCGAAGTTTCCCGCTCTCCGCAAAGACATCTGGGACTCTCGCGAAAAAGCCGAGTCCGCGCTGCGCCGCGGCCTGAGCAAATGGGACCCCCGAGTCGCCGAGCGGTATCTCCGCTACGGCTTGCGAGCTGTTCCTACACGGTTGTACAACAAACAGTCACATCCGGCTCTGTCCGAAAATGCCGTGACACTGACTACAACCAAACACCATGAATCATGGGGGTACACGACGCCCAACCTGGAGCCCGAGTCCGCGGGTCTAGACCGACTCTTACTGCCAGACTGGGATGTCGAGAAGGAACGCCCATATGCGTTCTCGCGACCGGAGTGCTGGTCCTCGATGCGGAATCTGCCTTTCCTGCGCCCGAGTGTCCTTTGGGTCTTCGGGGAGAATAGCTATGTCTCTTCGCGAGAGATGGAAGATGAAAAGATGCGAGTGACGGGCACTGGGCCGGGAGGCAGCGGCGGTGCAGCGAAGGGTATGGTGGAGAAAGCTCTGCTAGAGAAGGCAGGGCATAATTTGATTTTAGAGGAGGTGGACAGGAGCGCTAAAGTGGGAGCTGATTGGATTGGGCGCTGGTTCCGGGGGTGGTTGGCTGATGAGGAATTCTGGAACAATTATCAGAGCAAGAGGTCTGATGCTGAGATGCTCAGGTTGTCGGATGCGGCATTTAAGGTGTCGCAGATGCTGAATGGTGACTTGAGAGTCCAGGGGAAATTGTAAATCGGGTTTGGGAGGATGTAGATATTTGTGGGGCATTCATTAGCCTTGGAGTTTCACGTAGCTGCACTTTATACGATTGAAAGGCAACTAGCAGAGTGTGGTGTTGTCTCTATAAAATCCATGCAATATATCAACTCCCCTGTAGATGTTGACTCGATTGAACAGTGCAGGTCTACGGCCGGATCAAGAGAACATTGATGAGAACCAAGATAGAAGATGTTGCGATCATGAATCACATTGTCATACCAACGTAGAATCCACACGTACAAGAAAATAAAGGGAAAAAAGAACAGAACACCTGCAACGAAAACACCGTGCTAGGGGGCGAGGAGACCAAAAATCTGCAACGACCACCCCAATCCATGCCAACCAGCTTCCCAACCATCCCATCCCACCAGGACTCAAACAGCAGTGCAACCAAACGCCAAATTGAACATGCCCAAAACCCATCATTTTCGCTCCTGTCAACCAACAACGAACCACAAGCAAGGAAGAAAACTGACGTAGCGGGACAAAAAAGGGGTATGCAAAAAACATCATCCACGCCGGACGGGAAGAAGAGAAATAACCTATACACAGCCAAACGCGTGGATGGTCGAAAATATTAGAGCCTCAGCTACTGAACTGGTCGAACCGGGCGGGCAGGACTGGATGTGCTACCGATGCGGCCACTTGCTTTGCGAACTCCACGGGATTCGCTCTTACCGTCGGTTGCCCGGCGAGGGCTGGAGCGCACTTTGCTGACCGAGATCGGTCCTCCACCACTCTTCCGGCTGGCCGGGGTCTTGGGTGAGGTATTATCAACCCAATTCTCTCGATCTTCGTGGATGTCATCAGTTAATGTGTAACTGGCTGTGACAGTAGCGGAGTAGCTGATCGATCGTGAGGTCGGGGATGCGACGGGGGACCGTGATGATCGTTTGGCAAGCATGCGAAGCTGAGCCTCTTCCTCACTCTCGCTGCTCTCATTGCTCATACGCTGGCTCCGGTGGCTGCGTGGTTCCCCAGGCTTGCTCACCTCAGTCTCCACGGCAAGGCAGCCGGACGTGGTCCGAGAATACGGGTGATGCCGCGAGTCCTTGCGATGAGCCTTGCGCGGCTGGCCGGGAGTTGGTGCTGGAAGATTGTCCTCGCTGTGAGTTGCGGCCCCTTCATTGTGATCAATCTCTCCCAGGGCGGCTCGCTTAGCATGGCTGTTGTTCGGAGGGGTAGACACCGGGCCGTTGCTGGCACGTTTCTTGGGAGAAATGCGCGCCGGTGTAACTGGAGTAGATAGGGCAAGCTTCTCCCGCATGCTGTCTTCAAACCACCACTCGCGGAAAGCTCCCTGGTTGAGGTGTAGCCAGTGCTGCTGGGGGCCAACGACCATACCCGGACGCATGAATCTCATGAAGGCAATGACTTCATTTGCAGTGAAACCATGGCGGTAGATGAGATACGCGCCGATCAAGCATCCAGTGCGGCCTAAGCCTGCCTTGCAATGCACGGCAATGCCTTTGTTCTTGATGGTGATCATCTCGTGGGCCATCTTGATGAATCGGCGAACCAGTGTGAGCGGGGGGCAAGTGCCGTCCTCGAAAATCATGTCGATATGCGCGATACCCATAGCCGTGAAATAGGACGGGGAGTAGAGCTCCGAGTTCAATCGCACCACGAGACCGATATTTCGTTGGGAAAAGTGTGCCAGCACATTCTTGAATGGCAGCGGAAGCTTGGAAGAAGCAACCTCGGACACTGTTGAGGGCAAGGCATCGTACTCTGGGGTATTCATGGGGATGGGGGCAACGGGCTGGTGTTGGGGGGACGCGAAAGCAAGAAATTGGGGAGAGACCCAGTTGAAGTCGCCCATGTCGACTCTCTCAAATTTTTCGTACCTGGATTTCTTGTCAGCAACGAAATTTCGAAGTAAGGTCAGGTTTCATACTCTTCCAAGTTGAAGTCGCGAAGTCCGCAGAGGGACTGTTCCTTGGCCCGCCACACGCCATATACGACATCTTGGATGTTCAGGATAAAGTCCGCCTGGCTGTATCCAGCATCGCGGAAGGGCATGTAAGGGGGATCTGCCTGAGCGATGGGTGCCAGAGCCAGGTGGGGCGGCCAAGATTGGATAAGAACCATGTAGCAGGCCACGAGGCAGGCGGCATTTGAACGGCTGCGTGCATCGGTCTTGCTGTAGAAGACCACGGGCCGGTCGCTGTTTGCCGGGTCTCCAAGAATCTCATGGAAGAGTACCGCAAATCGATACAGGTGACCGATGTGGAGAGGACCAAAGTCCGCGTGGAAGGCATTGTAGAGGAGAGTGTCGTCAACAGTGAAATACACGGGGGCGCGGCGCTTGTTACTCGGCGTGGTGGGCTGCGGCCGGGCAGAGCGTTTACTGGGGGATTTCGGCTGCTCTGCCTGATAAGGGAATGGCGTCCTCGAATTTGGTGGTGAATCGTAGGATGCGAGGTACAGGCGGTCTGTTGTTGTTGTGGTTAGATTGCATAACAGCAGGGTGGCAACAAAACAAACATCGGTCACGAACCTTGAATGTACTCGATTATCTGGCCACCATGGCCCGAATCGGTCGACATGATGCTTGTTTTGTTGACAGCCGCGTCGACTGTACACAACGAAGAATAATGGTAGATAATCAAAGCGTGCTCCAACAGCGTCCCGGGGCGGCTAAAATCGCTGTTGATGAAGGATAGTATGCCAATAGCACAAGAATAATGAGATCAATCAACCAGCAACTCGAGAATCTATGCTCGCATGATCGGATTGATCCGTTCTTGACTTTTGCGGTTGTCGACTGTTGGCAGCAAAATCAGACACGCGACCAGGGATAAGGATAGGGTGGAAGCAGAGCCTGGAGAGGACTACTGTGCAGGTCGAGGCCAATGGAATTTGGAAGAATGGGAAGTCGGTGGTGGTGATGGGGATAACAATGAGGAAGAGAGAGATGGATCACAACAAGAGAATAATTGATGATGGTGGCATCAGTTGTTATGTTGTGTTAGTGTCAATCGGGTTTAGCGTGCCGGGTTGGCCTGACGACGGTAATTGCCTGCTGCTGCCCCAGGCAGAAGGTGTCACATGACCACCCCCTTCTCACTGCGATGATGGATCAGTTCTGTCAACTGTGAAATGTAATGCTGTTCAGAGCTGACATTCTGCTTTGGCACTGTTGGCCACGATACAGTTGGTACGCAGTTTTGGTCAACCAAAACCATGGGGACGGATCATAATTAGCCATTCTGCAAACCAACCCGTGAACAAAACCGTGTCCAACCATAACAACGATATATATGGGTGAGGTATCATCTTCCAGACACTCGAGACATCATTCTCTCGACTCGACTGTGATAAACCGTTGTCGAGTCGCCGGCCAGTTTGCAAACCGGCCTTTTCTGAAACCCTGGACCATAGACGGACATGTATATCTATCACCTAGCCGTACTATTGACGACAATCGCACGTCGGGGGCTCTAATGAAGGATCACATATAGTCGCGGCGACCTGAACAACGAGCCCAGGCCGCCACTGTCAATTCTCGGAGGTGATATCCGCTTGTTGCACAGTTGTGATCGGCAGAGATAGGACAACTCTTCGCCGGACGGCAGAAAGGCAACTACATTAACCCGCGGCAGGGATGGCTCATATTAAGGGTTCATGACGAGTTGGTTGATCCCCCAGGGATAACGATCAGGCGTCACGCCTCCCTCCTCCCCATCCATCTGTCTCCCAGCAACACTCGCACCTTGATTTATTTTTGCTGTCCATGGCATGGCAACGACAGAAACAAAATTGTTTTGTTCTGAATTTCATCCCTGCCATGCAGGTCCGCTGCACCGTCGACGCAAGGCGGGATCGGGGGGGGAACTGTGATAATTCCCTGGCTCCGAACCCACTTGGTTAAAGCCAGCGGGAGTGGCGGCGAACCCTGACAGGCTGCACGTCGGGATCGTCAGGGCGCTAACGTGATAATTCGTTGAAACCCCGCCTAAACCATAGACTGTCCCTGCATCTAACATCCGCATCGCATCCCTCACATGTACCGTACACTTCCGGTGAGGTTGTTGAGGAAACCAAAAAAAGGAAAACAAACAACTCACACCTCCAAAGCAATTAAGCAATCACGAATATACCAGGAACTACGAGGAGAAATGGCGGAATTGCGCCTTGACGAGGCCTAAGCATCCGACAAGCTTTGGATGGTAGCCATTAGCGCCTCCCTGATCCCGAGGATTGGGCAGTTCGTCCGGACAAGTCTCCAACTGCCTCGGGACGTTTCGACTGGGGCCATGTGGGCACATCCCTTTTTGCACAGACTGACCAGCCGGATGATAGATAGGATGTCGATCGTGATTATCAGAGACGGTCTGAACGTGTGTGAGGAGAGAGAGCCCTGTATCCTCCCCCTGATGATCTCCACCGCATTCAATGCCCCATGCGAGGAGTTCTGTGGATGGTCGAGCAGGCGATGTATATAACTCGGGCGAAGCCACCCATGAAACCTTCCCATCTCTTTCTTTCGTATCTACTACACAAGCCACACTCTCTGTTTCCCAGTCGTGTTGATTCCGACGTCCTTTCTTTAAATCTTTTCACTCAAGCCCTAACCAAGCCACCACTCTTTCCAACAATCAAATCAAATTCAACCCTCAAACAATGAGATTCTTCGCTACTCTTGCTCTGGCTGGCGCCGCCTCCGCTGCCGTCATCCCTAATGTGGGCAACCTCCAGGGCGTCGAGGGTGCTGTTAACGGTGTTGAGGGTGCTGCCACCGGTCTTCTTGCTCCCCTGAGCCAGACCGTGGAAGGGACCGCTGGCCCGCTCCTTAGCGAGGTTGAGGGCACCGTCGGCAATATCGCCCCCGTCAAGCGCACCTTCGGTAACCAGCTCGAATACCCTGCTGAGGAAGTGCCCAAGGAGGTGGCATCGCTCGTCGGTGCTCGCGGTCTCGGCAAGACCGTTGACGGTACTGTCGACGGAGCCGTTGGCACTGTTGGCACTGTTGAGCAAACCGCCGGGAGTACCGTTGAAAACACCGTCGGGAGCACCGTTGGTGGTGTCAGCAGTATGTCCATGTACATCTTGTTGTTCGATTGAACTAAACTAACTCGAATCCAGATGGTCTCGTCAAGCGTGAGGACCCCGTCGCCGGCCTGACCGGTCTGACCGGCTCTGCCGGCAGCGTTGCTAGCGGTGTTGTTTCTCCTGTTGAGCAGACTGCCGGTGGTGCCGTTGGCTCCGTTGAGTCTGTGGTTCCCGACGTTGTTGACAGTATGTCGATCCAGTGAAGAAAATGATAAAAGAGTCTCTGCTAATCCTTCTTTCAGCTGGCACATCTGCTGTCAGTGGTGCCACTGGTGCTGTCTCGGGCGCTGTTCCCAAGCGCCAGCTCAGCGGCCTCACCAGCACCCTGGAGGGAACCCTGACCGAGACCTTGGGTGGTCTGACCAGCGGCAACGTCGATGGCCTCGTCGGAGCCTTGACCAACCTTCAGCACGCCATCAACATTGGCTCGCTCACCCAGGGTGACCTCGCCAGCCTTCCTGGCCCCGTCCAGGAGGTTGTCTCTCTGCTGCAGATCTAAACATCTGAACATATATACTTCTTGGATATATAGTATCGGAGGCTTTCCAGGGTCTGGATGCATTCAGGAATGTTGATGGATGACGATTAAGTCCAGCGGGATAATCTATACGCGTGTTTGATTGTTTTTTCGTTTCGTTCTGAGTTCTAGGAGTTCTTCCTCGGACATTATCTTATGTGATTTTTCACTTTCGTGTACAGTCACCTTGCTGAGTGCCTGTGTGCACTCTATATTTTACGATTCGTATGCGAGCATTTAGCTTCCGACTTAAATTTATGATCATCTTCTTTCCATCGTATGCTGCTTTTGTAGATGGGCCTGTCAGCCCTACTTGATCCCAGTCGGGCAGTGAACCACGCTGACTCAGCCCCTCGTTTTCCTGCAACAACTCCCTCGTTTTGCTCGCTGCTCAAACATACCTTCGTTTCTGTCCATATTTATTGTGTCCCTGCAACACAATGGCACCCACACAACCCTCCGACGCCGAATTCCCCTGCTCATTGTATGCCCCTCCCCCAACCTCTTCTTCGATTTGAACAAACCCCCATACCAGGCCACAACCACCCGACACAAAAACCCAAACTAACCCAGGCTATTCAGAACGATATCTCTCCCCCTCCCAACCCACCGCCTCGCCTCCTCCGCCCAGCGCGCCCTCGAAGTCGACACCGAACTGTCCCCTTTCGTGCGCCGCAGCTTCGCCCTCACAGCTCCACCCGCCGACCACCCGCAGGAGAAGAAACAGAAGCAGGATCCTCAGGAGGCGAAGACGGTGCTGAAGACTACGTACCGCGCTACGACGAACCGCATGCTGCGCGTCGCGGTCAACGGGTTTATGGAGAGTTTGGGGGTTGTGCTTGGCGTGATGGCTGAATTGGATGTTGATGTCTTAAAGGCTGAGGCGGAGATTGAGGGGTGAAGTTGAAATGGGCATACTTGTTTCAACCCTCTTGGGTGGCAAGATTGATTTGCGAGCATGTTGTGAAGGGACGGATTGCTGTCCTCTTACGCAAGTCGCTTCTCCAGTCGCCTCTCCCTTGTTTCGCCTCAATGGGGTGCAACCGCTGCGAGCGATTGCGAGCTGGACGTATAGAGATCTCCAACTCGCCGGGTCTTGCTTGCAGGACTGATGCGGTCTCTTGTGACTGGGCCAGGCATTCTACACTCTGCCCTCGAACATGGGGGACCGCTTGGAACCCGATCACTGGAACACGGCATTATATTTGACTGCAGTGCCCAGCACTCCCCGCCTGGCTCGGGTAGTTGATAGATGGCCATCATAGATGAGGCGGATGAACGCGGCCGCAGCGCTGACGGATAGATGAGGCGAATTTCGACGACGACCGATTGTTAGCGTGGTAGATGTCTGAGGCTCACTGCTTGTCTTACATAGTTCAACAGCATCGGCAACTTTGTCTCTCTCTCCCTCTCTGTGTTTTCCAGTACGATCGTTTCCTCTCTTTTAGATCTCGTCATCGCTTCTCCCTGCCTTCTTCGTGCTCAGCCCTAGTCATTTTGTTTCTCGTAACTCTGGAGTGCCAGAAGAGCTCGTGCTATTATCCAACACGGTCCAAATGTCAACCATCAACAGACTGGCCAGATATCGGCTGTCGTCGGGCCTCCTACCCCGCGACAAACTCCTGGAAGTGGAGAACACCCGAGTTGGGGCACGTCGACCAATGGAGTGACGGGGGAAGCGGCTCTACGCCCGCCGCGTTTCCCGTGGCCAGTGTCTGTCTGGGCATCGATTAGAGCATGCTGCAGGACCGATTGTTGGCATTCGGCCTGGCTCGACGGCTGTGAGAATGGGAAGGATTGAACCAGCATGAGACCCGCGAAAGCGTGCGATGCCTGCCGGTGGAGTCCCTCGTTCCCTCCCCCTCCGCCTGTGCCCATATTCTGACTGAGGGTTCCAGTCTGCGGAGGCGAAAATGCGACATCGCAGTGAAAGGTGAGGGCTGTACATACTGCACGACCAGAGGAATTGAATGCTCTCGCAAGAACTCGCCGATGGGGGCAGTATCCCTGTCTCAGCCGATTCCGCGAGCTCGTTCTCCCGCACTCAACGGCCATGCTGCGATCGCCCAACAGACGAACAGCAAGCTTCCGCCAAAAACCGTATGCGTGGAGCTTACTCGGCTATACTTCGACTTCATCCACGACAAGTTCCATTCCTTGTTCCATGAGCCGAGCATGATCCAGGATGTGCTAGAAGATCGAGCGCCTCTGATCCTTCTCTACGGGATATTGGCCCTATCGGCAAGGTCTGATGTTGTGTCCACATTGGGGGGCGTTCGCTCTGACAGGATTCAGGTTTTCAAAGAACCCTTTTTTTCAAGGCTCCGAAGCTCGTGAACGGGACCGGGAGTATAGCGCTGAGTGCAAGCGACTTCTAAACCTCGACGACATCTCCTTGATCACGGTCCAAGCATGTGTTTTGCTCGGGGCAGCGGCCATCGCCGAAGGGAAGCCGGCGGCAGAATCAGTCTACTATGCGGTCGCCTGTCGGATAACCCAGCTCCTCGATCTACCCAACCGGTCCACAGCGAGTCCCATTGAGAAGGAGGTTAACATTCGAGGTCCGTACCCATCTATCTCAAGCAACTATCTCGGTGACTAAAGCGTGCTCACAGTTTGGTGGACACTCTGCTTGATTGATGTCTGGTCATCGACAGGCGTAGGTCTTCCTCGGCATATGATGCATCGGGATGATGTTCCATTGCCGATGGATGAAAGAGTGTTCAATCAATTGAAGCGTGAAGACACAAGCCCAGACGAGGTTTCACCTCGTCCAGGGGCATCTTTGATTGCGCAGATGATTAAATTGAATCTAATCTTAGCAGAGATATACGAGATTAATAACATGGCAGCGACAGGAAGAGCTGACGGCGCCGCGTTAGAAACGGCCGTTCGGAATGCATCTCATCGCCTGGATGAATGGCAGGCTGCTCTGCCTGACTACATGCGCGACACACCGGCGAACATGGTTCGGTACGCTTCCGAAGGGCTCGGCCGAACGTTCGTCGCTCTGCATGTCGGATATTACCATTACGGACAGCTGCTCTTCTACCAATTTCTCCACCAGGACTCCCATGCGTCAGTGCCAAGCACTCACTTTTACGCGAACAAGTGCAAGGTCCACGCTGCCGGGCTTTGTGAACTCCTCTACACTGCCAACGCCACTCCGGACTGCGAGGTGCTGTATACTATGGTCGGCCACATCCTAGTGATCTCGTCCACCGTCCAACTCTATATTCTGCTCTTCGGCATCGACGACGAGGAGATCAAAATTGCACGAACACGGCTGGAACGCAATTTTGAGATCCTGCAGCGTCTTCGAACCTTCTGGCCCACCCTAGACGTGTCCTTCACTCGGCTCCGAGCATTTCACAAGGCCTGCCGGGTCTCCATGGAGACCTCGTTCCGGTTAGATCAGTGGATGCTGCGCTTTCTGTCCGAGTTCGCCCAGCCTGTTGGTGACAGATATTCAGAGGACGCCGACTCCAGCTCCTGGAGAGTGGAAAACATCGGCACAAGCCCGTCGGATTTTCAAGTCTCTCTCACTAATTAGTCCGATTTTGGACGGCGTTCTCTTCGAACTTGTCATCTTGCACCTTACATCGAGCCAGTAATCAAATCCCAAATGCTGTAAAAGGCATGGCGGCTCCGCAACTGCAAGAGAATATGATTCTACCTTAAGACATCAACGAGCGGACTAAGCCATGTGAAAGACAAATCACAAAGAACAAACACAATACAAATTCTGCTGCGCGTTTCGCACATGCTTTCGTACCTAGATTCGTTGAACATACTTCATATTATATACTAAAGTTGAAATACTCTAGCGTAGCTATTCTACAAGCAAACAAGCAGTCGTTCTTCATGTTTTACTGGAAAACTTATGAGCAAGCACTTATCAGCCTCGCTCCCACAATCGTCCAGTGGCTTTACACGATTATCAACGGCACTTCATATAAGGACGATACATCTCCAATAATATCTGGTACTCGCCTATCAATAATGAGCTGCTGTCTTGCGCACTGATAACGATAATTAATCTAAGACCCAAGATAGGAGGTGCTCGTATTCTCTGTAGCAGCTGTCCAATAAAGCCGAACGTGAGACGTTTCATTGCGTTTCTTTGACGCGGTCGACAATATCGACATTCTCATCGTATGCATCCACCTGGAATTTCCTGAACTTCCTCGTCGGCACCTTCGCCGCGAACATCAAGTCCAGCTCTTCATATGTCCGACCTTTGGTCTCTGGCAGACGGAAGTAGGCCCAGACAAAGGTTAGAAAAGCGGTGCCAAACCAGAAGAAACCAGTTTTTCCTCGCCAGTTCCATTCGGTCGGATTCATCATATACGGCTCAATGACGTTAGCCAGGATCTGAACGATGTAGTACGAGTTCCGGGCCAAACAGATGGTTTTGGACCGGAGGCGAGTGCTGGAGACTTCCGCCGGGATAGCCCACCCAATAGGCCCGGCGGAGAGCGAAAAGAAGAAAAGCCACATGATGCAAAGAACGGACTGAGCCCAGATGGTACCGCCGCTGCCGTTGGCTAGCGTCAAGAAGCCGATGATTATGAGACAAGCGCACATGCCGGCCAGACCCCACAGGTAAATGGTCCGACGACCAGCAATCCTCATGAGCCCCCAGGAGATAAGGGTGCCGACGAATGCGATCGCGGTTCCGCCCAGGCCAAGCTTGTAGGAGTCGCTGCTGTTCAGGCCGGCTTGTTCAAAGAAGTAAGTAGGGCTGTATGCGAAGGAACTACCGGCCAAGACTTGACCGGCAAAAATCACGCATGCGATCTCCGTTCGACGCCGATCGGTACCGCGGAAGCAATCCCAGTAGGAATGGCCGGCTGTGATCTCTTTCTCGATATTGTTCGTATGGATCATCATGGCCACAACATTCTTGGCGTTATGCGTCTCGGCCCGTGCCATCAGGCGCTTGACGCTCCGTTCGGCTTCTTCGTATCGATCATGTCGGACAAGCCACCATGGCGATTCGGGCATAAAGAAGGCCGCAATCATCAGGGGAGCAGGCCAAAGCCATTGGATAGCGTATGGAATCCGGTAAGACCATTGATCAGGGCGCCCGATGAGGCTCTGCAGCACGCCAGCGCTGATAAATTGGCCCATGGCGAAGCACATGTTGGTGTAGGCCGTGAGGTAGGGCCGGAAGGCCATCGGGCTAACCTCGGAGGCGTAGGCAGGACCGATCGTTGCAAAGACTCCCCATGGAAGGCTGTTCTGGCTGTTAGCTTATCCCTCATCGCGTATCACCACTCGATTGCGGCAGAATGCATTCAACACTCTCAGCTGTAGCCTGGCAGCTACAGAGGCAGATGACTTACCCACACAGGACTTGGCCCACGGTCTGCAGTTGTACCGTTGTTCCAAAGAAACTGATGAAAACGAAAGCATTCATGCACAACAGGGCGCCCATGAAAACATTTCGAAAGCCGAACCGCTGTACCAGAAATCCATTGATCGTCGCTCCGACTAGTGCACCAGCAGTGGGACCAGATCCGAGGGCCTGCTGCCATGAGCCAGCCACTTGATAACTGTCTGTGGACTTGTCATATGAGCCGAATTGTTTTGCGAATGCCGGGTAACCGTAGAAATTGCCAATGAGGTTGGTATCGTATCCTTCCATAATGATCGACATGGAGACCGTCACTGACCATAAGGCAGCATATGGATAGGCTCGAAGCGCCTTGCGAACCGTCGACTCGTGCTCGTTGACGTTGGCCAGATGGGCATCCGCGACTGAAGCGTGCCATCCTCCCTTCTCACCAAGGGCGCTCTCGTCGGTTGATCCGAGTTGTCCTTCTAGTTGACTCTCCATATGCGAGAATGACCCCTCTTTGGTCGACATGATGGATATCCAAAGGAAATTTCCTAGACGCGATTGAGCTATCTTGTTGTACCCACGCTGCTAATTGCCTGCAGACGTCAGTCAATGACAGCCGGGGTGGTTCTCTCTTTGCATAAACGAAGAGAGCAAGTGAAACAGACTAGTAGATTAAGGAACTTGATATCTTATTAGACACGGAATGGGAAAAGTGGATGCTTTTATAGATTTTCGGAGCTTGCACGGATGGGGTAGAGCTAGAACGCTCTATCGTCGCGGCGTCAACCTCGAATTACACATTCCAGTCATTTAACCGAACGCGTCCCAGGCAGAAAGTTCGCCCAGCTTCACTCCCGACAAGGTCTTGCGGCGGAAAACAGGGCGAACGCTACAAACAGCGGCCACTCGCGGCGAATTGCACCATATTACAGTGTCTCGCTCTTGTCCTCCGCATTCGAGTCGCTCCGTTATTGTGGGTCTGTTATGTGGAATTTAACGCGGGGCTTTCTTCTTCTGATTGGCCGGAGACTGAAATTACGCTCAGAGGCTGGGGATCAGCGCGTGGGGGAAGGGAATCTGGGGTACATGAGTAGACTCCAACCATAGACCGGAATTGGGGGCGGGGGATGGGATAAGCTGAGGGAACCGAGATAATCCAGACTTTCTACAACCATCCTCGTCCTGCGAACCCCGAAGACGGCGGGATATGAATTCCGATGGATAGGCAGGATCGAAGGAATCCCGGTTAATTGGTTTTCGGATAATCATCGTCCCTTTAAGGAGTCCAAAATACACAAGAGGTAGAAAAGATCCTGGCTGCTGGAACCAAGAAAACATTCTAGATCTGATCATACCCAATGAGCAATCGCCAAACCCGCCATTTCTCCGCCTCCCCGCAACGTCGGCATATCGGCTTACGGTCCAATCCGCGGTGCCCAACTCCGCCTGCGATTTACGTAAACCGCCCAAAGCCGCTCCTTCAATAACCACTGCTTTGTAAAGACCTCAGATCGTCAAGAGTAAATGCCGTGAATTCATGGCATCACATGACCGAATGGGATTATATAGCCAGCAAATGGCCGCACGTTTTGACAGGCAATCGCTCAGTACGTCTCTTGTCTAAACATCCGCGACGATGGCTCAACCGAAAAGCATTGTCTGGCAGACGGGCACTCTCACTGTCCAGCTTGTCGTTGGAACCGACGAAATCGTTCGTGTTGTGAGCATTCTGCCACATGATGTGCCGGTAGAGGAACAAGATCCCTCGTCTCCCAAGCAGGGTGCGGTTCCTCTGTTCGGGGTCCGACTGAATGGCGAGGGAAATCCGTCGCACAAGTCGGCCAAGGCGCTCATTGGCAGCTACGTCTCAAGTAGACTGAAGTACCAAAGCCACCAGGAGCACAGTGACGCTCAGCTGAAGTCTCTCGATGTCACTGCGTACGACGAGACATCGCAGATTTCCGTTACCGCACACATGTCGGTGTATCCGGGAATCCCCGTGATCAGATCGACGGCGACTATTCGCAATGAGTCGCAGAAAGACATTGTGGTCGACCAGCTGTCGTCGCTCATTGTCGGTGCTCTAGGCGAAAAGCCGATCGACTGTTGGCTGGACTACACCTTGTCCACGCCGACCAACACCTGGTTTAGAGAAGCCCAGTGGCGGGACGAGTCCCTTCCCAGTGTTGGGTTGGACGACATTGGACTTTCCGAATTGCCTGATCGTCACGACGCGTCAATGGCACATCACGCCGTCTCAAACCGTGGAACATTCTCAACAGGAACGTACCTGCCGATGGGATTGCTGAAGAAGAACGATTCTAGTGAAACCTGGCTGTGGCAGATTGAGAGCAACGGGTCATGGCGCTGGGAACTAGGAGATTTCCAAGAGAATGTCTATCTGGCTCTAGGCGGCCCGACGAATAAGGATCATGGCTGGAAACACCGCCTGTCTCCTGGCCAGTCGTTCACCAGTGTACCGGTAGCGCTCTGCCACATCTTGGCCCATCCGGACAATGCCTTTGCCGCCTTGACTGAGTACCGCCGACGCATCCGGAGGCCGCACAAGGACAACGAAGAGCTCGGTCTGATTTTCAACGACTATATGAATTGCCTCATGGGTGATCCCACCGAAGAGAAGGTCATGGCCCTCGTTGACCCTGCTGTGAAGGCGGGTGTGAAGTTCTTTGTCATTGACTGCGGCTGGTATGCGGATGACAGTGGCTGGTGGGACGACGTCGGCTTATGGGAACCGTCGACTAAACGATTTCCCAAGGGCCTGAAATCCCTGCTCGATGATATCAGAGCCAAAGGACTCACGCCCGGACTGTGGGTTGAGCCGGAGGTGATTGGCGTTCGGAGTGTGGTCGCCGATATGCTGCCTGCGGACGCTTTCTTCCAAGAGAACGGCCGACGAATCGTCGAGAAAGGCCGGTATCAGCTGGATTATAGGCATCCCGAGGTCATCAAACGCATGGACAAAGTGATCGACAACCTCGTCCTCAACTACGGGGTCGGATATTTCAAGTTCGACTACAACATCGAGGTCGTCCAGGGCACGGACGCAAACTCGTTCAGTCCCGCCGATGGACAGCTCGGACACAACCGGGCCTATCTAGACTGGGTTGGCAAGTTGTACGACCGCTTCCCGGACCTGGTCATTGAGAGCTGCTCCAGTGGAGCTCAACGAATGGACTACGCCCTCCTGGCTGTCCACTCGCTGCAATCGACCAGCGACCAGCAAGATCCGGTGCGATATTCTGCCATTGCAGCTGCCGTGCCGACAGCAGTCACGCCGGAACAGAGCGCCAGCTGGGCGTATCCGCAGCCTGAATGGGACGATGAGAAGAACGCGATGACGGTTGTCAACAGTCTCCTGGGCCGTGTTCACCTGAGTGGCAGAATCGACCTCCTGAGCTCTCAGCAATTGGAGCTTATCGTAAGCGGTATGGTAGTCTACAAGCAGCTCCGTTCTGACCTCAGTACCGGTCTGCCATTCTGGCCGTTAGGTTTGCCAAAATGGCATGACGACTGGGTGGCACTGGGCATTGCCGCAACCAGCGGAGTCCGCTATCTTGCTGTGTGGCGCCGATCTGGGTCAAACACGCTCTCCCTGCCTATTCCTGCACTGAAAAGTCGGAATGTTGAAGCCAAGCTGTTGTATCCGGAGACGTTCGAGGCACACGCACAATGGGATTCAGCTAACGGTGCGTTGTCAGTTCGTGTTCCCTCTACTGCATGCGCTCGTCTTTTCCGGCTCTCTGCCAAATAGGAACGGAGCGATAGATAAGACAGTGCAATAGGTCTTATTAGCCAACGTCTGGCATTCTGGCACATCCTTATTGGACAATTCGCTATGTAGATACCGCAGAGCAATAGAAATGGTTAGAACTGGTTGTGCAATTAGCTGGTCTTCAGAGCCTTGATATACTCCCAAAGATGTTGATTGATAATGAAGCAGTCATTAATTCTTATTCAAGATCATCTACGCAATAGTCTACACTGCCTTAGCTGACAGTTGATGATAATTATCATTCTTGCTGTTCTTTCCATATAACTTGGTATAGTTTCTGCGGCAGCTAGATTTGTCTCACCTATCTTCTTCATCCATTTGACAACCGTGCACATCGCAAAAGGTCTGCCCCGATGGCCAACAGCGAGTACAGTGTCGATGGGCAGAGTATGGGCATCGCCATGGCCCGGCCGTCTTACTCACCACGCCGATGTTGGAGACACTGGATCCGACAATTGGCCGAAGAGACTTCACCTACAAAACTTCCCGGTTCGCGGACGGTGGTGAAGCCGGCCAGACAATATTCGGTTTGGGTGGATATTGCTGTCTTCAGACTTCGTGGGTGAGTCTGGCACGCGAGTTACACCTACTTCCCTACTTAACAGTGAAAGACTGTATACTCTTTGTCGTATGGGATTGTGACGAGTTGGCATGCGTCGGATGATGATAATAGTGACAGTGGACAGAAAATCGAGACTCTAGCGTTTGTTGTCATACATACCGACGTCCATATTAAGGCCTGCGGACTAAAGCCTGATTTGCTGCTATTGGTAGGAAATTTTTCCTTTGTGCGATTTTCGAGAGCCTGGGCAAGTTTCTCCAAGGGGGTGTTTGCGCACTGTAATACTACTTGCTATGACAAAATTGTTATGTCATTGTCCCAGAACCATCTTGTAGAAGTTCGTAAGCCTTTTCGTTTACTATGAGCCTTTAGAGCATACGCATTGATAGTACAACAGTATCATTTTAAAATTACAAATCCAAGTATAGCCAGTGCAAAGGATCCAAACCGGTCGCTCGGGCTTGTGGAGCTGGCCTTACTTCGTTGAAGGATTGGGCATTCCCGAGGTGTGAGGCCACTTGCGGAAGAGGTCGGAAAGGTGATCAATTGGTGCTGCTAGAAGGCCAACGACCGTCTCGTATGGCGGCTTGTCTGGTGCACTGGGGTGGGAGCGGGAGGGAACGAACATCTTCGTTCTTCCAAAGGACGTCGAATACCCCTCGCTCTCCTCCTGCGACAGAAGTTCCTCCAATTTAGGGAGGTCATTCGTCTCTTCTTCCTTAATATGCTCAGACAGATCCTCCATTAGAGCCTTGATCGTAGGAATAAATTGAGGATCCGAAGCTTTCATATTCTGGAAGATCTTCAGTTGCTCTTTGACCTGAGATTATCATGTTAAATGATGCTCCTAGAAGTGATAGAGACGGCTTACTTACTGACTGGTGCTCCTCACGATCTTTGTTGGCAATTTCGACGCCGTTGGTCACATACTTCTCAAAAGCCGGATAAACGACAAGCTCTTCTCCAATTGAATGCCGAGCCAGTTCCCAGGTAAATTGATTCTGGTACTTTGTCTGCTCAGTCTCGTCTGAAGTTCCGACAATTTGTTCGTAATATGACTCTATCTCCCGGTGATCTTGCTTAATTGCGTCACTGATACGGGGTGTCATGATGACAGATGAGATCGCAAACGTGCGTCTTGTTGTAGGTAGGAGCAGACGTTTTATACTAGTTGTTCTCAGGTCACGTAAAATAAAGGCCATGCTAATAGATCATAAATTTCATCGGAACATGACAGTTAGGGAGATCCATCTTATATTCGATAAAATGCCCTACTTGCGTGACATCAGTCCAGCTTGAAAAACGAGAACGAGATAATGGTTTTGTGGCGACCTTGGCAATCATTCTGGATTCTAGCTTGCTAAAGCGCAGCTTTCCGGGGAGGTGAATTCCTCCCCAGGCAAATACACCAATCAGAGGCAGGATTATTGGTGAGCCTGATGTTGGGATGGCCTAGGCTTTCGGGGGGCCTTGCTGTTGTCGAACTCAAAACGCCTGTATTCAAAGGACTAAACTTGAAATAGCTGACATGATTAGGTGGACACTGGGATATAGTTCCACCAAAGAGAAACAGGATAATTCTAATCAGAAGAGCTTCAAATGAGCCAGACATTAACTAACGGGGTCTACCGAGTCAGTCACGCAGGCTGGGCAAATAACAGCGGGGGAATCAGGTTTCAGTGATTTCGGTGATACATAGTACCCGATGCTTAACCTAAAACTTTTATTGGCTGGGCATTTCTCCATGGTTATGCAATCGTGATACCATTCAATCTGCAGATTTGGCTGCTGTAAAGTACATATGATTATCATGCTTATGCTTCATCCCAAACTCATTCGCTCTCCTTCTTTCCTTCCTCGGCGATCTTCTCCACCTGTTTCTTTCGCTTTTCTAACACACTTTGGAGCTCCTCAAGGGTCTCCTTGAGGACATTCTCTGCCTCGCTACCCTTCTTCTGGGCAATTGTCTGCAGCGACTGTAACTGGGGGATCATGGTTGAACCACCCGGTATCATGTTGAGCCATTTGTCCAGATCGCTCAAGTCGGTGGTCTTCGCTTCCTCGACCTTCTCTTTGACGTACTTCTCCACGTTCTCTGTCTTTCCTGAAGACGCACTGTCCTTGACAAGGCCCCATAGCTCCGTGAAATTTCCTTTTTTCAGGGAATCGGCGTTCTCTTCGATCAATTGCTTGAGCTTGGGGTTTTTGTCGAGATACTCCTGGGACTCCTCGCGGCCCTTTTGCCACGCCTGGTCTCCAAGTGTCTGAAGCTTATTCCTCTTGTCTTGAATCAAATTTTTAATCTCTTGTGCTGAATCGACGGTAGCGCCGCGCTGTATAATGTTGGAGATTTGTTCCCAAGTCTTGTTCACCTCCTCCTTCGCTTGGGGGCCATAGGTATCGCCCATCTGCTTCAGCTGATCGAAGCTGCCACCGACCTTTTCCTTCAACTGAGGATGGTTGTCCAGAACACTCTCCGCAGCGTCGCCAGCCAGGTCGAATAGACGCTTGAGATACTTTTGCAGGGCTTGCAAAGACTTGGACGCGGAAGCAGTAGTAAATCCCTCCTTCGAGATATCAACAAGCTCATTATAGGCGTCCTTGACCACTTGGTCGAACTCCTTTTCGTGATCATTCCGGATCTTTTCGAGGTCGTCGAATGCGGTGTCAACGTAGCCGCGAGCACCGGGGATGAAGGCAGCATAGCTTTTGACCGTATCTTTCAACCAGCGGAATGCCTCATTTGGTTCAGGCGCCTTCTGTGCAATTGTTTGTTTGGCGTTTTCGAGGTAGTCTTGCATCTGCTTGTTGGTGTTTACGAGCGTCTTGACTCCGGAGAAGTGGTACCAGGTGTACCCGGTAAGAAAGGCAACAACTCCACCAGCGACTCCACCAACCAAGGCAGAATTGCTACCAGTAGAGGCTCCATGGGACGCGGTGGATTGAAAGCGAGAGTTCACGAAACGGGATTTAGATTGAACTTGATTTCTCACGGACCGCGCAGCAGGTCCCCAAGTTCGTCCGAGCATCTTGAAGATCTTGGCGTCGTAAACCGGAGTGAAGAGAGTTGTTTTATGCGGAGAAAACCAATAAGTTGGAAGGTCAAGGTTAGGCGCAAAACAGTGTCGGTGATTAGAACATCCTCCAAGCAGCAGGGATATGGCTTTAAATAGGTGAAGGACACCGAGGGCGAATGCAGCCTAGTGCCCAGAAAAGCTCGTGAAAACTGGGTTTTGGGCTGACCAACAGTATGACGCAGGTTTCCAGACCGTTTCCGGGTACTTGGAAGACTGGTACAAAGTGGGCTCAGGTCAGCCTCGCAATTGAAGATCATCAGTGACTCCTTGGGTAGTTGGTTAATGTTCAGGGTGGTTGTTATTAGACGTCATCAAGTAGCTACAGTAGATCTCCCGCTCAATAGATCTTGTCAGCGAACCAGTGGTCTTTCCTTTCGGCGGCGAACATGCTCGGGCCCTATATCCTTCCTGCTGCGCAATGAACGTCCAAGTTCAAATTGACTTCCATTACTATTGATCCCTACCCCCAAAAATTGTTGGGACGGAATTGTTAATACAGTTGTAGTAGCTTTCTTTGCATTTCTCCAAGCTGTTTGACCAATCTCGGGAAGTGACAGCTAAATGACGTCATTCGTCCAAAACAAGCTCGTTTTAAGAGTTGTCAGGAGTACATCCACCGGGATAATCCCGAACGGCCAATACCGATTCCCTGCCCAGCTTACCCACAGGATATCGAGTTTGTTCGCTTCTCTACCATGAATAGGAGAATTCCGGATATACGCAAGAGCATCGTTTCTATTATATCGAATACGGAGATTCTCTGGTCAAATACTAATGCATTACCTCTTCAGGCAGCTTGACACATAGCTCGATCGTAGTTAATTAGATGGTTATGACAACCTCATCTCTAATGTAACCTTCTATAATTTTATGCAGTAGATGTATCTCGGAGGCTACATCGTGTTCGCTACCTTCATACTATTCAGCCATAGGAGAATTTGAGTTCATGCGACTATAGTTAGTCTGTGCCAAATCTAGAGCGGGGCGAGGCGAATACAAGGTGGTGGGTGCGCGAACAATGTTACTAAGGGTGGAGACGTGTCATGAATTCTCGCCGTATAGGTCAACCATGCGGGGTTGATAGACATCGTCACCGAATAGGCTATTGACCATTGTGGATATCCTGGGTGAGGAGACGCCTAAGCGAGGTACAAAATGTAAGGAGATAGCCAGTAAGCTCTGATGCTAAGGGTTTAGGCTTGAGGTTTATCCATCTTGCAGGTCAGATTCACCATGTAACTGTAACCTTGGACCAACACAACGTCGATTAGGTTTGCAGATCGCTATATGCACTGAAACGCCGCGGCGTTTTGTCTTAATTGGGCCTCAGTCTTCAAACAACTATAAAGATGCCTTCACACGGAAATTTTTGTTTCGCCCACCTTGCCTCGAATTGAATGCCTACTTGAAATCACCACAATGAAGACAACTCCCACCTCTCTGCTCCGTGCAGCCCTCATCGCCTCCACTATCCAAGCTTCTGAAGCCCTCGTCGGCATCACATGGAATGTTGCCGATGTCCCCTCTGATGGATTGAAAGACATTACTTTTCCTATATCCATGCCGAACGCTCCTCACGTGTCTGGCTTTTACTTTGCCCAGCAATTCAACTTCGGCGGTCAATCGGACGTTGGCTATACTGGACTTCAACCCCGCGAGGACTCTGGTTCCTCCTCTGTCGTTCACGCCGTTTTCTCCAGTTTCATCAGCGGGACCACTTCAAGCGACAGCAACTGCAGCAATGGAGCTGACGGCGGCGCCGGCGTGAGCTGCTCCGTGGATGTGGACAGTACCTATGCCGACGGGTATGAGCTGCTGATCCAGAACACCGAAGGCACTACGTGGACTGGGACGCTCGTTGACACTGTTACTGGCACACAGACCCATATAGGGTCTTATACCCTTCCATCTGGTAGCAGTGGAATTGGTGGCAGCCAATTAGGCTTTGTCGAGTATTATCCATGGAATTCAGGAACCCACTCCTGCAGCGCTCTGCCCAAGACTGAGGTCACTTTTGGTGCTCCTACTACCTCTGGTGGCGAGGCTGGCTCTCTTGAGGCTCCTTATGAGTATGGTGATTGCGTTGGAGAGGTGGACTTCGAGGATTCGAAGTCCGGCAGTGGCTATACCATTACCGTTGGGTTCTAAGGGCCGAGTCAGGGCAATCTGGGCAAGGCTGTAACACCCATACAACGATCTGAAGTTCTATGGGATTGAGATACTATCTGTGGTACCCGAACGGAATTTGATTTTCTTGCATTCATCTTGCATTCATATAAATCAACTTCTTGGCTTATACTCTGCTGCCATCATCCCTGTTTCCTTAACTCCATGGTTCCTCGCACACGTAATGCTGCAAGGCCTTGGGGATTCAGTATAATAAGCAATAACTGGCAATCGTATAGCCGGCTAATAGCCGGCATATAGAATGATACTCTAGTTCAACAATGGCGACCTCGTGTCGCGACGACAGGTTAACAATTTCTTTGCAGGGACAGGGGGTCCACCTATCCGCAGATCTTGCGTTTTAAGAAGCTCTAGCCGAGCTAGAGAGATTTTGATTTGATTTAACTTATCTTGCCAATCATTTTTATCTCGTCTGTCGCACGGGCCCGCTCGGCGCAGGAATTGAGGAGTCTAAGCGAGCCATGGGACGCCTATTGAGGCTATAAGGATGGCCATCTCGAGCCTATGTCGGGGATATTCCACTAGAGCTTCTACGAAGCACAAGATCGACATGCGGGGATTGAGGCGTGCATCACAGACCTCTGTCAAGTAACATCGCGCGTGTCTGAGTGTGAAGCGGTCTGATATGTCTGCCTTCATTGAAACGATATGGTGTTACTGTCGTCACCAGGTGTCATTCTAGATGTAGTTTGCATGAATGCTACAACTTACTCAACATCAAAGCCTCGCGCTCTACATCCATCGGATTTATCGGGCGATGAATAATTATGTCCTTTCACTCCGTTTTCCTGATGCCGTGTGAGCCAACTTGAACTCTGAGCATTGACCCATACTCCTCGAATATGGTCTAATTAGTTGATCGGCGCGCCTCATCATGAGGACCTTTATAGCTCTCATGCTGACCATTGCATCTACTCGATCAGTTTTCAGGATGGTACCTCGCGGCCTCTCCCAAGGCTCCCAACAATGACCCCGGCTGGCTGTGAGTCGGAGGATCCTGGAACAATTCTGCGGCAACACAACGTCAGTGTCGCGTTCCTCAGTCGGATCCCAGACCGTGTGGGCGCTTACCGGTCGCTACACGGTCCACGGTTGTGAGGGCTTCCGGAAGGGGCAGACACTCGGCTGGGGTTTAAAGGAGGAGAGGTGAGGATTACACATGGACCGTGAATGGCTTCGGTGCTAGAGAATGTTATTAATTATTCATCTTCAGTTGCTGTTCTAGAAAACCGATACAATCCATCTGGGCCAATGACACTCTCTCCCGGCTCGGGAAGCGCGCATAACCGTTCGGGTCGCCTGGATCCGGGCGTATTACCTATTGTTCTGGGCCTGGGACGGTTGGTGGGATTTGTCAGAATAATACGGGACCTCGGTCCGTTCGTTGGTTGAACTTCATTTTAAAGCATTCCATGCCCCAGTGACATCACCACCATCAGCACGTTTTCTTTTCCCCTGCGCAACTCTCACCCTCCACACCAACCATGGCGTCCGCAACGAGCTTCTACGATTTCGAGCCCGCCGATAGTAAGTGTTTCACTCCCCCTTCGGCCCTACCATGAATTCATCAGCCACTAACACTCCCCCAGAAAAAGGCACTCCCTACCCCCTCACCTCGCAAAAAGGCAAAGTCGTGCTTGTCGTGAACACAGCCTCGAAATGCGGCTTCACACCCCAATTCGAAGGCCTCGAGAAGCTATATCAGACCCTGAAAGCCAAGTACCCAGACGACTTCACCGTGCTCGGCTTCCCGTGCAACCAGTTCGGCAGCCAAGACCCAGGCTCCAACGACGAGATCCAGTCCTTCTGCCAGGTGAACTACGGAGTCACCTTCCCCGTGCTGGGTAAGCTCGACGTCAACGGCGACTCGGCGGCGCCGATGTGGAAATGGATGAAGGAGCAGAAGCCCGGCGTGATGGGATATAAGCCTGTGAAATGGAATTTTGAAAAGTTCTTGATTTCGGCGGACGGGAAGGTTGTGGCGCGCTGGGCGTCGCTTACGAAGCCTGAGTCTCTGCAGAATGCTATTGTTAAGGAGATTGAAAAGGCGAGGAAGGAGGGGACACTGGCTTCGGCGCAGAAGGGGGCTGAGGCGGCCAAGCTGTCGTGATCTCTCTTTGGTTGTCCTGTCTCATTTCTTGTAATTATCTTTAATACACAGTATATCTTTCACCAGGTTATTACGAGCTCTACGACCAAAAACGCTTCGTTGATGATTCCGAATTCTTGAGCAAGCAAGACCCGGTCCTGATAGATTCATTGATCGTGCACATATTACGCTCTCCTCCGAATTTTTGTTCAAGCAGCACCACCGCCCTTTGGAATTAGGTTTCGCAGGGACAGGTCATACACCACGTCCTCGACTTTCTTAAGCTGCAGAGATAGATATAAACGTCAGCAGTGAAACGACACGAGGATGGGCTGGACTCACACTGTATTTAATTCCATCACTCCTCTTGCGCAGAATATCATTCTTCAGATTCAGCAGCTGGAAGCCCGCAAAGAGATCCTTGATGAAGTTTGCGATCTGGAGGGGGCGTGTGTAGTCACCCAGGGTGACCGAGTTGACTGCCAGACGCGACTAGAAGCGAATTAGCCAAATTTAAGAACGTGCGCGTCAAAGACTCACCAGTTCCTCGACCATGGCAATGAGCGCAAGGAGGTACTCCTCGATCGTCAAATGGAAGGCATCCTGTTCCTTGAGATTCACCGGAACTGCCCCGAGTTAATCTCATCATCCCCAATTTCAAGAGACAGCAAGCTTACTATCCAGGAACTTCCCAACCTCCTCGATAGTCATGAACGAACCCGCCTTGTACTCCTGCAGTCCTCCCAACCAGGAGCACAGCTCGATGGAGGTCACCTGTACGTAGCAGGTCAGTCAAGATGAAACACGGCAAAAAAATTCCAGACCGACCAGGTTCTGCAATTCTCGCGACCACACCCCATTGTACTTGTAGAACGGGTGTTTATTGGCCACGGCGTTCAGACGCGCGACTTCTTGCTTCTGGGCGAGGATTTCCGTGGTGACATTGTCCAGCACGGGTTTCACTGGTTAGGTTGGGTTGGGTTAGTGATACCGACAAGGGGGGCAAGTGAATGAATGGAGAGAACGGAAGCATTGTGCTTGGAATGGACATACGCTGATCAGCTGGCGTCGAATGAGCTCGAGCTAAGACTGCTTGGGTCGACCGCCCTGGAGGATGTCAGTTTTGCGGTCTTTCTCTCTCACTCGCAGTGCCGTTTGACAGGACACGCGCGTCTCTCTGCAGGTTGGAGAAGACAGACCTTTCCTGGCCAGAGTCTGCACAATCTCGTGCAGTTCCTATGTCGCGCATTGTTAGCTTCATTAATCAAGCTGGGGTGACGACTCGGATTTTCATCGGGCTTGGCACGCGCCAGATTCCACTGTCACTGGAAAGAAAGGCTTACGTCACGAACGGAGGTCTCCTCGTCGATTTTGGTCTGGAGATCCTCGAAAATACGGTGGTCGATCATTGTGTTGGTGGCGTGGTGGGGTGGAGGATAAAAATGAAGATGGGTTGGTTGGTTGCAAGGGGCGGGACACTGGGTTACGTCAATCATTCACAGTCCACGCGCAGAGTATATAGATGGACAGTCTGCGCGGGAGAGACCTTGTCCTGCTTGTGATTCTCGAGCTTGCGGTGGCGACTCTAGCAATTTACACTCGGATCGCGCCCCCAGCAAGCCGGGTACGCGGCGATATATATCTACGGATGGGCACGCGATCTACAGGGGATAGCACTCATGAGGAACCAACACCATACATCTATCTCCATGTGGAAAGCTCCCTCCCATTATTCTAAATCATTATCATAACATCATGACCCCAAACCACTCAGTACCGGTACCTCGTCGAGTAATCTGCACAACCGATCAGCAACGCGATTCATGCACAACTGCCACCAAATCTCTTACCTTTAGGACTGATCACCAAACCACGCCCCTTCTTCGCACCCTTGTAGATCGTCTCAATAATGTCGATCAGCTCCTGCTTATCCTCCAGGACCCAGTTGAGCTTGTTATTGTTTCCCGTGCCGAAATCGCACATCATGTGTTTATTGCGGTAGAAGAACATGATGGTCATGGGGTCGTAGAGCTCGTACATGGTGTTGAAGTCGGGCACCTCGTCGACGTCGCAGAGGTAGATGACGGCGAAATCTGCATCGAGATCTGGGTTCGTCGCTGGATTTCTTCTTGGGGGAGGGAGAGGCAGACGTACTTTTCACGCGCTCGGCAATCTTGTAGAGGACTTCATCTTGCTGGATGCCTGTATGACGAATGGGTGAGTGAGTTTTCTTTTCTTTTGTCGGGTAGGCAAGCCTGCGGGGACTGACAGTCGCGATCGTGGTCACGGCCGAATCGGATCACCACGAGCCGTTCTTCCTCGGAGAGAATGGCCTGGTCGACGTGCCAGGCGGTCCGGAGATGAGGCAGGACGATCGAGCCCATGGTGGCCAGGTAGTGGGCGCTGGGAGTGGCGTGGACAGACCAGAATGGCGAGAGAGGTGAAGCTTGTTGTTATCGGGAAAAGAGCACAGCAGGTCATGTGATGGGCAGGAAGGGCACAGCGCTAGAGATCGCTGCATGGATGGAAATGGAACTACAGTTGACTACGAGGACACCAAGAGAGGCCGGTCGTAATTATCATCTATCCTATATCTTACATGTAGAGCTCATAAATAGGTTGCCATCCACGCAGTCTGGCTGTATGACTGTACCCACGCCACGCCACTCAGGGCAGACTCCAGCGGGCTACGAGACACAACCATATGGACAGGAGAAACCTCTTCTCCAAACGCCTGGACCAGCCAGGACGAGAGATGAAAAGGGAGTTCGCATCGATCGGGGGTAGTGGAAGCCCGATGACACTGTGCGACGAGGCATGCGCAAGCACAGAGGCCAAGTCGCGAGATCCAAAAATGAGATTAATCAAAGTTGTTTTCCGTAGAAAACTTTCAGAGATTAAACTGAAAAGAACAGATACTACACTTGATCTAAGCCAATTGGCAAAGAGAGCTGGAAAAGAAAGAAAAGAAGAGGAAGGGACGGCGGGCGGGCTGGCCTTTTATGTTCCCCGACGCGTGGCCCGTGCGTGCACTACGCCGCTAGTCTGGAATCCCTGGCTAAGCGGGCCAATCAGCGCGATGGACAAGCCCTATGCCCTAATGCCCGAATGGGGACTAGTGGCTCCCACCTTTGCCGAATGAATTTCTCGGCCAGTGAACACCCTCTTGGTCTTTCTCACACGCAGGATACTCACCTCTTTGCGTTCTCCCTCCATTCCCTATACAATGGCTCCCGCTGCTGTACGTTGACACCCTCTATCGCTTTGCTGTTCCCCCCTCCCCAGGGGCATGCCGGAGCAGTAGGCTAATCCGACATGCACCTATAGGCTCGTGGCCGCAAGGCCCAGAAGGTCACCAAGAAGTTCATCATCAACGCCTCGCAGCCCGCGAGCGACAAGATCTTCGACGTCGCCGCCTTCGAGAAGTTCCTGCACGACCGCATCAAGGTCGAGGGCCGTGTCGGCAACCTCGGCGACGACGTTGTCATCTCCCAGGCTGGTGATGGCAAGATCGAGGTCGTTGCGCACATTCCCTTCTCCGGTCGTTACCTCAAGTACCTGTACGTTCGCATTCGGACCCTCTGGACAATCGTGGAAAGTATACTGACGGAACTCTTCCCTCCAGGACCAAGAAGTACCTCAAGAAGCAGCAGCTCCGTGACTGGCTCCGCGTCGTCTCCACCTCCAAGGGTGTCTACGAGCTCCGCTTCTACAACGTCGTCAACGACGAGGGCGAGGAGGATGAGGAGTAAATTTCTCTTCGGAATCACTGGTCCCTGCGCTCGTCATGGATCGGATCTTGCATGTTGCATATACCGCTGTTGCGAGAACAGGAGCGAGCGCCATGTTGGGATTTGGTCGTTGATGATGTGTGGGAGATAGACAACAAAAAATACAAAAAGTTTCTTCTACTCCGATGTTATGACCTACAGGGTTGGAATATGCCCCGAATGAGTCTGATATCGGAAATGAATGTCATGTCAGTCTGTCCACTCATTGATATTCTATATACTCTAGGGTATCTCCACACGTAGATCGTACACACAAATATTCAGGTGGAAACCATGCGGTTCCTCTTCTGTCCAGCATCAGCCCCCAATGCTGCCGGCGCAACCATCCTACCCTCCTCAAAGCGCCATCCCTCCTTCTCCAATCGCTTCCACCTCTCTGCCACCTTGACCCTTACCAAATCCCCCGTGGCAAGGGAGTCCTCCTTCGAATCATGCCCTCGCTCCCCGCCAGTCTGGATCTCGCGGCCGAGAAACTTCCGTGCCAACGCCTTGAGACTCATGCGACTGGGGAGACGGCCTCGCGGGTGTGGATAAAGGAGGACGGTGTCGATGACGGTGGGGTGGATGATGCGACACACGTTGAGATCATTGTCAATGGCGTGGCCGAGCAGTGGTGTTTCGGGCTGAAGGAATTGGAATAGTAGGGTTCGTGCTGCGGCGGGTGATTCGACTACCTGCAGGGGCGTGGTGGGTGTCTTGCTTGTCGTGATGGACGAGCTGCGGTCTGGGGTGTAGCGAGTAGCAGAGGCGTAGTGTTCCGGAAAGACGCCCGAGTAACGCGAGTTCAGATCGAGCACTTCACCCATCGGCTTGACGAGGACATCGAGCAGCTCGTTGCCCTCAGGCCAGCTGATGGCCGTCAGCCGGATGAGTTCGAGGCCCAGTGTGGTGTAGCCCATCTCGCAGTCGAAGCAGACTGGGTCCAGAGCGCCTTTCTCAGGCTGTGACGGTGTGGTCTCGAACTGAAGGATCGATGCAAGTCGTTTGGCTTCGGACACCTTGAACACGTGCGTGTTGGCCTTGGTGCAGCCGGGTGAGGTCCCCATCGTTTCACTGCAGCAGGGGAAATATGCTTCCGAGGAGCCCGTGATGTGGTCGGTCTGTTTTCGAGGAGGGTAGATCGGCTTGCCGGGGTGGTAGGTACACTGCCCACCGCTGGCCAACGCACCGTCCTCCCGGCGGCCGGGGAAGACCTGAAACCGTCCGCCGCATCGATCACACTTCTCCCATCCCTTGGACTCGACGACGCCCTTTTTGGAGGTTTCAATCTCTGTCTTGGTGGGGGCTTTGGTGACATATCCGAACTCTTCAAGCCCATTAAGCGGAGTAACCAGTTGGGGTACAATTGAGATCTCTTGTTTGCTGCTTAGACCGGTGTTGAGCGGTTCTGCTTTCTTAGGCGATGGTTCAATCGGCTTGGTCTTGTAGTATCGGGTATTCAAATGGGCCATGACCTCCTTGATCCAGTCCTCCTTGCACATCTTGGTCAATTTCACAATGCGCAGTTTGATGACGTTGGAATAAACCTCCGGGTTATCACGCGCAGTCTTTTCCTCTTCGTCGAGTGCCATCGTGACGAGCTCGTCCGGCGTCAAAACAAAGCGCTGCTTCGAGCGGTCTTTGTCTTTTGCCGCCTTCTCATTCTGGACCGACATGCCCGAATGCAGCTTCTTCAATATAGCGGATCGAACGGTATGTGTTGCTGGTGCCTTTTTGGTGAGCATTCGAGGGTTCAGGCTTTCTTTCGGAGCCGTCCTGGCAGGAAGGGCTGCTGGTAAGCGGGCAGGAGAGGGGCCGGTGATAGACTCCAAGGGTTTGGACGCTGTACGTGCTGATGGTGGTGGTGAGACCGGGCGAATGACTGATTGCAGTATAGGGTTGTCATGACTGGATCTTTCAGGCTGTTCGCTTGGCACTGGTAGATTTGGCATATCCCTAAGGTGGGATGGCTTTGCTGACTCGGCTACTTGTGAAACAACCTCGCGAGTTGTTCCGAGTCGGGCTCTTTTGGAGACCGGTTGACCATCGGCTGCCGGTGCGAGAGATTTTTCAGGCTCTCTCTTTTCTGGTATTTGCGTCTTATGATCCTTGTGAGAGAACAGGCATGTTATAAGAGCGCATTGCTGGCCCTTGGGACAGGGTACATCCCCAAACAAGCCGAGCGTGGTGAACATGGTCGCCCAGTGATGATAGATGCGTGAATCCTATCAAGAAGCCCGTTGGCTTGCTACGTCACGCGACGGGACACCCTGGTCGCAGGAGTATTTGCTCTCATTGAGAAGGTGATAGGAGCTTAGTCTTTCAAAGACAGAGTATCTCAGAGGAGGCGTTGCTGAACTTCTTGTTGGAGATGATGACTGTCTGTTTGTTCATTGAACACAAGTAGTGACAGGCTTGTGCAAACACGACAAACTATTTCAGGCCTGAGCCATCAGGCATGAACAAAGGAGTTCTTATCGCCTATCGCCGAAGGCTGCAGGCCGAAGAGGCGTCACGTCAGCCAGAAAAGAAAAGGTGTTCCGCTGCCTCCCTTTGTTTCTGTCAAGAGCAATGGCGACTACAATTTCTGGGAATTCGTCCGACGCGGACCATCTGTGTGTCTTGGTTCACGGGTAAGCCTTTTCTCCTGGTTATCGAGCGTGGATGGTCCACTCACATGCTCCCTGTCTAGACTCTGGGGCAACCCGTCGCATTTGAACTATGTGGCCTCCGCACTGAGGAAGCGACACGGCGAAGACCGACTCCACATTCTCTCCGCCAAAGGAAATAGTGGCAACTTGACATACGATGGGATCGAGACTGGTGGAGAGCGCCTGGCGCACGAGATCGAACAGACGCTGGACGACCTCTCCTCCAAGGGCCAAAATATTAAAAAGCTCAGCATGGTCGGCTACTCTCTCGGAGGTCTGGTGGCGCGCTATGCGATCGGTCTGCTGCATGCCCACGGCTGGTTGGATAAATTGGAGCCCGTGAACTTTACGACTTTTGCATCGCCACATGTTGGCGTGCGGATGCCGCTCAAGGGAATCACTAACACGGTTTTTAATGTCATGGGACCGAGGACGATCTCTATATCCGGACACCAGTTGTTCATGGTCGATTCGTTTCGCGACACAGGCCGGCCGCTGCTCAGCGTTCTGGCCGACCCCGAAAGTATTTTCATAAAGGGACTGGCGAAGTTTCAGCATCGCGCTGTCTACGCAAATATTCGCAACGACCGGTCTGTTATTTTCTATACGGCTGCACTGTCCACGGTGGATCCATTCCAGGATTTGGAGAACATGAATATCAACTACGTCGAGGGTTATGAGCAAGTGATTATCGACCCGGATGTCTACGTCCTGCCGCCCGCAAAGAAGGAGCCGGAAAGCATAGTGTCTCGGATATGGAATCGGACCAAATCGTTGCTCATTTGGATACCTTTGTCCATGCTCATTCTACTTCTCCTCCCACTTGCCTTGATTATCTTCTTCATCAATGCCGCTATTCAGACATTCCGCAGCCGGAAACGGATACGACGCCACGGAGAAGGGAAGAATGGCGCTCTCTTTGGACGATACAAAGTTCCCCTGCTGGTCCAGAATGTCCAACACGCCGTGGAGGAAGTATTTGAGAATGTCAACGCTCGTCAAGCTCCTGCCTATCTCTCGGGTGAGCCCAGCGCTTTAGAAGCAGCTGCCAAGAAAAAATCATTGCATGTTCCCAGGCCAGGCAGCTCCGGACAATCAAACACGGATACTGCCTCTGCCAGCATTGACGGTTCTACGATTTGCCCGTCTCCCACACTTGCATTAACCGCCGAACAATTTGAGATCATTGAATCGCTCAACGCCGTGGGCTTCCACAAATACCCTGTGCATATCCACAAACACCGACACACCCACGCGGCCATCATTTTCCGGATACCCAAGGATGGACATGCAGAGGGCAAGCTTGTCATAAAGCACTGGCTGGATAATGAGTTCGCTGTATAATTAGACAAGCCCTAGTTCTCCACTCTTCTTCCTTTACGCGCCTATATACAGTAGATGATTACTCTGGTGCTCTAAGACGGATGCATGCCATTGTCCCGTTGTCGGTGAGCAATGCATGGTCCGGTCACTGATTTAAGACATGTGGTTCTGAATCTATTGGCTGTGGCTGGCGAGGGTTATATACTCAGATCTACGTGACATATGTAAATACTACTAGACCCCCATCATACACACTATTCCTGCTTTTCTAAAGGTACCTCATAAGCAACCCGACTCACCCCCTTTTGCCGACTAATCTTTCGAATCGTAATCGCTCCCACCATATTCGTGCTTGCCACATGCGTCCCACCACAGGGGTTATGATCAAGCCCCCCGATACTTGCGACACGAATCGGCCCATCTCGCGCATCTTGCGTATCATCCGTCTGCAGGTCTGTAGCCTCAGACCAGGAAATCAGAATCGGAAGGTCCTGGCGCACCAGCTCGTCGACTTTCTCTTGGATGATGGGTTTGTGCTCGTTATACAGGAGACCCTCGTATTCCATTGCCGCCTCACGGGGTGCATGGTTGGCCTTGACTTTCTTCATATCCGGAAAGAGAAGCTGCATCGCTACTCCGACGATATGTCCCGCCGAATGCAGACGGGTATGATAGTTCCGCGTCGGAGAATCGATCTTCTGAACGACAGCCGCGCCTGCAGTAAATGGGGACGAAGAGTGGGCATCATCGATCAACTCGCCAAAATGCAAAATCTTGCCCTCGCGTGTCTTGCGAACGAGCGACACTTTGAACCGGCTGGACTCGCTGTCCGCCGGCTCGATGAAGCCAATGTCACTGGGCTGCCCGCCTCCTTGGGGGTAGAAGATCGTCTTGTGCGTGGTGAGCACGCTGTGCTCGGGAGCCACATTCTTAGCTAGGGCTTGCTCAGTCCCTGGGAGTGAGGAAATGGCCTGGCAGGACTCGACCTCTGTATTCAGGGTGCGCAGAGTGCTGTCGTTTAGATATACAGCTTCGGTTTTCTAATTCAGTATGTGAGTGTTTGTACTGGATGTGAAGCCTCTATCACTTACCATTTTGTGAATATTGAGGCTTTTCTCAAAGGGTCGGGTCATTTGCGCGCATCATGAGGTGGGTCGGGCGCGCATCGGTTGCCTGACCGTCCAGGCCGAAACATCTAAATACTCTTAACTAGTTATAGGAGATACCATAGCGTTCTGAGGGTACTCTCAAGTGCACAACTTTGAAGTACCTAGAAGAGTGAGTTAAAAAACTCAGGGCACGATTAGCGAATTCCTGGGTCTTCTCAGCTGGCCCCCTAGCAAAAAACTAGGGGCATGTAGCTGAGAGGACCCAGGAATTCCGTCCGCACTTGGGAGTACCCAGAAGAGCCGGTCTAAAATTTCAGTGTACGATTAGCGAACTCCTGGGTCCTCTCAGCCGGACCCCCGGAGATACCCAGGGACTATGAGACTATTCAGATATTCAACTAAATCTGGATTTCGGTAGGAATTTGTAGAAACATTCGTTCAACTGAAATATTTAGATAGCGAGCATACGGGTCAGTAGAGGAACACAACTTCATCATCCTAACTGGATGAATGTTTTTTCATTCCGACACATCTGGATTCAACAACATAAGAATCTAACAACGAACAGTAATAGATAACATCCTCGATAAAGAGGTCCCACGAGGTATGACATATTTAGCAGGTAAACTTCCCCTCAAATCAACGTTTATTAGACTTCGTATCCAACCCCGGATTCGCCTCCACCTCCCCCCTGTCATGGACCGGCTCTCAACCCCCGCTGCACTACGGGAATAATTCCACGGATTGCCTAATTTGTCACTTCCGGCGTGCCGTGTCCCCTATTTTTTGATTCGTTGGTGTTGCCCGGGGTGGTGATCCTGGGGTATGGTGTACTATAACCATCATCCCCCACGAGTTGCCATCTAGCGCCCTGTCATAAGAAAAACTACACTTATTAGTTATTAAGTGACATCACAATCCTGTCATTTCCTCTCACCCGGCATATGGTTGAACCCCCCATACAGCATGGAGTCAATAATGATGGCATGGATAGGAACTTCTGGGCGAGTATTCTGGGGTTCTTCTTGCCGAGGGCGGGGAGAGGGAGAAGAGACGGGTGTCCTGTTCTGGTTGGATCACGGATTGGAAACCCCTCATCTTTTGGTATATGGAATGCTACTCTATTTCGAACATCACATGTGAAATGGATGGGAAGGGAGTCCTCTTCTTGTATAGTGAGGGTGATCGGTTGGTGTGACATTAATCGCCTTACAAGTGCTATACAGGATCAAGTATCATTTTTGAAAATATTCTTCTATGCATGTCATTTCTTCATCATGAGTGTTATGGTAAGTAGTCCGGTAGATGCAGTGTGATAATAAAGAACACGAGAGAAATAAAAAAAACCATGCCATCAATAGCAAAAACAAGCCAAATTCACAGCGTTACCTGGATATCATATCGAATGTAGACCAATGAAAGAGTAGATGGAGGGACCGGCTGGGCGTAGGAGGCAGATGATCGAGAAGTACAAGGTAGAACAACCGGGTAGATAGGTGTATCAAGACATATGTCTAATCAGTTCTTAACCTCGAGGTCAACCTCGCCATTAGGCAAGCTTTTGAGAGTCTTCTGGTGCTCGCGCTCAACGGCGAACTTGACAGCGTCGAGAACAGTGTTGCAGGTCTTCTTGGGGGGAAAGCGCGGGATCGTACCGTCCTGGTAGACGCCAGTCTTGACCAGGATAGAGAACCAGTCTATATCAGATTTCTCATTGAACTCGTTGGTGCCACGGATATCAGACTCCGGGGTGTCGCCAACAAAGTAGACGGTAGAAGGCGGCTTGTCGATGCCGTGAGACTCGCTGCGCCACTCTTGAAGTAGCCGCGTGGCAAACTGGAAAGTGCCCATTTGAGGCTTGCCAAAGGCAATGGTGGTGAGATCCTTGCCTGTTACAGCCTTGTAAAGGGCCTCAAGCGAAGCACGCAACGCGCCCATGCCGATGCGCGAGTGTTCGTGCGATGTCGACCACACCACGTCGTTGTGTGAGAAGTAGATAGGCGGGCCTTCGTCGAAGGTCTCTGACCGTGTGCCCAGCCGCCCCTTCTCGGACATTAGGCAATCCAAGATGATCTGCTGATCGCCAGCCCAGTCGCGGCTGTCGGCGAAGACAAAGATCGCATCGATTTGCACCGAGTCCAGGTCGAGGACCCGCGAGTTCTTGTACTCCTCATCGGTGAGTTTGCGGAACGGCGTCGTGTCATGTCGTGTCTTGATGATATCGCCGGGAGTGACGACGTTCTTGAATCCGTATCCTTCGGCCACGATGCGGCACTTCTCGCCCTCGCCACCTACAACCAAGACCGTTCCGTAGCGCTGGGCCATTTCCCGCATGGGCGTGTGGCCGCAAATGAATTGTCCGGGAGAAACCTCCAGCTCAAGTTGCCGGCTGAGGTCCAGGCAGCGTTCTTGTTCGGTTTTGCCGCCTCCATTGGTGAGGAAAATGTACGGACTGCAAAACCACGGTCAGACAAGCTTGTTACATATAGGTAAACACAGACAGGAAACTTACACTGTGATCCCGTAAGGGTTCTCGCCATTGATGTATTTCATGGCATCAATGGCCGCCGGGATGGGCTGGCCGCCACGAATGAGGACACCATCGATATCGAAGGCAAGCGCGAAATCGTCGCTGGTGATCATTGGTGGCGTGGACAGGGGGTGGCCACCTGAGGAGACTCCTCCTCGGATGAGACTTCGTCGTCGGTAGGACTCTTACTCATTTCTGGTACAGGGATGTTGTGGTCACAGCTGAAGGAGGCCATCAGATGCTTGGGAGGGAGCCCGACATTGGGGCCACCGTAGAGATCGGCCCGAGCAGCGTCCAGGCTGTTCAGTCGGCGGACCTGGCGGGTGCCGAATCCATCGGGAGTGGCCATTGCGGGCGAGATAATGTGGGTCGATGTGCGGATAGTAGTGATTTAATTATAATAGTCGTCCACCAAGATGGACTACAGATCTTCTGATACCCGGACAAGAGCAGGGGTCAGGAACTTGACTCAATTGAGCAACAAAAGCGATAGATCGTTGATTATCGTGAAGCGATGAGAGGCAGACTGCGAGAGACTGGAGCCCGCTGCAGAAGGGAGGTTAGGTAGATGGAGCATGTGGGGGGAGGGAAAGGGCCATTAATATAGCATTCTGAGGCCTCGATGGAGTTCCAATTACCCAAAAGTATCGCAAATACTGCTGGTCACAACGGGTGGGCCTGGATCCGACCCTCAGCCCCTGTCATCATCTGGCTTTAGGCAGGATGCAAGACCGGACAACCACACAGTCCGCGTCCCTTGGGATCCACAATGGCGTGTCCTTGGTGCACCACGAGTGTATCCGGAGGCAGTGATTGATCCTCATGGTTCCGAGTTTAAGACAGTGGAGCCCGCCGGTGCAGTTGGCCGTGCGTGAATGGAGCATTGACGTAGGAGGGGGAGGGGCGGAATCTTTTTGTCCCGCTGTTCACTGACGCTGATTACGGCGATCATCTTGATTGCCTGGTTTTGCATCTGAAAATATGGGTCTCTAGTTGTCGGAACCGCTCAAATGCAGCACATGTCGGCGTGGCGCTCGGGCAACACAAGCAAATCCGGCGATGAGGGAGAGCCCGCGCCTCTTCCGTCGACCCCGGTCTCACCGAGGGCCCTTGCTTTGACCGTGAAGGTACGGAGCAGTGTATCCCGAAGACTCAGGATTGGGTTCTTTCGCGCAGCGGCGCGATCGAATCAACAGTTGCGCGTCGCGGGGCAAATCGGGAGCTTGACGTCATCGGTATCCCGTTGGCTGACTCAACAATGTCAGGAACCGAGCGAATCGCGCGCTGCGAGACAAGAAAGTATGTGGCGTCGCCGGAAAGGCGCTCGGATGCGACAATGGCGCGCGCTAGTGCGAGTGTTGCAACTCACTCATGAGGCCGCAGGAACTAGGAATGCAAGCCACAGTCGCAGTAGTCCTAGCTGATAACCTGGGTGGTAGTCGTAGGGCTCATGCGTGCAAAGAACGATCCTACACAGTCAGGTAGGCCTGATGGTGTCACCATGCAGGCTTAGGGCTTTTTGCGCAGCACGGATCTTTCAGCTAGGCCTAGCTTGAGCCTCGACGGTCTATTGCGGTGACGTTGGTTTGAACCGCCCCCAACGTCGACACAGCGCGTCATTTTCCCTCAAAAATCGATTGGACGGTCGTCAATGCAGGACTGCGTTAACAAAAATCCGTGATTGAACTACCCGTCGACTTTCCTAAGTGGGTATAGTAGTGGGCTACATCCCACCCACTATCATCAAAATCTGGGATCCAAAAAAGAACACCATGATGCAAATACTGTATACAGTTGGTATCCCTCGTATCATGTAGACACAAGACCCGAAAAAGAGAGAACCCAGCCTCCCCATATCAAAAATGCCAGTCATAATATACAAGAAAGAAAGGAGGAAGGCCAAAAGACAGAAATAATAACAGGTACAGTTGAGAAAAGGAAAAGGTGACTTCACTCCACCCTGAGCACAAAATCCGTGCCCTGCTGTGAAACAACCACATTCCGACTCTCAGGAGACAGCCTATGCGGATTTCGACGATTCATCCGCGTCGGACTGTTTGGATACAGCGCAGAAGCACGTCTCGCGTCGGATGGGTACGGCAGTTCTGCATTTTGCGACATGTACGAACGCCCTCGTTCCAGCCAGAGTTCCTCGGGGTCGTAGGGGACGACCACCTCACTAGGAGAACGGGGTTGGCCCGGCCGCAGCTGGACGCGCTTGATATCATTCTGGCGAACGATGCGTGGCCGCGATATTATTTCTAACGCTGGGTCGAGAGTTCTTGCGGGTAGTTGCTTCGGGGGTGGAGGAGGTGGTTTTCTGCTAGGGAGCATGCCGCTGAGGATGCGGCCCTGAGCTGTGCTAGAAGGCGTGGTAGCGAATGTATTCGGAGAAGAGAGATGTGGTGATGATGAGCTTCTGAAATCATCGACGGCGCTGCTTGTATCTGTTGTTGTTGTGGAGGATCCGCGCATTGCGGTGGTCGTTGGTGTTGTAAGATGGGTCTGTGGATGTCCAGCATCGCGCAGGAACCTCCCCGCTGGAAAGCCTTCCTTCACGGCACGAGGATTTGCAGGAAGCCCTATTGGGGCTTGTGACCTTGACGGCGGATTGCGAATGTCCTCCGGCGGAGTTACATGCCGGCCCTCTTCATCATCTTCTTCTTCTTCGAAAAGCGTCACCCCACTGACAGGTCGATGGCTCCATTTCAACGGCTTTGGATAGAGCCCCGGTGTCCGGTCAGGCAGTACCTCCGACAGAGTGCGTTGAGAAGACTGTGTCATGGGCGAGACTGCCCACTCGGAATCAGAGCTTACGGCGACTCCTATCTGTTCCTGATTCCGAGATCTCCCTGCATAGCTGACCTCTGGGACGGGGACAAAAGCCCGCTGAGATGATGACTGAACCGGGCCCGCGGATTGGGGCATGCCGTATTTTTCGTTCCATGAAGAACCCGGGGTCGGATCTGGAGATGGAAGCCGGGATGAAGGGTGCGAGAATCCAGGTGGCTCGGTCATGGCACCGCCAATCTCGAAAAAGTCTTGATCGGTGTCGTTGGAGTTCCCACTCCTGTACCGCTTACAACAAAGGAATACCGCAACACCAATTATAAATGACCCTGCCACGCCTGAAACGATGGAGACACCGATAACCGCTCCTGAAGCAATGGTATGATGATCTTCCTTCTTCGCGGAAGAAGGATTGGAAGCTGCTGTTGTATTTTGAGGTGTGGCAACTGGAGAACTGCTTGAAGTCGTAGATGTCGAAAAAGGTGAAGTATCTGCAGTCTGTTCAGAAGTAGAAATAGAAGTAGAAGTAGAAGTAGTTTTTGGTGTCTCCGTCGCCGTGACATAAGTCGCCGTTGTGGTCTGCACAGCCGGGAAAACCGTTGCGGTAATCGTAGCATGCGTCGCCAGAACAGCCCCTTGCACCGAGTCGCATATACGATACGCATTCGTGGTCTTGATGGTTTTTTCAGAGCACAAAGACAACGCACAACTCAGGGCAGCTTCCCCCAGCGTGAAACCGTCTGATGACGGCGTCCGACACAGGCACTCGATATTCGACGGCGTTTTGCACTCGGTGGGCGTATACTGGGATTTGATGAAGTTGTCCACACAGTTCCGCGCGCATTCTGGGATCATGTCGAATAGAGATGGGTCGGAGGTACCACTCAAGGACGTCTCTGCTCTGGGATCTATACATGTCGAGACTGCCGGGGGGACCGCAGCGAAGAGGCTGTAAACAAGAAGGAAGCGCATACTGCGATATCCCTAAACTGGTTTGAGAAATTATTCTCTTTCTATACCTGATGTTCTCGCGAGACTCACCTGGAGAGATCTCGTGGGGGATTGACTACCCTGTATTGTTCCATGAAGCGGTCATCTTCGAGGGAAGCCCAAGACACAGCAGGGAGAACGTGAACAATCGAAAAGTCTTAGAAAGAAAGAAGAGGAAGAATAAAATACAGGTTAAAGCGGATCAGCACTTAATTAAACAGCAGCGCCCAACTGCATCGCGACTCGTCGCGAACTGTACGCGCGATGCGCCTCCGTAGATTATGACGAAAGGACATTCTGAAACACGATGCTAGTGTAGGCGCCACGATGAAACCAGATGACTCTTTCAACCGTCAGACTAGGGAGAGCGACGAATGGTTGTCGCTGGGTGGCGCCCACATTGGGCGGCTGCGATACTAAGTGTACGCGCCGAGGGCAACCAGGGCGCTAAACCCACAGGGTCAGCCGGCGCCAGTCGTACTACTGGAAGGCGTTTCAGATTCCTTGATTGTGTGACTGAGCAACTGATTTCAGATTCGTTGGGCATATATTTGTTTTGGTTTGCTAGTGGTGCTGGTAAATGGTTCAGCTGACCGGATTTAGGGCTGGGAATCCCTCGTCTCATACTATACAAATAATCTGGAGGCGCATAGTAGTATCATCGCAATCGAGATGATGTGTCTTTCCAGTACTGGCTGGCTTATGTTTGCTTTATTATTTTTGAGTCAGGCAGGGAATGCGCTGAATCGAAACGCCTCCCACTGACCCTAGTTTTATCATGCACATGTTCATCTGGACTGACTCGGATTCCTCCTCCACCTGTGGCTTTGATCCGGCAGATTCCGCATCCGCAGGCCATCTACGCCAATCACCGGAACCCAAGACCCTGTGGCTTGACAGTCCACCAAACACATGACTTGCGCAGGGCCCTGGAGGCGATCCGTCGATCCTACGTAATGTACTACGCATGTGCTAAAACAAGCAATGCCTGAGAGAAAAGCGCCATCCGTTTCCGTTAATTATCAGAAGCTAACTAACAAGGACGGTGGGCACGAAACGAAGCTCCAGAGTCATCCCGAATGCGCTGGTATCATTCGAACCGAAAGGGAAGACAAGACCCGGGAGGTGGGCATCACATCACATAAAAGAAAACAGGAGAAAAAGTCACAAAACAAACCCATTCCGAGTCGAGACAAAAGAAAAACAAAGAAAAGTAGGTGTGGCACTGCCACCGTAATTAGAACATTATGAACATCGTCGTTGGATCCGATGTCGAGTGTAATGGTCTCGATCACACCACATCCACATCACTCCCAACCGCGCAGACACGAGCAACCCGAGACATCCCACCTGCACTGCTACCACTGTTTCGCATGATGGAGCACTCGCGCAAGAAGATCTTCAGGGGGGTCCATGACATCACTTTCCCGGGGAGAAAAATCGATGGGGAAAGCGAATGTGCTGCCCTGGGCGCTGCGTCGCAGAAGTTGAAAGGAAGGGAGGGCAGTGTCTAGTATTTAAGGATGATGTACCTACGCATCGTTAGCAGGGGTGGTTGCTGAGAATCAAAAGACGGCCGGGGGAGGTGGATGACGTACAGCGCGTGGATGATACCGGGGATCCAACCCAGGATGGTCAGGCAGATGTTGATCAGCAAGTCGGCGCCGCATCCGCGCTCCAGGAAGACACCCAGAGGAGGCAGGATGAAGGCGAAGATGATCTTGCAGATGTCGCTGCAGTCAGGGGGTCAGCCCAGCCCAGAATTTGGAGGGGGATAGAACGCTCTGGAGAGGTTCGACTTACGAAGCTGTGAAAGGCATGGTGGCTGGAGTTGCTGTTGGCACAGAGATCAGGAGCTGGAATTGGGGGAGTAAAAGGTGTAGAGGAATGGGTTGTGGGGGGGGAAGAAGAAGAAAAGGCAGAAAGAATGGTGGCACTTGGGGAGAAAAGTCAGGAGGGAGAGCGAGAGAGCTCGATCCTTCATTGCGTCATGATGTGGCTCGTGCCGGCTTGGCAAGTCACTACTGGCGCCATTTGGCGGTTGCCTGTCACACTTAATCCGGATTACTACCCGCCACACCTAGCCGTTTAAAACAGGGCGGGATTCAATGCCCCCAAGTCGACATCATCCAGCAAGGAGTTCCACTGCTGCGCATCCAGGTCCGGTGCCACAGCCAGAAACTCGGTCCACAGCTGATCCCAATCCACCTCCATCAGGCCACTACTGAGAGGCTCGTCGCGGAATGCGTCATGCAACCCGCCCGAAGAAACGGCCTCCCCAGATGAGGTAGCAGGAGCCTCTCGGGGCTGCTGCACCCGCTCCTTCTGCAGCGCAGACATCAGAATCTGCAGATTGCGCTGGATGCTCTCGACCAAAGTACTAGACTCCTGTTTGGACGATTCGAGGATCTGGTAAGCCATGAGCACTTTGGCCTTGCGAGCCTCGGCGTCTGGTGCGTCTGGGCTGAACGACACATCCGTAGCCAGCACGAGCGCTGCCACGAAGACATGCTGCATGACCGTCCAAAAACGCGACGGCCGGATGTCGATCTTCGCGCCGGCCTCGTCCATCTGGCGTCGGAGCTCGAGCACCGTCTGCGCGGACCGGATACACACTTCATGGGAATAGGCGTATTTGGGGTTCGTCATGCCCTCCAGATGGTAGGGGCGGTGGAGTCGACAGAGACGCGAGTGCAGACTGAAATGACCGGAGATGCGGCTGAAGGCGATCCAAGGCCGTTGCTGGACGATCTCCTTGCTTTTCTCAACGTTTTCCGGGTCGAGTTTTAGGAACCAGGGCAACTCCTTGAATAGGATCTGGAACTTCTTATCCATCGCCAGCACAATGTCATAGTCTGCTTCGTTGTCATCCAATAGCACCGACGGCATGGCATCCACGATCTCCCGGCAGAGGTTCGCCGTCCTCACTCGGAAAAGAAATCCGCTCATTGCGGTCGGGACGGACGAGGGTAGGTCGATGTCTGTCGCGGTGGGTGTGATGAGCTCATCGTCGGTATTGGCTGGGTAGTTGACCTGCATGTGCTTTGTCTGATATATGTACGCGCCCTCGTGGTGGCCGCCGGAAAATCCAATCAGCCTGGTTTCATACCTGTCAGTACGCTGCATTTCCCTTGGATCGGAGAGACGTTACCAATCGGACGCCACCATACTCCACCAGATCCGTCTCTGGACTTCAATCTCAATCATGTTGCACCCTTTGAGTCTCCTTTCTTCGGAGCTCGCGGGAGTGTCCAAACGGTTTATCTTCAGCTCGCGCATCATTAACAGGCAACGCATTCGAAGTAAATGGACCTTGATCCCAAAGCCGTCGGAATTGGTGACCAAATGGGACAGTATACTGATCGATGCCAGAGCGATGGTGGACGGGGCCACGGGATGTACGTCGTCCTCCACGATGGATAGGGCCAGCCGGGAGTAGGCTGTAAAGGCGGCCCGTGCCTCTGCCTGTGTGGTATTGAGGCGCTCCAGAAGCTGGGAAGACCAGGCAAGCGAGCCACCAGCGAAGATGACAAGAAATAACATCAGATTGGCCATGTCGGGTACGTTGCCCGTGGCCATGTTTTTATACATTTCTTCCATCAATTCTCTGGTAGATGGAAGGTGAAGAATCCCGATTGTGGGCTGTAAGGTTCTAGCAAAATGATTGAGTAGCTCTCTCGCCTGTCCTCGGGGGGGGAGGTGGCTGGCTATAAACTTTGGGTCCAAGGCTGGTTCACTTGGACGACTGGACAAGACGTGGAGACCAAATGGAGTGAACTGAATTGTGTCGGCTGTCAGGCGTGGTGTCCACGCTGTAGATTCGGGGGTGTTGGTATGAGAGGTTTGGTTTGATTTGTTGAATACGGCTTCTTCCAGATGGCGGAGTCGATCTAGAACCTCTTCCGGCTTTCTATGATACTTTTCAGTGAACAATTTCATCCGACACGGAGGGATAATTACAAAGAACCGGGCTCCGGGCCAGTTGTCCTTAGGGCAGGAGACTGCGTCGCAGTCTGACCGAGTGGTCTATCTTGACCACTCCCATCGTATGCGCAGGCGATGTTCCGCAGCTTGCAATTCATACACGGCAGTTCCCGGTCACAGCGGCGTTTCTTCGCTCGACACGCCAGGCAGGATGGCGGCGGGCGACCCCATCGATGCACCATGGTGGCGGGAATTCCCCGGCTGTCTCGTTTCATGATGAACGTAGAAGATATAGTTGCTGAGAGAAGGAGGAAGGTAGCTCCGCGTTGCTCCTTCCCGGTGTGGCTAGTGCCCCGGTCCCTCACCAGTGAGAGCGGTGAGGGCCTGACTTCCAGGAGCCATTGCATTACACGCAGGCCTCATTCAATCCTAGTGCTTCACTCCGTGCCTCCAGAAGATGCCCCAGCCGCTATGTTTCCACGTTGATCAAAGGCAATTGCTCTCATAGCGTCAATAACCGTTTTGATGGTCAGTCCAGCCGAGACGGAAGCCGTTGCAGTATGTCGCTCGGGTCCCAACACTCCCGTCTAAGACACACATGGCAAAGCACGCACCCCGGTTGATAGTCAAGCTTAGAAAACAGAGTGATATAGACAGAGAAAATATTACCCCTCCCGCTCAAACCACCCCGAAGACCCCATGACGGCGTAGTTGTCGACTCACCGGTTGATTTCTTTGTTGTCGGAGTTGACACTGGGGCTGTGAAAGACCCCACACGCACGCGAACCAGTTGATCATGAGGGGTGTTGCATCTTATCGGTGCGAGTATCTCAATTCGACTCTCTGTGGATGCGCTCGAGCTCTCGGTTGTCTCGATTGAACGGCTGCGCACGCACCATTAGGCGCAGAGGGACTGGTGTGATAGGCTGATAATCAATATGATAGCGTACAGACCAAAATAATAGCGTCGGTAGTAATCTAATATTATAGCTAGTTAGATAGGCGACCATTACTCTTAATCCATAGGTAGCTGTGTCTATGAGGAAGTCGTGATACCCGCCTCCAAAAGTCAGGCCCTCACCGCTCTCGCTGGTGCGGGCCCAGTACAGCCAATGGTCTATCCTTCCTTCTCCAGAGGAACTTGCCTTTGTTGACAATAATGCCACAACTGCCCACACGGGCCCCAAATTCCCTAGCCAGGCGGGTCCTGCGCTTAGGTTGGCCGCGCAACTCCCTCCGCTCGCACCCAGTCACCAGAGGCTATGCGACTGGGACCAAAGGGCTGCCCATCGCATGTACATGGCTCACCAAGAGACCAGCCGACATTGTGGGTTTCTGCAGACCGGTGGACGCGATCCGTATGCTAATTGGCCTCCGCAGACCCCTCTAGATGTCTTGTCGAGTCTCCCTTCTCTCCCGTCCTCCTTGCCCGCATCCGAGTCCATTCCTCTCCTCCTCCTCACCCCAAGCTTTGCCCCATGGCTCGATCCCAGTAGCGATTTCCTCCAGCAATGGGTAGGCCGGCTGTATGGTCCTTCTTCCCCGTCGCCTCTCTACGCCGTTGCGGCTGTTGTGGATAAGCTTCCCGATCCTCAACCGGCATCAGTTGAAACGGCGGTGGAAGGTCTGTCTCTTCTAGTGGTGGGCAAAGATGGCGTACATGGGAAAGCGGCGTCGCCTCGTCAGATCAGGGGCTCTGGGGTTGAAGAGCCTGATATTTTGATCTCGGTACAAAGCAAGGCCCAAAAAAGTAGCAGCTCGCTGCCCTACGAGATTGGACTGAGGCTTGCAAATACCGTCTTCGTCAATGGCAGGGAAACCACGCTGTTCGGCATGCGTTGGGCTTGGGACAGTGCTGTCAACAAGTATACTCTGGACGCATCCCTTGATCTCAGAAGCTGCCTGGTTGCAGCTGTTTCTCCAGTCGCCGAGCCTCAACTACAGCTACCTTTGCACCCTGTCACCGAGCGGAGGAAAGTCCTCGCCAGTATGGGGAATATCCTTCGCCAGGTAGCCACATCCACCGACGCAGCGTCCACCAAGCCGATGCCCGCGTCGACTGAATTGGAAAAGACGCTCCCGCGCTACCTGGAAGAGCACAATATCGTCGACCGGCGCGTGACGGTCTGGGCGCTGGTTGAACAGCCAGATAATCTTTCCCACCGCGGATCACCGCACGACCGGATTATCCGCTCTCTGTGCCAGGGTGGTAAGCTGCACCGTGTGATGAGTGGTGGGGGCGGATGGGGCAAGAAACAGGGCCTTCTGTCCCTGGACCCAGAAGTAAGCTTTTCCACCGCGGCCTCCCGCGATAAACTTGCAGCCCTGGATGAGTTGTTCGACTCTGGTGCTGCAGCGCCGGATTTGCCGGCTTTCATGGGTGGCGATGATCTGTCTCTCCTGTCGCAAGTCGCCACGGCGGGTGATTTCATCCAGTTCTTCGTGTCTGTTGAACCCACCAATTCCCCGGACGACCTCTCTGGGCGCCCGGTCACCTACAGCTTTGGAATTGTCTCTGACATTGAGGAGCCCGAATTACCGGATGTCGAAGGAGAACCGGGCCTGGTAGCCATTCCAGGTTTCTTTGGTGCATTGTCCGAGAAGGCGATTGCATACTCGCAGCCGGTGCCGCAGGGCGAGACGATGGCGCCGTCCAACACCAAGCTTGATGTGCCGGGGTGCCGAGTGGACCTCCACTCTGTATTTTAAGAAATTCAACTTGTATAGAATAATATAAACGTGGAATAAGACCTCCTATACTCCATCCGTGATACTGTTCAGTCCGCCAAGACCACGTGACCGGCACACCCCAAGCCCAGCGTGTTTGTCGTCCACCTCTCATCTCGCTCCCATCTTCCTTGATCACCACTCAACACTCCCTGCATCTCCGGCTTGAGACTGCCAAACTCGAGTACATCACTTCCATTTTCCTTGCCCTCGAGTACCCGATCGACCCCCCTTTCCTCCGGACCATCCTACCCCCCAAAATGGCCACGGAACTTTGGTAAGTTGTCCTCACGACGGTCCTCCCAACCCCTGGGTGCTCCAGCAACTACGGGCGCCTTCTCTACCGTATTTCTTCAGGACATGAAACGCTAACCTCTGCACCTTCTCAGCCCCGTCTATGCGGTGAGTTTGTTGCCTCTCGTTCCCGGCGCCCCGACCTCGTCCAGTCCTCCATCCCGATGTTTCAGCCCGCCCCTCGCCTTCACCCTCATACCATGGCCTCATTCCCTCCACAAATCACTGACTGTATTGCTGTAGCCCTTCTTCGGTGCGCTGGGCTGCACGTCCGCCATCGTCTTCACCTGCTTCGGAGCTGCCTATGGAACTGCCAAGGCTGGTGTCGGTGTCTGCAGCATGGGCGTGCTCCGGCCCGACCTGATCGTCAAGAGTGCGTGCTTCCTCCCTTCTACGAAACTACAATGCATGATTCCGATAATACTGACTTCCCTCACTCGCCAGACATCGTCCCCATCGTCATGGCAGGTATCATTGGTATCTACGGTCTGGTGGTGTCGGTCCTGGTCGCCAACGACCTGCAACAGCGGCTCCCTCTATACACGGGATTCATCCAGCTGGGTGCTGGTCTCGCTGTCGGTCTGGCCGGTATGGCTGCTGGGTACGTTGACAATCCCCGTTCCTATCAACCGGCTCTCCAAACTCTTGCTAATGGTGACTTGTTTTTCAAATACAGCTTTGCTATCGGTATTGTCGGTGACGCCGGTGTGCGCGGAACAGCGCAGCAACCTCGACTGTACGTCGGAATGATTCTGATTCTCATTTTCGCGGAAGTCCTGGGTCTGTACGGGTTGATTGTTGCTCTTCTTATGAACTCGCGCGCGAAGGGGGCCGACTGCTAAGCGAGAGGTACCTTCCCCTCGCGTCGACCCCAGAGAGGGATGTTTGGGTTTTTCTGCAGCCTGCAGCCAGCGCTGGATTGGAGCTTGCTTTAATTTCCCAACATCCATCATTCGAGAATCCTCTTTTCTCGATGGGGCGGTGCTAGGACTGGCGGATATACAAAGGTAAGATTTCGGCAACTATGAATCTTCTTTTGGTGCGTGAATAAGAGAGAAAGACGATGAGGGACAGATGGGGTGTTTCTTTTTATTCGATCACCGGGTATGCTTGTGTGGACTGGAGAAGTGGTCGAGCATCGAGACAAACTGGGCGTGGTTTACCGGTGTGGTAGATATTGTTTGGCTTACATTGCGTGATTGCGCGCTTGGCAATTGTACTTTATATGGGTCTTTCCGTACTCCATTTCAGACTCGGCTTCCTGAGTATTTCCATTCGTAGTCTACCAATACTCCCGTTCTATATAAACGGGGCAGTATCTTGGTCTACAACAGATGGACTGCGGTATTTAGGGAGAATCGAGTCGAGTGCCAATGGCAAACCATTGGTAAAATCTATTGGGTAGTTCGCAATGCATAAGAGAACAATCAAACGAACCAAGGGGAGAGAAGGGACTCCCCGAAATCCCACATGAAAGCAGAACAGTAGATCAGAGCCAAGAACAAAGGAGACAGATAGTAAAAAGCCAACCCGCGAGCTACGAACCAGAACCACGAAGAGTAGGTTCTAAGCAAGCAAAAACGGGGGAAAGGGCCAGGATATTTGATGGGAGAGCGTAGGTAAGTATGACGGACGGCGCGAACAACAAAACAGGCAGCAGCTTGTCGAGAGTGATATAAACTCCATCCACACCCGGATAATATATGCAAGGATATGCTTGCCAAAACAAAACCCCATACCCTACTCTAAGCCTTATCGAGTTTCCGTCGCAGCGTGCGCGTCCTCCGCATCAGCTTCTTGAACTTATGCTTCTTCATCTTCACGCGGCGCCGTCGCTTCGTGCTGAGCGTGTGCATGGACCGGTTGTAGCGCAGGCGCTCGATGTAGGTCGTGCCCGAGCCGAAGCCGCTGGGGGCATCGATGGAGGCGGCAACTTCGTCCTGCATTCCGGTGGGGGCATGCACATCGTCATTGAAGACGAAAGGGCCTGTGTGGGCCTCGTAGGTCTTGCGGCCGTCTGCGTGGCGGGATTCGCGGATCGTCAGGACGGTCGAGTAGGTCGATGTCTCCTGGTCGACGTGGTCGACCGAGGGGTCCGCTTCAGCGGCCGAGGGGTTTGCGGTTATGGGAACGGGCGGTGGTGGGGGGTTGAAGGGGCGCAGGCGGCGGGTGAACTCTTCCACGGACATCTTGGCTTCCGGGCCGTCCATCATGCGCAGCTCGCCGTCCTGGTCGCTGGCAAAGCTGCGGTTGAGCTGGCCCAGTTGGTCCTCGGGTTCGCTCAGAGAGTGCGCTGTGTTCTCCATGGACTGGACTGTCGAGGAAAGGGTGAAGATGACATCCTCCGGCTCGTTCTTGAGGGATCGCTTTGATGAGAAGATCGCATCGAAGGCCTCGGCGCTGGAGGCAGGCGGTACAGTCGACGTCACGGATATGGGTCGGTGGATCGAGAAGAAGGATGCTACATGGACATCTCGATGCAAGTCAGTACAATCTCGAAGCTGGAGCAACGGCAAAGGAAAATGCTTACCATGCGGCTGCAGGTGCTGAGTCGAGGGAACGCTGGGGAGATTGGCAAAGATCGAATTCTGCTGGCTGGCCTTGGAAGATCCATTGCGAGTACTGTTATCTTTCCCCCGCCGACGGGCCGCCTTCCCCTTCTCGTTCGATGAACTCACACCCTTCGCAGGCGTAGAGGATGTGTCCATCCGTCGTGAGCCATCGCTCGGTGGGACTGGAGGTTTGGACGAGGATGAGGAGTACCGGCGCTGATGGATGCCTCGAACGGCGAGCACCTGGCCAGAAGATCGAGTCAAGCCGGGTACGGGCATTGCCCATGCCGCCCGGCGTAACGACGTTGTCAACATGGTTGTTGGTACAATGGAAGTTGAAGCGGAGTCGGCGGCGAAATCAGTCATGAGGCGGGTCATGTGGTTGCTTATGCAATACGGTGCCCCGGTGCCTCAGGCAAAAACTAAACTTGGCAAGAGGGAGAAAAAAAGTAATAATGAACAGGACTAGGTAGTATGTATAACTCTCGTGGCAAACATCATCACAAGTGGGCAGCAGGTCTTCTCCTGGCGTAATAGGAAATGCAAAAGGATTGTGTGATAATACAAAACAGTCATCGACAAAAACTGCAGAGACAAATCAAGTGGTATCATCCTGTGTAACAACAAAAAGGAAAAACCGGCACTGTCGCTGAGGAATAGGGGGCGAAAGGCGAAATCAGATGGGGCTTTTTGGATGCAATAGAACAGACCCAAGGAATACGGCAGTGAGCCGACAGCTCCTCTATAAGACGCCTCGTATGAAGTAAAGAAAGTAGGAAAAAGAGCCACCCCAGAAGAGACAAAGGCGGAGGATCGTGCGGGAGAGGTGAGAAAACTATAGAATGAGGGTGTGGAGATTCTTCTGGATGATCATGTCCTGGACCGAATCCATAGTCGCCTTCAACAGCGTCGTGTCGGTGGCATTGGTGTAGTGGATGTAGATCTCGCGATCGGGTATTCGGTTGATGCCGCGGAACCGTTCTGCAAAGTACCGCGCTGCGGCGTCAAAGTCGGTGTTTGATCCGGTGTAGTCGGGGAAGTGTTTCGAAATGGAGGAAATGCTGAGTTTGCCTTTGAACAAATCGATCTTGTTGAGGAAAAGAATGATGGGCTTTCGCTTGAACCATTCACCGTTGACCAGAGACTCGAACAGCATCATGGCCTCGTGCATTTGATTCTGTTGGGGTTAGTTATCCATCATTTCGCGGGATGTGAGTAGACTTACAGCATTTTGATCCTCAACCAGACACTGGTCATAACCGGACAAGGCAACCATGAACAGCAGACATTGAACACCCTCGAAGCAGTGAATCCACTTCTTCCGTTCTGACCGTTGCCCACCAACATCCATCATGCGAAAGTTCATCTGTCCGAGTTCGAACAGCGTCTCCGTAATACCCGTCGTCCGAAGTCGAGCCTGCAGCATGTCCTGATTGTCGGGCAGCCAGCCCGGTGTAAATATGCGATCCAGAGCATCGTAAAAGCTGAGATAAATGGTCAGAATAAATATGTCGGACATTTCAGGCACACCTACTAAACCAAGTTGTCGTGCAGGGCGAATTCGTGCCCACGAGCCACGGCCTTTTGGACGCCACCATCAGCCCATGTGTCTCGCATGGCGTCGCGAACCTTGAGATCTGAGAAGGCCTCATCTGACCCAAGATCCGGATCCGTGTTCTCCAACAACTCCGCGAGCGGCTAGAAAAATTGGTCAGAAAAGACTGGCGCGGGATTTCGAGAAACATACTTTAGTCTTCTCTTCATTCTCGAACTCGATATTCTCGGCGTTCATGATATCCAACAAAACTTTAAACGCAATGACAAGATTTGAGTAGATCACGGCGCGTGTCTGACGCCGTTCTTCCTCGGGGAAGCCCCGATCGTGGATGATACGCATCTGCTTGATGATAGTAGACTTGCCGGACTCTCCAGCTCCTGTTGGGAAAGGTTAGTTTTGTGCCCATCGCATCTCCCAAGTCCGGCTGATCCAACTCACCCAGTAGCAGGATCTTGATGGTCCGGTCCATTGTCTTCTTGTCATTTTTGAGTGTTCGATCTATCCGAGCATTGCGCTGGAGGGCATCCCTGTCTCCGTCTGCGCTTTTGGAGTTTATGCAGCCCATGATGTCGGTGCACGAGGGCGGTCAACGATTCTAGCACGAGGGGTGGTTAGCAACGGTCGAATTAAGGGACAAACGGCGCGTCTTTGTCCTGAGTCAGAGATGCGAATTGCATTGCGCCTCGCGGGCCGGCGCGCAAGCTTCAGAGACAACCGTAGACTCGGCCGGGCTTGACCGGACTCGGGATACGAAGGGCGCGCATGCCCACCACGCGTGAGGGGGATAAGGAGGAGGGTTTGCCCACCTTCTCAAAAGACCCTGAAAGATCGCGCTGAGGCCACCACGAAGCCGCCGTCCAAAGAGCTGTCAAGCTTCGAGACCTCGCTGCTTCCCCACACCCGAGATTTGCCACGTTCCGTTGCGAATCGGGCGGTCGAATTTCCAATCAGACCAGGGTTTATCCTCCGAGACAGGTGTCCGTAGCGTGGTCGGCGCGACGTCAGCACACGATTGATGGGTGGTCGAGTCGGGCGGGATGGGGGATTGTGCTCGGCAGGATCGGAGGGAGTTCGAGGGGCAGGGGGGACGAAGAGGGGGACGTCCTATGAAGGAGGGTTGATGTTGGAAAACCCTAGAAACAGAAAGTGGCAATCCAAGGGAGAGAAGGTAATTGAAGGTAAGGGAAAGGGAGTGAGTGACAACAAAGAAAGAGAGGGAGGGAGAGAGAGACTGGCTCGTCGTACTAACCAAATCCCTATCGTGCCGTGCGCCCAAAAGTCCCACCAGCAAAGAAGCAAACGAACAGAAAAAGGGCCGGGTTGCGCTAAAGTCGGCCGATCGATCATCAGGAATGGGTGAATAATATTAATAGTAATAATAATAATAATAATGCATTGTTTACCACGGTAATATTCATAGTCTTAACGAATTATCAGAGTGATTTTCATACTACTACATGGCACTATAGATGTTCACTACTCCATACCTACTCACTGTGTACTCTCACTCCTCCCTACATACTGGCATTTTCTCGAACATGCCGGTGTGTGGATGTACCGCATGGCCTGAAACGTCGGCGGATTCCTTTAGTCGAGCTCTGTACTCCGCAGCGGCCCATGCTCGGCGCTTTGCTCGTTTCTCCGTCCCGCTGTTTTACCCCTGACATCTGGCACGAACTACACACTACTGTACCTACTAGCAGAAGGCCCAATGAAAGCCATGAAACGCTAATGATACTCCTCCCGCTGGACCCGGTTTCATGCCTACAAACCAAGCGCTTCCCGTCGCTAAGACCGAGTGGCTGCTTTGGGGCTAAGGCAGGGGCAAATCCTGTTCGGGCGGCTTGGCTCACGGGGATCGGTGGGGGTAATTACAACACGAGTTCAGTTCCTCGAATGTATGTAGTTACCACTAACTATGCTAGGAAGTGACCTGTCAGATCAACAACATGCCTGGGTGGTGAATCATGGGACGAGAAGGAAATGTGTAGAAAAGACTCACATTCTCACTTGGAAGGCAACCTCCATCCCATTTTTCTTGACGGTGACCAAGCCGGTTTTCTTCAAGCTAACGTGCTCCTCCCCCCCCCCCCTCTCTTCCCTGACTGGCAGCTTGGCAATCCTATTCGAGGGGCTGTGGAGATGTCTGATTAGGACTGTTGCCAGATTCATCCATTCTCCGCCCGGCCCTGAGTCGAGCAGTGGATGTTTGGATTTTCAGAGAAGCCAACCGTCTGGCAAAGAGAAATCTAGTGGCGAAATGGCGTCTAGGCCTTTCACGTCCTCGAATCATCTCATTTCTCGCACGAGCTCTAAACTTTCTTTTTTGCTTTTTTCTCTTTTTAACGGCACCCCCGAAATACCTCCGACATGATTCTGACAGGTCACCCCTGACAGGGTGAGCTTAAGTTCAGATGACCCGCCACATGTATATCTGGCCGTTTTCCTCGGCATCGAACACGTTCCCCATGTGGCGGAACCCACGAGACCGCAAAAATAAAATAAAATAAAATAAAAAAGGGATGGCCTAAGCGAAACAGACTCACGGGCCAGGGCGTTGCCAGACGTTGAGCCGTGGAACCGAGCAAATGAGCCGTTGTCGATCAGTATTTTGACAGCCGCCTAGGCCCACCGGAGCTCCTCTGGGCGTTGTGATACATAATGTACTTTTTCGTTTCTGGGTTGGTTTATTTTTGGGTGTTTCAGGTCATGGGCTTTGGTGTTGGCTGGGGTATTAGTTATAGAGTCTAAGGAGCTTAGTGGTAACTAGTCCTAGATCGGGATATGACAGGTGTCGGGGGTGGTTACTCGATATGCTAGTCATACGACAGGGTTAGGGGTGAAAGGACAGGAGTGACCTTCCCGTGGTGGCGTCAAGCAGTGCAGCCACGGTCTGACCTTCGGAAGGCAACAGTATGAAATACTCAACTACAGTGACATTATTGGTTCAGCAGTATCGTTCATAGCTAGTCGGGCTTCTGTTTAGAAACAATGAGTCTCTTGATGCTGTAACTAGTATCTGCAGAGATGTAAGTATATGTCTATCAAGTCGAGCTTGTAGTTCAGTGTATAGAAGAACATTCTAACGGACATTGTCGAGAGACGAAGCAACCAGGTTTGCCTTCCCAGAGAAGCTAAACCCCGAATGCATAAACAGAATGAGAGTGGTGATCAATATTGAAATCTTTGAAATCAAGGAGGCATGCTTGGCGAAGATCATGTCCTGGACACCTCGAACCCTGCATAATTGAATTAAATATATATCTCTTCACAGTGGTTCAACTCGGGTGTTAGATCATAAACATATCCCAACGAGTCTATCCAAGAACACAAGCCGCTGCTTACCCTAACACTTGCCATTGTGATACCATGTAGTTGCTCCTGTGCGACTACATAGTATCTGTATCAAACAAGAATCGTGTGCTGTTGTACTACATGACTAAGCATTATCTCGTGACGCCATTCCCAAACACTCCAAACATCAACTGCATTTGCTGCCCTGTCATGTACACCTCTTGATACGACCGATTCTTCTGTGGCAACTGTGCAGCTGAGAGTGTTCGATATCTGTGATATTTAACTGGCAGGTTGCCAGTATCCGCCTATCCAGCATGGCTCCACCATCCAGGTACGTCTTATCAGCGCGACGGTGTTGATATGGACTCCCTCCGTCGCTAACCATCATCCCGGAATAGCTACAGACATGCAGTCGAGTCGGATGAGAAAGAACGGATGTTGGTGGACATTGATGACCATATACTAGAGAAGAATCTCTTTGTTCGCCGTCACCAACAAAGAACTCGGCGATGGGGCTGGGCGACGCGGGCTGCCGTGATGGGCGCCTTGATATTTGGGTTCACTCTCTTGAGGAGTGAGTGCTCCTTATTCCCATAACCCAAGCCTGCTAACTTCTCCTAGACAAGTCCGTCAACGAAGCTCCCTTGCGCCCTCGAACTGGCACTGCTCAGCAGCTCTGCCAGTCCCCCGAATGTCTACACGCCGCCTCCGAGATCCTCTATAACCTCGACCCCAACTACGACAAGATCGACCCCTGCACTGACTTTGATCAGTATGTCTGCGGTGGCTGGCGCGAGCGCCACGACATGCGCCCCGACCAGGGATCAATATTCTCCGGCACAATCATGGCGGAGAATGCGCAAACCCGCCTCCGCCATATTTTGGAGCGATCAGAACCCCCACAGCCTGCTGATAAAGACAATTTCCAGAAAATCAAGGCTGCATACGATGCTTGCTTGGATGAAACCGCCATCAGTAAACGTGGCACCGAGCCCGTGGATAAAATGCTGGCCCAGCTTGAGAAGATCTATCCTGCGAAGACTGGAGATGACCCGAACCATTTGACAGACGTAGTGTTGTACCTCATGAAATCGGGTGTAGATGCTCTCACCTCACTCGGTGTCAGTCCTGATGATCGGGACCCTGATAATCTGGCTATCTTCGTGACGCCTCCTCGAGAAATCGGACTTCCCGCACGAGAGTTTTACAATGATACCAAGACCGTCGCCAAGTACACCGACGTTGTTCAACAGGTTCTTGGAGAAGTTGCCGGAAACAACAACGCTAAAGATGTTGTTTCTTTCGAAACGAAACTCGCACGTGTGACTCCGGATACGCAGACGCAGGAAGATGTCACCAAATATTACAATCCGCTTAGCCTCGAAGAAACCAAATCGCTACTGCCGGCCATATCATTTGCCGATATACTATCAGAGCTGGCACCGTCTGGCTATAAAGGTGACCGTTTGATCGTCGGCTCTCCGTCATATATGAAGTCCCTATCCGAGATCTTGAAAGACACTTCTCGGGAGACCATTCTGGCTTTTTTCAAATGGAAAGTCATCCAGTCGTTCGTGGACACCATCGAAGACCCGAAGATCACACCCCTTCGACGGTTTAAGAACGAGCTCGCAGGGAAAGACCCGTCTGCCTCGGAGGAACGATGGCGCAAGTGTGTCCGACGTCTGGACTCAGGGCTCGGCTGGACGCTCAGCCGATTTTACGTGCTAGATTCCTTCTCCGAAGAATCCAAACAGCTTGGAGACAAAATTGTTTCTGACATCAAGGAGCGATTTGTTTTCACCCTGGACCAAACTGGATGGATGTCTTCAGACGTTCGCAAGCTGGGCATCCAGAAGGTCGAGAACATTGTCCAGAAGATCGGTTACCCTACCAAGAGCCCCAACGTGACGGACCCCGAGGATGTGAAGAACTACTATAATGATCTTGACGTGTCCAAGGATACCTTTTTCGAGAACGAGATAGCTGCGAAGCGATTCCAGCTCCGCAATGAGTGGGCTAAGCTTGGTAAACCCACGAATCGCGATGAATGGGACATGACCGCACCGACGGTCAATGCCTATTACAACCCGCCCGGGAACGAGATCGTTTTCCCTGCTGGCATCATGCAGCCCCCGGCGTTCTACGGTCCCAATGCTCCCTTGTACTTGGCGTACGGTGCGTTCGGGGCCGTGAGTGGCCATGAGCTTTCCCACGGTATGTATGCCGGACTCCGTTTCCCCCAACATCTCATACTGACCGTCCGCTAGCATTCGATTCCACTGGTCGCCACTATGATGAAACGGGGAACTACACCAACTGGTGGGATGATAAGACCGTGAAAGCATTCGAGGAGCGCGCCCAGTGCTTCGTCGACCAGTACTCGAACTTCACCATCCCCGGGCCCGGCGACAAGCAGCTCCACGTCAACGGCCGATTGACGCTTGGCGAAAACATCGCCGATGCCGGCGGCCTCTCTGCCTCGTTCCATGCGTGGAAGAAACGCGACGAGTCCAAGCCCGACGCAAATCTGCCGGGTTTGGACTCCTTTAGCAAGGAACAGCTCTTCTTTATCTCGTACGCTAACTGGTGGTGCGGCAAGACGACCCGGGAGGCGGCGGAGCAGGCCATCTACAACGACCCGCATGCGCCCGTGTCGGCGCGGATCATCGTGAGGGGACCCCGGTTTTTCCGTGTAATAAATTAAATGAACACCCCCGGCTGACTGAATTTTAGGAAACCATGGCCAACTCGCGCGAGTTCAAGGATGCGTTCCAGTGCCCGGAGAAGGAGCCGGCGTGCAAGCTGTGGTAATCGTGGTGATGTTAGTTAGTACCCGAATGAAATGCATCGATCACAAAAACCTGTCTAGTCGTCTGTCGCCCGTCACTCGTGGATAGCAGTTCCCAACGGCCCTGGTCCCCAGTAATAACCGACAAAGTGGAGTTAACGGTGGCCAATCGACGAGTCCCTCTAATTCTCGCTTGTCCCGGAACAGATCAGGCGAAAGGATGCGCGGTGGGACGGGCATGAGTGACCTATCACCTTCGGCCCCAAAAGACAGTCCCGCCACACTGGAGCTGTCGTTCAGCTGGCTCTGGCTGAGACAGGTCGGAAGAGGCAGAAACGGGAGGGGAGGAGTAGTATTGTTCATGGTTAGCCATAGGGAATGTTTTAAATGTCGGAAATAGTAAATGTCTCTCTCTCCAGACTATTTACATCGGCGTCCAAGTAGACTCGAATATCTTCCACGGGACGGAGTATACGAACCACGGAGCCTGGTTCCACCGTGTCGGGTCAGCTCCACCCAAAACAAGAGCTGTCGCTTCTTCTTCCTCCAACTAACGAATGAACGCTTCCTTCGCCCTCTCTGTGGCCTTTCCATCTCTTCTGCATCCTCCGTCATGTCGTCGCGCCTCTCTCTCTGTCCCCGATGCTTCGCTCTGTTTGCTAGCTGAGCAGCCAGATCGCACCGAATTCCTCCGGGGGTTTCTCACGCTCTCGGGTCGAGCGGTTCGCCGCAAAAACCCCGTCTCCCCCAGTCTGCGCCCACTATGGAATCCTTCCCCTCGGCCGTGGATCCAACCCCGTCGTCGGTGCTGTTCAAGGAGACCTCCACGGGCTCGCCCCGGGCCCGTGTCGACGAGCTGACCGCCTTGAACCGGACGCGCAGCGGAGAGGCCCAACATGCGACATTGAAGCTGCGCCGCGCCAACACCGTGGCCCAGGGTGGCAATCCGATCAGACGAAACCAGGAACTGAAGGCGAAGCGCGAGAGAACGGCACCAACAGTGGTTCGGGCCAGGGACAGCAAGGGACGGCTGCGGAAGGATGCCCTACAACGGTCTCAAACGCAACGGGACCCACGTCCGGCTCCTCCGTCGGGGAGGAGAGCAGGCCACTTTACGGTAGGCAGCGTTGGTCAGAACGGGAAGATCTTTCTAAGGTACGATATTATTCGACCTGTATATCCCTGACTATCCCTTTGGATCTGCTTGTTGACGATTGTCCCCGTCCCGTCTAGACCGATTGTCAACCCGGCCCAGAAAGCACGCCGGGTATCACCACCGACGTTTTCCCCTGCCCAAGTGAATAATGGACTCCTCCAACCGCAAATTCCGGCCCGAGACGATCCATCGAGATGGTCGAGTTCGCAGCTCTCGGAATTGCGTGCCCCCGCCCGCGAAGAAAGGCCGGAGCAAAATTACGAGTCCGCACAACCCGAGTATACAAGCCAGCGTCGCCGAGCGAATTCGTTTTCAACAATATCGGACAAGCAATCCGTATCTGGTGCCGACAGGCGTGGAGAGCTGCGGATCGTCATCGATAGATCCGAGGACCGGCCCAAGTCTGCAGGTGGGAAAACGGGACATGTGCCTCTTGAGGTGCCCATCCCTCATTACCGGCTTGGGACTCCCCGGTTCAACACCGAGGGCAGTGCGGTCCTGCAGAGTTCCGTCTATACGCGAACGTCCGTATCTGACAATTTCCGCAACTCGACATTGCTGGGTGGAATGGTTGACCCCCTACCATCTCGCCTTCCAAGCCCATTTGGCAGGGACAGGGACTCCTTTTCGCGTGGCCACCCATCCTTTGCTATCTCGATGTTCTCGGGTACGGCGGCCATTGATCTCGGCCGGACTTCGCCCGTGCCGAGGAATTCAGTCGTCTACGAGTTGAAGGGACCTGTTGAGCCCTCTATCTACGAAACTCTGGTGTCGGACATGGACGATGGAGCCGTTGTTCGATATAATTGCGGCACGAAAGACATCAGCGCCGCAACACCTGCGCGGATTGTTGCACAGATCTCGTCAGAATCTTTCATGGACTATGAATTGGTGTCGGACTTCTTCCTCACTTTCCGTTCATATCTCTCTACCCGCCATCTTCTGGCTCTTCTGCTTGCACGTCTGCAATGGGCAATTAATCGTTTGCAAGAAGATGGGCGGATTATTCGAATTCGCACCTTTGCCGCTCTTCGACACTGGATCTTGAACTACTTCGTCGATGATTTTGTCACCAACTACGATCTGCGGACCCAATTCTGTGATACTATAAACAGCCTATACCAGGAGGTAAGGTCTCGAAGACATGGGGGTATGAGCGATCTCAAGATCCTCATTGATCTTAAACGATGTTGGAATGGCAAATGCTCCGTGTATTGGCCCGGCCCCGACTTCTCCAACGCATATAACGACCCAGACTTGGATCTTGCACCTGGAAGCACCGAGGTTGAGCTGCCCAGCGATGCTGTACCCCCCCAGCGGGTTGCATTTCCTCGTTCCGGACCAGTCCTCTCTGTAGACACAGACGTCCATGAAATTCTACCACCAACGCAGCATGACCGGAATGATTCTGCTGCGACGGAGCAGAGTATACCATTTTCCACCAAAAGCGACCAGAGCACACCGGCATTGTCCTGCTCGCTGCCTCCCAAATCACCCAAACGTCAATCTGTGCCTCTGTCAAGAGTTAAAGCACCACACCCCGTACAGTTAGACTCGAACAGGTCTCCGGCTTCTCCGCACGAATCGCCGGTATCACCAATCCTTTCACGTCATCATGCTTTCCATGGACATGGACATAAGAGAAGCGGCAGCTTCTCAGATTCGGTACGAGATGATCGAGCCCCGATGTATGCAGCAGAGGCAGGCCCAGCGGGCCCCGCACAGCAAGAAGTATTTGACCCTGTTGGTCTTATCCGTGGCGAGCTCTATCCACCCGCAGAATCATACATGACAATGATGGCACCGGATTCTCCTCCTTTGGCCCCACCATCAATTATCGCAACCCCAGATCGCAGGAGCACACCAGATGGCGCGTCGAAATTGGTATCATCCAATTCTGGGATGAGGACTATCATTGGATCGATCAAGCGGGCGTTACACACCAGGAATGGCGGACAGAGTGTTTCGGCTCGTATGGCCAATGCCCCCGAGGTAATCGCTATGCCCACGCGAAGCAAAACGTCCGCCTTGCCCACCAACGTCACTTTCGGATCTGAATTATACCGAGACCGAAAGGCTCCGTCCGTACCCAAACGTCCAGCTCGCATTGATCTTCTTTGCGACGAAGTTTTAAAGCAATATCGCCTTCGTGAAGCGATGGAAGAAGACGCCGCACAAGACATTCCCCACAACCCACGCACTTCGGGGTTCCAGATCACCGTACAAGAAGTTTCATCCAATATCACTGAACCGAAATCGCCGAGTGCTCCAGTGGCTGGGGGCTCAAAAACAAGGAGTGAGCTTACTACGGGCAGCGGGTCGATTATCATTGTCGGTGATGACACCGGCTTTGATATTCCCGCCATGTCGGGGGCTGGTCCGGACTCTGCGGCTTACCGTGAGAGTAGTCATACTCTAGGCTCGGACGACTATTTGTCGTCAGAACGCACATTATCTCAGAGATCCGAACAAACGGACGACCATTCATTGCTGCCAGCCCAGGACGACGCTGAGGACCTTGTGCTGACCCCTCAACGCTTAAGCTTCTTTTATCCTACTCGGCCAGTCACACCCAGATCTCATTCTAGCGAACGAGTATTCGTTCCTCACAAGAAAAGTTCCATTTCCCTTCGGCTTCGGAAGTATGCCTCGTTCCAAAGCGGGGTTTCCCGACATCGGTTTTCCATGGGCAGCGAAGCAGGCCTGTCTGCTCTCAGCTCGAGCGCTCCATCAGAAAAGCCGGTTGGGCCACCGCTGCGTCGGAGACCCGGTGGAAATTTGCGCCAGATGCAGACAGGTGATGAGCCCAAGACACCATCTGCTCGTGGATCAATGGTCTCTCATTACACTCTTGATGGGTCTGTACTGGACAGCAATGCGCCCACTGAAAGTGGTGATGCCTCTAGACCTCAGTCTACACTAATTCCTCCCAACCCTCGCTATTCTCTCCTTCATAGAGGTGCTGCGCGGAACTTGAGGCGGTCCTTTGAAGCGGCTATTGCGCGGTTTGCTCAGATCCCCGATGATCCTGATGGTGGTATTGAATCTGCTTTGTTGAAACTGGAGGGCAAGTGGGAAGATGCATCCAGTACAGGGCAAGGGAGTCGGGAGCACCGAGAACACCCCTTGACTCCATCCGGTGCCAGAAAAGACGTGCTCCCCCGGAGGCGACAGACAGACAAGTCGGCGTTTTCCACAGTTGCTGGACGCCTAGCACCGCCTCGACCCTACTCCGATTCTGTCGCGGAATCCGAAGAGTCCTACAACTCTATTCCTCTGCTTGAACGGGGGTTGACTGACGAGTCGATGAAACGTCCCCCAACAAGTCGTGCACCGACTAGTGATATCTACGGCACCCCTCTGAGTCTCATGTCAAGTCGTGATACCGCCGAGTTGGTATCGCGTCCATCATTTCAGATCGTCAAGGAGACTGAGAGCATTCGACGCATTCCGCGAGGATTAGCTGCTCCCACATCGGCACCTCGAGAGGTCAAGAGAGAGACGCCGAAACGATTCTCAGCTCTTTCTTCGGACATTGTCGTGATTGATTCGTATGATGTCGCCGAGGCACGCAGATCTACCGGTATGCACAGCCTGAGTGAATCCACCGTTGATATCCCGCCTCACCCGCTGGCGCATCCCCCATCCCCTCCGATGACCATTCAGCACCCAGGCTCTGTCATTTCTTGTGCATCGCCACTGGATAAGGTCTTGTTCCAGGCCCAGCCCTTGACGCCCGATACGTCTCCCAGGCGGAAGAACGGGGAAAACCGAAGCTCACGACCAAGGCCTGTGCAGCATTTCTCCAGCGACGTTCTTCTCATTTCAGAAAAAAACCGCAACATGAACCCCGACCATGTCCCCTTTATCCTGGCTTGCGAATCGCAGGTTCTGGCACAGCAAATGACACTGGTGGAAATGGCGGCCTTGAGCGAAGTAGACTGGCGTGACCTGGTCGAGATGAGATGGGGTAACGGATCCCCCAACATCTGCAACTGGGTCGAATTTCTCCGCGAGCAGCGCAAGGGCATTGACCTGGTTGTTAGCCGCTTCAACCTCATGGTGCGATGGGTCTTGTCGGAGATTGTCCTCACGCGCAATCTCCACGAGCGGGCGCGTACGATCACCAAGTACATCCACACTGCGGTGCATGCGCGCCGGATGTGCAACTATGCCACCATGCTCCAGATCGCCGTTGCCCTGTCCTCGTCGGACTGCACGCGGCTGCAGCAGACCTGGCAGCTTGTCCCTGCGGAGGACCGGCGTCTGTTTAAGGACATGGAGTGTTTGATTCAGCCGGTCCGCAACTTCCATGATCTTCGGGTTGAGATGGAGACGGCCAATTTGCAGGAAGGCTGCATCCCCTTCATCGGTATGTTTCCCTCCCTCTTTCCCTGTCTACTATCTTGGATACTGACAATTATGTACAGGTCTGTACGTCCACGACCTTACCTACAACGCGCAGAAACCAGCCCAAGTCCCCAGCAACGCCGGCGGACTGCTCGTCAATTTCGAGCGCTACCGCACCACCGCTCGGATCGTTAAGAACCTTCTCCGGCTGATTGACGCCAGCACCAAGTACCGATTCGAGCCCATCCAGGGCATCATCGAGCGGTGCCTGTGGATCGCGTCGCTTCCCGAAGACGAGATCCAAGCTCGCAGCAAAGAGCTTTCTTGATTTTCTTCTTTCTTTTTATCATATACCCTCGCGATCCGATCTTTTATTGATCTCTCACATCTCTCTCTGTATCTATACTTGCATCCACCCCTGTCCATCGTTGTGGTCCTTTCCTTTTTGTTCACCTTTCAGTTTTCGTTGGAGCGTTGCATGTTGCATTTTCGAGCCTGGAATTCGGGAGATATATCACGATCGCTTAGTAGATAATCCATTCTTCAATGTTTATACATAATTAGGTAGAGTGGGGGACAGGTTTCAGCTAGAGCGTACCGAATAGTGCGTCATCAGGGCCCTGTCACTGCGGACCGCCCTGGGCACTCGCCCTTCTTCCTTCCACCTCAAACCCCTAGCCCGGACTGAGGAGGGCCACCCCTCTTGACGTATCACAGAACCAGGAGAGAGTAACATTCGACATCTCCTTGGATGTCCTGCCTCACGCTTGCTCGACTCCCTCGACTGCCAGATGGACACGCCCGAGCCACGGCGCGGGGCTTCGGAGGAGGTCGAGGTCGACGAATATGGCCCGCCCGCGTCGCCCACCGAACAGCTGCCCGATGACCTGCCCAAGTCGCTGGATGACCGTCGCTCGGCGCCGGTTTTCCACGAGACTGAGATGTACGATGCCTGGCAAGGTGTGTTTACATGGTTTCCCTCCTTCAACAATGAGTGCCCGCGTGCCCGCGTGCCTCGAAGGTGTTCTGGGTAGCTAGCTGCTAACACCGTCGCTCCTCCATTCACCAGGACAATCGCAATACCTGACCACACCCGTAGCCGCGAAGCCTCTTTCCTTCAGCCTAGCGCTCGATGACCACTCGCACGACAATGACCCCGAGCTGCGGTACGGCCGCGATGCCGAGGACAGCGATGCCCGGCTGATGGAGATGCTTGCCGCGCAAGCCGCGCACCGCGAGGGGGACTCGCTAGGCGCGGACGAGGAGGATATCGCCACGAATGAGAAACTGAGCGAGGTCGAGAAGAAGCGGACTCTGCAGAAGGCCTTGAATATGGCCGCGAGCAATGGCGACGTGGAACGGGTGCGCAAACTGGTGCAGGGGTTGGCGAAGGAATACGTTGATGTCAATCTGCCTGACGAGGAAGGGACGGTGCCGTTGATTTATGCGAGTTGCTTTGTGGGTTATAACTACTCCTGCTGTCTGCGTAGGGCAGTCATCCGGAGAAAGAAGGGCTAATTGGGCTTGCGTTAGGGACATCATGATGTGGTTGCTGCTCTTATTGACGCGGGCGCCTTTGTCGATAAGCAGGATCGCAACCAGTGGAGCGCGCTCATGTGGGCGATGACAAACCGACACAAGACGATTGCGAAGCTTCTTCTTGACCATGGCGCTTCTCCTGATATCAAGTCGTCGTCTGGAGGCACGGCCTTGGATTTTGCACAGCCGGGCAGCGAGATCTCCGAGTATCTCCATGAGAACGGCTACAACTTTGGTCCTGCCATTGAGGACGATTTCTACGATGACGGGTTGGCACACGGGCGGTTCGAAGAAGAGATTGCGGAGAATGAAATGAAACGCCGCATGATGATGGAGGAAAGCGCACTGAACTTGGAAGTTGACTTATCTAGTCTTGGAATGGACGAGCAGTTGGAGGTAAGCTCTTCAGCTGTAATATGAATGGAAAATTTCCTGCTAACTTCATTCTGATGCAGACTCTAGATGATGATGAATTGGAGGAAGAGCAGCAAGAATTTGCCTGGGACAGGTGTCTGAACGACCAGATGTTCGTGTTTCAAGATCACGAGTTGGAGCGCATCTTGGATATGGTTATCACCAACATGACCCCCCAAAGATCTCCCTCCCAGAAGCCGGTGCCGGCGAATCTTATTTTCTTAAGTGCACGGTATGCACACTACCACGCGAGCCCCGAGCTGCTGGCGACTCTGCTCACCTCCGCAACGGACAAAATCAATGATGTTGTCGAACGCCACCAATGGGACATGACCATGCAAGCATTCTGGATCTCCAATGCTACGCTGTTGCTCCATTATCTGAAGAAAGATGCAGGTTTAGTGGAGGCGACGGTCCAGTTCCAGCTCCATCTGGCGGAACTGATCAACGAAATTTTCGTTCTTATCATTCGGGATGCCGAACGCCGAATGAACAAAATCCTGGATGCGGCAATGCTGGATCATGAAACCATCCCCGGGCTAGAGGATATTGCATTCCAAAACGAGTGGAAACTGTTCCGCTCCAAAAACAAGGCCAAGCCCGAGCCTGCAGAGAAGCGATTCCGGCCGCCTTCCCCTCGTCGACGAGCGCAGGTCTCACCGCGGAATATCACCTCATTGCTTTCGTCGACTCTGTTCGTGCTCGATCTCTACGATGTCCACTCCGTCATCACGACGCAGATCCTTTCTCAGCTCCTCTACTGGCTTGGCGCGGAGCTTTTCAACCGAATCATGAGTACGAAACGCTATCTCGCACGGACCAAAGCCATGCAGATTCGCATGAACGTCTCGACTTTGGAAGATTGGGCGCGCAGCAACAACAGGCAGCCCGAACACTACGAGAATGGGTCCACGTCCAGCACTGGCGAGACGACGATGGAATCTGCGCGACGACACCTGGCACCAGTCATTCAGCTGCTTCAATGGCTACAATGTTTTTCTTCTCTTGGAGACGACCACGAGTCTCTCGTGACGACGTTGCTGCAGTTGCAACAGCTTACCCCCGCGCAACTTCTGCAAGCCGTGAAGTCGTACCGCCCAGAAGTCGGCGAAAAGGGCCTCACGAAGCAGGCAATGAAGTTTCTGCTCGAGTTGCAACGCGACCCAACCCTGTTATCCCGCGAGCAGCAGAAGATCTTGATCGAAAAGCAAAAGGCAGCCGATGCCCCGGCGCCTGACGGAGCGAGTGATGCTCGTCCCACGACGCCCACAAAAAGCCAGCAGCAAGCTCCCTCCGCGGCCACATCTCCCGAGCACGGCGTCACAGCCTCGCCTGGCTCGGTGGGTTCCCGGCCTGCTAGTATTGCTGTCATAACCGGAGCCGAAGACCGCTCAGGCCAGCGCAGCGTTTTCCTCGATCCCACGTTCTTCCTCCCTTTCTCCCTGCCGACCAGCACCGATATGTTGATTAGCTATGGCGCCGGCTTCGGCGGGACGAACCGCGAGCGAGCGCGCAAGTATATTCCCACTGTCCCGCCGGAAGTGCTGAGTCGGTTTGACCGCAGCGACGTATAGAACATAGCTGGCAGTGACGAAAATGCAGAGTTGATACCTTACCCATGTTGCTAGAGACGGGTGGTTTGTATATCAAGGATGGTTCTCGTAGGCGCCAATCAAGTTCCCACCACTATGATCTTCCGAGGCTGTTTAACTAGCGGCCCCTATCCCGCGGGATCGGCGACGCCCCGGTGGATTTCGACACGGCTGGCCTACATATGGGGCCGGCGATGATTGGAAGACGTAAGAGATGCGAGTCATCGCCGCTAATAATAAACAACTGCAACCCATTCAGACCATCGGACCGATCCGTGAGTTTAGTGTGGCCCTCGTTTGTTCTCGACTCAGCATAGTCGCAATAATTACTTTCCCCATTCAGCACTAGTGATCCTTTCTCGTTGGGTTTTGCTCCTCCCCGATTCGTCACACGTAATCGCAGGGTGTCTGTGCTCGACGGAGAAATACTGTTTACGGGAGTCCGTTTGGCTACGCCTTTTTCTGGATTGGGCAGTTCTAGCTCGGCGCAGATTACTATTTCCTCATTGGGTAGCTGCGCCATCTTCTCTTCCCTCAACACACTCTCTCGCCCTCATTTTCGCTTTGCTTGCTCTTCTGCCTCCTCCACCATGTTAGCCATCACCACTACCCCATTCCTCGACCTATGACGATGCTTACTGCGAAGCTCTTCCAGAGTGACTCTCTCGGATTCAATGATTCCTCTGCACCGCCTCGCCGCTCCATGCTTACACCGCGGTCTTCGCCGCACCTGTGTGAGTCCCCAATGAATTCGTCACATCGAGATCTCCCCCGCCGAATGGCGCCCAGCTGCCGCTTCCACCAACCACAGCCATGTCAAACCGGCTGCCCCCCGTGACAACATTTTACGGAAACGAGCACTCCGTGCAACAGTGGCTCCAGGCCAAGACGGAGGAGGATCGCCGCGCACAGGAAGAGGAACGCACCCGCCAAGAGACAATGAAGCTGGAGCAGCGCCGCATCGAACAGTCCATGCTGGCCGACTCGCTGCATGCAGGTGTTCCGCCGCAGATGATCCCGTTGATCTTCGCGGGTATCGGTGGAGGCACGAATGCCCAGTCCACCATGGAGATTGTTCGCCAGTATATCGCGCAGACATCGAGTACCCCCACTCCTCCCACGGGCGCCCAATTTCTTGCTCAGCTTCAGTCGCACGAAGTTCCAACTACCAACCCATCGCCCGTGCCATCGCAGCAGTACCCAACACAGCGTCCGCCTGGGGAACCGAAGCGCTCCCGTTCCTTAACGCGCACTCTTCCTGCACCTCCATATGCAGCTCAGCAACCCCAACCTGCAGCTCCGGTGGGCGATCGCAGCCTCCCACAGCCGCCAACTATGCCCAGTTCCTCGACGCAGCCAGCTCTCGGACGTCCCCTTGGGCCTCCGTACCCAGCTGATGCTGCAGGAACCCGGTTGCCTCCGCCAGCTGCCAGTGCAATTCCGTCGCAAAGCCCTCCGAACAGGCTAAGCGCCACACAATCTGGATCAACCACATTTCAGTCTCCAGTAACCCCAGCCAAACAGGAAAGCCGACCTCGCCGCTCTTCTCCTGGAATTTCCTTTCATCACTGGGTCCCTCCAAACAAAGGTCGTTCCTCCAACGTATCACCAAATAAGGCCCAACAGGAGCAGACACCATCGTCGAGTACACCTTACCTCCAATATGAAAACCAGAGCTCCCCAGGTCGGAAACGAAAGACTCAGAGTATGCATAGCCAGGGTCTTCCACCGCCGGCTCGCAGGACGGACTCAGGCTCGATGGATATTAAAACCGATAGCGAAGTGTCCAACTCACAGGAACCGCGAACAGGTGACAGGAATAGTTCCGAGCAGCCGAGCGAGTCGAGGGCTGAAGCAGATGGCCCTGCTCCCAAGAAGGAGCCAGTCGCATCAATAGGTAGTGACTTCAACTCCGAACCTGGCAGCCAAACTCCGGATCTGAATACTAAAGGCCAGCAACCCAATGACCCTGCTGCTTCGCGGACTAAAGGCTCTAGCACTCGTTCTGGCCGAATCAAGAACTAGTCGTCGTCTCATGTCATTTCTTCCTTCGCCTCTCAGCCAACAGAAGTGTTGTCATAGAACAACTGCATCACCCTCAACATGGGGGTGATAGGCAGACCGCACCCCACACCATACTACTCGACGCAAAACCCTTATTCATATGTCCATTCTTGAGGTCTCGTGAATTGAGAAACCTGAGTGCTTCGGTTATTCCGTACCCGCATAGATACCAACATTTTTTCCTCTCAGCACACAGCGGCCCATGGCATGTGCATTATGTTTGCTATCATCAATCTTGTTTATGTTTAGGCTTTCCGGACAGGCGGCTGGCCCGCCTGCTAAAATATTTCAATTCATTCTATCCGAAGCTGTTGTTGTACGGCACTGCTGTTTGTTCTACTTGGTTATGACCTCCTTGTGGCTACGGAAGGCTAACTTACACCTTGGATTCTGTACAATGACCAGTCCGAGCTAAAGACAAATAATAATCAGTTTGTATGACTGACACTGGGGGCATGCTAGGGTCTATTGATAACAACCAAGACACACTCCCATCACAGCTTCTGTCCTTACCGCCGCCTAGCCAATCTATTCTGTTCCTGTTCCCCGAGAAATCCGGGGTAAAAGGCAGCACAAAACAAGATCTAGATTATCCACGTTCCACACCCTGCAGCTAACCAGCTGTATAAACATATCACATATCAAGTCTGGGGACAAACATCCTCCAGCCGCAAGAGGTTGTACGGATAGAATAGCATCTATCCCAATGAGACAGAGACAGACTATATTATAAAAAGGAACTTCAACCATCCATCTCCAAATTTCAGCCGCATCAGTCTGCTGACACTGTACGAAGCGCCAGATTCCAAAGCTGACTAGACTCAAACATGCCAATAAGAAAAAAGAAATTCTCGAAGCTCTAGTTTTATTTCATTGACACTTAATAATAATAAAAATAATATAGGGGATGGGTGTGCCCAACAAGAACCTCTAGGCCCAGCCAAAAGGTGGTAAGGGTAGGCACAAAGAGAATTGGAATAAAAAAGAGACAAGGAAAGGAGTGGGAGTGTTGATAAGATAGGGTAGGTCGAGACGACAAAGGGTAAAATCGATCTAGAATAATAGGTGGACACGGGTCTCGAATTGACGGTCCTTGAAGTATAGGGAAAAGCCAATGGGCAAGGAGTGATGGGTGTTTGTTACGGGCGAGAGAGGGATGTATTAGGGGAAGTGGACGATGGGGTATAGCATGGATAGACATCAGTACCGGACAGTGAAGTCGATATCATCAAGACGAGGGGAACCATGATGGACTGAGCAGTGGTGGTCACAAGTAATAGACAAGCAGAAAGCAAAAAATGAAAGGGGTATAAAGAAAATTAAGGATGAGGGGATTTCTTGCGGCGGTGGACTTTCCATTCCGCCTTGGCGACGCGCATGAACAGTTCCACGTCCTTGATGGGCACCCAGCTGGTGAGGACTTTCATGGCGTTCTCGAAGTCGGACTCGAGGATGATCTCGCGCATGCCGTCTATAAGAGCCGCGGATGTGGCATGAAGAACATCTAATCCTTGACCGAAAGAGCTGGCAGACGGAGCGGAGGCGGCTTCTTTCTTTTTCCCGGGTGAGGTGGACGGCCACCCGGTGGTGTCATCTGCATCCCCCAGGAGCATGAAGACATCCCATACCCTCAGCTGTGCCGGGAACGGGATGGAGTAGTTGAAGAGTGTGAGGTACCAGCGCGTCCCGTACGCTGTAGGTGGCACGCCGACTTCATTCAGCTTGGAGGCAACTTCACCACCTGCCAGCCACTCTCGTTCAAAGTCGGAAAGGGCTTCCATGAGTCCCGCGAATCCCTCTTTGTATAGCTGTTCCAGGCCGCGGAGCTGCCAGAGCCGCGCAAGCATAACGAAGGCGTGCTCTTCGTCATAATAGGCTAGAAGCGTAGCTGCCAAGGCGGCCATACCTTGCACGTAGCCTGTGTCGGGGAAGTATAGTGACATGGCGTGAAGCACGCGGAAGAGCAGTCGTTGGCCACCACGGTACCGTCGCCGGAACATGATGTGGCTGGTTATAGTTCGCGGCACATCAATATCAATTTGAACGTCATCAGGCGAGGAGACATATTGATACTCGTGAAAGGCGTCAATGAGATCCCTCTCCGAGGGGCTATCCTTGCGCCGCTTTGCGCTGGCCTCGAGAAACGAGTACCACGCCGTCGACCGCCATCGGTCCGGGATGCCTTTCCACGTCCGTTCGATTACTTTCGAGCTCTGCGTATCGAACTCAAATGTCATGCCACCGCCATCCCGACGCTTCTTGGTCGGCTTGGCCATCTTCGTCCACTTATCTTCACGATCCCACTCCTTCTTTCGCACCGTCCGGGACATCAGGGAATCCTCCGCCTCGTTCTCGGGAACCTCATACGGGAGCGTTAGCATATCACCCGCCTCGTCCTTGATTTTCCGGTCTCGGTTATGAGGGAGATGATTCGCCGCAGTGCGTAAGCGAGACGTTGAGCGCCGTATTGGCGCACTTTGTGTGCTTTGTGATGAGGAAGGACGATTGGACAGGGAACTTTGGCTCATTTTGCGACTTGGAGACCGGCTAAGCAACGAGCGGTTGCCAGATCCTGGCCGAAGGGAATGCTTCCGCCGCGGCGTTTCAGAGGCCAGAAGAAGGCTTGTGGTCACTCGTTGGAGGGGATTGAGCTCTGAGCCGGAGGGGCTGTTTGGCGTCGTCGGCACGCGGATGAAGCCATACCGATCCACATCGGCCGCACCGACGTTCTTCCAATCTTCAATTCCTCCAGAGAGTTCCTCCTTCTCTCTCTTCGTCCTTCTAATACGCTCGGTATCTGTGGAGGGTCTCGTCTGGCCTCCGTTCATCTCGGCAGAAGGCTCGGCCGCACCTTCCTCCCACAGTACACCATTTTCCATGGCCATCGCCTGAGAAACTTCCGAGTCGGTGACATTATCTTCACCCTTCTCGTACATGAGGCGAACTCGCCGCGAGAGCATATCCTCGTCTGCCGAGACAGCCCTGCACTGTAGACTCGTTTGCCGCGGCCGAAGGAGACTCTGTGGCCGGACAGGCCGCGGAGTCACTTTCGGAGCACCATTCCCATCCTCATCAACACTCGGGGCGATAGACGAAGCGGGTGTTTTCTCAGAATCTTGCCGCTGTGCAGATTGTCGATCCGGCTGCTTGGGCCGCGGCCGCTTAGATCTATCCTTAACGAGGAGGCTCCCCCTGTTGGAGAATTTCAATGCCTGCGTCCCCAGATCATCCAATTTCCCCGTCGGTATATCGAGACTGATCCCATTGAACGCCGATTCAATCTGAGGCACCGGCGGTGGAGGAGGCTCGGAGCTGGTCTTCGCGTCAAACTCCGCGGATCTCTTCCTCAATGCGCTCCATTTGCGTTCGGACCATCGCGAGCCTGGGCGCGAGCTGGGACGGGAGCCCGTATCATTGACGACGATGCTGGGGACACTGCGTAGTGAGGGCGAGGGCGACGGCACACCGAGTGCTGAGCGATTGTCCTCCGACCGTCGGGGATGACTGTCCTCTCCTGTCGGTGTCGCGGGCATGAGGCCCGGATCCTGCCTTGCATTCTTCAGCGCCGAACGGACCGGGTTGGGCGATGCTGACGCGGCGCTCGTGCTCAGGGATCGGCTATCTGAGCCCGCAGGCGCATCATCGGCGGGTCTTGGGAGGGACAAGGATCGAGTTGCGGGAGCGTCGACGGTGATGGTGTCTGCGAAGGGCACGGCGTGTACCGGACGGGCGTCCGACCGAGGCGATAACGATACAGAAGCTTTATCCACCATTATCCCGGCATGACCGACAGGAATTGGGCGGTGGTGAGGCTGTGCGCACAGGAGGGGACGCGAGGGGACGAAAAGGAAGGGCAAGTTACACAATCAGGAGGCGAAAGGAGTGACTAGTAGCGATTCAGGCAGCATCGCTCACCACGGCGACATGGATGTGGAAGAATGAGTTCGCTGTGGGATTGAGGGAGGGAGAGAGCGAGAGAGCAAAAGAGGAAGAGGAAGAACGAAGGAGGGAAGACAACAGGCTTGGCGGGAGGGATCAATTCATTCCACGGGAGGAATGAGACTCTCTGTTCATACTATCGTGTTTGTTGAAAATCGACCAGGGCGACGGTGTTTCAATAATGTGGAGTGCGCTAACGCTTATAGTCTCGAATTATTATTAGCAAGTTGCAGGTGGAGTAGTTAGTTCGTTGCTACAGCCGATAATAAAATAAAAATCATTCCATGTACAGAATCCCTCAAACGCCCATAACAGCTATACCCAATCCAATCAACTCGTTCATGATCATCATCATATCTGCCTAGCTATGCCACCGCCGTCCCGTTGACCGTCTGCGACGGGCGCGGCCGAGCCTGCTCGACGGGCTCCCGGGGCAACAACTCGATCTGGCGTACCAGAAAGCTCTTCTCGTCCATAAACTGGTCATCGTCCGTCCGGTCCTCCAAGAATTTGGGCAGGAATCGCAACAGCCGGTCCCGGTTATTAATGAGAATGCGCTGGACCGCCACCGATTTGGTCGGGTTGGCCACGAACACCTTGAAAACGTGGAACCCCTCGTATTGCACCATCTTGCGGTCATCCCGCAACAGCTTCATGCACAGCTTGAGGTTCTCCCCGCTCTCCACATATGCCACCATCACGCTGTAGTTGGCCCGGTCCAGCAGGATCTCGCCCAGCAGCTTGATGCTTTGTCGCTTGGTCACGTACGAGTCCGACTGTATGAGGATGTTGTTGAATCGGCCGAAGAACACATCAAAGTTCGTGGCTAGGTAGGATGTGACGAGGCTTTTATGACGTGTCAAGATCTCCTGTAGCAGAGGAATTAGCGAACCATGTAGCCGGACACAAGGCAGAATATCAACCTACCCGGAATGTCGTAAACGCATCGGCGCTCACTTCGAAATTGCCCTTGTCGATCCATTCGAAGAAATTCCAGAACACTCCGTTCCCACTCTGCAGCACGCTGGGCTTCAACTCGGATAGCCGCACAGCAGGCTCTCCCTCGTTCGATTGATCATATAAGACGACGGCCGTGATGCCATCGTATTTGAGAGCTTCCCTCAGAATGACACCGCATGGCATGGCACTTTGGGGATGGGCGTAGCCGCGACAGAGCTCGATGATGACCTCGGGTCGGTGGTGGACCAGGTAGGACACGACGGGCGGGTCTTTGTCGGGGGCATACGATGCTGGCCGGAAGCGGAGGATATGTGAGAAGATGGTCTGAGTATCTTTGCGCGCCTCAAATGGGAGTAGATGGAGTGCTCGGGACAGTTCGTAGAGTAGATCCTCTTGCAGGGTGACCTGGACCAGGGCGTGGACCTGTTCGGGGGATGTGTTGACTTCTAGAATGTCCAAAGAGTTACAGAGGATCCAACTAGACGGGGAAGAGACAAACCTTGGGTGCCTTGGACGATGAGTTTCATCTGGGTGAGCTGTTTGGACAGCTCCTCGTCGACCTTGGGGGCATTGGGGGAGTCCCGAAGGTGCAGCAGCAGGTCCTTTGTGGCTCGCACAATATCAGCCGGCTGCCGCGACCGGCCACGGCCGAAGAAGAAAGACATGGTGTGGGGGAGTCGGTATTATTGCCAACCGAACGGATGATGCGAAGTGATGAATAAACAAAGACCGGGGCAACGCGAGTGGCAGCCTGAGGCAGCCACTGATAATTAGCCCTGATAAGGAATTTTGATTTTGATCTTGTTCGTGCCCCTCTAAACATTTGAGTCTTTGCACCACGCAATAATGGCTGACTCTCTTTCCGTGTCGGACTCATCGGACTCTAGCAACGAGGAGGGCTGGGAGGATCTCGAGCCCGAGGACGAGTCGCAGCCCGTTGTTGGCCTTTTCACTCACGATGTGTTTCCCGATGTGCGCGCGATGCTCAAGGAGTGCAAGGACAAGCACAATTTCGATTTGGTGAAGATCCAGAAGGACCTTGGTATGCATTGCATCAGCTCCCTAAAAACAGCGAACTAATTGTGGATTCTATTGCAGGCCTGGACTTCCTGGACATGATCAAGCTGGTCAACTATGTTCGCACCCAAGTCAAGTCCGGGAACATGACACCCGATGTCTCGACCAAGGCCCAATTCGCCGACGATGCCTACCTCAAACCAGTGCTGGAAGACGACGCCCTTCTGTACAGCTTGGATGACCTCGCCGACGACCAGGGCGAAGACGCAGCCCCCGGTACCGAGGCCGAGCGCCAGGTGCTTGAGCTGCAGGAGGATCTGGAACGTCTTCAGACACAGTTCTCTGAGTATAGACTCGCCGTGCAGAAGTCAATGGAGGACCAGCTGTCCAAGGAAGAGGAGAAGCTCGACAATGCTCCGTCTGCCCAGACGGCCGATAGAATCCAGGAGGCTGAAGATGGTTACTTTGTATCCTACTCCTACAATGGTATGTTTTCACCCAGGATAGTTGGAAACATTGGCTGATCTTCCTATTCAAGGAATCCATGAGTCCATGCTGAAGGACACCGTGCGCACCGATTCCTACCGCGATTTCGTCTACGACAACAAGCACCTTTTCAAGGACAAGGTGGTTCTGGACGTGGGTTGCGGCACCGGCATTCTGTCCATGTTCTGCGCTCGCGCGGGTGCCAAGAAGGTTATCTCAGTCGACAACTCGAACATCATCGACCGCGCCAGGGAGATTGTGTACGCCAATGGACTGGGCGATGTCATCACGTAAGTGCTCCATTTCAACGCACCGTTGGTACACCACTAAAAATTGAAAAGATGCATTCGCGGCAAGATTGAAGAGGTGACACTCCCCGTACCGCAGGTCGACATCATCATCTCCGAATGGATGGGCTATGCGCTCCTGTTCGAGGCGATGTTCGACTCCGTCATCTACGCCCGAGACCGCTACCTCGCCCCGGACGGTCTCATGGTCCCCTCGCACGCCACGCTGCGGATCGCGCCCTTCGCAGACCCAGATTTCGTTGCATCGCACATCTCCTTCTGGAACAACGTGTACGGATTCGACATGAAGAGCATGCTCATGAATATCTACGACGAGGCTCTTGTGCGCAGTATTCAGCCGAAATCTACGCCTGGCGATTCCGCGGTGTTCCTCCCGCTTCCGCTGCACACCATCACCGTTGACGAGTTGACTTTCCTGAAGGACTTCCAAGTCACCTTGAAGGAAGATATTGACGCACTGGATGGATGGACGATCTGGTTCGATATCTTCTTCATGCCGTCGAGGCAGTCTACCGTCCCGGACGATGCTGTGCCGGCAGATATGCAGAAGAAGGGCATTGTCGCCTTCACTACCGGTCCCGATGGGACGGAAACTCATTGGCAGCAGGCTATTTGTCTGATTGACCATGGGAAGCACACTCCCAAGCCCCTCAAGAAGGGCCAGGTTATTGCGGGCAAAGTCGGCTACGAGAAGAAGGAGACCGGGTCGCGGTTGTTGGATATCAATATTCAGTGGGAGGGCGAGGGCGAGAAGGGCAACCAGAAATGGGACCTGAAATAAGGGAAAAGAGGTGCAAAAGTTGATTCATTTTTCAATTTACTTTTTGTTTGATAGATAGAGGATTATACTCGTGAGATATATGATCTGGCTATGGTTTCTTAACGTCTAGTTGCATTGAAAGGGGTTGTTTGAATTTCAAAAGTAATAGGGTATCCTGGTACATATAAAACTAAGCCATTGCGCCTAAGTTCGTCCACTTTCTGGCTTCCTGGAACGCCGGTCTTTGTCAGAGGCTCCGTCGTGATGGCGATGGCTTCGCGATGAGGAGTGTCGGTGACGCCGATGCGAGCGATCTCGACTACGATCCCGATGGCTGCTCCGATGTCGATGGGAGGAGCTCCGTCGATGTCTATCTTCACACTCCCGTCCAGCCGGCGCATCAAGCTGGAAGCCGTCCAAACTGCCCGCGGAGGGTGACCGTTTCCGACGGCGCTGACTCGACCGCTGCCCTTCTTCAGCCTTCAGGGCCTCGATCTCCCTCCGCTTCTGCTCATTCCAGCGTTTCCGCTCCTGCTCCGTAGTTTTCAGCTGCCTCACGCCGCGCTTGATAGCCGCAAGAGGATCATTCGCATCCATCCGCGCCTTTTCCCTCTCCATGCGTCGGGGATCTTCATTACCCCAGACATCTTTTTCAGACATGGAAGCTGGCGCGCGAGCGTCCTTCTCTGCGGATGAATACCACGGCTTCCGGCCCACTATCTCCTTGAACCCTGCCGCATTCGAGAACCGCATGGTATATTGATCTTCGTAGCTTCGTTTCTTCCGCGAAGCCTCCGCCTCTGCCTCCGGGTTCTTCTCTGCCTTTTGTTTCGCTGCCGGAAATAAGTTGATGTGGCCTGCGCCATCTACGAGCGGTGCTTGGACATCACTCTCCTTACGGCGGGATGTGAGAGCCAGCTCGTCCCGTTTCGCAGTTGCTCGCGCGGCATCATCGCGCGCTAGACGGATATCTCGGTCCGTGTCGTCCTCGCCCGCGAGGCGCCTTCTTTTGCGGTATCCGCCCGCATCATCGGTGGCCGTGCGATCTGATCGGGGGGCTCGGTCGGATGATGCAGGCGCCGGTGGTGGGGGAGGAGTGGATGGACGTTCACCGCGGAGGATCTGAATGCGGCGCTCGGCGTCGACCTCTTGCATACGACGCTCATCCTCTTCCTCGCGGGCCTTGGCCTGTGCCTCATCGCGCTGGACGCGGGCGATGCTTTCTGGGTTGTACACGTTCCATGACTTTTTGCCAAGGAGATGGCTGTATTTCGTTAGTAAGAACCGTGGAAAGCTAAGGGGTCTGTCTACATACAGAGGCATGGTGGCGAGAGAGTGAAGGAGTCCAAAGGTGGTTATCGATAAGAAGTTAGTACTTGGCCACTCCCAACTCCCAACTCCATGCTCCTCCTTTTCTTCACATTCCCATTCATCCATCGATTCTTCTCTCTTGACTCTTAATCCCATTCATTAATCTTCATTCTACTATAGCTCTTTTGTGCTGCCTGGATCCGATCGACATAGCTTGCTGCCTGCTCGCTCGAGACACAGTGGCCAGAGAGTGACCTCCCTTCCTCTCGATAGCTTCCCTTCTCAACCACACCACTACATCATTTCATCATGTTCAACCGAAACAATCTCCCCTCGGTACCGAATCCCTTCGGAAGTCGACCAGATGGCGGACGCCCCCTCCGCAAGGCTATGCGAATCCCAATCAAGCCCCTCCACGGTATGATCACAGCCGCGCCCACCTGGCCGGTGCTGCAAATGCAGACCCTATCCGCGATAACGATGTACCGATGACTGACGCGTCTGCTGATCCAAGGGGATACGGAGGCCCGCCACCGCCGGGACGACCACCACAACAGCAGCAGATGCCGCCGAGAATGCCGGTCGGAGGACGGCCACCACCCGGTAATGGCCAGACTTGGACCTTGCAGCCAGACAAGAGTCCGGACACCAATTATACGTTTGGGAATCTGTATGTTTGTTCTCCATGTTACTTAGGAAATACTAGGTACTGACGCGGAGCAGTGTCGCCGTGTCACCACAGGATATTCCGCCCACGCGAGACCGCAGCGATATCCTCGTCCTGATCAATGACTTCTTCGTTCTCTCCGCTCGTCCCCTTGATGGCTTCCCTTCCGGCCGGATTGGCATGTCGGATCCACAGCGGACATGGGCGAATATTGGGTTGCGAGACATGGTCAAGGTGCAGTTGTACGACCCGTTCAGCCAAGGGGGACAGGCTTATTTGGGGTCTGCGGACATCGAAGTCAGCTTTGCATCGGTGAAGAAGCGGCCGCAAGAGCCATATGATCAGGATGTGTTGGGACGTGAAGTGATCCGGGTAAGTTATGGATATCACATGGATTTGAGGGGCTTTTGCTGACACAACCAGGCTTTCAATAACCAAATCTTTGCCCCTGGACAACGAATCCTGCTGGATGTTGCAAATGTGCCTCTTCTTTTACATGTCAAGACTGTCCAGCGAGTGGACCTGACCGCCGAGAAAATCGATCTCAGTTCTGGGTTGGAGGAGACGGATGGCCTGGCTAGGGGAATCCTCACCACGCACACCCAATTGAACTTTTACAGGGATAAAGAGACCGGTATCAATGTGAAGTCATCCAACCGCCGCCCAGCGGCAAACTCCATCATTCAGCCCGGTTTCAAGTTCGAGGATATGGGAATTGGTGGTCTGGATTCCGAGTTCAGCACGATCTTCCGGCGTGCTTTTGCTTCCCGAATCTTCCCTCCCGGTCTGGTTGAGAAATTGGGCATCCAGCACGTTAAGGGTCTATTGCTTCACGGCCCGCCGGGAACGGGTAAAACGCTGATTGCACGACAAATTGGAAAGATGCTCAACGCTCGAGAGCCCAAGATCATCAACGGTCCTGAGGTGTTGAACAAGTACGTCGGTCAATCGGAAGAGAACGTTCGAAAGATGTTCGCAGATGCCGAGAAGGAGTACAAAGAAAAGGGCGACGAGAGTGGTCTCCACATCATCATCTTTGACGAGCTGGATGCCGTGTGCAAACAGCGTGGCAGCGGAGCGGGTGGCGGCACCGGCGTGGGCGACAGCGTGGTCAACCAGCTTCTGTCAAAGCTCGACGGCGTTGACCAGCTGAACAACATCCTCCTGATCGGTATGACCAACCGAATGGACATGATCGATGAAGCCCTGTTGCGCCCTGGACGTCTGGAGGTGCACATGGAGATCTCGCTTCCGGATGAGAGTGGCCGAGCTCAGATTCTGAAGATCCACACTGAAAAGATGCGCACCAACAACGTGATGGATACCGATGTCGACTTGGTCGAGCTTGCGCACTTGACAAAGAACTTTTCTGGTGCTGAGATCGCGGGCCTGGTCAAGTCGGCTTCGTCCTTTGCCTTCACGCGTCACGTCAAAGTGGGCACGATGGCCAGCATCAATGAAGATGTGGTGAACATGAAAGTGAACCGGGCTGATTTCCACCTAGCTCTCGCTGAAGTGCAGCCTGCCTTCGGTGTGTCGGAAGAAGAACTTTCCAGCCGCATTCAGTATGGCATTATCCACTACTCGGACACCATCAATGAGATTCTCCGGGAAGGAGAATTGTTCGTCAAGCAGGTTGGCCAGGCTGCCTCAACGCCTCTCTTTTCGGTCTTGCTTCACGGTCCCACGGGAAGCGGCAAGACTGCTCTAGCAGCGCGCATTGCCATCGACTCTGGCTTCCCCTTCATCAAGCTCATCAGCCCCGAGGACATGGTTGGCTTCAACGAGGCGCAAAAGATTCAGCACATCACCCGCATTTTCGACAGCGCGTACAAGAGCCAGACGAGTATCGTGGTTGTCGACAATATCGAGCGCATCATTGACTGGGTGCCCATCGGCCCCCGATTCAGCAACAGCGTGCTCCAGGCCCTTATGGTCTTCCTCAGAAAGAATCCTACCCACGGACGCCGTCTGCTGGTCCTGGCCACGACAACCGAGCGTGCGTTGATGAAGAACCTGGACATTTACAACTCGTTCAATTCGGACATCATGGTCCCGAATGTCAAGTCCTTTAACGAGCTACGGCATATCATGGAGCAATCCGGAGTGTTTGACTCGCAGGAGATCAAAACGGCTCTGGACAATATCGGCGGCCTGGATGACTCCAAGTTCAGCGTTGGCATCAAGAAGATTCTTTTGGGCATTGAGACCGCCAAGCAGGATGTGGATAAGGTAGGACGCTTTGTCCGTGTCGTTAACCGGGCCATCGAGCTCGAGGAGGCTGGTGAGTAGTTCACTAGTCGGCGGTTTATATATCGGTGTGGCTGTCGTCTTTGATATCATGGTGTGCCTTGTTGGCTAGATCGTTTGTTTGATTGGCAAAATAAATACAGACAGCTGTCTTTAATCTTCATTCGCTAGGTAGATAGTAGGATCTTCCTGTTGGAAGATGTGCGAGTCAACGCTTTACTATTCCGGCACAGTATACTGGAGATAGACCGTATCAATCCTAGTCCCTAATCAGCATCCATCCATAGTCCTCCTATCAAAAAGTAAAGAATAGACAAAGAAAGGGGGAAAAGCTCACCAGTGCCCCCTCTTAAACCCAATCCCCACCAACCTTCCCCGTTCTACAAACCCACGCTGGAGATACCAGCTCCTCAGCGCCTCCCCACCGTCCATCCCTTCAGGATCAACCGCCATAACCGCAAGCACATTCCTCACGGGAACCCCATCCCCGGGAGAGTCAGGAACACCCTCTTCACCAGGCCGATGTCTCACTTCTCCTTTGCGCACGCGGTCCAGCAACGCAGTGAGAAGGCTCGAGCCCACGCCGCGGGACTGATGATCCGGGTGCACGAAGAGGGTTAGTTCGACCGTTGGTGCGTAGGAGGCTAGATGGCCGCGGAATGGGGAGAGGGATGCATAGCCCAGGACTTGATTTGATTCATTGGCCGTGCCTGTGTTGTCCTCGATTGCGACGAGGTAGGGCAGGCCTCGCGCTGTCTGGTCGGATAGTTTGGCGGCGTGGGTGGACGCCGGTGGTGGGGTTTGTTTGAAGGTCAGGGAAGTGTTTTGAATGTAATAAGTGTTGATGGATTGAATCTGGGGCAGATCGGAATGGGCTGCTGGGCGGATTGTCACCATTCTGGTTGATTTTTTGTCAAGTGGTGGCTGGGTTAGGGTGTTGTTTAGGGACCACGTTTGACTCATCCCGAGGTGATCTACACCCCCTCGTCTTACTTTGCATAGGAGATATAGGATAGGAAAGAAGTTCTTCTTTGTAGAGAAAAAAAGCGAGTATTTATTGGCTCTTGGCAAGTCTATATAGTGGGTGGGAAGAGAATATTTTTGCTGTAGTTTATCCGATGAGCAGGACTTTCGCTAGGTCTACCCTACTGGACGGTGATAGTTGCCCACGAGCTGGATCTATCCTTCTGAACGATGGCAGCGGCCCACGATCAGTTATCGTTAGGTCTCTTCCTGCCGGACGGTGACAGTGGCCCAGTCGTTGCTGGTCTGAGAAGGGATCTTAAGCGCCATCATAGCTATGAGAATAGCTACCGCGGTTCTTGTTTTGCCAGTCCCAGGAGGACCTTGGATGAGGTCAATTCCAGCGGTGATAGCCATGGTTGAACGATTGAAAGCAGCCAGCTGTTCGCTATCTAGCCAATCCCAAACGAATACCTATCCACGACGGCAAGGCGGTAATTGATATTATCCTCATCTGTCTTAATCCCGGAGAGCTGTTGGATGTTCAGTTCGAAGTACAATGGGCTCCAGGGATCGATCTCCGTCTTATGAGCCAGGAGAGTTCGAACCAACGAGAAACCTTTTCCCTCGTCACCATCCTTCTCTCCAAAGACGACACAGGGCTTGCTGGCTGTCTGCAGAGCCGTGATCTGATCTCGAATGGACATAGTCTCAGAACCAGCTGCTTCCCAGGCCACCAGCATATATGGCAGAGTTGGCATTGACATTGACTGCGCGCGTAGCCGCGCGGAACTTCTGACGGACTACCGCGACTGCGACAGCCTGGCATCCGGAGCGCGCAGTGACGGCAAGTGCTTTGCATTGAATGCGGATCGAATAGTGCGACGAGCCAGGGGAGCGCTGTGGGTAAGTCAAAATTTTGAACTTGTGTCCACTGACTCGATCCGATGGAGCATTCGCTGTTGGATTCATGCAATCCACCCGTAACCCAAATTGTGATTATGCTCCTTCCCTCTGCGTAGCTCGCCCGAGTGTGCTTTCCCTCGACGCAAGCAACCATTCTTGTAATGCACGAGGATCGCCAGAAACTGCGTTTTATGAGCAAGCTCTCCGCTGCAATGCAAATATCATGCTGATATCGATAGCTGGTTGACGACAGACTGCACATTTGTTCGGGGTCAGTGCTGGCATCTGACCACATACAGGAAGATCAAAAAGTGTCTTTAAATCGATAGGCAGCACGAAGCTCATCTAATCTGTTCCAAGCCCGCTCGTATCCGTAGGCCTATATGCCAACATCACGGTGACGTACAAAGTAGCGGGCTTCCATCCAGTGTTGTTGTTCGGCACAGTCCCTATATGTGATTACCATAGGAGTACTGTAGCCAACGGACGGGTTCACTCTAGCAAGAACCTCTAGGGTATCGAAATAGGATTGACTGAGCCCAAAGCCCTAGTAGTAAGCGAGGTTGGACATATGTCAAGACAGGTGGATAGATGCATCAGACTTTCAACCGAGGGATACATGTATCCAGTGAGTGGATCAATGGTGGGTGCCTAAAGGCTGATAACGGTCGACCTGTTTGTCAGTCATTGTACACAGTTGAAAAGCGAGTACGGGGTCTTACTGCAGAGACGACAATAATTGTTTTGCACTGAGAGGAAAGGAAACTTTGCTTGTTCGCGACCGATCCCCTGTAATTTATCATGGTTAGCACCAGAAAATCTGGTGTCCCGGCAGAGGAGCTTACCAGCCGCACAGGAGGGCCAAAGGCCGTTGAGCTTAGAGAAGCTGAATGACCCTCCATCGGGACCGGCGGAGGGGTTTGGAGTGAAGTGATAATACCCAGCCCATCCAAGTTTGGAAGTATTGAATCGCAAATACAGCGCCAGCATCGGTAAGGCGGTGCCACTGCCGGACGTTGCTCTTCTCCTAGTCGTTGATCTCGTCCCCAGAAGTCACTTGCCGCAGCGTTCCACAGTTTCTAGTCATTTTTTTTCTTGCAGTTGAGTTGCACCTACCTTGCCGTAAGATTTGACGTATGGGTGTCCCTCGGGTCACCCGTGACGAAAGGGCAACACGTTGAGTTGGTGATATGCTTTGACGGCCACCTTGGAATCGCGGCTCTCTAGAAGACTGGCGTTCAAAAGGAGGGAAACTATCGATATCTATGTGTAGAGAGAATAAAATCTCTTAAAAAAATACAGATATATAGGTAGAATTAAAGGAGGATGGATGGTAGAGAAGGATGCAAGAAGAGAAGTTTGTAGGAGGGCAGGCCATCCTTTATATACCCTGTGACCCCGTGACCACAATTTTTATATCGGGGGTACAGTCATCCTCATATGGTCTGTAAAGGGCCTCCCAGCACCATCTGGTGTCCCAGGGTGAAGCGGATAGTCCGGTAACAGGGGGACACCATTCCTCCTGGGTAGGGCTGCTTATCACTGTTCATCACTTGGTTCTAGGAATGTCTTTCTTGGACTCACTGGATCGAGTCCCACTCCTGTCATAATTTGTGATTCTATTTTCGACTCGTTTGTTTCTCTTTGGCTTTTCAAGACAACTCGGCCCAGTCTTGAACCGGCCCTGCGATATCCATCTACCAGTCCCTTTCTAATCTAAGAGGTATTTGCAATTAAAGACTTGATTTTCAACAGGGAAACGATTGAAAGCACCAGAATGATGATATTCGATAGAGGGGATGAACTATATAGTACGTAGTAACGTTCGTCACTACTGCCGATATGACCTGCAGCATATATATGGCTTCACGGTACCGACTAAGCGGCCGAATATCACGTACAAGACATTACTATAAATTCAACAGCTGTCCAGCTCCTTGATTCGTAGAATCCAGTATTATTGAGGCGTAACAAGCACTATAATACCCTCTCGTGACATATACAAATTACCAACATCCTAGGGATATACGCAAAAAACCAAGCAAAACACGCCTAACCCGACAAAAATGACAGAAATAGCCCATTCCAGCCCGTACATCACGGTATTTTTACGCCCAATCGTCACATTCATGAGAAATTACACGCCTCGCAACGAATCAGTACCTATCGTCATAGTAGTACTTCTGTGCCGCGCGACGGTAGTCGTCCGGGTGGGCCTTCTCAGCCTTGGATTTGAGGGCGCTAAATATAGTCTCGTCAGCCTTCTAGAATCCCGTCTAGAACAACCCTAAACGCATCGTTTGGGCGATCGCCGTGCACGTGCCAAGTGCCATTTTCGTGGCGGAGCGCGGCGGAGCGGAGCGGAGAGTGTTGACGTCGCTCTTCATCAAGGGAGGCATGGAAGGGACTGAGTGATCTTACCTGACACGCTTCTGGGTCCATTCTAGGTCGCGCTTGGTTTCCCGCGCAACTTTCAGTCCTTCGTTGAAGTTCGCCCGTACACCCTTCAGACGACGCTGTGCGAGGGCTTGCAGCTCCAGCAGCTCTTGCTGCTTTGCATTCATGCGGCCGGAACTATAGTTGCGAGTTAGCAGTGATATCTTCATAATCCTCGCAAATGGCCGCCAATCGCGCGAGTATATGCGTTTAAGCATGCATGCTCTTGAGCCAGGAAGCAGGACACGCATTTCGACAAACGCAGGGTTGACGATGGACTACTCACGTTTGTGCCTGTCTGGCAATACCCCTGTCCAGCGGCATCGGGTCATACACATCTTGCATGCGGTCATTCAGGACATCTACGACGTCCACGCCGGAGTAGCCGGCGGAGCTGGAGTCATAGTCGCCGCTGGCGGAACTGAATGTCAGCCCGCCCGAAGTGCGGCTGCCAGCAACAGTGCTGGTGTCAGACAAATCTGGTGGCGATCCGTGGACCCGAGACACGGGGTACATGCCCGCTGGCGCCGGTGCCTTTGACGGCACGTTGATGGGCATAGCCGAGGGCTGGTAGTAGTAACGGGGAGCAGCCATGGCGACGGTGAGTGTTCTTGCAAGTCAAGTTGACTGAAGGGACGACGAAGTGGTTTCAGCACAACGTAATAACTATGTGCAACAGGACCGTGATGCCCTCAAGGAAGGACAGAGAGGTATCAAGTATAGATGGGAGGAGGACAAGGTCTTCAACCGAGGACTGTTCAGATGGAGCAAGTCAGAAAGATAAAAAAGGGAAGAAGGAGCAAGAGAGACCCGCCCCGACAAGAAGGGGGGCTTTATAGCCCTCACCGGAGAGTCTTCCATCCGGCGGAGACCTGGTCTGGCGCGGCCGATGAGGTGATGGAGATGGGGGCGCCAGGGAAGCCACTGGGTCAACGGGGGAGCATCGACTCCCGCCCTTCCTCCTGTGTCTCCAATCCCGGGCCTCTGACTGCATGTCCTTCTCCGTATCTGCCCGCCGATTCGCCTCTGGACCGCCCGGACCCCGCTCGGAGTGGGCAAAGACAGGATGAGTCTGGGCCGGGGTTGCCAGCCATCCCTCCATCCCTCCACTAGGGCTCTCTTCCGCTTTCCCGTGGTGGCCTATTTACTTTGTGATCACCGGTCTCGGACTACGCCCCCTTCCTGTCTGGTATAATCCGGTTTCTTTCCACGCGGAGACTGGTTGGTGTTTCTGGGGCGCTGATTGGGATGGAGGGCTTGGCGGGTGGGAGGGAGGGTAGGTCTATAAATACGGGTGTTGCATCGTCCCTCGTCCGTTTCTCTTGCTCTCTGTTTTTGGGCCATAAGACCTTCCCCTCCTTCCTTCTTGCCCCTCAATTGTTCCATCATTACTGCCTTTTGGAGGGTCCCGTGCCCTCGCCGTCGAAAATGCGGTGGCTGGGAACCGGAAATCGGCGTGATGGTTGACGTCCATTCGTTGGTGGCGTGGGAGAGAGCAAGCGGAGATGAAGAGGAATTCCGGAACTACAAGAGTGAGAAGCCCTTGAATCCCTTATCTGTTACCGCAGCCACTGACTGTGAGCAGATTACCACTTGCCTGGTTGGTATGTTGATACCGCCAGGGACGATAGAACAAAGGAGTCCAAAAGAAACTCGAATTTTTTTCGAGGCTTTTTTCCATCCGAAAAAGTGTCTTACATACGAACTTACATCATCATTGGGGATTTCATGGGCCCAAGACCCCCAAACCCCCAAAGGAGAGTGCTGCAGACAGTATGAACGCTGCCAGACACCGACACGGTCACCAGGTGTGAAGATCATAAAGGTTGGACACCCCTGCATGGACCGAGAGACCGTGGAGAAATGAGATTCGAAACAGGACTTCTTGCCGAGCCTGTGGCCCCATGCCCTGCTCCAACGAGGGCACAAGGTTTCCAGCTAGGCATTAGAATTATGTGACCTCTTGGAGAGGAACCCAAATCCTGGAACAGAATGGCCTCGGATGAGAATACCCGCTGCTCCGTTTGCCCGCCTTGATGCGGCTATTGCTATTCCCAACAGTTGAACAGAAAATGACAAGCGCATTAGACGCCAGTCAATTCACGAGGAAAAAAAAGACCTCGGCGGGTTTTGAAGCCCCGCCCTATGCGGACACAAGCCATGACATGCTTGACAGATCAGTTTTGGGTTCTTGTTCTGTCTATCTGCACGGCTATCGGCAATGCAATTGGAGAAGCAAAAAAAGTGGCATGCCTTGCCGCATTTCGTACGCCTTCGGATGCAGCCTCTTGTTCATTGGTCCCAGATACAGAGCTCGCCTTACAACTGTCGAACAATGACCAACGAAGTGCAGCCTTACGCCTGAGCCGTCAATGGCCGCCATGCTATGCCTTGCAGCCTGCCAAAGAAGACGAATAATAAATATCCCGTTGGCAACGAAAGCCAATGCTACCGAATTACCCGTGACACCACCCTCCTTTGGTTTCCGCGTCACCATTAGAACGACTAGAGAAAGAACCCCTTCGGCACAGGGATGGCCGCCTCACCGAGAATATCGGGCTGGAGCCCAATCGTTTCATCCGGCCAGGCCCAGCAGCAGCATCGGGCAGCACGAGGAAAAATGACGCGCAGCACAAGACTTAGCCCGGCCGGCGACTGGAAGAGGAAAGGAAATCCTTTCCCCCTTCCCCCCCCCCTTCCGTTACTTCTCAGAAGCCAGAGTCATCGCCCGATGCCCTCCATTACCCTGATCCGCCCCTCCATGATCCCACAGATCTGGTTCCGGCTCGGGCAGAGATTGTTGGGAACGAACCATTCTGCTGACAGGAGTGACGGGACTGGGACCAGGCACCGATTTTGGGCCATCATCGTCCTCACTATTATCGTCATTCATTCCTCCCAATCTCGAGGCTCAGATCAAGCTGGCAGATCAAGAAACCCATCGTTCTCCCGTCGATCCCCTTTTTTTTTCAGTCTTACTGACTTGGCCAGCAGAGTAAGTGGGGTTACGGTACTGAGTTACGGCGGGGATGCGCTTTTCTGGCTCCCTCACCGCCACATGCAACGCGATGACTGGATGCGTGGCCGTGGACAACTCATTCCTGCTTTCACTGCTAACTTCTTGTAGAACTGGGTGTATTGTCCTCCCTTGGCTCCCTTTGCACCCCCCCCCTTTTTTTTCGGAACTCAATGAACCGAGAAAGGAAATAACCCAAACTTAATACCAAAAAAGTGCATATGATCGAAACTACACACTAAGCAGATCTGAATTCCAGACTGACTCCTTGCCGAACGAAATTGTCACTTGGTGTTTGTGTGAAAGTTACGCTTTGTCCCCCGTTTGTGCTTTGCCCTCGTTGGCGCCACGTCTGCGATAGATCTCGAATTGACGCTGTCTGTCTCTGTAGCGGTCGATTTGTATCATAATTGTATGCGGCGTCATTGGGATTCTGACTGCTTTAGTTAGTATTCATGCTATCCAGGCAATCATTCAGCCCTGCGCAGAGCAAAGTTGCCAGCCATAGGGCATGCGTTGTCGATCGGTGCTTTGCTGCAACCTTGACGGGGCTAGGAATTTGGCATAAACAGATATGATGGAAGTCTGACGACAAGTGAGACTATACTATGTATTACTGCTGCTCGATGGACCGATCTAGAGATTCGAACCCAAACAACAGAAGAAGAGAAAAAAAAATCAAAACGTAGATTCTTGACAAAATACAGGCCCAGAAAATACAGAGGTGTCGTTAAGAGCTCGTAATCTGGTGTCACAGGAATCGAAGGGAAAAAGCACAAGTTGGCGGTTGTAGATCACATTCCCTTCCATGCCCGCTCGCAATATCCCATAAAAAAAGGGAAAGGAAAAAGAAAAACAACACGTGGCGACTGAAGTCTCGCGAAGACGGAGTCGAATTCTGACGCAAAAAGTGGGTGATGGTACAAGCGAAACAACAATCAACAAAAAGCACAAGCAGCCCCCTGACACCCGTAGATGCTAGGAAGAGAAAACGAGCGTCAACAGCTCAGGCTCCAATGCATATGCAAAAAAAAAAAGATGTCGCATGGAATCCTATCAAGTCAGCGGAAGAAGGCAACGTTTGTTGGAGGATCCTAGCAAAGCGAGGAGTATAAAAAAAAGACTTGAGTATAGCGCCGATATTCCGATAGACCTCCTGTATAATTCCCCCGCTCCCCAAAAATATTAAGATATCCAAAAAGTACCAACAAATTGTATATTTCTTTTCGGGAGTGAGAATAACCGGGAGCCTGCTCAGCCTGTACTTTAGACTATGTTGTAAAGGGAGAAATTGAGATGCAACAAACGGTTGAGAGTCTGTGGGGTGGAAGCTGGTGGGCGAGAGAGGTAGAAGATAGTGGCAGGAAAGGGCGAGATGCAGCCATCACCGCCGAGTGGGTTGAGCTTCCACGTTGTGCGAATGGAGGCGATCCCGAAGTAGCAGAAGAGGTCGCGCGGGATCCAGAAGCCCGATCATCAACTTGCCCAACTCGTTGTGCTTGATAGGCTTCGTGACATAGTCATTGAAGCCAGCGCGAGCCGCGTCTTCGATCTGATCGTTCATTGCATTGGCAGAGAGGGCCATGATCGGGATCTGAGGATAATGGTTCTTCTGTTCCCATGCACGAATATCCCGGCACGTATCGTATCCGTTCTTGATCGGCATTTGGATGTCACACTTTTGTATCATGTTAGATTTGATGGAGAAGACGAGAATATCAAAGGGTGTACTTACGATGATCAGAGAATAGTACCCAGGCTCCTTGGACAAGACCATGTTTGTGCACTCCTGCCCATTGCATGCGGTCTCAGACATTAGCTTGACTTTGTCCAGGTATTTGAGCATGACCTATTAGCTTGGTTAGCATGACTATAAAACAGGAGCGGGAGAACAACGGCTACATACATCACGATTGGTCTCGTCATCTTCCACAAGCAATATGCGGTAGCCTTTGTTACCAAGCACCTCTTTGACCAATTTGGACATGGATTTGAAATTGTTGTTAATCTCACGCGCCATGTCCTGATTGCGGTCCTTGCTCAGTTCGCGCTTGCTACTGGGGTCGAAGATGGTTGAGAAAGAGAACGGCTTGACAGGCTTGGGCACAATGAACACCTGTTTCCCTGTCGCTGCCAGCTCCTTCACCCGTGTGCTGATTTGGCGTTTCTGGTACAAGTCGGAAATAATGACCACTACAGGAGCAGAGTTCGGCTCAATCTCTGACACGTATTGTATGACATCCAAAAGGTCATCCGCGGCGGGTAAGTTGAGGACCAGATGCGTGCATTTCGAGTTGAAACCTGGCCGCATCATATCTTTCCACTCATCAATATCGTGCAGTGTTGTAATCGTGAAATCAATCTCTTGTGGGACAACCTGCTCAATATGCTGCCTGGTGGCTTGGCGGGTGTTGTCCAGCGGACACACGATGAGAATCGACAAGGGGCCTTCAATCGGAACAACAGAGGGGAGGTCCGGTGAAGGCTTGCCCGAGGGCACAGACGTACTCGATGGCGGAGGAGTCAAACGGATTGGGGGCTCTAATGCTGCGGAACTAGGTGCTGCGCTTATACTCGTTTGCGTCTCATGGTCGACGGTTGGTGGATTAGACGTAGCACCTGACTGCCCGAAGCCAGATAACATGTTCACAGTTCTAATATCAGGGGTCGGAAGAGCAGATGATGTGGCAGAGTGTGGGTAAAGATTCTCAGCTGACAGGGTCCCATCGACAGTTGTAGAGTCTGGTCCAGGCAATGGATCGGCTGCGTCCGGAGATTTGGCATCAGAGGCTCGACGTGGTAGCCGGGCCGCCTGATAAGAAGTTGGTCGAGACAGCCTGGGTCTTCTTCTGCTGGATGCGGATGATCCTTGACGGAGTAGCGGGGGATGCTCAGCAGGTGACGGAGGAGAGGGGGCATCAACTTTGACATGGAAGGAAAATTTCGCCCCTTGGCCCTCTTTGCTGCTGGGTATGAGTTTGCCACCGTGCATCTCGACAAGCTGCTTGGATAGAAACAACCCAAGACCACTGCCTGCATGCTGCTGTGATCCTTTTTCTCCCAGCTGGCTGAATTGCTGCATGAGGCGCTCCGCATCCTCAGAGCTGAAGCCTGTCCCCGTGTCCACGACATCAAAGCCTAAAAAGACTTCCGTGTCTTTGACATTCGCAGAGGGTTCACGATGGAGGCTGCAGCAAATATGGATTTCGCCCTGGGAGGTGAATTTGACTGCATTACCGACAAGATTGATCAGCACCTGGCGGATTCGGAACCGATCCCCAATCACCATTGATGGTACGTCAGGGCTCATCAAATAGTTTAGTTCAAGGCATTTGTCGATAGCACGCGAACCAATGGTGTCAATCACATCCTCGATCATGGACCGAACGTGGAACCAAGAATTGACCATGGTCATTTTGCCTGCTTCGACCCGAGAGACGTCCAAGATGTTATCAACCAATTCACGGAGATTCGTGGAGCTGTTTTGAATTGTGTCTAGCATTCGCCTCTGATCACTGTCGAGCTGTGTGTCGAGAATGAATGGAATGGTGCCAAGAATTCCATTAAGCGGTGTCCGAATCTCGTGCGACATATTACTGAAGAATTTGGTCTTGGACTCCATTTGACTGTTCAACTGACGCATGGTCTTGTTGAGTTCACGCTCAAGGTTCTTTCGGTCATTAATGTCAGTGCATGTGCCGTACCAGGAGGCTTCTTCGCTTCCGAAGCTGCTGGTTTCAACCCGTACCAGACGGACTAGGTGCCATCTGAAGTCGCCTCCTCTCGAACGAAGACGGATCTCTGTAGAATAGAAGACACGGCCGCTTTCGTCTTTCTGCAAGGAAGCGACGCCGCGTTCCACAAGATCATTAAGCGCAGATGCGACGCCTCCACCATCCACAGACGGTGCCAATCGCGCACTGTCGAGAGTGGGCTTAATCGACTCCGCGAAATTGGCCGATCCGAGTTGATCCTGGTTCGCCTTGAAAGACAGTCCACCGCACTTTTCGAGGTCGTCAGGATGGACATGTGTGACGAATCCCAGACCCAAGGCTTCTTCCAAACTTTGACCTGTATACAGGTTCCACTGCTCGTTAACGAATATCAGCCCGCGATTTTCAGTCGCTTCAAAGACGACCTGCGGGATTGAATTCGAGAATGCACGGTACTTTGCATCGATGGCAAATTTTTCTTTCTCTTCTATCGCCTTCAATTCCGCAATGTGCTGTTCGTGGATGTCGAGGAAAGAGCCGATCCAATAAAGCACCTCGCCAGTTGATGATAGCAGTGGGTTTGCCCTGAAAATAAACCAACGGTATGCCGATTCATCATTAAACCGCCTAACGCGCACTCGTTCGGTAAACTGCGAGCCTGTCCGCAAAGCATTGGCCCATTCATTGGAGACATGGACCCGCTCACTGCTATGAATGTTCTGCCAAGGGTCTCTCAACTTCTGCTCCTGAGGTTGACTTCTCCGGTAAGCGTCAAACTTGGCATTCGTCCAAATCACCTCGCCGGTATGTGGCCTAGCTAGAAAGAGATGAAGAGGAATGGAATTGAGCATCAGTTGGGCGATGGTGTCAGAAAATGGACGGGACAGCTCCCGCTGCAGCTGGGCGTACAAGGAGTTCGTCGATGCTTGGCGTGATGACTGTTGATTCGGAGAAACCACAGGTAATTGTTTGATTTCGTCCAATGATGATGCCATAACAAGAGTTGGATCCTGTAGATTACTCTCATCGCCGGAATACAGTTTCCCAAGCAGCTTGCCGGGACCGGGAGACGTGGGCGTCGATGACACGAGGTTTATCTTTGACTTTGACAGCTGGCGCCGATGATGTGAGATGTTTTCGCGAGAGCCCCGTGCTTGTGGCACATTGAAATAACTGTCTCCAGCTTCACCGCCAGCTCGCGAGGCCACCCCGGGAGAATCGATGGAGGGGCCCGCTGACCCGAAGCCAAGTTGACCGAATTCAACCCCTGGAGTTCCGAAGGTGGATATGGTAGGGCTGAATTTGGTGGATGAGTTATCGCTAGGGCTTGCCACGCTTACACGAGCGGAGAGGGGGTGTCGCTGGCGACAGAATGGGTGACGTGCCCGCTCAGACCTGCCACAAGCTCCAGCTCACTGCTAGCATCGGAGAAGGTCCCACCAAGACCCAACAGATGTCCATACCGGGAGGTATCTGCTCTCGAGGCCATCTGGCGTTCGAGCTGACTGTACTGTTGGGCCAAACAAAATGAAGTCGTCAAGTGTGGCATGAGGTACTCCAGGGACCGCCGGAGATTGGGCGGGTAGGGAACAATCGGCGTCAAGAGCGATATGACGGCAACCGGAAATCTTAACGTCAATGGAGAGTCATGGCTGGAACGATCGCCATGAAGAAGTGGAATATGAATCACAGTCCTCGCTTCATCGACGCCGATGGCCTCCAACGGAAGGGTATTAGAGTAATCATGGGTAGGTGGGTTCTTTGAGAAAGCCCCCTCGTCGACAGTATGGCTGTTGAAAAAGGGATTCTGATCCGGGTTTGTACGAGGAGCTGGTGACGGGGCAGGAGATTGAGACCATGGGGATTGTGGAGCTTGCTCGTACTCGTCATACGGCTGCGAAGCAGTGACGTTCAAGGTTGAAGCATGTTTTTGTCGGTCAGTAGCTGCCACCGCAGCATGCCCCGGAATCTCATCTGGATTCCCAGCATTGGGTGTGAGCTGGACATGCTCCTGAGGGCTTCCATGACGTCGACGATGTGACAGGTAATCTTCGGAATACTGGCGAGTGAGGATAGCAGGACGGGCGCGACCGAAGAGTTTCACGACACCCGCTCGCTTGATTAGAGGATCTGGCTCAACCTCCAACGGTCTGGCAACTGGGAAAACAGCTTGACGTGGGTTGGAGTTGTTGAACGTAACGTGCGGTTCTGCTTTTGCCATTAGATTTTGATTAGATAGAGATGCTGTTCCTGCAGGTGGACTAGAAGCAAGAGAATCATGAGCCTCTTTCTTCTCCGGTCTGGCCGTATTGGCCTTTGACCAATTCTTAGGCGGTCCGAGCTCAGGTACCGAGGCCTGTGGCTTATCTCTATCGAAACCTGCGAAGGAGTGACGCGACAATAGAGATGGCCGAGGGGTAGCAGAAGCTGGTCCGAACGCTTTGGTCTGCGAACCAGACCTGGTGTCCCGTTTCTTCTGCCCCGTTGTATCATTATTCTTGGGTGTGACTTGCACGTCCGATGACGCACTATTCCCTGAAGGACGAGCCTGGATATTTTGCATGGAAGGACGATTCTGGTTGAAAAGCGCCTTTTGACCCCATGGCACATTCTCCAGATCTGTTGCATCTCCCGGAACTGCTAGTGACACACGCTCGGCGCCATAGCTGCTCTGCAAAATTTCTATTAGATTGGACCACCACGCTTCTAGTCCCGGATTCGCATTCAGTTTCAAGGTCAGATCATAGAGATTGGGACTGAAACCGGCTGCGTCATCGGAAACGTTCTTGTACTGGGGCGGCAGAAATATCGGTTGCAGATCGGGGTGCTTCATTGCAGCGGCGGGACGCTCGTCCCCGGACTCGGGCAGAGACACAGAGGACTTCAACTTCTCGGATGGAAGTTTCAATCTAAATTGACTCGGGCGTGTAGGGGGCTCAGGGGTTGCGTGAGCCTGCACTCGTGGGAAAGGATAAGAGACTGGTTGTCCACCAGGACCGGTGGAATTGGCAGAGTCCGCTAGTTTGATCGTACCCCCCGAGCCAGTTGAATCAGAAGTAATCGCCGGCGGGGTTCGAAAAGCGACTGAACCATTTGATAGACGCCGTCTTTTGTCCGCCGACTGATCGGGCATGGGCTCAGGCTGCGCCGGGAGGTGCTGATTCTGCTGCATTTGCTGGTACACCAACAGCTCCTCCATCTGCCTCCGCAACTCCTGGAGGGTCTGCGAGCTCCGTCCCTGGTCATCCTTTCGTTCTGTCCCTGAACGGGCGTCTTCGGTGATGGGAGTCAGACCGAGCACTTGTTCTGCAGAGTCTCCACGCGACAAACGAGGTACTTGGCCTGACTGCACGACACCATCCTTCTCCGATACTATCCCATCCAGCCGTTTGGTCCCTGACAGGTCATGGCTATGGGGACCGCTATACAACGACGATGACAAGGGCGGCTGCAGCTGGTGCGGATGGGGCACAGCGATGGGCGACACAGTCTCCGTGGGCGAAGGAAAGGGCGAGCTGTTTCGATTCTGGGCCTCCCGCATTCTTCTCGTTCCACCACCGGTCAACTCAGATCTCCTGGAGGAACTTGACGTCACAGGAGCCAGATGAGGCGCGCATTTCTCAGCGGCGGCGGACCGTCACAGTTGGAGGGAAGGCGGGGCCCTGAGAGGATGACAGAAGCGGACGGAAGCGTGACGAGAGTCCGGGAGGGGGGGAGGGTTTGCGATGCGAATAGAGTACCTGTGGTCAGGATAGAAAGGAAGGAAGAATCACTGGCTGGGTGGAGAATGAGGACGGGAATAGGGTTTTCCGGTTTCCAGAGAGGACTCGCGGTGAACAGGCACCCAGTCAGTATGGATGAATGGGGGTTCAAGACGAGAGGAAAGAGTGGAAACTGGCGTCAGTACCCGCTGGACTATGGCTGGGGAGTGGATGAAGGGAGGCGAAAAAGTGGATGCGCCTGTCCGGGGGGGATGACGTAGGGAGATCGAGAACGGGCGTCGGCCCAAATCAACACGATCGGTCGACCGGGGAGGGCAGCACTGATCCGGAGGAGTATTCTCAGGCGACCAGGCGTCGTCTCGCAGTCTGATCATTTGGTAGGGATAGGTAGGTACTATAGGAACTACCGAGATGTGACGCCCTCCGACCCACAGGGATGGTCCGCCGCTCACTAATGTTTTTCCTGATCAAGGTGAACTACTCGGTGGCCCCAACATCCTTCGGTGCCTCTTGTCAGGTACAGGTACAGAGTGCAGAGCAAAATAAATAAAAGGGAGCCGTGTCTAGACCGGCGATCGGTGGTCGATGGGTATCCCTTGCAAAGCGGCAGTGATGCAATCGTTAATCCACGGACATCCCAGGATCAACGTCAACGAGGCTCTGTGGCGCCCTGAAGGACGATTGGATCTGCGCCCTGCCCGTCCGCCCCCTTTTCATCATCCATCTTGGCATGACGGGAGACGGACCTCAGAAGCATGGTCCCACGACGAACCACCCGAGTAGTGAAAGTAGCTGAAACGGGCCCGCGCGCAGAGAGAGGGTCAGCTGGAGGGTCCTGCGATGGGTTCCAATCACGATGGATAGATACACAGGGCAAATGATGGGGATCGCGTGAGGCCGCTGACTCAGAATGATGCCTCAGGCACCACGGCTGACTACTCGCCGCCCAGACTTTTGTACTTGGACGAAAGGGACATTCTGCCCGCATACTCGACGACATTCATTCATGGTCGATCGCGTTCTGCCTGCCGTCTGTGGTATGCACTAAGTGACGACCATCGCTCACATCTTCACTGCGGCGCAGTCTGCCCACCACTGCGCTTGAGGGGCATTTCCTCCCCGCTAATCCTCCGCGCCGCTTGCGTCCATGTCCGGCCTGTTGTGATCGCACTGCCCGGCGATATAATTTGGGGGGGTTAGAACGAACGAGATCGCTTGGTTCATCGCCCTTCGAGATGGAGGAAAACCACCCCTTTGGGGAAGACCTGCCGCTCCCACCGGCCCGACTCTTTGAACGTCTCAGTCAACTGCCTGGATATACGTGGGATCAGTCAATAGAGCCCTTCCATTCGACCTATAATCATTGGCACATTTCGGGCTTTCGCCATGCGGTTGAACACGACCTCTCGACCCCTGTCGCGACCTCCTCGGGACCCGCCTCGTCCGGTCCGTCCAGTTTGACCCGCTACTCGCCTCGCACCGAAGTTCGACCGTCTGGCCGCACATTGAACCGAAGAATCAGCGTCAGCGAAACAAGCAGCGAGATCTCGCTGTCACGGGCCGAGCAGGACCAGATATGGACCCCCGTCATCGCTCGGATATCGACCAACGTCGTGAGGTTAGAGCGGGAGTTCCACATGCTCATGTCGGTTGTGCAAACATCGGATCCGGACTGCAATCATACAATCAGGCCGGTCGATCTCATCCGGCTGCCGCCGGATCCCGGGGATACCGGAACACTGTTGGTTGCAATCTTTGAATCACCGGGTCATGACACACTGCGGGACCTGGTTACGTTTGGGCCGGCTTCATTTGCAGCTGGGGCCAAGAGCGAGAGCAACAATGTGACGCCCGGGGAGCAGATTCCCCTGTCCGCTTTCTTTGATTTTGCATTGGGTGCCTGTGACTGCTTGGAGATTCTTCACTACGGCTTGAAAACCGTCCATGGCGAAATTCGCGGGGATGCGTTCCATTTCGGTGGTGATACCGGCACAGTGAAGCTCGCCAATATCGGCAACGGCGCGCGGTCCTTTGATAATGTTCTCAGCGAGGGCTGGTCTTCAGTGTCCCGCGAACTTGGAGCAAAATACAAACTGCAATTTATTGCTCCAGAGCAGACTGGCAGGATGCCCACCGAACCGGACAGCCGCACAGATATCTACGCTCTGGGTCTTTTCTTCTGGTCAATGTTGGTGGGGAAGCTTCCCTTCGAAGGCAGTGACCCCGTCGATGTGGTCCAGAATGTACTTGGCAAAAAATTGACTCCGGTCTCGGTTAAGCGAATGGATGTTCCAGATGCTCTTTCGGCTGTCGTCCAGAGGATGACTCAAAAAGTGGCCCAGGATCGTTATCACACGATTTCTGCCGTCAAGAGGGACTTGGCTCAGATTGCTAAGCTCTTGGGTGACGGCGACAGCGAAGCACTGAATAAGTTCCAGATTGCCCAACACGATGTCTCCTCCTTCTTTACGCTCCCAAGTCGGATGTTTGGGCGTCAGCGAGAACACGACTTGATCATTAGCGTGGTCCAGAAAATTCTCCGACGTCAGAAAGCGCAACTCGCCAAAGCTTCCACGCAAAGTCCGGGCACTGCGCATGCCCTGGCCTCGAATCCCTCCGGCTCCGATGGCCGTGGGGACAGCTTTGAACTCGCGTCCGCTTCGAGTGATTCTGGGTCATTCCAGTTGCCTCCCAGAACTAGTTCCAATGCCGCCAACTACCACCTGGGGCATGTTGATTCAATGTCAACCAGTGATACCGTAATTTCAGCCCCGAAACATGGATACTCTACCAGTGTGCAAGAGACTACTGGTTCAAGCACTGGCATGCCCATTCCTGGCAAAATGAATAGCCCGTCGCATTATTCTCGCTCGTCTCACACTACCGATCGAGACAGCTCTACTGGCACGAATACCAACAGCCAGGCATCCACAGGAGCCAATCCGTACGGCCAATCAGACTCGTTGAGTTCCTATACCAAACAGAAATCTGGGGCGAAACTCCGCCGGGATGGGCGCTGTGAGTTGATCACAATCAGTGGTGCTGCTGGGATTGGAAAGACCGATCTTTTGAATCGCGTGCAGCCAACCATCCGTAAACTGGGCTGTATCGCTATCACGCGCCTTGATCGAGCAAAGAGGGTCCCTTTTGAGCCGTTCGCCAAGGTTCTCGCTAGTCTCCTGCGCCAGATCTTCTCCGAACCAGATGTCACAACTGACTATCACCACAGCGTTCGGATGGCTCTGCGACCGATGTGGCCTACTCTTCACAGAGTTTTGGAACTACCGGAACAACTAATGTCCCCGGGAGCCAAATACAGACCGTCTTCACCGAAGAGCTCGGCTGCTCAACACATTTTCAAGGATAGTGCTTCCAAAGGCGAGCCAGCCAAGCGGAACAGTATCCCTTGGTTGAACAAGGATCAATCAGCAGCCGATTTCTTCTTATCAGATGCTGCCTCCAATCATATACGCCTGATGGAGACCTTCATTGAGATTTTGAGAACGCTGTGTCAGTTCCGGTTGATCACAGTCTGTATCGATGATCTCGAATATGCGGATGACGAGACTTTGGAATTGGTCTTGAATATCGTCAGAGCAAAGTTACCTTGCGTGCTCATACTGACGAGCCGCAAGGATGAAATTGCCTCTGATAACGTCAGGTCCTTGTTCGAATCAAACGCTTCCAATATAACGCACATCGAGCTTCAGCCTCTTGCAGAGACTGAGGTTATGGAATTGATCGCGTCTACGATGCACCAAGAGCCTAACCCGACCCTGACGCCGCTCTCTGCTGTTGTTCAGGAGAAGAGCCAAGGAAACCCCTTCTACGTGCGGGTGATGCTCGAAACTTGCTATCGAACGAATTGCATTTGGTATTCGTGGAAGGACTCAAAGTGGCTATTTGATCTCGATCGCATCTTTACCGAATTCGTGGCCCCCGTATATGGAGAAGGGCTGGGCCTGGGCTTTCTCACCAAGCGTCTCCAGGAGATCCCGCCTGCTGCCAGGTCCATCATGGTCTGGGGAGCCTTGCTTGGAAGCTCCTTCTCATTCTCTTTGGTGCAGAAGCTCCTCACCAGCGAGTTCCTTTACTCTTCCGAGGATGATCAGGATCTGGACCTGACATCACCGCAAAACCTCACCCTTGTCAGGAAGTCAGAAGGCGATATAGTTGGTGGTCTTCAGTATTTGGTGCAGTCCAATCTTTTGAACCCAGGCAAAACCGACGACGAATTCAGGTTCGTGCTTATACTGATTAACCTTGCTTTGCTGAAGTTGCTAATGAATATTGCAGATTCGGAAACGATCGCCTTGCACAGGCTGCTCTCTCGCTAAGTGAGGGCCGCAACGTGGAGAAAATGCATTTTATTGTCTCCCAAGCGTTGATGAAATACTACCATGACCATCGCAGCCGGTACGCGATGGCGCACCATGTGGCTCTGGCGTCCCGAATTATCAAGTCTCACGTTCCCAAGAGAATCGAGTACCGAAGGATTCTATGGGATGCCGGGCAAACAGCTGCTCAGTCTGGAGCACGACCGTCTGCCCTCTGGTACTTCCGTCATTGCATTGCTTTGCTTCAAAACCAGCCTTGGGATGACAGTAAAAGAGACGTCTATTACGACGAAACTTTGCGGCTTTTCATTGCCACCTCCGAAATGTCATGGTCTCAGGCTCAACACACCGAGGCTTTGAAACTGATCGACGAGGTTTTTGTCCATGGCAAAACTGCAGTGGACAAATCGAGGGCTTGGGTCGTCAAAGCCAAGATTTTCGCTCAATTGGGTGATCATCATCGTTCGATGGAAGCGCTGCTCACCTGTCTCGATGAACTTGGTGTTCATCTTCGTGCCCCCATAACTTTGGAAGAGTGCGATGTAGCCTACTTCAAGCTAAAGTCCTACCTTGAGTCGGCTGACTTGGACTCAATTGCCGAAAAAGCCACCAGTAAGGATCCGATCCTCATCACTATTGGAGCAGTTATGGCGGAAGCGATGTCTGTGACCTATTGGGATGATGCGTTAACCTTCTATCGGATGGCAATCGAAATGATGAACATTCACATCTTCAGAGGTGGATTCACCCCGATTTCGATCGGATGTTCCCATCTTGCCATGATCGCACTGAGCCGCTTTAAAGACGTTCAATTCGGTGCTAAACTCAGTGATTTCTCGCTCTCGCTTCTTGAGCGATGTCCTGAGTTATGGACCCAGAGCAGGGGATCCATTGCGCACAATCTTTTCGTGAGCCATTTGCGCATCCCGTTGGTATCAACTCTACCTTCACTCGAAGCCTCCTTGGAGGCGTCATTCACAATGGGCGATCCCTCTATTACCCTGATCAGCATTTCGTCAATGGCGATGACCCGGCTCTATCTGGGCCAAGACATGGCTGAGCTGGAAGCCTTTTGCATGGAAACTCCAGAAGACCTTCCGGAATGGATGCAAGATACCCGCGGTGGAGCCAGCATTATCACAGTTCGGCAAGTTGCACGAGCGCTTCAGGGTAAAACTGATTTCCGAAGCGAGCAAGGTGTCATGTCAGACGGAGAACACAATGTGATTGAATACATGGCGCACTTGAACGCCAATTCCAGCAACGTTGACAGGCCTCGGGATATGTATTGGGGTCTTGCCATGATGCCCCTGTTCCTCTTTGGCCATCATGACAAAGCCGTCCAAGTGGGCACACAGTTACTGGACACGACACACAGACTCTGGTCTGTGCGTGTGTCCTATGTCGTTTATTTCTACCTGGCCATGTCCCTTCTAACGCTTCACAACGATAACCCCGGCCACGGATACCTCGACGGGGAAATGGATACCGTTCTCAAGTACAAAGCTGAGATTGACTTTGCTCGGAGTGCCTCGGATGTCAATTATGGCATGTGGTCCATGCTGCTGGAAGCCCTCATCGCAGAAGTACGGAATGATCACACCGCTGCGATTCAACAATACGAGGCGGCTATCGATCACTGCCAAGTCCATTCGTGGCCTTTGGAGGAGGCTCTCGCTCTGGAATTGCAAGGCGAATTTCTGGTGAGACGCGGAGCGAAACGCGCAGCTCGCGCTCTACTGCAGGAGGCTACCGCAGCTTGGAGCTCCATTAGTGCCAATGGCAAAGCAGCACATATTGCCGAGAAGCACGAATGGCTGCTCAAGACAGCAACCTCAGCGAAGACAATTGATGTTGGCTGCCAAACTGTCGATTCTTTGATGGAGATCGGCCGCGACGCTGGACCGGAGCAGATCTCTGATCCTCAAATTATCGGAGAGGATGAGAGGCAACAGCAATGGATTGAACAGAATGGTGTCACCGCTGGTGAGCGGTCCATGGATATCTCAAGCGTTGGACTCGGTAAGTTCTTGTCCCGGCCCCGATCTGGGACGACTGCTGACCCCCAAAACAGACATTATCGACCTGTCTAGCATTCTTGACTCTAGCCAAGTCATGTCATCCGAGCTTCAAGTCGACAAGCTTTTCATGAAGATGCTTGAGATTATCCTTGAATCATGCAATGGCGCCGACTTCGCCGCCATTGCCACGGACTTTGAGAACGGGTTCGCAATCGCTGCTACAAACGATGTTGAAAAGGGCCAGAAATCCTATGCGGACGGTTTACCATTCTCTGACATGGAAGACAAGATGGCGCAGCACATTTCGCAATATGTCATCCGCACGAAGGAGGAAGTCCTTGTCCACAATGTGCTCGAAGACGAGCGCTTTTCCAATGTGGATGACGCCTATACGGCCAACTTCCCGATGGGCCGGTCAGTGATTGCGCTGCCAATCGTGCAAGCGGAGCATCTTCTTGGAGTTATCCATTTGGAAGGAAAACCGAACTGGTTCACCCAACGGAACGTTGTTGTTCTTCATCTTTTGTGCAACCAAATGGGAATCTCTTTGTCCAACGCTCTGCTGTTCCGCGAGATTCGCAAAGTCAGCGCCAAGAATGCCTCTATGATTGAATCTCAGAAGCGTGCACTCGCACAAGCGCGTGAAGCAGAGCAGAAGGCCAAGGTGGCCGAGGCGGAAGCCAAGTACAACGTCAAACTCAAGGAGGACGCCGCAAAAGCAAAATCCATCTTCCTTGCCAACATCTCCCACGACTTGCGCACTCCAATGAACGGTGTCATCGGTCTTTCGGAGCTACTTAAGGGCACTGTGTTGGATAAAGAGCAGGACGAATATGTTGAATCAATCCGCGTCTGTGCCGATACGCTGCTCACCCTCATCAATGATATCCTCGACTTTTCGAAGCTGGAAGCTGGAAAGATGAAGATCTCAACAGTGCCGCTCAACCTGAAGGAGACCATTTCGGAGGTGGTTCGTGCACTACGCTACACACATCGCGAACGGGGCTTAGACACGGTAGAAGACCTGGACCGGGTTCCAGCGGGGCTTGTAGTCCTTGGAGATCCGGTTCGCTTGCATCAAATCTTCATGAATCTCCTTAGCAACAGCTACAAGTTCACGCCCAAGGGTTCCATCACTGTCAAGGCAAAGGTTGTTCGGGAAGGCAAAGGCCGCGTCCGCCTCGAATGCTCTGTAGCCGACACTGGTATTGGCATTCCCGATGAGCAGAGATCACGGCTCTTCCGCCCTTTCTCGCAAGCTGACCCTTCAACGGAACGATCGTATGGTGGCAGCGGGCTGGGTCTCAGCATCTGCAAAGCAATCATCGAGGATGTCCTCGGTGGTGCCATCTGGCTCGAGTCAACGCCCGGTGCGGGAACAACTGTGACCTTCCATCTCGTCTTCAACAAAGCCCCCAAGAAGACTGCGACCAAGACCCCATGGTCTCAGGATCTCACCGTGGCCGAGAGCAAGGAAGCACCCCGGCCACTCGCGCGCGATCTCACCCACATCCCACGCGACCAAATCCGCGTCTGCATTGCCGAAGACAACCCTATCAACCAAAAGATCGCCGTCAAGTTTGTGACCGGCCTCGGCCTCCAGTGCGAAGCATACAGCGACGGCAGACAAGCCGTGGAGGCATTACGGCAGCGATCCAGAGAAGGCAATCCCTTCCACGTCGTCTTGATGGATGTCATGATGCCCACTCTGGACGGCTATAACGCAACCCGCGAGCTGCGCCGTGACCTCGACCCAAATGTAAACGAGGTGCTTGTTATCGCCATGACGGCCAGTGCGATCGAGGGCGATCGAGAGAAGTGCCTCGAAGCCGGCATGAACAATTACCTGCCCAAGCCCGTTCGGTCCCCAATCCTAAGCGAGCTGCTGGACATGTATCTCGCTCCTGTGCCTTCTTATCCGCGATCCCGTCTCGCCATCCGAGAAAAGGGCTCGAGAGCGAGTATCGGCAAAGATGCCGGCACGCCAACCAGTTTCTCCTCATCGGCTCCCGAGGATTATACGAGACACTCGTCTACTCGATCATCGTCTACTCCAACACCGTCTACCCCAACGTCATCCACTCCAACGCCGTCAACTCCGTCAGCCGAGAAAAACTGATACCTCTCACTCATTGAATAATGATTCGTCCCTACACAGTTCATTTCTTATTATTTTTTGTGATACCAGGGATTTTTGGCGCCATTGGGAATGATTATTCATGTCGGACTTTTCAACCTACGACCGAGCCTGATTCTCTTCTTCAATTAATGTGTTGATGATGTCTATTAACGGAGCACGGTGATGACCCCAATCTACCTCTGTACAGGGCCCGTTTTGTGCTTAGGAAGGTTTTTTGATTTGTTTCTTTTTTGTTAGCGACTTTCTTTGGGATTTCATGTCCATATTCGTGTCCTCTTATTTATTTATGGGTGGCCATGTTGCCAAGGTATTTGGCAGTCATCAATGTCGAGACATTGGCCATTAGTATCTCTTTTTCAGTTCAATAGATGTTTTACGATCTTGGTATTTGGAGCCATTAGACATGAATAATATTGAAGATATATATGTATTTTTGGTCATTATTTACACGGTGGTCAGCCCCCGGTGTCATATGCCTGACAGTGACCTCAATCCTCTTCTCTTCAATGTGTCACAGTGCCATGCAATCAGCGCAATGACTTGCCCCCGGAGCGTCATTTGCTGTCTTCGGCGTCGAAAAGGCTGGAGTTGCAGTGGCCATTTATACATTTATGAAGCTCGAAGAGGCATTTTCTGGCATGTCCTTTGCGCCTCAGGGACTTTGCAGCTGCGAGGCAGCGGAGACGCCTGAAATTGTCGCTTGCGTTACTGTCGCAATGTTCACCAGGCCGCGGAGATTGCTTGTGCAACATGCCGGGACGCCCATCGAGTCCAACCGTGGGCAATCAAGCTGCAAAACATTTCCCCACAGAGCAGTCTGCCCCCATTGCTCTTCATTTTGTGGAGGTAAGCGAGTTGGATCTTTGAATTAAAAGACTATGGACAGGATCAAGAAGAGAGGCGGGAAACGAGCCCCAGGTGAGAAGAGTGCCAATTTTCAAGGACGACAGGGCGCTCAGAGGAAACCATCTGCGGCGCTGCACCGTCCAGGATCTAAACTAACGCCACCAATGCCTTCAAATTGTCGCTCAGGTGTCGTATGGATGTTAATGACCAAGAAAAAAGCAGCACTTTTGGTCCCGTACTAGCTTCCAGCACTCTTGGTTGCCAGTTCTTCCAGGTGCTTGTACCTCCACTCGTATTGCGCCAGTTGCTTTTTGTCAGCGGGAGGCAGACTTTTACCTTTCTCTGTCATTTCTTTTTCCGTTTGTTTCAGCATTTCCCACCGCTTGAGAATCCGCGCTTGGTGTTCCGAGATAGATGCGAGGTTGGTGTCCTTTGAGGCCATGCGCGCGTCGATGGTGGAATGATATGAGAGTTTGGCTTTGAAGAGCGCCATCTCCGATTCGTCGTACTTGAGACCCTGAGCTTCGGGCATGATTGTGGTTTCTTTCGAGCTCTTTGGTGGCATCTCACGAGGGTAGGGTTATCGACAGTAGTAGAAAACCAGCCTCTGTTAGAAAATGACGAGGCCGCTTTTGAGGATGAATGGTGTGCGCTCTTCGAGGAAAAAGGAAGTTGGTGGTGTTGCTTTCCGAAATTAAGTGGTATTTTGGCACAATGAGTATATGTATAGATCCTTGGCGTCGAGGACCAAAATTATTGATTCCCAAAGCTGGCTCCCTCGCAAAGAAACATAAGAGCCCGTGGCAAATGTGACTTCCTGATAGGGACCAACGTGGAAGAACTACAGAGAAGAGGAGAGACTGACTTTGCATCCCTAGTTATATGACGGCAACGCAGACCTTTGCCTTCACCGTTATTGTCATAAGAAAGTAATCAGCGTCGGCCATCCAATACCCGACAAGTCAGTCATCAGGGTGATACCACGGGAAGACAGATAAGAAGGGTCCTAACGAAAGAGTGCAGAAGGGAAACAGCCACGGATCTGAACCATTCCAGAAAGAGGAGGAGATCCAAAGAGCAGGAACAGGAGGTATACCGACAGAACTGTACAGCCCTCGACACACCTGCCGCTAGCATTAATTGCCAAGCGACGTCCCGTTTGTCTCCTGGGGCCCATGCCCTCTGTCTCGTGATGAGGGTCAATCGGCCAATGGATAGCGCAAAGGGACCTTGTTTGGCTTTCTTATTGGGGGAGCGGATGGTCACACCAGCCTCCTTTTTTCTCTTGCCTTTCACACAACCGGACGTGCGTGTCTTGAAGAATCTACTGGAGGATAAGTAGAAGCGGGAGGGAAGTATGGCCGGGAGATGCTGCAGTCCCATCGCGGTCCGTAACGGCCGTGCGTATGTCGGTCTGGATGACAGTGTGCCCGGTAGGCCCGTGGCGGAGAAAGCTGTCACCGCGTAAGATACAGGGACCCGGTGAAACATTCTGGGACATGTATTGGGCACAAAGAGTACGATTGTGTCTACACACAGCTCTGCCTCTGGTTACTACGGTAAAGATACTCCAAAGTGGGCTTTGATCTACACGGTAGGTTTCTGCGTTATGATAACAAGCAAACAATGGCTCGTGAGCATTCGGCTACTTACTCTTTGCTGCTCAGCATCTTGAGGTTTTCCAGCTCTCCCCCAAGGTAGCTATCACCAAATGGGCCACAGTGCGCGTTTCATTTGAGGAGGCTTAGATGGCTGCATAGAACAACGACACGGGCTGGAAATTCTCCGAGCAGTCGTCTCCACAACGGTCTCCAATGCAAGTGGCTACTGTCTCTTGGCATCTGTGCGTCGAAGGGCCAGGATTCACTGTAGACGCCAAAAAAATTTCCGAAAGGTGGTGTTTATCGCCACCAGGAGACATTCACAGATAGATATACAAGAGCCTCAAGTACCCGGTACAAAGCACGCCACCAAAAAAAAGCAAATCATAAGGACTCGGCTTCATTAGTTGTACTCATTTTATGAAACCTCCTTCTCGCGTCACCACAAAGTACTTCTCAAGAAATACCAGATTAGGGCTGCAGAGAGAAGCGGTAGTCCCTCTGTCTCACAGTATCCTGTATGAAGCCCGATAAACGTTTTTTTTCCCGGCCCCTCGCAGGGCCGCATGATCTCTGTTTCTGGAACGATTTGCTCTGCAGCCCATTCGCGGCGTGGTGGATGAACCCATCTGAGCAGCTGGAGATGATCAGGGTGCTGACGGCGTATCCTTAACTCGGTACCTGATCTGCTTGTACAACATACCTTGCGTTTAATTTTGAGTTTGGACTGGGAAGAATGAGGTTTGGAGAGGGGGTGGATGAAGGACAGTTTCTAGATTTTAGGGCTGAGCTGATCATTTCTCCCGCCGTTCGCTTTGAGTTTTCCACGACTCGATATAAAGAGAACCGTAATCCAACGACCGTCCTGCTATTCCTATCAGGAATGGCGAATTGGACATGTTCCCGTGCCAATGGCCCCGCCGAAGATGCAAGGATGGTCAAAACGGTGCAGCAGAACAAGCAAGCACTCCCGACGGGTATGCGCAGGCTCATCGGGACCGATGCGTTTCATCCGTTCAATCAGCTAAACTTACGAGTTATGTCTTGCAAGAATAGACGACCAAATTTTAGATCATACACCAGGCCCTATGAGCTCCCTTATCGGCATACTACTGTTTCTGAGACGTACACTCCAGCAAGAAGGTACACCAAGTCCCCTAACCTGGATCTAAGATGATGAGGCAAGATGCAGCGCACCGTTATATGGCGAGTATGGCAAGGGCACAGAACAACACTTCGATACTTAGTAATTTAAGAAAGGGATCATGAGACATACTAACTAATGTTAGGTTCACTATGTACCTTCAGAAACATCACTGTGTGTGCCGACCCTCCTCATCCCGAGCCGCTCTCCTTTCCTTCTTAGCCTTTTGGATATCTAGCGACATTTTGACAGGCCGAACACCAGGTGTCTCAAAAACAGTATCGATCTCTTCCAGGGTCAGACCACTGGTTTCAGGGAAAAAGAGATACGACAGGCCGAGCTGAATCGTGTTGTACACAATGTAAACAACCCAGATCTTGTAGCCGACCTTGCTAATTCCGACACTAATCCCATATGTCTGGGCAGCACCAGCACCTCCTTGGATAAGACTGTAGAGACCCATGCCCTTGGCGCGAAGAGAAAGGGACAGGATTTCGATAGGGTATAGATTGTGCATTGTTGCGACGAGCGTTGCCGAGAATGTCTGGTACAGGAATATCCAGAGGAGAGTCAGACCTGCGGCGGCATTGGTTGGGTTCAGACTGTACTGCCAAGACGTGATCGTCGTGGCCACCTGGAATATGACCATGGAGATGAGACCCCCGAAGATGAGTGTGCGTCTGCGGAACTTGTCAACGATCAGTGATCCGACAGCGGTGAAAACGAAGTAAACTGCGGTGGTGCCAATGCTGACTCCCAGTTGTTGCTTGGTGCCAGTTATACCAACTGTTTTCAACGCATCAACCATCTAAATATATTGTCAGCATTGATATACATATCGGAAGACGAAACTGACATAATATGTGATGATGCTCCCTCCGTTCCATTGCTGGAAGAATGAGTACAGTGTAAGACACAGTAATCGATAGCCAGCAACCTTGGTGAAAAAGACACGAAAGTCCCAGACTGCCTTGAATTCAGAGGCGTTGTTCTGCAGAGACTCCTCTATCTGAGTCACGACAATTTCAACAATCGGCTGGTTGATATCACCGCTTGTCGTATGATACTTGGCTATCACCTCCTTTGCTTTCTCGCGATTGCCACGCATGACATAGAAACGGGGCGACTCAGGCGTCAAAAAGTAGATGGTCGTGCAGACAATGCCGGGGAATAGAATCTCTAGAAGTAAGGGGGTGCGCCAGGATGCATTTCCAGCAAGATTGGAGAGGCCAACCATAGCACCGAGCATAACCAGGCTGCCAACCTGGAAGCAAGCACCGAAGAAACCGACCATGAGTCCACGGAGATGGATGGGAGATATTTCACCGATGTACTGAGAGCTGGACATCAGGGCCGTACCAAAGCCCATAAAGAATCGACCGGCCATAAACATAGGCATGTTGATAGCACAGCCTTGCAGAATGGCTGCAATAATGACGATAAAGTTGCCAGCGAAGTTAATGCCACGACGACCAACAATATCGGCTAGGGCCATGAACGGCGCTCCGCACACGGTGCCGATGCTCATCAGCGCATTCATCAAGCCATACGTGGAACCGGCGGTGCCAAAGTGAAGGTAGGCATGCCAGGCGGGTAAAGTGTTGATACCGCCAATGACTCCCCAGTCAACTCCGAAGCCGGCCTGGTTGCAGCCTTGCACAAACATGATAAGAAAAAGACGAAACCCGGTCTTTGACCAGACTCTCAGTGATTCCTGCGATAGTGTCCACAGGTCCTCCTCTGTCAAGCGTGCCAGCACAATCTCTTCCACATACTCCTGGGTGTTGCCTTTGAGCTCATACTCCGGCGGGGCGGCGTCCTCCTCGTTAGAATTGCCCATTGTTGATCGAGTTGAATGTGAATGACCTCTTAGAAGTGGTGTCGTGCAGTCTGTCTCGTATGTCTGAGATGCCGATCCAGTGGTCTGCTCACTTCACTTTGTATAGCTACAAGAAGGACCACCCCCTGGTATTTCTGCTCCGGCGGGCATAGTGGTTTAGCGAGCTGGCATGCCGACCGGTGGAGGTCGGCGTCCAGACTGCTCCCATTCTGCCACGGAGCTGGGCATCGCCTATGGCCAAGACCAACAGAATGTGCGCCTGAGACCGGGATTAACCTCGGGGCAGCGTGGCACGACCGGGGTAACCGCAGTCATTGGTGTTTGAAGACCGGGAAATGCGAATTTGGCGTCAGTCACGTTGATGGACGAGAAGGCGGCGACTGGCTAGTTTCGGGAGCTATCTCGTTCCGTGAATTTCCCACCATTGGGATGCGAACGCGGGGAATTAGCGAGACCGGGATTAAGCTATCCTCGGGTGGTGGAGTGTTGCCAACCTGAGGACAACCTTTTACCCGAGTAGGGCTGGCGTTGTGGGGAAGATTATCTCCGAAGTCTAGACAAAGAGTGACCAAGATACTTTCATAGTTGACTTTGCTCCGCTAACTATCCGAATCTATCCTCGATTTTCTACCGGACAACGGACCGAAATGCCGCCTCAATACTGTTTACTTCCGATGCACTGGTGGGTCAGTCAGTCCATCATAAGCCCATTAGTCCCAGGAAACATGTCAGAATTTCCAAAATCGTCATGTCTGAATTATGGTACCAACAGCCGGCAGCTCACTGGAATGAAGCACTCCCAGTGGGCAATGGCCGTCTAGGCGCCATGGTGTACGGCCGCACGGACACAGAGCTCCTGCAGCTGAACGAGGATTCGATGTGGTATGGAGGGCCACAAGACCGCATTCCGAGAGATGCCCAGAAATATCTTCCCCAACTGCGAGAGGCCATTCGCGCAGGGAACCACGTTGAAGCAGAGAAGCTGGCGGAAAATGCATTCTTCGCCTACCCAATCAGCCAACGCAACTATGAACCTCTGGGTACTCTCTTTCTGGATTTTAATCATAATCCGGAGCATATCTCAAAGTACCGACGGTCGCTGGATTTGCGCAACGCCGTTGCGCGTATTGAGTATGAGTATAAGGGAGCTCGATTTGAACGAGAAGTCTTGGCTAGCTATCCCGATAATGTACTGGCTGTTCGGGTTCGCTCGTCGATACAAGCCAGATTCATTGTGCGCTTGACGCGCATGAGCGAGTTGGAGTTTGAGACCAACGAATATCTCGACAATGTCTGTGTTACCGGTAGCGCTATCACGATGCATGTTACGCCAGGGGGTAAGAACAGTAACCGGGCCTGTTGCATTGTCGGGATTCGGTGTCAAGATGATGCAGGCACAATCACTAGTATTGGAAATAATCTCGTTGTTGAATCTGGCGATGTTGTTCTGCTGGTCGCAGCACAGACTACTTTTCGCCATCAAGACATTGATCAGAGAGCATCTTGCGATATCAATAATGCCATCAATTGTTCTTTTGCTGATCTGTTGGCTCGACACACCCTCGACTATCACTCGCTGTATAATCGCATGGACTTGCAACTGAGCCCGAGCTCGCCTGGTATCCCAACAGATCAGCGCCTCAAATATACAAGGGACCCAGGCTTGATTGCACTTTATCACAACTATGCTCGCTATCTTCTGATATCCTGTAGTCGGACTGGCGACAGAGCCCTCCCTGCGAATTTACAAGGCATATGGAATCCATCTTTTCACCCAGCGTGGGGCTCAAAGTTCACCATCAATGTCAACCTCCAGATGAACTATTGGGGTGCAAACATGTGCAACCTATCAGAATGCGAACAACCTCTCTTCGATCTAATCGAACGTGTAGCGGAGTCTGGAAAGGCTACCGCACAGACGATGTACGGGTGTCGGGGTTGGACTGCTCATTCCTGCACCGATATCTGGGCCGATACCTGCCCTGTCGATCGCTGGATGCCGGCAACTGTTTGGCCACTTGGTGGTGCTTGGCTCTGCTATCATATCTGGGACCATTTCCGATTTACTGGTGATGAGAACTTTCTCCGGTCCATGCTCCCGATTCTGCGGGGGTGTGTAGAATTCATCCTGGACTTTCTGGTCGAGGATGCAGCGGGTGTATACCTTGTGACAAACCCATCACTGTCTCCGGAAAATACATTCTATGACCATAATGGGGAGAAGGGAGTTCTGTGCGAAGGCTCGACTGTTGACATCCAGATTGTTGATGCCATCTTGGGAGCCTTCATATCTTGCAACGAGGAGCTAGATATCAAGGACGTACTCCTCCCCGAAGTTCACACCACACGATCCCGACTACCACCAATGCAGATCAGTAACTCGGGATACTTACAAGAATGGGCTTCTGACTATGCCGAATTTGAGCCCGGCCATCGACATACATCTCACTTATGGGCACTACATCCCGGCAACGCCATTACCCCAGCTAAGACGCCAGAGCTTGCCACTGCCTGTGGAGTGGTCTTGCGCCGACGTGCGAGGCATGGCGGTGGACATACAGGATGGAGTCGTGCTTGGCTTATCAATCTGCATGCACGATTATTCGAAGCTGACGAATGCAGCAAGCATCTCGACCTGCTCTTGGCCAAATCTACTCTACCAAATATGTTGGATAGTCATCCGCCGTTCCAGATAGATGGAAATTTTGGTGGTGGCGCGGGCATTGTCGAGACGCTGGTTCAGTCTCACGAGCAAGGGATTATTCGGCTCCTGCCAGCGTGCCCCAAGGACTGGAAAGGTTCGATTCGCGGCGTACGAGCGCGTGGTGGCTTTGAACTAGATTTCGGCTGGGAGAATGGACGTGTCACTGGTGCTGTGGTCATCAACTCGATATTGGGCAGACATGTGCTGGTCTGTTTTCCCGGCAAGGATGGATTGCGAGTCCACATTGAGGGACCAGGTATGCATATAATCGATGCGCCAGAGATCGGATAATTTTGAATCTAGAATCGCGTAAACAAATCGGGTATTCTAAAACAGTAATTTTCCGTGTGGTAGACTCTTATAAGCTTCAATTTTCTTTTACCATAGATCTGGGGCATAGCTTCCCCACACCAACTGGAAGCTATCCCCAAACAATAACGGACCTAAAGTCCGCGTCCACCTACAAAGATCATGTCGGCTAGATCAGCAGGCCATATTTGACTGAGGGGCAAATTCTAATAATGAGGGGCATCGATTTCATCTTATCTGGATAACATCTTATTTTCCCCCCGTGTCTTTGCTTTTGTCCAGGGCTGTTGAACCGCCACACTTATAAGCCCAATCTCACGAACCAACCAAATGGACTTAGCGTCTGTGCAAGACCTGAAGGGCATTCTGCGGCCCGACTTCTTTCATGGATACGCCACAGCAGCTGCCCAAATCGAAGGCGCTTGGGATAAGGACGGGAAAGGTCCGTCAATCTGGGATACCTTCGGGCATACGCCAGGACGAATCTCCGATGGAAGTACCGCGGACGATGCGACGAGAGCGTATGATTTCTACCGCGAAGATGTCGCATTGATGAAGTCATACGGTGTCAATGCTTACCGATTCTCGCTTGCCTGGTCACGGATTATCCCACTTGGCGGCCGCGATGACCCTGTCAACGAACAAGGGATCCAGTTCTACAACAACCTGATCAATGAGCTTCTGCAGAATGGAATTACACCCTTCATCACTCTGTTCCATTGGGATACCCCACAAGCATTAGAAGATCGGTACGGCGGGATGTTGAACCAGGACGCTTACACGGCGGACTTTGTGCGCTACGCACGGGTGTGTTTCGAACGATTTGGAGACCGTGTCAAGCATTGGATTACCTACAATGAGCCGGGTGTTTATACGTTGGCCGGATATGCGGCGGGCGTTCACGCCCCAGGCCGCTCGTCGTTTCGAGACCGCAACGCCGAGGGCGACTCCTCTACCGAACCTTTTATCGTCGCACATACTGAAATTGTCTCTCATGGACATGTCGCCCGCATGTATCGCGAAGAGTTCCAACCACAACAAAAAGGGACGATTGGGATTACACTGCACGGCAATTGGTCTGAACCCTGGGATGAGGAGGACCCACGAGATCAAGAAGCTGCAGAAAGGGCGCGCGAGTTTGAGATCAGCTGGTTTGCTGATCCCATATACAAAACTGGTGATTATCCTGCTTCTATGCGTGCACAACTGGGTGATAGACTGCCCAAGTTCACGGCCGAGGAGTCGAAGCTTGTACTTGGAAGCTCTGAGTTCTACGGGATGAACACTTATACGACATTCTTCATTCAGCACAAGGATACGCCGCCAGATATCAATGATCACAAGGGTAACGTGGAGATCCATGACGAAAACAAGCAAGGAGTTCCCCGTGGAGAAGAGAGCGATACGGAGTGGCTGCGAGCTGCACCCTGGGGATTCCGGAAGTTGCTAAACTGGATCTGGAAGCGATACCAGACGCCAATCTATATGACTGAAAACGGGACTACGGCTAAGGGAGAAACTGCTCCAACGCCAGAGGTTCTCAACGACCAGTTTCGTATCAAATTTTTTGAAGGCTATGTCGGCAACGCGTTGGCGCGAGCTGTGAAAGAAGACGGCATTGATATCCGGTCTTACTTCGCTTGGACCTTTGCTGATAATTGGGGTAAGTGAACAGAAGTATTCTGCTAGATGCCGGGCTAACTTCGTGGTGATATAGAATGGGCCGCCGGGTATAAGGATCGTTTCGGCTGCACATTTGTTGACTTCGAGTCGGAAAATAAAACTCGACATCCCAAGCAGTCGGCCTATTATCTGGACAAGCTTTTTAAACACCTCATTCAAGAGTCATAGTCAGTAGACACCTCGGATAAATATATAGCCAGTCGAAAGCTTTGCAGGATGTTATTAATACGAGGTGGTTGGAGATGTGTTGCATTTCACTGGTCAGTGGCCATGGTTGCTATAGCATAGAGTTTCCTTTTCAGTATTGGGGTACACTGTCTCAACCCCAACGATGATTAATGGCTTATCGGCTACGCCCCGCAAGAAAGTGAGGGGCCCTCGGCTGTTGATAACGATCGAATATAAAGGTTCCTGATTTCCATCGTAGAAGTGGAGCCTCGCGCCCATTCATACAGTCAAATTCCGAAGCCCTTGTTCAGCATGTCTCCAGTATCAGACCCTCCCAAACTCGCTTTAAAGGGCAGTCCCCGCGAGGTATATTTCACAAACTTCATGTATTCCACAGTACCTAACTTTGTTCGATATAGATTGGCCTCGAGCATGGCCGCGCACTTCGGGAGCAGATCCACAGCCAGATTGCCATCTACGATGAGATGTTCCAGAACACCTCCAAGCTCTCATGGTCGGAAGTCCGCGAAGTGTCTAAAGAATTCCAGCCAACACTCGCAAAGCTAACTCCGCATCTACTCGCCGAAATGGAGGGCATAGCCGAGGGTGCGGAGCTGGATATTTTGGATGTGATAGCTTTGAACTGCCGCAGCGAGATTGCGTTAGGCAAGTTCTCAGACGGATGCACAACTTTGTCTTGGAAGAAGGGTGAGAATTCTCGGGTGTTGTCTCAGAACTGGGACTGGACGGCGCGGGTGAGGGCGAACTTGGCCATGGTCTCGATTGAGCAGGTCGGGAAGCCGACTATATATATGGTGACTGAAGTCAGTTGATTCTCTAGTGTCTAGCCCGATTTGACTCTGCTGATGCAGTTGGACTCTACCAGGCCGGGATCGTGGGCAAGATTGGCTTCAACTCCGCCAGTGTAGGGACGTGCCTGAATGCAATCCGCGCCAAGCCAATGATCAGTGATAAGATTCCGATCCACGTCGCTCTTCGCTTGTGTCTGGAGAGTACCTCAGTGGAAAGCGCTATCAAGACACTCGAAACTCTAGGCGGCGTCGCATCTGCGCAGCATATTCTCGTGGCAGACAGCACAACAGCAGTAGGACTTGAGTTATCGCCTGTGGGCGACAGTCATATCGCAGAGGACGCGTCGGGACTGATCGGACACACCAACCACTTTATCGAGAACCGATATGTCAACGAGCCACCATGGCTGTCGGGATCCCCCATCCGTCTTGAACGACTGGGAAATTTGACAAATGAGCTGCTCCAAAATGGGGTGAAGGGAGATGCCATCACGCCTGCTTTGCTTCGGGAACGGATCTTCTCTGATACGTATAATGCGCCCCAGGCAATCTGTTGCCAGGAAGATCCGAATCGCCATGTCTCTTCTCGAAGCAGCTCGCTGTTTAACATTGTGATGAACCTGGACCCGAAGAATCTGGGTGCAGAAGTGGTATTTGGGCGTCCAGGGTCGGAGGAGCAAGGAGCTGTGTTGAGGATGCCCTGGTAGTGTGTGTCAATATCAATAGCATTGTATTCACTGCTATCTTTGTCCCTGAGACAATAGCCTCGATGTAGGGAAATCCGGCTAAATCCATCCCATATGGACGCCTCACGTGCTCTATTGTCGCGGAGAGTGAATTTACATAAATTCGGACAAGACCGCAGTCTTCTGCGGATTTTCAGCTGGCATGTTTCGACCCTTCTCAACGGATTCGCTATTGCTTCCCAGAACTCTAGAAGAGATGGGCGTGACCGCGCGACAGATGGGAAATCTCACGCTCAACAGCGAGAAAGACAACGAGGACTTTTCAAAAACCATGGACGAACTTGCCAGTCAGCTGGGAAACTGGCAGACCAGCGAGTCCGACGACAAGAAAGGCAACCGGGATATCCATGCCCGTTTCTCGAATGGACTCGTGGTTCTCGCCCGTCAGTTGAGATGAAAATGCGACGGGCGTCGGCTGTTAATGTGTTTATTGCAATTACTTTTTTTCTGTCTCTTTCCTGAGCTATTTATTGTCAACCATCCTTGTCTGACTGGTGATCCCGGCTCCACATTGCTGGGATTAATCGTCATCCAATGCGGCGATCACGCCAAAATCATTAGTTATTGAAATTGTGCGCCGGGTCTGCCGTGCTAGTAGAGCGATGGACATGGTTAGGTATTTCTGATAAAGGGCCATGAATTTACCCCGCGGTCCTTCTCCTTATCTTCCACCTTTTCTTCTTTGATCCTTCAGCATTATCTTTATTCTGGTCACGACCCCAAGCTCACGAGGGGCGTTTGAGTTTGGAGATTATGGCTTCGACTACAGGCATTCATCAAGATTACTCGGTGGTCGCGGATATAAGCGACCATGAGCCTTTACTTGGTCGTCCAGGGGATGTCGCTCAGAAAGAGGGCGAGAGTGTCGTTCGCAACCTCATAACTGGTGAGAACCCGTATCCCTATTTCGAGAAAGCCCAGAAGTTGACCACATCAAATCGACAGGTACGGCAAGTGTAGCTCAGGCTGGCATTTGGGTTGTGAGTGATGATTGGCTACGATGGTCAAGTTGTCATGGGTTCGCTAACAAGGATACCAGTTGGCCGCGTTGGTCTGGTCGGGGGTTCTGTCGCAGCCGCTGTCACTTTTCTCGCCACACCCGGTAGGTGACTCTGTCCCGTCAGGCAGAAATATATCTTTTGTGCGAGGATCAGACTTACTTTCTCGTCTCCATTGAACAGATGCTCAGCATCTCCGCGGTTCTTCTGCAAGTCCAAGCCGCGCTCATCGTCCAGCCAACCGTAACACCGGCACAGAAACACAACGGCGCCCGCATCCACGCCGCAATCCAGCTGCTCAGTGTCGCATGCTTTATATCTGCATTCACTATCATCGAGCTTAACAAGGGCGATCACCCGCACTTCACCTCGCCGCACGGCATCCTCGGCTTGACGACCTATATCTGCATCGCGCTACAGACCCTTGGTGGCGTCGTGCAATTCTTTGTCCCCAGTCTCGTACTCGGAAGTGTGGACGCAGGCAAAAGACTCTACAAGTACCACCGTATCGCCGGATATGTTGTGCTTCTGCTGGAGATGGCAGTTGTTGTGGCAGCGACGCAGACTGATTACAACCTAACCACGTTGCGGATCCCTCTGTGGGCTACTCTGGTTGCTATTGTTTTGATACTAGCTGGCGTGGGTGCCCGGATTAAGAAACATAAGTTGGGATTCTGAGATGATATGATTGAGGAATATGTCTAGGTAGGAGGGATGGGGAGGAGGGATGGAGAGGACGAGGTTTTTCGGAATGGCGATTGATTAACGAGTTCATGATACTTGCATGTCTAGCAATAAAATTTCCTGGCTCTTCGAATGTAGTATATACCAATATTGGAGTTTCCCAAGTAGTATCTTATCCTAAAAACCTTGTATCACAACTCAGCACAGGAAGTCTCCAAGTCAGCCGTCATCTCGTCATATTCTGCTTGGATAATTCATCCCCAGATCTATTCCGCTCCGTTTTGCCTGGAGTACAGCTTAACATATAAAGGCGGCTTTTCCACGGTATCATATCCTTTACATCTCTGCGGCCAGTCCAAGCAAACCGGTGCCAGGGCGATGTCAAATTCGGATACCAGTCGCGCGATGATCATTTTGGAATGCATGTAGGCGGTACTATTAAACGAAACATTAAAGAGGTCCAGAAGAGTGAATTATGTAGCTCACTTCTTTCCAGCACAGTTCCTTGGACCATAACTAAACGGCATTCTCGCTCGTCTATTGTCATTTGAGAACTCGTCCCCACCCAACCATCGCGTCGGAAGAAATGACTCGGGGCGTACGAAGTGCTTGCTCGACATGTTCGCTGAAAGCTGATTCACGCCAACTACGGCGCCTCCTGGCACAAAGTGGCCGCAGATGGTTGCGCCTTCGGGCGGCACGACCCGAGGAAAGACATTTGGTACAGGAGGTAGCATTCGAAGGCATTCTTCAAGCACTGCTGTGAGATATGGCATTTTCTTCACGGTCGAGAAACTGATTTCCGATGGGGAGGCTGTATCCTGAATCTGTGTGAGAAGCGCTTGTAGTACATCTCGGTGTTGGGTTAAGCGGTAGATAACGTTGCAAAGGAGAGTAGAGGTAGTGTCGCTCCCTATTAAATAGACTATTAGTATCTTGTCTTTCCACATAAATGATGGGATTAACCGGCAATGACCAAACTGAGCGCGAGTCGTTCGATTTCGCGACGACTCAATCCGTTCGGTACACCATGAGAGCTAAAGATCATCAGCGGCGTCTGTTTAGCTGGCCAATAAAGCACTTACTCGATCATGTACGCCATAACATCCTTATTACCCACCACGTTCTCTAACCTTTTCCCAACTATGTGTTTGGCAAAATTCATTGCTTCCACCTTTGAACCCTTCGGAGCTTTCCCCATCACCTGATCGGCGAACGGCCATAAGCCGTGCGGCAGCAGACGACGCATCGCACAATAAACGCTCACTCCTCTCAGGGAGCTGGTCACCAGAGTCATCCATGGATGGCTAATATCGGGCGAGGTGACGCTGTTGAACGACTCGCCGAAAGAGAGATCTGTGGTGAGATCGAACATGATTGCAGTCATGCTTTTCTCGATGTCTATAAATCCGCCCTGGGACGAATCCACCTGTTTGTGCAGACTACTCATCAATGAGTCGATGCCTTTTAGAACTAGTGGTTCGTGTTCGTTCATCGCCTTGTCGGAGAAGGCATATGACAGAATGCGACGATATCGCCGATGCTCCTAACGGAAGGTCAGCCTTCAACCAATTATAAAAGAATGCTCAGCTGACAGTCTCTGGTGCAAATCCAATAGACGGCGGAGAGTTAGGCAGTCGAAACTCTTTACCAGGATCCTTTATAAACGCGTAGGCACCTCCGTGTGCTCTCCCTGGTCAGGGTTAGATGGTTAGATGCGAACAAGTTCAAGGAAGACTCTAGGACTCGCCGTAGATATCCTCCCATGCTTGTGCATCGTCAAAAGATATTATATTAGGTGCGATTCGGACTACGGCGCCGTAATTACCATGAAGACGTTTAGTGTTGTCTGCCAGCGCTCCCTTGTATGTGTAGATGGCATGGTATAGCCAGGAAATTCGAGCGAGCATCGGCCCTGGATACCCTGCCAAAGGATGAAAATAGAGATTGTAGATCCATTGCGCAACAATTACGCCGGCAAACTGTGTCCGAATAAGTAAATTAGCACGTGTCGTGGCATGGATAGGTATACATACAGCCAGATATATACATGCGCCGATTGAGAGCTGGTACAGGACTCCTAAGAAAGCCATGACGAGCTTTACTGACTTGGATGCTTAAAACTCATCCATCATAGCCCATCGAAGTCAGTAAATAATCTGGTCTACCATGATCCCGGAAGATTTTGGAGAAGCACAGTGTACACGCCGAGACTCGCACATCCCATCGAGGTAGTATTGTGGGTTGCACATCCCATGACGATAGTCCAATATTATGCATCCCGAAGAATGAATAAATTCACCGATCGAGCATTCCAGGTGCCTGAGACCATACACTATGAGGCTGACTGGCCACAATTCATGAGAGTGGGGATACGGGCGATCAGGATTAACGATGTGCCTGTCGTGGAAGGCTCCTGTTCAATTTGTACATCCTCTTGTCCACATGAACTGCAATGAAGGTCGCCAGCTCTTTGTAGAGCGTAGGCTTCTCTTCTTCCTCGGCATGAGGAAGGGAGAGGATAGATAGGTACAAGGAGAGTCATAGTTATAGTTAGTTATTTGGTCGGTTCCTGACAAACCATATATAATAGGCTTAGCATCGGAAGCTGTCACACTCGATTAGAATTAGTGATTGTGCTATCCCGTCTTCCGTCCACGTAGGACATCTCTGTAGTAGTGTAATTATCACTAATTAGAACTAGTACGAAATTCATCCCAACATTACCCTGTCGCACATAGAGCTACATGTCCACATTGTAAGCATCCAGACCTTGATCGTGTGGCTGGCTCACCCTTGATTCCACTGAAACTTCTCTTGTATGGACACTACAAAACCTCGGTTCCCATTTAGCTGAATTCTCTGGTGATTCGCTGCAAAATCAAGGAGTTTCTTGATAGAGCTTCATCCCAAAGTCTAGCTGATTAGGCTTAGATTGCTGATGTTGCTGTTTATAAATCGATTAGATTCGAAAAGCATTGGCAATTGTTGCATTAGCGCAAAAGTAAAGAATAAGAAATCAATTGCCTTCAGCCTTACGATGAAGCCTATAAAACTAGTATAATTCTAGGCCCTAAGCCTAAAGCCCTAGGGTAAATACCTTTTGCCATTCCGAATTGTGGAATTGTAGACCTAGGAGTGAGAGTAAAGTGAGAGTAGGAGGGAGGTAGTTTCGAAGAGGAAATATTAGACGACGCGTTTAGAATAGTTAACTTCGACGAGGGGATAGATGTCCGTCCCGAACAGGAATGGCGGCCGATCCTCCCGCAGTTTCGCTGGTTTTCTTCAACTTTGTCATTCTTCCTTCTTCTCCATGGCGCCTACTCCCTACATCTGCTTCAATTGCAGGACTACGTCCAGACGCGGACTGTTCCGTGCACCTCTGAGCCGGTATTTCTCATCGGCTCCGCCCGATCGACAGCAGGTGGTGCGACCCGCGACAGCTCCGAAACCTACTCCTGACGTCAAGCACATCCGCCACAATGTAGACCTCTACGCAAAGAACTGCGTCGAACGCAATTTCGCGTCGCATGCCGAGTTCCCGTCGCGCATTCAAGCCCTCTCCGAGGAGGCACGCGAGCTGGATCTCGACCTGAAGGCGCCCCGGACCCAGATCAAGCAGCTGGAGAAGACGATCGCGCAAATGTTCATGGCTGCGCGACACAATGGGAACACGGCTGAGAACTCAACCGAGAGAAAAATAGAGGAGCTCCGCGCAGAAGCACAGCGGTTGAAAGATGAGTCGCATGCAATGACAGCTCGCAAAACAACCTGCGTCGAAGAGATCAATCGCCTTGCCCTCTCCCTCCCGAACCTCTCCTCCCCCGAAACCCCAATCGGCGACAACCCTCGCCTCGTCGAATACCTCAATTTTGACCCGCAAGTCCCACCTCCATGGACCGATCAATCGCCAACAGAGCTCCAGGCGCGGTCACACGTCACCATCGGGACAGACCTGAAACTAATCGACTTTGCGAGCTCGGCCACAACAACGGGATGGGGATGGTACTTCCTGATCAACGAAGGAGCGATGCTGGAACAAGCGCTGATCCAGTACGCGCTCAGCGTAGCCCGGCGACGCGGGTGGAAGGTCGTTGCACCGCCGTCGATCGTCTACTCCCACATCGCCGAAGCGTGCGGGTTCCAGCCGCGCGACCAGCACAACGAGCAGCAGATCTGGTCGATCGAGCAGAGTGAGCGAGACCGCCACACCAAGCCGCCCCGTTCTCTCACTGGCACGGCGGAGATCCCACTCGCGGCTATGTACGCCGGGCGCGACATCGACGCGGCCGAGCTGCCGATTAAGCTCGTTGGGGCGAGCCGGTGCTACCGCGCCGAGGCGGGCTCGCGCGGCGTCGACACGAAAGGTCTGTACCGCGTGCACGAGTTCACCAAGGTGGAACTGTTCGGCTGGGCCGATAACGTCGCCTCCACTGCAGGCGACACGCCTACAGCACCATCCGACACGCTCTTCGCCGAGCTGCTAGACATCCAAACTGAGATTCTCTCCTCACTGCACCTCCCCTGCCGCGTCCTGGAAATGCCAACCACAGACCTAGGTGCCAGCGCCAGCCGTAAACGCGATATTGAAGCCCTCTTCCCATCGCGTCTCCGTCCTTCGACTTCGACTTCGACTGCGGATCACACCCCCAACCTAGTCGTCGAGGGCCTAGAGTCCGCCTGGGGCGAAGTCACTTCCGCCTCCATCTGCACGGACTACCAGAGCCGACGGCTGGCGACGCGCGTACGTGGCGGTGCGGCGAAGGAGTCGCGATTCCCGCATACGGTGAATGGTACGGCGATGGCTGTTCCGCGCGTGTTGGCGGCCATTCTGGAGAATGGATGGGATGCGGAGCGTGGGGTTGTTGTTATCCCTGAAGTGTTGAGGCCATGGATGGATGGGATGGAGACGATTGGTCGGCGTTGAGTTCTGCACATTTTTTCTATGTGCTTATACTGCCTAGGCTCTGTTCTGTATGATAGTAACATGAATCATTCTATCATTATCGTCAGATTGGCTACTGGTATACCTAAGACACAGACCAGGGTATTATTAAGGAACAGGCAATAAGAAGCAGCAAGCGTAGGAGATATTCATCACTTCATGGGCACATGCAGAAGACAGGACAGGAGATAAATCAAAACAAATACACATCATCATCTTGGGCAGAAAAGGGCAGCGCGGAGGGATGAGAAAGCAAGAAAACAAAGTTGTTTGGATTCAGGGCAGACCAGCAGCCAGAATCGCGCAATGCCGCATAGGAAGAGAAGAAGACGTATAGCTGGGAGCATTAAGTAGAGCGGCAGGATCAACCAAAGTCTGTCGAGATCATTATTATTATTTCCAGGGAAGATCCGCCTCTTCGACCCGCGTGCAAGTCAAATAGGGCAATCTCCCCACGGGAGTTCCGTCGCGCGCACCAGCGGGACCGGCCGCTGGTTCGGCACTGGCTTTCAGCTCGAGTTCAAGGAAGTTGCGCGTTAGCGGCTTGACGATATCCCGCGCCAGGCGTTTGAGCTCGTCCGTCTTGCGCTCGAAGCGTTTGAGGGTTTCCCGGGTGTACAGGGAGTCCGCGGAAGGTGTGGGGTGGAGCTTGAGAAAGCGCTTCACCTCGTCGTGAGGGAGGTAGGCCTGTGTTGATGACGATCCTATCAGTCTATACACCCGTGCTGTCTGATCAGGTGGGGTCGATGGTCTTGACGAGGCCGTATTGTTCGGTTGTGAGGAGCCACTGCCTCCCGAGTTTTTGAGGATAGAAGTAGGTGGCGGCGTCGTATTCTCAATGAGCCACTGGCGGAATAAAGAGACGGCAAGCCAGTCCAAGTACGCGTTATTCGGGCCGACACGTTCGCCACGCGAGGTGGTGAGGGATAGTCGGAAGAGTCTGGACTCTATTCGCGCCTTGAGATCCTCCAGGTCCTCGACCTTATCCTCAATCAGATCGAGCACGGCATCCGGCAGGGGCGCATAGGAGCCGTTGCGCAGGTTCGGCAAAGCAGCGGGCCACTGCCCAACAACGTGGATCAGAGCTTCGGAGAAGATAACCCTGCTGCGTGCTAAATACCCAAGCTTGAGGTAGCTGGGCGGGTACTTTGCGATCTGTTTGAAGAGGCGGGACCCGAAGCCGAGGAGGTGGTGGTCCACGCGCGGGCCCGTCACCGGTAGCGCGTCGTACATGTCGGCCAGGGCTAAGAGAGACCTGCACTCGGTGTAGGCGGAGGCAATATTGACGCTGTTTAGGAGGGGAGGGTGGTTGTAGAAGATGCGTAGCATGTTCTCGTAGTCCCTAAGCAAAGGGTCCAAGTTGTTATGGTCTGTGGCCGCCATCTGCGGCAAGTTCACTACCGATTGCATGCCCGTTAGGTTCGCCATGGATCGAAAGAAGCCTGCCTGGGCGTTGGATGGTTTGGTCATCGCGGGAGGAAACGCGCCGGGGTCGCTGCCAAAACACGAAGTATAGGTCGGTGGCTGTCCATCGCGAAAGCAAAACGTGAGCACTTCTGTCAACTCGGGGAAAACGTGCAGAACCGACCTTTTGCACGAGTATGGGTTCTTCATCCTCCGTGCGATTCTCCCAATCTAGTTCATATCGCCATCGTCTCTTCTCCCCCGGACGCAAGGGGAGGGTGCCGTGATCCGACTGCGCCAGGGTCGACCCGTTGGATAGCGAGTCATCCTCGCTGACGCGAGACGGCGACCCCTCTAGTTTGGAGGTGGCCGCTTGTCGCGACCAGTCCTCGTTGGTGCTTGCCTCGAAGAAGCCCGAGCATTGCGCGAGTATGAGCCGGTGGAGCAGATATCGCTTCTCCTGAGAGCCGACGCGGACGACGATCTCGGTGTCGCCGGTATACGTGAAGACGGGGAAGTCGTTGGACGACGAGTGCGACGAGCCCCCGTGGTGCGAACGGCCGGACCGGTGTCGCCGGTGGGAAGGACGCGACACGATGGACGAGGCGCTCTGGATGGTTGCGGCGCGATCGGCGACTTGGGCTTGGGAGACCATGGTGTCTGTGGTGTGGTGTGGTAGGACAGGTGGTCAACACCGGGGCCCAGATCCCACAACAGCAGGGAAGAGTCGAGAGTGGGACAAAAATGATTTGTTGATCGAACACCATGGGATTGTTCCTCGGGTTGTTGGTTCGGGCGGCGGTTTCCTGCCGAACCAAGACAATCACCTGCCGGAAACAACCACGCCGGATTCAATAGTTTACTTAGTACGGCGTAGCTCCATAGTACGCAACGATCTAATCTACATCGAACCCGGGGTAGTTAGATCCTGCCTGGATTACTTATTCCGAATTCCTCTCCCACTCTGCCAATTCCTCTGACTGATTTTTCTTTGGTCTGCTGCGTTCTCCGTCACACGCCCTTATTGCGACGCTCTCTCCGGCTTCCTCGACGCCCGCCCGCATCAAAATCCTGGCCCTGGATACATCTTCCCGGGACAGCTTCTATAGCTGTCCCGATCTGTCGTCGCTGCAGATATCCTATCCTGCCTCGACCGGGAGCCCCGCCGAATTCGCTAGCGACATCGACGGCGACATCAATACCGAACCCGAACGTCCCTCCTCGCCCGAATCACCCCACCTTCGGGTTCCTCAACGGCGCTCCAAACGCAAGGAAGTCTCGAGGAAAGCGCGCGGCGTCATCGGCAAAGTTCGAGGACTCCGGCGCATCGCAGCGGATAAGATGGCGCATCCGACCATCAAAATCGACACCAACGTCCAGACCAAGCGCGGGCTGGAAGACAGCGAGGTGGGCCTGGGGGTGGTGGCCGATCACAACCCGGGGGTAGGAGTGGACGAAGAGGATATCCCGCCGTTTTTGCGACAATCTGTGGCTGGTGAGTGAGAGAGATCGCACGTTTCGTCCTGTCGGAGAAAACGTGGTGGCTGCACGTGGGATGATGGCATTTGGGCTGACCGCTATGTATGTCGATCGGACACAGACATTCACGAAAAGTTCGACGATCTGGAATGGATGCAACGGACGCGTCTGGCCGAAGGCACGCTCTCCAATGATCCCTTGCACCGCTGGGCGCTCGAGACCGATCCCAAGGTCCGGGCGAGGAACCGCTATATGAACGTGCAGGCCTGGGCGAACCACCGCATCCATCTACGCGTGCCCGACGGCGAGTGTGATTTCATCAACGCGTCCCCAATCACTTTGAAGGACACAGTCACGCTGGAGCGGCGGAACTATATCGCAACGCAGGTGAGTGGTGTCGGCATGCTGGATGCAGTGCCATCTGGTTGACCATTCATTAGGGCCCCAAGCTCGGGCATCTCCCGGATTTTTGGCACATGGTATTCCATGAGAGCAAGGAGGTGGGGGTGATTGTCATGCTCACCCAAACCTTTGAGTCAGGGCGGGAGAAGTGCGCCCAGTATTTCCCTTTGGACACAGAGCAGGCTACAATGATGTTCTCGGCGGTGGGCGAGTCCGATCCGTCCGTGGCCAACGATACATCGGGCAAATTTCACACAGAAGCCCCCGGGAAAGTCACATTGTTGGAGCTGGCCTTTGATCCCAAGTCGCGGTCCGAAATCCGCAAGCTGGAGTTGACTATCGGCTCGGAATCGAAGATCGTGTGGCATTTCCTCTTTGCCGGCTGGGCTGATTATTCCAAACCAGAGGGGAGTGACCGTGACGCTCTTCTCGAACTGATCAGGGTCTCGGCCTCCAAATCCAGCCCGGACAACCCGCGGATCGTGCACTGCAGCGCTGGCGTTGGCCGGACAGGAACCTTCATTGCGCTCGACCACCTGCTGTGCGAGCTTGAGTCGGGCCAGCTGCTGACCGTGATGGACCCGGAGCTAGATCCCGTCTTTGAAACCGTCAATCAAATGCGCGAACAGCGAATGATGATGGTGTACAATGAAATGCAAATGCAGTTCATCTACGAGGTCCTCCGGGAGCAGACTGATCGCAAGCTGGGCAAAGTCCCCAAGTTCCAAGTCAGCAGTGTCTCAGAGGAGCGGTCTCCCAAGGTCGCCAAGCTGAGTGATCAGACAGATTATCTGCCGCCACCCAAACCGGAGCTGGAGGAAGTCTCAGATGGGTTAGCTACTCCGCTCCGGAGCTGGTCTGGCACGCCCCCGGTCTCTGATAATGAATGATGCGGAAACGCATGCTCTTCGACTCCTCATCTGCTCTCTCAACGGGTCTTGTCTCGGAATCAGGGATCGCCAAAGTTGGCTTTCCGTGAACAATATTTTCATTCCATTGCATTGAACCACGGCTTCCGGCGTTTTGTGATTTTCTGCGTTGATGGCCCTTCTCTATTATATGGTTCTCTCCCATTTTTGATTATACCTTCCCCGTTGTTATTGTGAATACCCCGAGTTTGCATCATCACTTTTCTGTATAGCTTCCCATTGTTTTTCTAGCTGGGTGGAGTTTTCTAGTCTCCCATTAGAATTGCTGTATACTAGCACGTTTCCCCCTTGATCGTTCAATCTAGTCCATTTTGAGCCGGAGTAGCAGAATTCTTCGCAGGGCACGGACGCTTATCTATGTATAACTGCATAGTCAACAGCCGAACAGGATGTACAGGTCCCAAGGTATATACCGAGAAAGAATGTCAGGTAACACACAGCCCGCTTCTCATATGTACGACCATTCGGCTAGGCAAGAACAACTGTCGCAAGAACGGAATAATTGAATAGTATCATACGAAAACGAACAGACAGATCAATGCATGAATCCATAAAAATAATCAACGGGAGATAAGACAACCAAGCCCGGCGGCTCCCAACAACTCCTCCCGCCAAGAATATACCCAGAATGGCTCTAGTCCGCTCGTTTCCCTGCATCAGTCTCTGCAGATACCTCGCCAGGCGAGCTATTCTTGCGCTCCTCTTTGGGGGCTGGCGTAGCCGAGTGCGACTCTGGCGGCGCGGGACCATCCTCGCTATCCCAATTGTCCACTGCGTTCTCGTCCCAGTTATCAACCTCCTGTTCCAGCGTCATGACGCCAGACTCCTGCGGGCCCAGCCCTTCGCGGTCACGAGCACCGTCGCCGCCGACCCCGACGCCAAGCTCGACGTCGTCCGTGGCACCCTCCATCAGGCCGTAGCGGCTCTTACGGCGCCGCTCAAGCATCCGTTTATGGTACCAGCCACTTAGGCCAATGGCACTCAGACTACCGACGACATTGGCGATCAGGTCAAATAGGTCGAAGATCCGATCATTGGGGAGGAGACCCTGTAGAAACTCCGACCCGACGCCTAGGCCGAGCGTGCAGACGACAAGGGTCAGGTTCACTGTGCGCCGGCGCGAGGTGTCGATAATCCAGTAGAAGGCGAGCGAGAGCAGGAAGAAGGTGATCAGATGTAGAAACTTGTCGTGTGTTTGGAGCTGGGTAGCTATTGTTGAGGAACTACTTTGAGGTAATAGGCCGAGGTACCCAGCTATTATGAGCAGGAGGAAGAAAGCACCTGGAGCTTGTTGTCAGTCGGAAGCTAGGAGAGAGATCTGGAGGGGAGCTCACCTGCGAACGGATAGCGGATGCGCATCATGGTGGACAGAGAGGTAGGTAGTAAGCGGAGCAGAGCTCGGTTGGTGGTCAATGGGCCCCAGCTGCGAGCGTGGGGATCATATGTGCAGAGAATCGGGAGAGAATCACAGAGGCCAAGAGGGAGAACACGCTACAGACCAAGGTGATGCATAATAAAGGACCTAGACAGACAAATATTGTCAAAAGGACAGACAGCTTGCCAGGCTGCCGTTCTCCCCGGCCCCAAACAGCGTGGCTGATCTGCCGCCTATTTCCGCCTTCGCGCCTGCCCTTCCTTCATCCCCGTCCCCGATTCTTCCTACAGAAGCCCTTGTCTTCACCATCAAACCCCAGCGCCACGCCATCCTGTTGGGCGCTTTTGACATCGGCCCTCAGTTCCTACACCCTGGGCGTCGGTCCCTATGCCTTTTGTTTGCCCCCCAAACCCCCTTATCCAGCTCGATCGGCCCGTGACCTAAATCGTGGAGAATCGAGTCTCGCCCGCCCAAAAACCGGGGTTTTGGAGCGAGCATGTCGCTCGGCCACAACGCCTGGCCACCGGGCAATATCCGACCCCCCGATGAGCCCCAGGATTCACCGCGTCCTGTCAATGGCTTGGTTAAGACATTGTCCGGCTCGCGCACTCCCCAGATACGCGGTTCCATCAGCGACGGGCCGAACGCCGGGAGCGCCATGTCGGAGGCCGACATCGCGGTCGACGAGGACCCGCGCATTGCACAATTTCGCGACCTCTATCGCAACAGTGAGGCGAAAATCAACACCCTCTTTGCCGGCCTCTATGCCGACGACGAATCTGCTGGCGATGCCGCGGTCGCGGGGGTAGAACAGCCCGATAGTCAACCCGAACGCGTCGATGCGCCGGCATCCCCATCCGCGCCTCCCAAGAAGCCTGCTCGCAAGCTCGACGACGACTATGACGACTACGATGAGGACGAGGACGCAGATATGCCCGATTCCACGGAGTCACCGTTGAAAGCCAAATCCGCACCGCTGTCGCAGGACGCTGGTGGTGCTGCGCCGGAGGAGAAGCAACTCGATGCTGCTGCGTCCGCTGGTGAAGACGGTGCTAAGGAGCCAAAGAAGGAAACCATGGAGGAGCTTCGGAAGCAGCTCGAGGAAGACAAGAAAGCGACAGAAGAGGCCGCCAAACAGAGCTTCCATACACTTTTCTACACACTCGAGAACGATCGCGATGCCATGTTGGATCAACAGCGATTGGAGGAGTCTGAGCGACAGGTGGAGGCGGAGATGTCCAACCAGGCCAACGCCAGTGGCAATAATCCCGCGGGCGGTTCCAGTGGATACGGTTCGTTAAGCAGTGCCAATCTCGGAGCTTCCAGCTTGACGCTGAAGAATCTCATCGCCCGCATTGACTCAAAACGAGATATGGTGCGCGCGTCAGACGCTGAGCTTCGGAGCTTGCTGAGCGAGGTGCGCAAGAATCGCAGCAAGTGGGCTAGCGAAGACAAGGTCGGCCAGGAAGAGCTCTATGAGGCCGCAGAAAAGGTCCTCAGCGAGCTCAAGGCCATGACGGAGCACTCCACAGCTTTCTTGACCCGGGTCAACAAACGTGATGCGCCGGATTACTACAACATCATCAAACACCCGATGGATCTTGGAACGATGACCAAGAAGCTCAAGGCGTTGCAGTACAGGTCGAAGCAGGATTTTGTCGACGACCTCACCCTGATCTGGTCTAACTGTCTCAAGTACAATACGAACCCTGAACATTTGTTACGGAAGCACGCATTGTACTTGCGCAAGGAGACCGACAAGCTTGTCCCTCTTATTCCAGAGATCGTTATCAGGGATCGTGCCGAAGTGGAAGCCGAAGAGCGTCGACTCCAACTTGCCGACGATGGCGCAGAGGAGAGCGACGATGAACCTATAATGTCCTCTCGAGGCAGGAAAGCTCCTGGGAAGAAGACTTCTAAGAAAGGCACCGCGCCTGTTCAAAACACCCCCAGTGGTTCTGAGGGTCCTGCCGGGGCGTCTAGCGCGCAACCACCCGCACTCGTGCAAGCTGATTCCGACACAGCCATGGAGTCTTCTCAGAATGGCTTTTCGACTCCACCTCCGGGGTCTCACACACCTTCTGATCCTGCTGGTGCAGCTGCCGGTACAACAGCAAGCCAAGCCGACGCAATGGAAATCGACGGGCCGTCGATGTCGTCAACAACCGCGCTCAGCGCCCTGGACGTACCTGGCGCCGAACTCGACGATCCTGAGTACAAAGTGTGGAAGCAAGTGACGAAGAAGGACCGAGCACTCATTGCGGCAGAGCGGCACCGTCTCTTCAAGGGGGACAAGTTGAACTCTGAGGAACCAGCTCTGCTGCGGAGCAAGGCTGGCATGAGACGATGGCTTCGTCACCAGAAACAAGCAAGCATCCAGGCCAGCAAGATCCAAGAGCCTAATTCACAGGCTATGGAGCTCGAGGCTGCTGGCGAGTCGCTCGCTGAAGGCATTGACGCGGAAGAAGACAAGATGATCCCTTCTTACTACGATGTCATGTCGGGTATCCCCAACCTTCCTGACCAGTTACTTTGGAGAGAAGATGCGCAGGGCAATGTCATCGATGCCTCTGAGGAGTTCCTCTGGATTTTACCCAAGGGCTCTTTCAAGCAGCCAGACAGCAAGCTGTCTCGAAAGATGGACTCCAATATGCGGCAGATGCAGGAAACTCGCAAAATTTGCTCGAAAGTTGGCATCGTGAAGCAGATGCAGCTCCAGTCTCAGGTAGGCCTCCTCCTTACTCTCTTGTCGTAACTACCCACTAACTCTTCGCGCTCCAGATGTACCAAAATCAATTCCAAAAGTACAACCCCGAGCCTTTTGCTGAACAAGATGTGGAGCCTCATGTCATGAATGACAACGGCCCGGTGATCGCTCCCTTTGTCTGTCGAGCAGCGCTGCAGCGTTCAGTCGCCAAGGTCTTCTACCATACTGGATTTGAGGAGTATCAGCCGTCCGCTCTGGAGGCTGTTACGGACATAGCGTCCGACTTCTTTCTGAAGATCGGCGAAACCATCAAATCCTACATGGAAACCCCCCACATTAGCGATACTGAATCCCACGAGGTTGCCACCTCAACAACCGAGTGGAAGCCTGCCTACACCCAACAAGAGATCATCCTTCACACGCTGTCTTCTGTTGGGATTCAGATCGACGAACTGGAGTCTTATATCAAAGACGAGGTCGACCGTCTCGGTACAAAACTCAGCACTGCGCACGAGCGTCTCAAGTATCTTCTCGCTGAGCTACTTCGACCAGCTCTTGCTGATGGTGGTGAGGATGGATCCAGAGCCTTTGCTGACGGAAGTGAACAATTTGTTGGCGGTGACTTTGCCGAGGACATCGACGAGGATTTCTTCGGGTTCAAAGAGCTCGGGCTGGATCGAGAATTTGGCCTGGCCACACTCAGCGTACCACTACATCTTCTCCAGAACCGGATGTTCAACGCAGCCAATCCGCAAAGCACTAGCACGACCCGCGATGTCATTTTATTCCAGGCGCCGCCTGCGTACACGCGCATCACTGTCGAAAATCTGCCCGAGCAGATCGGCCTGCTGCAGTCGTTTCTCAAGGGCAAACTGGATGCCAATGGCGACGAGCCTCTTACAGAAGACCTTGAGCTTCCGCCCAAGCAACGACCTATGGCTGCTCGACCTCGTCTTCCAGCCTCTGGCAAGATCCCTCCTCTTCCCGGCACCTCAGGCGCAAATTCAAGTCCCCAGAAACGACATGCTCCATCAGGCACTGCCGGTGCGGGCTCCTCGTTGAAGTTTGAACCGAGCAAAAAGAAGGCCAAGAAAAACAGTGGCGCTGCTGTCGACATGCCCAATGCCGCCGATGGAGATGGTGACCAGACACCTGCCGCCGATGGTGCCAAGGGCAAGGCGGTGGACGGTGCAGCTGATTCCTTAAGCAAGACGGATGGCATGCCCGACGGTGTGGACGCAACCCAACAAGATCAATCAAACGCCCCCATGGCAAATGGTACAGCCGCGTGATTGACACTCTATTCGTGATAGACCGCGCTGACTATGTCTTCTTCGTATCATTTCCTTGCATTGCTCTTGCACCATACCCCTCCTTCTTCCTTCAACTCCAATCTCATTTTACCTTTTTCTCTACACCTTGCCTCCGCATTCGGTTCGCTCCATACATGCATCTTGGGGCCAGGAACCGGGCGCTTTATTTCCAAGTCTACTACCACAGCATTTCAGGTGATAGGTATGGTGGAGTTTATTCTGTTTTTTCTTCGATCCCTTCGTTTCTTTCTTTAATTCCTTCTTCGGTCGGTATTCATGGAGGAAGCCGATATCACGATTGCAACGGTGATGTTTTCTGGGGGTGGGTGGCAGCGGTCTTTGGTTCCGCTTTTCTTCTCTATTCATCCGGCATTGTATTTCTGAGAAACCAACTTCGTGGTCCTTGTTTTGTGCGCTTCTCTTCTGCTTGCTGTCTCTTCTTTGTCTCGGGTTCAAGCGAATGGGTGATACTTCCGAGGGTATCAGTTTTATTGTTGTCACATCACATCGTTCTCATTATTTCGTGTAATAAATACAATGCCTTTGTCACTGGCAGCTTTGTTCAGGATTTCTCTTCAATGTAGACATTTCCGCAGCGCTTTTCCCAACTGCTCTCTTCCACATTCTTCTTTTCTCCGGCCGGTGGTGATAGAATGTCCCGTCTGGGAAATGATATTTCTACAAAGGTATACCCGTATATCCATCTTGCTACGCTGCTCCATCTACAGATTTACGTTCGAGAGCATGGTGAGATAACAATTTCAATTTTTTTGTGAAGAGCGAAAGAACAAGACTAAACTAGAATGCGAAGGCAAATGCGAAGGGAAATGGAACTTCAAGGCGATGGTCTAGTCCGCAACAAAGCCGTATCATCCAGCCCTGTTCAGTCCCCCGAAAAGGGGTCCAAACAGTTCCAGTCGTCCATGCTAAAGCGTTCTAGTCCTTCAAGCCGATCGGTTCCATGAGACACAAAAAAACAGAAAAGACAATTGAATGGAGGCCTCATCTGTCAATAACCCGAAACCCATCGAAACTGGACCATTTGCGTTCAAATGTACCACATCCGCAGAGCCAGACGATTGTCACTACCCTGAATGGGGAGGAGCTTGGGGGTCGCGGGACGATCTCTGGGCTTGGGGTTGGTCATTTTCACAGTTGGGCCACTCTGAGGGCCGGAGCTGGCAGGAACATCCTCATGATGACGAGCACGGGCGGCAATAAGGTGTGCGTAGTAGACCGCAGGATGAATCGACACGGAGGTGGTAGACCGGATGTACTGGTAAGAATGGTCGTAAATCATGTTTTCCAGTTCGTGAGGCTTGTGCTTCATCTCGTCCAGGATGACATGATAGTGGACGGGGCGTGAAGTCCCCTGCAGAGCAATGTGAGCGTACAAGAGGAAGTCCCAGTCATGGGGACTGGTCACATCACGCTCGATCAATGTTCCGGGCAAAGGGTTGCCATTCCGGTCAGCGGAACTCTGGTCACTAGGGTTGGGGAACGCGCGCAGGTGGTGACGCTTGTTGGCGATCACCACGGTCATCTTGCCCTCAAATAAAGTAGTGTTGCAGACTTTCGCAATAACCAGCTTGATGTGCTTTGCCTCTTCCAGCACCTTGGAGAACTCAGACTGCGAAACGCCATCGCGGAAGTAATAGATATTCTTGGGAGGACGGCCCTGTCCGACGGTAGTAACCCACTCACGGATCAGCGGTTCCAGAAGGAAGGTGACGTTCCCCTCGTGAATGATTTCCACGCGGTCTCCATTGCACTCACAAGCACCCATGTAGCGAGAGCCAAACTGGTCCGCCGAGACAGTCATGGCTGCCAGAGAAGGGGTCCAGACACCAATCATAGGGTGAGTAACATCTGCCCCAACAATCATCGAATGCGGGCGCAAGGTCGTGTCTTGAAGGCGAGACTGGGCCCGCGCTGTCGTCCCACCGAGCTTCGCGTTGACCTTCATCAGAACGTTGCTGATGTACTGGGGGCGGTTGTTTATGCAGTGCCCAGCCTGAAGGACCTGGGATGGCACGCCGAATCGGCAGTCGCAAGACTTCTTGATGCGCAGATACACAAAAGAGTCCTTGTTGGGGACAATAATAACCAGAAGCTGGGGAAGCTGCTTGAACTTCATCTGCGTTTGATCATAGAGCTTTTTGATGGCGTGGCCAATATCCTCGTTGAGTTCCGCGACCTGAGGGCGTGTAACAATCTGACCACCGTGGCCGGCGTAAATCTTCATGAGGTTGTCAATGAAGCGGAGAGTCTGGTCAGTGTTGATGGCATTTCGCTTTCCCGTGAAGAAGCCAACACCCCAACTTTTCAGTGGCTGCGAATTGGGCGTGTAGAACTTTTTGCCTCGAAGGTCCCAGCGGCCGCTGGTGCCTGGGTTATGCTTCCCATTTGCACCAAAGCGAAGTTCGGGGTTGGGGAGGATTCGCGCCTTTACCTTGAGCATGCTTGTGCCAATTTTCATATCATACATTCGCAGCACCGGGTCATTGTCATGCTGAAGCAGGCTCTTACATTCGCGGATGTCAGCCAGCCGCTTCGAAGGTTTGGTGGCACAGAACTTGATCATTTGCGCCGTCTGGTCTTCATTCAATTTGTACCGGTACCTCTGCAGGCCCTTGATGACGAGAAACTCTGCAGGGTAGATGCAGTTCTTTTTCGTCATCTTGATGAGAGGCATCATTGGATAGCGAAGATAGACATTGTACTTCTTCAAGAAGTACTTCTCCACGCTGATGCGCTCCACCTCGCCAGTCGCCCTGTCCTGGATGTCGAGAAGATACTCCCGGGGATTCGCGTTCATCATGTTGTCGATCATGAATCCCTTCTCCTTGAAAGGGCAGCCATCGTAGTTGGGCATAACCCTAAGGCCCTTGATCCGCTTGTTGATTGCAATGAAACTGGGTGACTCTTTGATCCCGCCGTAGCCATCAGCAATGGGCTTGAGAAGTGCCATTAGCTGCTGGGGGTCACGCAGTTCGTAGAGGCCTCGCATAATTCCCATGAGAGAAATGCGGGAAAAGAAAACCGCATGAGAGACATCGACATTGAGCATAAGCCCTTTCTAAAATACAATTAGCCAGGTTCCTTGAGATATACCAGTAGACAGCCGAAGATCTCACCGGAGACGGTCGAATAGCCTGGTAGATGCCCCGCATAACGGAGCAGCCCATATTGCAAAGATCCATGGTAAAGCGATTCTCATCTTCCTCGCTCAGCTTGTCAAAGAAGTATGAGCGTTTTATTCCCACAAACCTGTCGTTCGGCCACGAACGCAACAGGTGGTCCAGGAAATCTATGATAATCAGCCAGGCCTGAAAAAGGCACTTCGATGCACTGTAGCACTTACTGAATGCTTCGAGTACATGTTCATCCGTATCATGTTTCCCCTCGAGCCAAGCGTTGATCACACTCAGGTCGATCTTCCTGTTGCGGCGGAGCGACAAGCGGAAGGACTCAGGCGCGAAGCCTTCGTCATGCTGTGTTTCCAGCGGACGAGTAACGCCACCCTTGATGTCAAGGATAACCTCATTGAAATCCTTATAGTCGGTGAGGGACCTAGAATGATCAGTACTTATCCAATGCCAGCATATCAATGTAGGATGTACCAGGCAATTTTGAACCCGTCAAAGATTGCATCGGGCAGCTTAGCCTTTCTCTCATTGCTGTGCCAGACCTTGCGGTGCACACGCCGATCATCTGCCAGGATACGTCCCTGAACCACGTTCACCTATCCTGATGCATCAACGTACTGCCTTTCAAATCAAGGGGGGAGGGTGAACACAAAACAAAGAACATACCTCGTACTGGTACACGGGTTTGGTTGGCCATTTCAAGATCGGGTAAGCGTTGACAAGAATGTCAACTTCCTTACCCGTAGTGTTGTAACCCGGGCGGCGCAGCGCAGGAAGCAGACCGAATTCGCCCTTGTAAAATGAGGTCAGTTGGATCACAGTCACGGATCTTCTTCTTCAATGTTCGCACAATGGGAGTGAATGCTGAAGTGGTTTCTGGGGCTGCCCATGTTGGGTGGAGGAGACGGGGGACTCGATGTGCTGGGAGTTTTCGATCCTCTTGAGGGTTTTTGACGCCGTGTCTGTTTCACCCAGCAGGGCGCAGGGCACTTTCGAAGGTGGCAAGATGGAGATTAAATGGGGAGCAGAGAAGAAGAAGATGCAGAGGATATCTGGGAGCTTTAAAGTACTGGCCCAGTGGTTGGGAAGGTTTCCTTCCTCTTTCAAACAAAGAAGCAAACGTGAAAAAATGATTCACAAGAGACAGGCGAGGCATACAAAGGTGAAGGAGGATGTATGTGCGAATGACAAAGACACAGGAGATACCCAGGCATCAGAGGCAGCAAGGACGACAAGGACAGCGCAGAAGCCAGCATGACTGCTGACGTCAGGCAAGGAGAGTGTATTGGGTGTATAAGAGGGTTTGATTATGAGAACTCACAGTCGGGCTGTTGATCTTGTACGCAGTGTACGGCAGATCAACGTTGATGACCAAGTCGGTCTTCAGCGTGGGCTTGGGTGGCCTGTCGAGAGCCGGGTCCAGGCCCACAGGCGAAGGAGCCCGGCCTCTGGGCGGGGGTCGACTCATGATGGTGGTCTTCACAGCGTGTTGTCAGCTGCCCACGGGTCACAGATGATGCGTTAGCAAGCCTCAGTAGTAGAAGGTGCAGGTGCGGCAGTTGCGCGGGGCTTCTTCTCAAGCGGGAGGCAATGAAAAGTAGATACTGGAAAGATTGAGAAGTGAGACTGGATGACTTACTCTTGTGAGGGGTGATAACAGGGCTTGGGAAAGAGGGTTGGAGAGGGAGAGAGAAGAGAAGGAGGGTGAGAAGAAGAAAAGTGAGGGTGGGAAGGAGCGAGCAGTGGCTTAAGTACTTGCCCATCGGAAAGTGAATGCTGCAGCTGCCTCGGGCTGAATGAATGGACTCGGTTTGTTAATTGCCTGGCCAAAGGTTGGATTTCAATTATTGCTGCCCGTCAAGTGAATGCTGTGGCCGTCAATTGTTCCGCAATCCACTGATACAGATTGGCCTCAGGTGAGTTCTCGTGGAAGAGGTTAATGGGGACTCGGTTCATTAGACACAGTTCTCCCGTAGTTTTTGGGCAAAAGGCCGCTACGCACTTGCTCGTGAGCATCTAGCTTACTTCTTACGAGCCTTTGCGGATTTGAGGAGACGTTCTGCGAGCGCCTCTTCGGCCTCGATGATCTCGTTCTCCTTCTCCAGTATCTCCTTCTCTTTTCCCAGACGACTTATCTTTGCCCGATGCAGACCGCACTCGAGCTCTTCAATGTTGTCGTCATCTAGACCCGTTCCAGGGTTCTTTGGCTGCGAGAGAGGAGAGCGTTGCCGGATCGGAGGAAGGCCAGCTGCGGGAGATCGGGATCGGCATCCTGACGGGAGGGGAACGTCCATCTCAACGTCCCAAGACCCTGCACTCTCGGCATATGATCGTCGAGGTACGACATCCATGGCCTGCTGTTCAGGGAGGCCGAGCGGTACTGCGTTGGTGCCGATATCAGCGCCCTGGACACGCTCGTCCCGCAAGATATGGTTCTTGGCATAAACATCTTGGAGCAAGTTCACAAAGAACCCGCAGGTCTTGTTCTTCTTGCCAATCTGTCCCACGATATCCTTAGTCCATGCGTGTAGGGTTGCCGATCCGACCGTCACACACTTTTTCAAAGTGAGTTATTATTCGATGAACTTTCACTGTCCAATTTTCCCCCGGCTCATTGATGGTGGCGGTTGACATCTTGGTGGTGGCTCCATGTGCGACAGGCCATGCCCAACGTACTAGGCCAGTCATCATCTCCAATATCGCCGCTTGCAACGGATTATCGGCATTGCCGTCAAAGAATAAAGCTTCTATATTAACTTTCTTCTTAAGTAACCGCCGCACGACGTGCTCATAGTTCCCCACCGCGGCCTGGAATAGAGATATACCATGCAGCTCCCGCTTCGCTTCTATATCAGCTCCCACATCTATTAAGGTTAATGCCATCGTCGTATTCCAATATCGACCTCGAAGGCATTTAGGTGGCATGAGTACCAGACTTAACGGTGTCATGAAAATTCCTCCTCCTTCTGTTGATTTGAGCGCCTTTCTTTACCAGTAGCCTCACGACGGACCTTGAACCATTATCTGCTGCATAGTGAACAGGCGTCGAGAAGTCGTCCAATTCGTTCGCCAGATCGGGGTCGACTCCCTTCTCCAAGAGTAGCTCCACCATTTTTGAAAATCTGTTTGATGCTGCTAGGTGGATTGCGGTCATCCCACGGGGTCCCATCCAGTCACACTGGGCCTTCATATCGGCTCCGCCCTCAATAAGGACCTTGGCAACCTTAACGCCTCTACTGTAGGCGTCCACGTGTAGTGGAGTCTTTCTATATTGGTCTCTGATTTCGAGATCAGCCCCCGCCTCGATGAGCAGTCGAGTAGTCCCAGGTAGCTCGTGAAACACGCTGAACCACAAGGCAGACGCGTTGCCGTACTTTACATTATTTGAATAGAGAGGACTGAGATGGGAATATAGATGGCGAGTTGTCCGAGCTAAAGCGTTGATGTCGCGCTGTCGAACAAGCATCTTTGCAATAATATACAGTAGCTCATTTGGCAGGGCTTCAATCCACATGGCTGTCGTCGTATGATAAGTGCGAGTGCAGATACGGGTGGCTGCTGCTACACACACGACAATAGCTTCGATATGAAGCAAGATGTGCGACTTTGAGGTTCAAAGGGCCTGTAATACTCCGCTGACAGCATTGTAATCCGAACAAAGAGGAATTTTTCCGTAGGCTCGCGGATACATTTGGAAGGTCGGATACAAGGCGAGCGGCCTCTGTTTAGGCATCCTAGATTAATCAACTAGTATGATGGGGGCTGGAGCCCGGTCACCGAGGCACCGAGACAATATTATAGAGAAGGACCATAAAATAGAAGACTTGATAGTTGTACGACGACGATGAGAGAGTGTTGGGGTACTATCTTAATTACTATAGGGTTATATGTGTCACCTGACGTTGATGCTAAACCGAATTCGGTAGAGATCATTATCGATATCGGGTTTTAGTACAGGCGACGATAGCGGCAAAGAGTTTAAGTTTGGTAGATAGAAATGCAAGGGTGAAATCACAGGCTGGTATTTCTACTGTATGGACGGCCTTCCAGGTACATTAGGAAAAGTACATGGACTTTGACGCTAGGACCAATTTGTATAGCTACTGTGTGCCATAACCTGGGGGTCCTGCAAGTAGCGGGAGGCGTGTGCACGCAACACGATCCTTTTAGTACACTTTTAGAGGCTCTGATTGATCAACTTGAAACAAGAACAAACATTGGCCTTATCGTTCAGAGTCTTCGTCCTTTACATGCGTTTGAGCAAGGGAACCATCGCTTGCGAAAGTATCTGCAGCATTCTCGAAAGACTAAATGTACACGAAGTGTATCGCAAACCCTAGCCCGGAAAAAAGAGAAGAAATGCCATTCCCGTAGAAAACAAAAAGAGACAACAAGAGATACCCTTGCCCAATAGATTGAGGACGCCGACAGAAGATGCAATGAGGCTGTGAGGTAAATTGCAGGACTTGAAACCACGTCTAAGGCTGGGGTCAGGGCCTGAACCCCAATCCCGCAAGGAGGTCGTCGACTGTCACCACGGTAAGATAGTAACACAATGCTGCGAGAGAAGATCGAAATGCCAGAATTAAAGTGAATTGTACACGGAGGTCGGTTATGACTGCAGCCAAGGAAGGGAGATTTCATTCATAGTCTTCATCGGTAAGAGCCTAGAAGGAAAAAAAGATTAGCATGTGGCCGAAATAGCCGGGAAAGGTAGTTGACTTATGACTTACCGGAGTAGCCAGAAGTTTGGCCTCCCCCAAGGCCACGAGCGCTCTGTGGAAGCGGGATTTGAGAGGTAGAACTGGGGATATCGGTCCGGCGAAGGAGATCGATCATTTTTTCGGGAGAAAGTCTGGAGATGGTGTACGTGGAGGCTGCAGGAATGATGCTCAAGAGATGGACCACATCCCGAGGCAGAGGGGTTTGTGAGCCCTGAGGCATGTAGGCCGATGTTGTTGTCTGGCCGTTCGGCAGCTGGCCACGCATTGGCTGCTCAGCTCGCCGACCAGTAATACTTTTCAAAGGGGACTCGGCGCGTGCAAATTTGCGCGGGCGATTTGAGTCGTCGAAATCGTCCGAGGGGAATGGTCTCTTGGGTGAAGAACTCATGGACGGATCCAGGTATCCGGTTGTAGGTGGCTCTGCCGTGACCCCGGGAAGCGATGTCTTGGGTCGAGTCTGCGAGGGCGACAGGATAGGGCGCACCACGGTAGGGTCAAAGTTCGGAGAGGAGTAACGGTGTGCAAATTGGCTGAGGTTGGGGTCTTCGGGGTAGAGTTCGCGCATGCGATTCTCCAGGTTGATAACCTGGACGAGATCTCCGTAGCGAGATTCATACTCGTGGAGAAAAGAGAAGATGGGCTTGGCTTTGTGGACATTCGCGGGATTGGATGCCAGTTTCCTCACGGTGGTCTCGAAGACTGCTCTTGCGTTGATAATGTCGTTGATATCGATGAGGTGCTTCAGATATTCGAGGGCGAAATGTTCATCCTCAGGGAACAGTTTAGCGCCTCTCTCGAAAATCTTGGTTGCCGCGGGGTCTTTGTAGCAGTGATACTCCATAAGAGCACTGGCGATGTAAACATCGCTGGTGATGCGACCCCGTTTCCGTGCCTCTGCAAAGATCTGCCGCGAGCCAGCCAGTTCGCCAGGTTTGCCTTTGCCTTGGATGCGTCGGATAGCACGCATGAGCGCAATCCAGGCAAAGGAAATGGTCTTGGAGAGGATGTTGATCTGGATGGAGTGGGCATTGCGGATAGCATCGATCTGCGCCTTCTTGGCCGACTCTTTTTCCTTATCCTCGGGTGGGACGTCATCTTCGTCTTCGTTCATCGTGGGCTGTTTTTCAGGGTTCTGCTTCGCGAACCACTCTTCGATGCGAGCCACATCCTGTGACTCCTGTGTGCGCGCCTTTGTGATCAGCTCATAGAGTGCCTCAAGCAGCTTGTCATACGGCTCCCGAACTTTGGCTGCTCGCTTGGTGGAATCTTCCGAGTCCGAAGTGACTTCCAGGCGATCCGCGAGTTTGAATGACAACAGGCAACTCTCTGGATTGGCCTCGATGCCTTGCTTCAGGAAGTCATTGCCCTCGTTCTCCATGTCGTTGGCATAACAGAACTCCGCAGCCTCAAACCAAATCTCAGGCAGGAACCTCAACGCCATGAGTGCCTGCTTGTAGACGTACACAACACGGTTCTTGAAGGCGGAAAGATCCTCGTCTTTGATGACCAGGGGGTCGCCTTTCTCCCAAGCGATCCAGCGCTTCCAAATGTCCACCTGCTGCGAGAATTCGACGTCGCCTTCAGAGCCTGGTACGGGGGGCAATCTCGGGAGTGAGGTGCGAATCAGGTCGCGAGTAATGTTTTGTAGCTCGGTGTAGGAGCTGCGCGCGGTCATGTATGACGGCGACTGTTCCTGGAGGAACTTCCGACCCTACACCGTGACAACTGTGAGCATATCTCGTCACCACACAAAAAGGAAGACACAGAACTTACCGTAAGCTTGTTGAGACCCATTTCGAATTGGTCGTATTCCTTCCACAGGGTATTAACAGCTTGAGTCGGAACACCAATGGCTCTCTGGTAGGCCTTGCGAAGCAGATCCATCTTTTGCTGGTCCTGCCAGCCGGAGCCTCCGACAGTTCCGGGTCCTGAACGAATGAACTCGATGTAGTCTGACCAGACATTACCCGCGTCCTTGTCCATTCCGATGTACGTCAAGGCCAGATCATATGCTGATGAAATCACGGTCCGGCTGGTATCGGTGGTCAGGGGGTTACGGCGACGCACATAGTCCAAGTAGACGTTCCAAAGCTGGATATTCGGGATAGTCAGAAGCGCGCGATTGAAGATTTGCTCTAGTCGGAACAACTCGTTGACCTCCGACTCCATATTGGCATACGCCACCCATTGGTCAGCCTGGGGTTGTTTGGGTCAGCGGTATTCGCAAATATAAAAAGGTTGCAGACAACCTACCGCCATCGGAAACACCTTCAGGAAACGCTCGTAGACCTCGCGCGCGCTGTCCAGCCGATTGCGGCTTCGGTGCTCGACGATCAATTCCAGCCACGCAGCGATATCACCTCTTGGATCTTCATCAATCCGGTCTTGCAAGATGCCCACGCGGTCATGGGGCAGGCGAGCTCGGGAGGCAGAAGGAGAGTCAGGTACAGGAGTAGGAACAGTACTGGTCTGCAGGCTCGGCGCGAGCGAGTCCTGCGGAAGAGCCCACTGGGCAGCAACAGGAGCAGCAGGATCGGGATTAGAAGAAGAAACAGGAACAGAGAAATGAGAAAAACTATTGGCAACCTCATGCGCGCTAGCAGGCGCCGCAGAAGATGATACATCAGGGGAGGAAGTGGTTTGATTTGCATTTCCTGAACTGGGTTCTTCAGACATGGTCACAGGCATAGCTTTTGTGTCCTCGGCCCCAAGTACGCCCGGTGGCTCATATTCCGCATCACCCTTGTCATCCTCATCATCCTCGTCATCCTCAACCACAAATCCCCCGATCATTCTGGTCTTGGGCTCCGCCGGCTCACCCGAGGGTGGTATCGGCGTGGACGTCTGAGACTCAGCACGGGAGGGGGTCTGGGAAGGATTGGGAGCGTCGCCAGGCTGCTGGGCAGCATTGGAGTCTGCTGAGATGGTCATGGACGGGGCGTCGTCGTCGGGCTGAGCATCCGACTCGGTGGCCGGAGGCTGCTGGTCTTGCAGGGTCTGAGAAGGGTCGTAGTCATCTGAGTCTCCGTTATCTGCGCGCTGCTCTCCAGCGTCGACATCCATGGCCGGCGCCTGGAAAGAGGTCTGCTCAGCTTCCTCGTCTGCCATGGGGAAAGAGGTATGGATGTGGTGCTTGCAATGGCAGAGGAAGGGGAATGTGGGAAGCTGAGAAGCCAAGCTTTGGCTCCTGGTCAGGTTGGTCGCTCAGTCAGCGATCAGTCAGCGCGCGAGAGCAACTGTATAGATCAAATATTAGGGCCGCATCTATAGAGAGGAAGAGCGAAGAACAATGGGGGGAAATGAATGATCAACGCAGACAAGAAGAAATAATGATGATGCAGATACAGCACGCACACACCGAGAACCAGCGCACGATCACGTGGGCGGTGAGGCACGGCAAAAGCGAGGGGACGCGAGCCAGGCGCGTCAAAGATCAGCGAGTCGTTGGCTCCTGGCTTCAAGCACATTCCTGTGTGAACAACACCCCTTGTCTCTTGCTGCTGCATTTCACTTTTTCACTCTTCCACCTCTCACCCTCTCTCTGTTTATACCCCAGCCTCTGGATCATTTCTCTTCCTCTCCTCATTCATCCATCCCACTACAGGTACATATCAAAATGTCGGTCGTCTCCCTACTCGGTGTGAAGATCCTCAACAACCCAGCGACCTTCACGTCGCCCTATGAGTTTGAGATCACCTTTGAGTGCCTCGAGCAGCTTCAGAAGGGTATGCCTTTCTTCAGTTCCTCCCAACGCTCACAAAACTAATCTGTACCCACCAGATCTGGAATGGAAACTGACCTACGTCGGATCCGCCACCTCGTATGTCCACTCTTCTCCATCATAGAAAATCATTGCTAACAACCAACCCCCTTCCTAGCTCTGAATATGACCAAGAACTGGACTCTCTCCTGGTCGGCCCGGTCCCTGTGGGCGTGAACAAGTTTATCTTCCAAGCCGACTCGCCCGATCTGAAGCGCATCCCTACCTCCGAGATCCTCGGGGTGACCGTCATCCTGCTCACCTGCAGCTACGACGACAGGGAGTTTGTCCGCGTCGGCTACTACGTGAACAACGAGTATGACTCGGAGGAGCTGGTGGCGGATCCCCCTGCGAAGCCGATCATTGAGCGCATCCGCCGCAATGTCCTCGCGGAGAAGCCGCGTGTGACTCGGTTTGCCATTAAATGGTAAGAATGGCCGGCCCCTTTTAACTGTTGATTCCTCTCTAATACGCTTTCTACAGGGACTCGGAGGATTCTGCGCCTGCGGAGTACCCGCCTGACCAGCCCGAGGCCGACATTCTGGACGACGACAGCAACGCATACGGTGCTGAGGAAGCAGAACTCGAGGCGGCTCTCGTCAAGGAACTCGCCGAGGCCGACAAGCAGGGCGACGGCGAGGACCAGGAGATGGAGGGTGCCGAGGGCACTGCTGGCAAGGAGGATGAAGAAGAGGACATCTCAGATGCCGAGAGCGAAGATCTCGAGGAGGAGAGCGACGATGATGAGGATGAGCTGGACGAGGATGAGGCTGGTGAAGGTGACGAGGATGTCGAGATGGGCGATGATGCCGAGCACAAGGATGAGACTGCCAACAAGGCTGCTGCTCCTCAGGCTCAGCCTGAAGTCATGGTCCACTAGATCCGCACAAGGGTTGGTTGCTGGGTTGGCTTGGAGGCGTTTCTACTTGTTTCACCTTTCTTCTCTTCTGCTATATTTCTTCTTTTTTCAATGATGACAGCCGGAATGCGACGTTTTTTATGACCTATGGAGCCTGTTTCCCTGTTTGGATCACCCTGTCTTTCCATGGGAGCCAGGTCCATGATAGAATTCACATATATGAAAAATGGATTCATTGCACCTCTAATCTATATATTCTGGGGCTGCGTAGCATATTCTTCTAAGTTAAAATTGTAGTCTAGGCATATGTGATGTCTCCATAATCAACCAAGCGGGATATATATTTCCGGAGACCACAGTAAATAACGCCCTTGTTGCTACGTTCAAAAGTCGGTCACCACGCAACAACAAACAAGGTATGCAAGGGAGACCAATAGCCCCGCAATCTTGACTAGTACATGAAGCAATGAAATAGCGAAAGTGGTCTGAATTCCGAGACAAGGTATGGGAATCTAAAATCCTTCCGTACCTGTCCGGGGAGTTGTGACTAGGTTGGTGGCTCACTGAGTCCAATGGGGAGTAGACTGCAGCTTAATAATTATGGTGTTCTTGAAAGTGGTTTTGAACCAAAGGCAAGGGTCTTGGAGGCATTGCTTTGCCTTAGGATGCATGCTTTGTTCTGAAGTACAGCCAGTTTAGGTACTTTCTCCATATGTTCTGGATCCTAAACATGTTGAGATCGCAGTCTCACAATTCCAATCTCGCTAATAATCACGATCATCCAAGAGTCCCCAAGTCCATACTGAAGATTATGGAACAACCTAGAACCCAAACTTCGACCCCAAGGCTAGCACGCGCACATTAGCTTCATCCGCATCTTAATATAAGAAAAGAAAACTCACCACCAAAAGCCGCCTTCCTCTTCTGATTCTGCACAAACTTGCCCACATCATTGGCAAAGTTACTGCTATTCTCCTCGAGCCTATCCATATGATCGCCCACCAGACCCAGCCGCTCAGTGCGTTCCTGAAGCGATCGCGTCATGGACGACCAATACCCCTCACCCTGCTGATCGGCGGGCGACGGGCGGCCATCCCTGACGGCTTTTCGGCGTTCTTGGTCGTCGAGTTTCATCTGCTCCATCATTCGTCTGGAGGGAGGGCGGTCTGGGCCGCAAACTGTAATGCCAATTCGTTAGATATCTGTTTGTCTTAGGTTGGGGCAAGGAATTGGAACGTACTGAGGATATCCATGTCGGCGGGTGATACGTATTGCGTGCCTGAGATCCATTGAATGTTGGTAATTGTAGGACGTGAAGGGATGACTGCTTGAGGGTTGAAAAGACGGTCTTCTGATGGGTGCCTATAGGATTTCAAATGATCAGTATAATCCTCCACAAGGGTAAGCGGTAGATCAATCATACAGTCCGCGGCCAGATCCCCAAACATTGAAGAGCCCGATTTCGGACGGGCCAACCCACGCCATGACACTGCCTGTAGGGGTAATGCTAGCGTCTGGGAGGCGCCGCATATCTGCAATGTGACTGATCTTGGCTACGCCAAGATCTCTCAGTGAAGGAATGGCGAAAGCCCGAGCATTGCCGTCACCGAAGAGGCCGACCAGGCTGTAGCCCCGGCCCTCGAGCTTGACAACGGCGGCTGAATCGCAGAGGTATTCATCCCAGCTCTTGTGGGCGCCCTTTGCCGTTGGGGGCTTGAAGATTCGGCAGCCGGCAGTGGTCACTACGATGAGGACGCCGTTGACTTTCATGCCATTTCGCAGGCCGCCCACTATACTGGGCGTGGCGGAGGCATCGGCACCGGTGTCTGCGTCGATGGGGATGATGTTGATCACTTTATCCTCGAGAGCCGATACACCCACATATGAAGCGGTGTAGGCTCCGTTGGATGCGGGAAGAATCTTGAACGTCGCAACATTCCCTCTGCTGGTTCCGACAAAACAGCAGATGCTCGAATAGTCCTCGCCTTCCAGAGTCATCACGCCGAATTCGATGCTGGTCGCCCATTCTGGAGCAGCGTCATCCGACCCGCGAGTCTTCCGGAAACTGCTTCGCTTAGACGCCTTGACGAAGTCAGATAGGCGTGCAGTGTGAATGATTGCCGGACCACGCAGGTCAATGATGACCAAACTGCCGCCCTCAAATCCGGCAGCAACAAAGCCGACTTGGCTATGCTTCAGCGCTGTCACCGGCCCTTGTTGCATATTCAGAAGCGTCAGTGGGAGCAAGCCCTGCTTCAGACCAGGGTCTGTCCGATGAGCCACCGGTGTCAGCTGGCCAGGACCTTGATTGGTACCTGCAGCCTCCTCGCGCCCGTATGAGCCGTTGTTCCCCCAACGGAAGATGACAACTTCTCCGCTTCGGAGACCAAGTGACAGCTCGCCTGCTGAACCCGCCAAGGATATTTCGGTGACTTCGATGTTGCTGACTCGACCCACGGCGCGTGCCAGATCGACCTGAACCACGTCGCCGTTCTCAATCTCGTCATCATGCCCAGCATCCCAAAGGCGAACGGTTCCGTCGGCATGTGCGGCCACCATGATATTGCGGTTCTCGAAACGTTTGAGCGGACCCTTGGCCTCGGCGCCGCCCATTAAGAACTTGGGTCCCTGCAGTCTGCGCTCCTTCAAACCCAGCCACGTTGAACGATCGACTGGTATCAAGGCTGCCTTGTTCACAAATGGTTGAACAAGAGAAAGATACGGGTGAAGCATGTTGGTGGAGGTAATTGCGTGGCCGCTGGGGAAGCTGAGCGTCATCAGCTCGCCGGACGACAATACAACAAGGATCGCAATTGGGTCGTGAGCGCCACTGAAATAGGGAGAGGTGCGGGGGATGAGGCAATAGTTGACGACTTGCGCACCTGGGGGGACCGAAAGATTCAGGGTTTGCCGTGGCCGTTCAAAATAGCTCGTCAGGATTTGCCAAGAAGAGGTCTGATAGTTGGGAGTCGTGCCCATGTCCAGGAACGTGAGGCCCTTGTTCACATCATCGGCAGAGTGACCGCCAGCCACCAACAGACCGGTGTCGTCAGGGTTCTCCTTTGCACACCAGGTGACCTTGGCGATAGGCTGCTTGGGCCCTCCAGATGAACCAGGTCTGGGGGCAGAAGCGCCTGGCTGGTCGATATTGACCGTCTCGATCGTGCGGGCATGGAGCTTGCGGCCATCTTTCGAGTCCCAGAGGACGAGACTACCATCTTCGTGAACAGTAAGGACAAATATCCCGTTTGGATGCCAGAGGGCATCAATCAATCTGGGCCGGCGCACGGTGTTGGACGGCATTGGAGGGTCTCCGCCCACGGCGCCCGGAGGGATCTCATAGATGAAGTACTTTTGCGCAATATTTTGCTTGAACGAGAAAGTCACTGCGCCTTCGGGATAACCCACGAGGATTTTACCAATATCCCGGGTGGAGAATGCGAGCGACACGACGGGAATGAGCCTTGCGCGCGGGTTGCGCTCCTGCCACAGGTTCGGGATCTTGAAGGGCGTCAAGATTTCTCGGTCGAGGTCGTATGCAATAATTTCACCTTTCCAATCAGTCAGTCGGTAATTCCGGAACCCTCCACCGCTATAACCTACCATTCCCCAGACCAATGAATGCGTAATCCAGGCTCGGATCCGTCACCAGGGCCGTCGCTTGGCCCGGAGGCGCATAGGAAGCCAGCCGACGGCGGGTCTCCAGTGAATAGATGCAAATTTCACTCTTGGAATCGACGCTGATGAGCTTGTCGGCGCAGAATTGGAGGAAACGGGCCGAGGCCTTGCGGGGGAACTCGAAGACGACGGAGACGCGGCGCTGGCCGAAGACATAGATCTGGCCGCTGCCAAACTGGGTATCACTGGTTCCGACGGCGACGAGGGACTGGACGGGATCGTAGGCGACCGCGCTGATCTGCGAGTTCACACCGCATCGTGCGAACTGGAGAACTTGTGAGAACGAAGATGCCTGGGATTGCCAAGAAGCAGGGAGAAACCCACGTCGTCGAGCTGGAACAAGTCCGCCGATAGGCCATCGGACAGGTCCTTCTGGATACCGGCCTGCTTGCCACGCAGGAACTGGGCCATTATTTATTTTGGGGCGTGGGGGGGTGGCAGAGAGAGAAAGACAGAGATTCAAGCTGGTTGTTCATGTTGGCTGACGCCAGGTCCCCACCGGCCCCACTAGGATCGGTTCCCCTCCTATCCGGGTCTATAGTTCGTATAGTATCTACTGTACTCCCATCGCCGCTATGCTCGCCGTCAATCGTCTCCGAGCCCCCAATTCCATTGCCTCGTCCCGGCTGCGATAATACTGGATCGTGATCTGGCACACCGATCGGTAGCACGAGTATCTGGGAGTCACCATTAGCGCCGAACAATAACAACCACGATCAGGGGGACCGACAGTAACAAACGGGTCTGTTCCTGGCTGGTCCAGGTCAAGGACAACCCAGCCCCTTCCAACACCGCGGGCGATGGCCGGTCGAAGATCTCGGCCATCAACACGTCCCCCCAGAGGGCATTGCCAAAGTCCACAATGCCCGACAGCTGTTTCGACTCTTCATCCAACAAGACGTGTGATGGGCGCCCAAAGTCCACAACCACCAGCCGAGGCAATGTGACTTCCGTCAGCGCAGACGACAGCCGACTCAGCTCATCCCGGATCTGCGCATAGGGCAGCGTGATAAACATATCCTCAGCATCGCGGAGAACCCCCTCAAACAGAGACCGAAAGGTACTCCGCCAGCACGGCTTCCCGACACCCATGGCGACTTCCTGAAGAGAACCGAATGCCGGTGCCGCATTCTGGCCGATGACGCTGGCCAGGAATCCCAGATGGCGGTCGAGGCCGCTCCGTTGGTGGCCGCTGAGTTGGTGACGCATCTCGGCCAAACTCGTTCCTCGCACATATTGCCGGATCAAGCACGCAGACGCTAATTGACTGCCGTGCGGATCGTAATGGTATAATTGTGGAATGCAGGGATTGGCACTGTGTCCCAAAAGCGCCAGGAACCTGGCCTCGGTTTCGAGAAAGAACTTCTCTCGGCGCAGAAGCGCCGTGTTGGAGAGAGGGGGGCCTTTGAGCATCAATCGATCCCCATTGGAGAGGGTGAGGAGACGCAAAGTGTGCAAATGGCCGGGGAGATGTTGGGAGCGCTGCACCCGAACTGGTGGAGGGAACAGTGGCCGCAGGACATGATTGAGGGACTGGGTTTCTGTTGAAGAAGACCGGGAATCCATGATGCTATCGACGGTCCCCTTCAGGAACGGACGGGAACATGATGGCTCGTCCAATATCGGCATTGTTCGCGAGAATAATTAATCCCAGCTCATCACCCACCGGAGTCGACGATACCTGTGCAGGATATGTACGTCTCTCCGGCGGGGCGACCGTTACGGTTCATCTCCGAGGAGATATGTAGTATGGCATTATTGTCGTAAGAGCAGAAAACATGGGCTTCCGTCCACGTAACCTTCCCCGGGACACGGGACGCAAAGCGGCCCTGACCGTTGTTCTTAGGCCTCGCAAGACCCATCCGAGTCAGGGTCTCAACCGAGACTGGCTGTGACGACCGAGTGGCAGGCGAAGACCGGGGTTAATGAGGAAAGCAGTACGCGAGACTCTCGCCTAAGAATCCCGCTCCGGGCAAAGCGGCCCCGGCCGAACTGCCAATCACAGGGCCGTCTTGCCGAATCTCCATCATGAAGGGTCGACTAAGGAGGTCTTCATCCGACACAATAATACCGACTGCCGGGCATATTAACATTTCGTGGGTTCCCTCTCCAATCACGGGGCTGTGACAAGCGAACAGACTCGCTGTCAATGCGCGGGAGAGCCGACTGCCGGTGCCCGGGCCTTTGCTCTACGGCAACTCGTTCTGGAAGCCCCGATCGAAAATACTAATTAATGTAATGCTTTATTCCTCTAACTGCCTAGCTCTCTCCTGATTTGGGTTTAGGCGTTGGCGCGTAGATTTCGGCCAGATTGTATCGTTTCAGTTGATCGTAGTCGCTCCCCACAACGCTCATGCCGATAACGTTCTGCAGAAATTGGGTTAGAGACGGCAACGATGTAATACAAGGTCCGGCATCAAACACACCTGGAGGACCGTCACCAGAATGACCAGATCGTAATTCGTCAGATCGACCGGGTGCTCTTTACCAACCACATCGGCAATGGTCTTGATGACCACATCGCGGCCGAACTTGTCATTGCCCCGTATCGTTGGCCGGATGGCGTACTATCCCAGGGGGAAATACAAATCAGCACAAGATGGAAGGGGATGACATCCCGAGGCGCAGGACCGGGCGTGTTGCCGGATCAGTGCAAGGCTCCTTGCAATTCGACTCACCTTCTTCGGCGGCCCCCCTGAATGGAAATGAGGCGCGAGGATCTCTTTGGCAAACGCCTCCAAGTCCACGCGGAGAGTCTTCCGAATCTCAGTCACGGGCGTCATGCGCTGAATCCAACGGCTCGTTTTGGTCGTTGGATTCGCCTGCGCTTCGGTACACAACCGGTGGACCAGCTGGACGGGATCGATTGATTTGTCGAGGCGCATGAATGTTACTTTCCAGGTGTTAGTTTGAGGCTGAGCTCGTGGTGATCATGCACATACCGCAGGGCATATCGAACCGAATGGGCTGCATGGAGCGCGGTTTGGCTGCGCTTGGCTTCAGGCCTTCGAGCTCCTTTCGGATCTGGGCTTCGATGTCGCCGTCATCGGAATCGGTGTCCTCGTTCTCTGCGGGTGGTGCAGTGGCTTCCATGTACTACATCATGGGCAGGTTAGTTGATGATAAGGTGGATGATGGTCCCTCCCTGTACCTGCGAGAAGACATCCTGCGTCTCGGCGATACATTTGCCTTCTTTGCCGATATCGCAGGTGACAAACACGCCCCAGTCACCGCTCTCGAGTGAGGGTCCCTTGCTCTGCTGGTACTTCCGTCCTCCCTATTTCGGTGGTCAGTCGCCGCCACGGGAGGGGCCGTTCTGACCGACCTTTTTCCCTTTGCCGGACTGGCTTGACCTGTCTGGCATGTTGTGTTTCCCGCCGACCATGCGCGTACTGGGTACCTAGACACCTCTGTGGATTGGTCGAGCACAAGTGGGGGGAGAAAATATCGCGAGAAATCAACCGGGTTTAGCGCAGTCGGTGGAGCAATGCAGTGGGAGGACCCGAAACAAGCTTATCCGATCGGCGGGTAGCCAGCCGAGGTTGAGTGTCCCTCTACTATTGCGTCCTACGTTTTGAGTTACACATTGTTTGTATGTTGGTGGAGAATGGAGAATAATATTGTGCCCATTCATCAGTGACCACTTTACAGCATCCGGCGAGGTGGACGATACCGGCGTGTAATGACATCACGGCCCAATTATGACGTCGACCAACAGTATTATTGTCACATTTGTAGCACGGCAAAGGGGAAAAAAAGGAACCAACTTTCTCATTCTCCCCTCCAACCTCATTCCACTGCTAATTGTTATCATGGTGTCCAACGACATCGCGACCCGGGAGCTCGAGAACCCCATAGACGTCGCCGACTATCTGTTCCGGCGCCTGCACGAGGTTGGCATCCGCGCCGTGCACGGGGTTCCGGGAGACTACAACCTCGCAGCCTTGGATTATCTGCCCAAGTGCGGGCTGAACTGGGTGGGCAACTGCAACGAGCTCAATGCCGGTATGTTGCTAGACACGTGAATTGTGAAGGTCAATGATTGACTCGGGGAAATAGGTTACGCGGCCGATGGCTATGCGCGCGTCAAGGGCATCAGCGCTCTGGTCACCACCTTTGGTGTGGGAGAGCTATCGGCCCTCAACGCCATCGCCGGTGCATACTCTGAATTCGTCCCCATCGTCCACATCGTGGGCCAGCCGAACACCAAGTCGCAGCGCGATGGCATGCTGCTGCACCATACCCTGGGCAATGGCGATTTCAATGTTTTCACCAGAATGAGTGAGGATATCTCGTGCTATGTGGCCCGCCTGAATGACCCCCACGACGCCGCGACTCAGATCGACAGTGCCATCCGCCAATGCTGGATCCGCAGCCGTCCGGTCTATGTGACCCTCCCCACCGACATGGTGAACGCCAAGGTGAACGGCGATCGTCTGAAGAAACCCATTGACCTGTCACTGCCTGATAACGATCCCGAGAAGGAAGACTACGTGGTGGAGGTCGTGTTGAAGTATCTCCGGGCGGCCAAGAATCCCGTGATTCTCGTGGACGCCTGCGCGATTCGGCATCGGGCGCTGGAAGAGGTGCATGACTTGGTGGTGGCTTCTGGTCTGCCCACATTTGTGACCCCCATGGGCAAAGGGGCTGTGGATGAGACACACAAGAATTTCGGAGGCGTCTATGCTGGCAACGGGTCCAACCCCGGCGTGGGCGAGATGGTTGAGTCCTCGGATCTGGTCCTCAGCATCGGCGCAATCAAGTCCGACTTCAACACTTCTGGATTTACCTACCGCATCGGACAACTGAACACCATTGATTTCCACAGCACCTACGTGCGGGTACGTTATTCCGAGTATCCGGACACCAACATGAAGGGTGTTCTGCGGAAGGTCATCCAGCGCATGGGTACGATTAGCCCGGCCTCTGTGCCTCAAATCAGCAACCGACTGCCAGACAGTGAGCGCAGTTCCTCCGACCAGACCATCACCCATGCCTGGCTGTGGCCGACGGTTGGCCAGTGGCTGAAGCCCAAGGATATCGTGCTCACCGAAACCGGTACCGCTAACTTTGGCATCTGGGACACTCGATTCCCCGCCCAGGTGACTGCCATCAGCCAGGTTCTCTGGGGCAGCATTGGTTACTCGCTCGGAGCCTGCCAGGGCGCTGCTTTGGCCGCCAAGGAACAGGGCAATCGCCGGACCGTCCTCTTCATTGGCGATGGCAGCACTCAGTTGACAGTGCAGGAGCTGAGCACGATGCTCCGTAACAAGCTGAACCCCATTGTGTAAGTTCTAATTTTGGACTCTTTCGGGATATTGACTGACAAGTGGCGCTTTAGCTTCGTGATCTGCAACGAGGGATACACGATTGAACGATACATCCATGGATGGGATGCGAGCTACAACGACATTCAGCCCTGGGACCACCTGAGCATCCCCAAGGTCTTCGGGGCCAAGGATGGCTACAAGGGATACCGCATCAAGACCCGGGATGAGCTCAACAAACTGTTTGCAGACCAGACTTTCTGCAACCATGATAGTCTCCAGGTATGTGTTTATTCTTTGCCAGCATCCAAGGGAAATGAAATTTGCTAATATATTGTTGGCAGTTGGTTGAGCTTTACATGCCTCGTGAGGACGCACCAGCCGCTCTCAAATTGACCGCCGAGGCAGCAGCTACACTAAACAAGTAAGCCCGTTTGTCATGGAGATGCCATCTCCGAGAATAGCATCACGGCTGCTCTCAGTCACAACGACGATCTGCACCTCCACTCAATTTAATTTGACTCGATCATCTCCATTCTATTTCAGTCTAGCTCTGCGAAAGAATAAAGTAAACAGTAATTTCTAATTCCTGAAATCTAGCTTGTCGTACCTAGCCCCCTCGAGAACCTCTGAAGGTGTTGTAGTTAGTTGCTGCCTATAGTAGAGCACTTGGCCCCACCTTCAACGCCCGAATTACTACTATTTAGTTCTAAAAACAACTACGAGCCACGTAGAACATAAAAAGCGATATCATGGGTTTATTCGACGATTTGTGACCGGCATCGCCTTTGGGCCGCATCGGCAGAAAAGTGAAGAACTACTTTAACGCGGCTAGTCTAGGTTAGTCGAGAAGTCGTCGACAATATTTCTTTTTGTTCTTTGTTGAATTGGGGTTGACATCTTACTTGTTTTTAGACACTGTCCGGGATGATATACAAAAGCAGTTCACCGCAAGACCGAGTATCGAAGATGATTTTTTCAAGAGAAGGTTCGATGCCTGTTATGTGGAAGATCCGCCGCGACAGTTAGTGACACCGTCCATTCCCCGCGGGATACGTACTTGATGAGCTTAGATTGGAACGAGAACAGTTTCAAAAAACAGATACAGAGTCTTCACCTGGATGTGATCTACTCGACCGCAATCCATGTCCTCTGGAGATCCTTCCTTTTCCATACCTACCACCCATTCCCATTCCCACTCGATTTTGCCAATGATCGGATCGAGTTCGATGCCTTCCACCGCTCCATGACACTACTCGTTCCCCGCCACACAGATCTGCTAGGCATCTTAGAGGGCCCTGTCTGCTACAGGCGGCACGGCTTGCAAGCTCGAAATTCTTGCAGAGCGGAGTCAGTGAGAAAAGAATTTACAAAAGCCTTGGCTATGCAGGGCAAGACTCCGTCGCTGCAACGAAAGTAAATGGGACCGTTCGGAAACCCTACAGGATTGGGGAAGGGGTTACAGCTCTGCAAATCGATCCTAAGGCTAAGGCAGCCACTCAGACGGGAGGCTGGACTGCCGGGTCTCGGTGCTTAGGCAGTGAAACAACAATCTGTAACAGGGGCTGGGAGCTTCCCCTTCATCTCGATCGCCTCGATATCTTCCGTATCTCTGGGGGTATGGTTCTTGAACAGTACAACGCGCCTCCCTTGGATCTCACGCGATACCAACAAGGCGCCGAGCAGCGCAGACTCCGTGGTCCCCAGCTTCAGGCACGCATTCAGGGCTGGGGTCCGGCACGTGACATATCCGCTCGACCCAAACAATCAACCCCGTTAGTCAGGGAATCAATCAATCTGCGCTTCGTCTCGGATCCAAGTCAAATCCATAATCGGGCAACAAACAAATTTGACAGTGAGTGCGTGCGTCCCTTTCCAGAATAAAGCCACCCACACACAGCATCTCCCTCTGGTATGTCGCCGCCCGTGGCCCCAAGTCCAAACTATTCTCCGACGCAAGGGAGTCCGTGCCTGGAATCCTCGGCGCCTGGGTCGCTTCGACTTGCTCAGATTTGTCGATCTGAGGGGGATCGCCCTGCCATCTCACCTCGTCTTTCTTTCCTTCTTCTTTCCGCTTCTTCTCTGCTGTGCAGGCCGCTGACATTAACATTCTCCGCCCCAGTTCTGGCATTTCCTCGACTTTGCTTCGAGGCCCTGGCCTTATCAGCGTGCTCTCCGCTTTTCTCACCGTCCCGCTTCCCTCTTCCCTGGTGTCGCACGAGTCCCAGCGAACAAACGATATCTTTAAACACCCCTGGATGACGAGTGCTACGGAGCGATAAGCTTGTTCCTTGAGTTCGATTCATTTTTTTTCTTGGCCGCAACGCTGTTCGCTGACCTTCAACGATGGTCCTTGCTTGGCGCTAAGTCGATCAATCTACGATGCGAGCGCGCGGGACGACGTCTTGATTTCTGTTTCGCCAGTGGCCGGGTTATCGATATCCACGTTCCAAGCGCACCTGCCTACCTACCAAAGCTGGACCTTTGGAGACGGATCGACGATGCGCTAACGTGGATATACCCTGACTACTGCCCTCTTCAGGCCCTCCTTGCACAGTGTGTATACGGACGACACCTGAGCGTTGATCGCCATGGAAAACCGACAATACATCCCAGGGCCACCGTCCTCCGGGATGCAACAACCGGGCCAACCACACCCTATGAACATACCACCACCTCCTCCGCCTCGACATCCTGTACCACCGCCGCCGCCCATGAGAACACCTGGAGGAGCAGCTTATGGCACTCATACACAATTCCAACCATCTTGGATACCTCCTCCACCGCCTCCGATGACATCTGCCCATCCACAGAATCAGCATATGAATTATGGCCGCCCTTCTACTGCTCCCTTCGCGATTCCTCCCCCTCCTCCCCCTCCGCCTCCGCCTCAAACGAACAACGCGAACAACGCCCAGCCTGACAACCAGCCACTCACATCCGCAACTTATATTCCACGGCACGACCAACCACTTACATCCGCCACATATATTCCCGGTCACGATACTATTGGCGTCGGTATTCCACCCTTGTTTGAAGCACGAACGCCGTATGAAGCATACGGCCATCAACCACGACTGAATCAAGCGCACGGCATTTCAGGTGTCGATGGCACATACACAAGAGACGACCCGACCCTTTATGGGAATGTTCACTACGACAAGGCGCAACCCTCGGGCGCAAGTCGGCCCCCCGATGTCGGAAAGTCGCCGAGCAATCGTCACAACGGGGCCGGCGACCTATCACCCAGCGAAGCCCCTGATCATTGGCCATTGGATCGAGTCCTTTTGTGGCTGGCCGTGAATGGATTCTCCGATGACTGGCAAGAAACATTCAAGGCATTGGAACTTCAAGGGGGCGAATTTCTCGAGCTGGGGCTTGGGTCTGGTGGACGAGGCAACCTTGGCAAGATGCATCAAGTTGTTTACCCCCAATTGGCCAAGGAGTGTGCCCGGCGTGGCTCTAAATATGAGCAGGCCCACGAACGCGAGGAAGGGAAACGCATGCGTAAGTTGATTCGCCAAATTCACGATGGTTCACAGGAGACCTCGGTCTCTACGCCACAGCGAACGGATCCCCCGCTGTTCTCAGCGGAGGGACTGCCGGGTTTCTACTCTAATGCCGAGCCTCGCTCTGCTGGTGGTGGCAATGACATGTATCCCGACCCGTCAGCCGCGCTGCCGGCTCCGTCTTCCGCCCAGAGGACAAATGGACAAATGCGATCTGTTACTGGGCCGCCGGCATCAGCTGGGCATGACTCTTCGGCGCATGATTCCCCTTCACGAGAATCGGCAACCTGGTTTCGATCGGAGGCATCACGAATTGCCTTGTCATCCCTCAGCGACCATAGGCGACAGAGCCCCTCAATCTCTAGCGACACGGGTCCTTATCCAGCGCCGTCTTCTTACCGCCAGGACAAGGATAGCCCGAAGAGCGGCAGTCCGGCCATGCAGCATATGTCTCCCTCTTACCCAGGGCTGAGTTCCTCGTCAGCTACAGATTTGACCATCAGACACGAACATTCCCGGGGCAATAGTACAGAATCAATTCCTGGCGTCGGTCAAGGTCATCTATCTACAGGGAGGTACTATGATTCCCGCAGACAAGGCCCAGAGGGCGCTCGTCCATCTCCCCAAGACCGTCAATGCAGCTCAGAAATATCGTCCTCGCTTCCGAGAGAGCATAGCAAGGGTATTTTCAACCTCTTTCGGAGGAAGGCCAAGCCGGACTCGAGTCATCCGTCGCCAGAAGACCAGTTTCTGGAGTCTCCAACAAGCCCAGAAGCCCACCCGAATGGACCATATCCCCCATACCTGAAGCCGACCCTCAATTCCAGCGACGTCTCTGTCGGCGAACGTCCGTCATCGACGCACACGTCGGATCCCGAGAAAGTCGGGAGGACAAAACAGACCAGCAAAGGCAAGCGGTGGATCTTGGCCACCATGGATGGCTGGAACTACCGCCTCATTGACGTGTCTGAGATGGAAAGTGTTGAGTCCCTGCGTGCCGGAATTTGCCAGAACCTTGGTATTTCGGATTGGGGCAATGCGCAGATCTTTGTCACTGAGCCTGGGCAGTCTGAGCACGAGGAACCCGTCAATGATACGAATCTGTCGCTCTATCGCAGAAACAGATGCGACCCTCATGGTTCCTTGAAGTTGTTCGTGCGAGGCACTGTTACACAATCTGCGCAGACTACTCCCCGATTTGACGGTCTGGGGGTCTCAATACCAGAAAAACCTGCCCCCTCTCCCACGTCCTTGCAACACCAGCTCCACAGGAAACCGCTGGATGGTGATGCTCTCAACAGGATATCACCACACACTCCAGGCAAACCACTAGGCTCGCCCTCGCAAGCGACGTTCAAGACTTCTCCTACCGCAAATGGTTCTCAAGATCAGACTCCCGACTCTGAGAAGGATATCCGTGCTCGCTATGAGGATCACTTGCGCGAGGTTGAGCGCAAGCAGAAGGCATATCGGAATTCACGATTGCACCCCTCGCAAGTGCCAAAAGATTCCCCGGCGAGGCTGGCATCAGAGGGACCAAAGTCATTGATTTTGACAAGGGTCGTGTTTCTCCCTATGATAAGGATACCTTTTCAAAGACCGACACGCTGAAGCCCCTTCGGAAAGCGCCGAGCGCACCAAACGAATCCAACACGCTTACCAAGGTCAACTCCCTTAGCAAAAGACCTGGTGATCGTGAGCGTGCACGCCCATCGCAACCTGTTCACACACACGGTCTTGGGGCCATGATTGCGAGCATGGGGCGCATCGGTGGTGCCGTCGGTACACCATCGTCTTCTGTACCGGTTCCTCCCAGTCCCTCAAACCGGGATAGTGCCAGCTCAGAGACGGTTACTCTAGATTCTGCTGCGTCTGCATCGAGTCAGACAACTCCGAGTAAGTTCCGGGGGATTTATTTTGTTGTACAGTTAACTAACGAGCGTTTAATCGCAGACTCCTCAAGGCCCTCTTCGAAGTTGACCTCCGAACAAGAAGCACGGAAATCTCAGGAATCATTTGCCGCTCCTTCTTCGACAACGTCATCGCGGAAGCCCTCTCTCCAGTCTCGAAAGTCGTTTGGACCCGAATTCGTGTTTGAGGAGCATGAAGTATCATTCCAGCGGCCTCCTAATCCGCCAACAACAGAGGAATCTGATGAAAGTTCTGACGACGGTCTTTGGGCAATGCGTCCGACACACCAGACTAAGCAAGCGGAGACTAGTCTTCAAAAGCAAAGGCCCACTCTCACTGTCGACACGGAAAACAACAGGGATTCAAAAGTTCGCTTCAAGTCTCCGATCGATGTTGCCCGATCAGCACAAACCTCTGGCGGGGAGACATCCGACGACAAAGAACAGAAGTCTGGTACCTGGTTTGACGCAGATGAACCAGATACGCCAGAAGAGGAGAAACCACCCGGCCCAGTGTTCGCCCGAGAAGACGTTTGGGCGAGTAGACCTCCAGTTGAGGGCGTCATTGACGATCTTGATAAGTTCTTCCCGAACATCGATCTTGATGCTCCCTACCTAGATGGGCCTCCATCGCCAAATGGCCGAGGCCCTGTCGAGCAGAAACAGGAGGCTCCAACCTCTGCTGCTTCGCACTCTGGTCCAAGTCCCGTCGATTCATCCTACGATGCGGAGTCATCGACTGTGAAGCCGAATGACGCTGGAGCTTATGCTCGTCGCGCAGTCTCGCGCAGTGGTGGCGGCCTTCAGCGGATGAAGTCTATTCGAGAGGTGGCCCAAGGCGCGAACAAGGCCAACAGGACGCAAAGTATCAGTGGGGTCAGTGGCCAAAGAGGAGGTGACATGCTGCGCCGCAGAAGCACGACCAAGATGTTTGGTGCCAAAATCATGCAAATCAGCCCTAAGCCAGGTGGTCAACTCAATCGACTCGACCCTATACCGAGTAGTAGCCAGGCTGCTGCTGCTACTACTGCTGCTGCTACTACTGCTGCTGGTAATGCTCCGCCGCAACGACAGCCCACTTTCCGTATCATCCGCGGTAAGCTCATCGGCAAGGGAACCTACGGCCGGGTGTATCTGGGCATCAACGCAGACAATGGTGAAGTCTTGGCTGTGAAGCAAGTCGAGATCAATGCCCGGATTGCAGGCATGGACAAGGATCGTATCAAGGAGATGGTGGCTGCGCTGAACCAGGAAATTGACACGATGCAACACCTCGAACACCCTAATATCGTCCAGTATCTCGGTTGCGAGCGCGGCGAATTCTCCATCTCCATCTACCTCGAGTATATCTCTGGTGGCTCGATTGGAAGCTGTCTTCGCAAACACGGAAAATTCGAAGAGAGCGTTGTCAAGTCCCTCACACGGCAGACCCTAAGTGGACTCGCATACCTGCACGACAAGGGCATTCTCCACCGCGATTTGAAAGCAGATAATATCCTTCTGGATCTCGACGGAACATGCAAGATCTCTGATTTCGGTATTTCCAAGAAAACTGACAATATCTACGGCAATGATTCCACCAACTCCATGCAGGGCTCGGTCTTCTGGATGGCCCCGGAGGTCATCCAGTCCCAGGGCCGCGGCTACAGTGCCAAAGTCGATATCTGGTCCCTTGGTTGTGTGGTTCTGGAAATGTTCGCTGGCCGTCGCCCGTGGAGCAAGGAAGAGGCTATCGGCGCCATCTTCAAGTTGGGCAGTCTCAGCGAGGCTCCTCCCATCCCCGAAGATGTATCTTTGAATATCAGTCCTGCGGCGCTGTCTTTCATGCTGGACTGCTTCACCATGTAAGACTGACTCTTCCCCCCCCTTTCTCTCTATTCATAATTGCTCGTCTAACATTTCCCCTTTCTACAGAGATACCTACGACCGTCCCACAGCTGGAACCCTGCTCACGCGCCACCCCTTCTGCGAAGCAGATGCGACTTACGATTTCCTCAACACGGAACTCTACGCCAAGATCCGCGATGTCCTTTAAATTCTTTTTCATTTCATTTTAGTTTTGCGTCATGTTTCTTTTCCGGGGGTCTCTTGCATGGAAAGATATTGTTACTACTCTGGATTGATTCGGTTTTTGGGTAAGGAGCTGGGCTGCTCTGGGTTTTTCGCATCATACAATCAATACCCTCTCCCTTTGACGTCTGGGTCAAACGCTTACTGTTGTCTGATGACTTGGTCTTTTTTTCCTATTGGGATGACCTCTTTCGTGTTTAATTGCTTATTTGCTCGCTTAATGTACATAGCATTGCTCATGGTTCATGGGCTGTGATATGATGGTAACCACAAATCTTCAATTCGGTTGAGATCTTGATGCCTTGGTACTCTAGTTTACGTGTACGTAGAAGATAGGTCGAGGGGACATTTCATGCTATAATATTCCACACCACAACCACAAGTACGCTATTTCCACATGGTATCTATGCTAACAACAGGGAAAAGAAAGAATGTAGGAAGATCCCTGAAACGGGTCAATCAACGATCTATGAAGTCCGGCTCGAAAGATCATCATCATCCTCGCCCAGGTCAGCGCTCTCAGACTGAAGACCAGCGACGCCGACCCTGAACACCCCCTCGCACCACTCTGCAAAGGTTTCGACGTCCCAGACAGCATCCTCCCGCCCCTTGCCCTTTTTACTGACGGGAAAGCCCTTGCCCTTCTCCGAGGAAGTGTACTTATCAAAGAAATCCTCGTAGATCTGGATCGTGCGGTCCTGCACGGCGCCAACAAGAGTTTCTTTCATCCGAGTATCATCGATATACTCATTCAGGATATTGCGGAGGATGGGGACTTCTTTCTCGATCGTGCGACAGGATGGATGGATGAGCTCGCCGCGCTGCAGGTTGCGCGTGTCGACGAATTTGGCGGGCAGGGAGGCGGTCATGCGTGCGGCGAAGGCGTTGATGAAGTCGTTGATAACCGTACGGAGACGCCCGTCTAGCTCGACCTTGGCGTCGAGCATGTTCTCCACGACTCGTGGGACAAGACCGTGACCGACAAGGCGCATCAGGTTGCGTGGATTGAAGAGACCGCCCCGTTCGCGAAGTTCCCAGAATGTACTTGTGACGCCTGAGAAGTCGAAGGAGACTTCCGGGGCGACGTATTCGATGTCGAAGGCGACGATTTGTTGTTTGAGGATGAGGAGGTGGCTCATGAGAAAGAGTTGGCCGTCGGCGGGGGCGGATTTGTTAGAAATGAGGGAGCTGGCGTGGTGAAGGGATAGGGTGGTTTGGTGCACGATTTGGTGCGCGAGATCGTCGAAGACTTGGGACTATTTTGCAGGGATTAGTTATGAAAACATAGCACGAGGAGGTGAGCTTACATTAACAAGGCGATATATCCGGCTGAGGAGCCATATCGCTTTTCGAAGTGTGGGATACCACCCTTTGAGTGCGGTCTGGGTCTCAAAGTCCCATTTCCCGTCTAGTTCCTGTTGAGAATCTGTATCATCGCCTTGCTTGCCGCCAGCTGTCGTCATCAAGGCATTTGCAGATGTATCTTTCTTGCCCGAGATTTGCGTGTCTGTCACGGTAAGAGACACCTGGCGATTGCGCATCGGATAGTCAATGTCTTCCGGGCGAGGCTTGTACCGCTCAATTTCATCTCGGAGGGATGCCTGGGCCCGGAAAACCAGGCGTGTCTGTACATCTTGCAGGGCCGGTTGGATCAAACTGGAGAAATCCAGATGGTTTGCATCCACTTGTTCGGTTTCGTCCTCCGGATCCAGGAAGTACCGCGTCTGGAGAAGGGTGCAGAGTTGACAGAGCTTGACAATGTCGTTCTCATGGATGATCTTGGGGCGCAGGTGATCATAGAGCGGCTCGCAGATTGTCTCCAGGAAATCGTACAATCCGCCATAGCCATGGAACCACTCCCCCCACAAATCAAATTCGTCCAAGCACATACCACGAATGTAACTGATACTCGCCCGCGCAAATGCAACAAGGTCCTTGGTCGAGCTTGGCGTCTGCGCAATCTCGCCCAGTTTCCGGCGAGCAAGCGGTATGATCAATCGTGCTCGAGTATTGGCGTAATTGGTGTGCAGTTCGTTCATCAGGCTTTGGTATTCCGCCTCATTGTTCTGGTCGGGATTGAGTGGCGGAACGGCTCTTTTCTGGATCTCGAGTCCGATTTGCTTTAACTCGGGTGCCCCAACTCTGAATTTGGCATAAAGAAGAGCCGACATGGCAGTGTCGTTCAGCGACTGGTCTGACAGCTTCTTCGAGACACTCTGATAAACTTCTCGGAGTGATGCAACAAAGTTGCCGCGGATCAGGGTGAGGGCTCGCGTTAAAAGTAACCGGTATCTGGCGCGATATACCTCGGCTTCCTTTTGCTCCGGCTAAAATTGGGAGTTAGAAGCACATTCGTCAACCTTCGCAGCCCGGTACTCACGTGAGTTTCCATGTAATCCAAACACACATCGAGACGTCTCAGCATATCGGAGAACTCGTGATTGCGAACAGTGTTTCCAGCCCCTGGAGCGTTGAGCCGTCGTGAAGCGGGATCCAAGAAATCATAGTAATGGAGGTTGGTCTGGATGCCATTGGCGAGCTGCAGGTCTCGGTCCTGCGCAGACAAAAGTCCCTCGCACTGTTTTTCGAAGTTGGATGTCTGCAACTCCACGGCCTTGAATTGCTGCGACAAGCTGGAAAGATCGTCGAGGAGGGTCAGGGTGCTCATCAGGATCTCGTCGATGTGATCCTTTGATTGCTGCAGTTCATCCAAGCAGCTCCTAGTAGAAGGAAATGCGGTCAGTTACGGCAAAGATGTTCAATTTCAATAGCACATACTGGTACTCATTGTAGCTCTCCTCGACCAGGTCATCCTTGATCCCATTGAGCCACTGGGAGAACTCCAGCTCATTGTTCCAGCTTGGGATCTCCCACTTGAGCAGACCGGGGGATTTCTCTTGTGTTGTCTCGAGACTCGTCAGTGTCTCATTGGGGGCCGGCTTGCGCGGCGGACCCGATGGCGCAGTCTGGCGACGGGCGCGCTGTTGCTTGGACGCCATGGTGCAAGGCAAGTCAGGAAAGTGTACACGCTCACAAGGTGTCCCTCGTGGGCCGCAGTTCTGCCATCGAACTCCGCCTCCTGACGCAAACATGGCGGGTGGCGCTGCTGGACTGGTACATTGACTCAAGAACAGACACACGATGCTGTCAAGTCGAGTACGTCGTCCAACGACGCACATACTACTTCCTCTGGCCTCTCCCAGACTCCCGACACGTCAGCCATTGCATGCGCCATGGCGACGATTTACGAGCTCTAAGCAAGCTCCCAGCAAGAGCTCCGAGACCCAGTCCCACTGGTTTCGCCACTCTCTCGGACTGGCAGTTGCCGGTACTGCGGTCTTTCTAGGTTATACATATGTGACAAGCGACTGGAAGGGAACCGGGGTGGACGGTGCCGCCGGCGCACAGAAGGGTCTAACCCCAATCGACTACCCCAGCTCTCAGTTTGTCCAGGAAAAGAGAAGTCTCAAGAGTCCTGGAGTATACACATGGGGGTCAAATGTCTATCGCGTGGTGGATCCGGGATCGAAAGACACCAATGTCAAGATCCCGCGACGATTTTCATATTTTGATGGCCAGGTGCTGAGAGACTTCAAAATTGACGACAAGGCCGGCGCCGCGATCACCGAGAATGGAGATCTGGTGCAATGGGGCAAAGGGTTCTCGGAGACCAACTTCACTCCAACCAAGACCCTAACCGGCAAGAGTCTGGTATCACTCTCCCTATCCGAGGATCGAATCATTGCGCTGTCTTCCAACGGCACCGTCTACTCGTTGCCGATATCCCAAATTGACCAACAGTCCGGCCCCAAGCCTCAAGAGGGTTCCTGGGTTCCCTTCTGGGCTGGACAGTCTCGTTTGAGCTATCGCGTGCTGCAGCCGGCCCTAAAACTGGGCGAATCAGTCACAGCGATCCGTACTGGGCGGGAACACGCTCTGTTGCTTACGAGCGCCGGGCGAGTCTTTTCGGCAGCTGCATCTACTGAGCATTATCCCTTGCTCGGTCAACTCGGTGTCCCTGGTTTAACTTGGTCCACCAGACCCAGCGGGCCGGTGGATTCCTGCCACGAAGTTGCGACGCCGAAAGGCGTAAAGATTGCCCAAATTGCCGCTGGTGATTATCACTCCTTGGTGTTGAGCAAAGATGGCCGTCTTTTTGCGTTTGGTGATAACTCCTTCGGACAATTGGGAGTAGAATTTGAACCAAGTCTACCCTCCAAGGACACCCCGTTTGAACTGTCTCTGCGCAGGCTCTACAAGGGAGGAATCTATCTTCCAACAGTCACCAGTATCGCAGCCGGTGGAGCAAACACCTTTTTCACCGTGGACGCTAAGCGAGTTCCGGGTCCTGGGGAAGAGGCAGCCACCATCCGTGACTTGGGTCGCGTAACCGCGGATACTTGGGCCTGCGGTCGAGGAATCTGGGGTACACTCGGCAATGGACGATGGATCCACCTGCAAGATGAACCCACCAAGGTGAAGGCATTGAGCGGGCTGAGCGAGTACGACGAGAAGACGAAACGAATTACACCGATCCATCTTCGCGATGTCTGTGTGGGCACGACCCATGTTTCGGCCGTGATGGACAACAAGACCAATCTCAAGGCCGCTACCACCGACTCACTGAGTGGATCGCAGGATTGGGGCTTTGACGTGCTCTGGTGGGGAGGCAACGAGCATTTCCAACTCGGCACCGGGAAGAGGACCAATCTGTCCAAGCCCACGTATATCGGCACCCCCGACGACACGGGCAAGACAAGCGAGACAGAAACACGACTCCAGATCATGCCGCGCCATAAGGGCCAGGTCGGAAAGCGGACTGTCAGCATGGAGCAGCGAGTGTCGTGTGGTCGGCATGTCTCCGCGATTTACTCGGGAGTGTAACACCATGTTCTATAAAATGTACATTAATTCCTGTTCTTATAAAGACTGTAAAATCTCTGTTTGATCCCTTCTCTGCCCTCTCCGACCACCTGAGTATCGTTGGTGTACAGGTATAGATCGGTGCAAACAAGACAAACATGCGCGGAGGATCGCCGCTTTCTCCAAAGAAAAAAAATTCCAGCGACACCAAACCACCACCTTTGTCCATCGCCACCATGCCTCGCGAGCAGAAGAAGAGAGGCCGCCGGGCTGAACAGAAGGCCCACAAGGACGAATCCAAGCGGAAATACGACGAAGCCCCCGAAGAACCTGCCGCGAAACGGATCAAGGCCGACGAGCCCGACACCTCCGAACAGCCTGCAGACTACATTCCCTTGGAGCAAGAAGAAAGCCAGCCAGGAGATCATGGTCCATCAGCTGATATGCCGTTTTACGGTCTACTCGACACCGAGGAGTCAGAATACTTCTCACGCGCCAGCGAAATGCTCGAACTGAACCAGTTCCAAGATGCCGAGGAACGGAGTCTGTTCGTCGACAGCGTCTACGAGGAAGCCAACGGCAAGGAATTGAAGATTGCCTGCAGTCAGGGCTGCTCTCGCCTTATGGAAAAATTGATCTCTATGTCCAACACAAGCCAGATTCGTCACATATTCGGCAAGTTCCTTGGCCACTTTCTCCACCTTGTACAGCATCGATTCGCGAGTCACTGCTGCGAAACGCTTTTTACTCATGCTGCCCCGGCAGTTATGCAGAAAGCAGCGAAGGCCCAGACCAAAAAGAAGGCAAACGAGGAAGATGGCGATGCAGAGTCAGATCTGTCGCTTGCGGAGATGTTCATGGCTGTGATTGAGGAACTAAAGGAAAACTGGGGGTACCTGTTGACGGAACGATTTGCCTCGCATACGATTCGAGTTTTGCTCCTCGTTCTCGCTGGTGAGCCGGTGGATGTGTCCTCGTCCGACTCAGTCATCGCGAGTCGCAAAAAGGAAAAGCACGGCGTCCTAACTGCGGAGGCACAAGAGGAAAGGGGTACTACACAAAAGAAGGGTGTGCCCGAATCGTTTGAGCCCGCTCTGAAGAAGATCATGAAAGATATGGTGTCGGGGCTGGACGACACTTACCTGCGAGCTCTCGCTACACACCCTGTTGGAAACCCTGTTCTTCAAGTGTTGCTATTTCTGGAGCTCTCGCATTTTGGTAAATCCAGTGCCAAGGACCCGAATTCGATCCTCCGGAGGCTGGTGCCTGACGAGTCTTTCGAGGAAGGTACAGAGAGCGCAACTTTCATTCGCGGCCTGCTATATGATCCGGTGGGTTCGCGCTTGGTGGAGACCATGGTGCGACACATGCCCGGAAAGGTGTTTAAGAATCTCTATAAGAACAACATCCGTGATCGCATCGGGTCTCTCTCTCGGAATACCACTGCGGGCTACGTGGTCCTACGGACTTTGGAGAGACTGGGGAAGGACGACCTGCAAAATGCCCTGGAACTCATCATCACAGAGGTTCCTGGTCTTGTCGAACGCTCGAGGATCGTTGTTCTCAGAGTGTTGATCGAGCGATGTGTGGTCCGTGGTGTCGACACAAGGCCTCTTGCCAATGCATTTGAGAAGGCTTACGACCAAGACCCGGCTGTTCGGCTTCGGCAGATGCTGAAACTCGATGGGACCGCGGAGAAGGCGGCTCAGGAGTCCTTGGATGAGACTAAGGAAGGATATGATGAGGAGAGGCAGAAAGAGCAGAGAGATAAAGCGCCTGCAGCCGAGAAGCTTCACGGATCTCTACTGGCGCAAGCGATGCTCGCCGTTCCCGGTCCGTTGAGTGAAATTGTGTACAGCAGCTTGCTGGCACAGCCCTTCGATTCGATCATACAGATGTCGCGAGATCCGACTGCGTCTCGCGTCCTCCAGCAAGCTCTCACCCTTCCAACTTCCACCTCCCAATTCCGCCGACAGATCACTACACGATTCCAAGGGCACATGAAAGATCTCGCCCTGAACAGCAGTGGCTCGCACGTGGTGGACTCATTATGGCCAGCGACCAAGGACATCTTTTTTGTCAAGGAGCGCCTGGCGCAGGAACTAGCGGAACATGAGATGGCGCTGCGAGATTCCTTCCTCGGCCGGGCAGTCTGGCGGAACTGGTCAATGGATCTCTACAAGCGCCGGCGCGGTGAATGGACTGGCCGCGCAAAGGGCATTGAGAGGCAGCCAGAAACCGGTGATGGCGCGCGGCCCAAGTCGAAGATTGAGCTGGCGCGGGCTCGGTTTGCTGCGCAGCAAGGAGATGGGGCGGCGGTACCTGCGTCGTCCTGAATTTCATGAAATAATTTTTTAGACCAAAAAACAGTCATGGATCTATGAAACGTTGCATACTCTAATCGCATCCACTTATTGTATACTCCCGTAATATACAACGCTGTCGCATCCGGCATTAGTGTCCATGACATCAACCCCACCATGTCGCCATCTCCGGGATCGGCTGCCCGAAACTTTTTTTTATCTTCGGCACTTCACGTTACATCCCGGTCATTGCTTTTTTGGTCTTTTTTGGCTCGGTTATTTATATAGACTGTTGGCATTCTCGTTCTATATACACATTTCCACATATTCGTCCTCGGATCTCCGATTGCATACATGTCGGACATCTCGCCGACCAGCCGCGCCGCGGAGGTGCAGAATGTGAGTTGCCGGCAATCCCTGCTGTGTCACCTCGAAGTCCTGACAATGAACATATAGCTGCTGAAAGCTGTCGAGGACCTTCTAATACCATTTATCCGCGCAGCCGACGAGAGTCACAGCAACACTTCCGTGCACAAAGTCAGCACCAATGACACGAACGGCACGAACGGCACGAACGGCGTCAATGGGCACGCTACGCCGACAGGAATGTCGCTGATAGACTACAAGAAGCCCGAAGAACTACAAAAGATCCTGCAGCTCGAAGTACCGGAGAAAGGGACTCGACAAGAAGGGCTGATCGAGGTCCTCCAGAAGGTACTCAGGTACTCGGTCAACACCTGGCACCAGGGATTCCTGGACAAGCTGTATGCGTCGACGAATGCGCCCGGAGTGGCAGCGGAGCTGATCCTCGCGACTCTAAACACCAATGTGCACGTCTACCAGGTTTCGCCTGCCCTGACGCTGATCGAGAAGTACACGGGCCAGCAACTGGCGGGTCTTTTTGGATTGAACGGCCCTCGCGCCGGCGGAATATCGGTGCAGGGCGGCTCGGCATCGAACACCACGTCCATTGTCATTGCCCGCAATAACCTCTATCCGGAAACGAAAACGTATGGTAATGGAGGGTACAAATTTGTCCTGTTCACAAGTGCGCATGGTCACTACAGTATTGAGAAGGCGGCGCAAATGATCGGGCTTGGAAGCAGCGCTGTCTGGCCAGTGCCAGTTGACAATCAAGGCTGCATGATTCCATCCGAGCTTGAGAGGCTGATTCTGAAGGCGCAAGGCGACGGCCGAACGCCATTTTACGTTAATGCCACGGCGGGCACGACGGTCATGGGTTCGTTTGATCCCTTTGACGAGATCGGGAACATCTGTCGGAAATATAGTCTGTGGTTCCATATAGATGGATCTTGGGGTGGCTCCTTTATCTTCTCTCGTCGACAGAAACACAAGCTCGCGGGCGCGGAGAAGGCTAACAGCATTGCCATCAATCCGCACAAGATGCTCGGTGTGCCGGTGACCTGCTCGTTCTTGTTGGCTGCCGATATGCGTCAATTCCACAAGGCCAACACTCTGCCTGCGGGATATCTGTTCCATAACGAAGACCCGGAGCCTGGTGTAAATGGCAACGCACAGCCCGAGCCTGAATTGGAAGCTGATTCTCCAGAAATTTGGGATCTGGCAGACCTTACTCTTCAATGTGGTCGGCGTGCTGACTCTTTAAAACTCTTTCTGGGATGGACATACTACGGGTCCGAGGGGTACGAGCAGCAAATCGACTCAGCCTGCGAGGTGGCAGCACACCTCGCCAACCTCGTCACCAAGAGCCCTAATCTCATTCTGGTCAGCGAAAATCCTCCTCCGTGTCTACAGGTCTGCTTCTACTATGCCCCCGGCAAGCAGCTCTTGCATCCACGCGGTCTTGTCCAAAACGAAACAGAGCGCGGAAAGAAGAACAGCAAGGTCACCGAGCGCATCACGCATGCGATTGTGCCTCAGGGCTTCATGGTGGACTTTGCGCCGCCCAGCGGAGATGCAAAAGCAGAGGGAGATGGCAAGTTCTTCCGGTGTGTGGTCAATGTCTTGACCACCAAAGATACAGTCGAGGCTATGGTGAGTGCCATTGAGCAGGTGGGCCCTAGCATTATCGATGATTTGAAAACGTTCAACCCGGCGATTCCTTATAAAAGACCTGGCGAGCATGGGCATGGACCTGTTGTCCACAATGTTTGAGATTATATAGCGCTATATACATTTATAGACGTTTACACTTTCCGATGTTTCTTGTGGCAAACAATATTATTTACATGACCCCAAAACACCTGCACAAAAGTCCATGAAGCTAAAAACTACATACAATATGCATTGTCTTCTGTACTGCAGTTGACGGTGGCCACAATGACAATATTACACCACAACGCTAAGTGACGGTAAATCGAGTTCCGGAAATGGCTACGTTGGACGCCATTTTCGGCGCCCGTTTTCCAGAATCTTTGTCTGGCTGCTTGTCTTCGGTTCTGGTTAGGCTGAGTCATCTATCTACAAATGCTTTCTCAGCCGACCAGATGTAACTAGTTAAGTACACGGAGCAATGCACGCTTGTTTACGACGCGTATTCATCATAATAGTGATATGGTGAGGACAGAAAGTAGTCAAAATCCCTTAGTCCTCCATCCTATTTCACACCCTCTTTTCATAGCTACTAAGGTGTCATTTTTGTGATCACGCCATTGAATATATGCTACCCACCACTTACGGTCGGATACTGACTGTCGTCAGTACTGGACTGAGAAAAGAAGTGAACAAGGTGGAGAGCTTACAGTGATGGAGGCTATTATACACAAAATGAAGTCCAGGTGGTTTCAAAATTGGATTGATTCCTCGTATGAGTAATGCAGGAATTGTTTCCACCGTTGCGGCTTGGTTCTTAGTCCATGCATATATCACAACACATACGACCATAGGCTTTGTGTCGAAAACCAGGGCTTCCCGTCCGCTCGGACGCCGTCAAGTGACATACATACCTGGTCAATTGTCAATGCACTCTAGACCCCCTGCCGCTTAACCTGATTAGAGGAGAGCTACAAATCATCACAATAGACTCCGTCTAATCACTGCTTACGGTCACATCGAGCTACGAGTAGATACGAGAGGGTAAGTCAGTCGCGAGAAAAATCATCTTTCTATCTCTCGAGGCTGCGCCTATTTCTGTAGGGGGTAGACAGAACAAATGAAGTTCATTGTCCTGATCAATGGAGTGCTTTGCAATTACTCCTCGATTCTTATCCGCAATCCATTTCTTTAGTTCAATTTTAGTCAAGTATTAAGCCTTCGGTTATTCTTGTCGTTAATCTACGAAGCGGGGATTCGGTTCCTGATTAATCTTGTTAGCTTCGGCTAGAACCCCCAAGAGGGTTAGGACCCATTGGTGTGCTGGAGGCATGGTTATCCATGGAACTTGCTCTACTGTGTACTCTCAACACTAGCAGCCAAGTAAAGCACCGAAATAAAGACTGTTAAGTGATGTTTAGACGTGCATAGAAAAGGAGCAGTGCAATTGGCTTCTCTGGCCTCCTCTTGGTTTATCCAACAAAACCACCTGGGCAGAAACAAGATCAAGTTCATCAGCAAGCTAATCTCTTATCAGTATAGGTCATGCTGCCTTCCGGCTCGCGTCCATTCCCCGCCGGAATTCCGACCGTGCGAGAGGTGATTGAACAGCGGGGTACGCAGGAGCAAAACAAGCACGATGCAACACTCCCAAAGCCCGACAGAACGTATATTAATCTCCTGTCTTCTAGTGTAGCAATCCTTATGATCGACCTGTACTTCCTGAACAGTATTGATCTTCTCTGTCGATCGTTGCTTGTAATTGTTTTCCCATCATGCATATCAAAGCCGGCTTGATAACGGGAGCTTGTCTCCTAGCGTTTACACTTGGTGCCAATGCCAAGCCTATAAACAAAGCTGCCACTAAGCAGAGCATCAAAGTCTCTTCATACAAGGCAAAGGCTTTCACATCTGCCAGTCCGAACGACGTTAGCTCCAGTGTCCTGGAGCTGACCAAGATCAAGTCTGCGAAGGGCAACAAGCGCAGTGCTGCCAGGGTTCTGTTCGGCGGCAGCACCCAGCTGCTCTCCCTGGAGATTGGTGAAGAGTTTGCAACCGAGATCGATATTGCGGGACAAAAGTTCCAGGTCGTGGTAGACACCGGCTCTAGCGATACCTGGGTCGTCGAGAGTGGATTCGAGTGTGTCTCTGTCTCCAACAGCAGTGATGTTGTTCCCGAGTCCGACTGTGCTTTTGGTCCCACATATACGTCCAGCTCCTCTTTCCATCAGATCTCTGGAGAATTCTTCAACATCACATATGGCGATGGCGAGTTCCTAAATGGCATCATGGGCACCAATCAGATCACGCTAGCAGGGATAGAGGTGACCCAGGAGATGGCTCTTGTCAACTATGCTGGGTGGGACGGCGATGGTGTTACTTCTGGACTGACGGGTCTTGCATTTCCTGCTCTGTATGTATACTTCCCTCTCCAAAGCATCCAACTCCCGAGCTGACGTATTCAACTAGCACGAGTGCGTACTCTGATTCTACGAAAGAGCAAATTGAATACAACCCGATTTTCACCACCATGTATGAGGAGGGCAAGATTTTGCCGCTCTTCAGTCTGGCCATCCTTCGTGATGTCTCTGGCCCGTCTGGATATCTTACCCTTGGAGGTCTTCCTCCAATCGATTTCGTGCCCGACTTCACCAGTACACCTATTTTGATTACCAACATCCAGGGGTATCCCACTTCCTACGACTTTTACAGCATCAATATTGATGACCTCAAGGTGAACGGCAAGAAACTCATCGCTGCTGGAGGCTCTAGCATTCAATACATCGTATGAGTTTTCCCTCTCAGTGATGAACTGTCGCACGGATTATGAACAAAGTTGCTGACTGTCCGCCGTGCTCAGGTTGATTCTGGCACCACTCTCAACTACTATCCCACGGAATTTGCCAACCAGGTCAACGCCGCGTTCGACCCTCCGGCTGTCTACAGCGACGCCGATGGTGCCTACATCGTGGACTGCAACGCCAAGGCACCCCGACATGGTGTGACCATCAACGGCAAGACCTTCTATATCAATCCCCTAGATATGATTCTCGACGCTGGAACAGATTCAAATGGCAACACAGTTTGCATCAGCGGCGTTGATGACGGCGGTGCTATCTTGACGCAGGATGTCTTCATTCTCGGCGACACTTTCCAGAAGAACGTAGTGTCGATCTTCGACGTCGGTGCTGCGGAGATGAGATTCGCCCCCCGGGAATATTATTCTTCTAACGATGATTATTGATCAGTGTGAGAATAGGAAAGTAAAGCGTCAATGACCATAGCTCGATACATATAATACGATAGTATCAAACTGAAGACCTCTGGGGATTTTATACAGTATGATTTATACTTAGAACACGATAATCCCAAAGACAGAATTGTCAGCCCTAAACATTCCTTCCCTCAACACGACAACGTATTCTCACCGAGCCTAAGTTATATTCCATACGAACTCCCCTCCCCCATGGATATCTACGCGGCAGTTATGCAGCATGAATTCTGATTCCTTCGACCCTAATTTCGACCCCGATAACTCCTCCACCTTGTACCTGGAGAGGCTCCCGCCACAAAATATTTTGAGAATGTACGAGAACTACGGCGCTGTTCACGGGCGATTCACGTGGGAGGCTCGACAACAGGAGAAGATTCTCAATACTTACACCAAGATTTGGGGCACAGACGAACTTCTTGTCTCCTTCGATGAACTGGACATGACCTTACTCGGCCTCATTGCGCCCCAGACCTACTGGCTAGCTATGGCCGGAGAACTTGGCGAGGACTGAGAAGTATTTCCCAAAGCATTGACCCGAAGGGTGTCTTTCAGAAACTCCAGCACGATGGGTGGTTGGTTACCAAAACAGTCTAAGTTCCAGGCCATGTGTAGGGACGGAAGTTCAGATTGAATGTCTACTCGCCCTTCATCTGCTTGCAAGGTACAGTCATATGTAGATTGCATTATTCATGGATCAATGGCTATATATGACCCTAGCTTACAAGGTGAAGCTAACCACCCATTTCAGCGCGGCGTTCCAGCACAGATCGCGCCTCGGCATTCGTTAACAGATCAATCTCCAACTCTGCTAACACTTCTCGAGCACTGTCGTTGTCCTTGAACAGCCTCTTCTCCACGTCCCAGAGGCCCAACACAACGGGGGGTCCATCACCAGCTTCTTGATTCGATGCCGAGGCATCTAAGCCCAGGAGCAGCAGTCCCTCGTTCAGTTTCTTCATGGTTCGCAGCGAGTCGCCGGCTTGACCAGTCGCTGCGAGAGCACCGTCGACCACACTGCACAGATGACCGACGTCGCTGGCCAGCTGGGCTGCGCCGCCTGCGGAGAAGGTATGCTTGGTCAGCACGTTGTCCCAGATGTACGTCTGGATAGAAAGCAGAAGCTGGCGGGAGACGCGGCGGAGAGGAGCCATGCCCAGAACTTGAGCGAGGAAAGAAAGCTGTGTGGACAGCGTGCGCATTGCATGCGCTAGATCTGATGACGGCGACAAAGGAGATCCCGACGTAGACGCCGACAACGTTGTCCACGTAGACACGCGGGAGTAGGGTTTCAGAGCCGCGACGATGTTGGAGGACAGGGTAGAAATGATGATGGTTTCTGAGCGTAGCCGGAGCCGTCGGTAGGCCGAGGCTGTTTCATCGAAGAGGGCCCCGTCTGCTGATGCGAGGGCCCCGTTACTGCTGGCGACAGCGGGCGACGTGCGCGATGCCACATCTGCAACGGACATGGAGCCGGCAACGTTTTGGCCGTCTTGGTTCTGGCGGACCCGTTCTTGAAGATCGGACCAGAGCTCAACGAAGAAGATATCGTTGCCCCAATCCTCCATCTTCTTTTCCAGGTACTCGGCGCTTCCGAAAACCCTGCAGAGCCGCTCCAGACCGGCAACACCCTCCACACTGGCTTGGCCATCGCCTCGTTGCACGGTGCGCCCTAACGTAGAAGTCATGGCCAAGTAAGCTTCGAGGGCAGAGTGAAGGCGTTCATGGAACTGGTCGAAAATCGTAATTTGAATGTCAATGAGGAATCGCAATTTTTGGCTGAAAGACGAAAGTGGTTGGTAGCGGTCCGTGATGGTCTCCAGCAGATCGTTCACCCGCATTGCGGCCTTCGTCGGTTTAGTCGCTGTAATTTCCAGACCATCGTAGTCGATTTCTCCACTGTCAGGAGTGTCGATAATGTCCTTGTATCGAGCCAACGCGAAGTCCTTCTCAACCTGCAGCCAACGATCGTACCATCCTTCCTTGGTCAGAACCTCCCACGTCATACCCTTCCAGTTATCGTCCGCATATGGATCTGGCATGTAGCTCCAGGATTCCCGGACTTCATTGTCAAAGTCCATCAACTCATGGATGAAGTGGCTGAGCAATTGAGGGTGGTTGGCAATTTGAGGGAGGAAAGTGGCAATCTTCTGCCTGAGCATTGGCAGCAAGGCCGTGATGAAAGCGTGCGATGCATTATAGAAATTCCATTCCAGGCTTGGTCCCAACTTCTGTGCATTTTCATCAAGGATAGGCTGAAGATAGGACGCGAAGAAGTCGCTGTGTTGATTGATCAGGTCCATGATGTGTGACAGAAAGTACTCGGGCTGGTGAGCAGTTAGATAATAGCACATTCAACACGCGGCTATGGAAACTTACCTTGTCCAGCCTATTTGTGGGCTTATCGCCACTGAAGTGATATTTGAACCGGAGATCCAGTGCATGCACCATGACTTCCAACGGGAAGAGGACGGGCGGCTCGACGGTCTGTCCCACTGCGACAGCATCACGCTGTTGCAGCTCCCTAAACAGTCATAAGTATCCCATAATCCGTGGGTTTGCAAGTGAGGTATTCATACGGTGCTTGCAGGTCAATCAGGAGCTCGACGTCTTGTCTCCATTGGGCCAGAAGGTCATCAGTGATATCCAGTTCCCTTGCAGGCCACTTCATCAACTCGAGTGTCTTTTGCAGTCTGTCTCCAAAGTATGTTTTCATCTGCTGCTTCAACGCGGACACCAGCTTTTCCGTATGGTCAACCAGATGAGGCGCCGCGCCTTCTGCAGCAGGCTGCGCTTCTTTTAGCGACAAAACGATCTTCCGCAGTCGAGCGTACGGTTCCAAGGCGGCACGAGGTGCGGAGGAAATATTCTTGAGGGTTTCCTTGCTGAATTGCCAGTGTCAGTCTTCTCAGGACCATGAGGAGAGCCGTCTCCATACCTCAATCCATCGGCTTCCTTCAGTAATTCCACGTATCCCTTGGACAGTTCCAGCCTCCGGAGCCGTTCCATGCTCGACTCCAGGCTCCGCACCGCTTCATCACTGGTGTCCGACTGTGTCATGACCTTCAGCCGCCGGTCGATGTCGGCCTGCTCGTCGGTGAACGCCTCGGCTCGTTGCCGCGTGGCTTCGGCATGGTCTCTGGATGCTTTGGTCGCGTTGGAGAGAGCTTCGTGGGCTTCTGCGAGCTAATCGATCGGAAATTTCCATGAGCCATGTGCGTGTTGAGGGGATTGGGGATTGCATGCAATTCAACCGTACCTGTTTCCGTTGGAGCTCCTGCTGCGCGTGTAGACCGGATAGCAGCGAGTGCAGGCTCTCGAGGTCGGCGGAGACCTGAATTTTATCGTTCAAATAGTCCTGGACCCGCGCGCGTTCGTGCGACGACAAGCTGGCGGCCATTGTTGTTGCGGAGGGAAACCGATGCGGGAGCGCAAGGTGTCGCTTTGCTTGGCTTTTGGGTTCTGGGCGGGATGGACTATGTTGGTTACCTCATACCCTCACTACTTACTTCACTACAACACAGAGCGATGCCCAGCCCAGCCAAAAAGCGCAAGCGCGATGCAGCTGACTCGTCGCCGCAAAAAAGTATCGCCTCGTTCTTCAAGGGCCAAGCGGCCCAACAGACCAGAGCTGAACCCGTCACCGACCAGGCCGTCTCGGATGAAGCTCTAGCGCGCAAGCTCCAGGCAGAGTGGGACCAAGAAGAGCGTGTTTCCTCGGTCGCAGAACCAGCAGCTGCTGTTCCAACAGAGCGTTGGACAGACACAGCTCCGGCCGAGCCTCCGATAGCAGCAGATGTGCCTACGGTAGCTCCGGTGACGCCGAAGAAGCACACGCTGTCGCTACAGTCGTCGACAGGCACCGAGGACACAATATCTTTGTCAGTTCCTCTAGACCAAAGCCCCCAGTCTTTCGATGCAGCCAAATACGCCAAAGAGCTGCGGTCGCATTGGACGTCCGAGGGCGGCGATGCGTCGTATGCCTTGCTGACGAGGGCTTTCGTCCTGGCCAACGCCACAACCAGCCGAATCAAGATCGTCGATACACTGGTCAATTTTATCCGGATCTTGATCGAAGGAGACCCGTCCAGTCTTCTTCCTGCGGTATGGCTGGCAACCAATTCTATCTCGCCTCCATATGATGAACTGGAGCTTGGACTGGGCGGCTCCGCCATCTCCAAGGCCTTAAAGAAGATATACGGACTCGACAATCAGGGGCTCAAGTCCCTCTACGATAAGCATGGCGATGCGGGCGATGTCGCGTTCGAGGCGAAGAAGCGCCAGGCTTTTACACTGGTCAAGCCGAAGCCACTCAAGATCAAGGGTGTGTATCAATCGTTGATGAAGATTGCGATGAGCAAAGGGACCGGCAGCCAGGAAACAAAGCAACGAATTGTCGAGAAACTCTTGCAGGATGCGCGAGGCGCCGAAGAGAGCCGGTACATTGTCCGGACTCTCGTCCAGAACTTGCGAATTGGAGCCGTGAAAACTACCATGCTAATTGCTCTGGCGCGAGCTTTTCTCTACTCCAAGCCAGCGGGCGTCGAGTTCGCCGTCAGGCCTCAGGAACTCGCGCGTCTGAAAAAGGACGAGCTCACTGAAACATACAACAACGCAGAAGAGATCGTCAAGGCGTCGTACGCCCGACATCCTAACTACAATGATCTGGTCCCGTGTTTATTGGAGATTGGAGTTACAGAAGAACTGCTCGTGCGATGCGGTCTCGCGCTACATATTCCACTACGGCCGATGTTGGGCAGCATCACTCGTGACCTATCGGAGATGTTAACCAAGCTTCAAGCAAGAGACTTTAGTTGCGAGTTCAAATATGATGGGCAGCGCGCACAGGTGCATTGCGACGAGCAAGGCAAGGTGTCCATTTTCTCACGCCATCTCGAACTCATGACAGAGAAGTATCCGGACCTGGTGGCGCTCGTCCCCCAGATCCGAGGCGAGGGCGTGTCCAGCTTTATTCTTGAGGGGGAGGTCGTCGCTGTTGACCAGAAGTCGGGCGATCTCCAGCCCTTTCAGGTGCTGACCAACCGCGCAAAAAAGAACGTGGAAGTCGGAGCCATCACAGTCAATGTGTGCTTGTTCGCGTTTGATCTGATGTATCTCAATGGCGAGCCTCTCCTGGACCGATCTCTTCGCGAGCGTCGCGAGCTCCTCCGAAGTTTGTTCGTGGAGATTCCCAACCGGTTTACGTGGGTGAAGAGTCTGGATGCCACGTCCGCCGACTCGGAGGCCGTGCTGGATTTCTTCAAGAGTGCTACTGATGCAAAGTGCGAGGGTATCATGGTTAAGGTGCTAGACAATGCAGTCAAGCCAATCAATGACGCTGATGCCGGGCCTATTGAAGCCAGCGAAGCGCCCGCCACAACCACGAAGCAAAAAAGCACGCGGCGCAAAGCGCTCCTCTCAACCTACGAACCAGACAAACGCCTAGAATCATGGCTAAAGGTGAAAAAAGACTACAGCACCTCCTCGGAAACGCTCGACCTAATCCCGGTCGCCGGATGGCACGGCCAAGGCCGCAAAGCGAAATGGTGGTCCCCGATCCTGCTCGCGGTGCGGAACCCCGAAACCGGCTCCCTCGAAGCCGTGACAAAATGCATGTCCGGCTTCACGGACAAATTCTACCAAACTATCACGACCAAATACGCCGAGGGCAGCACGAATGTCATCTCGCGGCCCAGTTACGTCGAGTACCCCGGCTCGCCGGATGTGTGGTTCCATCCACAAGAAGTGTGGGAGATGGCCTTTGCAGATATCACGTTGAGTCCGACGTACCCCGCGGCCATAGGGCTGGTTAGTGACGAGCGCGGGCTGAGTCTGCGGTTTCCGAGGTTTCTGCGCGTGCGCGAGGATAAGTCGATTGACGAGGCGAGCTCGGCGGATTATTTGGCGTTGTTGTGGCGGAAGCAGATGGAGAAGACGGCGGCGGCGGCTAGTAGTAGTCGTGCTGATGACGAGGTATATAATAATAACAATAATAATCTTGATACTGTACAGCAGGGGTGGCAGGAGGAGGACTGAGCGGGCGTTGCAATGGCACGTCGTCCGGGGGGCGGGTTGCGCCATCTGCGTGGCTTTTCGGATCGGGACAATAATATATACAGTCTATTTTCAGAATCACGACATGTTTCCTCTCCCCTGTAGTTTATGGCCGAGTTTACACTAAAACTGTACGCAAGGCCATATTTGGGCTATCCAATCAACCAGCGCAGGCGAGTCTTCACGATCCATGGTTGATGACATCATCCATTAAACTATTTTCGGACTAGCGCAGACGCGAAAGTGACGCGAACAGAAACAGGACGTGTTGGGGCGGAAGGACATAGGTCATTGCATTTGCTCAGGGAATTCGTCAATGCTCGTAAAGACACGGGGAGGACTGCGAACATGGCACATAGACATCAGATGGGGCATGTTCAGACAAAGGAAAGGAGGAGTGCAGAGACGCACACACACACACAAAAACACGAGACAAAAACGCCAATGGATGCTGGGGAGGTGCCGGGGTGCTCTCACGATGCAGGGGTTTGGAGGAGAATTTGTGAGGATGCATAATAGCACGCGTAGAAAACACACAGACCTCGTCCCATCCCGGTTGGGGGACATGCAATGGGGAGTACAAAGAAAGGAAAACACCGACACTGTGTACAGAGCGTAATCATGAAGCCGTCATTAATAGGGGTGTTCGGGTGCGATACGGGAAGAGAAAAGAGACAGAGGGTGCTTAAGGGTGTAGTTCACCACCCAGCTGCAGGGCAAGGCCCGCATCCTTGGTGCGCAGGCGGGGACTCGAGGTATTGGGAGGCGCGAGGTTATCAAAATTCAGGCGCTTGCGGGCGTCCCGGGCAGTCAGTGGCGTACGGGACGCATTGCCTGGAGTGCGATTGCCCCAGGCCGGCTGGGCTGGGGATGGGGTGACATTGACAAAGTCTGCAAAGTTGAATTGCTGGCCGGGAGTCCCAAAATTAGGGAACGGACCGCCGCCGGGAGTCGGGGTCAGGGACGGGAGCACGGCGTGCTGGCTAGGCGGCGTCGATGGGGGGAAGGCCTGGGGCTGGCCAGATGCCACACGGGCTGGAGTGGGGGAGTTGGCTAGGTACAGCAGCAGGTCGGCGCCATCCTCGTGCTTCAGAGCGCGGTCGGATCGGGACAGTCTCGAGTGCCTGGGGGAGGTGTGCGTGGCGGCGAGGAGCCGGCCATCGAACTCATGTTCCGGAAGCTGTGCAGGGGCAAGTCTGGGTCGTTTTCCTCGTCCGACGGGCCATGGTATTGGTATTGAACAGGGGAGGACAGCTCGGGGATCGGGGCCTCGGACATGAAGGAGACCGGGTGATGATGGGTCTGCCGGTGGGTGGCCGGCGAGGATTCGGGCAGCCGGTACGAGCTCTTCCACGAGACACGGGGTGCCTTGGCCGGGCGTTGGCCAGTGATCGAGTCCGTCCGCAGCCGCTTTCGGCTGGCCGACAACATGGGCTGCATCACACGAGAATTGAAGGTCACGGCATGCTTGTTGCGGGCCGACCGGGGCAATTCCTTGGAGTAGGTCGCGGCTCGTTGGGGAGGAGAGGTGAAGGGCGTCTCGCAGCGGCTGCGAGAAAAAATGGACGACGAGTCGGACGGCTTGTCGCTGTCAAAGTCGAGCCGAGGGTCGTGGAGACCGTGTAGTCGACCATGCTGATACTTGAGCTTGGCCAGGCCTAGACGGTCCTGCAAGCTGAGGGAGACCTGAATGAAGGGTCGGTCAGTTGGGGTACATTCTGCAGGTCGTATTTTTTTTTACCTGGGCAATGTCGATTTTGCGGATGGTCTTCTCGGCAGAACCAGGCTGGGACAGAGCCATGGAGGGCATGGAAGTGAAGAGGGAGTGTGTCGAAAAAAAAGGATTGGAGGGGAACGAGGAGAGAGAGAGAGAGAGAGTGTGTGTGAGTGAGAGAGAGAAGAGCAAGGGCGGCTGGGAACACGGGATTTGTCAAGTTCAGCTGCCCTCGACCTACTACTCACTTGTCCCGCCAGCACGTTCTTTTCTTCTTCTTCGTCTTTCTTTCTTTGTTAATAAATGTTGGTTGCCGATGACGGTTTCCCCTGAATGGCCCTGAATGGAGAATCTGATCTATCGCTCAGGTCTTTGTCAGATGCCCTGTTTTCTCGCGCCCATAGTTAACTAGGCCGCGAACTAACTCCTCCAGCCTTCCGTGGGTCCGTTTCCCCGTGAACGCTTGAAGAATGCAAATTCCCATCCCTCGCTCCGTCGATACTCGCTCCATCGAGTCCATTGGTCCCTATCCATGCGATCGATGGCAACGTGCTCCGATCCCTGTGTTGGGACCATGTCACCAACAATGCATCTCTCGTCGCCCGGACTGGCCAAAAATGCCGATTGATTCGAGTCCTATTGTTGCTAACTAATCCATTCACGAACGATGACATCGGATTATATGCTATCCGGTGTAGCATTCATTGTCCTGGAGTGATAGTGAAGGGGGTACGTAATCGTCTGAGACAGTGAGATAGCGCAGGCAATTAATTTACTCGCCTTATGATCGGACGGGCGAAATAATCTTCTTCTTGCACAGCCGGTTTTTCTTTTTTTTTTTCCCTTTCTTCCTTACTCTGTCCCCCGTCTTCCTACTCCCATCCCCTTTCCAATCACCTGGCGGGGCGTGCCATCCTCAACCGCCGCAAACGGTCGAGCTGTCCTGTTCCTGCCACTTCAACCACTGCTGACTGCGCCTGCTTCTGCCTGACGTAGCGTACCGGCTAGGGTAGTACTTGCCAGGTACTCTTTCAACGGCCTTGTCTCTCCTTCTCTTCTTGCTTTCCCTCCCTCTTTCTTGTATCATCATCTCCCGCCATGCCCTTCTTCAAACAGCTGCGCCGTCGCTCCAAGGCCAGCTTCCATACCTCCTCCAGATCCACCGACGCCAAATCATCACACAATGTGGAGATGGTTACGGGCAAGTCGTCCTCAACCATCGACACCTCCTCCTACGACTCCATCACTCCGCCTTCGTCTATCAAACCCAACCTGTCCTCGCCAAACCTGCCCTCGTTGACCGAGCTCAATGGCGCCACCACCCCGGTGCCTCCCCCACCGCAGCAGCGCCCGGGACCCTTTGCGACCCATTCGCAGCGCAACAGTATCATCGTATGTCACGGATTGGGCGTGGTCAAGAGTTTCGGCTGATTGGTTTTCACAGGGTAGCAGCACGTCCTCGGTCAACGGCGTGTATCGCTCGCCAACACCCAGCTCGCCGTATGCGCCGCGAATTGTGTCCATTGCCGACAATTCATGGGTATTGAGACCATCTCCGATCATCAAAGACATACTGACCTTGCTTCCAGGTGCACCAAAAAGTACTGCTTGTATATGGCCAGATCGGAGATCCCCGAAATCATCCGCTGGACGGAGGTGTCACGGTGAACCACCACCAAGAGAATTTCCCCGCGATCGGCTGGCCGGTCACAGCATCTCACTTCAAAGCTCTGATCCATTTGGTCCCGGGGCCGAATCGCCTGCGGCTGGACTTCATCTCGCCGAAACTATCGTCTGGAAGTACCCATCCGGCCGTTCATTCCACACATCTCTGCATCAACTACCTCCCACTGGTTAACACGCCTCCATTGCAGCTGGTGATTCTCCTGGGGAAGGATTCGGATGGCACGTACGATGCGGTACCCGAGAGAGCGCAGCGCGAAGGAAACGGGCTGGACATGGCCATCCGGAAATACCGAACGGCGGCATATCTCTGGCAGGCGTTCACGGGGGAGCAGATGTTCCGCAAAAACTTCGGCCGGCGTTGCTTCCGGTTCGAGGAAGAATGGCAATCAGGAACACTCAGTCGCCGTGATGCAGCGACAGGCAACATGCGCAATGAGGCCAAGATTCACATCGTTCGCACGGAGAAAACAGTGGCAGAGCTCCGGGATCTCAACATCGCTCAACAAAACAGCAAGGCCGAACACAAGGATGAACTATTCAATATCGCCAAGGAAGCAGTGCGAAACCATTTCCAACCTCAACCCGGGCAGAAACAATACGTCTCCGTGCTCTTGCTCGATTCCCACTGGGACACGGGTTCGCAGACCATTACCGGCCATGCAGCTCTTGGCTCGGCTGGAGACGATATCAAAATGGCTATCTTCGGATCTCACAGTCTCCAGAGCTATCCATCGTGCTTGGAAGAGGTGGTGGACGCATTTTCGGACTGTACCCGGACAGACACGAACCATATTGCAAACGACTGCGGCGAAGCAGGTTCCAACTGGGAGTCTGCCAACCTTGGCATCGGGGCTCACCTGCACGAGGTAGGTCATCTTTTTGGGAGCCCCCACCAAGAGTCCGGTATCATGCTCCGAGACTATGTGCGTCTAAGTCGCTCTTTTCTCACCAGAGAGCCCTTCTCGACCCGGACAAAGACACAAGGCTTAAAGGTGTGTTTGCCGAATGATGAATGTGGCTGGCATCGGCTCGATACACTGCGCTTCCGATTTCATCCATGCTTTCGTCTTCCCAGCGACTCCATCGTCAGTACGGACGATAGCGTGCAGGTCTGGCCGGTCGAAAACGGCAAGATCTTGTTTACTGCCTCTTCGGGGATCGCCTTTATGGAACTCTACGCGGAGGGGGACGCCTTCTGTCACAACTTTGTCGAGTACCTGAACACGGAGATGGGCAGCAGCAACGGTCTCCCGAAGCAAGTCGCGGCGACCGAGAGCGAGCTCCGCCAGCGCATTTTTGGCAGCGACAAGGAGAAGAAAAAGAAGATTCGGCTGGTTGTGTTTTCTGGGGCTCTCGGAAGCTACACCGTTGAAGACCTCAGCCAACTGAAGTCGAAGAAGTCCCTGGTCAAGCTCCCCAAGGGTCAGTCCGGCTACAAGAGCGGAATGCTAGGCCAGTCAACCATGGAGGGCAGCGCTCCCGAACAGTTGTTGTTGGATTGTGCCTTTATCAACACCAAGCTTATGACCTCGATCAAAGTCTATCATGGGTACGCGGTGGATGGGATTGAATTCTGCTACGAAGATGCCACCACTCAACTCTTCGGGAAGCGTGGAGGCAAGCCCGGTGGTGATGAGTTTGTACTGGGTAAGTTGGCCTCAAAGTTTCTGAAGCATCCGACCGTGACTGATCAGCTCCTAGATACTCGGCGGGGGAAATTCTTCTTGGATTCTACGTTCGTGCAGGACTCTGGATTGATGGCATTGAGATTCTCACGAGTCTTGGGAGGAAATCGGGTGTGTATGGGAATGCCGCCGGCGGATCTGGGTATGGTCCCTCGTTTACTTTCAAAGAAGAAAACCTACTGACCAGCCACTCCAGCCACACTCTGATTCCACCTCTGGGGTATCGAGTCGCAGGCATTTCCGGCTCCTGCGCCTCATGGATAGATGGGTTTTCGTTGATCATTGCGCATTAGCAGTCTTGCATGACGAAATCGGCGTTGAGGGTGCGGGGTGTGTGTGTTTGATTGTTTGCATTGCTTCCATTCGCAACGTTCGGTTTCTCTGCTTTTGATTCTTACCCCGGTCGCAAGTCCGGATTTACTCTGTTTATAGTATGTTTTCTTTTCTCTTTGGCAGTCACACCTCGGGCGTTGTTTCCGTCATGGCGGGCATTTCTTCTTTTTTTTGGGCAAAGCAGGACCTGGAGGTCGGATACACCATGGCGAACATTATTGTCACTATTGTAAAAAGAACATCATTCATATCGGGCGGGGCTCATCCATCTGACTGTTAAACATCATCGTCGGTTTACCCGTAAGGCTGAGTCGAGATGCTGAATGCTCATTGGTCGGAAGTAGCAGCAACCAATGAGAGCCAGCCGGTCTCCATTTAGGGGTGTTGTGTGGAAGTGGGTAGTTATATCCGATCGATTATTATTGAATAATGAGCCCACGAGGAATGTGAACTACGTAACTCCTTCCCCATCCACCCACGACAATGGACGTCACAGAAGAAGCATCGATCTTCCCGTCCTCCTGACCGCGTTACGTTGGTCGGTGTTGATCCTGCAGTCTTACCGTACTCATATCTCTCCCTCCAAATTCGCCACACTTTCTCCGCGGACGCTTTCCAGCGCCCGTTATTCGCTTCCTCCGATCCTCCCGATCCGTGAGGAGCATTCCACTCCCCACCGTGCTTGGCTGTACAATGCTGCTCTATTCGGTGTGCCTTGTGGAAAGGTGTCAGAAATGACGGATGGATGAGATTATGGTTATTAGTTAGTTGAGATGATCTATCTATTCTTGTGACCGCCACAATCTCAAAAAGACCGCATGGAATCTTCGATGGGCATTCTGCCATGCACTGACTAAGCACCAGCACCGTCTTGGATCATTAGTCCGACAAATCCACAGTGGCGACAGCGGTGGACATACAACCTCACCACGGACACTCTGACTGGCTGTGGATTGCTGTGATGGGTGACTGGATCGCAATCCCCGCTCTCTGACCCTCTTTGAGGTACATATCTATCTCGCTGCCTGAGTCTTACTTAGCCACTTGGGAGCTCTTTTGGAAGATCTGCGCGCCCGGTGCTGCTCGTGCTCTAATTACAGTACCTATCCGAAGATAAACGGTGTACACTCTGCATGATCGGCGGTCGCACACGCGTAGGATGGGGTACTATTGGATGCTGGTGAAAGACCCTTGATCGTGGCTGAGACGTGTGGTGAAAGAGTAGGCCGATTGATGCGCTTGTGCCTGTGTGGCTGTCAAAGTTAAGTTATGCTAAGTATCCTTACTGACTGACGTGTCCTGACGTACTACTGACGCACGGCCAGCCCTTCCTCCTGTAGGTATTATTGATAGGCTTTGGCAATAATAGCTCCCGGACAGCGC